CTCATCTACTGTTTACCTACGTTTGCAGTAACTGCGCTAGAACTTATTTCTATACATCCTGATCCCTACGAGGACCTGAACCCCTACGATTTGCGCTTACCCCAGACTGTCAGCCTAGATAACGCACATCTGCTATAAATTCTATCTATATTATATATTAACTTAATTTCTAAAATACCCTCGAATTTATTATTATTTATTTCCAGTTTTTGATTGGAAATCCGTTTATACCGGTAGTTTAAAAAAGTCCCTTCCCCCAGCCTTAATCAGTTGTTCCTCCAGTTCTTCCAGATGGGGTAGGTCCATCCTGTCCTCACCCCTCATTGCATTTCGGCATATACGAAGAGGGCTTTGTCCTTGGTAAGAATTAAGTTCTGTTAGCCACTCCCTTGAAAACCGCTCTCCTTGGCCAATCTCGTTCGGGTCGGCGCCTCTACAGAGGAGCTCTTTAACAGGGTCAAAACAAACGTCATCCTCATCCCCATTGCCATCCACCCAAAAAAATCCACCTTCTTGAATTCTCAAAATCACAGCCAATTGCAGAGCCCCCAAACAACTGCCCGTGAATGTAACAACAGCCCCCTCTTTGAAAACAATTTCTAGATTCTCCACCACGCCCCACAATGAGTCTTGGTCCTGGGACTCGTAGTCTCTTATGGCGTAGGTAGATATCAACACGGACACCAAACACCTTCCTAGATCAAACAGATTTTGGTCATACTGATAGATCATTTTGAATCGGCCAACGTATCCGTCCAAGCAAAGTTCGTCTAGTTGACAGATGACATCGATGACATTGCCCGTCAACTCGAGAGGATTGTCAGTCTGAAAACATTTGCCATAGCGGTTTAGCCAGTCGGAATCAATGACGATGTCAAATACCTCCAGAAGGTTGTGATCAAAGCGGATCCCGATATGCTGTTGAAAAAGAGTTCGACTATTCGCAGTTTCCAGAAACTTCGACATCCATTTATCGTTACCGATGAACAGAAGTGTAAGGAATAAGAAAGTGTCCGGGTCCAACTCCTGGCTTCCTGGGGCATAGAGAACACCACCCTTGACATTCTTGGAAGCTACCATCGCGAACCAGGTCCATGTAGAATGCGGAAAGTAATGATGATAATTCTCTTGGATAGAAGGGGGAAGAATCGGGTGCCCTGATGAGATGAGCTTGAAAATAGCCTGTAGTATAGAATCATTCTTGAGGGAAATGTCGACTAGTTGGGAATTTGCATCGGTTTCCATGATCACCGTCCATGGGATCAGTTGAAGAATGTCTGCTTCGGGAATAGGAACCTGATCGTAGAGTTGGCCTGACCGCCCCCTCGGTCTTTCGTCAAAAAGCATAGTTAGACGTTCCGTTAACAGCTCTGGGGTATTGACTGCAAGGGATGAAGCCGAATGGCCGCCGCCTCGAGACTCCAGGAACTCCCTAACTGTGTAGTGCGCCAGATCTATAGTATCGAGTCCTTTGTAGTTGGATGTGCGTCTTATTAGACAACCGCAGATGTCCAGCAGCGTCTCCTCCCACCTTGTTTCGTCAATGTCACACCGCTCCCAATGTGGAAGGACCAACTCAGCTAAGGAACTGAGTGAGTAAAAGCCGAGGGGCAAAGTGAAACCCGGATGGCGAAAAAAGATTATCCAATGAAGGGCTGATCGAAGATATACGCGGTCCGCTTTGGGTATCAAAGAAAAGATCCTTTCATAGGTCTCGTCCAAAGTTTCGGGAAGCGAGCGGAGTGCGTCCAGGATAGCTGTCCGTGGTACGAGCCTCATGCGTCTGAGCAAGTCAACTTGACAAATAACCCATCGGAACCTAGAGATGTAATATGTCAGAATAAGTTACACAGTTTTAATCGCTGGCCCAGGTTATGAGAATCATGGCGAATCATGCCGTGGACACATACATCCCCTTAGCGCCCCTAAGAAGGGAGTTTCGGGCCTCCGCTCGAAGATCGGATGACCAAAGACGGAATGGCTTGTCTTCGGTGAGGACTCTCATGACATATATTTCAATATCACTCCGTAAAGATTCATTGGCCATGGAAATGGGGCATGAGTTTGGCAGGGCTCGCATTGTATTCTGAATGTCGAAATACTCTCGGCTTGTAGCGAGGAGCTGAAGTTTGGAGAAGCGATCGTTGCCCAGCAAGTCAGAGATGGTCTTGAGAAGTAAATCTCGAGGTTGGCTCTCGTCAATCGCGTCCAAAAAGATGAATGCCGCGTCAAAATAAGTCAGCATCTCCCCAATAGCTTCAAGAAGCTGTGGGGTGGAGGGTTTCAGGTTGTTTCGATAGGTCGCGTAAATGCCCTCGGGGACAGCGTCCGCCTGTGAGCTCAGCTGCCACAGGACCCAACGTAGAAAGGGAACGAGTTCATCTTGATTCCGGGCGTGATGGCAATAGTAGTACACATGTCCTAATCTTGATTGAGTGGAGGTCCTACTGTGGGACTGGATCGCCTCAACAAGTTGAGAGAATAGAACCGTCTTGCCAGCTCCGGGAATACCATGGATCCAGAGGCATCGGAGATCTTGGTTGAGCCATTGCGTCCACTGAGGGAGGTCAAGTACCCATCGGCAGGTTCCCGGTTCGTACTGAGAGCATGCGGAGTTGTGGTTCGAGGAAGGATTGGTATGTGATAGCCATTCTCCAAATTTGCGCTTAGACTCGGCTATTCGTAGATGCTCTCGTTAATACCTCTACACATCTGTGGTCGCTTGTCTGGAGAAACTAACCGTCAATTGCTTCGCTGATGCGCTGGACTCTTCCATTCATTTGCCTAACATGGTGACTACGATCCATCAGCTGCGAGTCTCAACAGGGCTTCAATTGAGCGGGCGTACACTAGCTCTGCTGAAAAGGCGGTTGTAATGGTTAACTTGTACTGGGACAGCTCGTTTAGCAGGCCCATGACCTTAGTCTGCTTTAACGGCCAAGCCAGTCGCCCCAGAGCATCCTTAATCTTTCTTCGCTTTCTAGACGGTTCTTTGGTAGATGGCTCGACGTTGGTTTCGCTGGTCGGGAACTGTCGCCGCAGGTCGGCAATGACTCGCCGACAGCCTTCGATGGGGCCGTCTCTGGCCCCGATATTGGTCAGAATCAGCGAGGATTCCACGTCGGTATCGTGAAGAAACTCGAGGTTATCGAAGATGCCCTTCAAGCTGGAGACCTCAAGAAGGACGCGGCGGAGATCGCTGGGGTAGTCGTTGACTGAATCAATGTAGCCCTTGCAGATCTTGATGATGGCGTCTGAGGCCTGAACCACGGCGATGATGCTGGCGACCAAGCCCAAGGCTTCGGCCATGGCGGTGAATGTCGGTCGGGAGGTGTTGGCGAGAGGATGGGGATCGAGAAAGATGGTGAAGAGGCGGAGTTTGGGGCGGATGGGAGGCCTGGACGCGGGGGAAGAATGCCTAAGGCGGCCAGACGGTGCAGGAGCATCTGAGGCGCAGGCGCAATAAAAAGAGGCGCAATAAGGCATCCTGAGTGAAGACGCATGTAGCGAACCAGATGGCGGCATCTTGTAGAAGGTGGATCGAGATGTTTGGTCAGTCAGCCTAATAGGCGGAAGACTCAGCTGTTGGTGGTACCAAGGCATACTGTAACGGAAGAATACCGGGGGGCTGACGTTAGCGCACGTAATCGCGGGCTCTACTGGGAGCTAAAGGCTCCTCTCTCCCTTAGAAAGGGGGCGACAGAATATGTAACTGTATTATACAGATCACTGGCTTTTTAAAGGCTAAATAAATTAATAGTTTTAATTAAATTCTAATTAATTTAAAATCTTTAAATTATAATATTCAATTATTATTGTTGAAATTACTATACTGACTACAGTTTCAAATTTTATGCAGTTACTTACTGCAGCTTATTAAGGTATTAGGAAAGGTAACCAGTTAGACTAGATACCTTAGCCTATCTGAGTATATTATTAACCTTAAAATAGACTGGGTATATAGTCTGGATTATAGATACTATTATTGGTGTTTTTTTTTTTTACTGTTGAGCTTCTAGTCCCCCCTCTGGGTATGTGTGTACTAGGGCACCCTAACCTCTTGATAAGAGAGTACTGACAACTGAATATCCAGGATTTGCCATACTACATAGCCTATGGCAAAATACCCATAGATATTTCACACTGTATCTCCTCCTATCTCCGGCTCAGCTGTAACACAACTAACTACCCAGTATCTTGCAATCTTAAGGCAGTTCCGCCTCATCCATGCCCACTGACCGAAAAGGCAAAAAACATGTCCCCTCACCCCATATGGCGCTAATAAACATAACGGAAATTCGGGTTCTCCGTGTCAGTCAAATCTTCGAACGCTAGATCATGAGTTATCTCAGCCACTGCTGCCATCTTGCGGCGGTTCTTGGCCATGAGGACAATACGGGTGAGAATAACAAGGCCAAGGTAAACCGCATATACAACAACATGAACCAAAAACCCAGGAAGATATCTGGGAGCGTCTTTCTCTTGAAAGATTTGCGGAGCAATGAGGTTACCCACCGACCATCCGATGAAAACCATGGTCATGGTGATTCCCTTCTTCGTCTGGCCAGCAATGTTTCTTGTGATAAGCGAGATGATCATATTCCCCTGGGCGCAGAAGAACTGAGTGCAGTAGAATGCGATGAGCATTCCACCAGCGTTGGACGAGTTCGGAGTGACGACAAGGATTACGACAGTGCCAGCAATTGCAGGAATGGTCCAGAGCTGCGCAGGGTCAGTAAACGAATACATTGAATTTAGTGGCGGGTGTGAAACTTACAACCATCATTAGGCATGTTTGTCCCGACCTTTGGGATGCTTGAGCGGACCCGATCATGGCAACAATCAACCAAGCACCTTGAGCAATGTTCAGAAGCTGAGTCTGCAATAGCGAAAACCCAAATTGCTGGATGATCAAGTTCGAGAAGACTCCTAGACCACCGATGACGAGGTTTGCAACCGTGATGAGCAACACACAGCACCAAACGAATGGGTCGGTCAACGCGTCGACGATTTGATACTTCTTGTACTCTTTGTTCTGGATGCCGGTTTCGTTGTGTCGCACTCTTTCGATCATCAAGCGTTTCTCTTCTTCGCTGTAACACTTGGCCGTCAAGGGGCTGTCGGGGAGGAAGATGCCGATGAAGACTGCCCAAACACAAGTGACGATGCCGAGAACAAGGAATAAGAGCTGCCAGTTCTTGATGGGACCATCAGTGTAATGCGAGACGCCGAAGGCCAGTAGTCCACCAACCTAAACAAACATTAGCAAGCGTCACACATGTTCAATTCCTCTGATTAGTACTGACCATCAACTGCACGCCAGACATGCAATACCATAAAGAGTTGAGGAGGGACTGTTCCTCCCTGGTATACCACATACTCGTACTGGACACGATCAGCTAAGTACAGAACAATAGGACTCTTGGACACTCACAGCAACATCATCGCCGGCTGTACACAGCTCTCGAAGAAACCGAGCAGAAATCTGACAGCCATCAGAGACGCAAAGTTGGTCGAAGCGGCTGAACATGAGACCACAACTCCCCAAATAAAGACGTTGACGGACAGCATCTTGGCCAAGGGAAGCTTTTGTAAAAGGAAGTTCTGCGGGTACTCTCCGACGAGGATACCGATGTATAGAATCGTGCCGAGCCATTGATACTTGGAGGTGTTAGTTTTCGTGCTCGATATGAGAAGCCTAAGAGCAATAACGAGGGAGTTGATGACGCGCAGCGAAGTCATAGGAAAGCGACAGCGAAGCTTGAAATATATCCGGGAAAGGAGTATTATTGCTAAGGAGGCAATTTACCTCTTGTCCAACCAATTTCGCATCCGTTTTGATTCCCATAATGGAGGCAAAGTTCAAAGTTCCCTTGTCCAATGACTGGCAGAAATACGTCACCAGCTGGATAACGAGGATGCGGCGGTTGATTTTCCAAAACAGGCGCTTGTTAGTCGCAGCATCAATCTCAATGCCTGTCCCAGTCGCATAGGGATCTTTCTTCTCGTGCTCATCCACGTCCTTTGTCGTTTGGCCACTGCAGCCATTGACCTCTTTGTGGTCGGCGACAGGGGCTGTCTCAGACTCCTTGGGAGAGGACATGGTCTTGGCTGTTGAAAGTGAAGAAGAGATGGAAGATGGTGAGTCTCGACTGCAGCTTGGGATTCATCATCTTGCCGCGGCGGTGATAGTTATGATATGGGAGAACTTGCTTGTGCAGTCGTCGCCCAGTTTCTCCCCCGCCCAGAATATTTCGGCCTTTGGTCCGAAACTTCCTCCGAAGTCATGCGAGAAACCCTGGTGATGCGTAACAATTCACGCTAGCACCAAGTTGGAATCGTCCCCTCCGCCGGATCTCCCGCTGATCCTGGGTCCGGGATAAGTCGCGGAGTTTGTTCCTGGACGCTTGCGAATCCTTCGTCGGCGCGGTGGCTGCTCCGGCTGACGGACCGTGGGAAGCTGAAATACCTGGTGTGCGCTCCTCGTGGGAAAATAGATATTGCTCCAATTATCACAGTCCCGATCGTACGTTGGCTGCTGCTCTAAACCGCAGCCATCTTGACGTCCGGTGACGCCGAATTTTGTTGTCTCTGCAAGCTGCATCCCGAAGAATCGACGCTTCTTGACCATGATGGTCATCAACAATTCCGGCGGTCTGGTGTCTGATTTTCACCATGTTCCGCCAGTGTTGAATGGGAGTCATTGCGGTGGACGCACTTCGATTGATGATCAGGAAATGATGAATGGGGTTTGTTGCACATGCAATTTGGCTCCGAATTGTACTGACTCGAAAGTAGGACATCTCGACCGGTAAACCACAGCATGGCGACGCGCCTTCAGCTGTTGCTCCCACCACGACGCATAACGGCATATCAACACAACACTCCCTGCGAGATGTTTTATACTCGACTGATGTATATGCAAAAATATGGAACGTTGCATCGCAAGCATTAGACAAGGCAAGCAGTCACGCTGAGATAAAATAGACCGCCATACTAACAGAAGTTCGCTTGTAGTCCCAGCCACCCGCCCTATATCCGGAGTACACGAAACCGAACGGGACTAGATACGTCTATCGAGAACATGATTTCTGGACCTCGGGGTTCTTTCCGGGTTGCTTGTACCTATTGCTAGAACGGGAACGCAAGTATAAGAGTCAACTTCAGACTGCTGTCAATGGACTTGTCGACAAACCACACCAAATGCATCTTGAGTAAGTAATAATATGATCCATGCGGAACACCTTCTTCTTCATCCCTAATGGCAAGCGAAGCCACCCATAACAGATGGTAGCTGATGACATCTTCCAGATTTGCCTGTAAATGGTGGACCGTCAATCTTCACCAAAATGCTTCCCTCTCCACAACACACGATCTCGGTTTCATGGTTTTCCCATGGGCCCAATTGGCTTGGGAGCTCAACCACGATGTTCTCGCGTTGGATACGATAGTCCGGGCTTCAAGGACCTTGGCGTCTCGCTACGTGCCCCATATCGGAGCTATTCGGTCATGGGATACCTGCATAACAAAGAGATATGCGTTTACTGATCCTAAGACAGACTTCCTCTTCATCATTGTTAGTATTGGCCATGCAATTAAACCGAGTTGGTACTTTACTAAACTCCTGTAGGACAACATGATGAACCTCAACATGCTCTTCTGGACAGCGTCGGAGCTTGACGATAAGGAGTTGTATCGGATCGCCCTCAGCCATGCTCGGAAGACTCAAGAGTTTCACATCCGAGACGACTTCTCAACTACGCACCTGGTTGTATTGGATCCAATCACCGGCTCACTGAAGTCGCGCTTGACAAACCAGGGGTTTTCGGACGACTCATCGTGGGCTCGAGGACAAGCCTGGGCCATTGCTGGATTTGCACAAACATTCCAGTGGACCAAAGACGTGTCATTCTTGAAGACGGCCCAATCGTGCGCTGACTACTTTCTGAGCCGACTACCTGCTGACGGGATACCTCCATGGGACTTTTCTGCACCAAAGGACACTGAACAGCCACCTGACACAAGTGCAGCTGTGATTGCTGCTTATGGACTGCTGCTCATACACGAAGCACAGGTAGCACGGGGGCAGCAGTCAGATTACTTTGATCAGGCTATTCGCCTATTGAAGAGCGTTTGCTCCAAGTATCTGAATACGCCCGACAAGTTTGTTACCACTCGTTGTGTAATTGATACCGTCGAGTCTCTTTCACACGACATCGCAGGAAAGGTCAGCGTGAAGCCTGACAACACACCGGAGACAATCCTTGGAGGAGCGACCATCAACAACTACGAGTTTGCCCCACGTCGTTGGGCGAATCATGGCTTAGTGTATGCGGACTACTACTTTTTGCTTGTGGGTAACAAATTGCTAGAGATGCATGGAATAGAATCGATAGAGAATGTGCTTGTTTGATTTAGAAATCAATCGATGGCGGGTTGCTAGAACCTTGGCTTTTAGATATCGCGGCTTGATATTTTATTGATGAAATTTTCTCGTTCCATTATCGATATGACGCATTGACTAAGGTAATTGTGAATGAGGAAATCACATCCATCACCGCTTATGACCTTTAGTGTCTACTTTTTTGTGGCTGTTCGTTCCTGAGGGTTGCGTCATTGGAATGCGTGTATGTCGACTGCGGGAAAAGTAGCGGGCCTCGTTACCAGCACGATGTGATGTTTTGACATCTGAAATGGAAAGATTGACAAGAATGGCTGGCTGGGATTGATGAATGAATTATCACAATAGCCGTGGGGTAGGGTCATGTGTCGATCTCGACGGGCGAACTGCCGGATACCACCCGACGGACTGAGCTTTTCCAGTCCGGAGGAATTATCAAGGCCCGTCCGTTTTAAGTAAAACTCTACAGCCTAGCTCGACATGGCGTCCGGGGAAGTGTCGGGGGCGTCGTCCATTCAGGAACCCGGTCAAACGACCTGCAGTTTACCCACACCCTCTCTTTTGAGTTGTCTGGGGTAGTTCGGAGAGACTAGGGATATTGTATTCTACCCCGCACTGTCATCTCTGATTTGCAACGTATTAAGATGGAGTCGAAGTCCTTGGATACAGGATAGACCAAAGCAACAACGGTTCGACGTCCTTCTCTCTGTGGTTGAGTCATTCACGAGACACAACCCTGGCTATCACCCTCTTCTCAACCTTTCAGACATCAGATCGGCATCTGACAGTTACTTGAGAATTATCAGTGAGACACTATGCTTGACGACTAAACATACGGCAACTCACACATCTTTCTTCAATTCTACCGCTTTCACAAATCTCACCATGCGGTACAAGGGCAATTTCGCTATTCTGGCCTGTTGGGTGTTTGCAAGCTGCAATGTGTTTACTGAAGCGACACCCGTTATGGAAAAGTCCGACATTGAAGATCGCGCCGATTATCGTGATACAAAGCCCTTTGTCCATCCTGGAGCATTGCATACCGTCCTAGACATCCACAGAGTCAAATATCGACTTAAGAAACAAGAAGAACCATGGGTTACAGCTTTCGGCCATCTGGAAGCGAGTAAGCTTGCGCAAACGGCGTGGAAACCAACGCCACAGACGGTCCTTGTCCGTGGTGCAAATGACAAGCTGGCGGAAAATTACGGATATGCCTACCGCGATGCTCACTCCGCATATCAGTTGACGCTTCGTTGGCTCATATCGGGAAATTCTTCATATGCCACTGCTGCTGTGACCATTTTGAACGGGTGGAGTTCGACACTGACGGACATCTACGGCACTTCGGACAAGTATCTCGCCGCTGGCTTATATGGCTACCAGTTTGCAAATGCGGCAGAACTGCTTCGCTTGTATTCCGGTTGGTCAAAGGATGACCAGACAACATTTGGCACCATGCTCAACGACGTCTTTGCACGCTATAATCGTCTTTTTCTTGACACGCACAACGACAAGCCCGATCATTATTACGCCAATTGGGATCTTTGCAACATTGCCTCCTTGATGGCCATTGGGATCTTTAATGATAACAGAACCATGTATAATTACGCCGTCGACTACTTCAAAAACGGTCCTCCTGACGGTGCTGTTGCAAACGGAGCACTTCCCTTCTTCTCTATCGCGAATTTCACCGAAGAGGGTTCTGGAAAGATACTTATGCAAGGCCAAGAAGCTGGACGTGACCAAGCACATACGCTACTGGACTTTTCGCTCCTCGGTGTCATAGGTCAGCAGGGATATAACCAAGGCGTGGATCTCTATGCCACATTCGGTAATCAGATTCTAAATGGGTATGTTCGCATCTCAACCAATCCATCAAAATCATCCATGACGATATCTAATACAATCCTCTCGCAGGGCTGAATATGCTGCAAAATACAACACAAACCACTCAGTGCCTTACACCCCATACCGAAGCTGGGAGGGGATCCTTCCAAATGTCTCTACGAAAGCTCGGTTCGATGTTCGCCCTGGATTTGAGGCCATCTATTCCCACTATGCAGAGGTCAAAGGCTTAAATGCTTCATGGTCTAAGGCGTACCGTGATTATGTCAACAGAAACTTGACAAGCAATGTGGAGGGAGGCGGTGGTGATTACAGCCCAAACTCAGGTGGTTATGACGTATTCGGACATGGGACTTTAATGTACCGCTTGGGCAAGTCTGAAGAGACCTGACCTCGACATATGGGTGCGATAGGGTTGTATGCAGTGGGCACGGGAATGCGTCCAGGGCAAGATACCAGATACCGAAAGCATTGATTCTTTGACGATTTACGCCAGTCAAGCCGACGAAAGCCCTTTGCACCTCTACAACTAAATCTTCTTGTTTGACAGTCACCTTGACATTTGGAAGGGCTCTAAGAAAACTGAATAAATCTCATTCCGTATCCATTATAGGTTTGTTGAAAGTAACGGTAGACAGGGCGACTTTACTCTTCGGGAGCAGTGTGAAACAAATCGGTCAAGGCAGTGTTGACCAAGAATCATTGCAACGTCAGAATTGTAACAGTAGAACCCATTAAACCTAGACCTCTACCCTATGAAACCAGTCTTTCTCTCCGACTTCCTTGGCAAGCTTGTAAATATGAACATCATAGGTACCGAATGCATCTTTTCCCCAAGGTCTAGTCGCTAGCATCCCAAGTTCTGCGCCATCCAGTTGTGAAGCATCGCAGCTAAATTCATGCAGTGATAACCAAGTAGCAGGCTGCGGCGCAGGCTCTTTCGTAGGCTGGTCAAGGCCTTTAAGTACGCGTAGTTGTGCGTTCGAACTTGCACTTGCTAGCTTGAAGCCCGTGGTTCGAAGATAGCCGACGGACTCGGCCATCGAGGCACAGTGCTGTCTCACTGTTAGACCCCAGACTTCAGTACTGACGGCTATCAAATCATCCGTAGATAGGCATTAAGAACCTTTTCGCGGAACCATTGCTCGACCTCTTCCGGCGAGGCACTCCCTTTTATCTCACAAGCAATGACAACCAAACTTTTCATGGCTCCTTTGCCTGCCATAGCCTTGTCATAGACGCAAATCAGATTGTCGCAGCGGGCGTTTATATCGGCGAGGTCGTAGATTGAATTGTCGCCAGGCAATATGTCACTCGTGACGTGGATGTTGCGGAACTCCTGGCTCTGAGTGAAGCCAATATCTTCCATGGGATACATAGCAAGGTAGGGCATGCCTACCTCTGGGTCGATATCGACGAAGCGACGGGCGGACCGAATTCCGCTGGTCTCTATGATCTCAGGAATATGGTCATCATCGTACCACTTTAGGAATGTTGGCACATCCAAAATGTCGGGGCGAGCGATCTTGGAATTGACGAAAAAGATACCCTTCCCTTGGAGTGTTGTGGCCATGATGATCGACGCTTCTGTGTCAATCGAGAGGATACTGAGAGGACAGAAACGAGGATGATTTGGGACAAATCTGAGACGACACTATTAATCGATGCAGAAGCGGATACACAACGTGTTGCAAATAGAGGGGCATGCAATAAATCGTGGCTACTTCATTATGTTTTTAAGCGACTTTGTGGCCATCGCGGGAAAACGTTTCCGCGATGACGGGATGAGGTATCCCCTCGCGCCGCTTTGAGCTAATAGCGCAGTCGCTATGGCAATGGCACCAAATATGATCCAGTAAAATGATACCGGATTTTATTTCGCATGTGGTCCAGGGTGTGAACCGGCCAGACAACCAGTTAGACGTCTGTTCAGGTCAGGTCGTGAGAGCGAGCTTCATCTGGCTGTTGCTCCCTGCGGAATTTATCAAACCCAAATAGATAGTCGAATTAAATGAGAGTGAGCAGAGTAAATATAGCAATTCTGGTCCCTGTAGCATTTCTCCCTCAAACAATTGCAGGAGGTAGTCTATCTTTTGTCTGCCGGCCCCATTCCTCAATCGTCGTCAAGGTCACCGGCAACTCTTCCAAAACTGGACCCATATCTATCTTGAACGGCTTCTCCGGCGCTTCGTTGTAATATGTATATGCCTTGTGCATCTGTTTGATGACTGTATCTGCATGTAAGCCAGATCTTGCCCTCATGGCCGTGTTGATCTTGTCGCAAAAGTCATCAACTGTCTGGTTTTCGTATGAAATTTCTCGCTCCCATGCCCTCGATAACTTTTGCGCCAACTCCCCCAACCGTACCGTCTCAGGTCCGCCAACGGCAAAGTTGCGGCCTGCCAAGTGGGGTTTATCCATGGCAGCAATCATGAGCTGGGCAATATCGTGGTGGCAGATCCATGAAACCTCGAGGTCCGGCATATGGCAGTACACAATGGTTTGCCGTTCTGCAATTGAGGGATAGGCCCAACCTTCAAAGAGATTCTCAAGAAAGACGACGGGTTGAATGGATACAACGGGGAGTCCCATCTCCCTCAGCATGGACCTGATATCCACTCGGTCATCCTGTGACTTGATACCGCATTTTTGTCCAGGAACCGGCATACTGGTGTTAAATACAACAAGCCGAAGTGAAGATACCTGGGATGCAGCATGGCCGATCGTCTTGACTCCCGCAATGAGGGGTCCGGTCTCCTGGAAAGAGGTTGACGGGAGGTTGAGGAAGACAACTTCAGCATTCTTGAGGGCGTCGGATATGGCTTCTTTGTCGGAAAAGTCGGCGGCAAATGTCTCAATTGGAATGCCATCTATATTGAGCGGCTTCGGGTTCCTGCTCACCGCCACAGGATGATGTCCTGCGCGAGCCAAGGCGGCTACTTGAGCAGCTCCTTGCACGCCAGAAGCTCCAAAGACAATAACTCTCGTCATGATGGTGGGCGTAAGAAGAGATTAAGAGATACAACTGGAAGGGAATTTTCTTTCAAACTCATTCACCAAGTGATGAAAGGTGAATCATTTATGGGCCGTCGATTTGCAATGGTCGACGGATGCTGTTTTCCGCCCTCACAGGACAGCCCCGCTCCGTCACGACGATTCGAAAAGCCCCGGTTGTACGTGATTGGTTTCCCCGCATCTGTACTACTCCAGCTGCTAGAAATCAGGAAGACGTGGTAGAGGCCGATTCTACTACTGAATACTGTTGTCTAATGGGAGGAACCCTGGGAACCTTGGGTCTAAATCCACCGAGGACTAGGCTGTCACCACACATTCGCGGGTACGAAATACCACGTGGCCAAGTACTTCCAGACGTGAATGTAAAAGCAGGGATGTGATTTCTTAAAACATCTCATTAGCCACAGTGATCGCAGCCTACCTTAAAGAATACGAGGTCTTTGTAGCAAAATGCGAGGCAAAGAAAAAATGTTAATAACGTCAAAGCTCGAGGCGAGAAACTCAACAGCGAGCAATGTTGTAGAAATTTTGTTGAGATATCTGGCGGATCTTTTTTAAGATCATATCTTATTCCAATTATACGCCGGGAGGAATGGAACGGATAGAGGAGCAGAGTCATTAAGACACATGGACTTATGCCCAAAGGAGCGAAGGCACAAGGCTCGGGGAAACATAGGTGTTTTGCTTATATCGGTGATAACTGCATGCGCAGCTTTGCTGATAGCTGTAGACAATATTTTGATTCTCAATATGTTGGGGGCACACAGCCATACAGTCGGCAACTGAGATCTTCAAAGAACTGAAGGAAAATAAGTGAATTAAAAACTGAAGGTGCAGTTAGCCGGACTACAAGACCCAAAGACTCAAACAAGAACAGATGTAAAGACTGCAAACCCGACTTCCGCTGTTGATGACCGTCTCTACCTTTTTACCCTAACGGAGTGGTAGATGATCAGATACTACCGAAATTCAAGCCTCCACTTAGCCATTAGGATCCATCATACCAAATTGTTGATGAAACGTATTTTGTTCCGCTTGCATAATGCCGTCAATATGATATCGGGCGAGGAGATCCCGCCCCTCCGTGGATGGATCCCTTGACCGGCGTTTTAATTTGCGAAGATACGACGCAATTCAGGGCATGGATCTATGAAGTGGGAAATAATAATTGCCTATCATCTGGAGGAGTCCGCCAAGTGCCGAGTCGGGTCCGGGAAAAAGTCCGAATGTCCTACCGCGAGATGGATCTGAGAGCCCCTGGCTTGCCAAGCTGCGGTAGTGACGAAGCACGGCGATTAGACTGCGGTCCTTGCTAAGCACCGGATGCCATATTATATAAGCGGAATATTGTTGCGTTATAGCTTGATATTGTCGTCAAGAGTCAGTCAGGACCACGTATACATGTATATGGCATGCCGTACCGTTGGGTTTAAACGCCATGACCCGTTCCGCCTTTTTAAACTGAACTATCAAGTTACTCATTTCATCTTTCTATCATTTGCAGACTGATACATTATTGAGCATGGCATTCAAGTTTGTAATCGCCGGAGCAGGCGTCGCGGGCTTGACATTGGCCAACATGTTGGAGAGGCTTGACATCGACTACATTGTGCTGGAAGCATACCGCCAAATTGCACCACAAGTTGGTGCAAGCATAGGCCTGTTTCCGAATGGTCTACGCATTTTGGACCAGATCGACTGTTACGAGCCCATCAGGAAGCTAGCTCAGTGTGCCTTGAAAGAAGGCTACAATCGCGACAAATCTGGCAAACCCATTTCCAGCATGGAGAACATGTCCGAGCACATGATACGACGGTAAGACCGCCCAGAGTCCGACTGATTGTTGAGAAATATTAACGGTCTTCACTCAGACATGGCTACGAACCTCTGTTCTTCGACCATCAAATGCTCTTGCAGATTCTGTATAATCGACTACAACACAAAGAAAGAGTGCTGCCAAACAAGCGAGTTGTCAAGATCGATCACGTCGAAGGGGGCGTAAATGTGACGGCCGCAGACGGCGAAGTATTCACTGGCACGCTGATTGTTGGAGCAGATGGCGTCCACAGCACCGTCCGAGGTGAGATGATCAAGATGGCCAGGGAGCTACAGCCGGAAGAGTTTGGTCCCGATGAGAATGAGCTTGTGCCATGCTATTATAATTGCAGCTTCGGAATTGCGCAAAACGTCCCAGGCTGGGTTCCAACGGAGCAGAACATCGTTTTGGGTGAGGGCAACTCACTCTTGGTCGTTTCCGGGCCCGATAATCGGGTCTATTGGTTTATTTTTGAGAAGCTGCCAGAGGTCAAGTACGGCAGCAATATTCCCGAGTATAGCAAGGAAGACGAGGCCGAGTTTGTCAAGAAGAACATCAACCTGCCGATTACTGAAAAGGTAACCTTTGGTCAGGTGTTCGCAAAACGCAACTCGTCAACCTTAACGCCTCTACACGAGTTTGTGTACAAGAAGTGGTTCTTCAAAAGAATCATCTTGCTTGGAGATTCGGCCCACAAGGTCAGTCATGAATACTAACCCCCCTCGCTCGACCTGGACTAATATTGTGGTAGCCAAATCCTATTGGTGGACAGGGTGGCAATGGTGCCTTGGAGTCTATGGCCGAACTCATCAATGCCACTTTGAGAAAGAGGGCTCAGCGAGATGGAAGCCTGGATAGCCTATCCGACCAGGATATCGAGGGTATTTTCAAGGAAACTCAGGCTCCTAGGCATGAGCGTGCTGACCTGATCGTTCGGCTTGCCCACGAGGTGCAGGCTTTGAACGCCTTTGAGAACCCTGTTCTCTCTACACTTGTGTGGGAAGTCCTGGCACCTCATCAGGGCACCGAGTTCGGTTTGAACCAAGTCAGCACAGCCTTTATGGGCGTCTCAACGCTGAATGACTTCCCAGTCCCTTACCGACCCCGAGCTATCCCGTACGACGATGAACTCCCGGCAACTCCTATTGGCGTCCAGCAATCGAAGATTGTCCGCAACGTCTTTATCAGAGGAATGGGCTTCATCTTACTGGTCACTAAAAAGGCCTTCCGCCTACCACTTCCTGAGCTGACTACGTGGGGAGAAACCAGCATCATCGATCTATCGTGGCCAACTGGCGGATTCTCGCGAGAGTTTTTAAACTCTCTGGTATCGGTTTTCTCAATCCCGCTGGTGGACAAAGACCCAGCTCCTAGAATTCACCTCATTAACTTCCTCACTCAGCTCATATCGCCGATTTTTATCTACACCATCGAGGGATATCGTCTGGGCAACCAGGGAACCATTTTGTCTCTACCTTCCATCTTCACAGGAGCTATGCAGCTTCAAGGAATTGGACGCATGGCACCACTGCACGGGATAATGAGTGCTTTCTTCGCTCATCAACTTCCGACGGGCCGTGCTGTCCCTACAGAAGTGGCGAATGTGTTGACGACCGCGCTGACCTTTGGATACTTGTTACCGACTATCCTATCTTTCTCACCTTCATCTAACCTGCACAGTTGGCAAAACTGGGTTGCGCTTTGGCAATTCGCACCCCCTCTATTCAATGTGCTGACCCATGTTTTCTCTACTGGCTTGAGGAGATGGCAACGTGGCAGCAAATCCAAGGAACAGTACGAAAAGGAGCACATTTTCGACCGCTACAAGACGCATGATGTGGGAGCTCTCAAATCGGTGTACACGTTCGCATTCGCTGTGCAGTCGACGTCGCACATTGCCACCATTGCGTACGCATGGGCTCACCCAGAAATTTCCATCTTCAAGATGTTTTTCGACGTGCCAAATCCTTTCAAGGCTACGTGGTCGCTTCCGAGCCTCAGCGAGAAGATTGCTGTCTTTTTCAAGTACGATATGCTCACTGCTGTCACCGCCATCTCAGCTAGCAATCTCTACTCTGTATGGACTCTTCGTCGCCAGGGATACATCAAGACTGGCGAGGCAATTAAAGCTGCCATTGGCGTTGTCGCTGGGCAGTTCTTGGTTGGCTCAGGCGCTACCTGGGCGGCATTGTGGCATTGGCGTGAATCGAAGCTTAGAGGGCTCAGCACAATCAAGGAGCACTCCAACGAAAACCAAGTAAAAAAAAAGAAGACGAAGAGCGATAGTTTATGTTGTTTGTTTTTCAGTTACCCTGGAGTGGTGTAAGGTCACCTTAGCACGAAAGACGACCCCGGACTAGGATGAGCTGTGGTTATGAAAGCAGATAGATTACCTAGATATACACGGGGTAAGAGCGGATAGAACTGTCCAAAGGTGTGAGAAAATATATTATTTTACTGTTTGTTATCAGACATCGCATGGCCTTTAGAGAGGATTTCTCGACCTCTAAAATATTAATTCGGGAACTCAGCTAGTCGTGATTGCTGCGAATGTGCTTCCGCTAGGCCATGAAGGGGACAATGCGGCGAGAAGGGGGTAAGCGGATTGAATTGCGTGATGTCGCCTTCCAGCCACGTATACTAGTAGACTTAAGTGATTGATGCTAGAAAACGTTATTATGATCCACGAGGATGGCGAAGCGTGTCTGGTATTCGGCTCTCAAGCCCTATGGTACTTGTACCAAGAAATCAAACTATGACATTTTCGATAAGAGCTCATCGACAGCTTGCTGGCCAAACTGATCGCTACTAAACAAGAAGTCTGTAGAGCTCATATCAACTGCTCCGTTAAACCCTCCTATCAAATCCCAATGATTCTCTTGGAGAATATCTAGACCGTCAGTCAAGTTTGAATGGGTGTATTGGGAGAAATTCTCAGCAACCCCGCTGGTGCTTGATGTCGATGCTAATGAGCTCTTGGGTGATTCGCCCGGTTTCAGGCGATAGCTGGGATAGGAATGAGATGGGAATTCAAATCTCGATTCCCTGAATATGTGACGCAACCTGTCAAAGGCTTCTTGCGGACTTTGGCTTTCATCCGGCGATATGGCTGGGCTGTTAGGGTCCTCACTTGTCACCAGATCTACGGGGTGTGATAGCTTCTCCACGTGCTCCATCACCGCCTCGATGATTGTTTCCAGCGCATCGCAGTATTTTCGCACGGCGCTGTTGCGTTCAGCTGCAACGAAAAGAGATGAAGAACAGGCACGGAGGTCATTGGATCTGGCGGGCGTCCAAAGAGTGGGATCTTTGAAGATGATGTAACTGATAATGTCAGTTTCGCGTCTGGAGGCTGCGGACCATGAACCGTACCAGATGGTTGTCCCAGCTATGAAAACCGAGTTAAGCATCGTAAAAGAGTAACCGAGACATCTGTTAAGTCTCAGTCGCTTGAAGAACTGGCAAACGCCACCAGAGGCTTCAAGGCAGCGCCTGGCCAGATAATCTGACGGATCAAGCGTCGGTAGGGAAGGCTCGATGAGTGCCCGAATGGCATTGTTGATGTGCAATTGAAGGAAGTCATGATCTGGTGGACTGTATTTAGGCAATGAGGCCTCGAATTGTCGAATTTCGTGAAGCAACGATGGGATTTGGTCTAGGGCAGAGCGAGCCTCATCTACTCGGTAGAGCTGGGTGTAGACCTTCGCGTTGATATGGCTTAGCTTGATGGTGGCGATAAAGATGTTTAGATCTAGCGGTCTTCGTGATCCGCCTTGCACCTCTGAGGTGTGGTGATCGGGGTCTTCCAAGTACGTGGGATTTATTCCTGGTAGTGGTAGGTTGGTGTCGATGTCGTGATCGGAAATGCTAAAGGGACGTTTTAAAGACCAGCAGACGTTTCTTTCGATGATGTAGACTGCCCAAAATAGACGGCGATGTAAATCTGCCTGTTTTGGGTCCAGATCTTCGTAGTAATCTTCTCGATGGAGTCCAACTTCGATGGCTGTCCTCATAGCTAACCCGATGAGATACCAAACCTCTGACGAGAAGGAAGAGCGCAGTTTGTAAAGAACAGTCCAAAACGTTGCTTCGATTTCCTCCACCATGTCGCCATTTTTCAGGGACTCTCTGATTTTTGATGCTTCGAGGAAGTACTGTTCAGGATGTGCTGAGTGTGACGTCCCCGTCAGCTTTCTAATGGCTGCGCCAATTGCGCAAGCCATGTATAGTCGAAACAAGTTCATTGGTGTGGAGGCAGAAGACGGAGTTACACCACCTCTCAGTGTCATGAGAATCTGAGCATAGTCACAGAATGGCAGTCGTCGATGCATGCTTTCCAGGTAAGTTACCAGTAGCTGCGATCCTGTTCGCTCATTGAGATCCCGTGTGCCTCCAAAATGGACGGTGGGAGGATTTTGAGGCTCAAGAGCGGTCCTTATTTGAGGTATCCTTGCTCCGGAATCTGAACACAACGACACCGGGGTAGGGGAGATTTGAGAACTGTCCGGTTGCTCCATGTTCTCTTCTCCGGCTTGCAGGGTCTGTAGGTCATTTCCATCAGCGCATTCCACTTGCGGTTCCATAGTTTCAGAAAACGTAGAGCTAACGGAAAGGCGCCGTCTTGATGAGAAGTGCGCCGGCGAATCTGGACTATTCTCGGCATGTCTTTCCGCAGCTGGCAATTGCTCTTCGAGAGCCTCAATCTTCTTGAGCAGATCTTCCTTTGAAAGCCCAGCCAGACGTCTCATCGACGGTGTCGAATCTCGGCTGCAAGGAAGATCTGCAGCGCGGCAGTTTGTGCATGCGGGGAAGCCCACGCATCGTTGCTTTCGTCGATGGCAGCGGAGGCATGCCTTGATCGTTGAGCCCTTCCGCTTCTGGATAGAGCTTGGTTGCATTCGAATAGACATGACCTCGTAATACTGGGACGAGTAGAGAATCCAACGACTCTTCTCGGCGGTCGGTTATGATTTGGCTGGAGCTGAGGATTGCGTAGAGTCGGTTAAAATGGCGTGCTCATCCTATCCCGGATTAGGAGGTGTGATGACGATGTATGGTGGATGCATTGACAACCCTGCAATTTGCCTGTCTAGACTCTCCATTTGTCTTTAGTGCCTTGTTCCTCATCTTCTTCATGCTGCTTTTGAGTGATGAGATGACTCCACGAATTTCCGGCCTCAGTGAATAGCCATCTGGTTTGAGCTCTGTGCTTACAACCCAATTCCCTTTTCATTTTGTACTGTAAAATAGTCATTGTTGACCATTCCCGTATGAGTCCCATTCACTATCTCGCCTAGGCAATAATAGTTATAACTCCCATTGCTTTTTGGGCAAATATCATTCAGTGCCCTCAGCACCATATGCATCAACTCCCGGTCCTTGTGCTGCGCAAACAGCATGCAATCTTTAACTGGTTTCAGGTATTTGCGCGTGGCCGCAGAGCAATGTTCGTTTTTATGCAGCATCTGGATCCTCGCATTGCATATTCGTATGTTCTTCCGATCCAAATAAATACATAGCCCTCCTGTTAGACGCCATGATATATATCTCGATTTATGTCTTACAATGCCTTCTCCCTCATGGATATAGTAGCCACCAAAGCAATCGAAACTAAGACCATAGAAAGGACTACCTAATCAGTTCGAGTGACGATACCAAATGAGTTGGGAAGCATACCATTGGAATAAAAAAGCGCGCTGATATATGCCTTAGATACTAGGTTCCATATTGCCTCTGGCAGCGTTTGAGTATACTCGACGCTGGATGTTACATGTTCGATGATCTTTGATTGTTACTAAATGTGAGACAGTAAAGTGTTGTAGGTAGCTTTTACTCACATCGTCCTTTTTTATCAACCCACTGAGTGAAGTCTGGAGAGAACTCTGAAGAGCATCGTTGATAACAGTAGTGGAAAGGCTGGCGCCGACCAGAACGCCAATGTTTTGAGCAAGAAACCACGTTGTTCCAGCTATGGCAATCTGAGAATGATCCAGGCTAGCTGCGAGATGAATAAATGTAGAAGATTGGATGATGCCCATCCCCACGCCAGGCAAGGATACGAACAAGGCTTGGAACCAATTGGTATTGCCGCGCCAGCTGAGAAGAACGAGAAGGAACCCAACCAAGCCAGTCAGGTTCCCGAAAATTGTCAAGTGTTTGTATTTCTTGAATTTGGTGATGAGCTTGCCACTTAATACCGTTCCCACGGCGTTTCCGATGACGACCGGGACTATTCTAGTGCCAGTAGATGATATTGATTCCCGTCCGACAACTTGAAAGTATATGGGGATTGTGTAGAGAAGCTGTAGGCGATTAGCGAAAAGTCTGCCATCCACAGCTGGTTATTACTGACTCCGAATTGGCCGGCTGATTGAAACCCCACGATCAAATACGAGGTCAGTACATCTCTTTTTGAGACAAGATCCAGAGGCAATATCGGCTCATCTGCATAATGTTTTTCGGTGAGAACAAAAAGCACCAGGAATGTAATGAATACAGCCCCCAGCGACGAAGTAATCAGAACCGAGGCGCCTTTTGTTGCCATGTCCAGTGATATGAGGCCGGTGAGGATAGTGCCAACAAGCGTTATCGCGCCTGCAAAGTCAATCCTCGATAGATTGGATATCTTTTTTCCATCCTCTTCAAGCTGTTGAGATTGGAATTGCCGAGGCTCGGGCAATTTCCACAGGACAAGACCAAGTCCGATGAGGGCGACAGGGAATTGAACGAGAAAACACCTAGCGGATTTAATATAATGACGGAAGCTGGTCAATAAGTAAATTGGCACGTACCAGCGCCAGCCAACACTACCAGAAAGCCATCCACCAATTGGGCCTCCAATAGACCTTGCTGTAGTCGCTGTCAAATTCACATATGCGCGGTACTGTGCAACATGTCGTAGGGGAACAAGGTCTAGAGGGGTTAGTATTGGCCAGCTTGACTGTAAAGCTGTCTCTTACCAGCCACCACAATAGATGTCAGAGCAATCTTCCCGGCGCTACCAATACCACTGATGGCACGCCCAAGAATGATTTGCCAATAAGTTTGACCAACTCCCCTGTCTTTTGTCAGTGTCATTGTTAAGACCAACAATTTGGGAACGTACACAAGTAGACAGCCTAGTCCAAAAACTGTCCAGCAAAAGACTAGACACTTTCTTCTCCCGTAGATATCGCTGACCTTTCCATACTGGGCTCTCATTAGAAAATAAACCACCTATCAAACAGGCTGATATCTGTTACCAGTGGCTGGCTTGCGGACTGAGCCAACGTGTACGCCGTCAACAGCCACGCAGCAGAAGATAGGGCATCAAACTCTGACGCAATATGCTGATTTGTCGCAATTACAACGGATGAAACAACGTTGGACAGAAAAATGCCTGTGGTTGGGCTGATCAGCGAAGACTCGCCATTCATAATTGAAAAATGAGCAATACCTGCGAGTAAGATAGGGAATACCATCCATATCACGATCGCTGATACATCTGCATCATCCTTTCCAGGAACACCTAATTTCAGGCATTAGCCAAGACCTAGTGTATAAATCTTGATTCAACCTTACACGCAGACCTGCCCGGGGCCAGTAGTGGTGCTCCTTCATCCACCTCAGAGTTGGTGTTGGTCGCCTGCAAAGCCATATTATCAATTCAGCTGCATTCACTAGATTTAACTCAGAGAATAATGTTAGAAGATTTGTCTACGGAAAGACGTTGGGTTCTCTACGCGACTCTGCTCGTTCAACATCGCTAGTCCATATCCACCAATGCTTTCATATTGGGACCAAGTATGATCTCCACCACTGGCCAATCATTCTTCGACTGCTATCGCGGTACGTTAAAATGGCTTGCGTAATTACTCGTACGAAAATCAGGTTCGGTATGCATCGGACGTTCGGTCGTCGGCGAATATCGGCCATCGGGGAGCCTATCGGCCGTCGGAAACTACACAAGGAGCTGCATGACCCACATCGGCACGAGCCTAGAATCTCACTCAAGGGCAGTCCCGTCTTATTTCAATGAAGACGTGAATGAAACGGATTAGGCGAACTTGGTTGTGAATTCGAATTCGCATCTGAAAGCCGGAAAATGTTGGCCTCCGTTGCTGCGTTGCTGCTGTTTGGGTCGTCGGCAGTATGCGGGCGACCAAACATTCTCTTCATCCTGACAGATGATCAAGACTTGCATATGGAAAGCGTTGAGCATATGCCATATCTGAAGGTTATTAGGCTCCATCATTTCAGGCTCAATAAGGTTGATTGACGTAGGAATTAATCGTCGACGAGGGTATCACCTACACTCAGCATTATTGTACGGTTGCCTTATGCTGTCCTTCCCGAGCAACTCTGTGGACCGGTAGGGCTGCGCATAATCACAACGTTACCAATGTGTCTCCTCCCCATGGCGGATATCCAAAGGTTGTTACCCAAGGTATCAACGACAATAATCTCTTCCTCTGGATGCAGGAGGCTGGCTTCAACACGTATTACGTCGGCAAGCTTTGGAACTTCCATGCCGTGGATAATTTTGACCGGCCCTATGCACGAGGGTTCAACGGGTCTGACTTCTTACTTGATCCTTATACCTACCAGTATTGGAACGCAAAGATGACGCATAACGGCGAAGAGCCTGTCAGTTACGCGGGGCAGTACTCGACAGACGTCGTTGCTCACAAAGCCATGTCTTGGCTAGAAGAAGCCCTGGAACAAGAAAGTTCCTTCTTTCTCACCGTATCGCCCATTGCGCCTCATTCCAACTGGGTCATTGAACCGGAAAAGGATTTGTCTTATCTTGAAGAGCCAAAAGCTGCGCCCAGACACCAAGATCTGTTCCGAGATTATGTTATACCCAGGGACGAGAGCTTCAACACGGCGGTTGACGGAGGAGCCAGTTGGATCAGGGATCTTCCGCCACTGAATGAGTCTGTGCTTGCATATAATGATCACTATCAACGACAGAGACTAAGGTCGCTTCAATCGGTAGACGAAATGGTGTCAGAACTGGTCAGGAAACTTGAAGAGGCTGGGCAGCTTGACAACACCTACATCTTTTACACGACAGATAACGGGTATCACATTAGTCAACATCGGATGAATCCAGGTAAAGAGTGCGGATATGGTACGTCTTGATGACCCTTGGACATGTCGTTGAGTGCTAATGTTAGATGCAGATACTGACATCCACATCCCGTTCTTTGCACGGGGACCAGGTATTCCCCGAGGAGGAGTTGTTAATGCTGTCACAACACATACCGATGTCAGCTCAACCTTACTTGAGATTGCTGGTATCAAAAAGGAGCTTGATGGAATCGCCATGCCGTTACAGGTAGTGGGCGATGATATCGACAGGTATGAACATGCCAGTATTGAGTACTGGGGTCCGGTAAGACAGCTCACTCTTTTCATATACGCATGTGCTCACCAGTTCCCAGGCCGTTCCAGAAGGGATCTATGGAGGTCGTGGAGATAAAAATAGGGAGGCCGGTGTTTGGCATAACTACTACCGCAATAATACATACAAGGGACTGAGAATAGTCTCGGAGGAGTACAGTATCTACTACTCTGTATGGTGCACCAACGAAACAGAGTTCTTCGATCTCAAGGTACGCAAACATGATGAACTGTGCGCAAGCAGTGAGCTGATCATCTTCGAGGCCGATCAATATCAGGTGCAGAATCTTGCAGCTCCCGGAAGCAATCCCTCGGCATATCAAATCGCGGGACGGCCACTCGATCAGATCCTCACTCGATTAAACGCATTAATCATGGTGCTGAAGACCTGCAAAGATCGGGTTTGCACTTATCCGTGGGAGTCATTACATCCTGATGGCAGTGTTCAGAGTCTGAAACAGTCCTTGAATGGGAGATTTGACGAATTTTATTCCAACCAACCCCAGATGTGGTTTTCTGATTGTTCACTCGGGTACTTTATGGAAGCGGAAAACCAGGACCCAGTGAGGGCTTTTGAGACGACGCCGAAGCTGCAAAAACAGGGGTTTGACTGGGTTAATCACTGGCATCACTTTACGTAAATACCTAGGTACGAGTAGTCATTCTTCTAGGTTATCTAGTCTGATTGGCAATGTGGCGGTGTCTTTTCGGGCTTGAAGTTTGTTAGCTCGTACTAATTATGTTTCCAATAAACTTCTTTCGCTCGCTCCTTTACATCTATCCTACAAATGATTCAGTGGTGTATTCTTTATAAAATTGGGACTCGAGTCCGTTTGTTACAAGAGACAATGTGGCCTCGCTGACTACAGAGACCTCGAGCCTCTGACTTCAATATCCATCTCAACCAATTCAGTATCATCATTCTCAATATGATCCAGACCTGGTGGCTCTCGGCAAATGGCTGCTTGCGATCCCTTTCGACTATAGTCCACCTCCACAATCGCGATGTGTCTAGCTCCGGAATGCCTAATTCCACTCTCCATCATTGCAGAGGGGTTTCTTCTGTCGTAGCTGGATGAATACCTCTCGGCAGTGCTTTGGAGCCTGGGGAATAGCCGATGGATGAACAGTCGGAATGAGGGCATGCAGGTGCAGATGATTCCGACATTTATCTCAACCTGTGACCATATGGTCACCTCAACATATTCCCAGGTTGGGTTTCGTGAATGAGCTCCGAACTTGACTAAAGAACCAAGACGAAGGATACTCACAACAGTGACACTGAATTCAATTAGCATTTCCTTCGCAAAGTGGAGGTGAAAGCCGTACAAGCTGCCAATAAAGAACATGGCACCAGCGCCAATCTTCCTTTGCCAGCTCAAATTCAGAGATCTGATTTGTACCAACGGGATTGCAAGCATCCATAGATCCAGTGCAATACTGATACAAGCGTTAGAATAACCGATCGCGGTCAGGTTCAGACAGGTTCCTTCGTGTTCATTATCCCACATTTTCCAGAAGTAGCTGATGGGTCGGCACTGAACGAAGGTGGTGATAACCACGAAGATAATACCGAATAGCGAGTTGATGATGATGGTGCCCCACAGCGTCCGTTGGATCGAGGCGGCCGGGAAGATGCGTAGATACAAAAAGAGCATGGCGAGCTTAAGAATGGTAATCTCAGTAAAATAGAGAATTTCCAAGATCAGAAAGTATTTGCCGAAATCATATAGCTGGTCGAATGTCAAGGTCCATATATCTCGGCCTAGGCCGTTGGCCGAGACACCGCAAATGGCAATGGCTGTTAGCGGGATACTGATAATGGATGCTAGTAAAGCGAACCAGTCGTCGAGGCGTAGTTCAAGCTTCGCGTAGATCTTGAATGCGAATCTCTGGACAATGAATAAACCAGAAATTATCACCACCACCACACTAAAGGTATCGTACTGGACGGAACGTTGACGAATAGGCTCGCCGCAATACTCCATCGTTGCGTTCTTGGTAGCTGAGGGTCAAATTTGAGTCACAAAGACACCCAAGGTCCGAATCAGGAACCTACTGAGAGCATTTTTTACAGTGCAATTCTCCGAGACGCAAATGCCTACGGCCGATTGAAGCGACTCGTCCGCACAGACACATGTCTGGTTCGTAGCTAAGCAAGTTGAATTGACAATGGCGGTCGAGAGACACCCAAGCTTCAAAGATAACATCAGTTTGACGACCATCCGCCCGTAAGATGGAAAGACTAAACATACAACACAGTCGGGAAGCTGGTCGAGAATAGAGAGTGACCCAGCCTCACACCGGGCCCCTGGAAATTCCAGATAGAAGGCGACGAAGATGGCCCATGGCATCGATAGACGTCGCATCTTTTTGGATTGGTGTTAACGTAGACGAGGGGCCAGGCGTGATTTATTGGCCATTTCATTGACGCAGAAGTATGGAGTGGGAATCTCCATATGAGTGCCCCTAGAGGGACGGGGCGGAGCTTATATGAGCATCGATCATAGTACGGTAGAGACACTTGGCCATCTAGCTTCGAGACCAGGGCATAGGGTTCCAACCAATCCGTACACTCTCAACGCGTTTAGCTCGTCTCACAGCTCGACGCCTTTGAACGCCGTGGATCGTACTCGATGCTCCGGATGCAATGTCTCTAGCCGAATCCAGCTAATCGGGCACCACTTCCGGCAGCTCGGCCCAGGTGTGTGGAGACCATTGGCAAGTCGGAGCGGAAACCAGCCTGGATCTTTGGCTCTTGCAAATGACAGCCTGACGATACACAAGCCGATTGTGGCTGAAGTTTGACTGGAGCTTGTACTGTACAAAGCTTGGTGGATGATTCTTTGGCCTCCCAAGCCCAGCCGTGGATCAGTGATCACTATGCTGGAGCTAGCGAATTCTCTAATGGGTTATATCAACGATTCAACGCGTAGAATCGTCAAAATGTGCCTCTATATAGTTACAGAGCGAGGATGCACAAGCCCCCTTTGACATTATGCTCATGAACAAATACTTCCGGTATCAATGTCCATCTCTGAGAAAAGGTTAGTCGAAATTGCAACAATTGGCGGGGTCTGCATTCCAGTGGCTGCTAGCAACGTACGATCTTCAACGCCTCTGAGCCCCAGACCCACCAACCAGCCATCATACATTCCTATCCGCTCTAGGCCTTTCTAAGGAACTAATGTAAGTAGTGGATATTTTTCTCCATTGTGAGAGCTCGGATTGGGCCTCATGAGGTGATCAATCCTCAGCCAGGGTTGGAAAAGTTGTGCTGAATGGAGAACTTGACATCTAATCGCTCACAGAATACCTCAATCCGCATCTTATATCAAGATCCCTTTCTTTAGGAATTCCAGCATGAACACGAGGGTCATTCTCAACTGTATGAGCTTCTCAAACTGCAAACAAACATCCTGTTAACGGAAATATGAAATGCGCGGCAGCCCACTCGTACGCCATTTGTCATGTTAGCCTAGAATATTAATACTTCAAGGCCCCATGCCACTTCACATCGATAAGTTGGACGAAAAGGCTCTTTTAAGACACTAGATGCCACCATAATACTCGTGAACATGTTTGGAATAAATTTGCTGAAATTTACTTGCTTCCTGCTTGGTCGCCGCCTCAGCCACAAAATCATGTGCACGTCCCGGGTTGACTCAGTGGCCAGTATAGGGTAGGCTTGGGACGTAGAGTGGAGTGAATCAAGATGTCGGACAAGATGTCGGATAAGCAATGTAAGTCTTAGTCTATTGAACAAGCGTACTGAAAGTCAAGGAGCATAGAACTCTAGTCTCGTGTACATTGAGTTGTTCAAGTAGGGTGCGCTTCAGGCTAGATCGTGAGCCATTAATAATCACAGAGATCCCTGCAAAGTGGCTAATCAAGCCGAAGAGGTGATCTTTTTGAGGTGGGTTGGTGAATGAAGTGATACTCTCTCTTCGGCGAGTGCATTAAAGTGAAGGATATCCATATTACAGATAGATTCAGGTTTAAGATGTGCAGTTGTAATACATATACCGCCTAATAAAGTGTTGCGTGCATGCTAAGGAATGACGCTACTTGGCATTGCACCATCCACTAGCAAGTTGATGCAACCGAAAGCCCCTGTATCGGCCATCGGAAAAACCTCCATCTCTTCCCGACCTCCGAAAGCACCTCTCGCCGAATGCGAGGAATTGATCATAGCAACTAATTGGATGGAGCGTAGGCTTTGAGAATTGCACCATCTGCCTAGCATATGGGCTCAATTGGCTCCACGTGCCCATACATACATCACTTACAGGAGCCTCGAGATGGCAGAAATAATCCTGAAGGCCCTCTATAAGTGGTGTGTCCTCGTAATCGCCTTTGCTCTGGCTTTATCAACTTGATTCTTACTATTTACAAAGCAGCACTCTTACAATGGAAGCCTTGGTCCGTCGTGACCCGGCCATTGAGATCAGTCCTGATATTGAACCTGCCTCTATCAGTTCGTTGGAGAAGGCGACTCGAGAGAAATCAACCACCCAACCCCTGATCATATCAGACTGGTCACACGACGCAGAGGTCAAACTCAGAAGAAAGTAAATAATTCCAAGCCTCTTACCCCGTAAATATCTCACAGCAGTAGGGTTGACTTCATTATCCTTCCTTTCCTCATGCTGGGTCTTTTCGCACTTCAGCTAGATAAAGGCAACGTCGCATACGCCCTCACGACCAGCTTCACGGACGACCTCGGCATCGACAAAAACAAGGTCAACTATGGAAACCAGCTTATGCTTGCTGCAATCGTGATATTTGAAATCCCCTTCAACTTGATCCTGTCAAGAGTTGGCCCCGCCAAATGGTTGACAATCCAAATCTTTGCATGGGGCACCATCGCAACGGCACAAACAGCGATTCATAACTTATCCGGGTTCTATGCCACCCGATTTATGCTGGGTATGTGGGAGGCTGGATACCTCGCTGCGTCCTTGACTATACTTGCTTCCTTCTATACTCGAAAAGAAATGGCTATGAGGGTGACGCTTGTTTACATTGGCAATTACTTCTCGGCGGGGATGGGCGGTTTGATTGCGGGGGCAATTTTTCATATCCCAGAATCTACTGGATTAAAGTCATGGCAGGTAAGTTGCTTGATTCGTTGATAAATTGGTGGCACGTTAACTTATCTTTTCCACGGTAGTGGTTGTTCCTCATCGATGGGTTATTCACACTTGTCGTTGGCGTATTCTTCATCCTCTTCATGCCCCGATCCACGAAAAATACTGTTCCACTATGTGGCCTCAAGCAACTCGATTTCTTCACTGAAGAAGAACGCCACATCCTGAACAATCGGGTGGTTCTCGACGACCCACGAAAGGTCGTTGACCTCTCTGGTATCGGTTTTAAAAGAGTATTTCGAATCCTTTCTGCTAGCCCTCGAGTATGGGGCCATTTCGCCATCAACCTCATCACGCTCACTCCAAAGGGAGGACTTGGAACTTACGCGCCAACAATCATCAAGAATATGGGCTTCAGTTCGATCACTGCCAGCAATTTGTCGTCTGTCAACAACTTTGGAGTGTGCATTTTGGCAATTCTGGTCGCATGGATCAGCGACAAAACCTCTTCTAGGGGGCCGCTCTGTCTTCTATGTGGCGTATACTCTCTAATATTTTCAGGAGTACAGTACGCCATTGTCCGTAGTCACGACGTTTGGCTCAAGTACGCTATTTTAACCGTCTTCACCTCGGGGACGGCGGTATCTCAGGGCATCAATGACGCCTGGTTCAGTGTCAACACTGCAGATGCACAGGAGAGATGCATTGGACTCGCCCTAGCGGTTGCGGGCTCCAATCTTGGGGGTCTCTCTGGGCAGAACATATTTGTCAAAAGTGATGCACCATACTACTACAACGGCTTCCTCAAGATCTTGTGTATCTACGCTGGAAGTATTGTCTTGATTGCGCTCATGATAGTTTATTATTGGAACGACAATAGGGTGATGGAAAAGACAACTCAGGGAGGTGAAGTTGTCACCAGCGAAGGTGTTGAAGTGGTGGAGGCCAATATCGGCGTATCAAAGGTTAGGAATCAACTGTGAGCGTGGCGGCCATATATCTTTGGAGTAGAATCTTATGTGCATATTACTCTAAACTTTCTCTTATCATCACAATCGGTTGCTATTTTGATGCCGTATCAGTCTTTAGTCGGAGGATCGGGCCCCAGAAGCAGCTCCATGTTGGGATCCGCCTTTGCCATGGCTTTCCGATACCCTGCCCTCTCCCCAATGCGTTGGAGGTATTTGACAATGTTTCCGTATTCTCGGAGACTATACGGATAAAAGTGCCGGATGGTCGTGAGTGAAAATACAAGAATCACATCCGCAGCCGTAAACTCTGTCCCGGCAAGCCACGTATTGTCGCGCACCCTTTCGTCCAGGAACCCCAAAGCACTGCTATAACGATCCGTTATGAGCTTTGCTATCGCGGGATTGTTACTCGAGCTCCCTGACAAAGCTCGAAGCAGGGCAGGCTGAAAGCTGCCGTCTACCCAATGCCACCAGTAGAGGAAGTCGGCGTAATCCGGGTGTGTGGGCTTCAGGAATAGCCTGCCATTTCCGTATTTGTGGCAGATGTATTCGATACATGCGCAGCTCTCGGCCAGAGTCACATTGCCGTCCTGGATGACTGGCGCGGCTCCCATGGGATGGAGGGCTTTGTACTCAGGCGGAGCTAGAATAGGTGCCCGCGTATATGTCTTGAGCTCGTAGTCAATCCCTAGCTCTTCGCAAAGCCAGGGGATACGCTCTGACTGGGAGACGTGTAGGTGGTGGACAATAAGGGTCATTATTGCGGTTGGAGATGGAGGGTTCGTAAGGATGGTGTGTTGGGAGAAGCAGTTTTGCAAGAGATGAACTAGGGTTGATCTAATTCATCCGGCTATGGAAGCTCAAGAGAAAGAAACAGGTCCTAGTTCCAATACTTAAATAACCTCCAACCGGTATCATGACAGAGACTAGCCTTATAAATCCTCGGGCGATCAATGCTAAAGTGGAGTAGCTTAAGTGGAGTTTTCCGGTTCATTGACGACCCGGCCACATTGCTATCTCCGCCGTAGCCAATCCTGTCATTTTCCGAGGCGGGAAAACCATCGTCATCAGTTGAACACTGCCCCATCACGGCGTGATAATGCTCCGTGCCTCGGTCTGGATGTGATCTCCACCCGTATTAGCTCTGATTTACCTCCAGAGCATCGTCCCACCCCTCCATCTCGAGATAATCAAGGCTCAATAGGTTTGTGTCAAATCCTGCAAGATCTGGAATTTCGCCGTTGGGGAAGAGATTGAGCATCTCCGGGTCTAGGAACGAGTTGAATACGTCCAGAGTCGGGCCCTCGTCAGTAAGAAAATTCAGCTGAGGAAGAATAGACGGTGTCTCCTGTTGAAGTTGCTCCTGCGATGTCTGTTGTGGCTCTCTTTGCTCCAGAGGCGGAGGCAGCGGAATGTCGCTGCCTTCTTCTAGCCCGAGATCGTTTGTCTCTTCTCCCGGTATCACGTAGCCATCTCCTTTGGACCGTAAAATGCCGGTAAATTCCAGGATTGAAGTTCGCGCATGTGCAGCATTGATTTTAAAATTCGTTAATTTCGATGGGTCGAGATGCTTGGGCTCACGCTCAAGAATGGTCGGGCCTCTATGGTGAATATTGTACAGGCAACGAACATGAACTTGCTAAATAGAAAGCGTCAGCGAATCTCACTCTTACCCGTTGCTTGAGTTATTTACCAGTAATGCAGCGAACTTCCAATAATGCGCCATCGTATGTATCATCCTCACATTTGCTTTGACATTAGCATGTGCCCGCTCTCTGATCTTCAGATCGAGGCACCACATAAACGGAATCTGGATCGCACACCCGCAATACGCCGCATATGCGACGAAACTCGGCATTGCACTGAGTCGCGGGTACGTTGATAAGACCCCATCGATCAATTCAGAGACTCTGCACGCGTGATCGAAAGCTAGCTGGGCTGACAATTGTCGAGCCGTGGACCAGCTATCATCACCTGGGCTCCAACAGAACAATGGTACAATGGACGCATGGAGGGCGCACAGAGATTGATGATATACCAGATTGGCTAGCAATATTCTGGGAAGTGCATCATGCGGCACTGCTGCGATATTTGAAGAGTTCAACTTGAGGGCAGGCTGCACTTTCCGCCACCAATCTGATATCTTTTCGTCAAGTGCATGGATGTCTGTTAGCTTGGCGTTGAAGCTAGAGTCGGATTTGATTGAAGAGACCACAGATGACCTATAGACGATCAGTATCGACAGCGCACATCTCACATCGCGCTCCTCACCAAAATGTTAGGCCCCTAATTAATTCGCCAAAGATTCCTCCATTCCTTTGACCAGATTTCAATGACACACTGGGGCATCTGGAGATTCCAGCCTCAAAATCTTCTTCGGTCCATGGCAATGGCAAATTTTCCATGTTGGCAATTGGTTCGAAAAGCGTCAATCTTTCGGAGCTGTAACAGTGCATGAGATAACAAGCCCAGAAACGGCGGCGGCGTATCTCGGATTCCAATGAACTTTCATGGCTTGGTACTCTAGACCCGAGGCCGATGATGTTTAGAAGTTGGTATGCATTTCCTACGCCCATATCAGCTTAGACTCGGACACTTTATACCTTGGAGTCGAATTCGTTTACCTTTGTGGAGTTGGCTTATTCTCCATGAACCCTGGCTGTGCCAAAACAGAGCTAGATTACTGAATGTGACGATATTTTCCTCATGAAGATCTTCAGCCTCTTGGAACACGAGACTCCCTGCTTTTTTTGCCCATTTAATCATGGATCCATTTTCCTTGAAGGTGGGTTGACCAGTATTATCTCGGTAAAAACTAAACAACATCAGCCGTGTCCGGGATAATCGTCTATGGACTTTTACTTGGCTCCCCATGCACAAACACTCAAAACGACGTGGTGACGAGCCGTGCCAGCTGCAAGTGATTCGAGAAAGATATTCCTGGGGAGGAAAAATCCGGCATTGTACATGTTCTCAAAGTACGCCTCGGCAAGTGTTAATACTAGTTGCTTTGGTATTCCCAGATCCAAGCCTTCTTGTGGGTAATCTAGCAGTATGCTAGGCGCAGAGACAATATGTCGTTCGGCTTGCAACGTCGCGTTGCTGACTGCATGTCTTCTTTCTGGGCCTGTTACAGGCGTTAATGAAGAATTTGCGGGCTTTCTTTGCAATGATCCCCTGGGTATAGTGGATAACGTGCCATCGTAGCTGCAAGTGTGTCTTAGCCTTATACATCGCTTGCAGCTTGGCCGCTCTCCTGAACAGCGTATCTGGTAATATGAGCGAACATGCCTAATCAAGTTGCAAATAGAGTGGGATTCGATTTACCTTCTGGGATTTGCATATGCTGCATGCCTTTCTTGGCCGGCCAGAAGTGGCTCTCATGATTAGTACAATGAGCAATTGAAAAATATTTTTGCAATTCTTAGCGAACATGCAGACTAATTCATGCCATTGTCAAATGCGCATCTCTGCTGGTGCAATTCATGATGTCAGGCTCAGGAAGAAGTTAGAACCGGAAGTTGGACGCATCTTTTTGAGATCGGAGAATACATAATCCGGATCGAGACAATTACTTGAGAGTAGCAGTCGGATACCGCGGAGATTTATCGTATAGGGTAAGCTTATGCTATGTGTAATAACCACGTCATTTTGTGGTGAAGTTTGGAATCCTTCAGGTCGTTGTCGATTTGTCATTGGTTAAACAATAGGTGGGGTTCATCATGGAAAGGGCGTGGCGTTGCTGATATATAGTTCGTCCTCCCATCTGATAAATGTGAATGACTCTTTCATTATTAGTCTACTCTTCAGATTGATTTGCTTTGATCAAAATATTCCACGCAATTATCTACCATCACCAGCGACCGCCACTTTCATCATGGCAACCGAACAAGGAAAGCCACCGTATCCACCGTTTACCTTGGAATCGGCCAGAGTCAAGGTCAAGGCTGCTCAAGATGCGTGGAATACCATGTGAGTTGCTTCATTCACGAGAATAAGAAACGCCCAATCTAACCAACATACCTAGGAACCCTGAAGTTATTCAAATGGCGTATACGCCTGATTCTATCTGGCGCAATCGGGATCAGTTCCTTCAGGGTCGCGCTGCCATCAAAACCTTTCTGACTAAAAAGTGGGAGAAAGAGAAGAACTATCGACTGCGGAAGGAGCTGTTTGCATTTACAGACAATAAAGTATTTTGCCAAAACCGATCTTCGACATCGACAGCTGCTAACACCGGGCTAGATTGCAGTTCAATTCTGGTATGAATGGCAGGACAGTGCTGGGCAATGGTGGCGTACCTACGGACTCGAGGATTGGACATTTGCAGAGAATGGGCTGATGAGGAAGAGACAGATGAGTGGAAATGACGTCAAGATTGGAGATACTGAGAGGTGGTTCAAAGAAGGAATTGATGTCAATGAGGTGGCCATTTCGGAGGAGCATTGGTAAATGTCCATTGATTATCTTGCTTTTTCGAGCATTCGATACCTCGCTACTTATTCCTTCATTTTTGTCATCTCGCTAATGCAGGTTGTTTATTACAACACTTGTGACTTACCTATCGACTGTAGATGCCATGGGAGGCTGATGCCGTTTCAACGGTCATGGATTACGACAGAGACAAGTCGTGGCTGTGACTGTTTAGCATATCATGGCATCTCCTTCGATAAAGTGGGATAGAGAGCCATTGAGTCAGGGCATGTCAACGACTCGGATCAATCGCGGTGCTAAAGGCGGCACAGCTTACTCGTGACGCAGTGAGAGTGGTGGAGATATGTGTGATCTTGGGTAAGAAATTGGCGAGAATGAGATACGGGCTGGGGAGAAAGTTAAGAGTAATAGGGTGCATATGAGATGGACTTAAAGAGGATACGGAGATAAGTCGTTAATTGCAACACGTTCTCGTAAAGAAGAACTCAAACGTCATTGACGCAGTCAAAAGCTCCACTCCCTTCATATGCCATAAAACCGGTCCCTTCAACACACCCCACATACTCTGCTTGCATCTCGTTCCCCTTCAAGACGCTTGTCTCTACCCACAAAGTCAACAACCCGCTGCCCATGGGCCCAGCTGGACAATACGACTGCATGAAGCTCTCGCGTAGCTTAACATGGCCCTTGTTCACCCGTCCAATCTTTTCCATGTACCTCAGATCCAGGAAATAGAATAATTGAATCTTTCTGTTGAAGTTGAGTGCAGCGGGTTCGGCCGAGCGGTACACCCCAGACGACTCCGAATAGCATACCCTTGTGTCTAGGATTCCAGTAGACGCTCCAGTCTTTGTTAAGTCGCCGATCCAATTCGTTACCAGGCCGTCAAAATTCTCAAACCAATGAGCCTTCTCATTGTCCGTAATACGCGTATGATCCTGTCCCTCTAGAACAAAGCACAGGTTGTCTGGGAACCCAGTTATTTTCGTCCTCCCGAGGCGAATGCCATCTCCAAGGTCTGACTTCTGGGCCGGAAATTCTTCAAGGGGGGTTTTCAACCTTTCTTGGGGCGTTGCCTCCTTAAGACGGTCTCGATAGCAGCCCCAGTATCCAGTCTTGTCGGAATAGGGCACCAATTTGGCCACAGAAGAAAGGCCGTTTATGGTTGTGTTGTTAGTGCCAAACTGGGTCCGTCGTCCTGGCACAGCTAAGATTTCGCGCCACATTCCCGCGTCTGCTGCTAGGGAGCCCCAGAATTCAGTAATCTGGGGGCTCGTCCACCAGATGTTATAGGCATCTACTGATGGCCAATACGCTAGCCAGATCCTGGTTGAATGACCTTTTGGGGCATCTTGGGTGAGTCGATCGATATAGGGTGGGTGGTTGTCGATGAGCTTGTTGAAGGTCTCGGTTAGGGATAACTGAGGCTCTACAAGCTCAACTCCAGGGTATTGGATGCCAAAGATCGCATAAACAATGGAAGTATCCTCTTCAATGTCGACGCCCCACATGGTGAGAGACTGAGTGTAATGGAGGGGGATAGTGTGGATAAAAGATGTATTGAATGATAATCGTATTTACCTTCTCTCTCATTGGGGTCTCACGGCGCCTTTTATCGACGGATTCTTTTAGTCACAGCGCCACACAAGAGTCTATAATGCGGAGAACAACGCTCCGCCATGATATCGTTGATACGGTGCGAGGAGGCATCGGAATCAACGGAACACGGAACTTGGTGTTTAGCTTCAGACTAGGGATAATTCGACCACACAGAGCGGACAATCACCCCGCACTACGCTAAGGGGTATTCGACTCCCGGATAAGGGGTATTCAACTCCCGGATAAGCGACTGAAAGTTGCGGGATGCTTAGCTCCGCAAGATATGAAGCCACAGCGATGAGGGGGTGGACTTGTCTCGACAGTATGTGACGTATGTCTTCCGAGGTCATCTAACGGGTAAATGAGTACCTCCACACAATATTTTGAACCAGACTAGCGCCAAGTGAGACGAATCCAAGGGGATCTAGGCGTGATTGTCAGCATACGTTTGGCATTAGTGGGTGGAAATGGTCATGTGTGAGGAAAGCCATGATATTGTTCTTACCTAGTGAGTGCACCCCCTCACTCTTGGGGTCAGTCTTGTACCTAGATGAAGGCCATCGCGATGGCTTAAAAAGTCTTGGACTGACCTCAACCTTGCGACAGTCTTGGGAAGCCTCGCCGGGTTTGAGTTTGGCTAGCTACAGAGCTGAATGAAGAAAAGGCTAATCCTGAGTCTGGGCCTTTGGCGATAGACGCCTCTGACGTAACAGCAAGCTGGGGTGATACTGACATGCGACGCTACGTTAAGAACTATTGGGGCTTGTACACTCAACAATGAATGAACATACAGTTGGCCTTGATGTAAATACTGTGGCCTTTTGAGTAACAGAAGGTGCAACAAAATTGACAATCAAATCTTGCAAAAATAACCAATGACTGGGAAGAACTGCTATTGAACCGGGGAAATGTATCTTTAGCCCGAAATAGAAAACATATCTTGAGTACCTGCGGGTCCTCAATCGACTCTCGGTGCTTTGAATTGGAACTTGGACTATGATAAACTTCAAAACAGACTTCGGGCATGTCTGGTAATGAGGCCTTAGGCCGGGAACATAATAACTATAGTGATACGTCGTTTTGTACGCCATTGGCTTACTTCAGCATATTGGTGTAACAAGGCTGAAAGGTTAGCCAGCCACGGAGTCTCGCCCCAATCCTTTCGCGCAATGAAGAAGGGTGTCTCATGATCCACCCCTTTTGGTCGGTGTCCCTCGGTCTTGGCACTCATTCGGCGTCAATCAGCATCTGTCTTTGACGACATTTGTCGAAGCATATGAACAAACCGGCCGCTTCGTTCATTGCCTCACCTACTGATGGAAGTCTATGATCCTAAATAATGCCTTGAGGACACAATGATTCGGCAATGTTCTTGCCCCTTAACAACACCGCCAGAGTGAATATCGACGCTATATGAGTCGTAGAATCGTTGCAAAGTCCTATATAATAGCTGGCAGCTTCTTGCAGAAGACCGGGTACGCCTTGCCGTAGATTTTGTGTGCATGACAGACGTCGTTGACTTAAGGATGATCCCTGTGAATCTCAGAGTGAACGAAGAAGCCTGTAGCATTTACCGCTTGGTTTCCGTAATCTCGGCTTCTTCGTTGATATAGACAAGATCCGAGAAGTCAATTTCAGTAAAATTCATTGCATTCATAGGTGCAAATTAGTACGGTGTAGCAAACTGATAGCATGCAGATAAAGGAGGGAGAGCATGTTGTAACTATCGTATCTCTCCCTTTCTCGTTGCTTTTCTACACTACGCTCTTTCATCGGCACAAGCGTCAACTCTCAAGATGCTTCCTCTGTACTCTCCTTGCCGCGTTAGCTAGAAATTATTGGATCGAATGGGATCACGGAGGGACGTGTGTCCGGCGATGCCTTCACCATAGCCGCGCGCAACGAAGATTCCAAGGGCAGCTGCAAGATGTTCCCTAAAGTATCGCTGCTCTTCCTCAAACGCAGCATGTAATTGTTCGTATGCTTCCTAATTTGAGGTGAGGGAACACGGGATGGTAATATTTCAGGCCTGTATGTGGTGAATTATGTCTATTCAATTCTATAAGATCCGGTTCTAACTATTCGATTACGTGCGAGGCATCTACCACGGAAGCGCGGTGCCGTCATAGTTCTTGAACTTGCCACCAAACTCGGCCCGAGTAGCAGTGTCAGCCAGCTTCAGGAGACCGTTAACACTAGTCTCAACGTCGATGGCGCCAACTGCAGCTGGGTCAACGCCTTCAGGAATGACTGCAGCGCCCATATCGGTCAAGACCAACCCAGGGTGGACCGCGAAGGCGGTGAGCCAGGGCTCCTCGAAGTGAAGGCGGGAGACAATCCAGTTAATGGCTGTCTTGCTGGCACCGTAAGGGCTGAAAACTTGGGGGAAGGCCGCGAGGGCCTCCTGGCTTCCAATGCTGCCGATCAAAGTCGAGATGGGGAAGAAGATGGGGTTGCCGGTCGAGCTGGCCTGGAGTAGGGGGGAGACGGCCTGGAAAAGCGTCACGGGGCCGATGGAGTTGGTGTTGAAGTGCTCTCGGAGAGACTCGGGAGTGGTCTTGGACACGGTGCTGCCCGAGTTGGCGATGCCGGCGTTGGCGATGACGACGTCGAGGGACTTGATGCCGTAATCCTTCTGGAGCTGTGCGACTGCCGCAGCCGCATCGGCATCGACTTGGGAGTCAAGCTTGAGAATGATCAGCTTGCTCCCTTCGCCCTTTGGCAGCGAGTTGAGGGCGGCGGCCTTTGCAGGGTCTCTAGCTGTGGCTACGACGGTGACTCCAGGTCGCAGGAGGAGCTTCTCGGTGAAGCCCTTGCCGATGCCGCGGTTGGCGCCAGTAATGAAGAAGGTCTTGGGGGCAGACATTTTGTATTGGATCAGATGAGGAGTAGTGTAGGTTGTTTAAGATGTTGATGAGTATGGAAGCAAGAAAAGACTCTTTTCGTCAAGCCATCTCGTTCTTCTCTTATACCAAGGGCCGAGAGAGTATTAAGCGTACTGGCCACGGTATGATGTGATGCACAACGTTCATGATTCCATATGCTTAGCAATCTTCACATTGCACTTGCAGTGCAACTGCTCCCTCTCACAGGTTGAACTTGCCTTTGCGGACCCCATTGCGCAGGCCTGGCTGTTGCCTTCGATGACGAATTTAATTTTACATAATGCACAATTCGTGATTAATATGGTGGCTGCCTTTAATATGTCATCCACACCGCAAAGCAGCTCTATTTGCAAAGAGGCCCGAGTGATGGAGTCTCTTATCAAGGTTGAGGGGCCGCTAGTCCAAACTGGCTCGATAATTTATGTGATGGAGCCGCCGGCATTTTATTAGCCCGAAAATCGTGGAACTGGCCGCCGGAATTATTTATAATTGACTGTCAACTCTGCTACCGGTCTAATTAATAACCCGTAAGTTCTCCACCAGTGACGAAAAGCCACAGAGGCTATGCCCAGTCGTCAAGCCCGATGTTTTACAAGGCTTGAACCGACCTTCTATCCTCTAGGGCCATCCCCTGCTCCTAGGTGCAAGCCATTGATTTTGCCATAGCCATATCATTAGCAAACCGGACTACACGTCAACGCACCCTCCCAGATAAAATCTAATATGATTGCCACCGGTTAAGCCCCAGCGGAATGTCGACAGACCGACGCTACAGAGCCTGCGCCCCTAAAACAAAAGGGCTTGAGCTGGAGGGCGCAGACTGTCTTTAGTGAGCAAGGGTTTCATGATTTTCCGGGAGACAGGATGGGTCCTATTACAATAGTAGTGAGTTGCAGATCTGAGTAATATAATGAGGTGGTCGAAGTATCTAGACTGGATGACGTTATGAAATGACGCCTTTCTGAGGAGCTGACGTTTTATCTGGAGTCTTCTAGCCGAACACCGAACAGCACTCACTCACTGGTTTGCTTAGATATCAGAGTCATTTGATCAATTTTATGATTGAGTATGCCACCGGAAGGGCGTGAAATTTGCGTTGACGAGTGAAACTCCGAATGGAAGATCCCCTTAGATGGCGAGTGCAATTCAGCCCTCGGTTTCTTCAATAGCGACGTCAATTGAGGTATAGCGTTCGGGTTTCATAAACAGCGAGCATCAACTTGAACTTGTACACTCACATTTTCTCTTTAGATTTGTCGGCAGGCCTGTTGACAGGAAATGTACCATGGGGAGGAATCTAACTATATCTTGATATATACCACAAGTAATATAAAATAATGAGAGACATGGCTTCTAGAACTCTAGCCTTACTTTCATTATCCACTAGCTAGATTTACAGCAAGTGATAAGGACACTAAGGTTACTCCGCTTGCAGACTGCGGAGTAGCGGAAACCCGATTGTCGGAAAGCGGACCGGCGGAGTACTCGGTCTTGATTTATCAGCATGGACCAAATGTTCTCCAGTCATTCTGGACCTACTTAAAGCTTCCCCGTGAAATAAGATCCTGACAATCTATTCCGAAGACTCTCCCCGAATTAGGTATCCAACTTCGACTTGAGCACTTCCCACTCCCAGTAAGTGTGCCCAACGCTACAACGTATTATTTCCAAACCGCCACTACATCCCACCGCTAACTAAGTCAACTAAAGTATACTGCAATTAAAACCTCACGATCTCACCTCTCGCAATCATGGCATCCACTTCGAACGTCACTGTGCTCTACCCAGCCCCTGCAGAAGGTGAAAAGTTCGACATGGACTACTACGTATCCACCCACCTAAAAATAGCTACCGAGGCATGGAAGGATATCGGCATTGCGGGGATTCAGTTCATCAATTTCACAGACGCCGTGGGCGGAAGCGCCTTGCCGTTTTCTGTTGCCGCCGTCGTAACTTTCGACAGCCCGGACGGTGCACGCAAAGCTTTGGTAGTCCCTGAGACGAAGGCAGTGTTCGAAGACGGGCCCAACTATACCAACATAACGCCGGTGGTGTTGTTGGGCGATGTGAAGGCAAGTTGGGTTCGAAGCGAGTAATAGATCGTGCGGGAGCCATGAGTTGGGCTTTCGGGCGTTATGGGAGCTGGGCTGTCATCATTAAGCTTCGAGGACGTCTACGGCGGCCAAGAGCCGGTTCCCTGAACACGGATTGAGGGACAGCGTCTGAGACCTAAATTAAGGCGAGAATAGAAGCTTCCTGTCTGATAACCTATGCATTCCGGCTTAGTGGTTATGGATATGTGTATTGTCGCCTAGCCAGACGTTGTCATCCTTTTCAGTTGTTGAAAAAACACCCACGGGGGTGAATCATAACTCCGCGGTCCGGTATCCCTCCAGACAAGACACAGATTACGTGACGATGTCGGAATATCTGCAGATTATAGCAACACATGCCACAGTCAGCATGCAACAGCGACGGGAAGCTAAAGCAAGGGTAGATGGCGGTAGGGACGCCTGACTAGACTTGTAGTTAGTCTGGCCGAACGCAAGAGACGAAACGTGATTGCACCAGAGCTTCCGAAATGCAGCTGTGAGATCTTCCGGGATCACCCTGAGCTAATTTATAATCTACTCCGCCCAGTCTTTAACTTTATCTTAACTTTCTCCGTCCGTCGATCATCACCACTCGATCGCTGACGCTCAGTTCTGAAGATGCCTCACCAAATCGGCGGGGTTTAGCTTGTTGTCGTGGCGAATATAAGGAGTATGATGCTAGCCGCATTAGACGCCCCTATTTGGCTTCATCGACTGGCCAGTTCCAGTGGACGTGGAAACAGTGTCCTTCTCTTCAGGCTCCACAAACTTCCCCATACCGTGCAACTCAAACATGAGAAAGATCCTGCACACGACGCCTGAGGCGAAAAAACGAAGGGAAACCACTACCGCATCGGACGGGCTGATAAACAGGGCACTAGACAACACCACTGTCCCGATGACGATGTGCAAGACTGTCGCAGCTGAGGCCAGCCAAGACCACACGAGATATCGCTTTGACTCGGGAGATTTTACCAGCTTGACCTCTCTCGGTTCCTTTTTGAATCTGAGCTCATCCAGCAGAGCTTTAATTATGGGTATGTCGGACTTCTTGAACCTTAGCCTGACTGCATAAGCTCCGAAAAAGTGTGGAATGACCGATATGCCAAACCAGCTGTTCAAGGCGGCATGTTAGCTAGGGATCGCGCAGAGAGCGACAGGACACGCGCATGTTTGTGCGGCAGGGTTAACATACAACGCTGGCAACCATTGGCTGCTCCCGGAAAAGGCGCAGAGGGAAGACACGGAAAGCTGCCAGGTGACATGAACCACGTTGCCAATGGCAGTGAATGTGACCAGATACTCGACGAAGTAGAGTAGTCGCCGCCAGTTTAGAAAGGGTCGTATGTCGTCTTCCTTGAGCTGCAATAGTTCGAATGGATCTCGATACTCAAAGGATCGAATGGGCGAGATGACGGGGGCTCCAAGGGACAGCAAGAAAGCAAAAACTGGCTGTCGTAAGGCCAAGAGGCCAATCTCGGTCGTGTTGGATCCAACCATGCCGAGGATGGTAGGCAGCAAACCGAGTAAAACCGACGCGGCCGCCAACTGGGCTTTGCCGCTCTCGTCAAAGTGCCCCAGGATGCAGGATACGACCATGTTGGCGTGGTAGTTGGTCCACGGATCGGGCAGGGTGAGGAAGTCGTGGTACTCGGAGCTGCAGTTGTCGCGCAGGATCCGAGAGAAGTACGGAGCGAACTGCGGAAACCATTGCTGAAACGCCTGAGGCATTGGATTGAACACGTTATGAGCGAGGTTGCGCGAATTAAGGCCCTGAGTGTGAAGATAAAGAGAGGATCAGGCTCGCCGACAGCTTGGCGCAGCCTCGTCGGTGCCTTAAGAGACAACTTCTGTGCTACCCACGTGATCTAGAGCATAATAATGCGACGGCTTCATAAATATGTGTTCATTACATCGCTGTCAGCTTTATAATTATATCTCAAATACTAATATCCATCCACTGTGGCCTACAACTTTTAGTCTTCTACTTTAATTTGGAATCTAAGTTAACCCCTCTATTATCCAACTCCTACTAAATCTAATACTTTATCAAGAGGTTAGGGTGCCCTAGTACACACATACCCAGAGGGGGGACTAGAAGCTCAACAGTAAAAAAAATACCAACAATCGTATCAACAATACAGACCACATACCCAGTCCATTCAAAGGTCAACAATGTACTCAGACAGACTAAGGTTTCTAGTCCAACTGGTTATCTTTTCCTATCTAATACTTTATATATCTGATTGTCGCTTTATTTAGTCCCTTTAGCCTCGCCTTAGTAGCGACTATATTATCGGGCATCTGATTACCTATAAAAATCCCTGCCTTGTGCTCATGGGCGTCAGAAGAATAGTGCCCGCCGGCATGCCGATAAGGTTGAAGTCTCTCGTTGTCTCGGATGCTCGCACGATCCCTGCCTACGGGCTGAAGTCCAAAGCTGTCTCGGTTTAAATCCGTTCCTCGAGGCTCTTTTAGGCAAACTGCAAGCGGTTTGCGTCTCCTGTTCAATCCAAACTCATCGCGTCGGCCCTGATCAGGCACGAAAAAGGCGTAGTGGAGCACGTGATCCATCACGTGTATTGAATCCACCGCAAAGCTCAATTTCGACCTGGTCGAGATAAAGAACCTAACAAAAAGCACCAGAAAAGACGACACGATTGACCAGCGGACGAAGAGCGTTGAGATGAACCCATTCAGGGGCTTTTACAACTCAGGAGCCGATTGGTTCCCGGTCGGACTCACCTCGTCGTTCCCGGACCTCGGCGAAGACGATGGCAATAGCTTATCAGAACCTCGCACCTGCAACGGTGAGGTGAAGCCAGGATGCAAGGTCTTCCAGGTTCCGGAGTCAGACAGCTCTCAAGCCTCCGAGATGTTGGTTGAAGACGATCCAGCCGAGCCATCCGACATCGGAGCAGACTTGAAGACTCAGGTTCTAGTGTTCCAGTACAGGGGCAAGTTTCATGCGGTTGATCATGTGAGTCTGAGAATCCATCCAAAGCCCATGAATCGACCGAACTGAATAAAAGTTCCCAGAAATGCCCCCACTCATCATTTCCTCTATCTCGGGGCGCTCCTTTCGACATTGAGGACTTTGGGATTGTTCTCAGCGCCGGATTATCATGTCCGAAACATGGTTGGTCCTTTGACCTGTTCAGTGGAATGTCAGATCGTGGGCAGTACAAACTAAAAGTGTGGGAGGTCCAGTTGCGCGATGTCAAGAGTTCTTTCTCTTTTCTACCAGCTGCTAAGACAGATGATGCTTCGGGTACTGTAGATAAAGAGGTCTGGGTAAGGAGAAAGCAAAGGATAGGCTAGTCAATGAATTCATGGCAGTTACTCTGTACGTAACGCGTTCCAGAGAGAAGAACGACCACTTTTCAATGAGTGGCGGTAAGCTTCAGAACACCTTTCAGCAACTTGAGGACTTGTTAAACGAGTAGCAGAATGCATGAAGCTTACCTTTTAGAATAACCGTAGCGGTCAATTCAGCCAGCCATTCTTCTCTGTATGATTAGCCAGTGAACTTTGCAGGGCATGGCAAGGTCTACATTGCTGTTAAATGGAAGAGTAGACAACCACTGATTTTGAGTTGGCGAGCAAAACTCATTGGGATACCAAGCTTGAGACCGTTGCAACATGGCATGTCCGAGTCACATACCGTTATCAGGTGAATCAGATGACCCTTGCCCGGTTAAATGTGACACACGTCTATTTGCATTCCCAAGGTCGCTCTACATCCATCTAATAGCCCTAATTACTGCAGTGCGTAGCTATGGCTGAAATCAGACCGTGTGGCAAGGTTCAATTCAATCTTCCTTTTGGTTTCCTATCTTTGCTTGCACGGAACAACATCCAATTACGCAAGTATATCCTGGTGTCCCTGGTGATCACAGCTTTGGCTTAGTACTCCCATTCCACAAGGACTGCATCGATTCCTCCAATAGACTTTTCTTGGATGAGATTCTACTCTCGCTTGTCTTGAAGATACGGGGCAGTCCAGACTCCTCAAATGAAACGCTGTCACGGACCATGGTAGCGAGACCCTTGCTCGAGAGAAGGATCTCAGGCATTCCATGTCCAGAAAACCCAGCAATGATGAACTGCCCTGACTTTCCTGGCACGTCGCCAATGTGTGGCATGAAGTCAGAACTGTAGCCCATGACTAATGAAATGTTAGTCTTGATCACTTGAGCAGGAGATCAGGATCGACTTACTGCCAGTCCAGACTTCTTTGGCCTTGGCATCGCTATTCTCCCATCCTCGAAAGTGGCGTTGCATGTAGCCATCGAAGTAAGACACAGCCTCTCCAACCACCTCATCGTCCCGGACATTATCAAACCAACGATCTTTGTTATGCCAGAATCTTTGTCTCGCACCACCCACCACGATACTTCCATCCGCCCGTGGGATGAGATAATCATTGTTCAGCGCATCGAAGCGAATGCCATACGTGTTGACAAGATGAGGAGTGTCCTGCTTTTTGGGACTCTCAATATGACTGCAAATGCCACGGACAGGAACAATGGTGTTGCAGTACTCGGGGAGTACCTGGGCTGTGTAGCCATTCGTGGCGTAGATGACCTTTGGAGCCCGGATGGCTCCGCGAGGAGTTTGGATCGTCCAAATGCCTTTGCTGTCGACCTGGGGTGATACTGCTGATACTGGCGTGTTTGTATGTAGACTCAATCCCTTAGCTAGAAGTTTTTCCACAAGTTGGTGGACCATTTTAGATGGCCATAGATGAGCCGCAGTAAAGGAAAAGCAGCATTGAGCGCCCTTGACCCCAGAGACCTGTGTATTCGTCAGAGAAATCCTAAGAGTTCCGAGTAGTCAACTTACCCTTTCAGCGTCATCCTTCGGTATGAAGGCAACATCGCGTAAATCGACGACACCAGCTTTGACAAGCTCCCTGTACGAGGCCTCCGTCTGCTTCGCGTGCTCTGGGTCGAGATACACATCAACGGCTCTGGTGAGGTGGAAGTCACAGTCCAAATTCTCACTTTCCACAAGGCCTTTAACTGCGAGGACATGAGATGCCTCAAAAGCAGCCAGTTCCGCTGCCGCAGCCGTACCGTATAATTTGGTGTACTTTGGTACATTGTAGTAGGTGTCTGGCTTCACGTGGCCTCCGTTGCGGCCTGTCGCCCCGGAACATAGATTCCTAGCCTCTAGAAGGACGATTGATGGCGGGTTGGGGTTGTCTTTGAGCAGGTGGTATGCAGTGGCCACTCCAGCAAAGCCAGCGCCAACGATAACGATGTCAGATACCGAAGGCAACTCTGCGGTGCTACGATAGTCATCGAGCATGCGTGGCTCTGCATTCCAAAACGAGGGAACCGGCTTGGGCACTGGGCCACGTCCTTGTTGGCTTGGCTTCGACATGATGCCACTTAAGCGGATTGATCATCCAAGAATTATTGATACCGGACCACGAAGATGCAAAGATGGCGAGTATCAGGCGAGAGCAGGTACAACGCCACGGTTCTAGCGCGATGCTATCATATACCTTGGTTGATATGTCTGGCTTCAGTGCGAGCTGGAGATAAGAGTCCAGGCCACTTTGGATCCACCCGACTAAGCGCGTGGCATATTCCGGCCTGGAGAAGGCTGGCCGGCTACACGTTGATAGAGGCTGGATACAATGGTCAGATTCAATCAGACGAGACAAGCCGGAGGACGGATTAACCTGGCCTAGACTGGACCGGACTCTTTTCCGACTCGAGTCATGAACCGGACCCTCGCGCGGAGTTGTTCAGCCTGGATCCGGCGATCTTTGAGGGGTCATCGCTCTCCGAGGCCGGCAAGTTCCCGGTCTCTCAAGGACTCGGTCTCGGAGGCCAAAAGTAGCCTCCGATCTCCGGGAGGTAGAAGCATGATTGAAGCCAACCCCGTCATTCGAATAGAGCTTAGCAAAGACAGGAATATTTGCCGCATTTCTGATTTGTCTTATGTTGGAAAGAACATAGTTGGTAAAACATACTACCAACTCCCATGATCATTGTGATGTTGGATTAAATGACGGTCTCAACTTAGCAAACTAGACACTTCATCAAAGCCGAGGGATACGGAGAAAAATCAACGGAGCATCAAATGCGCAGAGGGGCGGAGTCAAGTGTTTTTGGGTTTGTTTTTATCTCTTGCATCTCGTGTCCTCCGTGATGTTGTTCTTTGTCCTTTCCGTTGAACGCACGCCGCTGTTGAGGTATAGGGTAAGCGAGCTACTTGGCTTATCACTAAAGCTGGGTAAGATCTACAATGACCCGCTCGTGAAGCGGGACCAAGATAGCACCGAGTCGCGTAGCGTCTGTACAATGATTTATGTAACGGCTTATCGATGCATTATTTCTTATTATTGCGAGATAAGCTCTTCTAGTGCTTGGGTTCGGCCGCCTGAGATGTGGCCACGATTCTTCGTGCCATCTCTGGAAACGTGTCGGCCATAACGTCCATGGTGCCAAACAAATCAATACAGGGCTCCTTTTCCCAGACAGTGCAGTATGCACCCTTGAATCTAGAATAATCAACCCGAGTCAGCATAGTGTCACTTAGACTGGCAGGGTGGCTAAACTTACCCAGTCGACTTGGCTGCAGACACATCCCACATATGGGCGGCGGCAAACCACGCCTCTTCCCCGGCGAACTGCGTTAGCAGCGGCTGGTAAGACTCCGGTGCCGGCTTGCCGATGCCTAGCGAATCGCAGGACATGAAGTTCTCAGCCGGCATGTCGATGCCATTGCGAGTGAAGTAGCCGCTCACGCGCTGTACGTCGCCGGCCGTAAAGGCCCAGCAGGTGAAGCCCGCGTCGCGCAGAATCTGGAAACACTCGGCCACACCCGGCCGGGCGTCCAGCTGCATGAACTGCTCAAGGATATAGGCCAAATCGTCGTCGGTTGCAAACTTGCGGGGCTCCTCAATGCCAGCCATCCACAGCATGCGGTAGAACAGGCTGCGGAAAACATCGTAGAAGCGAATATAGCGACCCGAGATGCTCAGATAGGTGTACTCGCGCTCGGCAGCCTCGAACCACGTGTATCCTAGGAGCTTGGGCTTGATACACTCGGCGCGAAGCCGATCGCCCAGCCGCGAGTCTAGAGCGTTGAAGATGGCATCGTACGAGACACAGGTGCCAACAACATCGAAGACGACGTGTTTCTTGGGAGCAGACATGGTTTTGTGACGGTGAGTCCGTTATTGAGTCTTAATCCTGGTAGATGCCGAATTTCGATTGGGAGTATGCTAATGTGCGACCCTTGGTGGGCTGCCGTTTTAGTTTCTTTATACAATCTTTGTAGGATATTATTCCAGACCTAGCATGGGACCCCATGGAGCCCGCAATACCACCCAGCCTGTTCCCCGCTCTGCACAACTTTTGTAGACTGTGAGGAGCTCCGAGCCCTGCTCCCTATCTCCAGATAAGAGCCGGGTGTGTGCCGGCCAGACGAGCGGGGCCAGAGAATGTTACGAGTCAGGAGACGCCCATAATGGAACAGCTTCCTCGTCTAGGATAGTGTCGATCACTCGTTTCACCAGCTACAACTGGCGTCGTATCGTGGCATCTTGGATACAGAGTCCCGGCCCGGTGAAGCAAAGGCGACGCGATCTTGACCGACTGAGGTGTAGCGTCACAATGTGAGCGGGGCGATGCCGGAGTAAGATACCAGAACTCTGGATAATCTTTACTGCCCGACATCGTCGCACAAGGCGTGGAGGCTTGATATCGGTGGATGGACTCTTCTATCTCAGTGCTTCAAGCAAGAATAGAAGTCAACAAGCCGTCGGGTTTGATGGTAATATTATTCTTTAACGTAAACATCAAGGCTATGCCAAGTAATTTTATGAGAATGTCCTCGGGGATACTGGCGACACCAGTCAGACCGTATTCTGCAATAAAAAATTACTGCGTTCAACGATACAGTGATGCATTCCCGTTCTATCTTACTTTCTTGTCGCTATCGCCATCCACGCAGCCGGTACTACATTGCTACCGGCTGTGACTGATGAAGCCGTAAGGGTGCATGAACCATTTGCAAGGCTAACAAACAACCTCACCTTGACCTCCGTTAGTATGGTGCTAATGTGCTAACCGGCATAAATTCCGGGGAGATACTGGCCTACGATAAAGCATCCCGGTCGTCGGAACGTCATTTCTATGTATTTCAAGAAGAGGCCTTTGCTTGAAGGACTCCTTAGCGGCCGGCTGCTTCGTCCGCAACGACAAGAATCGGCGCCGGTGAAGTTGTGCCGGTGTGTATTATGGGTTTTAGAAGCCGGCATAGTTGATTTGAGCGTTCAAGGACACCGGCACGGTGAATAGAAGCCAGTTCGGTAGCTCTTCCTTTACAGACACCATTGGGCACCTCTGATTGTCTTTTGCAGGCGACAAGACGTGGAATTAGACATCCGAAAATCATGCACGATATTAATAGACTGCTTTAACAATCAGGATTTGTCTGGGATTGGTTGATAGAAGTGACGGCTCATAGCATCGATAGTCGTTCGTTATCCCTGAACTCTCGATCCGCGTGTAGTATTGTACGAGGTACGATGACGACTACGACGTTTCCTGGACATGAAATCGATATTATTTAGATGGGATGCTGTTTTCTGATGTTCAGAGGCATATGTTTGACGCTTAATCACCAGCCCATTATTGGTGCAGTGCGCTTGACAGCATTTTTGGAATTAGGAGACTGAGATACGTGCGAAACATCCGGCTTCAGGACGTGCGCAAAGCCATACCCCGAATGAGAGAGCCATCATTCTGAACTTCTAGCCACGGGTTGGAAGATTGCCCTAACTGTCTAAATGAGGCCGGTACTCGTCGGCCTAGAACCTGCGGAGCTTTAATAATTATTTGCCGGTGAACAATTGGTGACCCGGGTAAAGAAAGAACGGTGTATGCCAGGTGAAGCTGGGCCGGCAATGTGGTGAAGCTCAGCGACCGGCCCGGTGCTGCAGCAGATTGCCGCTACTACTCCAGTATTTGCTCCCCGGAGCCAACGTCAGTGGCACTATCTTTGCGATGCTCCAGCAGCGGGGATGACCATATTAGGCAAAGATAGAGGAAAATGCGGGGGGAATACATGGGTATGAGTGATGGGCTGGCGATGGTTCGGCCGTTAGTGGAAATCGTTCCCCGAGATAGCCAGATAACAGCGTAACTTGGGCTTTGACGGTCGATCGTCGCACGCCGTTGAAAGTGTATTCGAGATAAGCCAACTCTGTATATAAGAAAGGATGCCTGCTTTTCTCCATGCAATTGGATGATGGCTTCTGACAAGTTGTGACAACCCTCAGACCGACGCATTCAACCCTCAACTCCAATCCCAAGCTCCCAGTAGCCGTCCCTGGCAACATGTCTGACCTCAAGACCATTGAGGCGGGTGCCAAATCCAGCGATGTGGCCGACGGCACCATGAAGAACATCAATCTCTCAGAGCACGACCTCGAGTTGGAGCTTGCGCTCGCCAGCTATGTTCCTGGATCCGACGCCGAGAAGCGCTTGGTGCGGAAGATGGATCTGATCATGATGCCTGCATTGTGGTTTATGTACATTCTGGCGTATATTGACCGCCAAAATATTGTAGGTCAACTGGCGCTCTGCCAAGATATCCAGCTAACTTTTCCCAAAGGGCAACGCAAAAGTCGCTGGCATGGACGTGGACCTCAGTTTGTCCGACGACCGTAAGTATTGTGATTGCAGGAATCTTAAACTTCAGAATAGCTAATGGATCAAATTACAGAATACGCCATGCTTCTTTCCATCTTCTTCATCGGCTATCTGATTTGCGAAGTCCCATCCAACATGATTCTCACCAGATCGCGACCATCTTGGTACCTCCCTGGTATTATGATCATCTGGGGTGCGCTTTGCGCCGTCATGTCAGTGGTTCACAATTACAAAGGCATGCTGGCTCTGCGATTCTTCCTCGGCGCCATCGAGGCAGGCTTTTTCCCAGGTGTGCTTTATGTAATGACCTGTTGGTACAAGAAGGCCGAAATTGGTACGTTGCATCTCAATCTTACACCTGGACGATGTGCTGATACTGTGGAATTAGGCAAGCGATTCTCCATCTTCTTTACCGCCTCTGTGTGCTCTGGTGCCATGAGCGGTCTGCTCGCCGGCGCCATCACAGGAAACATGGAAGGTGTTCGGGGCATGCGTGGATGGCGCTGGTTGTACCTGATTGAGGGTTGCGTCACCATTACAGTGGCGATATGTCTCAAGTTCATCCTTCTCGACTTTCCCGAGAGCTCAAAGCGCCTCTCCATCGAGGAGCGCCAACTCGCAGTCGTCAGAATGATTCACGACCGCAACACCAGCGTTGCCAGTAACAGCATCCGCCTCACTCACTGGCAGTCGTTCAAGGCGGCAGTGGCTGACCCCAGGACCTACTTGTTCATCGTTCTCTTCGTCATGGATCTGGGCTCGTGTACCATCTCATACTTTATCCCCACCATCGTCAAGTCGATGGGATACACTTCGGTCCACGCGCAGTACATGACTATCCCGATTTGGATGGTTGGCGCCGTCTTTCTCATCGTTCTTTCATATACAGCTGACCGAACCGGCGACCGACGTTGGCACATTACTGGATGTCTGGGCCTCAGCTTCATTTGCACTCTGGTGTGCATTACCGTCAACAACCCCAAGGTTCTGTACGCCATGCTTTGCTTTTACATCGCCGGGCTCTACACGGCTCTTCCTCTGATCCTCAACTGGACTTCCGAAGTCATTTCTCTGCCTGCCGAGAAGCGAGCTGTCGTTGTTGCGCTCGTCAACTCCATCGGTAACCTTTCGGCTGTGTACGGAAGCCGACTCTGGCCTGCTTCTGACGGACCGACATTTGTCAAGGGTTTCGCTACCACTGGTGCATTTACCGGTTTTGGTACCATACTTGCTGCCCTCATCCCGGTCATTATCAAGTACCTACCCAAAGAAGGTCAAACAAAGGCTGAGCGAGAGATCCTGGAGCGGGAACAAGATTTTATCGAGGAAGTGAGGCCGAGTGGGACAGTCTAGGTGCCATGAATAATTGTTCGTTGGACAGGACGAAGCGACAATCCTGGAAGAGTCGTGTCAATAGTTAGGAAACAAGCTCCCTAGATAATAATCTCAGGCGAACACTACGATTACAGGCTCTTAATGAGACGTCTCAATTTCTTTGCGCATAAAAATTGATCTCTTCAACTACGCGTTCATGAATAAGCAAAAGAGTAACCATTAGCTGATTGAAGTGAGGCGAGGCAAGACACTTTCATGTGCTATCTCGCAGATGATTGATGTGAACGGAGGCTACTGCCTCATCGGTAATCGCAATTATTACTTTCCGACCTTCGATAACCAGCCGTATTCTTGCCTCCCTAGGATCCCAATTTTCGGCCGCAATCCAAACGACTTCTTCGGTAAGCGTAATCTTGTTGTCCCTGGTCAATCAAAAGCCTCACCACTGCCTCGCAATGGTTCTAATTCCCGACTGCTGCTTTCAATGTGATACTAGTAAACATCACCTCCTCTCGCAAGTTCAGAAGAACCCTCATGAATTCCTCGCCATGGCGCCAATTTCTCGCCGCTACCTCGATCATCTCAGTGGTGAGAATAGCTCTATCTCTTTGCTGGTAAAGAAAAAGGCATACTCTCTCCTGATCAAACTGAGCTGAAAGATGATGACACCTCGCAGTATTCATGAATAACTATGATTGCATATACTACTGAAAGAATGAGGCTATTGTGAGTACGTCGCCCTTGCTTAGTACACAGGGTAATATTTGCGCACATGAATCAGCAGCCTCCATTGATTCCCTGGCCGGCCCGAGCCCCGTCCCCGGAGGATGTCCAAAGAGTGGCCGTTATTAGGCTACTACAGCTCTACTGGGAAGCGAGTTCTTAATGTCTCGCCATAGCGATAAAACAGCCATGGCACCGGCGTAAAAGCCAGGCAGATGAATCCCAACACACTATTTCCCCAGCCCAGTCCCAGTTTCTCATACAACGGTGAAGCCGCCAAAGTAAGAAACGCGCCAAAGGGAGAGCGAATTAGCAAGTTCGCTGCAAGGGCTGAAGCAGCGGCCTCCGGTCCGAAGGCATCGACGAGATATATCTGTCCAGGTATGACAACAAATAGGGACCCGAGGCCGACAATGAAGGTTCCCAAAATTGGTACAATCCAGTGTGTATGGTAGTACGCACTCCAGCCGTATAGGAAACATCCGAGCGGGGTGATAGGGCCGAACCACTTCATGAGAATAAGACGCTTCTCCGGTTGGGCAACAGGGCCATCCTTTTTCTGTCCCAATAGCTTGTCGCTAAGAACGGAAAAGAGTACCAAGCCAACTACCATGCCAAGACCAAGACCGAGGTAGGCCAACCCAGCAATACCTGCGTTGAAGTCATAGATTCCTTCAAACAGAGCGGGGAAAGTGGTGAATAGCAAGAAGACTAGGCCAAAGAGAATTCCAGTATATAGCGAAATCAGAAGGACAATGGGCGAGAAGATGAGCATTTTTAGTGGGCGAACGATGGCCCTTAGGAGCATTTGGCGAGGTGTCCCCTCCCGGGTTACTTTGGGTACCAGTTTGTCGTTTCCTGTTTGCTTGCGCATTCGCTCCGTCTTCTGTTGCAATAAGACTGCGGCGTTAGTCTCTCGTGTGAAAATTGCCGTGGCGACGCCAATAACTCCAGACTAATTGCGTGATGCGTTAGAACAATATTATGATACTTTGGAACGCCTGTCTCACCAGAATCAGGATTATTCGAAACGTCCAACGCCAGCCAACATTTTCAGACACAAAGCCGCCCATGATGGGTCCAACGACCTGTATTGTACGTTAGAATCAATTCCTATTTTCAGTGAGACAGTCACGTACAGGCCCCAAGAGCGGCCCCATGGCAAACAATGCCATTGCCTTGCCTCGCTCCTCTTGAGGGGTAATGTCGGCCACTGTTCCCCCTCCAATACTCATCGGGCCCGAGGCAGCGCAGCCACAGATGATGCGAAAGACGAGAAACATTGTAACGTTGGTGCTAAACGCACATCCGGCAGTGAATGCGAAATAGACGATGTTGCAGAAGTGGTAGACGATGAGGCGGCCATACAGCTCGGAAAGAGGTGCCAGAATCAGTGGACCTAGAGCGAAGCCAAGCACGTAGAGACTGACTGTCATGGCCGCGACGGTGGAATCAGTGACTCGGAATTCATTGACCAACTGCTCTGCTCCAGGGGCGAACATAGTTGCAGCCAAGTTTCTGGATCGAGAGTTAGTCATGGCTGTCATTGTCATGTTCATGGGAGACGAGATGGTGAAATACTAACGCTGCAAGCGAGAAGAGGCTCACAATAATTACATGCATGTTCTTCTTGGAGGATGACCAGTTGAGAGGGTTCTCAGGGTCATTGGGACCATCCCAATCGACGACGTTTGGGTACGATTTTGGCTCATTGATGATGGTTCCCGCAAGTGAGATGTGCCTGTCGCTTTCTTCTCCCTCCGCACCCATACTTCCAACGTCTGACTCCAACTGGCGATAGGAAAGCTGTTGTGTGGACATTTCGAAGCCACTGGTATTTTCGTACGGTAGTGGGTTCGACATGGAAGTTCTGTTTAAAATAGATTGTAAACAAGAAATATTTAGTAAGGTGGTAAAATCCGACGGTGGATGATGATGAAGGAAACGGGATGGTCCACGTTTTGCGTCTGGAATAATCTAAGCTCTCCTCAGAACAGCAGACTTGGCTCTTATAGCAAATAGAGGGACGTTAAAAAGGATGAGATCAGCTGAGAGTGTCTTTAGATGACCCCCTAACGGCCATGACTCTTGTCCGATCCTCCGCCTTCTCAGTACCTGCGCACTTTTCTTTCCACAGGGTAGGGCTGTCACAGCATGCAACCAAAAAGGAGCCTGTCACTTGCATCAATGAGTGTTCCCCATAAATTACGCAATTGATCCTTTGACGTAATGTGAATTTTATTCTAATTTTTGATCATCTCCGCCTTTTCTGATGTGGTTAATGCGTATGGCGAGCCTGGCGTGTGTAACTCAACACACAAACGGAGGATCGGAGCGGAGGATCGGAGCACGGCGGGTATTGTTTGCCCTCGCCGGGGATGAGATGCAAGCTGAGAGGCCAACGTGGAAATCCGCCAACATATACGGGTATCACGGCTTCTTTTGCAGGAATTACGTCCCGCTAAAGACGCCGTGTCTCTTCACCTGTTGGCTACCTGACATGCGTGCGTGAAGGGTACTGGAGGCTGATTCTTGCTGTAAATCTGGTAGCACCACGATGGATGGCACATCTGCTAGCACTTAATTTAGGTGGGTGCATGTGTACACGCTAACTATTTTTCTTCAACTCGTTGAACATCCCTGGAGTGACCGCATGGAAGCCTAAGCACATGCGGAGGATCGGAGGATCGGAGCTAAAAAGGTGACCGGTGATGTAAGGCCACTTTTCCATGGTTCTGCTCTACACCCCCCGAAGCTCCTTCATCGACGATACAATTACATCCGCCTGATTGAATCCATATCTCGTCTAGTCCTCTGGCACTGCTATTTACGAGAGAGAATGTCTGATCGGGATGAAGAGCGCCCCGTAGAATGGGGACCTGGCAAGACAGCCAAGGGCCGAGCACGCCTCCCTGCCAGCAGACGCCGAGAAAAACGACAGCTATCGTGCAATCTCTGCAGGCGAAGGAAGTGAGTATTCCATTTAACAAGCTCCTCTTCGAGCCGGAGCAATCACTATTCTCTTGTTCGTGAACCTGTCCTGATTTTCCGCAGGCTGCGATGCGACCGACAGGATCCCTGCGGCACCTGCACCAAGCGAGGTCTCGGCGTGTCTTGCACGTACGCATCACGACCTGTTGAAACTGTTCAGCGGCCTCCAGCCACTATGCAACAGAGGATCCAGCAGCTGGAAAGTCTTGTGGTTGATCTAATGCAGCAAACGTCTGCGAGCCACCCTGCGCAAGAAGCTGAAGCCAATCTCGGACCGCCCAGTCCAATGCTCACTACAGATTACCCGACTGCAGCAACTTCAGATACTGATCCCACAGATACTGCTTCACCTGCCTCCGATTGTGGCAGCATGCAATGGACTAAATCCGGTAGCAGCTACGTAAACAGCGCCCACTGGGCCGCCGTCTTAGATGGAATCGCAGACATCAAGGATCACTTTGAGAAGGAGGAAGAGGCGCAAGCTCGTCGTCTTTCCGACGCTCAATTTCCCGACTGGAGCGGCCCCCAGTTGCTATACGGATGCAATAACCTCGCCACCAGGGAAGAAATACTCCAGTCGATCCCTGCGAGGCCGGTTGTAGACCGACTGGTCTCGCGATACTTCAATTCGTTTGAAATGTCTACAGGTAAATTCACCATTCAATTGACCTTTGGCCGAGGCTCACAGTTGCACCCCAGCGGTGCTGCATACCGGGCAGTTCTTGAAAGAGGTATTATTCGCTTGACTGCCCAGAAGCTCGCTCAAAGTTGACATGTCCCTAGTACGAGGAATTTTGGGAGAACCCATCCGATACTCCCGTCATCTGGCTCGGCCTCTTGTTTACCATCATGGCTCTTGCAACACAATTTCAAAAGTTCAGATTGGACCCCAGCACCCAAACACCAGCGACTGTATCAGTTGAGCACGATCTCGAGACGACGATGGAAAATTATCGCCAAAAAATCGTCCACTGTCTTGTTCTAGGGAACTACGCCAAAGGTGGCCCTTACGTGCTAGAGACACTAATGCTATACATTGCATTTGAACTTTTCCTTCGCAACGATGCTGAGATTGGTGTCTGGATTCTCCTCGGCACCACCGTCCAGCTCGCGATGCATATGGGGTACCATAGAGACCCGAAGCATTTCAAGGGAATGTCTCCTTTCGCGGGCGAGATGCGGAAACGGGTTTGGGCAACCATCGTCGAGCTTGACCTTGGAATTTCCGCCCAGGTAGGCCACCCGCGACTGATCAAGCAATGGCAAACCGACACGAAAGAGCCTTCGAATCTCCAAGACAATGATTTCGATAAAGACACGATAGACATGCCGCCATCACGGCCGGAGACGGACATCACGCCGATGCTTTACCGTTTGGTGAAGGCTCGCATCATGAGAACCATTGGGTTTATCTGGGATTTCGCCGCAGACACCAGGTCATACACCTACGTGGAGGTTATGAAAATGGATGCAAGGCTTCAAGAGGCGCACATGTCTATTCCCGAAGGCCTCAAGTGGCGTTCAATGACCCAGTGTATCACGGATTCACCCCAAATGATCGTTCAAAAGGTTTTATTGGAAATTGTATTCTACAGGGCAAGGATAGTGCTGCACCGAAAATACCTTCGCCTCCATTGCTCACCGACAAACACTCATGAAGGCCATTCTAAGAAGGAATGCCTAAATGCGGCGCTCAAGCTCCTCGAATACCAACACATGCTCGATGAAGAGTCGCAACCGTTCTGTCAACTATACCAGGAGCGCTGGAGAGTGTCCTCTCTGATCAACCACGACTTTCTCCTCGCCACAAGTGTTCTCTGCTTCTTTCTACAGCAGACTCGTGGTGAGACCCATGACGGAACAGAGGCGCTGATGGCCGAAACCATTCGAGCATCTCTCAGAAGATCGCATGACATATGGCTTAGATCAAGTAGTCGTTCCAAAGAGGCACGGAAAGCCGCCAAAGCGTTGAGTGTTATTCTTAGGAGCCAGAATGATTGCAGTGCAGATTCAGATATGGAAAAAAACACTCCTCTCGGGACGATGTCGCCATCAACGTATAGCAGTGCTAGCAACTACCCCCAAGGTGAGCCGCACTGAATCCGCGCCAGGATCCCGTCTAATTCGGACCTTTATATCTGATAAACGTGCGACCAGATAATCATGTTGGTTTCGGAGTCCAATTCCCAGCCTTTGACGGAACTGTGCTGGCGAACTGGCCGGATGCGACCAACCAATCCGCTGACGCTTTTTCAGCCTCGCCGTCGGCTGCAAATTTTGGGTGGCACATAGCAGACGGTAAGCTAATGTGGTGTTGCATTGGGAGACGATGGGCTAACGGTGTGAGGTTGAAAGCAACCGAGACAATGGGCTCTTTACAGTGGCCTTGGAACCTGCAGTGACCTATAACGGGATTTTTTAAGGTGGGAGAATAACGTAAAAGGAGAGTCGAGGTATAAATTAAATCGGCCTCTGTGCATAGGAAAATAATTGCCCGATGGAAATTGTTGAACACCCTGGTGAGGGAGTGCACCTGATGCGGTGTTATTCGCAGGTAGACTTGCTGTTTCAATTCCCCTAGAGAGGAAGTCATACAGCCGGATTTACATAGAAGAAGCACGCATCAGAGACTTTCAATCTCTAGAACGTTCAATATCAACAGCCAGTGTAGCCAGTGGTGGTCTCGAAGGCTGGGTCAGGACAGCCATCTAAAACGGATCAGATCAGGGATCCTGGCTGCCGTGAGGGTTGCCGAAGGTGACCAAACACAATTAGAAGAGATGACTACGTCCCTGACACGCCCGACAGCCGAGATTGAGACGATAAGTTCCACGTATTTGCTGATTGTGCTGCTGCAGCAAGGTAGGATCCATCTGGAGGGAGTGATGGAGACCTCACTTTAAGAAGACTAGCATGCGGGGTTAATTCCCCACAACACCCACGATCTCGCGAAATGACTGAGATAGGAAAGAATTGAATGTCATTTCTCTAGGGTGTAAATGCTAGCTGCATTGCAACGGAACTTGCCACGCCGCCATTGAGATTGGCTTATCACAGGATAGCCTAACATGCCTTTTTTGCCTCCTCACCCCAAAGACGTTGAAGATGTCCGTTATCACCAGTCACAGGATCTTGGGGCATTGGCACAGCCTTGATCTCGGACATTATTGCATCCACATCCATTAGGTTGGTACCGTTTTCAGTCCTCCACCGAGGAGCATCCTATAGTGGGAGTCATCCATGGTTAGCACCCTTCAGTGGGCGACATGACAGTGTGGGCAGTTCAACCTACTCTCGGGAAAAATGCCAAATATCTGTACTCGCCTTCAATGGATAGATTGGCGTGTGAAGTTCCGGCGGGGTGGATGATGACATCGCCTTGTCGAAGTGTAAGACGAATACCCACGGCCTCGGATGTTGAATCGTGAGGATCGCGACCCTCGGTCTCATCGGATGTTCCAGCCCCCATCAAAACTACTGATGAGCCGCTGACTACACCTGCAGAGAGTAAAATACACGCCATCAGCATTATCATCACCACTCGAGTTTTTGCAAACGAAGCATGAGCACGCACCATAACATTCGTGCGAGTTGGGGTGGAAATGGCGCTTGTAAAATGCTTCCCACACATGGCCCTGAGTTCCAGCGTCAACTTCACCGATCATATAATTCCGATCGTGTCCTATTCGGTGACCTCATCAGCTGTAACGGGTTGCCTACCTTTCGATCCCAGCCATGCTGTTCGACAAATCTCTGAGACGACTCAACCGTGACTGGTTTAGGCAACACGTCCCTGTAAACCAAAAGTGGTAAAGGACTGTTTGGAACGTAACGTGTTGGGGGCAAGTAATAAGCCTCTGGGGCAGGGACATTGGCTTCATTCATCATGAGGGGCGAGTCTTTATGTAGCGTCAAAGGTTGTGTACAGGTAATTGACGATTTCTCAACGTCTTGAACCTATGCGGCGGTCTGATATAGATATAAAAATCACAGTACAACTATTTACTCGGGGCAACCATGAATCCCCGATACTTGCTTCGTTGGGATGGGTAGCGCTAAATGTCAAGAAACCAACCGACGAGATTCCTCTTTTAGGCTTGAATACGAACCCCTGTGACGGCCGTGTAGCGCCCGCCACATTTTGTCTGTATGGGGACCTTGTGCGGGGTGAAGTGGCACCTCAGCTATAAGCGTGAGACGCTATCTGCAGGTAGATTCGGGGAGTATACACTCAGGTGACGCGGGATATCAATTTCGAGGAAAACTATCACCAAATTAGCGGCTTCCGCATTGAACATTTGTGAAGTTGCTTCTGGCCATGTGATCGCAATTACCTGGGAGCTGATGGGGGACGTCGTGGTACTTGAATCGGTTTACCACTTCTCGTAGCAGAGGCTCAGGACTCCATGGGGCGGCCGAAACAGCGGGTACTAATATCTCGATTTAAATACACCATGCAACTGAACAAGGTATCGTACACAGCACATCGTTAGGTACTCGATGTACTTGAGAAGTTGAATCAAACACACATTCTACAATGATTGAGAGGTTGGATCTAATCCCGTATCAACCTGCCACTACTCTTCACCACATATTACTACTCCATAGAGTTGATGGAGGTCATGGAAATACGAAGTTTAGTTTTCTTATATATACGAACCAATTATCCAATGCTGGCTACATGGTAAATCCCCGGTAATTGCTTGCTCTGACCTCGTCCATAGCCCCTCTAAACTGACGCAACCCCCCAAAGTAGAATCGAGTTGCCTGAGTCTTGCCAGGCACGTTTGCACCAAAGATCCAGGATTGCATTTCCTTGAACAAATTTCCGTCCGCTGCTTCATTACAAACTGCTCCCCATTCGCTTTCGGCTTCTGGCAACGCCTCGACGACAAAGTCCGATTTCGATGCCGTCTTTCTCATTCTTTCAGCTCTCGTAATGGTGTCGTTGATAAACTCCACTGAAGTCTCCACAGCAGGGGGGATGTTGCAGAAAGGACCGTTGGGGCCATTGATCATGAACAGATTGGGGAAATTCGGGACAAATATCCCGAGATAGGCTGTCGGCCCAGAAGTCCAGTAGTCCTTGAGGGTGAGGCCGTTGCGTCCGCGGATCCGAATCCTGGTGTAGTTGCCGTCTATAGCATCAAAGCCAGTAGCAAAGACAATGACGTCAACCTCGTGGAGCTCATTATCCTCCGTCTGGATTCCTTGGCTAGTGATGGCAGTGATTGGTGCCTTCTTAACATCGACGGCATGGACGTTCTCCCGGTTGAATTGATGGTAGAAGCCACTGTCGCAAAGAGGTCGACGAGCGTAGTACTGGTGAGGTGTCAAGATAGCCGCTTTCTTGGGATCCTTGATAATTTGCGCGATCTTCTTCCGGACGAATTTGCAGGCTTCTTCATTGGCCTCCTTGCTGACGACAATATCGGAGAAGCCGCCAAACATGAACCGAAACCCGTTGCCTCTTTGCCACAGGTCTTCGAAGATCCGTTCTCGCTCTTCGGGTGACACTGACATGCATGGAACCGTAGACTCTGCAAAGCCGAAGCCAACGCTCGAGTTGCGTACTTCTTCCCAGATCTTGTCGTACCTCTGGTTGATGTCTTCTCGTTCTTCAGCGGAGACGGGCCGAAAGCCACTGGGAACGGAGTACTGCGGGTTGCGAACGAAAACGTGCAGTGACTTGACTTTGTCGGCAATTGCGTTTACCACCTGCGTCCCGGTAGATCCACAGCCGACAACCGCAACGCGCTTGTTGGTGATGTCAATGTCTTCGCTCCAAGCAGCGGTATGGGTGATTTCTCCGTTGAACGTGTCGATTCCAGGGATGTCTGGAATGTTCTGCTTGGATAGGAGGCCCAAGGATGTGACAAGATATCTCGCAATGAAGATATCCCCTGTTCCACAAACGACCTTCCACACCTTGGCCTCATCATCCCAGTCTGCAGATTGCATTTCGGTGTTGAACTGCATATGCTGACGCAGATGATACTTGTCAACGACATGGTTGAGATACTTGAGGATTTCCTCTTGCTTGATATAGGTGTTTGGCCATGGGTAGTCGCGCAAGTCATCCTTGTCCCAAGAGTATCTGTACAGATAACTCTCCGTGTCGCTCATGCAGCCCGGGTATCTGTTGAAGTACCAGGTACCACCGACGCCGCCGGCAAGGTCAATTGCCTTGACGGAAAGACCCATTTGAAGAGAGGTATGTAGCTGATAGATACCACCAATACCGGTGCCAACAATCAGGGTGTCATAGTGTTGTGTAGTCATGGTGACTGGCGAATAGAGAGTTGCGACGGGGGGTCAAGAGACGTTCCCGTAAGAGTAGTCCTGGGACAAGGCAAAGAATAGTTAAATATTGGCAGACAAGAATCCTTTTCCAGGGTGAGCTTCTAGCTGATATATCTACTAGCGAGGCTGCTTACAGATTCGCCAATCCGTCGTCCAAAGAGGCCTCTTGGGCTCCCAGCCCCAGGACAGACCTAGAGAGGCATGGAAATCCATTGTAGAGGCCACACGATATGCCACTTACCGTAACAGAAGGAAATACGAACAAAACAACCCCCAAACCCCTACATCGAAGAGGGGCAGAAACCCGCTGGATAGGCGAGGTGGTAACGGCGCTTACCGCATCTGAAGAAAATACGGACAATCTTGGTGTACGACTATTTCCAGATTCGTCGGCATTACGATCCCTTGGCAGGGCGGGGTATCTCGGGCCGGGGACTTATCACGAAGCCGGCGTGTTGTTGCAGCACACTGAGATGCCGATGATAAGAAGTAGTAGGGCGCTAAGCTACGTAGTAAACGGGGCACTTCAGTAGTGGATTTCCGAATGTCGAGTGCTGCCGAGTTCAAGGCCCATCTCCGCCGTGTTTAATCCCTCCCCTGTCAAGCCTCCTCATTCCACCCTCAATTCCACCTTGCGCCGTCTCTTCTTCGACCGCAGACTCAGTCTTGCCTGCCATCAGCCAAGCTCGTATTTCTTGATCCAGAATAGCTTCCTGCGCGATATAGCGATATGGCGGCCCCTCGGATTCGATTTGCCCCGGTAAAATGCGGCCCCACCACAGATATCACCACCGCCACTATCACCACATCCGTCTCAGGTGATGGCAGTTCCAAGCCAGCCCGCCGAATCAGACGCTCGGCAGGAAAGAGTCGATCTGGCTGTCGAGAATGCAAGACTCGCCGAGTCAAATGCGATGAAACGTTCCCCGTTTGTTTACGCTGCCAACGGCGGGGCGAACTCTGTTCGTCGGTTCCTCGACCTGACCAGTGGCAAATGGAACTCCCTTGGCTATCTGCTCTTGGCATGAATCCACCCGCCAGTTTCACTTGGGGTCCCTTTCATCACATCTCGTTCATGAACAAGAAGCTATTGCAACAGTGGCTCGAAACAACAAGCCGCATCATGGTGGTGGACCATGGCCAGAATCCACTATCCTTTCCTATTCTCACCCATCTCTCCAACGCTCCTTCACTCGCGCATATCATCCAGAGCATTAGCGCCGCCTATCAACACTTTTTCCAACATTCCAAACTCAATCTATGTCTCGAGGAAAGAAGCAAAGCAATGTCTACACTACGTACCGAGCTGCAGCATGGTGGAAGACCGCTTATGCCATATCTTTTAACGACCTATCTTCTGGGGATCTCATCGTCATTTATTGATGAGGATTTTATTGACTACGGCAAGGAGCATTTCTTTGCTTTCCGTCAGATGCTCGAATTGATACTTGCGGACCCAGAGGCGAGAACTGACCCATTGATGCGCTTCGTCGTGGGGGCATACGTGTATTGGAGTTTGACATGCTCAACCCTGGTTGACCCTGCTGAGCGAGAACCCCCGAGTACCTCACAATTAGATGAGTATATCATAAATATGGGAGACAATCGGCATCCAATCACGGGTTCTTACACCAAGCTGTTTTATCTGCTGGGAAAGTTAGGGAGGCACTGTAGAGCTGTGGTCGAGGGTGGCTACCGTGATGCTCCACTGGAACGGACATTTGAGCAGCAACTATTACAATGGACACCTTCTGGAGATGATATTCCCTGGGATACGACTGCGGATGCCTTTAGATACCATGGCCTTTTGATGCTAAACCGGATATGTGGCCAAAACGCGGACGCAACTTCCCCACAGGATCATGCCTATACCTTTTCGATTGATAATGAGTTGAAGATCAAGGAATACGCTACTCAAACCATCAAAAGTCTCTCTTCTATACCGGTAGATTCACCTTTGATAGTACTACAGCCGATTCCACTGATGACAGCTGGCGCTGAGCTGACTGAAGACGACGGACTACTCCGGGGAATAGTCATCGGCAGGTTCCAAGCTCTCTCTTCGTTCAACAGACTGCCCGCAAACTTACGAGCCACTCAGCTTCTGCAAGAAGTGTGGGAACTTAAAGATATGGGTGTTGGTATCTCTTGGCTCGAGTTAATGTTGCTTAAGAACTGGAGACTGAGGCTTGGGTGAGAGCATGTAATCAGAAGATATATTCTGGAAATCTGGAGATCCGGTATATCAACCTCTTGCATTATTTTGAGTCATTATGTTTTATTCTGAGTGCTTGAATGATACAGCATCCTTCCCAGATACCTTTAATTCATTATTGTTTAGCCCACGCTAGAACCGTGGGGTAGTAGAATGTTGTAGTCTTGGTGGTCTGCTATACCTGCAAGCATACAATAGTAATACGCAATCCAGAAATATCATGACCCGTTTGTCATACAACATCAGATTCTAGCCTTCTCCACAGCCTAGCCAGCTTCCGCAGCGATCAGCTCGGCGGCACGTTCCCCCACACACAACACTGTCAACATTGGATTGACAGACAGCATCGTTGGGAAGACGCCTGCGTCAGCAATTCGAAGCCCTTTGATACCCCTAACCCTCAGCTCCGAGTCCACAACCGCCAGAGGGTCGTTTCTTGTATCACCCATTTTGGTAGTAGACGTAGGATGGTAAACTGTGCTAGAAGCAGCGCGGGCGTACTTGCCAAGTTCCTCGTCGGTTGATATGTGAGGGCCGGGCGCGATTTCGCGTTTGATCCAACTCTTGAACGGAGCTTGTTCCGCAATTTTGCGAGATGCCTTGATGCCTTCCACGAGAATCGAAGCGTCGTAAGCTCCCGAGTCCGTGAAATATCGAAAGTCTAGAGCCGGTTTCTCATTGGGGTCGTTTGACTTCAAGTAAAGTCGGCCAACTGATCGAGGTCGCGGAACAACCGGAAGGAAATGGAAAACATTCTTCGGGATCTCATATCCAAGGCGTTCTAGGTCTTCGCAAAAAGGAATCTGAAACATGTGGATCATCACGTCTGGTGTGTATCCATCGTCACCTGCCTCATTGAATGGTTTGGCGCGCATGAACAAGCAAGCGTCGGAGTTCATGGCGGTGTTAGAGGGGGCAGGCTTGTTGAGTTCATAGAGCATAGTCGTCATCGGATGATCCTTCAAGTTCTCGCCCACTCCAGGTATATCCTTGACAATCGGGATATTGACAGACTCCAGATGTTTGCGAGGACCGATTCCGGAGAGAAGAAGCAGCCTCGGTGTGTCAATAGCGCCGGCACAGAGTACAATCTCCCTTTTTGCTCGCAGGGTGTGTTTATTGTCACAACGAAGTGTGACATCAATACTGGTGGCCGTGTCGTTTTCGACGTGCAATTTCGAAACCCACGCATCAGTAAGAACTGTCAGGTTTGGCCGATGCTGCTCCCCACGAAAGATTGGATGCAAGTAAGCAATGCTTGCACTGTTTCTATAGCCCGTGTCGGGGTCATAAGACACATTGCACCACCCAGCACCTTCAGGAAGGCCTTTCTTAGTGGCAATAAGAGCGTTGAAGTCGGAAATCTTGTTGATGTCAAGAGCATTTCGAGCTGAATCGATCCAATCCTTGCACATCTGGTTCTGGTCGCGAGGATGAGGGATCCGAACAGTTGTGCGCAGATTGTCGAGCAAGCGGTTGAACAATTCAAAGGTCCAGCCTTTGCAGCCCAGCTTTTGCCAAGTGTATGCGTCGTACTCGGTAGTGCGGAAGGACACCATATCATTGTGACTGGAACAGCCACCCAACACCTTTGCCCTGGAGTGAAGGATATGGCTATTGCCTGAGCTCATGGTTAGACATGGCTTCAATACTGAGCGGCACAGGATACATACCATTGGGCTGTGGTACACTTGTGTAGCCGTAGTCCAGGTCTGTACTAATCGTCTTGATACGGTCATTGAGCAAAAGCACGCGATTATCTCCAACATCAGTTGGACCCCCTTCAATCAGTAAAATCCGCTTCTTCGGTAGGTACTCAGCCAACCGGCTCGCGACTACACATCCGGCAGTCCCGCCTCCCACGATCAGGTAATCGTAGCTGGCAACATCCTCGGCTGGAAGGGTCTGTGTGGCCATGGTGATGAATTTCTGATGGAGTGATTGAATGGGAGCTTGTAATTTGAATAGTGATATTGATTGAAATACACCAGAATTTCCAGTAAATATAGGGCCTCGCTTATCATAGAGTCGTAAGCTCATAGAATTGGGCAACTGGCGGGCTTCGTATTTTGACCGAATTAGGCAAAGGGGCCTACCCTTCTTATCCGAGCCTCAATACCCCGCTCCAAAGTTGGGGCCTACTGCTGAGAAGGAACCTAAAAAGTAAGAGTGAGAAGTGCGGCGTACATACTCCTCTGAACGGAGCATTTCTCAATACTTTACATACCTAGCAAAAGGGTCGGTACTGAGAACGTAGGTGGGTACAAAATATGCCTATGAGGGACGATAATTTATTGCCTGATTTCGTTCAATATTTCAAGGTTTTAGCTTTGCGGAGCCCATGTTGCCACAAGACTAACGGAGATTGAATCGGGAGTTGAATAGAATGAATACAAAAAAATAATTAATCCCCGTCTCGAGCTTCTTCCACTTGCCTGCTCAGTTGGCCGCTGGGCTCATACTCTGTACTCGAAATCTTTTGGAGGAACACTTACGTGCATGACAGTTGGGGTCTACGCCATGAGCGAACGAAACCCACCTTTGGCCTTTCAGTAAGGAGAAGGCATCTCTTGCGGTTGATATTGAGATGGGCATAGCCACTTATAGTTGACTCTGGGTAGGCAACTCATATATGTAGTCCGCCACTAACTCGGTCGCTGCTCTGCCGAGTCCAAAACTGTAGCAATACCCACCAGCCTCCTGACCATATGCATGCACAACCTTTTGACCGTCAAGAATCTCCTTTTCTATTCTAGCGCCACCATTCTCCTGGGGTCTGAAAGAGTACGTGGTTGCAATGTCGTAAAGAATCTGGTAGTCATTCGCGTTTGACGAAGGAAGCTGGTCCGGCAATAGCTGATGCCCGCGAGCTAGGATCTAAATCGGGGTAAGTAAATAATTTCTCATTTTTGAATCGCCTTCAGGTGAAAAACGTACAAGTTGACGATCTGAGTCGTAGACGGTTCGGTCGCTGCTACCTAGCATTTTGATGCCTCCGACGTATGTGGTTCCATCTGGTCGACCAAACATGTTGAAGTAATAGCCATTGTTTCCTCGATATATATACCCTTGGTTGTACTCCTTCTCCATGATGATGGATTGAAGGCGATATGGAACAAGGGTGGAGTCGGAAACATCCCTGAGGTGCTTCGACTGGGCCCCAGTCGCATTGATGAGCACGTCATGGCCGAAGTCTTTGAGCTCGCCAAGCGACTGGACAGATATCCGCCCAAACTTCACTCCCCTGGCCTCAAGTCTTGATTTCATCCAAGACAGGAATACTGGTGGCGAAATAACGACGGTTTTGTACGTCATTCCAAACTTGGCGGCCTCTGGTAGTTCATCCCTGCTCAGTAATCGGAAGCCAGGAACTTTGGATCGATACCAGATGTCTTCGGGTGAGCCATACTCCAGAATTTCGGTCATATCCGAAATTCGAACTCCAGACTCAGGGTAGGCTTTTGCGAGCTTCCACAGGGCAGCGAAGGAGTCAAGCTGGAGCTTTTGGTCCTGGGGACTGGACACGTGGACTCCGACCCAACAAGCCCCTGCCCAAGGACTGGCAAAGTCTTTGTTCAGAGGGTCACCGGGAAGATGCTTTCCCAAGATGGTGATCTTATAGTCCCGCGGTAGCTGACTGGCGATTGCCATGCCAGTGATGCTATGAGCTGTGAGCAAAAGATCAAACAGAGAGGAAGATGGGTACCATTCACCCTGCACCGAGAATTGTGATTGCAACCATGGCGAAGAACTAGGAGGGCGTGTCTCTAGTCTGATGAACGATGTCGACGTAAACAGAGTGAAAGGCACTGCGGAAAGGCAAAGAAGAGCAGTATGAGGATATAGTGACGGCAGGAGCTAGGCATTTATGCAATGATTCAGAGTACGACGACGACCGACTCTTTTCCCTTTTAAGCCATTAGGCGAAATCATCTCCCAGGATGTGGCACATTGCATTAGCTTGGCTCCACCAGATAAGACGACGAGGCCAATTCGAGTCAGGCGCATAAAGCGGAGAGTGAATGTGAATCACATGAACACAACTCGAGGACACAGCCGGCGGCTACGATTCATCGACAAATGTGCCATTCGTTTCAAGCGCAGACGAAATATTACGGACTGGACTCGGTCGTCACTATCACCTGTGATAACAGGCTGATGAAGCCAAAGACATTGTACACGTTCTCGGTTAGATTAAAATCTCATTGAATATTTGAAACCGTGAGTTGTAAAAAGGTGAATCTCGACATTGAAACTTTCCTTTGTCGTGCGTGGGCTGGAGTTGTTATCGCTTTAACCTGATTCACACCTGAGTAGTGTATGAACAACTGAGAAGCAATTGAGAAGCGCCTGAGCAGCGACTGAGCAGGGTGAGCAGTTGCCCCCACCTCCTTGGACGCAAAGAGCCCATATAATTAGACACCAAAGGAAAGGGAAAAAAACATTCCCCGCGCTGCTCCCGCATTTCCCGGGCACTAGTATAATTTGTCCCAGTATAGTTAAGACTTGTTGCGTAGTGCGAACCAGCTACGGCCATGAAAAGGAAAGATACGGCTGTATATTGGCCTGAAAGATTTTTTTAGGGTTATTTTTAAAGTTTTTTGGTTCGTTTCCTTTATCCAGTTTCCTGTCTACTACCTTATTTCCTCTATCTGGAGCCTTATTCACCGACTCTGGCAACTATGCGATTCACTGGCTCGAACTCGAGTCCCCTCACATTCCAGCGAATAGCATGACGTAAATCAGCAATGACGTCAGGGCGTCGGGCTCGGCTCTCCTCGGGCACCAAGATCCTGGAACCCCGCAAAACCTCGAGATCCATCGTCATCATTACCTATATCGAGACCTTGTTTCGGTGGCTTAACTTATATTCTGCCAGATTTTGAAATCCTCTACTTTCTTTCTGTATCCTTCTTCCAATCCATCAAGAAGACCACCCTCGCCCATCATGGCCTCTCTCGTCGACACTTTGACTGCCTCTGGAGGCACAGAATCCGCAGGTTAGATGCTCCCCTCCGAGTCTCTACGTTCACAATTCTACACGCTCGATTCCGCATTTACCTCCCTGACTATGTGGGATCATCTCGCTCATATTTGACAAGGCTTCCTCAACGACATCATCGCCCAGCTATGGCCCAACATCAACGTCGCCGGCGGCAAAATCATCAAGCAGGTGGTTGAGCCCATGCTCGCTTCCATGCTCCCCGGCCCTCTCTCGACGCTACACTTTGTCAAGCTGGACTTTGGGCCCACCCCAATTCGGTTCTCTCACGTAGACGTTCACAAGACGGATCTCGAAGGCATCAAGCTTGACATGGACTTGGAATGGGACGGCCGGTGCGATTTCGAGCTCGAAGGCACAATGGTGCCCAAAGTGGTAAACATCCACCACCATCTACCAACCGCGGTTGCTCTCTACGTCTGACTGGGTATCGATTTAATAGGGAATCGAGCACGTAAAATTGAAGGGAAGACTGTCCGTCTTGCTCTGCCCCTTGACAAACATCATCCCTTTGGTATGGGCTCCAACCAGGTCAACAACGTGCTGTGCTCAGACACTAATATGAAATGCCACCAGATTGGAGCCGCCCAGATCGCATTCATCAACCCACCGACTCTTGAACTCGACTTCACTGACGCCGCCAACCTCGCCGACTTTTCCGTCATAGACAAGGCCGTTCGCAAGGTCATTCTCAACATCATTGCTTCCATGGCGGTCCTGCCCAACCGCTTCCTCGTCAAGCTCGACGCTTCCAACGACTACTTCAAGACCTTTCAACGCCACCTCGGTGTCATTCGCCTCACGATTGGCGCCGCTACCGGGATAACAGGCCCAAAGAAGAGCGGAGCCAAGCGACTACTGGAAAAACTCGTCAAAGACATTCCTGACTGCTATTGCGAAGTCAACGTTGGTGCGGAGGGGGAGTGGCGCACTTCGACCCAGAAAAACAACCACGAGCCAGAGTGGAACGAGACACACGACTTTCTCGTCACAGATCACGAACAATGCATCACTATCGACATGCAGGACGACGACGTGGGAGGTGACGACGACATTGGCATCGCTACCACGACAGTCAAGCAGATTCTTTTGGCCGGTGGCACCCAGGAGCTCACTCTTGTCCACAAAGGCCAACCCACCGAAAGCAAGCTGACAGTGCATGCCAAGTTCTATAACTTCATTGGCGATTCTGACAGTATTTCGGCCGCCGGGAGCGAAAGTGAAGGACAAATCTGCGGGCTTGCCTCTGTGCTCATTGCTGGCGTCGTCGGACTGACAGGTCAACGCGACGAGCTCAACCCGAGCGTCAAGGTATCATGGGGCGACAAGGAGTTTGTCACGCCTGGCAAGACTTACAGCCCGGGGACAGACATTTTCAACCCAGCCTTTGATACAGCCTTTCGGTTCCCCATCACGGCCGACATGATTGCCAACCGGCCCAGTTTTAAGCTGACACTGATGAACGGGACGGTGGAGGCAGGGAGCTACGAGGTTCCGTTCGCAAGCGTGGCGGGTGCTCACGGTATGGACCTCGCGGAGGAATTCGACGTCGGGTCTGGTGCGGCGGTGAGGGCTCACGTTTCACTCCGCGGATTGCAGCTGGCCCAGTGACTCCGAAGAGAGCATATATTCAGCCCCTGAAGAATAACGTCAAAGGGCAAAATTTATCAGTATGGACGTAGCGAGCAATGGACTACTCCTTTTCTCGCATCCGCAAAATTTCAACCTCACTGTAGATTCTCTGGTTCCCACGCATGGCGAAAGTGTTGCATAGGTCCTCGGTCGCCATAATTCAGCCAGCTCCAGGAGCAGGATCTGCGCCGAGTGAGCGCAGGCTGACGAGCGCCATATCCCATGCTGCCAAAGCGGCGGTAGGTTGTGTCAAGATTCGGGTTTGGAAACAGATTTCACTTGACACGGGATCCAAACTGGGGCTGGTGGAATATAATTTGGTTTCTACACTCCCTATATAAATTCACAATCGATCAATACACTTGCTAAGGCCTTGCATAAACGTACAGTATAATGCTTGGAAGTCATTGACACTTTCCACGATCATCCTCTTGACACTAATTACAACGAAGGCCGGATTTTGGCATCCTCCACTATGAGTTCCGCGGCACGCTCTCCCACGGCCAAAACCGTCAACATGGGGTTAATAGTCGTAATTAACGGGAAAACGCCTGCATCAGCAATGCGCAAGTTCCTAATGCCCTTGACCTTGAGCTCGGGGCTTACGACGCCCATGGGATCCCGCGAGAGGTCTGCAATCTTTGTTGTGCCGCAAGGGTGGTAGACTGTGCTTCCAGCCTTCCGGGCAAACTCGCCGAGATCCTTGTCGCTCTGAATATGGACTCCGGGGCACACCTCACGCTTAATCCAGTTCTTGAGGGGGGCCTCGTTAACAATCTTTCGGGCCTGTTTCAGTGACCATACCATTGTAGCCTCGTCATAACCCTCGGGGTCAGTGTAGTAACGAAAGTCGATAGCAGGATGCTCCTTGGGGTCTGCAGACTTGAGAGAAATCCGTCCGCGAGCACGGGATCTTGGGACATTGGGGGTTAGGGAGAAGACGTTGTCCGGCTGATCGTAGTCCATGCCCTCGGTATGGCCCTTGAACGGCATGGTGTATATATGCATCATGGTGTCCGGAGTGATGCCGTCATCGCCAGCTGCATTTGGCGGCTCTCGGCGCGCAAGGATCGCCGCATCAGCCCACATGACGGTGCGGTCGGGAAGAGGCGCGTGAAGCTCCCAGGTGATGATGGTCTCGGGGTGATCCATGAGGTTCTCACCAACGCCTGGCAAGTCCTGGACAACAGGAATGCCAAGGCTTTGGAGGTGGTCGCGGGGGCCTAGTCCTGACAGCATCATCAGGCGAGGGGTGTCAATGGCTCCCGCGCAGAGAACAAGTTCGACCTTGGCGTTGATGGTTGCTGACTTGTTTGACTCAAACGTCAGGTTCACACCCGTAGCAACGTGGTTGGTGGTATTGATACGAGACACCCACGCGTCGGTAAGGACTGTGAGGTTCGGTCGATGGACTTCACCCCCAATAATAGGGTGAATATACGCAACACTGGCGCTGATGCGTTGGCCATTGTCCGGGTTGTACGTCAGGGGGACATATCCGACACCTCCGCCATGCAAACCGGTCCCAGTAGCAGTTTCTCGGACAAAGTTCTTCACCGGAGGTACCCTCGTGGCTTTGGCGGCAGCCTCGATGAAGTCCTCGACAATGGGGTTGCGGTGACGCTCGTGAATCTCATTGATGTCGGTACGCAGCTTCCGGATGAGACGCTTGAAGGTGTCGAATGACCATCCTGCGGCGCCGGCCTCAACCCACTTCCGACAATCGTACTCCAGCGGGTGCATTGCAATTGATCCATTGTGGCTGGAGCAGCCGCCGAGGACCTTTGCACGGGAATGGAGAATGTCGCTATTGCCTGCACGCGAGTTTGGTCAGTATTTGTTCACATGCTTCATTGGGCAGTCTGACCAAATGGTTGTTCGGTTGATTTGTAACCGTAGTCAAACTCGCTGCCCATGAGGTTATACATGTTCCTCAAGTCGAGAATCCTGTCATCCTTCCAGTCACTCGGTCCGGCTTCGATGAGCAGAATACGCTTGTCGGGGAGCTGGACCGCAAGCCGGCCGGCGATAACGCAGCCAGCCGTTCCGCCTCCTACGATGACATAGTCGTAGGTGAGCTGCTGAGCCGAGAGGGTTTTCACAGATGCCATGGTTGCAATGAAGTGGGAGGGGTTTTGGAGAATGAGTGCTTAATTGCAGGCAATGAGATCCAGAGCCGCCACTTTTGTAGATGTGTAGGACCAGTCCCGGTGTTATCCAGCAAGACCAAATCCGTCCTTGATCCGAAGTCAAGGGCACACAGATGATCCTACGCCACTAATCGCTGCCGGTTCCGCGTGTGCGTGTAATAATCTCCTATCTTGGCTATTCCGGCTTGATATCCCTCCACACCCATTGCCGGTCAAGCGCAATGTGAGTTCCCGACGAAACCGATGCGTCGTACACTCGTCATGAGTGGCTCATGACTCAATCCACCCCCGCCCTACCTACCCAAACGAGCTTCGTTACGAATCCCGAATTATCGAGAGCGCTAGCTAGTTTTGGCTTGATCCTGGCGATGCGGAGAGGCGGGGTGGCTACAGACCGATAAACCCGCCGCTATCGTACTTGAGCTAGAATCCATGCGTGATTGAGGTGACAATAGCAGGGCAATCGGGCTTCTATTTACGAGCGTCTTCATTTATAAAAGCAATTTTCGGTTTCAGCATCGCCGGAAATATCTCATATCTTCACGCAACCTTTCCCTCATCATGCCACACCCCCTCTCCCTGGCCTTGGAAGCACCCAACGGCATCAAGTATGAACAACCAGTTGGCCTTTTCATTGATAACGAGTTTGTTCCCGCAAAGTCAGGGGACCTCATCAAATCTATTTGTCCCTTGTAAGCGATTGGCCTCCGGGCCGTCTTGATGTACGGTCAAATGCTGATGAGGTTCAAAGCAACGAAAAAGAAATTGCCCAAGTCCACGCCGCAGGCCTCCACGATGTTGACGATGCCGTCGCAGCCGCAAGAAAAGCGTTCCACGGTCCCTGGGCAAATATCTCAGCAACAGCCCGAGGCGAGCTGTTGATGAAGTTGGCATCACTCATCGAGACCAACGCCAGTGTGCTGGCAACCATCGAAGCTTGGGATGGCGGTGAGTACAGGATCAGGCAATACTCCTGAATTAAAACGCTGACAAATTAGGCAAACCCTATGCTTCCGCTCTGGAAGGCGACCTGGCAGAGGTCCTGGCTGTTATTCGATACTATGCGGGCTATGCCGACAAGATGCACGGCCAAGGTACCTACCATTCCAATCCCAAAAGAGGTCCCTCTAATAGCATAACAGTGATAGAAACAGAGTCGAATCAACATGTCTACACTATACGAGAGCCTATTGGTGTATGCGGGCATATTATCCCGTGGAACTACCCCCTCAGTATGGCGGCTTGGAAGCTTGCTCCTGCCCTAGCGGCTGGAAATACTATAGTTCTCAAGGCTGCAGAGCAGACACCATTGTCGATCCTGTTTTTTGCAACCTTGATTAAGGAAGCCGGATTCCCAGCAGGAGTCGTGAATATCATCAACGGCTATGGTAGGGTCGCAGGTGCAGCTTTAGCTAGCCATCTCGACGTTGACAAGATCGGGTTTACGGGCTCTACAGAGACTGGCAAGCAGATCCAAAGACTGGCTGCATCAAATCTAAAGAACATTACTCTTGAAACAGGTATGTATCACCTTTCCCTAAATTGCTTCTACATGCCCTCCTAACTTGGTACAGGTGGTAAATCACCAATGATTGTGTTCGAGGATGCAGACCTTTCCAAGGCCGCCTACTGGGCTCATATCGGGATTATGGGCAACTCGGGCCAGATATGTACCGCCAATAGTCGAATATTTGTCCACGAGTCTGTTCTCAAAGACTTCTTGGGTCTTTTCAAAACACAAGTACAAACCGCACGCATGGGGGATCCATTTGTTCCTGAGACGTTCCAGGGCCCGCAAGTAAGTCGCTTGCAGCGTGATCGAGTCCTCGAGTATATCAAAAGCGGCGTGTATCAGGGGGCAACCGTGGCTATCGGGGGAAAGGCTTGGACAGATCCTCAATCTGGAAAGGGTTTTTTTATTGAGCCCACTGTCTTTGTCGATGTTCGGGATGACATGACGATATATAGGGAAGAGATATTTGGCCCGGTGGCTATTGTTGTGAGCTTCAAGAGTGAGGAAGAGGCAGTGCTCCGAGGAAATGATTCGCAGTTTGGCCTCGGAGCAGCGGTTTTTACCAAGGACCTTGGTAGGGCGCATCGGATCGCAAGACGGATTGAAAGCGGTAGTAAGTCTTGCCCAGTTCATCGTGGCCGACTCATACTAACATTAAATAGCGGTTTGGATCAACAGCAGTAACAATTCAGACCCTCGTGTACCGTTCGGTGGAGTTAAACAATCGGGGATCGGGAGAGAATGTGGCACGGCGGGTATTGAGGCATACACGAACATCAAGTCTGTTTTTGTAACTCTTGATTGATGGACTACATTCAAACAACGACTTCTATTCGCACACATACAGATTTCCTCCCATGTACCTCGTGATACAAACATAGGTATTCGAATATAGAGAGTATCGTGAGTAGCTCTCGTCAGAGTGACGTAGATACGAGAGCCGTGTTCCGTTAACACCGTAGAGGTCCTGCGGGTCTACCACATGCGAAATGTCGCGAGTAAAATATTGTTACGTGTTATAATCTTCTCACAAATTAAACGTCCCTAGGGCAGGGAGCCGATAATGGACATCGAAATGGACTAGGCGTAATGCATAAAATAAAATATTCACACCGTGAAAGCCTACGTACATCTCGGTACGAGTGATTCTCATGAATAGATTGACTACCTACAAGACAATGGAATTGCCCTATTCCAAAAGACGATAGTTCTTTCGGGCATGCAAAAACCACATGGACGCAGTGAAGAGGAATACTGCACCCAAGACCCCAGAGACGTAATTCATTTCAGCAGCTTCGACGGGGAGATAGTAGGGAAGACAATAGAACACCAGGGCGGTGACCATCCAGCACAACATAACAATATTAGCAAGGTATCCAAGCCGAGGGTACCAAAACGGCCCATGCTCGAATGTAGACCGCCCGCGCCGGAGCATCATTATCACAGGAATGCTGTAACTGAGATACTGGAGCAGGATACCTGCAGATACCAGTGACAGGAAGGCTGTTTGAGATCCGAGATAAAGACATCCAAAAATGCTCGTCGCCAGGGAAGACCAGACAAGAGACCAAACCGGCGTATGGAATGGCGAAGGAGCAATTCTGCCCAAGTAGGAGGCGAACGGGAAACCGCCTTGGCGGCTAAGACTCCAGGCCAAGCGGGACTGCCATGTGTGGATTCCCCAAACAGCGCCGATGGTTGAGATGAGAGGGAAAAGCCATAATCCGATGGCGGCCGCCTGGTTGTCATTGCAGATCCGATAGTAAATGGCGAGGGGCGTGCTATCCACGGTGGGATCGATGTCGGGGAGGTTGACCAGGACGCCGAGCACAATGAGCATTCCCGAGCCAAAGCCCACAATAATCGTCCACATCAACGCCTTTGGAACGTTGGTACGCGGCTGCGGTATCTCGTCTGTGATGTGGACAATGACGTCGAGGCAGGAGAAGGACCAGTTTGCGCCATTCAAGCCAATCAGCCAAGCAACGCCATTCGGCCACCCTGAGACATTTGTGGTGGTGATAAAGAAGTCGGATGCTGAAGCTCGCTCAGGTGCCATGGCGAAGAGACAAATAAAAGTGGCGAAAATGTAAGAGATGGTGAAGACAAGGAGACCTTTGGAGATCTTGGGCAAGGCAGACTCGAAGCATGCTGCCAGCAACGTCAAGAAATTGAGAAGTTGGTATCCAAGAAATCCCATCCACGGCTTGTATTCGACATCTGGGTTGACAAAGGTGACAATTGCAACCAGTCCTGTCGGCACCGCAAGACACGCTGAGGCGCCAGTGGACACGGCTCCAAACCAGCTCATGATGGCAGTCAGGTAAGAAAGGAATCTTCGAGGGCCTGGAGGGGAGAGCTTTTCCACCCAGACATATTGGCCACCGGGATGAGGCATTGCGGAAACAAGCTCAGCGAGGCTGGTTGCCGTGGCTAGTCCGACAACCGCCATGAGCAGAAAGCCCCAGAAGAACAGGGGCGAGCCGCCCATGCTCAGGGTAGTCGCCACAGTCAAGATCAACCCAACGGCCGTATTCGTTGTTCCGTGGCCGATGCCCATTGCCGACAGGACGGTAAAGGGCTTGTCGTGGACGTTTTCGACCTGGCCATCTTGGAGCGATCTTGTCTGTTTGACGTCGACCATCTTCTCGTCCGAGTCGCCGCTGATGTCTCTTGGGATGTCGAAGGTGGGCGATTTCTTTGGTTGGGCCATGATATGAGATGAGAGGTCCATGGTCTCAGAAGAAAGATGTAGTGTGGATGGCAGACAGAGGCATTGAAGTTGTGGTTGTTGGTCTTGGCAGCAGAAGAAGCGGTTCTTGTAGAATTTGATAGCGTCTCAGGCCAGGCTCTAAGGTGTGCCTAACGGGTGCCTCGGTGTTACATCGACCCTAGTGTCGTGGTGGAACAGGTGTACGATAGAGCCAGTTCCGGGGTCATGCGTGAGAACATGGCTGATCCAACTACTGCATCTTACCCTCCTCCGGAACGCCCGCATCCTCAGATTAGGCATTGGGCAGTTCTCGCACTCTTTTGGTCGGCGTTGGATTCTGCTGGCCGTAGACGTTACGAAGAACATGGCCATTGATTGCCCCGATTCAAGATGTAACACTGACATTACATTGCAACACGACCACGCGGATGACGCCCGCAGTCATTCCACTAACCCTCAAGAGCAATAGCGCATCCACGATCCCCACTACCCCAGCCGCGTTATCGGGCTCCTGGCGAGTCATCCCATGCGCTCGTCATTTGCAACAGGGATTGCCTGGAGATTTACTAGCCATTTTTGGACAGTAGGCGAGCCGGCAACTCACCGAAACGCTCACTGCGTAATTAACTTGAGCCACTCAATCGATGCAGGTAAATCCTAAGCTGCAATAAAGATAAACAAGGCGGCCGATACGAGTATTTTAATCTTCTTGTGCGACGCAGTTGAGCTCGCCGGCTTCCAGACTCTCGAGAAGCGCGAAGCTGTCCCGTGCTGGCACGGAACGGCCTGTGCGAATGCCGGCATGAGTTGGAAACTATCAGTGGCCGAGTTTCAAGTCAACACCGAGGACTGAGCTCGGATTCGGTTGCGTCGGATACCGTTGCATCAAGGCGACTCCTAAAATAAAAACAGGTTCAATTCATGATACGCTTCTTCGGTATGAAGTGGGGGTTATCTGGGCAGGATATCAAATTCGACGATTATCTCCAGCCTCATTATGATCTGGCACGCGAATTTGAAACAACAGTATCAATAACCCAGTACATGTGTAAGTGGTATCTAGTATCTAGGACTTCCCCGTACTGGGACGCGCGGTCGAAGAAAATACCTTGCACCGACAGCACCCTCTGCCAATTTCGAACCCCACAGGATTAATAGAGACCCGTACACTGTGATAATCTAGGTATTATAAAACATGGCCGTATCGTGGGGATGATTAGACGGAAGTCATGACTAGATAGAGGCAATATCCGAAGCAAAATTGCCGTTCTAGGCCAATAGACGACGAGCTTGACGTAGCGCGAGGGGAAACAGAATTCCCTGTAATCAAGCAAGCTATACCTAGCTTGCACTCATCGTCGGGAATACAGGGCGTGGTTCTCTACTGGCTATTCTGCACTATAGAGACCCCAGTGTGGGAGTATGGGAGTGTGTGCATGTAGGTGAAATGAGCCTGATCAGGTCTTGGTTGACGCGCGCAAAACATCACTTGAGTTGGTCACTATTATTGTGAGTCATATCTCGTCCCCGTGATAATTCTGGGTTTATTTTATTTTATTTGACGTTTCGCCTTGTTTTGGCTCTGAGGCGTCGGATGCTGGGTTTGATGTCTTGGCCGATTCCTGAACGTGTGTCTAGGGTAGGTCGGGGCGTGAGGTGCATGAACTGAGGTGATCACAGCGTCGTAAGAGTGAACGATGTATGCCACTGGTCTAGTAATCTATACAAAGATAGCTTTGTGTAACTAAGTTTCTTGTTGCTGAGTGTTAGATGTCAATGCTTATCGCTTTATAGCTATATGTATGGCTTTCATTGCGGATGTTGCATTCGACTGACACACTTGTCGACGTAGCTTGTGTGCGCTATTCTTAATATGCCACATGCACATGCAATCGCAATCGGCTTGCCTCTTTTGTTCTCGAATCGAGAAAGTCTTTATCGAAGCCGACTCGAAGGGCCATTACCATACAGTGGGATGCACAAAATTTGCACCCGATCTAAGTGGCTCATACAATACACTTGTCTGTATTGGGGTACAGTTTATCGCCAATATGGGGGTTAATGTAAAGATTAGAGCATTTTATTCTTTCAAAGATGCCTTATTCTAAGAATGAGATACTTGGCTCTCATACTTAGTCAAGCTCTTACGGTACAAGTATTCGGGTTCAACCTTCTGCGTCCCGCTGTATGCTGCAGACTCGGGTTTATGGTTCCCTGAATCCAATAGAGAACATGCTCAGTGAATGCTTTACGATCATCTTAGTCTTCAAGATTAATGTGATAATGAATGGCTAACTGCGGCCTATGAACTGGGGTGCAGAAGATATCTCGACAATGTTGGCTATTGTCGGAAACTTCCTAGTAACAACCCCAAAACACCATCATCACAACCACTCACAGTGTTCCAGGACATTGAACGGTGTCTTGATACGAAAAGAAATGAAGAAAATTACAGAACTAATTATGCCCCCCCTATGGCTGACTTCTTGTGTCAAAGTATTCTTGGAGCTGCTGTAACTGGCTTATTCTTTGCCCTCGCCGATCCTCGTGGCGAGTAAATCCGCCACCAGCCAACTGTAGCTTTCGTAATTGTTTACTTTGCACAACCTAGATATAAAAAAATTCAGTCTTCCAAATCAAAGAATGGCATTCGAATTCGGTTTGATCGGTGGCGAAGGGACTTACCTCTTCAATTGACCTCAACATTGCATACCGCACGACGGTCACCTTCTTCTGTTGACCAATTCGAAGGAATCGGCCAATGGCCTGGCTCTCTACTGCAGGGTTCCATTGAGGCTCAAGAATGTGAACTCGATTTGCAACTGTTAGACCATTCAAACTGTTAAAAGGGTCAGCCATAGATCGAGGGAAGCTGGACCAGGTAAGTTCGATGCCTACCCGACAGCCCCGGTGGAGAACGTCATGATGAGCACTCTCCAGGCGCTCCTGTTTTGAAAATCGAGGAGGATGGTGTTCCGTTTCTTTGCCAACACGTTTCCATCTACTCGAAGATATTTGACACCGCGTGCCTCTAAAGCATCGCCGACAACGTCCAGTGTGGTCTTCCAGAAGGAAAAGATGACACTGCCAGAGATTAGCTTCAAGCTTTGACAAGATCCAGAATTGCTGTGATGAGCTGCTACCATTTATCTTTCAAATAGTGAGCCTGGACATCCTCAACGAGCTCCCGGACTTTGGATGGATACTGTCTCTCAACAGACGGCCTAGCAAGCCCGCCATCCTCGGGGCCATTTCCTATGCTGTGTTTCTGACGGCAAAAAGAACAAATGTAAGAATTTTCGTTTCCTGGCTCACTTCGGGGTTGTTGCGTGCACTCGCCACAAAGAACACGCCAACAAGGAGTTAGGGATCCCGTATCTGGATCAGATGGGCTTCCGACAGAGAGTACGTCAACTGAACAATGTGCGCAGATGGCTTCGCCACTTTGTTGAAGGAAGCTAAGTATTTCATCAGGGCGCGAGGAAGAACCCAGCATCATGGGCTTAGATCGGCTGCAGTCGTCCAGACCGTTGTTGCAGAACATTCTTAGACGGAGCAATGCTTCCATCACCTTGTGGTGAGTTTTCTCGTTACCGTAGCCCTTGCTGCCCACCCCAAGAGCCCGTTTACACGCAAGCTCTATACTGCGATATTGGTTTCGTTCCTCAGGGGTGAAGCTAGGGCGGCGATCCTCCGTTTCATGTTCTTGGCCCGGCAGAATTGCCTTGTTTCGGCGAAGGCATATTGCAGACAGGATGAGTCGAAGATTTTGGAAATCTGCTTTCGTCGAACCTTCGTGGCATCGGATCTTGGTTACGTATTTCCTGAAGATCGCTGGCTCATTGAAGAGTGGCATGTTCAGGAACTTGAGGAGTGACCCGAGATCGTCAAGCGAGTTTTGAATCGGGGTGCCGGTGAGGCACCAGCGCCTCTGGGAAGAAATACTGTGCACGGCAGTGAACTGCTTGCTGGACCAGTTTCGAATGGTATGTGCTAATAGTGATCAGCCAAGAACGTGCAGAGATTACTCCGTCTTTGGATACCTTCGTCCAAGACAAGTCGATACCATTCGATTTGGTGGAGGGGACTGTTGCCGCGACGGCGTTCGGCCATCACCGTGCCGTACGTGGTAAGTATGATGTCTTGCTGATTCAGCCGGCTATCGGAATCTCGTCTCCCTTGGCCGTGGTATTTGAGATATCGGATGGACCCAGGGTAGAAGTGTCTGTCCCATGATCAGCGTTATAACGTTCTCTTCGAAGACAACTTTTGAACAAACCTCCCGATTTCGCGCACCCAGGTATTCAATAGCACTAGAATCAACTTTTAGGGACTGAATTCGTACAGAATAGAAAAAAAAAAAGCCAGCTCACACTCTGATGGGACAATGACAACAGTTGCTTTTGATGCTGCAACTGGACGAACTTGACGCGAGCTTTGAGAACTAAATTCTCTGTCGTGATCAATCGATCTGGCGATCAACGTGAGCGTGGTCAGAGTCTTGCCAAGACCCATATCGTCAGCGAGAATGCCTCCCATAAACCCTTCCGCGGATTCACTCTTGGCACCTGTGATGGTGTGTTGGTAACTATTTTTCAGTGCGGTGTTTGATTAGTTATCGTTATATGGAATGAAAACTAGATAACTCACTAGACTTCGGAGCTCAATAGAGTCTTCCTTTCCCACAGTCCCTCTCCTAGTTCAAATTCCAATGATTCTCTACCAATCATGAAGTTGACCGCCTCCTGTTGATGACTGGGCTAAGGTTTAGCAGCTTAGTTTGACTGATGAGAGAAGGGATATTCTACCTAAAGAGAGTAGAGATCATCCTGGCGTCTTTCTTCGCAGCAATGGTAGGCTTATGGACTGGGGATGCCTCGAGAAGCGAGTCGATGTCGGCGATGAGGTCGTGTAGCTCGATTGAATTCCCTTCTCGACTTTTCTCGACCTCATCTTCCGCCTCACTAGCATCCTCTGCCATAAATTCTGTAGGGTTTCCGTCTATCGTCATCCGGAACTCAGCAGGCAGTTCTGGTAAGTCTAATGACTGAGGATTAGCATAAGGATGTTGGAACAGCCCCATGTGAGGGTCTTGGAGATATATCTTGCTTCCCCCTAGACCGGTGGCGATTTTGTCTAGAAATTGATCTGGTCCAGAAAGAATCAAGTCGACTTTCAGTATCACAATTTTTCGATTGTTGATGCTTAAGCCCTGCGCATCAGGCTCCTTTGCAAACCATTCCTCCCAAGGAACCCAGACATCAATTTGAAAATGTTCACCCGTCATACAGGAGACTAGTGCCTGGAATAACCCTTCGTTCAGTACGCCTATTGCTCGGTCGGAACTTGTCCGTATGAACCCATGATCTGCTTTCAGGTTTAGGTGCATGAGGTCGTAAGTGTCGCCGTTCGCTGCCATTTGGGGGACAGGCTCGTATTGTCGAGGGGGCCATTTCAATTGGACTTCGACCTGGGGGAGCTTGCCGTTATGTCAACTCAGATACCGGCGCGCTTTTCTTGTGCTTAAACTCACCATGCCATAACACACAATTCGTGGGGCATTTGAAAGGAGAGGATCTTGAGCTATTGTTCCTAGATCTGGCCATGTCGCGGAAAGACTTCCATCACTGAATGCAAGAGAGTCCAGTAATGTCGGTGGATTTGTGGAAAAAGCATCTCCTGAAAGTTCGACGGATGAAATATCTGGGAAACCCGTGCTTGGAAATTGGCTGTGGTCCAGAACGAGATTATCTGCATCGGCCAGATCAAACCACATGGCGCTATCGGAATAATCATCGGAGCCGCGCTTAGACGGCTCGTTCATTGCTGCGGATTCAAAGGTCGTAAATGTCCCTCGCACTGTCGTGTATCATGGACCGGATGCGGGACTCATGGATAAACTGAGATAGGCAAAACGACTACAAGCTCGCAGCCAAGCGATGTATTATCTCAAATACCTGTAGGTGGTGGCGCGGCATTTTATCACTGCCACCAAGATCAGGCTGTGCATGTCAGGCTTTAACACGTGTCTCTGCATATGCCTGACTACCCATGCTGCCTAAGGAAATCGGGCTGCATGTGGCGGCCAAGGCAGAATTGAATATCAGGCTGCGTATATCACTCACATCCCGCACTCACCACTCTCTCCCATTCTTCCGCCTCCGAGTGATCTTGACGAGCCAAAGATGGATACCGAATTTCTCCAGATTGTGGAAAGCTTCAAAGCGAAGGCAGAGCTAACACCAAAAGAGCGCGACAATTTCCAATTCAGCAGCCTCAACGATGTCCTATCAACTCTACGCTCAATTCAGGACAAGCAGTCAAAGACGAAGAGGCTAGTTTTCATGAGGAGAATTGATCCTTTTTTGAAGACTATGGTTGAGTATGGGAAAGTCATAGAGGTCTTTGTTAATTCATCAGAGATCCTTGCATTTGTTTGGGTGAGCTCCATCCGTCTTCTGACCTGCCAGCCCTTGCAGTGCGAGATATGAGGCCACTAACAATCCTAGGGGCCGATAAAGTATCTTCTCCAGGTAATATTGTCCGCTGTCAGATTCTGAGTCTATCCTGACGGGTTCTAGATTGCCTCCAATTTTATCGAGGCATTTGATTCTCTCCTCGATACTTACCAGCAAGTCGGAGACCAGATTCCTCTCCTGGAGTCATACAAAGATCTCTTTTCGAGCCATCCTCACATGCGATCACTTCTGGTTATGATTTATCAGGATATCATGTCCTTCCATCTGACAGCATTTCGATTTTTTCGTCAAAAGTGTAAGACTTCCCAGTCTACAGTGTAGGTCAAGTAATGCTGACGTGGCCCAGTGTGGAAGCAGTTATTCCGGTCAAACTGGAAGGGCTTTTCCTCAGAAATCTCTTTGCTGAAGGAAAATCTGCGACGTCATAAGCAACTGATAGAGGGACGAGCCTCCCTCATAGAGTTCGAAACCTTGCAAAACCTGCGTGTTTCTGCTGAAGCAAACTTTCGAGAGTTGAAAGAAATGGAGAACAAACGACGAAAGACCGCGGTACAACAGTGGCTATGCCCCTCGAATGTCCAGGTGACTCAAGAGAGGCATACAAAGGCGAGGTCACTAAATCCTCAATCATGTCGTTGGATACTGGGAGACAATCGCTTCCAGCGATGGTTCCATCCCATTTACTGCTCTACTCCGCTTCTCTGGATCAACGGAAAGCCAGGTGCAGGTATGTTGAATAAAAAACTTCTCATATGCTACTATCCGGCCCAAATATGTTAACTTCAACAAGGCAAATCGGTTTTGACGTCCGTTATCGTCGAGGAAGCAATGAGACTCAATTCTATCTCAGCAGGTTTCTTCTACTGCGCTCATGGAAATCCAGAAAAAGATGACTTCCTGCCCATCGCCAGAAGTATCTTGGCTCAGTTGCTAGCCCAAGACGAATCCTTACTTCTCCATTTTGAGGAAAAGATGTCCACCTCAAGTGGCCATGCCATTCTATCGAGTTTAACACTTGCACAAGAACTCTTACAGGTGGCGTTAGCAAAACGAAAGACGTATATTATTCTCGATGGAATTGACGAGTGTGGAAGAGGCCAACGGAAGGAGATCTGTCGCTGGTTCAGATCGATTGTTGACTCGCTTCCTACGTCGAAACAAGACGAAATTCGATGTCTCTTCGTCAGCCAGGACGACGGCATCGCAAGAAAGGATCTATCCATGCTCTCCACCATCACCATCACAGTCGAACACAACAGAATGGACATTGCAGAGTTTTGTCGCCACTGGCAAACCAGAATTGAAAATAGGTTCGGATCACTGAAGGAACATGGCCTGAACCTTACCGAGATTGTGGCTGCGAGGTCACAGGGTGAGTACAACAATCAGTGTGCCAGCACACAAGGATATTCCATACAGCACGTCTGACTGGGGGTACATAGGCATCTTTATCTTTGCCAAATGCGTCCTCGAGGAGCTCTACCAGCAGCCATGCAAGGACGATCTTTTACGAGAATGGCGAACTGACTCCTTTCCTTCCGACCTTAATGAAGTGTACGCCCCTAAGATTTCCTTTTCGAACGGGGTGTGCTGACTATTTGGCCTCAGCTACGAACGAATACTTCGGCGGCTGATGGGTGAACAGGTCGAGCAGAGACGCAACGTCACAGAGAAGCTGCTATCTTGGATCTCTTTTTCCAAACGACCCCTTCGATGGTTTGAGATTCAAGCATGTATCTCGATAGACCTAGACACAGAGACCATTAATGAAGAAAATCGACGACTGGTTGATACTTCCAAAGATCTCTGCGCGTCATTTGTCGAGGTGCACGCTGATCAAACTGTCGAGCTTGTCCACAGCACAGTGAGAGAGTATGTGACAGATGTGACGTATGGGATAATTGAGACACTGCTAATGCCCTGAAGGTTTTTGATGACTCGGGGGATGATACAAGCGTCGCATGCCGAGCTAGAGCTATGCCTTCTAAGTCTAGCATATTTGAATTTTCCGGACTTTTGCACAACGGTCACTCCACAATCTACTAGAAGTGCCCTCCTTGCCGGACGTTACTCATTCTACGAGTATGCAGTGGCATGTTGGGTTCCTCACCTGATGTCGTGGTTATCAACCGAGAATCCTGACAACAGCAGCATTGCTGAGCTGCAAGAAACAATTGATCAGTTTCTGGATCAACATTTTTCTGAGAGCTGGCCAAAGAGTACCATCTCCAAGGCTATGCACGACAAGCTTCATCTCCTCCATCGAATGGAGAATTATGATTCCTTGGCGCAAACGGTAGTGTGGTCAAGAAAGCAGCTTTTGATCGAAAAATGTGACAGCGAAGAACCCAACTTGCTCAACTTTCCCGCCATAACGAGTCATTTGAGATCCACTTTGGAGAGTATGAGCATGGAGGCCCTTACACCTGAGTCGAAAGCCGCTCTAGAGCTCTACTACGGGAAAAAGTGGTTCAAGTGCCCGAAGATCTATTGTCGCCACTTTTACGACGGGTTCCAATCTCGAGAGAACAGAGATCAGCATGTCAGGCGCCACGAACGAGCCTATACGTGCACTTTCGATGGCTGCCCCACGGCTACCTTCGGCTGTCTGACTAGAAATGATTTGAGCAAGCATATGCTTGAGGCTCATGGCATTATCAGTGAAGAGACTGACTTCCCTGATGTATCGGACCCGAATCCTCCGTCGATGAACATGCAAAAACACCCTGCAGCATTTCAGTGCACCCTTTGTCTCAAACGGTTTACGCGAGCACACAACTTGAGATCGCACTTGAGAACACACGCAGATGTGCGGCCGTTTGTTTGCACAGTATGTGGTAAAGCCTTTCCGAGACGGCACGACAGAAAGACACACGAAAAACTCCACTCCGGGGAGAAGCCATTCGTCTGCAGAGGCGATCTTAAAGCTGGCGGAGCGTGGGGCTGTGGGCGGGGGTTTAGTAGAGCTTCGGCATTAGCGAGACATCTCAAGACAGAGGCTGGTCGCAAATGCGTGAAACCTCTCCACGTCCAACAGGCGGCAGAACGTTCTCAGGCCGGCTTAACGTCACAACTGTATCCAACTCCTCCGGGTGCTCCGAAACCTGATGCAATGGATATTGATGTCCCATTTCAAGAGCATCTTTTTCAGCAGACGGACAGCGACCGACTGCAGCGCTCACCTCGTGGCCACCTTCAGGGGACTTGTTGGCCCAACATCCCGGTTCTAGTTGAGGCGAATGAAGGCGAAGTATGACTCACGGCTTTTGCACTGGCTCAAGTGAAGGAGGAAAAATATTGATAGTTTGAACAAGTTTATCTCCAATTGTTCGAGTAAGTCAGCTGGATCCACTGCCTTAAGCAGTAAATACTGCGCCACCGGCACAGGATCGCAGAAATAAGAAAAAAGATTGACATTCTGAAGATATTTATCTCATTGGTTGAGTAAAGTGCCAGACACTCCGCCTCATTTCCCACTTTGCAGCCAGCACGTACTTAGCTCAGGCTCAATAAGTCTGGAAAAAAGACTGACACTCTAATGGAAATTCTCTCTGATTGGTGGAGCAAAGTCAGTGGGGCCCTCCGCCTTATTTCAGGATGACTCCTCCAGGCTGTAGCACAGATTCGAAAAGGCACAGGCTCAATAACACTGGAAAAAAGATTGACACTCTCAAGGAAATTCTCTCTGATTGGTGGAGTGAGTTCAGCCAGATTCACCGCCGTATTTCCCCAAGGATGCAGGGCGCAGACTCTTTGCACCGCCTCTATACGCATCTCACTGGCTCAAATGAACGAGAAAAAAGTTTGACACTCTGAAGAAGTCTATCTATGATTGGTGTAACTAAATTAGTCAGACTTATTGCCTTATTTTCATAATATGCCTTGCACTTTGAAAATATTGATGCTTTGGAGAAGTCCGTCGATCTGCATGGCTTCCCAGATGCTACTTTGTCGAGAGAATCGATGTTATCAATGGCTCGTTTGGGCTTAGATTGTCAAAGGCCAGGAGGATTTTTCCATGAGGACCGATATAAGATTGGCATCATAGTGCTTTTCCAAACACAAGATTCATTCTGCTGCGTCCTACCCGTCCTTTCCGCTCCGCACCACACAATACGCTGATCATTTCCAGCCACCTAAACCACAGACAAAATATAAGCTACGATTCATCCACGATGTCTGTTCATCCCCATTGCTCTGGACCCGACCTGGCCCTTACTTTCTGCGGGGAGGAAGGGCTGGCTTCCCGGAGCTCCGCCACCGTCCGTCTATTCACGGAGAATTCCATGCGAAGAAATGATTGAAACGTTTGCGATTTTTTTGTGGCGCGGGGAAACTGCCATACCGATAGCTCTCAATGGTTTTTTTTTCTACAAGCGGTGGTCGATTGTTTCTCTCGCCAGCTGCCTCCTGTCCTGATGGCGCATCATTTGTTTTACCTCTGGTTTCCCTCTCCACACCCATACCTCACGTCCACTTGTTCCCAGACCCCGGGAGGAACCAGTCAGAGTTCCAATTAATGACATCCGACGCACATTGGAAGACGTGGATCGGCAACGCACTCAGAACAGACCCTGAGGAAGATAGGGAGCCTCTCAATCAACGGTTCTAAATTTCCAACTCCTATTTGTTCCACGCCTGGACTACCTCCACCACTCACGCTTCGGACACCCGTAATGACTCCTCATGCAAGTCAATGAATGGTCGATCCCATACCAAATCAGCCTCCTCAGGCTTGACAAATTCGGTCCTCCAGTATACCTTCCATCCAGTGAATGTCAATAACCCAACGAAACACATGGTATAGTATGAAAAGAAAGATCCAATGTCCCATTGCCCTGGCAAATACATTGCGTAACTGTAGACGCATAGAATCAGGCCTAGGAGAACTGTCGCGATCCAGGCCGAATAGGGCTGAAACCACCCTTTGTATGGGAGTGTGTCCCGATCGATTCCTTGAGCCTTCATGGCTCGGTGGAAAAAGATGTATGTTGTACAGGCCACAATGTAATTGATCAGCTGAGATGCAGTGGTGAGATTAACAAGCCATGTGATGACTTGCGAAGTCCCTTCAGACACTGATAGGAATGACAACAGCGAAAATAGAGTGGTGACCATAAAACAGTAAATCGGAATACCATTCTTGGTACACTTCTTGAAGATCGCTGGTGCATGGCCCATCAGTGCCAGGCTGTAGAGCGTACGCGTGGAACAGTAGGTGTATGCGTTGCCTGCCGAGAAGATGCTCGTAACCAAGAGCGCGTTGACCACGTGAGGGAGACCCTTGATGCCCATATTTTGCATGGCGATGACATATGGAGAGCCTCCAGCGCCAACACCGGAGCCGGCTGTGAGGGTTGGGTCGTTGTATGGCAAAACGATGCCGACAAAGAGGGCGCTGCCGATAAAGAAAATTCCAAACCGCCAGTAGATTGTCTTGAATGCCTTGTTCAGCAGCTTTCGCGGGTTCTTGGTCTCGCCGGCGACCATGCCCACATACTCGGGCCCGGCAAAAGTGAAGACGGCGATCCAAATGCCAGCAAGAAACCCCTGGAAGTTTCCGAGAGCACCTGTTCCCAGATACTCGGCAAAGGCACCCGGGTTATTCCAGTATCGAAAGCCGTAAGCGTCGTGCTGAGGATTGCCGCCGCACATGGTGACAAAGGTGAATCCGAAGACGACGCCGATGAGGATGAGCTTTCCGATGGCTAGCCAGAATTCGCTTTCGCCGTAGTACTTGACTGCAAAGAGATTCGTTATGCTACACATGGTTAGGATAGGGAACGTAGGCTGGATGTATGCAAGTTCTCACCAATACAAGACAACGCATGCACCGCAGACAGCTGCAGTCGGGATATCATCCCTCCAGAACTGCAAAACGATGTTGATGGCGGAAATCTCAAAAGGAATTAGGTTGGCCTGGTAGAAGAAGAAATTCCATCCAGCCATAAAGCCGAAAGCATCGTCGACCCATTTGGATGCCATGCGTATGTAGGATCCACTGATGGGCATAAAGACAACCATTTCGGCCACCGAGTTATTGACAAGGCCAAGGATGCACGCGTAGAAGGTGTACGAGAGCAGTAAACCCGCAGGTCCTGCACGCGCCAAAGAGGTCCCGATGAGGACAAAGATGGCTGTTCCCATAGCGGCCCCAATCGTGATGAACTGGACTTGCCGGTCACCCAGAGTGCGATGGAGTTGGTCATCATTGTCTCTGATGGAGCCTTGGGCAGAGGGAGGCCGGGTAGGGCTCTTCTCCATATCGGATGGAGCTTTCATGTCCGTATTCTGAGACATGCTTGTGGTGACATGTGGGTATGAGAAGTCTAAGGGAAGTGGTGGGAGTGTAGAGTTGAGAATATGGGGAATGGCGGGTGATGATCTCAGTTTATGCTGGAGACGTTGGCCTCTTTATGAGAACTTCTCAGCCTAGTGGAAAGCTTCCCCGGACACTGGGAACAATACGAGCATGCATCATAGTGTTTGTACTAAGCTTAGATGTTCTTGGCACATCCATTATCGGTGAGCAGCCGATACGGCAGGGATAAATCCATTGATTCCATAGGGTACAAGGGAGAGCCGATAGCTGAAATTGAGGAACAAGACTAGAGAGCATCACTCCTGATGATAGATCTCGCCTAATTTCCCAAAGTAGTAATTCTGTATGCCGGGGAGGGGGGTGGGGGGGGGCTCTTTAGCGTCTATTCCCTTCACCTCCCCTTCCCCGGCCTTGTTCATGGCGTTGCCAGTAGTTGTCCAGACCAATTCCTAGCTACTGGAAGACGCCAAACGAATCTCTCTTTTTCAAGGGTCTACCATGTGCCCACGGTCTTTTATCTGGGCTCATCCTCACGTTACGCGTCCCTGCTCAGAACGCACGACAATATCCTGTGGTCTGTCGAAAATGAGGGAAGTCGCCACACTCGTCCCTTATGCTCTGAATCTGCGAATAATTAAATTTCATGACTATTTGCACTATGGCTGTTTGCAGGATGGTTATTTACCTCCGAAATCACGAAGTAGGTGCGTTGGAGGTCGCGGTATGCAGCGGATGGACACCAAGTCAATTTCTTGCCTATTCAGATTCATTGATATCTAAAAAGAAATGCAAAATGTGGCTTGGGATCGAACTGGTGTTGATTAAGATCTCCACTTGCAGGTAGCTTACTGCAGACGATCCCCTCTGTCCCAGTTCCGCACGTGGTAGCCTGATTTTTCGTCATATTGACCTACTCTACGACGGCAGATTCGTAAACGACACCTCTGAGTATAAGCTTAGACCATCTGGGATTTGACATAAAGCTAATGCTCTTTGGGCTAATCAGGTATTCATCCCCGGCCTTCATTTTCCCATTCTTGTATGCTGGCGATGGTACATTAATAATGCATAATAACCTTTCATATGCGCTGAGTTGTTTCTTCATAGACTTCCTCTAACATCGCAGCTTTGGTAGATGGAAAAACTTGATCTTATTTGGCACCACGGCTGTTGCATCCAACCCATCTAAATAAGCTTCTGTACTTTGACCCTTCTGGGGCTATCTTTGTCCGAGCTCACGATCGTGGATAAAGAAACCCGAAAGGTTGACTATATTTTCAGAAACCTGCCGTGTATAGATGAAAGTATTATACTATTATTCATTGTGAAATCTTTGAAGGGGTCCTGGCAGGCCTGGGAATGTGTAGGGTTCTGGGCAAACAGGGAAGCTCGAGATCAGGGATGTGGCCACCATATGATGGGCGCTGTCTCGGCAAGTTAGAAGACGACGCCTCTCGGAATATTTTGCTTGGCTTTAAAACAAGGCAAAAACATCTGCGAGCCTCTCAATAGCCTGATATGTAATCTCACTCAGTGACCGACCCGATTGGCCATTACTTTAGAAGTGATCTCAGCGAGTTGAGCAAGACAAAACTAGTCCTCGTAAGTCATGCAGGCCTGGAAATCCTCTATGCAGATACTAGCTGGCAGTCACATGAGAAATTCCCACTAGTAAAGATCATCTATCTACGTTGCACTTATGCTAGGGCTGGGCTCGAATGCTAACCCTGATCTAATACCCCGCTCACCGCTCCCTCGGATTATACCTTCCATCTTCGTATGCTTGACGATGCGGATGACATATCATATTTGTCACCACTAGTTTATATATGAAAGTAATGTGCGACAACCCCTCAGTTTCCTTCATTCTTTTTTTTTTTCATCAAGTTAAAGTGGTGCAGCCTACCAGGGAGATCCAGCATGACTACAACCCAGGTCCAGTGCTCAGTCGAGCTTCAACCAGCACCGATGATGTCTCGCATATCGCAGCCAGTTTCAACTCAAATGGCTCAACGAGAATCCGGCAATACAGAGAACCAAAGTGAACCGGTACAGGACTTTCACGACCCCGATCATGAGTTCTCGCTACCTCCGGTCGATGGTGGCAAGCAGGCCTGGTGCTTTCTAGCGGCGGCCTTTTGTGTTGACGCACTTATTTGGGGTTTGATCCCCTGTCTATATGCTACTGAATTGATGTTGACTCTGCTAGGATTCCCTCTCACTTTCGGCGTGTTCCAGAATTACTACAGCACCCACGCGCCTTTCGCTGGTGCGAACAACATCGCCGTCATCGGCACCTGTGCCACAGGAGTCATGTACTTTACTGCTCCCCTCATCATCTTTGCCCTCCGCATTGTTCCGTGGTACACTCGGTGGGCACCCACAGTCGGTCTCGTCATCGCCTGCTTCGCCCTTGCCATGTCGTCCTTCTCGACCAAGGTGCCGCATCTGATTGTCACCCAGGGCATCTTATACGGCCTTGGCGGCTCTATTGCATATATCCCATGCATAATCTACGCCGATGGGTGGTTCGTCCGGCGGAAGGGATTCGCATATGGCGTTATGTGGTCTGGTACCAGTCTTGCTGGCATCGTCCTCCCAATGCTGCTGGAAGCCCTCCTCGGCCGTTTTGGCCACAAGACAACCTTTCGCATATGGTCTGCCGTTCTCTTCACTTTGGCTGCACCAATTTCCTACTTTATAAAGCCGCGCATCTCGCCGACGAGCGCACCTGGCTCGGGCTTAGCCATCCGCAATCCCCTTTCCAACTTTCGCTTCGTGTTTACTGGTGCATTTGCCCTCTTCCAGTTAGCCAACGTTGTTGAGGCGCTTGGCTATTTTCTTCCAGGTATTTATCTCCCCTCATATGCGCAGAGTTTCCTTGGTGTGTCCTCATTTCCCGCTGCCGCGACCTTGCTCTTCTGTAACGTCGCCAGCGCCGCTGGCAGTATTGTTATGGGTTGGCTTGTCGACCGCCTTTCCGCACCGTCGTGTCTGCTCCTATCTTCCGTTGGCGCTGCGGTTGGTTCCTTGGTTCTATGGGGTTTGTCCGCTAGCCTACCAGTACTTTATACCTTCTGCATTGTATACGGACTGTTTGCTGGGTCGTATTCATCTGCGTGGGCTGGAATCATGATCAATATTGCAGATCGCGAGCGAAGAAAGGGCCGTGGCGTGGATTCCAGCTTAGTCTTCGGGTGCTTGTGTGCTGGTAGAGGAATCGGCAACATGCTTTCTGGTCCCTTGAGCCAAGCTTTGATCAAGGACCAGCCATGGAATGGCAGTGCTGGATTTGGCTATGGGAGTGGGTATGGACCGTTGATGGTGTTTACGGGTGTTACGGCTATTCTTGGAGGGAGTTCCTTTGTATGGAAGCGGATTGGGTGGCTCGCCACGCCGTGATCTTTGAGAACGATGAAGAAAACTGCGAGGCTTGTATTATCTCCATACTGTGGTGTCGCAGACTCATCTGATCTTGCTTGGAGGCCTTGTGGGAAATTGTATTTGGCTTGAGTTATCTCTATGTTTTTCACACTAAGGTAACCTTCTTTCCATCGGTAGATATGAAGATGGCAACGTTCTTGAAATCATCGCTGAACTCAAAGTTCACCGTTGTTCCTCGAGTAAAATAGCAGACCTGTCCCTTGGTGAGGGTAAACTTCTCCCCTCCAACAACATCGCACGTAATGGACCCTTCTATGACGTAGAAGAACTCGTCGCATGGGTAGGTCAAGGTCGCTGTGCCGCTCTCATGCGCAGCTCCGGCAGCGATTAAGCCGTCGGGGGAGCGATAGGCAATCATCTTGCTTCCATTGTACTCGGGGAAGGCCGTCCACTCAAACGAGTCCCAGTCTCCATGTACCACGCCGGACATGTTGCAACTTTCTTTGAGAATCTAGCATCACTTTGGTCAGCATTGTACTATAGAACTATTTGTTTGAGATTCTTACCGACGGACGGGTGCGAGATGTGACAGTCTTAGTGGCCGAGGCTGGGAGATTGGAGAAAGATGATGAAGTTGACAAGATGGCTGCAACAAGCTCAAGATATACCTGATTATCTCCGCATATACCATAGCGCTAACGCCATTTCTTCGTCAGTTCGGCAAGCTTAACCCTTGATGATGAGCTTCTCGGTTTGGACCCCAAACAGGCAAAGCCAAAATAGCTATGATTCGTAACGAGCTCGCCGATAATGATGCCTTCACAAGCCACCAAAACCCCGCATTTGTTGTCCTGCATATGCGCTACGCTACTTCTGAGGGCTCCGCTTATTGGGGATAAAAGCGGTCCATCGCCTATTCGCTGAAAACGGCAATGCCCGCTAATCTTGAATCTACCCGTGTTGCTGATCTGTCATGTGCCTGTGATAAGAACTGGCATTCTTTTTCGTCATCGGAGGCGGATCGGAGGCAGTATGTACCGGCCAGAATTTGCGAGGTTAATGGAGATAATGACTCCTAAACACAAACTTCATCAGTTTCACTACGTTGAGCCGGATAATTATATTCTCGAAACCCAGGGAGAGTTCGGCGGCTCTACCCATCGGATGGAACCAATCTTGACGTAAGAATAAAGTATTATGACTTAAATGTAGCTTGGAATCATTCTATTTACCGTGATTTAAGTACGGCTTTTTAAACTACGGACTCATAGCATTGGCACGCAGGTCACATTTCGGGATGGCCATGTCTCTAATTTACAGCCGGTTGCCCATGTTGACATGAACCGACTTGCTGCTCGTATACGCACGAATGCCAGCTTCGCCCAATTCCCGTCCAATACCGGATTGCTTCACGCCACCAAAGGGAATACGGAAATCGGAATCGTTGCTGCTGTTGATCCAAACCACTGGAATCGGGGCACCGTCAGCAACCTGGTCGCAGAAAGGATCTTGCGAGAATAACACCGTTTAAGATGAGAGAATGGATGGAATGACTTACTTCCAGCATCAATTTCCTTGGCAAGGGTATGCGCGCGTGTGATATCGCTTGTAAATAGGGCAGCGCCGAGGCCAAAGGTAGTATCATTAGCTCTTCGAATAGCTTCCTCCTCAGTCGAGAAGGGACTGATGACAGCACACGGTCCGAAGATTTCTTCGCGGTAGATGGTCATCTCGTCTGACACGTTTGTGAAGACAGTTGGCTCAATGAAGAAGCCCTTGCCGTTCACATCAGTAAACGGCTTTCCGCCAGTGGCAACAGTGGCACCTTCTGCCTTGCCTGTCTCGATGTATGAAAGCACTCTCTCGTACTGCGCCTTGCTGACTTGGGGTCCTTGGAAAGTCCCCTCCGCAAATGGATCGCCGACCTTGGACGTCTTCTTCACCTCTGCCGTGAAATTCTTGACGAACTCGTCATAAATCTTCTCATGGACCAAGATACGGCTCGTCGCCGTGCAAATCTGGCCTTGGTTGGCCATGATGCCGTAGTGGCTCCACTTGACGGCCTGTTCCATCTCGGCATCTTCAAACACGATGATGGGAGATTTTCCGCCTGATTCGATGGATATCTCCTTGAGGTTTCCCGCAGCAAGTTTTACGATTTCTCGGCCGGTGGGCGTTGATCCGGTAAATGCTATCTTGTCCACGTCCATGTGTCCAGCCAATGCTGCGCCAGCCTTGCGACCGAGGCCATTGACGATGTTGATTACTCCTGGGGGAAAACCAGCCTCTTTAATCATATTCGCAAAGTAGAGAACGGAGAGAGGCGTCTGCTCAGCTGGCTTCAGAACGATGCAATTGCCGGCTGCGAGCGCAGGACCCATCTTCCATGCCGCCATTCCTAGCGGGTAATTCCAGGGAATGATTTGGCCACAAACGCCAACTGGTCCGACGGATGTGTAGGCAAACTTCTTTTCAGTAGTGCTGATGACTATTGACCTATTAGAGATGTTGACTATAATGAGAAAATCCGTCGTCGGTGTATTGTCAAGTTGCTCACCTTGCCCGTACAGCTTATCTGCGAATCCCGCATAATAGCGTAGAACGCCTGTCAACTCGGAAACGTCCCCCGCTGCCGATGAGAATCGCTTGCCTAGTCGTGTTAGATAATAGGACTTGAGGAGTCGTCGTAGGTCGCACCATTGTTCCACGTGTCAATCGTCGCAAGGTCGTTCGTGGCTTTCTCGGCCAGATCAGCAAGCTTCCTCATCATCTCTCCTCGTTCAGTTCCAGAGATATGTGACCATGGCCCTTTCAGAGCTCTACGAGCAGCCTTGACTGCATCATCAATGTCATCGGCGCCTCCTGCATGGACCTTGACGATTTCTGTCTCGTCGCTAATCCTCAAGAGTCAACGATGTTCGCTTCCTAGAACGCGATGGAAAACATACGTGGGGTTCACGACAGTAATAAATTCGTTAGATTTAGCAGGACGCCATTCATTGTCGATAAAGAGACCCAGTGGTTGGTCGTACTTGTGGCCGTTTGGCGCGGTTAACTGTTGGTAAAGATCGGCCGCCATCTTCGTTTGGCTTGCGAGTAGCGATGGATTTTGAGTGGGAAGTTCTGTATCTCACTAGAAATATGTTAAAATTGCACTGAGGAAGTTCTTATACTTTTTTTCACATCACCATCTATACAGTCCCGCCTCTACTTCGTTCTCGTTCTATTCTCTTCGCTCACGTCATCGTTATCACCCCGAGAACGGCAAGATTCATCGACGCCCCACACACACACATGAGGCTCGCTTTACGACCAAAGTAGGAAATTCATATCGCTATGTGGAACCGCGGGGTAACCAAGGCGGGTTATCACAAACACAAGGTCTCCAAAAGTTGCCGCCGTTTCTTCTACGTTTATGGTCACATGGATTAGTCAACCGGCTGCTATGGGGTGTTCTATAATTGGGCTATTGAAGTGCCGGTTAGCTGTTATTGATTGTGCAATGGGATTTATTTGGCTCAAGGCCTCGCTGTTGCATAAATTCAGGGCCCAAGGAAGCTAAGAGATATATTGAAACTAAGACAAGATCCGTAGCGAAATATGTCCCATTGTTTGACGGTAAAACTGTCGCACATACCATGTTGACTCATTGAACAGTGTTTTGTAGACGTCAAACTCAGACGCTTGTGCTAATTCCCGTGTTTCAAATGTGCTAACTATCCTGAGGTTTCACGATGCTGTTCCCGAGTGAACGACTGCCTCGCGCTCAATGGTGGTTCGAGGTGGAAAGCTCGCGTGTTCTCCTTCCTGCATCTCCTCCAGCTCGGGAAATGTGAAGTGTTTCCGACCGTACGAAAACCAGCATGCCAACACAATGATGAGAATACAACCGATGACGACAGGAACGTAATTCATTTGCGACAGCACCAGTGGGTGACTGTACGGAAATGAGTAAAAGATGAGTGCTACTACAAACCAGCAACACAGAACCACATTGGCGACCAGGCCTAACCACGGGAACCAGAATTTGCCATGTTGGAACTTGGATCGGCCGCGGATGTTCAGAAGAACGACAGGGATGACGTAACTGGCGTACTGAAAGAGGATGCCAGTAGCCGTGAAGGAGTTGAAGGCGCTGGTAGAGGCCAGGTATAGGCATCCCAGAATGCTGGTCCAAACGGCGGAGAAGCACAAGGCCCAGATGGGGGTGTTGAAAGGTGACCCAGCCACTTTTATGAGATGGGAGTGAAAGGGGATCCCTTTGTTGATGGCAATGGTCCAGGCCAAGCGTGACTGCCAGACGTGGATTCCAAACTGTGCCCCAATGGTTGAGATGAAGAATAATGACTGAAAGGCAACAGCTGCAGTCTTGCTTTTGCTAAAGGCGTAATATATGATAGTAACAGCAGAATATTGCGTGTCGTAGTCGGTACTGTTAAACATAAAGGCAAAAATGGTCAATAAGCCAGTTGAGAAGCCAACGACGATAGACCACATCAATGCACGAGGTATGTTCTCCTGCGGACGCGGAATCTCTTCAGACAGATGCACAATCGAGTCCAAACAAGAAAAGCACCAATTCAAGCTGTTGAGACCGACGAGCACAGTGACTCCGTTTGACCAGCCAGAGGTATTGTGGAAATGGGTAAAGAAGTCTTCGGCACTACGCCTGTCATCAGAGGCAGCGAAAAGGCCGACAATGACCGACAAGAGGAGAGCCAAGGTCCACATTAAGAGTCCCTTGCTAAACTTTGGCAAGAAGTGCTGAAATAAGGTGGGGATGAGCGTCGATAAGTTGACTGCCTGATATGCTAGGAATGCCATCCAAGGGTCGTATTGAAAGTCGGGATTAAAGAAGGTAACCATCTCAAAGATCATAAGAGGCGAGATGAGGCAGGTGGAACCTCCAACACAGACAGCTCCGGCCCAACTGAAGAGAGCGGTGATGTAAGACAAGAAACGACGATGTTTGGGCGAAGCCAGGCGGGCCACCCATACATACTGGCCACCAGCATCCGGGCAACCAGCTGTCAACTCAGCGAGGCTGACGGCCGTAGCCAAGCCAACCAAAGCCATGCCAATGAAGCCGTAGAATAGCAACATGGTGCCGCCGTACGCAATTGTAGTGGAAAAGGTGAGGTAGATGCCGACGGCGCTGTTTGTTGTCGTGGCACCGATAGCCATGGCGGACAGAGTGCTGAACGGTTTATCCATACGATCGAGCGTGCCGCTGCGAGTTGATTCAGGGCGGGCGAGGCCGACTTCGGGGTCTTTCGACGTTGTGTTCTTGGTGTCCGACTTCATGATTGCGTTGGCGATATAGGGAGGACGAATGATAGTAAAAATGTGACCGTGTCACCACATGTCGATTGAGCGAGTTTCGGGACAAGTAACCGCGGAAAACACGTCCGTTATGAATGTCTCGACTCGCCATACCCCCAAATCACGGATCCGGATCAAGCGGCTGGACTTGAATCTCTGCCTCAAGTCGCAGATATCGATAGCCAAGGCACTGGTGAGAGTCCCAGCAGACTGGACCGACCTCACGCACACGACACGGATGTGGCAAATACTCCCCACACTGAGATTTACGGCTGAGCGAATTGATATCCAGTCGCGTCCAGAGTTCGACGCTACTTGCATGGTGGCTCCGACGGAGTGGGTCATCGCGAAGTTGCTGAATTGGGCAAGTGGACAGTGACAGGACAGGGGACTCATGATCGGGTAGTTGATTAGTCTCTAGACTAGATGGAATCACATTGGCCAAATTCACGGCCGCCGTTAGGAGCCCCTTGACCGGCCGGGATGTCTTGAGTGACCTGGTTAACCCCCTGTCTGAATTGCTCCATCCCCGCGTTATCACACACGATAGCAGGCGATTACAATCATGATTATGCGGGGAATCCCTTGTCCAGCCCTAGCGACGGCACAGCGTAATCTCGAGCCGTGGAATTGATGGTATCTGCCAGGGGGATGGGGGTTCTATTTCGCCCCCTCCGTGGATCATGGCGGCTTGTTAAAGAGATACGGACCTCGCGTGACTGATAAGAACCTGGTGACTTCTCAGGAGCCAACATTCACAGGTCACCCATACCAATGCTGTGAGGTAGTTAGTGCGGATGCGCTGCAAAGTTTGTTGCGTCCATTCGCAGCGCCGCCGTGACCGACCTGCTCCGACGTAAGGAGATCCATGGCACATGCGTCACATGGTACATGTCAATGTTTAAGACAGCCAAAATAGTACACACTTACGGCGTCCAAGCCATTCCCCGCCTTTGCCGGCCATTCAAGCCGCGTGTTAGCGTGATGATCTCCGTGGACCAAACCAAGCGATCAATCCCCGGTACTGATAGACAAGCGTAGAAGGGTTAGATAAAACTAGCGTACATACCGGTACTGTAGCATTGATTCCTCCTTCGAGGTCCGCTCCCCCGACATATCAACCATCCCAGAAGCCCAGCTACTCCAAGCTTGACCAAATCTCGCGTCTTCGCTTGCTCCGTCACATCAACCCAATGAGGACCGTATCATTCCGCGTGCGCTTCGCCAGCGGCACGAAGCAGCAATTGCTGTTGGACGCTCACACGTCGTCGTCTGCAGCTACGCCGCCCTCGACGGTCCAGCGATGGAAGAAGAGTCGCATGGGCTGCAGGGAATGCAAAGCGCGCCACGTCAAGTGCGACGAGACCTTCCCCGTGTGTCTCCGCTGCCAGCGCAGGGGCTCGGTGTGCCTGTCTGAGCAGCGCTCGACTCAGTGGCAGACCGAGATGCCTTGGTTGTCGCCCAATTCGCCCTCGTTAGGTTGCTTCAATAGCAGGGCCAACACCAATAAACGGCTGCTGCAATACTGGCTGGAGAAGTCGAGCCAGATGATGTCGCTCGACTCCAGTAACAATCCTTTATCCTTCCCGCTGCTACCGCGTCTGCTCGAAAGTCCGTCCCTAGTTCATGCCGTCCAGAGCGTGAGCGCCGGCCACGAGTCCTTCTTTGACCACACCGGGCTGCAGACATGTCTTCGGGAACGCGGTCTCGCTATCGAACTTGTGCGCGAAGAGCTACGGGACGCAGAATCCGCTTCCATATCCTCGTTGTTGACCGTATTTTTCCTCGGCGTGTCGGCCGCTTGGACAGAACAAGGACCGTATTCCTACGGCAAGGAGCATCTCGCTGGAGCGCAGGCCATGCTCAAATTTATCATGGCCGACAAACAACACCGCAACGATCCGTTGATTACCTATCTCCTCGGGTGGTTTTTATACTGGGACATGTCTTGCTCATTCATCGCCGACCCCGATGCTCCTAGTCCGTTAGATACCACCGACGTGCTTCAACTCCTCCAGGAATCTGGCGACCCCTTCCATCCAATGATTGGGTTTTCGGCCGAACTATACTATCTGGTTGGCCGTGTTGGAAAACACTGCCGCCTTGTTATTGAGCGAGGAGACCGAGACTTCAATCTCGAGAAAGAACTCGAGGAGCGGCTGCTGTCATGGAACCCCCCCAGCGACCATCAGCACCTTGCAAACTTGGCTATTGCGTACAGAAACCATGCTCTTATCATGCTCTTTCAGATTTGCAACACGCCCGACCGGGAACTACGCATAGCTCGCGGCACGGAACCCGACCTTGCCGAGGCCGAAGGAACAGAAGCCGTCATTCAATCCTACGCCATGCAGAGTCTTCAGCGCATGCTGGACACGCCCAGCCAGGAGGGATCCTTCAATTTCCAATCAATACCGCTGTTTACAGCAGGTGCAGAACTTACACGGGCGGAAGGGAACCTTCGCCAAGAAGTCATCAACCGATTCAAGGCTCTCTACTCGTGCAATCGCATCGCGGTCAACATGTGGGCCGCTGACCTTCTCCAGGAACTGTGGTCATTGCGTGACGCCGGTATAGGAATCTCTTGGATCGAGCTTCTGCTCCAGAAGAACTGGCAGTTGACATTTGCCTGACGGGAGTGTAGTATTGAACTTGTCATCGCGCTGGGGAATGTTTTGCGCAAAGGCTTTACTCAACGGCTATCTCGATGCTTTAATATTATACTTGTTAATTGAAGATGGTAAAATATGCCTTTTCGGTCCGCTTCACAGTGACAAGACATGTACACGCCGTTTCATCTTTGAACTTGTATATCCACTAGCATTTCTTGGTCCCTGTCATAGCAGGCCGAGGCGACATCATGCCTTCAGATATCAAGCTTTCCGAATCCGGACCCTTTCCGAATGGCCATCATCTCATTACCCACTACCGGCTGGACAATCCTGGTACTGCGGGAGTTCACGGCTCCAAAGCTTTCCGGTCTCCTATCCTTAAGCCTAGTATCGCATCTTACAACGTCGTCGACACAGGCTCAGATCCTGGGCTTCAGATTGGCCGAGGTATAATCCTCGATAATCATCTCGGCACCCTTCTCAGCAACGGCGTAAACAGTGAGCATCGGGTTCACGGACGGGATGAGCGGGAAGACACTGGCATCCACCACGCGCAGCTTCTTGACTCCACGGACACGAAGCTGGGGATCGACAACTGCCATGCTGTCCTTGCTCGTGTCTCCCATCTTGGCCGTTCCACATGGGTGAAAGACAGTGCCATGGGTTTTGCGAGTGTAGTCGATGAGCTGCTCCTCCGTCTGGACGTCCGGACCGGGCGCAATTTCTCGCTTGATGAGGTCTCGGAAGGGAGCTGTGGCCGCCAACTTGCGACCGGCCCGGAGCTCGAAGAGGATTGTCTTCAGGTCGTAGTCCTCGGAATCGGTCAAGTAGCGGAAGTCAACGGCCGGACGGACCTTGGGGTCTGACGACTGCAGGTAGACGCGGCCCCGGGAGCGAGGCCGCGGCAGGTTCGGAATCAGACAGTAGGCGTTCTTGGGGGCGTGGTATCCGTGACGAGCCGTGTTGTCGTCGAAGCCGATTCCAAAGACGTGGAACATGGAGTCCATAATGTCGCCGTCGTCGCCCCGAGAGTTCTCTGCCTCTCGGCGCAGGAAGAAGCACACATCGGAGTAGATGACCGACTCTGGCGGAACCGGCATCTTCATTTCCCACATCATGACCGTCTCTGTATGGTCCATCAGGTTCTCGCCCACGCCCGGAACCTCGGCGACCACGGGAATATCGTAGCTCTCGAGCTGGTCTCGTGGCCCGACGCCGGAGAGAAGCAGCAGCCGCGGCGAATCGAAGGCGCCCGCGCAGAGGATGGTTTCGATATCGGCCCTGACGGTCACCTCGAAGCCTGACTTGAGTGTCAGACTGACTCCAGCAGCGACGTTGTCGATGAAGTTGATGCGATGGACCCAGGCGCTGGTGAGGATGGTCAGATTAGGCCGTTTCTCCTCTTCGCGCAGAATCGGGTGTATGTAGGCGACGCTGGCACTGCTGCGGTAGCCGTTGTCCGGGTTATGAGCTATCGCTAAATGGCCTGCTGATGGCGTAATCTTGCCCGTGTGTACAACGTTCTTATTGAACGAGTCCGTTCTGGGAATGTTGAATGCCCGCTGAGCTGCCTCGACCAGCGCCAGGTCGACCGAGTTGTGATGCTTCGGCTGGATCTCATTGACCGTGACCCGCAGCTTGTCGACGAGCCTCACCATCTCGTCAAACGTCCACCCGTGAGCGCCGGCTTCCTGCCACTTGCGGATGTCATACTCGAGAGGCCGGAACGAGATGCAGCCGTTGATGTTGGAGCAGCCCCCGAGGACCTTGCCACGCGAGTGCTGGATGAAGCTGTTCCCTGCGACAGTGGGTTAGCCGACTCGACAGCCTTTTCGCGTGCATTATCATCTTACCCTTGGGCTGAGGCACCGAGCTCCATCGGTAATCGTGCTCGCCTCCCCAGGCGTTGACCTGCAGCTTGAGGTTGTGGAGGTCGTCTTTGCCAACGTCGCTCTCGCCGCCCTCAATCAACAAGATGCTGGCTGATGGGAGCTCTGCAGCTAGACGGCTCGCGATAACGCAGCCAGCGGTGCCGCCTCCCACGACAACGTAGTCGAAGGCGGTCTGGTTGCGTCTCAATCTCTCGACGGTGGCCATTATGACTTTACGAGGGACAGATAGGAGAGGGACAGATAGGAGAGGGACAGATGGGAGAGGGACAGATGGGAGAGAAAGGGATCGCGAGTTGACGAATTTTAGACGCCGCTTGCTAAAAGCAGACGAATAAATTACTAAAGGAACTTGGTAGATATCATTTGCTTTATTTTCCACGCGGACCTCACCCCGGAATGCGCCTCGGCCAAGTCCGCCATCATCATGAGGCCACCGCATGCGGCACGACGGCAGTCCACCGCTCACCCGCTCGCATTTATGACTATTTGGGAAGTCTCATTTGCCATTGGGCGTTGCAATTGCTTGCGAGCTCCGGGGCCTTGCCTGAGACTGTGAAATACTCAGCGGCCGCTACTAAATTGGCCTCGCATCCAGCCCCGATCGGGCAACTCGCTATCTTTCCGAGAGGTGGGATCGGTCTAAAACTCTCCGTGAGCCGATTGCCAGTCCCGAATCTTGGAGTCATGAGATAGCTCCCACAATCGTTGGGGGAATTTGCCACGTTCAGTATATAGGCCTCAGTTGCACTACGCATTAGCGGAGTGTTCATTCCACTTTTGCCGTAGCAGTTAATGCGACAGAATTTCTTCTTCGAGCAAGCATGATAAGTACAACTCTAGCACTCGCTCTCTGCGCACCAGACTGCCGCCAGCCCGGTTGCAAGACGAATACTTATTGCCTCATTCAGCCACACCTGCTGCGTTCGGTGGCGGGGATTCGTCGACGCTCATATTCTTCCGAAGTTGCAACGTCTCGAACCTCAGTCCCGACACCGCAAAGGTGCTTGCTCTGAACCCTCCGATCAATCTTTCGTGAGCCGTTGTTGTGCACAACATCCATCAAAAACGTGCCCGGCAAGAGATTGACGATGGTATTGGGACTATCCTTCCAAACCGCCACCGTCATGTCATCCTGCAAGCGGCGAGTCTGACGAAGACATGCTGACGGAAAGCAACGCCTGGGCAATTCGGCTTTTGGCACAGGTTTCGAAGCTTAAGTGTCAGCTCAAAGAAGGATTCCCGGTCTTCTGTCCCCCGGATGACGTAGATGCTATGGCGGCCTAAGACTGATCAACGACTGTCGCGACTGAAAAGAACGCTGGACCCAGGCGACGTCTTCATTAGATCATTCCGGAGATTGACCTATTAGAATGGGCATTGGTTCAGGCGGCGAACAATACGCTAGACAGTGTAACTTCGGTGTCCCTTGTATGTTCGGATGACGGCGATGTCCTTCTGTTCGGTAATTCAAGGCACTCGGCAATGATACATAAATCCTCTGGTAGGTTAATATCGTAACCTTCGTCACAGATAGTATTGATGATTCAAACCTCTCGCGAGAAAAGAAGGGGCTTGGGTAATCCAAGATCAAGCGTTATTATCTTCAATCTCTACCCTCTATTGAGTATAATCGCTGCGGTTGAAAATGCCGTTCGCAACCCAATAATTAATTATTATTATTTCACCCCTCAATAACCTGCAATGGAGTGTACAGATATTGTACTTGCTGAGCATTACTAAAGCTACATTATACAATCCAAGTCCAGAGTAGGAGTGCGTCCTGTGCCCTAACCTTTACACATAGCTGCTCAGCATTCGTAGCTACTCCTCCTCAAGTACAGGTTGCTTTTTCCCCATTGATTTTATCGCTAGGCAGCACAGAAACATCCACCAAGGAGGTCTTCCTGCCCTCAATATTGTCGCCTTCCATAACATTCTCAATGCTGAGTCCCATTTTCTCGTCAAAGAGTTCTTCAATTTCCTCCAGTGATCGCTTACTTGTCTCCACCCAGAAGAAGTATATAAAAGCAAGCTCCAAGATATCAAATGAGGCATTGATGATATATGTCTTCCAGCCGATATGTTCCAGAGAAATGGGCATGACAAAAATAGCAAAAACCCTTCACGGCTGTGTTAGTAATGACGATATCAAAAAAAAGGATAAGCAAAGCTCAAGGGACATGTGCAATGGGTGTGTGTAAGTAGAAATTGGTACTGACCCTGCCGCGTTAGACAAAAATGTGTACATAGCCATGCCATTTGCACGGAGTGAGAAACTCAATACCTCGGGCGGATACATAACAATCAATGTAGCCCATCCAAGGCTGAAGCCACCTGTGACCTATATTAGTATTGAACATTACTTTTTATTTCTGTATCTCACCTTGAAACAAGAAGATGCATGCAACAGTGCCATACACGGCGGATTTGTTGCTGGATGAACCATACACTACACGGAATAATTAGTATGACTCGGAGCATAACTATACACTGAACTCACATTTCGTCAATCCTCCTACTAAATATAGGAGAACGATAGACCACGATAAGCTGCCAATTGCAAGACGTCTCCGGCCAATGCTGTCCGCGAAATAGGTGCCTGTACATGCACAGACTAGACACCATACGTTGAGAGCAATATTGATCTGCAGTTGGCTGACTGTGTCTGTCACGCCAGCTTGACTAAGCATTGCTCCCAGCCAGTACCTTTAACATGTGTTAGCAGCAAGCCAGATTTCTTTGATCGGGTTTCACTCACGCTGCTATAATGCTTCCACTCAAATTGACGATAATAGCGACAGAGAGGGCCAGTGAGATTCTTCTCCGGTTTGATTGAGTTTTCACCGCTGCAAGCCAACTCTGTGAAGCTGGGTTTGCTTTCTGGTGTTCGATAGTCTCGAGGATTTGACTGTATGTTGTGAGTACTTGGTTGTCGGCCGTATCACCGTTGGAAGTGGCCATGGCCAATATCTTAATTGCCAGCTCGTTCTTGCCTTGAGAGATGAGCCATCGAGGACTCTCGGGAACGAAAGGCAAAACGACGACGCAGAAAATGCTAGGGACAATTTGAGCGATAGAAGGCAACCTCCAGGACCAGGTATTTTCGATCTGGGCTGATCGATAGGTGACCAATGCCGCAATAAGACCGCCGAGAAAGAACAGGTTGTAATAAAAGCCTAGCATGAGGGCTCGAAATTTGGTTGGCGCGATTTCGGCGGCGTAAATCGGACAGGCCATGGAGTTGAGTCCAATACCCGTTCCCAGGATGAAACGTCCGATCATGAACATGGCAGCATTCACAGCTGCGGACTGCAGAATAACCCCGGCGGTTGTAATGACAGTTGCGGCAAGTAGACCGTTCTTGCGGCCGAATTTATCCAAGTAAGGGCCCCCGAATGGGGCGATGACTGCGGCACCAACCCACATGATTGCGGAGCTTGCAGCCTCAGAACCAGTGTTCAAATGCAAGTAGTCGGCAAATGAAGGGAGGATCAGTAGTCCATTCCTATCAACCTGTCAGAGCGGTTCTTGGGAAGATGTAGATTGTAATCACATCATGTTTCCATCGTAACCTAAGGTCTACAGGAGTTAGAAAACGAAGATCAGATACAACTAGCTGTGACTTTACCAGTGAGTTGGCCGTGACGACGAGGAAGACAAGGAGAATGAGTCTGGATGATCGTTCAGGCACCAATCGCCCGGCAGAAACGGAACTGTCGTTTGCAGGCGGCATTTTGGTAAGGTGTTTTTACTGGCCAAGAGTTGGATCCTCTGAGGTGAGATAGATGTGATTTTGGAATTGCAGATTGACATACCTCAGTGGTATTTATAGCAAAAGAAGCGGTTTGGCGATTCCAACCTTGGGCTTCAAGACTAATAAGATACCGATAAAGCGACTACTAAACCGGGGAGGTTCACTGTCCGGGGTCTAGATTGTCCCTCTAATGAATCGATCGGCTCCGGGGCCTAGATTGTCTCGGTGTTGAATCAATCGGTTCCGATACAAGAACATCGTTCATAGAGGTAACAAACAAGGGAGTGACGAGGAGGGGTAAAGATGTCTACTATCTAGAGGCCTTGGCAATCTCGGCCCAGGTGGCACTTTGTGCACCCTCCTTTATGCCGCGAAGAGGAGAGTCCTAATGGACTAACCGGCCCTCGAACTTAATGATGAACTTAGAAGGATGCCATTACGGAGACCTCGGAACTCATCCCAAAGGGGCAAGTCACCACCTCCAGTAAATCTTCATTCCTCAACCCCGCAATCAAGGACGGGCGCCTCGGTAAGACCGGGGAGGGTGACATTCACCCCTCTTTTCTGGGCCATGGCGATAAGCTAGTTAGTCTTTGGGTTAGTTGACTCGCCTCTATGATGTTCTTTGGTAGGTCTCATGATAGCAGACAATCAATTGAGTGTCTTCCCATTTGTCAAGCTTGTTGGCGGCGGCATCTCTAGGTCGCTTAATGCTGAGCGTGAGCGTCTACGGACCGTAGTATGGCAACAACCTCATGAGGGGGTAATCGGCAGCGGCGAGATAGAATAATCGGCAGCGACTAGATAGAAACCCCGCCCGGGTTTTCGGGTACTTTCAGCAGCTGTTGTATCCCGAAAGAATCCCGGTGTTGCCCATCACGCCCAGAATCATCAACATATGTCCTTGGCCGGCTGCGTCGGGGTATAATAGAGCCGAGTCCTCTTACACCCACGGCACGCCGACTGTCAGTACGACATCGACTTCGACATCTGCATCTGCATCAATTCCCATATCTTTCTTCCGCTGTACTTCACACTCATCATGCGGCGGTTTACTACCCCGGCACCGTTTCTACGGCTGATAAGTTGGTTGTCTCTCATAGGCGCCGCCACATGCGCGATCGACTATAAGTCGCGCATGATCTCTGCTCTTGACGACGTCTTTGGCAACGACGACAGCGCTCGCATCCTCCTGGTCCGCCACTTCAACCGCGGCGAGTTCCTGCTGCCGACCAGAGACCCTGAATTGCTGCCAAGTCCCAAAGTACCCCGGGCTGAGCATGGCGTCACCGTGGTCAAGTTCTTTATTCGAACAAACGGACCTGCGCCAGAGCTCCCGTCGCCCAATAGCGGGACGGATGTTGGCTTTGAGATCTGGTTCCCTGACGAGGCCACATGGAACGGACGTATCTATAACCACATCGTGGGTGGTCTTCAAGGTGACACCCAAGTCACTGAACTCGACTTCTCATCGTCCGAGTCGTGGACAGGCCGTTACCTTTCCGAGATGGCTACAGAACTAGGCTACGTGTCTGGTATTAGCAACGGTGGTCAATCCAATCCCAGAGCCTATCAAGACATGCAGTGGCTACTGAATGACGACGGGTCGTGGAACCTCGAGGGCTGGAAAAACGCCAACTGGCAGGCCACGCATCTCTTATCAGTCAAGTCCAAAGAGATTGCAAAGGCCTACTATGGAAGGCCAGCTCACCACGCATACATTTATGGATGTTCTACGGGAGGCCGTGCTGTCTACAAGGCTATTCAGGACTTTCCTGAGGACTATGACGGCTATCTCTCTTCCTGCCCTTCCATCACACAGTCGCGTCTTTTTCCGTCTCTGGGCCATGCTTTCATCGTCATGAACAACCATCTAAATGACTTGTCTGCCTTTACCGAGGTCCAACAAGAGGTTGTGTCGCAAAGAGCTCTCGAGTTTGGCGATACCCAAGTCACAGGCGACCACGACGGCTACTTTAGCACCCTCACAAACAATTACGACCCCACAAAAGACCTTTCTCTCTTGTCGGTCGAAGAAGGGGGTCAATGTACAGAGACTTGGGCATTTACCAAACGCCAACTTGAGGCTATCAATATGATCTGGTATGGCCCGACACTGGATGGGTCGATCCCCGACCCTTCTGTATCCACCGGTACAGATCAGAACCTACAAAGTGGCCAGCTGTGGTGGGGAAAACTTCGCGGCACCGCGCTTGGGTTTATCATGGGTAAACGCGAGATTGTCGGTAACTACTTCGCTGTCATGCTCAAAGATCCGTCTCTCGCCTCCCCGAACTGGAATCATCCGCTGGGCAAGAGCTCCGACGCGTGGATGTACTGGTCATACGACAAGTATACTGAAGCTATCCTAGAAGCAGAGCGCCTCGACAAAGAAGTCTTCCACATGGATTCAGACAACCCTGACCTGCGACCTGCGATGAATGCTGGTGTTAAGATGATTACCTACCACGCTTTGGCGGATCCTGGCGTTGCTCCTCAAAGCGCCATCCATTACCACCTTAAGGCCGCGGATATTGTCGGTGGTGCTGATGAATTAGAAAAGTTCTCCCGGCTGTTTCTTGTCCCAGGTCAAGATCACTGTCTCCGATCCTCAGGTGTGGCAGGTAGTGGTAATCCGCCTATTCCGAAAGTGGAGGAATGGCTCGATCTCCTCGTGGATTGGGTGGAAAACGATAAGGCTCCAGGACAAATTATCGCCAACTCGGTGGATAACACGGCTAGTAGGCCCATTTGCAAGTTTCCTAAGATGGCCAAGTATGACGGTACTGGAGATGTGAACAAAGCATCAAGCTATACCTGTGAGGGTCACTTCAATAGCGGGCCAATGTCGGAGGGGCTTGGCAGTATTCTTTCCACGCAGTACTCCGAGGTGCCGCCTGTAGGTGCCTCTGAAGACCTATAATAGTACTAACTCACCATATTGTTGTCGAAATATGTTGTGGAAGGCCTCCACCTTGACTAGCTCTTCGGGAGATAGCCAGCAACCGGCCAACACATTGCTGGGCCAGTTCAAGGCTTTTCAGTGCTGGATCCGTTTCTATAGCTAAAAAGCACGACTACCAAGAGAAGGACGGGTGAAGGGACAGTGTCGACGGGTAGCCGGGGAATAAATCTTTGCAATAAATGAGAGCGACGCTTGATTCCTTTCTGAGGGTAGAATGGATGTGAGGGATGTTGAACGTAGATACTGTAGAACTACACCCGATATCTACGCTAGATTTGAATCGAGGTGAAACATAGCACGCCCTGTCAATTCTAAAGTCCCCTAAGAATGTTGATGTTCGGTCGAAAAGCGCGAACAAAGTACACAAGTGATGCTATACATACTATAGCAAGGAGGCTCAATTGTAGTGCCTTGGCCCGGCGTGAGCGCTTCTACGCAACGTGGCTCGGTGAGTGCGTCACAGAGGCACTTGGATGATTCGATTGTGCCGTGCGTTATAGATACCATTCACTAGATTGTTGGTTTCATAAAATAATTCTCTGTCTTCAGAAACTAGCCATAGCCTTAAGTCTGTTTTCTATCGCCCTCCTTACCACACAAATGCTAGGTGCCATGAAGTCAAAGCCATGTGGCAGTCCTGGGTAAAGGTGAAATTCAGTGGATACACCGGCCTTGGACAGCCTCATAGAATATTCCATATCCTCGTCTCTGAAGATATCCAGTTCGCCAACGTCAATATACGTAGACGGCAAGCCCGCTACTGACGGCACTCTTGCTGGAGCTGCGTAAGGTGAAATATAGTCGTCCTTTCCCACTTTGCCACGGCCTAGAAGGGCTGTCCAGCCAGTGAGATTGTCGACACTGTTCCACACAGCAAACGGCTGGAGAAGCTCGATCGGCTCAACATTCCGGTCGTCCAGCATGGGGTAGATGAGGATCTGTTTCGCCAAAGGAGGTGTTAGACCTCGGTCCCGTGCCAAGAGAGCCATTCCCGCAGCAATGCCGCCGCCAGCGGATTCACCGAGCACAGCGAGCCGCGCAGGGTCAATATTGAAGATTTGGGCATTCTCGGAAATATGTCTTAGGGCGGCGTAGCAGTCTTCCACTGGAGTTGGGTGCGGGTGCTCAGGGGCGAGGCGGTAATCAACAGAAAAGAATTGAAGACCGGAATGATGGGCGTAGTTGTCGATTGGCTTCACATACAGGCTGGCTGTTCCAGCAATCATCCCGCCTCCGTGGGCATGAACCACGGCTGGCGTTGGTGGACCACTCTCTGCCCCTTGCTGGCGCACATGGATCACATCGATGTTGACGCCATCATGAGACTTGACGGAAATAGTACTATGCAAAACGTCGGCATGGGTCTCTCGAGCGGCCATCAACAGTTCCATGGAGTCGTTGATATTCGCCCTCCTAGTTTCGATATCGTGTGCTGCGACGACTTGGCCGCGGGTGCTGAGTGCCGCTTTCAGAGGCTCTAGAGCCCGCACATATTCTGGGTCTAACGCAAGGGTCATTATGGTACAAGAGCGGCAAACCAGAGAGGAAGAATGACAATTGGTAAGTAATATTAGTCCCTGTTACGATACTAGGTCGTATTTATTCCCACAGCCGCACTAGATTTGGCCGAGGGCCGAGGACTAGGAATTCGTCCGTCGGGATTTGAGCGAATTAGGCAGTTGAAGCATGCGGGCTCATCTCGATACTATGGTTACAGTTACCAGCTTGGATCTAGCCTGCCCGAATGCCTCGTCTCATGACGTTTGCCACGCACTAGCACACTACGAGCAATAGCCGGCTCAGTGCGACAGCCTATCAACATAGCTTCTCTGGAGCTTTACCTCGATGCCAAGGTGCCATATATTCTCTTTATCAGACGCTCGAGGCATTTTTAAACCGATTTCCGCACGCTAGTGTAGTCAAATGCTAGAATGAGCGTCGATTATCACGGCCATGACTTCGTCCCTAACGAGTGAACGAAGTCACATCGCCCCTCATAACTCCCACTACGGCGTTCGGCGGATGAGCTTAACATATTCCCTTCCAATGTTCCCCAGCCGCGCAGTCACCCTCGGAAACTTCCATTCGCGTCGCTAATGAAGTCCTTCAAGGAGTCCGGCCGGCTCTTGGACTGTTCCCATTGACGTTTTCCCATGTTTATCCTCAATGCACTGGAATGATCCGGGCGGAGATTACACCACATCCAATCCATGTCATTAACTTGGCACTCATTACACGGACACTGACTCAATTACTCCACGCCAGACATACCCCTTCAGAATGTATTTCGATCCTTATTATTGCGTCGATTGATTTGAAAGTTTATCACACGTCACCATAAGCGTACAATCCCTCCTCGAGACCCTTGATCTGCAGCGCCAACAATTTAGAATAGTACCGGCAGATTGCCAGATTACCACCGTGGAACCAGAGCCCAGGATGCCCGCTGTCCTGCCACATAGTCCGCATCTCGCCCTCCTCATTAAAGCCCCAGACATCCTTGACCGTATCTGCAATCTCATCCCCAAAAATAACTCGTGTCTGTGTACGCATGTTCTGGTAGCCAGTAGCGTAGACGATCTCATCAGCCTCGAGCTCAGTACCATCAGCGAAGCGAAGGCCATGAGGGAGGACTTCTGTGATCTCTTGGCCATGTTTGACCTTGATTTTCCCGTCAGCGATAAGCTTAGAACCACCGACATCAATGTAATAACCGCCACCTCTTTGGAAGTATTTAAAGAAAACTCCAGCTCCGTCAGGTCCCATATCAGTCTTGAAACCGGCCTTTTCGAGGCCTTGAAGTATTCCTTTATCGAGTTCGGCACAGCGTTTAGCGACCTGAATTTGGATAGCCTTAAGCACTGGCGTTGGCAAACCATGGAGGAGTATATCGGCATCGTCCACGGCAGGCCCACCTTCAGAGTAAACAGGCTTAAGAGCAATATCTGTCAGGGCCTCTGAAGAGACAACATGCGTGCTTGAGCGTTGGACGATAGTTACGTCATAGCCTTTCTCCAAGAAGTCCTGGGCAATATCGTGACCTGAGTTGCAAGATCCAACAATAACAGCCTTCTTGCCCTGGCTATTCTCACGAGCGCCGGCAAATTCAGATGAGTGGCAGAGTCGCTCGCCCTTGAAGCTCGAAATACCCTTCATCTCAGGCATATTCTTCTTTCCGGAGTGACCAGTCGCTTGGATGATATGCCGCGGATGGACACTTCTAGTCTCAGCCGTACCATCATCCTTCCTGCGGACAATAGTAACAGTCCAAGACTGTGTCGATTCATGCCACTTGATGTCTGTGATGGCTGTTTTGGTCCAAACATTGAGCTCGAGTAGAGTGGCGTATGCCTCGAAGAACTGGGCAAGCTTATCCTTCGGGGTGAAAACAGGCCAGTTGGGAGGAAAAGGCAGGTAGGGCATGTGATCGTACCAGACTGGGTCATGAAGGACGAGCTGACGGTATCGTTTCCTCCAGTTATCACCGACCCTGTCATTCTGGTCTATCAGCAGGCTTTCAATTCCCAGCATCTTGAGCCCCGCGGCGGCTGTTAAACCAGCTTGACCAGCACCTAAAGATAAAAGTATGGTTAATCGTCTGAGATGTAGCAGCGAGAAACAATCGAGGTTTCAACTTACCAATAATAAGAACCGTGGGCTCACTTTCTCCCTCAAAATTAGAGGCCACAGCCCTGCGCTCAGCCCAGCTCTTTCTGCCTGGCTGTCCACCATGCTCTGCGCCCTTGGGTCGTCGGTGATTGATAAGCTCTTCGTAGCCCTTGAGCTCTTGAATGCGAGTGTAGAGCGTAAAGATTTTCCACCGGCCATGATCCTCGACCAGACGACAGAGGCCTTGGCCGGTGCCGTAGGCGGTCTTGAGGGTTAAAAAGAATTGAACACCAAGGACATGGCCAGAACTATCAATGGGCAGAACTTTAGGCGATCTAACCTCCAGGCTGTTGTCGATGGTGATCTCTTTCAGTCTGACACCGTCCTTGGAGCCGGCGCAGTTGGTCAAGAAGTTGAGAATAGAGTGTGGCCCCTGGACTGTACGGAATTTCCAAGATAGAGCAAGATGGTCTCTCCAGTAGCCATCTTCCTGGAACAAGGTTGAGAGTGTCGGGTAATCATTTCCGAGGAGTGCGTTGTTGAATTTTTCCACGACTTTGGCGGCAACCTCTTGAGGATTGTTGGAGATGGACACCGACTTTGACGGCGAAGGAAACTTGGCGACTGGGATATTGATAGATCCCGGGACTGTGCGCATGAAGGAGGGCACACTCTGGACATCAGCGGCGGCGGCCATTGTGGTGAAGGTGTTGCAGGTATTGGCTAGAAGCTTTGTTGAGCGGATGATGGGAGGTACAGTTCAAGATAAGACTCGAATTCCAGAGGCAGCGCGACCGTCTTAAATATGGACGAGTTTCTTTGAAGTGAAGCAATAAATATAGATGCCCGCATTCTCCCGCTCGATGAGCCCACTCGCCGTTGCCGCTTCCCCAGTGCTTTTCTGTCTCCTTGCGTACGGCACCGCTCGTATCCGATGCCACTCTCTGGGGATCCCCTCTCTATCTTGCTGATGACGGATCCTTTCTACCCCGCTACCCCGCTTGATCGAGTGCGGTTCCGATCGGGACCGACTTGAAGTGTGACGAGTCAATAGTTGTCAGCCAGTGTGGCACCTGTGCTAACACACTCTGGTTGACCTGGTGACGTTCCCAAGCCTTCTTCAGGCTCAATCGAGGCTGAAAATTGACCCTTGGCAACTCCCATGAGTCTCTTCTCAAGCTCGGTCCCGCCTCGGACAATCATTGGAAGAGGAAGCAAGGAGGCGCGCAGTGCTTCACTCCAACATCCGCATCGCATCTTTCCTCTTCGCTGTAGGCCCGTAATTGACATGAGATCTTGTCAGCCCTTTTACGTCTCAACCACCCAATGTCACGGGGGACGAAGCATTCCAGGGACTCCGGTAGATATTACAGCAGAAGCAGTGGCAGTGGAACATCGGCTGTTCATAGTGCAACGACGGCAGACCTTGGCTTGAATTCTATTGCACACGCTGTCCCGCTACCTTGTCTAGCTAACATACCTCTCTAAAGTTTACATGACTTGTCTTCGCTCCTCATCGGAGCCAGCTCGACTCCCTCCAAATCAACGTAGCCGTAGACCTCCATCTTGTCTCCGTCCGCCTCCAAGGCCGCCTCCCACTTCTCAGCACTCTTGTTGAACGCCTCGACGACGTCGTCCTTGGTGAGGTCCATCGGGGTCTGATTTCTGCCAAGCTGTCGGATCTGAGTTCCTGCCGCTGTCTCCGTCAGGCCGTAATCTGCATTGTTGATCTTCAGAACCACGGCTCCCGTCTTCACTCTGCCCTCCAAGATGTCCCTGGGCAGGTTAGGCTCTGCGCAGAGCGGGCGAGCCAGCCCAACTCCATCAACTACGTCCAGTGCCTTGACCATGGCGCTAACGGTGCGAAGCCCTCCCGTGACAAAGACCTTGGTGTCTTTGAGTTTTGGCACGATCGATTCGGCAAACTCCAGGAAGAAGGCCTCGCGCTTCTTGGTGAATTCATTCTTGTGCTCAAATGCCATGTCCTCGTAGGTGCCGCCGGAGAGCTCTACAAAATCGAACTGGCACTGCTGTTCGAGGAGTACACAGAGCTCGCCGCACTCTTCGGGAGTGAATCCCTTCTCGTCAAATTCGACCGAATTGAGTTTGATGCCGAGAACGAAGCCAGCGGAAAGGGGGATTCGTTTTCTGATTGCAGCAACGATTTCTACAATGATCCTAGCTCGGTTTGCGATGGAACCGCCGTACTCATCAGTACGCTGGTTGGTCCGGCGAGAAAGAAACTGAGACAACAGGTAGCCGTGAGCACCGTGGAGCTCTACACCGTCAAAGCCGGCCTTGTAAAGATACTCGGCTGCATGCGCAAATGCTTCGACAAGACCCTTGATTTCTTGGTGGCTAGCAGCGTGCGGTTTGGCAAACTTCATGCCCCAGACCTCCTTGGTGAGATGGACAGCCGACGCTGAGACGGGGTCGGAGTTCAGCCGGCTCTGAACCTGACGGCCAGCGTGAGAGACCTGACCGATCATCAAGCTTCCGTCGTGGTTTCCAGCCCAGGCAAGGCGTTTGTAGGCGTCGAAGCGTGGCCCTTCGAAGGGGGCGTCGGGAGGGATGATCAGGTTGCCGGCGCCTTCGATGTTCACGGAGTCGACCATGAGGTTTCCAGTCAGGATTGTACCAATGCCACCTTCTCCAAACCACTTGAAAGCATTGATGATGTCGGGTGTAGGAATGCCGCGCTTGCTGAGGTCCTTGGTGTCCCAGGTGCACAGCCTTTCGGTCATGGACGCCTTCAGGAATCTGTTTTTGGCTGTTCGCTGGGAGAAGGCCAGCTTCAGAGGCTGCCCCAAAGCCGAGGCGTCTGAGACGGGTCGGTCCTCTCCATATCGTTGCTTGGTCATGATTGCGGCTGGCACGCGGCGGTCGAGCAGGAGATGAGTTTGATGTGGTTGTTGGCTAGACGAGCGTGTCGGTCGGGTTGAGACGATTGGGTATAGAGTACTGGTTCCAGATAATGAAGCATGTCTGGGGGCTCTCCAGAGACTCACTGAGGACGATCATCTGCAGTTTTAACCTCACTTCAGAGCAGGTGCTTGAAGCACGTATTTCCTTGTTCGTCGGATGAGCGAAGCAGCCTGCATGGGAAGAACTTGGCCACGCCTCGATTAGTCATCTATCTGACCCTTCCAGATGCAGGAGAATCCCGAGCAAAGGTTTAACTTGATCCAGCTAGTGTTTTCAAGTGTTTTCGAGTGTTTTCAAGCTAACATTACATCAGGCCTCTTGCCTAAAGCGGAAGCAATCCGAGGTCTTAAGCTAGTCCCATTTTGGAGAAGGCGATTGAAGCAATCCCGTTCCGACAGCCGTGGGGTCTCTTCATCGACAACGAGTTGGTCAAGTCCATGTCCTGGGAAACGTTTTCGACCATCGATCCCGCGTACGAAGCTCCCACAATCCAATGGCGTGTAGTTGCTGATAATTAGTAGCAGCGAGAAGTAGATGGCTCAGGTGCACGCGGCTGGCGTCAAACGGTGGATCCTCGCGTTCCTTTTGGCAGTTTCAAGCAGCCGGACATTGGCCAAGAGCAGGACAGGACGGTTTCAAGGCCTACACGATTTATAACACAGTGGTCTGGGAGTTTGCTCCGGAAAGTCGCAGCTAAATTTCATTCGAGCCCAGGCTGTAGAGCGCTCCTTGTATTGATGGGCAATACACCAGTCTCGGATTGGAGACATCTCAAGGCCCACTGTCCCTTGAAAGGGGTGAGCTGAAGTCAGATTCCATTCGTCGATAGACCTCTTTCTGTAACGATCACGTCAATAACTGGCCTGTGTAGTCAAAATTGCCGCCATGCACCAAAATGTGAAGCCCGTGTTAGCAGGTAGAGTGCCTCAAAAACTGGTGCGTGGCTTGAGACATTTAACGACCAGTGTAAGCAAACCCGCCGTTGGTGTTCCCGGACGCTAGCAGTTTAACAGCTAGATGATGTTCGCAGTACAGCTAAAACAGGCAATTCCTGAAGTGCATGAGCTCATACGGCACACCAGCTCTGCCGTGTTGTTTTGAGCATCGTGTCCGAGTTCAATGGGGCAAGTGAAGAGGCGCGCAGACTCCAGATCATAGGCCCGAATTAGTAATAACGAAACTGAGCTTGAGCGTATGCTTGATTATGGACAATCGCACCAGGGCTGGCTTGGTTGAAACATAAAGATGGCTCGCTGTTGCTGGCGTGCCATCATTCTGGATTCAACTCACTCTTCCCGATTTAAGGACCAGCTACAAGCGGTTCACTCATCTCCAGACCCATTCAATTGGAATCATTGAATTTCACATAACATGGCGGCTCCACGATCGTTCACCCTGCAAGAAGTCGCCGAACATGATGGTGAGTATGACCCATACATGGTCATCCGGAATAAAGTATACGACTGTACTTCTTTCCTCAAAAAGCATCCGTAAGTCACCCCCATAGTACAGCGAGCCTATCCCATGGTTGCTTCTCCGTAGCCCAGGGACGACGGTTGACGAATGCGGTTACTCCAGCGGAGGAAAGGAAGTCTTGTTGGAGGTCGCTGGGACGGACGCTACCGAGGCGTACGAAGAAGTTGGCCATAGCGAAGAAGCCGATGAGAAGTTGGAAAGGCTGTATATTGGGGAGTTGATTGCCGCCCCGGCCAGCGTAAGTTGATGCTGTCTCGAGCCTGATTGTAGAGGGGAAAAAGACGAAACGAACAGCCGCACCCTTCTAACCTGGAAAGCTCATTCCACTGACTGTTACTTGGGCAACACAGAGACAAAAGAGCTCAGAGGGAAAGAAATCTTTATCAAAGGTTTTCCCCAATATTCTAATGGTGGTGTTGGTTGGTTGCGTGGTGGGGTATTTAAGACTGATCCTCCAATAACCACAAGGTATAGGGTATTTACAAAAATGCATCATTCTGTGTTCGTTGGGTGCAAGGATTCTTGGGTTTTCGTTTTCTTATCCAATTCTGAGCCATTCATCCGGGTTTTTAATAAAAATCTATCCATAGAAACTCCTCCCATGTAGAGTAACATATGAGCCAGCAAGACCAACAGTGGGTGGATCGGGTCTTCTGCAATTTACTGAATCACGTTCCCCAGTGGTATTGCTTCATTGATTGCTTGGGGAGGCAAGGCATCGGATATCAGGTGCTTAGGTATAGGTATAGAATACCTACTGATTGCCCGCTTGAGGTCTCATTTGGCTGAGGCCGCTGGCTATAGGAGGCACTCGATAGAGCTAGTGAGGCTGTTCCGCTCTATTTTTTATCCTGTCATCTCGACCTGTTTGCCAAGATGAGTGCCTGCGTCTCGCAAATCAGTTTCTATGAAGTGCATCGACCCTGGATTGTACCCTCCCGGCAGTCAATACCCTTGCGTAGTAATGACGACATGCCCTGGCCTACTACTGTGCGAACTTGTTCTTTTGCCCCCCAGGCGAGAAAATCCGGGCCAGCCACCGTCTTAGTCTAGAAGGCTCCTCATGTGTGGGGGAACGGAGGAGCAGTGATTGGCCACTGATATCAGACTGGCGGGACGAGGCTTTCCGCGACTTTCCTATTTTGGCCGGGACCCGAGACGGTTTTCGTTCAGACATCTCCACGATGTCATGCGTTACTTTCCGCAGCGACAGAGAGAGCTAGGCCAGTAAACCGCCGGTAGCAATCTTTTAGAAGTTTAATTTAGCGCTCCTAAGAAGAACTATTGCCACAGTCTTTCATACGAAGCCGGACACGTAGAGAACCATGCTGTTAAGGGCCCGTACTGTCTTAAGATGTTAGATGCTTTCCTCAAACACAGCGAGGATCGTCTTGAGTAATTATATGACTGTGCTCCGGCCTGCACCCCGCATTTCCCAAAGCTTGCAGCGGAGTGTAATCAACCTTTCTGAGACATATCTGCTGTCACCTTGGGTGTGCAAATTACCCGCTTGGTGCCATGTCGGCCGCTAATCCCTCGGCTGCATCATTAATTGTTTGTCACACAGTACCTCCTCAATTCACTCTCCACATGACGATTCCTTACATTCGTTGGCCCAATACTAATGCTGCACAGCTTACCGAATGGTCATTTATAGCCGTTACCGCGGTTCTCATTGCTGCTCGAATTTATCTTCGCCTCAAGATTAACCGAAAGCAATTTGCGCCCAGCGATATTTTGATATGCCTAGCATGGTGTTGCTCAGTGACTATGGCGTCGTTTGATATTGTCTTCGCCAAGATTGATATCCTACGCCCGGATGTCGACTACGCACTAAAAGGGTTTAGCGGACCCCCTGAGAAAAAGCAGAAAGGACTGAAGGTGATGTCTTGTTGCACTCCGTATGAGTGAGGCTGTCTATTGACGAAATACGGCAGTTTCTCTGGATTGCTAATTTTCCGTTTTATATGGGCTTCTATTTCTGTAAGGCGGCAATATTGACCTTCTACAATCAACTATTCCCGCCTGTTTTACGGAAACGAAGATTTGTACTGTGGGTGGCTATTGTTTATATCGTTTGCGAATGGATTGTAACAATATCCATGAGCCTCTTTTACTGTTGGCCTATTCACACAAACTGGTACGTAATCGCATCTGCACCCCTGACATTCACGTCAGTCTACTGGACCTCAGATCAAGAACCAATCAGAACATAGGTCACTCGATCCAACAGCGGCATGCCCAACTAGTCGGGCATACAGGGTTCTACAGGTTGGATGGGCTTTGCATTTCTCCGGTGATATTATAAGTAATCCCAACCCTGCTCTACGCTTACAGGTCACCTTATGGATCAGCTAACAAGAGACATTTACTAGTTTTTATCCTTCCGTTTTTAATTTTGCATGAATTAAAACTGGATGCAGTAGTCAAGATTGGCGTATACTGTACCTTCGGACTGGGCCTCATAAACATATCCTTTTGCTTAACACGCTTTTTGATCATTCAAGTTAAGTTATCCAAAGGCCCACCATCTATCTCGCTTGTTGGTATGTGATTGCCTTGCCTCCGAGTTTCAGATTCTTTCTGTCATACTAGGCCTAGAGTGGTAAGCTAACATTACTCTGTGGTAGAGCTTTGGTGCGCCCTTGATACCAACGTTTGCCTTCTGATGGCTTGCCTGCCGCCATTGCGGCCCTACCTACGACTTATCGGGCAGAGTTCATTCTTCAGCCACACTCACAAACATCCCGCCGATGTGGAAAGAGGAAACGCCGCGGCTGGAGCGCACCATCCGGACAATACAATTGGGAAGAGATGCTCTATTAGGCAACAGAGTGACTTTTCGACGGGACCCTCCAGCTCTGTACATAACCTCGATGACTCTTGGGAGGGTGGACCGGCTGGAATGTGCTCTGGCAATGGGAGGTTTCAGGCAAGCAGTGAGGTTGAATTAGTCTATGTTATATAATATAGTCTGGGAAATACTCCCGGTCAAATTCGCGGATGTGTTGTGAGATTGACAGACATCAATCACCGGGCCGAAGTTGTAGAATATAACAATCAGCGTGAGACATTGATGAAATATTACTATTTCTTACGGTACTGTCGTAGTCCAAGGGGGAATTTTTAGAAAATGGAGCAGGCCATCGACTCTGGCTGAGAGGGATAAGAAGCGCAAGGAGATATTCCGCAATCTGCCACCCCATTATCGTTGACCTTGACAACGCTATTCTCGTATTTGACCCATAAGACACTGACTGATTCACAAGTTTCCCGGTGTCAAAGTGTACTGGCCGACCATAGGTTTTGACCATAGCCATGCCGTAGTTCGTGATGTTCATGTTCTGTGTGGTCAATGAGTACAGGGGTTAACATTGACTCCAGCATGGTCTCCATCACCACCATGACATTCGCTAGACCGGCAATCGGCCCCACTGGTTCGGGATAATAGATGCCGACATCTTCGGTGTAAACCTTCGAGATTTCGTACCAGTTCTTGTCATCTAGGGAGAAGGAATAGCGGATGAGTTCGCAATCCGGTGCAATCCATCCCAGCGCTAAACTTTCGGCGCTGGATTTCGACAAGGTGGGAGCCGGCTCCGTCACGCTGGCGCTCTTCTCATCTTCGGCATTTTTGCTTTCTGCTCGAAAACTAGATTAACGAAGGTGATCGAAGGCTGCATGGAGTGGCTTACTCAGGAATGCAAGATTAGTGAAGCCCAAGGCTACCAGAACAAGGCTCTAATTAAAGAGCATGTTAGTTACCAAAAGAGAATATTGGCAAATTAAGATATAGCCCGATGGAGGGATTGACCGCGATTGAAGTACGTAATTCCTTTGGGCCTTAGATGGCAGGAAAGCATAACGGAGACGCCTGTTTTAAAACGTCGAGGCAAGAAACTCCAGGCAAGAAACTCCAGGCTTGAAGACATGCTCTAAATGTATATAGTGGTAGTATGAGTTTGGCTAAGCATAATAATAAGCTAACAAATTCGCCTTAGGTATCTGGGGGGGGAGGCTGAATTTATTTCTCGGCATGCTAGCTGGGGGTTTAATGAAGCGGCTGTGCTAGACTGTTGTACCACAGAGCAAAGGATTAGTCAATAATCGCTATTGCGGCAATTACTAAGGCTACGATATCATTCTGTTGGAGGTTTTGTAATACGGCCATGTTCTAATAGTTTTTATTTCCGTCGTTTCTACTTCCCTTTTTAGGATGAAATGCGAGGTGTGCATTACGGTGCAGTGTGACGCGACCTGTCTACCCAATCGACTACATACAGGTAGCCACCGGCCCACCGTCAGAAGCTCTCAAGGGTGACGTCCGTTCTGTGGCGTCGCAAACAGATTACTCTATACCTAAAGCGAGAGAAGGTTATGGAGCATGGACAAAATCAGCATATGTTCGCCAAGATCGTAAGTTCTCTAGCTACAACCCAATAATCCGCTATCCACACTAAGAACGTGTGCATTCACGATAATGGTGAAATCGGAGATCTTAGCGGTAAGATAAATCTTAGAACCTAGATTTTGGTCGTGTTCTATCGTAGAAGCATGGGCATGATGTACTCAGGGGCTTTACTAAGCGGCTTAAGCAGCGCTTGTCCTAACTGCGGAAGCAAAGAATGGCCTGTGTAACAGCCGACTAGCGATCCCTTCCGCTTCACCGCACAAGGGTGAATAATCTGGATCCCAAGGTCTCTTCACCAGATCGTCTTGCCACTTGCTATACAACCAACCGGGGTGTTAGCGAGCTCGCCATGTGGGGTGATGGGTTGCTGGCCCAACTTTAACAAATCATCCTAGTCAGAGCTCGGGAATGATCCAAAAAGGGAAAGTAACCTTGACCTTGCCAAGGATTACAAATGCGAAAATCTCACTCGGTATCATGCAAGGGCTCACACTTATTACATCAGAGTGAGGTGGCCTTCAACTCGGATTCAGTATAAATCGTGAGTGTCGATGATCTAGTCAATGTCCTGATCATCATTTCCTGCTTTGCCCCCTTCGAAACTATTTTCTAAACCTGACTCTTCTCTCCCCACTCGTTCCTCACCAACACTATGAAAATTGCGATTGCCGGCGCTGGGAATGTTGGCACAGCCTTCGCCAGGAAGTTGTCCCAATCGGAAGACGAGATCGTTATCCTCGCCTCATCTCTAAAATCCCACCTGAAGGACCTGAAGGTCGAGATTCGTTTGACAGATTACTCTGTTGAAAGCCTCAAACAACATCTGCACGATTGCGACGCCATTATCTCAACCCTCAGCGGTCCAGACGATTTCTATATTTCGTCTCATTCCAACATTCTGGAGGCATGCACACAGTCACCCTCTTGCAAACACTACGTTTTGTCCGAATGGAATATCAACATCGAGGATTTCCCCGACCAGCCTATGTTTAGTGCTACGACACATGAGGTGGTGCGCAAAAAAATGAGGTCGCAAACAAATGTCAAGTGGACCATGGTATGCCATGGCTGGTTTATGGAATATGTCTTGCCGCAGAACAAGAATCCACTTCGGGAAATTGGGCGGGCGTGGGTGATGGACCACAACTCCAAAGCTTTCGACATCTATGGCGATGGCTTGCAGCAGCTCACTTTGACTTCCTTGAATGATGCCGCGAACGCAACCGTTGAAGTGCTCAGGCACAGCATTCAGGCTGGGTCCGCATTGCCAGAGTTTACGCATGTCGGTGGGGAGGCTCTTACCTACAATGACCTTTTCGCACTTGTGAAAAGGCGCGACCCAGAATGGAAGTCTAGGCCTGTAACTATCGCTGAAGTATTGGACGCTATTGTGAAAGGACTGGGGGCGAATGACCCCGGCGTAGCTGTTCATCAGATGCGGCTCATGGGGTTCACGAATGCAAACCACTGTCCGGAGGACAGGGTACTAAAATGGGGGAAGGGAGTTCTGCAAGGTTTAAGTGGTATAACTGTTGAAGACTTTCTTAACGAGGCTAATTCTACTTAAAGGGGTAGGTTATAAGTAAGCTTTGGATAGTTAAATAGACATAGTTCACAGCCAATTTGCAACGTCATGAGATGGTATATTGAGGCAGGACGACAAATGGAAAGCCTCGTGTCTGAAACAACGGTAATTCTCGTCACCTCGGATCTCAGCTCATTGAGGAAAGAGGCCTCGACGCTGTTTAGTAATGAGCTTGATGCATCATTTGTAACTAGGCCCGCCACAGTCACTCCTTGAGCTCCACAAGGCCAAAAGCCTAAAACGTGAGCAATGTGGGTTTGATTTATAACAAATTTGTCTAACACGCAGCAGTGACGGTTGTGACATATGTGGCGATGGTTACGATACTGGGCACGCCGTTGACGCAACGGGAGTAGCAATCTCAAGTCTGGGCATCCGGGTATATGAGAGCGTGACAGAAAAACTACGCGGTGAGTTTCCTCGTGACAAGACAACTTTTACCGCCATAGAACCAAAGCATGCTCTTCACTTCGTCCCGCACCTCGAGCGTAAAAAATCAGGATCAATGACTTTAACAATGCCATTGTTCGCCATGAATAGGCCTAGATCTAGAGTCTACTAGTTCTACACGTCTTGTTCCACCTGTTCAACGCTCGGGATGCGGTGCTGACTCAATCCAAGATGTCTAGCGATAGTGCCCACCGAGCTGTGAAGAGCCTCAACATCAGCCTTGGGGATGCCCAACCTCCTTGACCCTCTGATATGCCAATGCGTCTCCTTGCCAAGGTTCTGTATCATGATTGATGACAAGACAACAATCTCAGTATCGATATCGTCCAGGACCTGACGGTCGCTGAGGTACAACCCATATGAAATATGTCTGCTAACCCACTCGAAGTCTCTGTGGTCACTAAAGAACCCCATAGTCTCGTCCATGTTCCTCGAATAGAGCCTTTGCATCCAGTCGTTACCACGCTTCAGGTTGGCATCGTCGCACTGCCACCCTTCTCGAGTGATGCTGTGGTCTTTGTCCTCATCTCTTTCACACTCGTTGATGGCGAGGATGGCCTCGATAGGCTTGCAAACGCCGACAACGGCGACGCATTTGATGAGAGTTTCTCGGACACGTCGAACGAGGGCTTTCCTCTGGCCTGGTTGAGAGAATTCTGGCTTGGAAATGAGGTAGAGATAAAGGTCCTTGCACAGAACCGGATCATTGCCTCCGGCTAAAGCTGCCAGTGCGACAAGATACCATCGTTCTGAAAGTTGGGTTGTTTGAAGGAAAATATTTTCGATGTTTTTGAGCAACTCCACGGCCTGGGGGTCAGGGGTGTGTGTAGACATTGCAAAGACGGAGCAGCCAAGGTTGGAGTGGGCAAAGTTTTGCCGGACGAGATAGATGGAGTGATAAAGATCTGCTTGAGTGAGCGAGGAGGCATTGACTGAAGGCTGGATTAAACCGAGATAATTTATGATGATTTGAGGCGCAAACTTGACTCTAATGAACGGCTGGGTACGGCTGGGTACGGCTTGAATCCATATTCGATGACATGCCCCCTCGGTCCGAGAGTCGGATCCCCCAGACGTCAGCTGCCGTTGCGACTCAATACAATCGGTACCGACTATGATCTAGCCGATCACCGGCAGGAAAGCCCCTCATTGGGGCGCCCGCACGATCTATCATGGCGTCATATGCCCTACGGACGCTGGTTCAGTCAGGGGGGCTACGTCTTCTCCGGGACCCGTGAGCGCTTTCCGAACCTGGATGAGCTCCGAAGACTGACTTGCCGGCTTTCCAAAGGCGAGTGACTGTCACGGTGTGTATCGATCGGTTTACGGCCGACAAGACAACGTGTGGACACTTCTTCAAGCCATCACGGCCCAAAAAGTCCCACCCCGATAACCACACGGCTGCTGCGAGAATTCGTCTACTGCCTGCAAATATAAATAGATACATGGGTGTATGTTGATCTCTTATTTCTAAATCTACAACTCAAGGAACGAATCAATAACCTTTCGCTGTCCAAACCGTGAACGGCAGCTAAGCAGATCTCACCATGCATCAACTAGACTTCTCCTCCAGCGACTTGTCCAACCTCGCTGGCCAAACAGTGATTGTTACTGGTGCCGGTAGAGGTATTGGAGCTTCTACAGCAGCCTTGTTCAACTCGAACGGCGCCAATGTGGTTCTGGTAGACCTACCTTCCGCGAAAGACACGGCCGAGTCTTTGATCAAGTCCTTTCAACATCCGGAAAAAAGCCTTTTCGTCCCCGCCAACATCCTCGTCTGGGAGGCCCTTGTGACTGTGTTCAAAATAGCGCTGCAGAGGTTTTCCAAGGTCGATGTGGTCGTGGCCAACGCCGCCATCATGGAGAGCAAGCCGGTGCTTCATGTGGAGGTTGACGAAGCTGGCGATCCTGTCGAGTCTCTCGAGGCCAACCGGGTGATTGACGTGAACCTCAAGGGAACATTGAACAGTAAGTCGCGCGTCTAGCTCATCAAGAGAACCTCCAGCTGCCACATGTCCTGATTGATGGTGGATAACAGCGCTGAGGCTGGGCCTTCACTACCTCGGTCAGAACAAGCCATCTTCCACTGGCTTTCGTGGTTCCATTGTTTTTGTCACCTCGACCTCTGGTTACTTTGGGTCGACTGGGAACGCTGCATACATTTCTTCCAAGCATGGCGTTGTTGGATTGCTCAGGGCGTCTCTCCGGAAAGCGGCATCTCTGGGGATCAACCTCAACAGCGTGGTTCCGTCTTACACGCCTACTCACCTCACCGCGGGCTTTGGACAGAGTATCACCAACGCCGGCCTTAACGTCAACACCTTGGAAGGGGTCGCATCAGTTGCCGTGAATCTGGCAAGCGACCAAAGCGCCCATGGCGTTGCATGTCTAGTAAGTCTCCATTCCATCCTCGCTGGGTAGCCATGGTAACCTGACGCACGATCAAGGTCTGGGGGCATTATCACCGCGAGCTAGAACGCACACAGCAGGACTTGCTGGGCAATTGGCTCGGCGACGATTTGGTGGCGTCCATGACCAAATTTGGGCAGCTGATGGATTCCATGGGCGGCTATCCACTTCCACAAAACAAAGACCAAGATGATGTTTGGGCGTCTCGGTGTCGACAGTCTAATATTGAGCTAATTACATGAATGAATCACACTCACCGAGTTTGTTTCCTATTCGGGACAGAATCCGAGGTGTCAGTGGGGACGAGTGATTTACAAATTTGAAGACCGCACCTGACGCTATGCTATCTAACACCGCCAAGAGGACAAAAGCCAAAAGCGGTAAGACCTGGTCGTTCAGATGAGGGGGTCATTCCCAGACACGGATCCAAACTCGCTACCGCTCGCTGCAAGATACTTGTAGCTGCATCTCGGATCTGGGACGTCACCGGACCATGGATGCGAACTTGGCGGGGAAATCCTACAGGACAAGGTTAACGCGGGGTAAGAGTAAATAGTAATACTCAGTAGCGTGTATCCAAGTCACTCTGTAGCAGCCTTCCTATTGCTCGGTCCAACTGAGGCGCGTGGTCGGGATTGGCTTGGGCTGAGCCGAACAAGTCCAAAGATAACCTACATGCCCGCACCAGCAGCTCTTACGCCGTTGACTGATGGGCACTGATTAATCCCCGCCAAAATTTGTTTTGGATGCGAATTCCTCACCTTAATACACCTTTTGGCCCATCACGTCCTGCTTCTGACGTTAGATCCTGGCCGACCGGAGCCATGACGACTCTTACACCTGACGAACGAGCAGCCGGATTGGCTCTGAAGAGGCGGCAGAACTTGTCATGCGAGCAGTGCAGGGGATCCAAAAAGGCCTGCGATGGCTTCCACCTCAACGCCATGGTCCAGGTCCAATCAACCCCAGATAGCCTAGAGAGCAGTCCCGGTCAGTTTTGCCCCTGGGTCCCCAGCCAGCTTTGTGAGTCCGTTCTGATTCTAATTCCACTCAGACCCGAGCAGCAAGCCACTGCCTTGCTCGTACTGTGACAGGACCAAGAAACAGTGTTCGCTTCACCATCGTTGGTTAGAGGCTCGATTCCTACTCCAAGTTGGCCCGTCTCCTCAGCCATCAAACGACTCGCCGCGAACCTCGGACGGAAGCCCTCACAATCCCAAGCGTAAACTCGAGGAAAATGAACACATTGCCGCCGAACATACGGTCGTGGGCCAAACCCCTGAGGATGTACTCGAGCCAACCCTGCACGAATCGCCTTATCATACATCAACGCGAGCTACATCAACATCAATACCAGCTACCTCAACACCAGTAGCCAGAGCCTTGCACACGGATGGGTCGTGCCTATCTATCGCCGATGTTCTGAATCCTGCACCAATTCAGCAAAGAAGCTGGCTCGACTTTCTCGACTTACAAACAGTGCCCGTAACTCGAGAGTCTATTGACCACGGTCCTCCGAGCCGCGCAACCACCCAGGAACAAGTCCCATCAGACAAGGTGGGGGCTACCTCTGAGGAGAATACACAGCAGGTGAGCCTCCATATCGTACCAGTTGCATCAGCATCCATCTTAACATCGATAGGGCCCGTCGACATCAGTGATGCCCGAATCATTTGCACAACTTCCCTTGGCGAAGAGAGCTCGTTATAGTCCCGGCCCATTTGCCAGTCAGACGGCTTTATCCGAGTTTGACTTGCAAACAACAATGATGCAAATATCCAACAAACGACTTATCATGGAGAGTCTGCTAAAGATATATCACGATGTTCTGGAGTCGAATCTGGCGTGCTGGCTGACAGAACGGACCTGTCCCTACACTAAGAACAGCTCTATGGCCGTCCTTATGGATGGCCATGTATCAGCGCAAGGACCGGCAGCTCCGTCGCCCCAATCAACGCTATCACCGTCCTCAACCAATACACTTACACTGAATCAGTTCTACTCACGGATTCTTCGCCTTGATAGAGCCATGGCGACCAACAATCTCGTGTCATTGACCCCCTCTCAAGACAGAGCAGCGTCGAGGGCCTTGAGCCAGGTCATAATGGCCCTTTCGACGCAGTGGTCCCAAAACGTGACCAGAAAAGAACGATTCTTTGGCAGAGACTCCACTCCATGCAACATTGAGGACGATTTCTTCGAGAATCACAATGAAACCTTCGAAAAGGACTTTCAGCACGCAACCTGGCACCAGGCCAAAGCAGCTCTACTGGAAGCCTCCGAGATTGAATCATACCGCGTTGTGTACGCCGAAATCCTATTCAACTGGACTGAGAAACCCGAGGGGTCGGACGATGTTGACTTGGCTGGTGGCTGGGCTGGCAAGAACGGGTTGGATGACGTTGATGCGCTCTTTTGTAGCTTCTCCGACATGGTTGGCCGCGGTGGACCACCCGTATTCATCGAGAGTGCGTCCCGCAAGATACAAGTACTCAAGTTCAGGCTTGATGCTGCCAATATTGGATTGCGGAAGACAACTGGAGCAAGAGGAAAGAAGTCAAAGCCCAGGAACTCGTCACCGCCCATCATAGGTCCGGAAGAACAAGCCACAGCCAGGCTCTTGTACTGGCTGGTGGTCATGTGCGACAACGTTTCCTCCTCTACAAATGAAAGACCTCTTGCCATCAAGGAGGAATATTGCACCAGTATGACATCAAAAGAGCGCGCAGATACTGCGAACGATGCTTCTTTTGATGGTATTCAATCCGACGGGCTTCGGGAAATGGAATGTTTCGAGACCGATAAACCCTTGCAACTCGATTGGCCGACTACCCAAGATGATGCATTTGATGTATTAACGAAGTCTGTCCCAGTCAAAGTTCTTCTTTTCAGGAAGGTTTCATCCCTCCAGGACGCCCTGCGGCAAGGCAACCATGCGCAAACCGACGACATTATCCAAAGCTCTATCATGATTTACCGGCGCTGGAATGTTACATACGGAGCGTTCTTCCGCAAGCTGGCCCAAATGTACACAACCCTGCCCGCGCGGATCAAAGGGTGGTTCATCTGTATCGTTATTCCCTGGCATCTTGCCGTGATGCTAATGGCAGACCTCATCGACTTTGCAAACAAAAATGAGATTGGGCAGTCAGATGGCCGGGCAGCAAGGTCTGAGGCTCAGATTACCTCACGGATGAGGAGGTCTACCGCCATCGATGTAGCTGAACTGGCCAAGTTGACTTGCCCGCTCAATGAGGATTGGGGAGGAACCACCTCAACAGAACAGTTGCCTGGCTACCACTATGCGGTGAAGAGCAGCGCCATTCTCACGGAACCTTGGACTGTGCTCTTGATTGGGGCCTTTAGAAACGCCGCCGTATATCATTTGGGCATAGTGGAGGATCTCAGACAGAATGACTGGCAGGCCCTGGGTCACTATCCCAATGAGATGAGGGAGGCTGAAGGACGCGTGAAACATTGCATTGATGCACTGTGGTTGCTCGGGAGAAGATCGGGCATGTCATACGACTTAGCCAGGCTACTGTCGGAGAGGTTGGTCGCTCGTTGACAGTGTCATTGGATTAGCCAGACACACTGGAGGCGTTGGTGGTACAGAGACGGGTTCTGGCACAGGATTAAATTCCAATTGTCTTTGCTTGGTGTTGTTTGCCTCGGAAAACTTTCAGTTGTTACGCATTCTTTTTTTGCGACCGTGATAGACGTCACTGGCATGTTCAACGTTTGTGGAGAAGGCAACATTGTATTTAGTTCTGTCGGCGTTTGAGATGCCCTTCTCTCTCCTCATATAAGAAGAGACGATCCGGAATACTGAATTAGTCCAAAATCCCCTCCGCCGAGCTATGAAGGCATTCAAGTACCCGTTGAGACGACAAGGCCGCCATCCAGTATCAAAGACTGGCCAGTCATATACCTGGCGCCCTCACTACTGAGGAACAAAACAGCATTCGCCACATCGAAACCAGTCCCCATCTTCCCCATCGGAACATTGCTGTTTGTGAGTTTGTGAAACATTCTCCTCTCAGTCTCACTATCGCTATGCTCCCACTTCTCCACCAACGGCGTGAGGATCAGGCCCGGCACAACACAGTTTAACGTAATACCCTTGCTGGCAAACTCGGCTGCAGTCACCTGTGTGAAGTGAATGACGGCGGCCTTGGCGCTGTTATAGGCGATTTGAGGCTTGCCCAGGTAGCGTAGACCGGCGATGGAGGCATTGTTGATGACAGTGCCTGACCTCTGCTTCTCCATGACGGGAAGAACGAAATGGCAGGCTAGGTAGACGCTTTTGAGGTTGACGTTGATCTGTTTGTCCCAGGCCTCTTCAGGAAGCGTCACAGCGTCCCCTAGAATGGGAAACCCAACGTTGTTGACCAAGATATCAATGCGTCCATGCTTGTCCAAGCACGCGCTGACAACCTTGGAGACATCGGCCGCCGACGTGACGTCGGCCACCATGACATCGCACTGGCCGGGGAGGCGGGATTGCGTGTTCTTTGCAGCCTCGATGCTAAGGTCGCACCCGAATATCTTGACATGGTTCTGGGAGAGCCGGTAGGCCATGGCTGCTCCGTTGCCCCATTTCGTCGAATTTGGCACGGCCGTCTGCCCAATGCCCATGATGAGGGCAACCTTGCCCGACAAATCAGGGTAGGAAGCATGGGGAGAATCAGCCTCCATGGTGGTGATATGATGTGCGGGATCGTTATGGGGGAGATGGTGGAACACGCGGCTTCATCTTGTCGAGCCAGCACGCCATGGGGGCCTTATACTGATTCGTGCCGGCATTGGCCCCAGTGGGAGCTCCTCACGAGCTCAGAAGATAAGATGATGGGTGAGGGGGTCGGTTCCGCTCGGTAACTTAACTGATTAATTCGCCTCCGCTCGGTCTGGGCCTTTGCTCCGCTTGTTTAGCAGATGCGGAGCACAAGTCTAGTGACCACCGGAAATGGCCCGGACGACATGGGATGGCAGATCGAAAGCAGCTAGAGCTAGGGAGGCGGGATCGGGATGTAGAAAGCCGAACATGGTACAGGGGTATGCGGTCGAAAGTCCCTATTTGAGCTGAAATACAGGCCAAGCCGGCCATCGTTAGGCGACGCTTTTATCTAGCTACGAAGGAAAACATGGTAATAGTTGGACATCCAGCCAAGTCACCACTGTATCGCTAAACACGGGACAGAAAAAGTGGGAGAGGATGGAAAGAAGGACTAGAATTCATTCTCACGGAAACACACAATTATCACACAAACTCATTCATTCTGAGACGAACGATACTGGCAAGGTACATGAACTACAAAACCAAGTAATCTCATGCTCATTGCTTTACTGCCGGCATAATTGGAAAATCTTGACCAACTCACACCCAGAGAAGCATCTAGAGACGCGACAAGAGTTCCAGGGACTGAGCGTATCCAACCACAAGCCGAGCCACAAGAAACACGCTGATACAACCAATATCCTCAAGCAATCCAAGGGAGCCCATCTGCTCTCAACTGTCCCCTGCTGTTCAGCCGTCGATAATAGAGAGTCAGTCCGAAGCACAATGACGCCGAGAGAGCCGCAAATCCTGCATTGACTCCATGACCAAGGCTGTACAGAGGCTTGTCCACTGGACGGTAGATCCAGACGCCGATGATCTGACCAGGGCCAGAGAAGGCGATATTAATGGCCGTGGCTAGTGACATAGCAGTGGTGTTTGTCATATTGTCGCCGATCCATGCGTTTACGGTGGGAAGGCCACTGAAAGCTCCGCATGTCCCGATAATTAAGAGTACATATCTGGCAACGAAATGCTCATCGGGGAGAGCAGCTAAACGGTTTCGTTAGCGTCTGGACGTCATGGCTTCTGGACTTCAATCTGACCTAATATGGTGAATGCTAAAAAGCATATGCTTAGCGAAGACCCCACGATAAGACCGCGTGTGTTGAAGCGATCAGAGAGGAACGAGGCGGTTATCGTCGTCAGGAAGGCGGCTGCATATGGAGGGACAGTAAACAACTGTGCCCGCAGTCCTTCGAATCCCAGACCTAAGACAATAGTAGGCGCGAAAAGAGACAAGGAGCCGATTAAGCAGCCGATTCCCACATATGCCAGATAATGAGCGTACAGCCTGAGATCGAGAAGGGTTGCTTTGGCATCAACCCACGTAATCTTTTGCTTGCTGTTGATCTTAGCAAACCAGACGGAGCAAGCGAATGGCCGACGTGAGAACAAACCTGGATCCCACCTCGCCGAGTCTCTTGCGTTGAAGAGCCTGTTCTTCCTGGGAGAGCCAGCGACACTGCTCCGGGTAGCTGGGGAGAAAGCAAAAAACGCCGACGCCGACAATAACTGCAAAACAAGGTCAATTTGATGACTTTGGTGGATATTCAGACACAAGGTAGATTTCTCACCTGACGGAGCACCCTCAAGGATGAAAAGCCAACGCCATGCTTGCAAGCCACCGGCACGGTTCATAAATCCCACGCCATACGCAATGCAACTGTCCACACATTTCAGAGCGAGTTCCTTGATAAGCGTGCGGATGGGAAGACTTACCCGCCGAACGCTCCCGCTAGGCTGGCACTGCACACGAAGGCGGCAATTCGCAATGCCCGTTCTTGAGGCTTGTACCAGAAACTCAGGTAGTAGACCATACCAGGGAAAACACCAGCTTCGGCCGCTCCGAGAAAGAATCGCAACGCACCGACGGTGTGATAGTTTTGGGCGCCTCCGATACCCATGCAGAAGACGCCAAAGACAAAGACGAGAAACCCAAGCCATCTGTGCCACTGTTAGCGGGTCGAGCTAAGAGTAGATGCTGGCGGGATCAACTTGTTAGGGGAAAGGATCTTGAGAGCTAGATTACTGGGAGCCTCGAAGAGAGAATATGCAATGAGAAACAGCATAAGTGCTATGATATACTCGTGAGAGGTTAGTCCCAGAGTCTCCATGATGTCGTCTCCAGTGTCGGCATTGAGGATGCGGGCGTTTCCTGCGGCATTGTGAGCGAGGAATTGTTCTTGTCTTGCACTAATGGTAATAGATTTGAGCCTACCGATGTTTGATCGATCGAGATAACACAGCAGATAGATTAGCGCCGTGGTTGGGAGGAGCCTGTAGTCGATCTTCTGAACGAGCCTATGAAAATATCAACTCAGCATTGAGATATCGTTTATACAAAGCCATGAAATGAGATTGCCTGACATACCTCTTCTCAATGAGAAGTTCATCATCTGATAGACCAGCGAGAGAAGGACCGGGATGGTTTTCAACCATCTCGATGTCAAACGATTGCTTTGGAGAAGACATAATGACTGATTTTGGAAAGGCGACAGTGGCTACACGAGGGCCTTTTGTTTGATCGAGTTTGTCGTCACGCCTTTCAAACATGGACAACGGCGCCGTCTTAAGTAGGAAAATCAGGAGTTCGAAGACGTGCCCCCTGGCCAAAGAGCGGACAGAAAGTCTGGGGTAAACCTGGGGGTGGAGAACCCCCGCGTCGGTAGAGAGCGCCTCCACAAGCAGCTTGGAGACACATCTGTTGTACCGAAGGCATGCGTGAGGGGAAGACTAACTACGTTCTTGGGATCTCGCTCTAGTCAAAGTCGGGTCCGGCTATTCCGGGCCCTTGTGGGTGCGTGCCAAGGAGAAGGCGGTCTAGATGGAAAATTACGCTGAGCACTGAGTGGCCTTGTTACTGTGATGCGGAGTCGACGAATTTTCCCTGGCACTCACGCTTCTGCCCTTCTCCGGTGGGTTCCTGTCGTCCGGGTCTGGGCCCCTTGTTGGTTCAGTCGGATCCGACTTGGGATTGATAATCATGATTGAGGTAGTGAATTAGTAAATGCATCTGTATGAGGGGCTCTACTTGGAGCCGCAATCAGGGAGCTAATTAAACTTGGTTCATATCGTATCATGGTATTGGGCTTGAAAAGATACCTCTCTGTGTAGGTATGTGTCCTCTACCCTTTGTGGCCACCCTCACAGTCTCAGAAGAGAAACCGCCGCTGGAATCTCCATGAGTGTGCGAAGGCTACGATCAAGCAACTCCAAGGACTCTGGCCAATCAAGGCGATACATCTTGGTGCAAAAGTGGAGGATCGATTTGAATGTCGTACGGAGCCTTCGCACTCAGATCAGACCCCGCAATGATTGCCTATCAGAGAAACCATGCCAACCTGGTAATCTCCGCATTTATTTCGCAATCACTTCGGGAAAGCTTACAAATCAGAATTAAATAACTGGTAGCTCTATGTACAGAGCTCACAAGCCATGATATAAAGTAGCATGGTTAGCATGCCAAGAGAGTCAATCAACCAAACACCCCTTGCCACTCATTCATCATGACAACCAAGATATACGATGACAGCGAGCGAGCTACTCAGCTTCTTGCTGCACAGACGAAAGCTCTTGAAATGTTCGATGAGATTGAGCGCGACCTCATCCGGGCCGGAATCAGCGAAAAGACACTGAACAACGAGATTTACCAGCTTGGTGCAACTCGATATGGCATTGAAACGCATTGGCACAAGCGACTTGTCAGGAGCGGGCCGAATGCTCTCCGACCCTTCCAAGACAACCCCCCAGATCGCGATATTGAGGAGGACGATATCCTTGTCGTTGATCTTGGCCCCGTCTTCGAGTCTTGGGAAGCCGATTTCGGACGGACCTACGTTCTTGGAAACGATCCCGACAAGAAGAAGATCCGAGATGCTCTCGAGCCGATTTGGAACAAGGTCAAAGCTGAGTTCTTGAAGAATCAGGACATGACAGGCGAAGAGCTCTATGATATTGCGGTTCGGACTGCCGAGGAGGATGGATGGTCGTTTGGCGCAGACTTGGCTGGCCACCTAGTTGGATCATTTCCTCATGAGCGGATTCCCCGCGACAAAACAACGCTCTATATCATCAGGGGTAACAAGGTACCAATGAGCACCCTGGGCAAGGACGGCAAGAAGAGGCATTGGATTCTGGAGATTCACCTTCGGGATCACGAGCGAGGGCTGGCGGCATTCTACGAGCAGCTTTTGACTGCTGGATGAAATGGATGTGAACAATTCGAGGTTGGTAATTACCAGTAGATACGGGGGCCCAAATTACGTCAAAGCTATTTAAAACCCCACCAATGCTTCTTTCCTAATTAGGACCGAGTCCGAGGCGCCAAGCATGTAATTTAGTAACTCGAGCTGATTGGATATGACTTTCATGGACGAATAAAAGATTGAGCGCTAATTCCTATACCCACTTGTACGTGTGTCAGCTGTAAGGGGAGGGAGGGGGCAACTCAGAACTTTCCGGGAGTCCTTCAAGATGATTCTGAATAAAATCTCCCATTACAATACCGAGCCACTGCTTCTCCTTGCCGAAGAAAAAGGCATCATGCCTGCGAACAAACGAAAACTCCCTTTGCAACCCAAACCTGAACCCCATCATCTTCGGCTGTCGAGCCGATCAAGAAGGATCCGTTACGCAGCTGACACCGAAAGCGATAGCGAAACAACTTGCAGACCAATTCCGGTCGTGTCGCCGAAACGATCGAGTCATAACCAGCGGAACAACGCTAAGTCGGAGGAGTCGGGAGACGAGTATGTCGACGAGTCAGAAGAGGGTGAAGAAGAGGATGGGGATGACGAAGATGACGGACACGAGCTAGCCAACGACGATAACGATTCAGAGCGAGAACAAGCCGAAATAGGTCAATCTCATGGAGACCTGGACGAAGACGAGTCGCCAAGATTGACGATAATTCCCCTCGAACAGATGAGATCGGCTGGCGGTGTCGAATACGTCGGCTTCAGGGTTCATCCAAACAGCTTGATGTTTCTGACAGACCTGAAGAATAATAATAAGAGAGCGTGGCTGAAAGGTAGTGAGGAAACACGAAGCTGCTGGATCCAGGATACTAACGCCCTAGAGCCCATGATGGAGAGTTCCGTCGAGCTTTTTTGGACTGGGAGACCTTTGTCGAGCGGACAACATCCTCGGTCATGTCCATTGACGACACCATCCCTGACTTGCCAGCCAAGGATGTCATGTTCCGCATATACAGAGACCTGCGCTTCAGCCCCGACAAGAAGCCATACAAGGTAACCGCCGCGACGACCTTTCAAGTGCTACTGTGAGTCTTAGGAGTGACAACTTCCAGGCACACTTTTCGGCAGCGTGGTCCCGCACGGGACGGAAAGGGATGTATGCCCACTACTACATCCATTGCGAACCGGGAGCATCTTTCATTGCCGGCGGCATCTTTGCTCCGAATTCTCAGCAACTGCAGCGACTCCGTTCCAGCATCGACGAGAGACCAAGACGGTGGCGTCGAGCCTTGAACGAAAACAGGTTCAAGCAGTGTTTTCTACCAAACGTTGCGTCGGGGTCTGGAGAGGACGAGGCGCTGAAGCATTTTGCTCGCGAGAACAGGGAGTCGGCTCTCAAGACAAGGCCAAAGGTGCGCGACACGTAGTCGGATACGGAGTCATGGGGCTGACGGATTACCAGGGATTCATTGCTGACCACCGGGACATCGAACTCTTGAAGTTGAGGAAGTTTACCGTGTCCAAGAAGATCCCGGACGACTTGTTGTGTGCAGACGACACGCAGGACAAAGTCACAGAGATTCTGAGGCCCTTGGTGGGATTCGTAGGTTCATGGGAGGCTAGCAGACTTGAATCCATTACTGACACCTGTAGATCACCTTTCTCAACAGCATAGTCATGCCGGATGACGACTCGAATATTTCAGGAAGTGACGGTTCGCAGGGGGACGCCTAGGTTTCGCTGTCCTCGGCCATGGTGACTAGCATTTTGCGGTGGACCAGCGGCTCTGGTCAAGCCACTCGAAGTCGACCCTTCCAGAAATGAAAACCTAGGGAATTTTCCCTGCAATAAGTAGTCACATCCGTGTTAGTAGTGGGTATGATGAGTTGTGTGGTGCCGTCAATATTAATAGTTGGCCGTGTATCCCTCGTCTCAAGATGACGTTCGCTCATGAGTCGCCTCGCAAGCAGTCTCCTCCACCGGACCAAAGTGGACATCATCGACTTAGAAATTGCTAGTCGTCGATTGACGAGCCATGGATCAAGGAAGGGCTGAAGGTTTTGGTTTCTACGGGGCTACCCTGACCGATGAGAGGCACTCTACGTACAGTAGACATGTGCTTTGCCCGTTGTCGACTTCCTATAATGAGGGATCCATGTGTGGTGACCCTATTCTAGGCATCTATAACAAAGACTGTCCACATAGAAATAGTCTGAATGCTGAGCCTGTTCCCCCAACAGCCGTCTAGTCTCACGAGCGCCTCTGTCCATGTTGACAGTCATCTGACCTTCTCCTGCCTCGAGTAGTGACTGGTTGACCCGCTAGGACTTGGGATAATCTGCATCGTCTCCGTTAGAGTAGTTATTGGTTTGTCTTCTCTGGGAAGACACTTGCCTGTGATGGTGCGTTCTGAGTTACGCCTTGTCACCTCAACCTCGTCCCCGACATTGATGACAACTGCGTCAGCTTCGCTCGAGGTCGATGTAAGGAAACCATATCTGCCAAATATCGGACTCCATTTCGCGCCTGGGTCAACTCTCCTGTCTTTGCTTAGTTTCCTCAGGACCTTGCCTGCCTCGGTCTTGCCAGCCTTGCCAGTGGCGTAGTCGACGTTGAGGCTGCTGCATCTCGCGCAGTTTTGCGTCAGCTTCATTGTTATGGTCCCACGAATTCGCAGGTCGGCCCAATAGTCTTCTTCATACTCTTCTTTGGCTCCAGACACAACAAGGTTGGCCCGGAACTTGGTAATATCCATCTGCTCATCGTCGGGAAGCCTCTTGTTGACGTCCTCGTAGCTCTTCTGGCTGATGATGAGATAGGCAGCAAGGTCTGCAAACGTAATCAAGGGCTCGCCTTTCCATGGCCATTTCCTGAACTGTTGTACAAGGACCATGCAGCTTGCAAGAATCATTACCCCGGTGATTGCCCAGGAGATTTGGCTTGCCGGGCTTGATGAAAGTAAAGAGTACACCAGCAGCAAGGTCACCGGGATGGCTGTTAACGAGAGATGAAGTGACTTGGACATCCCAGACGCTACTCCTTGGCCCATATTCCCTAGGACCTTTCTTCGATAGTCTCCAATGTAGAGCAGCTTGACAGGGTATCCCAAGCGACGACTGAACCAGTGATTGTACTTTTCTCCCATGTCGTAGGCCGAGCATGGACTAAAGTGCATTGTTACAGTGACCTGCGCCAACTCCTTCACATCCGGCTCCAGGGGTACTGATAAGGTAGACTGTTCAACGGGCTCAGAAGGTTTGTCGAAGGTATGACTCAGGCCATATTGGACCTCGATGCTTCGAGGGCCATCCTCAGGGGTGAGCCTGGTGGTGAAGAGGCAGAGGGCAGGTCGAAGTCCGATATGGAGGTTCTCCTTCTTGGCGACATCCCAGAGCATGAAATGGCGGTCATATGCGAAGCCAGTGGGCCTGGCATGTATTGAATGAAGCGATACCCCCCTGAGGGACTTGATGGGATACGTGTAGATCTGATTGTCTCAGTACGCAGCTGTATCAAGGACGCGACTCGCAAGACGGAACACAAACATACCGCTTCAACACGGAGAGGCATGGTGGCTGTCCGAAGCTGCGTCATCAGCTCGTATCATAAACGGTATCTACTCTCTTGCCTGCGTAATGGCTCAGTTATTGACAGGGGGATTATTGACAAGGCGAGAACTTGTTGTGTCCAAAAACTGAGGGATGCAGACACTGAAGCGGCAGCGTCGGAGGCGAGCCTTGGGTGCAAAGATTGGCCTTTGTACCAATACGTCAACACCACGGCGGCGCCGACTAGCTTCCCCACTGGCGTCACTAGGCTTCGCTGGTTTTCTTGCCCTTTTGAGAAAGTTTCCAGTGGCAAGGGCTTTCCCAATCCTCCGCACGGCAGAGCGCTATCATGGGTCCGGCCGTATCGCAAACCCATTAGCCCCGGTAATTCCCATCTCGCACCCATGCTCAAAGCGGTAGGAGTAACAAAATAGCCTCGTTTTTGAGTCGGGGGCTTTATCCCTAGCATCCCTGTGGCTGCGGGGTAAGCGATACGTAGGTATCGCCAACCTTGTGCTTTGAATCAAAGATATGTCGACTGTGTTTTGGGTCGACCGACCGGAATCGCATTCCATGATATTTAAACGACGTCAAATCCATCTTATTCAGCCTTAAAATCAAGCCATACTCAGCTTCTCTTCCCCTCATCGCGTGGCTGAAACCGAGAACATGCACCCTCCAAATCTAGAAGGCGGCGATAAGTCGCGTGCAGAAGACCACAAGGGAATTGACGGTATGGCCAGGCCCGAGTCTATTGCCATGGGCGAGCAGAAGAACCTCTCCCCCGATGCTGCCAAACTCATAGGTATGTCGCCGAAATGCCATTCCAAGCAAATCTCATTGAGAACTCGCCTCTCCTGACCTCGCTAGCCATGGGCTACAAGCCGCAGATGAAGAGAGAGATGAGCACCCTTCAACTCGTTGGAGTTGCCTTCATGGTTACCGCATCGTGGCTTGGTGTGACAGGCGGCTTCTCGACTGGTGTTGTCATTGGCGGCTCAGCTTCTCTCGTCTACGGCCTCATCATTGTCGCCGTCTTCAACATCTTCTTCGTCACCACCCTGTCTGAGCTGGTCAGCGCCATGCCCAACGCTGGTGGTCAGTACTACTGGGTCACCAAGCTGGCTCCCGGGAAACTTGCTCGTCCGTCGGCCTACTTCACAGGGATCTGCAATCTCGCTGGAAGCATTATTGCCTCGGCCGGTGCTACGGTACTGATAGGCCACATGGTCCTCGCCATGGCAAAGCTCACCCATAGCAACTAGTGAGTCGGATCTATGGACAACACCTCGGACAAGTGCAACGAGTGCTTTTACTAACCCCAATCAGCGTCATCAAGGAATGGCATGTCTACCTGATCGGCGTTGCGTTCAACTTTTCGACGTTCATCATCAACCTAAACAGAGAAAACGTGGTTAAAGGCTTCTCGATCGGAATGTTTTTCAACATTTTTGTTTGCGCTGGCATAATTATTATCATTCCTGCTGTCAGCAAGTCCCACACCGAGCCATCGTTCATCTTCGGCAGCGTCGAGAACATTAGTGGCTGGGAGTCAAAGGGCGTGGCCTTCCTCGTCGGCTTGATCAACGCAAACTACAGCTTCGGCCTAATTGATACGGCGGTTCACATGTGTGAGGAAATCACGGAGCCGGAAAAGAACGTCCCCAAGGCTCTGTACCTCACCGTCGGCATCGGCTTCATCACGGCTTGGCCACTTGCCGTCCTCCTCATGTACTGCATGACCGACTTTGACGCCATCGTCAATACCGAGACTGGCTTCCCGCTACTCGAGCTTTTCTACCTCTCTCTACGAAAGAGCAAGGCCGGGGCGATTGTCATGATGTCATTTCTCATCGTCACTTGGACATTTGCTCTCGTGGCGCTCCACGCCTATCAGTGAAGAATCTGCTGGTCTTTTGCTCGCGATAATGGCCTTCCGTTCTCCCACCTGTGGTCTAGGGTGCACCCCAAGCTCAACATTCCGCTTGAAGCCCTGATCCTGTGTGCCTCCATGAGCAGTATACTATCGGTGCTGTGCGTTGCCTCCACCACAGCTTTCAACAGGTAACGAGCCCTTTCACCCTCACGATTCCCTTACTGACTCCTCTCGTAGTCTGGCTGCTGGCGTTATCATTTTTCCCTCCCTCACCTACACTCTTCCGGCCTTCTATTCCTTGCTACCTCGGAATAAAGAGGTCAAGGGCCCATTCCACACCGGACTTTTTGGGACCTTCTCAAGAGTCATGACCATTTCCTTTTGCCTCTTCGCCACAGTCGTTTACTCTTTTCCATATGTCATGCCTGCCACTGGATCTAGTAAGTCAAGCATCCACCTGTCAGAAACGGTAAATGGCTCGTTTCCCGCTGCTAACCGAACCGGCCAGACATGAACTATGTTTCCGCTATCATAGCTGTTATTTTCATCGGGGCAACCATCGACTGGATCTTCCGTGCGCGCAAACACTTCACCATCAGGTCAACTGGAACTACTAATTAGGCGCGCCATTACGGTTGCAAACGGTATAGGTGCCTGCGGTCGTGAGCGGAGTGTCCAATCTGGCCATGAGATTGAGCCTATCGTTGAGACAATGCCTCAAAAACGCTTTGCCATCCCGCGGTTCGTCAAAATGCCAGGACTCTAGCCAGCATGTTACTCTGTCGGAGGTTGTGCAAGGGAAATTCTCATATCCAAATATACGAGCTTGTTTGGTCCTCCCAACGATCGTCTATAATTTTAAGTGTCTGGTATCTCTGTTGTGCCTTGTCCCTTTCGTAGCGATATATACTCAAAAGGAAATATTGTTTGATCTCTTGAGCTGATTACATGTTATCAAGTGCTCTTTGTGATACGTTGTTCGGCTTTTCGAAGCGATGCATCGATTGACTTTATGGTAACTGGATGGTCTCAAATTCGCCTTCCCGAAATTACTGGCATCTTAAGAACACGATGGAAAGTGTGAAGGAGTGTGTTCTCTTGATGGGGTCGTGAAACAACGATCAAATATCAACGCGTGTTTGGCAACCGAGAGAAACCCAAGTACTCTAACGGTACCTATCGCCACTACCCCGAACTTGTTCATTGAGCGCGAATGTATTCCTAATGCTGCAAGTCAAAATATTGAATTTTAATTTGATATGAATTCTGTAATCTTTTCAGGGAATGAGGACCTAGAAAAGCCATGGTTTTAGTTTCCTGGTCCTCAATCTATCTGCCTATGTGATATATTGACGAAGTCCGGACATGTTTTCCTCCCGTAAAATTTTCAACCTGTGCACACTCATTTTCGACAGTAACCTTCTTGCTACTTAATGTTCTGACGGATCACCGTGGTTGGTTGTGTGAGATCACTTCCCCTCTCTGTAGCTGACGGCCATCTGGTGCGGCTGAGGGAGAGACAAATACGCAGCCTGTAGGACGCAGCAATAGCAAACCCGTAGGCACATCTGGATATAATTTATTCCCTTAGTCTTTGGCTCTTCTATCAAAAGATCTGTGGTCACTTGACCACCAGACGCTACGTCCCTGCAGTGAACGCATATTGGACCAGAGACTGACCCATCAAAGATGACTATCCCTGTTTACATGTTGCACCGATGCCTTCTCGCTGTCCTCATCTTCCAACTCGATGTAAACAGATTTTATACTGCTGTACGCCTTGATCCCCGCATCTCCCAGTTCTCGTCCAATACCAGATTGCTTCACCCCCCCAAACGGAACCCGAATATCCATGTTGTTGCTGCAATTGACCCAAACAGCTGGTCGCGAGAAATCACGTCAGTCTCAAGATTCTCAGTAATGTCATCATAGAATGTAATAACTCACTCCCACTCTCAATCTTTTTCACCACACGATGAATCCGTGATACATCTTTGGTAAAGAGTGCAGCGCCAAGCCCGAAGATGGAATCGTTGGCTCGTGCCACTGCCTCGTTCTCCGAACTGAACTTCATCATCACAGCGACGGGTCCGAAAATCTCCTCGCGACATATTCTCATATCATCGTGCACGTCAGTAAATAGTGTCGGTTCCACAAAGTATCCTTTCTGGTTGGGCCTTTGATTCCAGGTTCTTCCACCAGTAGCGAGGGAAGCGCCTTCTGACAATCCGATTTCAATATAATCCAAGACCCGATCATGTTGTGCCTTGCTGATTAAAGGTCCCTGGAAGGTATGTGGACTAAAAGGATCTCCCAATGGTGCACTTCGAATTTGCTGAAGGAATATTTTCAAGAAGGCATCGTGGACGAGCTCATGGACCAGAATGCGGCTATTCGCTGTGCAATTCTGTCCCGCATCAGACATGATACCCAAGTGTGCCCAGTAGGCAGCCTTGTATAGGTCTGCATCTGGAAAAATAATCATAGGAGATTTCCCGCCTAGACGATTGTCAGTCTGCGTGGACTCTTAGAATCAACCACCCCTGGGAATAGTCACCAGTCTCAAGAGAAATTTTCTTGAGGGTATTGGAAGCAAGCCGCATGATTTGCTTTCCTGTGTCTGTTGAGCCGGTAAAGGCGACTTTGTCGACGTCCGGATGGCCTGTTAAGGCTGCGCCTGCGGTTTTCCCGAGGCCATTTATCACATTAACAACGCCAGGAGGGAAACCAGCTTCTCTGATGAGGCTAGCAAGGTACAGTACTGAGAGTGGTGTTTGTTCTGCTGCTTTCAATACCACGCAATTCCCGGCAGCGAGGGCTGGTGCAAGTTTCCAAGCAGCCATGTTGAGAGGAAAGTTCCAGGGGATGATTTGACCGCATACTCCAATGGGTTCCTGAAGCGTGTAAACATGCTGGTTGTCAGACACACCAATCACTTAATGTATAGAGTGCCACAGTCAGTTAAGTTCTGAAAGTACACAAATGAAGGGTACCAACCTTGGCCAGGTTGCTTGTCTGCATATCCAGCATAGTATGTCAAGACGTCGACAACCTCGCAAACGCCAAATTCCAAGGATTCATGATATGGCTTTCCTAAAATGAAAAAGATGGAGGTTAGAAATGTTCAGTCCCATGTACGGTATCTAACCGCGTCCAACTAGACGGCTTTAAATACCATTGTCCCAGGTTTCGATGGTAGCAAGCACTTCCTTATGGGCTTCTACCAAGCCAGCAAGGCAAAGCAGTAGTCTACCACGGGCTGCAGGGGAAAACTTCCTCCAAGGCCCATGGAAGGCGACACGAGCGGCGTGTACTGCATTGTCAACATCCTCAACGCCTGCTGAATGAACGGAGATGATTTCCTGCTCGTTTCTGAAGAGCCCGTTAGCCCCAGTATCATCTTGATTGTCATGAGAAGACACTTGACGTACGCCGGATTAATTGTTGTGATTGTTTCTGATGAAACTGCGGCCACAAATTCATTGTTAATGAAAAGCCCCACCGGCTGCGCGTAACAGACGCCGTTGGGTGCCTCAAGTTGCACAATGAGATCTGAGTCCGGAGACGCCATTCTATACAGTATTGAGCAAGAAAGATGTGACTTATCAAGCTCAAATAATCAGACCGGTGTCTCTACTGTATTTAAATAAGGCTGTGGCAGTGTAACGAGAGAAAGAAATACGAACACACAGATGATTTACGTTGACTGACCAGAGGATTTCCCCACCCTAGACCAATGGGGCTTCGTAGTGGCTACCTTTGCTGAGCAGGCCACCTCGGAAATTGACTGGATGAGGAAACAGTAGCAGGGTATTGGTACTGTTTTAGTACTAATAGTGGTCTACAGGAGTACCCACTCACTACATGAGCCGAATATAGTGATCCGGGTATATCGAACGCTAGAATTGATCATCACAAATAACTCGCAAATCATACAAACCCCCAAACTGAGCGATCCCAATGTAAATTTTGACAAGCCCTTTTATTTCATTGATAAATGGCATTTAAAATGAGGGGCATCCATGCAATACGATTCATGCATGTCAAGAATAGTTGATGTTACTACCTACCCTAGAGTGAGATCAGGATTGGATGATTCATGGTAGTAATGTTAACCCCCCGTCGCAGCTAACATGCATTTTGACTCGGGCCATAAGCCACCCGGCTTAATATCACTCTAGAGCGGTTCAGTGCCAATTCAAATCGAGCATCCTCCGTACCAACCGAATATTCCGCCTAGGTTGAGGGGGGTTGAGTCGGCATTAAACACAGAGTGGAGATCTCGCTTTCTGTCCTAAATAGGAAATATCTATCACGCCGCTATGCACTAAGTTAAGTAGCGCAGTACATCCCTGTATGAGCTATTTCTCGTCGCTGATTTCGTGCCACAGGGTATACGGCCTTCCAATCCCAACTTCAAATGATAACTAGCGACCTCAAAGATACAGCTCAGAGGATAAAGAGCGGGTGCCTAATTGAGACCATTGCCGAATCATGGGGCACCCGAATACCGCGGCTCATACCTCATTAAGATAGTAGTCCGGAAAGGCAGATAAGGTAAAAGAGGAAGGCCTGGGTTTCAGGGCTAGTCACCGCGGCAAGGGACATAGAGGTGTGTATAAACTCCATCACTGACTTTCCAAAATTTCGACTTGTGTACGCTTTTGGTTGCATTGACATGATGAAGTTCGTTACGTCCATGGAGAGACTCAGCCTCCTGGCCTCAGTTGCTGCGGCTACGTGTAAGGAATGCTCGGGTCCTACATTTCCCGTGCCCGTGGCAAACATTCTTAACGGCAGTTACTACGGCGAAAGAATTGAACAGTCCTACACGGAAAATTTCCTGGGAATCCCCTACGCCCAGCCCCCAACCGGTCATCTTCGCCTCCAACTGCCGCAGAGTGTGAACTCGACGTGGTCCGGGACGAAGAATGCAACAGGGTATGGATACGGCTGTGTGGGCCTGGGCGAGGATACTCAGATCGCAATTGATAACTACGTCAAATATAGCTCGTCGGTCTGTATCGTAAGGCGGGAAGGGCGAGACATCTTATTCTGTTGGGATAGTGGTTCGTCGAGGTGTGTGAGAGGATACAAGGATGGCTGGAATGAACGAGGGACTGCAGAGCGTTTATATCCATCAGGATTTTGCATTTTCCAAGATCTAGCTTTTCCAGCAGATCTAGCTTTTTCAAGATACAGCTGTTACCTGCAGCTTATAAAGGTATTGGGAAAGGTAACCAGTTAGACTAGAAACCTTAGTCTATCTGAGTATATTGTTAATCTTTAAATGGACTGGGTATATAGTCTGTATTGTTGATACTATTGTTAGTGTTTTTTTTTCTACTGTTGAGCTTCTAGTCCCCCCTCTGGGTATGTGTGTACTAGGGCACTCTACCCTCTTGATAACTACGTCAATGAAGACTGTTTAACCTGAATGTCGTACGCCCTGCTGGATATGATGGAAATGCTAAACTTCCGGTTCTTGTTTGGATACATGGGTAAGCTCAAGCGTCTGTGCCTATATCACTCCTTGGGTTAATGCCATGCACAGTGGAGGATTCGTCGAGGGTTCAAGCAGAGATCCTCGCTATAATCTTACCTCTATCGTCGAACAGTCCGCCAAAATCGGAAAACCAATCATAGTAGTCAGCTTCAACTACCGTCTTCTTGCGTATGGCTTTGCGCGGTCGAAGCAAATACTGGATGCTGGACTTGCAAACTTGGGATTGAAAGATCAACGGTAAGACCAACCCAACTGTGCCGAACCTGATCCTTTGCAGGCTCGCTGTGCCAAACACACTTTAGTTTGGCCTTGCATTGGGTGCAAGAAAATATTGCAGGATTCGGCGGTGATCCTGAGAAAGTGACGATTTGGGGGGAGAGCGCGTGAGTGAACATTCCCAGATATCTTTCAACCAAAGCTAAAGCAGTGTGAAACGTGTGCAGCGGCGGATTCTCGGTTGGATATCACCTCCTCGCTTATAATGGCCGTGACGACAAGCTATTCAGAGCAGCCATTTCAGAATCCGGCCAACCCATTGGCATGGCTCTTCTTGTTCCAAGTGAAGGTATACACAAAAATGGCAACCCAGGGGATCCTTGACCACTAACATTTTGTTTAAGCTCAAATAGAGGCTGCCTTTCACAACTTTACTTTGCGGGCCGGGTGTGAAACCCATTTGGACAAACTCGCTTGCCTACGGTCTCTCTCTCCTGAGAAATTTCTCGCTGCACATAACAACGAGGCATCCGGCTTTTGGCCAAGTGTTGACGGGGACTTTATCGCTCGTCCTACGCTCAACCAACTGAGTACGGGGAATTTCGTTAAGGTACCTTACCTTGCCGGAGATAATTCGGACGAAGGCACTGCATTTTCTCCTTTCGGAGTCAACTCTGACAGCCAACTCTTTGACGTTCTATCTCAATTCGGATTGGACAATGCTACGGTATCAGAGCTGATGGCACTATATCCCAATAACCCGGCGCAGTTAATCCCAAACTCTCATCCAGCCCAGTTCAATTCCACAATCGGTCTTCAATGGAAACGAATTGCTACAATAGTTACTGATGCTTTAATGTCAGTCCCAAGAAAACTGATGATTGAAGCAATGGCAAAGAAAAGCACAGCTCCTATATATACCTACTGATTCAACACTATCCCGAACGGCGTTGAAGATGTATGGAGCGTTACGCATTTTATGGAAATGGCCTTTGTCCTAAATAACCGCGATGGTATTGGTTATACCGACGTCAGCCAGCCTTACTTGGGACCAAACCCCTTCGCGGGAAAACCTCAATCGTATCTGGATCTGGCAGATCTCATGAGCCGAATGTGGGTGTCCTTTGCTCACGATTTGGACCCCAATTGTCACCCTCGTAAGTCCCCATGCTGCCTGGTCGCTTTCACACTCTGTTCTCTAACGTTCACTACCCAGACCACGGACCTAATTGGCAGCGGTACAAGTTGTCGGACAAGAAACAAATTGTGTTTGACGCGGTTAATGGAGTCCATCTAGAGTATGTCTACGCACTTCGGGCCAATGCTACTAGATTTATTATGGACTATCTGTGGAAGCAAGTCAGAAATTAAGGAAGTTGGCTTGAGATAAATGAAGTAGATATAGTATCTAATTTCTCTGCCTTTATCCACTCCCCTTCCTAACCTTGCAACCCTAGTGACTCGCAACCTTAACTCCTTGGTAACCTCGCCTGAACCAACTCAATATCACTGGCATTTCTTTTCTTTCCACATTCCCGTGAATTTTGATCGACCGTATTCAAGTTGGACAAGCTGTGAGATCCATAATGTCGATCCCCGTATGATACTGGGTATGGGGCGGTAACGACTTCAAATCCTGCCTCAACCGGTCTCGTGCTTGTCGAGTTGGTATATATATTCGAATAAGGGTCATGCTCAGCACCGCGCTTTGTCCGAAAGTAAGACCCGAGAGACGGCAGGGAGGCTACCAAGAGTGAGATATTGCTGTCAAGACTGCACCACAGCTCTATAAGGGGGACGATATTGGTTAGCCTTTGAATTGATATAGATACCGGGGGGAGTGTTCAATACGTACCAAATAAACTGAGAGGAGAGGCATTGGCGTCGCCATTTGCAGTTTCAATTGCAGTAAATCGGAGAACGCAGAATGCGATGTTAATAATACCAAGGAAAAAGATGAAATATAGACAAATTCTAAGCGTTCCTTTTAGCTGTAGCCCAGGGATAATTAACCATGGGATAGCAAAGACTACAGACTTTGTTTAGTATTATCCGTCTCTCTACCGACTGGGATTTCCAGTTTGCTTACTTAACACATCTCCAGCAAAATGCAAAGCCCAAGTCAACTCAAAAGCCAACGCATACGCTGAATAAGGGCATACAGTTGCAGGGTCGACAGACCTGACCAGATTAGTATTAAAACGGGCTGGATTGTATTTCACTTACCAATACGACTTGATCGGGCGACAAACAAAGATCATTGTAAGAACACTACTTAGGAATGAGAGAACAGCCACGATGACTGTCATCCAGATGAATAATCTCTGTTTCACCATGAAGTGAGGAAACACTTGAAGGTACAGAGCTAGAAGTGTTCCCTTGCACAGGTAAGCAGCTGTAAAGAAAGTAAAGCTTCCGATCCAGTACAGCTAGGTGTGTCTATTAGCTGCCATTGTAGAAGTGTAGTCTGATCCCGATTCTGCATTTTGACGTTAATAACAGGTGCTCACCTTCAGTATTAACTGTTTTTGTTCAGTAGTGCCTTTGAAGCCTGCCAAGGTCGTAGTGACAATTGGGTCAAGCGCGCCAAGTCGTGCAAACTTGATGTCAAATCCGGAAGTCACACAGGCAGCTAACCACGCAGCGCACATGAGAATATCGTTCATCAATAGTTTCTCCCGTTGGATTCTAAGCCGTAGGTTGAGCCGAAGACTGATGACGACAGCGGTGATGCTGATGAGAATCCATTCTGACGCCTGTGATGGTGGTACATTGCATCATTAGCGACGAAGTCAAAAGGTTGCGCGTGCGGGGCGAACAATAACTGCGACCGGGCCGGGGCCATGGCTCAGCATTAGCCCTGCGGTCGCCCAGATGAGCGGTCAATCCGGAGAGTGAAGCCAGGGCGTTCGAATATTGCTACCCGAGGGTCCTGAGGTGGTGGGTTGAGCGCGGAGTCAATCGTGCCAAGCACCATGAGCTGGCCGTGTGGACCGAGAAAGAGGTCATAAATACTGTTGGATCCGTTACGGACTATTCGATCAAATGGATAAGGATCAATGCAGTGATGATGATGTTGATGCTTCCTTGTTCCGGTCATCCGGATCGGCCCGGAAGAGGGGTTATCAGACCCCCCTTCTGACTAAGGTCAGGATATCCATCTATCAGAGGTTTCGTAATACAGGGTCACAATCCAACAAATACGAAATTAACAAGACCCCTCGAGATGTGACTCCGGATATATTCATCTGCCGTGCCGAGATTCCGAATTGAAACCTCGCTGCGTGGCGTTGGCTTCAGTCGTTGGTGTGCTAAGCTAGATGAGGCATGGGCACCAGCACAGTGTGGAGGTCCTACCGCGCATCCAAAAGCTTGATTTATTTAGTTGGTTTGATGTAATCCAGGGTAGGTTTATTAGAGCCATTTGTTGCCATGAAACCGCTATCGTCAATGGCTTGGATGAACTGTAATGGTGGGTTATAATCATGGATGAGCTACACATCTTATGTTCGTAGCTTTAATATCATGAACGAACCACAAAGTCACATTTATTCTCGTGATAGAGATTGAGAATAATCCTCTCAAATTATTTGCCAAGTGTCTCTCGATAACAAAAATGTAACACCATATGCACCTTGCCCGTTTGTACATGCAACAGCGCATTGGGCTCTTTAGTTGTCCATGCAGCTCTGTTTCCTCAATCAACCATTCATTTACTAGGCGTAACTAGCGTTACCCCGTGTAACATCGCTGATGAGTGGAACGAAGAATAAGTGGGAATGGAGAGAGATGGAGTTCACAGATGTTGAGAGATATAGTACTGTGAGGGACGAAGCGGCGCCTCTCGGTCATTTATTGTTGCTTGTACCTTGAACGCTTTCACGGAGAAAATCAAATCAACTGGGGTGTATCGAGGACTAATTATGGGACACGGGGTGTTCAGCTGGTCATGGGTATGTGAAGACCGTTTTGACCTTGGCCCGGCATGGTTCATGTGAGGTGGACGATACAAAATTGCTTCAAACTGCTCGAAAAGTATTTCAGCAACCAAGAAGATGGATTCCTCCTACTTAAGCTAATAGATAGCAGTCGCACTCTTAATATATAATACTAAACTTCAAGTAGTTAACTACACTTTAATACCTCGCAAGACATCTACCACCAGCCGCAAATACGCCTGCTGGAGCACAGTGGCAACAACCTCACGCGACTCATCCACCTCCGTCCGGAATTGGACGTCCTCGAGACCTCCTATGCAGGCCCTCACTGCGTCGCGATACCGAGAACCCATAATTGCAGCGACGTGCTCGAGCAGTGCTGGCTCATCGATGAGAAGACGCTTCCTGACGTACTTGAGATCGTGCAGCGACTCTTTCGAGTATGACTTCTTTGCAAGAGGCTCGTTCATCCTCCCCGCAGTCTCGCCAGGGCCTCCCGGCGCCTTTGGAGGCTGCTTGAAGCCGAGAATCTCGTCGGCCGGTTTCCACCAGGCAATCTCTAGCAGGATGATGCCCATACTGTACATGTCGAACGTCTTGCGGTACCCCACTTTGTCGACGCCTAGGTAGTCCGGGTGCGTGTAGACAGCCCAGGCCTCGGAGGCCGCAGTGGAGGTCAGGTCTTGCTCATCTGGACGGGAGTATTCGAAGCCGCTGATGTAGGGCTGGGTATAGTCTGGGATGCCGCCCCGTGTCGGGATGAGCACGCTCTCGTCGCGGAGACCCTTGTGAAGCCAATTGACGGCGTGGAGGAAGTAGAGGCTGGTAGCCAGCTCAGTCGCCAGGCTGATACGGCTCTGAAGAGGAGGCGGCGGCTTGTCCTGGAGCAGGAGCAGTTGAGACAGCGATGTGATCTCGCTCTCCGCCGCCCGTGGTGCCGTACCGTTCACCCTGTAGATGAGCCCGAACCGTTGGTTGTCGTCGACGTAGTACCCGGCACATAGTGGCACGCGGAACTGCGTCGGCCGATCGTCCATGTGTAGGATGGCCACCAGCCGCTCGAGGTTGGACGTGACAAGCCTCGTGGGCCGGTAGTAGAATTGGCCAGGCTTATCCTCGTACTCATATCGAACGCTACGATACGGCTTCCACTCGACCCATGCCGCTCCGCCCATATAGGTCGCCGGGACCCGATAATCTGAGGTTTCGGTCGCTCTCGTGTCGTCGAGGCTCAAATTCTCCGGTTGTTGCTCGTTGGGCTTGACCTCGAGCTTGAGACTCTTGAGCTTCAACTCGCCGTCATCTGGCTGAGCCTCCAGCTTGGCTATGCTGTATCGGAATTGTGTCAGCTGCGCGAAGAGTGTCTGTGGACGCTCCGATACAGCCCCGACGGCATCTCCCAGCGGCAGCCAGGAGCGCATTTCCGACTCTATACCGCGTCGGCTGGTTGCAATCTCGACTGCCTGGACCAGCTCCTTCATCTCGTCCATGGAGCTCGTCATCTGCAGCATGGCCATGCACGTCTCCTTGGTCTGCTCGATCAGGATGCTCATCTGGTGGTCGCCGAGGGTCTCGTGCAGGTAGTCGGTCAGCTCCACGTGAGAAGATTACACCAATAAGACTAGCAGGATTATGGTGAAAGAGATAAGAGTGAGAGCCTCTTAGCCAATAAGTTACACGGGTCGGAGACTTACTCCAGTGGACGGACAAAGAAGTTCGGCCGTGCATACCGGGCAGGTATTGTTAGCACATGGCAAACCCAGCAAATGCATTGAGTCCCATACTTTGATAGGTATATAGAGGCTTCCCACCCATCTCAGAGGCCTCTGTATGGTCCCTCCTTTCTCCTCTTTTATGTGCAATAAGATTGTCGGCAGATATCCTACGAAGCGACTTGAACTCAGTTCTTTTTTCCATTCTACAGATATTGGTAACCAAGCGGGATTCACACAGACTCGCGTGTGGTACTCACTCCACTGAACTGCGTATCCGGTATGGCGAAGTCTTGTGCTCTTTGTCTCGAGCTCGACGAGTTCATGTTGACGCGGTTCAATCCGGACGCGAACGAAATTGTTGGTATGTTGAGAGGAATGTTCTGGAGGACACGTCACTGGGCACGTGGCATCGTGGAGAGGTCTAAAGGGATGTGGACTGTCGACTTTGCTTCTGTTGAGGACTGTGTGATCGCTTGGAGTGTGGCAAAAGAGAGTAACAATCTGTCACACGTACAAAGGTTTGTGACTCTCCTGTTTATTCTTTCTTTGCTTGTGTTGCACGGGCAATCCCACGATCTAGACTAACAGAGTGATCTAGAGCCACTGTCCTCGATGAGCAGGGTCAAGAGGTTCGAGTATTGTATACGAGAATCGGTGATCTCTTTGAAGCATTTCCACACCTTGGTGAGATGGAAGCAGATATTCAGAACATGTCCTCGCAACAGAAGGAGGATCAACGTCACATAGATTTTACTGATACCGAAAATGGGAAAAAACCCCGATAGGGCCAGAGTGTCTGGGGGCTAGAGTTATGAGTACAATCCAGAGCGATAGTGGTATATGGTTTAATTGCTCTTTTATTTATGCTCGAGTTAGCTGAAACAGGTGGTATCTCAATCTCACTATTTATTTGTAATATGATGCGTTTGTGATTCACATGTTGTCATTCCAGTCTAGACCATTTCAAATAAAGTCTCATAGAGTAAGTTCTAAGCCATAGCTGGTCTAATTTATCAGCCCTCATCTCGTGAATGCCTGGAATCCTCCGGATATCTCTTTGTCAACCCATTCCAAATACGACCGCAAACCACCGAAGTAAAAGTTGGTGCTTGCCTTACGCCCAGGAATATTCTGACTGAAGATCCAGCTGGCGGCCTTGGTGAATAGGGAGCCTTGTATCATGCGATTGCAAATATCTGACCATCCTTCCTCAGCCTCCTTGGATACCTCCATGATACGGGGCTTTTGCGCAGTGCCGTTCGCGTTGCCATTTTGAAGAACCTTGTGGGAATCAGAGATTCCCTCTGCGTGCATAATGCAAGCCGTGACGAAGTTGACTTCGCTTTCAATGACTGGTGGAAAGTTGGCAAAGGCACCCTGAGGTCCTGAAATGAGAAACATATTAGGGAACCCGGAGCATGCGATGCTGCCATATGCCCTCAAGCCATCCTTCCAGTGTTCTTGCATAGTCTCACCATTGAGGCCCTTGATCATGATTCTGGTGTAGCTTCCCTCGATAGCTTCAAATCCGGTGGCAAAGATCAAGACGTCGAGTTCGTGGATGGAGCCATCTGACAGCTTGATGCCGCGTTCGACTATTTCTTGGATGGGGGTTGCTTGAAGATCCACCACATCCACGTTGTCGCGATTGAAAATTTGGTAGTAGCCCGAATCACAGAGCGGGCGACGAGCGTAGAGGTCTTTGGGCTTCAGCACCGCCGCCTTTCGTGGATCCTTGACAATCTCATCAATCTTGCCCCGGATGAAGTTGCACGCTTCATTGTTGGCGTCTTCGTTGGTGGTAATATCCCCAAACGCACTGAACATAAACCTGAAGCCATTTCCTTGGTCCCAGACTTCTTGGAAAGCTTTCTGTCGCTCTTCGGGCGTGGCCTCCATGGTTTTCCGGGCGGATTCAGGTACACCGAAGCCAACGGTAGACTTGAAAACGTTGTCCCAAATTTTGTCGTAGTTCTCATTGGTCTTTTGACGATATTCGGCACTGACTGGCTTCTGTCCACTCGGTACGGAGTATTGTGGGTGCCGTTGGAAGGACGTCAAGTGGTCAACGATGGGAGCGATGGAAGTCATTACCTGGACTCCAGTTGATCCATTCCCAATGATGCCAACACGCTTTCCGTCTAGCTTCACCGAATCGTCCCATGTAGCTGTATGTAAGAGGGTGCCTTTGAAGCTTGGCAATCCGGCGATGCTGGGATAATTTGCTTTCGAAAGAAGCCCAAGGGAGTTGACAAGGTAGCGAGCAAGGACAACTTGGCCGTTTCCACAGACGACTCGCCATCGCTGGATGGAATTATCCCAATCCGCCGTTTTCATTTCGCAATTGAATTGCATATGCTTTCTCAAATCGTGCTTCTTGACAATATGTTGGAGATAGGCGAGGATCTCGGGCTGATAGACGTAGTGGTGTGTCCATGGATATGTTTGGAGGTCGTCTTTATCCCACGAGTAACGGTACAGGTAGCTTTCAGTGTCGCTCATTGCGCCGGGGTATCGATTCCAGTACCATGTACCGCCAACATCCCCTGCCATGTCGATGCATTTGACATCTAGGCCCAATCGCGACAGGCGGTAGGTGGAATAGATACCGCCAACACCGGCACCAACGACGAGGGCGTCGACTTGAACTGGCTGTCCCATTCTGAGAGCAGACAATGGAAATCAATCAAGGTGAAGTGGTTGATACAGCGCGCAGATGTGGAGCCCTGGAGCGAAGTAGTGAAATGAGATTTTGAATGGAGCATGTATATGAACCGTTTACGCGGGCGAGATGATGTACACGACGATATAAGCAGTGATGGCGACTGAATTGGTCCACTGCTGCGGTGCCAATTGTCGGCTCGTGTCAGGTCTTAATTGGGAAACTTTCTCTATCAACTAGGAATTACGGAAATGGTCTCAATCATGAGAACTCGACCCACTCATGGTACGGCATCTTCACTTTCGTTTCTGCCAGGATACCGTAGCAGGAGATTCTAGAAAGATCAGAGCGGGACACCAGCAGCCCGACTTCTGTAACGCACACAGATCTCGGGCCATGATCAAGTTAGGCAACTGGCTTTTGAATGAGGGCAGATGCAGTTGGATGGTTGAGTAATTGATTGGTTGTCCGCTGGAGGTGATTACCAGAGCTGCGATTACAGCCATCCTGCCACTGCTTCGGCGTCTTCTGGGGCACATGCAGAACAGCCACGACTAGTCCATAATTATGGGCCGGAGTGCGGGGTTGCAGAATGTAAAATTGCCTCTTTGAGACAGGATCCGAGAGAGAACCATGGCGTCGTTGTGGGACGAATCAAATGTCGAGAAGGCGAGTGGAGATACAAGGTGGAGGGTGTCTGAAATGAAGCTATCTCGATCTGGCATGGCTCAGAATGACGCAGAGGCACAGGATATGACAGGCCAGCTGATGTCCGCGGATCTCCTCCCCATTGTCTCTATCTAAATCTCATCACTGCATACCTTATCCTCAGACGCTGCAAGCCCCAGCTCGGTAATCGACCCAATCCAGCCTGAACCACCATGTCATCCGTATATCGAATCCGCTTTGCCCCTAGCAGCAAATACCAGCTGCCGGCGTCGACGGAAGCCAACGCCTCGCGGGCTCCGTCAGCATCCAGCTCCACTCCTCCGTCTCCAGATGAGAGCAACTCGCCGCTGGAACGCACCAGGAACCGCACCACCAAGAGCCGTCTTGGCTGCAGGGAATGCAAGCTTCGTCGGGTCAAATGCGACGAGACTTATCCCGTCTGCCTCCGGTGTCAACGGCGCGGCTCCGTCTGTCTCTCAAGCCCCCGGCCGGCCCAGTGGCAAACTGAGGTCTCGTGGTATTCCGACTATTCCCTCAGCCCCTGGACAGGGGATAGCCCTCCCAACAAACGGCTCTTGCAGTACTGGCTGGAGCAGTCGAGCAAGATGATGTCGGTGGATCCGAACAATAACCCGCTATCATTTCCGCTGCTCCGTTATCTCGCCGCAAGCCCTTCCCTCGTCCACGCAGTGCAAAGCGTTGGCGCCGGCCAAGAGACATTTTTCAATAGTTCCAGCCTTGGCACTTGTTTGGAGGAGCGTGGGCGCGCTCTCAAACTGGTGCGCCAGGAGTTGGCGAATAGCGCACGCCCGCCACTCACCTCGTTGCTCACAGTCTTTATACTCGGTGTTTCTACACCTTGGCTCGAGTCACAACCTCAAAGCTACGGTAAAGAACACCTCAATGGTGCCAGGGCTGTAATCAACCTCGTTCTATCAGAGAAGGGAATGGCTGAGGATCCCCTCATGAAGTTCCTCCTGGGCTGGTACATATGGTGGGACATGTGTTGTTCCTTTATCGCCGACTCAGATGACCTCTCAACGGTCGATACGCCCAAGATCCTCGCTATTCTTCAACCAAATTCAGACGCTTTCCACCCGATGAATGGCTTCTCTTCTGAGCTCTATACTTATGTAGCCTCTGCCAGTAGGTATTGTCGCCGTGTACTAGACCATCGAGGGCGCGATCCAGCGCACGAAGTCGAAATTGAGACGAAGCTCTTGGCATGGCAACCTGATGACCGTCATCCACACTTGGCACGCTTAAGCATGGCTTATCGGAACCACGCTCTTATCATGTTATACAACACTTGCCCGGATTCAGGTCTTCCAATGCGTACCATCACCAGTGATGATGGCCTGGAGATTATTGAAGGGACGGAAGCCATAGTTAGGTTTTATGCCCTACAGACCCTTCGAAACCTGTTGAGCACGCCCATGCACGAAGCCTGCGTAATCTTTCAAACGATGCCGCTGCTCACGGCGGCAGCAGAACTGAAAGAATGCGACGTATCTCTTCGGGGGGATGTCATCATCAGATGCAAGGCCCTGTACTCTATTTGCAGGATTGCAGTAATGCTGCGGTGTATTGATATGTTGGATGAACTGTGGGCATTGCGGGACCGTGGCGTTGAAATCACGTGGATGGAATTGAGTCTGACAAAGAGCTGGAGACTTTGTTTCTCCTAACTAAGCCTCTGCTTCAATTGGGGAGGCTATATGTTATAGGTTTTGAAATCCACCTAGCTTCACCTTAAAGCAATCTATGTTGGGAGTCACGGGTGCCAGTGGAATATCTCATCTTGTGACGAGGCCATCTCAAGAACCACAGGTTGACACGTAGTCTCGACCGAGATGATGGTCATAGGCTATGAACGGGATTGAATAAGTCCACGAAATCCAGAAGCGGCCATCAGAGCCTCCCCAACAACACAGGGGACTTTACCACTCGGGAAATGTCCAAAATAGGGAAGAACCATACGACAGCATGATGCAGGCCCACTCTCTCACCTCTCACAATCTAGGTGGGCCAACTAGTGCAGGCTCGGCACATGATCCCAGCCACTTCTTCATAGACAAGACTAACCCAGTATGGTCCATGTTGATTATAAGGGAGTTGGTCTGTTACATCAGACACGGATCGGGAACTCCAATATATTCCATTTCTCTCCCATATCTCCTACCGGCCAGGCCAGTCAATTGATACTACCTGACCACACTCTGACAGCACGTTGGCTATTATTTGCGCCGGTCATCATCATGGTCAAAGTCACAATCTTGGGGTCGGGGTGAGTGTTTAGTCGGTTGCTCATTTTTATCAACATTGGACTAACGAACCGCTATAGCGTCACCGGCATGATGGCTGCGGCCAAGCTGCCGAGAGATTATGACATCACGGTAGTTGCTGAACACATGCCAGGCGACTACGACACCAAGGAGTGGGCGAGTCCTTGGGCAGGAGCAATTTGGGTTGGTGTGCATCAATCCAAACCTGAAGAGCAAAAGATGCAACTGGAAGGGTTTGCTGGGCTGTGGAAGCTCGCCGAGACCAACCCAGAGTCCAGTATACGCCAGATCGAGATGACCGAGATAATGGATCGAGGCTCAAAGTCCGACGTGTGGTACGCAGGAAAAGTGCCTGAGTTCCGATTTCTCTCAAAGGATGAGCTTCCCAAGGGTGCAATCTATGGAATGAAGTACAAAACTCTGGTGTTGACGCCCCAAATATTTCTACTATGGCTACATCAGAGATTGACGGACAGGGGCGTCAAATTCATCCGTACCAAGGTCAATTCTCTTGCAGACTTGAAGGGACTGAGTCATGATGTCCTCATCAACGCTTCGGGTCTTGGCTCGGAGAAACTGAAGGATGTTCAGGAGAAGAACCTTGTGCCAATGAGGTTGCAGTGTGTCGTGGCCAAGGCCGAAAACTATGATCGACTCTTTATTCGGCGTGGCGAGAATGGTTACTACTCTACTGCTTTCTCCCGCCGAGATGGCACAGTCTATGTGGGCGGTGTCTTGAAGGAAGATTCTCGAGACCTGACTATCTCCGAGGAGCAGAGGACTATAGTAAGTATTTCTATTGTCGAGAAAGAGTGGGCATGGATGATGAAAAATAAGCTAACACTACCTCTTTTCTAGATCTGTCGCAATGCCCATCTAAACCAGCCAGATGTTTTCCCGTCTCCTCATGCAAAGGACTGGCCCATTTTGTATGATCATGTTGGCGTCTATCCCGTTATGGATAAAGAAATCGGCGGCGTCCGCTGTGAGAAGGAAGTTTTGGACGGCCAGCGAGTCATTCATGCTTACGGACAAAATGCTGGAGGATACGTGTACAGTTTCGGGCTCGCTCGTGCTGTAATTAATCTGGTGGACGAATTTCTCTTTGAGATTCCTCAGGTTTCTAAGCTCTGAGGAATGTTAAAATTTTGGGAAGCTGTGAGCGTGTACAAAAATAAACAGAATTAATTGAAGGGAACCAATTAACGTCTCATGAAACTTTCTCGTGAATGTCCTTTTTGGAAATATCCACCCGGCAGCATGAGCTGTCATTTCAGTGTTAGTTTCATTACTCGCCATTTGGGCTTGTCAACCCAGCACGTCTCGACCAAGACACCCGTGTAATATCTTGGCGACAATATCAGTCTGGGGACTTTGTGGATACCATTGTAGTCTTGAGATGGGGTAATTTTGAAAGACTATGTAAGCTGTTCTAAAACTGAGACTAACCTCAAATTGAGGGCTTCGCGACTGCACACAAGGCCGGAGGATTAGCTCTAGTCGCTGTTCAAGTATGACGGTGGATCCACATGCCCATTTGGAACGGTACGCGATGTGGAGTGAACAGGCCGAAGTAACTAGATTGTTTCCTCTTTGGGCTGATCAACGAGGGCAGAATCATACACCTGGCACACTACCTTGCCATCGGAGCTGGCTCATCACCCGTAACGTATTGTGCATAGTGTCATAATCGCCATTAAGACCACGCCGCCGAGCCTTGCTTTTTCAGTGCTCTTGGACTCTGTATTCCTTCACAGCTTACTTTGTATTGACGCCACTTGTTCCGAGCACCATGTCCGTCGCTGCAACCCTGGCCCGTGGTCGCCTCGTGCTGCGTCAACCGGCTTTGAGGCCATCAAACCGCAGACGCTTCGCAACTGCCACCGAATCGTTTTTCCCCAATGAACCGACAAAGCCTCTTGTTTCGACAGTCATCCCCGGACCCAAGGCACGGGCTGCCCTGGCTGACATCGACGATGTGTTTGACACCAACAATGTCAATATGGTGACTGACTTTGAACGCAGTATTGGAAATTAGTGAGTAACTTTGTCAGACATGGTGTGAGACTCAGAGCTAACCGTAGTAGTATTGCGGATCCAGACGGCAACATGCTGCTCGACGTGTGAGTTCGCCGTCAAATATCAAATCATGTTTACTAAAAATCCTAGTTATGCTCAAATCGCATCTATTGCCATTGGATACAACAACCCAGCGCTTCTTGCTACTGCACAATCTCGCGCCATCCAGACAGCTCTGGTTAATCGCCCTGCATTGGGAAACTTTCCCCAGCATGACTGGGCCGATATCTTGCGAGATGGTCTTTTGAAGGCTGCCCCCAAGGGCCTCGAGAATGTTTTTACCTCGACGACCGGATCAGATGCAAATGAACTTGCGTACAAGGCGGCTTTCATGTGGAAGCGTCAGCAGCAACGCGGGGATGTCGAATTTACCCAGACGGAGATCTCATCGGCCATGGATAATAAGGAACCTGGAGCCCCTAATCTCTCCATTCTATCCTTCAAGCAAGGATTCCACGGTCGCCTTTTCGGAAGCCTCACGACAACGAGATCCAAGTTTATTCACAAAATCGACATTCCTGCCTTCGATTGGCCAGCCGCTCCATTCCCCAAGCTGATGTATCCCCTCGAGGATTTTGCCGCAGAAAACAAACTGGAGGAAGAAAGATGTCTACAAGAGACTGAGCGTCTAATTACAGAATGGCATTGTCCACCAGTCGCTGTCATTGTGGAGCCAATCCAGTCCGAAGGTGGCGATAACCATGCAAGCCCTGCGTTTTTCCAGCGCCTGCGCGAGTTGACCACCAAGCACAACATTCTTTTCATTGTAGACGAGGTTCAAACGGGCGTTGGTGCGACTGGCAAGTTCTGGGCACACGAACACTGGAATCTCCCAACGCCCCCTGACATGGTCACATTCTCCAAGAAGGCACAGGCCGCGGGATACTTCTACAGCGACAAGAGGCTGCGCCCCAGCAAGCCTTATCGTCAATTCAACACTTGGATGGGTGACCCGGCCCGGGCTCTTTTGTTCAAAGCCATGTTCCAAGAGATACAACGCCTGAAACTCGTCGAGAACACGGCTGATGTCGGAAGTTATCTATACTCTGGTCTGAAGAGACTCCAGGAGCGCTACACTGGGCAAATCATGAACCTGAGAGGCCAAGATCGGGGTACTTTTATTGCCTTTGATTCACCAAAGAGAGACACCTTGATCAGAAATTCCAAGGCAATGGGCTTGAACATTGGCGGTTGTGGAGAACAGTCCATCCGACTGAGGCCAATGCTGGTATTTCAAAAGCGTCACGGTAAGTTTTCCTACTATGGCTGTGTCGCTTAGGTTCGATTACAATAAACTGACAAATAATAGCGGATCTGCTCCTCGAACTACTAGAGAAGTTGATCAAGCAGTAAACGAGTAAAATGCCAGGGTGTTAGGGTTCGTGTCGGGACGACCAAGGGCGGGGCATCGGGATATATTAGATATTAGTGGTATCAAATCATTCAACTCGTATTCTTTTGCACCCGCAACATCCTGGTGGCTGTCTATCGGAATGCCATTTCCAGAAAATCCGCGTTGATGCCCGACATATCTGCTCCGATCAATCATCGTAAAATGTAGACATTCGCGATACCAGGTTTTTATCCCTTCCTGTTGTATCCAACCATGTGTTTTGTAATGTGCTGCAATTCCTTTTCGTTGAAGAGAAAGATAAGGTGGTCTTGGTCAACATCCCAACTGTCGTCATAGTCGGTCAGAGTCCCTTGTTTCTTTCGCAATATTTGCTTATTCTGCGTAGACGTGGTTTATCCTGCGCTTTTCGTCGTAAAATATATGGATGTAGAAGGTGCCTTGGCATGATACGAGCTGAGGGGCATTTGCCGTTTTGTTACTCGGCTCGATGCCCAGACGGGATGGAACGGGGTGTGGATGGTCGGCTCCGGCCACCATGAAGCCACTGCAGATGGTCGCACTGCATTTACAGCCTCCTCTAAATGGACGAACCGTGAGAATGCTTGGTGAGATGACTAAGGGCATAGCCCAGTAACACTCTATACAAGGGATCTAGTCCAGATGCATATAAGTACGTTGGAGCCCCCACTTGTCGCGAATTACTTATTGTGTCGAATAGGCGAGCACTCTACAGGTTCCACGAGATGACCCATATTTACGCTTCACGCAGCGTCAGCCAAAATAAAAACTCTCAAGTTGGCAAGTCCTACTGGATTTACGGATCACAGCTCCCATCCTATCATCAGAGCTGTCTTCAGACGACTCGGAACGACGACATCGGTATCGACACGACATGGCTCTCATTCTCCCTCTGCTTGCTCTAGGCGGAGCCATCATCCTCGCCATCTTCGAGTACATCATCAAGCCAGCCTTTTTGTCGCCTTTGTCAAAAATCCCCGCCCCTCACTGGAGCTGTCATGTTTCTCCGGTGTGGCTCCTCTGGGCTAAATGGGCTCGCTGGGAAAACCGGCTGGTGTATGAGAACCACATGAGAAAGGGAAAAGCCCTACGTCTCTCGCCAAATACTCTGAGCCTCAACTGCTTTGAAGGCGGGCTTAAGCAGATATATCTTGGTGGCTTTCCAAAGACAGAATTCTACTGGAGGGGTTTTGCCAATTACGGGTGTGTACGCCGTTCTTCTTGGCTGGTGAGACTCTGACATTTTGACAGCACTGAGAATATCTTCACTTTTGAGGATAACCCTACGCACTCTGCTCGCAAGAGAATCATATCCGGCGTCTTTTCCAAGTCAAATGTAATTTCATCCCCAACTGCCCGTGCGGCTACCAAACTGGTCTTGTACGACCGTCTATTGCCTATGCTGTATAAGGCGGCAAAGAATGACGAGCCGCTCGAGGTCCTTGACATGAACTTCTCGTACTCGATGGACTCATTCATTGGCTGGCAGTTTGGCTGCGGCCTGGCAAGCAATTTTCTCGAGGATGAGGAGGAACGAAGAATGTACCTCGACGGCTTTGGCGCAGCGGCCCCATATGTCTTCTGGCAGTATGAATTCCCCACCCTCAACACGTTGCTCAAGTCAGTCGGGTGGATCCCAAGCAAGGTTGACTCTGGATTCCATGACCTCGAAGCATGGAATCTTGACAAGTGCGACAAGGCTCATGAGCTTCTCGCTCGAGGCGAGGACACGCTGGCAGAGGAGAACAAGCCCGTGGTCATGGCATTGCAAGTCAAGGCGATGAGCGAGATCAACACCAAGCCCAAGGAGTACGCAAACCGCATGAAGATTGCGAGCGACATGTTTGTTCATAACTCGGCCGCACACGAGACAAGCGGAATCACTCTGACCTACTGCCTCTACGAATTGTCACTGGATCCCAAAATCCAGACCAAGCTTCGCGAGGAGCTTCTGACGCTAGACCATCCTCTAACGTACCCAATCCCAGAGGGAGAAGACGTCAATCTGCCAGCTGCAAAAGCCGTCGACGCGTTGCCCTACTTGGAAGCCGTGATAATGGAGACATTGCGACTGTATCCGGCTGTTGCTGGGGGACAACCTCGCCGTGTCCCTAAGCCATGCTCCCTCGGCGGGTACGACAATATTCAGCCAGGCACCATCGTTCAATGCTACGCCTATTCCCTCCATCGAACACCGGAAGTATTCCCAGAGCCCGACAAATGGAGGCCAGAGCGATGGATCGAAGCAACTCCACAGCAATTGAGTGAGATGCGTCGATGGTTTTGGGCGTTTGGAAGTGGTGGCCGCATGTGCGTTGGCAGCCACTTTGCATACTATTGTGAGTATCGGACCGCCTTTGACTGTTTGAATTGCCTACAGCGCATAACTTCATACAACTCCCACCCTTCTCATTGTTTATATCGTACATCGTGCACCCTGAGCCCGGCTAACGTTTGACAGCGATGAAACACTGTATTGCGAGCATCTATACCAACTTCACAACCACCATCCACACTCACGGGGATATGGAACTGGAGGATAAGTACTTGGCTGGACCTAAAGGGCACAACCTGAAATTGAAATTCCATGTGGTTTAGGAGGGGTGGCAGGATAGTCATGGCTGGAGCGTGCTGAGGAGGATTGGAGGAGGGGAATCAAACATTTCTAGACAAATGATTGAAGTGCATTTGATTAAGGATATTAAATCCAGCAAAAAGACATTCCAGATCATTGCCCAACATGATAATGAATCGTTGCTCGGACATGAGTGTGAGCTGTCACGCCGTGTCTGCCGTAACAGAGGAGCACTGTGCGTCGAGAGCCACAGCAGAGGACTACGCTATCTAGAGCATTCGACATTCCCCAGCGGGCGTTTCCAGAGGAGGATTGGCACGATATCATTTGTGGAACCGTTAGTGTGAGACCGGGGCGCCCTAAACGAGTCAAGATAAGAAGTGCAGCAGAATGCGGGGATGGCTAGATCGGCAACTTGGTCCTTTGCCACCAGATTGCGACTCCGAACCTCCCATTGAAACATGTCTCGACCTTCAGTGGCATCTGGTCGCCAGCATATTTCTCATAAACTCGTTACACAGCCAAACAAAGCCGCCATGAAGAACACCGAGTTGAAGATCCGCCTGTGGCCGGGCTCGCGCTCCGGTATCACGGTGCAGCCGGATGCAATTGCCCCATGTACCATGGCCCAAGAGGCAGGCCGCAGCCGCTGGGGCTGCACCGAATGCAAGAGGCGCCGGGTCAAATGTGATGAGACGTTCCCCGTGTGCGTTCGCTGTCAGAAGCGCGGCGCAGTCTGCCAGTCGGCGCCTCGGCTGCGACAATGGCAGATCGAGGCGCCTTGGATCAACTCCAGGAAGGGCTCGTCGACCACGGCCTTGCGGGCTAGAGGTGGAGTCTCGGATGATACAGCTTTGCTGCAGTATTGGCTGGAGCGAGCAAGTCAAATCATGGTCATCGACCCTGACGACAACCCGCTCTCGTTCCCCATCCTGGAGTACATTGAACGATGTCCAAGCCTCAAGCACGCTCTGCAGAGCACCAGCGCCGCTCACAAGAACTACTTTGACCCTGAAAAGCTGTCGACCTGTCTAGAGGAGCGCAACTGGGCGATAAGACTCATCATAGGCGAACTTACTTGCCCGGGAGACAATATCTTCCCCGTCTTTCTCAGCGTGCTCCTCCTGGGACTCTCGGCCGCCTGGACTGACGGACCCACCTCGAAATGCGGCCAGGAGCATCTGCGTGGCGCGCGAGCACTGGTAGACATGCTTCTATCCAGTTCCTCGGCTCAAGAGAATAGGCCACCATACTTTGGCTTCATGATTGGCGCCTATCTATACTGGGAAATGGCCACAGCATTCCTTGTTCCGACCAACCGCCAGATCCCCATCAATACCCACGAGATAGTCTCGGCTGTCTTGGAGATTGGTGACCAATACCATCCCATTGCAGGTTATTCGACAGAGATATTTTACTACATCGGTAACCTGGGTCGGTATTGCCGGTCCGTTATCGAGACCGGGATCCGTGACGACATCTTGGAAGCTCTTTTGGAGGAGCAAATGACGAAATGGGAACCAAATTGCGACGTCCCCGAACTCAAAGCATTGAGTGATGCCTATAGACACCATGGCTTGATCAACCTAGCAGCCATTTGTTATCGCCGAGATGTCAAGGAGACGGCACTCGAAACCACATCGCCGTCACTATCCGACATGTTGCCATTCCTGGAAGACATTTCACCATTACTTGACGACATATCACTAGTACAAGAAGACGCAACATCGCTCGATTTTGATCCACCACAAAACCTCGAAGTGGGAGAAGATAATGTCGTCGGTGGTGATTTGGAGACAACCATCAGAAATCGCGCTCTGATAATTGTTCGATCTCTCACAGCCATCCCATCCAGCCACGCCTCAACCAACCTCCAAGCAATACCGCTCTTGACGGCAGGATCAGAGCTGTTGGCAGAGGATACGCATGAGCGCGAATCAGTCCAGCGTCGGTTCAAGGACCTGTACTCGCACAACCACCTGCGGGGGAATCTCGATGCGCTGCAGTTGTTGGATGAAGTGTGGGCGTTGCGCGATGCTGGCCAGATGGTCAACTGGCTTGAGGTTATGTTGAACAAAGGTTGGAATATGATGCTAGGATGATGCTGTACTCTTATAATTCCGACGATTTTATTCTTGCAGTTGTTTACTACATGTAAGTCGCTTTCTAGTGGACCTGAGAATCATGTTGCAAGGAAATATAAGGTTGTTCATCTGTACCCTGATTTCAGTCAGCCCATTAATACCATAAAACGTAAGTTGCATGCGTAAATTAGAAATTGGCGAGACCCTCGCTCATCGCACAGACTCCATTGTGATGGCATTCCCCAGCTCTTCGAGATCAGGGATCGTCCGCTTAGGTCTAAGATCCAGTCGACATACGATGTGATGCAATTTCACTCCCGCCGAACGCATGGATGCCTGCAAACCTCCTCACCAGTCCTATTTCGACCGATGCCGATGCGAATACGCCCTTCCTATTCTGGCCCGGACGCGAGGAAGTGGACACGCCTACTCGTACTAGTCGCAGCCGAAGCTCCACAGATGCAGCCTTTAGGATCTAGCCGTTTTGATAAGGAAAGCGAGGCTTGACTCAGATGATCCGTTATCGCACTGCCGTAGTGTGTGATTTCCCGAGACACAATCGGAATCTTCATTCGCGGGGACTTCACCCATGCGTTTCTAGCACAGGAGAGTTCAAGGTTGATACCCTTGCGCACCGCGCGAAACCCGGATATAAGACGTCAGCATTGAGAAGCAGAACTTGGTGCCTGCTATTGCTCCGCCATTTCTCTCTTTGAAAGGGATACCTCCCCGTTCTCGGACTGCCAATTGCTGAGATTAAATCCCAGTCATTCACGAACTATGTCCCCCAGCACTTTCCCTCCCCCGAATGGGATGAAGTCCTTCTGGCGGGCAAATCCGGGGACATTGGACAACCATCGGTCAACAGCACAACTGCCGGAGGAATGTGATATTGTGGTGGTGGGAGCTGGATACTCAGCGGCTGCGCTTGTTACGCATATTATCGCGCAAGCAAAAGGAAATTTGCCGTCGATTCTCGTCTTGGAAGCGAGGCAGCTGTGTTCTGGTGCCACAGGGCGAAATGGTAAATTATTTGCGAATGTTCCATTACTCCTGACGGTTTGCTAATAAATAGCAGGCGGACATCTAAAACCAGACTCGTATTATTCCATCTCGAGATTGGCAACCGAGTACGGGATTGATGCGGCTGCAGAGGTAGCTAATTTTGAGTCGGCCAACGTCGACGCAGTGACCGAGTTCATTAGAGAGAACAAAGTGGACTGTGACTTCATCCTCACGCGGGCCACCGATGTCCAGTTCTCTGTTGAGCATCAAGAGAAAGTGAGGGCTGGTTACGAAAGACTGCTGGCTGCTGGTGTCAAGGCGACGAACGGAGCGTATTGTGCAGAGGACAGATATGCCGAGAAGGTGAGTGGTTTACATATATGATTCATCCACGTTAACATAATCCCTCTGACAACTCAAAGCTCTCTGGCGTCAAAGGAGCAAAAGGCTGCTTCAGCTATACTGCAGGCCACCTTTGGCCATATAAGCTCATACACCACATGTTCTCAAAAGCGATTGAACAAGGCGTTAACCTCCAGACGAACACACCTGTTCAAAGTGTGTCATCGGGTCCCGATGCAACAGGCCGATGGATCCTCAAAACTAGCCGAGGGGTAGTAAAGGCCAAGCAAGTCGTGATGGCAACCAACGCATACACATCAGCCCTCCTACCCGAGTATACCAACAAGATTATACCTTACCGAGCCGTGTGCAGTCACATTGTCACTCCGGGCAAAGCGCCCCTGTTGACAAATTCCTATGCACTGAGATTCGCTGAGTGGGACTTTGACTACTTGATTCCTCGCCCAGACGGGAGCATTATTGTGGGCGGTGCTCGCAGGGCTTACATTGGACATCAGGAAGATTGGTATGGGAATGTTGACGACACCAAGTTAATCGAGCGTGCTCGACACTACTTTGATGGCTACATGCAGAGACATTTCAGCGGGTGGGAGAATAGCGGCGCCTATGTTGATGACATTTGGACAGGAAGTACGCCAACACCTTTCCCTCACTCCAGACAGCAGGTTACTGATCTCTTCCAAAGTCATGGGCTACTCGTCCGACCGTCTGCCCCGCGTCGGCCCAATTCCGAGCCGCCCAGGCATGTTCATCATGGGTGGCTTTACAGGCCATGGCATGCCCCAAGTCTTCCTTTGCGCCCAAGGAGTGACCGATATGGTTCTAGAGGGTAAGCAGTATAGCGAAACTGGCTTACCGCGTCTATTCGAAGAGTCATCAAAGCGACTTCAAGACCCAAGGAACCGAGTGATGGAGTTTTATGAGTCTCTGCCGTTGAGCGCAAAGCTGTGACGTATTGGGATGTCACAACCTCTTAAAGGAGGGCGAAACGGAAACAATTATAATGCCACCAGACGAAATTACGCAGACGCGAGTCTAAGTCACGAGTTGGTGAATCCGATGGGGGGTATACGAGTTGAACAGACCACATTCATGCTTCGTTTGGCGATTGTGTCGGAGATGTAATTGGAGACATAGAGTAAAGAGAACAAGTGCTTGAGTTGAAAATCCAACATAAAGCAAGACCATAAACTGAAATAGGTCACCATCACTGATAATAATTTCCTGGGTGACGATGCTCGACTGACGGCTGGCATTTGGCACATCAAGTCTCGGTCCTCTGCGTTCCTTATTCGGATTTACTCCAGCAGGCCTTCTGTGATGACTTGTGAGGAATTAAATAACCATACGATGGTTTTGGAGACGATCTTCAGAAGGAGTAAATCTTGGTATTATCGTTGAACGAGCCCCGAATGACCTTGACGTGTGAAGCTCTGGTTAGGTTTGATGAGGATGCTGTGGGAGCTCATCGATGGGTACAGCGTACTCTAATCGCTCGGAACCTAATGGCTAGTGACAAATACAACAGCTTGGCGTAGCAAATATCGGCATCTCGAGGTGGATAGTGACTGTGGCCTGGCCGAGATCCCTCCGGCTTGTATGTACGGATATGCAAGCATGCAATCTGGCGTAGTCGGTGGCGCCCAGAAGGTGGATCATAACCTCGGGATTTGGCCAAATGAGGAAATACGCGTGAGAGCTTTGTTGGCTGTCAGTGACATGACTCTAGTTCATCCAACTATCCCCAATGCAGCAATGGATTGCAGCGATAACTTGCGGGGTAGAGTCGCAGATCGGAGTCAAATCGGTATCTGAATCACTTCATTCATCCATTACCCGATCAAGACTCATTGCGAGTCTCGACATCTTTATCGGCCGAAGCTCCATCCAGGCACAGGCTGTCGTTGCCCCTGGTACTTAACCTTTCACATTCGGGATATCTCACCGACCTCAGTCTTCAACATCCGCCCAGTTAATCTCATATCTTGTTATTATTTTCAACTGATATCACTTTTATCTAAATAATCATGGTCGCCGCTGTCCCTTCCGAGAAGAAGATAATTGTCGTAATTGGAGGGTCGGGCATGGTCGGAGGTTCCGTCGCCCGCTCCCTCCATGACAATTCCGACTTTTGGGTGCGACTAACCACTCGCGACACAACCACAACCAGAGCAAAGCGACTCGTTGATCAAGGCTTCGAGGTTATTAAAGCAGACTCTTGGAGCCCACAGGAACTTGATGTCGCTTTCCAGGGCGCGTACGGCGTCTTTCTGAATACCGATTCGGACGACCCAAACTTCAAGAATGAGATTGGGCCTCCAGAGTCAGCCATGGGCAAAATTGTTATCGATGCTGCAATGAGACAGGGCGTCAAGCACTTTGTCTTCTCCGGACTGCCCGAGGCCAAAAAGCTCACCAACGGCGAAGTCTCAATCCTCTCTTTCGATAACAAGAATGCCATTGCCAATTACGGGCGCAAAGCTGGCTTTGCATCCTTCGTCGAAGTCAACATCGGTTGGGCCATGGATATCTTTTGGATGGAGGCTTATGGAAAGGCTTTTGGAGGCTTCGCGACTATCCCAGACTCGGAGGGGTTCCTCACTTTGAAGTTGTTCCCCATGCCCAATCAACCAGAGAGGATTCCCTGGACGTCGGTGCGTGACGACTACGGCGATGCGGTGCATGCCGTCTTCCTCGATCCCACGAGTTACGACAAGAGAACCATCTGGGCCATCTCTGACTACATGGGTTTCCAAGATGTCGCCGACGCCTACAACTCCGTCACCGGTACCCAGACGGCGCGATTCGTTCCGGACTTTGAGCCGCTGAAGGCAGCCACTCCTGGTAAAACAAAGGAGGTCAATGGTCTGAGGAACTATTGCAATTACATCAAAGGCGACTACTGCAATGGCCAACCCACTGATGAGAACCTCGTGAAGGAAAACCGGCGATTGAAGGAAATTGCGTCACGAGCTCGGGGACGAACGGGTGCCGAAGCCCAACTTCAAACAATCAAGGGTTTCATCCAAGCCTATGGTCCAGTGAAACTTGAAAATAAGCTGTAGAATAAATGCTTACTTTGTATAATTTAGCATCAATACAATACAAGATTATACCATGCTCAGTTGGCTTCAAAAGTTGCTGCTATGTGAGCGTCTGAAATTCCCATTACTTCTACACTAAGCGTATGCTGTTTGACAAGGACGATGCATTCACCATCCACGGCATAAACTTCAAATCAATTCTCTATCTCAATTTGGCTTGAATTTACTCCAAGTTCGGGTCTTTCAAGATATCCTCCCAATTAAACAAGTTCAACCTTCTCTTGCATGTCGATGAAGACTGCAACATTGGCAAAATCATCGCTACACTCAAAGGTAATTGTCTGGCCCTTTTGCATAACCATCACATCCCCCTTGTGCAACGTAAACTTTTCACCGTCCTTGACGTCGATTTTGATCCATCCTTCCGTGACGTACAGAAACTCATCCACTGGCCACACGAGGGTGTCTTTTCCCTTCTCACGCAACATTCCGACAACCACTTTGCCGTCTTTGGATCGATAGATAATGGATTTGGTGCCCTCGTATAGAGGAAATGGCTCCTCGGGAAAGGAATCCCAGTGGCCATGAGGGACAGACTTCGGGTCAAAGGTACCCGTGGTATTTCCTTGTGAAGCAGGCATTATTGTTGAGTAATGAAGACTGTGCCACTATGTAGGACTAGATTAGAAAAGATCTTGAATTATTGACAGAGGGGCGGGTAATAAATACACTATCAATGGTGTGAGAGCTCGTTAAAAAAGTTGGCGTTTCTGTGATGAAATCTATCGCTTCAGTGAAGCACCTTATGAGGAAGCAGAAATAAATAAATAAATGGATGCATATCAAGGGACGCAGGCAGACTTCCTCTTTTGGACGCATGGCGAGCAGGCGGTTTTCTTGCGGGGTAGTCGGGATCGGTTCAGTTTGGGCAAGTGTATCTCCCCACACTCGATAACGATCTAATAACATTGTATTCGTTTGATCCACTATCATACGCGGATCAGTTCTAGCCTCATCATGAACATCTTTCCAAGCCAGAGTTCAAGGCCCAAGAGGCTGATGACGAATTCTTCGCCACCGACTCCCCATACTGGAAGCTGTATATGGAGAGGGTTCAACCCAATAAAGGCATGAATATTCCTGAAGGGTTCACAGCTTTGCCCGCAACCGTTTGCGGCATCATGATCTAAAACGGTCCCAGTTTCCAACCACCTGCTATTCCCCTAGCCACACAAAATACAATAAAGGCAGCCACGTAAAACCCACCCGCGAAGACGATCAGAGATTGATATGGATCGCTCGTTGTATCCAGCAGCGCTCCGGCAATAGGAATGCCAATCAACGCCCCAAAGCTGGCGATGAAATATGCCATGCCGCTAGATTTCCCATAGTCTTCAATCTTGCAAACTCGCGATACGCACACTGGTGATAAGCTGATAGCGGCTCCAGACCAAAAACCAAAGAGCACAGAAAAAGACATGGTTTTGGCTTGTCCTCCGTCTGCTATCAACCAAAGGCCCAATATGAAAGCAGCGCACGTTAATGTAGTTACGCACATCGTATTAAAGGCCCCGAAGCGGTCCGCAATGTAACCGGGGAAAATGCGGCCTGGTATAGCCCCAGCGTTAAGGAGCACATTAAGCAAGTATGCTTGCCGTGAGCTAAACCCGTGATAGAGAGCGTATGACGATATGTATGAGTAAGGGATGAAGACGGCAAACTCAACAAAGAAGATGGCCAAGACTGTGACCGCAAACTTGGTGTTTCGAAGGAGTCCAAAGTTGATGGATACCCTGGCGTTTTTATTCGCAGGTATGCGTTTCCGCAGGAAGATATTGGCGATAATTAAGAGACCAGTAGAGATAAAGGCAATAACACGGATCGCCCAGGGAAAGCCAATGCGAGGCGCAAGATATAAGATGATGAGAGAGAATGCAACTCCGCCGAGTCCGCCGGCAGTGCACGCCAGGCCAGTTGCAAAGGCTCGGCGTTTGCAGAACCAGTGGCCTATTGCGGATAAACTCGGATTGAAAAGCAAGGAGGCTGAGATTCCACCCAAGACGCCGAAGGAAAGAAGAAACTGGTAAAATTCTGGTAGATAATAGTTAGTATTACGCTCCCCCGAATTAAAAGAGCCAGACTATTACCTTTTGATAGGCTCAGGAAGATCATAGATGCAACTATACCAATGGAGCCGGGCAACATCAGCACCTTGATATCGTGTGCATCGAAAATAGGACCTGCGAGGGTGAATCGTTAGGATTATTCTCGTGTTGAAAGGGTTGCTGTCGATGTGTACGAACCAACTTGGGCACCACAAGCGGTGATAAAAAATGCGTAGCAGCTGAAAATCCATCCAGTCTTGCTCTCAGTGATGTTCGGGAGCTCGTTCTCTGACACCCAAGCTTGAAGAACAGCGAGCGTATTAATCAAGCCCATCGGAGGAATCATTGCGCACCAGGCACCGACAACAACCATCCAGGCCTCAGATCCTCCCTCTGGATAGTTGATGTCATCATTTGCTAGGATATCTGCATCATGCGAAATTGTTAGTATATTGTACACGGCGGTGTGGTACAGACCGTGATTCGTGTACTTGCCGGACTCGATTGTGGGTTGGTGCGCTTGAGGTGCGCTCTCCCTGTGTCTGTTCGGAGCATCTAATCCCATATTTTCGACTGGGAATGATTGCTCTGGCGGAAATCCACGTTGCCGACTCCAGTCGCAGCGCTGACTTAGGTTGGCGAGAGGCGAGATTCAAAGAGTGCTTGGAAACTGGTCAAGAAAAGTTCTCACCAAAGTCGCGATAACAGAAGAGATAGGCGTGCTACAGTGATGGTAATAAGCGGGGTTAGTGCAAACTAACGGTGACACGTCGGGGCAATCCGTAAATCGGCCGGTGCCGACTCTGTTCGAAAAAGGCGAGACTAAGATTGGTGGAATAAATCCACAATAATAAATCGATCTAGAGATAGGCGTGTTCAGCCTTTGGCCGAGATCATGTTATCGGAGTGATCGGACAAGACACAATTCGCCGATTGGAATCAATCTTCACATGAATTGCGAATCATCATTCAGGGTTATCCAGGCGGAGACCAACATATTAAATCTATACCGAAAATCCCCGATGCAGCGAAGTAGCTATGTCATTCCGGACACGTTTGGATATAGCAAGTTATTGATCCGAGGTCTCACTAGCCGTTCCGTACTTTGGACCAACAATTTCTTATTAATATCAGCCTATGAAGTTGACTACTGAATTGAATGGCCGATGAAGAGCCCGGTTCTCTTCAACCATTACCAGCGGACCAAATCCTGTACTTTAATCGGCAAACCAGTCTTCATGGAATGATTCGCACCAACTCCCACCAAGACCGCATTGCCGCCGTCGCGGATGTAGGCAGCCCGTTTGAAGTTGTCCTTCAAGTCACCAACGAGGACATCTCGCAAAAGAACAGGATCACCACCGCCATGTCCGCCTTCTGCCTTGACAACATCCACCACATACGGAGCCTCGAACAACGGGTACACGACAATCTTTGTGTTCTCAACACCTCCTTGGATGTAGGGCTGGTCCTTGCCACTATCGCTCTCCTTGGCGACCGGCTCGCCGCCTGCCGAATAACCACTCTCCACAACGTTGATCTCAATTCGGCCCTTGCTTCCGTTGAAGACGCAGCGGTAACCCTCCCATGGCGCATATGCGTAGGTGTTGTACGTCATGACAGCGCTGTTCTTGTACTTGATGATCATGGAGAGGTTGTCTTCGATGGTTATGCCTTCAGCGAAGCAATTCCGGTCCCGGATATAGCCGTCTTCATGCTCAGCGTCCAAGTAGAGTTTCTTCAGGCGATCGCTCTCATCGATCTGAAAAGCAAACGGGTCATTCTTGGCATCATCGTTGCCAAGATAACGTTCTCCGAGATTTTGAACGCCCCGTCTTTGCGCGTTTTCTTTTCCGTAAAACTTCAGATCGCCGATGCAGTAGACCAGTTCAGGTTCAGTGTTTAACCAGAAGTGGACCAGGTCGAAATGGTGAATCGACTTGTGCATCTGAATGCCTCCGCTAGTCTCCTTGTTCCGGTGCCAACGGCGCATGAAGTCGGATCCATGTGCGCAATCGAGGATCCAATCCATATGGACGGTTGAGATCTCGCCAATGACACCGGAGTCAATAAGCTCTCGAACCTTGGTGTGGTGAGGGGCGTAGCGATAATTAAAGAGAACTCGGATCTGCTTTCCAGTCCTCTTCTCGGCGTCAATCATGAGCTGCAGCTTTTCCTCGTCGATGGTCATGGGCTTCTCGGTAATCGCATCGCAGCCCAACTCCATGGCACGGATACAATAGACATGGTGAAAGAGATCGATCGTTGTGACAATAACGACATCTGCTTTCTGCTCTTGGACCATCTTGTCGAAGTCTGCGTCCTTGTAAGTGGGCAAACGCGACCCTCCCAGCTCGACCATATGATCGTTGGCGGCATTCATGCGGGTCTGGTTTGTGTCGCAAATAGCGACGAGTTTGGCGACCTCATTGAAGTCTTGGATGATGCTTTTGTAGTAGAACTCGGACCGGACGCCCATGCCGACGATGGCGTAGCGTTTGAGCTGAGGCGAAGTCATGATGTAGGGTAGGGTGCAGAAGTAATATTCGTTGAAGGTTGAGATGTTGGTGAGATGTAAGGTTTGATAGAAAGCAAGATCAAGGCGGATCAAGTTTGGTGCTATTTGTACACGAGCTTTCAGGCTTACATTCTGCCCTCGGGCAGCTACGTACCAATTGCCCATTGGCGTTTGACTCTGCAACTGACATGTCTGATGACGAAAACGGCCCAGTCACTTTCACACTCGGCAAGCAACCATTGGGTTGTGAGAAATTCATGCAAAGTACATCTTGCAATGGATCACAGTGCCGACCCAAATGCGGTATAGGTTAGGTCTGCCGCCACGCAACCACACCATTTGTGGGGGTAGGAAAGCGGAAGCTTCTCAATTCAGGGCGGGATTAACACGTGTTGCGGTACGAAAAACAACACTTCCCCTAAAAAGAATGAATGGGCGTAGGTAAATATGAGCATGTGCCATGGTGTGCAAAATATTGAGAACCTATTGCCGGTTGAGTCAATCGCCTACAGTTTACCGTGCTGTTACAACCCTGTCTGGCCATTCTCGTGTTAAAGAACTGAAACTGTAATTTATGGTCGGGTGCTTGAGACACCTTGATCTGCGATTCTGCCTACGGGACAGAGAATAATTTAGGCGTCTAGGAAATATAGGCATAGAAAGGAGGAGACTTGAATGTCTCGACAAGAAGGATCTGAGGAGGGGCCTTGGAGACCGTCACGTGCCGGGAATACTTCGGCCAACGAAATGACCAGCCAACGCTACAACGGAAAAGTAGGTAAACAACTCCTTGTCCAAACCGCCTTTGAGATACACGTCGCTGGTTCACGGGCGACTCAACGAACTTAGTCTCGACAAAAAGAGGTTTTAATCATCCACTTACTTGATTCGACCCATCTGAAACCCCAAAAGTTAGATGAGTTCTCACCAACCACGCTAAAAGCGAAACCTTCGATACACGTCATGCGCTTAGGGGAATGTCAGTTCACACCTGAGATCCCGGCGCACTTCCGCTCTCAGATCTCAATATGGCATCCGGGGTATATCCGGGGCGAGGATAACATGTTCTCGCTACCGCGACTCGACGCCGTAGATTCACAGGACGAAACTGATGACGAGAACACCAATACCGCCGACAATACACCCATAAGCACAAAGCACGGAGTTCACTTTGAGACTGTATTGTTGGCCTGCCAGATCATTACTGGTAATGAATTTGATACTGCCTATTTAAGCTACGACCGCCCAGGCCACGATAGAGTTCGCATTTCTCGGGAAGGCATTTTGATGCGCAACCATTACTATCTCCATGTTCCACAAGGTACATACCCTCAAGATCGATTCAGTTTTGATCCCTCATCACTTGTGTTTTATAATAAAGCTGATGATCCAAACAATTAGGCGACGGGAACGAGACTACATCATACGCAGTGACGCCCAATTTTCAAGAATGGCGCTTCCCCGCGTCACTTCCGCAAAGCTGGCAAGCTTTGGCACCAACTAAACTCGACCATCAGCCCAGTTGCATCATCTCCGGGTCTCGCACTATCGACACAGCTCATGTTATCCCTCAAGCCCATGATAAATGGTATACGGACAATGCCATGTTCGACTATTCAGCTGGGGCAAGATCTGTCACAGATAGCGAAGAAAATATCTGTCGGCTCCGCCCCGATCTGCACAGGGTCTTTGATAACCGAGCTTTTGCTTTAGTGCCTAAGCAAGATGGCCAAGGGCAACGGCATCTGGTGGTGCATTTCTTCTCCATCGTTAAGAACCTCGGAGATACAGCATTTGACATCCATAACCGGAAAGCTCATAGTCTGGAGTCCGTGGCTATAGAGTTCTTATTCGCCCGGTTTGCCCTGACCGTCTTTGCCTGCATCAAGGATTTTATTCTCCGAGGTGATAGGCGGAAGCTTGCGATCATGCAGCGCGCCAACGATGCCAACGGATGTCCGGCTTGGATTACTAGTGTAGTACAAATGGATCGTGTGCAGAGAAACGGCTTGTACGGCGGTGGAGGATCACGAAGCTCAAGCCCTACTAAGCGGTCTAGGAAGACAGATTCTCAAACTGGGCAAAACGAGGAAGGGATGCCGAAACGACAAATCGACGATCAGAGGGAGGACCCAGACCTAGAAGAATGCAGTGGGAGATCTCGACTAAGATCGTGGGTCCTGGCAAATGCAGCTGAACTGGAAGCGTTTGAGGAGAGGAATCCGAAGAGGCGGCGTATGAGTAAGGATAGGTCGCCACCAGCTTTGACAACCTCTCTTACTTTGGGAACGGTACCAAATCATGATCATGACGAACCAAGAAGTGCCGGATCTGCAATCTCCGATGGACATGACTTTGCAAAGAATTATGCTGGCCGTGCTTTTGCCAAGGTAACCGAACGATCTACTATCATGATACAAAATACAAAGGCAGAACCCTGATAACACCCTGTTTGAGCAGTCAATAAAGACGCTTGGTACACAGATTGACTGTTAACATCTTCGAGCACGCTATCAAGCAGCTCCATGATGGATGACTTTCGCTTGTTCGGGTTGAGAGGCGGGTGGGACTGTTAGTGTGGGTTGGAAGCGTGCGGGGATACCTACCACCCAATGATCTGCCAAACGAGTAAACCCCGCGAATGATACATTCTACGGTACGATGCCTGGCTTACTACTGCGGGCGTTGCTCTTGAGGCCCCCTAGTAGGTTAGCTCAAGGTGTGAGGAGCAAGACGACTGACATTGGATCCGATGTTACGGATACATATTACCGACTACAACTTGTTCCAAACCCAGTCACGGAGTGCGGGGAAGCCATCGTGATGCACCTGCAGGGATCGGCAAAACAATTCCTCCTTTTGGGTCGGCAGCCATTACCGACGCACTTTTCCAAAGAGGGGAGATGCCGATGCTTGATTTACTCTCCTCTGCAATCTGCTGTTTTACCGTGCCGCTGAAGGTCAGTCTGACGGAGCGGCTGTTATCGAAAAGAAGGCGATGCCACTGTAGCAAAAATGGAACTAGTGTGGCAGTCTTCTGGAACACCGTCAAGAAAGAGAACTGCGCAAGATAAGTCTCAGCTTCAAAGGAGAGGTCTAGGTTGCTGACATCATTGGGCCAAATCTACCTTGCCAGGGCTGTCGTACGCGCAAGAAAAGATGCTACCATGATAATAATCCGCCGTCTTTTCTCCCGCCGACAAAAGACCAAGACTGTGATAGTGGCGTTGGCATCGTGCAAGATGGCGAAGCTTCACCATTCGACTCACACCAGGAGTCGATAATTGCGCCAACGTCGAGCACAAGTCCGGTGCCTGTTCACGAATACGATCCCGAGTCCGTCCTCGAGGACTTATCCCCTCTGGCCCAGCCATTGACAGGCGATCAGCTGGAACCATGCCCCGCTCCGTTGCGAGCCAGTCTGAGTCGTACCCAAACGACTGCATGTCAAAGTGCACGCCGCAAAGTTATCTGGTACAGAAGATACAAGAGACGAACCGCTGTACCTAAGCTATCTGAACACCATCGGAAATATCTTGAAGACGTGGGTGCACTCCTTGAACTACCTAGAACAACATCCGAGGGCCTTCTGCCGATCTACATCTCCCTCCTCGACGATCTGATCCCTGTCATGGATGCGGTCAGCGTCTTTCGCGATCTGAGCAATGGGCGATCGTCCATCTACCTGGTGAGGGCAATATGCCTCGTCATTTGTAAAGCCCAGCAAGCCGCTCCTTTCCTCAGACTCAGCGACGGCGGCCCGCTGTTCAACCACATGAACTTTGCTTCCAAGTTGCTTGCTGGCCTTGATGCTGCAATCAAGGCAAATCTCGAACCGGATCGAGTTACCAAGATTCAGGTCTTGGCATTGATGCATCTACACAATGATGGCCAGGGCGGTGTCGACCGTTCCTCGAGTTACCTATCACAAGCCATCAGCGAAGCGTGGTCAGTATCTCTACACTTCACCATTGCCGGAAACTCGGAGCAGGAACAGTGTGATTATCTGTGGTGGTCTCTTCGGAATTTCGACCGATTGAACAAGCCCATCATGGGAGCAGCGCCTTTTATCATTGACGATACCGACATTTCGATTAAACGCATCTCCCCTACCGCAGGCACATACCGGTCTCGGCTTATGGCAGTCTCCTTGATTTTAGGAGACCTCATGGCTACGGCGACCAAGGTCTACAAAGCGAGCTCCACTGCAACTGTTGACGACTGTCAATATTTTCCTTCATTCGCGGAGCTTACTTCAGGCGTTGATTTAAATAGCTGTCACAGAGCTCATAGAGGTGGGTCACTTTGTCAATCAGTTTCCTATCACTAACAAAACCCAAGGGTACCTCGAAATATGGTACCATGTTGCTGCCATGCTGTCCTGTCGACATAGCGGACCGGGGACCATTCATTACACTCGACGACTAGCATCAGCAGATAGTGTTCTCGGTATTATCGCTCGGGGACAGCATAAGACTCTTCCCCCACTCCCGCTGGTGCCATACGCCATATCCATGGCTACGACTGTGATATACCGCGCTCTGCGTGACGGTAGGCGAGACACAGACACGGCGTTTCACGACCTTGGTCTTTGTTGCAATGCGCTTGATTCCCTTGGTCAGCGGTGGACAAGCGCCCAAGGCGTGGCCAGACTGGCCAAGAGATTGTGGAGATCTTGCATGTCGGTCACAGTTGACCAGCAGCCAAGTGACGCCAACCAGCCCGCTCAATCAAGCGATGGCGCCGATTCCAGAACGACCGGCACCGCAGAAGAAACATCACGTCATGAAAATGACACAGCAGCCACTTTAGATGAGTCCCTCCTCTCAACCGCTGTCTCCCTCCAACCGAACCATCCTTGCATGGCAGGGCAAGCTTCGGACAGTCATCAGAGCTATCAGGACCAATTTGCACAACCTTTGCTGAATCTTGATGGGCCTTGTTCCCAATTTAATGAGTTCTGCGATGATCTATTTGATTACGGAATGTCCGAGGTTTTCCGATACCCCGCCAGCTGGGAGTTTCTTCATATAACGGGTGGTCAACCTTCCTTCGAGGAGCAGTATGGAGGAGCATGATCTACGATATCGTTACTAGATTGATAGCAACAGTAGAATGAAAATAGCTTCGAGGAGTCTCAAGGGCCAAAAGTAATTGGCACATCGGCCTGGGTAACATGTGTTTCAACGCAAAGCTCCCAAATGAATAAGACAAACCCTCTGTGTCAATTTGTTTTATCTATGCTGCACTTCAATCTATGATCCCTCTACTTAAATTCGAATTGCATTCTCCCCTGTTCATCGACACCCAAAGACGACGTTGTCTTTCCATCCGCGCTTACAACGCTCCTTTGATCGCCCGATGGCAGCACAATCACCGGCGTCTTCCACGGCGCCTCAAAGCCCGAAGACTCATCTCTTGCAAACTTGACCCGAATCTCAGACTCTGTCGCGGTGTAGCTAATGGTGTAGGATGAAATCTTGTTCTTGGTTGCCACCGACATGCCATCGTCCTCATACCACGTCGTCTCGTGCCATTGGCCATTGCGCGAGGCAGTCTTGGGCGGGAAGATCTCGATCGCTCTATAGTCATCCAGTGGCAAGTCGGCCACGTTTTCCTTCTCTCCTGGTGACAGAACCTGAACGTCTCGCCCGATGGGAATCGCACCGCCGACTTTGCCCAGCACTGGAATTCCCGCACCATGCCACTCGGCATCCAGCTCAACCCACTGGCCTGCCTCGAGGTATTGATATGGTGCGTTGAGGTTCAGGTAACCCTCGTCGTCATCTGAAGCTTTGGGCAAGTAGATCTTGGCCTTGCTTGCTCCTGGCTCGAACACGCCTCCGACAAGCATGGAATCGCCCAACCAGTACTGGGTCTCTCCGTCAAGGAGTTTCCAGACCTCTGGATCCGATTCGTAGCCCCAGCCTACCCAGCGTTGCGGTGGTGTGGCAATTTGATGGCTCTCAAGCGAGAGAGAGTAGATGTATGGGATAAGAGCATAGCGGCGCTTGATAGTCTTGCGCACTAGGTGGGTAATAGATGGGTACATCCATGGCTCAATGACATCGCCGACCGAATTGTCTTCTCCTGTTTTGAAACAGTTGATGGCAAAACGGGGCGAGTAGATGCCCAGTTGGATCCAACGAAGCAGCAACTCTGGGGAGGGCTGGGGACCTTCGAAGCCACCAATATCGTGCCCATAGCATTGCATGAGGCAAACGCCCGCTGTCAGCGATAGTGCAGTTGACCCTCGCATGCTATCCCAGCTCGTTGTGTTATCGCCGCTCCACGAGCTGCAGGCATATCGAAGCGTGCCCGTTGTAGCACTCCGCGTAAGCACAAATGGCCGCACGTCCGGGTTGACGGCGAGAAGCGCATCATGGGATGCTTTGCCATGAAGCTCGGTGTGGAGGCTGCGGCCCCAAAGACCGACCTGAGGGCGCTTCTCAAGACCTGGAGGGACCGTAAGAGAGGGCAGGCCAAGATCTAGTGCACATTCCCAATCATCGTCTGGGATTGTGTACTCGTTGTTGTCATTCCACATGCAGTCGATGCCTTCTTCTGCGAGCTTCTTGATACCATCGAACCACCAATTGAAGCCGGCAGTTGAAGTAAAGTCGATGTGACCGCCATCATCTCTTTCGCCGCCACCGGCACTCCAAAGCTTCGTCACAGCTGGTTGCTTCGTGCGGGGGTCTAGAAACAGACCTCCAGCTGCTTTGAGCTTTTCGTATTCAGGATGGCTGGAAGTGAGATATGGCTTGACGTTGGCGATGAGTCTCATGCCCAGCTTATGATACTCTTTGATCCATCCCTCGGGATCGGGAAAGCGATGTCGGTTCCAGGTGAAGACGTGTCGGTTCTTGGGAGGCTGCTCGGCGACGGTATACCCAGAAGACATCTGATAAGCTGAGCAAGGGATGCCATGCTCTTTCATCTTGTGGGCCATTTCTAGTAGAGCTTCACCCGCAGGTGGGCTATCCAACATGGAATACTTCATGCCACCCGAGAGGTAGCCAAACGCCCAGCGAGGAACGAGAAGTGGGTATCCCGCCAAGTCGGCGTAGGTCCGAACGATGTCCTTGAGGGTTTTTCCCGTGATGATATACTCCTCCAGACCGCCGTAGTCTTGTCGATAGACCTTGTAGAAGCCCCACATGCCATCCATTTCAGAGCCGATAGAGTACTCGCCTCTGGTATGGCTCGTAGAGAACATGGCAACGCATCCTTGCGGCGTGGCATTGATCAACAGTGGAATGTTTTTGTAGAGAGGGTCAGTTCGGTGGACGTCGTAGCCGAAGCTGTCGGTCGCGGATAACTGGAAGCGCCGACCTGAGAGGTCCATTGGGGCTGCTTTCTCTCCAAGGCCCATGTGAAGCGTACCGCGGTTATACCGGGTGTAGTGTGCGACGCCATCGCCATTGACGGCGTATGATCGATTGGGGACGTCCTCCAAAATGGGCGACTGGCCCTCAAAGGCAACGGAGAGAAGGGGAGTTTCTCCGGTGTAGTCGATATTGGCAATGACATCGCCAATTTGGATCTTGGTGTTTTTCTCAGACGACGTCACTGCAGGCTGGACGCCATCCAGCTTCACCTCAGCGTGTGGAACGCTGGGATGCGGGGGCTTCGGATGTGTGTCGGACGTAAAGGTGGTCCTGAACACGTTGGAACGGACAGCTTCAAATGAGAAGCGGAAAGGGAGCGTAGCATCGCCGCAGCGGAGGTGGACTGATGGTGCCGCATCGACAGCTTCCCGAGATGGGTCTGCGGCCCAGGATGAGGGGATTCGTTCACGTTGAGGCATGGTGAACGTTGTTTGACTGAATGGTGAATATGCCTGCGAATATGCCTGCGAGTACACCGGCCTAAAGAGAAGGACTGTTCATGGGTCTAGGAATCACAGCATAATCATCTCGTACGAGGAACCACAGCTGCGTTTTAACCCCAAGTGATCCAGCGTTGTGTGGGGAATTCATGCTCCTCGTGTTGCCCTCAACGGTTGTGATTTGGCCCAAGACCGAGACATGGAGAACGAGTCGGTTGATCTACTCTTTCTCCGATAGTGGAGTCGGAGAAAGTTGATCAACTCCGATCCCTGCACATCGCATGACCAACGACTGCAACATGACTCAAGCAAGATGCGGAGAAATTTGACAAAACTCCAAATTATTCTTAGTGAGCTTCCTCTCCGCAGTCCGACTCCGCTTCCGCCGGATCCCCATGGGGCCCCAGCTCTACTCCAGAAATTAGCATCAAGATGAAGTTATCTATGCAGGCCCGTCTGACGTAGACCGGTCCGAGTGGCTGCTATACAATTCCCGGTCGATTAGCTGCGTCACCTAATTTAAGTAATGGACGCATTTACGACACGAATGAGCATTTTGACCCGCTTGATACAACGGGAAGATGGAACCATCATCATAGCATCAGCTGCATCTATCCGCCCCTGGCAACCGTAGCCAACATAAGCTACAACTGTAGAAGAAATGATCTACCTGGCTGCAATACCATCACATGACACATTCTTAGTTTGTCTCTTCCTGCTCAGCCAATTGTTCCAACGTTCGAAGTTCCATCAATCATTTGAAAGGGCTGATTACCTCGCCCACTACCAGAACTCGCGAGCCACGGCGACCAGCAATCCGCATTGGCGAAATTGTTCCAAAAAAAATCCCAGCTAACAAAAGAAGTCTAATTTTCTTTGAGCGGGAACAGACGGGGTGGGCTTTGTCATGCCAATGCACCGAAGGCGCCACCAACCGAACAACGCATATGAGCAGCTCAAAGCCAAGTGTCTATGAGCTTCACGCTATAGTTCACACCGTTCTGGCATCTTTTATTCAAGCGCAGGAACTAAGAAACATGTTCTGGGGCCAATGCACGTCGAAATAGCCAATAGTCTCATGAGACATCTCATGGTTATATCTGAAGATCTTTATCCAGAACACCCTTCATCACATCATCAACCTGAGATTCGTTTTTGTGATCAACATTCAATACGAACAACATACTTAAGAACAAAGCGCAAAGTCAAAGGCACAAGGACCCTCCTGTTTCCATTATCAGACTCCACAATATGTCAACTACCCTCACGCCAAGAAAGCTTCGCCTAGAAGAGCTTCGCCAAGTAACGCGTAGCCCAGAAGAGTTTCGCCAAATAATGCATCGCATAGCTAATGACGAGGAGGGATTGATGTACTACGGTCATCTTAATCATTTAAGGGACTATTCTGGGTATATGCAAGGGCGGCGCCGTGGACTTCATCCTGAGATCCAGGCATATTTCATGCATTCTTCCACTTCAGCGCCTCGTCCCGTTCAAGCAATTTCCTCCGTCACAGTTAAACAGACACCAGGTCAGTGCCTGGCAATCACCGTCTTTCGTTTCATTGGCACCATTTTGAACTTAGGTAAGAAACCTTTCAAATACCTTACAGAGAACTGACAAGACTACAGGGCATAGCCGCTTGAATAGATTCTGCGACTTGCCTGTAGAATTACTATTTTCATTAGTTCCACACCTTCATTCACTTCGAGATCTTAAAAATCTCGCAAGTGTATCACGGTTGTTTCACCATATTTTTGGGAAAGAGTTATACAAGGAGTGCCGTCGGAGGCTCGACTCCCTTCCTCTATTCATTGGTGCAATGAGAGGCGATATCGAGCTTTTGGGATACTTCTTAAAATATGGTCAAACGATAGACCCAATCTGGACCGACGAGAAGATTCCTAATCTGATGTTTGCATATCCAAACCATCGCCCAATTCATGTTGCTATCGAACATTGGCAAGACGATACTGTTAATTGGCTTCTTGCTAAGGGAGCTAACCCCAACCGGCCAGAGCACCTTACAGAAGTGGACTACTGCAGAACACCACTCCAGATCTGTATGCAAATGACTTCAGACAGATTTCTCGATAACTGCGCCACGGACGCCACGGATTCCTCGGCCCAATTCCGCATCTTAAAGGCTCTACTAGAAAGTGGTGCGGACCCGAACGTCAAAGATAAATTCTCCGACTATCCTTTACGGCGATACTTCACGTCAAAAATGGGTCAAATCATTTTTTGTATTCCATACATTTCACTGCTTTTATCATCTGGAGCCAATCCACTTCAACTGTGCAAGTATTACAATACGGAACACAAGTGCAGTTTTCGATCTGAGCTTCTCGGTTTCCGGCCTCCAGCTGATAGTCAGTGTGTGCAAGATGCCGGAAAGATAAGCAAATGGTTGTCTTTGACAGCACAGTTAATTAATCTTCTTTTTCAATATTCAATTACTCAACAAATATAATCTATAAATCCAGCAAGTTTATTTTGGTGACCGAGAAACTTCTTGAGCCAGAGGAATACTTTTGCTCTTTTGTCTAGGGTAGCTCAGCCTGATGGGGAGATTTACTGCCGGAATAAACATAACCCGTATTACACCACACAGAGCTCTATGACCTCTTCCTTTGGGGCAGTGCCACAGCCTTGCATATTGCTTCTGTCAGGCTGGAAGGCAGCAGCCACAAGGGCATTGGGTACAAATGTGGCTCGTGACTTCAGCTTCGCCGCGCCATTTCTTTTTTCTCTCAACCCCACATTTGGGCTTTTCGCCCAGTTGCCGCAGAATGAAGCGATATTGAATCGTACACTCATTTGTTGCATTTCCTCGTATCGCTCCTGCCTAGGGATTCAAAGCCATACTTCCATTTATCGAAGTTGTAGGACGCTACGTGACATCGCTACAAGCACCGCGAGGACCCGAACCCAGCTGCCGTCGTTGAGCCTCAGCCTGGCCTGTACACATTCCTCCCGGTTCTTGATCTTTTGACTCAATGGCTGAGTTAGATCCCGAGCTCTATACCGTCGCATGGCTCGCCCCGCTGGAGATCGAGGCACGGGCTGCCCTACACTTGTTGGATAATCGCCACGAAGGCAGGTTTCCGATGGGCCGCGGTGATGACTACGTTTTCCAAGCTGGCGATGTATGCGGACACAATATCATCATTGCAACCCTGCCGGCGGGTCAAGAATATGGTACCGGCTCGGCCGCCGCCCTCGCCAGCCAGGTGAAGAGGTTTTTCCCGAATCTCTGGTTCGGCTTGCTGGTTGGTGTTGCGGCTGGACTCCCCAACCTCTCGCGAGATCCGCCACTGGATATCCGTCTTGGCGATGTTCTCGTGGGCATCCCTGAGGGCAACAGTGCGGGGCTTATAGCCTACGACCTAGGCAAGGAGACAGGTCAAGATTGTCTTCAGCTCTTGCGCCTCGGTCACGTATTGGCCACAACGGAAACGGTTGTCCGATCAGCCATCGGCAGCATCAAACTCAAGGCACCGAAGGATGCAGAAATGTTTTTGCCGTATTACGAGCATATCAAAGACAAAGAGCATCCTAACGGCACATTCATCGACCCCGGACAAGAGAAAGATGCACTCTACCAAGTTGACGACGGTGTCACAGAACGTCTGGTAGAACGAGAACGAAGGCTGGATTCCAAGAGAACTCGAGTCTGGTACGGACCCATAGGCTCAGGAGAAAAGCTCATGAAGAATGCCCGGAAACGGAATGAGCTGAGAGACAAATACAACATCATTGGCCTCGAGATGGAGGCGGCTGGGACAATGAACCGCATTCCCGTGGGCGTCATTCGAGGGGTCTGCGACTATGGAGACGAACATAAGAATAAGGAATGGCAACCGTATGCTGCTGCAATGGCTGCCGCCTACGCCAAGGCCGTCTTGGCCGAGATTCCACCCAAGAGCGTCGTACGAAGAGAAGGTCCGATTATAGAGAATAGCTAGTACGCATCACGTTTATTTCGCTTACAGGAAGGGTCTTGAGCTGATTGATTACCCTAGTGACGCCGTCGCGATAGGTGTGGACGGCAAAGCTAAGCGCAGACTCGACGAGCATGCTCTCTGTGTCAGAGATGGTAAACCCAAAAGGCACCGTTATGAAGACGATAACCAAAGTTTGCAAACCTTACCTCATCGAGTTCAAGCCGGTAAGAATGATTGACTTGAAGCTTCTACAAGAATATACTTAAGCTAAATTTCTGTGAAGCACCCGGATCACTGGATGAAGAAGAGAAAAGGGTGCTAATGGACTCATTGAGATTTGACCAGATCGATGCTCGCCATGAGGGCATCAAGAAAGCACATACCAAGACATGTAAATGGCTGCTGGTAAAACCCGAGTATATCGACTGGCTTGACCCCGAGAAGCTCGGCGACCATCACGGCTTCTTGTGGATCAAGGGGAAGCCTGGGGCTGGGAAGTCGACGTTGATGAAGTTCGCTCTCAACAATGCCCAAATGAAGATGAAGAACAGGATCATTATCGCTTTCTTTTTCAATGCGCGAGGAGAGCAGCTGGAGAAGTCGACAATCGGGATGTATCGATCACTGTTACTACAGCTTCTCGAACGACTTCCAGAACTTCAGCGCGTCTTCGATTCTCTTGGATTAGTGACATGGAATGGTAGCTCCCAGCAGTGGAGCGTTGATTCACTGAAAGCACTCTTTGAACAAGCTGTACAGGGTCTTGGAACGTCATCACTGGTGTGCTTCATTGATGCGTTAGATGAGTGCGACGAGCATCAGATCCGGGACATGATATCGTTTTTCGAACACGTGAGCGAACTGACAACATCAGCCGGCATTGCATTCCAGGTCTGCTTTTCAAGCAGGCACTACCCCCACATCACGGTTTCGAAAGGACTCGGCCTGGTCCTCGAAGGGCAAGAGGGACATGAACAGGACATTGTCAGCTACCTAGACAACGAGCTGAAGATTGGACACAGTAAGCTCGCCGAGCGGATCCGTGCCGATCTCAAAGAAAAGGCGTCTGGGGTCTTTATGTGGGTTGTCCTGGTGGTAGGGATTTTGCAACAGGAGTATGACGATGGCCGCAAGCATACGCTTCGACAAAGACTCCGAGATATCCCTGGGGACCTGCATGAGTTATTCCGCGATATTTTGACACGTGATCACCGCAACAGAGATGAGTTACTTCTGTGTATTCAGTGGGTGCTCTTCGCAAGGCAGCCGCTGAAGCCGGAGCAGTTGTACTTTGCCGTTCTGTCCGGCGTTGACCCTGAGGCTGTATCCGGGTGGGATCCCGATGAAATCGAAGAACCCGATATCAAAAGGTTTATCCTCAGTTCCTCTAAAGGGCTTGCCGAAGTCACCAGGTCCAAAAAAGCCCCGACGGTTCAATTCATTCATGAGTCAGTCAGGGACTTTCTTCTTAAAGAAAACGGCCTGAAGGAAATTTGGTCCGACCTCGGAGGGAACTTCCAAGGAGAAAGTCACGAGCGACTAAAGCAGTGTTGCATCGGTTACATGGGTATCGGCTTCGCTGATCTGAACATTGGCATCTCACTCCCGAAGGCATCGTCCCAGGAAGCTGAAGAAGCTCGCCAATCGCGAGATAGAGCGTTTCCGTTCCTAGAGTATGCTGTACAGAATGTCCTGTATCATGCAGACGCGGCTGAAGGGGGCGGCGTCAGCCAAAAGACTTTTCTCCAGACTTTTCAGGTTGCCGACTGGATCACGCACGACAACCTATTTGAGAGATTTGAAGTGCGCCGACACACTCCTGAAGCAAGTCTTTTGTATATATTGGCGGAACATAACCTGGCGAATCTCATTGGAATCCACTCGAACAACCTATCCTGCTTCCAAGTAGAAGTTGAGCGCTATGGCCCGCCAATTCTTGCTGCGCTGGCTACGGGTGGTCACGAAGCGGTCTTGGCACTTTTGAGAGCCCAGGCGGAGGCTGAACCCGAAACGTCTCTACTTCACGGCCTGTGTGAACAATATTACTCAGATGGAAAGAAACAAGCTGCTCTTGGACGCGAGTTCAAGTTTCCACGACAACGAACTCTCCTCTCATATCTAGCAGAGTGTGGCCAAGAGATTATCCTCGCTTTTGTCCTCGCTTCGGGCAACTATAACGCCGACCTCGAGTTAAAGGACGAAGAAGGACGGACGCCATTGTCGTATGCTGCCGAGAAATGGCGCGAGGCCGTCGTGCGGCTGCTGCTCGACCGGGGCGCACAGATTGAGGCAGCTGATAAAGACGGCTTGACGCCGTTATTATATGCCGTCCATCAGGGAGATAAGGCTATTATCCAGCTGCTGCTCGACCGGGGCGCATATATTGAGGCGGCCGATAAAAACGGGCGGACGCCATTATTATATGCCGCCGCATTTGGGCTTAAGCATGTTGTACAGCTACTGCTTGGCTGGGGTGCGCAAATTGACGTGACCGATAATAACGGGCAGACGCCGTTATTACATGCCGCTGTGCATGGGAATGGCGCTGTTGTACAGCTACTGCTTGGCTGGGGCGCACAGATTGAGGCGGCCGATAAGGACGGCCGGACGCCGCTATCCTATGCCGTTCATAAAGGGCATGATATTATCGTGCGGTTGCTCCAGTTGCATGGTGCTAAATCTTCATCGACAACATCGGCTTGACCTCCATCCCACCCGCCACCTGCTCCTGCGCTCTGTTTACATCCCTCTTATCTTGGCAAATAGAATCTGCTGGAAAATGCTTCCGTAACCTCCCACACATAGCCAGGCGCTACAAGTGGCGTTCACTCTTCCAGGAGTTCCTTGACAAAACCGTGACCTGAACCAAGTATTCCCAGCCAGCACATCGCAACGAGCAAGAATGGATGTCTATTTTAAGTGGTCTACTAAGGCACTAGGCTCCTTCTGCGGGGGCGTCTTTGTCGCCTTGAAATGCAAAGGACTAGTCTCAATAGCTTCTCCGTTTCCTGTTTGTCCCTTCGAAATTGGGATGCAAGCAATGATACACTCAGCCCAACGAATTCCAATATATTGAGTGGATTCACAATCAGCGCCAACTCAATCTCAATCAATATTGAATCTAGAATGCATAAACATGAATCAATTTTGACCTGCCGTTAATTGAATATATGTATGTAAATTTCTCGCCCCAGGCAGGTCCACTATTGAGCACAGAACGTGCTAAGCCAAAGCCTAATATCTATCTTACATGCTACTATGGGGAACAGTTCCCCGTAAAGTGCAGGAAAACCCTTATCCAGCATGGTATCTCTACATAATACCAAGTAGCTCGCAATCCTTGTGCTTGAAATCCGACCACGGGTGGCAGCGGACTACAACAAGCCACGGCGCGCCCCAGAAAGCGCTGGAAGCCACGCAACATGCCGGCAGCGATGCCATCGTTGCTGTCTGTATCCGTCTCGCCTTCCATGTTGTGCATGCCCTTGACGTGTAAGCGGTACACATAAATGAACAGCACATAGACACCATTCTCTATTCAGTCATAGAGCCAGGTGCCATTATCAAGGCGAGTAAATGGGTAGGCGACACCTTGTTCCAACCCCTTTGGAGGCGATAAATTTGCGGTTGCAGGCCTATTTAAAAATGGTGCCATGGCGTCGGTTTGTCTGCTACAAATATTCTTATGGGCCTTCCACTCTGCCTTTTAGCAGCCCCTGCAGCAGTACGGGGGCGTAGAGCATTTTGCGCACTGCTTGAGGTCAACCTCGGGCGGCGACTTTTGCAGTTGGTTCATGCAGAGGCCGTAATAAGTCGTTCCTGGCAACAATAACTACAAAATAGTAACAATAAAAACTGAATCAATCCGAAGTCTGTATTTAAGCTTGTGCCGTAGTAAAGACTGGACAAGGTGGACGAGAGGTAGGTACAAGCCGTGTATTTGAAGGTGATGGAGGGCAGGGTGAGCAAACGACCACAACGAGCGGAACAAGCTTCGTTGGGGGATTTCCCGCTGATCTAGCGGACCGACGCCTACCACTGTGCTCGAACTTGAACTCTTGCCTCAGTTTAGTCCCGTTCCTCAAAGCATCGGTGGTCCTGTCTAGGAACCGGTATCTTGTAGCTGCAACCGGACCCTGTTTACGCGAGGCAGGTGGCTGTTGAATTGACTTATTGTTCACGACCTCCTGACTCGTGCTGTAAATTTGGCGTGAAGGAAAGAAGATCCCAAATACAGCGCGAAATAGTAGGATCTACTCAACATAACTCCGATAACTCCTTGCCAAAACCACACCGACGATAGGGTCTCGTCCCCTTCTCGTCGTATTGCAGCTTCGTCACCGCGGCCATGTACTAGCCTCGCCCAATCCCTGGTGCAGGATCGCTCGGACATCGCATTAACCCTCTCCAACGTCCGAGCGATCCTCTCCACTCGCACGAGGCCCTTGCCACGCGTTGTCGGAGAAAGTTGACAAACTCCGAGTGCTTCTTAGTGGACTTCTCTCCGCAGTTTAGCTCCACTTCCAGTGGCATCCCCATGGGGCCCCAGCTCCACATAGGGGATCGGCACTCTCCAGACCGCGAGGAGGACTACATATATTATGGCGTGTCCCCTTTTTTTTACGATTGCTGATACAGCAGGTGCAATCATCACCACTAGTTTGCTGTGAATACTTTCTATCCGTCTTTTGTCAATCGCGGCCAGCATGTCCGAGCCCAAAGATGCCCCTGAGGCGAGTCAGGTGGAGCAGGCTCAGATGCCAGACATCGAGACCCGTTCCCCTGCAAATGACGCGGTCGGTGTAAACAACGATGCCATCGAGTCCGCTCCTGCAAAGGTCGAAAAGCTGGACAAGGCCGCGCAGTTTCTCAAGCAGGCCCAGCATCAAGTTGTCGTGACGCGGGCCGAGAACCGTCGCGTGCGGAAACTGATCGACTGGAGGATTCTGCCTCTGCTCCTGTGAGCTCAACTTCCTACTGAGTCCCAACTATGCTAATGCAGCCTTCGCAGTGTTGTATACTGCCTCCAATCGCTCGATAAAAATACCTTGTCCTATGCCGGCGTCTTTGGTCTCATCGACGATGCCAAGTTGGTTGGAAACGAGTATTCGTGGCTCGGGTCTGTTGTCTACGTGGCGCAGCTTTGCTTCCAGCCTGTCGTGGCATACATCCTCGTCAAGTTCCCCATCGGCAAGTTTATATCATGCATGGTGCTTGCTTGGGGCGTGATTCTGTGCTGCATGACTGCTGCACATAATTTCACCGGCCTGGTTACTGCCAGATTATTTCTTGGCATTTTCGAAGCTTCTGTCGGTAAGTTTATGCCTATCAATCCGTCCTCGAGATTCAATACTGGACCTCAATGGCACACTTCGGCAAGTATTAACAGATTGGTCTGCGATAGCCCCGACATTCGTTGCCATTGTTCAGATGTGGTATAGACGACGAGAACAGACTCTGAGAAACTCTTTCTGGTATGCACAACTTGGAGTTGTGAACATTGTAGGTCGCACTTGACATCATCTTGAACCGAGGGTGCTGACCAGGCGAACAGCTTGGAAGTCTGCTATCCTATGGACTGGGGCATGTCAATTCCAGCGTCCTTCATCCTTATCAGGTCATTTTTCTCTTCTGTGGCTGCCTCACCTTTGCGTGGTCGATTGTCATGTTGTAAGTATACTTGGCTCAGCACAATGCCTCGGTATGGGGCATTGGAAAACGGTAGATCACTGACCAGCTTCTAGCATTTGGATGCCCGACTCGCCCATGACTGCCAAATTCCTGAATGCAGATGACAAGTTGATTGCTGTTGAGCGACTCCGCATGAATCAGCAGGGTATCGGATCCGGAGTTTGGAAGTGGGACCATGTGAAGGAGTGTCTGCTTGATCCCAAGACGTGGTTGTGGTTCTGCACCATATTTGCCATCTCGTGAGTAACAACCCAAATTCTTGCATCAAACGCACTCTTCTGACGGTTGTATCTTCTACAGAGTCCCGAGCGGTGGTATTTCGACATTCGGTCCCCTGATCATCGAGTCCTTCGGCTTCGACCGGTTCACCACGATCCTCTTCAACATGCCTTTTGGCGCTATTCAAATGATTGCCACGATCGGAGGTGCCTGGCTTTCAGATAAGATCAAGATGAAATCCCCCGTTCTGATTCTGCTCTGCCTCGGCCCCATTACGGGATGCTCCATTCTTCTTGCCGTCGGACGTGAGCCTAGCGATCGCGCCCTGCTCCTCTTCGGTTACTATATCATCTCCGTGTACCCGGGCATCACTCCCTTGATCTACTCTTGGTCAGGCCAGAACACGGGTGGTGATACGAAGCGCAAAGTCACGACGGCCATGATCTTCATTGGATCCAACGCGGGCAACATCATCGGCCCGCTTCTCTTCCGCACAGACGAACGCCCCAGGTACACTCGTGGTTTGACAGCGAACCTGGTCCTCTTCATTGTACTGGCAGTGCTATTTGCCTTCGGCATGCTGTTGATCAAGGTCCTAAACAAGAGACACGCCCGCCAACGTGTGGCTCTCGGCAAGCCTGAGCACATTGTCGATTTCAGTATGATGGATAACAGGGAGCTGGAGGATGATGACGATCTTATGAATCAAGCCAATGATCAAACCGGAGAGAGAGGTTTTGAGGATTTGACCGACTTGAAGAACGAGGATTTTATTTATGTTTACTGAGGTCGTCCACAGTTGGGGTTTGGATCAAGGTAGCCCTTCTCGATAGCTTCATTCTGGGTTCCGCCCCAACCGCGAACCGACTAGGATTAGAAGTCTTAAATTCCCGTCCTCCTTTATTTTTCCACCCTCATCATATGGGGATTTTGAATAAGTGCTCCCCATTCTTTTCGCATGTTTCGTTTGTATATTGCAAGACTTGCGTAATCCGTTTTATCCGTGAGCCTAGCCAGTTCGGAGCACATCGGTCGATATCACCAATCCCTGTACATCGTAGCGTTCACTAGTGACTTGACGCATGCTGGTATAGTGCTCCTCCCGGAGTTCCTTATCCTCTATGCAACGGACGGATGAATCGAAATCGCTTCCGGTTGGAATGCAGCTTTAGGCGCGGCTTTTGAAGAAGAATGCGAATTTTAGATTATATAGCTGCTTCAAGTCCACCTCGACCGGCACATAAATCCTTTGGATTCCCGACCTCCCGAAATTCCGCCTTTCCTTGACAGGGTTAGGTGGCCCATCAGCTGCTTACAGGATAAACATAAATCCACCCATCCCCAGACCCGCCCCCGCACACAGTCACCCGATCGTTCGACTTCTCCGCAAAGCCGACGAGAGTTAGAATTTATCTAATCAGGAACGCCAAGTCGGAATGAATGATCGCGAGCCATTGAAACAAATGTTGCCCCAAGAGCCCGTGAATGGGGAATCGCCACCACGAGCTCGTAAGAAAAGGATCCCGGTATCTACATACCCATGACTCCACATCGTCCATCTTTGGGTCAATCTCGCTGATCTTCTGCCTGATCAACAGAAAGCGTGCGGCTCTTGTCGTCAAAGCAAAGTGAATACTGCACGATTCAGTCAATGAGAAGGTATTAACTGCGTTGATAGGTTAAATGCGACGGCCTGCGACCATGTTCTCGGTATGTATCCATGCTTTCCATGGTAATAATAGAGCTAACACTGGGTTATGACAAGCTGCCGCCAGCTTCAGAAGACATGCACCTTTGTGGAGAAGCCTAAAGATAGTCATGAAATGTCTGTCTCGGTTATAACTAATGACATGTACCCAAGAACGCGGCTGATTGACTTGACCGACATAGGAAAATTGAAGCTCTCGAGAAAGAGGTCGAATTTCTACGGGCGCGTCTACCATTACACACTGCATCCGTCTCGGAATGGTCACACCCGTCAGAGATGGAAGAACCGTCACCCTCCGGCCAGTTATTGGAAAATGAGGGACCTGTCCCGGACGGTATCTTCAGTGACTTCAGCAACACGACGAGCATAAGATACCCAGAGGCGCCAGGCATCTCCTTCCAACTTGCGGCGACCAGCGCGGGCTCTCCATCAACTACTTCGCTCCTCACGAGATCCCAAAAACGAAATAGATCCTGCTTCGAGGCCGAAACCCCAACGACCGACTTGTTGACTGCAGGTGGGCTCGGCACCCAGGATTCAGAGCTATTCTTCAACACCTTCTTCTCCGGCTGTGACCGCTACGTTCCTGTATTCGACACACGATATGATACGATGCAAGACATCCGAAGCAGAAGTGAATTATTATTTGCCACACTCTGTTCCGTGGGTTGCCGCGTACTGAATGGAACCGACTCCCGCTGGCGTACACTCAACTTCCACAGTCAACGCATGCTAAACGCCGCCATCGCCAACCCAGCAATGGGGTCTCTGGAAACCGTGCAGGCACTCCTTGTTCAAGCCTGCTATGCTTCCGAAAGATCACTCCTCATATCCATTGCCATCCGTATGGCGATGGACCTTGGGTTTCCTGAGGCTTACGACACGCTTACCGCGCAGTTTGTATCGAGGGATAGACGACGCAACGACGGGGATGAAGCGGTTTCCGAACAGGATGGCATGCTAATGCGCAAGGCCCGTGTCTGGCTACACCTTCTAGTTATGAGCCACCTCCTACAAGTCGACGCTGGGGGACTGCCGACTTTCAAATTCCGAGGTGCCTCGCGCCGATGCAGGATTCTTCTCCAGAGCCCACTGTCTACTGGGATGGATCACTACTTATTCGCCCAAGTAGAGCTCAACGTTTTGCGAGCCAAGATATACATGTCGTTGTATCAATGCACCAGTCTTGAGGACCAAGAGATCATAGACTTGGTGAGAGACGCCAAGATTGACATTGACGTGTGGTACAACGACTGGATGCTCATCTCGGAAAAACACCACAAGGACATGCCCTGGTTTGCTCCGAACCTATCGGTGCAACGGTATTGGGCAGAGAGCATGGCTCTGTGCGGCGCGGTGCGGGCTTCAGGTGTGGAAAACGTAAACGCCATGTCGATGACGCAGAAAAACATCCTGTTGATGACCAAGGACTCGCTGAAGCAGCATCTGGATACCATCGTTCAAGAGCCGCGGCTATATCTCAACAGCCTACGCTACGCCATGGATTTTGTTTGGGCTAAAAACACATTCTGCTGCTTACTTCTCCTCAAACTATCGGTCTTGCTCCCTGACGGGGACGAACAGCGATCGAGGGACTTCAGTCACGAGCTCGCGGAGAAAGGAAGCATTCTGCTGAGCGAGCTGGGGAATGTTGTTGCTGGAGGCCCAAAGGACGATACTCGATCCAACACAAGCCTACTGTACCTTCAGCTTCTGAAGCTGAGCATCCAGAAATACAAACATGGGCTGGATCCGTCTTCAGAGGATTACCAGGAGAGCTCATCACGTCCTCCGGAGTCCAATTTAGCCCAAAAGACTCCAGGTAGACCGGATGCAGGGGTGCACACTGAGTTGGAGTCGTTTGTTCCAGAACAATTTGTCTTTGAGTGGGATTTCCCGGGCCTCACGTTGTTTTCGTCTCCCACAACTGAGGCAGGTTGGTTTGACGATTTTTTGGCGGGGACTCTGGGGCCTGGCGATGATGTCTATGGTATTAATTGGGCGTCTATGGACTTTTCTCTTTAGAATTACGGGTGAGAGAGTGATTCTTATAGTGGCTCGATATTTATCTACTATATTTGACTCTTCGACCCACTCACTACGCAACCCTGGAAGTGGTTGCTTGGTTGCTGCAAGACCTGGCAATGGTTAGTTGGCGCAATCAGCATGCATGTAACTACCCACTAAATAATTTACCTTGGACTGAGGACATGACAATATCGGGGCTTAGCTGAGCTCCGCCACTCCAGGCTGATTTATGAGGGACTTTAAACTGCCTCATTCTCTGTCCACTTTTCAAACACGGGAACAGTAGCAACTCCAGCCCAAGATACGCAGAATCGAGGGCGAGAACAAGCAAGAAGTCACCTTTAAGAAATGCCCAGGATGGACTCTGCCGAGGTTGTGGATGGCCCCGACGTACCATCCATGAGTGTGAGCACCGATTGCATGATTTGCGCCAATCTGCGAAGGATGTTCATAGAGGACGAATTTTGGGTGGACCTTGGAATGATCGACAAATTGTTGGAAACTCGGTGTTCGGGGCACGACCCATTACTGAAACATTTTCGAGAGCAGTTTGATGATGCAAATAACTCTCAGCTCGGCCAGGAGGAAGAAGACGAGGAGGGAGGAGAGGAGGGAGAAGGTGAACCGGGAGGGAGCGGAGCTAGGAAGAGTGACGATGAGAAGAGCTCAGAGAGGGTCGAGAACATAGAAGACGCCAAGAACAAAGAAGGAGAAGAAGGTAGCCCACATGAGAAGCCCAAGGACGACAAACCTGGACCTGGACCCTACAACATCTACCTCAGTCGGTATGACGAACCGCACGGCCAAATCCACATCGAGGAATCGTCCAATAGTGGGAGGCTTTGGGATGTGCTGCTGGCAAGAGGCAGGGATGAGCCGCAGACTCCTGGCTACGGACGGGTTCTTGATCCAGACTGGGTAAATCTGGAATTGGCTAGACAGTGGAAGAAGGACTGTTTTACCAAGCACGGCGACAAGTGCAGCAATCCCTTCAAGATCAATCACGTTTCGCCAGCCTGGCTCATCGATACTGCCAACGACTGCCTGGTACCAGGCACCGATATATCCGACTTTGTCACGCTGAGTTACAGATGGGGCGACTCGGCGGCCTTCCGCTTAAACCGTGACTTACTGCCGACTCTTCTAATGCCCGGGTCCTTATCCCCCGATCAGCTTGGTGCCGAGCTGCCACCGGGAATCAGACATGCGATGCAGCTCGTACATGAAATAGAAGAACGCTATCTATGGGTAGACTCGGTCTGCATCGTCCAGGATGACAAGACGCACAGCATGGAGCAACTACGGCTGATGGGCGCCATTTACTCGTCAGCAACCCTCACCATCGTTGCCTCTGACGGAGATGCCACCGAAGGCATATTGGGTCTACAGGGCTCATCGCCGTCGCGAGAGTTTAAGCAAGCGGTGATTCCTGTTTTCGAGAACGAAAAGGTCATAGTTCGGCAGCTGCCCTTGCTGGAGAGTCTATCGGGGTGCTCCTTGTATTTCGAGCGCGGCTGGACGTTCCAGGAGTTTTACCTTTCTAAGCGACGTTTGATCTTTGCGAACAACCAGATGCAATGGAGTTGTTCTTGTGCCGCCTTCCACGAGGATCTCATCGCGGCTGAAGATGCATCTGGCGGCCGAGAACATGCGGACCGCTTGCTTTCGACTCTGCTGAACGGCCAGCCTGACTTTAGTGCCTTGTCCAGGTTACTCAGCGACTACAACCACCGCCAGCTCACGTACCCCGAAGACGCCTTGCCCGGGATCAGTGGTCTCTTTGCTCTTCTTAGCCGATCGTTTGAAGGTGGCTTTCTCTTCGGCCTACCCGAGACCTGCTTTGACTCGGCCCTGATGTGGCGAACGAGTTTGACTACTGAGATGACAAGAAGAGAGGATTCTGGACGGACAAACCTGCTTGATTGCGCATCCCCGTTGCCATCCTGGTCGTGGATAAGCTGGGAATGCTTTGCCATGGCGATCGTGACGGAAGAGACGTTCACAGTAGGGTCGAGAGGGTCTAGGACAATGCCCATCACGCAGTGGTACACGCACGCAACGCCAGACGCGACAGTGAAGGTGAAGCGGCCAATCCAAGCCAACTGGTTCCGCTTGGCGGAAAAGTTCAAAGCATCAGGATATGAGGTGCCTGAAGGGTGGACGAGAGAGGAGTACGAAGAAACCAAACACAACCCAGGTGAACACAAAGGGAGAGATCCGCCTCACGGTCTCGGAAAATACATATATCGTCCCGTAGACGTCCCGGACCAGTACTTCTGGTTGCCAGTACCCAAAAGGACTGTCGGCGAGACGGCGGAGCCCTTCAACCCGCCACAGACGCCTTACATATCGTGCAGAACATGGCGTGGCTGGTTCGCTGCCGCCCGGATCCCCAACAGCAAATTTTCAGATAACGAGATTGCTTACGAGAGACACAAGTTAGAGGCTGGACTATTGGACCACCAAGGAAATTACTGCGGTCGGCTGAACCTCCACACCACGGACGATATCTCCCTATTCCCGGAGGCTGATTCCGATGTTGACTTCAAGGTTGAGCTCGTGGCCATTTGCCGGAGAGAGGAAATAGGAGGCGAGAACAGATATTGCGTGCTTTGGGTGGAGTGGGTTGCTGGCGTTGCATATCGAAAGGCTTCTGGCACCGTGAATGAGCATACATGGGACAAACATGGTGTTGAGGAGGTGGATTTGATTTTAGGATAGTTGAAGCGTCTCCTGCAAAGGTTGGCTAGTGCATGAGAGAGATTTAATAGAGTCAATGCAATGGTCCGAGACCACGAACTAAAGATAGATATATAGACATATATTACCAGGTATGCTCCAGCTAACAGGTATACTACAATTGGACCTGCCATCTTCATCCCTCGTACTGCAAATAGCGCTGTTTCGTCTTGGACCTGACAAGATAACCTGAGACTCGAGTCGCGCATAATTACTTGTCTAGGTGGCAGAACCAACCTATGGCCTTAGCTTCCGGGCTGCTGACAGCGACGTTTGGTTTTAATTCTAGCATTGCATTTTACAATACGATACAAAGTTTTCTTTTTCATGCTAAACGCGTTCGCCATCTCAATAAGAAATAGGAAGCCCCATCACATTGGAAATTCCATCATGCCGGCTGCCGTAAATCATTTGGGGCTCTGTGTAACAGAGGGCTAGTGCGACTTGGGGCTCTGTGCGAAACGGGCCACATAGAACAACTGGGAGAAGGTCATTATTTCCAAAGACAGGACTCTCGCAAGCTATCTTGAAGACCCGTGAGACATCAGATCAGCACCAGCATTGTGAATGGATCCGCTAATTGGTTGATCCGGGGTGCGAAACGGCAGGTCTCCGCTGCGGTATTTTTAGCCGCCCAATGTCCTGACTTCACTTGATTTGTCTAACAATCCCCAAGCAATGTCTAGTCACATCAACATTAACAGGCAAATAAAATGTTCAAACGCCTCAAGGGTAAAATTTCAAGACGACATGCTGGATCCAAGGAATCCGAGAACCCGCCGCTCCACGACACTGGCACGACTGAGCCCAGGCCTGAAAAGTTTGGTCTGTTTTTTGTTGCTGGGAATCAGCCAGACTCATCAAGCTCGAAACTGTACTCGGTTGATATCATTGCAATTCATGGCCTAAACGGAGATGCATTCAACACATGGTGTCATTCAAACGGCACATTCTGGCTCCGGGATCTCCTTCCAAGCTTTCTGCCTGGGTGTCGAATCTACACATATGGCTACCCCTCCAAGATATTTTCTGAAACGTCGTTTTCACGTATGCAAGAGTACTCACGAGGTCTGTTGAGCTCCATCAGAGATCTTCACGAGGACTCAAGTACTGTACCGCCACCCATCCATATCTCACAATCACATCTGACATGAAAGCAGGGCCGTCGCCCCATCATATTTATATGCCATAGCCTTGGTGGAATTGTTTGCAAACAGGCTCGTATCCCACCAACTCTGAGAGGCACAAACTAACATCCATAGGCTTTGGTGTTTGCTCATGAGGACGACAATTTCTATGGAGAAGTTCTAAAGTCCGTAATTGGCGTGGCTTTTCTGGGGACGCCACATCGAGGTAGTGAATCTGCCAAACTCGGCAGCACATTGGCAACAATCATCAACATCTGCACGAAGACTTCCACGGCTGGGATGCGGCCTAGAGCAGTCAGAAATGATCTGTTAGACGACCTTAGCTCCAATTCCAACACACTTCAGGACCTCTTACTGTCAGCTCGAAACCGACTGCGCAACCTCGCTGTGGTTTCATTCTATGAAACCGAGGCGACACCTCCTCTCTCCTCTTTGGTGAGTGCACGATTTCATTCTCTGCCTGGGTTTGAAAGACACAAGCTGATGCCAATAGGTGGTTGGTCGCGAATCTTCGATCTTGGGCATACCGAACGAGGACGTCACTCCTCTGTATGAAAATCACAAGACTATCTGCCGCTTTGCAGGCGAGACCTCGAGTTACATGAGTGTAGCTCGAGCTCTGCGAAGGGTCGCTTGCAAGTTACCAGATGATGGCCAGGAGCTCAAGCGAGCAAATACTCGCTCGTCCGATAGAAGTGGGTTACACGCAGTGAAACTCCAGAACAAAGCTCTAACTCTTTCAAGGTCTCAGTGATGTTGAAATCACATGCATGAAGCTCTTCAATACCTTCGATGTCGCCGAATACAAGGGTTTGCTTCCAAAGCCAATCCCTGGCAGTTGCCAATGGATACGAGACCATCCGTTTTTTGTCTCTTGGCTTGAGAAGACTGAAAGTGCGCTACTCTGGCTGACGGGGCACCCGGGTTGTGGTAAAACCATGCTATCCTTCTCTCTCTCTCAGTACTTTGAGGAAGTTCGTGCGGCCAGCACACCCCAAACTGTTCTAATCTACTTTTGCGACGACAAGGTCAGTAGGCAAAAAGATGCGAAGGCGATTATCATTAGCCTGATCTTCCAAATCATCCAACGCCATCGCTCAATGATACGACATGTCCGACGAGTTTTTGAACTCCAAGGCCCGAGCATGATCGAGTCATTTTCTTCACTCTGGAGCATATTTCTCAAGATTGCAAAGGATCCAAAACTCGGCTCCCTCTACATCATCCTTGATGCTCTGGATGAATGTGAGAATGTCACCCGTCGTCAGCTTCTTGAGTCAGTTTCCGAAATGCTGGTCGGCTCCGCTCACTCCACAGGAAGCGGCAATGGCGTCAAATTCCTCGTCACAAGTCGACCGTTTCTTCGTCAGTCTTATATTACCGATAAAGCGCTACAGCCGCATATTTCCATCGATGAGGGTCAAGCCGGTTACGTTGCAGACCTCCGAAGTTTCATTCAGCGAAGAGTTGATGAAATATCTCTCAAACACAACTACCCAAGCGACGTCAGAGACTTCTTGTTGCAAACAATGTATTCAAAGGCGGATCAGACGTTCCTTTGGGTTCACGTGGTCCTTGCGTCAGTGGAAACGAGCCTGCTCACAGCGATGAAAGACTTTCGAGATATTGTCACAAGAATTCCTCAAGACCTCAAGGATACATATATGCGGTATATGTCTGATATTCCTTCAGACCATCTAGAAGATGCTTCACATCTGCTGAAGTTGCTATTGGCAAGCTCAAGACCTTTGCACCTGGACGAGATCAATACTGCTTTCACAATACACTCTTCCCACAGCACCACGGAGGATGTTGTGCGAGATTCTCAAACTGCAATAGCCCATACTCTTCAGGGAATATTGGGTCCTCTGGTAAGAGTTTCAGGGTCAAAGGTGTCTCTGGTCCACCTCTCAGTCAAGGAGTTTTTCCTAGAAGGTGCCAATTTTCACGAAGGTTTCCTTGCCATGCGCACGATCAATACCGAAGGCTCCGCATTGCGAATAGCTCATGCCTGCATGCAATATCTGCTTCTAGATGATTTCAACGATGGTTTCTTTTCGACCGAGAACTCACCTACCGATTCTATTTTTGGAATATCTGATCTCAATGACGAATTACCGCTTGGCCACTTCGCCGATGACTCCGGGGACGAAAATGATTACACTCTCAACGCTGATGTGCTTTTCCGTGAACCAGATGCGCTAAACTCGGACGTTTGTCATCGTATTGTTTCGAAATATGCTTTCTACAGCTATGCATCGTTGCATTGGGCAGAGCATTTTGCTATTTGCGAAGAATCCGCATCTGATACACTCAGAAAATCTGCCATGTCGCTCTTAAGTGTGAAGAACGAGAGCTGCCGCAATTGGTTCCAGTTCTACTGCACGGAATCCGATACCTCAATGGATACCAATTCCCTTGATCAGGAACCAATCGTCTTGGCAGCTCGTTTTAACTTGCACCGGACGCTGAAGGATATGCTAAATAGCTACGAATCTTCTCAGGCAATCTTAAACCAAAGCCTCTTATGGACATCTCGACTAGGCCATGGTCGCATTGTCGTGGAATTGCTCACGGCGGGATCCGACCCTAACATGCGAGGGTCTGACCGACAGACAGCTCTAACAGCAGCGGCTGAACATGGTCATTTATCATGCGTCGTCACGATCTTAGCCGACAAACGAACTGATATCAACACCAGTGGGCGAATGGGGAGGAGCGGACTCTCATTTGCATGCGGCAATGGGCACGATCGTATTGTCACGGAATTCCTACGTCAAGATGGCTGCAGATGTGACGATGCAGACGACTCTGGGGCCACTCCTTTCTTTTGGGCCGTAGGAGGAGGCCATTATTCAATCATCTCCACCTTAGCAAAGCATGCGAGTGTTGATGTCAACCACCAGGATAAAAAAGGTCGCACAGTCGTGTCTTGGGCTGCTGGAGATGGCATGCGTGAGGTTTTACAACGGCTGTCAAAGCTACCAGGCATTGATTTCAACAAGAAAGACAACAATGGGAAGTCGCCTCTCTCATGGGCAGCTGGCAACGGCCATGATAGCGTTGTTGATTTCCTCGTTCAACACAAGAAAGTGGATAAGGCGAGCGTCGACAAAGATTTGCGAAATGCTATTTCATGGGCCAGTGAGTTTGGACATTTGAATGCTCTCCGCATCCTCTTGAAGAATGGATGCCCAGGGGTCGACACGGAGGACATTGATGGCTGGACGCCTTTGGCATGGGCTATTCAGAACAATGCGCCCGGAGTCATCCAAGCCCTTCTCTCTACTGGATTGGTTCACCTTGAACGTCAAGACCGCGGTGGGAGAACAGCTTTATCATGGGCTGTTGAGTACGGACACGCATCTGTCGTGAAGGTTCTTTTGCAAGAAGGGGCTGATCCCGAAGCCAAAAGCAACAGGGGCACAACCCCGATATCGATCGCGAGAGAGTTTGGGAGGGATGATATACTAAAGGAATTGCTTGAGAACAGCCCGGATGAAACTGGCATTGAGACTTAATTAATCAATGATCCGCTCGAGGGTGTCGGAGGGCCACATTTTCGACAACATTGGTGTTAGGATGTTCCGGACTGCGTCCAAGAAACGACGCGGGCCCGAGACCAGCACGGCTTTCTGGTCCAAGGGGTAAATTCATCTGGCTTACTTTTTTAGGTTGGCTTACGTGCTAATCAATCGCGCCATCTGGTTATACATTATTGCAACCGTCCTATTCCGCTGGTGTTGTGATAGCCAGAAGAGCTAGAATTACATTGCCACCAGGAACTAACCACTTCTCTCTCCACTCTGACATGGCCAGGGATTAATTAGGCTAGTAAAGGTGGGTATCGGACTAGATCCTATTAGGGTTGTAGCCCCACGTCGAAGTCGATACGAACGGTAACTTGACCGAAATGCCCCGAAGCACCCTTGAACATGCACTAGCAACCAGGGCACAAGAGAGGATGAAGGGGCGAGTCAGCAACGAACACAGAGATAGGCTACTAGTTACCTGCCAGGTTCATGCTCTAGAAGTCCTCTGAGAGGAGCCCACAAAAAACAACAACAAAAAACAAAGTATGCTGGGTCGACTGTGCCTTCCGGATTTTACTTAGACTCTTGACCGCGTAGGTCTGTATTATATTCACGAGCGAAAATCTAATTAGAAGTACAATTGCACTTGCTTGATTAGTCGAAGTAGAAGTACGGTTATGATATTGATTACAGCTTACCCCGTACCGATTTAATGGTGGGGGCAATGAAGATCTCTCTATCGCAGACCGGGGAAACCAGCGTTGTGTGCAGCACAGTTTTATCAAATGACTAAACCTACACTAAATATCTGGGCCAAATAATAGCCATGATAACCTCAAGAGCTATATACCTTCTTGAAAGCTGGGCGGCTGGTGATGCGCTCCCACCAGGCACTAATGTTGGGGCGAGAAGTGATCAAGTCGAACTCACCGACCTCCTTACTGCCCAGCATGAAAATGAAAGGGACATAGAAGACATCGGCCAAGGTGAACTCCTAATATCTTGTTAGTTCTTCACTTTATGTGTAAATGCCAAACACACATACATTGCCAGCAACATATTGGCGAGTGGCGAGGATACCATCCAGAACCTTCAAGTTGTCATCCAGGTTCTTTCTCTGCTCGGCGATTTTAACTGGGTTGAGTTTTCCCCCGAGAGTACTACCGGCGAGTCAGCTTACATCCTACCATTTCACTGTTAGTACTTACGGCACGAAGTACTTCTCCGTAACCAGGCCTTCCAAAAATGGGTTGATGTACGCCATCTCGACGCTGGCGGCCTGTTCAAACAAGGCGAAGGCTTCAGGGTCGACATCTGGCGAAGGAACGAGGCTCTTCCCCTTTTCAGGGAACACGCTGCAAGCTAAGTAGCGCGAAATAGCTCGCGACTCGTACATCGTGAAGTCTCCATTCTTCAGGGTTGGAATTCTACCCCAGGGATGAATCTTGAGATACTCGGCAGTCTGTGTTGTGAATTAGATGGTTGAAAAGACCAGCTTGAATCGGTGTGTGGTATATACCTTGTGCTCCCCCTTCATTGTATCGACGTGGACAAACTCCAGCTCTTCGCCCAGTTCAGCGGCGGCAAGAAGGACGCGGTTGGTGCAGATATAGCCTACACTTCCGTAGAGAACAGGAGCCATGGTGTGTATAGAACGGTGAGTGGATAGAGAGTAAAGGTGGAAAAGTGTCTATACGATAGTTGCTGAGATGTTCGAATATTTTCCCCAAAATAGAACTTTGGAGGCTTTATGTACTACACCAAGCACCCAGCTACAGAGGGCAATCAGGACACTGTTTGCGACATTTACATTTGTCAGCCCCGGCTGCATTTATCAGCATCGATCGATCCCAGATGCTAAGATGGCAAATTGCTCGTGGTAGTCACCGTCTGTCAGTACTAAAGATGCGGCTGGTGGGGCCGAGAGCCATGAACCTTGCAGCCAAAAACAAGCTGTCGCTTGCATACTAACAACGGACTACTCGGAGAAAGTTGAGACGCGAGGCCGTCTTCCCGACGGCCCGATTCTTCAGCCGGAACAAGAGTAAAGTGAACTGCTGCAAGACCGGGAGGCCGATATAATTGGGACCGCTTCACTGGTCTGGTGTCAGCAGCTGCACGTCAAACTGACCCACTTGCGAAGGTCGGTAATGCCGCACAATCTGGGGTTGACGCGATACGGATCATCGGGCTATCTGCTGATACACTCTGCTTCAGGAAGACAGACTCTTACAATTGCTTAATTTATTCCATATTTGTTTTTTAAAGCTATTATAAATATTTAAATACTAGATTGAATACAACATTAAAATAAGGGATGTATTATAAAATACTTGACATAATTAGATGGTACAGACGCAACAAAGAGGCTCTATTCTAAAATACCAAACCGCAGCAGACCGCTCTTTACTCTGTTCGAATTTAAGGCTCTTTCATGCTATAATTCGTATGCGCTTACGGGGCAAAACGCGCGGCTCGTAACAGTTCTGGACCTAGCGTGTCCATCGGCAGAGACACCGAAATGCCCCGACCAATTCCAGTTTGTGTTAGCCTTCCGCACCCCGGCATTGTGGCCGAAATGCCCCGACGAAGCCCTGGGAAAACGGGACGTCGGATGGATCCGAGTACCTGTCAGAAGATCAATCATCAAGTGGATGCGTAGTGAGGCTGATCCGACTCTAGTTTATCCCGCGTAGGCTAGACCTTCTGGCCCCTAGCCAACGAGGCATAGAATGGAAGAATATGGAGTGATGTCGCCATTGAAAAGGGAGCCTCGAGAGAGATACATCTCGAATCATTTCGCATTGTTGTGGAACAAGAGAATCCCTGGTGCATTATGGCAGGAGTTTGGCAATGCGCTGGCTAGTATACTTATCGGAAATGTATCACCTTGTGCCCGACTCCTACGACGTTCTGGGATACGATGGAGGACTATCCTGCCGGTCACGTAGAAGAACTCATCACGCAAGATAAGGAAATACTTTATCGAGAAGGAATTTTCGTCGGACATCGACAGCCTCACCTGGAGTCATCCTGCTCTCGTTTTGCCTTTGGGAACGGCTTGTCGTACACAACTTTCTACTATTCTACCGACGGTCCAACCCGCATCAAGTTTGATCCCGACCAGGACCGTGTCTCCGATATCCCCTTGACCGTGAGGAACCCCAGTGCTTTCACGGCAAACGAGACAGTCCTGTTGTTGGTGCAGGCTTCAGAGGCACTCGTGGAGAGACCAGCCGAAGAATTGCGGGCCTTTGCCAAAACGAAGACTCTTCGGCTGGGAGAATCACGGACCTGGAAGTTCTGCTTGAAGAGTCGGGACTTTTTCGTATTGGGACGAAAAAGAGCGCTCTTGGCGTGTTGATCATGGAAGATATCTTCCTTACCTAGTGACAAGGCCACTCTCACGGGTTTCCCCCAACATCAAAATGCCGGTCCAACGTCTTGTCCGTTTCATCTCTAAGGGCGACGGTAAAAGTCCATCACGGTAATGCGGACGAGGCCCTCCAGACCGCCAGGGAGTTGAGCGCTGGGAGCCCTTCTCCCCCGAAACTCGCGCAACCGACAACAAGCAAGGATCTCTTGTGTCCTTCCTAAGTCAAGGCGTGATTCTGCTTCCAGGTGTGTCACTATCCCTTGTATGAGCTGAACCACTTGCTCACCTCGTACCAGGTATCTTGATATTCACATGCACCCCGGCTGGGGTTGGACTTGGCAGAAAATCCCAAGTGTGCATGAAAGAAGGCGACATCGTCAATGTGGAAATGGATGGCATTGGCGCTATATCCAACGAGATTGTCTACGAACGATAGTGTACAGAGTATATTCAAAAACCTTTGAAGGTTCTGTGAAATCTCGACGATTCAAACCAGTTAATCACCTAGTTTCAGAGTCGGATGCATCTTTGGTCCTATTCTTGTGCCGCCGTGCATCAAGTACCAAGGAGAATAGCAGGTCGGCGCAGAATTTGAGGCTTCGACTTTCGTGTTCCCACTGCCGCAGCATGGTACAAGCGCCTTCTGCAGCATCAACAGCCTTCTGGTAAAAGACGCCGCCCTCATTTCTTAACTGAGCAGAAGAACCAGTTTCTCTATTGGCATCGTGGTTCTTCTTTCGCTCCGCTTCCTCCATATGGTGAAGGACAGTCGGCGTGTGGCATGCTACGAGGAGTGACAGAGCTGCGGACCAAATATTTCGGGCCAGCAGCCAGCAACCGTAGTGCCGCTCTACAGGGGGTTGTTGCTGGTGGAGGAAGTCAATGGCGTGGTGCAAGTATCTGCTCGTGCCTTCAAGCAGGTGCATCATCGTAGTGGTCTGGTCTTCATTGTCAGGCGACTTGTAGTTACCATCTGCAAGTGTCGCCAGGAAGGGCCGAAACACGAGCATCAGCAACTGACCTTGACGGTTGCGCAGATCCTTTTGCATCCGTTGCTTTGTCGAGATTGCAAGCGCGTCTGGAGCGATCGGCGATTCGTCCGGAGTAGACAGACTGCCGCGAAAACACGGGGGTAACGAATTAATCCTAGGCTCAACAGTTTGAGTACGCAATCGAGTGATAATGAATGATGGGAATCAATGGATGGCTCTCCAGCTCTGTGCTAACTTACCATTCATTCACCTGGCGCTCGAGTTCACATGCCAAAGGGTACGCCGCCGCGAGCTGGCCGGCCCTCTCGTCGCCTGGGCGACTTACTCTGCAGGGGTCTGTTCATTAGCTGCGCGTTTTTCGGCCTGCTTAGATGACTTGTGGGATTGTCAAGGGGTAGGTACTATACATACTATCATGCAACTCAGCCTTGATCTTCTCCACCAAGCGTCTGCTGCACGTGTCGGCCAGATAGTGGTACCAGGAAACTGAGTCAAGATGCGAGCTGATTCCAGGCCACACGAAGGGTTGTAACGGTGGTGGAGGTATCGGAGTACTCTGTATCAACTGTGCAAGCCTGCCGCATTGAACAACATCAAGATGAGGGTAGATCTCTTCGGCCAGTTCGAGCTGCATCGTGGCCACAGCCCAAAGGACTCGGTGGCTAAGTTTGTCTTCGACAGTCTCTGGATATCTTGAACGGGAAAAGTCAGATCGGATGCCAAAGCGTTCAAGGCACTCGTGCACAAACCTCAACAGCAATTTCTCGGCTTTTGAAGCCGCAGTATCCGCGTAGCACCATGCTGCCCATGGCTTCAGTATCCACATGTTGTAGCTCGCCAGCAACAGCTGAGCCTGCAGATCCCTGATCGGGCTTCTACCGCTGAATGCCGTGAGACCTAGCCAAGGTAGCGCCAACTTGATGTAATTGTTCTGTCGAACTGGTTGATTCTTGGGCTCAAGCTCCGAGGAAACTTGACCAAGAGCAAGGACGAGCATGAGGATTGCCAGGTCGGGCTCCTCGAAACCGTCTGGTAACGAGGTTAGAATCGACCCATCGTAGACAAAGCCACCGGCGAGTAAGCAATCTAACAGGCGTCTTAGAAAGTCAAGGTCTAAGACGGGATACTTGCTATGGATGTGAACGATGTAATTGTAGATCAGCGGGGCTGCTAGCTCGGGCGCAAGAGGGTTGGTGACATCGCTGGATAGGTCCATCGGCATGGGCAAGTCGGCATCGAAGTGCCCATTGTTGAATGGTGACGAAACAGTAAGTGGCATGTTCGCCGAAGAGTCACGATGCGAGAACTCTGACTTTATCGAAGGACTTAGACCTGGTGTAGACACAGCAGTTGCGACCCCAACAGCGCAAAGCTCGTCTCGATACGCTCCCCAATGGCTATGCAGGCCAGATCTGATGGCAGGGGGGCGGAGCGCATGCCACGTCATGACTACATCGCCGTTGGGCCAAGCCGCGCTGGTTCTGGACTGCGGTCTGGAGTCTACTCCGGTGGGTTGGTGGCGTGAGCTTTGGGGCAACGCGGCCACATTCAGCTGCTGGAGCACGCTGTCCTCCATTGTCTGGATCCGCTCAAGTATCAATAGAGAAGCGCGGTCAAGCCTGGATATGTCAAACATGTACGGTAGATTAAACTCAATGGACCAGCAATCTAGAGCTTACTTGGACGTCTCAGTTTCGGGGTATGTGCATTCCGACTCGGTTCGGACACAGAAGCCGCAGCGGGGCCTCTGACTATCACATCTCGACTTCCTAAGCCTCTACTGTTAGACAAACGGGCATTTCATGGACAGTGAACCAACAGACCTTGCCCTACACACCAGACAGGCCTGGATGACCCGCTTGCGGCCATATTGGCCCGCAACGCGGCTGCTCGAGTCGGTCATTTGGGCGAGAGCTGGCTCCAGCCGAAGAGGGAATGGATTCTCTCAAAGCGCTGAGGCACGCGGCAAGGATCGGAACCTCGCGTTGGATTACACGCAGGCGTCTCAAAGCACCTCTAGCACGCAAAGCACCTCTAGGACGGGAGATTATGATGATGGATGGGCTCCAAGAAGGGGAGAGAGAGAGTACGCTCGGGCCCCGCAGCCGATGGATTTATAATCACATGCCCATAGTTTGGAACCAGCCCACCAGCCACCTCCTATTCACGGGAATGAAGCTGAACAACCTCTCAGTCTTTAACCACCAGACTTATTAAAATCAAAACGGCTTCTGAAGATGCGTCTTTGGATGAGGAAATAAGCGGAATTCGCCTTGGCATCAGAAAATATCCAACCGGCAGACATATATGATGGGCGCCGGCGCCGCCCTTCCAGAATTGATGCAGACGCTGGAGGACAATGCCCATCACAAGTGGTAAGGTTGCGAAAGAAAACCGGATCGCAGCAAAGTGGTAGGTCCAGTTTTCCCATGTCACTTCGACAGTGGCTGAACCATCCTGGTAGGAGGTTCATAATACGGAAGAGTGGCCATGTCGTCAATCACCCTGCTTGTGAGGCTTCCGTTGATTCTAGGACTCTATGGGTTAATTTTTTGGTATTTCCCGTAACTTGGCTGCTTCTAGTCGTCGTCTCTTAACGTAGCACTGTTTCCGCTCCGCCTTGAGTTGCTCGCGGGTGACGTCGGAGATCTCTTCCTGTTCTATCTGGAAAGTGACATCTTTAATATTTTGTGAGAGCTTCATCCAGTCTTTCTGCTGTCCCAAAACTCTGTTTGAGCTTGGGCCGAAAGACTAAGATGTAGATACAATATTCACCTTATAGTTTAAGCGGAAATCTTCGGTGAGGTTTTGTCACACATCTACGCCAAGAAGGCAATCTGTTCCATCAACTATAGTTGATTGAACAGATTAGAGGCATAACCCTGATGTCGATCGCGAAACAGTTTGAGGGATAATATACTAAAATAATTGCTCCAAAATAGGCCCAGGGAAATTAATATTTAGATTTTATTAACTAATAATATACTAGACATTATAGAAGCCAGTAGAGTATAAACTTATAGATACTTAGATTTTTAATTCAAAAAAAGAATAAAATTAAATTAGACATTTAATATTTTTTCATATTCTAAAATTATAAGCTATAAATATATAAAATATTACAACTAGTTTTATACAAAATATTAATATAATAATCTCCTATTTTTAAAAATATTTTATATTCTTTTTAAACCTTACAAGAAATACATAGCTAAATTTATATCTAGTAATTAATTTATATTACCTGCTCCTTTCTTTCCCACAGTCTTTAGACTAATTATTATTATTAGCAGCGATACATATCGGGGTTTGTGAGAGCCAAGTAACACCTTCACCTCAGGGCGAATCAAGTCTGTCTACTCAGTCCTACAAGCGTTGCGTTCCGACTCTAGGTTTCAAATCGGAGAAATTCATCACATCTTTGTTTTATCCATTATGTGTTGCGGAATACATCGAACTTGCATTTCATCTTAGCTCAGATCACCGAAAAGAAAATATCCAAGGTATCCTTTTCTCTTTCGCGACGTGGGATTAGCATCGGCCAATCAGGCGTTATTCCACCGACACTTGATTAATCAATCACTAATCTTGATCGGGCTTTAGGTCAACCAGCCGGGTATTTGCCTGAACCCCTCTCCTGGACTCCTCATTCCTTCTACCACGTCAAGAGAAACTGCAGGTACAGTTGCCTATCTCAAGATGAGCGCTCCAGCGACGCCAAGAGCTTGTGACCGATGCTACTCCCTGAAGGATCGATGCTCCTGGAAGACGAACGCTACAGCCTGCAATCGATGCGTCCGCCTGCAGAAAATCTGCAAGAGTCTTCGTCCTTTGCATAAACCCGGTCCAAAACCGGCAGCTCACCCGCTCGTTCCGCCGATTCCGGTTGCTCAGCGCCGTAATATGACTCGGAACGCTCCAGTCGGTTCTGGGCTGCCGGCTTCTGCGGCAGAATTAGGAAGCAATAACCCATTGGCGTCTGAAATTCACAACGTTCTGGCGGACGGAGGCGTCCTCGGATCTTACACTAGAATCTCAATTCCAGGAAATGACCGCGAACTTCATACTTCACCGGAATCATGTCAACCACAACATTACACCATCGCGAATCTACCCAGAACCCAATCACTCGACTCAATTTCAATACTCAACGGCCTCGATTCAAGAGAACATCGTCTTTTAGAGTTGACTTTCACCGATGAACTTCTTCAATGTTTGGTAGTCAGTCCAAGTTTCGTCAAGGTTCACCACAACACGATACTAAACCTTGTGAAACTCTCTCTCCCTATCTTGAATGGGGCATGTCTCGCTGTGGCTGCCTGGTTTGCCTATGACCGTAAACTGGCCCTTTATGGTACGACTAGAGAGTGGTGCTTTGTGCGAGCCGCCTCGGTTGTTGCATCACTACGATTGATCGAACTGTCAACAGAAGATCCACAAGCCCTGCAAACATGCCTAGTAGTAGGGTCAGCGGCCATCACATTTCTTCCGCAGTGGGCGTCCGACGAAGCTCTGTTGCTGTGCCGCTATACCCTCAACTTGATTAAGAGTACCTACGATATATGCCCGGTCATGAAGCTGGACGTCCTGCCATTCTTCTTAGGCATACACTTTACCGAATTGTTGCAATGCCTGATTCACTGCGCTGCCCCGAGCTTACGCCTGAAGCTCGCAGCCGAATACAAACACTATGTAGACCGATATATCGGGCTTTCTTGGCCCCTCTTGCAATATTTTTACGACTTGTGCGAGTTAAACAATGCACTCTACCACTCGGATTCAACCGACTTTGATGATATCCAGCACGCAATAACAAAGGTCCTACAGCAAATACAATCATGGCAGCCTGACCCGCCGTGCAATTTCTTATCCCAGTTTACCGCCGCTGAGATAATACACTTAACGACTCAGGCCCAAGTATTTCGCTTGCAGCTCCTTCTTATTACGCATCGCATCCGCTATCCATTTGGGACAGAAGATCATCCAGCACATATCTTAGCTTGCGAGATTCTTCAGCAGTTGGAATTCGCCCAGCAATCCACCGGCTTAGCGGTAAATTGTACTGACTTCATTGTCGTTGCTGCTTGCTTCGAAATGAATAGCCAAGACGACAGAGCCAGATCTCTTCGCCGAATTGACGACCTCGTCAAGATGACTAGCGAATATCGGCGGAATGTCAAGACGCTTTTAAAAACATTCTGGAAGTCTAAAGATGCTTCGGAGGTGATATCATGGTGTAATCTAGCTGAACATATTCCGGGAATTTCTCTCAAGTTTCGGTCAAGTGCCTTTTAGCGAACAACAGAGCGAATAAGCCGATTGCAATGCCAGTACATTCATTGAAGCATATCATACGGATTTCTCATACGATGACGCAAACAAATTAAATACCTGCCATCCTATAGTTTGATCCTAATAACTATACTAAAACAGACAAGGAAGTCTCTCTCACAGATAGAAAGACAATCAAGGTGAGCGTACTATAGAAAGATTAATCCAAAGCTCAAAGAGACGGCATCCCGTCACTCCTCGCGCTGAATACTATCCTGCCTTCGAACCAAGTCTGCAAGACCTTTGCATCCTTGAAATGCCCTTCGCTCAAGTCCTGATTGACGGCAATAAAATTCGCCTTCTTTCCAACCTCGATGCTGCCGGTTCTATGGTTTGCACCAACAGCTTCGGCCCCACCCAGCGTGATGACTCGGCAAAGGATCCGGCCACCTCGTTGGAGATCGGTTAAGCCATCCCCGTCTGTAGTATTATCGTCTTCAAATCCGTGGATCTTTTCAACGATCCCGGTCAGAGCGGGAAAGAGTTCTGGAGTGGGTACAACGGCCCAGTCCGAGCCTATTGTCATGAGCATATTTGAGGAAAGAAACCCGTTAAAATTCCAGTTGCCTAAGTGCGGGACCGATTCAAAGAGGAGCGGCTGGTGAAATATCGCTGGAGACATCTCAGCAGTGATTCGCAAAGGAGCGAAGCGCCTTATGTCATCTATATGAGCACATTAGCAAATCAGCCGATTAATAATTGTTGACCATTGAATCCTTACCAGCATGAACAGAGTTACAATGAGCAATCTCATGCCTAGGGCCATCCTTGTTTGATTCTCGGAGCTTCTCGATGACCTCCAGCGCCATTCTGACGCTTCCTTCACCCGCAGCGTGAAGCTTACACGTCATGCCTCTCGAGTCAAACAATTTCATACGTGTGAGGAGCGTTTCTCTGTCAACATATATGTTCTCTTCACACGTACGACCGTCCTCATCGAGGTCGGCTTGTGTCAGATGAGGTGGGATCGGTGCCCCGTCCAAGACGAACTTGACAAACTGAGGGTGAATATGTTTAGTTCTGAAGCCCTCGGCAATATTCAGCAGGGAAATCAGGCTTTCTTCACTCTCTTCGGCGATGGCCGCAGGAGCGCTCATAATGTGTGTATACATGTCCAAGTTGAGCCTGTTCTCAAACTCTAACTCATGCAATGCGTGCAAGTAAGCGGTGTTTGCAATTGCCTCCTGGGCGGACGTAATTCCGTAACGATGACAGACAGACATGCCATGTTCGAGAGCCCGTTTGACGTGAGCTAGGGCTGGTTTTGGCAAGTTATCCCAGACCAACCCCGTAGCTGATTCCAGCAGCTCGCCTGTCAATGTACCATCTGATCGCCGAACAAAGGCACCCGCAGGAGGGTCGACGATGGAATCGTCGATCCCGAGTCTCTTCAAGGCTGCAGTATTAAGCAAAAGCTTATGAGCTGAGACTTCTCGTAGAAAGACGGGCTGGTCTGGCCAAATACCATCAAGGTACCGACGGTCAGGAATTGAATCGGCGAAGTTGAACGCTCCGTAAGAGTTGCCAATGACCCAATCATCTCTGACGCCATAGTAAGAACACATGCAATGTCCGTGGTGAAGTTTTTCTCCAATCTTGCTGTCGGGTATTTCCAGATTCATAGTGCTTTCATTCAGCTGCATGGTGCTACCCATGTACATGTGCGAGTGGGCATCGTGGATGCCAGGCATCACAAACTTCTGTCGTAGATCGAACTGCACAAGCATTCGCTTCTTGGCGATTGAGAGAATTTCTGTGTCCGACCCAACCGCTTCGAAAATTCCGGTCGCGGTGACAATGAATGCCTCAGCCCATGGCTGTCGTGTGTCGATAGTGTAGACGCGGCCATTGAAGTAGGCCACAGAATTGGCAAGGCTTTTGGAAGAAAGGGTGGTCATCTTGGATGGAGAGTAGATTTAATATTCGATATTGATCTGGATGATTCAAGTACAGATAATTTGAATGGACTGGTGTCTGGTCTTATATAGTCCCATTCTGATTCCTAAGTTGAGTCTTATCAATTGCTGGTCACCAGTTACCATTAGCTCGTCAATCTTAAGGCGCGCGTTAGAGGGCATCTCGAGCTGATATCCAATGCTCCGGCGGAGCATCGTTAGAAGCCTCACACGCGTCCTTTCCTCTTGCGGTCTAAATCACTGGCACTGTTGCTAATCTCGAAGGAAGATTGGTTGTGTGAACATGCGTGACTAAACCCTCCGGCGGAAGATCTTCTTGAGACCCCCGCACCATCTCCCATCTCATCAGCTCAATCTAACATCCAGTGTGGGGTTATCTTCACAGATCTTCCGCCGGAGGTTTTAACCCCACATGCCAGCAATAGCGTCATTTCCTCTGCTTACCGGCATTACCATCGCTGGAAACGAATCTAGAATGTTTAGTTCCCTCGCAGAGTGTTAACAATGGTATTTCAGTTATATCACGATTGCTAGGCGTGGTGTTTGTCTACTCTTCCAATAGCTGTTGAACTAGGAAAAACCGGAATACGTGAGCTCTCTAGTGGAGCGTTCCACTTTTGCATAGCTGGCATTTACCCTATACACGTGAAGAGATAGTCAGTGCTCACGTTTAGGTGTGCCCCTTGGTGTGCCCCTCAGGATCTTTCAAGGCAGCTAAGAGTGAGCACCTCCCTGCATTTTGACCCTTTTCAAGCTGATTGATGCGTGCGTTAATGGCCTGAAGACCCTCACATCCTGTGTAACTCGGAGCTGAGGTAAAGGCAGACGTTTTGGTATGATGGCTCAGGGCCTACCTCTCCTTGACTATGAACATAGCCTATGACTGTATTGCGGGCTCTAGTTTATCCTACGCCGGCCATTGATACGAAATACGAAATACGAGACGGATACGCAGAGTCCTGCCGCGCAACCGTTGTAGCGTGATTATACGTGTTTATTGACCGATTGCGCGGCTTTATCTGGCAGGTCGCAAGTGGAGACTTTAGGGACTTCCTGACACCTCGTTAATTGGCCAATCATCTGGTCAAGAGCCGAGGTACTTTGGGAAGCTGCAAGCCAGGAGAGGACCTTCCTATTCAGGCGACAAGAGCTGCGTTCACCATCGGTTTCCGGAATTCCACTGCATCGACAGCAGGTAGCAGAGGGGATGAAGATGAAAACCTCTGCATAGGGCAATGGGAGGAGTTTTATTAGGATGGTAGTACATATTGCTCTTAATTATATTCACTAATGTCTTGAGTTTTGTCTCTCTCACATGAGTCGTAAATAATCCTAGTACAGATTATTGCAGTGGCGCGTACACCAGACCACTAAGCCGCACGCGGTCATCATTTAGTTAGCGACCTGACAAAAGAACCTCGCGTGATAACACTTGCATCATCGCAGTTTCTTCCTGCATCTTTTTCCAACACAGGAATTTGTTCGCCTTTACCGTGGCCATCGTACATATTTACCAGCTTCCCCCCCCCGCGGTGAACTTGGCCAGGATCTCAATCGGCGATTGCAAGTACTAACCGCTGCTTGCACCGCAGCAAAATCAGGTTGCATCAAAAGCCGAGTGTTCGGAGTCCAAGATGCCCTTCTCCACGGGAGAGGAGAACTTGCTGCAGCTGAACCAGGAGGACTTTGACTTCAACGTACAATTCGAGCAACTTTTTTTCTCCATCATCCCGTCGGCTTTGTTCATCGTAACTTCATTATGGCGGACGCTATCCCAGGCACGGAAGCCCACCGTGGTGAATGCTCCGTTTTTTCAACTTGTCAAAGTGGTATGCTCCTGTTAGACCATGTGTGCCATCTAAAATGCTGATTAACCCCCTTAGGGTGCCATAACGACCTATGTCGGGCTTGAACTGGCACTCCTCATCTTGGTTGCGGTTGGATCGTTCCATGTAACCAGCATTTTTATCGCTTCCTCGGTCCTTAAGCTTGTGTCAGCCTTTTTCATGATCACGCTGAGTCTTGTTGATCACAGCAAGAGCCCAAGGCCGTCCGTGCTACTGAACAGCTACTTGTTTTTGACTCTTCTCCTAGACGCGACGCAGGCAAGAACACTGTTCTTGTCATCGGGCGACAAGCCCGAGCTCACCTACAGCAGTCTTTTCAGTGCTGCTATAGCTGTAAAGGTTGGAATATTGGTGTTGGAAGCTCAACGAAAATCCAGATGGGTGAGCTGGGATGACAAGGAGCACAGCCCAGAGGAGACGAGCGGCATCTTCTCTCTTGGGGTTTTCTTCTGGCTCAACAAGCTCTTCCTGGAGGGATACAACAAAATTTTGACGATAAAGGACCTTTACCCGCTTGATAGCACTTTGGATGGTAGATCGCTCCACGAGGAGTTCTCCAAGCACATGGATTACTCTAAACTGAAGGGCGACAAATTCGGTCTTTTGAAGGTGCTGATGCGCACGCTGAAAGTGCCTCTCCTGCTTCCAGTATTTCCACGCCTGGCGCTTCTCGGTTTCACGTTTTGCCAGCCTTTTTTCCTGGAAAAGCTGCTGCATCACCTTGCAAAGTCTGAAGTTGACGCCAACGTTGGATACGGCTTCATCGGCGCCAGCGTCTTGATTTACTCTGGCATTGCCATCTCCACAGCCCTCTGCTGGTATAGTGCCCGCCAAGGAATGAATGATAAGATCCGCCACTGATATACGCATACAGGTATTTCCACCATCGAATGCGCGCCATGGCAAGGTCAATACTAGTTACCGAGACCTTTATCAACGCCACAAAAGCCCCTCTCGGAACTGGTGACGACAGCGCTGCCCTTACTTTAATGAGCACTGACATAGAGCGAATCGACATGGGATTCAGGCCGCTGCACGATATTTGGGCCAGCATTATCCAGGTGGCTCTAGCTAGTTGGATGTTGTACAACCAACTTGGCGTCGTCTTCGTCGCACCAATTGGCGTTGTCATAGTCTGCTTCACAGGACTGGTGATTTTGATGAATTTCACTGGGGACTCTCAGAGGGCCTGGATGGCAGGAGTCCAGAAGCGTGTCGGTTTGACGGCCACGGTCATCGCCAGCATGAAGAACCTGAAGATGTCTGGCCTTTCTGTTGCTGTCGGTGACTTTGTGCAGAAGCTCCGTGTGGATGAGCTGGCATCGGGATCGCGATTCCGCAAGATCGTCATCATTGCGGCGCTCTTCGCATTCATTCCCCTGCTGGTCAGCCCGCCACTGACCTTTGCATTCGCCCAACGGACACTCGATGCCGCCAAGATGTTCACCAGTCTTTCATACCTTTTGCTTCTGACGAACCCGTTGTCGCAGATCTTCCAATCTGTCCCCCAGGTCCTCTCTGGGCTGGCCTGTTTGGGCCGAATCCAAGCTTTCTTGGAGTGCGAGACCCGACACGATTTTCGACAAGTTCTTGCTGATATGAAACGGAGTTCGGAGAAGACACGAGAGGATACCGACTCAGATCTGAACTTGGCGCATCCTGTTGTGATCGAGAACGGAAACTTTGGCTGGGAAGCAGACAAGTTCGCCCTGCAGAACGTCAACACTCGAGTAGTCAAGTCCTCGCTCACTATAGTCATTGGACCAGTTGGCTCGGGGAAATCTACGCTCTGCAAGGCACTCCTTGGAGAGATTCCTTTCAGCGAAGGCAGTGTCATTCTGAGCACCAGGTTTCCCCACGTTGGATTCTGCGACCAAACAGCATTCCTCTCAAACGGGTCGATCAGAGAGAACATTATAGGATTCTCTCCATTCGATAACGAGAGATATTCTGAGGTGATCGAGGCTACTGCTCTGGGCTTCGACTTGGACACACTCCCACAAGGCGACAGAACGAATGTTGGATCTGATGGGATCACGTTGTCCGGTGGCCAGAAACAGCGCGTTTCTCTCGCCCGAGCTCTGTACTTGCAATCTGATTTGCTCGTTCTAGACGACATCTTCAGTGGTCTAGATGCAGACACCGAGGAGCAGGTATTCCGACAAGTCTTCGGACCAGATGGGCTCCTCCGACGTCGACGTTCTACTGTTGTATTGTGCACCCACAGCATCAGGCACTTACCCGCCGCCGACTACATTATCGCGCTTGGAGATGGGACCGTTGCCGAGCAAGGCACATTCGGTAACTTGGTGACTCTCCAAGGATATGTTCACCGTCTAGGGTTGAAAAACTCTTCTAACAGCGATGCTTCGTCGGAGAAAACTGCGTCAAAGAAGAGCGTCCGAGAATCGAGGCCGCAACTGCTCCGCATGACGACGACCAACGCATCAACCCTGGCGTCGGAAACAGATGAATCGCGGAAAATGGGCGATAAAACGGTATACACGCATTACTTCAAGAGCGTGGGGTGGGCCGTGGTAGGGTCTAGTTTGTGCTTCTCTGCTCTTTGGGGTTTCTTCACCAACTTTCCAACAATTTGTGAGTGAGCTCTTTTCTGCAAACGGCGGAACAGCCGACGGCTTGGAAATTCATTCACAAGAATGAAGCTCGTACTGAACTCCAAAATACTTTATGGGCATTGCTAACTAATGCCACTTACAGGGCTCACATACTGGTCTGATGACGTCTACTCGGAACATCCGACTCACAGTTACGCTTACTACGCCGGGATATACGGTTTGCTTCAAATTTGCGCCATGCTATCGCTACTCCTTCTCGGTATCGCGATTTTTATAGTCTCTGTGAGGAGAGCGGGCGCGAGTCTCCATCAGGATGCTTTGCGAACACTGATTCGAGCACCACTCCGCTTTTTCACCGCAACGGACACTGGCGTCGTGACGAATTTGTTTTCACAAGATCTGAATCTTATAGACACAGAGCTACCAAATGCACTATTGAACACTTTGTTTTCCGTAAGTTTCCAATTGGACACCAAGTGGGAGTCGGCAGTGACATTGCTGCTTGTCCCTGGACAACTCGAGAGAGAAACCGTCATGTCTAACAAGGAACTCGCAGGTATTTTCAGCACTTGGACAAGCAGCAGTTATGCTTACTACGTCTCCGTATATGGCCATAAGCTACCCGTTCCTCTGCATCCTGATGTATATCGTGCAAAGGTTCTACCTACGGACTTCCAGGCAGCTCAGGTTACTGGACCTTGAGGCAAAAAGCCCCTTGTAGTAAGTCTTCTGCCCGCTGCTGTGCAACTGTTATGCTCTATACTAATATGCATCCTTTTAGCACGCATTTCCTGGACACTGTGAAGGGCATTGCAACCCTGAGAGCTTTCGGTAAGTAACCTAGAAATCACGGCAGAGGTTTCATAAATTAATGGGGCATTCCTATTCCACATGGAGATATTCGTGTGACCTCGAAGACACGACTAACACATGGGACACGTAGGATTTGTTCCTGATGATATCCTAAAGAACGCTCGCTTGATCAACTCCAACCAGCGACCCGCATATCTCCTGGCAATGATTCAACAGTGGCTCAACCTCGTTCTTGACCTCGTAGTCATGGTAATGGCTGCGGTCCTGACGACCCTTGCGGTCCGACTTCACTCCAACGCTGGGTTTGCCGGCGCTTCCTTGGTCTCCCTGATGAGTTTTGGAGAGAACCTTTCAGGCATTGTCATATTCTACACCAAGCTGGAAACCTCCATTGGGGCGATAGCCAGACTCAAGGCATTCAACGAAAACGTAAAGCCTGAGGACAAAGATGAAGAGGACATTGTTCCTGCCGAAGAGTGGCCGCAGCGTGGTGTGGTGGAGTTGAAGGGTGTATCCGCGAGTTATGAGTAAGAGAAATAACTTGATGAATCTCACGTACACACAGCTAACGCCCCAAGTAGTGCGGAAGACCAAACTGAGGGCACACCTAAGTTGGCCCTCCGTGATATCAACCTGACGATCACCTCGGGCGAGAAAGTCGCCATCTGTGGTCGCACTGGCAGCGGCAAGTCCAGTCTTGTCGCTCTTCTCCTCAAGCTCCTCGATCCACTCTCGGAGACATTAGGAAACGTGGTAATCGACAATACGCCGCTCCACCGCATTAACCGGCCCGCGCTGCGTCAACGCATAATTGCAGTACCTCAGGAAGCTGTATTCTTGCCTGAAGGGTCTACTTTCCAAGATAACTTGGATCCGTTCAACGTTTCAAAGCCTGAGGAGTGCCAATCCGTCCTTGTGGCCGTGAAGCTGTGGCAATTTGTCCTGGAGCGCGGTGGCCTAGATGCAGGCATGAATGCGGCGACTCTTAGTGCGGGACAGCGGCAGCTCATGTCACTTGGGCGCGCACTGCTGAGACGACGCATCCGGGCGCGCAATCTGGGCTTGGGAGCCGGTGGCTTAGAGGGCGGCATACTGTTGTTGGACGAGGTGAGCTCGAGTGTCGACCACGAGACAGAGCACGTTATGCAGGAGATTATCAAGGCTGAATTTAGCGATTACACGGTTGTGGCGGTTAGCCATCGGCTGGATATGATTATGGATTTCGACAGGGTCGTTGTCATGGATATGGGAGAGATTGTCGAGATTGGGAATCCCATGGTGTTGGCTGCAGAGGATGGAACTAGGTTTGGAGACTTGGTGAAGGCTGGGGCGAAGTAGATGCGCATGTTAGAGAGCGAATCAGCACCGCATCCATTGCTAATGTTAGTATTTTGGGAATGCGAGGCTGGTGTTGGAAATAATACACTTCAAAGACCTGCAAATATAGCAATTCTGAGGTCCTCTTCCTCTATCGTCGATGGGTATTTCTTTCATGACAGGGTGAGGATGTCCGATAAAAGAATTCCCTCATTCTCTAGTTGAATTGTTAAGCATGCCTTCTTCTCTGGCTATCCACCAGCCTGACCTTGCTTCTCTTGTGGCGTTTTGAAGTTGGGATGTTCCCTACAGGAAATATGGGACCGGGTATGTGCTGCGGTAGTAATGGCCCGTTGGTTGGAGGCCAGTTAGCATACCCCATTGTCATGCAGATTCAGCTTGGCTTGGCTCTCTGGGTTGCCTATTTGTGAGACATCGGCAGTTTCACAGGGCATGATGCTTCCGACAAATACTATGGTCGTTCACTTGTTTTCATGCCAGACCTGAACAATCTTCAGTCTTACTTAGGAGGGTTTAATAAGAGATGCCCATGGTTGATGAAGAAGTGGACAGACACCAGTAAGTCTCACCCTTTGCAAGTGAACTCATGATCGAGGGACATCTCATGGACCATGCAGGGGCTCATGCCGGGGGGGTTACCAGATCGCGGATTCTCCCGCAACTTAACCACCAGGGAGCTTCAATTGGAAGGCTGAAGTAGACCCGAAACAACATCATGCATGACGCCGTTCCGAATGGTTACACATAGCTAATGAGATGTGATCTAATGCATAGGTGGGTATAGGAAGCTGCTTGTATGACTGGTTCTGAAAAGAGCTATCTTTATCTAGCCCATCCCTCTTTTCTTGTGCCCTTTAGCTTTCGGCCAGTCTTATCCTTCTCACCGCTAAACCATCATCAAGTTGTCGCCATGGTGCTCGAAACCTCCACCGGCAAGGTCATCGCCTTGATCATCGCCCCGTTTCTTTTACGGTTACTCTTCTCATACTTAAACTCTCCCTTGAGATCTTTCCCCGGTCCCTTTTGGGCCCAATTCACCGATTTATGGCGCGTTCTAGACTACTGGAGATGCACGCAGATCCAAACCCACCAGCAGCTTCACGAGCGGTTGGGGCCAGCTGTTCGAATTGGACCAAACATGATCAGCTTGAGCGATCCGAGCTTGCTTAAGACAGTGTATTCGACTGGAGGAGATTTCGTCAAGGTTTGTGCTTTCCTTGCCCGGGTCATTCCCTCTTGCTCACATGGACAACCAACGCAGAGCAATTTTTATGAGGTTGCGGATGCAGTTTCGAATGGTCACAGATTGAAAATGTCTTCAGCACTCGCAGCAATGCCTTTCACAGTCGATACATGAAACCATGCCAGAAATACTTTGCAATGAATGCCATCCTAGAAAAAGAACCCATCGCAGACAAGATGGTCATTTTACTCTGCCAGCAGCTTGAGAACCGCTTTGTAGACGGAAAAAATGCTGGCAAGACGGCTCCATTGGCAGATTGGATTGAATACTGTGAGATAACAGTCTATCTGCTGTTTAGATGCATGCTAACGGACCTGGATAGGCGCTTGGGATCTGGATTGGGAGCTGACTTTCAGCCAGGACATGGGTTTTCTCAAGTCAGGAACGGATGTCAAAAACATCATTCACACTGGAGAGATGATTATGCGTTATCTTGGCTGTGTACGTGTTCCATCGTCATTGAATTCCACTCGAATTCATCACTGACTGTGCCAAGATTGGCCAAATGCCATTACTCGACAGACTCCTAGGGAAAAACCCGTACTGCCCTATCAAATTTGCCACGTTTGAAAACGCGGCTATTTACAGCTTTCAGCGCGTGATGGAACGAGTAGCTAGCCAGGATGCAAAGTCGCGGCAGGACTTTCTGGGTAATTTCCTCGAGGCTAAACAGCAATACCCTGATATTGTCAGCGACAATGACGTCGTCAGATACCTGATGATGAATGTAAGGCGCTCAATAAGTCCCTCGAAAGCTTGCAATCCGAAATCGAATAATCGCACTAACATTTATAGGTACTTGCTGGTGCTGATACGACTGCTATTGTCATGAAGGCAATCGCCTACAATGTTCTCACGCATCCATCCGTATTCAAAACTCTCCGCGCCGAGTTAGATGCAGCACACTTGAGCTTTCCACCAAGTTACGAGCAAACCAAAGAGCTACCCTACCTCAACACAGTCATCAAAGAGGTGAGTGCTGCCTGTTCTGTGGTTTCGCTGTCCAACATTCATATTTTGAGGACCTTGACTAACGAGGAACGAGCCAGGGTATGCAAATGCACCCCGTCATCTGCGGAATTCTTGAGCGTGTCGTTCCTGATTGCGGCTTGACTCTCCCCGATGGCCGTGTGATAGCACCAGGGACGAAAGTTGGCATCAACCCGTGGGTTTTGTCGCGAAACAAGGATGTTTATGGTACAGATTCTGATAAATTCCGCCCTGAACGCTGGCTTTGCTCCGAAAACGAGGATGAGGATGCATACTTGGCACGGCTAAAGAAGATGAACGATGCTGACTTGACGTTTGGTTCTGGCAAACGGGTATGCGTGGGTAGGAACATGGCGAACCTTGAAATTCACAAGGTCATCTCAACATTATTTGGTCGATACGATGTGAGTCGGAAATTCCTGTGGGTTTTTGATGATATTAACATAATTCAGATTCAGTTGGATCATGCCGTCAAAGAATGGTCACCGCGTTGGTGGTGGTTCACGTTTATCGACAATATTGAAGTCAAGATCCAACACCGTCAAAATGTGGCCTCGGTTGAATTAAACGCGAAGGATGCTTAGCATGTCTGTTCTAGAGCGGACGGCAAGAGACTACCCTAAAGAGCATTGGCAAATTTACAAAAAAAAATACATATTGCTCAACTATTATACAGGCCGAGGCTTATATACTATACGGTCTCTCAGTAGGCGAGGTGTGGCGACATCGTGACTAGGCAATACCACGACGTCAGTCTGGCTTGCAAATTCCTTGATCGTCTTCAAAGTTTGCAGAGCTACTGCTGGGTTATCGTTGATACCATCCGGCTCTTCCTTATCCAATAGATCCACGCCGTAGGTGGCATCTCCTGTTAGGAAATATGTTGTAGTGGTCCCGTCGTCGTTGTCGCCGTACACAACCAAGGAGATGTGGCCTGGAACGTGCCCGGGAGTTTGGACAGCAACGACCTTTCCATCAGATGTTATTTTCTGCGTCTTCTTCCAAGGGCCAATTGCAGCATCCGTGAAGTCAATCATCTTTGGCGCAAAGTCTTTTGGCCAGTGTTGGGGAGTGCAGCCTTGCAGAGTTGCCAGGAATGGGTGCTTCCCAAATGCATCCCAGTGTTCATTACTCACGTAGATTGGTACGTGAGGAGCCGCAGTCGCGAGGTCTTTGAGGCCGCCGGCATGGTCGCCGTGTAGATGGCTGAGAACAATGGCTTGGAGATCCCCAGGCGCTATGTTATTCGCCCGAAGCTGGTTCACAATTCCGTCTTCTTCGGAAATCGTAGTCTGGGCGACGAAGCTGTTGAGGCTCCACATTGACTGATATCCAGGGGCATTGCACATGGGCGACTCGCCCGTGTCGAAAAGAATTGGTCCACCGGGGTGAGAGATGACGAATACACCAATTGGCAGCTCTTCGGTCCATTGGCGGTCCGTAAAAGAGCGAAAAAGACGTAGAGCTCTGATTCCGTTGCCGATGGGTTGGCTTTTCATGGATGGCCGGATTTGAACTTTGCCTATCGAGAGGAAAGTCAGGCCAACAGCCTCGGCGGTGGCGTCCATTTTGTTGTTCGGTATGAGGAATTAAAAGGTTGGTTCCTCCTATATCATCCCGCGTCCAAAAATGATGGGGCTTGGCATGGTAATAAGTGTCGGTAGTCGGCAGTCGGTCTTCGGCATCAAGATCGCCGGCACAAGCCACACGGAGCTCAATGAGTTTTGGCTGCCGAGAGAAATGACTGTGGAATGATATTACGCCGCGTCCCGGCTGCTTGTCCAAATGCTCCACTACACCGGGCGGTGACAATTCACGTGCTTTAAAGACTGAAAGACAGTGCACCGTTGCGATTGAGCTCAGGTTTGATAGCCAGATACAACAAGCAGCTACAAAACCGACACAATCCGACATAGATCATGCTAAGTTGATATATTGAAGTGTTACACAAGCAGGTGTAAGCTCGTTTTTCTATCTCTTTCTTGTGCCTACCAATAAATTAAAGTGACACGCGATCCTTCTTGGCGGCTAGTAACTTGTGGCTCCTAATACAAGATCCACAAAATGGGGCGCACGGCACAACCTCCACTCCGACGGCACATCTATGCAACCGGAGCTTCTGAATTGACCAAGGGAGTAGGAAGAGTGTCGTTGATCGGGAAAATAACTCAGGGTACATGGGCCAGAATATTAATTTGTATACTAAATGTACCCGGGATTTCGCCAGGTCAATAGGCCCATATAGATAAATAATACCCCCTGCGACTCTAGTTGCTGACCGAAATTATTACTTACGAGTAACTTGATTCCCTATATAATATACTAATTGACGACCTTTGAATGGACTGGGTATATGGCCTGTATTGTTGATACGATTGTTGGTGTTTTTTTTTACTGTTGAGCTTCTAGCCCCCCCTCTGGGTATGTGTGTACTAGGGCACCCTAACCTCTTGATACTAAGTGATTGACGTATCTTCTTTTTCCCAATCAACTATACTTTTCCTTCTCAAGGGGCCTGTGCGAATCCTTAATTGACTCAGCTCGTCACATTCAAACAACTCATTTGGGCAGAGACGTATCCTTGAGATGACGGGACCATAGTCAAGGCGCATGTCGTATTTGATACTGGAGATGTTATGGAGAGGACTGAAGACATTCACGGCCAAGATGCATTAGGTGAGCTCGTATTCATATTGGGGCTGTAGATATGGAAACGTTTAGGACTGCCGGTACCTATTTGGTGATCGATGAAGCAACGAAATGGGTTGACTTGAACAAATTCTAACGAAGACCAAATAAACTCAGTAATTAAAGCATCCGGGAACTGTCTTCAGAACAGGCTCTTATAAGCCGAATAACGATCAATTAAAAGCGACCCGGGCCCGGTATAACAGAGCAAGGCGCGACGGCCCACGACTCAGGACAACGACCGACGTAGATTCTCTACTAAAGACAAAAATTAACATAAACCCTGCTCTCCCATCCTGCCAGTGTCGGCCGGCCTCCCTTCAGACCTCCACTCTGTGCCGTTGTACTAAGAAGCAGGTGTGTCTCAGCAGGTGCACAACCCAACGCCTTGCAAACATCCAAACAGAGCCTCTCTTCCTGAGACATGTTGAGAAGGACCACGGCGCGTCTCTTTACTCCATCCTGGCCATTAACTGGCGCGGGGCTTTCTTTGATGTAGGCAAAGACAGACTCGTCACTCGGGTCCAGCAGCTTGAACGAGCCAAAGACGAACAAGTCCCGGTACTGCTTCCGCATTTTCAGAGCGTGCTTGTAAAAGTTCAGGATGGAGTTTGTATCCTTGGTTTGCTTCACGACGTTGATTTCTCTGTATTCGTCGTGCACCCGCATCCACGGCTTCGCGCCGACACTCGTGAAGCCCGCGTTGGCAGAGTCGTCCCACTGGAACGGAATCCGGGCATGATCGCGGCCCATTATCTGCAGGCCATGCATCGTAGCCTGGACGCGCTTCTCATCGCCCGACTCGACGGCCTCGGCGTAGAAATTGTTGCTCTCAATGTCCTTGTACTCTTCGATGCCCCAGGACTTGGGCATGTTGGTCATGCCAATCTCCTGGCCCTGGTACAGAAACAGCGTGCCCGTGAGCGTGGCCTGCCAGAGCGCAATGGTCTTGCTGGACTTGAGCCACCACTCGGGCGTCGAGGCATCTCCGAAGCGATTCACGGCTCGGCCGTTGTCGTGGTTCTCGCAGAATGCCGTCGCCCACGCGTCGGTGCCCTCGATGAAGCTCTGCCACTTGTGAGTGACGGCCTTGAGTGTGGAAAGAGGAAACGGCTGGTAGATGTATTTATCCCCGAAGCCGTTCCCGTTGCCGAGCCGGATCATGGTGAATTCAAACACCATGTCCAACTCCTTGGCCGCCGCAGAGACGTATGGGATGACTTGCGAAGGGTGAGGTGTGAGGGACAGCTCTCCCACAGAGACGGCGTTGTAGGGGCCGAGAACCTTGTGGTGCATCTCGTGGATGAACTCGTGGATGCGCGGTCCGTTGCACCACATCTCCGGAGCCGGCTGGTGGGACGAAGCCGGGTCCGTGATGGGAGCGTCGACAAAGTCCCGTCGCTTGGAGTACTTGTTGACCGTGTCGATGCGGAACCCGTCCACGCCGCGGTCCAGCCAGAAGCGCATCGTGTTGTCGTAGATGGCTTCGCGGCAATCGTCGTTGTCCCAGTTCAGATCCGGCTGGTCTGGCGCGTAGAGGTGCAGGTAGTACTCCTGCGTGTGCTCATCCCACGTCCATGTCGGACCGGCAAAGTACCCTCGCCAGTTTGTCGGCGGGTGGCGCACGCCGTTCTCGTCGTAGCGAGCTGGTTTCCAGATGTACCAGTCTCTCTTCGGGTCGTCCTTTGATGACCTTGAGCTCTTGAACCATTCGTGCTCAATCGAGGTGTGGTTGACGACGAGGTCGAGGATGACCTTGAGTCCCCTTTTGTGGCATTCCACAAGCAGAGTATCGACGTCTTCAATCGTGCCATACGGCGCGTAGATCTTCTGGTAGTCTGACACGTCGTAGCCCATGTCCTTCTGGGGACTCTCGAAAATGGGCGACACCCAGACGACGTCGACGCCGAGGTCGCTGAGGTAGTCAATCTCAGAAATGAGGCCGGGAAGATCGCCCCATCCATCGCCGTTCGAGTCCTTGAAGCTCGCCGGGTAGACTTGATAGAAGGTGGCATCCTTCCACCACGGCTGCTTGCCGACCCATCGGTTCTCGGCGTCCCAGATGAGCGATCCCATGGTCACAAGTGAAGGTGGAGCTTGAATGGAGCGGGAATGTTGTGAAGAGTCGCCAGACACTAGAGCTCGTCGGGCTTCAGCAGAAATGCCAAAGAGGCTGAACTGGGAATTGGCAAGCTCGTCGACCGGCCGAAGGATGGGTCGTTATTTGACGTCTCTCGCTTGCAGCACGCAGCTGCAATGCAACATGTGGACCGCATCCTTCTGGTGGAGAGTCTGCGGAGTGCGCGGAGAGTCCGCATACACGCGCGTTCGGCTTTCGTGTGTTAAAGACTTTGGAGCGATCCACCGCTAGCAAGAGAGAGAGGTGGGAATGCTCCTTCGTCGGCGTAACAAGGAATGCCCAGCTGCTGATAATCCTCACATCGGTCGGCTAGCAGATATCTTCAGCGGAGTCTCCGCCGCTAAGCCATCGTCTACGCCTAGACTTGCGGAGCTGCTCCGGCTTCACCTCACATCATCTCCATATTGAGAAGCCAGCCAATCATATATCCATCACAGCCGCTTCATCTCCGCCCCTGAGGGTGTCCTGACGTCCGTGACAGCCGGACCCTCCACCACGAGATAACTCAGCTCGGAGTCTCCTGTCGACAACGGCTGGTTCCTTCGCACCTCTAGCTCGCCGCAGGAAAAGTCTGCCCAATCGTGTGAATTCTTCGCGTCACCCCAGACAAACCCCGCCCTGTTCTCCATGCTTCCCCAGGTCACACCCCAAACAGCCGGGACCGTCTAGCTTCTGCAAAGCCGGTAACATCTTAGCGGCTCAGGTGATGCCATGCGGCCTGGCCTTGTTCCGACAGCCTGTTCCTTTAGTTGATGGGCGCGCTGGACCCTTCCCCGGCTTGGGGCCTCGAGCGAGCATAAATAAGACCTCGACGGTCGCCTGGATGAATCGACATCTCCTCTAGAGCACTCCATCTTGCCTTGACCATCAGCCAGGCTTTACACCACATCATGGCCGACACCAAGACCAACACTCCACGGGGGGACGACGTGGACACCCAGCATGAAGAGACCATCAACGCCGAGATGCTCACGTCTGAGGCCAAGCTCGCGGCCGACGCCGAGCACAACATGAGCCTCTGGCAGGCCGTCAAGACGTACCCCAAGGCCATTGGCTGGTCGGTCCTCCTGTCGAGCACGCTCATCATGGAGGGCTACGACCTGGCGCTGCTGGGGAACCTGTACGCCTCGCCCGTCTTCAACAAGAAGTTCGGCGAGTACGTCGCGGCCAAGGACGACTACGCCATCTCGGCCGCCTGGCAGTCGGGTCTGTCCAACGGAGCCCGCGCCGGCGAGATCTTTGGGCTGATCCTTGCGGGCTGGGCGTCTGATCGATGGGGATACAAGATGACGACCATTGGGGCGTTGGTTCTGATGATTGCGTTTGTCTTTGTTCTCTTCTTCGCCCCGAACATCAAGATCCTCGTCCTGGGAGAGGTGCTGTGCGGTACGTCTTCGTTGAACCCAGATCTGTCGTAGACCCGAACTGACCATCAATAGGAATCCCATGGGGAGCCTTCCAGAGCGTCACGCCCGCCTACGCTTCTGAAGTTGCGCCGGTTGTGCTGCGGCCGTATCTCACCACCTTTATCAACACGTGCTGGGTGATTGGCCAATTCTTCGCCGCCGCCGTCAACAAGGGCTCCGTGAGCCGTGATGATGAGTGGGCGTACAGGATCCCCTTCGGCGTCCAGTGGGTGTGGCCTGTTCCCATTCTGGCCGGATTGATCTTTGCGCCCGAGTACGTCGTCCCCATCACTAGTAAAACGGCACTTGCTAACCGTCTTCCAGGTCTCCTTGGTGGTACGTACGAAAGAACAACAGAGCCGCGGCAAAGAAGTCCCTCCTACGCCTTACCTCGCGCAACCAGCCCGACTTCAACGTTGACGAGACCATCGCCATGATTGAGCACACCAACGAGATGGAAAAGCAAATCAAGGGCGGCACCACGTACAGAGATTGCTTCCAGGGCGTTGATCTCCGCCGGACCGAGATTGTCGTCGGCATCTGGCTCGTGCAAACGCTGGGTGGTCAAAACCTCATGGGTTACTTCTCTTACTTCCTGAAGCAAGCTGGAATGGACGCCAGCAACTCCTTCTCGTTGTCCATGGCACAGTACGCCCTCGGCATGGTGGGCACGTTTGGATCTTGGTTCTTGATGGCCAAGGTCGGCCGACGCACGATCCATTTCTCGGGTCTTTGCGCCCAATTCCTTTTGCTCATCATCGTGGGGTCGCTGTCGTTTTCTAACGACAATAGCTCCGTCTGGGCCATTGGAGCTATGCTGATCGTCTTCACCTTTGTCTATGACTTCACAGTTGGACCGGTGACGTACTCTCTGGTCTCAGAGCTGTCATCCACAAGACTCAAGGCCAAGACCATCGTCCTGGCCCGCGCCGCGTACAACGCCAGCAACATTTTCGTCAACGTCATGACCAACTACCAGCTCTCATCGACTGCTTGGAACTGGGGAGCCCGCACTGCTTATTTCTGGGCCGGCACCTGCCTGATGTCCGCCGTCTGGGTCTTCTTCAGACTGCCGGAACCCAAGGATCGTACTTATGCTGAGCTTGATCTCTTGTTTGAGAGGCGTGTCCCGGCGAGGAAGTTCGCCAAGACTCATATTGACCCGTACTCTGGCGAGGTGAGTGACGAGAAGAAGGTGGTGGATGAAAAGGAACTGTAGAAATTCCGAGGGAACAAAGTTATGATGGCTAGTGGTAATCTCTTAAAATAACACTGGCTCTCTTTTCATGACAAATGATTTATTTCGATTTTCTGCTTTCTATTGATCAGGGCGGTTCATCAGCTGGACTAGGCTCTGTAGTGGGGAGTGCCTGTTGAATCTGCTTTTCCAGTAACGGGTCATAAGTGGATGTTCCGCTTGGGAGTTGAGTTATGAGGTGTCGGATATATATCAAGTCGTCTTCCAGCGACCTGCCCATTACGAGCCCTTGTGGGCTGGATGGTGCTATCGGGACTCGGGCGAGAACATCCACCACAGCCGAGGCAATGTCATAGAGCTTCTCGGTTAACCCAACACCGTGCACCTTGATGCTGTCGAGAGGCAGATCCCGCGTAGAGAGCGTGAGTTCTTTCGCCACTTCTAGCGGGTAGCTATACGTCAGGCTGTGTTGAGAAGCGCCCTCACTGAGGTAGCCGAGGCGTAGACGGAGTTTCCAGATGATGACGCGCAGCCAGAGCTGTGTAACTCTCAGATTTGCTTTTTGCGTGTCGTGTAGTTCCAGCGTGGGCTTGAGTGCGGTATTAACGCTTGTTTCGACGTAGTCGATTGCGGCAGGGGAAGGTGGTGTAGCGACTATCTCGTGATTGAGTAGGGCGACAAAGGAGGTTTCGATGGGACGAAACAGGGCTGCGAGACTCCAGAAGCCGACGAGCCGCTCGTCACTGGTATCCAGCTCGGGCGTCTCGGGAGTAACTTGCAAAGTGATGGGGCGGCGGTAGCGAATTGCGTGAGATCTTTCTGATATGAGCAAGACCCAGAAGAGACGGCCGGCCAAATCCTTAAAGGTGGCATCGACATGATCGAACCTCAACAGATGAAGCAGAGTCGTGGCTTCGCGCAGAAACAAAAACGCCTGGCTGTGGTGCGACAGTCGAGCCTGACAGGCGTAGAGGAAAAAGACGAGCAGACACTGGTTAAAGGTCGGCTTGACGTTGCGTGGAATCCTCTGGTGAGTCGCCAGCGCCACGTCCAGGATGATCTGGCCGTACACGGCGTTCTTCTCGGAGATGATGCCCTGCGGAAACAAGTTCTCGGGCTCCTCGGCCTGCAGCAACACCTGGGCGCACATGGCGACGAGCACGCAGTAGGCCTCTACTCTCCACTCGGACGACGACGCCATGACGGCCTTCAGATGGGCCAGGTAGTCGCGCGTGAGGATGGGGATGGTTGGGTACAGGCGCGCAAAGAAGCGCTCAGCGCAGTAGTCGATGACACGTAGCGGAACCAGCTCGGCCATGCTCTGGACGGGGTCAACGCCGCCGCCGGGACTCAGCGGACTCAGCGGACTCGCCGGATACATGACCAGCGAGATCATCGACGACTGCGGCGTGCAATGGTCGCCGAGGCCCGCGTCGACGCATCGTCTGCAGGGCCGGAACTCGTTGCAGCCGCGGCGGAGCGTCTTGCAGCGCTGGCACGCCCGCGGAACCTGGACTCTCTTTGCGTGCGGCGGCGTCTCGGCGCTGTTCATTCCGCCATCCCCGGGCCGCTTTGGTTCCATGGACTTGGTCGCTGGCCCCGTAGCTCAGCTTGTAAGTTGTGTCTGTGTCTAGTGATTTGGAATCGTGTCAAAGATCGCCACCAAGACGTGGCGATTTGCGTCCGTTCTCACGACTTCGGCTAAATAACGGCGCGCCCCGAACCTTCAACGCCGGGAAGTTCGTGGCTAAAAGCATGGGATATGATTGGCAGTCGGTAAACATCTCACATATATTTATAGTAAAGTACATCCTACGAGAGTAGTTGAAGTACCGTGACGGGAATACGCTGCTCCATATGGACTACTGGAGAGCGAAAATTTCTTCAGTGTTGAGTGTAGGGTAGGCCAGCCGCAGAGAACGCTGGATTTAACGCCATGGCCGTTGCACGGGACACATACTCAACCTCGTTATCAAGGCTATACTCTCTGGGGAAAATACCGAAGCCTTTGAGAGTATTCGTCAAGACTTTATGTCGTTGTTCAAGTCTTTCAGGGAGATGGTTAGTCCCGGAGGCGGTTAACTGGAGTTAACGAGACGTTCCGGTCCATGACTGTTATGCTTGAAACTTTTGAGTTTCTGGTCAGTAAACTTGAGAATCAAAGGCGCGACGTTCGAAAATCATCGACTCCTAGCAAAGTGAGTGAGATGACCGGATGTCACTTTGAAGAAAACAGCCAGCCCTCGGAAACCTGAGGGAGGTATTCCTGCGTGTTAACGTACCATCATAGCTCAGTACCACCGGTGCCTTTCCACGACGATGGTGACTCAGATACGCAGTCGAGGCATTTCCTGCAACGATCTGGCATGTCCATAAGACCGTTCCATGATGGAAACCGTATGCGCATTTCGAATCGGCTTCATTACGTCTCCAAGTGGCATCTAGCCTGGTCAGACGTAGGAGAGTATTCTGGTCTTCAGAATGATGGGGATGTCGTTGGTTGCCTTGACACTCCGGCTCGCCCTGGCCCTAAGAAATGATGTGATGTCACTCCATTCAATGGTCACACAGCAGCTTGGTGTGCTGAGTACGCCAGGCTTAATGGGCGGCGGTAGAGTTGCAAAAGCGGAGGCAGCATCGCTCGAATCAACCAATGTCGATTCGAGACTTCTAACACACCGAGAGGAGGATGATTAGAAAAAGAAAAAAATAGTCGAGCTCGGCGGCAGTTTACCAATCGGGTTCTACCACTCTTGCCCGCCTCTGTACATAAATATTGTAGTTCTGCGCTGGCCTGCGGGCTACCCTGTGCGGCATGTTCAAGCGGAGTTGAAGAAGCTGATTGCACTTCTGCCAATCCGCCAGCATTTTGCCAGTGGAGTGGACGGCGGAATCCACGAGTGTATCCACGGCCTCGAAAGCGCCTCCTCCATGTGACTTGTTCCTCCTTCACGGGGGGGGAGAATATTGCGTAGGGGAAAAAAGTCGTTGATTGGGAAAGTAATTCAGGGTGCAGGAGCCTTCTCGTCAATTGGTATGTGACCCAATATATTTGTGATTTTAGTAGGTCAATAGGCCTATGCAGAGAAATAATATATGCTGCGACACAGGGTACTGATACAAAGTATTATAAATGGGCGATATACTCCTCTATAATCTACTGAGCGATTGGTGCATCTTGATATTCTGATCAACCACTTTTTACTACTTAAAGACGCCCCCCTTGTATGAGGCAAGAGTCCAAGGGGGGTTGCTTTTGAGGCCCCCTAATACGTGGATTGAGTGGACTGGCTTTCAACCCTCGAGGCCCGTCTATCATTACAGCACGTCATATTGTATCGGAGGAGTTAGAGCCGTATTATCTCAGCACTAGTAATCACCCTGCATCCTTGGCGAACAAATCCAATTGGCCGCTGAGCTTCCATCTTTCCGTGATTTGCATATTCGGTCATGCAAGAGACCAAGAGCTCTGAAAGTGAGGCGGATGAAGGCATCGAATGGGACGTAGGTTGACAACATCAGGCTCCCGGGCTCGAGTAGGTATAAATGCCTAGGTACCCGGAGTTTCAACTTAATCACTTTGATATTTACACACGATACGCTGGTCCCGAATCACCCTAAGAAATAAGCACTTCCGATCCAAGTATTGTATCGATCCTGAAAATGGTGAGTTGCGATGGATGCTGCTCAAGTCCCATCGGCTAACTCTGATACTTTAGTCCTACTCCATTCAAATTCAAGCGGGAATCTATGTTCAGGTCACCGGCTACCAGGGAACATGGCTTGTAATTTCAGCTGTAGCTGGAGCAATTTTTGGTGGTAGCGGAAGCGTGATCGTACAGGACCTGGGAAGCGGGGTACAACAGAGTGTTGATGCATGCGATATTTCTCCAGCATAAGAATGCGGAAACCGTATCTGCTGACGGACTTGCTTTGAAGATGCCTTGACTTTTCTGGGGCAACAACAGAAGAGGCGGATACTGAGGTATCATAGGCGCACCAACGAATGAATTAGCGCGCTCGTGTCACTTTACCTCCAGTTGTGGATTTAGTCAACCGAAATTGTAGCTACGGGCAACATTTATTTGTTAAACGAGTCAAACATAGCTGCAACCTCTCCATGAAGATAAACTACAAGCGTGGCTTAACGTGAACCAGTACTTATTAAAGCCCATTCACCTTGGATCGCTCTGATCAACCTTGGCGATTAAAAGAGCAAAATATATCATCAAAGCTTCTCGAACTGGGCTTCACTTGTGGAAAAAAAACAAAAAAAACAGTAATAACTTAATAAAAATAGTAAATTAATAGACTTTCTAGCAGTTTTGGGATCTTATAATTACTCTGATTTTAAGAAAGAGAATTAAAAAAAAATCCATTCTTTCTGCAGGTTCTGACCTTCCCTTTTAACCTTATCCGGACTACCCTACCAGCAACCAGTTAGCCTAAGTATTCCTATCCGCCTGTCACATTGATTTTTTTTAACTATTTATTATATGTCTGTGACTGCAGAATATTTGTGTGTCAATTTAATAATTTGCCTCTTTATTGCAACTGCCATCTGGCCTCTCAACGTCTCGTCTCACACCTAACTTGTTGGGTTTAGTGGCAGCCGAGTTTTCAGCGGAGACGAAAATGCCCGCCCCGCAATTCCGTTACAAACCGCCATGTCAATTGCGCCCTTGACAACTGCACGCTGTCAAAGCAAAGGTCATCTGGACCCTTCGACTCCTTTAAGAGGAACGCGTTCTGCCTTGGATTGGAACTATAGATTCATCATCGCCCATGATGGCCGCCGCAGCTCGAACCTATCTGGCGTTCCAGCACAACGCCAAGCTTCACAAGCTTCAAACACTCGTCACCGCTGTTCTTCCCTTCAGCGCCCTTGAAGAAGCCAACCGACTGCTCTTCAAGCAAGGTGGCGATGAGAACCATGTTGTCGTTACGGATCGAACCATTTTTCACCCCCAAGGAGGCGGCCAACCTTCTGATGTCGGCGAGATGACCCATCCGTCTGGGGCTACCTTTACCGTATCGTCAGTCCGCATGGACGCAATCAACGACGGCCAAGTCTTGCACTTGGGACAATTCGCCTCCCCAGCAACTATTTTTAAAAACGGCGATGAGGTTGAGCAAGCAACCGACGTTGAAAAGCGCCTCCTCTACTCGCGGTTCCACACTGCCGGCCACGTTCTCGGCGCTGCAGTGAGACATCTCCTGGAAAACGAGATTGAAGGGTTCGATGAGCTGAAGGCATCTCACTTCCCCGACGCAGCCTCGTGCGAGTTCAAGGGGAGCATCGATGGAAAATGGAAAGAGCCTATTCAGAAGAAAGTCGACGAGTACATTGCGGCGAACCTGCCTGTCGAGGTTGAGTGGTGGGACGAGGAAGATTTCCGGACGCGTGGGCTTGAGCGTCTGATTCCTGATAGAAGCATGGCACCGCCGGGTGAGAAGTTTCGTGTGGTTAATATTGTGGGAGCTGAGGTTTATCCTTGCGGAGGAACACATGTTGACACGTCAGATTTGTGCGGTGAGACCAAGGTAAAGAAGATTTCTAGAAACAAGGGACAGTCCCGTGTGAGTTACACGTTGGCTTAGAACGGCGATGCAGATGCGGAGCTATAGAATAATAGAACATAGATCAACAAGAAGATCCCAGTCTCTCTTCCCGTATGCTTTGAAAGGACTGATAGGACTTGGGCAACAACGGTGTCTCCACGTTGGCAGGACCTGGCGATAGCTGGCTTTGAGGTAAGGCTTCACTGGACCCCAAGCTCTCACACCTAAGGCGTCCCATGACCTTTTCACGAACAAAGAAGCCAACCTTTGCCACGGGGATAGACAGACCATGAACAACCTGTGAGCTCGTTAGTCATCGACCTAGACATCAGTGTATTTCTGTTCACTCACCACACTGCAAACGGCAAGAAACCAGACAACGACCAGACCGGCTTCCCGAAGGTCTTTGACGTCGGCGCGGACCTCGTCTCCGTCGACTAGGTACTTGTCGATAAACTCAGCCAAAATGTACACGTAAAAGACGGCGGACACTCCAATGGGGCCAAAGAACCCTGCGAACAATGCCTCCCTTGTGTCTGAGATTTGGTGGATGTATTTATGTGCGGCCAACACCCATGGGAGCCGTCGAACGAGCAGGACCAGAATGCCGAGAGGAATTAATTGGTAAATTGAGATGACGTCGCTGTTCAAGAAATCACTCCACGGGCATACTGCGCCAAACCACATGAATATGGTCATGTTGAGTAACATGTCGATGGTTGGGTGAAAAGAGTCATGCTCAGTTTGTAGGCGGAACCAGTCATCCCAGGTGAAGGCATTACCGGCCACGAAGCAAGCCAACACATCATCGCTTCCAATCATACCACATGTGCCCAAGACAAACAGGGCCAGAGCGATAGCGAATACTACAAAGCTCTCTTTGTCGATATACTCTCGCTTCTCGGCCCAGTGCAATAGATCTTTGGCGGCCCAGCCTGCAGCGGCGCCGTATGCGACGCTCAAGAGGATAGTATAGCCCCACGTGTCTCCCAACCACAGACTGATGGCTGTCAAAGAGCCGCCATCTGCTGGATTCGCTTCGTCACTGGTGTACTTGATGAGATACAGGGCAAGGAAGAGGAACGGATATCCGAGGCCGTCATTGGCTCCGGATTCGGCAACGATGATCTGCTGGAGCTTCTTAGGCACGTTATGCTCGGCAAATTTGCCTTTTACGATAGCACTGGACAGAATCGGATCGGTTGGAGTGACGCAGGCTCCTATGGCCAAGGCATGGAGGAGCGGGAGTTGTGGCATAAAGGCCCATACCAGCAGACTGGTGGTCAACCACATCATAGCCATGACGACTCCCACGAGAATAGAGAGTGATTTCCATTCCTTTTGCAAGTACCTACTGGGGAGCTGCACACCTGCAATGACAAGCTGCACGCCTAGCACCAGTCGCGTGAAGTTTAGCGTAATGGCCTCGACATCTTTGCTATTGCCAGCATAGTCGAGGGGGCGAATGAAGTTGGCTCCGGCTGGGGAGAAAGCAACGCCGGCCAGGAGGGATACGACTACGCAGCACTTTAGATTCGGCGATGTCCATGGAGAAGGAACAAAGTGAACAACTTACGGGCCTCAGAGAGGTAGAGGTTCTCCTTGGACAGATAGGAGACCAATCCAAATGCCGCAATCCACCCGCCCAGGAGGCTGACGATGATGTTGAAGTTGGTTATCTCAAGAGCGGGCATCGTGTCGACCTGGAAAAAGACAAACGCCTTCTGTGGATACACGCTCAAGCGAGATGCCTGGCGAAATGCTGGGACCCAGGGTTGACGACGGTGGGTGTTTTGACCGCAATATCCTCAAGAGACGCTCACCGAGGTGCCATGAGATGGGGGCTGTGTACGTCATGGTCATTTGACGCTAGCAATCATGTGATGGATCTAGCGATAAGATAAGAGGGACCAGATGACCAGGCCGCAAGCGGAAGGCCGGAGACGCTTGTGGTGGAAGGAATATATTATTTGAGTTTGTCGGTTTATTGATTCTTGGTGAGGTTTGAGGTCGAATAGCTTGTACCATCGTACGATACTCACAGGTTGGCGCCAAGCACTTACAACGCAAGGTTAATTACCTCAGTTCGAGTTATTAACGATGTAAGTTGGGGTACATGACGTCATAAAACATGCACTGCGTTGTACCGCTAATAAGCCAGCCAGACACAAACCACACCAAAGCTATTAACTGCAGATGCCTGGTACTCGACCAATATTTCAACATTCAAATATACTATACACCTAGTTTGCTATAAGACAGGACGCAAATAAAAGCTCCAAGCAAAAATGGCATTTTTTATCCGCCTACGCTACTGCCATGGGCGACGGGGGTCCACCAGTTAGCTGGTGTCGAGGTTGGGGGAGAATATTGTCCCATATAATATTGGCCTCAGTTACACTACGCATTAGCGGAGTGCTCCTTCTAAATTTGCCGTAGCCGCTAATGCGATAAATATCCGGCTATCTCGTGACCGCAGGGGTGTGGAAGGAGAGACGTGTTTACAATGTTTTCGGCCTGGCGTTTGCCGGATCTCTAGAATACCCTAGTACGGCACTGACTCGAGATCAATCTGACAATCAGACGTGGGGTAGTTCCACATCCCCAAGTTACATTCAGCCTTTCCTCGGATAATCCACATTTATTTAAGTGTCAGGCATTTAAGTAAGGTCTTTGGGGGAAAATAAGGAAAATTGAGGCTGTGCATTTGTTTTGGGAAGGAGCCCACAGCCAGCTGACTCCTTTGGGATATCTTGCCCTAACTCGGGCTATTGGCTTGATCTGATGAGTCAGACTTTTGGTCTTCTAGAGAAGATTTAGAGACAGCAGATTGACTTGTCCGTCATCACCATCAACCGTTATTGACAGAATAGCCGATTGACAGTATTGTTTGGCCCACTGATGCGGCATTCCCTCATGAATCATTTGATCAGATGATACCCATAGCAGGATTCCTAATATCCTGTCTATTTTATTCATTCCCATCATCTTCAATCTCAGCTTCCATAGCTATCGCAGACGCACCGCCACCACAGGCTTCATCGGCCTTTGGGCTGGCTGTTGTGTCTTTCAGTCGTTTCTTTTGCTCATCTTCCCCACGCATTAACGAGTTTAGCAGCAGGAAGGGACGGAAAACAACACCCAACTCATTAACTTACCCTAGGGGAAATGCACAGAGAGTCGTCGCACAGGCGTCTTGGCCGGTCAGCCCGAGGCTGCACCAGATTACGCGTATGAGGTCGGATCAATCTGAGGGAGGTTGAAGACAGAGGTTGGACAAGGATCGTAGCAATAGCAAAAATAGACTCAAATAAATCTCTCAAAATTAAAGGCAAAGAAAAGGCAGACTCCCAAGCTGTCCAGAGGCCTGCCGGCCTCTCTGACGTCCCGCTTGAATTTCTAAAGAATTGAAAACCGATGATCCTGTCCTCCAGCGCAGGTTCCTTTCCTCCCTTTTAACCTGATCCGGACCACCCTAGAGACATCCCCGCTAGCGACCAGCTAGCCCAAGCGTCCCTAACCGCCTGTCACACGAGGTCAGATGTTTTATCCCAATATTGCCATGCGGACAAAGGGCGTTTCCCACTCTGAGGATCCCATGGGTAAGTTGCATATCAGAACTTCCGAGGAACAGACAAAAGCTCCGGATAATATAGCTCTTCCCCACCTATGAAGGCACAGCTATTGTCAATAGCGGAGGAAAAGAAATTCCTTTTTTTTGGGTTATGAAATCAGGAGGTTGGGAAGAATGCCCCAACGAAGATTCATTTATGAGGCTCATAAAAAGAGGAGTGTCTGCGGCTCCTCGATTAACCCTGCGTGGCGGAACACTTGCCAGATTCCGATTTGGCCTACTTATTTGGAATTCCAGTTACTTCCATTTGGACATAATTGAGGTGGGTGTCCGTGTACCTTGTGATCTGCAACGGTTGGTTGGTTATGCACCCTTGTTACTGCAAGGAGCCTTGTCGAAATTAAAGATTTACGGAGCCGACCTGCCGTTTGTGGACTTCCCACAATGCCGTGACTTAAAGATTCGTTACATGCGGAGTTCCGCAAGCCACGTCACTTTAAGGGAGCCATGCGGTTGTTTGGTTTCAACTCCAATTTCCCGGGCATGTGCCCATTTGCCTGATAAATAGCATCCACTACATTGCACCCTTGACCAGGATCATGCCTTCGTTTCTGACATACATGATTTGAACTTCTGATCAACTTGATATAGTCCCCATCCCCAAGCTATGAGTTCCAGGCGAGTTCATGTTGGTTCCAAATTGCGAAGTATTATTGCGCCGTCTTTGATGTAACGCTTCATTAAAATCTGGGCTTATCTGTGCTCACCCTTCCACTATAGCCCACCCCCTGAATTTCTGTTAGCGCGAGACTCAAATGTGGCGGAAGTCTGTTTATAGAAAGGATCACCACATCAACCTTTCCGAAGCTCCGAGAAAGACATGCACTGATCTAGCTAAATACCCAGGCTATCAATATGTCGTATTGCTTATGAATCACTGTTGAGTTGATTGACTCCAGTAATGATCCCTGCAACTGGTACGAAGCCTAAAAAAAAGTACCGGAGGTAAGTTAGACTGTCGTAGAACTAACTCGTGCGATGTTAATATTGTATATTCATGCTAGCTACAATCCAGGATTGAGCTGATTAAACTCAAGTCTACTACAGGCGCTCAGTAAACACTTCCGCTTCGCCGAGAATCGCGATACTGCTAGAATCGGTTGTTGTTGTCCCAATGCAAATATATTTTGTGAATTTATGCTGCTACCCATGCATCAATAGGGTTGCATTGCACCTTGGTACCCGCTTCTGTTGCGCTGCTCCCTATCACTCCATTCGTTCGGGCATTCAAGAAACCCTGCATTGAATGCGTTGTTAAATCCAAATATCCACAACGGCCCGCATTCATCCGCCAAGGGACGATTCATACAGGAGGTAAGTTATATAACCTGACGAGTGACCCGAATCTTGCAGTCGATCATTCTACCACATTCGCCAGTCACTTCTTTCTCGAGCAAACCCCTCATTAGATGACATCAGCTGAGTCACTATGTCCTCTAAGAATTTCACCGTCCTCATTGCCGGCGGGAGCATTGCCGGCTTGACGCTAGCTAATATGCTTGAGCTGGTAGGGATCGACTACATCATCTTGGAAGCCTACCCGGAAATAGCTCCTCAAGTCGGCGCTAGTATTGGCCTCGTGCCTAACGGCTGCCGTGTTCTTGACCAGATCGGGGTCTACGACAAAATCAGGGATCTAATTAAAGAACCCCTATTCCAAATATCTCTCCGCAATTCTGACGGCAATGCAACGAGTCAGTACGATGGCATTGGAGATCAGTTCAGAAACCGGTGAGTTGGGCATTCACACACGTTGTATTTGGTATGGTTCTAATATCCCGCAGATACGGATACGACGTCATTGTTGTAGATCGTCAAATGGTTCTTCAGGCGTTGTGGAATAATCTGAAGAAAAAGGACAAGGTCCTCATTAACAAGCGGGTCACTCAGGTTCATCTTGAACCATCTGGAGTCAAAGTGGAGACGAGTGACGGCGAATCTTTCTCAGGCGACATCTTGGTTGGCGCAGACGGAACTCACAGCCAAGTACGGAGCGAGATGTGGCGACTAGCAGATGATATGGAGCCTGGCTACATTCCCGCTTCAGAACATACAGGTATGTCCGTCTGTTGTGGATTATGAAGACTCAGAAAACTCACAAGTCGCCAGAATGTCTGCCAACGATCTACAAGTGCATCTTTGGCATATCCGTGATGGAGGCCTGGCAGGCCTCTGCCGTCCAGACTAACTTGAACAAACACTTCTCGTACTTGATAATAGCTGGCCCGAAGCACCGAGTTTACTGGTTCCTCTTTGTCAACATGGGCAAGACACACTACGGCCCAGAACTTCCGCGCTTCACCAAAGAAGACGAAGAGGCGCTGGTTAATGAGCACCGAGGCGACAAGATTACTGAGAGTTACACATTCGGAGACCTGTACTCGGCTAAAATTTCCTCTGTTCTGACTCCACTACCCGAGTATGTATTCAAGAAGTGGCACTTCAACCGCATCATGACTATTGGAGATGCGGCACACAAGGTAAGATATTTCCCATATCCACCATACTCTCGAGTGATTGTCACTAACCCAAAATCGTCAGCTTGAACCCATCGCTGGGCAGGGAGGCAACAGCGCCATCGAAACCGCCGCAGTGCTCGTGACCAACCTGACACGCATGCTAAATGCGCATCCATCTGGCGTCACACTTGCTGATATTGACGGCGTCTTTGCCTTGACGCAGAAGACGCGCGAGCCTCGCGTTTTGCAGCTTGTCGGGGCCTCTCACTTGGAGCAACGGATTTCCGCCCTGGAGAGTCCAGTGTTGGAGTTTGTTGGCCGGTACCTTCTCCCCATGACATCCATCGAAGAGAAGCAAGACCCGTGGAGTACGAACTTCGAGGGCGCCCATAAACTTGACATCTTGGACGTGCCAAAGCGATTGCACTTTAATCCGTTCGTTGATGAGCTCCCCATCCCTCCCCTGCCTCCGTCTATGCTGCCCAAGCTGGCGATGGGAGTTGTTCTTTGCGGCCTCCTTTACATTGCGAAACACGCCCTCGTCATTTCGCCAGACCCGGGACCTAGTACCTTCCTATCTCACGAGTTGAAAAAGACATTCACTGGGGTTACTCAAGTTGACGCGATGCTCTCGTTTCTCGTTTGGGCCTTTTCCGAGGCTACTTCTGGTTCTAACCTCAACAAGAGAGTTCAAGCCCTCTACTTCCTGGTCAATCTCATCCCTATCATCTACATCTGGACAGTGGAGGGTTACCGTAACGGCAACAGACGGTCTCCTCTCGTGTCGTGGCCCTCGGCATTTACTGTCTACCAGCTCGTCGGCATCGGAAAAGTCGCACCCGTGTATTTCGCCATAAGCCTGTTCACGACCAGTAGGGCAGTTTATACGCGTCCTACAGGCCGACCGATTCCCTCCTCGGTTGCACATGCATTGCTTCCCGCTCTGTGCCTGGGATACGTCCTTCCCACTGCCCTCATGTTCATTCAGTACGAAGACAGCGTCGTTCAGCAAAACGCCATTGCATTCTGGCAGCCTTCTCCTGTGTATGTCTCTGTGCTGACGTGGACATTTTCTCGATTTTTCCAGCACTTCTCTCCCGCCAAGTCTCTAGACTGGGAGATGTATGAGAAAAGGGACCTTGCCCCTCTGGAAGCTGGCTACGCGCTGTCCTTTTTCGCGACGGCCATCACGCACATCTGCACCATGGTGTATGTCCGCTACAGCCCATCCGTGTCCATATCCCAGGCCTTCTTCAATCTTCCTACAGTTGCATCTATGGGAATCAACAACGACATCGACGGTTTTTGGAAGTACGACTTGCTTCTGTGTTTCGGGACTGTGGCGATGTGGTGTCTGTACAGCGTATACGAGCTGCGACGACTGGGATATGTCACAACGCAAAAAGCTATCAGTGCTGGCATGGCAATCTTTGCGGGTGAGATACTTGTAGGACCGGGTGCAACGTATGCAGGATTGTGGGCTTGGAGGGAGAAGGTTATTGCGGGATTAGTGAAAGGGCAGTAATCAAGAATGATACGTGTCAAAACGGAGATATCTTGAAACATAAGGTAGTTATTTTACTAAATTACCATCCAGCAGTTAGCTTATCGAGACCTTACGAGAGTTAACTTTGCGAAAATGTAAAAAGATCCTAAAAGAAATGTTTTTTTAACAGAAAAAGAAAATACTAGATTCTCCTCCTAGCCTCAGAAAAGTATCTCAAAATAAAGGCAACCAATTTATTGACTCTAATAAGAATCCTCGAGCTTACTGAGTCTCTCACTTCCAGGAGAAGTCTCAAAATAAAACAAAACACGATGCCTCCTCCCCTCTGTGTGCAGTCACCCCCCTTTTTATCCCCGCGATGGTTCAGCTAGCGACCAGCTAGCCCAAAGTCTCTAACCGTCCGTCACGCTATGCCTACTATCTAATGCTATGTATTCAATTTGTTTTAAATTTGGAATTTCTTTTTAAAGTGGTATATTTTTACACGTTGGCGTTCGTGTCTCATGTGTTATCCGCCTCGAACCTTTGGTCCCTGAGGTGCTTAACAGGATCACCCCCGGGCCGGTTGACAAAGGAGGGTCCGGACCGCTGTTTCTGCAAAACCCCATGAAGATATTCTGGGCATTCAGGGCTGTCCTGCTTGGTACTTGGCACGATTCATTCTGCCTCCTTGAAAACAGCATCTGCGTGAATCAGGTTATCCTACGTACGGGCCTGAAGAAATGAAGTCGGTGTTGGTCGTTGGTATGCCCCCCTCACTTGGACTCCATGTCTTACCTCCAACCTTGAGCAGGTCGCCGTCTAACCACTCCTCTCTTGAACACTCTAGGCGCCAACCGCGGCATTGGACTCCAGCTGATTCGCACTTTCAAGTCACGAGGATGTAATACTCTTGGTTCTGTCCGCCCCGAAACCGCTGCGTCGAATGATCACTCAATTAACGACGTACGTTCCCTTTAACCGCGCCCATCAGTCATTCTTCGCCTAATCGGACCCAGCTCAGAGAAACGAGCTCGAAAATCATCGAGATGAAGCACAAGGATGAGGACACAATTAAAGCCGCAGCTGCTAATCTGTATGTCACCCTGGATATTCTCATCAACTGCGCAGGTAACCCGATCCAGCATCAATTTGCTGTGACCCTACCCGGAAGTTTGTCAAGTTCCGCCTAGGTATTGAAGTGCGCCCACTTGAGTGGGATGCCCACGGGAAGGATGACTTGATGGAGAGATTCTAGTTAGGGTGGTCGTACGTCTTCTCCACTTACCCACTACTGCTGTGTCTGCTAATTTTGACAGTCAATTCAAGGGCCCTTTCCTAGTTGCGAAAATTTTTCTCCCGTTGATTCGGAAAGATGGCACCGGGAAGCTGATCTACATCACTTCCAAATCTGGAAGCATCGGAAGTTCGCCTTCACACCCGCGGAAATCCCACTGCCACTGACTGGCCTGCTTTCCAGCACCTGATCACGATGGAGAAGTCATTGGCTACCGCATGGCTAATGCTGCGGCGAACGAGCAAGTAAAGACTTTGCTCTGGACTTCCAGCGCAATAGGATTCCAGTGATACCGCTGGAATTTGAGCCAGGCTTCATCAAGACAAAACTTACTCACAGGCCAGGCCAGGTTAACATCAGCGAGGCCTGTAATGGCATGGTGGATATCATTGAACGGCTGACGCCAGATGATTCTGGGTCTTTCTTGAACTGGAAAGGCGAGAATATTCCACGGTAAATTCCATACGCCAAGACTTATGAGTGTAACTCTCAGGAACTTGCGTGAATGTCTGCTTGGTCAGGAGGTATCACACGGCCTATTCTTGTGGCATCCTCTGGGGAATTCTTTAGGTAGGTAGCGGCATCTATGATGTTCAATGTGAGCGTTTGCAATTACTGGAAACACATTGCTATTGGAGTCTTTATCTTGAAGAAATACGGAAATAAAGATGATTGGTGTAAAATAGGCGTTGCGGTTTCCCGGAAGCTACCCATATGTACCATTCTTTTCCGACTCGGTCCACACGGCTGGATCCACACCGCCGATATTCCCATATGCACAAGGAATGTCCGCAACAATCAAGAAAAATAAAGATTGACCAAAAGCATAGAGGTGAGTCGCCAAGCCGGCACGCTTCTCGGATCGATGCTCCGCGCGGCAAATCGGCCCCGGACTATTCGGGGGCGGGCAAATGGAGGCTATCCGTCGTCGCATATTCTCAAAGCGGAATATCCGACACATACGATACCCACCCTCAATCATGTTCGCTACGATCCGAGATGGATGGGCCATTCCCCAGACCGTCCCCGCATTCTGCAATTACATGTTTGGCCGAACTACCTGGAGACCCCGGATTCTTGGCCATCAGGGGTCGGATGGTGATCAAAAATGGTGCCTTCTGCTCTCCTCTCTTCTCTCCCGCAACATCATATTTAATCTCCCCAGGCGCCCCATCTCTCCCATCCAATTCTCCAGACAGAGACACTCTCACTTTTCCTTCCAGAGGGCAGCCCAAGTCTCCAGATACGAAACACCTTCACCTAGACTATCAGCCTACTCCGCTCTGCGCCATTCATCATCATGGACGCCGAATCGCAGAAGGCTCAGGCCACTCACGTCTACGAGAAGCCTCTCTCCGCTGGCAATGGGAGTCTCTCCGGCGGCATTACCATCGACCTTAAAGCGGACAAGAAGCTGTTGCGGCGCATTGATTGGCGCGTCATGCCTGTTGTGAGTGGAAATCAACACCACCTATATCGCTCCGAACATGGACCATGATTATGCTCCGACTATTTACACTTGAGCTGACCCAACCTCGCGCCAGCTCTGCTTCACCTACGCCCTCCAGTACTACGACAAAGCCCTCCTCAGCCAAGCCGCCATCTTCGGCATGCGCGCCGACCTCGACATGATGTCTGGGCTGCGATACTCCTGGGCCTCTCTGATCTTCTACTTTGGCTACATGGCCGGCACATATCCCGTCTCCCTGCTCGCTCAGAAGTTCCCGACGCGTTGGGTCATCACCGCCATCTGCATCCTGTGGGGAGTCGTCGTCCTAACCACCCCCGCCTGCAAGACGTTTGAGCACTTCCTCGTGAACCGCTTCTTCCTTGGGCTCATCGAGGCTGGCGTATCTCCCATGTTCATGATGATTGTCGGGCTCTGGTACACGCACGCGGAGCAGGTTTCCCGCTCGAGTTGGTGGTACTCCTTCAGCGGCGGCTCCCTGCTTGTATCACCTCTCATCAACTACGGCCTCGGCCACGTCCGCGGTGGCTCTCTTCAGCCTTGGCAATACATGTATATCATTGCTGGCGCTGCGGTACTTATACCTCCTCCCCCGCACTAATTCAGACTCCTCCTTCAGTGTTGCTGACCATCTCTTAGACGCTGGTCTGGGGCGTTGCCCTATGGTGGTTGTTCCCCGATACTCCCCAGCTCGCCAAAGGTTTCTCCGACGAAGAGCGCCAGATGATCCAAGAGCGTGTCCGCCGCAACAATTCCGGGTCCGAGAATAAACAGTTCAAAGCCTACCAGCTCTGGGAGGCTCTTGGGGACTACAAGCTTTTGGGAATCTGCATCCTGTCGATCGTCTCCTGCACCGGCTCTGGCGCCGTTACGACCTTCGCCCCTATTGTCTTCAACGGCATGGGTTTCACCATCTTTCAGTCGCTTCTCCTCAACCTGCCCATCGGCGCTCTCGCCTTCTTCTGTATCCTGGGTTCTGGGTACTTGGGTCGACGTCTTCCCAACGCGCGTCTCCACATCGTCTCGGCTGCTTGTCTTCCCGTCATCCTGGGCTGTTGTCTTCTGTAAGTGTCTTGTGAAGCACAACGCTAAGTTCCTTTGCGCTAACTCTCTTCCAGATGGCAGCTTGATTCCTCGGCAAGGGCTGGACGCATCATTGGTTTCTACCTCCTCAACTTTTTCTCGTCCGCCTGGACTCAATGCATTGGCCTCGGCACCTCCAACGTGGCGGGCCACACCAAAAAGGCCCTCTACGCCGCGGCTACATTCTTTGCCTACTCTGTCGGAAACATCATTGGTCCTCTCATGTTCGATGCGTAAGTGATAGATGGATTGGAAAAAATCTTCTCTTCAAACTAATGGGTCGCCTTCAGATCTTACGCCCCCCGCTACGATCGCAGTTTCATTGGTATCCTCATCTGTTTTGTCGTCTGCTTTGTTGCTTCTGAAACCCTCCGCTTTCTCCTGGTCAGGGAGAACCGCAAGCGTGAAGAGCATTATGGCCCCGCAGATTTCTCTCAAGGTCTGGACGACTTGACGGACAAGGAAAACAAGTCATTCCGTTACCATGTGTAATGTGTTATGCACAAGTACCAGGTCTTCAAAGGCATATTTTGGGTTAGGCCTCATCGGGTCGCAGTCGAGAACGAACCACGGGGCGCACTCTCAATGGGTCGATATTATCGAGCGTTGTGAGGTCACGCATATAACGTATCCCAATAGAACACGATTGTAATTCTTATCGATGATAGAGACTTTCCTGAATGCATTAGCCGTCTCAATCTTTCTCTTTTACCTTGTCCCACATCCTTCGTTCTGGCTAGCCAAGATCACGACGGCGCCCGCAAGGTCTCCTGGAGAGGTTAGTCTACCTGGCAGAGATAGGTATCGTATGTAACAAATAGGAAGTGAGCTAGTACAGAATGCTATTATCCCGCAGCCTAATTAAGGATATAACTTCGACGGTGTGTGCAATGAGGTACCCTCATTCCCATCGTAACCTATACAACCGGGACCATTGTTTTCAGATGGTGGATTCAAACTTGGGCGCTACGTGTGCATGTCCGGGATGTGACCGCGTGGCTGCCTCTCTCGACACGGTATACGTATAGGCTCATCATGCGCTTACCCACAACCGAGAACTTCGCGACAGTCTAGTTCGGAGATGAATGTTTCAGGAGTAACTACAGCCCATGTCAGCAACATGCGGGGGCGATCTTATTTGTGTGCTTCATAAATTGTAAAGTGAGGAACATGGATTCTCACTGATATGTGTATCCTCATCCTTTTTCGGTCGTCCTTTTTGCGATATCATTTGCTTCGTTTCATTCATTGGAAATATGCGCCTCAATGATCCAAGTTAACGTGCTCTTATTATGTCACGTCCCTGTGCAAATTTGACCCGCTAGCCTCGTCCTCTTTTCATCTTACTGGTAACGAAGTCCAGCGGCCATGGACTACTTCTTCATGGCATATGAAATCGTCAGCCAAATGCGTGTCGATTGCGGAGCAACCACATCAGAATATCTTTCCCTCCAAATCTCCAGCTTAGTTCATACTTTCAGATGTTAGTCTTCGAGAGAAACCACTGGAAGAGATTCTGTCCAGTTCCGATGTCGTTGGTAACACTGTATGCCGTATCCCAACCACCGTGGGTGTTGGAGTTATAGATGGTGAGATTGGCTTTGGGGTTGATCGCGCCATATGAGCAAGAGTAGCCCAACGAAGAAGCTGCCACATTGTTGAGACGATCGATGGTTTGCTGGTCAGACGCAATGGGCACGACTGTGTTTGATTAGCCACTACAGTCTTGGCCAACGGCACCGGAACAAGGAGGTATGTAGGCAGGCTCTAACGGGATTCTTACCGGGGTCGCCAGAGTTGTGGAAGTCCCAAACAGCGAGCTGAGTGGAAACAATTCCCTGGCAAAGTGCAGTGTTGGCGGCAGTGCCAGTGGTGAAGCCCGCAGCAACAGTCGATAAAGCAGCGAGCTTCGAGCCGTAGTAGACACCGTTGTTCGTGCTAGTTGCCGCCGTCCATGCCCCCGAACCACCCATGCTGAGTCCAGTGAGATATACCTGAGCTGGGTTTACTTTGTAGTTGGCTATAGCATAGTCGATCGTAGCGCCGACGTTGTTCGAGGACCAGGTGCTGCTCGCCTGGGGGCAAATTGTAATGAAACAGTGGGTGGGCTGGCCTGCGCTGGAGCTGAAGCACATTGTGTTGCCGCTCTCAATCAGTGCCGGGACGGTGTAGGTCCGAACAGCATCAATGTTAGATCCACTTGCTGGCCCAGTGCCCGAACCTCCATCTATGAACGAGGATCCCAAATCAGCAGGGCCCTCAGTTTCAGAGCGAGGAGATACCCTCGTAGGAAGACGGAACAGAACCGTTTATTCCTAAGGTCCTATACGTACGGAGAAAGATCAGAAGCGGATATCTGGTGGAGCTGGATGAAGTGCTATAGTCTGCTGGAAGATACTCCAAGTACGGAACCTGAGTCGTCCCATCGAGGGCAGTGAGGAACTTGAGTGTTCCGGTAACGCGCTTGACAAGCGAGGGCATCGAAGGAATCGACGCAGCAAAGACGCTGCCAGTTGCGATGATTGGCAAGACGAGACTGGCAAGGAACTTCATGGTCGATTTCTATCAGCAGTTGGACAATGCTGCACTGAGTTGAGGAGGCGAGAAATTGGCTCCCGGTATAGTCGATGGTATTAAGTTATGTCAAGATGGCAGAGGAGATGCTGAGAGGAAAAGTACAAGAATCTTGGCGCAAGGAGAAATCGGCTACCTTTTATCTTCCACCGTAACGCTGCTGTGTGGTCTATGTTTTCCCAAGAAAGATAGGTTAGTTGCCAGGACCTCCACAAAGTCCTGCAGCGCACCGTTCCAAATCTGGGGTAACCGATCAAGCTGGTGTGTCTCACGAGCTTTGGGAGCATCGAGCCGAGCATTTTCGCGGGGTACTCCCCGCAATACGATCACGCGTCAGAATATTGATACCAAAATCACTAGGTTGTCATCTACTGGTGGATGCACCAATTCCCTATCCAGCTAGCATCCCATCATGAACAGTGCCGCCGCAGGTTATTACCCCAGATTCAGCGTCACGTCCTTAACCGAGCATTGCCTGTGGGCTAGCCCAGGATCTAGAGGGGCCGTGATGGGACTTGTTGCGAGACCAAGGGGTGTGATCGAACGTAATCGCGGTGAGGACAGGGTCTGCGTCCCGTATCTACATGTATGTCCGGGAAAAGTCCTGCCGATGCTATTTCTATACCCCGAGTCCTGAGTTGAACTACGGAGCAGTTTGGATTCAAGCGAGTCTTTTGATACTCCATAAAGGTTCTACCAGAAAAGGACTCTCGCATCTTCGCTAGACTCTTTGTTTGAGTGTCCCAGTACCACCTGGCAGTGGGTGATGGATCCAAATCCCACCTCTTCGACTTGAAACGGGGCCACCAGGTACACCAACACCAGTTTTGAATGGGGGCCCGCCATCTGTTCGCCAGCTCCCAGGTGACGAAAGGCGTCAGAAATATTTCCAAGAGGCAGGTTTCCCGGTCCAAGACACCGGTTTGTTCCAAGCCCGGAGTTGCCATCCACATTGGACTTAGTGTGGTTAGTAATTTTGGTAGATGTAAATTATGGTGCCTTCGGATATTACCATTTCGGTTGATCCGATGCGGTTATAACGAATCTAGAAATCACGAGCCGAACATCATGAATCCATGACAGCATCTAACTACCCAATGAGTAACTTCCGATTGAAAAGACGCAAGGCCTAGCGGCTGCAAAGAAACACCCATTTACTGCCGGAGATGATTCTTGATGAACTCGTGGACATGTTCAAGCATCGTGTCGACAAATTTCACGAAAACGCAGACTGCCCTGCAACCCTGCATCCCTCTCTGCTTCTAAGACTTTGGAATGTTAATGGCAACCTGTCTCCCGATGATATCAAGGGCCCTGGAACGATGGAATCTTTTGTGGCATGATGCCCAACAGAGATGCAGCGAAGCCCAGATCCCGAAAGACATGACGTAGCAGGCGCCTGGCCTCGCCTGGCTGTAAGCAAAGACTTTCGCGGTAGGGTAGATCCCCCATCATATCGGAAACAGTTGTAGATGGCGGGTGGTTAAGTTACAGGACACACATTTCATCTATGAAGAATGTCCCGATTGCGAGCCTAATGGCAGACTCGACCCCAGGTTTGCTTACGTTGGCCATGCGTGTGTCTGATCTTGAAGATCCGCAGGTTCCTTACGATGGCAACGAAATCCGTGCGCCGCTTCGAGGTGAGTCTGCGTCTCGTCTTGTAGCACTTGGCGCTGCTCTGCATCATCACGATCAAGAGTGCGGCCTGGCACGTTTCAACCACGTTTGTATTGGGATTCTCATGGTCGCGTACCGTAGCCTCATCGAAGGTCTCCAGGTGATTGAAAATGTACGTTTCAGTCGTATCGCACAGTTCCTGCGAAGGATCAAGCGTACTACCAGTGCAATGTTTTTCAGGCCTGCGAATCCCTTGATGACTCAAGCTCCCACTCCCTCTCAGTGCAAGATTGGGGAGGAGATTCGTTGAAACAGAGGTTGTATTTCCAAGTTGGTAAATCCAGCGGAGCGTCGGTTTCCACTGAGAATTCGGTTTCCACTGGAAATTCGGCTTCCACTGAGAATTGGGAAGATTGTCGTGACGGATTACGCCTATACAATGACTTGGTGGAAGACTACTCCACCAGAGCCCTATCATACGACGAGGACTCGCTTAACGCATTTTCTGGAATTCTGGAAAAGCTCCGAGAAGGAAATCTTCCCTCTGGGTTCCTTTGGGGCATTCCACGTAATGGTTTCAAAATCTCTTTACTGTGGAACCACGTCAATTTGCTCTACCCTGTCCGGAGGAGGAGGGGCTTTCCATCGTGGTCTTGGGCGGGATGGGAAGGGAAAGTTTTCTATGACAAAAACACTTATGAGGCACCTCAGCCCTATCTTCAAGTTTTTGAGGTGAAGGATGGACGTCAAATCCCCGTACAAGTGTATCCCACGCAGGAACCCTCCCCCTTCCCCGCAGACTACATCAATGTCTTAGGAGAAGAGACTGGCTTCAGAGCCTTGAGGGTGCCGGGCTCAGTGCTCGACTCAGTCGACCTTGCGAGAGCTGAACGCAAAGGAATCCTTTTTGTTGACGGGATTTTGCTTAGAGTACGAGTAAATGGTGGTAAGAATCCTTTTTCGCGATCGCTACGGAAGACGAGCAAAGTTGAAGAGCCCATCATGAATTATTTTGACATGAGTCGTGTGATGTTGGATTCGGGCCTGGAAAATCAGGGTGTTTACTATTGCTTGTTGGTCGGCTGGAGTAGAGCTGTGTATGGCGGTGATGACGTTAACAAGCTGGAGTTTATTATGCTGTCTTGGAGCGGAGAGACTGCTTATAGGAGGGGCTTATTGAGAATACCCTTTCCTGATGACGCACGAGAACGAGAACGTTATCAGTTTAGATTGAAATCTTTTTTTCTTGGTTAGGTTAATCAGTATATATAATTGCCATCACTAGGCTCAAATTAGTTGAGCGGGTGACTCTATTCCAACATCATAAGGCGCCAAGCCGGATAAGCAGCCAGGGGAGCGCAAGCGAGGACCAACCGCAGCGGCGATGGTGCAGGATTATGTATGCTGTCCGTTTTATTACCGTGTGAAAAGCAGGCAGACCCTCGTCATTGTTAACCTGCAAAAGAAATCTCCTCTGGCCGTTGTGCGTTGGTCGTGCCCTCCTGAGTCCTCCCTCACCTTGAGCCATACCAGCTTCCTTAAGCCTCCGCGCTGCCAGCCCGCCAACCCACCCTCTACAGCCGCTTCTCAGGAGTAAGAGCGGTGATCATATGCGCTTTTTTTCTCACTGGGTGACTTCCCTGGCCTATTGATTCCTCCTTGTCCGAAGTGAGGCCGTCGATGCCGCCGCAGCAACACATCGAGCGTTATCGAGGTGGACTTGGTGTTCCCCAGCAATGCATCCTATGCCCCGTCGCCAGTTCTCTTTTTTTTTTTTGGGCTGTCTGCAATTCCGATCTCAGATGGGTTATTGCTTCTCAAATTCACTACACCATATGACCAATAGGAACTTTACGTCTCCCGTCGGCTACGGGACTCTCGAATTGAGATGGACAAACTTCTCCGGCAGTGATGTGCTCTTCTCATACTCGGGCAACCTATATGGCCTCGACGCTGAGGGCATGTGGGAGTTAAACCCGGGGCACTAGTGGCTTTGTTGTCATTCAATGGATAAAGCACATGTACCTACCTCCTTCCAGCCCAGAGCTACACTCGCAGAGCTTCAAGAACAGCTGACACCGCCAACCTGATCCAGAGTCAATCCATCTCGGTGTATTTTATGTTTGTGAGCGACACAGTGCAAGTGTACTAAAATTATAAAATAACACCCAAGTACCTGGATAAAATCCTGCAGGTTTCACAATGGTACTTCGAAGCACTTAATACCCGCACATTCAAACGACCTAGACGATGCTGTCCAATAAGCAATGAAGCACGGCATTCCCTTGATCTGCGGCGCGCGCTACTCTCTATTTTTACACATTCCTTCAGTGCCTCTTGAACTTGGCTGCATCATCTCTCCTTCACCAGTTACATAAGTAAGTACTATCTGCGCGGCTAAAATTGCAGTCTCGATCGAATGTAATGTTGGCAGGTCCTTCAAGATGGTGAATTCAGCCAAGTTCCACGACGGGCCAATAGAATGAAGCTGTTGGTGATTTCTACGGCCCAGCCAAACGGAGCCCACACCGCAAACCTCCAGCGTCCGAACCAAGACAAGTCGAGATAAGCGGCTCCAGCCTGGAATCCGCGCGTCCCGACGAACGAGTCTTACTGGCCTCTCGGAGATGCGGACGCCAAGAGTGCGCGCTCCGTCCTGGGACTCAGTTTGCCATTTAACACGGCCTCCCAGGCATTCCGCTCTCCGAAGGCATTCATTTGTCCCCGGCGTGTTCCAATTGTCAGCTTGTTGTTTGATCATTTGGACCGGACAGAATGGGACTTACGCCAATGAAAAGCAGCTCAAACTCCACGTCTCTAACGGCAATGGAAGAGGAAACGGACGACTTCTGGCTTGGCAACGATGATCTCTCCCCGCGGTTGGAACATGGAACTGGGCATCCAACACTAGAGAAGCTGGCAGTATGGGCAACAAATCCCTTTATTTTTGTCTCCATTCTCATTCTACCATCTCCCTTCTTTTTCTCCCCCCCTTTCTTCCAACATCCATCATCGATAAATAGTAAACCTGCTTACTCACCTCTAACAGTGCGACCGATGCCGCCAGCGGAAGGTACCTCACCGTGTCCCCTCAACCCCGGCATTGGCTTTCCGCTCACGCATATTTCCTCCTAGATCCGATGTGACAGAGAGAACCCGTGTTCTCAATGCGTCAAAGCAAAGCTACGTTGCTCTTATCCCATGGCCCCGAGGTTTAAGGAGAAGCGGCAACGAATTCTTGTCTCTGCCATGTTGTAAGCTAGATGCATCCCCCATTCATGATCTGAAAGCCCTAACTGACCACAACAGCGAGAACAAAATGGATATCATTGCGAAGAGAATAGAAGACATGAGCCAAATAATCGCTCGATTGGATTCTGTTAAAATTGCACAGCCCTCTCCCGCCTCGTCGGGTTCGCACCCGGCATTCTCAACTCCCCAATCTTTGGCCTCGATTGGTCCAACCCCTGCATCCTCGACACCTACTATGACTGACCCAGACCGCCCAATACAAGATACCAAAGACCAAGATGGTTCAAGGGCCGAATACGAGGGCGAATCCTCCCTTCTCGCCCATGCCGTCTTTGCCACGAGTTTTCTCCAGGGTGAGGTTAACAACAATCGCTCGACCGATATATTCTTGGAAATGACCTCGGTATTGGATACTCTGCGTAATATTGTAGAGGCCCAAAAGCAGAATGTGGATAACGTCGAAGCGTTGTATCCGCACGCCAAGCTAATACCGCCAGGCTCAACTGTCCGTCAACTTGGCTTGCCCCCACTCGACAAGGCTTTTGCATGCCTACGAATGGCCAAAGGTGAAGCAGAACTTTGACCCTTGCGTTTCGTGATCCCTTCTAATACGGTATCAAAGAATTTCCTCAAATTCGAGCATATTGGGCAATGGAGTTTCCAACATTAGGCCACTTCATGGAATACTTCATCAAGGTGTACTCCCCCGGCATGGCCACTGAAGCAGATTTGATCATCGTCCACGTTGGACTCTACTGGCTTTTCTGCGCCTGCTCCAGCGCAACCGTTGATGAATCAATCAAGCAAGACTTTGACGCTCAGGCATGTGTCTGTCGGGATAATCTTGAGACAATCCTGTCCAGGCTATCTTTCCACATGCCCACAACAATGGATTATGCTTGCGCCATGAACTTGGCTGTAGGCCTCAAACTCTCGCGTTACAGTGTATTAAGCTTCTGATCAGGAAATAGGCTTCTTATCTCATCCAAAGATGCCAATCGTTCGCTGCGTGGACCTTTATCACCACAGCGTCCAGGATTTGCCAGACACTTGGAATATACAGTACCATTCCCCCATTAAGTGCTACCGCGCCAGAGAAGAGAAATTGGCAGGAGAGGGTCTTTTGGTGCGTATATATCACAGAGAAGATGCTATCTTTGAGGCTCGGCCGAACCTCGACTATTCGGGACGAGGACATTACCCTGCCAATGCCAGGCCCGGATCAAACCACCGACACCATTTTATGCAGTATCCTGCCCAATTGGATTCGCCTGTCGACTTTGCAAGGTCGAGTTTACGATGAGATATACAGTTCGAGAGCGCTTCTTCAGCCGGAGCATATACGGACTTCTCGTGCCCGCGCTCTGGCAAAGGAGCTCAAGACCATTATGAGCACAGAGGACGAATTCGAGGTACGAAGCTGCGAGTACCCTTGCAAGATCAAGGGTACTAATCCCAACATGTCATATTTTCGCCTATCTTTTAGCTAATGCACGTTTAGATGCAATACAACAATGCAAGCCGTCAATCACTCGGACCAGCTGTGCATCAGCTTCAACGGCACATGGACAGAGTGACATGCTTGTCTTTACTGACTCTCATCTACCGGAGCATTCCCTCTGAAGGGCTGTCAAGCTCAGCTTTCTGTGAAGACTGCATCGCTACCGCCAAGGCCACACTGACGGAACACGAAAGGTGCATAGCTACGATGGCAGAGAACCAATTGCAGTCAAGCTTCCTCGGAATATATGTCAATTGGTACGTAAATCGCCTTGTATCAATACTGTGGACATCAGTTGAAGACCTGTTGCGCAGTGCTTACACTAAACCCATAGGAGCTTGATGCAATCCCCATTCATCCCCTTCATTGTTCTCTTCTGCGAGATTGTGGAGACCTCTGAGTCTTCCGACCTCGGATGCCTTGGCGCTCTAGTTGAAACGCTACAATCGGCATCAACGTCGGTACACTACCCCATTTGTGGCAAACAATTCAGACTCTTCAAAGCACTTTACGATGTCGCCGTAAAGTATGTAGAAGTCAAAGCTAGCAGAGCGGACGACCAAGTTGCGGATTGCACAGTGCTCGACTACACTAACGAATTAAGTACACGAGAGCCCGCTGGTTTATCTCAAACACTTTCAATTTCCTTGCCAGATTCGACGAGCGGTTTACAAAGTTCTACCATGCCTGTCAGCAGCATAGCAAGCGCTGGAACGAAAGAAGCACAATTACTGGGTGGACTGCTCGGCCATGGGTCTAGGGTAGGTCTACAAGCGCAAAATGCCGGGTTTGGATACACTGGCTTTGAGATGAATCCTACGGGTGCGGAGCTTGGTAATTGGTTTTCCAGGAATCAAGAAATGCTCATAATGATGGAGGATCTCTAGGATAGTTAACGGCATTCTACAGCGATGTTGGTGAGTTAATAGAGTGCCGCGTATCTTCTTAGTGGATCAATTGTTGGTTCGGCGTCATGAGGAGTTAGACGACCTGGAGGAAGAAACGTGATGATCTCTTGATCGGAGAGTAAGCTTGGAATTCAAATTATTCCGTCAAGTCCCCCTCTCAGCTATCTTAATAATAACGCAAAGTCAAGGCCAAAAAGAAAAAACCTTGAAATCATAATCATGCCCACTGGTCAAACTCAAGCCTCGGCCTTCTCATAGTGCTCTGTGTGTGCCTTGAGGCCGCTTTCGCTAGTCATTGACTCCGCCCGTCTTGGAGCTCTCACGGCGCTTCCCAGATCTCGGTATAGTACCGTAGGCTGGTTATCCTCTTCAAATTCATCTTCGTCTCCTGTCTCAATGATACGCCACTGGGCCCTTTCGAAACGCTCACGAACGTATGGGGACAACCCCACAAAGCGAATTTCGACTTCCTTTCCTCCGTACTTCTTGACGCTGGCCGCGAGATTCTTCAAATGGGTTACCGCTGTGCTGTCAATGTGGTTGACTCGACTAAAGTCCAGTACAACGAGGCCGATGGCAGGAAGCGTTGAAGGGTCATGAATGCCTGCCTTCTTGCGCAGCCTAGCCACTCGCTTCTCGGTGACGACAGACCAGTTTCGCTCCGTTTCAGGACCATGGCTTCCATTGTAGACTGGTGCATGAAATGTTTGGATATCATCCAGGGCTGCACTAGTGTTGCTAAAAGCATTGGGGAAGAAGAGCGACTCGTTGAACCGGAAGATTCGGGTGTCTTCGGGCAGATTTTGGGGTATCGAACGTGCCTCGTTCAAGGAGTGTGCGAGTTCAGATCCAGTCTGAACACCCCCGCCGGTTGTTGATAGACGAGTAAACACTTGACGGAGTAGCACATATACAATGTTGAAGCCAACAGCGCAGCCAATGCCGACCTCAGAGGAGACAAACAGGGTGACCCAAAGTGCAATCATGGAAGATATGAAATCGGCCAAAGATGTCCTCCAGTACCTGTAAAAGGTTGAAGGTGGCGAAATCAGCCCCCAAACGGCTGTGATGATGATGGCCGCCAATGTTGCCTTGGGGATCCAGTACAGTGTCCCGACCAGCTCGTACACACAGATTAGAACGACAGCCATGGTGACGACGCCAGAGATCGGAGACTTGACATTGCAGGCAGAGTTGACAGCGGTACGAGACATGGCACCACCGACGCCCATGGCGTGGAAGAAGCTGTTGAAGAAGTTTGTAACGCCAAAGTAACAGAGTTCTTGGCTCTGGTCCGTAGTGTAGTCGTTTTTGACAGCAAAGGCGCGACAAATGGCTGTGTGCTCTACCGCCGCACCTATGAAGACTGCGATACTGCGGCCGGCAACTTCGGGGATGAGATCGGTCTTGGGCATACTTGGGGCTTCTTGGCCCTCTGATTTGACTTCAACAACCTCAAAGAGGTATTCCTCTCGGTTCTTGTTGACGGCGTAACTGACTCCAGTGAAGAGGACGAGGGTCAAGAAGGCCCTGGTGATTGACAAGAGCCAGATGACATTGTTGTCCTTTCCCCATCTCTTGCCAGACTTGTCGAGGATTGTCAAGAAAAGGATCCCAGTGAAACCTATCAGACATGCCCAACCGTTGGCATTTGGGAGTTCGTTGAAAATGTCATGAATCTGTGTCGCCGTCCCGTCGCCAACATTATTTTCTCCAAGGAGATTGTCCATCTGGTTCAAGATGATCGTGATGGCAATGGCAGTAATGAAACCGCTGAGGACCGGTAGGGAGATGAATTCCAGCAGGAAACCGAGCTTGAGGAACCCAAGTGCCATGCCGTAGACTCCCATCATGAAAGCTGTTGCTGAAGCAATCTCTGAAGGAGTCCATCGGTCTTGAAGTGCATGTACGTTCTCGGATGTGAGGAGGCCGATAAGCGACGTCGGGCCGGTCGATACATCTGAAGGTACAAGTTAGTTTGAGCGATTTCAACTCGGTGGGATGATCATATTCTTACCCTTGGTCGTTCCCATGAAGGCATAGATAGCAGCAGGCAACCAACTGGACATGAGCCCATACTCGACAGGAATTTCTGCAATCTTGGCATATGAAAGACCCTGTGGAATGAGCATGAGACCAATGGTCAAGCCCGCAATCACGTCGTTCAGGATCCACCTGAACTTATATTTCGGGAGCCATCCGATGATGGGAAATTTGTCAGAGACGTAGTGTACCGAGGCGGACGGCAGCGCCTTGGCACCAGAGACTCCCAGACGGGCAGCCCGGTTCCAGGTCACGTCATTTCGGAGATCCGAGGTGAATTTATCCACAGCCTTCATGATGATGCAAGTTGGATAGATGATAGAGAAGTATGTTGAGGTGAGGAGAAGGGGTTGGAGTTTCGCAAACAACTCCAAGCCAAGACAAGGCGGGGTTTATATGGGAAACTCAATGGCAGATATTCCAACGGATAAGTCAGTTTCAAAGGGTCCAGAATTAATCTGAGCGTACTGTGCCTACGCACCGTATCTCCAAATAGATACATGATGCGGGAAGGCTGATCGAATCCTGTACATGCGGTGGTCATCACCCACGTCTCGTTTCTGAGTCCTATCGAATGAAACTCGGGCTTCGGCATCCCCAAAGCTCATCAAAGTGAGGGGAAAGTAATCAGAGAGAGCTGGAAAACAGTTAGAGTTGGCCTGAGGGTGTATGGCGGCCTGCCTGCGATGTCCAATCGCCGGCGTAGGTGGCCACGGTGGTGTAGGGCGAGTGGTAGTCGCAGAGCTGGTCGTCATGAAGGTAGTATTCACGAAACAACATACAGACTAGCTGTGATAGCGTTAGTTGTGACACAGCTAGATGATCAGCGGTAGAAGAGGGTGTGACCCCAAGGGTTCCGGAATATTGGGTGCTGATGCCCCTCTCGTTGGAGGAGAGAAGTGTAATCCTCCACGTCGTCAAGGACGTTTGCAGCGGGGGCTTGCCCGCTTGCATCGTGATCACACGCACCTCTCACAAATGAGGGGAACGGAACGGGCGCCATGAATGCTATGTGTGTGGGGGCAAGTTTGATGACTAGTAGTGGAAAATCATCACCGTGTGTGGACGAATCCAGTCGCTGGATTTGCATATTATCCGTATTCAATGGTCACGGGATAATGCTGTAAGCCTAGCCGAGCATGGATTCGGAAGGTGACTGGTTGGAACGTACCTGTTGCAGGGCGCCACCTAATCAATGCATCGGCCCGTGTCTGGGAATGATATATCGGCTTTAAGAGGCATTGGAGCAGATCAGCGTGGCTATTGTAGGGATGTTACCTTGACCAGAAGGCCCTCTGTATTGTTTCAGGTCAGAGCCCTGACTCAGGAAACATACTATTGTTAGCAGCGGCAATGATACATCGACAGGCACCAACCTTGTCACATAATGGATAGGTGTAAACAATGGATCGCTTGGGAACTGGATCAACTGGGGAGGCAAAGTGGAAGATTGGCGTAGAGAAACGATTAGATAGTTGTCCCAGAGTACACCCTTAATATTATCTCGTCTGTATCTAGGATATGGTACTTATGATTCTTCTGCGGGCCAGAAAGCCCAGGACAAGACGATGAAAAACTTCAATGTCGCTGCCACCCACAAAGCTCCAGCAGCTCCCAAAGCGCTTTTTGCGATGACGCCACCAATCAGAGCACCGACCAGAAGCAATGACGGCGCTGCCATTCTTTGGTTCCTCTCCACGTTGATGAAGATGCTCTCGAACAGTTCGGCGTCGGAAAACAAGTCACAGTAGATGCTCGTCAAGACGACGCTCGTAAGGGCGTTATACTTCAACGCTCGGCTCGCAACAGCCTGGCCGCAGCTCTGGAGCGCCACGAGACCAATGGGAACAATGACGTACCATGGGACGTCGTCTGGCCCAGCACCCTTCGGTCCCCATGTCAAGATTGACGCTGCCACGATGATGAGGGTCATCTGGATGAGAAAGGAAAGACACAACACCCATCTCCGCTTTGGAGACGGGGAAAAGGCCCTGTGCAGGCGACTGAAGAAGAAGGAGCCGATACAAAAGGCCAGAATCGAGATGCCCGACTTCTTCCAACGGTTGGTGCCTGCAGTTGGTCCAAGACCGAGGTAGACAGTGTTCCCTAGGACACGTATGTTAGCTTCGATAGGAAAATATTACTCGTAGTTTTCGCAATCATACCTGTCTGCATCGACACGAACGCTCCCCAGGTGGAGATGGAAGCGCTATCAAGGATTCCAGTAATGATGTAGCAGGCCAACAAGACTACATCCGACCAGTCGCGGCGCACATCAACTGCCATCCTTCGTCGCCACCACGACTTGGGCTCGGGCTTCCGCCCAAGCAACGGAGCGTTCTGTCCATTCTGTCCATCGTCGGTGATGGCGTCATCACCGATGGAGTTGTTGACCGTTCCGTACGAGTTGGAAGTGGGCAGGGTCGCCATTGCGTGCGATATAAAGATGAATTGTGACGAGGATTGGGCGAGGAGGGCTATGGCAAGATAAAAGTCGTACGTTTCTTCAGGTCGGGATGCACGTTTATGCGATAGAAACCTCCATCAGGATTACCCCTTATACATTGACGACGGGCTGCCAAGTCCGGATTTCCGAGGTACTTTCAATAGTGCCATACGGTCGCAATCACCCCTCACCTTGGGAGAGCTAGATGCAGGCGATCAATGCAACCTAAAAGAAGGATGGAGGCACATGAACCACACCCTGGCTCGATCACACCTTCATCCGACGCTATTTCATGGCGCTTACACCCCGCACGCTGCACGATGGCAGTCAATCAAAGCGCTGTGCCACCCTCGACGGCTCAATTGCTACATGGAGAATATTCGGGCTTCGTTCGGTGTCAGTTTTCCGGACGCTGCTCAATGGCCCCTGGGAATGTCCGTCGTGGGAGTTTATAGGTCCTGTGATCTCTGGACGCTTTGAGTGCATAGCTCCCATGCCTCCCATCCATCATCTAGCTTGACTCGCACAGGCAAATCTCACACACACACGCACCCGTCACATTGTAATCTGAGCCTTGCTTGAGGCTGTCCAATCATCAAGATGCACTCCCACCTTCTGCTCGGTGTGGCCCTCGTCGCAAACCTCTGCGATGCCGTTCCCGTCCAAGACAGTCCTCGCCAGCGTCTGCTGGATGGACTCGGCCTCCCTTCAACCTACCGCAGTGTAACTGGCGGTGGGCGTCTTCCCTTTACACCGGGGCATAAAGACCCCTACGACAATCCAGTTGACTCGGTTGGTGATGAGCTTGACCCGCTCCCATGGCGAAATGGCCTTGGTGCTTCTGTGCTTGGCCCATGGAACAAGGAACGGTCTAGGCAGAGCCCTGACCTGATCCGACCACCAAGCACTGATCATGGAAACCTGGCCAACATGCGCTGGAGTTTCGCTGATTCTCACATCCGCATTGAGGTGGGTCTCTAATCTCTCACTACAATTGGGGAGACTCCATTTCCAAAACCACCTTCTTGAACTAGAACTGACTGGAAACTTAGGAAGGAGGATGGACTCGACAGACTACTATCAGAGAGCTGCCGACCAGTGTTGAGTTGGCAGGCGTCAACATGCGCCTTGGTGAAGGCGTCATTCGCGAGCTCCACTGGCACAAGGAGGCCGAGTGGGCCTATGTCCTTGACGGCGAGGTCCGCGTCACAGCACTTGACTACGAGGGTGGCAACTTTATCGACGACTTGAAGAAGGGTGATCTCTGGGTAAGTTAATTTCAAATATCGCTCCCTATGTTGATTAGATATTCCGGGATGTGAAACTGACAAGACCATAGTACTTCCCCAGCGGCGTGCCTCACTCTCTTCAGGGCCTCAGCGAGAATGGCACCGAGTTTCTCCTGATCTTCGACGACGGCCACTTCTCTGAGGAGTCCACCTTCATCCTCACTGACTGGCTCGGTGAGTTTTCTCTCCTGAAAGCGTATTCATCTACTAACCAAACCAGCCCACACCCCCAAGTCTGTCATCGCGAAGAATTTCAACCTCGCACCTGAGGTCTTCGCTCACATTCCCGAGGGAGAGAAGTACATCTTCAAGGGAAGCCTGCCTGGCTCCATTGACGATGAGGAACCCCAGGGCAAGAAGGTGAAGAAGTCCAAGTACAACTTTACCCACAGGATGCTCGACCAAGAGCCAATCAACAGCACCAATGGTGGTGGACACGTTAGAATCACGGATTCAAAGAACTTCCCTATCTCGAAGACTGTCGCGGCCGCTCATGCAGTCATCGAGCCGGGAGCTATCCGAGAGATGCATTGGCACCCTACTGCCGATGAGTGGACCTTCTTTATCGCGGGCCGAGCCAGGGTGACTATCTTTGCCTCCGAGGGCAATGCCAGGACCTTTGACTATCTCCCCGGCGACGTCGGCATTGTCCCTCGCAACATGGGCCACTTTGTCGAGAACATTGGCGACGAGCCCATTGAGATGCTCGAGATTTTCCGCGCCGACGAGTTCCGCGACATCTCGCTGTTCAAGTGGATGGGCGAGACTCCGCAGAAGCAGGTCGTCGATACACTCTTCGCCGACGACCCCAAGAACGCCAAGCTGTTCCTCGACAAGATCAAGGATGCTGACAACAATGTCGTTACTAAGCCTGACTTTGTGCGCTCCAAAAATGATATGTCAGGGGAGCTTTGAGGTGGTGGGAAATTTCATTGGGTCGCGTCGTGGATTTCATCAGGGGGTAGTTCTACGAAATCAGCTTGTACAAATTGAATGCACCGTCAAAAGTTCCATGATATGACATCATACAATCGTCGCAGATAATCATCGTGTTACATCGTCAACCTTGTTTCCTGTGCTTATATTCAACATCATAATGACGGTATGGCATGATTGAGATAAGCCACTCCGAGGCTATCGAACCCAGAACAACTACACGCAATATCGGAGAGCCTTGGAGGAATCAACCTGACGTCCAACGCGTCGCAACAGCCTTGGAATCTCAAACGCGCCCCCATTTCTAGACAAGGAGGGTGTGATACGGAATCAATACCGACATGGTGCGGAGACGATCTATTTTAGCCACCGACATATCCCCGCATAATCAATAAAGCAGCCAAGGTAGCATTCCGACAGCTAGCCGACGCCTCTCGGAGCGGTCCAAATTCGTCCAAGTCAGTGATATGTCGAGCTTAGTCCTCATCTACGCCCGACGATTGCTGCAACATCGTTGGACGCCTTCATTTCGATTCCTTGTTTCGTCTAGCAACCCCCACAGCCCCCGCTTCCCCGCTTCTCTCGAGGTTAAGGTGTGATCGGCCGAGCCTATCTGCGGCGGCAGACGGCGCATCCCCGGTCAGTTAGGCCTCACGCGGAAATCCTTGCGGGCTGCTTGCAGGTTTCTTGCAGGGGTCGGGAGCACTATGCCGTCCTGCCCTGTCCACTGGACACCTTGTTCTTGGCACAGGGCCTCGACTTCTCCCATGTAAGACGGCACCCTCTACAGCAAAGAGTCCTGCAACTGCCGCGTAGACGTCGAGCTGGCAGCGCGAACTCGGGCTTTCGGTGAGTGAGCTCGTCTCTCCGAAGGCCGGATGCCACCGAAGGAGGGGTAAGTCGGATAATACGGCATTTCCCAGGCTTGTCACGGTTGAAATCTCCTTGTACCTCGATAGAGAGGACAGTGTGGGCCAGTAGTCGATACTCCCTGCGCCGGCCGCGGACATACCCCGGATTTCATCGGAGCTAAACCGCGGCAAGTCCACTTGGATGCGTCTTGAATATGGGTCGGGCTTGCGGAAGAGAAGTCTAGAGTAGCCCGTGCGACGCGACAATCAACCATGAGGCGACTTTGGAGTGGGCATGTGAACGTGAGTCGCGATAATCAGGAGAGGGTTTGCTTTCAAGCCAAGAGCATGGTGTGTTTATCTAGACCATGTCGACTCATCGGAGACGGCATTGCCGCTCAAACAACTATAAGTATAGCAAAAGGCCCCAATTATTTCCTCTTGGCATCTGTACTCGCCAGTTCAAACAGAGAAACATGAGCGACAAGGCTCGGTAGTAGATCTTGGAGTGCGACAATCGCCGTCTTAACTTCCAAGATCAATCATCCCCACAACCCAACGGTCTCCCATGGAATAATCCTCCGCCCGGCAGAATTTTGTTTACCAAACATATTACCTTGCCTAGGATTTGGACATCGCAGAAGGCAGCTATGTTACACGAGATCACGTGGTCGAATTTGCGTCAATCAGGACACCAAGGAAGTGCCAAGTCGTTCAAATGTGGAGCAAAAGCAGCATCAAAACTAATACGGGCGATCTATAAGTACATGCAACTAAAATGTCCTGCGGCTTTCCTCTTTATTAAATAAATTGGCGGGTAACAAAAAAACGAAAACTAAATAATCGCCGAGGTAGCAGATGATGGACGCATTTCGGCATCCACTACCTCTTCTATCACCCGAGAACCGACTCCGAATTTGCAACTCCCGACCTGTCTAGTGCTCGATTTGCGAGATCGAACAAACCGATTGAAATGGGTTAACTATTTGAGAATCCCTCCGTTCTTCAAAATTGTTACAAAATTTTCTCGATCTGCCATCGTAAGTTACCGGGCTGGCCAATGTTCAGCGTGAAACGGCATGAACTCACCTTGCGGGCCTTCAAACGTGATCTTAACCTTTTCCAATTGGAGGTGCAGCTTCGTCGAAAGTAGATCCGGCGATATCGGAAACCCGGGAATCCCCTCGTTGTTCAATGCCTTGAGCACGGCACCACGAAAAGCCGTATTGCGCAGTTGTGTCAGGCATACAATCGTTGAGTTCTCCGGGATTTCCACCCTTAATGCTTTTGTACCGATGTCAATCACAACACAAACCAACTGGTTGGCCATGTTGTTCGTCTTCGTCCATAGAGCTATTTTCCAGAGGCTCTCATCACGTTGATGTACTTCTGTTGCTCTAAAGGTGGCCACTGCGGGTACGACTTGTTGTACTCTGCTTCCGTTGCCTGTTTCCAAACTTGCAGCTTACCCCCGATGAATTTAGACGTGTCACTGAAGATAAATTTGCCTTTCGTCCGAATTGAGGTTCTCGAGACCCGAATCTGCATCCCGCTTGCGAGATTATTACACTCAGCCGGCATAATCTTCTGATAAGTCATTAGTCTGATGAAATCCAGATATTGATCCAGACGAGTGAAGTGAAAGGTGACGCCGTCATGGAGGTTTTGGAAGCAGCAAGCGAATGTGGATTGAGTGTTGGACCCCGAATCGAAGAAGGCTCGAGGAGGTATGAAGTACACTTCTTTGATTGCTTTCGTCTCGAATTTGACGAGCTGGTTGTTAAGAGTGATTTCTTCATCGGTGACAGCTCGGTCGGCTCGATTACGTTGATCTCGGTACAACCACAGCGTAGCTCGAATCGGTGGTGATCTCTCGGTGGCGGTGTAGGATATATTCCAATCTTGAAGCCCCTTGTGAACCAGATTTTGGTTACGAGGACATGTGAGGTAACCCAAGCAAGCCGCAGCGGTGGGTCGCTTCGTCGGATCAATCTTGAACATCAAGCGCAAAGTTGCAACGATGGTTCGTGTCCTAGTGTCTTCAACCAAAAGCCTTTCGATCGCCTTTAATTCAGCCGTAACTGATGGTCGAAGCCCCAACCTCCCATTGGCTTCCAGGTGCCAGAATTCAGGATTGGAGGAGTCTGGTCGGAAGCGATCGGCATTGAAAGACTCAATTCCACCTTGTCCCTTCGTGATATAAATGCACACCTGCAGTAGCACGCAAGCCATGGACCAAATGTCGTACGATTTCGTCAGATCTCCCACATTTCGATCGTCTTGGGCATCTCTTTCTGGAGGTTTATGGTCCTGAGTGCCCGACCGATTGCCCGCAGCCTCCCCAAAGTCGGCAAGGAGGAGCGTCACCTCTTTGCCATATTCCTTGATCAGTATATTGGCCGGCTTGATATCGAAATGACCGTTGCAATCTATCTCCCCCTTGTTGATAGCATCGTGCATCACGGCAAGCGCGTCCACAACATCAATGGCAGCTTTCCATAATGGATGGTCGAACCCCGTATGATTCTGAGTTGATTGCGGTTCAGAAGGCGTATAACTTCCTGAAAAGAGCTTTCCAAGGTCACTCAGGTATTTGGGAAACATCAATTCAATGTAGTGGCGGTTTGAGTCCTTCCGATGAAAGGCAAGTAGCACATGTGCTATGCTCCCGTGATTTCTTTCCGCCAATTTGATGGCAATATTGGCCTCCAGGATAGCGCGTTGAATGTAGTCGTTTTCGTCAGGCCTGTAGTCGTAGACCTTGCGAAATAAGTCTTTATCCTACACCTCAATTAACAACGTGGATTCTCCCAGGGTAGTGACTGGGATGTGTCTCATCTTACCTCATGACCTCGTAGTCGAGCGCAGCCTGGCTCAATCTTGGATAAGTAGAAGGAAACCGAAACATTTGGATCCCTTCTAGAAGGAACTGGCGAGATGCGTTGCTGAAGAATGATTGGCACGTTTTGGGTAGTTCGGTCTTCGCATTGAGTTGATGCTTCGAGTATCGGTACATTCACAACCTTGCCCCCCACAGCATGATGGCGTCTCGAAAAGCGCGTTCCAGAGAGTCACCGCGTGGCAGGAGGGCATTTTCTGGGGCATCATCGGTGGAGGCGTCTAGAGTTCCGGGACCCCAACGGCGAAATATATGAGGCTGCCTTGACCGAAGTTCTTGGCGGAGTGACGGGGGCAGCGATCTGTCAAGGAACGACCCCCCTACCAATGTGGATAGTGGGTGTCTGGGCTCACAGAATGCCTTCAGAGCGAAGAGACATCCGCAGAATATTAGTCCAGCGAGGCCTTTGATGTTGTCGGGTCGAAAGATATTGCCATTGGAAACCATTTGGTCGAACTCGTGGACGCTCTCATCGTCATCCTCGTTTCCACACAACCGGCAGTGGCAACACAGTGAACGCAGCACTTCGCCGGGCTCGAGTGCTCGTTGAATTTTGTCTACCGTTGGCAACATCTCATATAACGGGCCTTCCGTATTGCTCGCTGTCGAACTTGGTAGGCACGCACGCTTAGTTTCCTTCTTCAGTCTTTTCAGCAGTTTATTGTTGTTGCAGTTTGCCTCCTTGGCGCGAAAAGTAAACAGCTCAACCGCGTCCTCGCCTTCGAACTCGGACATGCGGATTATCGCTCAAACAGAGCGCCAGCACACCTAGCAAAAGGCTGAAGAGACAGATGCCTGAGCATTGCCTAGGATTGAGAAGCAAGGAGGCTGATAGCTAGGATTTCGCTTCGAGGTTCAATCAAGGCGAAGCGATATCGATTGGAACATCCGCCTCGCCAAGGAGTTGCGGTATCGGGGAGTCTCGTATGGCGACGCAGATGCAGGAGGAAAATCAGGCTGCAGAAGCAAAACAGGCTGAGAGCCAACCAGTGGCAATCAATAAAACCAGGGGTTCTTCGTCGACGGCCTATCAGGCACTGGTCATTTATCGCCCGTACGAGTATTGATTTGTAAACAGTCGGTTCTTGTGATGTTTTCCATCAGGCCACATATCACCCGCATCTACGTTATCGTCCAAACCGCCAAGAATCTCGGTTCCACTCGTCTCCTCCAATGCCTATGCAGGTGGCTTTCAGCCGTGGCGGCATTGTAGCGCTTACATGCACGCGTCCGGTCTCAGCTCAGCGAATAGTTCCTAAATTCTCGCTTGTGGTTGAAGTAGCTACCCGCACAAGTAACACCTGGTGCGTCGTGGTGTCTGAGGCTTGGAATTGGTGCCTTGACCCGGGTCTAGAATGCTACGGGCAAATGCCAACCACTCTCTCCTCATTCCATTTCCCCCTGTTCAATCAAAAGAGAAAGGCTGGTCTAGATTGATGAGACCCAAACGGTTCTTCGTGGCCACCTTAATGTCTTTCCAATGGAAGATTCATCTGTGACGGAGAATTATCGTTACACCTGTGAGATGTTCTGAATCCTTCTGTTGGTATGACCATGCATAAGCGAGCCATTACTAGCTAACAATGTGTAACTCACGCGCCCCACGAAGATTGGTCACTCATCACCTACAGGACACAAGATACAAATTATTTGAGGCGGCTGGGAATTGTAATTTTTCATTCCTTGGCTTTCCACCCTATTCCATGCCGTGCAATGTCTCGCGAGGTTGGTGTGGGGCGCTGTTCGCAATTTGATACATATGTCGTTCGCAATGCACGCTCAATTGGGCTGTAACCGGTTTGCTTAATGTGCATAACAGAGCCTTGCCCTTTTATTACCAGGTATCTACTCATTTATTTGCTCCCAGGGCACCCAAATTTCGTTCAGTCCCCCAGAGACCTGAACACTCCTCAGACACGCCAGTACGATGAGTGGCCACACATCCCCCAGATCGCCCACGAGCCTTGGACGAACAGATTCGAGGAGCTCCATAGAGAACCGAATATCAACATCCCCTTCATCCACCGATATACCTACCCTAGGCCAAACGACTCTCAGAGACCCCGACAGTGGCTCACCACCGCCTCTCAATGCAGAGAATGACAACCAAGGGGCGGACCCGAGGGTTGAAGCTCCACGAATATTGGCACGGCGAGATGTAGCAGCCTTAATCATCAACAAGATGATTGGGACGGGCATTTTTACAGGCCCTTATACGGTTCTTGTAAACACTCGGAGTAAGAGAGTGGCCATGGCGCTATGGGTTCTCGGGCTTGCGTACACCATCTTGAGGTGAGGCACCCAACCAACCCTACGGGTGGATTATAGATCGAGACTACCACTGACGCTTACAAGTATGATAATGTATCTGGAATATGCCAGAAAACTTCCCTTCACAGGCGGCGAGCTAGTCTATGTTCGTATCTACTAAACTACCTGGACTCTCACTTCTTGACAGAGGGCTAATTGGATGACAGCTGGATGATGTATTTTCAGGGCAACGGCTCTGGGCGTACACCTTGTATGCCTTCTACTTTGTGTTTGTTTACACGACCTGTACGAACGCAATGCAGTTTGCAAACCAGACTATGCTGGCTTCAAATGGCAAAGGCACCGTTGGCAAAGACGACAACATGGATATGCGCCTTGTTCGCTTCCTTGCTATTACCGCCACCACTGCTATCTGCCTTCTGCTGTACCTCTCCGAGTCTAAAAGCCGCTGGCTCAACCGAGCCACTGCTGCCGCAAAACTCCTCTTGCTCGTGGTTATTGTGGGCTTTGGTGGAGCCTATATTAATAAACATGGCGCGCATACGAATGATTGGGGGTACAGTCCGGTCGATGGTTCTCCTCCCACTTACCATGCAGACTGGGTTGTTGCATTTATCACAGTGTTGTTTAGTTTCCATGGCTGGGAAAATGCCACTCTTGTTTGTTTTGTCCTATCGGCATCCCAGCTCGTCATCGCAGGGGCTAACTGAGTTTTAGGTTACTGGAGAAATTCCGTCTTTTTCCGTTCTCAGATCAGGTTTCATCCTAGGTGTATCCTCGGTCGGAATATTATACTTAGTTGTGGCCTGTCTGTTTGTAAGGCGGCCTACCCAGCCCCGTACTCTAGTCTGGCCTGGCTAATTTGACCTGCAGTGTGTCGCATTCCCGGAACAAAAAACACCCAAAAATTACGCCGCAGCTGTAAGTCACACTCAAAATCATCTAGATAAATGAGCTAACACATTCGCAGTACTTTAGTGTGAGCACCAAAGATTCCGCTGGTGAATTTTCAGACACTGCGGGAGTGGCCACGGCTATCCTTATAGCTATTTCAGCCATCGGCAGTATGATCAGTGTTGCTTACACTAGTGTTAGAGGTATTGGCTGCGTCAATTTTGAGTTCATTCCGTTCGATTAACTGACCCTCGAGTAGTCAAACAGTGCATTGGCTGGGCAGGTATATTGCCATGGTCTTGGTTCTGGAGGCGATCCGGCCCTCTAAGACCCAAATTCAGTTGGCATGACGTCAACGAAAACGAACAAGCGGTTGAGTATCTGTTGGATCAAGATCCACTCACTAACCGAGGAACCCCAGAAGGTGGCATTGTGCTGCACTGGATCGTAACTGTCGTTTATATATGTCTCACCGCTACACAAGACAAACTCCAGGACGCCATCAACTTCTCAGGAAATCTTGTGGTCTATGGGCACTTTTTGATTGAAGGCAAGTCCTAGTCTATACAACCGTAATGAACATCACTTAACCGGGTTACAGGACTTGTCGCAGTCGGCTTCATTTGGCTGGACCCTGTCCCTGTGCATACCCGACTTATAGGGTATCCCGCGCGAAATTGGCTCCCTGCCGATCAACGCCATCCGCCGCCGTGGATGCGACAACTGCGTGATAGAAACGTCTCGTCATTCCAGAAGCTCAAGCACGGGATACTTCAGACAATCCTAGGTTTAGTGGTTCTCTTGTTCAGTTTCGCCGTCGTCATATTTGATCTTTTCAGACGCCAAGGTCAAATAGCCTTGGGTGTTACGGGAGGTATCCTAGTCCTGGCCTCGGTTTATTGGGCTATCTTCGTTCAATCTGATGCGATATATGAATTTTTGGGGTTCAAGCTACGTAAGGATGTTCACGGCGAAGACGATCACAGCGATCCCTCAAGGCGCTGTCACTGGTGTTTCGACGGTAGCCGCCATCGCCATCCACATGACAGCTATGAATTCTTTAACGAGGTCGAGGTCTGTAGCACAAGTCGTCGGACTCGTTTTCTTCATCTCATATTTGGCAGCGGGTCTCACGAAGAAGCCTTTCGCCGTCACCTTGATTCTGAGCAACGCCGCAACGGAACTCCCCTTCAGGAATAAATCGATAGGAAATACAACACTTTAGCTTCGTCAGCGCAAGCGCTTTAGTTGTAACCAGTAAAAATTTCCTGCACCTTTATCTTTAAGGCAACCGTCATTAGGCAGAAATTGCCTACTCAGCTTACTGATGACGTGGTACATGGTCGCCTCATTAGCCCAGCCTCATAAATGTCTCGTGCCTTGATCCTGCGGCTTTGCCATCTCCACCTCTTACATACCCACAACTTTCAGAAAAGCACTGACTTGCACAGTAGATCATGCCTAAAAAGAAGACTACACTCGTCATTAACAAGGCTGCAACGTGGGTTTACACCGACATAAGCCACAACGCGAATCGAGATCACATCATCGAGTACATGGAGTCGATATACCCGACTACCACGGATAAGCGTAATGTGAAGACTCAGAACTATATGGTCGAGGTATATAAATCTATATGATGAACTTGGCAAACCAGTTGGGCTGACTTTTATAGACGTATTCAACTGGCGACCATAGAATCTGGGCTGCAACGGCTCTATCTGAAGTCAGCGCACTTGATTCTGCTTTCACACTGCGCTAATAAGATCTAGGAGGAGAAGAAAACCCTGATCGATAGGAACAATTATGGGAAGTCGTACAGCTGAGTGGAGATTATGCGAGCGAGGCGCAGTCAGAAGGGGCACTGTCGGGGAAATATGGCGCAGCTTGTAGGCGAAGGGTGGTGAGCGCCTAGCAAAACCAGGCACAATTATTGCTTCGCCCGACTACCATGAAGGCTGATGATGATAAATCAATGACCGAAATGACCTTGTGAAGTCCGGGCTGCCTATGAAAACTATCGCCGCACTCTGAACCGTACTGTATCCGTATTGGAAATAAAAGTGAATTTAAGCCGCATAATAAAATACAGAGGGAACAAACGGCTGTATGTAATCAACTAAAATACGAGCCTCAGCTCTCGAACCTTCGACCAACAACCGCTCATGCATCGCACAGAACGTAAGCAATCACCTGAGCCACCACCGCAGCCTCGTTTTTTGGTGAGTACAAGGCGGAATCGTCAAAGTCCATACACCCGCGGTTGCAGGACACATTCTAGTGCTTGTGTCAACACGGGTCAGTCTGGACCTTCAATTTTCAAGCACTTGGCGAGCACTGTGCTGCGTCCCGCGTCTCAAATCATGATCGTCCCCCATCATGTCGCAGAGGAGACTGACGGTCTCTACTCGGACGCTTCTTCCATCAAAGCATGGCAATTGGGTAAGGCTTCTATGGTCGCCATTTTGTGTCAATCAACGAGCCTAAAGTGCATAGACCCTTTCCAGGCCGCACCTTTCAACGATTCAAAGGAGCAGAGTGAGGACGAGCTGCGCTCATACCTGTCAGTTTGACATTTCTAAGCAAATCCTGGCCAAATTGTAACCAATCTACATTCCCCACAGGTCCACCAAGCAGGCACGAACCTTCATGTCAGTTCTGTAAGCCTGTCCTGGCTGAGAGTTCTCTAACTTTCTGGTGCAGTATAATCCCTCAACAGCACTCACGCGGCTCGCTTAATGTCACTCCAGAGTCCTTAAGCACGATCATGACTTCCTTCAACATCTTTGCGGGCTTTAAAAAGATCGTCTCCACTTTTGTTAGAGACCAGTCGTCGGATTATTATGTTGGTCAATCTGCAGCGCACTTTAATCCTCCCGCAAAAGCCGGTTGCTCGAACGGCAGTAAGTTCTCATGTCTCATTCATTGATGGTATATTGATGATTCGGCTAGAATTTGAATTCAGCTGCTTATTGAGGTTTGTCGAACGTAACACACGCCGGACCGCGCACACTGATACCTGCTACGACGAAGTCCATCGATGGTCCATACGACAACAGGCAGTGTATCATTCTTATGAGCGCTGCAATCAAGTCAATGAGACAATACTCCTTATCAACCCCTCTGATGAGCTGTGGGCGTCAATAAAACGACAGCTCGGGGATTCTACACCCAGTTCAAGGGTGGATGAAGGATGGGCTGTGATGCCAAATATCGTCTTTGAGAGTCTGACAGCGAATTGGACGGCATATGTTTCATGCCTACATAAAGCTGTAGAGCAGATTGTCTGTGACCATGCTCCCCATTTGTAGCTACCCACATTTCACTGACATCAATCACAGAAGAGAGACGCTACCGCAACGCACTATGACCGCCCTGACGTTGGTGAAGCCAACGCGGAAACCCTAGGGTATGGGTTAGAGATAATTGACAAGCTTCACACCACCTCCCATGTCCTACATTGCAACATTGTCACTCTGAGGGCAGTGCAGAACAAAGCCGAACAGAGCTTCATGATATGGCATCCTAGTCAGGTGGTGGCTGAAAGGGCCCAATTCTCACACAACGCACAGAGCATCATTCAAGAGCTTGAGTTTGAGCACAATCAAGTTCAATTGATAACTCATAGGCTGGAAGCCGTAATTGAAATGGTAAGAGCCCTCTTGCTAACAAGTCTCCAAGAAAAGTCGATACACTTTCGCTCACCTCATTTCAGATTCGTGATCTTGTCCATCTACGCAGCACCCATAATATGGAAAAGATGAGTTCTCGTACCATCCTAGAAGCCCGTACTATGCGGATTATCGCCTTTATGACTCTAGTATTCCTGCCCCCCACTTTCATTGCGGTACGTTTATAATTCACCGACGCAAGTAAGCGAACTAACCGGCTTTAGGGGTTTTTGCAGATGGGATACCTTGATATTGCATCAGAAGGTGGTCGGTTCGTGATCAATACAGAACCAGGTCTTTCATTGTACTTCGCGATCACTATGCCGGTGGTTTTTGCTGTAGTTGGGGGGTATCTGTGGTGGGATAGGCGCGGCACTCACGCAGCCAAGCTTCACGATGGGAATGCTGTGTAGCAAGTTTCATTAGGACTTCAGGAGATGTGGAGATTGTGGAAATGTGAGATTGAGTATTCACGAGGGGGAATATACAGAATCTATGTTCGCAGAGTTCCGACTAAAAAGCTGCTTACACAGGTGAGAAAGCAGCATGCGATTTTACCAACTCCACCCATCCAAGCCTCCATCAACTTCGCAGTCGCTTCCCCTTTCCCTGTCCATATCTTCCACTGCAACACATTGAATCACCCATCTGCACGTCTAAATGACTCCTTTCAGTAGACTTTGACAAAAAATATGCAAAAAGGAAGGGTCTGGCCGGGGATTGAACCCGGGACCTCTCGCAAGCTATGCTGTAGGGTTTTCCCTAAGCGAGAATCATACCGCTAGACCACCAGACCTCTTATCACGTGGTCGACACTTCGCCAAACTGAGCTCTTGGGCAGCACATCGAGAGTTGCGAAAACCTTTGGCGTTCAGTCAGGGCGAAATGTTAAATGTATTGTTAGTTCTTCTCACTAGACATTCAATCTTAGTTGGAACAGAAGCAGACACGAAATAACCTAGGGGCGGGTCTTGGTAGATCAGAGAACTGGCCGTTCGATCATTGTATTTACTGCCTTTGTCCGTCATCAAGATTTTCCTCCTGGAGCTTCGGGTTCTATACTAGTCTCCTCAGGTATTCCAGATGTCGAAAACATCTCATCATCTATCAAATCCATGAGCTGCTGATTGTCATCATCCCAACCGCTGAGCCCTGGCGTCTGAGAATCGCCGACCTCAAAGGTCCCATTTGCCACAGCTTGTGCCTCCATGACAAGATGCTCGAAATCAACCTCCTCTAACAAATCTGGCAGATTTTGGGACGAGGTGGAGGTCAGAGGAAATATCGGGGCTTTCGCTTGGATGTAGATACGTGCAGCTTGGGAGAGAAGTTGATACAGCTGGTAAAGTTGTGTAGTTGACGAGCAAGAACCCTCGTCAGGCCCGAATGAAGCTGCGAAACGTTCAAGGCGGGCCAGGTCGTCGAGATCCGATAGCTGAATGGTACGAGGGAAAAGAATGCTAAACGGGATAAAGGGGGTATAGAGGATTGACCTGTAAAAACCAGAAAGGTACGTGTCAGCGACGATGGGGAGAGGCGGTTTAAGTAATAGCATCCAAAATTGGTTTCCGCAAATGAATATAGTTGAAAATGCAGAACCCACCAGTCAAGATATCTTGATATCATAAACGTGTCATTCTCGCAACCACGGAGGCTTATGATGCATTGGTGATGAATATCTAGAACATCGCGAGCAACCGCAAAGCAATGCTCCAGAGAGCCTCCTGCAGTGGAAATAGCCCTGAGAATCAAGGCGAGAAGCGAACAGTGGCAAGCCAGCTCGCACTGTATATTGACGACTTGCATCGAGCCCATCTCAGAGGACAGGTCGCTGGCACTCTTCAACTCCTCATTAGCAAGTTCGTCACAAAATGAGAGCCGCCGAAACTTACGAAAACACCAAGGTGTGTTTCTCGAACCACTTCTCGCAGTTCTGCAGCAAGATGCTCAGCCGAATGTCCTCCTTCGTCTCCTGAGCAGGCCAAGCTATTTGGGCTGTGTAGTTGATCATCGACCCGTGCCCGAATCCTCCCAAGCCTCATAAATCGTGACGCCTGCGAGTCAAAACCAGGAAGTATAATTTTCGTATCATCAATCGTGGACAATTTTCCGAGCCGAAGCGAGAGTGCCTTCTCCAGCCGATAAATAGTCCAAAATAGACGTTCCTCTGCTAGGCGGAGGGATTGGTCGGTTTCTCCTTGGAAATCTTGGCGATGATATCCTAACCTCTGGCTTAGATCCGAGGCATTTGAAATAAATGTCCAAGCTCGAGAGGCATCAAGTATCTCGATTGCGTTATATGTCTAAAGTCACCATTAGAGGGAAATTTGGTGCTTTTCCAATACGCGCACCCACCCCAAGTGTCAATGCAGCAACTGCCTCCATGGATGTAGGGAGAATCATAGGTAGCCGCGAAAGCGCTCTGAAAAGGTTATCTCGGCAGAGTTCCCAGTATTCTCGGTAATCCAGTTCTTTAGATTGAGCGGCAAGTGCAGCAAACACGTAAGATAGGTAACCATTTGCGAGGGTAAAGTCTACTTCACTGTAGTCTTCAATTGCAAAGTACACCTTTTTGCAGATCTCTCCAAACATTCCGTGAGGTAGTATATGAGAGATCCAGGCGAGGCTGGGGTGTTGTTCGTGAACTAGGATGGAGTGTTAGACACGCCCGTGACATCTATTCACCGTAAGTAACGAACCCTTGACCCACCGCAATGCCGCAACAGTAGCCTCTAAAGGTGGCATCGGAGAAGCGTCAGTCTGATCTCTCGCGGTCTTTGCCTGGGTGGAAGCGAAGTCCCGATTGATATCGGGACGTACCAGAGTCTGTGCCATGTTCCTCAGAGAAGAAATAATAAAGCCCGCTCCGGACGGGACGCCTTCTACCCCTCCATATTCGGCGACACAATCGACAAATCCGACGATATAAGCCGAGTGATCCCACGGTATGTGTTCACCATTAGCGGTACCAATGGGTTGGTACTTGGCCAGAGGTTTCGGCAGTCCGCTTTTAACGAGCGGTGGGTGGGTTTCGACCTTCTCAGCATCTGAGGGTGTGCTGAGTCTCTCAAGAAGAAGTTTAATGTCGTCGATACTCTTCGCGATGTGGTCAATCTTTTTCTCGCTGGACAAACACAATCCAATTAGTACTCCGCAGTATCCTCCCAAACGAACATGAAGACGCTCGCGAGATCGGCGCACTATTGAGAGGAAATTGTCACCCGCTGCTTATGCGTTATCGTGTTGGATGCAACAGCGCTGTGAGTACACCTGAGCTTGGCCGAGATGCAATTCGAACAAGGCGAACCCCTGTCACAGCCGATCTGTCCCGTGGTGAGGTTTCAGCTTCTCTGTTCCGTTTTCTGACAATGATAGCCTGACCTTTCGAGCTCGACAGTGGTCGCACTGAGAAGTAAGTCCAAATTGGCCGCTCACAGAATTGCACATGAACTTACTGAGCGGCGGGCGATCGGCGGGCGACTCTTGGATCGCTCGCTAGGGGGATTCCCGCGGGTTTCCATGTTTCCGATGGGGTGTTAACGATGTAAGACAGGAAGAGGCAATCCACGCATTGTTGCAGTAACATCATGGACAATGGAGTCGGGGAATGCCTGAGCTGACAAATTCACCACGTATTTCTATGGCACGGAATCGCGCGGGATTCCGTAGGTACTGGTGCAGGGCTGATTGGCCAGCATACGATCTGATCCACCCATTGCATGGTTCTATCACAGATGCGAATGCGCTTGGCAAAAGTATCAGGGCTCTAGGCAGAATGGAATGGGATATAAATAGGCCCGAGGTTTGTACTCTGGAATTCAGCAATCGAGGGACCATTTCTATCATTGAAACTTGTTTACCCAATACAGCATCATGAACCGAAACCTACTCATCACTGGCGCTGCAGGCTACATGTGAGACGACTAGGCCCTTTCCTCCATCTTTAGCCGATATACTAACACCATTACAGCGGGGGTTCCATCCTCGCGGACTTCATTGCTCGTACAAGCGGTCTGATCAAGACGGCAAACATCAGCGCCGCCGTTCGATCGGACGGACAAGCCGAAACCCTGGCCAAATTAGGCGTCAACGTGGTTTGTGTTGATCTTACAGACGAAACAGCTGTAAATGAAGTCGTGCTTCGCAATGAGAGTATGTTGACAACGAAAACACTGTAAGGTCGACTGGCTTATCTCATGGCAGTTGGCATCATCCTCCATACGGCCAGCTCGCACGACCCAAAAACTGTGTCCTATCTTATAAAGGCTCTGGGTCAGCGTCGCAAGGCCACTGGAACCGAAACATACTTCGTGCATGTGAGCGATTCGTGGATAGGCTGCACCAGATAACCTGCTGAACTTCATCTAGACCTCGGGAACCACTGCATTTGCTCCAGAGGCTGGCTGGCCCTCCGAAGAGATGAAAGATACCGATGCTGTCTTCGAGACGGAGAAGCAGTTGGCAGCGAATAACCCAATCCGACTCGTAAGTGCTGCGACATACCATAAAAAAACTTTAAGATGATGGCTTCTGATACTGTACTGCGAAAGACTGACATCCAAGTCATCGAAGAAGGCAAAACACAGGGCGTAACAACCCTTGTCGTTGTGACTCCAGCTGTTTGTAAGTTTCTGACGCAATGGCACTTCTGCAAAGCGCGGCAAGCCTCGCTCCTTAGATTTGCGCTAAGCTTCTTGCAGACGGACGGGGTACGGGCGAGTGTAAGAAGATGTCCATTGCCTTCCCAACCTTCATCAGAGCGAGCATTAGGAACAAAGCGGTGCACCAATTCGACAAGAACGGGGTAGGTTATTCTTGCATCTTGTATGAACTTAAGAAAAGCCGTATACTGTGACCAACACTTGGTGTCTGTGTAATAGCTGGAAGAGCTGTCTCGAGACATTCATTTCTTCAGAACGTACTGACACACGATAGAACCCCGCTGCAGTCCACATCTCAGATCTAACAGCCTTCTATGGTCTTCTGATGGAAAAGATTTTGCAGGCAGAGGCGATTCCGAACGGCGAGAATGGCTACTACTTCGCGGTTGCTCACAAACTGTATTGTTGGGATTTGATGCAACGTTTTGCTGAGCAGCTGCACGCCCTCGGGCTTGTCGAGGAGCCGAAAACACAGACTTGGCCCAGCGACGAAATGGCAGCGGTATCTCTTGGAGTTCCCCCAATGATCGCGCGAATCATGGGAACCCATTGGTACACTCCTTTTCTCACCCCCTTGGCGCCTACGCAGAGAACTAACGAGTAATGCAGCACCCCACTCATCCCCGTCAACGCATATCAGATCGGGTGGCAACCTCGTTGGAATGAGAAGATGCTTCTAGACAGCGTGGATCAGGAGATTCAAGACGTGCTAGAAGCGGACAATGTCAAGGTCGCTCCCTCCGATCACTTCCCGGTGCTCGCCAAATGGCAACGTATCTAGAGATCAGACGTGCACTGAGAACCGTAGCTAACTTGGACAGACAGACCTGAAGTGTACCACCATTTAGGGGGGCTACTAGGGGGATCTCGACATTTCACTCTAGCTCAACCCCCCGTTCGTTCGAGGAAATGTTGAGACCCCTTAGTAGATCACCGTATACTAGGTAATTAAAATTGGTGTGCACATCGAGATACGCTAAGGTACACTGGGTTTATGCATGCTCATGTCCACTTTCTCCACTCACCATGAGTCCAAATTGATTTGATGAGTCTTACCGGTCCTGGAGAGCAGTGACTATCGTAAAGGGCAAACAGCCAAAAAATGCGGCTTCCTGCAAAATCCTGCTCCATCCTCGACAAGACAGAAACAGAGACGAGTAACATTACAAATCTAAAATGGATGTGCAGGTAAAGAATTCAACACAGGGAAATATTCTACGCACACTGTGTACCCTCATCACGTCCCCTTATTTTCATTGTAATATTTACATTTTGTAGTTCGATGTCGTGTTATAGGGTAGGCGCAGTCAATGTGAGCGGCATGCCGCTTAGTGTGATAAAACAGCAAAGCTGACCCTCAGGGGGTGTGATATTAAATACCCATGAATGACGTGGGGTAAGCGAGTAGTACAAATTACTGGACAGATGAGTGTGTTGGAATGATCACTAACTGGTATTAGGGCGTAATCTTGGCATGCCAAGCAACTGATACGTGCACACTAAGAATTGATGCACAGCGTGAGGCAGCTATTGGCAAGTCATGGAATTAATCAACCTGTGACCGGATAACGACCATGCTCATATACTATCCAATCAATGTGGCCACAAACTATTCCAGGTGCTACCAACGCAATGCAGGCTGGAGAAAGAAACAGAGCCTGCTTCTAATGCGAATATACAAGTTCAATACTTTGGATTGCTCACCTCATAACATATGCCTGGGCAACCCCATGTTGCCAAAGCCGACCGTGAAAAGCCTGCTACTGGGAAACATACGCCCAGAGATGAGATGCGCCTTTACTGTTCCCGCTGTGCCGATAGAGTCGAATAGCCCTCTCTAGACAAGTGTGGCGATGAGAGTTCGCATGATAAGATAATCCCTTTCGTTCTCTTTTCCGGTAGGGGAATTCATTAATAGTCACGTCGATTGTGGCGTTGTATTTTCATAGCTATTTAAGTGGAAGATATCAACGTCCGGGTGTAGAGTAACTGAAAGTTCGTAAATATAGGCAGCGATATCACGGTAAATTGATTTATTCATTACGTTTACTAGCATGGGCCCTGTAGAATGTTTGATACTAGTTCGTAATCGGACGGATTTGATTACTGCCCCATTAAAGATCCGGGTGTTCGGAAGGGGGGCGGGACAGGTGTGGCTAGGAGACGCTATGCCCTGTGCACAATACGAGTATTAGCATAGAAATAAAGGCTCAGAACTAGGGTTTAGGGCTGGCACGGGACGACTAAGCATAAGAGGCGAATGTCACAATGTGAATAGATGGCACGGGCGAGTCGAGGCGAGTGGTCTAGAGCTGAGTCAACCTAGGCGGTAAGTAAGCGGTAAGGAGGACTAAGATGCCGCTTGAGCGTCCCCTCATAACACCACGAGGACCCCTAAAATCGACCATGTGCGTTAAATTGCGCAGGGATCACCTAGTTGACGTGGCGCAATCGCCCGGACACGAAAGTCTAGAGCCAGCATCGCAAACTGGACGATTTCCACATCGGGAGGCATCCCGCGTTCAGCTGAAAGGAGGAAATCGGCTAGCCAGCGGCAATTAGGCAGTGGGACGTGCTCACTGGTCGGCATCCAAGATGCGAGTGACTCGCCAGAGGCCCCGTATTGGACTGAGTCGCGCTTGAAGGTGGTGGCGTGGCGGCCATGTGGAAAAGATAGCGACTAACTCAGAGACCCCCTCGGCTCCGAAGCGGAGAATTGGTAGGGCAACGGGGAATGGCCCCATTAGGGCAAGCGGATAATGGTGAATAAATGTCACTCGCCTAATTCTATTCATTTACGGCTAGCTGCAGGGTGATTATGACGGGGTGGCTGGCCAGAACGTGGCAATGGTGGACTCTTTTCAATATTGGACGCGCGTTGCCATCGTGATAGGCTTCAATTTCCTCTCTCCATGGCGAATTTCTCTTGGAAAAGAGGTTTCCTGGCTGTTACGCGCCTGCCACTGTGACTACTTCCGCTTCTCTATACAACGTACGTTTTGTCTTGTGCGCGGAACATTGCACCGCCGACCCACGCCATCCACGTCACCTTGGATTGCAAGCCGCCCATATTGGGCATACAGCGCGGCGTCTACAGTAGAAGAGCATCATGACAATGGCAGGGCGATGGTAGTCTAGAATATGACTCGTCTCCAGCACGGAAAGACCCGAATCCCACCGCAACAGCACGCCGCACGCCGCAACCCTCAGGCCAGCGAGGAATTTTCACCCTAAGAGATAGGAAGAAGTGTGCCGCGACGGGTCCCCCCTGAGTCTAGATCGTGTTACCGGGCTCTTCTCGGTTCGGTGCTGGACTAAGTGGTCTAGGTTTCCGCTTGTACCACCGTCGTCATTAGTCGCTCGGGGGCTCATCCTGTACGAGCAGGGGCTATTCCATGACAGGCTTGGCGTTTTCCTGTCAAAGCTTGAGTGAACGACTTTAAGCCGAGACCGAGGCGTGGGATTGGCGGAGAATTCTCCTCCGTAGACTATCGACGCCGTTGCCGACACCAGGCTCAGCGCGGTCTCTGCTGGCGCTGGCTGAAACGATACTCTAATCAGCCTGGGGAGCTGGCGCTTGTCTCTAGCATCCAGTCCCCCCGGAGCTGCCGTTGAAGCCGCTGGAAGACTTTGGAGGCCAATGAGGGCCGTCCCCGTTGGAGAGAATCCATCTGGCCAGGAACCGTCGGCACCGGATATCCAAACGTTGCCCTATTTGGAGGCCGTTGCAAGGATCCCGCAGGACCCGCCAGCATGGAAATACCGATAGTCTGGATCTGTTCGATGGGTCCAGAGCTCCATGGCCACGAGATGCGTCGACATGCTACGACTCGCAGACTAATCAAGGCGCCACGAGCTGAGCTGCCTCTCGGGGCCGTCCCAACGAGGCATCGAGTTGTTTTTTCTACTTCTCTGACCTCTATCGCGCTACGGGTAGACGGCCTTTATCAACCTGACACCCCGGTTTAGTCCTGGAGAAATGTCACCCTGAATCCATTCGTTTGCTCCAGTCCATCACGCACCCCATTGATCGGCGCCAGGGGCTGTTGTACTTGTATTCTTGTTCGTCCTGCTGCAACCCTGCGTTTTGACCTCCTCTCCCTCTCTCAGCGAGGTCGATTGAGAGGCACCAGGGCTTGAGCATCATGGCTAAGATCTCGCGATGGATGCTCCTCGGCCTTTGCGCCGGGAGCGCTGTTCACGCTCTAACAGGTTCGGATGTCTCTCTTTCTCGTCGTGCTCCACCCTCTGCTTGCCGTGCCAAGAGGCCTACCACTCTTTTCTCCTTCACTGCCTCTGATTCTACCCCTTCCCCCACGGCATCACCATCACTCGTTACAGAGGCCGGATCCACCCCGCTCTCACAGGAACTGGCCACCTCCAGCCCACACTCTTTGGTCGATTCAGCGACTCCAACCTCCGGGATCGACCCTACCGTCTCAGTTTCATTGTCATATACGGGGACTCCAACAGAGGCTGCTCAAACACCTGGTTCTACCGGAACGCCTGGTTCTACCGGATCATCTGATTCTTCTGGCACGCCCGGTCTCCCCGGAACGCCTGATTCAACTGGAACACCTGGTTCTTCTGGAACCTCCGGTCTCCCCGGAACACCCGGTAACTCTGGAACTGCCACCGACGATCCTTTCAGCACTCCACTCAACACCGACAACTCCTTGTCGATCGCGGCAACCCCCACAGGGTTCTCCAGTCAAACCGCCTTCACACCCGGCGGCACGTTTAGTCTGTCCACGACATCCGAAAACACCGATGGGACATCGAGTACCGGCAGTGCAGACTCTACCCCGGGGCCGGAAGGCCAGTCCGAGACAACTCCTTCATATTTTGTCACGTCGAGCGATACACTAGGGACATACTCCGCGTTTTCTACGCCGGATTCATCCCAGATTGAGACCACTGCCACGCCCATCGAGACGCCTGGGACAGACTCTACGGATTCCTCAACCTCCGATGGACTTCAAACTGAAGAAACTCCTTCCTATGCCGAGACCCCGAGCAACACGGGAGAGACAACTCCCGGACTCTCGGCTGAGACGACTCCTTCTTATTCCGTCACTCCAAGTGATACTGTAGGAGTCGATGTCGTCTCCTCCACGACGGAGTTGAGCTCAACGGCGTCCTCGACAGACTCGACAGTCTCAACAGACTCGACAGCCTCCACAGCCTCCACAGACTCGAGTTCGACTGCTTCCTCAATCGACTCGAGCTCAACTGCTTCCTCCACCGACTCGACCACTGTCTCTACCACTTCCTCCACCACTGTCACTTCATCCACAACACAAACCTCATCTTCATCCACAACTTCGCAGACATCAACTAACCAACATCTAGCTGTCACCGTCGCTACCGATGGAAGCGGTGACTACACAGCCATCAACCCGGCCATTTCATATGCCCAGGCGAACGCGATCCCCACGGTCACCGTTCTCGCCGGAACATACACCGAGGCGGTTTCTGTCGCAGCCACAGCCACCGTGACCGTCGTCGGCGCAACGTCAACGGCAACCCCCCAGAAGCGCGACTCCAATCCTTGGGACTCCAACAAGGTCATCCTGACGAATGGCGGAGCCGCTGCTCTGCCCCTGAACATGGGCGTCGGCACCAAGGGCATGACCTGGCGCAACGTCAACTTTGTCAACTCTTTGATCGGCTCTAGCAACGGCGCCGTGTACATCCGAGGAGCCAAGAATGCCTTCTACGGCTGCAGCTTCGTGTCTGCCGGTCAAGTTGCTATTACTGGAAACCTAGCGGCTGCTATCATCGCCTACTCGTACATCGAGGCAACGAACCTTGTCCTCTACAAGTATCCCTCGCTCTACATCTTTGGCTCGACAATCACCGCCACGAGTTCCAGCGGTCTCTTGACCTACACCACGGGCTTCACGTCCGGCGGTGTCCTCTACAACTCAACTGTTGTAGTGGACAACTCAAATGTGGCTCAGAAGACCGGACTTACCAACAAGAGTGTCTACCTCTTTGCAGCCAACGGCATTGGATCAGTTGCTTTGTATCGAAGCTCTAGCATCGGCTCGTTCATCGCTGGAACCGGTGCCCACGTTGATTCCATCTCGCAGCCTTCACCCAACGTGAACCAGTACTCGGAGTTTGGCACCACTGGAGCCGGAAGCTACGCCCAGAACGCTGCTGTTCGAGCGCCATACGTGACTTTGTATACCAGCGCCTCGGACCTCTCGGTCTACGACATCTCCAACTTCTTCACGAACGTCAACCCCTCGGTGGCTGCTGCCAACGTGGACTGGATTGATCCGGATGTTCTGAGTGCTATCCGGGCCAGCAACAGTGCGAACGCCCAGTCTGCATCGACCAGTTCTACCTCGGTGACGACGAGCTCCTCCACAACCTCTAGCAGCTCTTCTGCTACGTCTAGCACGGTGACTTCGTCGACTGTTACCTCGTCGACTGTTACTTCGTCCACTGTCAGCTCGTCCACTGACTCCTCTTCAACTGTCGCCTCGACTACCACTTCGTCCGGCGTGAGCACCACGTCAACTACCAGCACCTCAGCATCTGCTTCAAACGCTGTGTCGTCGTGCTTGCCCTCGTCCATGCCCAGCACAGCTCTTATTGTCGGCCCCGCAGACAATGCTTGCTCTCAGTACACCAGCATTAGTGCCGCTGTCGCCGCGCTGCCTGCCGGCTCTACCACCCAGTACATTTACATCCTGGGTGGCACGTACAGCGAGGCAGTCACCATCGCCCGAACTGGATCTGTCGTCTTCCGTGGTGAGACTTCCAACTCTGCGTCCTCTTCCGCCAACAAGGTCACCATCACGAACTCCAACGGCCGCATCTCCAGCTCCGGAGGTTCCTCTACCACCACGACCTTTAGCCAGAACCTGTACCAGACGACGCTTGCCTCATTCTACAACATCAACTTCGTCAACAGCTACCCTGCGACGACCAACTATGTTGCCCTCGCTGTCTACGTCAAGGCCCTGAAGGTTGCTTTCTACGGCTGCAACATCGACTCCTCCCAAGGAACGCTCTACCTCGACTACAGCAGCGTCTACTTCAGCGGCGGTCGCATCTCCGGCACCACGGACTTTGTCTGGGGCCAAGGAGGCGGTTACTTCTACAACTCAGTCATCATGACCGATGGAACCACGAGTGGCCAGACCATCGCCGCCCACAAGTACCAGAATGCTTATGGCAAGTCAATTTTCGTCTTCGATTCTTGCGCCGTAGTACCGCAGAGCTCCTCGCTCGCCAAGAAGAGCACCTACCTGGGCAGAGACTACGTCACCAACTCCAACGTCGCCTTTGTCAACTCGTACTTCGATGCTCACATTGCTGCTACTGGCTGGCTGATCAGCAATCCCTCCACTTGGGTTGGCACTTTTGTCGAGGCAAACAACACCGGCCCCGGCGCTGATACCTCCTCTCGCTCCACATATGCCCAGGTGCTTTCTGACAGCTCATCATACACGGTGAAGAACATCCTCGGTGATGATAGCTGGCTTGATTCGTCCGCCATCGCCCCCTTCTCTGGCTGGCCTGACTCTGTGTACACCGTTGCGACCACTTCCACCACCGCCACCAGCACTTCTACCACTGCTACATCGTCTGGCACTTCAGCTGCAACCACAACCACGTCGACCTCCGCTGCATCTGCATTCACTGTTGCCCCTACCCCTACTGGCACCCAGTATGGATCCGTGTCGTCCGCCATTGCGGCCCTTCCCAGCGATGGAAAGGACTACACCATCTACATCTTGGCTGGTACCTACGAGGAGCAGTTCTCCATCACCCGACGAGGAAAGGTCACCCTTCGAGGAGAGAGCACCTTTGCCAACGACTTCTCCGGAAACACTGTCCTGATCAAGTTCAGCTACGGAGTGTCTACAAGCTCAAACCAGAACGAGTTGACTCCCGTGATCAACTGGAAGAACACGAATGGTGAGGGATTGGCCCTGTACAACCTCAACTTCACCAACACGTTCCCCCAGACCAATAGCTATGCCTCCCTTGCCGCTGATTTCTACGGCACCAACATGGCTGCTTACGGATGTGCATTCAAGGGCTTCCAGGACAGTCTCTTGGTAAACCAGGGTGTCCAGGTCTTCAGCAACTCCTACATTGAGGGAAGTGTCGACTTCATCTGGGGTTACAGCAAGGCGTACTTCCACCAGTGCTACATCGCCTCCAACACGGCCAACGCGTACATCACCGCCCAGAACCGACCTTCCTCGACCTGGGCCGGTGGTTTCGTCTTTGACAACTCGCTCATCACTTATACGTCGAGCTATGGAAGCAGCTTTGGCTCCACCTCTCTCGGTCGACCGTGGTCGCAGTACGCTATTGTAGTCTACATGAACTCGTACCTGGACAAGCACATCTCTTCCGCGGGATGGGCTACCTGGACTACGAATGATGCTCGTACTGGCGTAAGTTCTATCCCAGTTTCTTGTTCTGAATATCCGCTAATAATCGTTAGAATGTTCTCTTTGGTGAGTTCAACAACACCGGACCTGGAAACTGGACTAGCTCTCGCGCATCCTTTGCGACCAGCCTGAGCGAAACCCAGGCCTCAGCCTACTCCCTGTCAAACTTCATCGGCAGTACCAGCTGGCTCGACATGACTGCGTACAACTACGTGCCCAGCTACACCTGGACCAAGACTTCCGATACCACTGCTCCTGCTACTACCACCACTGCTGCCGCCGACTGGGCTCATCCTACCAGCGGCACTGAGCCTCCCGCCGGCGCCGTTCTCGTCTCCGTCGACGCAAGCGTTGATGGCTCGTACAGCAGCCTCACGGATGCTCTCGCTAGCCTTCCTTCCGACTCCTCGACGCAGGTCATCTTCATGTACGCTGGTACCTACAACGAGCAGGTTCCTACCGTCAACCGCGCTGGCCCAGTCATGATCATTGGTTACACCGAGAGCGCCCCTGGAAAGACCTACTCGACCAACCAGGTTATCATCACCCAGGCCAGAGGTCTGTCCGTTAGCCCTCTCCCCACCGGCCACAGCAACTCCGAGACGGCGACCATCGCGACCGCCAGCACCAAGATCGCAATGTACAACATTGACATCATCAACTCGGATAACCTGGATGGATCGACCGCTAGCTACGTCACTCTCGCTGCCAGCATCTACGGCAACAAGATTGGATTCTACGGCTGCTCCTTCATCGGCTGGCAAGACACCCTGCTCACCGGTGCGACTGCTGGATACCAGTACTACGAGAGCTGCTACATCGAGGGCGCCATCGATTTCATCTGGGGTTACTCCAAGGCTTACTTCAAGGGTTGCACTCTTGGAGCCAAGCGCAAGTCCTCCGCCATCACGGCCCAGGCTCGCAGCAGCGCTTCGGCTATCGGTGGATACATCTTCGACCAGTGTCTTTTCACAACTGCCCCTAGTGCTACCGTTGATCTGACTGGAGCCGTGTACCTCGGACGCCCTTACTCCCAGTATGCCGTCGTCGTCATCAAGAACAGTTATCTCGACAAGACTATCCAGGCAGCTGGATGGAAGATCTGGTCTACTACCGATCCCAGGACTGGTGGCATCACTTTCGCCGAGTACAACAACGATGGACCTGGAAACTGGGGCAACAACACCGCTGCTCGAGAGGCGTTTGGCTATGCCACTCTGCTCACCAGCGATACCTACAGCCTGGCCAGTGTCATGGACAGCACCGACTGGATTGACATGACCTACTTCAATGACATCCAAACGCCTCAGCCCAAGACAGTTGTGACGCCTCCAGTTACCACGGCGTATGACGGCACAACCCCCCCTGCTGGCGCATTCATTGTCTCCAAGAACGCAATTGAGGGCAAGACCACCTACAGCACCATCCAGGCTGCTCTGAACGCTCTCCCCGCTTCCAGCAGTGTGACTGCCACGGTCTTCATCTACCCCGGCACCTACAACGAGCAGCTCATCCTCAGCAAGTCTGGCACCACCATCTTCCTTGGTTACTCCTCCTCGCCAAAGGATTACACCCAGAACCAGGTCACCATCACGTACAACACGGGCATTGACACCCAGGCCGATGCTTCCAACTCTGACTCTGCGACCGTGTATGCTACCGGAAACTACTTCCAGGCTGTCAACATCAACTTTGCCAACACTTTCGGCACCACTGCCAAGTAAGTACTCGCCGCTTGTCCCTATACTCAATACTGACCATCACGTAGCTACGCCTCTCTGGGCTTTGGTGTCAAGAGCAGCAAGTACGCTGGTCTCTATGGCTGCCAGGTTTATGGAAACCAGGACGCATTGTTGATCAACGGCTACATGTTCGCTTCCAACTCGTATATCGAGGGCAACATCGACATGATTTGGGGAGCTGGAGCCGGATACTTCCTCAACTCGACCATTGCCACGAACCGCGACGGCATCGACATCACCGCTCACAAGCGTGCCACCAGCACCACCGCTGCCGGCTTCGTCTTCGACCAGTGCACCATCAAGGCCGCCGGCACTGCGTCCTACTCGTCTGTCTCCCTTGGTCGCCCCTGGAACCAGTACGCCCGCGTTGCCTACATCAGCAGCTACCTCGGCTCTCTGATCGAGGCTGCCGGCTGGGACCAGTGGACCAAGACCGATCCTCGCACTGATGGTGTCATCTTTGGTGAGATGGGCAACTCTGGCCCTGGAGCTTCGACCAAGAGCCGAGCCTCGTTCGCCACCCAGTTGTCCGCCAGTGACGCTGCACAGTTCGAGATTGCTACCTTCTTCTCGGCCACCGCCTGGATCAACAGCACTTTCGTCTATGCTACGCCGTTCGTTGCTTCAGCTGTCACCCAGACCGCGAGCATCTCCTCTGCTTCCAGCACTTCCACGTCTACCTCCACCACGTCTTCAGTTCCTAGCACTACCACCATCTTCACCACCAGCATCTCCACCCTCAAGCAGACGCTGTCCACAACCACCACTGGTCCTGTGCAGACTACAACCGTCAAGACGACCCTGGTTATTGATATTGGAACCACCATTACCCCTGACCCGGCCACGATTACCACGTTTGCTAAAAGCACCACTACCATCCCGCAAACCATCACGGAGCCAAATGAAACTGTCACGTCCAAGTCCACCCAGATCATTGACGTCGGCACGACCATCACCCCTGATGCCACTACCCAGACTTCGTGGACCACTGTCAAGGTTCAGACTACTTCGTTCGCCACCACGTCCGCCAAGGCTACTACTATCAAGACCACCACCACGGAGACAGCCTACACGACAAGCACCCCCAAGCCTACGACTGTCACCCAGGTCATCAGCAGCACCGTCGAAACCACCAAGACAACCAGCCCCAAGGCTGTCACCGTCAAGAGCACGACCACCGTCACCTCTGGCACCGGCGGAACCACCACCACCACAGCCAAGGCTACGACTTCATATGTCACGGTTTACACCACTTCTACCAAGACCTCCTCCAAGACGACAACCATTAGCTGTATCCCTGCGAACAGCGCTAAGAAGAGGTCCTTGGATGAGTTCCCGGCGCCTACCGTGGCCCCTGGCTCTGATTTCGTCTGGGCGGATGACGTCCCTGCTGGTGCTCTCCTGGCTCGCGCAGCAGGTCTTCAAACTGTCACTGTCGTTGTGACCTCGACATTCACAACCGCAGTCAAGACGTCGACCATTTCGATTGCTGGTTCCACTGTCTCTACCGACCTGGTCATTACCAAGACTACTGGAAAGGTGTCCACGCTAAAGGCTGCCACCTCGACCATCACCAGCGTGTCTGAATACACCAAGTATACGACCACGACCGTCCCTGGTTCCACTTTGACCACCACCGCCTTGACAACGCAGACGACTGGAAAGACCACCACCTTGAAGGCGTCCACTGTGACTGTGACATCGACGACTAGCTCTACGGAGACTATCAAGTCCACAGTCACCCTGCCTGCCAGCACCGTCACAAACGCGGCAACCAGCACGCGCACTATCACATCTGTGCTCGACCAGTCCACGGGAACTGTCACGCAGTCCAAGGTGGTCACCTCTGTGGAGACGGTCACTCTCCCAGGCAGCACCATCACCAGCTGGGCCACGGTCAAGACCACGCTCAAGCCCAGCAGCACCGTCACCCAGCGAGCTACGGTGACCAAGACTACAACCGTCAAGGTTGGAGCCTCGACCACCGTTACGATTACCAAGACAAGCAAGAGCGCCAAGGCTTGCCCCACGGCCTAATAGGAGGAACATATAGTGATAGGGTGTGCATATGATAATGTTTAGCGTTGGGGATAGCATGCAATGGGGGAGAAGCGGGTTAGATTTTTATTCTTCATAGTATATTTATTAATTATTTTTAGAAGATTGTGAAATTTCACTTCCTTCTCAGTGATTTGGCTTGAGTATGGTTCTATATGCACTCTAACTGTGAGCTGCCACATATTCGTAAACAATAAACCTATTGAAAGAACCTGCTGCTGCCGTTCCGTTTCCTTCTACTCGTGACGCCATCTATCAAGCTCCCACTTGCTGTCGCTGGGATACGTTCTCCCCTTTATTATCTCGCAAGAAGCTCTCCACCATTTCCCAAGCCGTCTCAACAGTAGGCGGGATTTCCACATGGCCAATAAACCCTCGGCCGTTTGGCCCATACCCATTTGCATCATCCCTCAGCCTCGGAATCTCTCCCATTAGAAGATCCAAAAACCGGTCCATTGACCACATCCCATCTTCCTCAGTGAGTATTTGTCCCTGGTTTATGTAGGCGAGGGATGAAAGTGATGGTGCAAGCTCATTCTGCAAGGTCTCTTTGACGCACACCTCCGGAACAAGGGTCGGCCAGCTCAAGATTTGAAGGGTGCCATGAGAGATATCCCAGTACGTGTGCTCGAAACAGGCAACGGTTCTCCGACACATTGTCGGATCCTGGACAACCACAATTGAGTGCGGCGATTTGATGCCGTGTCTTTCGAGAACCCTTCGAGTCTCGGACGCATTGGCTCCGCAGTTTGTAGATTGATCTTCGACAAGGATGAGCAATCCGCCTTGCCCGTCATTCGCAACCCTATCAGATCCTGGACCTAGCTGGCCATTGTAGATGGAAAGATTGTAAAATCGCTCAGCAATCGCTTGCAAAACTCTAGCTTCTGGCTTCCCATCAACCTCGTCGGCGATAGTGTTAAACACAGGATGCTTCTTGACTGCATCATGGAGCAGCGTCGTCGAGTGCCCCACGCCTCCAACGAGTACCAGGGTGACGTTGTCATTACTTCTTGGCCGGCCATCAGAGCGGTTGCTTGTGCGCCCAGCGGCCCATGAGAAGACCGACTCGGCAGTAGAGAGGACTGCGGATGCACAAAACACAACCACTTTGTCCCTTGTCGACGTCAGATCGTCGGAGTTGCCGTTCGAGGTGGAGGGGGAGCTGAGGAAAGATTCTAAGGCTGCTGCGTTAGATATCTGTTCATGCGCTAGAAATGACGAGACGACATTGATCGACGATGCCACCTGCGACATACGTGGCGCGGTAGATTCCGGGGCCGAGGTTTCCATTGTAAGGGACGACGGGACGATGGATGATTCCGTGAAGAGGCTGGTGAATTGTAAATGATGCGGTGAGTTCCAGCTTGAGGACGATCTGAACCCCACTCCGCCTCATGTGGATAAGATGGTGGATGAGTAACTAAAGTCGAGGGCGGAGCTTCCCTGTTAAGCGTGGACCCGTTGAAACATTGCTTTTAATCGCGATCGGAAATCGGGAAACTTGTTTAGCCAGCCGTGAGGCAGCAAATTAAGATCATCTCGGCAGTCAGCCAACTATGAAGAAAGCGTGGAGAAGTCAAGTGGTCGTCAATGCGTCGAATATTGTTCAGAAACTACGGCACGAGGGACAACTGAACAAAATGCATCTAATGTCGAAATGTAATTATTATGTTTAAAGATCGCTATGCAGTAATAACCAATACACCGTCGCGCCCATGTTCCATCATGCCCAGCCCATTCTCCCTATGCAGCCTCCCAATTATGCTCTCATTATCCACTCATTCGATCCCATTACTTCTGCTCAGTGTACTTGCAGCTGTTGGGCTTGGCAATGGGCAGAGTGCGGGCAGAGAAGCCCAGGCAGTTCTTGTTGCCGCCGGGGTTGGCGATACCGGTGTCGACCCAGATGCTCCAAGACTTGCTGATGCTGCCGGGGCAGGCAAGCAGACCTTGGCCCTTGAAGGTCAGGTCGCCGTTCTTGTCAATCTTCCATCCCTTGTGCTCGCCGTTCCGGGGCTTGGAGTCGCCAGTGCTGTAGCCAAGAACGCCCTGGCCCATGCCGGAGCGGTCGGTCCAGATCTTCTGGGGAGTTCCGGACGACTTGTAGAGGCGCAGCTCGTCGCCGACCAGCTTGAAGGTGGCGTAGTTGTCCGACTTGGTGTGGCAGTAGGCCTTCTGGTCGGGAAGCTGGAGGAAGATGCTGTTGCGGGCGGCCTGGAGCTCGGAGAAGTGGATGGGGCTGGCGGAGCGGAGAGCCATGATCTCGAAGGTCTTGGGCTTGCTGGTGGCGGGCGCGGCCGAGACGAGGCCAGTGGCCAGGAGGGGAGCGAAGAGGATAGCCTTGATCTGCATGGTGATGGTTGTGGTGGTGTTGTTGTGGTGTTGGTGGTGGAGATTGGTGGGTATAAGTTGTACTGTAGATGGAGTGTTGTAACTTTGAGAGAGCTGTAGATGAGTGAAGAGTGAGTTGGTGATGGAATAATTGAAGCAGTCGGGCAGCTTCCTATTGTTTATATAGAAATACCGTCAATAGCTCGGCGACCATACTCGGCGATTCAATTAGCTAGAATTCAATATTAGCTAGACTGTTGGCCTCGCCCACCACAGCCCCAAATCAGGGGCCCTCCTTAGCACTCTACTCAACGCCATCTCGTACAAGAAATGCGGAGTTTGGATCAGCGCGCGACTCCACTGCCATCGGCAACCCCCTGCGATTGGAGAGCTTCCCCAGCCACAACTTGACAGCACGGGGCCTAATACGAGCATTGCTGGATGGCTCGGGTCTAGGCCCTCCAGGAACACGCCTATAGCGAAGTACGACGTAGTACTACGTAGTAGAGCCTACTGCGAAGTACCGGCAAGGCCACTCGCTTGGCTAGCTTGAGGCCGGACAGCCCAGCGGTCATGCCGAGGCACAGCGATCTAGGCCCTCCTTTTAGGCTTAAGCACGCCGCCTGACGGGCATTTCGGGAGTGCGGCACACGCTTGGAAGGTTTCTACCGTATTTTCTGGGACTTTTTGCCCCAGGAATTGGGCCGGGGTTCTAAAATTAGCCAGAATTAACCAGAATTGGCCCTGCTGGCTCTCCCATTCGAGACAAGCAGCCAGCCTCGCAGACCGCCGGAGGGAGCTGGCAGCAAATAGTTTTCACAGCCTCAGCCCTAATTAATTGCAGTCGAAGAGCAGCGTAGAATGAACGGCGACCACCGCAACGTATAGGCTCGTGCCGAGGGCATATTCATGTCGCGCCACGTTGAATTCAGGCAAGTAAGTTGCCTCTGTCCTATTAATAGCGGGAAATGCCGAGTAGCAGTCGGTTTTTGGTACGCGTACGGAGTAAACAATGACAGATGTAAATTGCCAAAGCGTCGATCGACCCTACCCCATTTCGCCTGGCGCAGTGGCGAGCATTGATGGAATGACTTTTAGACTCCCCGACGATGATATCACCACATCACCGCATCTCCTCAACACGACTCCGCCTACATCCAACCGACTCTCTTCCACAAGTACGTCGCCCCACCGGCCAAGGCCGTCGTTCCCGTGAACACGATCAGGGTTCCATACCCCGTTCCATATCCTCCGGCCGCATGCCCCTGCCACGGCATTCCCCGGAGTAGCACGGCACTTAGGGGTCCGGACACGAGATTTCCTATGCCTCTTCCAGCGGATAGCACACCTAGAACCATGGCGGGGTCAAACGAGCTGCCGCTCCCGGTACGAGGGCTTTCGCGCGAGTCCTGGCCGGACGTGACCAGTCGCATGATGCCCGGCCATGCGGTGGTGTAGGATCCGGCAAAGAACCCGTACACGATGCAGAAGATGTACAGAACCGGAAGGTTGCACGAGAAGCCCCAGAGGAGGAACGTGCCGATGCCAGCGCCCACGGCCGACAGCATGAAGCACGTCGTGACGTCGACTTTGTCTGTGAGCAGCCCCATGGCCACGCAGCCAAAGACGGACGCGACATTGACGAGCAAGACTGTCAGAGCCGACTTGACCGTGCTGACTCCCAACGCGGCGCGTGCATACGACGGGAGGTAGATGCTAGGCATGAAGAAACCCAGCGACTGGCAAATGTTGGCCGCTTGGTGAAGCATAAAGGTCCGGCTGAAGGTGAAGCTCAGCTTCAATGGATTGACGTGCCTCGTAGTCGAGTACGGCAGCCGCGGCCTGATGAAGTAGGCGAGCGGCAGGGTCAAGATGAACAATGCGAGCGACCAAACCCGCAGAGTGGTGCGAAATCCATAGCGGCCCAGGAGAGCTTCAAAGAGTAGTGGTAGAGCGAAGCCCGCCAACCCTGTTCCAGACCACATGACGCCGTATGCGAAGCCTTTACGCTTCACGAACCATTCATCCATGTACAATATGCAAGGGCAGTATGATATCGACCCGCCTATAGCGTACACGACTCCCTGGGTGGCAATGAGGTGTGTTGTGTTTTGCGCAAAGGAGCTCCCAGCCAGCGCCACGCACATGATGAAGAGGCCAATAATCGGGGACCACCTCGTCTGCCTGGGGTACAGTCTCTGGACCAACATGACGAATGGAAGACCGAGATACATGATTCCCTTGGCCGCGCTTGTTAGTTCGAGACAGGAGGCTAAGACTCTGGGAGATTGCTTACCATCGCGCATGTGCCGATGACGGCGATTTGGGAAGACCCCGCGAATGGCTCATGCGTGCTGTAATAATCCTGGAAAACTCCAAAAGCGAACGGGAACCCTGAAGAATAGCCGCAGTCAGCGACTAATCCAATTATCGAGGATAGACGACAGATGCAAGGACGGAAACGGCTTACCCCACGTCAGGGCCTCGACCGTGAAACAAGCGGCGAGGAAGAGCCACGCATCTTTTCCGCCATCTACCCTGGGCAGAGAGAATTCATGTTTGCCAAGTGCCTCCTCCTCCGAGCCCGTCAAGCCCCCAATATCAGGAGACGTCGGCTGCGAGCGCCGCAGCTCAATTGAAGATGCAGTCATGGCGAAGCGATGGCGGCTGGAGAATGATAGCGGACAATTAGCCACAAGACGCGCTGTCCCCTTATAGTAAGTTAATCTCCACATGTGTGCGCCCTTCGCCTGACGTAGGGCGATGTCAAAATGCTGGGCCTCAATTTATGTGGAGAAATGTTGGCTGCATTGAGGATATCGGAACCAAAGCCGAGCCGTTGAGCAGGAATTCGAGTCGCTCCCACCAAATAAAAACCAGTAATCAGTTATAATTTTTCCGGCATTTATAGACTCCAAGTGCAGAATCCTAACCAGGGAAATTTAATAAACGTCCGGATGGATTGTGCGCTGACTGGTAATGAACACCAGCCTCGTCCCCTCACAAACGGCTGCAAAATGAGATGACCCCACCTGCACCCAGGATTATAAGCAAGGGGTGTTGTGCGCATCAAGTACCAAGTTGGTATACCAAGTTATCCCAAGACTAGATTAAAGAGCAAGGGGAGAGCTTTTACACAAAATAAAATAAAATAAAACACAAAGCTCCGCCATCAGCTTTGGCCCTTGATTAGAATAGATAAATGACATATTTTCCCGGGCCACTCTCACTACCCTATACCGGTCCTTCTCTCTCCTCACACCCTGCCCCAAAATTCTCCACACCACATTAATTATGGAATCACGCGGACGATAAATCGTTCTTTAACATTCGAGCCGCTGGGAATATATAAACGGCTAGCACCTAGGTTTTGACAGACTAGTGTGAGGAGCGAAGCAATCCGGGTTTCAATCGAAGTCCCTGAGTCAATGGTCCACCATGTGTATTAGAAATGAGCAAAAATTGGAGGATTATCTAGATACAGCATAGGATGACTGATATTTATTTGTCCCACATATCTCAAGTTCGATGATCAGAGTTCGATGCGCATTTCCCTGCCGCAGATAGCCACCGGATGGTTCCATTCTCAAGCATCGCCTGCGAGGCCCTTTCGCTCCCCATTCTGGAAAATTCGACTCTCCATTTCGCCCTCAATCCTAGCTCGGCGCGCTGCTTCCTCTTGGCCGTTGTTGTCGTTGAAAACGTCGTCCATCTGCTCCAGGGTTCGGCCGTTGGTTTCGGGGATCACGAACCAGACCCAAACGGTGGCGAAGAGGCAGAATACACAGAAGAAGATGTACGTTCCGAAGCCCGTGTTCTGGATAAGAGGGGGGGTAATGAGGCCGATGATGAAGTTGTTGAACCAGTTCGACATTGTAGAATAGGCCATCCCCTTAGCACGCAGAGACGAAGGGAAGATTTCCGCGGGCATGGCCCAGGGAATCGGACCCCAAGTCGCACCAAAAGACAGCATGAAGAAGAAGAGAAAGGCGACGGAAATCCAGGCCTCGGTATTATGAGTCTCCCAGCTGTTCTGGTACAAGCCGACAAGGATCGCAATGACGAAGTGGGCCGTGGTCATGCAAACAGCTCCGCCTAGCAGGAGTGGGCGTCGGCCAAATCTGTCCATTCCCCAGAGAGACCAAGAGCATGCGACGATTTGAAGGATATTCAGGACACCGGACATATCAAGTTGGAGTTGGTAGCTAAGACCCATGGTCTTGAATAGAGTAGGGGAGTAGTAGATGAGGGCATTGATACCGACGAATTCTATGGCCCTATGTGTAAGCGAGCGGGGACATCAGAGGAGAGAAATGCTAGACTTACGCTGGAAGAACATCAGTCCGATACCAACATGGGTGCGCGCGCGAGCTCCCTTGCGGAAACAGTCAAGGTATCCGGCGACCTGAAGTCTGATACGGCTCCATGTGCTTCCGTCCTGCAGGTTGGGGTGCAATTCGGCATTAACCTCCTTGCGGTATTGGACTTCGGATCGGATTTCGAACCACTCTCGAAGAATTCGCGCGTCGGTGGCGGGCAGGTTGCGGAGCTTGCAGAGAACTTGGAGGGACTCGTCGTCGCGACCCTTTGAGGCGAGCCAGCGGGGGGAGTAGGGGAGGAACGGGACACCGGCACCAAGGAAGAGAGCCGGAACCATCTACATGACAGGTCAGCTGTTGGTGGGCATCAGAATAGGTCGTCAACACGTACCTGGAGAAGGAAGGGAAGCCTCCACGACCACTCGCTCTGGATGTGCCTTGTTCCGTAGGTGGTGTAGAAAGCAATGACAATAGCCGTGACGATGGAAAATTCCTGAAGAACAAGAAGAGTTCCTCGGATCTCAGGCGGTGCGATTTCCGAAATGTACAGTGGCGCGACCATGGCAAGCATACCGACCCCAATGCCGCCCACGAAACGACCAGCAACGAGCATACCAAAGTTCATGGCGCCCGTCTGCAGCGCAGAGCCAACCAAGAAGATGATGACCGCAGCCAAGATGGACCACTTGCGAGAGATCTTGTCGGCAAGCCAGCCCTGGTTCATTGCGCCGAGGAAGGCACCGAGCTCGATCATGGCCGTCATAAGGCCTTTCAGAAAACCAGCACCGGAAGCGTTTGCACCGACTTCGGGGAATTGCTCGATGAATTGGTCCATGACCAGCGTCACGGAGACAACGCCTTGATCGTATCCGAACAAGGCGCCGCCCATGGTGGCGAATGCAGCACAGATGGTGACATATTTGTTACCAAAGATGCCACCGAATCCTATGAGATGTGTCAGTAACGGCAAAATAGCGAACCATGGCTCGTGACGTACCGGCCTTTCCATATGGCTCTCTTTCTCCGCTCAAGATGCCGTTCTGGAGAACAACAGCTTCGGTCTCGGCAATGTTGATGCCGCTGCTGGACTCAATATGATGGGAGTCCGAGCCCCCCTTGGCGATCTTCTCGTCCATATCTTCTTAAGTCGATGTATGAGAAAATAGTCTCGGAAAGTCCCAGTATTGGAGAATGTGTGTGATGGAGAATAGGCGTGGAGCGTGGGGTAAAATCTGGGGAAGTCAAAAAGAGAAAAATCCGGGGAAGCCATATATAGTAAATCGTGGGCCTGGGGATTGCGGAGCAGCAGCATGCCTTCCCCTCACCCCATCCAGGCCTGATTCATTGATTGTATGGCATGTTTGACATGAGCCTTGTTACTCAGTCGTCCTGTTCGCACCTCGAATTCCGAGGCATGGATTGGTGGCCTAAGCGCACTTTGCCACGTCGGAGTGTAATTCCGATGGGACGTGCCGCTTATTTTCACTAGGCGGCCATGCCCAACTCTGTAAACCTTCGCGGATAGCAACAGTAATTTCACTCACACGAAGTTATCAGGGTGCGAGGGACTTGCTATTGAGCCAATGGGACGTGGATGGCACCATCGGCTTTCCCGCCGTGGGCTCACGCCGACCTTTGGCTGACGCCGCTACGCAATGCTCCCTTGGACAACCCCAAGTACTAACCGGGATCTAGTCATGGCCCAGACTCCAAAACTGATGTAAGTACAGCGTGGACTCTCTCTCGGGTCAGAATTCCGAAAATCTTGCACCCCCTGGTTTGGAACGTCACCGATTATACGGTTGAAATCAAGATGAAAGGCTTTGGAGATACAGGCGCATCATGCTAAAGTGAATTGATTTATTGTCATGCACGTGGACATTGCCTGCAGGTGGCGTCATGTTTCTTTCAAGGCAGAGCCGCAGACGGCTACGATAACGTCCATGACATGCGTCTGAAACGAGAGGCATGACGTCGATTCCACGACGTCGGAAAAGCAAGAAAACATGCCCCATTTCGCCTTCTCTATCTGATCAAGTACCATATTTGAGCCATTTATTCGACGATAGAACATTTGAGCTATTTCCTCGTTGGTCACACATGCCTGGGTGGATCATGCGATGAAGGGGTTGGAGGTCGCGTTGCGCGAGGTAGGTATTCCGTCATTTATCACACTACGATCAAGTCGATGGATCTAGTACAGGTGGTTTAATCGCTCGATCATTCCCGGAAGCGGACCTAATGACGGATTCGGAAGTATACTACATGCGTACGGGCATATTATTCCAAGGATGTGGTCCGGAACCCATGAATGGACATGGGTGCGTGAGGATGGAACCACTCCCGAGTGAATGGTTCAGACACGCGATAGGAGAAGAGAAGACGGATTTCAGGTTTCAAATTAATTAAGAGTGATGGACAAGATGCTACGGTATGCTAGCTCATTGGTAATAAACAATACGCAACGTATCGTCCCTTGAATAGGGGTATAGACGACCTCTGCCCCAACCTCTGGTGGCCCTCGACCGGGCCACATGACTCCCATCTCTCCTACAACAATTGGCGAACTCTGTTCGGCATGCAAAAGCACAGTACTTCAATCGGGAACATGGCTGACCTGACACTACAGCTGTCTAGCTTCGCGATAATCTACCCGAGTCACATTTGACGGCCGACGGCCGCTAGTTTTCGAGGGCATCGCTTCTATGACGCACGCGATAGCACCATATATCGGCTGGCTCCTCGTCCGAGTTTCGATCGGGCCCGTCGATGTGAATACCCGTTACTGAACATCGCACGCCGATGATGCCCGGTCCCACGATCACGAACACAGCAACCTCCTCCCTCCTACAAGCACCGCATATAATCTTGCCAGATTCTGACGTCTCTATTTTCCCGAATAATCAACTCCTTCTGTTGTAATACGCACTTCATTTTCAGCCTGGCCATTTAGCTGTATGTCAGAATGCGACATATTTTTGTTCTTTAACTTTCTCCCCATGGATATCCATCAGCTCCCGCTGCTCGGTCGTTACCCGATTACTATACGGATCTCGGCTCTCTGAAGAGAAATAGTCGAAACAAACTAACATCGTCCCTCTCTTCGAGCTCTTTCTCGGAACTGTGCTTAGCGCTATGATAGCCAGCATCACCTCGTCATGGAGCCCTTATCGTCGTTCTCTTCCACATCTTCCACCTTATCCAGTTCAGCGTCTCCTACTGCTCGACTCTGCTCGATTACTGCAGAGTTCGATAAGTATGACGAGTAAGATACCAGAGGACGCACCACCGCATAGTTTTCCTCTATCGAGATGGCTTCTAAAACCATGCGAATCTCAACTGCATGACTCGTGAGCCGCCAAGAAGCAGTTGGTCATTTGATCACGCAAGTCGTGTGATTGGATCATCGATTCAATGCATGCAAGCCGCTGCGTGACTGTCCAAGACGTAATTGCATTATTTCTGTGCAGCATAATTGTCAATCATTTGTTATTTCCGCTACAACCGATGCACGAATGTACCCTGATCCTTGGATGCTGCACCGGTATCACTTCCAGTCGTGAAGCAGGCACTAGCTTGCTTTGACTTTAGCTTAGGTAGACCGAGGTCACTATGCTATCAGCACTGCTTAATTTCGGACAAGGAATTTACTGTGGCAATGTAATATCAAAGAACAAGATCGACAATCACCAACGTTTAACAATGTGCTTCGTCCGACTTGAAACGCCGATATCACTTTATCTCCTCCGAGCGCTAACGTGGCCGGTCAATCCGGTGTCTTAGGGTTTCCCTAGAAGATCGCCATGCAGGAGAATGTAAAATGTACCCAAAGCAGCAACAAGGCAGTTGCAAGCGCAAATACAATCACCAGCCATTGGTCGACGGGTCAGTTGATCCTCTCTTTTCCCCGGATCCTTCACGGAATCCACAGCGAGCTTCCCTTTCCCCGCACTTCCCTTCCGCCTTGTGTAGATCAGGTGTTGGCTTTGTGTAAAAGATGCATTTCGTTACGACTGTATCACTGCCGCCTTCCCCCGCTTCTGTGATATCATTGAGCGAGACTTGCATATGTGATGCCACGTATATGAGCCGTGTCTTCCCCCGACATCGCCTTCCAACTAACTTGGTCTTCCTTTCTCTGCAATTCTCCCCCCAGTCTCCAATTTTCTCCCAACCTTTTGTAATTCTTGAATCTCAACATGATCGCAGTCATTTCGGAGACGTCGGATGCACTCCCCTCGCACATGCGGGTAGTGCCAGGGTCCGTCAACATCAAGGGAGCCCCATTCCCCAATCCGCCCAGAGTAATCAATGCCGACCCCGGCGCAATTGTTACACAGATCACGGAAAAGTTCAACCAGGCTCTGGAAAAACAAGATTATGCAACCCTGTCTGGCCTTTTTGCTGACGACAGCTTTTGGCGAGACCACCTAGCCCTGTCATGGGATTTTCGAACAGTCCAAGGTCCAAAGAACATCGAAACGTTCCTCCAAGGATTTGCTTCAACCGACACCGGAGTCCGACTCAAATCCATCGCCATTGACACCAGTTCGCCTGCTCGAAAGCCACAAACGAGCTACCTCGATGCAGACCAAAAGGTGTCTTGTCTCCAATTTTGCTTCACGTTAAAAACGACTGTTGGAAGCGGCGACGGCGTCGGACGTCTTATCGAAGTTGGACCTGATGACTGGAAGATCTACACATTCTACACGATCCTCCAACAGCTCAACGGTCACAAGGAAAACATCTTCAATCAGCGGCCAAAAGGTGTCGAGCATGGCGGAAAGCCCGGAAGAAAGAATTGGGCGGACCGACGTAGCTCTGAGATGAAGTACGATGGCGGGAGCGAGCCAGAAGTGCTAATCCTTGGTATGAGACGCCTTGCACTGGTAGAGCAGATCAATGTACTGACCTCTTATTAGGCGCTGGACAGGCCGGTCTCACCATTGCTGCTAGGCTAAAAGCTCTCGGGATCAACTCACTCATGGTCGACAAAAACGACAAGGTTGGAGACAACTGGAGGAACCGATACCATCAATTGGTGTTGCACGACCCTGTTTGGTACGATCACCTACCGTACATCCGATTCCCTCCGCAATGGCCCATCTTCACGCCCAAAGACAAGCTGGCCGATTTCTTTGCCTCGTACGCAACGCTTCTTGAACTTAATGTCTGGATGAAGTCGGAAATCGCCAGCAGCAAATGGGATGCTCAAGAACGCAGGTGGTCCGTCACAGTCAAGCGGCAACTGGATGACGGCAGCGAAGAGACGAGGATCTTCCGCCCACGCCATATCGTCCAGGCTACTGGGCATTCTGGTAAGATGAATTTGCCCAACATCCCCGGCATTGAGGACTTCAAGGGCCATCTTCTGTGCCACTCTTCCGAATTTCCAGGTGCGCGAGAAAACCAGGTGGGAAAGAAAGCAGTGGTGATTGGTTGCTGCAACTCTGCCCACGATATCGCTCAGGATTTCTACGAAAAGGGCTACGAGGTAACCATGGTTCAAAGATCTAGCACTTGTGTTATTTCGTCCGAGGCAATCACGGAAATCGGACTCAAGGGCTTCTACAGAGAGAATGGACCGGACGTCGACGACGCAGATTTACTTTTTCACAGTATACCCTCGCCGGTGTTGAAGACCAATCAGGTGACCGTCACGTTGGCTCAGGGCAGGCATGACGCCGAACTTTTGAAAGGACTCACAAAGGCTGGGTTCAAGCTTGACAGCGGTCCAGATGACGCGGGCTTCTTCATGAAGTACTTCGAGCGCGGCGGCGGGTACTACATGGACGTGGGGGCTTCAGATCTGGTCATCAAAGGCAAGATCAAGATCAAACAAGGCCAAGAGGTCGACCAGGTGCTGCCCCATGGGTTAAAATTTGCAGATGGCTCAGAGCTGGAGGCAGACGAAATCGTGTTGGCGACGGGGTACCAAAACATGCGTACCCAGACACGCACCATCTTTGGCGCTGAGGTCGCGGATGCGGTAGGTGATATCTGGGGCTACAACGATGAGGGCGAAATGAGGATGATCTGGCAACGCACTGGTCACCCAGGATTCTGGTTTCACGGAGGAAATTTGGCATTGTGCAGATACTACTCCAAGCTGCTAGCATTGCAGATCAAGGGTCTTGAAGAGGGAGTGTACAAGTATGGAGATAACTAGAATGCAGTGTCTTCTGGGCAGCATTGAGTAGTCGGAATATTCTAACCGTCCGTGTTTATTTATCAGATTTTCCGACCGACACGCCTTGACCCATGCACAGACTTGATGTTTCCTTTGTCATTTGAAGACTGGAGGAGCTTGACGGCTCCAAGGAGGATGGCACGGGTTTAGTAACCACGGCAAGGTGACACCATGGATCTTTCTTCGCGTCCTGCATTTTCCACCGAGATAAAGGTGAGAGGAGATCTTCATTCGCTCCCTTCGCGTGGCCTTTACTCAAGTTAGTGATACATTCTAATCGGACTCTAGGATGGGTCTCAACATACTCTCGGGATAGTCCGTTGATGGCGTTTGTAGAGGAGTGGACGGCATGGCGTTGGGTGCTAGAAAGCCTGCAGAACGAGACTTTGTGACTCGGGTAGGTAAAAGGCTTCCTGAAAAGAATAGTGGCGACTCCAATGTGTCCACATCGATAGAAGTCAAGACGCCCATTGGAGGTGATGTCCAGAAACAAGTATGTGTATTGCTATTCGAGAGAGCTGGATATGATGCTCTCTTTATGTGTCTGGACTGGGACCTTATGTACTCACGCTGTTCATGGAAAGACCATGAGGGACTGGTTTGCGGTTTACGATGCGGTCAACGGGTCCGATGAGGAGGCGTTCCACTTTGGCCGCAAGATCCAAGAAGATGACCCGGCTGTGCCGTTTTTATTCGACAGTATTACCCAACAGCACGATACTTGCTACTGACATGACTGAAGTGCAACGCCATGAAACTTGCATGCCCTTCAAATAACCTGTAAGATAAATGGCCCTGCAGATACAGTCTCACCGCAGATCAGAAGGCAGTACTCAACAACGCCTCTGAGCGAGTGACAAAACTGGCCCGGGATTGAGGTTGCGAAGTGGAGAAGAAAAGAATGACAACACGCTGCATAATGTAGGGTGATTAGGAAATGAAGTGTATCGGCAAGTCTGAGGCTTGTTCGTTTAAGACGGTATTGAGGGGGCTCAGACCCCAAACCAAGGTAAATAGCTCGCCGGGAGTACTAGGAAAAGGGTGAGCCACGAAAGAGCCTGGGCTTGAGAGGCACAGTTGGACTAATCGCAAAATTGGCCTTCCACATTAGAGCGTAGATGAATCAGAACACTGGCCTGATACGTTAGAGCGCGAACGGTATTGGAGGGGCATCGAGCCCCACACCAAGGTGAAGAGCTCGCTGTCATTAGGTACTGCGTAAAGAGCAAATCACAAAAGAGGCTGGGCTTGAAAGGAACAGTTGGACGAATCACAAAACTGGCCTTATACGTCAGAGCGTGGACGGTATTAGAAGAGCCTAGAACCCTAGATCAAGGTAAATAGCTTGCCAGGAATACTGCAAAGGGAAAACCACAAACAGTCTGGCCTTGAACAGCAGAATTGGACGAATCAGAAAACTGGCCTCCTATCTTATAGTGTGGACGAATCAGAAAATTGGCCTGCTGAGACGCTCTTCATTATGTCAGCATGACTACTTCGGCATTGTTTAAAAGAAGCATTTCCATCGCCATTGGGCTTTGTCAAATCTCTCATGCTTCTTCATCCGCCGTGGATCGCAACGATCCCAGCTGAACCTCGCAGTCCACCGCAGCCTATTTTTGGGCCGTGGTCATCTGCATCGGATCACTATTAGCGGCAAGCCACTTTAGTACCTACGGCCATACCGCTGCCCTTTTCGCTATCGCATCACATTCTACTTCTTTTAGTTCTCCTATTCCTAGTATTTTCTTTGATGATTTTGGCACCGATATAAATGTCTATCTTAGTACTTTTCTTGGTGCTGTTGACCTCTTTGGACATGAGCTAAGGCTCCTCGAAAACAATCCTTTCTGGCCCGATGGACGGACATCGCAGGCTAGTTATGACTGGGAGGCGAGTGGCTACAACTACCACGAGACGCCTACCATAACTGGCAACGATAGTCGGAGCCTAAATTGTCCTACCCTCCCACTTGGCGATGTTTTGCACGATGCATTGCCTACATTCCCTCAAGGTCCCCATAATCAAACCACACCAGACTCTAGTGGTTCGCCCCTAACAGCACTCGTTTCTGTTCCTTCTACACCTATTTCCTCAGTTAGGACTACCGTCTGCCTCGCCGAACTAGAAAATGACGCCATTTGCTTCGAACCTCAAGCTGGATTGCCCTCGGTACATGCAGCAGCTTCTCCGGCGACTGGGGATGTCTTCGCCTCTGAAACCTTAGACTTGGTAGACTGCACTCGATGCCCAAAGCAATTTTCAGGCACCGATAAACTCAGGTACGCAACTACGCACCATACGTCGAATATTGCCACTAACGCGTCTTCCTTTAGGGAGCACACTGCCTCGGCTCATCCTACCCCCGGTTGTCAATGCGCATGTGATGTCTGCACCGGCAAGATTGGTGGTGAATGCAACCTCACCACCGGTGTCGCTCCATACCGATGTCGATGTGGGTTGCAATCCATGCAGAAACAGCACTTCAAAGCACATATCAGAACAGCCAATCGCCGACAGATTCAGTGCCGCTGTAGCAATGTTTATCGCGAAGACAAGTTCAAGTCGCATGCCAAGTCATGCAAACAAGGTGACCACCCCTTTGTTTGCTGGCGTCCAGGTACTGCCCACCGAGTTCAATACACGTCCAAGGAAAGCTTTATGATTCACTACGATCAGTGCGAGCGAAGGAGGAAAGGCCGACCGCGAAATAGGATCGTTTCGAATAACGCAGGATTGGAATGAAGGAGGACACGTGGGAGTGGATGCGAGTCAAACGCAGGCTACAAAGCAACCAGGATTGGAAGAGGAGACATGCTTATATTACATTTGGATCGAGTTCTTTCTGTCATATATAACAGTGACGAGTTATAATTCAGTTTCAATAGACCGTTTTATTGTTCGAGGATGATATTCAACATCTTGCGACTTTATGAGTACAGGTTGTCAATGATGAAAGCTATCTCTTCCTCCCGGTATGTATCAGGTTCTCCATATGCCAGCTGCGTAGTATTGACGTCAAACACCAAATTCTTGGGGCTTTTGACGTCGTATTGAGGCCACGTGATGGATCCAGCTGTGAACGCAAGTTAGTGACTGCTTGGTCTTGTCAGATTCCGAGAAGTACGGAGCCGCCTTACCTCGATGATAGTTCGGATTACCCTGGGTAATAAAGCTAACCCACATTCGAGACATGAGATTTGCGAGTTGCACAAACGTCTTGGGCTTCCCAGTAAAAGGATTCGTCGAGACCACCGTGTTGTAGCCATTGGCCTGGATGTTGTTAAACACAAAGACTACCTCTTGGAAATGAGTGGCTCCGATTATGGGTTTTATGCCGTTGACGAGAACATTCCAGTGATAACTCCAGACTGGCACCTTGTTCTCAGCCCACGACTGAGCAGTAAGGCGGCGAGCTCCGTGCTGCACTGCATCTCCACGATATGCCGCCACTCGCTTCCATTGTGCTCCGTATGACGCAAGGGACCCTTCAGGCCGGCCTTCGAAAGTGGCTGGGATGCCGAGGTCAGGCTCATCTGGGTACAGCTCTGCGACCTTTTGCGCAAGATCAGCACCGACACCCCCAGCTTTCACCAGAGAAAGAAACTGCTCTGAGGTATCTATCCCTGTCGACGCGTACGCAGTTCCCTCGTCGAAGTTGGTACCAAGCATTAAGGGTACCTTGACAAATTTGCCTGCCTTTAGCAGGGCATCTCCTGGGGCGATAAAAAAGTCATCGTCTACCACTTGACCCCAGCCGGGAACGGTAGCGAAGGAGCTGTTGAAGATTGAGCTCAACTCGGCAGTTGGCACACGCCTTAAGCACGCCACCGAGTCACTGGCAGATGCACAGTTCGTAGCTGCGAGAAGCGCCGTGTAGTACGGCGACCACGACTGAGCTGTGGCAGGCTTCAAAATTCCTGGAAGAGACGAGCCACTTTCGAGGACTGCGCCGTGGAAGAGGCCATCATTTCGTCCACCGTAAGCCACAAGTTGGGCACCAACACTGCGCGCACCGGCACTCTCACCCCAGATAGTGACGTGTCGGGGGTTTCCTCCAAATTGAGCAATGTTTTCGTTTAGCCAGTGCAAGGCTAGTCGCTGATCTCGGAACCCCAGGTTGGTCGATCCCTCTGCAGCGAGGTCGGCACTGTGAAGGAAACCCCAGCCATGCAGACGGTAGTTGATGCTTGCGGCGACCATTGGAGTTCCCATCTTGACAGATTGCTCGACAATGAACGACAGGTTGTATCGAGGATCAGAGCCACCGCCATTCGTAAGACTGCCGCCGTGGATCCATAAAGCGACGGGGAGTTTGTCGCCCTTGGTTGTGCCGGATGGCCGGATAACATTGATAGTGAGGCAGTCCTCTGACACGTAGTTTCCAAGCACCCAGGTATCGCTTCCGTATCCAATGCACTGACGTGAGTACTCGGTTGCATTTCGTGAACCTTTCCATGTGGTGTTGAGGGACTGGGGAACTCGAAACCGCAAATCTCCAACAGGAGGTTGTGCGTATGGCATTCCAAGAAACAGGTCTTGGTTGTAAGCTCGGTTGTATACACCATAATACGTGCCGTTAATAGTTTTCGCAGTCGGCACATACCGACTCGGGGCTGGTGACGCGAGAGCAACCCATGACAGCAGCAACGGCGCCAAGGCACATTGCCACATGTATTGAGATAGGACCATTTTGGCAACCCGAAGAGACTCTCAAATATCCCCGTAGGATATTAGAAAGAGTTCAGAGAAGAAAGATTCGGTTTAGAGCAACTAAGAGAACATAGCTGAAGAGTCGGGAATGTGAGATAATGGCTGTATATAGTGGCCCACTTACTAAAGAATAGAAGAACCTAAATCCTGGAACTAATTTGGGGATCTACATGGAAACTTCCAGACGCGGGTAACTATTTCCTCATAGACCTATGGACCAAGCGTGGTTTGGCCATTCCACCGGCGACAGCTCCAAAAACGGTCGCGGGGCCTTCAATGCCAAGCTGTCACGAGAGCATCATCTCCACTTGTTCAATTCCGCCAGGCCCGGACGGCACAATATCGGCACTTTATGCGGGATATTTAGCTGGAAACTGGAGTTCATGAGGGAAATGTAATACTCCGATTATTCTCCTGTGCAGGATCTACTAATGGCAATATGAGCCCACTGGCGGCATCGGCAAACCGTCGGCGCAATCCTCGGCCGTTAGAGCCTGTTTTCGCCATGTGTACAAGGATACAAAGGTACAAAGAAGGAGATGCGTACATGTGTAACCTGATTCTTGGCATGTAATAGAGTTTATAGGCGCAGGTTGCTAACGAATATCGTCCCATTCATCCGGGATCGGTGGAGTTGCTGAGCATGTTTGAACAGCCACGCAATGCAACAGCGGATAGGTTTATTTAATCGAGGATGCAAGCTACGGATCACGGCAGGGTAAATTGATTTCACGGGTCAAGTAACGATTGGACGCACAAGCGAACTAGAAGCTCGTGTGACCCAAACACGACCAAGAGGCGAATCTCGGTACTTCAGCACGGCTACTGAATCCCTCCCTGTCTCTGACCCCTGATCAATTTACCCCATTTGATCGTCCCCATTAAACAGTCCCCGCATTCCCCCTCACGGGGTCAGTGGAGTGCTGGAGCAGGTGGAGTCAACGTACGGCAAATCTGGAGAACGACTGATGCCACGCGCTTAGACCCTGGTAACAGAATGCCAGTCGTGCGTCGAGTCATTAGACCCGAGTCATATTACCCGGCTGTGTGTTACTTCTACCTCGGCTTTTTGTACGCAGCAAATTTGATCTTTAAACGTAATTCGTGCAGTTCGATTTATCCACTTGCGGCTGAACCGCTTTACAGGCTGGCATAGAACTGACTATCTGTAGGTCTTTCTTGTATGAAGAAATTGCCTTAGTGGGCCTCCTTATTCTCCACCATATCATCTCGCTCGTCGTGCTCCGCACTAGCTCCCTTCAGAACATCCTGGGCCGTGATACCACCAGCCACCGCGTCGTCGCCGTCAAACAGGTATGCCATGTTCTCAAGCGTGCGGCCTCGGGTCTCGGGGTAATAGAACCAAATGGTGACAATCATAGCGACAAGCACCGCGACAAAGACAAAGTAGTACTTCCATTGGATTGCGTCGAGCGCAATGGGGTTAATGAAAGTGTTGAAGAAGACGGCGGCAAGGGTCGTGAGTAGCGTGACCGACAGGCCCTTGGCACGGAGACGGAATGGCCAGATCTCCACCGGATAAGCTACCAGGAGCGGCGTCAATGCGATATCGTAGCCCATGAAGTAGCTGGTGATGATTAGTTAAAAATCTCCGTAGCGTTGTAGAGACGGGACACTTACATAAACAGGAACGGGATGACCGCAGTACCAGTGGCGGCATTGCCGGTCGCGGCAAAGCTGCCTGACAAGCCAGTAATAATGATGTATGATACCAACATGATGGCTCCCTGTAGATCGATGGGTTAGCGTCGCGTTCGTGTCACCAAATCTGACCAGGGTCTCGGGGGGGTGGTCAATATTGCGTGTACTAACCGAGGAGAGAAACAGGGCACGTCGACCAATCTTGTCAACCATGGAAGCGGCTGCAACTGCCCAAATCAGGTTCCAGATTTGGAGACAACCTGAAATAAGCGTCTGATCCTTGACCGAAGTAATGCCAACCGTTTCCTGTTAATTGAGTAGTCAGTATCACCACATCTCAACACGGGGGAGTTGATGATGCATTCACACATCAACAACCAAGGATTTCTTACCAAGACCATAGCTAGATAGTAGCTAACGACGCCATTTCCAACCCACTGGCCGAAAACTCCCAGAGTGACTGAGATGAAAAGTCGATGCCTGTTGCCTGGGGTGCTCCAGAGATCATTCCACGAGGTTGACTCCTGGGCCTCCTTTTCGGCTTTGAGCGTAGCGTCGATCTCGGTGATTTCGAATGCGACCAAGGGTGCGTTTACGTCTCCTCCGCAGTGATCTTGCGCGAGGATTTGTCGGGCCTCGTCGACACGGTCAACCGAGACTAGCCATCGAGGCGACTCGTGGGCCATGAAGAATCCGGGCATTGCCATTAATGGAATGACGGCTTGGAGCAACGAGGGGACGCGCCAGGCCCAGTGGTCCATTTCCCTCGTTCCAAAGGTGACCCAGGCAGCCACAATGGATCCGATGTACCATCCGCAGTTGTAGAGACTCGATGCGATACCGCGCTGGGTGGGGAAGGCGTTCTCGGTAATCAGTAGTGGAACTGAGAGAAAGAAGCCCGAAGCGCAGCCGAGGAAGAGTCGTGCGAGGACAAAGGCCGTTTCGCCGTTGGCAGCAGTCTGGAGAGCAGTTCCGAGGACTAGGAAGACATATCCAATCCAAATACCAGGCTTGCGGCCGTATTTGTTGCACATCCACGCGGCAACTGGGTACACCACCACGCTGCCTAGGGAGTAGATGGCATTGATGAAGCCCAGCCATGCGCCGGAAGGATTGTCCATGAACTCAGCCCATTGAGGGAGGGCCAGCAGGCCGTTCATCATGGAACCATCGTATCCGTTGGACGATGAGAACAGGATCATGGACAAAATGGTAAAGTTGAGTTTGATGAGGTGCTTCTGCTTGTACCATGGTCCAGTGTCCGGCAAGACGGCCGCCAGCTCTTGGCCGACAGCCTTTGTCTCGGCAGACGTTGCTTGGTGGGCCGTTTTCCCCATGGTGAGGTCAGGCTCGAGCTGATTGATAACAAAAGGTAGGATATGAGAGTGAAGATGATTGAGGCGAGGGATGAAGATAGCTGGAAAACCGGATATCCGAAACTTTGTCGGCTCTTTATGTATTTACAGTTTGCGGAGCGCAGCGCGCGTCAACCCAAGGGTGGCTTGCCTCGTGCTCACCACCCCAGGAGCCAAGGGAAACCCGACATCCAATGGCGGCAAGTCATGAGCCTCATGCCAAGTCGCAACGCCTGACAGATGGCGGGAGATATTGGGCAGGGAACATGATTCATGGCGATTGCCCGAATAGCTTCCCCCAGAAACGCCCTCGGCAATGCGTCCTGGATCACACCTCAGACTCCTTCTAGCTAGACTACCCCAGCCATGCTAGTTGGAGTAAGCTTAAGACAACCAACTGCCACGCGGTACGTAAGTGTTCGCCTTGGCAGGAAGCTACGGTCGGAATGTGGGATGAGCCCATTAATGGGGGCGTGCTAGCTTGGAATATATGCAGGACGCGAGTCCAGAACAGGATTCAGGCCGGGCGCGGGTCAACTAACAAGGTGAAACCCCTGCCTACCAACCACTCAAGAGGCATATGTTCGGCAAAACCACGCCTTTACTACGCCTTTACTGCGCCTTTACCACGGATATTGAAGCTGGCCTGTCCAATATTAAGCTCGATTAAGTCTAAGTAGGAGGAGTTGATGGGGTCGAGCAGGTTGACAATCGGTCCGAATACAACAATCTGGGGACCCCGCGTTTTACGCTGCGCCGCTTCAGCCAGGAATATACCCCAGTTCGCATCGTAGAGGAGCGCAACACACGCCCGTCTGGTTAGCCAAAGGCAATCGTAGCCGGAATTTGTCTATAATTGCGCGTTAACAGCAATATTTGCCGCTCCCTGGCCTCGTCATTCCTCGGCAACCGTTCCGAGAAATACCTGGTTTGCCGCGGCATGCGGATTGCGTGTGGCACACAAATCTCAGCTCATCTCTAGTGTCTGCAAGAGCAATCTGACACGGGCCGCAATCACATACGAGAAAACTGCATGAGACATAATTGAGTATCATCATGATAGCAGATCGGCAAACGGTTGCAAGGGCCCTCTTTTTAACGTGTCGGTTGCTCCGAGAGTTACCCTACCCTGGACATTCCCCGCGTTGATCACCATCGGCGAACCTTGCGCCGTCGCTTTCATCAAGGCGACGATCCTTCCCATATCCCAATCAAAATTTAGACCGTGAAACTGTACTTTATCGATAACAAGAGTTCCAAGAATACAGCACTCAAAGACCAGTTCAGAGGTCAACTACAAGGTACGGACCTTCCAAGTCGACCATTGCCAAGTTCACAGCGTGCACAGTGATTCAATATGTGCATTTTCGCCAACACCACAATCCGTACAAAATTCTAGGCATCGGAGAGTTTTAAAAATTAGGTACTTGTCCCAGTGGCATTTAGGTAGCACGGAGACTGGGGCCTGGGCTAATGAGGGGATATATCCACTTGGAGTGCGTAGATCTTCGTCTCAAGTCCACCTGCTTAGATGCTGAATATCGTGGAGCTCTACGGAAACCAATGCGACCGTAGCCCACAATCATACACAATCATGTAAGGTACAAGAACATACTAAAATAGCAAGCACTTGCCTGAAGAATCTTGGAACGACAGGTCATCTGAGGTCACGATCGGGTTCCAGCTTGCCGGATATAATAGGTGGATCACATAGATTTCTAGCGGCATATACAATCATGGATACGGGAATGAGCCATATAAGTAACATATGTTAAAATTCGAATGTAACTCTAGGAATATAAATAATATGGAAAGCTAATGATTGTAACTTCTAGTGTAGGGATTGCGGGCAAGTGTTTATCCAAAAATTATAACGCTCCGCGGGTCATTCGTGATACAGGGTAGGCAAGATTCCATAGGCCATTAGACGGATAAGTAAAAATATGGGGCCAGTGGCGCTGCGCTGACAGCCCCAACTAAGAGAGTTAGCAAGAATTCGACACTAAAAAGAAAGAGAAAATGGCACTTGGCAAAGTGGTATCATCAACGCCACAATTTGTGCAGTGAAAATGCCTGATCAGTGCATAGAACTAATTGCTTTGGCCACGCGTCAGTGATCCGGGTAAATCACCTCCTGGTCGTCTGTCCCCTGACACTGATGAGCAGCCGTCAGATGAGACTTCAAGCATTGAGAATGCGGAGCCTGACTTCGACCGCCCGAAACACAAGGGCGAGAAGGACCTGCCTCCAACCCCTAAAGCCGGGCTCAAGGGCCGATGTATTAGAGCTATTTTCACCATCGTCATCACCCTTATCGGATTTGTGGCCGTGGTAGCTGGCCTCCTACTTTTTGTCTTTAACTGTGGAGGGAGATGACAACTTGCCTCGACAACCTGACAGCCAGACCCAGGCGGGAGGAACACTACACCTCGACAAAATGCTACATAAAAATCTTCCGCGACATGCTATCCAAGTTGCTTGTAGATGAGAAAGAGTTCCGAGATCTTCGGAACGACTACTGTCGTCGCCAATGCTCTCTTTTGAGTATAAAGAACACTAGTTGGGCTTTAACCGGCCGCCCCAAAAGCTCCCTCTTTATAGTCGAGACTGAAAAGGTACTCGGTGAGCTAAAGAGAAAGTTCCCTTCCGAGGAGCCACGCTGGGAACTGGATGACAGCCGGAAAGTGCTCTCCTCAAGTGGCTCCAGGGCAGAGAGAAAAGAAGTTATTAAACTGGAGCGGGAGCGCGAATGAGTAGCTCACGAGAAGGAGCAAGGAAGAAAAATTAGCGTCTGCACTGGCTGCATCTAGACTTGGGTGATAGGCCATGATATGTTTGGGGTGATCGAATACATGGAGGGCGCGTCATACGCCTTCAAGTTTGTTGACTTTCTGGGCACGACCTGGCTCGGCGATGTACCGTATGATGACAACCCCATCATCTGCATCAAGAACATCCAAGAACAGGTCACGAGGCTCATCGATGCGAGTGGAGGATGGAAGGTGTATGGAGTAAACGAAGCGAATGGGAGGATGCACCGCTACTACAGGGCAAAGACTATCGGTCTATACGATGTATGGTCACTGTGAGATATTTTGCACACCGAGAACAGCCCCAAGACAATTGATGAGGGTAGATTTGCGGAGTGGAAGTTGGAGGGAAAAGGGCACAGAAGGGAGGCGGATAAGGGCATCTGGGTAGTTATTCCTGTCGGGGGGGGTCACCTACAGTGGGCCGAAGAATGGATTTCACGGAGAGAAGAAGGAGCTGTAGCAGAGTTGGAAATGACTTGGACTTCTTTGTAAGAACTATTCTTTGTGAAGGAGTGAGTTTGATCCATTTCCGTTCCTTATCATCGACCTCGTCAAAAGACTTCGAGTTCCTTTCCGAAGCTAGCCTATTTGTTGGTGTTGCTGGCCCAGATCGGGGTGCCCTTGTAAAGAACAACGTTGCCGTCGTTCTGGACGGCGCAGATGACGGTGTCGTCGCCTGTAGGGGCGGCCGTGTTGGTTTGCCAGGTGGCCTTGCCGCTGTTGTCACTGCGCAAAGGATTTGTATTAGCCACAACAAATCTCTGAGAATGAACCTCGAGGAAGGGAAAGCACTTACTACATGCACAAGTTGCCGTCGCCCTGCATGATGATGCCCTTCATGTTGGAGGACTGCTGCGCGGTGCTCTGGTAGCGGCACTGGCCGCCCCAGTAGACGGCGATCTTGCCGTCTCCCTGCATCTTGAACTCGACCGAGCCGTCCTGGCTCCAGAGGCTCTCGCCGGTCTTCAGCCACTCGCCGTTTCCAAGGGTGTTGTGAGGCATGTTGGATGAAGGTTTGGGGGTGTAAAGAGTATGCTGAAGTGAAGTGTGTGTGCTTTGTGGGATTGAGCGTTGAAGTGCGAGTGATGCGGAATATCTTAGTCTGGAGGGGAACACGGGCTTGTATTTATACCACAATGAGCTTTGCGAGCAGCTTAAAGGTACTCGCATCAAAGCGATCACATCGAGATCCCCAACCCTTCCCCCTCCTTGCAGACTGCAGACATGATGTTGCTCTGCCTCCCAACAATTCTCAATAACCTATCACAGGATAACCCGGCCCGATCTTTGTCACATTGGCAATGTGACTAGCTGGAAGATGCATTCTCCTTTGACCGCCCTTTGGTCACAATGACATATCACAAGAAGACATGTTCCGTAACTTGCTCACATGGATGATACGGTGGGCCGAAGTGCGTATCCTACCATTTGATAGTCCACAGTAACCTATCACAGGAAGGCTCTGCAAGTCCCTCGCATTGACCGACGTTGGTTGAACTTTGTATCCCGCCCTTGCTTAGTTCATAATGACATAACGTAGGAAGAGCTGCTTCACAACTTGCTCGCATTGACGTTGTGGCTGGCTGAAATGCGCATCCTGCCGTCCCGTATCGTCCAGTCTTGTCCCTCTGCATATGCGGTGTATCGGTCGGGCGAGATCTGCAGGGAGAACGGGCCAAGCCAAGTTGTGTTCAAAAATTCCCGCAGATTACTACTCATGTGTACTCTATGTATGGCAAGAAGCAAACAAGACGGACGTCTGGTTGGCATTGAGTAGATATCGTTCATAGCTTCGCTGACTAGACATTCTGCGCAGTCGCCGGCTCTGATGATTTGGGTTGTAGTTGCCGCTAGTCACTCTAGTGAATATAGTCTATGTGTTTTGAGCGTCGACTTTAATTGACAGCAAGGACTCCAAGGGTGGACACATGCCAAGTGAAAGCTATGTATTGTGGTGACACGGCGGTTTAAGTGGTGCCAAAGTGAAATCAATGACTTGATAGGCTACATGCAGCCCCGCCGGGATACTCTTTTGGGGGGAATATGTACTTCCGGGAGTGTCGATCTAGGCAACCGATGCAAACCGATTTCGGCCAGGAGGATCTGAAATGTAGACTCGCGGGGTATCAATAGCTTAAGACCAGGTGCATATGAGGAGGGTATCCACAGGCCTGTGTCTGGAACCTTGAATCTAGCTGCAGACAAGTTTTTCAAGCTCCTAGCCAGTCAGAGTGCTCACTATTGTATCCCATTTCGCCACCAGAAGCGGTCTGTATTTTTGATCTTGGATTGCCAACAGAGTGAAGGGTTCGACTTGTCAGTTCACAATTAATTGCTATCATTCGGCCACAAATCTCGGGTCAAAAACAGGGCCGCCACGACAGCTTCTCAGCCGTAACACAGAGCTCAGCTGAATGTCTGGGAAGCCCCCTCACTTTGTGACTTGAAACCTGTCCACTGACCGTACCGACTCCTCATTTCGGCAGACACGGGCCGTCTCAACGTCGGGCTGTCGCGAGCCTGAAGGCGGGGAAGTCCTCCGTCTTGCATATTGCGGCACGTACACGTCTTTGTCACACATGTACTCTCGTGCCGCCCGTTATTTGTCTGATCTATCAGCTACACTGAGACATCTGGGCGGCATGTGTAGTGAATCGTTGGACGACACTGTCTGGAGAACAAGATGCTGCTTAGCGCTACGACTCTGGCAGAGAATCATTGGAGACTAAGGGACGGGAAATGCAGCCACTGGGCCCATCTGATCTTGATTAAGGCTTAGCTGTATTAGCCGCAGCGCCTCTCGGGCCCTCGGCTCGGGATCCTGCGCGTCGTAGATCGACGCTAATGGGATTCTAGCCCAGGTCACAGACGACCTTATGCAGCGAGGTGCAATGGCCTAGATTGCCATGGCTCTCACCATCACCCCTCGTAGAAGTTGGACAGTGAAAGCTAGCTCTTCTCCAGCCCCTGTTGGTTTCTCTCTCCGATTCAGATTCGGTTCGATGGCTCTGAATCCAAGCTCACGCCGCTTTGCCCGTCCCTCGCGGCTCGATTGGTGATGAGGTGCAGCTGAATGCGCGTCACAGCTCCACTCGCGCAAGATCTGCAGGGAAGCGAAAACGATACATTGCACGAGCTCAAGATCTGCAGCTGACCAAGTCTGGACCTGCAAGGAGACAGCATCCCAAGCCTCAACGACCAACCATACTGGAGGGGCAAGGTAGCAACACAGCAGCGGGGCCTCACCGGTCCTGCTCATCGATAGAGCGGCAGATGAAGTCGCGGGGTATCAGTGAGAAGGCGGTCAAATTTCTTCTCTGGGGCATGTAGAACGCGATTATAGTAGCACCAGAGCTACGTTGAGAGCACATATGATAGGCTACTTACAAAGGCAGATGTGAGGGGACTTATCCCTGCATAACTAGGTGAGCACTCTGAAGCTGCGCCTGGGCTTGCGTGGCATAGAGCCAAACAGAGCACTGAAGAGTCGACTTGTTGTGCTGACCGCCTCTCTCAGCTCGCCGCATTTCAGTGCAAGATCCTAGAAGCTACCTTACGTACAGACGCCACCTTGTCATCGCATGGAGAGGGGTATGAAAGACTCCACAGACGAAGACATGTGATTTGCTGCGGGTTCTCGAATCCCGCATGTTACACAGATATCAGGTTTAGCGTAGTGCCTCAAAGGGCGGTTTGCAACGGGATTGAATCAGGAGTGCGGGACTTCTCAGTATCCAAAACACGCTCGCTGTCGTGCTTTATTCGAACTTGGTGGATACTGTCGTGTGGTAGATTGGCTACAGCGAAGTTTTAGGCACGAGAAGCATTGATGAATGTGCTATCTCGAATAAAATGAAGTTTAAATCGTGTTGACGGTACATGGAGATGATACGAACTGTGAAGACAGTGGTTGGTAGATCACGAGTCCCTGGGGTGGATGCAGACCGGATTAAAGTATCCAAAAGTCACGGATTAGAAATCGTACAACACAGAAGATACCAAAGTACCATCCTTGCCAAGTCCTTCTGGACAAGAGGTTCTCTTTAAAAAAAAATCCATTGAACTCAACCATTAGTGCTGGAATCTCGAAAACATCGAATGCTTAGGCGCTGCACGCTTCGTTGTCCTTTGGTTTACATACGTGACGAGATGCCCAGTTGACAACATAATAGCGAAGCACCACTGGCCGTCTAATTAATCCTGCCTCTATCATCAGTCTCAATAGCACTCTTCTGCAGTTTCACCGTGAGTCTGCAAGGTCCCAGTTTATCCGTTTGTATCTCCTAGAAAATGTAAGAAGAGCACACTTGGGCTACAGCGCATTGTACGTGACAAGCTTTACGGATTGCTTATTAGTCATTTTCGCCTATTAGCCGCCCAGGCTATGTCTAGATGGGCTTGCGTGCGTTTTCTGACTTTGCGCCCAACCTCGACTCAACTTTATCTCGAGCAACTTTGTTAGACACCGCTCTGCCCAACTACCGCCAAAATGCAGATCCATACTACGGTGTCGCTCGAGTCTTTGCCGTCGAGATCTTTGGTCACCTTCGTGCAATCATCTTTTTCTCACGGAACGGACCTGATGCTGTCCTGCCATCTCCCAGCGAGGTTCTTGCCAAAAGTGCAACCGAGGATCCTTATTTTAAGGAACATATCAACCACCCCCGGTTCTTTTTGAACCGCTGGCCTAGTTGTTAAGTTTGGCAGAGAACTGACGGTAACTATTGCTGAGGGCCAATGCCTATGGTCTCTGCGTCAGCTTTTACCTCAAGTCCCGGTCCCGGAAATTTATGGCTGGAGGCAAGACAGCGATGTTACATTCTTGCACATGGAGCATGTTCAAGGTGTCACGCTAGAGAATCAGTGGAATTGTCTAAATCGAACAGAGCGAGAAGGAGTCTGTGAACATCTGCAGGACATCCTTATTGAACTCCGCCAACTCCGCCAAGACCCCAGCGATCTATTTCTTGGTAGGCAGTATGTCCACTATGAATATTTGACCCTAATTAATTCTTAGGCCACATCAACAGCAATCCTTATAGCGATGTTGTACTCACGAATGGGGTATTGCCGCGGGCTGGTCCTCTTCGGTCTGTGAAATACTTCTAAGACTGGCTCTCTGCAAAGGCAAGGAAAGTCACTGGCCTGGCCTGGCCCCTGAGGATATACCAGACCCATACAGACAACTTCTACCAGACGACGCTGCAGTTGTCTTTACTCATGCTGATATTCAAGTAATGTTATAGTTTACTCAGAGCCTCCCTACCGTGATACTGCTTTAATAGACTGAGAGCAGTCTTGTTGGTACCCGGATTATTGGGGTTTTGCAAAGCGAAGTATACTGTTGATACTAAGTTAGAATGGGCGACTGAATACCTTCAAAAATCTTTCGAAGAGCCCAGTAATAGCTGCTTGGACGGGTTTGGGACTTACTCGAAAGCCTATGGATTCTGAGGGGTACGACGGGAGGCGTGCGGGGCCTAGTCGGATCCATTGCAGTGCCTTGGCGCATGTTTCTAAATACCATGGAAAGGTAAGAGTAGAAGCCGTCAATACTACTGCTCTCCCCACGGTGCCCGGGCCTGATGTCACGAAGCCCAAAGCCAGCTCCCAGTCGAAAGAAGATTAGGTCAATCCCGAACACTGCAAAAGCAATCCGAACCAGATTCCAGGACCGAACTCCAAGAAGACGTTCTCGCCAAACCTAGTGTCTTGTGGAATGTCTTTGCAGACCGCGGCGAAGTCGACATCGAATTGTTCAACACTCATCGTGTCGATGAAGCTAATGTGACAGTCGAATTTTCGATCAAGTGAGCGAACAGCGGGCAACCTTGGGAGCCCGAACGGACTGTTTGTCCAAACATCAACATCTGTCCTACAATCGCCGACGTCTCTCCTGTTTGAGTCTACCACCGACCGACGTTGCGCCCCGTTCATCGAAGAAGCCTAAGCTCAGCCATCCAGCATTCCCACCAGCGAGGTTCTGGGACAATTAAAATATCTCCCGGACACGAAGCACGCTGCCCGAACTAGATGGGAGCAACGCTAAAGATTTATAACCTATTGAAATAGTGTGGCTTGGGCATGGGGACAGGCTGGTGCGAGAAGGAGGAATGAAGTCGCTGATTAAAAGTGCGTGATACTGGATTGGTGAGCCACATAACTGACGAGTGATTATGGATCTTCCAGGGGCAGCTACTCTGGATGCATTTTTATCTATTCGTTCCTCAAGATATCAACTGTCTGTGCTACCTCAATTTCCTTGTGTTATAATTACCCTTGCATTCTGTTGGGGGAGCTAAGCAAGAAATTTCCATCAGATTCCAGCACAATCTATTTGCCACCTCAGAGTAATATATAAAGAGTATCTAACACCCGGTGGTAGGTGGGGAGGAGGTTAAAGAAGCGTAGTTGATGAAGATTGACCTTGATGCAATTGCAGCAGCTTGACAACGGCCTCGTGTCCGTTCGCGGCGGCCCATAACAGCGGCGTCCAACCAAGATCATCGCTTGACTCTATATTAGCCCCTTTCTCGAGCAGAAGCTTGACAACGGCCTCGTATCCGTTCGCGGCGGCCCATAACAGCAGCGTCCGACCATTATCATCGCTTGACTCTATATTAGCCCCTTTCTCGAGCAGAAGCTTGACAACGGCCTCGTGTCCGTTCGCGGCGGCCCTTGACAGCGGCGTCCGATCAAGATCATCGCTTGACTCTATATTAGCCCCTTTCTCGATCAGCAGCTTGATAACGGCCTCGTGTCCCCTCTCGGCGGCCCTTAACAGCGGCGTCCGACCATTATCATCGCTTGACTCTATATTAGCCCCTTTCTCGAGCAGAAGCTTGACAACGGCCTCGTGTCTGTTCGCGGCGGCCCTTGACAGCGGCGTCTGACGATTATCGCTTGACTCTATATTGGCCCCTTTCTCGATCAGCAGCTTGATAACGGCCTCGTGTCCCCTCTCGGCGGCCCTTAACAGCGGCGTCCGACCATAAATATCGCTTGACTCTATATTAGCCCCTTTCTCGAGCAGCAGCTTGACAACGGCCTCGTATCCCCTCTCGGCGGCCCCTAATAGCGGCGTCCGACCACGATTATCGCTTGACTCTATATTGGCCCCTTTCTCGAGCAGAATCTTGACAGCGACCTCATTTCCGCTCTCGGCGGCCCATATCAGTGGCGTCATGCCGATTATCGTGCATTCGATCTCTAGGTCAGCGCCCTTTTCAACGAGAAGCCCGACGATCTCATCGTGGCCCTTCTCAGCCGCCCGTAATAGCAGCGTCCAAATCTCATCGTCCCTTGCATTCACGTCGACGATCCTCCGTTCCAGCACTTTGAGTAGCAGACCGTATATCATGGGTTCTTGCTCTGAAATGTCACAGGCGTCCTGCAGCCAATATTGCTTCGCGTAGGAGTAAAATGGGAACTGATCCACAGAAGTCGATTTGAAATGCTTGGTTGTATCTGCGAGGACTTTTCTAATGTTGCAGTTAGGCTGCCTCCGGGACTGCAAAAGCTTTAATGCAGTGCTTCGAATGCTGCCCGAGGTGTCTATTGAGCGGATGATCCTGGATGGTGCTGCTTTGGCTGATATTTGCGGGACTATGACAGTAGATACCTGGGTAGTGAAAATATTGTAGTTGAGATAGGTGAACATGACCTCTCTTATAGTCATATTTGTACTGTCTATTGCACACATCGCCCCGGACCTGTGTCGGTAACGACCGAGGAGGAATTGCTTGATGCTATGGTGCACCAATCTTACGGTCGGCTCTTCTTCATCGACGGTAATAAGGCTTCTACAGCAGGCCAAGGCCGAATATACATCGTTGAGAAGCCGTTCAGGGTTCTAGACAGTATCGCCTGGAACTACGCTCAAGGCGTCTCGAAGCTCCTCTGTTGTTAATGGTCGGTGAGCTACGGCGACAAGCTTAAATATCTGCGTCTGATAATGCTTTCCCAACTCTCCCGATCTCTGCAGGATCCGAGAAAATGTTTCTGGGAGACTTTTGGGGAGATCCTTTAATGCCAGGCGAATGGCTTCATCTGTCTTGGCGGCGCACAATGATTCAATCTGAAGAGCCACCCAGAGGAACATTCCCTGAGCACCTTGCAGCAGGGCGTCCTCTATTTCAATGACAAGGACAGGGTTCCCTATTGTCAACTTTCTGGATTCTATGCACCTCTCCAACTCTGCACTGACGAAGCCTGCAATGTCGGGATTGTCGTCAGGAATCGCAATAGTACTGTGCTTGGCGAATAATTCCAGGCTTGACCTTAAGGCATCGTCGGCCTCCAATCTCATTGAAACACAAATACATAGTGCAAATGCGTCCTGGAGTTCCCGAAGATATTCAATTAATATCCCTGCCTGAAGATCATCACATTCATCCAGCCCGTCTAGGATAAAGGAAGCTTTGAAGTTAGGTGGAAGGGCGCGCTGGAGTATGCGGAGTATTGTGTTGGAATCTACGACTGAGGTAATCTCATTGATGAGTCCTTCTACTATGGTGAGGTCTGAAATTGGGCGCAATAATTGTCGAGCTAAAGAGCCAATGACTGTGCGCGCTATCAAGCTCTTGGAAATGTCGTGGCGATAAAAGAAATATGCTACTGGTTGTTCTGTACTTTGAATATGAAGGTTCAAATCATCGATAATATTGGCCAGTAGGACGGACTTTCCCGACTCTAGCTTGCTTCTACACACCAGTGTGCAAGAACCTGCTCGGACCTTCCACGCGTAGTATTCAGGGGTCTGGTTAAATAAGGTCGCGTTTCCAACCTTTCGAACCTGCTTCCACGTCGTCTGATAGTTGTATGTAGAGTAGGAATCGAGGACATGGGCATGAGCCTTCAGCCTTTGGCGGTGTGACTCGGATTTAGAGGACCTTAATAGAGCTTTGAAGCGAGAACTCTGTTCCTCGCCCATCAGCAAGTTCGCCTCCTCTCTGATCGAACTGGCCCATCGATCTAGCTCCGATTGGTAATTCTTCATGTCGGAGTCGCTTGGGAACGACACCAGTTGTCCGAGAATCGACTTCTTCGTTAACTTTAATATCTGGTGACAGAGACGAACAACCACGATGAAATATTCAGCCAGATCTGACCGTAGAATCTTGGACCGGGGATAGAGCAAGGCCATCTTTTCGTAGCGGGGAGCCGATCGACCGACGATCATGAGAAGAGTCGACAACTTTTCGAGGCAGGAAGAGAAGTTTACGAGCGACTGCATGGGACGTTAGCTTAAGAAGGAAAGGATAAGATGGGACGAGACCGACAAGTAATGTTAACTGCACCAGTGACCAGATACCGCATGCAATCATGTTCTGGGAGCCACCGATTATAATGTCTCCGAGCGCCGCGAACTGCTGAACAGCTTGTAGTATATTGGTCAAACGCGGCCCTAAGCCTCGCCGACCGCTGAACTTTCCGGAAATGCGACGGTCGATTTCGGCCGTGAGTCGCATGATATCGTGGATACTAGGAGGTGATAGGCACGACTGGGATATGTTGGTGAGGAAGGATTTCTTCTGCTCGTCGGAAAGGTCTGCCTCGAACTCTTTTGTAGCCTGCATCAGACGAATCTCAGCCTTCAGTGGAGCGAATTTTGCCAGTGCAGAAGACATGGTGATGATACGTCGCTAGGTACTCTGAGATTGCGATGGAGTGGTGGTTTTGTCGAGGGACTGGCGATAACTCTCGGAGCTGAAGAAACTCGTGGAAGAGCGGGGTAGACAAAGTGCAGTTTCGGGCTGTCAGCTGAGTGGCGGTGGCTATGAGACATGGAGGCCTCTCAAAAGACCGTCGATAGAGAGCAGTTGACATATGTTGACTACCAACGATCTTGTTTACATTAATAAATACCCATCCCGCGTTTAGTGGATACATAAAAAAGTAAGTCCATAATAAGCTGCTTTCTAGCCTGGAATGCTATACCTATTAGACTTGCTGGCGGGTCTGATGGTCTGGCGCCGTCGGATGGGCCCCTGTGGCTGTGAGTGGCTTCGAATGGAATCTAATAGATACTGTGGCTTGTGAATTATAGTGGCTCAGCAGTTGGAGGTGTCGGATTAATCGAGTGTTTGTCGATAGAAGGCCGGAGTGCGTAGGTTGTTCCGAGGTATCACAAATAACCATCCCTTCCCCCCACGTCAATCAGGTAGTAGACGGCTGTACAATAAAATTAATTGAGTTGAATGATAAAAAAGATACTTACATAAGGTACCCAACATATGACTATCACAAGACATGCTCACCTAAAACATTCTTGCTACTCTTTCTTCTCAAACAGTTCCAAAACCTCCAGATTCCCACACGCAGCAGCAAAATCGATAGGCGTCTGCTGCGCATCATCTTCCAGCATAACGTCGAGGCCCGTATCCATAAGCTCCTTGAATCGTCTTACATCTCCATTCGCCGCAATGTGCATCAGCCCTCGGCCCTTGGCATCTCTGGCAAAGAAGTCGGCGCCCAGCTCCTCCAGCATTCCCTTGGCGTCTTTCTCTGTGAACTGTATACCCATGCAGTCATAGTATTCCAACCTGTCCTCCTTGACCGTCCGGACGCGTTTGCAGAATGCGAACAGTGGTGTTTCGCCCTGCGCGTTGTGGGCATTCACATCTGCACCCCGGCCCACTAGATCCTTGAACAAACCACGTAGCGCTGGGGTCTTGAGCTTCCGTGCGAGTAAGTGAAGAAGTGTGTCGCCGTTCCTGTCAACAGCGAGGTGGTCGGCTCCAGCTGACAGGAGGAGTTCTATCTCCCGTATGTTTGTCCTCGCTTCCTTAGTGGCGAGACTGACAGCATATTGGAGTGGCGTCATTCCATCATCATCTGTCTGGTTTACCAAGATTGGTGCGTTACTGAGAGTATACCTGAATGCATCTTCGAATAGGTTGAACCGGATGCAGTTACGGCCGCCAGTCATGCAATGCAAGACATTTCGGCCAAAGTTGTCGCGGGCTTCAAGATCAGCACCCAGAGATATCAGTCGATGAAAAACAGTGACACGTTCACCTCGATCCACAGTCTCCTCGTGCGATCCAAGGAGATAGTCCGGTCCTGACTTTCCCTGGCAAGATACGTGAAGCAGTGTACGACCCTTAGCATCCCGATGGTTGACATCTAGCCCTGGGAGGTGGAGAAAGTTATCCACCACCAGCCTATCCTTAAGCAAGAGCTCATGTAAGGCTGTGCACTCTTCATAGCCCTGAGGCACATTGATAGAAGGTGTTTGGGCTCGAGAGCCGGCCTTGCAGTATTCACTGTCGTACTTCTTGGCCTTCCTCAAGAACTTTGCAAATGGATCCGCACCATGGTCGAGCAGTATTTGAACCATCGGAAGCCCAGCCTTGAATATCCGCCGATTGAATTGCGTTGGTTTTGTCGGCCAGTGCAACCTTTCTGCAATATGATAGAGCGGGGACTCTTCATAAGACTCCAAGTAAGTCATTCGAGGATAAAGATCATCATCGCAGCTCCTCTTTCCCTTTCTCAGATCCTCAGGCAGCCTATCCCGACGCATGTCTGTATCCACCTCTCCAGAGAGGAGTTCATCGAGAGCCTCAACATTACATGCATCAAGTGCAGCGAAGATCGCGTCAGCCGTCACTGTCGCTCCATGTGCTTTGAGAAGCCTTATCATGGCGACGTCGTTTTGCGCACGCGCAAGACAGCTTCGCCCTTCCTTGTCAACCGCGTTGACATCTGCCCCTGCCTCAATGACTGCTTCAGCTGCAGCTGCATGAAACAGGCCGGTAAAGTCTCTGTCTGGTTTGAGGGCTAGATGGAGTGGAGTTCGCCCAAGGCCGTCCCGTATGTGCACATCAGCACCGGCCTTGAGGAAGTACGGGAGTGCTTGGTGAGCGTGCCACCAAGATTTACCCTGGGCAACATAATGAAGGGCAGAATAGCCCGAGATAGGCTCGTGGATGGGTACTCCGAACCTTTCGACCAGTAATCGGACAACATCCATATTTGGCAACTCTCGTTTGACAGCCTCGAGGAGGAACGGTACATAATTCTTGCTTCTGGTCGTGCCCTTGTGTGCGAGAAATAGACCTGGCCTTGTCTTATCCCCAAACGCATGCCAGTCTCCCTTCTCTAGCCTTGACTCTGCTTCGAGGGTACCTATCTTCTCGACGAGTGAAGCGAATCCGTGGAGTACGAGAACAGCGAGGTTGCAAGGTTCTTTTGGATCAGATGTGGACAGAAAGTCAACGTCAAGATGGAAGAGTTCTTCCACGAGATAGTACTCTCGCCGGGTCAGGAAACGCCACAATAACCATTGGTTGTTTTCTCCAGGCTTGAAGAACTCGGTATCCCTGAGCGTTTGGACCGAGGCTTTCCTGCGCGCATGATCCATGAGCTCAAAGAACTCTACCGTCATGCCGTTGGTCCTTTTTTTCGATGTCGCGCTGTGGTTCTTATCCCAGGCATCTCGCAGATTCGCAACGGTGTAATCTCTGTTGTCTTTGGCAGCCGTTTGAACAGGATCGTTCATCCATTCATAGTTTTCTGTCCAACAATCACCTGCAAGTGGGGAAATATCAGCTCCATGCTTGATGAGCATATCTAGGATTTCTTCAAGTCTGGTTGTCTCGTCCGCCATCAACTCATGTGGTTTCCTGGTGGTTGGTGGATATGTTATGGGGCGAGAGATATCATGCAGCTTGAGCGCAACTGTATCTTCACACCCATCATCACCTGGTGGCCGATAGGGAGTCTTCCACAATTCGTTCTCTTGCTCAAACCCAATGAGTGCGTAGAATATTGTCATGGATCTAGCATCAGCGCCGGCTTCGAGTAAAAGTGCAACTGTCTCCGGTCTCCCCGACTGGCAAGCATAGAAAAGCGGTGTAACATGGTCGATTCTACCGAATGCTCTAGCGTTCACCCCGATCACTGTCTCTGGTGATGATGCTGCGTCGCTCAATGGCACAATACCAGATTCTCGAAGCCGAGATGAGCTGCGAGCAACGGATGACTTTTGTTTACTTCTCAGAGCATCCAGGAGGAGGCCAACCACATTACTCTCTCTGCAACGGGACGCAAGGTGGAGAGAAGTCAATCCCTCGTAAGTGACTATTTCGGGATTGGCACCGGCATCGAGAAGTTTCTTCGTGCACAGTTCCCCGCCAGTCACAGCAATGTGCAAAGGTGTGATGCCATCGTGATCAGCGATGTCGAGATTCTTGGTTCGCGAAATGACAAAGTCGAGTATTGTCATGGCTCCTTGCCTGAAGCGTTGAGAGCGCGTCGCGCACAAGATGTGCAAAGGCGTTCGCCCGGCGTGATTCCTCTGCTCCAGGTCCAAGCCCATGCCAATCAGGCGTTCCCAGAACAATACTGGCTCCTTTCCAGAATTTGGATGTTTGCATTCTCGCAGGGCAAGTTCATGGAGGAGGCTATTTCCACGGTAATCAACAGCCTTTGTGTCCAGTCCGAGGCCAACCAGGAAATCAAATCGTATCATATCGGGCTTCCACAAGTCCCGAAATGACATTCCAACGTTGTCAAACTTGGCTGCTTGGTGAAGTCCCGTCCGGCCTTTGAAGTCACGAACAGATGTCGAAGCTCCTCGATCCATGAGGTCGGTGAGGTCTCCGTGAGAAACCTTTCCATGGACGGACTGGGAGGTCGACAACATGCGAAACCAAAGGGTCGCTCCATCTTTGTCCACGGCGTTGATATCAGCACCCGCGTCGAGAAGCAGGTCTATAATTTCGGTGGGAAATTCCGAGCCATTTCGCAGGGAAAATTGAGGAACGCCTCCTTCACGATTCTTCAGATTCGGATCGGCACCTCCCTTGAGTAGAGCCTTGATGATTTCCAGCTTTGGCGACTTTTCAAGCGAAATGTGCAACACGCCATTGCCTTTGTCATCGAGCACGTTGCAGTCTGGTCCATACTCCAAAAGCTTGAGAATAGTTTCCGATCTACCTTCAGGCAGCAGGCAAATAAGGGGAGTCAGCCCGTTCGCCTGTGCGAGATCGATATTCGCATGTCCATTCTCAATAAGAAGTACCATGGAATCCATGGATTTCACTTTGTGAAGGGGTGCAGAACCATTCCAATCAATAGCATTCGCATCCGCCCCAGCATCAAGGAGTAACTTGACCAACACGGGTGACTCAACTGCAAAATGCAACGCAGTCTGGCCTAATGAAGTGCGCTGATTGACATCGACTCCAGCTTGGACTAGTAGCGAGAATATTGTTTGCAAGTCGGAGGCCTCTGCGGAACGTTGATCGTGTAGCCCACGTCCCACACCGCATAGGCGATGCAAGCAATTCAGCTGAGGCTGAGGGTTAGCTTCGTACCCAGGGATGAGAGCTTCCATGTCCTCATCATCCATGTCTATATCAGGAAATGGATTCTCAGCTCCTACAGATAAAATGTTCGGGTTTGCTCCAGCTTGCAGAAGGGTTGTGACTGTCGCGACATCGCCAGTGTCACAGGCATGGTATAGCGGAGTGTCACCATCAACCGTGGCGTTGACATCCACACCAGGATGTTGAAGAATCCTGGCCACAAGTTTTGAGTTGCCCTTCTCAGCTGCCCACATCAGAGCTCTGTGAACGGTATCGATGTCTTTGAGGAACGGTAGGAACGCTTCCACTGCCTCCACATGGCCACCGCGGCATGCATACATAAGCGGTGTATTCCCAATAGTTGTATGGACATTTCCACATTCATCCGGGGGGGTTTCTTGCGTCTTTCTTGTTAAAGGGTCTACACCCGCCTCCAACAGGGCCTTCACGGCTTCAGGGCGATTATTCTTCGCTGCCATGTGCAGAGGCTTGAGGCCATCCTTGTCATCTGCATCTGGATTCGCGTCGGCGGCAACCAATTCGCGGATGGCCGCGGCATGACCCTCGGAAGCAGCCCACCAGCTGGAATTAACTATTAGCATATAGCGCTTGGTTCCAACTTTATGAGCCAGTAGATTTCATTGATTATCTTCTCAACTTCAAATGGCATGGTCGGCCACAAGGCGATTGAGAGGAACTGAGGCATGGTAGAAACACTTACAGTGGTGTTTTTCCAAATCCGTCGTCGGCATCCACCTCCATGGTTTCGAGGAGCTCCTTGGTGTATGAGACGAGCCCCCCTTTGGCGGCGATATGGACTTGGGTGATGGATGATCCTCGGCCTCGCCATTTGACCTCCAGCCAGGCATTCATGGTATCGGCGTCTCCTAAGAACTTACGAAGTTCTGTGTTGACCTCGGTTTGGTCGTATCCAGCGGCTTCGGACCTACGAATATGATGGTGCCAGTTGCCGGCTGCATACTCGAAAAACGGATACTTCAGCCTTAATCGGACCTCTTTCTTCGGGACCGCAGTTAGTAGCACCCGAGGTGAATAGTAGTCGCCATGGTCGAAATACGTGTCAGTATCGTTATCCTTGATGTTGGCCTTATTTCCGACAGCACCCAAGCACCCAGCTTGTAAGTAGCGCAAACACAAGAGTGCAAGTTGGGCGTGTGTCGACCCCATTTGCAAAATAGGATATCCAACGTCGTCATCGGACCGTGTGGTGCCTTTGAGGTACTCGGTGAAGGAATGATGAATTACCGAAACAGTCTCGTCCGCCAAAATCTCCAAGAGTGGCCCACACGCGGCTCTGATGAGATCTTTTGTTGCCTTCAGATGTCGTTCAAAACCATCAGGACTGATGACCCTGATCATCTCGGCTAGCTCCAGCAGTCTCAGAGGACGACTAGCATGGGTGACGGATTGCAAAATCAAGTGCTGGATGTTTGCTGCTACGCCGGATCTTTGGGCATGCTCCTTCAGTAGCTCCGTGTACAGAACATTCAAGTCCGTCGGGAGCTGCGTGAGTACAGAGTTGATATCGGCGCCCGGTTCAAGAAAAGCGTCCATTGCCAACTTGGCGTAGATGAACAAGCCGTTGGCCCGGCCAGGTACTGCATCCGCAATGACTTGCCAGTCGCACTGCGGGATGGTAGACTTCGACAGAGCGAACTGCACGAAGGTTGAAATGTCGACATCGACCAGGGCTTCCTGTAGCCGCAGGTGAAGACAAGGAATTTGCCTTAGTGGTCCCTCCACACTTGGAACAGGGCGGCTCGTGATCAAGACTTTGACTTTCTCAGGCCGCCACTGTCCAAGGGAGCCCAGTGCTTGGAGAAATGCGTTGTGGTCTCGATCCATCTCGTCGAGTGCATCAACGACACAGAAGACCTTTTCGGACAAGCCTACAAAGGCCATTTTCAGATCCTTCCACATGTCTTCGATTGACACACTTTCAATAGAGCGACAGGCTTTCACGTAAGTGTTGAGTTGCGTTTGCAGAGGAGGACTATAGCTCAATACTTGGTCCATCCAGTCTCGCAAGAGGGCTCTAGGCTCGTGGTTGGCTTCGATGATTTGGCGGAAGAAGAAGAACAAGACGGGAGATCCCGGGTTTGACTTGGCGATTTCATCAATCAGGTTGGCTGCCATGACAGACTTTCCAGACCCTGGAATTCCCTTGATCCAGAGCAGCCCATGTTCAGCACTCCTCAACCACTCGAGATATACGGCACTCGAACTGAGCCAAGCTCCTGTACCAGCCACATGAGACGCTAGGTGCTTGCGGTACTCCCCACCAGCAATGTCGTACGAGGTGGGCTGCAACCAGGCCCGAATTTTCTGGATATTCTCTTGCGGTAGGGGCAGTATTTGCTCTGGGTTGTAGTCACTAACATCCCCACGATAGATGACAACCGCATCAGAATCACTGCTAGAATCACTATCGCTGGTCGACATGATGACTAGCCTTTTTTGCAGCCTGACTTTGCGTGATGTGAAGTGGGAACGCTGGTCCCAGGTGTTGACAAGATAAATTGATGAGTCACTGAATTAGGGCAGGTAAACTGAAAAGTAATGCAAAGAAGAATGATCAATTTACCCCGCTTGGAGATTGGACTGATAATAAGCAAAAGGTTGGTGCCCAGGATACATAAATGTGTTGGTTGCATCGTCTGATCCTTGGAATTAGTCATGGATACAAAACATGATTGATTGGCCATCCTTGCTCAGTTTCAACCTCCCCAGCCTTCAGGCAGCAGCCGCGTCGGTAGGCTGTGATTCCTTCATGATGAGGACTATGTACAGTGAAATTTTCACACCGGTTAATGTTATCTTGGCGGTGTAGAAGCGATACTAACTAGTTCGAGTACCAACCGTGCCAAATTTGGTACATTCTATCTCTCACAGAAGGCTAAACATGGCTATGGATGGTAGTCAATTGATAATTAACGTATTACCACAGAGATGAAACGCCAAACTCTGCAGTAAATGATCTACCTCCCTCTACCAACTAAAACCCTCATCTACAAGGATAAAGCTCGTCTCAAGTTGTCCCGAGCGCCCCATTCTCGACACTGCCATGCGTACATCATCCGCCATTCCAGGTGGCCCAGAAACGAGGATACCAACTGGACCACTGCTTCCATCGACGCCAGCCAGCTCATCGCCAATGATGGTTCCAATGTCTAGACGCTCCCCAATGCTGACAACGACATCAACACTAGATGGAAGACCGGAAATGTCCGCCAAGAGCCCTTTTCGCAGGGAATCGTCGCGCAGACCCCAAAAAACACGCGCCGGCCGCAGACCCCTGGTTTGAAGAAGAGGCAGCACCGTAGTAATCCCCACACCTCCCGCAATACACACAAGGGAGTTGCAGTTGGCCAGTTGTGTAAGGTGCGTCGAATGATAGGAGCCCTCAATTAGGACTGGCAAGCGGATCGAGCCTGTGGAAGCTGCTAGCCTGGCAGCAATGCGACTCGTCATTCCTGACCGTGTCCGCACCAGAAACTTGGCGCTGTTGGAGATTTTGACAGCTGTCGGTGATGTCTGTGGCTCTTCCAATGAAGCCGCTGGGGACTTTTCTTCCGCTCGAGTGATTCGGTCCGTGGCAGTCTTCTCTAAGTCAAAGTCGACAGTTTCGTCCCTGTTCAAAACGCTCGAGACAGCCGGTAAGGTCTCGCAGGAGTGCGACGAAGCCACCGAGAAGGGGTGAGTCTCCCAGAATCGCCACGACAGCGTAGGGAAACAAAGATATACAACGCCTTGCACAGAGACCCCGTCGATGACAACACGCATGTACTCTCCCTGCGAGCCTTCGACAGGCGAGATGGCTGCCGTCTTAAGCCCCTTGCTGAACATTCAAATTACTCAAACGAGGCGCTCAACGGCCCAGATTCCAGATGCGATGAACATCCATATCTCATAGCCCCAGTTGTACGTAAAGCAGTACCATATGTGGTAGTAGAAACCGATGAGGAAAAGCAAGGCCAGAACTTGATGAGTAACCAAGAACAGCTCGTAAGCTTTTTGACGCACCACAAGGAGGGACGCTGGCCAAATGGCTACCGCAGCCACGGTTCCGACGATACCCCAGGACCAATATAGCTTGGTAAACTCGGACTCGTAGTCTCCAAATCGAAGGTAGTAGACCAAAAGCATAATAGAGTGCAGCGCCGTGAGTAGGATAGTCCAATACCCTAGCCACCGATGGAGCAACAGAAATGTCCCACTGCTCCAGTCCGTCAAATATAGGAGCACATTGTTGCGCGATGAAAAGACAAAGAGTGCCACCATGTTTCCAAGTGCAAGCACTCCAGCGCGATTCCCTATGAGGCTGATTTCCTGTTCCTGCAGGCTGGCAAAGTTGCTTTGGGGCTGAATTGTATAATAAGGCGCCAGAAGAAAGATAAAATTGAGAAGACTGATAAGGGCGATGTAGAGAAGCTGGCCTCGAGTTGGCATCAGACCGCCGCCAAGGTAAGAGGAAACCGGTGTGCGATGAGATGATCCCCATGCCGGTGGATGGATGAGAGTCGAATTGAGCCATGCCCATGTGCGACTTCTGTTGAGGAGCGGCACGAAGCGAAGGAGAGACAAAAGGACTGGAAGGAATAGGGCCACGAACATGACTGTAACGCTATGTTGATTCCGTTAGTGTATATCGCACGCGTGGGAGTGGATGATGACTTACGTGTACACTGTATGGCCATTCTCGTTGATTTCAAACGACGTCATTCCATTATACTGGATCTGCCAGTCTGAAGCAAGGACAAAACTTGTCACATTAAGTGGCTCTCCGGAGGCAATAATGGGCAGCGGACTGTCGACTTGAATTGTGGTGTCCTCAGCCGACTCCTCCATATGGCCGCCATAGCGAGCTTTGATCTCACGGCGCAGCTTGTGTTGATGGGAACTACTGGCGGTGGAATTTTGTGCTTTTTCCTCGGCAGTCGACTCGTCCTCTCGTGCTGCAATGAGAGCTTCCGTGTACGAGATAACCGGTTTCCATTCGGGGCTACCGACGGAACCTGTAGCCAGGTGGGTAGCCCAGTAGTCCTCCAGCGAGCTTAGCGAGGGTGCATCACTTATAGGGCAGTAAGTGTTGATACACATGGCCATGGTACGCAGGAAGGATGGGTCGCTGGTATAACACTCAGGAGGTGTCGTGGATGTCGAGTGCCCCATGCCGTGAACATCACCTCCCTCCTCCGGCGTGCAGGAAAGAGGGCAGCTTCTGATGACTCCACGGCAGGCAAATGCACATGCCGGTTTGTACATGTGCTTTCCCAAGCCGATTAGGCCCGCTCCATCAGCCAGTGCCAGATTGGCATGCCAGAGGAGGAGCAGACACCGCTTGAGAGCCATGTTCGAAGGATTCCGAGAGTATTCAAGACAACGTTTCAGTCCTGCCAATATCAATCTTGGAAACTCAACCCGGCAGTCATAAATCTGTCCTCTCATCTTACTGCTTTATACCATTGCCAACTGTAAAATGGCCCCATCCCATTGTGGTGGCTAGAGTCTTGGCAGAGGACCCTGGCTGAGGTTGTATCGAGGTATCTTGCTCAATATCTCTCAAGGGCGCTTTTCCTGCGCACATCAACCATGTCTCAACCAGGGTGAGACTAAAATATGCAGCTTTGGATCCACTATGAGAAGAGCCCATATTTCAGTGACCATCCAGATCGCTCTCTCAGACTCGTTGTCGCCGCCACCCGAACCCCAGACAGGGTGGCCCCCGCCTCACATCTCGGAACTTGGCAAATCATGGTCCAGATATTTGCAGTTCGCGCTGTTTAATGTTACCAAGCTTAAGGTTAATTTATGCTTACAGTCGGTAGACAAAAGTTCCGCGTCAACCGCAAAATCTGCCCTAACGCACGTCTTAACAACACCGTTTTAATCAGCATTTCTATGCTGGACCGTTATACCCCTGGGAGAAACATGACTAAGCCTCAGACTACCTAGGTAGTGGGTATACAAAGAACTTCAGTCTTGACTGTCTGTGAGGGGATCAAGAGGTTGGAATTCTTGCATGTTCTCCCGTAGTTTTGGGTCATTTGGTCGAGTGTCTGTATAAACACCAATTCTATTATTTTACTCATTTTTTTCTTTACTTTATTTACTATGATCGCAGGCACACAATTTAGGGATCTAGAACATACTTTATGCCTCGATAATAAGGTGTTGTTGAATATACAAAACATATAGGTCTACTGGGATGTACAGATCCCACTGAACAGTGGGCGTCTTCAACATCAGTGCCACCACCCTTCAATACTGCATTGAAAATCTTCGAGCCTAATCGTGTCGTTATTTTCTTTTGAACCACTCGATTAGGCGACGTCGTCGTAAGTGGTAGCAGTCTTCTCTTTTGTTTGGGATCCCAGTGCATCTTGTCATTGTCAAAGTACAGCCACGTCGTTTTTGGTGGTTGTTCTCGCGCAGTGCCATAAAAATTGAGGACGGGAAAAAAACACGCCCACTCAATTTCTTGAGCAGTATACCCTCTTAAGTCGTAGTGGTTGGTTTTAGTAGGCGAGGCCAATGCCATTAAAACACACCGGTGGGCTCACCATCGCCATCACCATACACACTCAACCCCATCCAAAATGTGCCGTTAACGCTTTTCTCAATTGCATTCGTAGAAAAAATTCCCGGTCGGCTTACTAAAAGGTGCATGAATAAAAACATGCTAACTTTGCCAATAGATGCCGAACTATCCGCTGTAACTTGAGGGATTCTGGACAATCACTCAGTTGGGATGTTCGCAACATTTCTGGAAATTGTTGACAAATCTCCCTCGGGGCATTCATTATTCACCTAGATTGACGGATCCGGAAAATAACGGGAGTTTGCGTAATTAACTTCATTCGAGCGGTCCCTACGGCAGCGGCAGACCCGACGACGTACGTCATAGGCTGGCTGAGAATGTGGTGGCAACCCTCGGATATACCGGATGCTTCCTCCAAGGCTCGGTATAAAGACGGGTAAAGCCCGTCACACCATGTAAGATTGGCATCAAAATCTTGCATCTATTTTCGGCTGTAAAGGACCCATTCTATCGATCCGTTGTGTCAATCGCCCGACATGCAGAAGGTGGTGGCCAAGCTGCCATCCTGGGACAAAACCAAGACTCAGAGCAAGAAAGGCTTCGACAAGGCCTGGGGCTGGGCTGATAAGCTTGGGGCGCCAATTAACAGATTATCCAACCGGATTGGCAGCGAAGCGTTCTGGCCCACGACGCTGGACAAGGAGAGTGACAAGGCGGCTCGGATTCTGAGATCATTCTGCAGTAAGTGCCTTGTCGATGCGTGGCCCTTCTTGACTAACGAAAGAACCCCGTAGAGGATGGTTTCTACGCCGAGGAGGAGGACGCGAGGCCAGCTGACCAAGCTGGGCCAACGCAGAAACAGCGGGTGCTAAAAAAGATCCCGCAGAAGGTGATCAAAAACGCCGTCGGTCTCGCTATTTTCACCACCATGCGCACCGGCTTGTGGGTGTCTGGAGCCGGCGGTTCCGGTGTCCTCGTTGCCCGCGGCGAGGACGGCACATGGTCTCCTCCGTCGGGCATCATGCTGCATACGGCCGGTCTGGGGTTCCTCGTTGGCGTGGACATTTACGATTGCGTCGTCGTCATCAACAATCGCAAGGCTCTCGAGGCGTTCACCAAGATCAGAGCCACACTGGGCGGCGAGATTAGCGCAGTCGCCGGCCCCGTCGGAGCTGGCGGCGTTCTGGAAAACGACGGCAAATGGAAGCAGGCAAACAGGCCGGTGTTCACTTACCTCAAGTCTCGGGGCTTTTACGCCGGCGTGCAGGTTGATGGCACAGTCATCATTGAGCGGAACGACGAGAATGCACGCTTCTACGGAGAGGAGATTGGTGTCGCCGACATCTTGGCCGGGAAAGCGCGTCATCCGCCACCGGAAATCAAGATGCTGATGGAAACGCTCAAGGCTGCAGAAGGCCGCACCGACGTCGACACAGAGCTCATGGACGAACTGGAGGGACAACCAGCACCAGGTGACGTTACAGTGGAAGCCCCTGGCAGCGACAAGATTTTTGGAATCCCAGAAATCGACGATCCGGATCCTTATGGCGTGCTGGCTTTGGAAAAGGAAGGTCTCGAAATCCGCGATGCTGCAACGCGCTCGAGGCCGTCAAGCGAGCAATTCGAGTACCACCCCAGCCCCAACAGCCCCATCTACAACAAATACTACCGCAATAGCTTGGAAGTCTCTGGGACAAGAAGCCAGCGCTCGAGCTACCAGTCAGACGCCGGTTCTCCCAGGCGGCGGAATAGGGCCGTGTCATACACGACTAGCGAGGCCGGAACACAAACGGAACCAGTTACAATAATCCCCATTTCAAGCCCAACACAGAATGGCTTCGACCGGCAGGAGATGTCCCAAGACGCATCAAGTGTCTACGAAGACGTGTATGAAAGCGACGACAAGAAGATTGACGGCAGTCCGTATCATTCTACCAGCGATAATCCCTGGGGCTCAGGCGAGATCGAGCACGGCATCAACGGGATCTATGGCATAGAAAACCACCTGACGACGGTCGATGACGACAAAATCAACACACCCAACACTACGATTGGGAATGAAAAGGTCATGGTGCGGATCCCGCCACCTTTGCCCCCGAGAAATCCCCTACATACGAATAGTGGCCTCGAGGAAATTAGCCTCAAGTAGAAGAGCGAAACGGGATTGCTTTACGAGTACCTCGGCGCATTGTTTTATTTTAAAGGGCTTGGCTTCGTGCGTTCGGCGTCTGGGCAAACTTTAGATGGATGGCGGAGCTACAACTCCTCATTTTTATACATATCGGGCTTGCTTTTTTGTTGCACCCTGCCTGAATAAATTCAGCGGTTACTTCCGAGACGAATGCGAAATGAATTACTCTCGCCTGGGAAGCATGTTTAGTCGATAAATGGGCCAGTCTTCGTATGGCGTTGATGCTGGAAAGCACGAAACGACAAAAGATCACCCTCCGGGGAAAATATCGAGTTCTACTATCAAGAGATCATAACCTATTACAGACAATAACAATAAGGTTCAGACAGTAGACCCTCGTGTCCAAAGTGTGCCCATCCCAAATGTTCTAACTGTAAATCTTATGTTGAGCCTCCTCGTGGAAGAACCGAGGGTTCTCCCTCATGAGAGAACCGGCGTCGATGCTGTCAACCGCGTTTTTGACTGCAACGGTGAACTCAGAACGAATCTCGACGCGCTACCTTGAGGTTTTATTATCTGTTATGCTGCTTGAATCCAACGCCAGCCGATTCTGCGTTTATCTTTGATTTACCTCATCCGCACAGGCTCCCTTCACAGGTTTGGTTTCTGGATTTTGTAACTTTTTTATGTTACAACATTGAGGTATTAGCTACGTATCTTCGTGTTAGACACCTTAAAATATACAACTCCTCGTCCCAAAATCTTAACTTTTTGACATCTGTAAACCTAGACTCTGATATTTCGGGTCCAGCCTGGGACGTAGGGTAGATTAACTGAGAGGGGTTCCCGTCGTATCGAGCAGCGAACCGCGGTGGTCACAGGCTGCGTCTTTAGATGTTAGGAGTACGGTAGACCGGTTAAAGGTCACGTCTGGTAATAGTTAGCGAGCGCTTGGGCCAAGTTAATCAAGTGTGTTGATAGCTGAGGAGAATAGAGCTCTAGTCCATAGTACAGGGATTCTTATATGGATGGTATTTCTGCATGGTTCACCGGTAGTGCTGTAGATCATAGCGCTCCAAGCGTAACTAGTCAGCTTTGGCGAAACTTAATCCGTCACGTTCAATGGCTGGAAAGGGGACATCCTCGCGGGCTTCTTCGTCTCGGAATTTCATGACTGCACCAAACTACTAAAAGGTACGGATAGGTTCCATGCCAACAAGTACAGTACGGTGGTTCGTATGCTCTTTCTAACACCCTAGTCAAGGCCACCTCGATGCGGGCCGTGACGGATTGGCTCTGCACACTCTTTTAAGCACAGTATCAATCCACGAGGTTGGGGATTGTGCACAGCCAACGCACATCTGCGTCGTTGCTGTTGGGTCATTAAAGAAGGGAGAAGGAGTGTGTAATATGAGGCTTGGCATAAAAATTGGCAAGATACACGCAAAATCTGAATTCAAGGCAATCTGTTGGATTATCACATAAATCTGTAGCGAGTATTTGCGGCTGTTTAGTCCCTAGTACTACTCGCACTGAGTGACCTGGAAACCGCCGTGTTCAAGATCTGTTAGACTGAATCTCGAGTACGCACAAAATGCTTTGTCACAATTGCAGTGTTAATTTGATGGAGTACCACACGAGAAAGTCTCAAAAAACCCTTTCTAGATGCAATAATAATTTAGGCGGTAGGACCGAGTATGCCTTCGCCCCTCTCCTCGAGCTCTAGGTTAGGATCGACGATTGTGGGTAGCAGATGCGGGTCATCCCAAAATGACCACAGCCTCCACTCATCCTCGTCCATTATCCCATTACTAAAACTCGACATGTCCTCGGAGAATACCTTGGGAGCCGCAGAACGATTGATTTCTATCTCTTCCTCAATTGGTCCCTGTCCTGTTGCCGACATTGTTTCATCAACACAAGTCAGGGAACTCGAGGCTGGTTGAGAAGAGGCGGCAGGTCGCGGCATTCCCTTGAGCGGGAGCAGATAAATAGACTCCTCGAGATCCGGGTAGTCATATCGCGATCGCCTCACCTTCCACCCGTGTGTCTCCGAGGTAACGCGGCAAAAAAGGCTCTTGGCTGTGTCGAGCACGTCAATCCAGTCATCGGCAATCTTCCACAAGCGACCAGTCTCACGAAGATCTTTCATGCTTTCCTCGGCCTGGATCTCTACTTCCTTCGTCTGGTCCTCATCATAACCGAAGTAAGCCGGGAAGGAGGCTGCATAGAGCGCCCTCAGTGCCGACGAGAAGGCACATACACCAGCGAATGGTGTATGAAGGGATGAGTTAGCCCGTCTGAGATCTCGAAGGATATGTGATATTTGAGCGGACGCATAGGAAAGTTCCTTTAGATTGTTTTCCCAGAATAAATCCGAGCCGGTCGCTTTTAACAATGGTGCTTCGATGGGGCCCCGAGGCTTCGTTTCTCCAACGGGGAGAAATGGGATGTACTCGCGGCGAAGAAAGAGCATACTGCGACGAGTTAAAGACAAATTGAATGTGTAGGCATGATAGCTTACCTGACGTAGTAAATCAAGTTGAGATATCCAAATTTCTCAGCTTGCTTCATGTGGGCATGTGACGATACTTTTGTCTCTGGGTATTTCAACCTGACATTCTGGGAATTTCTCCATTCGAGAAGCTCTCGCATCATGCAGCTCCATTGGGAGGTTTCCACCCAGGGGCATTGTTCTGCCTCGGCCATCCCCGGTTGCCTTCTTCCACCCTCTGCAGTCCAAGAGTGTATCTTGGACCAGATATGTAGGCCCTTGATGACGAGCAGGAAGGAGTCGCTTGGCCCAAGGCCTGTCGAGTGCGGTGACGAGTGCGGTGATGATACTTGAGCTAGCACAAGTCCCTGCGGCGCGTTCCGTTCTCCAAATGCAAAATCAGCATCATTCGATGGGAAAAGGCGGTTCATACTCTCGAGGTCAAACATGCTTTGCCGTCGTTTCCCGCAACTCAGAAGCTTGTCCACCGCAAAGCACGACCACAACGTTCTCTTTTCCAACTCCGACATGGACGCTCTGCTAATATCGGATATTTTGGTCCCGAGAATCCCCTGAGCCATCCTGGAGGCAATCCCAGCATGCATCCAGGCGTTGAAGCCATCGCCATCGCCCCAGTTGCACAGGGACAAAATCAGAAATGCCTGGACTAGGTAGAGGCTCGGAGAGCTGAGAAGGCGTTTATGAAGCTCGGTCGTCACCAGCAGTGCATGGTTAGAGCTTGCATCGATCGAACAGTCGTCAAGATAGCGATTTGAAACTGCCAGTAGAGCCAACAGCCGAAGCATTTGCACCGCACTTATATCTGCATCCTCATAGTCAAGGTCGCTGGGATGCAGAAACCCAACTTCGGGAAATTGGGACTGAAACACAGCGGAAGCCCGGATGAGCCGGTCCCGCGGGATTTGGTTAAAGACCTGACAAATGTCATGTTCTACCGTCTTCGGCCGTGAGATTTTAGAAGCCTCTGTATCATCGGCTTGTTGTGAATTCTTCCGCTTTAGCGTCCGTAACCTCGGGCTAGGGGAGTGCTTGGGAGGAAGAGCAGGCCCGCTGAGGGCGCAACTCTCGGTATTCCGACTTTTCACACATCCCATGCAAGGGGGTTGGCCATGATGCTTGCATTTTACTTTGGACCTCCTGTGTCATTTAACGGGTCAGTGGGTTGGTGACACCAGAACTGGGGCGAGCATCACCTGCATCTGAATACGATAAATTAGTTACGACGGCTGAATACTTTTCCGCGGCGTAGAAGCAGCAACTTACCGATCACAAGCAATGACGGCTCTCATTGTCGCACGAGTCTTTTCGGTTTCGGTTTCGTGGTCTGTCGACTCGGCGTCGATTTCGGAGTCTCGACAGCGGGGTTGACTCAGTGCAACCCAATCCCGAACCGGAATCGGGTTTGTTTGGTTCGGGTCTTGAAGCCGATAGTCGGCAAACCGGAATCACGTGTGGATTCACGTGGAGCCAGCCGGAGTCTTGGGAAAGCTTGGCGCCGCAAGACATGGTTGACATCACCAACAAGCGCGTGATCTTGGAGTTTCTCCGCATCCCGACCAGACGAAACAGGCACAGCAGGGCTTGAAACGCTCCATCCGGAGCTGGGCCGCTGTTTGCGAAAAATCCACAAATCCGGATGTCAAGCGGCTCACGCCAAGCGCGCCAGGGGAACCATGCCCGCGCTGCCAAGCCGTCTCAGGCCTTAGTCGCCAAAAGTCTTCAGATTTTATGAGAATTTGGTTTCAAGGATGGCCAATTGGGACCGGAAGCCCGTAATAGGGACGCGGTGGAGCCACGGATGTCGCCAGCAGCATGGTTTAAGCATACCCATAACCGCAACTTTATACGGCCATGTTGGCCTGGGCCCGTTCCGTCATATTAATGTTGCCCGATTGGGAATCCGTGGCCGCGCTCTAACTACATCGTGAGAGGCTACCAACCGATGCATGAGTTCCCCTGACAGGAACAACTGCTTCTTCAAACATGAATGCATCACATTGATTAGAGCAAAAGCCGCGTCCCTATCCGTACTCAGGTTCTAGAAGGGAAGTGCCTGTCAAAGTGCCAGTGTCGATCCAAACCATCATGTCAACGCAAAACATCCAAGCGACCCGGACTCCGCGTTCAGTCCACAATCCCATCCCTGACCCATAGGTTTATCCCGCCAATGAGAGATACGAGGTTACACCATGATCCTAGACAGGGATAACGGCCCACCGCTAGGGGTCTCCAGACTGCCATATATATATGTGTGTCGACGAGGACAACTTGGGATGTTTCTACTCAGCACACTTTCGTTTCGACTGCCATTCTCCTGCTTGTTTCTTTGAGCTTGACGTTCATTAACTTCTTATTTATACATATTTTTTTTTTACCAATTTCACTCACTCACTCACTCACTCAATTCTTTCCAAGATGCGTTTCTCTACCACTGCTGGCCTGGTGGCATTCGCCGCGTCGACCGTGGCGTCCACCTTTGAGTCCTCCCCCTCCGATCTTGACGGATCCGTCTGGGAGGGTTTGTCCGTAAAGGAACGATCATACGACTACAAGGAGCAGCGCCGCAACAGGCCCTTCAAGAGACAGTCCGGATGGAGCCCTCCCTCCGACCTGGCCACCCCCCTCAAGGAGGTCTGGGACCACTGCAAGTCGACGTACAACAGCGGCAACATGTTCGGTTTCAAGAACTACGGCTGGGATCAGCTCATTGCCAACAAAGGGTGTGTACATTATGAAACAACTGAGAAGATCCATCCCTCTAACTTGATCCAGCACCGTCAACATGTGTGTCCGATGGGAGTCGTCCGCGTCCCTCTCCGCCGCCGAGCGCACCAAGATCGCCAGCGTCGTCGACGCCCAGTACCAGAAGTGGTTCAAGTGGGTCTACGGCTACGACAACTTCCCCTACACCGCGGTCAAGGTGAACGTCGTCGGCTGGGCCGTCAAGGACAAGAGCCTGCTCCAGGGTGACACCAGCGGCCTCAACATCTACACCGACACCGACAGCGAGGGCGTCCCTCAGTGCGCCGAGTCCTGCGGTCGCTTCTTCCACCAGGACAACAACTACGCCGGCTGCGCTGCCGGCGCCTCCAACCACTACGACCAGTCCCTGTGGCTCACCGACGGCCTCAGCGGAGGCACTGGTGGTGACTGGGGCCAGCGAATTGGCCGCGAGTACTTCATGCAGGCCATCGACGCTGAGGATGTCCACATCCTGGAGCACGAGATGGGCCACACCTACGGCCTTGATGACTGTAAGTACCCATGAACTTATATCTATGATGAACTGTTCACTAACTCTAATCTAGTCTACGGTATGCACACCCTTCAGAGTGGCTGACGATGGCACTCCCTCCCTTCTGGCGCGTTCCCTGCTAACTTGTCTCCAGACTGGACCCCTACCGGCATCACTAGCTTCATCATGCTTGCTGGCTCCGCTGCCAAGGTCACCGACTTTGACGGCTGGATGCTGCGAAACTGGTGGTACGAGCTCTCCCGGGAGCGCGGCTGGCAGACCGGCGTCGCCGCCACTGCTGCCGCCGCGTCCTCGGTGAAGACTACTTCTACCGCCAAGGCTACGTCTACCGTCAAGACCACTTCCGTGAAGGCCACGACTACTGCTAAGGCTACCTCTGTGAAGGCGACTACGACCGCCAAGGCTACCACCACCAAGGCCACCACTACCGCGAAGGCCTCCGTGAAGACCACCACTGTCAAGGCCACTGCCACAGCCGTCGCCAGCAAGGCCACTGCCTCCAAGTGGCAGCAGTGCGGCGGCGCCACCTGGACCGGCGCCACGCAGTGCGAGTCTGGCTCGACCTGCACCAAGCAAAACGACTACTACTCCCAGTGCCTCTAAGCGCTGCGGCGTGTTTCCATGGCGGGGAAGCCTGCGCATTTGCGAGCTAGCGGCGGCTTCCCATTCTTCTTCTTGTACCTCTTAGCCTTCGTCAGCCATCGACGTTGTAGTCCCTATATAGTTTCAAACTCGAATCCAGCACAACGCCTCCCGTGCCAGCCTTCCAGGGCGCCTAGTGTATGTGCCAACCAGCGGCCCGTTTCCGCCCTCCGTGCCGCAGAATGGAACACTTAATCTGCACATTTGGCTGCTCTCCTTCAGCCCGGCAATATCGGGAAGGGAAAACAACCTCGTGAGTGCCTCAGGGCCCGTTGCGCGGCCAATCGCAGGCTCCGTCTCCTGGACGCCGGGCCTAGCTCCGGCATCCATATCCGAGACTCTGCGTTATCGACTTATCACCAGCGAAAGCTGAGCGTCCTGGGCGTCTCAGCTACCGAAGCGCTAGCGGCTTTGGGCTGGACGCGGAACTAGAGCTGAATTAACCATGAGCAAGTGCATCCAGACGGAACATGGTTGCCGTTGTTGGGCTGGAGACTGCGAGCTGAAGGGCTGGAATTGAGTTGGTATTAGATAGCCATGGCCCTCTTCGCGCTCCTCCGACGCGTCGCTCAATTTAATTGACACTCTAAATTCAACCATAACGCTGGCCTTAGAAGTCGCTCCCAAGAAATGAAATTCCACTCGAGGTTCGCCGTCGTGCTGGCTGTTGCTCGCATCGCGGCATCTCAGTATCTGCCAGCTTGCGCAGTAAGTCCCAACCCACAAGTCGCTTCAATCGAAATCCCACGAGGCTCTAACCCCTTGGCCAGGACAGTTGTCTAGGCTTCACTGACACCTCCTCGTCGTCCTCGTCCTCGGAGTGCAACGCATTCGACCTCAGCTGCTCATGTACCAACAAGGCCTACCTCGACGCCGGAGTCTGCTGTCTCCACGAGAGCTGCACCGACTCGGCCCGCGAAGAGGCAGACGCCTACGCCCGGTCGCTGTGCAGCTCGGCGGGCTACGTGATGCCCACGGGGATACGATGCTCCACCATTAGCGCAGCGACCGACGCGCAGTCTACCGAGACGGCGGGCTCTGATGGGAGCAGCACAACGGCCGGCAGCAAGGCGGACACCACAGCGGATAACTTGGCGACATATACAAACATCGCCCTGCCGAGCTCCGACGACAGCGGCAGCAGCTCCTCCTCAGACAACTATTACTCGACGAAGAGGAGGAAGAGCCACACGTTGAAGACGGGTCTGGGCGTTGGTCTCGGCGTAGGAATCCCTCTCATCTCCGCCGTGCTCGGATATCTCGCATTACTACGCAGGAAGAAGAGCAGACAGGCGAACATGGCAAACACCCAAGAACCCCCCATGGCCGCTTACACGGCTCCTCCGCCACAAGGATACCCGCCTCCTGGGTATCCCCCCCAGAACCAGCCGCCTTCGGGCTATCCGCCACAGGGCTGGCATCCCGAAGGCTTCGTGGTGTCGCCCCCTGCAACCCAAACACCCCCGAGCCAGAGCTCGACACCGCTCAAGTACGAGCCGAGCAGTAGCCCGGACGGAACCACGATCCAGCACGAAATGATAGGGACCACGCCTCCGCCGAGACAGGAGCTGCATTCCGACGCACTGCCGAATCATGAACTCCATGCGAATCCGCAGCTGCCCAACGAGCTTCACTCTACCCCTCAGCCACTGAACCCGCTCAATGAGCTCCCTTGAGTTAATAGAATCTCTCAATCGCATAGCCGGTCATTCAACTCCCACATGGTGCACCTGTACTTAAATAATGTTTCCCTCTGATAGTTGGCGTTTGAAATACAAAAAGCGCTGAAAAGGCGCTGGTCTACAGAATGATGCCAGTAATATCGCGAAGCCATGGTGTTTTGCCCCGTTTCGCCCTATCCTCGATAGATTTAATGTTGATATGGTCTAAATGGAGTCTTATATCATTGCAAAATATCATCAACGACGTCAAGAAGTCTTGGCGCACTTATGCGGCTGATGTCTTGGCAAGCCTAGTAAAAAGTCTGATACCGCACCGACCCGGTCAGCATCTCGATTGGGCGGGAGCTACATCGGGATATAATCTCATCCCTGCCAAAGTACACAGTCAGCATTGGAAGGATCAATTAAGTATTATTCAATATTGATTCGGCCGTGCATGGTATATGTCGTGTTCATCTATCTAGTCATGCTTCACTCTCAGCTTGGCGACTTGAAAAGTTTCCCGCTCTTAAAACTCCCGTTATGCTTCGTGCTCGATGAACTCTCGCTCTGCTGGTCATCCTTGTTTTGGTCCCTGTCCTTTTCCTTTTCCTTCTCTTGCTCCTTCTTTTTCTTCTCGATATGCTTGATGGCATCTCCTGTAAGCTCTTGTCTATTGATAAGATCCATCACCTCCTTCTTTCTCGTCTTCCGATCACCTCTGCTAATCAATAGACCAGCAGTAATATTGCAGGTGATGCTCACACAGAGAATTACAGTCGTAATGGCAAATGGTCGGGTGTGGTAGTCGATTCCCCATGTGCAGGCGCCCAGCGAAATCTGCAAGAGAGAGTGACAGTCGAGGAGGATGACGATGCCCATAAGGTAGCCCAACGGGAATGAGTGATGGGTAAATGTTTCTTGTGGTTTGTAAAAACTGTGAGACTTGGCAAACTTCTTCTGGTGATGTTGGAGGCTTTTCAGCTGAGCGTAGGTCAAGGCGGGAATGTCGTTTTCCGATACCGACGTCTTTGCACTCTCGAGATCGGCTAGTTGGTTGGGGTCGGTCCCGACTTCTTCATTAGCAGACGCGCAAGGGCCTGTGGATGCCAGAATCTCTCGGGCCTGGTGAGAGGTAACATGTCCCCCGTTGGCGTCGAGGCTGTTGGCCACTTCTTCGGGGATGCTGCGCTTTTGAAGTCTTGACCTGGGCCTCTTGCCCTTCTCCGCGTTGCGAATCTTACGAGAATAGCGAGCAATAAAGAACATGTGGTAAGTGTCGACGGCTCTGAAGGGTGCCAGGCCATCACCCATGATGGCGAAGAGGGCAACAAGAACACTGTCGATGATGTGGATGGTGTAAACTTGTTTATCTCCGACATAGATCCAGCCGATGAGAAAGAGAACCCATGCAAGGCCAAAGAGGGTGATGAGAGTGGCATAGAGGGTGACAAAGAAGCCCAGCGGTCTTCTGACGTATTGACCGAATCCCTTCATTCTCCGTTTGAACCTGGATCGCCGTGAGTGCAGCATGTGTCGGACATGGTCGTCTAGCTCGGACTTTTCGGCGGCACTCCACCCCTCGAGGCTCGTACCATGCGGAAGAGCTGCATAGTGCGACTCTGTCAGGCGGGATGATATTGTGCTGGTTCTTTGAATAGGAGGACGGTCCGCGTCCAACTCTGCTGGCTCTTGGTCTGCTTGTTCACGGCGCTTTTCTTCGGCGAGGGCCCCCCTTGCCCACTCCTGCTGGGGCGCGTGGTCGGAGAGGACGTAGGTGGGACGGCGGTTGATCCAGCCGCCCAAGTCGGGAATGAACAGGGAGTTTTGCACGTTGGTAAGAGTAGACAAGGTCTGGACCTCGGGATCTGGGACTGTTAGTATGGTTAATGCCTAAGGGTATGAGATGACGTACCAATCATGTCCAGCCAATCGACCAATTCCTGGCCGTATTCATCATCGGGTTCCTGGGCCTGAGATAGCCGAGACTCGCGGCTGTTGACCTGTCGTCGGATGTTTCCAGGCCACAGCATCCGGGTCAGTCTCCTTGCCCTTTGCGGCCTGGTTCCGTCGAGGTCTTGAGTTTGAGGCAGGTCCTGAGTGGGACTGGTTGTGTGCTCGGGTAGGGACATGGTCGGAGAGAGAGGTGACGTCGGCTCGAGGCCAAGTTCAGTGAGAGTCGGACGACCACCCTCCTCTGTTAGACGCGGCATGGCAACTTGCGGAACCCTCCTTGAGTGCCGGGCCAGGCCAGCGTTGTCGGGGACGTGAGCACGCTCGGGTTGCGAGATGCTACGAGGACGACCGCCCTGGAAGCCATCGTGGGCCTCGAAAATACCCGAGTTCGGGGGGACGAGGTCGTTCCCGGAGGCGCGGAGGGATGCATTTGAGGATCGTCGGATGCGGATGCTGGAAAGACGGCCCCCCTGCTCCAGCGCCGGGCGGTTTCCGGTGGCGCTAACAATGGACGATGGACGCGAGGATGGACGCGACAAGGGCAGCGAAATGCGAGATCGAGTCGAGGGAGCTTCAGACAGGGCGGGGAAATATTCGACTCCGGCTTCGTCGAAGGCTACCGGGGTGGCCGGGTTGGGTGAGTGCGATGGCTCGGGCGAGGGCCTTCGAGGGTGCCGAGACGATGAGGATAATGCTCCGGGCTGCAAGTAGCCCGAGGGCGACGGCTGGCGATGAGGATGCATGTTGCCTTGACGGCGGCAATGGCGAGGGACGACGAGGGACGAAGAGGGAGAAAATCACGATGGCAGCAGGTTTAGAAGAGAAGGGATGGTTGACTTTATTGGAGATGGGCCATTATTAGTCAAGTTTGTCAGCGCGTGTGTGATGGTGTGTGATGGGTGCTACTTCACCACAGCAGCTTACATGACCTCACCACAGTGGACAAACCCTGAAAAGCTCCCCTCTTGTAGGGAGCGACAGGCGGTAGCGCAGCTGGGCGGTGGGCCACCTACGTCACAGCCAGAATTTTGTCTCAGCGTGTCAGGATGCCGCTCGATTCGCTCGACCTCGCCCGATTCGCTCGACCTCGCTGGATTCGCCGCTTCAATTTCAATTTGCTAGACGGCGAGCGCGGCCGCTTTGATTCGCTGAGCCTGATTCGTTGGGCCCTGGCCAGACAACCCCAAACGTCTTGGCGCACCTGACGTGCTGCGCTGCGGCGTCGTCTCGGTGTTGCCGGGTTCCCGAAGACTCCGCGGGAAACAAATTCATTGATAAGCCCGCCAAACTCCGGGTTGTATCCGGGATGGACTGAGTCGTTTTGGCTTTTTACTCCCGTGTAGCCGTTCGACATATGCCGAAAGTCCAGGTCGTACCCAGCCGCCGGGATTCTGCTCGGGGCCGAATCGGAAAAAAAGCGTCACGGGGTTTCAACCTGAGGCCATCCGTCACCCATCACCCATTGCCCATCACCACAATCTGTTTCCGTACTACTCCAAACACAGAATACGCACCATCCAATCAATCCCATTCCACTCCCTTCACCTCCCACACTTCAGCTGAACAACCATGGCGGCTGCCGCGTCTGTCCTAACAAGCGCCGCAGTCAACACTGCCGGGGCGGGCCTTGGCACCGGACACCATCTTTGATCTCCCCACCTGCATCCGTGAATCCGTGAGTCCGTGAGTCCGTGAACCTCTGTGCGATCACCATGGTTTTCTACTACTTCGGGCCGGACCGGTCATCGTGGGCCTTTGGCAACGACAGATTCGCCCTGGCGTAAGACTCCACCCTCCCGAGTGCCGTCCGCCGTAGAAAGCTGACGCTCGATGACCAGGAATCGCCTGCCCGAGCCCATCCAGGCCGTTTGGGACCAGCTGGCCGAACCCTTTGAGGACAAGCAAATGGCCGGCACGCGAATCCAATGGATGTCCACATCTCCCGGCGGAAACTATGCCATCATGACAAAGAACGGCGACTGTGTGTTGTTCCCTCGTTCTCAGCTCCCTCGTTCCCAAGTCCACTCCTCAGTTCCACCCCAGTTCCCCCGCCTGAGAGGGCTGAGTCCCCGCCTCAATCCCCGCCTCGTGTAACCCTGGACTGTCCCTTGTCCCAATTCCTGACTCGCCCCAGTGCTCTCCAACTGCGATGACATGTTAAATACCGTCATCGAGCAGCTCCAGAAAGTGTACGGTACTTCTGTCCAGCATGTCTGCTTCTCTCCGCTCGGTGGTTGGTTCATCAAGTATGCCGACGGCACCGCCCAGCTTTCCGGCCGCTTCCCCGATGCCTTCTACGCCATCGCCAACAGCTACATGGATCTGTCTGGCCCTGCCGCCAAGACCCGCCAGCCCTCCAAGATTGACTCCATCTTCTTCGGCAGTGGGAAATCCGTCGTTGTCAAGGCTGGCACTGTCCTCCACTGGGACGGCATTACCCAGGCGCTCGCCGACTCATTCAACAGTCTCGTCCCAAAAGATATCATCGCACTGGGTTTCACGGCCGGACCCAACACCGTTCTCTGTCCTTGGTCCAATGACTTTTACTTCATCGAAGCAATCCCCATACTCTCGGGTGCAACGCAATATGCCTATGAACTGCCTACAGCCGAGGTCACCACTGAACTGCTCCAACAACTGACGACCAATGTCAGACCCCCAGAACACATGATACCAGCCGTTTCCAGAGCCAAGACTCCTCTCAAGCCACTTTCGCAACCCCCAACTCCAAATGTTCCCCTGGCAAGCGATGTCCCGACCTCTCTCCGTCCTCCACCCGTCCCAGCCAACATGCGAGCCCGGTACGAGAAGCAGTTTGACGTGCAAAGCGGTTACAGGGACCACTTGCCCGGGGCGGAAGCCGCCCGTATCCTGCTTGACACCGGGCTCGACAGGAAAGTTCTCTCTGACATTTGGGAGCTCATCGATGAGGATAGAAATGGCAAACTGGACAGGGAAGAATTCGTCCAGGCAATGTGGCAGGTCGATACTCGCCGGACCGGCAAAGACGCTACCATCCGATGGGCCGTGGCCGCACTAACATGCGATGGCTGTTCAGCAGGGTTGAACATTGGCGAGAATACGTATTTCTGCAGTGTTTGCAATGGCGGCGACTTTGACTTGTGCTTCTCTTGCTATGTCGAACCGCCCTTCACAAAGAGATGCAAGCATACCCTGAGCCCAGTTTCCATTCAACTGCCCAGCAAAGTCTCCGTTCGGCAGATCCCTGGTGGCTACGCCGTATGCGACGGATGCCAAACACAGCTCACCAACGGCACTGTCGTGTACTGCTGCAACACTTGCAATGGTGGCGACTACGACATTTGCGAGGCATGCTGGAAGGCGCGCCGAACATGCGGACACCCGTTGTCGCTGAACATATTGAAAGAGGCCAGCAATCCAGCAGAATCAGCATCGCCCGTGGCTCGAGAGACACCCCAGCCCGCCTCGACTCGTCCGACCTGGGATGTGCCTAGCAACACGACTGGGCAACAGCCTTCGGACATGGACAAGCTCAGCAAACAATTCAACGACTCCTCCCTCAAGGACTCGCTCCTCGGCTCCATCGTCTCCACAAAGCCAAATGTCAAGTGGGAGGATGTTGCCGGTCTCGAAGCTGCCAAGGCGGAGCTTCAGGAGGCCATCATCTTCCCTCTCCGCTTCCCGCAAATGTTCCGGGGAAAGCGACAGGCGAGGCGCGCTCTGCTACTATATGGCCCGCCAGGTACCGGTAAAAGTTATCTCGCAAAGGCCGTTGCAACTGAGGTCGACCATACGCTCTTTAGCGTAAGTAGCGGCGACGTCATGTCTAAGTGGACGGGTGAGAGCGAAGGGTATGTTGCTTGACATGGTAACTTGATTGCTTGTCCTAACGTATTCATAGATTGATGAGACAGCTCTTTATCCTCGCCAGAGAGAAAAAGCCGTCAATCATCTTCATCGACGAGATCGACGCCCTGTGCGGAAAGCGAGACAGCGGAGGCGCAAACGCCGAGGACACCGCGCGCATGAAAACCGAGTTCCTCGTCCAGATGGACGGTCTAGGCAACGACAACGACGGCGTATTTGTGCTCGCTGCGACCAATTTGCCGTGGTCCCTCGACCCTGCCGTCCGCAGACGTTTCCAGAAGCGAATCCACGTCCCGCTGCCGGACGAACACGCCCGGGGCGAACTCTTCAAGGTCCACTTGGGCGACATGAGCTCCTCGCTAGGAAACACAGAGAATGCTTTCCGCGATCTCGCGTGGAGGACTCCTGGGTTCTCGGGGAGCGACATCGCCAACCTGGTCCAAGACGCACTGATGATGCCCGTAAAGAAGGTCCATACCGCGACATACTTCCGAAAGGTAAGCCCCGCTTCCGATCGATCCGTGCAGGGTACAATAATGCTCATGATTTGCAGTTCCGCGATCGAGAAGGCGAATGGTACACGCCCTGCAACCCCGGTGACGGCGGCGCCATCCCAATGAGGTGGAACAAGGTCCCGGCGCGGCAATTGAAGGAGCCAGCCCTGGCGCTTGTGGACCTTTACGATGCGGTCCACAAGACGAAGCCGTCGGTGGGAGAAGAGGAGGTGCGCAAATGCAGCGAGTGGACACAGCAATACGGGATGGAGGGAGCTTAAAGCACTGCCATCTATTGGGTCCTTGGATGACGACTCATTTATTTACCAGACATACGATGTCAAAAAGAAATCGACGTCACTTTGGCTTCTTGCCGGCTGTTTCATTCCACTGTCCAGTTACCAATAACTGCACCCTCCCCGCGATAGACGAAACGAAACACCAACTCACGTCCCACTTCAACGGCTAACTTGCCGCGGGTCCTCCACCCAAGCAACGTAACATTACCTAAACCAGGCAAATCATCAGATAGATTGCGTCTTTTACCCGCGCTTGTGTCCAGGGCATATGGGACCTCTCTCCACTTGGGAGGACCCCTCGTCTCCACCAGCACCCGCAACGTTCGACCGGCCGCGGCACTGCACGACCCACGAGGGTTGATGGATCATGGACCCTGCGGGTGGAGATGGCACACGCGTCATGATGCGGATCGGACGTGGTCCAAGAGTTGTAACTTGCAAAAGTCTTCAGTGTGCAGTGGCTTCTGTTAAAGGTCCACATTGAAACTACACCTCTCCATGAAAACATCCGAGTCCTCGCACCACAAACAACCCCAGACTGTTCCCAAGTGAAAAAATCCTTCTCCATATGCACCCATCGTGAGATCTCAACGCACAGAGCACCATCTGCCCCAACCCTCCTCTCTGGCCACTCCCCCTCGGTGCTCATTTAGGACCAGGCTTTCTCCTCATACCCACACATGGTCCCAGATACGGCGGGCAATGGATCTCCATCAAAGGCAACGGGCCGATCGAATGTGACGGAATAGGTAATAAAGAGTATTGCTACTCACACACACACCTATTGTTATTTGCACATGTAGCTACGCGCCTCACTTAATTCTGCTGATAATTATCTATCATCGTGAGAAACCTGTGTAAAAAATAACATTTTATAATCCTTGGGTTTGGTATCCGTTATACCTATTTTATTGGATTTATTAATAAAGATAGGCTCAAAGTTGGAGAACATAGGTACCCTTCCTTTCACTACGCATACTACGTACATTAGTTTGCTGGCAAGGGGCCTGTACCTGTGTACTAATAGCAAGATGCATGGGTGTGAATAGTAATAGTCATAATAACAGCCGTTTGTCTGCCGCAATATAACATCTACAGTACGATGTCCCACCCTAACCAATCTGCCGGTGGACGATGTATGCGTAGAGGTTGGTCTGAGAGCCTAACTGCCAGTGGAGCCATTCTTCGGTAGTACAACGCCATTATCCCATGATTTGGATATGAGAGGGAATATCAGGCGCGACCTATCAAAGTAGATGTGGGCACCGGTATCAGGAGTTTTCATGAGCATTCTTCAGGGGAAACGAAACGAACATCAGCAGTCGGGATCAGTGGCACAGTTAGACCAAGTTGTTCAGAACAGACTGAATCATTAAGGAGCTATCTTTTTAGCCTGACAATACTACAGATACATTAAACTGCTAGGCAAAACACACTCTGAGCCATGGGTATCTCTTCCATCGTCCACCATTCGTGACAGGCATCACTAAGCAGAGGGGGCGAAAGACGTCAACTGATCCGTGACGACGAGACCGGCAACACTGGCAGAGGTAAGAGTGGCCAAGACGCCAGACGCAAGGGCAGACAAAGCCAGGCTGGAGACATCACCACCACGCGAGGGAGCAAGCTGGCCGAGAATACCGATCTGGATACCCAGAGAACCGATGTTGCCGAAGCCGCAAAGGGCATAGGTGGCAATGAGTCGAGAGCGAGGGGAGAGCGTGGTGTAATCACCCTTGGAATCGGTGAGGGCGGCAAAGGCGTTGTACTCGTTCTGCATTCGGTGTTATCGACGTCACTCTTTACAGCGTTGGGGAACGAAGGGGAGGAAGGAGAACTTACGGTGATAATCTTCTCGGCAATGAGCTTGGCGACCTTGAGGATGTCGCCGTTTTCGCGGGGAACTCCGAGCAAGAAGGCGACAGGGTACAGGATGTAGCCCAGGATGGTCTGCAGGGTCAACTTGGGGCTGTTGATGTCGAGATACCTGCCCCACCAGGTGAGGAGGCCGTTGATGAGACCGACAAAGGCGATGATGCAGAGCAGCGAGGCAATGATGGTTCCGGCAATCTTGATTCCCAGCCAGGCACCGTTGGCAAAAGCGTGCAGAGCGTTCTCAGCCTTGTGCTCGTCGTCATCGGGGATGACGACGCGGCCAGCGGTAAGAGTCTCCTCGGTCTCGGGGTATCGCAGCTTGGAGATGGCCAGGGAGGCGGGGATGGACATGATGCAGGAGGAGACCAGAGCCTCGCGGTTCAGACCAAGACCAATGTAACCGACGAGGACGGAACCGGAAATGGTGGCGAAACCACAGGTCATGATCTGGTGGATCTCGGCCTTGGTCATGTGAGGGACGAAGGGCCGGACCAGCATGGCAGATTCACCCTGGCCGATGAAAGGGGTGGCAGCAGCGACGACAGCTTCGGCACCAGAGACTCCAAGAGCCCAGAAGACGAACATGGCAAACTTGACAATGAACCACTGCAGGAAGTTAAAGTAGTACAGGACCTGGACGATGGAGATGAAGAAGATGATGGCCGGGATGACACCGAAGAAGAACATGCCCTGGTTGGCGGTTTCTGCGTTGGTCAAGAAGGTAACACCGTCTTTGGCGAAGCCCAGGAGGTCGGCGGCGCGGTCGGCAATGAAGCGGAAGATGTCGTATCCGACACCAGTGCGCAGGACGAAGATGCCGATGATGTACTGGGCCAGCATGCCGCCAATAACAGTGCGCCAGTTGATCTTGCTGCGATCCCTGCTAGTGGCCCAGAGGAAAGCGATGAAGACCAACATACCGAAGAGACTGATGGCACGGTTCTCGCGGGTGTTGTCCTCCTTCTCCTCAGAGACGAAAGAACCAATAAGGATGGCACCAATGGTGACGGCAGCGCCGGCGGGAGTTCGCATCTTGGGGGGGATCTTGTCGTAAACGACGACGGCGGAGTGGTGCCAGACCCAGCGAATGGGGTTGGAGACGTGGCGGCTCGAGACGTAGAAGAAGAAGAGGCGCAACATGATGCAGAGCCACACCAGGAAAGGGACGACCCAGTTCCTGTCGTCGTGGTGGAGGACCAGAGAGGCGATCCACCAGCCGGTGAAGAGCATGCCGATGAACAGGTGGATCAAGACGCGGCGGTGACGGTACAGCGGAGCCAGCTTTCCACCACGGGTTTGCGAGCCATGGTCGTCGGTCGTGGAGATGAGGCCGGGCTCCATTTTCTCGTGGTCGCTGTAGTCGGGGGGAGTGTGGGCGGCGTGAGCGCCGTCGGAGAGCTTGAGCTTCTCGTCGTCCTTCAGGTCCTTGGCCGACTCAACGTCGTGCTTGTGGAGATGGCTCTGGGGAGGCACGGCGGTGGGATCGGTGGTGGTTCCGGTGGTGTAGACGGCATCGTCGTGGCCATCGGCATCAACGCGCGGCGAGTGGTTATGATGCTCGTGGCGATGCTGGTTGGCGGGATCGAGAGCGGGATCCGAGTTACGGCGCAGGCCCTCGGGGGTGGTGGTAGTGTCTGCCATGGTGATGATTGACGGTTGAAGTTAAGATGGAGAAGAGGGTTGAATCGGGATGAAGGAAGATCAAGCCAATTGTTCGAGAAAAGGCGGGCACCGTGTTGAAGGCCCAGTCTTTCCTTCTCCGCTGAGATGAAGCTCAGGTCAAACTCAGATCAAGCTCGGAGTGTGAGACTTGCGACTGCGGTCTGCTGGTCTGCGGTCTGCTGGTCTCAGCAACACCAATCGCAACAGGAAGGGACAAGCAAGACAACAACGGTTGCAAGACGGGAAGTCTCAGCTTTTTGACAGCACGAACCCTGAAGGGTGGGAAGGACAGAAGCGCAAGACGACGACGTGTGAGGAAAGATCGTCTGTGGAGAGGGAGGATCCTCAGACCTTTTTAAGTCGCAGAGCGGAGGGTTCAGGGTCGCACGCGCGCGGCGGCGAGACAGACAGCTGCACTGCAACAAAGTCCCCTCAGCTAGGAAATCTCGGTGGGCGCGACCCATTGGGGGACCAGGTGACGATCCTCTGCGAGCAGCTCGCCCCTGTCGTGCAGATAGTCTAGGCGTTGGCCGCTTTGCAGATAGACAGAGAACGAACCGCGGATGGCTGCAGACCACAGCCAAAGGGACAAGGCCGGGAGGGGCAAAAGGGCTTTGCAGGGAGAGCTCCATCAACCCTTGTCGGCCTTTGCATTGCATCCTTGATCCTGGTCCATGGTGTGGGAAACCTTATCAGTCCGGGGGACCCCTCGCGTGTCGTGTCTATCTCGAGGCTCCGGCCCTAGGCTCCATCTCCAAGTTTTCGAGGTTTGCCCACACCCACATGGAGACGAGATGCACACGCCCACCACACGCGACAGGACGAGATGGGATGGGATGGGATGGTACAGAGAAGCCCTCTCGGTCACCCGTTTCGTCGACGAGCTGTCATCGGCCAGTCTGGACCGTCTTGCAGTCCATCTGCACCGCTCCTTCGCCTTCGAGCCCATCCGGAGCTTCGCGTTGGATTAGGATTCGAGTGCCGCGTGGGCAGGGGAGTGCGTGTGTGCAACGGCAAAAGGACACACCCTGATTGGGCCCAGCAACTGATAAGGCAGAGTACGTAGTAAGGCAGGTAGGTGTGCAAAACAAAGGTGCTGGGCCGAGATGGATCGCCAGAAGTGAATCGGGTGAATCAGAAGAGTTTCCCAATGACAAGTTCAGGTCCAGTCCAAGGTGGAACAACCTCCGCTCCGAGCCCCCGAAAGACGAAAGAACGGCCCCTCGCCACCACCCGGCGCCTTCCTCGGCCACACCAAGCACAACCAGCACGGCTCGTTGCCCGTTCTGGAAGGTTGCTGGAAACGTCTGGGCCTGTGCTGGAGCCCCCGCCGCCGCCGCAGCGAATCACGCCCTGGAGCGCCCTCCGGAGGGGACAATCCACAGCGGAGGCTACAGGGGGATAGGGGGGCGTGTGCGAACGAGGGCCCTCTGTATCCGTCCCAACGGGGGTCCCGCAGTGGCCAATGCACGCTACCCGGGGCTAAGCTGGCTGTTCTACTGCGTATTTTGCTCGCTGCACTGTAAGCTGATGCGAGTGTTTGCTCAGTTGCTGCTGTTCTGCCGCGTTTCAGTGGACGGCGGACCGCCTTCAGTGGCTTGACAACCCTGACGATGGCCGAGGACCCTTTGAAAGAGGCGTAATTACAGCGCTCGATTTGGGTGGTCGGTCTGGCACGATAAGAGTCCCCCCCACATCGTATCTATCGCCCGCCCTCACTCCCGTTACCCTTACATCCTTTCATCCACAGCAAAGCGCAGATACACACGGCTCTTCCAGGGTCACGATGGAGTACGATTCCAGCTCATCGGGTCTCGAACGGGAACATGCTCTATTACCGAAAGAAGGACCAATCTCTCAATTCAGCGTGTCCATATGCTCCTGCTCCTCCTTTGCTCCAAAACATCACCACAACACCATAACCCACCTCAATTCATACCCAATCCAACATCTCGCCAACAACCAACCAACAAACACACCTTATCCTGTGCCGTCCATTCCGCCCTCTCGTCTTCATCCCATCACCAACTCCTTCAGCTGCTGCTTCTTTCGGGCACAAACTCCAAACCCCAGTTCCACGATGGTTGCAACCTGCCTAACCATGCCACCGGTGCTCTCCGACAGCTAAAATAATGCCTACTTACTTCCTACAGATTGCACTTCCATCGCCGCCGTCCAGCAAATCCCCGCCTATCAATTGGCCAGCCCGACACGCCCTCTCGCCGCCGGCGCCCTTGGCTGTCATCCATCCCCCATCTCCATCTTACCCCGGGTCTTTCTTTCTCGTCCCTCTTCCCTGTTAGGCGTTAGGGCATCATCCCCCCCGGCCTGTCCGATAGTGAAAATCGTCCTACTGTAGGAACTTTCGAAGGCCGTCCGGCAAGGGACGAAGCGCCCTCCCAAAACGGCCGCCAATTTCATCAACCGCCATCCCATTTGCTGGGCAAACTGGAAGCCAAGACGAGCCAAGACGCGCCCAGAACAGCCACCGCCAGCGACGTGCCGGAAATGTCGCCTCTTCCTGGGAATGTGATCCGCCTTGATCATGTCGAGTTCCCGGAGGTTCGGTAGGCGTCCCATCATCTCCATCATCGCCTATCGTACTCCGTACATCACCACCAGAGCATTGTCCAGAGATACACAGTATGGAGTACACGCAACCACGCGTCTATTCATTCTTCCTTGGCGCTCCGTTTAGAGTCCTGAGCTATCACTTGCTAGTGCCTCGGCATGCGCAATACACATGCCATCGCTAACTCTCAGCTCTTCCTCATTCTCTACCTCTTTTTCTTCTTTTTCTTCTTCTTCTCGTTCTTCCAGTGACACTCCTGGTAAGCCACATCTACCCATCTCAAGCCCTTCCCACCGCCTCAACGCCTCCTCCGCACACTGCCCACGCCACCGATGCAATCGAGTCTCACCCACCAGTAAAAACAAGCGTCTAGCCAAGACCTTTAGTCGTCAAGCCAAGGAATGGCAGGGATATCATGCATGCCACCTTTGCCATGCCACTATCCGCATCGGGTAGGTCAGCAACTGCAGCCTGTAAGGTAGCTAGTTACCACCAACATGGCATGGCATAAGCCTCGCCATCTCGTCTGCTCGCCTCTATAGCCATCTTCCAGGTACAATGCTATACCCCGTCTAATTACCCCGTCTCTTCCCAACCGGATGTTGCCCTCCCTCCCTGTCTTCATCCCCTCCACTATCTTCCTCATCCCACGCTAGACATGGGGTTTGCAGCCGTTGCAGGCGTCTTCGGTGTCCATCCTTGTCCATTCCTTGTCCATCCTGGTCCGAGATCTTGTCATCTGTCATCCTGTGCGATAAGGTCCGCCGCCGCCGCCTATCGTGCTGTCCTTGGTGTATCTACGTGCTGTATCTAGCTGTATCTACCTGCCGTAGTCTATCTCGAGTCTATCCCGTCAAGCTCGTGCTACCGACGAACCACTCCACAAAGTACCACGTAGACTCGGCGCACCATCCCGCCCCCGCCTTGTGCTTGTCCTCGTTTATTACCCTTGTCCCGAAACTACACAGATACGTACAGAGACACGCCCACATCGGCGCTTATCCCACCCCAGTTCTCCATCTTCCGGCCGTCCCAACTCCCAGCTCCCAGCTTCCAGCTCTCCCCCGTCTCGCCTCACCATGTCCCAATCCGGTCCCCAGTTCTCCCCAGAGATTGAGTGAGCCCTGCAGGATAAGCCATATCACACAACCTCCAAGCATGTGAAGACTGTCGTATCTCTGCCACTCTATCTTCAACTCTCTTCGTCGGCCGTTTCCATTCCCTCTCGGCCGGGTCCGATGCCATGCCTGCTCCGGATCGACGTCAGCTCCAGCCCTCCATCCTATTCTGTCCAAGTCACACGCGACACTGCATCTGCTGTCCGCGGGTACTTTCCGCCAGAGTGTCTCCATGCAACCCATTCCATCCCCCGCCAAGTCATGTGCTCCCTCGCAATTCAACTGATTTAGACATTCCACGGCATATCCCCGAACCTCACTTCAAGCAAGGAAACCGCAATTTAGTCCACCAGACACGAATATTCACTAATGAACCCTAACTCCAAACCCCAAGCAAGTAAGTATGTAGACGCTATACTAATTTCTGCAGTTCCCGACATCGCTCCCAAGTCCACACCCTACTCGCCGCTCCTAAACCGCCTGTTGAACTCTTCCACCGCAACCCCAACCATCTTGTACAGGAAACCTCTTTCGCTTCCTTCTCCCACCGGAATGAACGGTCCGTTCGCGCCTCCCCTGAGCGAGAGGCTCACTCCCGTCCGCTCCTTAGCAATCGTTTGTATGTCCTTCAGAGGCACGTCCCACTCGCTCGTCAGTCGCCGCGACCGGATAAGTAGGATCCGCGCATATGTCACCATCACCACCATATCCTCCTTGGGCAGCTCCAAGTGGCCAATGTACTGTTCGTCAAAGTACTTGCCATTGTCCACCTGCTTGAGCCAGTACTGCCCGAGAGCCTCCCGCCCGTTGTACGGCTTAACAATACCGTCAAGCGGGATAAATCGCGGGAATCGTGTGCGATCCAGCTCCTGTCCGTCAAACACAGTCGTCGTGTTACGGATGCCCTCGCTCACGTTGCTTGCCATATCGAGAACTCCCACCGCCGGCTTGGTAACCACACCAAGGACTCCCTTGCCCACACCCTTGAAGAAACCCAGCGCGCCCTCCTGCTCGGCACCCTCTAGTGGCTTCCGCGCCAGTCCACCCACGCCCGATGCAACGCTGGTAAGCAGGCTGTTGGCGCCAGCCGCTACCCCGTACAGGGCGTGCTTCGGCCGGTTCCGTGCCCTTGTAATGCGCCGCCGGTCCTGGAATTGCTTGTCTAGCGATGCAGCTGCAAGACCCTTGCTAAGGCTGCCCGTAAACTTGGAGAAGCTGTCACTGAACCCGAAAACCGTCTTCTTGGCAAATGAAGCTGCACCCTTGGCGATGCCCAAGCCAAACTCCTCAGGCTTATCAGAAAGAATCAGCCCTTGATATGGCTCGTAGAAGATGTCGGTCACACCCGACGAGATGTTGTTGAAAAGACCGACGGGGTTTCCGAGGAAATCGGCGGATCCAAGAATCTTGTGGATCTGGTACATGACCTCCTGGCTATAGTGATTTGAGAAGTTCTGGATCAAGACTGCCGTCGACACGCGGACGTTGTCCAGGATGAGGGCATTGAACCGGATCGGCGCGTCATTGACATTGCCAATTGCCATGGTCATGACGTTGAGGAAGAACATGATGGGGTTGCGCGATGAAGTCTTATCCTCAGCGTTAATCCGTTCTGTCCGCATAAAGCTGAGATCGATCTGCATCGGCTGAATGTTGAGTACCTCAAAGTACATGTCCTGTCCGGCTTGCAGTTGCTTCGGCTCCGGAATGCCGAGGTCTTCGTCACACAGCCTACCCTCGTCATCCACGAGGGTCCAGCTGGCACCGGGGACATTCGAAAAGTCGAGTAAAGCAAAGACAAAGTCCTCATCAAGGTCGACGGTCATCTGCTGCAACAAAATCGTCGCGTATTTGACGTACAACACTCCGTAGGAGTCATCCTTGACTCGGCTGACCATGAAGTGCAAGGAGGGATGAGCCTCAACCTCCTGTGCCTTCTTCGGCACCACGCTTGGATACAGGATCATCGGGAAGATGCCACCGTACAGCTGGTTGTCAATCTGAATCCACTTGATTGACATGGACACAGTCTGGATCAGCGGGGAGTCACTGAATCGCAGGTGGACGTCTCTGAATGTAAGATACGCAAGTTCCTTCATCTGAGCATTGATAAGGGATATACCAATGCCCGACAGCTTGAGTTGAGCCTTGAAGGTTTCGCCAGTGTCTTGATCCTTGACCTCGAAGGCAGATGCCTCGGTCCCGGTACTGGTTCTTGAGAGTGTCTTGGGCTTGTACTTGCTCTTGCTTGCCCGGAAGTTGCTCAAAACCAACGTCTGCGTCGGTCCGTCGGCAGCGACGTTGATGTCGATAATCTTTTGCTGACCAGCGGAGCTTGCAAGTTTCATGGGGATTTGGTTGCCAATCTCAGCCAGCTTAACATGCCGCTCCTTTCCGTTAGCCGCGATGATGATCTCGCGGAACTTGGCCGCAGGGAAATCCCACGCGTACGGCATGATGCTCCGGGGCGGAAGACGATATCGCACAGGTCTCCAACCACTGCGGTCTTCAACCCCATCTTCGTCTACATTCGGGTTCGCCTGGCAGAAGGTGAACTCAATGTCACTCTCGTTGCGCATCGAGAAGGGCCAGTTCTTCGTCTCCATGCTGAAATTCAGGAAGATTGTCGAATCCTCCATGAGAATCTCGACTCTTGCCAGGCGCTGTCGCTGACCAGCCTTGGCAATCTTGACGTGGGTTGTCCCAATATCAGCAATGTTGAAAGGTGATGTCCATTGATTGTTGACTCCAGGGTAGCAGAGACACAGTTGCTTGACACGCGACTTTTGCAAGAAGTGCAGGGGCTGCAAAGAACCCTGGCCCAGAGTCAAGAAGCCAGACGAGCTCGACTCACGGATGAGAATCTCTTCGCCAAGCTTGTTCTGCAACACGAAGCGAGGTGCCAGGGTGACAACCTTGGTCATCTTGTACTTGCCCTCTCCAGACTTGACAGTGATGCCCACATGGATCTCCTTGTTTTTGTTGGAAGAGGGCAATACGACCTCGGACGTGCTGCCGATGGCATCGAAACTCTGAGGCTTGCTCCATTCTGAGTCTGCAACCTTCAACAGCGCTCGGTTGCGGTGGTCATCATTGCTGTACGAGAACATGAATGGCAGCGCCTTGGGGCGGTCTTGATCAGACGTGTCCATGAGGGGAAACTGCCCAGCTGCTGGCTTGGCTTGCTGCAGGAACCCCTTCGCCCGGACCCTTAGATCCACGCCAGTTTTGTTGAGCACGACATACGGGCTGTAAACCGTCACCTTAAACGCACCGCCACTGTGGGGGATCTTGAAGTAGTGCAGGTGAAGATTCAGCGGTAGCCCTTGATCATCCTTGACAATGATCTTGCTCTCCTTGCGGAAGTCTTCGTTGTTTCCGGGGTTGATGATGGCAAAGTCGCTTGGCTTGAACACAGTATCCTGCATGTCAACGCTCAGGAGTAGCAGGTGTGACAACTGCACGACGTGGACAGGGCTGACGCCACCCTTTCGCAAGAAGTTGGTCCAGTCCTTCTTGGTGTTCTTGTCGTAGATTCGGTACTTGAAGTCGTACGGCAAGAGATTCTCCAGAGTAACCGGCGCAGAAAGCTTGACTCGCATGTATGGGTATTGCCTAGCATCGTTAGTACATGATATCCAATCTTAGGTAGGCAGTCTTACTTTGTCAACGGGTTCGACTTGTCATAGCTGGCATGAACCTGGAAGTAGAAGGGGTCTCCGTTATCCGCCTTGCAAACAACTTGCTTGGTTTGTCTCTTGAGCAAGTCTCCCCACCAGAGCTGCTCTCCGCTCCACTGGTATCCGAACCCGCCATCCGGTCGGACAAGGACTCTTTTCTCGTAAACGGCGCCGACGGGGGCTGGGCGAGAGTCTCCAGGGGCAATCTTCTCGATCTTGAGAAGGTGGCCTTCCTTGACATCATATATACCAAGCTCCACCGGGATCTGCGTCGCGTTCTCAACCAGCAGCGGAGATCTGAACGTGACATACTTAACGTTGTCGGTTCCAAGCTCAACTTCGACACAAAGTCGATGCAGGACATTTTCCATCTTTGGGCGCAGGCCATACAGGAACTCGCCCTCGCGATTCAAGCGGACATTCTTCACAGGGTCAAAGCCACTGCCGTCGAGCTGGATGCTGACATATGTCTGGTTGGACTCGGTGAGGAGATTTTCTCGCATCTTCTCCCAGTGTTCGAAGCTCCATGGGCCCTCTTTGCCGTCCTCCAGACTGAGAGTAATCGGTTCGTCGCTAGTTGGGCTCTTGGAGTGAATGACGATATCGAATCCGGTGTAGTTTCTGATGCGATAAGGCGCCTCAACACCACGTGGCTTGTCCAAGACATCCTGCTCCGTCGTCAAGAAATTGAACGACTTGGACGCCAAGGCGATAGTCGCTGTGGTGATGGTCACGTTAAACGTCTTCTTGGACACAACATCGAACGACAGCAATCCAGATATAGGTGCCTTGGCCACGCCAAAGCCCACCTGCCACGGCTCAAGTAGAGGCTCCCAGCTCGACTTGGAGAAGTTGTACACATTTGAGTAGAGCTCGATGGAAGTCTCTGCCTTGAGGTTCGAAGACCAGTTCTCAGCAGCGGCAGTAAAATTCTTGATTCCAATGTCAAGGATGGGAAGTTCGTGTAAATCGCCGATCAAGACAACGCGGATTCCCTCCACCGTCGCTGACAACTGTTCATGCATGGGCACCGCAACTTCTTGGCTTTTCTGCGTGGATGATGTTTCGATGGCTGGTTGACTCGCTCTTGTCTTCGTCGCTATAGTAGAGCCTCCTTTGCCACTGGCAGAGCGCTGCTTCAAGCCAGCGTTGCGAACTTCTCTCGCCTTCTGCTCGGTCGGAGTCTCTTTCACCTTTGGCTCGCTGCCAGATAGCTCACTTGCCTTGCTAATAATCTGAAGGGCAAGCAAGATGTCGCGCAACGAAAGCCGCAAAATGAGAGGCTCGACCTCGAGATGAATGCTTGTGTCGGTTGGCTTTGAGTTATCCATGCTCAATTGAATCGAAAAGTCATCGATAATTCTGAGCCGAGATGTTTCGAACTTGTCCATCCGGCATAAGAACATGCCAACTTCCGATACCTGGAAGGTCAAGGCATGTTGCTTGGAAAGGAGCATCTGGCGAATTCCCAGCACGATCGCTTCAGAGCTTGAGCTCAGCGGGTTGGCGATGAGAATGACTTGGGCATCGACGAGATTGACTCGGAACGCAATGTTCATCACTGGCTGAGCCGGTGCGTCTGATTCGTCTGCCACATCTGTGCTTTGTCGCCCTGATGTCTGTGATCGTGCCTTGCGTGACTCATGTCCAGTGAAAGTGACCTGCATAGAGTCTGTGTCTGATTCTTCCGGGGTTTCAAGAATGCTTTCGCTATCCATGGGACTAGACTCGTCAACAGTCAATCCCTCCAATGCAAAACGCTGGATGGCGAAGAGATAATCCAGCGCAAAAATGACACGCGGGCTGTCTACCGTAGCCATGGCGATGACATTTCTTTCATCCCCTCCTGACATGGTCACGCTTGCCATCAGCTGCTGCACATCCTTGTTCATGGACGACATGATGCGGCGGTACTTGTTCGTCTCGCTTGGGCGGCTATCGTAAATGGTAAACGACCGGATGAGTAGTTCCGCCTCGAGGGAGCCATCGGAAAGCATCCGTGTCTTGACCTTGGTGTCGTCAAGGGAGAAGCGTGACAAGCTCGACTGAGCCAAGTCGCCGACTGGCGCATCTAGCTCGGCCATGACCAATTCCAAACCGATGGTATTAACGCGGAATACAAGATCCAACTTTGTCCAAGTCTGGCCAAGCGACCCAAGCTCCGGGCCCAGATCAACCAGCGTTTGGTCGCTGTTGGCGTTTTTGTCGTCAGATATCGTCCGAGCACGCTTCAGCGTACCCTCGTCGACAGCTTTGGCGGCCTCCTCATCACCATCGCCTCCCTCGCCAGCAAACGCGGCTGGAACCGACTTGGAAATCTCCATCAGGAACCTCAGTTGGTATTGCGTGAGTCGGAGGTTAATGTCTGACATGGTTCCCTCGATTTCCGTATCGGGTCTCTTGGCACCATTCTTGTGCTCGGCATAAGTGATCTTGAACCCGAGGTCGACATGGTCGATCATTTCCAATTCCTCAGACTTATCATCAGGGTAGTGGAAGTCCGAGGTCAGTCTGATGTTGCGAATTCCAGCCGAAATCTTCATTGCAATCTCAGAGTCCTCACTATCGTCGAGCGGCGTGAACTTGTTCTGCGCATAAATCTCACCCAGATAGGCTGTGATCAGGTCACGTTTCGGACGGCCGGGGGTGACGAGACGGGGGAACACGACGATAGGGGTGTTGACCACAACGTCAAACTGGAAACGACTGGGACTCTGCTGCATCTGGTTTGCCTGGTTCATCGCAGCTTGTCGTGCCGCATTGTACAGAGCCTGCATCTTGCCAAACTTGACCAAGAAATCAATGATCTTCCGGAACGGCTCTTCCACGAAGTTGATCTTGACGGAACCAGCCCGGAGAAAGATGGAACTGTCATACCCTGGATATGTCTTTGGGTTGGTGGAGTCAAAGGTCTCGTACCGGAAATCGGCCAGATCATCGCCTTGGATTGTAACCAGCTGGCGGAGGTTCGAATCCTCAGACACACCTTGGTTTACATCGTCGACAAGAGACAGGTCGCCCAGTCTAGCTGAGACGCGCATAGTCCCTCCGCGGAGGAAGATGCCGGCATCAGCCTTATTAAAAGACAAGGTGGCGAGTCGAATGCCGTCATTGTTCAGGATCAGTCGGATACTCTTGAGGTCGACCTTGACCCGGATAGCCCCTGCATTGGCGTTTTGTTGCGCTGGCGAAGGTGCATCCACCACCTCAGCGTCCTTTGAATCAATCGCGGGGCTATCCAAGAGCGCCTGGGAGTTTTGATGCTCGTCTCCACCAGTGAACGTGACGAGAATGAAATCCAAGAGCGTCAATAGAGTCTTTCTAGTGACGATGAGGTTGATTGTAGATATGGCGGCCGTGACATTTGTCTCCACGCCCTCATAAACTGGCATGAACTCGGGTGAGAGGGGGTTGACCTTGATGAATTTGACAAGAACGAGGCTACGGCCCTCCTTCAGATCCTCGCTGTCGCCTGACGAAACGATGGCCTTGAACTCATCCGGGGGATTGTCAACAAAGTCATCAACAGTCAAGGAGCCCAGAGACACCTCAGCCGCCATGTCGAAAGGTCGGGTATAGAACTCCAGGTCAAACCGCTCCGCAACCAGTTCCACGAGAAGCGCGTCAGGCTTCTTCCTATCGGGGTCGCTTCGATAAAGCGAACCCTTCAGGGTGTCAACCTTGAACTTGAACTCGAAACTGCGCTGCTTGATCCGAAGTTGTTCGGCATCAGCGCCATCAGTTGCGTCTTCGAAATTATCGTCATCCTCATCCATGTCGTCAAGCAAGACAGCAGTTGAAGCCTGCATCATAAAAGGGAAGGGGGTTGACAGACGCCTATCGCGACCTAGTTTTCGAGCTGATCGTGTTGATACGTCACTAAGAACGCGAGGACGTGATGGTTCTTCTAACTCTTGCGATAGCTCTGGCACAGGGGGTTCATCTCCTCCAAATTTCGGTATCGCCACGTCAATGATCCTCATCAGGTTCTTGTACTTGGAGTCAGAGACAGTAGCATGGAGCATGGGCAAGTGTCCCGACACCTTGAGCTTCGTCAGGTTTGGAGCCTTCGGCAAGATGGACGTCTCAACCACAAAATCGACGTTGATTTGCTCCACAATATGGAGGAGTGCGTCATCGTCTTTGTCAATGAGTTGCGCCTTGGTTTCATCGATCGACGGGCCGATGAGGACTTGAGTCGACGTCAGCTTGACAATGAATTTGTCGTACATGACCGACTCCAGTCGTTTCAGGTCTTCGTCGCTGTACAACTGCCGTTGCTTCGACTGTATTTCTTTCATTGTGGCTTGATCAACCAGTTGGCTGTTGACGTGGATATGACCAGCATCGACAATCAAGCATGTCGAGTTCAGTGTGGTGATGCTAACGGGCACGATGATGAGGGGCGCCTGAAGATCAAGCTCGGCATTGATCGTCTTGTGTTCCTCCAATGCAAACTCGAGACCCGCCCGAGTCTGTTCCCGGAAGCCTTCTACCGTGGCACCGGCAGTCTCCATCAAGGCACTGATAGACTCCATGTGCCGCTCAGGGGGCCTAAAGAAGTCGGCAATGCCGACAACGAAGTTGGGGTTCCAGATGACCTCGAGGGGCTTCATGGTACTAGTGATGGCGATGTCACCCTCACGCTCAATGGGGTTCTGCTCGACTTCGAATTGGAAGAATGGGTCATCCTCAGTCTTCTCCAACTCGGCCAAAGAGAGTCTCTTGCGCTTGTTAATGTCGGGAGAATCCTTGACACGGACAATCTCGGGGTACACGCTATCGGGGGTGGTGCCATCGTTGACGCGTAGGCCTCCCAGGCTGACGTTGGCAAGGAAAGAGTCCTTCCTCTGCAGCGCCTTGGCCTTGAAGACATCAAAGTGCAAGCTGAGGAGGTCAATGTTGTTACCATGGGGTCCCTTCTTGAGTGTGAAGCTACCGGTGGCCAAAGATGTCTCGACACACATCTTGACAGCTTCACGTGGGAGATCCACTTCCTCAGCGATGGCGTTCTTCTCATCCCAGTCAATAACATCGTAGAGCTCCTTGCGCTGCTCCTCTGTGATTTGTGTGTTTTCACCATTCTCTTCAATCGTCTCCTGGGGTTTCGAGCCCCACATCCAGGCGATCCAGCCTTGTTGTTCTTGTTGCTGAGGTTGCTTCTTCAAAGCCTCGGCATTTTCCTTCTTCAGTTGGCTTCGAGCCAACGATCTCCAGAATCGCAGGTCCTCGTAGCCAAGCTTCCGCTCGAGGCGCTGCATGTCTGCATCCTCGTCTGTTGTAAACTGCTGCTGCTGTTTTCTCTTTTTGAAAAGCTCAATGTATCGCCTGCGGTCATCACGTCGTTCGCGGAAGTAGTCCCAGGACCATCTCCGGTTCTTTTCGTGAATCTTGGAGAGGACAGCATTGCCCGCAAACCGGAACCAGGCGCCGGGATCCTCCGTGGGTGAGACTCCCTTGGGTTGAAGTTTCTTGTATTCTTGATGACGGATGAAGTAATGGAAGAGATCCACCATCATCAACGCGTCTCTGTACTGATCGTCATCCAAGACGAGACCAATCTCCTCAAACAAAAGGTTCGCCTTGAATTTCGGTACGCGAATATCGCCTGACTTGTCGAGCTCTATCTTAGCCTGGCCACTGACAGGCTTCAGGATGAACTGATGGGTCGAGCTCGCCTCGGCACCGTTTGTCATCATCTCCCTGAACTTGTTGACCAGCTCATCGTGGGGTAACATTTCGTGATTGGGACTAGCCGCCTCTCGGCCAGTGCCAAGCAACGACGCATCTGTGTTCCAGTACACTGCAAGCGCGCCGAGGGTGGCCAGCTTGTGCGTTACTGAGGTTGAGTCCTGGATGAATGTAGGAGCCCACTGTCCGTCGGTGCTGATAGCACTGAACTCTTCGAGAGTCATGCCGAGGGAGAATGGGTGGCCGGGAGCGGAAATGGAATCTTCGTATCGGATGTGGATGTTCTTGACCTCGACCTGCAGGTTGTCGACAATCTTTGTGACCAAGCTCTGGGTAAAGCTCTGGTTCTTCTGCTGCTCCTCCTGGCTCATGCCTTCTTGGTTCTTTTCCTTGAGCAGCTCGGCGCTGTCCAGCTTTTCCATCTTGAGACGTTGCTTCCGTCTCTCTTCCTCCTCTTCGTCATATTCAGCCTCCTCCTTCGGGCTAGCCAGCAGGAAGACATCCTCGATGAAGACCTTGACGGGGGCGCCACGCAGGTTGGACCAGGGAATGATGAGGGTCAACTGGCCCAGGTGGCCCTCCATGACATTAATGGGGAGCTTGAGCTGGTCGAGGGCCTCGCGGCGCAGCTCGAGGTTGCGGAGCTTCACATCGCCCGACCAGATGCCGACTTTGAGCTGGGTTGGGTCAAAGTTCTGGACGTACATGCCCAGGAAGCGGTTGAGCAGCCCCGCAACGAGGCCTTCCAACATGTTGGCGGTGGGGGAGCCGTAACCCGGGCGAGGGGAGCGAAGGCTGTGTGTATGAAGAGATCTCTATCGGGACCTCATCTGTCGCTTCGAATGCGTGTCGTGGGCGCGGGTGCCATCCGGGAGCGCTTGTCTCGCTGCCTGGCCGCGAATCGTGCGAGAGCGTCGAGGTGCTCGTAGAGGGGTCGGAAGGTCTGGGACGGGCTCGGGAACGCAATGCGGTTCGTCAACAGGTACGTGAGGCGCTGGGCGGGAAGTGTCGAGCGGTGTGCAAACGTAGGATGCTCGGAACGGATTCAAATGATATCGTCAAGCTTCTCGCGGCCTAAACAAGTCTTGACACAGCAGTAGTGCATGCCTGTTGAAGTTGCAGATCCAGGTTGTGCGCATCAGCAAAAGTGGGAAGAAGCAGCCCAACCTGGCAAGGTGTGCCATTGTATGACGCTGATGCCCCAGGCCTAGCCTAGGCAGAGGAAGGCTCCGAGCGCGGTACCTCGGATCACATAGTGGAGGGCGTGGCCGCCGAGGTACCTCTCGATGACGCCCTACCGGAGCCAGTTAGCGGGCTCCCTCACTGGCCTTTGCTAGTTGGTCGATCACTGCTGAGGTCCCGAGTCCCGATGACGGGGGGGCTGTTGGGCTGGAGCTCGGAGCAATATTATGGCGGGGCATTTATTAGGCGCTCTCCTGAGGGGTGCAGCGAGTGCAGCGGGTGCAGCTCCGTTTCAGGCCTATTAAAGTGGTGCCCAGGAGCTATGACGCCCCATCCATCGAAACATCGCAATCATCTACTTAATTGTGAGATATGGAACTGCTTCTCAAGCTGGGCCTTGCGTACGGCAATGGGCACACATATGCCTGGTTGGGTCTTCAGCTCCGTCCTCTCTCGGACAAACAAAAGCCACTCACTACCTTGGCGACAAGCCATCCTCTCGCTTGCCTCAAGCCCAGAATTCCAAACACGAGATGGCTCGTGTAGCAACATGACGTCACGACATCGTCTGAAGCTCGATCATCGCAACCACATTTAGCCAAGCCATAACGATGATGTCGTCGTTACAGCCACATGCGCGAATGAAATGACAGAAGTCAATTGAACGGTCCGAAACCGGATTTGCCCATTGCCATTGTTTTGTTACGAGTCCTTAAGCATCCCATTCGCAAATGGGATCTTCCCTCCTGCACTGTAGCAGATCTTGACTCCTGTCTGAACCACCAGAACAAAATATCTAGCTGTCTTGAGACGACCCTCGTCACCAGATTCGACATGCTCAGTACCTCTCGATCCCTGCTCAGACTCACCTCGCGAGCGTCCTCGACCGCTCCTGTGGGCCGCGTCTTCGTCCGACTCTCCCCCGCGAGCTTCCCTCAAACGTACCGTGCATCATTGTTTTCCAGTAAATCGACCAACAATCCCCCAAATCAATCCATCGATCGTGAACATGAGAAAAAGGTCGCCCAGGAGACCCTCAAGTCCGACCCAAGTGCTGTCACCACAGAAAGCTCAGTCCGGCATGTGATAGAAGAGTCGCAGGCTCCTACAGACAACGACCATGATATGGCTGCCGAGCTTAAGCATGACATTGTGAGTTTGAGGAGTAAATATGTGCAATATGCACAGCTGACTAGGAACAGGACGCCGTCAAAGACACCTTCAGCTTTTCGAGCGTGCCTCGTGAATCCCGCATTCTTGGCCTCGCCGGGACACTACCCTACATGGGCACGTCGCTCTCGACTCTCTTCTTGTCATGGGATCTAAACAAACATTCGCCAACCGGTAATTCCCTGTACGACGCCGTGTTCGTAGATCACGAGACAGCGAAACACCTCTTGACCATCATCGAGCCAATCCAACTGGGATACGGAGCAGTCCTCATTTCCTTCCTCGGCGCCATTCACTGGGTGAGCAGTTTCCATCCAAGTCAAATACAATATATGAATTAGTTTAATTGAGTGGTATGGCTGTAGGGCTTGGAATATGCTGAGAAGCAGCCCCTCCTCGAGCGCACTCGCTTTCGCTATGGCGTCGGTCTGGCTGCCTCGATTGTGGCCTGGCCAACACTCCTCATGCCAGTCGAGTACGCCCTCACGGCCCAGTTCGCGACCTTTGTCGCCCTGTACTTTGTCGATTCCCGTGCCACCACACGGGGCTGGGCTCCTCACTGGTACGGCACCTACCGCTTCCTCCTGACGGCCATGGTCGGCCTCGCCATCTTCATCTCCCTAGTCGGCCGCACCAAGATTAGCCAGGGTCAGACGTTGACCTCCCACGGTCTGGAGGAGCGCTTCGGCGCATCGGGCATTGCCGATCACGACACCGACTGGGCCAAGCTGGAGAAGGAGGAAATGGAACGAGTCAAGAAGGAGAAAGAAGAGGCCGAAAAGAAAGCGAAGAAGGAGGAACAGGAGAGAAAGCAAAATGAGATGAAGGCCGAGAAGGGTGCCAAGGGGCCCGAGCAAGAGAAGTCCGAAGACGTGGAATCCAAGGACAAGAAATCCGAAGAGAAGGAGTCCGAAAACGACGACGGGGTTGGAGCGGATCAAGCCAAAAATAGTCAAGACAAGAAAGACAAGGCCGAGACCAAAAAGGGGTCCAAAGACGACGAAGAGACGAAGGGTGATGATGGTGATGATCAGGAAGACGCATCTTCAAAGAAAAACAAATCTGCCAAGGGGTCTCAGTACGAAGAAAAGACGAAGGGTGAAGATGAGTCTTCAAAGAAAGACAAATCCACAAAGAAGAAGAAGAGCAAGGCCACGGAACAGGAAGATGAGAGCTAGGTTGCAGGCACTCGGCGCATTTGAATTATTTCCTTAGCAAGCCCACAACTGGAATGTCATTTATCCGCGATGAAGTTCATAGCCGAAACCACGCTGCAAGACGGAATTCCCTGAATTACAGGTCTCACATGTTCCCCATCAGCAATAAACGGACCCATGAGCTGTAGGATTGGATTACTATACCCGGCAAGGATCGCAGAATGGCCGCTTTCGACAACGAAACGACCTCTAACATGCCAAGCAGGGCATAAAGTTCAACAAGGGCAAACTACAAACTGGGAATATAACTCTCTTGACGAGGACACAACCCATCTACAAATAATTCTCCCTCCTTCACCATCACAAACCATGGCCGACTTCAAGTTAACCCGACCACACGTCCTAAAGGCCTTCGAGCCGCTGCAAGAAACCGACGACATCGCCCGGCGCAACTCCTTCTTCTCGGACTCCATGGTCCCCGACGTGAAGTGGACCATCACCGGCCAAGCGCACTCGCTCGTCGGCACTCGCAACAGCATCCAAGAACACAGCAACATGTCCTTCGACAAGATCGATAAGCGCCTCGAGGGCCCCATCTAGTTCGTCGTGACAAAGGTCATCGTGGATGGGGAGAGGGCCGACGACGGGTGGTGGACGTCGGTCGAGCTCAGGGGGGAAGCCACGCGGCGGACGGGGATGGACTACAACAACGAGAATGTCTGGTTGACGCGATTCAACGACCAAGGCAAGATTGTTGAGGTCAGAAGCTACTTTGACACTTTGCTGGAGGAAATGGTATTGGCCGAACCGGCGGACGGGGAGTAAGACGACAGAATTGAACATCACTCAGGAACATGGGACGCAATAAAATATTTGTCATCAAATTCATGCATTAAACTAGGTATCTCTGACCCTTTTGCGAGCGCGGTATCATAGAACCTCAAATAGCCATGAGCCAAGTCATAATTCTATGTGTCCTCCCCCACTGAAGCAAGTATGGTGGTATGAGCTCAACGCCGTGAAAATGCACCCAGAACTAGGACCGGACCCTAGATACGCCGTCTCGTTGCAACCAAGTAGCCGACAAACAATAGTCACACAACACGCGTCCAGACGCACAAAATCCCACCAGGTGCCTCGCTATGATTGAGAATCATCGCCTCCTCCTCCTCAAGGTCGAGCGTATGCTTGCTTAGCCTTTTGAAATGTCAGTCATGCCATCCGTAACGAATTTCAGTCGTCACTTTATCAAACGAGATTTCACGTACCTTCATCTGTTCAATTCGGGCCTTCAGCTGGCTCGTCACCTCTGCCGCTCTCCTCCAACTCTCCACCCCGTTGCCTGCTGGCTGTGGCAACGACGACATGGGCCGTTGCGACATCCCCGAGCTGTGGTCGTCATCCCGGTGAGATACTGCGCTCCTAAAGCCTCTAGCAGGAGAGCCACGCCCTGAGGATGGATTACTGCCAGCGTATCTCATCTCAGGGCTCAGTTTGCTTCGGGGGTTCATCATCTCTCCGTTCTCCTTTTCTTCTGACATGGAGCTCGTGATGCTCATTCGGTGGCGATTAGCCGAAGAAGAGCTGTGGTCTCGGTAGACGTCATCGTGAGTTGGTGATGTGATACCTTGGGAGGACCCGTCAGTATCAGCGAGGATATGAGTACCAGATGTTATCTTACGAGGACTGCCCATGCCACTCGGGGACGTACCCAACCCTTCGGCTCGGCTCAGCGCCTTCTTAAGTCGCTCCAGCTCTCGCCTCAGTCGGTCGTTTACCTGCTCGGTAGCCTCCGCGTCACTTCGGGCGCGAACAAGTTGTGTTTCCTTGGCCTTGATGCTTAATACATCCCTGGTGTGATCCTCGATTAATCCGGCATTCTGATTCTTGAGCTCCTGGACCTCTGACATGAACTTGCTGCGCTCCTGTCTCATTTCATCAACCTGGCGGGTCAGTCGGTCATTAGCAGCACGGAGCTCTTCTAGCTCAGCTCGCTCCACAGCAGTCAATCCGCTTGACGGCGGCGGTGAAGCAGGAGGCATTTGAGCTGGGGCAGCCGCAGGTTTCGCAAGTGACCGCCCGGCCAGCCCACGGGAGAGGCCGAGGCGTGGCTGTGGAGGTGCTGGCTCGTCGTCTGAAGGCATGACAGGAGCTCCAGGGGCCCGACGGGGAGAAGCGGCGCCGCCGGGGCCACCTAGGGTTCGCTTCTGGGGACCCTTCAGTCCACTAAGACCCGGTTTCGGCATTCCAATCCTAGCAGGACCAGGTCGAGATGATGGCTGAGGGGAGAGGGGTTCGGCAGGGGGAGGGGCGGCTGCCGGAGCTTTCTTGGCCCCGACCTTCTTCCCACCCATCACCTTCTTGGGCGGAGGGGCTGCCTTTGGTGGGGGAGGCTTCGGCTTGGGCTTCTCCTTGGCCTTGACCTCGGCAATCTCAAAGAACTCCTTGACCTTGTTCTTTCGAATATCGTCGAGACCCTCAAGCTGAGGTGTCATGCCTCGTTCACCAATGATCTTCATGATGGTACCGAGGATTTCGGCACCACCATCTCGAAGCGCGGGGCTCGACTCGGACAAAAGCTTCTTGCCAGCTTCGCAGAGGGTGACAATTTCGGGCTTGCTGGGCACATCTCGTGTCGTTCGCAGGCATCGAATCAAAAACTTCATAGTCCCCTCCTTGACTTGGGGGTTCTTGTTGACCAGGTACGTGGTGATGTCCTCAAGACACTCGGTGAGGTCGGTCGACAGAAAAACAGCATCAAGGGCAGCACCGAGAGCATCAGAAACAGTTACCTTCTTTTCCTTCAGACGATCCATGATGGGTTGCATAACAGTAGTCCTGTACTTGGCGTAGCCTTTCCGTAGGCCCAATGCCAAAGCCTGGATACACAGCGCGGCCTGGGTAACGACGGCTACGTTGGCATCCTTCATACACTTGGCCAATCCTCGGTTGACTTCGTTGAAATCGCTGTCCTTGATTCGGGGAATGCTGAGGGCCTGGTGGAGGCCATCGACCGCCTCCTTGCGGTCCTTCCACTTTGACGATGCCAGCATATCGCTAAAGTTAGGAGGGATCTTCTTGCTGATATCTTGGGGCTCGGCGAGATCAAAAGCATCCACCTCCTCAACCTCCTCGGGTTCGTCATCACCCTCCATTTCATCTTCTCCCCCAGCCGGGGCATTGGCAATAGCCTCTTGCTGCGACCGGAGTAGTCGCTCCTGTTTTGGGGGTGCCTCAGCTTTGACCTTTTCGAACTGGGCCTCCAAGTCGGTCTGCTGCGTGGGTTTCAGTTCGCCCCAGAACATGGGCTTCATGGCCTCCCGCAGCCATCGGTACAGTTCCACAGCCAGGGCTGTTGCTTCGGCTCGGATGTTCTTGTCGGCGGCACCGAAAGCCTTTGGCAGGGCCTTGAGAACCGGCTTGGGGTCGACGATCTTGCAGCCGTAGTTGTGGAAAATCTGGGTGAGGGCATGTAGTGTCGCTGCCACATTCTTGGGGACTTTGTTGGCCAATCCAGGTAGAATATCCTCGATGACAGGAGCGGAGACGTCGAGTTCGATATAGAGGAGCAGGACCTCAACAGCACCCTGCTTGGTAGCGGCTCTGGTGGAGGAGAGACACTTTTCGACCATGGGCGTAATGGTGTGATTCCGTGTCCTTAGGCAGTGATCTCGTCCACCGAATTTTAGGAAGGCGCCCAATGCAATGATGGCCTCCTGTTGGGCGGCGACGTTGGAGTCGGTGACGGCAGCCTTCCATAGGCCGGTGTCATTGAGAAACGGTCGGAAGCACTGGTCGTCCTCGGAGGCTGACACGGAGAACTGCTTGGCGGCATCTTCGTAGGCTGCTTTTCTGACCTTCCAGACCTGGAAATTCAAGTGTTAGCTCGGGTTGGGGGGTTAAGGAGTGGACAGCGTGGGCGGACAACGTACCTTGTGGCCGAAGCGGTCAGCTATCGGCAAAGAGCTGAAGTCTTCTTCTTGCTCCGCCATGATCGCGGTGCAGGCGTAGGGAGGGTCGAATGTCGAGTTCGAGAGCGGGGATCGTTCGTTACGAGAACGTTTCTTGAATGGGTTGGGAAGTTGGGCTATACGGGCAATCAGCTTCTGCAGCGGACGACGGCGTTTCCGGGACTCCATGATGATCGCGCGGCAACGCCAACGAGAGGAACAGGGTGTAACCAAACAGACGGAGTCCGGTGGGCGAGGCTTGAGGAGGGGATCACAATACATACCGAGAAGATGAATGCGCCGGCGAAGGTATCGGTATCGGCGACAAAGAAAGTCGGGCGGTCGCGTGAAGTGAAAGCGGCAGCAGGAAGCAGGAAACAAAGGAAGTGCGTCGTTCCTTCTGCAAGCAAGCAAGCAAATGCAAGGCGCCTAGGCAGCGATAGGTTGTGAGGGAAGGAGAGACGGAGTCGAGGCGCGCTGCGGGTGTCGCTGGGAATCCTTGTTGTCGGGTCGGGACCAGGTACGACGACGAGTTCGGTCTTCGTTTGGTTGTGGTGGAGGGGAAAGTCAACAAGCGCTGTCAGCTGATGCGCAGGGGTCGGTGAGGGGCGTGGACTGTGTGGATTGTAGTGTAAACTGGAGATTCTAGGGACCTGAGGAACAATTTACTTAGTGCCTCGAGCAAAATGGTAGGCGTAGGGTAGGTGGAATGAGTACTGGGTAGGATATTCAAAATATTCATGGTATTGAGTTGGCGCAAGACGCATTACAAGGGATGACCGTTCTCTAATACGGAAAATAAAATATAAAATACATGCTGTTCGCTTCCATCACATTCACCTCGACAACTGTCCCGTCATTCGCGGACTCTAGGTGTGTTGTTCTGAAGCGTGACTTCGCATGGTTGTTGACGCCCAATCCTCGCTCAGGTTGCATTTCATTGCCCCAGAAACAGGGACCAAGCCACCCGCTCTCACCACCATGTTCCATGCATAAACAAAGCAAAGGAGCACGTGGAGGGCCGCCAGCATCCCGCTGCGACAAGAATACTCCAAAGAAAAATAACCATCCAAGGACATGAAGTAGTGTTCACATATTCATTTTCTCGTTGCATCATTTCGGCAAGGCTGACTCGTTGTGAGGCGATGGCTGGATACTCTGGGGCTCCGTGTCCCTGGTACAAACCCTCTTGGTTGGACTCTTAAGCACGTAGCATGACGTCGAGGTTGGCGCTGCAGCCGGGTTCTTGGCGGGGCTACTTGCATTCCTTACGACCGTAGCACGGGTTCTATCCGCAATCCTTTCCACGAAGAACATGTTTCATCCTGATTTGGCTTTGACGTGGTCCATCGGAAGAGGCACCGCGATTCCAGGGTAGTGGATCCTCCCTGTCTCCCTCCGTTCGACGGCGTTTGACAGACGTCAACCCCAACTGCTTGCGCAGGATTCTACACTAGGTACGTACGTGATGGGACACCACCCAACCAGGCAGCTGCAGCGTATTTGTGGATTGATGATGCACATAATCTTGAAGGCAGTTTAAGCCCGGGGATGAGGAAAGGGGACACGCGAGAGTGACATATGCCACACACTGTGCTGTGACTGCCGTCGGTCACGTGCAGATAAGATAGGGTAGATCTGAAATTCCAAAACATCGTCATGCCTGCGCGACTGCCTTCTGCAGCCTGTCACTACCAGCGTCCATGCGACAACCTCACAGAGCGACGATACGCGTGCGCTTTTGCACAGACATCCACTTCGTCAAATGATTTGTCCTGAATAAGCGATCCGACATCATGAACGGCTCGTCACGACCCTCCTTTGACCCCTCGCGCCTCACTAAGGCCTCGGTCGCCGACTACTCCTCATCAGCATCCGAATCCGAGGACGACTACCTCGCCCCGGGACTCGATGCCGACAATGATTTCGGCGATGCCAATCCTCGAAAGCGACGTCGGTTAGGAGGCAACAGCAAGGAAAAGGCTGCGCTGGGCATCTTTGGGTCCGACAGTGAGGATGATGGGCCAGCAAGGAAGTGGAAGAGAAAGACACTCAGGAGTAAAGGAATGAGCTTTGTCGCCACAGGCGCGGGAGATCGAGACGACAGCGACACTGGAGGAAGGGACCAAGCCGATGACGACTCCGAAGACGCTAGGCCTATGATCGGGAACAACACTCAGGATCAGGACGAGGAAGACGACGACGACGACGACGACGACAGAGGGGTTGGGCTTGGGTTTGGCGGCGCATCCCGTATGATGGGGAAGTTTGGGAACTCACAAGACACTCCACAAGAGGCTAGCGGAGGTTCACCGTCCTACCCGACATTTCGGACCAAGTTTAATGGGAAGAATCCCTTGGGGATGGGATTTGTCCCATCCTCTTCCCGCCAACCCGTTTTGAACGACCCAGGAAACAATGGCAGTCCGACGCCGAGAAACAAACCACAACCTAGCGCCTTTGGAGCCAAGGGGAAGGTTAACGCCAAATCCTTCGGTGCTCGAATGATGGCAAAGATGGGCTACCAAGAGGGCAAAGGTCTGGGCAAGGAGGGCCAGGGCCGAAACATCATCATCGAGGCCAACTTGCGGCCACAGGGTGTTGGATTGGGCGCTGTCAAAGAGAAGTCGGAACAAGAGCGAAAGGAAGAAAAACGACAGGCTCAGATGCGCGGGGAGGTCGTTGTAGACTCTGACGAAGAAGAAAAGAAGAGAAGACGGAAGAAGGCTAAAGCTAAGACGCTTGGAAGCGCCTTTGATAGCGCCGCCAGCACCCCGAGACGCCAAAAGACCAAGTACCTCACGGCCGAGGAGCTCAAGGCTACGGCGCCTGGTCTCCACATTCCTGACGCTTTCGCCCCAATCCTCGATATGACTGGACCCGGAAGCAAGATGCTGACTTCAACGAGCGGTATTATGACACCAACAACCGGAACAGCTACTCCGGAGTCGACAGAAGTTATTGAAGCAAGAAAGTTGGTTAAGCGGGCCCAAGCAGATCTCCTTGCCTTTTCCGATGAGTGGAAGAGCTTAGAGGAACGAAAGACGTGGATCGACTTGGAGTTGAAGGAAAAAGAGCAGGAGATGGACGACCTGGGCTCCGATCTCGGGAGACTCCAAGTTTTCTCGGATCTTGTGACTGGCGAAGTTGCGACTGCCGACTGGGAGCAACTTATTCTCTGTCTCCAGAAAGCCCTTGAGCTTGGAGTGGCCCAAGCTGAGGTTGCCGACATTGCGGTTGCAGCGGTTCACCCATTTCTGCGAGATGCAGACTGGAATATTCTCAAAGAGCCAACCCGATTCGCCTCGGACCTGACAGGTCTTTCCCGTCTATTGATGCCATCGGATGGTAACCAAAAGTCGCTCGGAAAGTGGCATTCTTCTGAAATCAACAATAATGATGTTTACAGAAGCCACCATAAAGCCACCACTGCTTTCGAGAGCATGATGTACAAGAACTGGCTGCCCAAGGCGCTTGCGGCAGTCCGTGCTTGGGACGTCCTCGAACCGACACCTATGCTTAGCATTCTGGAAGCTTGGGATGAGTTGCTCCCGCCCTTTGTTCGGGCCCAGTTTATCGACAACATCACCCGGAAGCTAGAGACTGCTGTGTCAGACTGGAATCCCAGAAAGAGGCGTCAGAGCCATCATTTACCTCATATTTGGCTATTCCCTTGGCTTCAGCATCTTCCGTCATACCACTTAGACCCTCGGGGAACTGGACTCGTCGCTGATGTCAGAAGAAAGTTCCGGCAACTGATTGACTCGTGGGAGTTCGAGCGAGGACTTTTGCCCGGGCTGACACAGTGGGAAAGTGTGCTCGGAGATCAATGGCGGCCTCTCGTTATGTCACATGTGCTCCCGTCTATGGGCAAGTACATGCGCACCAACTTCCGTGTCGATCCCGCCGATCAGGAGCCTTACCTGCCAGTGCTGACAGGAGTCCTCACGTGGATACCGATACTCAGGACCAGGAATGTAGCCGAAGTCCTCGTACAGCACATGTTCCCTATGTGGCACGAGAAGCTGGAACAATGGCTAGCGCTTGACGACGCCGACCTGAGTGAGGTGGCGGAGTGGTACGGTTGGTGGAGAGGCGTCCTGCCACCAGACGTTGCCGAAGCGCGAGGCGTCAGGGGCGAATTTGACAAGGGTCTCCGCGTCATGGTGAATGCGGTAGCAGGAACATGAACGGATGGCTGCCTCTTGTTTTCCACCATTGGTGTGGATGAGAGACTTTAGCCGGCGTTGATCTACTAGTCATGACCCAGGTTGTCGGGAGAGGGGACATACAGACGGAGAGAGACGGATGAAACGGCCATCGTTGGGTATTGACTTCGTTGAAGGCGAGTTTGCCATTCTTGATGACCACTTTTCGATATCACGGCCGAGGACAATAGTGGCAGGGTTCTTGTCAACGCCGAATGTCTCAGTGTTATTGAAATTGACTCTTTTTCAGCTTCGGAGTCCCGTCTTTATCAGACAAATATCGTTATTCCAAGGCAACGCGCTGGGTCCGATACGTTCGAACATCGGTGTGGTGTCACAAATCAATACAATAGGTTCAAACAGTTCCATTCATGTCCAATCTAAGGTTTCCAAGGTGAGTTTGACTGAGAGTTGATCCACGGCCATGTGCATGGTTTCTCGAATTGGCATGTGGAGTTGGTTGAGAGTTGGAGGTCGGTTTCCAAGTTGGGAAGTGGACTAACCCATTCAGACGTGACCCACGATGCTACAGGGTCCACATTCCTGGGTGCAGCAACACAGGCAACACAGTCCCGACTTTCTGGAACCATTCTGGTGTGTCTCTGAGGTCAGTGGCGATGACGCCCGGCATTCGGAGCCATGTTGCAGTGTGTTTCAATTGTTCGGATAAGTGGAACAAGGCGCTAAGTGTTCCTGACGGCGGTGCCGGGCGCCGTGTGTGGCATCCAGCTTTCAGACCGGCGCCCGCTGCTATTCAGCAAGTGTTCCTGGAGGCGGCGTAACGCAACCAGAAAAACAGCCACCTGACTGAGTAGCATGGAAGTGTCCGTGTCGCTAGAAGCATTCGTCACGTCTCGAGACTGGCGCAAAGGTTGTTTGGGGTTGCTCAAGCCCAATGTGGCATACCAGGCCGTCGGGAGCCCGAGTTAGACAGATCGACGGCCAGGGCATCCTGTTCAAGCCTGTTCCAGACTTGTGGGGAGGCATAAGGTTCCCTGGGCAGTTCGGAGGCGCTCTGCGCGACTCAGTGGTCCTCAAGACTGAGGTCCGGAATGGCATCGGCGTCGATGGCAGCGGCTCGACGCGCACTTGGCAGTGGACACACAGTCTGTACGAGGGCTTTCCAGACCAAGAGAGGCGACCATGGGTCACTTGTAGAGCGTCCTTGGTGTTGCCGTCGGCATGGAGGTGACGATGATGGCCGGTTTCAGTATAAAGAGAACCTGGACCTCACTTGGCTGAATCTTGTTCCCCAGAGCAACCCCATCCCTCACTTACAGCGACTCCCTACCCTAACCGCTCAACCCAAGCATCGCCTTATACAGGCAACAATTTACCCCAGTCTTTCTTTATACCTTCCCTCTCTCACTTCAACTCAACATGCATTCTCTGCTCTTCCTCCTCGCCGCCCTGCCCGCTGTGCTAGCGCGGCCGTCCCTCTCGAAGCATGCCAACAGCGATATTGTCAAGGGCAAGTATATCGTCATCATGAACCCCGATATCGATGCTCCCAACCTGAATGACCACCTCGGTTGGGTTGACGACATCCACGCGCGCAGTCTGAGCCGCCGTGGTGCTGGTGCCAACGAGAAGGGCGTCGACAAGGTGTGGTCCGATACCTGGAAGGGATATTCCGGCGAGTTCGATCCCGAAACCATCAAGGAGATCAAAAACAGCGACGAGGTAAGTCTAGCGTTCCCCAATCCGGCTCTCCACATCCCAGTCCACGTGGGAAGCATTCCAGCCCGGGATTCTAATCAAGCCTGATAGGTCCTTACCATCGAGCCCGTCCGGACCATCACGATCTACGCCCCCAAGATCACCCAGTCCGCATCCACCTGGGGCCTTGGATCGATCTCGCACCGCAAGCCCGGCTACCGTGAGTACGTCTACGAGAGCAGTGCCGGCCAGGGCACCTGGGCCTACGTCGTTGACACGGGCGTCTACACTGCCCACGCCGAATTTGAGGGCCGGGCCTTCCCGGGCTACAACGCGGTGCCTAACACCAAGATGGCCGACACAAATGGCCACGGAACGCACTGCGCCGGCATCATCGCGAGCAAGACTTATGGCGTTGCCAAGAAGGCCAAGATTATGGCTGTAAAGGTTCTCGACGGATCCAGCGTAAGTCGACGATTGCGCCCTGATTGCTACTGTTAAGGTTACTCACACCTCGGTCTAGTCTACCACCGATATCGTTCTCGACGGCTTTATGTGGGCCGTCTCCAACATCACCAACACCCCCGGGCGCGCTGCCAACGCCGTCATCTCCCTGTCGCTCGGCGGCGGCAAGTCCGCTGCCTTCAACGCCGCCATTGATGCCGCCTATAAGAGGGGCGTTCTCGTGGTGGCTGCTGCGGGCAACAGCAACGTCGACGCCGCTCTCTCCTCGCCGGGCTCTGCGCCCGGCGCTCTTACCGTCGGCGCCAGCGACAAGGACGACAACCGCGCCAGCTTCTCCAACTACGGCAGTGTGGTCGACCTCTTTGCGCCAGGTCTCGCCATCACCAGCCTCGGCATCACTAGCAAGACGGCCACCGCCACCATGAGCGGCACTAGCATGTCCTGTCCCCACGTCGCTGGTCTGGCTCTGTACCTCAAAGCCAAGGAGTCGATTGTCTCTCCCGGAGCCACCACCACCCGAATCAAGAACCTGGCGACCAAGAATGTGATTATCGGTCCCGGAATCGGCAGCCCCAATCGCCTGGCGTACAACGGCGCTGCCTAGAGGTGTGGAGAGGAGAGGAGAGGAGTGAGCGAACAAAACACGAGAATTGCATGTACTGACTTGGTAAGCGACATACATTGGGAAGCCTTTTTTTCTTCCTTTCATTAATATCCTGGGTTCGGGATTTGGGATTTGGAGTCAATTATACTCGTTCTTCTTTTGCATTTGCTGGCGAACGCAAGAGCCTTGCACCCGCACTCAGACTAGATTATACAAAAGGTGATGATACACGAAGCAATATACCTTTCTTAGAAGTTATTCACAGTCTCGCTCGTGCATTTGGGGCGGACCACAGAATAGTACATCTGAGAAACAAAGATGTAGCGTTCACAAAACAGATAAAACCATGTGGGAATAATCTTTGATAGATGAGGCTGTGATTGCGCATGCCCGTTGGTCTCAGCGTCGTGGATCCCTGCAAGGAACCCGACCTGAATACAGAGGCTAACGCCTCACCCAGAAGCGGACAGGCACGCAAACGGCGGACGAACCAAAGACGGCTCTCCAACGCATGGTTTTCCTTTTGCGAAGCGAATGGATCATCTCAGGTGCGACTAAATCACGATGGCACTAGCATCAGAGATGGAAAACTTGGTTTTGTGTGAGACATGGGCCAGCCACGCGAAGATCTGGGCTGGGCTGGGACAAATCCACTCGACGACGGAAGCGATGGGCACGGGAAGAAAACGTGGCAGGTCAGGGATGGTGGGAAGGGTCCGTGATGAGGGTGTTGTGTGTGAGCCAGGGGGTTGGTTTTGTATTGCCGGGACTGAGATGAGATGAATGGATGCTTGATGGGGCCAAGATGATGGATGCTGGGGTTCTTGTTTGAGAGAGACTGGTGGTATACCGTGCGTCCTCGTGGAGGGGAATGAGGCTGTTGATATCAAGGATGGATGGGCTGTAGAGTTCATAGTGGAGGTTTGGAGGTTGCGGAGGGAGAGTTGGGCAGCTCCCCTTGATGCAGCTGGCGTGTTTCCAATTCCCAGCTAAATATGCGATTGCCGGTTTATCTGTTGCACACTCACTGATTACCTGTCCGTTTGGGTCTTGGTGGGTTGTTGGCAAGCAGGTTGAGTCGCAGTTATAGTCGTCATCGTTGCCGCGTCATCGTCCGGTGTAAACTGAGAGCACGGTTATAATCCCTTTGGTTCACATGGTCTACTCCAGGGTCATTCATCTGGTTTACTCCCGGGTAATCATCCTGACAGATACCATGATCCTAATCATAATCATCGAGTCACTTTGGTGGCTGAGACGCCCGTCGCCTTTCCCGCACGAGGCAGCGACGGACTAGGAACAATCTGAGACTAGCACATATGCTATCTACATTCCTCCTCTCTATCGCGTTTGCATCCGTTCCGTCGAACACAACACACCGAGATGGGTTGTTGATGGTGACCAGACCTCTGTAGCTCTGCAGTCTCTACGTACGACTGACTCACTGTGTCGCCATCTCTTCTATTCGTAGAACTCCCTACCCAGTCCCGCTCTCCTATTTTTTTCTTCTCCATTCAAGCCCCAGCCCCATGTTCGTCTCCCCCACACACCCTCGGAAATATCCACCCTCGCTTTCGCACCCGCGCACGCTCTCACACGTACGTGGGGACACCGACACCACCCCGGCTCCCGGATCAGGCACACAATCGATCACACTCGATGCCGAGTAGTTGCGTCAACAGAGGCAAGCGACAGGTTTCGGCTGGACGGAGGAGCGATAGCTTTCGGTTTTTGCCAGCTGAGACGGTGAGGGCTATAGTGGGATCACTACTGTAAGCGCAAGCCCGGTCTCGTCTCTATCGAATCTGCCGACCGCCTCCATCGCCCGCAGCCGCTGTATGCGCCCGCGCCGTGTCCATCCCATCTGCCACAATCCGCCGGTGCCAATTTCGGCGCGGCCCCGTGTGTGTCGCGAGTGTGTGCGAGAGTTCAAGCGTTGTGTGCGCCCGTGTGTGCCCCGTAGGTCAGGTACTGCAGCCCTTTTTTCTTGATTTCTGCCTCTCTGCGCCGCTCTCGCACTTGGATCGAACTTGGCGCGCGGCCCATTGCATTGCGCTGTTGTTGTTGTTGTTGTTGTTGTTGCTGTTGCTCGCTGAGAGGATACAGCCTGAGCGCCTGAGAGCCTGTTGCTTGTCGCTGTAGCCGCTCGCTTCCGCCCTCCCGCCACAGCCCACTTCACTTGCTGCCCACCACAGCACAGCGCCTACTGCTCACTGCCCACACTGCCCACACTGCCCACTCACTCCTCCTCCCGCCCTCTCGCTGCGAAGCGAATGGCTGACATCACTGCTCTAACTTACTGCCCTACCTACCACTTCCCATCTGAGCCTTGACTGGTTACTCACACTCACACTTTCTTCCCTCCTCCGCGACCCGCGATCCGCGACCTGCGCGAGTCTCTCTCTCTTTGTCTCCCCGCGAAGCTCTCCCCAGCGACGCATCTTGCCCAAGGCATTCCGGAATGCCATAGACGGGCCTCTGTTATTCTCGCGCATCGCACCTCCCCTCGCACCTCCCCTCTTCAGCGCTGCGGCCCGCCCCTGACTCAACCCTCACTGCCCGCCCGCCTGGCCGTTTGCAGGCCGCCTAATCATCCCGCACACCCCCGACCGTATCCCATATTGTACTGTCCTGTTCTGATTACATGATCCGTTCATCATCTCAGCACCACCCCACGATCTATCAACCCTCCCCCCGCCTCTCTTCCCGGCGCTGCGAGTCCGCCGCCGTGGCATAGTCCCGTCACCATGTTTTGGAGGTTTGGCGGCTACGCCAACATCTCCACCATCGACACTATCCTCGACAAACCCGACTTTACCCTCGAGGAGCTGCTCGACGAGAGCGACCTGATCCAGGAGCTCAAGCAGCACAACACAAAGCTCATCGAGTACCTCCGCGAGGACAAGGTCCTTGAGAGCCTGCTCGACTATGTCGTCGCTCCCAAGCTAGACTCGCCAAAACCCGAAGCCGACGCCGCCGCCGCCGACACCCCCGCAGACCCAGATGCTGCTGCCGACGACGACGACTCCAAGGCCAAGGCCCGCATTCTGCCATTTTCCCGCCCGCGCGCCTCCTCTCGTGCCACCGACCCGGGCATTGATGATGAGGAGGAGCAGGAGAAGAAGCGCAACCGCTATGCCTTTGTCGCCTGCGAGGTCCTCGGTTCCGATACCTGGTCCATCTACGAGGCCCTTGCCGAAAACCGCCAGCTGATCCGGAACTTCTGGAAATTCCTCTCGCGCCCGGCCCCGCTCGACCCTCTGCAGGCGAGCTACTTCACAAAGGTCAACGAGTCTCTGTTTGAAAAGAAGACTGAGGATATGATGGAGCTCTTGATGAGCCTCGCCGATGCTGTCCCCGACCTACTGAGGCATGTCGAATGTCCCATGATCATGGACCTCCTTCTCAAGATCATTGCCCTTGATCGCAGCGAAGGCGGCCAGGGCGTTGTTGAGGTATGTCTTTCCCCATACATTTCTGCGTCGCATCCATCTAACCCGCCGTGTCTGTAGTGGCTCTATTCCAAGGAAATCATTCCAACTCTTCTTTCCTGCCTCAGCCCCGAGAACAACTGGGTTGTTCAGACGGCTGCTGGTGACTTCATCAAGGCCATCATTACCATTTCCGCCAACGCCTCTCAAAATGAGCAACAGTGCATTGGTCCGAACGAGCTTACCCGCCAACTGGTTTCCAAACCCTGCGTCGAGAAGCTTATCCAATACATGCTGGGTGGTGGCAACCCCCTCACCGTCGGCGTCGGCATCATCATCGAGGTAATCCGAAAGAACAACTCTGACTACGATCCCGACATGGGCACCGAAGCCAGCGCTGTCCCATCCAGCCGTGACCCAATCTATCTGGGAACCCTTCTGCGCTTGTTTGCTCAAAACGTGCCCAAGTTCATGAGCTTGATTATGGAAGCTCCCTCTCACAAGAACAAGATTGACTCGACATTTGGCGAGAAACTAGAGCCCCTGGGTTTTGACCGTTTCAAGACCTGCGAGCTGATGGCAGAGCTGTTGCACTGCAGCAACATGGGCCTTTTGAACGAGCCGGGCTCGGAGGAACTGATTTCAACGCGGGACGCCCAACGATGTCGTTTGCGGGATGAGGGAAAACTTGGCCCAGCCAAGGAGGAGGATTCTGCAGCCGAAGACTTGACCATGCGACGACCTCAAGCCGCCCCCGAGGAGACCCGCCGCTTGGAGGTCACAAATGCCGACGATGACGGATTCGAAGAGGTTGAGCCGAGCAAGGAAATGAGCGAGGACACTTCCCACGAGTTCGTCAAGGCCGAGGTCGACATCAACCCCGCTTCTCTTGTCGATGAGTTTGTCGACGAGCCACTCAGTCCTCCTCAAACTGCTGCTCGCCCTGACAAAATCAATGTGCCGTTCGAGGAGCCCGATCTCGTCGTTGCCCCTCTTTCGCCCACAAAGCCCAAGCCAGCCGAGCCCGCATCTTCTGAGAAGCCCACTGAGTCGGAGCCCGCTGAGAAGAAGCCTGAGGATGCTTCGGAGTCTAAGGCGCAAGATGGCGCCGTTTCCGAGAAGGCCCCGACTGATGATGGATCAGATTCTTCCGTCCTCCTGACCCCGGCACCCTCTGAGCCGGACGTCAAGATCGACGCCGCAAACGCTCCGGTTGCCGAGGTCGACTCGGCCTTGAAACCCGAGCCTCTGGTGCCTCACCCTGAGGACACCCCAGCACCTCTGTTCTCCGCCCCCCCGCCCCCTGAGTCTGGTGCCGATAGACCCCCTCAAGTAGCTGAGAAGTTGGCAGGTGGCGCGAGAGCAGATGTTCTCGCAGGTGGTGATGATCTGACCACTGAGACAAAGGCAGCTCCATCAGGCGAGACTGCTTCTCAGTCCGCCGAGGATCAGCCTACAGACCAGACAACTGGCGCGGAGCCAGTTGTTGGAGACTTCTTGAAGATGCAGTTTGTCGAATATCGCGTTGTGCCAACAATTTTGGTAAGTCTCCCCCAACTACACTGTACTACTCTAACCCCAGCAGTCTTTCTTTTTTGGATACCCATGGAACAACTTCCTACACAATGTGGTCTACGACATTGTTCAGCAGGTCTTCAACGGCCCAATGGACCGTGGCTACAACCCTAACCTGGCTGTTTCCCTGTTCGAGGCCGCAGATATTACAAGTGCCATCATCAACGGGCAGCAAGCCAGTGACGAGTCTCAGGCCAAGACCAAGACTCGCATGGGATACATGGGCCACCTCACCCTCATTGCGGAGGAAGTGGTCAAGTTTACTGAGCGACACCCGCCGGAGTTGCTTTCTGAGACGGTCCTTGACAGCGTTATGAGCCAGGAATGGATCAACTACGTCGAAGGCGCTCTGGCCGAGACTCGTGAGAGAGATAATGCCATTCTCGGTGGTGTTCGACCAGACGTGGCTCTTGGAAATCGAGCCATGGGAGGTAACGGACTGGGAGGTGTCGGCCTGTCAGGCCTGGGTGGAAATTCCGGCAACGGCTCAAGTGCCCTGGCAGATGCCGGCCTCAACGGCGGAATTGAGCTGAGCGAGGAGTCCGGCAACGGCATCGGTCCCTTCACCATCAGCGCCGGGACTTTGATGTCTGGCTTCGGCAGCAGCAGCGACGAGGAGGATGAAGATGGCGATGGCGATGAGGAAGACGTTAACTCTGAGGTGAGTGGTGATTCCAATGACGATCTTGGTGACGATGTGGGCGCGGGTTCCTTTGGGCACACTGGCATGGTGGATTCTCCAGAGGATGTGGTGATGGGCTCTCCAGAGCCGATCCGGGCAGACTCTCCAGACCCTGGAACTGATATGGATATTACTATGGACTCGCCGATGGATTTTGGCGGGGAGGGAGCACCGTTGATGATGATGGAGCCATTCGGGGAATCTCAAGCTCGGACAGAGCAGATCGAGCACGTTATGAGATCGATGGATGAACCTTAGAATGGGGCACGTCGATACGAGGTCAACGACTACGCGTCTTCCAGTGCCCTCGGTGCAGTGGAGAATGAACGGAGCGACGACGACTTGAACCTCGAAGACCTCTTGAGGTTCCTGTCTGAGGAAATACCCTGAGCAGAAATAGCAGGCGTTGTGGGTTGACATACGGGACGGATGGGATAAAAAGATCGTCATGATAGCTCTTGCGAAGGAGACACGAGGAACATGTATAGATGTATGATGGGCAGAGGAAGACAAGAGTTAGGGCTGAATGGCAAGGAAAGAAATGGAACGGGGGTCATGCCGAGATGCCAGAGTTCACGCAGGATGTCCATGCCGGTGCCGGGCTCGTCTTTCTTTGTGTCGTCGCTTCACGGCTCTCCGATACTGACTTCTCTTGTCTTAGTTCCGAGCCTACACTGACCCTCTCAACAACGCGGGCGGGTTGATGGACCCGCCTTCGGTTCCACCACCCCCTCCTCCCCCGCCGCCGCTGAACGCGCCGCCACCGCTGAACATTCCTCCTTCACGGGCCAGACTCCAGCTGGCGGCTCGGCTGGCGATGCACCAGAAAAACAGCCAGGCCACGCAGTCGAGCTCTGGGGCTCTGCATCATGTCGATGACGACGACGATGACAACCCTTCGGATCCTTTTGCAGACACGGAGGAAGACATGGACGACGATGACGACGACCAGGACGAGCGTGGTTCTTGGTGGCGAGGCGTGGTGAGAACCAGGGAGAAGACAGATGGTAATGAGTCTGATGATGAGCGTGACGACGACGACGATGATGAGTTTGGAGATTTTGCCATGGCAGAAGATGAGCGGACGACTGGGGGCGATGATCACAGCCTTGTTTTGAGGCCGTTGGCTGTCAACCCAGCAAAGGAGGGGAACACTCGAGGTCTAAGCGGTCTGTGGCCGTTTGGGCTATCCAAGGTCGAGAAGGAGAAGGAGGCAGAGAAGCTGGAGTCTAACGAGGCCGGATCTGCAGGGGTTGGGGACGATGCGGGCGATAACGACGACAAGAAGGCGGTTGAGGTCAAGGAGGCAAAGAGGCGAACGAGCATCGAGGACCCGGATGATGACGAGGTTGTCATTTGAATTCAATATGATACCAAACTGTTCTAGGGGCTTAGATGGGGCATAGATTTACTGGAACGGCGGCTGGGGGCATGCAGGGTCTGGAGGAATCCGAGGGTATAATGATGGAGTATCTTGAGCAATGAACAGGCGATGCCAGGCGATTAGTGTACGATATATATCATTTATTGTTTTGATTAGGTCCATGTGTTGTACGTAGTATGTTGCGGGATAGGGAGACTGTGTATCCAGTGTTGTAGGATCGAAGACAATAGGAGTATGTGAGTTTGTATGTGGATTCGTAAATGGGAGATGACGTTAGTCTTTGGACGAGCGTCAATGAGCCTGCCGAGCGCTGATTGCATGCCGAGCTCGCCGACGAACATTTTAACGAGCACGTTGACGAATACGCCAATGAACAAACGGTAAATGTGCCGAGGCAAGACAGCAGTTGGCCGGTTGAGCCATGCTCGCCAACAAGTGCAGACGCTCATGGGGCCAACTCCCACGACAAAGAAAGAATCTGGCCACGTTGATAACTCCATGCTCTTCGCGGCCAATACTCCGGAGGATGAATAACACATACACGGATGCCCGCGTATGCGCTGCAAAGCAGGAGTTAATCGAGTGTTATCAGAAGCGGGACAGCGGGTACATCCCTGCTGTAGGATCGGATGGGCCGTCATGGCAGGGGAGGATAGCATTTCGCTTGTGCCGCTTTCGGGCATGGTTGGGCAAGGATGCGATGGCTGGTCGCCCAGAAGGTCACTTCAAGTTGGCTTGTCAGCGGCTAGATACCAATACGAAACGGTGAAACGCCGTGGGGGCTGCCGGGGGCGACTGGGCGTTGGTCGGGCGTGGGATGCTGCATTTCGATGTTTCGGTGACGGGAATGGCCTCACACAGGGCCGTCTCTTTGGTTTAATAGTAGCGTTCTCGGCTTCCCCATATATGCGATCCTTGCAGGAAATGGACGAATCCTTTGCGGCGAGGAACGTCTGGAGGATGTTGGGGGTTATTTGCAAAGGGAACGATGGCACAATAGATGATGCAGGAAGAAGATTATCAGGATGGTGAGGGTTGCAGCTCTCCACTAAACATGACAAGTTGTGGCGAGATATGGAGAGATGTGGACGGTTGAGGAGATGAGCAGACTGGGTTACAAGGCGGATGGCTTTAATCTTGACGATGACGAGGAAGAGGATGGATGTGAGTCTCTGTCGTATAGGGCAGGAGGAAGGGATTGAAGGATTGAGGGGGAAAAGAGGTTGGTTGGACTGTAGATGGATAGTGGATAGTGATTAGTGAATGGTAGACGGATCGCACATATTACATGACGAACCTAGTTCAACTCCATGTTGCGGTTAGTAGTCGGCGAAGGATTCAGGCACCCGCTTAAAGAGAATCCCTTGGGAGGTTAGAGGAGTGGGATTCCTTTCCGAGGTTAGTAGTGATGGGAGTGATAGGAGCGATAATGGTACGCTATGGGAGGAGCCAGAGTCTGGAGGAGCCAGAGCCTGGAGGAACCAGAGCCTGGAGGAACCAGAGTAGGAGCCAATAGAAGCTGATCGGCGAGAGGCGTGGATTGTCAGGGACTTGTAATGCACGTGGTGTGAACTAGGAGTTGCGAGGAGGAAAACTAAGGGAGGTAGGTAGGTAGGTAGGTAGGTAGTGCAACTCGGCGGCTAGACGAGAGAAGGATTTAGACTTGCAGGGATGAAGCGAAAGGCGTTCATTTCGGATGCCGAGAGCGAGTGAGCACCATCAGCATCAGCATCAGCATGAACAAATTAGATGCAGCCAAAGTGCCAAAGTAAGTACGGCACTTGGAAAAGCCACACATTTTTGGGACTTGGGTGTTGTTATCCCTGCTGAGTCGAGATGTCGCTGTGGCGGAGTGCATGATGAGTCGTGCGCAGCAGCCAGTCCCGTGCGCCGGCAGACCCCCTCTCCGGCCGGGTGTGGCTCCTCCGATCGACGGCGGAGGCTGTGCGACGACGGTGCTACATACAGTACGATAGTAATAGACAGGGCAAAAGACAAGGGCAAAGGGTCTTTGTTTCTTTCTTCTTTTTTTAAAATGATTTTCCCTGTTGGCGTTCATCCGGCCGGGGACCATCCTGGACGGGCTACTACTTATTCCCCCAGGATGCGGATCCTTTGCAAGCAATCATGATGCCAAAGACTCGAGAGTTAAGTGGGTTAGTGGGTTGATGGGCTGTCGCATTGGGGAAAGGGCCAAACGAACCGGGCTCCATCAGAGAGAGGAAGATGAATGTGCCGAGGGTGACGGGACCAGAGAAAACAGGTTGGTCCTTGTTGACTTGCTCCTATGCGCCGTGTATTATTGTCCGGAGGGGGGGGGGGGCGGTGGCTGTTTTCGGGCTTTATTCAGCTCCAGCACCAGCTCAGCTTGGCGGCGGCTTGTTTCTATTCTCGTCAGCAGCTAGCCAATCGACGCCGGCATGACAAAGATGGGGTGGCCGGGCGGGCTGCCGTATAGTTGGATCCAAAGAAAGTATATCGGGTGTTGATTCACTGCATCTTCAGCAGTGTCTCACTCCGCCGCGGCCAGTTGGTCCAGGCCAAGTCGGTTGGTGGCCATTTGACTCCTCAGTCGGTATAGCTCCAGCGCCGCATCTGATCATGAGGCTGCCGGATAGGTTACACGGTAATAAACCAGGCGATCAAGAAGGAGCAGCAGCATGGCCAGAGAGCGCCGCTGCGTGGGTCGAGTGGGCGTGCGTCATGGCGGTGCAACCCTTGTTTCTGGTGTGTCGGATGCCGAACGACACAACAACAGGCCGCCGGGCTGGATACTCCGCAGATGGCCGATATACTTTGCACATACAGAGCCATTGTGTAATTGGATTGTGGATCCCCGTTGTGGATGGGACAAATCGCCCGTTCTCGACGCAGGCAAACGCTCGTCTGGGAGGCAACATTTGGAATGCGGACTGTGGATTGCGGAGTGTGGAGTGTGTATTGTGAAACTGCGGAATGCGGGACGGCTCTCGAATCCCACTGCAGGGTTGGTTGCACATACTAACTTCCTCCTCCCACATCGTTACCTTGCCTTGCCTTGCCATCGTCAACCGCGCGCCGCAAGCCCGCCATATGCATGATGCGATGCAGCACCGCCATTGGCCCGATGCCCCCGTGCTCCTCTGGCTGGGGTTGTGATGCCGGGATCCAAGGATATCCCAACGTTTCCATGGGATGCACGCTGCACGCTGCACACACGACACACGCTGCGTACATCTCCTCCACCATCATCTCTTCGCACGCTCCGCCCTCTTCCCTACTTAGACCACCGGACCTCCCCCGACACGCCCGGAAACGGCGGACGGCGGCTCAAGACTGACGGCCCTGAGCTGAGCTTACCTTACTTGCATCTCCTCCATCCAGGAACCAGAATCCAGGAACAGCTATCTAGCCCCCGGTGCCCAGTGCTGCTCGTGGCTGGCTGCTTATTCTAGAATCCCTCTTCATCCTCCCTCTCCGTCTCTTTTCCATCTGCTCTGAGACTACCCGCCTCTCATCCTCGCCGGGCTGCTTCCGTCTTGCCTTCTCTTCGCCCGTCTTCACTCCGCCATGTGGCTAAGCTAAGACAGCCGGGTCCGTCTTCACAGTGTTTCTCCCGACCTTTTATCATACCCATCTTGCTTCCCAATTCTCCTTCCCCGACCTACACGGCTCGTCAGCGCTTGTCGCCATGGCCGAGCAACGACCGAGCCTGCCCCGGCTCGACACGGGCGTCTTACACGACGAGCCGGACTCGGAGCGCCTCATCATGGCCGTCGCCCAGACGCTCAACATCCCCCGCAAAGACATTTTGCTCTTCGACTCGTTTGCAGACCTCGGCGGCGACCAAGAGGCCGCCGAGACGGTGCGCCTGGCCTGTCGGAGGAAGGGCATCGAGGCCAAAGCTGACGACATCATGGGCTGCCACACCCTCGCCGAGCTGCAGACTCGCATTACACCGTTCCCGCCACGTCTTATGAGCCCCGTGGAGGCTAGTAATCCTGCCTCCGAGGACGACAACGAATCAGGACCGTCTAGCTTGAGCGCCAGCGCAGACGACCTCTTCTCACCAGTCCACCGATACTCGGTATCCAGCTACGGCTCGCACACGACCTCGTCGAGCAGCGACGACTCTTGCGTCGCCACCAGACCGACCGGCCAAGACATCGAGAGCCTGCTGAAATCCAGCCCGCGGGTCAGCAATGTATGTCTAGTGACGCCGCGTGCCGGGCCCTTCGACGGCCAGCTCGTGGCCCTGGTCAAGATGTGCGACTCGGAGGCCCTCCCCGCCACTCCTCCGTCCAACGACATCTTACTGCCGCCTCGCTCCGAACACGCCGCGCAGAAACGCGAGATCCGCTTGTTGCGCATGGCCGTGCAGGAATGGGGCGCCGACTCGCGGCGGCCGCAGATCTGGATCCCGCTGCGGCGCATGGCCGAGCGCGATGGCGGTCGCCCGGACACCAGGAGGCTGCAGACGTGGGTGCAGAACATCAACGAGGCCGTCTATGAGGACATTATGACGTTGCAGATCCCGGAGCCGCGGCGCCCCTCGCTCAACCCGTCCTCGCGCGAGCAGCACCGCCGGTCGTGGGCCGAGTCCCGCATGGAGGTTTGGCGGGAGGACGACGAGGTCGACTGTGACGAGATGGAGTGCTTCCCGCTGGCGCCCATGCAGCAGCTTTATTTCCAGACGTCGATGCAGCATATGCGCGAGTCAAGTTGCATCGTTGAGCCTGAATACCGCCACAGCCAGAGTATCATGTTGAGAGTCAAGGGGGGAGCCGACAGTTCTGATATCGAGGCCGCCGTTGAGGCCATGGTTGCTCGCCATGCCATGCTTCGAGCTCGATTCAGGCCCGCTCATGACGAGTGGGTGCAAGTCATCATCCCGCAAGCCTCAAACTCGTATCGCTTCGGCCATCACTCCGACGTCGACGACGAGGAGATGTCGGCGCTCGTCGAGGCCGCCCAAGCCGCCATCAACCCCACAGACGGCCCCGTCTTTGCGGTCGAGCATGTCCAGAACGACAACGAGCAGATGCTCTACCTCGTGGCGCACCACCTGGTGGTGGACTTGATCTCGTGGCGCATCATGGTGCATGATCTCGACGAGCTGCTCCAAGAAGGGACGCTCCTCTCCGAGGGTTCTATTCCGTTTCCCCACTGGGTCGATTACCAGAGCTATGAGATGAGCCAGCGACTGTTCGAGCCCACCCTCCCGTTTGAGGTGCTGCCAGCCGACCTCGGCTACTGGGATGTAAGTCGCGATGCCAACTGCTACGGTAACACTCAACAATCCACCTTTACCCTCTCCACCGAACTCTCCTCGATCCTGCAGAAAGCGTGCAGCGACGTGCTGAGGACGGACGCCGCCGACGTATTCCTGGCCTCTCTGCTTCTCTCATTCCGCCAGACATTCACAGACCGTAGCCCTCCTACCCTCTGGAAGTCGGAGCATGGCCGCGAGGTGGTTCACGCCGACTTCAACATCATGGAGACGGTTGGCTGGTTCACATCAATGTGCCCCGTCGGCGTCGGCCTGGAAGCCGCAACAGACTTGCTCCAGGTCATCAAGCTGATGAAGGACACCCGCCGGGCGATCCCCCGCGACGGCATCCCCTTCTTCACGTCCGAGTTCTCCACCGCCGAAGGCGCCTCGGGCATCCCCGTCGAGGTGGTTCTTAACTGGGTCGACACGCTACAGGGCATCCAGCGCGAGCACGGCATCCTGCAGCCCATGACCATTCCCGGCCAGGCGGCGCGCACGCTGAGGTCCGACATTGGCGCCAACGTTGGCCGCCTGGCGCTGTTCGAGGTGACGGTCATGATGGACGACTCGGGCGCCAACGTCGAGTTCACGTACCACAAACATGCCGACCACCAGGACAAAATTCAGCTGTGGCTGCAGAGCTTCGAGCACCTGGTGCTAGAGGCAATCGGCCGGCTGCGCTATCACGAGCCCGAACTGACCTTGTCCGATGTGCCCCTTCTCAGGACATCCTACAAAGCACTCACCAGGCTGGGCACCGACCGTCTTGTTGGATCCGGCCTCCCGAGCTCCAAGGACATTGAGACCATCTACCCCGTCACACCCGCGCAGCAGGAGATCCTCATGTCGCAGAGCCAGAGCGCCGAGAGCTTCCACGTCCACGGCGTGTACGAGCTGCGAGCGCCCGACGGCACCGCAGTCGACGCCACTCGCCTGTGCAAGGCCTGGCAGAGCATCGTGGCCAACAAGCCGGCCCTGCGTAGCATCTTCATCGACAGCGTCTCTCGAGAGGGCCTGTTCGACCAGGTCGTGCTCAAGAAGGCGTCGCCGAGCATGCTGTTTCTCGAGTCGTCCAGGCCTGAGGAGGCGCTGTCCCGGGTGCCAGCCCTCAAGATGCCCCTGATGGAGCCGCGCCATCGTCTTTCGGTGTGCCATACAACCGCCAAGACGTTGGTGAGGGTGGATGTCAGCCAAGCAATCTGCGATGTAAGTGATATCCATTAACACGGAATCAAGGTGCTAACAGAAGTAGTTGACGAGCGTCCACAACCTCATGGAAGAGCTGTGCAGCGTCTACTCTGGCCATACGCCCTCGCACAACGAGGCCCTCCACCACACATATCTCTACCACGTCTCATCCCTGGATACAGCTTACAGCCTCGAGGTTTGGAAAACAGACCTAGCCTCCGCCAAGCCGTGTCTCTTCCCCCGCCTAACCCCTGAAGCTGAAGACGTCGCCAAGCCGCAGCCCTTCGACCTTGAGGTGAGTCGCGCGCAGCTCATGGCATTCTGCCGCGGCCGCGAGGTCGAGCCCGCTTCGGTTCTGCAGCTTGCGTGGGCTCTCGTCCTGCGTGCCTTTGTCGGCATGGACCACGTTTCCTTTGGCTACCAGTATGCCGGCCGCGACGAAGAGCTCCTCCGAGGCATCGGCGAGGCCGTCGGTAGCTTTGCCAGCATCCTGCCTTGCTCCGTCGACGTCTCTCCCGACCAGACCATCAAGGAGTGCTTAGCGGCCGTGGACGAGGCCTTTGCCAACTCCCGCAAGCACCAGAACCTCACCATGGCCGAGATCCAGCACGCCCTCCACCTCCGCGAGAACCTCTTCAACACCTGCTTCTTCTTCGAGGACGCAGACCTCTTCGCAGGGTACGCGCGTGACGGCGCTGATATGAACCAGATCAAACTCTCGCTGGTCACTTCTGCCCGTCGCACCGACTGCCAACTCTCCCTGACGGCCATGTTCACCAACGACCGACTGCACGCCAACCTCAGCTCGCGCTTCCTCTCCAGCAACCAGGTCCACAGCGTCATGAACAGCTTCGAGAGCGCGGTCAAGGCCATCATCGCGCACCCAACCCGCCTGATCGGTGAGACGGACCTCTTCACCGACCGCGACTACGCCCAGCTCGTCCTGCACGACTGGGAGGCCGGCCAGCGGTCTCCGAAGGTCGACGCCTGTCTGCACGACGTGATTCTGCGCCACGGCCAGATTCGCCCGCATGCGCCGGCCGTCTGTGCCTGGGACGGCGAGCTGTCTTATATCCAGCTGGCCACGCTGGTGACCAGGCTGAGGACGTATCTGGTCAACCTCGGAGTCTGCCCTGGAATGACGGTCCCCGTCGTGCTCGAGAAGAACCGCTGGGCTCCGGTGATGCTTCTCGCCGTGATGCAAGCCGGCGCCAGCTTTGTTGCGCTCGACTATCAAGACCAAGTCACGGTGCAGTCCACCATCCGATATCTCAACCCTCACATCGTGCTCGCCAGCGAGACGGCTTGGAAGGAGCTCGGCGCTGTAGTGCTGAACCTAGTCATCGTCAACGACGCCTTCTTCGCCATGCTGCCGCCACACTTGTCGACGCTCGCCCGCGAGGCCACGCCCGACCACGCCGCTTGCGTCTTCGTCACCCCCAAGCGCACCAGCAGCGGCAGCTCGCGCAGCATCTTCTTCACGCACTCGGCGCTGTGCTCGACCTTTGTCGCCCAGGGCCCCGCACTCAGGATGGATGCCGCGAGCCGCGTGCTGCAGCTGTCGGCCTTCAACGTCGACATCTCGCTCGTGGAGATACTCGGCACCATGGTCCACGGCGGCTGTGTGTGCGTCCCGTCGCCCAGGGACCGCGTGCACGACCTGGCCGGCGCCATCGCGAGGATGGGCGTCACCTGGACGTACATGACGACTGTGCTGGCTCGCCGTATCAACCCTGCGTCCGTCCCGAGCCTCAAGACGCTCTGCTTCCGCACGCGCAAGCTTGACCAGGACACGTACGGCCCGTGGCTGGAGAACCGAACCGTACTGCTCGCCTACGGCGCTCCCGACGTCTGCCCCCTCGGCATCTCCGTCACCGAGGTCGCCAAAGACAAGGACCTGAGCATCATCCCGCCGCCCCTGATGGGCCGCTTCTGGATCCTCAACCCCGAGGATCCCCGGAAGCTGATGCCCGTGGGCGCCATCGGCGAGCTGGCCATCGACAGCCCGAGCGTCACTCCTCACCGGTTCGCCCCTGACATGCCGCTCGTGGCCCCAAGCCGGCGAAACAGCACGGCCAGTCCCTCGGAGAAGCCCAGGGCGCGGTACCTGAAGACGGGCCATCGAGTCCGGTATCTGGACGACGGCAAGGTCCAGTTCATCTCCAGCGTCCGCGACGACGTCGTAGTTGATGGCTCAAGCGTCGACGTTGCCAATGTTGAGCAGAGAATCCGCCGCTGTCTCGGCCCCGGCGTCGACGTCGTTGTCGACAAGATCGCCACCAAGGACTCCCTGCGGATCCTGGCCGCCTTCCTTGAGCTCGGCGACTCGCTCTTCGACGGCAAGGAGGGCCTCGAGGAAGTCAGCCAGCGGGTCAAGGAGCGCACCTTTATCGCCAAGAAGCTCTTCGAGGCATCCCTCGACAACCCAGACGCCAGCGCACCCAGACTGCCGGAGCACTGCGTACCGGCCGTCTTCATTCCGCTCAAGGCGTTCCCCATGTCGACGTCGCTCAAGATCAACCGCCGCAAGCTGCTCCGCATGGCCGCGGGCCTGACGTACGCGGAGCTCGTCGACATGTCGAGCGTGCCCAACCCGCAGGAGATCCAGCGCGTCGTCCTCGCCCAGAAGCCGCTGCCCCTGACACGTCCCGAGGACGTCATGCGCTCCGTCTGGGCGCGCGTGCTCGGCGTCCCGGTCGTGGATATTAGGGGGTCGAGCAGCTTCATCTCGGCGGGAGGAAACAGGTTCTTGGCTTCGGAGCTCGTGGTTGCATGCCGAAGGGTCGGCCTCAGAGTCTCCCTAGCCGACATCTTCAAGGAGGTCACCCTCACGGAGATCTGCCGCTCGGCGACCACTTCGTACCAGCCTCCCAAAAAGGAGCGCGTCAAGGCGCCGCGCAACTTGGCTTTGATGAAGGGTTTCGACTCCAAGTTCGTCAAGAACGTCATCGCCCCCAAGCTCCAGTGCAGAGCGCAAGACGTCCTCGACGTCACCGAGGCCTCGTCGGAGCAAATCCGGAATCTCGAGTTAGCTATGTACAAGACCCGCGCCGACATCGTCAGCATCGTCTTGAACTTCAACGGCCGCCTTTCCGCCGACAAGCTCGAAGCTGCGTGCGAGGCGCTCACAAAACTACACCCTGCTCTCCGAACAGCTTTCGTCTTCCACGGGCAGCAGGTATACCAAGTCCTGTGCAGTTCGTTCCAGCCCGCGTTCGAGACATTTCAATGCCCGACCTCACGGCTGGAGAGCGTCGCGGACAAGGTAGTCACGCAGAACCAGAGCATCGAGTTCCAGCCTCACGTTCCGACTACGGACTTTACCTATCTCGACGCTGGAGAGCAGGGTACTCTGATCGTCCGACTTAGCAAGGCCCAGATTGACGACGCCTCGGTGTCTCTTCTCGTACAGGATCTTACCGCTCTATATGAAGACAACAACGACGTTCAGACCGCGTCCAGTTTCTACGCGTACATGCGGGCAGCCAAGTCTGCGAGCGAAGCAGGCGGCATTGAGTACTGGACCAAGCAGTTGGAGGGAGCCAAGATGACCGAAGTCGTCTCGCACTCCAAGCCATGCGGCCCAACATCCCAAGTCAAGTCTGTCCAGGAAACAATCAAGATCAACACCCTCGGCGACCAAGGCATGACACCATACGACATCGTCAAGGCGGCGTGGGCCACGGTGCTCGCCACCGTCTCCGGTGTAAACGACGTGCTCTTCGGCGAGACGATTCAGGGGCACAACATCAAGCTGCCAGCCAACGTCGACCTCTCCAGCATGGTCGGCTGCCTGACCAACACCATCCCGGTGCGCTTCCGTTTCCCTGCGCGACACAGCACGCCGCTGGACCTCATGAAGTCCCTCCAGCGCCAGCGCCGCTCCAACTGCCGCTACGAGTCGTTTGGCGTCCGCGAGGTTGCGCAGAGATGCACTCGCTGGCCATCCTGGACGCGTTTCAGCACCGTGGTGCATCACCAGACCACGGCTCCCGTCGACGGATCTGCCACGCTCAACATTGGGAGCACAACCTTCACTTACAAGACGGTCGAGCCCGAAGCGCGCGACCTACCAGATCTTCTCGTGTGCTCGACGATGCAGAGCTCCGAGCTGGTCAATATCCAGATCCAGTTTGCCGAGAACCGAGTCAGCGCTGCCTTCGTCGAAGAGTGTATGCGACTCCTTGTCGCGGCGTTGAATACACTGACATCCCGCGACACCTTCGCCCAGCCGATGCTGCAATCCGCAGCCGAGATTGAGCGTTCAGAGAAGCGCATCCCCTTCCCGGAACAGAAAGCTGCTGGACACGTTCCGATCGACCATCTCCTGCTTCCTGAGCAGCGAAGCAGCCTTGAGCATGCCATCGCCACAGCCTGGAACGAGGTGTTGAAGTCGACAGACCAGGAGGAGCCTCGGCAGACTCCATTCTACAGCCGCGCAGACTCTCTCCTGCCTGCCCACACTCTCGCCTCGCGCCTCAACCAGAAGCTCCCCCAGCTCAACATCGGAGGCATCGACGGCGTCGTCTTCGCCGCAGAGGACGTCATCGAGAACCCCACGCAGCAGGCCCAGCTCGCGTTCGTCGCCCAGGCTCTACGCGAAGGCGGCGCGCTCTCGCTGCCGCTGCGCAGCAAGACAACGAGCTTCCTGCCGGACAAGCCCGCGCCCAAGCCCGCCTCCAGCGCGGACAAGGCGTTGACGTGGCGCAACAGCATGCGGCTCCTCCGCGGGCGCGACAGCATGCGTGGGCTGAGCATCAAGGCCCCGAGCTGGAAGAAGCACAAGGAGAGCAGGGATCACGGGGAGATGTCGCCTACCAGTGTCGACACCCCGCTGACTCCCATTACTCCTCGCGATCCGATTACCAGCGTCCCGGAGCTCATGGACATTGAGTCGCTCTCGGGACTATTTGCAGGACGGAATAGTGGTGGCTCTGATGGAATTGCGGAGGCCATCATGGAGGAAAATGGAGAGAATCAAACAAAAGGTTCTGTTTATGAGGATGAAGTGAGTCCCTTGTCGACCACTGGTGGTGGATATCCGCACATGTCCATGTGGGGAAGATTGAACGATGCCACCCAAGATGTGTCTCCAGTTGGACGTCACAATTTTTTCAAGTAGTAGTGTCAGGTTTCATTTGTCTTTTTACTTGTTTATTCTACAAGGTTAACCGGTTTGGTGTTGTGGGCGTCGGATAATGATACCAATGTCTTTTATGTCATCTCTTCGTATCTAGAGTTTAGCCATCAAGCTTATAAGAGCATACCATCACTTTCAAATACCACTCGAGATTGAACAAACATTTTATTGTATATCATGCGAACGACGAGTCTATTTCATCGATATATCCGTGGGGTATATAAGTTATCCATATTCCGAAACCCTCAAAATGCAAAACACGCTCAGTCATTAACATTGCAGAATCATCTCTTTTCCGTACTCGGGCGTTCGCCGCCATTATTCAAACTCTCCAATCCGAGGGCCAAAGTACTCTCCCTCGCCGAGGCTCTTCAGCGTGCAGGCATTATCTTCGCAGCCGCGGTAGGCCACCTCGTTGCCCCACCATTCGAACTCGTCCCCGTTGTACTGTAATGAAAAGAAGATGATGATGCCAGCAATCGCAATGCCACATGACCAAGCTGCTGAGAGCACGAAATTGTACTGAGAAAGGTTAGCATAGGCCACACCAGGGTGTATGTAGAGCCACATACCTTAGACCATAAGCCAAGGAAGCGTGACTTGAGGTATATCCAAGAGAAGTAGGCAATGGGCACAGAGGGCCAAACATATGACATGTTATAAGGCGCCCAGACGATGCCTCCGTACATAATGGCAACAGGGTGAATCTGTCGGGTCCACGTCCACTTGGGGAACTTCTTGTTGAGGCCCCAAACCAAAAATACAACGGCAACACCAAGAGGGAAGCCAACCAAGATCTCGCTGTACTGCCCGTTGTGGCCCCAGATCTTCTTGGGGCCAACGGTTCCCCAAAGAACCGAAGCGGTGAAGAAGGTATTAACACCAGGACACGTCATCTTGAATCGCGCGTCTTCGGTACACACATCATCAATGCGGGTCATCTGGAAGTTCAAAACTCCGACGCAGATGAAGGTGCTAATGAAGGTGGCAACGATCTGGGCTGAAAAGGTGTGTCGAGGAGGAATCTTGACGTAGTGGGCGAGTTTGAGATCGTTGGAGAACATGACGGCGTGAGCGCAAGTCACATATCCGAAAGACTTGAAGTAGTTCATGGCCAAGGCATTACCCTCCACCCACGAACCTCCGATAAACTCGGCAAGGACGTTGAGAGTGACTTCGATTCCAGTCATGGCCTTGATGATGCCGACGGGGATGACAAAGACAATGCAGAGACCAAGACCATAGAAGATGACTCCAGGCGAGGTATGCGTCTCCCAGCCAGCGATGCCCGAGATTCCAAGCACGATGGCGAGGACCAGGCAGATTGTGTACCACCACTCCGGGACCTCTCGATATGACTTCATCAGACGGTTGTGAATGTCCAGGTCATGCAAATCCTCATTGCCGGTGGGCTTCTTCTTCCGCATGCTGTTAATAATGCCCTTGAATCCGGTAACAATCTCGCGGCGATGATACAGCACTGCGTAGGTAAGGGTCGAGCTGTAGATGGCAAAGAAGAACATGTAGATGACAACGTTGCCAGCGCCCAGGAACGGCGGTGAGTATGCGGCATACTTGTCCTGGTCGAACAGGCCACGGTCGTTGACGGCGCGGGAAACGTTGTAGAGGTGGCCAAAGTGGTCGTAGACACGGTTGGTGTTGATGGGGAGGTAGCCAGTGTCGTACAGGTTTCCATACCAGAATCCGAGAACAACCCAGAAGGAAATGAAAACGCCAATAAACCGGTTAAAGGTGCTGAAGAAGGGGACCATGAGGGGGTCCGCCGAGTCCCAAAGCAAAATGTTCCAGTCAAAGGTGGGGAACGGGTTAACGCCGAGACCATTGTTAGAGCCAGTGATGGTATTCAGATCGCGGTTGTTGGGGGCGATCCAGGTGATCCAGTTAAAGTTGGAAAGCGAGGTCCAGATGAAGTTGGGGAACCAGAACCAGATGAACATGGCTCCAAACATGACGTAGAAGAATTTGAGGCGAGAGATGCGCCACACCTTGCCAAAGGGGCCTTCGACGGGCGTATTGACGTCGTTGTGGAAGGCCGAGTTGAGGGCGATGGTGACGAGAGAGGCGGGCCATACACAGTACGAGGGGTAGACCAGGAAGCGGCGACAGATGCCAGCCATGCCGTAGCCGATGAAGTTTGTGCTGAGGGCAATGAGGATCTGGTAGGCGAAGTGGGAGGCGTAGGGCTGGTCGAAGTACTGGGGAAGGTATTGGACCCAGATGATGTAGTTTGTGTAGGGGGTGTTGTACGCGACGTTGGCCATGATGGTGATGAGCATATGCTCCTTCTTGGAGAAGGGACCGGGGTTGAGAGAATGGCGCACGCCCAGGAGCGTGAAGCCTACATCGGGTAGCCAGCGCTCGCAGCCTCTGCCGATGGGGTATGCCAGTAACTGAGCAACATTGGCCATGATGCGGATGGCGGGTTGACGAATGTCGAAGAGTTGATTGGTAAAGGCGAGCAGAATGGAAAAGGCAAGACCGATAGCCCAGCTGCGAATGGTGGAGCTGGGGATGCTAGTGTCGTCCTTGTTGTCCACGACGGCGCGGACCTCGGCGTAGGGGCTGTTGTTTGTGATGAGGGCAGCCTCGAGCTTCATCTCTTGGATTATGTTTTCGTATTTCTCGGGGTTGGTGAAGAGGTCTTCGTGTTCGAGGAAGGCCTGGATCTTTTGGATAACGGACAGGGGGAAGTTGGGGTCCTTTTCGTGGATGCGGTAGACGCGTGCCATGATATCGCGGACATCTTCGAGGGTGTACTTGGAGGCGAGCTCGCGGGCCTCGAGAAGGTCATCTTCGGTGACGTGGAGATCTTGCTCGGTAATGTGATAGTCGCCAAGATCGTCTTCATCGTAGGAAAAGGACTACACAACGGTCAATCGTCAATGGAATGGGGACGAGAGCCAGGGGTTGAAGGAGGAAAGCCGCGATGATAAGGACCAGAGACGAGGGAGGTTTTGGGAAAGACTTACCTCGTTGTAATCAGAGGCTACGTCGTTGGTAACCTGAGAGTGAGTAGTCCGGACGGACTGAGAGCGGCGAATGGGCCCTGGGACGTCCCCGCCCATGGGGACCGTCTTCTCGTTTTCCGCCATGGCCACGGGGCCGGAAGGATGGCGATGGCTTCACTCGTCCAGTTTCACTCGTAAGGTGTCGCGCCGTGACGGGGCTGTCGCAGATGCGGAGAGAATGGCGCGCAGGGTGGTGGCGATGGGATGCGAGGGACGGCGACGGTAGCGACGTGGACGGAGATCGGATTGAGCAAGCGCGCTCTGGCTTCGGGGGATGGATGCGGGATCCAATCGAGGGATTTGCGATGGCTCGGAGGGTCGACTCGAGCAGACGAGAAGGCGGAGAGGATGGTCGAGCGGCAGGGAGAGGAGAGGGAGTGGGAGAGGGAAAGGAAGAGATCGAGAGCAAGGGTGCGTGGGCGGCGATGGTGTTTTAGGACGGTTCGGAAGCGAGGCAGCGCAGGACTGGGGAGCGGCAGCGGCAGAGCGGACGGAAGCGGTAGAGAGCGGTAGCAAGCGGTAGGGAGCGGTACGGTTGTGGTTGCCGTGTCTCGTCTCGCGCAATTACGACGTGGGCGATGTGTGGTCGATACGTGGATCGATGCGTGGAGCGATGCGTGGATCGACAGAAGCGGACTGGACGTGAGTGGGATCTGGGACCTGGGATCGGGATTCGGCAGTGGAGGTGGACGTTGTCAGTTGGACTGCTCGTGTCATCCAGGCTGGGGGGGCAAGACGCCGTAGTGTCGTATGTGTGTGTGTGTTTCCCGCAGAGTCGGGGTTGGCGGACGGCAGAGCGGCAGAGCGGCAGAGTGAGTGGCAGCGGGCAAAAGTGGGAGTTGAGTTGTATTCGAGAAACCAGGTGGCCGAGTGGGAGCAGAGTAGTAGAGCAGAATAGAGTAGAGTTGAGTAGGTAGAGTTGAGTGGCTGTGGCTGTGGCCATGGGAAGGAAAGGGAAGGAATGATGCTAGCTTGCAGCCGCCGGCCAGAACAGAATAGCGCAGAGCGGAGCGGATGCAGCGCAGTCCACGGGTGTGATTAGTGCTGTAAGGTCGCTGCACCAGCCCGACAAATGTGCAGAAGGTCCTACGTAGTTGCGTCGTAGTACCGCCGAACTCAACAGCGTAGGTGGCGGCGGCGGCCCAGAGGAGATTTTTCGGTGGGGAGAGGGGGGGGGGAACGCTGGGGGTCCTTGGAAGACGGAGAGACAGCGCTGAGCAGCCCTTGTTTGGTACGCCCCAGTTACGAGTTACTTCTCCGTACGCCCCCAGCCCAAAAAGGCCCCCAGCCAGTTCCCCCAGCTCGGAACGGGAGAGCCGTAGTGCGTCGCACATAGCGTCGTCGCCCGCACTTCTGGGCCTTTTTTGCGGCGAGAGGTGCGCAGCACAGAACCACAGAAACCACGGAAACCACACAAGCACGGCAAAGACGGCTTCTCCCAAGGCTTGGTGGCTTTTTTTCTCCGGCTTCGTCTTTGGCCCAGTGCAGTGCGCCTGTGCCTTTGGCCCTGAGGGTTTCTGCCTTGATGGGTAGGTACCCAAGTAGTTCGCAGCCGGCACGGGTAGAGGACTCTCCAATTCAATGCAAAACCATCTTCATCTACACAAACTCCGTGGAATGCTGCTGCTGCTGGTCCAAGCGATCGGGTCTCGGCAGGACTCAGACACTCGAGGTCCGCGAATAGAGGCGCCGCAATCCGTCACTCCGTCATCAGCCCCCTTGTTGCCGGCCCTGCCCAGACAATCGAGAAACAGCGCCCAGTCCTGCACCGTGGGGCGGTTGGGCCGGCGTTGCCGTGGGCCAGATGCGCGGATTGATTCGATGCTAACCCGACCGGGTTCGCGGTTGAGGGCGAAACGAAAAGCATTCTGGAAGAGGAGTTCTGGATGGCAAGAGTGCGCACGTAATGGAGCTATCATGGTCGAATCCTCCTCTCGGTGCCCAGGACCCTCACCTCGTCGTATAACATTGCGTGTTCGTCTGTCCAAACATGCGTCTCGCCGCTCCCTCTCCCGCCTCTCCTGTCCCTCGGAACAGACGGCACAGCCATGGCCCAGCGACGGCGTGATCGTCTCGGCGCCGCTGCCAGAGATCCAATCTTGTCTTGGTCCCCCAAGTCGTGTCAAAGCAGCGCGTCTAGCCAAAAACAGCCGAAGCGCTGTCGCCGCTCTGCCGGAGTCGCGGGCTTTTCAAGGTCCGGGTCACGTGGTCGTGATGCTGACCGCTGACTCGTGCTTTAAGTTGCTCCTACGCACTCTTCGTCTATCAATCCTAACACACGGCTTAAAGCAGCGTCACATCGATCCATCGTCCCATCTTCCCCCCCTGTTCCAGCGTCCCCCAATTGTCCCTGTGCAGGCCACACAAGCAATGCGTTTGCCTCAGGGCGCCTTCTTTTCTGCTTCCTGATTGTCTTGGCTGCCGAGGAGCCGCATCTCAGCGCCTGGGCTTCCTTCAGGCCCTTGTCAGCCCTTGTCAGCAGCCAACAAAATGCCGTCATTTTTGGAATCTCCGTCTTTTTTGACGTTCCGACCGCTGGCTGCTGCACCGCTGTGACCTGTCCATCCACCACTGTCCACCGCTGTCCTCCGACTCCAACCATCGACGCCCAGAGCACGTATAGATGGATATTCTTCAAGTCAAGTCCCTGATGCTTCGTCCCCCCAAACTCCCATTCCGCCAGTAGTGTGCGGCTTTTAAGACACGTGGCTGATTCGGCCGGACCTGGCCCTTGCATCCGATCAAGTCACGAATCCCATTTCACCAAATCTGTCTGATCCCGTCCAATGTGCAATGCAGCATCCAGCAGGCCGCGTCCCGTAAAGCCCGAACATGAACATGTGCTTTCGTAATCGCAAAAAGTTACTTCCTCTTTAGGCTATCATTCGCCAGTTTCAAGAGTCTAGTTAGCCAAGACGGCTATTCGGAAGGAAATAGCGCTTCCATTTGGAATTCCACGCTTCGTGTTACGGATTTATTTTCGGCTGGACGTTTCCGATGCGAAATTCAACAGAGCGGATAAGTATGCTAAGAATACAATCACAAGATAGGTATGCACCATTATACATCCACGGAAGAGCTCAAACCTTGAACTGCATCACATGTCTGCAGTTATGCGTTTCGGAATGGCATTGCCGTCCACCATCCTGAATAGTTAGTCAAGCCATGCCAAACAGCATCCTGAACCTTATATGTAGCTGAAGTGACGGCTTGACAGCTGCACTCCACTCATATCACATCACTCGGCCTTGAGTTGCCGTTGCAAAAGCAAGCTTCCCCGGGTCATCGTGAATAATGTCAATCCACATGACCCCTTTGACCCGCTTTCGAACTTCGCTCCAGGCCTGGTCCCCAACCAACGCATCAATGGACTCTGCCAACCAGGTCTCGTTGCCCTTGAAGACGATGACAGACCCCACGAGAAGGAGCCAGAGTTTGAGATCGGCAATTTCCGGACTATCGATGTGTATTTCCTCAATACATTGGCGCAGTTGGCGGTAGAATCTCTCTGATTTCAGTTTCAACCCGAGTTTGGGTGAGTGTAGGAAGAGCGTGGACTCGAAGGCGAGGAGGCCAATGCGGATCGTTTCCTCCAGAGGATACACATCTACTGGGTATTCGAGGAGCAGCAGTCGGTACTGGATGGAAAGCATTATTTCCTGGAACAACTCGGGTCTGAGTTTCTCGTGGCCGGGGACGAGCGAGTTGGCCATGTTCGAAAATCCATAAAGGTCTGTGAAGACGTGCTGAAGTCTGTAGTCGCACCGCTCGACGGCGCTCTGAATTCCCGAGGGCGGTGGTCGGTTGTAGGGTATAGAATTTCGTCGCATCGTCAGTTCGAGGATTGGCTCCCATGATAGCTTGTCGTCGTATAAGTTGGGCTTGCTACCACTTGTGATGGACCACCCGAGATCGACCCTACCGCCGAGTTGTTAATGCTCGCCCACGCCCGACAGCTGGGGAACTTACTGGCAGAGTTTGATTTGTAGCTGCCGGTTGTGGTCAAGCGATGCCAAACCCCCACGCATCCTGACCATATCGCTGAGTCCTCGGGCATGCGCTTTGAACCCTACCACGTCGCCAGCAGCATCCGCCACCATGGCCAGTGTAGCGACGACCGATATGGTGGTGTCCTCGATTTGCGTCTCGCGGTCTTGAATCTTTCCTTGGAGGAGGCGGATGCTCTGTCGAAGGCGGCTCTGCGTTCGTGCCGAGAAGCCGCCCCCCGAGCAGTTGACATGGCCGCCGTTGGCCGCTGCTCGCAAGTCGACGAAGTCTTGGAATGCGCTGACCATGAACAGCACGGATTGAAGGTAGGCGGGGTCTTCGAGCAGCCATCGGAACCAGCAGACTTTTGTGTGGTCGCGTTGGCAACACCATTCGACAGGGTACATGGTCTCTTTAACGGTGGTCAAGACTGCACTTGTTAGACGACGTCAAGATAGAAGAAACCACAGATGGAGCTTTACACATAAAGATCATATGCCGAGACACCTCATCTAGTGGAGCTGCAAAGTTAAAGAGCCTTAGATCAGAAGGGACTCGAGAAATCCCCGTGGGGCATGGCGTCTGGGCAGCGACCTCTTCCGAGGAATCGTGTTCAGCGGGTTGAGGTGCCTCGATAGCGGCCAAGGCCTCGATTTGAACCAAAGCATCACCGCGGTGCGCTTCTGAAGCCGACGTGTTCGTCCGGGCCACTTCATTCCGTTGTGAGTCGTCGTCGTGACGCTTCTTATTCTTGCCGCGCATGACATGGCTCCGGATGATCTTGCGGGCGTCGGGATGGGGCTTTCCACCCGGATCCGAGGCGACGAACTCGAACTTGTTGGCTGCTGCATATCAGTGCTCGTGAAACTAGGTGCAGATACGGAAAAGGATAAAAAGGGAAGATTAACACACAAGGGACAGGGCGGGTTGTTGTTTTCTTTGTCTTGGGCCCCTTGCAGGCAGCTAGGTGCGGCTTGGGTGGCTCCAACATGACGTCGAGATGGCTGCGGTTCGGCTTCAAGTCAGGCCGACTCGGTCACTCGGATCGCCTCTCGAGTCTCTTGCAACGCCGATATCTTCGAAATCTTGGTCACCTAAGGGAGACTTGAAGAAAACTTGTATTGTTTTCCCTTCTCAGAAAACAATCGAGGAAGCACGAGCAGACTGCGGATATGGGCCATCGTCATCCCGGCCAGCCACAGGGCCGTGGTGGAGTACCAAGACAGAGTATTGTTTTCCTATTTGGGAAAGGCACCCAGCTTCCCCAACCTTTAACTGGGCCCGACTTGGGATGCTTCACGCCTGCGATTCGCTGCAAGATTAGTTGCAGATAAAGAGAAGATGGATTGGTTTCCTAAGGGGGCTGGTCTTGTAAGTGGCAACGGGTTGCGACATGTCCGTGTGGCGATGTCTCTGTTCAGCGCCGCCATGTCTAATAGCGAAGCCCGATGGATTGTTTTCCATTTTGGTATATCGCGGTGTTCTGTGAACAGAGTCGAAAGTAGATAAAAGGGACATCGAGACGTTCCATACGAGGATGGAGGACCGGATCGCACACCCTCTTGGATCTCTTGGGATCATAGCACCAACTTCACCATTCTCAAACCCCCAAACTGCCCAACCTCAGTCCGCTCCTCGCCATGGCCCCGAAATCACTCGAGTTGACTCCATCTGGATTTCACTTCTTCCAGTCCCAGCTCGTCAAGCCCGTCCCTACCCCAAAGGGCACTTCTCTCGCCGACCAAACGGCCATCGTCACGGGCTCAAACGGCGGCCTCGGGTTCCAGTGCGCCCTGAGTCTGCTGGGCCTGGGCCTCTCACGTCTAATCATGGCTGTGCGGACGCCGTCGAAGGGCGACGATGCCGCTGCTAAGTTGAGGCAAAAGTTCCCGTCGGCCACTGTTGAGGTCTGGCAGGTCGATATGCTCTCGTACGAAAGCATCCAAGCATTCGCGGCCAAGTGTGAGACGCTAGATCGGATCGACTTTGCCATCCTCAATGCGGGCGCCATCGAGGAGAAGTTCAAGTTGGGCCCGGAAGGACACGAGATCATGTTCCAGGTCAACTACCTCTCCACAGTTCTCCTCTCTTCTCTTCTTCTGCCCACGTTGAAACACAAAACTCCCTCCGGAAAACCAGGTCGTTTGACCATCGTCAATTCGGGCTCGGCACTTATGCCCAAGTTCGCTAACGCGGCATCTGACCCATTCCTTCCGTACTACGACGATGAGTCCAAATTCGACCCGATGGATTCTTACACCAGTAGCAAAGCCCTCGGGCACTTCTGGATCGTCAAACTGGCGGAGCGGGTGAGCGCTGACGACGTCGTGGTCAACTTGGTGGACCCCGGTTTGGTCAAGGGGACGAGTCTTCACCGAAATCTCAACATCGTCGTCAAGGCCATCTTCACCGTCGTCAAGGCACTGACTGGTAGGACCATGGAGCAGGGTGCAAGCACATTTATCGATGCGGCGGTGGTGCGTGGGAAAGAGAGTCACGGGAGCAACGTGATGGACTGGGAGCTTTTCCAGTAAGTACACTCCCCGCAAGCAAGGCGTCTTCCGCGAATCATTCTGGAATTCCAAAGGTAGATACAGATACTGACTTGGACTGTACTCAGCTACAACATGGCAGTCTACGGCCCTGGTGGAGAAAAGCTGAGAGATCGGATTTGGAGCGAAACCATGTCGGCACTGGCGTTTGTGGATATTGATGGAATTCTCGACTCGCTGTCTCGACGAACCTCGTAGTATCAAGGAAAGAAGATCACTGTTGGGGATATATTGGTGTATTCAATCGAGGAGAGGACACTGAAGCGGTCGGTTGTTGGTGTTCGGTTCGTTCACGGTAGGTTCGAGGGGGGGATCGTTCGTAGCATTTCGAGAGGATGGGCAGACAAGGTTAAGTAAGACCCCATTTTGCAATTCAGTAAGAATAATTTACTAATATGATAGCGATTTCATAGCTGAGTGCTTGGTCGATTTGCATGATGTGGATGTGTGAAGAGCATCAGAAGAAAACAAGACTCCAGCCATTTCGCGCTCCATGCTTGAGTCACATCTCCCACGCGTCGGCCTGTTTCCCCAATCTTCCCAGCACTGGATTTTGTTTGCTCTTGCTAATATGCTCCTCGCCAGCCTGATTGTGGCCCTGTGTTTTCCTGCTCTTGGCCCCGTGACCCCTTGAACAATGGTGCCTGTTCATGGAATAAACAGTGAACACATAATTTGGCACAGTGGAGGCTGTTCCCAAGCCCACCTATACCTCACATCGACGTCTTCACTTCCATCCGTCACTCGAGCATTCTTGCAACCCAACTCTCTACACATCTCGCCGACCTCAACCTCAGAAACAACACGCGATCCTTCGGCACTCTTGACTTGCTCAACACGCAGACTTCATCACAAGATGGCCTTCTTCGAGGATGTCTTTTACTTCATTTCTCTGTACTGTTGGGTCGCTACTTTCGCAGCAATGCTTCCCTTGAACCCTTGCCTCATCGGCGTTTCCTTCTTGCTCTATCTTCCGACTCTACGCTCCACTCTGGAGTACGCTATCGATATGTACGCCACCGTTTTTGGTGCTATCGTCTTCAACTTTGACTTTGCCTTCCCGGTCCTTGTTCTCTTCGCGTGCCTTTACGCCTGGCTTGATCTTTTCATGAAAATCATCCCTTGGGACCCTGTTCTCATCCTTGTGGCCTTCATGCTTAATGTTGGACTTCAAGGCGGCTTTCTCGAGGCTGCCCGAATCTTGGTCGTATTCCTAGTCGCCGAGGTGTTTATGCGATTCTTTCCAGCGAACCCTATTCTCTTCGGTCTGGTCTTTGTACTCAACATTCAGGTTCAGGGCCACCTTTTGGAGATCTTGCGGGTTATCAGCATCGTCGGGCTCATGGAGATGTTCGTGTGCCACTTTCAGCCCAGCCTCTTCGATTTATCGCGGATTTTTGTGGTCATCATCCTAGCATCCGCGGCGATGATTCCCTTTCTGTGAAGATCTGATCACTTTGCGCCAGTCTGTCTTGGTTCCCAGCGAAACCATGATCATTGTTGTCATCATGTGTTGTCGGACTCCAGCTCTGAGACGAAAGACGCCATCAGCCTCTACAGCAAGAAGGTCTCTTCGCCTCACTCACGACGTGACTGGCAACGATAGAGCCGCCTCGCAACAGGGACAACCACAGATCTAAGTGTCGTTGGAAGGGTTACCACGATATGTTTTGGCGCTCTTCTCCATGACGGCGCAAGTTTTTGCCGGTAAGATAAGCCGTTATACCCTCGAAAGGATACCAAATTGACACTTCTTTCTGGTGACTAGGATGAGATAGAATATTACGGAACGGATAGACGCGAGGTTAAGACGGAAGATGGAATACGGGTAATGGCAGACGGAAATTGGGAGCAGGAACTGGGAGAAGGAAATGGGAGACCGGAGATTCTGGTTAGACACGTCAACTTCTACGTGTTATCTCTTTTGTAATTTTCGGGATGTCTGTTCATGTCGGTGCTTTGATGCTTGTGGAAGTATCAGACGTTGGTTTAGATGCGAGGGCAACCGACTACAGACTCCCACCAGACAGTTTCGTATCTGTCAATAAATTTGATGAACCAACAATCCTGACCCAACGCCCATGAATGATATGCATGGAGGAAGAGTAAATATAGATGCATGAGACCCAGCTTACCAATTCTCTCATTAGCACTAGTTGATGCGTTCCGTCATTTCTTTTGTTGCTGCGGAAGTGTAGGGTAGGTATCATGACATCGCTTGACAGAAAGATCACTCTCGTTCTTGTTCTCAATTGCGAGTTTAGATCCCCCGACTTGACCATTTTCCGAAATTGCATTTAGAAATACTGCTTGATTCCAAGAAACACTTCCTTGGGTTGTAGATGAGGATGTAAAAGGTGGCAACCACCTACCATCAAAGAGTGACGACTAGCTGAGGGCTTAGCAGCTCGACTCTTGCGACACAAACTCATCGCATCGGAACATGTAGGCCAGTCCGTTAAATAATCTCAAAATGGAGGTCGTTTTATGTTGGGAATGAGGGCGGTGTAAACGTTTCGTTCTCGGCAGCCACATTGAACACAGCCTTTCAAAGAAACCAGCACATAGAACAGACTCCGCCATAGACACAAAAGAATAGTTCTGCCCATTGTTCTTACCACAATATCAGTACATGTTTCTTTTCCTTGTAGCTCTTTGTACATGTTCATGGATGTTGGTTACTGGCAAAAATACTAGTCGGCGATATACAACAGAAATTATGCTTCAAGTTGATGGCCACGTAATTCTTCTTGTTTTGAACATCATGTACACTATGAGCAGTTTTATTTGAAGCCGGTACAAAATCCCTTACCCAAATCTTAGCTGAATCAAGACACGCAGCTTATACACGCAGGCGAATGGTACGCTCTTAGGCTCTTAGTTGACCTTTAATAAAGTCAAATACGAATTCATTAAGAGGAATAAATACTAAACATTAGGAGGAGTAAATACTAAAAGTTCGTCATTGAGTTTTCTTTCCCAAAATGCTACCCTAGGTGTACTATCTACTTATACCGCTGATTGAGGCAAGACGCGTGTGCAGATAGCAAGGTGCATGTAAGCAGCGAATAGCAATACTCTGCATTATAGATATCACAGTATCATTTGAAGAGGATTGACTCGTAATCACCACTCTGTAGATAAGGTAGCATCAGCCACTTACAGCTCACGGTTCTCATCACCACAAACTTATAGACATTGGGCATTGTGATGTGACGACGTGAAGTGTAAGCGCTAATGCTGTGACTATATGACCTGTTACTACGAGAAGTTCACTGCAGTTCTCCCAGAGATTCTTCAAAAGTCCTCGGCATCAATACAACAATGGATACGACATCGGCATACGAGGCATGTCTTTTGTGAGGATGGAATGTGGAACAGAAGGAAAGAAGTCACCCGTAGATCACTTAATCCGTGGTGAGCGGCCTCTGTCTTAGTTCAGCTCAAAAGATCATCAATGTCTCAATACACCTTATGAATCTCGCCCGGCTATTTGATAGAGCGGGTGCTTATGACCTAATCGGACTCATTCATCGTCTACACCGACGCCCCTAACCTGTAGCCATACCCAATGCCCCGAGACTCCGACAGGTCTCACGGAGGAATGCCAATTCCCCGAGCCATCTTGAACGTGCGATTACCCCGAAGACGGCTGAATCACAGACATGTATCACCTACCGCCAGCCGACCGTCGGCCGATTAACCAGTCCCATCGACCGAGCGGCGCGGTTATCTCCAGCCCGTATGAAGGGCTGAAACCCGGCCTCAGACACACAGTCCCGGCACACTGGAACAAACGGGCCGTTTACTACAAGTACACAGCTCTGTATAGGGCAGGCGGGAATATGTCTTGCCACTCTTGCATATCCGTATTTCCCACTCGAGACAAAGGTGTTTTTCTGCCCGTTCCTCTGCACACGAATCCCCGAATCCCCGAGTAGTCCATCGATCGATCGTTGCTTTAGGGCTGCTTAACAATCTTGGACAAATTCTCCTTCGGCTCCCAGTTGCCGTCCAAAAACGCCGAGATGCAGGACCAGTTTAGCTCGCGCGTGGGAAAATAAAAAAGTGCGTCTGACTGCAGCGGCCCCTTTGCAAAACAACGCACACATGGCGAGTCAAGCCTCCCCAAGATCGACGCCAGGCGCGGTGATCATGGTCCCCCCGAAGCACCGAGAAGATGGCGCTCGTGGCCCAGCCCTACCGGCTGTCCGGAGCAATAGTTACCGTAGGGCATGCGATCCGCGCCGGCCCAACCGGTTAGAGGTGGTCCCGCGTCTCATCTCGTCTTGTTTCGGTGAGGTTTGCGGCCGAATCCAACATGAACGTCGGGATTCCACCACCGCCATTACGATGCCTCGGCTCACGGCTGAGCATGACGCAAGGCCGGTCTATCAAATGTCCCTTGACCACCCAGAACCGCATCCTTACCGCCGTTCGACATCCTGAAACCCCCCCTGATCGATGGCCGCTCCCCACACACGTCTCTCCCCCTCCCCTTGCTACCGGGAGTCGCCCACGATCCACGGGTTGACCACGGCGAGGTTTCCCAGAAGCAGGAGTGGGGTCCGCCTTACAGCCCAGTCAGTCCCCAGGCCAGCCCTGTCAGGAAGGGCCAACTGAGCGTTGCAATGCCCTGAAGAAACGCCGACGGAGATTATACGGCGGGTACTGAGCATATCAGAGCCATGATATACCGCCCATTACAACGTAGTTACGTAGCCTCGGACTCTTGGTGTTCGCTGGCGGGTATTAATCCTATGCTGACGCCATCATCCGCCGAACGCCCATACATTGGGAGTGGATCATCGTCTGCAAGATGAATGCCGTGAGGCGAGGGGTGCAACGGCACTTCACCATATCCCGGCCAGGGCAATGGGATCGTCGTCGTCAACGCCGCGGTCTAGCCGACTGGAGAAGGAGGACGGAAAATTGCTCGACGGAGAGCCAATTCTAACTTCGATCGCTACCATATATGAAACGAACGCATTGATATTCCCGGGTGGTTGATACAAAAGCATACTATAGAATGGTATTATCGTGTGGCCATGGGGTAACTTACCCCTCAACTGGGAAGCTAGAACTAGACTCCCTGTCAAGGCGGCGCGGCTCAAGCCTAGGCGGAGGATTTTCGAGAAGGATTCCGTGCAGTTGACAGAGATGACACGACGAGCCCTATGACAAATACTCAGTGTTACGAGGAACGCATGGCAGGTTTGGTTGTGCGTTGAAAGGCCCCAAGAACCAACCGTGTTGGCTTGTGTCTAGGGTTCCCCGGGGAGGCCTCTCGGTTGTGGTGCGACCCATCCGGGCGAGATTCAAAAGGACCCAGACCCTCCCTACATAGTCCCCATAGTACAAAATACGGTCACGGCGCACTCCCGCCGCTGGTTGTGTGTACGTTGGCGGCGTTATCCGCGGAGCCACGATAGCGTCGTGTTTGGTGTACACGGCGCGTGTTGTAATCGAAGCGCCTGGGCAAATTGCCTTGCGGGGATAACACCACTAGGGCCGATCAAGTTGTCGAAGCTCTCCCGCCGGCGAACGGGCCCGGATAGATAGGTGAGGCCGTCGTTGCCATCACGTAACAGGGACCGCTTTACAAAGTTCAGGTCCCAGTTTGCCCAGCCGGGCTCCATTCTCTCCACAAATGAGGCCTGCCGCCTGGGCGAGCCCACTGTTCCGGATATCGCTCCAGGAGGACGAGTGCTTGATATAGAGACGGAATTCCCCAAAGGCTGGTGCGGCGCAGAGGGAGGCCCGTTTCAAGGATGCCAGGGGAACGCTCGATCAAGGTCCAGGCCTGCGCGAAGCCGTGGGAGGGCGGCACAGGTTGCGTGGGCTGCGTGTCTAGCGACGGAACATGCCATAAGTCGCATCGTCGGCGACCAACGCAGTCGAGTGGACCAAGATTGGGACGAGTTCTCACCGTCGTGCCCTACCCACGTCTCCTCAGACCTCCACCAGCAGCTCTGCGAGGCCCTTTATCCAGCGCCACGCCGGAGCTTGCTAGCCCGCTCTGGAGCTTTCTGGGTTGCAAGGGGTCTTGTCTTCCGCAGGGCTTCCCACCGCGCTAGGTTTCCCGCGCGCTGGACGGATTGTTTCCTAGGGAGAGGGAAAGTCAGGGACGATGCCGCACAGCGGAATTGGGCCGGTCGTCTTTCATGGATCCTCATCTCATCATGGCCCTCATCGGCTTGGTTGGGGTTCCGCTTTCGCATGTGATTGTGCCGAATTGACCTGTTGACTGGGGGTATGCTGCTGTACGTAAACGCGTCTGTGAATGAATGTCACTGCGAAACCATGGCCCATAGCCAAGAGCCAGTTCCGCATAAGCACCGAGGTGAGCTCCGGGGGAGACGGCATCCAGGAAATGCACTTGGCCTGTTCATTTCCAGGGGCGGGAAAAGCCTGGCAGGAGGGAGAGCAAAAAGTCCCCATAGCACTGCAGGGACCGCATGTACAGCGATTGCTGCGTATTCCAAGCTCTGGTGACCCGTACCGAAAGTTACATACTACGTAGTAGCAACTCTTTTCGCCCTCCCTGCATGGATTGCGTGGCCAACAAGAAGCCGAGGCTGCTGCAGCACACCACCCCCCTGGTCAAGCGTCCCATCCAGGAAGTCTTCCGGAAAGCTTCTCGAAGAATGCCCAATATGGGTGGGCGTGGAAGGGAGTGAAACCCCGGCATCCTTGCACGGCATTGGGGTTTTCTGAGTTTCTGCTGGCGGGTTGGCCCTGGGGCGGCTCGGAGGACCATTTCCAAATAGAAACAGGGACGCGCATCCCATCTGCTCACAAGCAGAGCACGGGAATCGTCAATAATCAACGCGTTGCTATTCCTCCGCCGCCGGGTTCCTTGCTTCCTTGGAACCCTAATATCCCAGACGACGGCATCCGCTTGGACAAACCACATCATCGACAGTGACGTCGCACATGCCATCGCCGTGCTGCGGAGGCTTCCTCGGCCGACCCTATCGCCGTCCGCCGGCCTATCGCCGTCCACTGGCGGCGTTTCAGATTGGAAGGGGCTTGGGGAGGGAAACGGTGCTGGGCGGCACGGAACAGCGCCTCTCGAGACCTCAGTGTGCTGCGCGATGACCTAACCGGCAGGACAATGTGGGCAGCCGATCTGGGAAGCCAAAGGTTGTCTGAGAGGCAGCCCTACGGCCGCTTGTGCCGCAATGTACGAGACAATTCGAGGCCGTGTTACGGATACAGCACACCTCACGTTTCTCCGCCACGAGACGGCCGACGCTGCGGGCATGCCATGGGGTGATGGTACCACTTCTGCCCTACAGACACCGATGGCTGGATGTAGCAGCGTCGGCCTCTTCACGACTTACAAGGACCGACGTGACGGCGCGGGGGTGGAGATGCGAGACCGAGACCTGGCCTTGCTGGGCTTGCTCTGCCTTATTCCCTGATGCCACGGCGCCGCCCTGCGTTTGCCCTGGTCTCGCCGCGTCAATCTGCTGTCTGCTGTCAATCTGCGACGCCCACGGCCTTGGGGGACATGGGATCGCATCCCTCCCACATGCTCCTCTCGTATGTACGCGCCCAGTAATATATCTGTGCCCCTCGAGACACGGCGCCACCAGAGAGGAGCAAGAGCCCGTTTCGGTAGTCGTGGGACCGGAGCCCTACAGTCCCTAAGCGGCATGGCGATGGGCATTTGGCTTTTGAGCACTGACGAGGTGCCAATATCTTGCCAGGTCAGGGCTCGGATGAGAGCCGCGGGTGCATCGACGCCACCCTTGCCGGGACAGGGAACGCCCTTCGACTTCGCTGCGCCTGGGAATCCCATCTCTTACTCAGGTGCGAGACGGCTGCTTAGTAGTGTCCACGAATCGTCTAGCCCTCATGTACGACGATGTCTCCGAGAAACACTACCTTACGCCCTAACGCCCCAACAGAACATCGCTTCTTGGCCAAGGCCGGCTCAGGACGACGACCTGTCCAACATTGGACAGCAACACATGCCGGTGAGACATGCTACGTAGGACATTGGCCTCCGCACTGCATCTCGCCAAAGCCGCCCCAGATGGTTTGCTAGCTGGCCAGTGTAATTGCACCTGCGAACGTGTGCCTTTTGGGATGCGAAGGCCGTATCCGCCTCCGTCGTCTGAGGCGGCCCAAGTCGTCGTCGTCGTTGTCGTCGTCAGCCAGCCACCGGCCAGGGCCTGCCGCTCCGTCTGGTGATGAGTGATGCGATGGGTGGGCTCCTGGAGAGATGATGTCCAGCAGATCTCCTCCTCCGATGCAGGATGATCGCGGGCGGGGCTGACCAAGGCTGACCAAGAGTCCATGAGAACCTGCTCTAAAAGGGGAAACGATTTCAAACGAATTGGCCACCACCCCTACACGACAGACGAGCGCCCTGGCCTAGGCTTGGCACACTGACGGCTTACGGGGGTGCTGCTCTCCAGTGCGGAATTAATAACATCCAGCCCACCCCACAACGGGCCCCGATGCTAATCCCAATGACAGGACGTTGTACGGGGGGCATCTGCAAGCCAGGGCAGCCACCAGTTTTCAGCTCCTCGCGCCCTTGCGCCGCTGATTGGGCTGCTGGTCTCTGCCTATCCCGGAGGAGGCAGGCTCGTGTGACGTCCTGGGGGTCTCAGCGAGAAGAGAGGGAGCACCTCGTCCAAAGAGGGCGCTGGACCGAAACCGAGACGGGGGTGTCGAGCTGGATAGTCGGAGATGAAGCATGTCCGGGGTCTCTTGGGTAGTTTGCCTCAATTGCACGTCTGCCTGCATCTCGCATGTCTGCACCGCCTCCCTCCCCGTATTCCGTACCGGCTCTCTGGGTCACCGTGGTCGGTGGCATTGGGGGGCCGTTCGGTCCGCGGGCCCCGGGGGTGTTGCACTTGGGGGCCGCCCACGGAGCATTTGCCTTCGGAGGAGAACAAGGCGACGCGGCCGAAGGGGGAGGGTGGAGCCCGAGTGAGTTCGAAAACGGGGATCTTGCATACTACGTAGCGTCCGCCGTCGACGTAGGGCTGCTCCAACCCATCCCCCAGGCTCGAAGAGGGGGGCCACGGAACTCCCTCTTGAAGGGCGGCGAACTGTTCGTCAGGCGTGTCCTTTTGCAGTCCCATGAAGCTAAGACTTAGACCGAGGCATCGACAAATCCTCTCCACTTTACCAAGAAACTCCCAAGCTCCTTTCCGTTCCTTCATCCACCCTGAGCTGCGGCACACCCCTCCCTTGCCCAAAACCGTGCTAAGGACAGTCGATAGCGCGCCTCCAAAGAGCTAATCCGCACCCACGAATGCTAGTCCTACGGACGTTCAGAGACAAGCCTCCTTTTTGGTTTCCTGACTGGACGCGCGTTCACCGGGCACCGATCCCTTTGGTTGACAGCAAAATCTCGATCCCGCCCCGTCCCGCCGCTCGGTACGTTGGGTGTGGTTTGAGCAAAGTACTCTTTTCGCCAAGGCCACCTTGAATCATGGCGGCTTGACACGATGATGTCTTTGACTCGAGGCGAGAGGCTTGGTGGTTCATTAGGGTTTGTAGAGTTCTGCTGGGTTGCCGTCGCATCTCTCGTCGAGGTTCCTCATTGCCACCGGGAGCGTCGGAGCAAATATCGCTACTCGTGCAGACTGCCCAAACAAGAAACCACCATAGCAGAATGATGTTCCTTAGCACCGGTACATGCTCACCGGAGCCACCATAGTAGCAAGGTCGAAGAGCCGATTCTCCACTATTGCTGTAACTGAGCAGACCCCCCATGCTCCGATGAACTCGTAGTTCGCTCTGTTCTTTCATTTCGAGCCCTACGAGAGCTACTCCAATAACATGGTCCGGTTGTGGCTGTCTGGCGCGGACGAGGCGCTACTAAGACAACAGCGAGTCGCATGACGTCGGGCCACGTACTCTGTTCAGAACAAAGAGAAGAGCCCAGTCTCTTCTGGTTTCGCACACCAAGGCTATTAGGTCGTCCGCTGGTCTCGCGCACTCCGCTGATTACAAGCCATGGCGCGACCCCGGCAACCTTCCTCCCACATCCCGACCACAATTGCGCGTCGGCTCTCAGCGGTGACGACTCCTCACGACTTGACCGGGACGGAACTTCGGGGCCACTGGCTTCTCAAAGGTTGTGTGGCACCATCAGCTATGGAGCGACGATTCAACACGCCTTCTTGGGCGTCGAACCACCGCATGCGTGACATATCATTTACAACGCGACATTGGTGGTTGCACAAGCCACAATATCTCGACCATCTCCCTAGTCGAGTTGCTGGTCGAGATGGGCCAATGGCTTCAGGTAAAGGCGGCTCACCATGTCACTCCTCGGCTACACGTGCCCCTACTGAATACCAGGCCAGCCCTGTAAGGTGACTGACTGGCTGGCCATTGTCGAGTGCACATCCAGTGAGAAACAGATTCAGTCCCCCCTCTTGGGCCCTCGTGCTTCGTCAATCTGGTGGCTGAGTGTCAGACGAAACGCAGAGATCAAGCACGTTGCCCGATGCAGCCGTGTGGCATTTCAACCTCGAGCTGAGCCCCAACCAACAGCTCGTGATTCGGTGCATCTTTGCCTCTTCCAAGGAATGAGATGCATCACTTCCCGGGGCATTATGCACCAACCAAGATATTTCCGATGACAAAGCGCCGACGGGGCGACGATCTTTGCCGTGTACCAGGTACCCGCGGCGTTTCGGATTACAACGCGCGACAAGCTTTTTTGTTTCTCCACCGACGTTGCATTGCCACGGGATGACCTCGCAGCCTCAAGTATCTGAATTTTCAGGCTGCATACCAGGTATCCAGGAGAAGACTCTTGTCCAATCCCAGAAATCTGGGCGAGAGGGCTGCAGGCTTGAGCGCCAATACTGGCGTGTCGTGCAGCGGAACTTGCCGTCATCACGTCTGCCTCCGTTTCAGTGCAGCAATCGCCCGCTACACAATGCGGGAAGGTGGTAAATGTGAATGGACGGATGTAGTGGCAACTGGCTGACGGACCAACGCTCTGGGGCCGACAATCTTCGGCTAGAGTCAGCTTTGTTTTTCTCGCAGCCACGAGGATTCCATGAACGGACATCCTAATTGGGCCTGGCAACCGGCAATCTGGCCTCTCACAGCTGGGGAATGACGGGTACAGCCGACAGTGCCATGCGACGGCATCCTCCGTTAGGCCTCCTCTCCATCACAGCTGGGCTTTGTTGCGCTTTGGAGTTCTACCCCAATGGCCCAGGCACTTGTTCTTTAAAAAGTGGCCCACAGTAGTAGCGCTTAGCTGGACGTCGGCTATGCAAGAGGAGAGACCGAAGCCGAAGCCGAACTACTGATGTACCGTCAGCACTTAAAACTAGTCGGAAAGCCCGGATATCCGGGGATTGATCAGTCAACAAGTCGAGCATGCAGATGGCCCTGACTAATATTCTCCGAAAAGAACCTCTCGGTTTCGTGATCTTCGGACATTGAGTCTCTTTGTGTGCAGAAATGGGCCGAGAGTCAGGGGATCTTGCATCTGTCAACCCCTGGCAGGGTCTGTGTGCCATGGGAGATCGACGCAGCACAGATTCCTACTGCGCCCCGTTCACCCTTATGTTAGCCTCCCGCAAATCTGCTTCTCCGTAATGAAGGCTGAATCTGAGACGGAACGCCAGAGGCGGTGGCGATGTTTGTCTGGACGGAAGCAAATGGCTGCCGGTCTGTCACGTCGTTGGATGACCGAATGATGAGTGATACGGTCTCAAAAAGAGAGGCGAGACCATTGCGAATGTGCGAGGACAGCAAACCGACTACGTACACGGACGCGTGGGCAAGGACGGTGATGGTCCACCGAGTGGATATCGTGGCGTTCACTACTTCAGCCCACTGAGGACCTCGCACCCCCTGAAACGCAATGGTTTCTTGGTATTCTGCAACAACAAAGGAACATTCGGAAGTTAAGCCATTGTTCTCACCGAGCGGATTGTTTTCCGTGGCCGGCAGTGGATTGGAACTCACAGACAAATTGCCGGCCTCATGCTGTGCTGTGTGGGTCATGATCCGTCCTACCGTATCGACTCGATAAATTGGCCCTGTGTTTATGGACCAAAGCTAGGCCATAAGACTTAGATTTCCTAATCCTTAGGTATAAAAAAAACCTGAGGCAGTAAGTGGGGGAAGGATCCAGAGCCAATTTACTGAGTCGATACGGTATACTCAGCCATCATCCCGTCTCGGAAATGATGATGACGACGAAAAGGGCTGAGACAAATGCCCAGGGCGGCTGTGAGGTGATCGCCAACTCTGGGACTAGCAAAGGTCAGGGCTAATACGTAGTTAGCAGGAGGTTTGGAGTGTGCCAAGCAGTGTGGTCCAATAGCGTGACTAGCTCGAATGACGCGCCTTACCCAGGATAGGATATGAGACAGATATGCTCCAGCGGTGACATATGTAGAGCGCCAATGTCAACCGCCGAATCGAACGAGGAGACAGATGGGTCATGAGAGGAGCGGATACCCGTCATTGACCCATGGCAAGGCCGTGATTTGAGCGCAAATTTGACTGTCGAACGAGGTTCGAAGGCGAGTCATCAACCGGCATGAAACCTCACCACCCCACCTCCCGTGAGCCACTCATATCTGGGGAGTCGCGCAATCGTCATACACATAAGCTCCATAGGGTTGAACGAGATGATCCCAAGACCCAAGAATCTGTGCTGTGGCGGTACAGTTTGACTGGCGTCCGCGCGCCAGTGTCAGTACAAACCTTGGCCACATTCGCGCCCAGAGCAAGACCCCGGCGCGAAGTCCATACCCGTTTGGAATCTCCAGCCAGCTCCATATTCTGGGGACCGGGCCTAGTGCGTGGCTGTCTTGCACCAGCCCTACTGCGCTCTTAGCACCTCGCCTGTGGAAATCATGGCGGCGATGGCTGGTGGGTGGTTGACGTCGACGGGAGGGGCACGGTGGTCACTGGTAACTTGGCGCGGCGGAGCAGTGTCTAGACCGCTGGTAGCACACGGTTTTTGAGCGTCGGTGTGAGGACGGCGGTTGGTTACGGTGAGCGGAGAGTTGGCATCGGTACCGGGGCTATTGCATATGGCCTGGCCTTGGCCTGGCCGCAAGGGTGACGAAGTTGGCGATGGCGATGTTGGCAGTGTTAGTGAGGCGATGAGGTTGTATTGAGTTTGTTTCCTGCGGTGGAGCTCGCAAGGCATCTCGTTTGGGTTCAAGGCAATCTCTGGGACACTGGGTTGCAACGCTAGACGCTGGGCTGGCGGCTGGATTGGTTCTCGCTACCCCAATCATGCTTTGCACCGCTGTCTAGCGTCCGTCTTGGCTTGGGGCCCAGCGTGGCGCAGCACCTGGCCCTTGACGCCTCTCCTCCCTCTCTTCCCTCTCCTCTGCCAGGTCGGACACAGCCAAGTCGCCGAAGGCCCTAAATGGGCATTTCCTGGCACATCCTATCGCTCAGCTCGGTCCTGGTTCGTATCTCGGGGCAGTCACACTAATTAAGCTTTGGCCTCCCTCAATCGCTGTGGTGTACTGCCAAGGATCCCGGTTTCAGCGAGGTCGATGCCCAGGCGAGGGTCTTTTCTGGATTGGGGAGGTGTTGTGGCGGGGCTCGTAAATGCCAAATGTCAAATGCCGGAGTCCCGTCAGGGTTGCAAACTTTGATCTCCGCAACAGGTTTCGGGGGGGAGAGGAGGGGCGACATGTTCAAACGTCGACGTCAACGGCAAAGACAACGGCGTTTAACGGCGAACAACGGTAAACGTCATGAGCGATGTCACTGTTGACGCCTCCAGTGGAGAAACTGCAGCGGCCTGGTACTTCTGGTACTTGGCCGACAGGCGATGCGGTGGTCTCGGGGGTTTGTTCATGCTTGGCCGCTTGAACTGTGAGCTAGTTAGCTGGATGCTTAGTCTTCCTTCCCGCCGCCCCGGTGCCGACGGTACCTCTGAGACCCTCTGGAGATTCGAAGGGTAGGATGGGTACGTACCCCGGCGATGCGTGCCGTTTCATGGTACGGAGTACGTAGCCGCGTATTTGCTCGCGACCTGTTGTCCTACTCTGCCCTATGGGAGGCCAGCCTCGGTAAGCTCGGGAGGGGGGACCAGCCCAGACGGTGTGGACCCGCCACTAGCAAAGGGTCTCAATATCCAGCGACAGCCAGGGAAATGTGGTAGGGCTGAGGGGGGGCGGTCTGTTGTCCGACGCCTGGGAGGGAGGGAGCTGGGGGCCTCGTGGCTCGTGGCTTGGGGCTCGCGGGCGAGGGTGTGGGTTGGGGGTTGTGGATTGTGGGTTCTGAGCTGTGGGTGTGCCACCCCACTGAATGTCTTTTGCGATAGCGACCCGCTGAGTGGTACGCCGCTGCCCCACTTTCCGAGGTCACTCCGGCCGGATCCAAGGAGGCTCCGCCAACACGACTCAGGTCTGTTGGTTGACTGACTGCTGCAGTTGCTGGAACACGATTGCGAACGAGAGGCAAAGAGGTACGGGAGGCGCGGAGGCACTGACGAAGCTATAGGGCTTAGCTGGTGCATCCCTGAACAAGGGCGGTTCGTTGTTGCTGATGCCTTCGCTAGCCGTTTTCGGTCCCGTCATCGCTTTCTTCAGGCGGCTCGTTGTGGCTCGGCCATTGCCTTGGTTAGCTAATCCTCAATGTCTCAGCACTGCCTTGTCGACGTGCGCGTGTCTCGCCAGCCCGTCAGGATGAATTGCACGAATTTAATAGCAGGGAGTGTGAGGTTCTGGAGACGGAACCTGGACTGCCTGGCTTGCCCCACGGTTGTAAGTGCGGTTTTAGCGGGAGACCTCCCTTGGCTGCGGTCCAGAGCCGCCTGACGAGCTTCGTCCATCAGACCAGCCCATGGCTCATACCACCTCCCTCACCTCACTTCACCTGAACTTAACACCTCCCGTTTCGGGGAGACGCTCTGCCATTGTGTTACACACAGTCCGTGCTTGTTATGCCTGCCATGTCGGCCGGCGTTGCCTTGGCCAGTGCCTGTCCACCAAATTAGACCCAATCCACCCGCCCGGGAGAAGAGCATCAGGAATAGCAACGAAACCGTGCCCTGTTCATCCGCCGCGTGTACCGTGTAAATGAGGCTAAGTAAGCGCCAACCAAACTGCCAGGGAACACCATGGTCCTGGTGGGCTGAGGTGGGGCGAGTGAATACGACGATTGCACCGCGGTGGCCATTCGACATCCATCCAAGAGCCGCCATAAACTGCAAGAAGGTTTAAGCTCAGGCAACCAAATCCTATCTGACACGCTCCGTAATGCAACCCATGAGAAGCCGGGATTGCCAGCCTTGCTGTGGGTGAGGCCGAGCCATGCTTTTCGTGGTCGCGTGTCTGTTGGACCAAACCCGAGGAGGATGCACTAGTAGGGCTGGCAGGATTCCAGAAGTCAGCCACCTGCCTTACCGACTCACGCCTGAGTCAAGGCAACAATGTACTATTTGCATTTCTTCAACCCATTCAACACAGGTTGGCGTTGTAAGCGCTGATGATATAATTGCAAATAGACGAGACGAGGTCTAAGTCTGTCAGATGACAGCAATTCTCATGCCTCGGCAGAAGCAGACATGGTCCAGGGGTCCGCCTTACGAGATCCTGGATGATCGGGCCCGTGGGGTCCGGTGAGAGGACCCATCTGGATACTCTCCGCTGGCCTGTGAGTCCCCTGGCGCGGAGTCAGGTCCAGATCTATCGAGCGGCGACTATGCGAACATTATTAGGCACTTTCTTATTTCCCAGTCGTGTTGGCCTTGGCAAACGACCGTTGCCTCAATCAGTAACAAGGCGGTCAACAAATAGTCATGGAGAGACACAGGATAGAGGCAAAAGTTGTCTGCAGGGTGGAGAAGTCGAGTCATGTAGTCATGTGCGTGGTTGGAGAAGGCGATGCGATCAGACATTTGCGAAAGGCTGAGTTTGGAACATGACAAAGTCTCTTGGCACATGCTGAGACCGTGTGTGTCTGTGTGTTTGTGTGTATCCGTCTTTGAGAGACAAGACCCCCGGAGGTGGGAGCTGAGTGAGTAATTACGCAACGGGTACACGCAAGACGTGGGTAAGGGAAGGACGGAAGAAGCCGTCTTAGAATTTCTGTGGCCCTGTTAGCCCCACGAGGATGGCGGAGCGGTAGCACTGCAACAGGAATGAAGGGGTACAGACAGGCTGGGCGAGACCCTGGGGCCAAGGCCAATGGCAGGGGAAGCGAGACAAGCCAAAGTGTAACTGGCCGTGGCAACAACAACGAAAACAAACAGAGCGTGCCGGCTCCAGGCTTTTAGCAGGGCTTCATTCAAGGCTATTCCCGCCTTGCGGTGCCAGCGAGAATCCGCCCTACTAGCATCAGGCGGCTGAAAGTGGGCTAGTTCGTCAAGAATAGGGCCGGGGATGGGGACGAAGGATGGAGGCGGGCGGCGGGAGAGAGGCCATACGAGCGAGACGGGGCCGGGGCGATGAAGGGATAGGATACGATGGAAGGATGAAAGTATACGTAGAATGGAATCAAGGGTGGAAGCATGCATGGCCGCAACGGCAACGGCAATTAACGCCCGTTGAGCTACCTTGATGAAGCAGGGAAGCGTCGAGTTCTTTTGCAGCATTTTTTGACTTCCATGGCAAGGTCTGGGGTGAATTGGGGGATGTGGATGGGAGACATGAGCACGGAGGGGACGGGAGGGACTGGATAGGTTGGATAGGATGGATAGGGCTTGTCAAATGTCGACGGCCCAACAAGGCCGCAAAGGCAAGCCGAGAGCGAGGGTCCAACAGGGCGAAGCAGATGGTGGTGGTAGTGGTGGTGGGAGTGGTGGGTGGTGCAATGCGCAATGCATGGAACTCGTTTTCGGTGCGTAACGGTGCGATGCGATCCGATGCGGTGCGGTGCGGTGCGGTGCGAGGTTGTCTACTTACTACTTGCTCGGCGCTTTGATGCGCCCCGATTCCCGGTGAGCGTCCGGCGGCCAGGCAGAGTTGGCGAGCCTCCGGGCGAAGTCTGAGTGAGGATGATGATGGATGATGAGTGAGGACTGAGGACTGAGGATGCGCGTGTGGGTGAGGTGACGAGGGGGGAGTGGGAGTGGGAGTGGGAGGAGGGAGAGGAGTGCCCGTTGAGCACGAAGCAGGCAAGGAGATGAGGTACTTGCGAGGGCGCCAAGCCTGAGTATCCTCCGCCCACGCACCAAAGACCAAAGGCCAAAGGGGCGTGTTACCGCCTCCACGCCCTCACGCCCTACACCCCCTCCCGCGGCGCCGTCGAACAGGGCCTTGTCCGCCCTTGTCTGTCCTTGTCAGGTCTTGTCCGTCCTTGGCTGCCCTTTTGGCGGCCTATCCTTTGCGAGCCACTCGCACGCCCCCGGTCCGCCACACGGATGCGCAACCTCCAGGCGCCCACCCAGCCCTGTAGCCTCTCGCCTCTCGCCTTGGAGGGCTCTCCCAACTTCTCCCAGGGCTCTCCCAGGTCCCCCCAGAGGCGGGGCGGGCGGCAGGGACTAGCACGGCCCACCTTCATTCATACCCATACCCGCACACCTTGCTTCCGCCCTCCCACCGTCAAATCGTCGCTACGTCAAGACACTCCCACCCCCCCCCCCAAACTAAACCAACAGGGGACTGAGAATGTCTCGACGGAGAACGGGACTACGGGACTGGGGGCAGCGGAGGTCAGTGTTAATTAACGGTTGGTACGCAAAGACGTACGTACATCCATGTTGTGAGCACTGGAGCATCTATGGCAGTACATACACCCATCGTCTCCCTCCAAATCCTCATGCGCCCATCCTGATCTGCTGCCACCTCCTGTCGTCCACCCAAGTGCCCGCAAACAAAGATCGAGGCAGAAACGGAACCATACGGATGTACACATTCGTCCAACGGCGGAACAGAACCTAACGGGCAAACGCAACGTCCAAAACCAAAGCCAAAAAAAAAATCAAAAATCAAAAATCAAAAAGACGCCCCCCGGTAGTACCTCAGAGGCCACACCCCCCTCCCCTTCGCTTCGCCTTCCATCCTCTCCGTCGTTCACCTCCCCCTCACATCCTTTCCGTCATCTCGAAATCAAACGCCCAGAAACCCCCGACACTCCTCTTTTGTGGTGCGTGCGTCAGACTCAGAGTCCCCAAAGTGGTGGCCGATCTAAATCCCACTCGCTCACTCACTCACTCACTCACTCACTCCCCCCGCCGCTTTCGCTGTCGTCACCCCAAGTGGTGAGGAAAAGGGAAGGCTTGTACCAGTATCTCAGCGAGCGAGGGGTGCCCATCTTCTATGCAGCCGCCCCCCGGCAGCACAGACACACAGACACAGACGATTAAAAAAGTGCAAGAAGCGACAACGTCAACACAACGCTGTACTTCGTGCACCTTCAAAACCCTACCTCTCGCCACCTCCCCCTTCTCCATCCTCCTCTTCTGTTATACTCCGTTTTTCCTCCTCATCCCTCTGCGCATGCCCTTCACATTGCGGCTCCGTCTCCCTGTCTGAACCACCGTGCGAGCATCCCCCAGCACGCCCTGCTATTCGCCCTACCAAACCGCTACTCCGGCATTGGCGGCCCCAGCCGGCTACCGCACTGCACCTTGCAGACCTGCACCCGCGGGCCAGACGGATACTCCGAAGCCATCGCCACCCACAGACTACGTCTCACCCTGGCTCCGACACAGCGCCGGCCGAGCCACAAGGCAATAGGGGACTCCCAAACGAGCCAAGCAGGACCCAGCAAAATTTAGGCTCGTGTCTGCCGGCCACCTCTTCTATGACGGTGTTGGCTCCGACAGTCGTCATCCTGGTTTTTGTTCAGCTCCCGTTGTCTCGCCTCGTGGCCCATCTCAGCTTGCTCGAACACAGCAAAGTAATCCACCATGTCGGCGTATCCCTCCCTCCCAAGTATTAGAGTCCCCGGGGCCGACGGCTTTCGAAATCATGCCAGCCATCACGATAGACCCTTTGGCAGCAGCAGCCTGGCCATGTCAATCCCCGGCATCGACGAGACTCAAAACAACGTTCCTCCCCCTTTGCCTCCCCCCCGATACCTCCCTGGCACTGAGCCCGCGAACCTTCCTCCAGACATGCGAGGCAAGCGAGACTTCGGACCCAATACGGCATCCTTTGCCAGCGGCTACGGCAGCATGGCCTCATCTTTTGCAGAGGAACGACCCAGCTACCTACGAAGGGACATGGGCAGCTTCAATGGCGACCGGGACGAGGGTTACTCAAGTTATTCTACAGACAGGTATGAGTCTCCGTGCTCTCCCGTCACTGCTCCACGGCCGCAAGCTAGCCCGGGCCAGCTGAGCTGGACCAAGTCGGCTAACAATGTTGGCTTCCACAGGTCTCGCGAATCACTACGGTCAGAGTTTGGCCTACACCACAACCACTTCCAGTTCCAATCACCCGCCGTTGACAGCATGAAGAAGAAGCTCGACCCTGTACGCATGCTGGACAAGTCACCACCCCGATCCCTCCTCAGTGCCTCTGTAAACGAGCTGCTACCTCGAAGACCCACAGCTGAGAGCCGGTTCCCTCCCGCCCTGAGCGTCCCCGTCCAGCTTCCCATCCACACCCGCAACATCCTGGGCTCACCAGCCCGGTTCACCGAGACGCCGCTGCACTCGGCCATTTCCCCCCGCAGTGCTCCCTTCCACTACGGAGACCGCTCTCCCAACGACGGCTCAGATATCGACCGTTCCCCACGAACTCGCACCAGGAGGAACAACAGCGACGATGCCACATCGACCCAAGGCAGTTATGACTTCAATGGGGCCGAAGACATGGAGATTGAAGAGACGTCTCTCAAGAGGCTGCACATTGACGATGCGTACCTAGCTGGTGGCCAGAAGCGGAGGGCAGCCAGCCCACCCGACGAGCACATTTCAGCCGCCCAGATGGAACTCGCCCGCAGGTCGCGCGGGTCACCACAGCCCCGGCTTACCACTATCCCACAGGGCACAACCATCCCATCCGTACCATCCACATCGCGATCCAATTCATACATGTCGACCATGTCGGTCCCCACAACTATCACCACTGCTAACTCTTTTGGTCGACGTTCGCCTGGTCTATCGCCTGGTGGCATCTCCCCCACGTCTTGCAACTCCCCTTACACCACGCCCATGTCCCTTAACCCCAGCCCGAGGAACTCCATCTCCGGCCGGAGCGCGATGCACGCAAGGACTGTCTCAAGCGCCAGCTCTCGAAAGATTGGCGAAGTACAGAAGTCAGGAGGCCCCAAGCTTCAAGAATTTTTCATGTGCGACTGCTGCCCGAAGAAGCCAAAGCGATTTGAGACGGCTGAAGAGCTCAAGTAAGTGTTTGACTTCCCGGCGCTAAATTCCTCCACTCTTGCTCCACCGCACCTCACCACGGGCGCTCCCGACCCGCCTGTTCTATTTGCTCGACTTGGATGAAACGCATTGATATTTGCTACGAGAGAAGCAAAACATGGGGCTAACCAAAAATGCAGTGCTCATGAAGCGGAAAAGCAATACAATTGCTCCTTCTGTGGAAACCGTTTCAAGAACAAGAATGAGGCCGAGCGACACCAAAATTCGCTTCACGTCCGCCGCCATTCTTGGTCCTGCTCGGCCCTCTCTGGATACGATCGCGCATTCCACGAATCAACCAACAGGCCCGGAGAGGCCGATGCATGTGGCTACTGCGGTGACGAATTCCCCCGATCAGGACGCGTCCCTGGAACAAATACGCCGCGGCATGCAACGGAACAGGATTGGGACGATCGCATTCGACATCTGCAAGAGACGCACAAGTTCAGGGAATGCAACTCGTCCAAGAAATTCTATCGAGCGGACCACTTCAGACAGCATCTGAAGCACAGCCACGCAGGTACCAGCGGAAAATGGACCAACATGCTTGAGAATGCGTGCATGTTGGAGGAGGACCCGACGCCCAGGTGAAGGATCAGATGATCAACGGTGACCCGGGGTTCAACAGCTCGAGTGCCGCACATGGACGTTTCAAGCCCCAATCCTTTACCCGCTGAGTAACGCTTCGTACAGGGGAGGGGTGTCGGGGACTGGAGATTCAGTGGAGGACAAGGTTGAACCAGGCGGGGTACTAAACGAGCAGTCAGCAAGGAGCCGGCCTGCCCCAGTTGGCCCAATTACGGCGACTCTTATCCATGGACGATTTGCTGGAACCCGACAACTTGATAGCCCGACGACGATGCGTTTGCGACCGGGGAGGACGCGTGGTCACCAACAGGTCGAAAGCAGGACCTAACAAGAAAAATCAAGCGCCCTACCACTCATACAAGCGGCACAGTAATGCCTGCAGGGTGTTGCATCGATGGACACGGGCAAGGCGTGAAAAGTCTGTTTCGACTGAGGAGCGTGCCGCAGCCTGCAGATGCGTCGACACCAAAGCAAATCACAGTGCGCCTGAGATATGTGCGCTGATCTCCCGCATTCGGATCGGGGCTTCCCGCGGCCCCCGAGGCGCGCCCTAAATGCGCTACGACGGCGCACATGTTTTTGTTCTCCGTGCCCAACCTCTGTGCTGCAGTTGGGAGGGCTGAATGGTGCCATCCGGCAGTGCCTGTTGGAGCACGGGTGACGATGCCTGCGGTGGCGGTAGAGACTCCACCAGGCGACACGGCTAGCAACGACTCCACTCGGATCCGAGCAAGTGGATTTGCAACATTCCAGACGAAGCGATTATTGATTACGGGAGAAGCCGTGGCTGTGGGCTTGACGACATCAACGTTTGCCCGGTCTGACAGTGGCGGTTCGCATAGGCGACATGGAAACGAAAATCTGAGGGGAACTACTGCGGATGGGTGGTGATTGCACCCGACGGGCAAAACACTGGCCTTTGACCATGCATTTGTGGCGGCGCTACTTTCTTACTGGGCTGAAGACCCCTGTTCAGGCATGGCGTTTGGAGACCTGCACGATTATGATGCTCACACAATACGAAGGAGGAGGGAAGATGGAAGGAAGTCGGCCCTGCCCACGAAATGCCATATGCCGAGTCTATTTGACCCGGACCATCTATTTTATTGTTTGGTTTTTTGTAATTATATATACCCCGCAAGACGGCGAGGCTGGGATGATGGGAGGAAAACATTTTTACATATGTACCAGGGCCCAGGCTTGAAGCTGCGGAGCCCTTTCATGTCATGGGGAACGGCAAAAAGGATACGGAATACGGTAGCATGGTCACGGATGGGAAAGCAGAATTGATTCAATACAAACAAAGATCGAATAGCCCAAAGACGATTTGAATCACAAGTGTGAACGAGCTGTGAAGCAAGTGTGAAAGGATGACACGAGAAGCGGGCTAGTGATTGGATGTGACATGACATGACGCCGCGACAGCTGACGCCCACCTGATTGTTAGACGGACTTGGCCTTGGGTAGCTCCCCAAAGCTAGAGAACGCCATTCGCGCGGCCGCGACAAACCAGAGGTCACGAAAGAGACAATGGACGGGGCGCGGAATGGCCAAGGGCGGAGAGATGATGCGAGCTTCTCGTTTGGGAAATCCGTGTTGAACGGGGTGGGTGCGCGGAGTGGTGTGTCTTTTTCTTTTCAGCTCGCAGACTACTGACTCTGTGTGCACCAGCTAACAGCTAAAAGGCTACGGGTTTCGCTAGTTCTGCCCACTCCTGTGCCGTACATACAAGATCAGCTCAGCTGATGGGGTGAAGGTGGAGGTGGAGGGAAGAAGAGCATCAGACTGACTAAGGCACCTAGGTAAGGTAGGGAGGGAATGGGGCAGCGGGACGGTATCGTATGCCGTCCCTGGGGAAGCGGAGCCAAGGCCGCAACGCGCCCTTTTTTTTTTGTCTTATTCTTTTCTTTTTAGTTGAGTTTTTAAGGTTAGGTTGGTTTTGGATTTCCGCCCGAGCAAGGCCTTGGCGGAAGGGGCTGAAGCCGAGCATGTCAAATGTTTAGTCAGTAGCTCTGACTATGGTAGGTGCTGACGCCCCCAAGGCCCAAGGGACCCCGAGATGAGGGCGGGCTTGGCGACGGACGGATTTGAGTTTAGGGCGAGAAATCCGCTGGGATTTGGGGTTCTACAATGTAAGCTTCTGGGGTTTTTGCAAGCGAAGGAGCGAGAGCGAGCCGGCGTCCTGGGTTCGAAAAGCTCCCGGCAGAGACGGAGCGAAGGATTCAAGACCCAGTCACGTGGGGCCTGTTTTGTTTCTAATGCGCCATGTCCTCATCGCTCGAGGGAGGATGTACGAAGTGCCGAAGAGGGCAATGGCCGGCCACTACTAATTACGCGATGCACCTGTACTTAGCCCTACGGGGCCACGCGGTGAGGCTGATACCAGTGAACAGCATGAGACATGCTTGCGAAGTCCATGCCCAGTCCAGCTAGCTGCGTACCGGCCAGAGAGCGCACGAGGCCCTGGGGTTTAGCGCCGTTTTGGCTCTGCCTGAGACAGGGTTGTTGTGGCTGGTGGGGGTTTGAACATGGCCCTGTGCTGTGGCTGGTGAATGCATGTCACAGGCAACAACGGCCATGGCGGGGTAGGCCGCGTGTGGCGCAACTTCAAGGAGGGGCAAGGGAAGAAAAATCGATGGCACGGCCGGCGAGGAGTCATGAGGAACTTGTGAACAACTCCCAGACCAGATGGGACATATACAAACGTCGACATAGATGAATACAGGGAGGAACAGTTCGGGTCATTGCGAGGATTTCTCAAACTAGTCGCATCTCTCACACTACTTGGCCCAGTCGCGAAACGGGAACGCCTTGCCGTCTGCCTCACAGTACACCAAACCCATCGACATTTCGTCAAGGCATACCGAGGAGCCGTCCGCAACTAGGCGGTGCTTGTGCTAACCCTCAAGCTGGATCATACAATTTCCCAACCAGGCGATCGCCGGGCGGATAGCGCCAGCCAGCAGGCAGCGGAGCCGGAACCAAGCACGCGTCTGCAGCAGTGGGAGGAGTTCGGGCATCAGTTCCAGGCCGGAGAGCTAGAGCTTCTCAAGCAGAGCATCGTTGAGATGGCGTTCAGCCGGATCGAGGGCCAGGATGAGCTTTTTGTTGGCGGGTAAGTACACTTCTCCCTGGGCCAGGGGCGCATAAGCCGGCTGGAGACTTGAGCCCTGGCGGACTGTACTCATGCTGACGCCCTCATACAGGCTCTGGGCGTTGCGCCGCTCTGATACCCTGACTGACCGCGGCATCACTCACGTGCTGTCCGTGGTGGGCTTTGATCCTTCTGGTCTGAAGAACTTCAAGGATGAGCCGTGGTCCGAGTACGGAAAGCAGTTTCGCCATCTCGTCATCGACATTGACGACGTTGATGACGCAAACATACTGGTGGAGCTCCCTGGTGCTGTCAAGTTCATCGATAAGGGTTTGAGAGGACATGGCTTGGGGCCCAGCACGAATTCGGCAGACGCTCACGATGCTGACGCAGATGTGGGCAAGGGCGTCGAGGACCTCAGCATTGGGGGCCATGGCAAGCGCCCCGGCGTCTTTGTCCACTGCGCCGCCGGGAAGTCGAGATCGGTCTCGACCATTATTGCCTATTTGCTTTGGCGATATCCTAACCGATTCGATCCTAACATCGTCCCGACTGTCATCTCCGATCCAACCCATGCGCACCCACAGTCATCGTCAACGAAGAGGCGGTCGCGGAAGGAAACAGCCGCCGAGGCTGTGCACGCCGCGCTGACATACGTCCGCCGGACGCGGCCCATGGCGGAGCCCAACCCCGGCTTCATGGACCAGCTGGCGCTCTGGTGGGAGATGGGCTGCCCCGACGACGTCGAGACCCATCATGTGTACCAGCGCTGGGCGTACATGCGCGAGGTCGAGGAGAACTTGGCCGTGGGCCAGGCTCCCACGAGGCTGCGGTTCGAGGACGAGGAGGCTCAGCCCCACGATGAGTCTGGGCTCAGCCTGCGGTGCAAGATGTGTCGTCGCACCCTGGCTACGGCGCCGTTCATCGTGGACCATCAGTCCTCGGATGCACACTCCACCGCCCAGTGTCAGCACTTCTTTATCGAACCCCTGAGCTGGATGCGAAGTATCCTTGAAAAGGGCGAGCTCAACGGCCGGCTGCTCTGCCCCAATGCCAAGTGCGGCGCCGGTGTAGGCCGCTACGACTGGAAGGGCTTCAGGTGCTCCTGTGGCGGCTGGGTCATACCGGCCTTCTCCCTCCAGCGCGCCAGAGTTGACGATGTCGTCAAGAGGGCCCCGGGCACAGCCGCCGGCCAGGCCACGGGCATCCGAATGCCGCCCGGCGCCAAACCCCGCGGCGGTAACCTGTAACGTCCAGGCGGACGGGGAACCAGACGCGCAACAATCTGCCCGTCCGGGCAACCGGCGTTCAAAGACATTAGTCGCCGAGCCGCCGAGCCGCCGAGTCGCCGTCGACTAGGACTCCGGCGACCAGGCCCCCGAGTCCCCGATTCCCCTGTTACTACTCCCCGGAACCCCACCAAAACCCCGAAGTTGGCCTTGGCCAAAGGCATCTCAAGGCGGGAGGTGTTGCCAAACTTCTCCGCCAACAACGGGGCCTACCTTCACCGGAGACTTCCCTATTGACGCACCGGTGCCTTCGGGCCCCACGCCATGTCAGAAGCGGAACCTCGAGTGAGAGCGCAACAGAGGAAATGACTGGGGGACAAGGGGGGAGGGGGGTGATTCTACGCGGGAAGCCGTTAGGGCTTACGGGGTGTTGTTGAGACACCCGCGCATGGGTCACCATGGCGGCCGCTGAAGACGGAGAGAGGGGCTTGTGAATGGGGGCGACCGAAAGATCGTCAGACGGCGACGGGACGATCGGATGGTTCCTGGTACGGGCATGGGAGTTTCTCGTGGGGGAGGGGTGTATTCGCCATGCGTCGATTGTCAAGAGAAGCCATGAGAAACAAAGACCCCGGACGTTTTCCAGAGCCCATTCAGCGCCCCTCAGCATGCTCAGCACTAGGCTCGGACTATTGAGACGGTTTCTGCTCAGCATCTTATTCGAGCCTTGACGACGCATCCAGCAACCCACAACCAACTGACCATGTCCACAGAAGAAAGCGCAATCCCTGACCGCATGCCCCATCGTTGTTCCACACCATCCCATCCATCGCGACCCTTGGGAGCGCTTCACACACCCTCCTTTGGACTAGCTCTGCATCTTTACCTCCCCGGGAGTCACAGGCGGTGACACTACCAATATTTTTTCTACTTCCTACTTGCTTCCACCTTGCCGATTGCGGCCTGTTATCCCTCTCTGGCCGATCGGGCCACGATATATCCGATCACAGGAGCCCAACAGCGAGAGCGAACGAGACAATTGTCTCCGGCTGTTGGCACCCCCGGCGGAAAGATCCCGCCTCCACCGTTTTCCTGAGATGGTTAGGAGAGAGAAGAACGGTAGACGGTGGTTTTCCCGTTCGAGACTGAATATTTACATAAAAGTCGCTGTCTGACATGGCTCCGTTAGGGCGAGGCTAGTTTCAAGAGCCTCTATCTCGCCCATGGCCATATGACCAAACCCCGAAGATCCATAGACTCCCGCAGCAAGACAATAAAACTAGGACTCAACGTGCACAAGAAATGCCCCGTCGTAGTAATACTAAGCGAGTAACCCGCCGCTTATGGCTTGCTGCCCGGACTTGAGTCGCGGGGCCGCACGCAGCCATGTTTCGAGGCGTCAGCGAATCCGAGCCCGCCAGTCATCGTCAGCAAATAGGACTCTCGTCATCCGTCTCATCGGGGTTCCCGGGTTGTGCGACCTCGAGGGGGTTTCCAGGGACGCCTTGGAGAGGTTGGGGAATAAGCTCCGCGCAATTGATGCTTGTCAGACAAAAAAAACCTCGGTTTCATGCTGAGAGACGGCATTCAGTGGGTGTAAGACCGTCGCCTCGCCGAGCTCTGGATCGATAGACAAACAGGATATATATGGATTCGCCGTCTTTGTAATCCAATGGGTTTGGTTTCTAATGTTAGATTGGTTCCTTCAGAACGATGACGCTGTGGTGACAGGTCGTGATGTCTCACCACTCGTCCCCCCTGAGCCTATCAAATGGCCTTCAACTCACCATGACCACCATCCCAGGCCAGATCCGTGACTCAGCGGTTTGGTCTGAGACGACTCCCGCGTGGTTCCCATCGAGAGGGGTAGCTCTGAGCAGTGACGTAGCCCATGGCGGCGATTTCCTGGGGTGACGTGCCCGTCCACGGGCATGAAGGGGGTCCCAGATGCCCGACGCTCGAGTCTTGATACCCCTTTCGGAGCACAATTGGCATACGCGAGCATCACGCGGTGGAGCCCTTCAGGGACGCCACGTTCCCCGAATCGAGCTGTTCCTCAAGATCTACCGTCTCTAGAAGCTCGTCCCCTGCCCCCCCCTTGTCCGTCGTCGTCGGCTTGGCGTTTGTTGTTGTGTCGTCCGAGTATTCACATCATGCAGTTGCTTCATCGGCAGCTCGGGGGGTGCCCATCTGACCGCGTCGTCCTTTGCCATTCTGAGCTTGGCGTACAGGCGGATGTTGTTTTTCAGGCAGCCATCATCCTCGCCGAGACCGCGCGGGAAGCCGGCCTTCTCGTAGCGCAGAGGTTGCCTGTTCAGGGGAGTCCCGCGTCGGCGTGTATCCAGCGTCACGGGCTGCATTGAGCAGGCCCCTGGTAAGCGGGATCATGTTGTTTTGGTCGACGAGGGCGGGATATCAGGACGACGATGGTCATCCACGGGGGGGAGTGGGAGACCCGCTCCGAGCCCGAAAGTCCCGGAGAGCCCCTGGTAGGCGCCGGCCTCTCGGGGACGATCGGGCGGGTGACGTTTTCAGAGACGGCCCGGGGCACGGGACGAGAGCGTTCCATCGTTCGCAAGGCTGAAGTCAACAGGGAGAGGGAAGAAGCCGGCCTGCATGGCTCGAACCGTGGGTCCTGGCTCGGAGAGGCGCACCCAGGGGTAGACTAGGGAGGGTACAAAGAGCCAAAAGTCCAACAAGTACCTCTGGTCTGACAAGCCCCAAGTACTCTCTTCGCACACGCCCCTCGAGACACCGTCCTCGTTGGAAGCACGCCATCAGTGCCGATCACAGGCGGGCAGATATGTGAGGAAATCAAGCTTGAGCGTCCAGGTCGTGCGGCGTGGGTGTGCATCATTGCAACCCCAACCCACCGGCCACCTCCTTCCGGGCTTCCTCCAGCCTAGCCACGACGAGGGCGAACTCCTAGCCCGGACGCCTTGTGGATTTCTTTTCGTGATGAGGCTAGCGGGGACGGCCTGGTGTGTCCGGCTGAGGGGAAGAGGACGAACACCTCGGGGCTGTTTCCACCCGTTCTAGACGGCGGAGTCGAAGAGCCTCGGCGATGCTGTTGGGTGTAGTCGGTATACCAGCCCGCCCTGTCGGCAGCATGAGATATTTTGTGGCAGATTCGTCATCCAGATGCATCAAGCACGGCTTTAAGCCATTCGCCTCGCCGGGCTCATTCATATTAGCGCCGGGGAGCGTCCACCTTGCATCAGAATCCAGGCTGACAGCGCAGAGTCGCATCCGCAGTTGACAGCCAGCCGCGGCAGATCCAAACTGTCGGTAGTTGGAGCTATTCCCAAGTTCCCTCGGGAGGGATCAGTCATTCTCGGCGCTATCGTCAGAGCAGAAACATGCTTCGAAGGGGGGTCACATGCGGCGGCGCTCATGCGCCATGTCAGATGTATTCGCGGCCTGCTGGGCGAGACGAGGCGTCGGCCGGGCAAGAAGTCATGGCAGGACATGGCGCCCCGTTGCTGAAGGAGCTCAACCGACTTCGGGTTCGGAGGTGTGGGGTGATGGCAGCGTGGTTCCGCGGGTCCTCTCATGACGAGTTGGTGAAGGACCGAGATGCTCAGGGTTGATTCCGTGCCGCTAACAGGATAAGTAGGATGCAGGCATGCATGCATGCCACTTCAGGCCCGTCTGCACTCTGCACTCTGCAGTCATCATCTCAACCAACGGAGGAGGGGGTGGGATCTCCCGATTCCGCATGTGCTCGGGACTAGTCGTTCGATATGTCGCCGAAGCCCTCCCTCCCTGCCCTCCAAGCCCAGATCAAAGCTCTCACGGGCTGCATAATTGCAGCTGGTCGTGGTTCATGGTGGTGATTACGTCTCTCCCCTCCTCTCCTCGCACTCCTCCTCTTCAGAGCCCGGTGGAATGCTGACACCACGACGATACGTCAGCGCCACGGGTCGCCATAGCGAGTTGTCTGAGCTCACCTGTCACATCCTGGTTGAGGTTAGTTGAGCGCCACAGGCTACAGGCTACTTACAGGCTACAGCCCACAACCCTACTCCGTGCTAGTTTGTATGTGTATGTGCCCACGGCCACCGAGGCAAGCCGCCGCCTCAAGCAGGCAGTTGGTTAACGACACCGCTGTTCCTAGACAAGGGCCCCGGGAGCCTGTGTCGAACCGCATTGGCCAGGCCGAGATTTGGGCGTATTCGATGCTGCTTGTAGTCGGAAAGTGCCGTCAACCCTGCCGCCAAGATAACTGGATGCTCCCTGGTGTAAGTATCGCCAACAGCCAAACACCACCCGCCGAACCGGACCCGTTAGGACCCATTGCGTCCCAGGCTCACAGCAAGGCGAGTTCCTATTTCGAGGTGCGAGCCATCCACTCTTTTGCAGAGAAACTCGCGGTGCTTACCAAGGTGGTCCATCATGGCGGGGAGAGTCTTGGTGAGCATGTAAGCGCTAGAACCCATACGGTCTCGCAATGGTCGGCCGATGGCAGCCTCAAAACCTGCCTGTTGCGGAGACCAGACGATCTGACCCGTCAAATCTCGGCATTCGAATCCACGGCGGGTCGAAGACAGCGGCGATGGAGTCGCAGGAGGGGTTATTGGCAATAGGGCAAATCAGTTGGGTTGGCACACCAGGCTCACTATCCAAGCCCTGTACCAGGAACTGCGCCCAGTTTCACCCTCCAAGGCAACATCGCGCCGGACACTCATTCGGAGTGGGTATCCGAAACTGCGCCAGAGAGGCTCCATCTCGCCGGAGAGGGCCTTCCAACTGGACCGTTTACTTGGATTGAAACGAGCCATGAATCCTGGCCCAGTTAGTCCCGGCCTTAATACCCAGCCACCCCAGATTGAAGGAAGGCAACCACAGGGCTGAAGGGTCTCAGCCTTGTTAGGTACCTCAATCCTTCTAGCCGGCAGAGGAAGGCTTCGTACAAAGGCCAATAGAATTCACGTTAATAGAGCTTCGGTTGAGCAGGGATGGTCGGATAACGTTATACTGTATCTCAATCTCAATGGAATCAAGTCCGAGACACCACCGCGAGCTTCCGCATCAGGAATAACTTACTTCATCCCAAGTCCGAGCCACTATTATCTGACTGTCCCAGGGGTCACGGTTCTCGCCAATCCTGCAATTGAGCTCGGAGATTTGCAGCGAGGATGTCACTGGTTCCCCATAACTCGTGGAGGGAGTGCCTGCAGAATCGAAGCCCATGAAGCAGATCCATACATGCAAGGGTATGACGTAGGATCGGCGAGGAAGGACTTAGTCTTCAACTCGGGTCTTTTGTCGTGCACGGACGGACTAATATGCCCTCTGATATAGACAGTTGAGCGAAAGGTCGGTGTAGAATCTCGAACTGTTTTGGGGTTGTTTAGCTGCTTTCAACGTCATCGGATAGACCTTTGCAGTGTTCCTACACAGATCAAGCAACGTGGGAGTAATACCACTCAGTAATCGCACACAACTGGGCTACATGGCACCAGAATGTCCAGCGTGTAAAAGAAATAGACGTCAATGTGCAACGAACGTGTGCCTTGAGCATCTCTTTGCAACCCGTCCGAGTTTCTATCTAATAACCAAGGTCGTCGATAACTGTGAGAAGCACAAAAAAACGCGGTATATGCGACATAAGGTAGATCATTACTTATTTGGAGTTGTGTACTGTGTACTGTTGACTTTCAACTTGAGGTATATAAGATGACCACCACTCCACCCAAGTCGACGCCGGACTGGAGTACTTGGTGTATCATGAATAGTCATCCACTTACCAGAGGCTGGCTGATACAGGAGAAGAAGAATTCTGACAAGGTCTTTGTGAAGCGCAGATCGGGATTCGCAAGTGACTTCACAAAAGGATCGGTGTGAATCGGGTATGCCAATGCAACTGCGGGAGCTTGATTTTGCGTTGAGAAGACATATGGGTGCGAGTGAGAGCTGTCGATGGCTTCATCCCAATTCAATGCCCTCTGTCGAAATTTTATATGAACGAGCTCGACTGCAAATGTTAATGTTGAGTTGCGAGGAATTGAGTTGATGAGATCTGAACGTGTCTTCATTCCACAAGGGACCGCCTAGATAGCGAAGTGATAGTTCTTAGAATCTCCAATAATCGCATGACCACAGCGAGTTCCGTGGTAAATTGATATCTTTACTTGGTGTCTATTCGCCGTCTTTGATCTTGCTCAAGCCGGGGGCTCGTTAGGTGGCGTTGGCTCAATACAACAAATCCGGATGTCTTGCAGCCACAAGACCAGTCGTTATTATCTTAACAGACCACCGTCAGTTTTCCAGGAGAATGGGAGTCACCAAGATCGGAGTTTTATAAGAATAGGTAAATTCCTCGCTCATTAGGATGGATAGATTTGGATTCGGCAGTGTGCTTCACGATACATACAGTCTGCTTGCAGACACCGATCAGCTGGGATCATCTCTGGGAACAGACGGGAAGTAGCCAGGCTTAGACATCCGCTCTCTGTCGCGTTTCGCTGCGTCGGCTTGTCGTTTCTTCGTCAACCGTTGCTGATAGAATGAACTACATCTGTTAATACAATCCATGGATGGAGTGAGCTGACGTACCTCTTCAACTCAAACACTCGAGGTTCCGGCTCGGGGATTGCCTCCTTTTCTTCCTTTTCCTGGTAAGTATTAGCATGGGCAGTGAAAAAAGACATGGTGGTGGTTAGTCTGCATCGGGAATTGATCCTGAGCTCACCTTTTCCTTTGTATCATCTTTCTTGTCGTCATCTTTCTTGTCATCTTTATCCTTATCTTTGTCTTTGTCACCGTCCTTTTCCTTATCTTTCTTGCTGTCTTTCTCCTTCTTTTTTCTTTGCTTCTCTTCATACTCCTTCTTGAGACGCTCCTTTTCCTCCTCGACCTCCTTCTCTCGTTTGGCCTTCAGGGCATCTTGGTCGACCTTGGGCGTGCAGAAGTAGTGGTCCTTCAGGTGGGCGGGACATACGTAGAAGAAGTCCTATTATAGTTGAGTCAGTCTACGCTTGTTCTGCTTACCCTGCATCTTAGAGTCTTCGTGCACACCTTGTTATCGGGCGTGATCAACACCGAGGCGCTTGGCTTGTAGCACACATCGCAAGCCTTGGATGCCGTCTCGGCAACCCTCCGATGGTGGTAGATGTTGGGGAACGGAGCTGACATGGTTCTCTGGCCGAACGTCTGGTGAAGCCCAGGGTTATCGCGTATCGGTGTCACCTTTGCTTCGTCGCAGGCAATGTCCAGATATTTTGGCGATGTCGTGGCGATGCATCGCCGAATATCGCGGGGCAGCTACTGACGTCAGGTGGTACGTAGCGGTAGTGGGACCAGTAGTCCCCTAAAAGCCCCATTCCCAGGGCTCGAGACCACCAAACTATAGCGCTTAACTACCTAGCACAAGCGCCATGAGACGAATGACTAATACGCCCGGGCGCTAATGCCGGCCTATCTTATCGCGTCCAGTACGAAATTGACAATGACGATGCCGCACCTACCCAGTGTCCATCACCAACAACAAAGAAACATCTTTCACACACAACAACATTTCCAATTTCCACCACGCCGTCCACCTGCCACGGCCTGGAATTGGATCCATCATGGGCGCCAAGCTCGATAACCAGAAGCTCGGCTTCGTCTTCCAGACCCGCCCAGACATTCTTGAAGGCATCCAGAAGGCTGCAGGTAAACAAATACCCCTGATGCAGCAGCTCTGACCGTGCGAGACTGATTTTTCATGACAGATTCCCCCAGCCGAGTCGCCCTCTTCAACCAGATTGCCACCCACGTGTACGATACGATCCAAGGAAATGGCGAGCCAGCGCACAAGAAACGACGTGTGGATGTAGACCAGGCCAACGGCAGCGCGAACGGTACACACACCAGTGCCGACACAATCACCAATGCAGCAGACGAGGCTGTCCTCCTTGAGATCAAGGAAATTTCCGTCTCCGTCCCCCAGCGAAAAAAGTTTGAGCTCTGCTTCACTGCAAACCACTTCTATGCTCGGGCGCCAGGGACCACGGCACCAATTCCGGCCATAACACATGCTTGGAAGGACATTGGTACGCATACCACGGCACTTGACTCCATCCCGATGCTAACGAAGCAGAATACATCTTCTATCTTCCCGTCCCCGAGAAGACCCAGGTGCAGCACAACTACATCGTGTTCCCTCGAGGCACGTGCCTCCCATCCAAGACGAACCCGCCCAGCGAGGAGCCACTCGTTTTTACTGTCCCCTCGACTGCCCCGAAGCAAGGTACGGTGGGTGGCCCAGAAGCTGGAACGGCCTCTGCTGTCTCCGACACATACAAGTCCCTCTTCCACTGGGCCCTGAACAGGCATCTAAGGCCTGCAGGAAACGATGTGGAAATCGTCTCTGCCAATCCCAACAAGTTCCAAAGCATGGTGAAGCAACCACACAGGCCAAATGAGAAGGCAGTCCATGTCAAGGCATTCAGAGGTTCCAAGGATGGCTATCTCTTCTTTCTCGAAAACGGAATTCTATGGGGTTTCAAGAAACCGCTGATGTTCATCCCCCTGAACCGTATTGCTGCGACAAGTTACACAAGCATCTTGCAGCGGACTTTCAACATTGCCGTAGAGGTCTTTGCCAGTGAAGGAGACGCAACCGAAGAGCTCGAGTTCTCCATGCTGGATCAGGAAGACTACGGCGGCATTGATGAGTACATCAGGCGCAACAAGCTGCAAGACCGCAGCATGGCTGAGCAGAGAAAGGCTAAGTTGGAATTGGCAGAGAATAAAGGACCAAAGAAGGGTGGTGACGCGGCGGAAAACGGAGACGCAGCCGCGGCAGATGGTGCTGAAGGACAGGGTGGGATGAGCGAACTGCAGAAGGCACATCTCGAGCTTGAGCAGCAGTTGGATGATGAAGAGGATGAAGATGAAGAAGACTACGATCCTGGGAGTGAGGGAGAAAGTGAGGGGTCTGGAGAGTCCGATGATGATGACGACTCCGATGACGAAGATGATGAGGATGATGAAGGCGAAGATGATGGTGAGGAAGCCGAGGGAGAAGGAGAAGAGGAGGCCGAGGAGGAGCCTGTTGAGGAGGAGCCCGTCCAACCTGCCAAGCCTGCGAGACGTGCCAGGGCGACCAAGCCTGCTAAGGCTACACCTGTCAAAGCCGCTCCCGTCAAGACGGCTCCAGTCAAGGCGGCTCCAGTCAAGGCGGCTCCTGTGAAAGCCGCACCCGTGAAGGCTACGACTGTACCTGTCAAATCGGGCTGGGCGACGATTGGTGGTTCCCGACGAAATGATGATGACATGGATGTGGACGAAACGTTTGACGTTGTTGGGTGATCAGGGCACTGTCCCTGTACGACATGATAGATCTAAGTTCTAACCAGATGGGAGAGAGGAACTTGATCCCTGTGTCTAAAGGATAACATACATATATATGTTCTGGCGTCAAGGATGGGATTTGGCGGGAAATATATCAGACCGCCGAGACAAAATGGGAATTCTAGAGCCATGTTGCGTATTTGATCACATGTTGACGGTAGTGTCCCCGGATCATACGTCACAAACTGGATGTTGTTTTAATCAAGATATCCTTGAAATGGTTCTGTAAAGTAGGAACGCCTCCCAGTGTCTTCCACGCCGGCCTTGACTAACCCTCGCTGGCTATGTGTCCATCAAGTGAAGGATCCGCCTTCGAGTTCAAATCTTTATCCAAAGAATGAAGGAGAAGACAGTAACAAAAGAAAAATATCAGCGCAACCCAGACCAAGTATCTCAACCCATGACCAACGATACAATAATATCGACCCGAAAATCAGCCTCCTTAACATCCGCTCACTCATAAACACGATGCTCAAACGCAGCACTCAGCAGGAAACGGCAAGTGGATTACTTATTAATGAATGCGAGGACTTCGGTGCGACCGTTGTGGTGGAACCTTGCGAGGGAAATTCCGCACTGAAAACTGTCAGCAAGCATGTTGGACGAAAGGCAGCTTAGGTCACGTACATTTCCGCACTTGTGGTGGACGTCTTTGAGAGAGGTGATGAGGTATGGGATACATCCCAAGCAGCTGACGATACATACAAAGGCAGCAACACCACTATTGATGGTTAGCATTCAAATCATCAATCCTTCCGCTGGATCCTGGATCCTGGATCCTGGATCCAATCTGTGATCAACTGTGGGCTCTAAGGGACATACTGTAAAAACCTTCCGGCCTCTGCTGTCGCAATCGTATGGGTATTCCTTCCACAGTTCGGACAGTGGACAGGCGCGCTCCGGACCTGCAGCGTCTCGAGAGGCACGCAGGCCAGGTCGTTCTGCGGCACATGGCCTGCCACATCTCCCAGGGGCGCGATGCCGGCGTGAGGAGGCTGCTCGAGGGGAGGTTGAAGAACGGGTGAAAAGCTTCCGGGAGGTCCCTTGGCGGCGGATGAAGTGCTGGGCTCGTACGCGGGAGGTGGTTGGGTGTCGATGGTGTCCAACTCCACAGGTTGGGTGGTTCCCATGTCCTTGGGTGGCGCTGGAGGCATGAGTTAGTGCTGGACGGACACAGGAAACGAGGCACGGGTTCTTGAATGCGTGGGTTCATGCGGACATACTCGGCTTCTCCATGGTTGCTGGTGTGGAAGTTGAATATCAGAAGTGGGCGGTGATGGTAGCCGAAGGATGAGGACGAAGATGTGAACAGAATAGGGACAAGCAGAGTAATACAATGTTAGAAAGAACTTTGTGAGTAGAGTAAGGAGAGAGTATATAGTGAATCTAATTCCCTTGCTCCCGGGGGACTTGGCAGGCGCTGTCGTAGCAGCTGTCCAATGAATCGGTCTCTTATACGGCGATGCTAATATAACACGGGGCAGTGCTTAGAGCCCCCTCCACCTCAATTATTGCATCTCGTCACAGGGATGAGATGACCGGATGCTGCCGCGACCCGCAGGGCTTTGGGCAATGGCTCTTATTTTTTGCTGCTTCCTGTCCACCAGTCCCTATGGTCAGATAGTAAGGTTCATCGGCCGTCTTGGATCTGGCCTCAAGCAGGCCGAGCCAAGGCGTATTGATGAAGATGGGCGTTTACCAGCTCTGCAGGGTTTCTAAACGCCGGTGAATCCCTCCTGCGCCTCTGCGGAAGGATCGGCGATGACGACGCGTGTCTCGCCATTGAATCACCCTGGAAGTGAGGTGTTCCGAAGGAGCCGTTGGTGATGTCCCGTCAAAACGCAGAGTTTCGTTGATAGGATGGCGATGCCACAAGGCGCAGCAGTTTGGGGGAGGGCCGTGACGCGGGATCCCTGCTGCGGCGAAACAAAAGCCGACAACCGGGGTATCTGGCGAATAGACATGTCGTTGATCAATGCTTCGTTTGGGACTTGTACGATGTCGACTAAGACTCAGGGTCGCATGTTTTTTTCTGGTCGGGCTGGTTGGCTGGTTGGCACACGTCAGAAATGCCGTGGTGTGGGAGGTGTTGGCTACCAGCATCATGGTCCTCGCGGTTGGGCTGAGGATCAACGAGGCGCAACCAGATGAACTTTGAGGCTCGGGTATTTCTGGAAATGGATATGACAGACTCGAATCAGTCAGAGCTAACAGGGAAGGATGCCACACCGCTCGCTCGGCGGCTGTGATTATTCCAATGTTGGGCGCGTACAGCGAAGTCGCTGGTGTAAGTGAAGTTGGCTACTAGGGAACAAACGGTGAGCTAGTGGTACTTGAGCGGCAGAGCATCATGCTACATATCCAGCCCGCCAGTTTCCTATTGCATGCATCCATATTTCTATTATTGGACCACTTGCTGCATATTGTTGGATCTCGTTGGCAAGCAGCCCCCAAGAGAGTAACTGCACCCCCCTTAGAGAGCCAGCGAATTACAGATGTTTCAGGGATTCAATAATATCCCCCGAGGTGTTGTTGTCCCAGTGAATCAAATTGACTGCATTACTACTGTACGCCGCGGAAGACAGTCAAGTCCCCATGATGAAATGTCCTGAGGCTCCGTTCCCAGTCATGACCGTAACAAACGGCGAGACGGCGCTAAACTTTAAATCGAGCCCCGGAACGGTCCCGGCATCAGTCCCGGCATCGGGCCCCACTGAAAATTCTGGCGCGGTACGCACTGTAGAAATTCTTCGTTCCCCTCCCCCGCCATCATGGTGCAGGCAAATTGTAAGGCATGACAGCTTCATCTCATTGACCCCGGCCATTGAACCACACTCACAAATCCTCAAAATGAGCTCCACCCCGACCATCGGCCTCCTCGGCGGAGGCCAGCTGGGCATGATGCTCTGTGAAAGTGCCGCTCCTCTCAACGTCCCCATCGCCGTCTTGGATGCCGAGAACGCCCCCGCCAAGCAGATCAACAGCAACGAGTACCATATCACCGGGTCCTTCAAGGACCCCGTCAAGATCAGAGAGCTGGCCGCGAATTGCGACGTCCTCACAGTTGAGGTTGAGCACATCGACACCCAGGTCCTCGAGGAGATTGCCACCCACGGCGTGCAAGTGTCCGCCGCCGATGGCTCCTCCACCACCAAGAAGGTCGCCGTCCACCCCTCCTGGAAGACCCTCCGCCTCATCCAGAACAAGTATGAGCAGAAGGAGTACTTCGCCCAGCAGGGCATCCCCATTGCTGAGCAGTTGCCGCTTGAGTCTGGCGATGCCATGCTTGCCTCGATGAAGGAGGCGTCTGCCAAATTCGGGTTCCCTTGGATGCTCAAGTCGAGGAAGGACTCTTACGACGGACGAGGAAATCTCAAGATCTCAAGCGAGGCAGACCTGGAGCAGGCCGTCGCTGAATTCGGCAACCTGTCTTGCTATGCCGAGAAGTGGGTGCCCTTTGAGATTGAGCTCTCAGTCATGGTCATCCGCACTGAGGACGACGACGGCAACACCAAGCGCCTGCTCCCTTACCCAGCTGTGGAGACAGTCCACGAGGAGAATATCTGCTCACGTGTCTTCATGCCCCCGCGAAGTGTCTCTGCGGAGGTTTCCAAGAAGGCTCAGGAGGTTGCCTGCAGTGTCGTCGAGAAGCTCTGGGGCCGAGGTGTCTTTGCTGTCGAGATGTTCTTGACCAAGGATGGCAGCGTCATTGTCAACGAGACCGCCCCTAGGCCGCACAACAGCGGGCACCACTTGATTGAGGCCGTCCCGTATATGTAAGTCCCTACTACAGTCCATGCTTTCAAAAGCGGATGCTAACTCAATCTCCCCCTTTAGGTCCCAGTACAAGGCGCAGCTTACTGCTATTCTGGACGGGCCTCTTCCTGAGGAGCTGCAGCCCCACGTTTCTTCCAGCATCATGATCAACATCCTGGGCGGCGCCAATGCGGATTCCCACCTCCCACTTGTCGAAAAGGCCAAGTCAATGTTCGCCAAGAACATGGCTGTCTACCTTCACCTCTACGGAAAGGAGTCCAAGCCCAGCAGGAAGATTGGCCACATCACTCTGACCGGCCTCGGCTCCATTACCGAGCTGGAGGAGTTTGCTCAGCCCCTCGTCAAGATCGCCGAAGAGATCCGACAAGAGCGTCTCCAAGCTTCAAGCAAAGCCCTGCGCCCTCAGCAAGCCCCTGCCACTCCCACCACGGGAAAGGCCAAGCCGTTGGTGCTCGTCACCATGGGCTCCGACTCTGATCTGCCAGTTGTAAAGGCTGGTATCGACATTCTGAACCAGTTTGGTGTCCCGTGGGAAGTGGACATCACCTCAGCTCACCGAACCCCTGAGAAGATGGGCCAAGTAGCAACCGATGCCGATGCTCGAGGCATCAAGGCCATCATCGCGGCCGCTGGCGGTGCAGCCCATCTGGCTGGAATGATGGCAGCTTACACCCCGTTGCCTGTTATTGCAATTCCTGTCAAAGCCACCCACCTCGACGGTATGGATAGCTTGTTGAGCATGGTCCAGATGCCGGTACGTTCCCCCACATATACCTCCTCTCCAAATTTGCTAACAGAACCATAGCGAGGCGTACCAACAGCCACCGTGGCGATCAACAACTCCACCAATGCAGCACTCCTCGCCATTAGAATCTTGGGAGCGTTCATGCCCGAGTATCTTGAGAAGATGAAGGCGTATCAGCTAGAGATGAAGAATCAGGTCCTTGAAAAGGCCCACCGGCTGAGGGGGATGGATGTCGAGGCCTACCTCGCCCAGATGAAGAAATAAGCCTGGATAATACACCAGAGATGGAAATGAATAGAAACGGAAGCACGCAACATTAGAATAGATGGTCATTTTTGGGCCGTTTGATGAATATATCCCCCCAGTTACACGACGTTTGAGTCGAACCTCCGTTTTATACGGTCCGTTGCGACAAGCCAAGCTCCGTCATCCCACCGTATACACCCACCCGACAATCCCCCGCCTCACCGCCCGCACGTGACCACCAGCAACCTCCCAAACTTTCACATCCAACCCGCCAATTGCCATATCGCGAAGCTCACCCGCAGGAGCAAAAACGAACGACCGACCCGCCACAGGCACCTCCCCACGTCCCCCGCGTGCCTCCCTCCGACCCGGACCCGCGCGAGACAGGCTCAATTGGGGCTTCGAAGAAAACCGGAAACCGCATTTCTACGTCGTCGTCGTCGCCGTCGCTTCCCCCGCGCGGAACACCAGCTCGCCCAGCATGACCGGCCGACACAAGGCCATCCGGCTGCCGCCCCTCAAGACGCTGCGCGTGCACAACCCCAAGCGGGCAGTCGAGAACCCCTGCATCGCCATCATGTCGAGCGTCCTCGGTACGTCAGCCCGTCCGGTCCCAGCTCTCGTCCCGGTCTCGAGCTCCCTCGCGCTCGCCCCGTGCGCTGGGAGACATCACGTCACACGTCATCACGCATTGCTAACACCTCCCTGCCCCAGCATGCTGGGCTTCCGCCGGCTACAACGCAACCGGCTGCGCCGCCATCGAGAACCAGCTCCGCCGATGCATGGACGGCCCGCCTGCCGCGCCGGCCCCCGCAAACACCATCAACTACCACCTGTCACGCATGCAAAAGTACATGACCAGCCCGCGGAAGCAGAAATAGTGCACGACTTCTTGCAAACTCGGCAAGGATGCCGCTGCGAGCTGGACAGCCCAATGTGGTTGTCGGAACGAGGCGCTGGGAGGTGCACGACGCTAGATGATTCGCCATGATAGAGGACGTTTAGTGCGACTGAGGACACGACATGTGCGACGGGATGGAATGCATTTAAGGGCGTTGGTCGAAAGAAAGCTCTGCTTGAACTGTACAACACGACCCGGACGCAACACGGGACATGAAGAGGTGGAAGTGTACATTTAGCGCTGTACAATACAAAAGACAAGATCTCACAAACCAATGACTTCCCCTCACAATTTTGGTCACTCGGCTGGGTGCCTCCAGTGTGCTACAGTAATTGCAACTTCTATCATCATTCACTCAGCACATGTCAGGCTCACACACGTGGCAATTCATTTGAAGTGCGTGCATTCTTCTATACTGTGCAAGACATCCCTTTCTCTCACAGACCCTCCACTGGCATGTCCACATCTACCTCACTTGTTCTCTCCTGAGCATCAACACGCGCCCAAATTTCAGCCCATCATCAACTGCCCACTCTCAACGTGTAAAAGAAAAGGAATCAAAACAAGACCCAAAAAAGGATATGAAGAATGCAAGTAACGTGCTCCCCAGTACCAACGCCTCAATCTCAACAATAGCGCCATGTCCCATGAAGTAATGATGAAGAATAAAAACCAATAATTGCAACCACAGAATGAAACGAAAGGAGTCGCGACACGAGTCCTGATGACGTTTCCTCGGTTGCTGGGTCAAAAGAAGGAGAAAATAATATATCCGGCTCGGTAGTAGAGTTGGTCATCGAAGCCGTAAATGTCGTCGACGACATGAGGTCCGTATGCAATGCTCGACGCACTGAAAAACCAAGAGGTGCGGCATATCGCCAGAAACCCAAGAAAGGAGTCAAAAAGGCGTAAGAGGACGGGTCGAGTAGGCGCCCAGAAGGAACGCGTAAAGTCGGGTATGAAGTATTTCAAAAGTTGGTGCAAGTCGCTGCCATGTCGCGTCTATATGATTGATGCCGCTCACTCCGACGCCCTCGATCAATCGTAACCGTGCCTTAGATCATAGTCAAAGAAATAAAGATGAGTGTTCCATGCGCCAAAAATGCGTATGATCCGTGGTATACCCAGCACAATGCACCATGAAGTTCCCAGCAGAGGCCATCCCAGAGCTAGGAATGGCGGTGTTGGTGGGTGTTTAGGAAGTGTCGCCGACGCAGAAGAGCTCTATCTCTCCAACGCCGCCAGAGTACATGTTCTTCATGCCCTCGCGCCACTCCATAAAGGCAATCTGGATGTCGTCGTCGCTCTCGATCGTGACGAAATCACCATCCTCGTCACGATACCGCAGTTTGAGCATTCCCTTGCCGATGCTACTATTGGTAAACCGCGCAAGCTTGGCATCGATGCGGTCGATCAAGGACTGGTACGTAATGTTGAAAGGTACCACGAGAGTAACATAGTTGCCCGTCTGGCAATTGACTCTCACTTTGAGTTGAGTGGGCAGGGGTAGGTCAGGAGTGGGTGGCGGTGCGGCCATGGCTGGCGGTGCTCCAATACCCACCGCAGGAGACGCAGTTCGGGAGTTAGCAGTGCCTGGGTCGACTCGCAGCGGGTTCCCATTTTGGCTGGGAGTGTTTCCACGGGGGTAGACGGGCTGCGTCGGGAACTGGGCCATGGTGCCTCCAAGGCTGCCCGAGTGTTGGTGCATCCGCTCTCGCTGGGCGCCGGGGCTGTTCGTGTGGGATCGCATCGGCGCGTCGTTTCTTGGAGATCCAGTTTGAGCTCTGGGGACGTGGCTGTCGTGGCCTGGATGCAGATGTTGTGGTATTCCGGGGACAGCCGGAATGTTACCTTGACTCGGCTGTCGGGTTCGGGGCATGCCAGGGACGTTGATGTCTGGAGTGCTGTACGACCTGCTCCTCTGCTGTTGGGCGGCCGTCTGGCTCTGAGAAGCCATTGCGGGAAGCGACGGGCCCCTGGGGTTTCGCCCGTTCATAACATGGGGGTTGGGGGAGCTACCATCACGCGAGGGGGCGCGAGGCATAGCAGGGGCAGTGTATCGGTTGCTGTCCTCCCACACCGGTTGCGGGGTGCCTGTCTTGGAGAAGCCGTAGTTAGGCGTAGAGAACATTCCACTGGCAGTGCTGGTTCTAGACGACGCCGGCGATTCCGCCACTGGGGAAAAGTAGCTGTCGCCGGCCCAGGCCCCAGGTGAGTAAGCGCCCGTGTTCGGGGTCTGGAGACTGAGCGGTGCCGGTGGCGCTGGCATGGGGAATCGTGACGGTGCGCCGCGGATCATGCCAGCCAAAGACAGCGTGCTCTCTCCGGTCCCCGCCCTTTGTCTCAGGTTGTTGTTGGAAGCGGTTCGTGGCATAGTGCCCGCGATTGAGTGGGTGGTAGGCATGGGAAACTGCGGAGGGGCCGTCGCCGGTCCGTAGTCGTCATCGTCCTCCTCCTCCTCTGCTTGGAGATACGGGTTCTCCAAGCCGCCAGCGTGGTCTCTGGTCCAAGCGAAGTCGGGCGCTGCGTTTTCGCCCATGAGCGAAGTGCGCGGCGCATTGTCCTTCCTCTGAACCTCAAGCCCAGCGGCCCATCTCTTCATCATATCCTCTTGTGTAAACTTGATGGTGAAGTTCTCAACACCGGGATCGCCCTTCCACCAGATTTGGACACTGTGAGAACCTACTTTGGGTCAGCAAATGCCACCACCATCCGGATGCGGATAGGTCACTTACCGGGCTTCGAAAGGGACACAATATCAGTCACGTTAGTCATGAAAATTCTGCCCTTGAGTTGAAGTCTAGCATTCCGGTTCCGGACTTTGGGCCCTTGTGACCTCGTCTTGTCCTTCTTATCCTTGCTCTTGTTTGGGGAAATTTCCTTGCAGCAGAGAAGGATGCATTCGAACAGGTAAATCTCGTACTGGCGAATTGGTTAGCGGGCATGCTCGGGTCTTGGAATGGGTCACGCACGTCTTTCTCCTGATCGTTCTTTCCAGTGATGACACCGTAGACGCCGTGCATGAGAAGCTTGCCAAACTGCTCCACCTTGTGGCTCTTCCAGTCGTCCACTCGGCTGACAAGATCGTCCAGGGCTTCATCAAGTAGAGCCCTGTTGACAGCGTCGTTGGCCTTGTGCAATACTCGCTCCGCAGCTTCGCAGCCAGCCATCAGATCGGCCTTGACTTCCTCATCCTCGCTCTTCTTGTTCAAGTCCTACGGCAAAGTTAGCTCGCCGACCTCAAAACTCGTATCCGAGCCCACATACCTTGAGCAAGAGCGGGTATTTCACCAATCGCTGCATGGGCTTCAGCAAGAAACCGTCCAATGTGTTGAAGTCGGCCGCAACTGGGTGCTCTGATTGTTGGATCTTATCGAAGGACTGATTGGCAATCTGAGCCGCCTTGCGCTGGTTCGCGATAAAGGGCTGGTAAATATCAAAGGCATCCTCGTACATGACGAAGGGCGATCCCCATTGCTGGTTCGCGGAGGGCATCGAGTTGGTCGTCTCGACGCGGATCAGGAAACGGCGCTGGAAATCGAGGATCGCGTTGATGTTGAGGAAAATCTGATGCACACTGTCGCCAGGGATGGCGCCCGTCTCCTCCAGCGTCCTCTTGAGATCGTGTAGGTTTTCCAAGTCCTGGACGTATTTGCGTTCGGTATCGACTAGCTCCTTGACGATATGATCTCGGTAGGTCATCGTTGAGCCCGCACCAGGGACTGCGGCTTCATCTTCGGGGTATGGTTGCAGTTGCAGGAGGTAGCCGCGTTGCTCGGCGAGGTCGAGCACATAGTTGACGACTTGGGTTACCTATGCCGGGGGTTAGCAAATGTCAAGAGCGCAATTGATTTCGGAATCGCTCAGTGCGCAACATAAGCATAGTGTCCAACAAACCTTGACGAAACCACTAGTATCATTGCCCATCAAGTCAGTAATGACGAAGCTCTCGGTGGGAGGGACCTTGAGCTCTTTCATGCAGGCCTGGACGAATTTGAAAATCGCAATCTTTGACTTCTTAGCCTCGTTGGCGCTGGCATCCTCGACCTTGAGCTCAGTGGCGGGCTGCAAAGAGTTGTAGATAGCGAGGAGGGGGTATCCGGTGCGGAAGAGGTTCCACAGGGGATCGACGGGGTCGTTGGGGTCGAGCTGCTCTAGGTAGGGGTCAAAGCCAGGAACCTGAGCGAGGCGCTGCTTGAGGGAAATGCAGATCTGGTAGAGGGACCGCGAAGCATCGGCCTTTTGGTTGATAATATTCGCGGTCGCTGTGACGGGGCCGCCATTCGTGATGGTAGTGCCGCTACCGAGCGAGCTCAAGGACGCGGTAGAGCCGGCCATGGCTGTCGAGCCGGAGAGTTGGCTGGCGCGCGGCGCATGGCTCATGCTGAGCTGTGGCAGGCCGCCGAATCCGTTGGAGTTTTGGAAGACCGGGGCCGTATTTGTTCGTAGTAGCGGGGCATGTGCCATCGCCTTTACTCCATCCGCCGTGGTGGTGGTCAGAGGAGAGGTGGACAAGCCGTCAGGCGGAGGGGATAAGGAGAGGGACCGTGGCTGCTGATGCCGAAATCGACGTTGGTCGAGGAATCAGATGTCGTATCGAAGGAGTCTTTCAATCTCGCTTGGCGTCGACTCGAGAACGGTTTAATATCCGTCGGGCTTCATACGGCGGTGAATGTCGAGGCGGGATCCCCTCTCGTGGGAGGAGAGTCACTTGGGAGGTGGCTGGACGGTGGAGCTGCGGTCACGTCAGGACCCGGGCGGCGCAGGCCAAACGAAGGTCGAGAGAAGGAGGCGTGCTGGGTATCTGTATTGAAGTCGTCGCAAGGATCGCAATAGTCGTCGTCGTCGTCGTCGCGTCGTGTCGTGTCGTGTCGTCGGCAGCGGCAACGGCAGCGATGGGCAGCGTGGGCGTGGTTGAGATTGCCGTCCCGGTCTGGCGGTGGAGCGGCTCGAGGGAGGGCAGCGGATCCGATAGGCGCCAACAGCGGCGGCGATGCAGATTGAAGCTGGGTCGGGAACCAGAGGAGACGTGCCGTAGAGCGGGTGGCAGAGGGTGGAAATCTCGTGGTCGGCGGTGGGATTAATTAAGAGGAGAGTCCTGGTCGCGACGGTGGACTCCTGAAAGCCGTGGTCGGGAGGGGACAAGGCTGATGGCGGAGGCGGCGGTCGGGAGAAGGAGGGTTTGGTGAGTGGGAGAGAGAGAGAGGAGAGTGGGCGGCAGCAGCACCGGACTGCAGGTACTGCTTGCTTGGCTTGGTACGGAGCGCAGTACGTCGGTACCTAAGTTACTTGGGAGCGGTGCGTCGGCCCTTGGTACGCCAGTGAAGTTAGGCGGGCAGCAATCAGCATAGCGGGGGTTTGGGTACTTGCGCCGGCCGTACTGTGCTGGGTTCCCGCGAGAGAGGCTGGGAGGGGTTAATTCTTTTTCGGGGGTCGTGATTCCCGAGTCCGCACGGGACGCGGCAGACGACGAGACGAAACAGTCATGACGATGCACGGGATGGAGAAGATTCCACGGGGTCCGCTGTCGCAATCGGGTCCGCCATGGGATCTACATAGCTGCACTGTCTGAGGCAGGTCTCTCTCCCGTCCTCGTTGTCTTGGGTTCCGGATGCTGTCTCGCCCAACTATCAGATCGAGAGTGGTCCAGCTGCAGGCCACCAGCTCCAGGGCTGCTCGGTGGCTTCAGCGCTTGCCCCAGAGCGGGCAACAGCTGGCGCGCCCGCTGAAGGCGTTCCGGGGCTCCCACCTGGGGCAGTTTCGCTGAAGGTGTGCTGCCGCGACGATCCAAGACGATGGCCCTCGGGTACCTATGACTCAAGTACCTTAGGTCCCATGGTACGTGCGTCCTTGGGCATTGACTGCGAGATGGATAATACTTGTCTGTTTCAAATTAGGGGATACCTTCTATACCCCATACGGCCTAGTCCCGCGTCGCCTCCGCGGTGGCCGTGTGGATCCCCAGAATGGCTCTCTCTCGCCTGTCGTCTCCCATTGATGAGCCAGCTCCAGGCGGGCTCCAGACGGGCTCCAGACAGGCGGAAGGGCCCTACCGTTGGCAACTTGGCAGATGCTAGCCCTCCAGGCCGGTGCGCCAGCGCTGGCCGAGGGCTCAATGCTCAGGATTGCCATGCACGCGATTCATGGGCTGGGTGTCTGTTCAGGGCGCACGAGGCAGGGCCAGCGGGTAGGGGGCGGCGGCTGGATGGGTGAATGGGTGAATGGGTGGATGCATCATGGCTTAAAGGGCTTGCAGCCGCTTTGGGGTGGCGGAAGTGCAGGCTAGCACCGGCGGCGGTACAGAAGCAAGTTCATGTGGTGTTTGTCGTCGTCCTCCGCGCTTCGTATGCAGTGTGCAGTTGTGGTGGGCTTCGAGGCCGCGAATGGGGGGCCAGATGACCAGAAGGGCATGAATTTGCCTGGCGCGGATTTGTGCGAGAGGGATCCAAGCATGCATCCCTCGTCAGACAAGCAACCAAAACGTACGCATGTCTTGTATGTACGGATGCGTCCGTCCTGAGGCGTGCATGGAGGATGCATCCCGGAGTAATTTACTCACTCCTCTTTCCTTTTTGGATGCTTCCTTTCTTCTTCTTCTCTTCCTTCTAGTGTGGATTGTGTCAAATATACACCTCGCGTGTGCTCTTGATGGGCTGATGCGTCTTGTCCTCATCTGCTGCCGCGAAACTCCGCACGTGATTCTCTCTCCTCGGTTGACCGCTTCTGCTGGTTTGGCTCTTTTGACTCTTCTAAATCTTCGCAGTTCCCTCGTTCTCTCTCTCTCTCTCTCTACTTCTGAGGTTCATCAACTGGGTACGGTAGCGACAGCACGTACTGGCTTCACTTTTACGTTGCCAAATTGCTTATCTCCAGCTAGCTCAGCGGGTCTACCCATCCCATAGCTATGCTAACCATGCTAGCCGTCTTGGCTCCCACGCCACGCTTCATGCCCCGTGCACCACGAGCAGGAGGAGAGTCGTGTCCAGCAGCTGCTTGCTTGCTCTGCTTCCATCTGCCTGTGGGTTAACCACAGCCATCACCACATGGCAGATGGGCCACTGCACTGTACGTCAAGAGAGGGGCACGCACACACGATGCACACAATGCGCGACCCCCTCTTGGACCCTCGTTGAGCCCCGACACGGATACCCCTGAATGACACTCCGACAGTCGTGGTCTGTGTCGATAAACCCTTCCGTCCCCTTCCCCTCCCGAGCGACAACTACCCAGTCAGATGCGCATTATCAAGGTCACAGAAACACGACAAAGTCCGTTCTATACATAATCAGCCTATCAGCCGGCGACATACATAGCACAGCGCGTAAATAGCTGTCTCACCAAGGTCGCTATCCGCCGGGCAAAGGGCGTTGTCGGATTCGTTGCCCGATCTCGTCTGCTCTGTCAGCCTCCAAAGTGCAACGCTCCTCGTTTATGCGCAGCGACGCGTGGTGGCGGTTAACAATAATCTCCATGCCCAATCACCAGGCCCGAGCCCGAGCCAGCTACTGCCCTCATCCCCTTCCCTCGTCCTGGCAGGGTCATCAGATCGGGTGGCTCATGCTCAGCCCGCAAGCCCGCAAATCCGCAACCCACAGCTCCCATTCCCATTCCCGTCCCGCGCGCGCCCACCGGACAGATACATATTACATCTCCAACTCGCTTGGCGCGGCGCGGGACTCCCGTTAATTCTCCCACGGGCTTGGCCTGCGGGATAGAACCCTTTGGCAGAACCCTACAAGAGGTCAAAGAGCTGAGAGCTGAGAGCTCCCCCTCCCACTTGCCGGTACGCACTTCACACCCACATGCCTACGTATGTCGCACAAGACACATGCAACGATCAGCGCCGGCGCCGCAGCGGGTGGGCTTGTGCGCATGACAACCCGGCCACTGGAATCCCCTGACATCATCTCAGGGGGTGGGCGACTGTTGCCCCAAAGAAGGTTTCATGGAACCTTCGATGCAGGGCGCCGTCGTCGTTGACTCGTCGTTGGCCATCTTTTGCTGCTTGGCCTCTGGCGCCCCCCACCACAACAGCTTCCAGCTGCCAGTTCAGTCAAGTTCCATGCACCACACACATCGACGGCGCTGAAACACTCGGCTCCATGCACAGGCCGCCGAGAATGACACTGGCTTGGCCATGGGTGGAGGCCAGAGACTGCGTCCTGTGTAGACAGAATGACAAACAGATAGGTAGCCAGACAGATAGCCAGACAGATAGCCAGACAGAGTCTAGACCCTCAGTACATCGGAAAGGGGCTCGTCCGGCGACTTCTTCAGTCCTGAACCATGCTGGGGTTGTTGCAATGCGACCAAAATGCGACCAAAGAGATATTCCGAACAAGAGCTGACCGGACATTGTTATCGGGTAATGTCGATCATCGAGCCACGTCCTGGGGTACCCAAGCCGCACTCATTCAGGTCCGTTGTAACTGGCCTGTCGTGAATCTCAATCCAAAGTGACCTGCCGAGAGAATACTACCCAATGAACAAGGATTGGAACATGGCCAGAAGGAGCCGTGGGCTCGTGGCAATCTCCAGCGTCGCATCGTGCCAACGACCCTCACCTCTCCCTGCAGTGCGACTCAACCATGACTGCCACTCGCCACTAGACCCTCCCTCTTAATTGTTTTTTTTTTTCAACGAGGGGATTTTGGCCACACTGTTTGTCGATCGGGGGGGGTTTTTTCTCACTTTCAGCTGGTATCTCACCAACACTGAGTCGGACTATGACTTGAGCGTCATGCACTTGAGTCAGAACCCTAGGGTTTACATACAATGGAGAAGAGGCGTAAACGCAAATTTAGACCAGTGTTCATGGAGCTTCTGCAAAGGCGAAAAGAAGCCATGTAGAGGTTCGCGACGAACCACTAGCTGTTGTCCATCCCAAGCGCCCAACAGGTTCTCAGCTGCGGCCAACTGCTCTTCCCAACAACGTCTGCGCCGATGTATCCCACCTCAATACGCCTAACGCAACCACGTATTGCTTTTTTGCTTATCATCCACTGCTCCGTCGAAGGCAAAATATGTCAGGAGTTAATTAACCCCACGGTCCAGTGTATGTATCTATTGGAAACCGCCACTTGTCACTGCAGATGAACAAATTGATCATACCCCACGCATGTTCCCCACCAGTTGTTGACCATTTGGTGTCTCGTCCACGACTGTGGAATACCATCCTTTGTCTGGCCAACTTTGGCGCCATTCGCTCAGAAGTTGGCGGCTGTATTGTGGGTGTTTCATCTGTACCATCAAGGTTTTGGCGTTATTCAGATAAACGCAGCTGAATGAAGGTTCAAGATGAATAGACCTTGGCATGCTTGTGAACAATGCCATCGGGGCGCCAGAGAAATCCAGCAATGCCACAGAGCATAGAGAATGGTTGCAGCCAGTGTCCCAGTCTACACACGGTTTTCTCGGGGATCAGGGCATGAACAATAGCATATACACCATCTGTAATACAAACCATATGTACAGTGATACTCTTTCCGGTACCCTGTACAAGAGCTGGTCAGCAAACTTGTATTCTTCTAAACTCTCTACGCCGCTTAGAGGATCGACGATGTGACAGCACATGCCACAAATCACGATCGAGATTTCAATCCCAAGGAGGGGATGGTGTGGCCCATTACGTCGCACTTTATAGGAAATGTCATCAAGCTGCAAAGTCTATTGTCCCAACAGTGCCAGCATTGCGACGAACGCCATCACTGTATCATTCTCCGGATCCTCTTCTCAGAGTACCTCAGTATATTTTTTTTGGCATGTTTCCATCAATTGTAAGGATTCTAGAGAGGCCATCTAAACCCGAGACGATTACTTCAATTCCTCCCGCGTATTATCTACACATATGTCCCAATTGCACTGGACTTCCTTCAGCCGCCCCCGTTCTTTACTCTTGCACTCAACTTCGAGATCGCCGCTTAGTCGAGATAATTACGAGATGCGTGGATGATGGTTTTCTAATCCAAGGGATAGTATTCCCTGGACTCTGTAGCGCGACCTCAAGTGTACCTTGAAAGTAAAGTCACATTCGGAGTTGAAGACAAACGTTGTAGTCGGATCCATCCTTATGTTTCTGAGAATCCCGTCACAATATGTTGAGTACTACAGGCCACGCCTTGATATGAAGCAAATCTCTAAAGTCAATCCGAACGGCAGCACAAAATGCCGTTTCCCATGTGGTCTCGATGTTACCTCAGACGGAGCACTCTAGGTGCCGGTAGCATCCAAAACAGCTCTGAATGTTTTCAAGCATTTCCCCGATTGGCAGGGTAAAATATTATTCGTGCGACATAACCGCGTTAGCCAGATGTGTAGAGACGGGATCGGCGCGGCCGCGTTTTATTTCATGTTCCATCAAGGCGTGTTCCGACAGCGCGTGGTTCATACATGCATAAATGACGTTTGACCATGCCGGTTTGGTTTGGATACATACCAAACGAGTAACAGAACATGTTCAGGAGGGAGTGTTGTATCAAACCAACCAGACAAGACTAGGAAGAATGGTCGCTTACGAATCGTACCTCTCCGACTTCAATGCCCTTCTCGTCCTTGATGCCAGGATTGCCGTTGTTAATGGCGGTCTGTCTTGCTACCAGTAATAAATAGTCATCCCTGCATCCCCACCTTGGTCTTACAAGCAAGAAGTATAAAGAGAGCACAGACACAGAGCAGAGCCTATCTATGGAGTTTCATTGTTACCATTCATTATTACCAGTAGCATTGCGAGTGGGTTAGTTATTATATAGATGGTTCTCTGGCTATTATTAGAGCCAATGTTGCCAGGTGCAGCAGAGATCCCGTGAGATGTAACTTAGATCTGTGTCGGAAGACTTCACTCGAGCTGGGCCGCTCATTAATACGGTTTGGAATTTGTTAAAGTGATGAGTGACAAGTTCCTTGCAGTGTACAGACATGTTTCTGATTTATGTGCAGAGAGCGTGAATTGTTATGAAAGAAATCAGGCACCAACACCCTGCGTTTACTTGAACGTGTCGCCTACGCAACGCTCGGCTGTTACTTTGTCACAAATCACATATCACAATGGTACGCTTTCATTTTGGCCTAAACGAAAAGAAGGACTTAGCTACGTTTTATTTGCTCGCATTTTAGTAATGCATTTATGCTAAAAGGAAACGCCAACGTAGCTTGGATGAAGTCCCTCGTCTGAAGGCGTGGACAGTTACCAATTCTCCTACCCGGGACCGCGACCATATCAAATCCCACCACCCGCCTCCAGCGGTCTTAGGGGACGACGAGCCACTGGCGCCGCCTCCCGCCGTCAGCGGCATGGGCTTGTCTGGGGGTCATCTCCACAGCTTTACGGCGCAGCCAACATCGCCCCAGGGCTGGTCTAGCGGCCCCTCAGCCGCCTGGGCCGCCTGGGAGTTGCCGACCGCGAACCCTACCAGAATTGGCAGTGGACTCGTACTACTGTGTACATGCAGGGCTGCGACGACAGGGAGTCGCTTATTAGATAGATCTTGTCCGTATCTGCGCGAATCCGTGATTCTGTCTAATTTAGTTTGCCTTTGCAGGAGTATTACGGAGTACTGGGCATAAAGTTCTCAGGTGCTTGCAATTTCGTATCTCGAGCGAGTGCCCGCGGCAATGGTTGCTCTCCCAGGTCGCGTGCATATTTTTTGGTAACTTACAGTACGGGCGCAGCCGTAAAATAGCGGTAACAGCCTCCCGCCCGCACCTACGGCCGGCTATTCCTTTGTCCTTTTCCAGGCTGCCAACCGCGCGCTAACTAAAAAGCCGACATACCGCAAAGTGCACACAGCGCCCAGGCCAGGCCAGTAGGCAAGGCTAAGCCAATCTTATCAGCCAACAGAGCCTCCCATGTCTCTAGGCTCCATCGGGATCCATCCATCCAGGCCTGAACCAAACCAAACCTCCATCCGTTGGTTGTGTCACGCTTGTTGACCCTCCGGCTCCGTCTTCGCAAACCGCTCCTCCTTTCTCGCCATCCCGGTCGCGTCTCTCGTCGTCCTCGTCCATAAAGCCCCCGTGGATGCGACTCGCTGGGCTCGACGACGCCTCCGCCTCCCCCGTGTTTCCGCCCTGTTCTGTCGTGACACCGACTTCGTGAACCCACTTGACTCGATTCGAATCCGGACGACACACGCCCTCACTTTCCGACCTCTGGCAGTCCCCTGCTGCCGGCCATTCCGCTTCTCCCACAGCTGTGAGCTGCGAGCATTGTTTCGTCTACAGGGGCCGCGAGCCTCGCAACCATGTCCAAGAAGGACACCCTTCCCCCGATGGACCCCTTCTCGCCCGCCCATCAAACCGACGAGGGCTACTCCGAGGACCCTCTCAACCCATCCGTCAACCACGACCTCCCAGCGGCCCTGGCCAGCTTGAGATCTCCCGCCGATCTCCCAGCATGGCTCGCCGCCAACATCTCTCTGCTACCCGTTCAAACTCGGACTGGTACGTTGCTTGGCTGCTTGGTGCCCCGCAAACCGGATCATGACTGACCTCCCCGCAGAGTTGACGATGTCCCTTCTCGACCAACTTCCTACCTCTGTCATCGCAGAAATCGTCCAGCGACTAAATCCTAGACTATACATCGACTTCATCCGATATCTCCCCGCTGAGATCTGCCTCAAAATCCTCAGTTACCTCGATCCCGTCTCCTTGGTCAGTGTTACACAGACTTGTCGCGCCTGGTTCGATTTGGCCTTGGATCGAAAGCTATGGGAGACTCTCTATCATCTGGAGGGCTGGAAAGCCGTCTATAGCGAAATTGATAGCTGCGAAGTCAAGGTCAACAATGGCCTGAGCGTGTCGATCCGCCAACTGCACCGTTTGCAGTCGGTGCAAGACGCCCATCCAAACAAGATCCGTGCCATCGTTAACGGGGAGGAGGACCTTGAGATGACTGATGGCGACCGCTCACTTAGCTTTAGCGAGAGTTTTGCTGGTGGAAGCATCTTCGGTAGCCCCTCATCATCCTTTGCGTCAAATCGACCAGTCATCCTACCGTTGGGAGAGATGGATCTCGACGGCGCCAGCTCTAAAGGCAAAAGCGTCGACTGGAACCACTCATCATCTTCTGACGGCAAAGGGAAGCGCAAGGAACCAGGCGGCGAGGCTGATTTGACCCCTCCTCCAACGTCCACCGCCGAAGCCTTGGGCACCATGCCCCCGTCGTCGCTCTGGATCTGGGACGTCAATAGTGCCCGGTATCGAATTAATTGGAGATACCTGTACACCATGCGACGTCGACTCGAGTCCAACTGGGAACTGGGTAAGTACTCGACATTTCAGTTCCCCCATCCGAGTTACCCGGAAGAGGGACACCAAGAGTGCGTGTACACCCTCCAGTTCGACAACGACTATCTTGTCAGTGGTAGTCGTGATCAGAGCATGAGGATTTGGGACGTCCACACTCGTCGGTTGGTTCGACCGCCGCTGACAGGTCACATGGGTTCTGTGCTTTGCCTTCAGTTTGATGCCCACCCAGACGAGGACCTGCTTGTTTCGGGCAGCAGTGATTCTAACGTCTTCATCTGGAAGTTCTCAACTGGTGAGCTGATCCAAAAACTAACGAGGGCCCACCGTGAGTCGGTGCTGAATGTCCGCTTCGACAATCGGATCCTCGTTACATCGTCCAAGGACAAGACAATCAAGATCTTCAACCGCCACCCGTTGCGACACGGTGATTTGGGCTATGGTGGACATGAGCTTGTCAATCCCGTACCCACGAACCTGCGACGATACGGCTACGAACCGGACCTCGCTCAAGAGCTCCCCATTAAGCCGGCCTTCTCGCTTATTGGCCGTCTAGACGGACATAGTGCAGCTGTCAACGCCATCCAGGTGCGTGACCGAACCATTGTTTCTGTGTCAGGGGACCGGCACATTAAGGTCTGGAATTGGCCTGAGCAGGTCTGCACCCAGACTATCCCCGCACACGATAAGGGAATCGCGTGCGTCGAATTCGACGGAAGGAGGATAGTCAGCGGTAGCAGCGATTTTGAAGTTTGCATCTTTGATGCCCCGACAGGTCTCAAGGTTGCACAACTGAGAGGACACGCTCACCTGGTCCGAACAGTCCAGGCAGGCTTTGGCGATCTGCCTTACAGCAAGTACGAGGATGAAGCAGAAGCCAAGGCAGTAGATGCCGAGTACTTCCGAGCCGTTGAGGCTGGAGAAATTGATCACAATCTCGAACGAAGACGCCGCCGCGGTCGTAGGGCGAATGCCGGCAGCTCGCGACCTGAGGATCTCCAGGCATTTGGGGCTAAGGTTCCCCCTGGAGGTGGAGGTGGGAGGAAGTACGGTCGCATCGTGTCTGGGTCATACGACCAGAGCATTATTGTCTGGAGGCGTGACAAAGAAGGTGTCTGGAAGCCTGCTCATCACCTCCGCCAAGAAGAGGCTGCTGCCGCCGCCCAGCGCGATGTTGCTGCTGCAACGACAGCCCTCTTAGCAGCCCCTGGAGCTGCTCAAGGTCGTCCACCTGTTCGAATGCCAAATTCCAATAACATCCCTGGAGGACCGGTGCTTCTTCAACCCGGTGGATCTTCCGCTGCCCCAGCCTCCCTACGCGATCAACACGGAGATGGCTACCGCATCGCTGGCTCGTACAAGGACCTTATTGACCAGGTTGTGCCTCTGGGTGTCGTCGCCCTGAGGCAAGCAATGGCCATGTATCCCGTTATTCTGGCCCACCATACATATCTACAGTCGACCATCGAACGCGAACTGTCACCTTTCGTTCGAGCACAGCTCAGGAAGGCGGTAACAGATGCCTTGATTGCTATTCAACTCAACCAGGTAGCTCGGCAGCGGGCAGCGCAAGCGGCTCAAGGAACCTCAGGGACCCAAGGGACCCAAGGGACTCAAGGAGCTCCAGCTCACGCTGCACAGGGTGCGGCGGCCGTCGCCGGACCAAGTGTCCCTGCACCAGGTACTCCCGTTCATCCCTCTGCCATCCCGCGTGCAGCAACCGTCCCTCCCATGGGAGCAAACGCTCAATTTCAACTACCTCCCATTATCCAACCCGCCGTTGCTCAGCCTCCCGTTGTTGCCAATATGCAACCCCAAGGCGCACCTCCTGCTGCACCACCTCAGGGGGCCCAGGCGCAGAACCCAGCGCAAGCGGCCGCGCAACAAGGGGCGCATCACCACCCGCACATCGCGGCAGCCGAGAATGCGCCTGCTCGAGTCTTCAAGCTCCAATTTGACGCGCGAAAGATTGTCTGCTGTAGTCAGGCACCTGTCATCGTGGGTTGGGACTTCTGTAACAAAGATCCCGAATTGGAGGAGGCGGTGCGGTTCTTCGCCACGGTGGACTGAGAGACTGTCCTGGCACGGGAGGCAACACCTATATCTCTGGTTGACAACGGCACCGAGAATAGGGTGAGGATTTGGTTTAGCGATGGAGTTTCGATTCGTTTCAATATTAAGGGACCATCATCAAATGCGATGGGTGTTTGGTTGCTGTAAAAAAGACTTGTATCACATATCAACCTGGTAAACATTGACATAAGTCATGTGTACGGCATAGGACAAACCGATTCCCTGGATGGGGAGTATGGTCGCATGGAACAAACAAAATGCTATCAATATGAATATAACGATTTTTTTCTTGCCATGCTAATCCGATACTCCTTAACTGATAAAATGTGGTATGCCCGTGAGCCAATAATTATCCAACCAACGCCTCGTCGCCGCCCGTTAATGCGTCTTCTCCGTATATTTCCAGTCCTTTAGCTCCCCGATCATCCGGCAACCTGCTTCATCTTGGCCTCGGTCTCTGGCGGCTCATCGACAAAGTCGGGCACGACCTCGTCCTGGAGGAAGCCGGGGACGGCACCACCAAATTCGGCGTCCATCTCAACCTCCATGCCCAAGGCCTCTAGTTCAGCGTCCAGCTCGGTCTCGTCGACCTCGTCGGGGATGTCGTAGCCCCGGGACAGGCTCTCTTGGATCTCGTTGCCAACGTCCAGGAGATCGGCCATGTCGTCCTGCAGGCGCTCAATCTTGTCAATGTCAATCTTGCCGTACTGCCGGCGCAGCTCCTTGTTGGTGGTCTTCATGGCGTCGACCTGGGTCATGACGTTCTTGAGGTTGTCCTGCATGCTCTGGGCCTGCTCCATGTTCCAGACCTGGCTCTCGAGCTTCTCCTTCTCGGCCTCGTAGGCCTTGCGGCGCTGCAGCACCTTGAGGGCCTTTTGCTTCATGGCCTGCTTGCCGGGGCCGTCGCGCATGCGGGACAGCTTCTCCTGGTAGGCGCCCAGCTCGCCGTTGAGGGCCTTGAGCTTGGTGTCGAGCGAGGCGATGCGCGTGTCGAGGTTGCCGATGGCGCCGTTGAGGGTGGGTTTGGGGCCCGCGGGCTTGGAGCCGAAGAGACGGTTCATGGTGGGCGGGTGTTTCGACAACAAGGGGTTGGTTGGTAGTGAGGGGAGGTTATCGAAGTAGAATGGTTGCGGGTAACTTGGAATCTCGAAGCCTGGAATATCGGCGCCTGGTGGGGGATGACGTTTCGCAGGTGACGAGGCTCAAGCCAGCCACCATGGAACTCGGCGGGGCAAGTACCTAGGTACAGGGCAGCACCCCACTCTTCTGTATTGGTCGAGCTACTTGGACGACCTGGATGACTAAGCTCGCACCCTTGTCCGTTGCGTTGGGCGAGACTCACCTTATTCTCACTTTCAGCAGCGGAATGATTGGCTACGGAGCGGCAGTGTCGTAACGGCCGCTGGAAGAACGACCGCATTTCGATTCGATGTTAATCGAGGATCAATGGCTTTGTTTTGGCGAGGCCGTGTCCAGCTGCCAGCATTGGACTGGTCATACCGCCTTGCTTCGTGCCGAGAGTGGGCTCTCGCCTGGTGTAAGCCAAGGGCGAGACCCTGGCATGGAGCCACTGTTGATTTACGTTCACAACCACGGCAGCTGCAGACTGAACGAGGATTTTGGGTGGGAATTTCCTTTCTCTAGTCTTGATGCCTTGCTATTGTGCGTTGCTCCGCTACGTGAAATATCGAAGTGACTGGAATGTTGATGTGACACTCAAGCATTGTAAACACCGCCGTTTGCTCTCCAGCAGACATCCGAACTCTATTGTCTTGGGACCAAAGCCGTTTTCTAGTTTGCTCACCGTTAAACCGTCAAATCATCAACCCCCCAGCTCATCTTTACACGCCCCGCGGTAATAAACAAGTGTAGAGGGCGTTTGCGCCGACCCAGTGGAGCCCAAGGACCCCACGTGACCCACGCCGTTGTTTGGCGCACCTCGACGCGTCGCAAAGATTCTAGCACCCACGCCCACTTTGGCCCCGGCAACTTCTTCTACAACACACCACAGTAGAGCAAATCGACCACTTCTCGTCACCGCGACTTTTCGATCTCGCCACTGTGGTTTCCTGCACTTTGTACAGCTTCACGAAGCTTTGCACCCCATTTTCCGATCCGACTTGACTCGTTGCCCCGTACTGTGGCGCTTTGTTTACTTTCGCCCGTCTCTCGCCCCAATCCGTCGCGATGGCAGAGACGGATGCCCCCAACTGGGGCTTTGGCTTACCACCCATGAACATGTAAGAACCTCGCGCTATTGACGTGATATATATTCAGATTGCGATGTACTGACATATCTCGCCCCAGTAACCCCGTTGGAACGTCCTTCGTCACCCACTTTCAGACTTGCGACGCCACCGAGATGCCCTCTTTGAACACCGCCGATACAAACACCATGTACGCTTGGTTTGGATGCCCGTTGTATGGCCTTACATGTGTTAATAATATTGGAATAGGTCCTGGAACGCGAATTTCGCCATCCCCGTCCCTCATACCCGACTCCCCGCGTGGTCCCGCGTCGCGATTCAACCTCATGCCTCTACCAGCTTTACTGGTCCTATTATGAAGCGCGTTGGTCTCTGCGCCCGACGACCTATGATGAACGCACACACCGCTGCGCAGACCCAAACATTTGTCAAGCCTGTACCTGAGCCCGAAACCCGCGAGGTGGAGACTCGTAACATCCGGAGACGACTCGAGAAGTACCAGCCTGCCCAGGAGGAGGCTCAGTTTGAGGGCCGACCTTCCTCGCGAGCACAGGTGGCTGCTATGATTATGCAGGCCAAGGGTACGATTTTGGCGAGTTGCCTGTTTTCACGCAAGAGCTAACCTGCGCTAGTTGACACTTCCAACAACTTCATGCTTTACTCATCCTCGACCTCTTGGGAGGACAAGAAGCAGTGCCGACGCGGTACCTACGTCCAAGTCACCCCAGTCAAGCGATATGCCGGCTCCGACATGCCCAAGGGTATCGACCCTGTTGGCGGCAACAAGTTCAACATTTACAACGAAGTGATGCCAATCATCATCCGCGCCTTGAAGAAGGGTATGGACGAGGTGGACTACACCACTGCCTCCATTGCCGAGACTTCTTCCATCATGCTCGACATTCGCAGAGATCCTCGACGACATGTGGCCGCACGAGGTGTTCCAGACCTGTCTGATATTGCCGATGTGACGGAGCCTCTAAGCCCTCACATGATTAAACCCCCCACCCTCAAGGCCGAGTCGCGATCCCCTCGAAAGCGAATTGCCCGACTCACAAGCCCCATCAAGAATGGACTCCACCGTATTACCAGCAGCATTGTCAAGCTGGTCCCTAGCGCTAGCCCCAAGGCTGAGCCTTCTCCTACCAAGTCGGCATCTGCGCCATCTACTCCCCTCAGGCTGTCTCCCACCCCCACGAAGCATGCCATTACTCCAGCTGGCAACTCTAGCCCCTTGTCGCGATTGTGGCATACCGCGCCCCAAAACCTCTCGATTGAAGAGTCACCCGCCCGTCCTGGTCGCGTTTTCCGAGCACCATCTTATGCCGACTCATCCTCCCTCACCAACCAAACGAGCAATGCCTCACTCTCTGCTGAGGAGTTCTCTCCGGTCAAGTTCTCCCGGCCTGTGGCACCTACTCCCTCTCGATGGAACCGCCCTGAGCCAGCCACCCCTCAGGCCCTTACACCGATGCCCATCAAGTGGACTCCTGGTCGGAGCGACAGCCCTATCGGCTTGGCCGCTCTTATTCCCCCATCCACTCCCCAAATGCCAAAGTGCACCTTCAAGGTTGAGACACCCACCAATGCCGAGTTCCACTTCGGCGAGGTGTCTGCCTCGTTTAATTCTCCTTCTTGGATGAACGCCTCTACCAAGGCCAGTGAGCCTCGAAGAATCAAGACTGTCAACTCCGCCCGTCGCCGACAGAGCGAACCACTTCTGCGACAGCACTTCAAGTCGCAGGCCCGACGTAAGTCGTTGTCGCCGCGAAAGGTCAGATTCCAGGATGACGATATTGTCTGCGACAATGCCTCTATTACACCGCCCCTGCCTTTGGCATGCCCTACTGCTCCCGAGACCAACGTTCCTAAGAACGTTAGTGCTGCTGACGAGGACGTCACAATGGCCACTGCCGAGCCCATCAATGTTGAAGCCGAGCCTGAAACCGCGGTTGAAGACAAACCTGAACCTGTCCACCAACAACCCCCAACTGTTGCTGTCACTCCTGCTGAGGACACCCCAAATATCCATGCTCCCACTCTCGAACACGGCGTTTTGAACATTGACATGCGCCAGAACCCTGATATCTTCGGCGCGCAAGTCTCTTCCCCTCCCGCCCCCGTGCAGCAACTTGCTCAGTTTGCGAACGATGGATGCGCTGGCAACGCTAAGGTCGTAGTCACGCAAGAGAATAGTAGACTCTTTGTTCGGTTTAAGCTTCCGACCGACTACTCCTACATGTTCCCAGACAGCCAGGGACTCGATGAGTCTCGCTTCACGACTTCACCGTCGGCTATTTCTTCTTCGCCTAGAATCAACTTCAACAACCACCGTCAACATTCTTTCCAGCATTCTGTCATGTCTCCGGCTTGGTCGAACTTTGACAACACCCCCAACATGTCGGCCAACGCTGACCGAACGCTGGTTATGGATTGGCCTTTGAACGGTTTTGGCTCAACACAAAAGACTCCTTCGAAACGAGACATGTCCTATAGTGTTTTGGAGCAGACTCCTACTATTGCACCGGGCCTTGCACAACATGCCACCCCTTTGGCGCAGACGCCGGTGGTCAGAACTCCCGAAGTTCCCCAAATGGGCAACTCCAGCCCCCTGTTTTCCGAGCTCACTGCTTCTGCGAAGCCTACATCGCCTCTTGAGCCTACCCCTATGCGAGAGCGCATTGAAGAGACCCCTATCAAGTCTACAGACGCAAACACACCTACTCCTGCTCCCTCGACCGTGGCAAATGTCACACCTGTTCCAGCTAACAATGTCTTGGTGGCGAACGGCACTCCATCTGTGGCAACGACCCCTACAACCTCCTTTACTCCTGTCAACAAGACATCGCCGCGAATTCAAGTCACTGCACCATCTGATGATACCTCGACAACACCTGAGAAGATGACACCAGCGAAGACCACACCCGTTCCAAACAGCCCTGCAGTTCCTGCGAGCGCTCGCCAAGAAACTTTTGACGATAGCCCTGGGCGAGATTACATGAGAGACTTTATCAAGCGTTCCCGTCAGACCACAACTACAGAAACCGGCTCGCCCATGGCGCCTTCAGCGAAGCGACAACCTCTGGTGGCTAAGAGCCCCAACACTGGAAGTCCTCAGAAGAAGCGCAAGCTTGAAAAGGACGAAGAGGCTCAATCGCCGCTTAAGAAACACAAGGAGCCTAAGGAGTCTAAGGAACCCAAGGAATCCGACGAGCCCAAAGAACCAGCGGCGAAGCGTGTCCGCCGCACTGCCAAGGCCACCAAGCGGAAGGTTGACCCGGTCGTGGACAAGGCTGATGACGCCCCAACCGTCCCGGAGGTGACGGCCGAACAGGTCGACAGGAAGGATGACCAAGATGATGAGGCCGAGCTGGATGGGCCATTGACTCGACGATCTACTCGTCTACGCACCCAGACTGGAATCAGCTCGGGACCGAGATCATCGATCCCCACTGCCATCAAGCTGGGCCGATCTGGTGCTGGCCGGGCCGGCGGTGCGGTCCTAAACTCGACTGTCCGAAGTGATCAACAAGAGCTCACCGCGCAGACGCGCATGAATACGAAGAAGAATAAGGGATCTTCTGAGTATCCCGCGCAAGTTCTGGCTAGAGTTGCAGAATCTTCGCAGGGGGACGACTCGGACAATAGCTCAGATGTGCCATCAGACTCGTCTAAGGGACGAAAGTGTGTTGTATGGAAGGAGCCTCTTGAGATGGTCAAGGAGGAGAAGCCCTCAAAGGGCAAGACAGTGCCAAAAGCCAAGGCTACCCAGGGGAAGACGGGCATCGCGAAGCCCAAGACGACTTCCCAGAGCAAGCGCACGGCAAAGCTTGCAGAGAACCTGGGCATGGTGGCTAATGGTACACCTGCGCGGCCGACGCGAATGACGCGATCGAGAACTCGCTCGCAGATTTAGGTGGGGATGAGGGCACTTGGTGGCCGAGCCGAGGATGACAACGAATCACCCCAAGCTGATGAAGATGATGTTTGAGTTTTATGGTAATTGGTTCTGCATTTGACTGGCGTTGGAGGAAAGGTACACTCTGAGATGGTTGCATCAGATTGAGACGAGAGTACGAAGACTGCACATTTGCATTTGCGGCAGGCGTTGGGAGTGGTCACACGATACCACTTTAGACCGACCATGTTTGAGTTGTCGCTGGGAAACAGCGTGTTGGATTTTCATTTCTGCGAAGGCATCGCACAGGAGTTTGAGAGACGAATAGTCGGAGAGAGATGCGAGCCGGAACAGAAGGTTGCGGCATTTGCAAAGGGTCGTGAGATAGATACCCGTCCAGGTAGAGTTGGACTGATGGCGGATTCGCACATGCGGCAGTCGGCGGCCTTTAAATCTGAACCATGTTAGAAGTCTTGATCAAGTAAATGTTTCTTCTGCATTGCACGTGTTGTGGGATGGATGGGCTGGATGAGGCTCATGTCATGGCGGTATTGTGGGGATGGTGTTGCATACACAAACAAAGGAGGCTAGGCAGAGGAGGCTAGGCAGAGGAGGCTCATCAGACAAGCACAGACGGTGCAACTGAGATGGGTTACGACTACCGTGTAGAATCTGGAATAGTAGAAATATTTGCACAATTAGATGTTCCAACGCGTGTCTGGGTTCCTTGTTTTGAGCCCATGGCGTAGCTTTGAAGTGTGAGTTTAAGCTTCAGCTAGCGTGTTTCTAGGGAGCCGTATTTCAGCCTTACAAGGCGCATGGTATATATGGCGCAGACAGCTTCATGATGGGCAATAATTGAGCTTGACGGAGACATGACTACTCTGGAGATGTCTTGACTGCCTGATTCCAAGGCTTTCATGGTTATGCACACCGAAGGATTGACTCACTCACCCACTCACTCACTTGACCAAAACACCCCACGCGCCAACGCCAACTCCTCACCGGTCCCCGAGACAAAAGCCCGATGCGTTGTCTCTCTCCCCGGCGGCCTGACTCTCTCTGGCGATTTAGTCCGTCCGTCCGGCCTTGTCTCGTCTTGTCTTGTCTTGTCTCGCCTCGTCCCGTCCGCCCTGTCTCATGCCACCTCGTCTCTCGCCTCGCCCCGCCGGCCACAAGGCTGCGGGCAGCCGACACTAACTCAGTTCGTGCCCAATTGCCAACAACCCACCCCGCATCGTCATCGCCACTCCAAAGCGACGGAAGCCCGCAGCGGAAGACATCGCGGCGCATCCGCGTGTGTCTCACGCGCCCCCCGCTGCGCCGCCAGACGAAATGAAATGGAATGGAGCAGAAAAGAGCCGTGGTTTTGCCCTCTCGTCGTCGTGCCGCTGGGAGGGGGTTGCACGCAAACACGGCAGGCGGCAGGACAACACACCGCACAGCGCAGCACAGCATAGCATGCGGCGGAGCACAGCCCGGGGGAAGAGGGAAGGGGGAAGAGGGGGAAGAGCAAACCATGGTTCGTCCTTCTTCATCCAGCCTTCACGCCCGATGCTCGTCTCCCGGTCACACGGCCGCCCGTCTCATCCACGTCAAACGCCAGCCCGTCAAACCAACCCCCCCTTCGCTGCGGCCCCGTCTGCGGCCTCTTGTTCAGTCAGCTGCACCACCAGAATACTAGACAAACTGCTGGAGAACACACACACACACACGATGGCCCAACCCCCCATCGCGAAACGAACGCTCTGATACGCGACGCGCCAGCATTGGTTCGTCCCGCCAGGCCGAGCACACGCACACGCAACCCGGCCGAGCGGTGGCTGGCCCCCCCGTCGTTCCGCCGCCGAAACACGGTGGCGCACACCGGCCGCGTAGAAGACCTGAAACGCGGCCGGCGCGCGGGGACTAGAGGAATGGGTTGGAGCGGAACGGGAGGTTGTGCATATCGTCATTGTGAGGATCGATCAATTAAGTGGACTGACTATTATTGCTCGTCGTCTTGGTCAGATGTCAACTGTGAGCTGTGAGTTGTGATGCGCAGTCAGAGCCATGTCCATCCTCCCCGGGTCTAAGCTGGCTACGTCTGTCGCATCGTCCGTCAATCATCACCACTCAATCAACCCATGCGAGATGCAACCGTTCGGTTCTTCATTTGTTTGCTTCCGTGCTTGCTTCCGTGCTTGCTTCCGTGCTTGCTACCCGTCCTCTGTACCTCTGGTTCGTGGGAATCCCCGTTTCTACTGTCCGGTTCCTAGTTCCATGCAAACACCCACCACTAACATGACAGGTCATCCATCCACTCACTTCATCATGAAACCAATATACAAATAATCACACACTGCACACTGCACACCATCCGATAATTGATTTGAACTCTCTTGTCATTCAACTTGTTCTTTCTCATCTGCAAGGGCCGTCTGACCCTGATCCTCCTCGACACCAAGGCTGCCCATTCAGCCGAGGCCGGAGAGCTGTGTGTCATGGCAAACACAGCCAACGTTTCTCGTCCCCTCATCCTCCACCCGTACACAATATCCCTGTACAAACATCAACACACAACCCAGTAGAATCCTCCGGGATACACATCATGGTACAACATCTTTTGTATGTGACAGCTTCCTCCTGGCCTTGTCTTTGTTCTGTTTTGTCCAACCTGCCAGTCCGTATCCAAGCCAATCACTCAGTAGTCTTTCCCCTGTCCCTTGCCCGCGAGGTGCGTCGCACACGCCCCAAGTCTCATGCGCAACGCCAACGCACCTCCAGATTAAACAAATTTTCAAAAATGGAAAAACTCCAGGAGCACGATCCAGGTCGCTTCGCTCCTTGTCCCTTTTTTTGCCGCCTTCCAGATCTAAAACTTTTGGATTTTGAACGCTGCAAATGGTCCTCTGTCCAACGCCCGTTTTCCTCCCCTGATTATCTACAGGTCTAAACAATAGAAAGCGTAATGTTCAACGTCTCCTTCAGACGCTTTGGGTTGTAAATGTGTGCTGTGGTGCCGTCGTGGCCGTAACGGGATCCATGTCCCAAAAAAAGGAGTGACAAGAGTCGGGGTATCTCTCAGTAAAATAGAAAACAAGCGCATAAAAAAACAAACCAAGCAAACCCAGGTGCTTGGTGTGTCGTGTGTGAATGTCGTGGGCGAGTCATTTCGTTAAAACTCGTCATCGAATCCAGGTCGTAATAGAAATTATCGTTGGGTTGGTTGACGTTCGTGTTCGCCTCAGCACCCATTACTTTCGGAGGCCGACCTTGCCGGCCAGGCTCCTCCAAAATCGCGCCCCCTTGCGCTCTTCGCTGTGCGTCCGTAGCATGACCTCGTCCCGTTGCATCGGTCCCACAATGTCCTCGTCGCCCCGGGCGGGGAACTTGCCCTCCGCGTCGAGCAATCGGGGAACCGCGCTGGGCAGTCCATCCTCCAGTCGTCGCCATTGCATGCCCGCAAAGACGTCGTCGACCGGGGGACGGCCCAGGAGCGCAGTACCGCCACTACTAGCGCGCGCGCGTCCGCGGCCTCGGCTGCGGCTTCGGGAGGCGTTCATTGAAGGGGAAGCCGAGTTGGTCACCGCCACAATCTGCTCCATAAGGCTGTCGTGGGTCGATCGCCATCGCCTCTCCGTCTCCGCCCACTTGGCCTCCGTCAGCGCGTAAATCTTGCTCGTCTCGCCGTAGTTCTCGCCAGTTCGCACCAAATGCTTAGTGTAGTTGCACCTGGCCATGTCCCAATCGTTGCGCAGCTGTCGAAGCGCCTCCAGGTTGATTGTCTCGGGCTGGTAGGGCAGGGGGGTAATGGTGAAGTTTGCGTGTCCGAGACGGTCCGACCATTCATCGTGCTCCTGTAGCATCGCGGGGAGCGGGAGAGGCAGCTCGGGGCTACTTGGGCCGTGTCGGAAAGATGAGACAGACGGCTTGGTGCTGAGGGCCGGTCTCGGGAACTGTGTGAGTGTGGGCGGGGGCGATTGGATTTCAGTGGTGGCTGGAGAGGGCGCCACGGTAGGGGACTGCAGAGGCGACTCTGGGGGAGGCTTGCTGAGACCGCTGGTCATGAGTGGCGGCAGGAGAGGTGTGGTGGCCATTCCACGCTCGCGTTCCAGGCTCGATCGTTCCTGGTAGGTCATGGGCTGGTCGATATCGATGGGCGAAGGTAGATTGATGCTCTCAGTACTCTCGAAAAAGGACAGGGCCGGCGTGGGTAGGATCGGCTCGTTGGCGCGCTCAGGGCCAGGTCGGCTCGGGGCAGACATGGACGACGAGCGGCTTGAGGGAGCACCCGAAAGCACGACGCTCTCGAGGCTGAGCTCGCCGCCGGGAGAGAGGATCGGGTTGCCTCTTCGGCTGCTGCTTCGGCTGCTGGCCTTCCAGCGGGTCATGCTGGGCAGGCGGGATCCAATGCGCGAGGTGAGGCCGCTGAATGGGGATTCGCTTCCCGACTTTTTCCTGTTAGAGTAGTTGGCGTCGACCGAGACGTCACCGTCGCTAAGGAATCCCATGTCGTAGTCCAAGTCGTAATCACTGACGAGGTTGCCGTGAAACATGATGTCCTCGGAACTATTTCGGTGCTCACAGGGCTCGTCACCTATGTGGAAGAAATCGTCCGTGTTAGTGAACCGTCCCTCGAGGTTGCAGCGCGAGGCAGGGCGAAAGGGGAGGGGAAAACATACAGAGACAGCTGTAGAGACCAAAGTGATCGTCCATATCGGAAGCGTCGTCGTCGTCGTCGTCCTCGGGCTCAAAAGGCTCTTCCTGCACGTCGGGCAACAGACTCTTCGACTTGGAATGGACGGTTTGCGTAGTAGGCGAGACTGGGCTCTCCTGCAACTGAGGCGGGAGATCGAGAGACGAGGCAGAGCTGGAAACTCGGAAGTGGCCCTTGGGAGAAAAGGTCGGGGTAACGGGCGAGGTGATGTCGGACGAGGACGAGTTTGTGGTGTAGTAGACGTAGGAGAGATCGCAGTCGGGGCTGGACTGTTGGACCTCCCACTTGCGGCGCTGGTCGACCAGCTGCGGGAGGAGCAGCGGCTTGAGGCTGGGCGACATGATGCCGGCCGTCGGTCGAGACCGTGGGTAGAGGGGCGGGAGAGGGGAAGCCGTGACTTGCTGAGTGGTTGTTGTATTGTTTTTGGGATGTATGACGAAGAGAGGAGGGAGGGTGGAAGAGGACGCCGGCCGGTCTAAGAGGAACGAGTTGTGATGGCTGAGGAGTGGTGTGGGTGTGGCACAGCAAAGAGCAAAGTACTTAGTGGCGGCGGATCCGAATGTGGATTGATCCGTCAAAAATGTGGGATGGCAAGAAGCAAGCACGGGCGCGGTCGGTCTGGCGGGGTGGGCGCTGTGGATGCAGTGGGTAGTGGGTGCAGTGGGCGAAGGCGTTGGCACTTGCACTTGCACTTGCGCGCTGGCGTTGGGCACCGGGATGCGGTGGCTGCTTCTGGTCTGGCGGGAGGATGGTGGGGTAAGAGCGACTGAGCGAGGGTAAGAGCGAGGGTGGAGGGTGGACAGGGAGCCTGGCAACCTGGCTTGGGACCGCGGCTTCCTAGTTTTTTTTCTCTTTCCTCCCTGGGTAGCGGGCGGCGGGCGGTGCTTGGATCCGGGACCCGGTGCTAGAGGGACGAGGCGAGGGGGACTGGTGGCACCCTCTTTCCTCGCTACTAGCACTTGTTGATTGTTGTTGTTTGGGTGGGTGCCAACAACAAAAACACAGTCGGTTATAATGACGATTGCTTTTTCTTTTTCTTTTTGTTTAGACTTTGCCGCCGGTGGGTGTGCGGTGTTGGCTGGTGTACGGTAGGGCGGCTGTTTGTTTGTGACTTGTAACAAATTCTAGATGGCTGAACTGTGCTGCACTGAGTTTTCTCAATACACAGAGAGGGGAGGTGGAATTGATCCGAGAGAAGCCGCTGGGAGACAAAAAGGGCAGAGAAACTAGCCGGACACGATGGTTATAATCGATGCGGAGAACCAGGGCGTGGGAATGAATGGGCATGGGACATGGGCGTGGGATGATGCGATGGGCTGGGCAGCAGGCACGCAGCGTGGGCGTCGGCGCGGGGGTTGCAGGGCGACTTGAGTTGAGGTGGTTGAGCGACTGATTGAGAGGGAGCAAGGGAGCTTCCAGTCGTCCACGTGTTGAGCTGTCGGTTGGGCGCAAGTACATGGGCCAGTTGCTTGATGCTGCTGCTATGATGCTACCCGCGGCTGTAGACCGGTGCGGTACGTACTTGCATGGAATGGATGTACGATGTAGGTGGTAGGTATGTCTGTATGTAGGTATTATGCACGCATGTACGGTGCGCAAGGTAGGTGGTGCACTTTGCGGTATTGTTCCTGGAATAATCCTCTTGTCCTTGTTGTGTTGTGCTGTAATGCTGTGCTGTCGTGTTGCGGTGCGGCGTTGCGGTGCGGTGCAGGCCAGCACTCAATCAGCCTTCTGTGTGGTCAATGTCGTCGCGGTGCGTGCTGCTGCAGTGGTCTGCCGTGCTTTTGCTCTGGGGACAAGAAAGGTAGGTAGCTATAAGAGCGCCCGGCTATAGGGCCTGGCAGGCCCAGGATCACAGGGGAAGCAAAGAAGGTGGGTGGTGAGTGGCCGGGGAAGGGGGACGGATGGCACGGCGGCCTGGGGTCGACAGAGAGAGGCTGTCTCGCCTGTGAGTCTGTGTCTCCGTCTAGACGGTCTGGTCGACGTTTCTTTTTTCCTCCCTTTGCGTGCTGTCGATTTGTCGTTGCAGGGTCAATGTGACGTGGAGTGAATCAAGGTGGAACTGCAACGGCGAGGTTCGAGCACAAAGTCGTAGGTTGCGGGTTCCATCCAAGTGCAAGCGAGTCCTGAGCCTGAGTCCGACTCCGAGGGCGGCTGGTTTGCCTGCAAAACCCAGCAGCCGCAGCCTCTCGTGGTTGGGCGGGCTTTCTCTCGACCCTGCGGTGGCAGCGCCCCCAGTGACAGCCCCTCAGAAAGCCCAGTGGCAGCCCGTCCAGCCTACTCCGCTGCGACGCTACCGCCAGGCCAGGCTACCAGGCGACGGCTCCCAGCGTCCACGGCCACTGCAGTGGGGTTTCCAAGGACCTTTTCCCGGCTCGGGCTGCCACCCAATGGGTTGGTCGGTGGACATTTTCGGTGGGGAACCAGGACCCTGGTTGTTCTCTCTCGGGCTTGTTTGCTGTGTTCCCGGCCAGGATCAGGCCTGGAAACAGAAGAAAAGAAGTCCTGGAACCCCTCCCACACTTCCGCGCTCCCTGTCAACCGCTAGCCGGAGGGGGACTACCCGCAGCGTCCAATGCTCGCTCACAAAGATCCTCTGTCCATGAGAGAGTTCTGAGAAGCATAGCAGGGATACGGCATCAGGTCTCTCCTCACTGCGGGCTTGCCCTGGTTGGTCCTGCACTCTTGCTGGCTCACGTACTGGCTGGGCTGATTGACAGACGACTTCTCGTGGGCTGCACGGGGGACAGGTTGCGTGTCTGTCGGACGGAATGGGACAATCGCTGGCAATTGGGAACAAGCAGACACGCCCAGAAATGGCACGACCATGGCGGCATACGCCCCCTCACGCCGCCGCGCAGTAGGTGACGCTGTCAGCGCTGCCGCTGCCGCTGCCGCTGCTTCTGCGGGTGCTGCATTCGTCCTGCTCCCACATCCCACACGGAGGGAGGGGGGAAATGTCGGGGGAGTAGACGAGCACATGCGATTGGGGAATGCCACTGGTCGCGAAACTCCGGGGGGACAAACATGACAGCAGTTCGGACGGGACGGAGAGTGCAGTTGCGTATCTACGGGAGGTGGGTGGCTGGTGTGCCACCCTTCCCAATGGTATGGTAACAGAGGAGAGAGAGACTCTTAATGTTGAGTCTTATTGATTCATTGTTCGCCCATTGACCGAGAGCCAGTCAGCGTAGCCTCTCCATTGTTTGTTGAACCAGCGTGTTGATTTTCTCTGCCTATTCGAGCTATGTGCGTCATGTTTTTCCATATGTGTTTGCTTGCGGTGGACTCTTTGTCCTTTGTCACTATCTATCTTCCTTCCCATTCAGTCGGATAGCAAACAACCCCCAACTCTGCACCTCTCCTTGCTTCTTTGCACCTCCGCGCCTGCTTGCTTCCCCGACACTTCCCCGACCTCAGAAGCCAGCCCCCGATGCAATCCCGTTACACCTCCTCCCTCGCTTCGCCTCTCATATCCTCCTCCCTATACCGTCTTCTTGCCCCCAAGGATCCATCTTCCCACTTGTCGTCCCACACCGGGTCGAGCACAACCGCACCGCCAGTATTGGCAGGGGGGCGACGACACCGTCCCCAGCATCTGGCACCTCCTGGCCTCGTCCCCCCGGTGCTGGCTGGCAGGTCCCCAAAGTCTCGATTCCCTGGTGTCCCGCCCGCTCCGCTAGGAGCCCGGAAAGCGAACCCATGTCCCGGAAGCTCCATCTAACGTCGCTCGCCGCTTCCCGCCTCTCTGGACCCAATGCTACTCCTGTGCGCAGACTGGCTCGGAGGCTCGGGGTCTGGATTCGCCTCTCGACGTTTGTCGGTCGGTTACGTTTTGTCGGTGCCTCGCTCGGATTGACTCAAGACCGCTCCCGGAGCTACCAAACTCAACGCACAGAAGAGGCAGTCTCGCCGTAAAGCCACTGACGACACAGGTCCCTTCATTCCAAGGCACAAGCCGTCACGCAATGCATTGTCACTGCCATGTGCCCTTTCAATCTAAGTGCCCAAAACTGCATCATTACGTCGTCAACAACCCAAGCTGGTTGCCCAGAGTGCTGATCCCTTCCCCAATCAGCCTGCGGGAGCCCAACCTACCAGCAACGTCAATGCCAACGAAGGCGTTCGTTTCGGTCGTGGTGTCTCGGCAGCGACCCGTTCACGTTTTTCCGGCCGCCTCTCCGACGTCCACGTCCGCGATGCCCACATCGGTCATCACGGGATGCCTGGTCTCTGTGACTAGGGCCGCCCTGATTCATGCTTGGTTCTGGTTTTGTTTTTGCGTGTAAACCGTCACTTTGCATTGCCTCGTTCCCCGGTCCGATACCGTCCTTGCCTCCGCCAGCCCGGCTTTGTCAGAGCTAACGCGATCGCATCCATGTCTTCTCGTCACCGACTCCAGGTTTGGCTCCATCGCATCTGAACTTGAGACGGCTGGAAATTTCTCGTACGTACTACGCAGATGGATATCCAGATGAACCCCAGGCAGACCCGTCGCCAGGGGAGGCTTCCGGGTGTCCCTCCGAGACCCCAACTTTTGGGCCATGACTCCCAGCATCGCCCATGCCCATGCTACTTGACTCTCCTGGTACCGCGAGACTCGTGGCCGACGGGGCACGACTGCCCGTCGAAGCATAGCGGCCGCTGTTAGGGCATTCCCAAGGGATAGGAAACGACGCGGCGAGCGGGGCCATGGAAGGGTATGGAAGGCATCCTAGAGGAGGACCGGCGCTGGTGGCTGGGCACCAAGAGACACCAGCCGGGGCCAGAGGGCACCAAATCGCGCCGGCGCCGTGGATGCGACCGCCGTGGTCCAGCGCTCCGGGAGCGACCCCAAAAGCTTAGTTACCAGGTATGGGTGTGCCGTCGCTCATTTCCCTCGCTAAGCTTCAGTTGTTCGTGTTTGAAGTAGATCTGCCGTGATTTGGGTAGCTGTCATTGAGATTCAATCTCTTTCTTTACGAGTAGCGACACGGCGGAAATACAAATTTCGCCTCCGGTCACGGGTCGGGAGCGGATAAATCGTCCGGGATTCTTCAACACCGCCAACTCAAAGATCTCCGCCACTTGGCAGACCGACCTTTCATCCCTTTCGCAACAGCAATCCACCCGCAATTCGCCAGGTTCCGATCCAACCGCCCGACCGCTGAGTGCAAACAGACTCCAGGCCCTCAGCGCCAGGCCAGACAAGCCATCCCCCAGCGGCCACGATGCCCTGGTGTGTCGGAGGTTAAAGCCCTGCCGCATTAGCTCCCAGAGAGGGTACCTCGACTCTCACCGGTCAGCACGTAGCGGAGCATGTTCCTCTCACTCGACGCTCGCGGAAGCTTGCACAGTGTCCCGCTCACACGTGTGTTGCTCCCGTTGCGTCGTCTCTCTAGCTGCCTGTGAGCTGTGGCTGTGGCTGGTCACACATGGTGCGCCAACAGACCACAACCGACTGACAATTGGCAGTGCTGTTCACATGGGCTTTGTGCATGCGCAAATGTGCGCTACATACGGAGTGCACAGCACATATCCTGGCGCTATGGCCTTCTTGATACCGACAACCTGCCTGTCTCAACACGTGCGTCTGATAACGCCTGATATGGATGGGCAATCGACTCAGCGTAGATACGGGAACTCGCTCACCTTACTCATGCGGAATGGCGTTTGTCCACGAAACCCTCTCCACATCAGTCTAACGCCTCTGAGGACTACCGAGTACACTACGTTGCAAGCCAGACCCGACAATTGACTTGCGACGTGTGTCTAGACAATTGAGTTTGCACTACACGCCCGACTCGTGGTCGTGGGGGTTTAGTCGCCCAGACTGCGAGTAGTTCCAAGAATCGCAAGTGACAGAGAGTCAGTCTAGCAAATGGGTTCTCGCGTGGAGACATGTCAACGGAATCAGTGCCCGAGTGGGCAGTAGCTCATGTGCTCGTGTGCTCTCTGTCCGGTCTCGGGGGGGCCTTTGTGCGCTCTCGCAAACCCGTCGCCATGACTCTTATCCAGCTTCTCGCTAGGCATTGAGTATGAACACATGCAGAATCAGAGGGAAACCTCGGCATTCGGCGCAGTTCAGTGGACTTTGTTGAGTTCACCAAGGCGGTAGTTCCCCGTTACCATCGCAAATCCTTCCCGTCATCATCGGTATGCGGCCTCTTTTGGCAAGCAGGTTACATTTGGCGGCTCGTTTGCTCGCCATTCGGTTCGCCCAGCTGAGTTCAATCCTACCCTATCAACCCCCACTACTGTCAAGCTGCTCGGTTCTTCTTTGGGCTATGACTGCTGTGCAAGGCTCTTCTCTCGCCTTCTTTCTCTTGTGTCATCCGCCCCATCTATTGCCTCGCCTCCATTGGCTCTCGACTTGCCTCTAACCTCTAGTGATCCTTGCCATGTTGAACTGCTTCACAACCCGACGGCCTCGTTCCGACCCGCTTCAGTTGGTGCCTGGGAGCGGATGCTGATGGTGCCTGGGCGACGAGGCACCAATCCACGTACCCTTGTCAGCTGCGGATGGTCTCTGCCACCACCAACTCCCCAACAAGGAACAGGACACCAGCTTGAGAGACAAACTCCCAGGAACCACTTTTCGCAAGCATGGCGATGGATGGCTTGTACATTCGCGCAAACCCGCAAAGTTCCGCCATCCTCATCCCCGTTGCTGTGCTTATCTTTCATCTATTCTATGGGCTCGGCTCGGCTGATATTGGTAGCTCGGACTGGTGGCTTGCACAAATATGCTCTCCGGAACTGCGGAAGCACGTTGTAAGTTGGCACCGGCGCCGCACGATCAGTTGAGCACGCACCGTCCGGCGTTCCATCCAGTGATAGCGTGAGCTTGCCGCCCTTCTTACCTGAAGGAAGAAGCACCGTCTCAGTCGGTGATACCGATTGTCTCTGTGACACCGTTGCGTGTAAGCCAACTGGCCCGCCACCTCTAGTGAGGTTGTGCACAGTCGTCTTGCCGACAGCATCGCCCAGCGGTCCATTGTTACGACCCGGTTCAGCGTACAGCCCAGAACAGGGCTCGGCTAACATGAGCGTATCAATTGAATATCTGCAATCAATTAATTCCCTTGTCCGCCCCTAGTCTAATGCGAGTCGCCACCAACAAATGTTCCGCGCACCAACGTTGCATATCATGCGGCCAGAATCACGTACATGTCAGCATTGTTGGGGCTTCCCGTTATCAATCCCTCGGCAGTTAAATATAGGCGGCAGTTGAAGAAAATGAGATCTGGAAATGAGAAAGACGAACGAGGGTTGCAGAGTGGCAAGGAATTCGCCCAACAACCGGGTGATTCCACTCAAATTAATCGGTGGCTGGCTGAGAATCGTTGACAATGCAACGTCCACCCTCCAATTGAGCAATAGCTTGCCCTACCTCAAGCCACAATCGTGGGAAGAGAAACAGGGTTACGGCCCGGAAGCCGTTAGACTTGTCTCTGATCATATTTTCGGCACCGATTGTGCTGCAGATCGGCAATCTGGGTTACATTGAATCGAGTTTGCCACGAAGTGAACGAAGATTCAAGCCACGCAGAACAGATAGGGCCATGTCTTGAACGATACGGGAAGCGCCTCTGTTACATTTCTCACTGGCACTGTATCATCGGCCCCGCGGAAGGGGTAACGGGCATACTGCAAGTTGCAGGTGTCTTTCGCATATTCTTGGAAATTCGACGCGACCTAAACGGTAGCCAATGACAATTGTAAACCGTTTCCATCCTGTAGCGCGTCATATGCACGTCAGGTTACGGGGGCTGGAGGACCGATTAGGATGCACGTCCGTATTGGAGCTCTCACGTCACGACCGTGAAAAACGCTCGTAAGAAGTTCGTCATCCAATTGAGCTCTTCCCGGTTTCCTCGCTTCGGTAGGAGCTCTTGAAGAGCTTTCAATCTAATCGTCCCTGATTGGATACGACGTCCTGGGGGCTGGGGAGCTTACGGCCATCTTTGGACGTACCTGCAGCCGGTGGGCGGTGCTGACGACGACATCGACTGGACGTTATCCCTTACCAATACCCACTCATGCTGACGGATGGATTCTATGGAGTACTTCGTTTGTCCAGAGTGGGAGCGGTTGCGGTTCTCTGCAGCCTTCTCAGCAACCTTTCCCTGCCCAGGACGAACCTTGACAAGGGATCCAGGTTCTGGGTTCCATGGACAAAGCCTTGCCCGAGGTGGCTCCGACTCTCGCCGCGCCGCTGACAGGAGGATGCGAAGCAGGATGATGCTGGGAGGCTGTTTGATCGACGATGGTCCAATGGTTATCGTGGGGTATCTGAGTAGGTAATCGACCGATCTCAGCCGACGGGAGGCAGACCATGGACCTCCACGGAGGTTTGTCAGCCCTCTTTCGTCCGCCATTGATCCCCGCCATTGTGCGAGCCGGTGGCGCAGGAACATATCTCCTCGTCCGAAGTACCATGAGGAGTATCATCCAAAGTGTCAACCTCGTGTTGGTCCATGTCAAAGTGGCAACGTTCTTGCGGGTACTACCCATCCTGCCTCTCCACCAGCTTCTCAATCGAGATGCAAGGTTTTTCCAATTGAGAGCCGTTGGGGTTCACTCGGCTTGTGCCTGGCGAGGCATTTTCGGTCTCACTGTGACAGCTCCAAGCTCTGGAGTTGGAGGGCTGCGACTCGACGCCATTCGCTCCGCCGAGCCCTAACAGAGGGCCACCACGCAGACAGGAAAGCTTGGTGCGTCTGCGTTCCTGACGATCGTGGCCGGGGGGCTGGACAGAGCGGGACAAGTGGTACCACACACACACGGGAGTGCGCCAACGGGCGCTGGCTGACCTGAGCCCAGCTGAGTTGGCCGCTGCAGCAGGACGAAAGCCATGCTTCGGCAGGGAAGAGCTCTCGCAGCTTTCTCAGATGGTTTTTATTGCTTTTTCGTCTACCTCTTGACGACCAAAGGATTCTGTTTCGTCTTGAGAGCCAGGAACATGCCGTTATGCAGCAGGGATCGCATCTGGAAAGTGTGACTTGAGAGACAGGTCTCGGCTGAGGCCATCCACAATTTGGCTTTAACTAGTCGGTAGCATTCAGCCGCCGCCCTGCTACTGGCTCGATTCGGATCGGTCAGTTCAGGCACCGTTCCGCTGTGCTCAGGCACCGGAGACGGTTGAGTGGTTGCATGCCCCGGGCTAGCAGAGCGCCCTGAAAAGGTGGGCAACCATCACTGGCTCTCTGGGCTGGTGGTGGATGGAGAACGGCGATGAAGTTTTTTTTTCTTCTTCTTTTTGCTAGGTGACTCCACCGTGCCCTAGGTGAAGAGAATTCGGCAATCAGATGTCACATTTTTCATCAGCAAGGGGGCATTGGAATCGAATCGGCAATTGAAAAATGGCTTGAGGTGGCTGGGATCTGATGCAGTCGTGCGTGTGAAGATGGTGCGAAGAAGTAAGATACTTGGTGAGGGTTCTCATCCGGGCTTGACCTTGAAGTCTGACGGTTGAGAAACCTTGTCCCTCGGCTAGGACGTCCTTATCCCAACGCTGCATTTCGGTTTGGATGAAACAGCCATTTGCGCCTCTCAGCCGCGGCCAATTTATTTTCTGCAAGGAAATTCCTCGCTGAATGCTCCCGTCTCAGCCATTACGGCGCCGTACCAGCGTAGCTCAGCTCTGCCCCAGACACTTTAAGATGCGGATGGGCCGGACGACCCGGAGACGCGGCACCCGTTGAGTCCGGGGCCATGGCCGACATGCAGCAAAGTCGCGCGAGACTGTTGGTCTCAGGTTCTCGACCTCCGAGGTTCTCGACCAGCCGTGCCCAAGAGGCATATCCCTGCAAATTATACGCAGCCGCGAAAACACGGGGAGAGTCAGCGACGGAGTAAGCAGGCGCCCTGCGGGTTCATCCTGTTCACCGCTGTGGAATTGACAAATTTCCCTCTGCACGGCTTGTGTGTTAGTCACTCAATCCGACTCGACAATGGCCATTGCCTCCAGAGGCTTTCCATGGGGACCCGGGCGGCTGCTTGCAGAAGCAAATAAATCCACGCGGCGGGACAGGCCTGGATCGTGGCTGGCGCCGTGTGGCGACACCTCATTCGCCAGAGGATCAACCCCGATCATACATGTACCTACTGTACAGTACCTGCTTACCTACCTACTATCTATCTGTTCTCGGGGATGCTCTGGGGAGTCAGCGAGGTGGGGGCGGGCTGCCGAGCGTCGGCCACGATGCGATGCGATGCGATGCTGCTGGCGCGGGAGTTGTCCCACATTGAGGCCATCCCGGCGTCCGGGGCTGATGTCGGCGTGGACATGTGATGGAACCGGGAACAGCGCATTCCGGGGAGAAGCCCATTGCTCGCTGGGGCCGGTCAAGGACTGCAGGCGTAGAGGGCGAATTGTGTGATGTCGACATGATCTCATCCAGTGTCGAAGCGCCGCGGCTGCGACGGCGTTTGCATGGGGTGCACATGGCTCTTCTACGTGGAAGCGTGTGGTTTGAAGCGCAGTGGCAAACCAGTTGTTGGGCCACCTCTACAGCTGTCATGGGCCGACGTACTTACTTACTGTGCATGCTTAACCGCGACCTAGAGTTGCAGCCGACGTAGGAACCCTCGACGGCACCGTCGGCACATGTATGTTGGACGAGGCGACGAGGGGATCCTGCTGCACGCCGCGCAGTACCTTGCGTGAGACCCTGGATAGACTCGTCCCACGGCCGCATCACGACGTGCTGCGAGTGCTTTCCCGAGCGGAGAAGCCTCTGGCGGATAGGCAGAGTTGACGTGGCTATGTGCCTCGCCGTTGTTTAGTTTTGCATCGGGAGTTTGTGGGCGACGGTGTCGTTGTCTGGCGGTGAGGTGCTGTCGCGAGGACGCGGCAGAGCTCGGTTGGACGTTGGAGGTTTTCGGGCGAAGGGCGACGGCTGTGGTGATTCTATGCTTGCCATGTGTTCGTATGATTGTAGCTGTGCGGGATAATTGGTGCCGTTTGTTAGAGAGAGTTGACTGATAGAACTGTGGCAGGTGAGGCAATTCACTAAACCGGTGACGCTTTCGTCTGTGAGGTGACGAATGCTTGTTTAGATCAATCCTTTGGGTTCAATGGCTCTTTCAATGTGAAACAATGTCACTTGCGTGCCGGTAATGCGTAGTCAAAAGTGCCTATTTGTTGATAGTAGTTCCGGTTCATGATCAGCATTCGTTCAATGGAGCAATTCCGTAACCTGCTGTGCTCATACCCAGGGTCATTTCTGGTCCCGTCCGAGTCAATCAGGTCCGTCTGGTTCACGTTTATTATATCAATAGAATTATTGACTCAATTAGTGCCATCCTCGACAGAAAAGCTGTTGATTTGTGTAAGTGCTGGCACCATGGCCCGAAGTCGAGAGGATATGGTCCAGGGTAGGTACCACAACAATCGTGGTTGAGGTATTACTCCTTCATGGTACGATAGGAAAGGAGTTGGTGTTACTTCATAGGAGATTTAGAACAAGATATATCATTCTAAACTTTCTATGCATTGTTATTATCTTCTCTGAAACGGGCACTCTGTTTGGCTGTCGTAATGGAGATGATGCTGAAATACCCCTCGTCGCGACTATATTAGGACGTCGTAGGCATTAGTCGTTAACCTATATTTTGTCAATGCTTCTCACAAGGAAGGAGAATCTCCTAGGAAAACCTAGAACTTTACGTTCTAGACTTGATTGGGACATACACCTATATATGCCGGTGAAACGCACGGTAATAGGTGGCGGCTGGCCATTGCCCAGGTCGTTAACTCCATCGCGACATGTGTCATAGCGCATAGAACATAGCCTTCAGACTCGAGCAGGACTAGATGGATAGAGACTATTGTAGGACATCCAGGAAATAGGTGGGAGCCAACCAGGGTATAAATGGTAACCTAACCTAGGAGCCGCGCTTCGCATTGATTAGCTACCCTTGCCACCTGGCGCCTGCCGGGGACAAGTCAGGACCAAAGCATGCAGGTCCGAGGCAATAACACATAACTAAGACCTGACACAACATATTAAAGCGGCCTCTCAGAGCTCCCGCTGAGTTGGGCGTATGTTTTAAACGCTGGCATGGAACAGGGGTGTAGGGAAAGCTGGGAATGCCAACCAGAAGCCCAATGATGCCGAATGTAGGCGAATAGGAACACATTTGAAACAAAGTTTGCGTTTGATCTTGCATACGGGATGTAGATGCGGCGCCCAAAACCTACTGTGGAGGGTGTTGGCCATTCCTTCGTTCCACCGCATGATGGTGTCCACCTGACACACCATGATCCTCTACTCATGCAGGAACTTCCCAATACGATCTTAGAAAGCCGTATAAGCTTAAAGTTAGTGAGATTTCCAAGACATCCATCTCTTGTCATCTTGCCAATCCGCGTCCGTCTGACACTCGTGACGTGATGACTCAGTGCGCCTTGATACAACGACAACTCTGCGATGAAGATCTCCGGAGCAGGGAATCAGGAGCCTAGGTGTGTTGTTTTAACTGGAGGTAAGTTAGAGTAATGTTGAAGTGGTTGGTGACACTGCGAAAAAGCGACCCTGTACGTCTCACACTGTTTTGGTGCAAAGGGGGTTGGCGTCACCGTCAGGAGATAATTGCCCGTACGCCATTCAATGCAAGCTTAGGAGGCAATTATGAGAGCAACGGAAAGAAGGAATAGAGAACACTAGGAGTAAGTCGCGATTTTACCAAGGGATCGGAATGGTCGGTTTCGATGGGAAAAGTGCCAGCCACACGGAACACGACCATATCGAATTAGGGGATCTGGGCTGGAACGACAAGCATTGCGAGTAAATTTGATCAGGGCTGAAGAAGTAAGGAAATTTAGGAGTTGGAAGGGGGAGTTATTGGACAATAGGGATTGCCAGATGGTCGAGGGACGCCCCTTGTGAAGCCTGGCCTATTTGGCGGGCCTATCTTAGTCACATCAGTCGATGCACTTTCGCCGTGGAACCAACCCCCATATGCCAATCAATGTTGAAGGTAAGATCGGCAAACAAGCACTGATTTCTACGCAGTATGGGCTTTCGATTTGCTGGCCACCAATCTTGACCGCTCTGTAACCGACATCATTCTAGCATCCTCCTCAGCGATTGACCCACTGCCTCGTAATGCCTGCTGTTGGAGAACTCTACTTTCACAAACACTAAGATTGATGCGTCTGAGAGGCAGGAGAGTGAGGGAAGCTCGAGCTCTGCAGCCATCACATTCATGCTTGGTCAAGCGCAGGCATGGTTGCTCGTCGATCACATGCATGGCGGATTGGAGAGCTAACTTTTGGCCGCGGGAAACATCTGTGCCTCTAGAACCCAGAAGGTTATCACATAATCTTATGCTCCCGATGAAATGGGATTATTGAAGTTAAACGCCTGGCCTACACTTGCTGGTGACAAGGGTATTGGTCGCAGACAATTTTGTGCACGGCAGAATACGCAACCTGATTTTGCTGCTTCCTGAAACCAGCCGATCAAGAAGCTCCGATGAAGTAGAACTTTTTTTCTCAAGGCTCTGGAGAGAATTGAGAACCCACGGGCCCTGGGATGACTTGTTTCCCGGTTGAGGTGAACATAAGGCTGACAAGAGAGCTTCCTGGCGGCCATCGACACGAGCTTAATCGACTAATCGACATATCGATTGAACCTCAGAAGTGAAGAGCACCACATTCAGGCGGATCTGAGTCAAGGAATTTATGTAAACGGAACAAGAAATCCGTCGCTGATGTTCCTATTCACCTACACTTCTAGGTGACATCATCCGGCCGGTAAAGAGTTAATTATTTGCTTAAATATAGTCTTAAATGTGCTAATTATTGCAATCCACTACATGCGCTATTGAGAATGGAAAGCCCCGCGACAATGACTCCTCAAGCTGTGTTATCCAAGTGGGTGTCAAGACGATGCCGTGACGTCAATGTGCCGTTGATGATGCTAGCTCTCCCCCACTTTCGGCGGTGCTGAATAAGTGGGAGCATCTCGCCCGCTCTTTCGACCCAATGGTTTACCCGACTGGGGCGCCCTCCGCTCCGTCGTCGGATGCTCGCGGCTCGCGACTTGATGAAGGCGCGAGTTCCAAAGAGACTCGCTCAATCAGATGCGGGATGCGTCGGCCGAAACTTGGGCCGGCTCTCGTAAGTGGGGGGAGAGGTGAAGCCACGTGCCGCTGGCGGTTGTAGAGAGGCTGCAATAAATATTGGCTCTGTTGCTTCCGCCTCATTTGAGAAGACCAAGGGTCTAGGTCTAGGTCTATGAATTGGCCGCCCAGGGATTCTAGTTACTGCCTTGGTAGTTGCAGCGACTGAGTTAGGTCTGAGATCTGCGGCAAGCGAACGTGGATACCCTAGCCTCACTGTTGCAGCCGCTCCGATCAGCATCATGGCATTTACCGCCGAGCCTTACGACCCAGTCACGGCGGCGACGTGGCTGTTCTGCGTGACGTGCGGCACTCAGTTCCCTACAGCGGACCGGGCTGCCGTCAAGAGCTGCCATATATGCGATGACCCGCGGCAGTTCGTGCCCGCGTCGGGGCAGTCGTTTACCACGCTGGGAGACGTGCGGAAGACGCACCAGAACGAGTTCACGCCGTGTGAATCGGATGCGCGGATCACCTTCATAGCGACGGTGCCGAAGCTGAGCATCGGACAGCGAGCTATGTTGATACAAACGCCGGCTGGAAACATCCTCTGGGATTGCATTTCGTTGTTGGACGACGAGACCATCGCCAAGATTGAGGCTCTCGGCGGCTTGAAGGCCATCGTCATCAGCCACCCGCATTTTTACAGCACGCATGTGCAATGGGCCAGGGCCTTCAAGTGCCCCGTGTACTTGGCGTCCGAGGACAAATCATGGACGACGATGGATTCGGGACACCAGGTACTCCTTACGGAAACGGAGACGGAGATTCAAGGGACCGGGGTCAAGGCCATCAAGCTGGGCGGGCACTTCCCCGGATCCATGGTCATGCTCTTCGACAGGCATCTGCTCATCGCCGACACGCTCATGACGACCTTTTCCGGCGTTGGCAAGTGGGACACGGACGCGCTGGGCGCCACGCGCGAGCGGCCGCCGGGGCTCAACTCGTTCTCGTTCCTCTACAGCATCCCCAACTTCATCCCGCTGAGCGTGCAGGAGATGGCGCGCATGTGGGAGACGCTGCGGCGGTATGACTTCCAGGAGACGCATGGGGGGTTTGCGGGCATGGATATTGTGGATGCGAGCGTGAAGCACCGGGTGCTGGATAGTATGCACATCCAAGCGCAGCACATGGGATATGGAGAACACGAGTTTATGAAGGTAAAGCTGTAGTGAATAACGATTAACGAGGCCGCGGGCGCTAATGCCTCTGAAGATAAATATGATTCCATTCTGATATGGTCGGGTATCCATTGATTAAAACGCCTTGGTAAGTCGTAAGAGGTAGGCAGTCAGTCTAGATGTCAACTCCTGCATGTGCCGCATCCCAATGGCCCGATCTAAGTGCCCAGCAACAACGCCCAAACCCATGCCCATCGCACCCAATGTCCATGCTCAGATACGCAAATTATACTAAGAAGATATTTTTTTGGAGGCTCCCGGAAACGAATGACCGTTATTCCTTCTTCCAGAACTTCCACTTCTGTTTGTCCGCGCACGACGAGGGGCACAGGTAGCGATTCAAGAGCTCGCGGCCCTCGTCGGGGAGATGGACGACCGACTCGTTGAGGGTGTCGATGATGAAGCGGTTAGCTATTGGCGAGTTAGCACGATTTTTCTAGATTGAATGCATTGAGAGCAGAGCACGCACGCATGAGGTCCATGCCGTTGTCGCCGGCGTCGAGAGCCATGTCTATGCGGGTGGAGTTGTAGCAGCCGTACCGCAGCTGGAGCTCCAGCATGCACCTCCATAGGTCCCTGGTCTCGTCGGCCGTCATGCCCTCGCAGCTCTGCTCGGAGCAGGTGCTCGCCTGGCGGCTGCGCTCCATTTCGGGAATCGCGACGCGGTCTTCGGACGTGCGGCGGTGGTGCTTGGTGACGATGATGCCGTCGTCGCTGGGGGAGCTCCACGCGGAGACGACGGAGATGATGGACGGGCGTCTGGGGCGGTTTTCACGAAACATGATGGATGGTCGTGTGTGTGTGTTTGTGCGTGTGTTGTAGTGTTGTAGAGTTGCAGTGTTGCAGTGTTGTAGTGTTGCAGTGTGGTGTAAGTGGAGTAGAGTGGTGTGGTGTGGTGTTCGTATTGACAAGAAGCGGTGGGAAGACGACGACAGTCGGTGCAGAGGGATGGGGCTATGAACGAAATTCAATTCATCGACCTCAATTATTAGAGCGGCGTGTTGATTAAGTCTCTTCCTTGCTTTTTCTTTCTTGTTTCTTGTCCAGATCACGGTCCCGAAGTTGATGCGTTGATGCGTTGGCTGCGTTGAGGTGGGTCGTCATCACAGTGGCTCACTTAAGAGACAAGGTCGGTCCCTGCTTTGCTAGGGGGGATTTCTTTTTGGAGATGCAGGGCAGCGTCAAGAGGTCAAAGCGAGTCCTATTATACTTGAGCCTCGAGCCTCTCGCCCCTCCCTCCCTTTCCTCTCCCGGGGAATCGGTGCCCAACGGCGGCAGAACGGCGAGCGGCTTGGATCAGACTTTGCAGCCATCAGCAGAGCTGGGCCCGGCCGCCAACGCCACGATGCGCAGGGCGTCAACCACATTCAGGGAACCCTTGGACTGTCCTCATGGCGCGCGCTGATGGAGGGTGGGCGTCGTCACATGCCGCAGGAAGAGGGGGGAATGCCCAGGCTGGCTGGCGGCGTCGAATGGGTCCAGGGCGAGGGGAGAGAGGAGAGAGGCTGTGGAGGGTTTGACGGTAGACTTCAGACTTGGAGATGGTGGCTCTGCTGGGACGGATAGGAAGGTTTCCGTCGACGAGCCATGGATTGGGAATAGGCCGAGACAGGCGGATGGACACGGATGCGCGGGCGTGAGTGAGTCAACGCCGGCGAGAGCTACAGTGTGCAGTGTTAGTTGCATCATGGATTACGGGCTGGATGTCGCCGCGGGCAGTGCGGGAGCTGACGATCTCGCTCAAAGTCGCCAACTCGGGCGAGAGACGCCTCGAATGGGACGCGGCCGGCATGCGAATGGACGGCGGCATCGGCATTTGGAGCCCGGGATTGGGTCTGCTAGTGACATTTGCTGTCTGCCTGTGCCGCAGTGACAGTCAGGAATGCCTGCAACCGTCAGTAACTAATGCCTGCAAGGGTGCGAATGTGTGCATGTCCGCAGCGACAGCAGATGCACTGCTGATCATCAGCCAGCCAGGGTGAGGCAGGGCGAGACAAAAAGCGAAGCCAAGCCAGCCAAGCCCATCAGCCAAGCAGACCACGCAATGGTCAGCATCATGGCCCGCCCGACAACCATAAGACAACCTATCGCCAGCCCGAAGCCTTTTTTTCGACATCTGGGCTCGGCTTGAGCGGGGGAGGGCTTGGAAGGGCTTGGCCTCGATGCTCAAACTTCCTGATTCCACGGCGCCCAGGTCGCGTGCGAGGCTTTGTCGCGCTTGGCACATGGGAGCCAAGCGTCGAAGCGGCGGGGGATGCGGAATAGATAAGAGCGCTGGGTCACCGGGTCTTAGCCTCGAGGGCTGGTGACAGCAGGCCCAGACCTGAGACGTGTCGCAAGCCGCGATAAGGTTCGCGCCATATCGGCGACGAGCAGATATCTCATGATGATGATGTCGGCGTGGATGATGCCGCAGTCACTGGCAGTGCGGGAGTGCACAGTGCACCACCACGGCACACTGCGCGCCGTGGCTGGCTGCACAAGGCGTGAGTCAACCTGTCGAAAACGTCGGTGTAAACGCACGCCAGCTCCGAGCGATCCGATGGCCATGCGGCGACGGCGGCGACGGCGGCGACAAGTGAGGATGATTACCGTGATTTTGCTTCTTCCGTGCGGGCGCTTTTTAGGTGAGGCTGCTGATTGTACAGTCAGCGGATGCGGTGGGAAAAGTGACGACCTGAAGGGGTTGCGCGAGCCATGAGATTTCCGCTGTGACAAAATCCGATGACCAGAGAGGCCAAGACAATGGGGGATGTGTTTTCTTTTGGATCCCGGCAGAGAAATGCGGAGGATCGGCGAGGATGCCTGCAAGTATGTCACTCGCAAGGGTTGCCAGATGCACTCGCTGCAACCAAGCTGGAGGGGGTTTACTGGATTGGGTATCCCGCCAGTTCGCATTACTTAACATACATGGCAATATCTTTAAGGCGATGCGAGAAATGGTTACCATCATCGATGTCCCCAATTCAATCCCGACGAGGGGATGCCGCGAAACCCTGTCCATCGCCGCCATCCTTGCCCCTCGGTCTAGATCCCATCACAACGCCACGGACGATCTAGGACCTGGACTATTTCCTCCGCATCTGTCGCTAGCAAAGACAATAACCCAGACAATAAGGGCGAGAACATGGGTCCAACAAAGCAAGCAGCGCCGTGGCAGCTGAATACAGCGCAACGGATCTGCGCCACGGGCATATTGACATTTCTCGAGTGGGGGCTTGACTTTACGCCATGCTTCCTCCCTGGCATCGGGCTCGCCCGTGCATCGCGATCCGTGTGTCCTTAATAATAATCGCGTCCTTTGCCTCTGCCGAGTGCCGACAACGCTCAGCCCTATGGCGTTGGTTGACTCGTAGCACTAGGTATTGTCTCGTTGAATAGATCCATAATAGACTTACGTGGGTGCTTGTTAATGAAACCATACCTGTTCCTGCTCACTCTAAAAACAGAATACAAAAAACCCCGAACTAGTCACCGAGACTTTCCGAGTTCTCGTATAATTAGCGTATACCGTATAAGCGGCAAAATCCTCCGCGACGATCCCTGTGTTTCTTGAAGCATAGTCCCCCCTTCTGCTGCCTCGTAAATCCTCCAACCGATTTCACGGCCCGAGATGACGCGGTCCCAGTTCCATCTAGCCCGCAAAGGACCAATGCATGCATTGTGTAACGTGCAAATCAAGTGGGCTTCCCGCGAGGCTTTGTACTGCCCCGTCCTGCCAGCCTCGCGCCTCGTTGTTACCCCTGACCCGGCAGACGCAGTAGTTGGGGGTTCCTGAAGCGGCCGCAGGCAGCATGTTAATTTAAAACGGACCAAGCAGATCCTTCTGTGTTTTGCCTGGCGATGTGTGTGGCGTTGTCTGCTTTGCACATTCGTAATTTTCGGTTCCCCCTTTGCGGCTGACGAAGACCATCCAACTTCTAACCACAATCATTTTCATCCCGTTTTGGCAAATGCAGCTTTGAGAATCTAAAATCAAGAGCTAGCCTGGTTCTGGGACACAAGAGAAGGCGATACTCGACAAGCGCAGATTCGGTTGGACAAGCCTGTCCTCGCAGGAGCTACCCTCAGCCTGTTCCTGTTGGCGACGTGAGTGATTATCATGCACGACATTCTATCGGCGCACATGATTTCCGACGACAGCCAACTTCACAGCTCTCTTTTCACATTCGTGTGAGCTGGCAGCCATCATGCTTCTGATCAACCCTCGAAGCCGACGATTCATCATCCTGGTCCTCCTCGTCGCAACGTTGACTCTCCTACTCCTAGTTGTAGACGGGCCAAGAGCGTACTTTGAAAAACACTTTACGAACCACAAAGACCCCAACGAGCCGCCCCATCCCGAATACCTCCCCGAGCCGACGTGGCTGCCACCCGCAGTTCAAGATCCCTTTCCGGCGCTCGCGACTTCGACTCCCCCACCGATCCCCAAGTGGAACGTCCCGAAAAAGAAACTGCACAAGAAATATGGCATCGAGTACGCGCCGCCGTTGCTGATCGGCTTCACGCGATCATGGCCGATGCTGCTCCAGGCCGTTGTCTCGTACATCACGGCTGGATGGCCGGCCGAGCAGATCTACGTTGTTGAGAATACGGGCGTGCAGCGTGCCAACTTGGAAGGAAAGTTGACGCTTCAGAACCCATACTACATCAACTACGAGCAACTCAAAAAGCTCGGGGTTAATGTTATCAGGACGCCCGTCTTGATGAACTTTGCACAGCTGCAAAACTACTACATCCACCTCTCCCACGAGCATGACTGGCCTTACTACTTCTGGTCACATATGGATGTCCTCGCCTTGTCCTACGAAAGCGGCCAAAAGGGAGTCACTCCGTGGGCTTCCGACCCCAAATACAAGACGGTCTACGAGCTGTGCCTTACCGAGCTCAACTATACGCTCCACACGGAAACGCGGTGGGCCAACGTCTTCTTCGCCTACGACCACCTCGCACTAGTGAACCGCGAGGCATACGAAGACGTCGGCGGATGGGACACGTTTATTCCGTATTACATGACGGACTGCGACATGCACTCCCGGCTGAACATGGCCAAATGGAGGCAGCGAGATGCCAAGGCCGGCATCATCACCGACGTGAGCACCGTCCTCGACGACCTCGGCGCTCTGTACCGCAACACTTCGATCGTCCCGCGATTCACCGACCCAAACCCCCCGCCGCCGAAGCCGGACGACGGGAAAGCCAAGCGCGATGTCACCCCGCGCGACGAGGGAGAAGCCCTCAAGTACTGGCGCAGCCTGTCGAAGATTGCCGAGGAGATGTCGCACTACAAGCACGGCGACCGGGAGCGCAACGTGTGGCAGGTAGGTCAGAAGGGCGGCCGGGGCGAGCCGTTTTACTACCCCGCGACGGGCATCGAGCAGGCGATTGATATCCTGACCGAGGCCGGGCGCGAGATCTTCCGCAAGAAATGGGGGCATCGGGACTGCGAGCTGATCCGTGGCGGTGGGTTGCAGGCCGACGACATGTGGCGGGTGAAACAGGACTGGCGGGACTAGGGCGGGAGATGTTTGAGGTGTGGCATCTAGGAAATGCTCAAGGTGTGGCATCTGGGAGATCTTCAGGGCGTTACATCGGGCAGACGTTTCGTGGGTTTCTGCTGGTTTGAAGCCAAATGAGATAGGGCCAAGTGTGTGCAAAGATACGGAGGAGGACTACAGATCAGATGATGCCATGTAGCTCCATCGCAAGTCCTACCAACCGCTGTGAGATACCGCATTCGATGGAGGGTGTCGTGACGGGGGCACACCACCAAGACGAGATGCCCAACTGTTATACTTTCTGTTGATGCTTGTTGAAGGCATCGTCGCCGGCAGACAACGAGGGCGGACAGCGAGGGAGCCCACCAACAGTGCAACAGCGCCCAACATCGAACGACAGCATCAAAATGAGGCTGGGCGTCACAACACGTAGCACGCGGCCTCACGTTGTCTTTAAAGACAACACGTTCTTCGCGAAGGGCACCACTTCGGACGGGCGACGAGTGACCTGATGCCAATGAAAAAGAGAAGAGCCCCCCACGGGATGGCCTCACGCAACCACTGCCTGACCCTCCGATACTACCTACACGATCTCAGGCCTGGGCCTGCCTGCCGGATGACCCATGTCACCTTACACGTGCATGTGGTCTGCCAACTGAGACAACAGGATCTGGCCTGGCGAAAAGTGCAACCTTAAGGGCCATGGCATTCATTCGCACTGAAGCTCCATCATGGACGACGTGGGGATGGGCATTTTGCAGAGTTCAGAAAGCAGCATCTCGTACGAAGCCGCGAGCCCGGCGTGGCAACATCTCTATTCGGCCGGAGGAGCAGAAAACACGCATCATAGATTTTTTGACAGATCTTTACTGCCGATCATCCGAACTGCCGTGAAACAGGAAACAGCTTTTTTTGTCCCTCTTAAGCCAGCTTCTCTGGAAAGCTGCGCAAAAGATTGGACAGGGGGACAGGGTTCTAAAGCTGCGAAAATGCAAGGGACCAAGGAACCCGGCGCCGCTGCAAAACACAAGCTACGTCATCGACGCAGGACAATCGCAGTACCCAGCGCATCTATTACAGCGCCCAGCGAAACGATCCGCATTTCCCGACCGAGGGGGAGGGGTGTGAATTAATTCGGCACTGCTTTGGTCCGCGCACGAGGCGAACTGGTGGGAGTCTGGTTTCCTTGCGTGGCATGACTGGCCGTGGACTCGAGTTTTGTTGTGCGCTGCCCGTCCAGATCGTGGGGGCGCCGGCCGCCTGGAAGATGACCTCATCGGTGGATCATCTGCACTTGCGGCGTGATGCGGTGAACGAGAGAGCACTGGGAGGCGCTGTTTGGGTGTGATTGCGACGAGAAAAGGCGCCAGAGAACAGACAAGCTTATTCCCTCTTGGGGGATAGTGGCAACGGTCATAGTCGCGTTGTTTACACTTCACAGATGACACTTCCCAGATGCCACCGTTGGGGAGCTCTGGAGTACGAGGTTATTGCCACCGACACGTTCAAGCATAGCACATGAGTTCACGTAGCAGAGCTAGGGGTCAAGCAGGTTGAGTGAAAGTTAAGTTATGGTATTCCTGCCATTCAGTTTGTGGTGAGCTACCTGATGCGCTCCAAAATGTCACCCATGCCCAATGCTCCTCTCTTCTCACCACCAGGGGACACGTCGTCGACTTCCCCGACCATCGCATTTCCGAGTGCTCGCGATTGTCTATCACAGCATCCGAGGAACAAATGCAGGTGCCCGTGCTGAAAATCCAAAAACAGAAAAATCAACCAAATGGGGTATCCCAAATGCCAAGTAAAATCAACGCCCGAGGTGTGCGACCATGTGTGTGTTCCGTCGCGCGCACGCGACTAGATGTGTAGAGAGCTGAAAAAAGTCTAAGTGCGGTTGTGGTAGAGCCAGTGCCGATGTCAATGCGGAGCGAGCAGAGGACACTGGATGTTGGGGTATGCGAGTGGTTTCGGTGAGAGCAAGAGAAGAGCGGGAGATGGGGACGGGATGAGTTGTACAATGTTGTGGTGTAGGGGTTGTTGCTGAGTTGTAAAAGATGAAATCCCGAGTGTATGGTGATGCTGGTATCCGGCGGGAGGTTTAAAAAGCAAGAGTGCGAATCTATGGTCCTTCCATGAGGAGATGCTGAGCTGTTGCGGGTATGATGAGATGCGATGATGCAATGCTGTGTGAGGCCGTGGCGTGGAAGCATCCAAAGTGAGACAAGCCAAAGGAGGTGGGTCAATATTATGTGACGACTGGTGAGATTTGGTGGGAGTGGTTGAAGGGGTCGGTGGAATGTTGTTTGGGTATCATGGTATCGAGAGTTGTTGTATTCCATTCCTCACCGCATCGCCGCCACGGTTGCCCCCATCCTTTGGCTTGCTGCTTGACTCGGATGCGTACTGTCGTGATCCGTTTATTTCTTGTGTGACTTGCTGGATCTCGAGTGGTGTTTCCGGACGCGCTCACGGCCCCGGCGCTCCTCGCCATCGTCGCTGCCGCTGCCACTGCTCAAGTGGCGGCGCTCCTCCTCGTACCAGGTGCTCAGGGACTTGCCGTCAAAAGTCAGGTCATCGTCCTCGATGATTGTGGGCTGGACCCAGGTGTAGGCGCTGGGGTCGTAGTAGTAGTTGGATTGGGATGTAGAAGCCATGATGTCTGATTGTTGTGGTGGTGAGATGAGCTAGAAGGTCGGAGATGTTTGGGTGAAAGTAGGAGAGGAAACGGAGAAAACGCTGGCGATTGGAAGCTAGTTGTAGGCGGCCGGCGCTGCGTTGTGTGATTGTGCGTGATGAAAGGGGTGGAATGTTCGTAGGAGAGGTGGTCTTCTTTGTTTGTCCTGAGAACGGAGTGGACAAGCAAACAAAGGAGCTGGCCTTTTGTTTGTGTGAGGGCGGTAGCGAGGAAGTGCAGTGTGTGGGCTGATGGGTGCGTCAAGCAAGAACCAGCAGAGGGAAGTTGAGAGAGGGTTAAGGAAGAGTCGAATGGCAGATGAGGTGATGAGATGCAGACCCGCGCAAAGGAGAAAGTGGTAAAGGTGAAAAGGTGATGTTGAAGAAGAACCGGGGATAGAAATGGGATGCGAGATGGGGGCGGAGCCGAGCAATATGAACCCTGGGAAAATGGAAAATGGAATTATGGAAATGGGGAACGAGGCAGCCAGAGGTAGCCTCGGTGGCGGGTTCCGGGGAGGGGGGGGAGGGGGGCGTTGGGGCGTTACGGGGGTGTGGTAATTAGGGGGTGATAGGGGGTGGGTTGGCAACGGGGGGCGTGCGCCAGCAGTGAGATTTGGAGGGCTGGGCGGACGACGAAAGCTGGGAAAAGACAGTGGCACGGGCTGCCTGTGCTGGCTCTCAGATGCACTGTGAGACGCTGGAAGTTTTGGTGGAACCGCCTTGGGACAGTGGTGTCGAGGCAGGCTTCGCGGGTACAGTAGGTACCTGTGGTGTAGTGGCGGACGCTGGCCGCTGCGCACTGGGCGGACTGCTCTGCGCTACGTACCTACAGTGGACGGACCTCCGTACAGTGGGCGGAACAGTGGGGGTCCAGATTACGATTCCCCACAGGCTCGTCCCATGCCGTGGGTGGATTGTTCCTTTTTTTTGGGAGCTCCTTTTTGGCTTGTTGTTGTTGTTGTTGTCCCCGTTTCTTTTTGCGGGGAGCGCGGAAAACCGGGGGGGTCGAAGCGCAGAGTAAGCTTCTTCATCGGGGTTTCCGACAAACTCGAGCGAACGAGGTTCGTCTAGTATTATGCTTATGGGGAAGAGGCTTTTCGTCGTTATGTAGCTTCTCGGATTCTCCTGGAAACCGAGTCGTGCGTGCGCAGGGAGTGAGGGAATTTTGCAATGGCGAGGCAAAAAAAGAAGACATGAGGAAGGGAAAAAAAAGGCCGCTTGTTGAGGGGCTTCGTTGGGTTGGGCCGGGTTGGTCGTTGAATGGCCTCGTTGGATGGCCTCCGACTCGAGTTGGATGGAGGGCTAGTCAAGATACGAGTGGGTGGTTGTTGTGTTTCGTTTTTCCTTTGCACATCTCCCGCCGTGGCCGCGTCCGTCTCGCGGGTGTACTCGGTACCGTTCGTATCTTGATGAGATGGGCTCGATTTAGAACTGCCGGACCAGGTCTATTGTCCGTCTCGTGCTGCACCGTATTGCAACGACTCAGCTGTCATAAGCAGATGCGCTCGTGGCCGACGACATGGCACGAGATTGTCCGCCGTCTGTAGTCAGCCAACATGTCGATCCCGTCTCGGCGGTTACATGTGGAAGCGGCTCCAGATAAGTGACCGGGTCTGGCCTGGCAGCGAGTATCTTTTTCGCGCCTGGCCCGAGTCAAACACGCAAACACGGAACGCAGAATGGGTGTGCCGATGAAGCCAGCGCCGGCGACTCGCGACAAACGGGCGGGTTGGGTGGTGGAGCCCCGACACCACTTCTCGGTGTGCTGATGTGCGATCTTCGGAGAAGCTCGGGCCCGCGACGGGCATGAGTCGGTGGTACGATGAGGTCTTTTTCTGTCTGTTCCTGTGTCTGCGCGGGCGATTTGGGAACGGGGCGAGGTGTTGTCACGATTCGTCAGGCGTGAGGGAATTGGCGCTGCATGGAGGAACTGATCGACTTTGGATTTGATATAGTTGGTAATTGCCCGCGCTACATTGCGCAGCTGCGGATTACCGCTTTCGTCAAATAGAATCAAGGCCTGCTGTCGTCCAGGTCTGGACTCCGGCGGTACTGGTACCGGCCGGCAAGGCAGCCCAGCGTAACCAGGACATGGACAAGGCAGCATGGGAGGATGCATTTGCTAGGCAGCAAAATACTATCGAGATACATTTGACTACTACCAGGGTCTGTGGCTTTGATCAATATTGGAACCACACTGGCTGACATGCCGGGGGTGCGAGATGCCATGCCACGCGATACACAGATGCCCATGTTTGTGGAGAAGCATCAAGTCCATCTCATTCGCACCCGCAACCCCGGTCCGCCGTGGTGACACAAGCCGGGCGGCCACTGAGAGCAGCGCTCCCAAGATGGACAACGCCGTGGCCCGAACGGAACGCTGATGGAAGGCAGTGCTCGCGGCTGGCTGACCATGCTACGTAGTAAGACGACGTCGTGCGTGCTCTCGAAGCGGAAGCTGACAAGGCTGTGGGCGCGACGGCACGGCCAGGCCCGGGGGCGGAGCTGACGAGGTCCCCCATGTGCAGGGCTTTGGGGGGGAAGCCCTACTACGTAGCATATGTCTCTCGTCAGAAAACAGCCAGCCTGTATTCATCCGTACACGACTGTATATGGGATGTGTGCGGGAGAGGCTGAGAAGAGGCGTCGGTGCGGCGGGCCTGGTCTGCCTGGACTGGGCCGGGCTGGGCTGAACTGGGCTCGGCTGGGCTGCGTCCCGCGTCCACCAACGTGCTGCGCAACAGCTTGAAAGCTGAGAGCTGAAGAGATCATCTGCAGCGAGCTATCTGCCAATAAACCCCCAATGCCAGCTCCAGCCAGCCTCCCATGAGAATGCGCCGGGAACCCTGGCCAGGAGGGGGCGCGCCTGGAGCATGTGCATCTCGTTGGTCTGACCCGGCCGACAGGGTCTTGCTTCATCGTGGGAGGGTTTCCCCGCGTCCGTCACATGCGCGGAGCTGATGATGATGATGATGGATTGACGAGGCAATGTAATGCATCCATTGCGGTGAATCAGAAAAAAGAACGCGTACAGCTATGCGCCACGGCGACGCGGCAATGGTGCAGCATCACGGGTGGTAGTACCAGATGGCGAGCACGCAGGCAGAGACGGGCTCTAATCAGACAGCTCTAGAGATAGCTTCGCTCGGCCGAGGAAAACGGAATCCATAATAATAATCGAGGATTCCACGCTTGGTCGCGAGCCGGGGTGGCAGCTTTCCCCGCAAGCAAAAGGCCCCCCCCGTGGGCCCTATCTGTCTTCTATCTGAAGCCTTTTTGTCCCAATCGCCCCGTCATCGTAATCGAGACCGAAGTCGTTGGGTCATGCCACTCGGCGATGGCCTACTTGGCCCAACGCCCAGAACTGCCTCTTCAGGCGAGGACCCAGCCGCGCGCGTTCTTCCACGCGCACGCCCCCGCAGTCGATGGATCGAAGGCCCGTCTAGAGCCACACTCCTCCAGATGGAGGGCCTCGCTGTGTCGTCTTTGGCTCCCCCTGCAGGATGTTCGGGCTGGCTGGGCTGGACCGCTCTGCACGCAATCTTCAGCAGGGCTGCGAGCGTCCCGTCGGTCCCGTCGCAGCCCTACTGCGTGTTCGTGTTCACGGGCTGCAAGCCTGAAGGGAAAAGAATGTCTTGCACTTCGTATTTGGCAGCAAACGAGCTGCAGTCAGCTAGCGGTGACGAGTTGCGTTGGGCTTTGACTGGGCCTGCTGGGTTTGCTGGGTTTGCTGGGCTTCATCAGGGCGATTCATTCGGTGGGGACAACGCATCAACAAAATATTGCTCTGCTGGCCGGGCCTCCGCCAAAAAGCAAGGCGACCGACGTGCGTAGCTACGGGCCCGGCACCCGCTACTGATGGGTTGTCCGCCGTACTGCACCCAGTCGTGTCCGCCCGGTTGGGTTGCACACCTCGGAATGTCTCGATGCCCTCCTCGAGCGCTGCCGTTGGCCAGGGCCGCCCAGCACCTGACTCACTCTTGTCTGTCGCAGCGCCATGCTTCCCGTCGTGGGCGACCAGAAAAATTTTCCGCCCTGAGCGAAAATCGTCTTGACCGCCACTGATAGGTGTCCGGGTCATGATCGAGTCATGGGTTCCGCGCAAAGCTTGTGTTTGTTCTGGGTGCGGCTCCGGCTTTCGCAAGGAGGGTGGTACAAGCTGTACTGTACAAATGTACGCTCGACTGTACGCTTCCTTGCCATGTTTGTTTCGTCCGTCTGAACTGGGTCCGGCCCCGTTCAGCCACGCCAAGGAGCTGGACTCTGCCCAGAACCGGGCCAGTCCCAAGTCGAGAGACTGTTCTAGTACCGGTACAGTACGACGCGAGATGCAAACTGTATTCCCACATTCCCACTGCAGATGCCAGCCGATGCCAGATCCCTTCCCCAGGTCCTCGTCTCCGCCAGTCGCCTTTGATACATTTGCTTCTCCTCTACAACCCCGCAGCTGCCAAGGATCCCCGCCGGCCGCCCCCTCCCCGGCTTCGGCCTCGGCCCGGCCGTATGGACGGGCGTAGACATCCGTATCCGGCGCTCCGCCCGCCAGAATGACTGCGTGGTGACTCTTTCAATTTTCCTGTGTTGAAGAAACAACGGGATGTTGTGCGGTACACATCAAAATATGCACCCCCCTTCCACCCGGGGTCCTCGCAGTAGCGTAGCCGAGTTTAACATCCTCGTAGCTAGTCGGACCGGCAGTGCCCTCGTCCCCTCACTCTTATCAATGGTCTAAAGCTGGAACAGGAAGGAAAACTGGCATCAATTCAATCGCTCCTCTTTCATGCGTTGCGGGGAACTTGGACCGCTAATTCCCGAGGAATCAGCGATCCCCCGCGCGGTAAGCGATCTCGGTTTGTGGGCGCTTTCAGGGTTCAAACCGCACAACGCAGGTTTGACAGGGCACCTCACCCAACGACGTCATGTCGCCATTGTGCCCAGTATCATCAAGAGTCAGCACCTCCACTCAACAGTCCCTCTGGCTTTTATCTACCGTCGGCAGGGAATTGCGGAGGAAATTCTGTCGGCAACATGTCCGTTTTCAGCTGATCGCCTGTAAATCGTCATCCTTCTGACACCGTCCCGCGCTGTCATAATGCCGGCACCGGAATCCCGTCTCGGCAATGATGTCACCACTCTGCATCCCGGCCACTATGCCGTTTCCCGCCTGTCAGCGCCCCCTGCGGCTCTTGATTTTCTCCGAGATCCACGGGAGGCAAACCGGGCTTCTGGGTCCATAGGGTGTGTGTTTACAACATTGTTTTGCCACTGAATTTCTTTGCTTTGTTGAGTGACTGCGCAGTGCAGATGTCATTAACATTTGAGGAAGGGAGAGTGGCGGTTCATACTCATCCTTGTCGATGAGGCTCATACCAACCCGGCTCATGACGTCTGCATCTGAATCCTCTCACCAACTTTGTGCATCGGCCTATCCAAAGCAAGGAACCAGTATGTGAACCTAGTCTCATCTCTGAAGCACGGAACTAGGAATTCACTACCTTGGACGTCCTTAGATCTCGCGGACCAGACAACCCCTCACAACGAAGTTGATGTGTTCAGAGTAAAAATTCGACAGGTATTCTTTTCTCTTTTGGCGGTTTGAAGTACTCAGAGAAGAATCACTGAAGGGGATTTCTGACCTCATAATAAGCTGAAGCTATGTCGAACACGTTTCTTCAATGATATTGTGGCTGTTAGATGCCTGATCATCAGCGAACTAATATCATCTTAGAAATGACTTGAGATAACCTGGGCGTTTTTCTTGCTTGGGCTTGCTAGTCTCGACATCTTAAGCTTCGTCCCGGGTATTAAGCTAATTCCTCCTTAGAAACCCTGCTGCCTTAGATCGAAGGTAGCAAGCATCAATCACTTTGGGTAAGAGCATTGCTATTCGCACACAGGTACAAGCTTCTTTTCCAAAGCATCAGCTTAGTTAAACTAGGTACCAATCTGTCTTGCGTATAAGTAAGTCACATGTAGTACTGAACACAATGTCTTTCTTATTAAATGAGACCCAATTAAAAAAAAAGTATGACGATGAAAAATACTAAATATTCGTATTTATTATTAGTAGGAGTGAGAATATAGTCGTGTGTGCGAATAGCAATACTCTTAGCTAATACGTCCATCAATGAAATTTGCACACTGAATAAGGTAGGCAGGTGTTATTTCTCGGTGCTAAATAAACATGAACTGCAGACTTCTAACAAGTTTAGCAACCCCAACGTCCAAGAGTCATCTTCATCCAGTTATCAGTAGACCTCGCCAGTATCCCAATTCCATCACTCGGGTTCTTGTGAAACACTCTTGCTTGCGGTTTGGATCAAATGCTCCAAGCGGTTGGAAACTCACACTTTGGAAGAGCCTGTGGTTGTAGTACATCCGTGGTTATCGCACCAGGTGATGTGTTTGGTGTCTTGGTCAGTGAAATGCCCATAACTGTCTGGGTCTAAGTGCTTGATCCATAGCCCCGGCGTGGGCTTACCGTGGTGGGTTGAGACTTGAAGAAGAATATGGCGGCATGGCCGGGATTGCATCTCGCACAGTGTAATTGATTGACGACGGTCGCGACGCGTGCGCCAAAATCAGGCGCTGCTCAAGTCTGTTGACAGTACTCACAGAAAGAAGGGCATTTGGGTGCAGTGGTGGTGGTGGTGATCTGACTCTGACCGTGGGGTTCTGCCGTTGGTTGCCTGTGCTGAAAATCCAATCTTTCCATGCGTTAGATAAGCTTTTAAAACGGTGAAGTTAGAGTAGTTTGTGTTGAGGCATCGTTGGCAGAGGCGTTGTTAAGAGACTCGGGATGATTCCGTCCTCCATTCTCTCCTCGACCACCTCGACCACCCCGGCCACCCTGAGCTGTGCGGGATCACGGCGTATGACCGGAGGCATCCCGCCAGGAGGGTTTGATCCCCTTATAGTAAACTACTAGAAGAGGCGCGGCATTGACAGCACTCTGGCCAAGAGAACTCCGCAGAGAAGGTGCGAAGGCACAAGTAAACGCGGCGAGAGTGCCCTCTTCAACAATATCCGGATCGGAAACCGAGGGAGCGTTGGACAATCGCTGAAGAGATGCCACCGGAGCAACAGCGGCATAGTCATCCCGGGAGTAAATGGGTTGAGCAGCGTACAAACGGGCAACAAACTCAGCGGGATCGGAAATATGGCCAACCAGGAATATTAGCAGAGGCTCGACGAAGATACGAGGGTTAGAAGCTCACAACATGAAGACACCAGAGGGTGATCACCTCTCGGAGGGCGACCAACTCCTGCACTTGCACACTTCGGTAAGTCACATCTCGGAGTCTCATGCTGGCGATCTCTGCGAAATCGTGTGGGAGATAGGCACCCAGCCGGTGCCGAAACCGAAGACCATCACGGGCATCATGGTTTCAACAACAGATTTGACCGCCACGCTGGGGTTGAGAATACATCCCTCCGGAACGAACCACATACCGCAGATGATCAAGTAGCGGCGGGAGACTGGATGTCGCTGGTGCGACGAGCGACGCAGTTGACAACAAGACCCCCGATCTGAGCGAGTTAGCAACAAAATCCTCCGCCAGGAAAAGGGTATCATACTGCAAGACTCAGTTGATATGCTCCCACCACAAAGCCGCGAGCTCTGCGCGGTGTAATTTCGGCTTGGTAGATGGACACCGCTAGATGTAGGAGAGGATTCTCGTAGCAGGGATCTGGTTTCGGTTCTTTGAAGTGATGATGATGGTCGTCGTCTTGCGGATGGCGAGATGCCGCAGAAACGCGATCTTGGCAAAGCTGAGTAGCCTCCGCGACGATGACTGTGACAGGGGGCTGGTTAGACTGAAGCAGTGTAAACCCTGTCAGTTGGTATTGAAAGTAAATAGGTAGGTTGCTAAAGCGGGAGTCACGACTGTCTGAGGGAGTATACAAGGTTATATACGCGGCATCATGCGAGCTCAGTTTGCAATTAAACCTTACAAGGAGGGAATCCTGCTGTCTACGCACCTCCAGTACATGTGACGCTTGTCAGATTTAGGGACACAGAGATGATCTATGCCATTAGAGTCACGCCTAGGCACTGAGGTCTTGGTAACATTTTTTTCGGAGACAAGTGCAACTCACAATATACGGGGAAAATAAGACCGAGTCCTACCTAAATTTACCGTATGGAGGCGCAGCAGAGCTTCAAAAACAACTAGCCCGAAGCTACCTTGGCCCCTGATCGCTTCTCAGCCTCTAACGCTTCTTTCTTCCTCTGCTCCTCCTTTTTTCGTTCATCTAGCGTAGCTTGGTTCGAGGCATTGATTGCCACTATGACCGAAAAAATAAACCAAAAGACCAACACAACCAATCCGAGCATTAGCAATTGTGACTTCATCGGACTATTTCTAGGCTCGCGATCGCCCCAACTCCAGAGGATTGCGCCATCCAAGAACGCAAGGAACAACCACGTAACTTGACGAATCAGCAAATGCAAATCCATCATGGGATATGACTTACCATTAGAAAAGATGAAATCCCCGTCCCGAAAGGGAACGGTGACGAAGGCACTCAGAAAAACGAGCGATGCGTAGTAAAACGCTGCGATGCTTGATTAGAATATACCCAACACAGGTGAATCTACCAACTAACCTAGTGTTGGATCCAAGTCCACCATTGTGCATTGATATATCCTTCTTCTGGCTTCACTGGAAAGCTCGTCGATGATGGTGAGAAATGCGTAGTAGTATGAAAGAAAAACAAGGGGACCATGGAGCAAGATGTGTGAGTTATGTAGCTAGACGGTTCTCCGCATAATGACAAGGGTCGCGTTGGTTGCCTCGCACCATGAACAGTATTTGGCTTGGCGTTCGGATACTCGGCGTAAACAGAACAAGCAAATTGACGCTCTTCGCCTCTTCCTTCATCAGCACTACTCGTATTAGCGGCGATTCAGCCCCGAATGTGGGTCTAATGGTGCACCCGTCACTTTGTGTCAGTCGGTGTGCAGCGTGAGGTCAGCAATGGAAATAAAGCTGGTATAGCGGAAATCTAACTTTTGACAGCAAATCAACACTTTACACTCTCATACTCTTGGCAATGTCACATTTAGGCATCTCTAGATATGCTATTGTAGCCTGATCAGCTAGCCATATGTCAAAATGCGACAGGGAACAATTACCTCAGTGAAAGTCCAGCACCGAGTTGCTTTCTAAGTAAAATAACATGTGGCACACAGAACCCCCTTTGACTTAGGTCGAGATAGTCGTAGACTGTCGGGGTTGGGGATTGGGGCTCTTGCCTGGTCACACATCTGACGACGAGGATTAGAATGTATCCAGCCCACAGCTAGATTAATTTGGGGATTTTGTTTAGGTTACTTAATATAATCAGATAGATCAAGGCCATGCAGTATTTGCAAATAATAGAGATAAAGGATTAGTGCTACACCCAGCACCAGAAGAGACAGTAACAGCGGGATTTATTTGGACTAGAAATCCCATTGCCCAGAGTCCACTTGTATGTAACACTGAAGATCAAGATACCTGTTCAAATAGTCACAGCACACCCCCTGCCTACACGATGAAGAACCTCCGGTGCACCAATCTAGGCCTCCCCTCTTCGCATAATAGGCCTCTGTCCCTAAGCAATGCCTGGAAGTTATGAGCATCTCGTTTCATGCGCTAACTTGAGACTCAAGAGAATTGAGTTCCAACCCTAAGTAAAATCTCTGACTGGTTGTTTGGGTAAATGTTGGCATGAAGACTTTGGACCTCGAGTTTCTGTTCTGCGAGTAAGGAATGGTCGGGCTCGCATATCAAGGAACCTGAATCCTGACATTGAGGTACATCAGAATCTCTGCTACTTTAGTTAGAAGGGTTAAAACTTGCTGCCTTGAGTGTTTAAGTGCGAGAGGCAGCTTACAATGACGGCTTGATTCTGAGTTCGCATGTAATTCTCTGAGTGGAAGATGACATATTGGTTTGGGGTCGTGTGTTTATCAGTAAAGTAGTGGGGTTTGGATGGATGTCGGGTTATTCAGACACAATGGGACTAGAAATGACAATGTTTGGAGACTGCAAGGAGCAGGAAGAGGATTCGAAATGATTTATTCCAAGACTCATTGAACTGCAGTCCATGCCGCGAATCAAGGTATGTATAGAGGATAAGGTCACACCGGGACCACATGGATTCGCCAAGTTGTGTGAGTGATGACACACCTGTGGTGTTGAGCCTGAAATGTCCCGCAGAATTGTCCCGCCATGTGCTGAACTCGGACACAAATGAAGTATACCCATCTATCATTCTTCCCAATGCGCTATGGTTGACACAAGTCTGCTCCCATCGACTGTGTGTCAACAAATACATTAATATGCGGGCCAATTCCGTGGTGTGCCAAGTACCCTTGCAACTTGTTGGTTGTGTGAGTGTGTGAAAGTTGACCAATCAACTTTCGTAAACCCCTGCATTCCTTTGTGTCAACACAACTGTGTAATTCTGCCTTAGGCAGCAGAGAGGCCACCCTTGCTGATATCCCATAAATCCACAAGGCTGGGTCATGTTCTCTCGCCTTGTCTTGGTGGTTTCGTCAAAGTAGGATCTGGGTATCACACACTCCGCAACGCCCTGTTCCCTAAGATCAGGTAGTGGTCCATTGGCATCATAGGATCAAGTTCAATCTTCATCCGTCGCTTTATTATATTCTCTGCGCGACAAATTCGCTCCAATGGATTCTCCAACACCACCCCGTCAAATCAAATTTATGCGCAGCAGAAGAAGGTTCCCTCCCCTCTTTCAGTCATCGGCCAGTGACCAAGAGAAGAGATTGTATACAAACGCGGCGGGCCTTGCTACCTCTAGTGTGAATGAGCACTGCAACGAAGTGGCCCCAAGCAGGATAGAACATTCTGACGCTCCTTTGATCACCCTGAGCGGAGATCTTTCAAAGGGCGCGGTCATTGGATCAACCCTGGATTCACATCGAGGCCTCATTTCGCCCCGAACCACTCTATCACCATTATCATCAACTCTGCATGCCAATCGCAAAAGAAGCCGCTCCGCGGATCCTATTTCACGTGAAAGCGTATCCAAGCAAATCGAGGCCCCAGTAAACTTTCGCCATGGGGTCACAAAAAGTCGTCACGATATCCATAGTGTCAATGAGCTCTATGCCATGCGGGAATTCAAAGAGAAAAATGCAGCTGTGGAAGAATGGCTGGCAAATTCCGGTTCTGGCACAGCATGGGACCATACCGAAGCCGACGTCAACTCGTCCAACTCTTTGTACGAAGGAATTCAGCTGAAAGACATCGACCTTGGGCACACATCGGAGAATATATTGATTCCACACCAACTATACTACAACCTAGAAGGTGGAGGATCGTTCACTGAAGTTGACCTACAGTTGATACGCGAAAGCAGAAACTGGATAGACCATCCTGTCCTTTCCTCAATACTCTCCGGGGCATTCAAGCCGTGTCAACCAGCTTCTTCCCAGGCTGCTATCGCGAAATTCGAGCGTATGTGCCAGGGGAGTGACTCTGTCGTTTCAGGAGAGGCATCATGCGGCACAGAACGAATTTCCTGTGCATCAATCACCGGATCGGGAAGCATGATAGGCGGAAATATCGTGAAAAGGTTCCTGTCACCTCCCATTACAGACATCTCAACGCCTGCTTTTGCCATAAAAGACGCGGCAGTCAGGTCACTGCCAAAAAGTAGCACGTCTCTCGCCTCGAAATCTGCTCATAATTTGAATGCAGATCCAGATCACGGTCAAGGTTCTATGGATCATTTACGCAAATCTTATTCTGCGGAGGATGATGGGGCTGTCTTGAAAGTCACGGGATTGCCATCGTTTAGGGATGATCCGTTCCTTGGTGTCAACCTTGACGATCCTTCGCCCGAAGAGGAGGCAAAGAAACTCTTCAATTCGGAGATGAGCTTACTGGACCTTTGGAGGGCAGGAGGCGGGCCTTCACCAGCTACACTCTCTAGGACTTCAGAAGCGGCTACCTATACTAACCTGAAAACTGATGGAGCCAGGCCAGAGTACAACACCCCCGCAGACACTATCAAGCAAATTGACGACGATTGCGAGAGCACGATTGCCGCCGAGAACCCACCAGCAGGTAGCCTTGGAACCGCCGAGGAACCGAATCGTACTGAAGGTACGACAAAACCGGCCCATGCCAGGCGACAAGTTGGCATAGCGCGTGTTCATATTGAGATTCTCTCTCTTCAGAACAGTCATCGCACAAACAAGCCAGACGACGATGACACAGATAGCTCAGGGGAAGAATCTGATTTTGAGGACATAAATGAAAATGGCGACGCAGGGACCTTTGACAGAAACGATACGCCAGATCTGAATCAGCCCTTTGACTCATCTGAGGATTCATCGTCGCGATTAAGAAGCAATCACCTCGATCCATCAGGTGGAAACAACCAGGGCGAAAACTCGGGGCGCGGGAATGATAACAGAAAGCCTTCACGCCAACCAACCGCATGTCCAAAGACTAAAAAGCAGCTCCTGCGGTTTGCATGTCCTTACCAAGCCTTCGAAACGTCACAGAGCTGCTTCAGGCAAGCACCGCGCAATCCGGAGGGTGGGTGTGCCGGGATTTATCGGTTAAAGTAAGTGCTCAGGATGATACAGTAATGGTACTTATCCATGGCTAACTATAGCCAGGCAGCACTTGAACCGTAGACACATGCTTTCTTACCGATGTCAGCGCTGCTGGAGATCATTTGAATCCAAACGCAAGCTTTCCAGTCATGAGAAGCAGCGGGATCCCTGCGAGACTAGAGAAATGCCTGGTGCAGAAAGATTTATGAGTGCCGAAAACGAGACAGAGCTTGAGAGGGTTTGCTCCTCGGGCTCGGACGAGGAGACGTGGTGGAATCTGTTCCAACTACTTATCCCAGGGATGCAGGGACGTGATTTGGACTCGCTAAAAACCGAGTTCTGGCCATGTGAGTTGATCACATACCCTACTCAGAATCCCATTGACTTGTCTCCAGACTATATCCACTTGGATTCCTTCATGATCCCTGCGATAACATTTTCAAATGCATCATTCCAGCTACTGGCGACTGGGCAATCAACTCTTCAAACCGGCACACCCAATGGGTAAGTAAGGATTGATTGAAGCGAATTATTCCAGTTGACTATCATATACGTTCCAAATGTTGACACGTGGAACAGATACGAGTCTTTAGACCAAGTTTCGTCGGACTCCACATCCGTGGTTGGCACCAGATTGTTCTCTTCAACGTCAACACCGTCGTACACGTGGTCTGTCCCACTACTTGAAGTACCCGGAGATCATCAACGAAACGCAAACCCTCAGCCTCTACAGATATATACACCATCCCAAAGTGGGGTTGCTTCAACAAACTCCAACTCAGCCCAACAGTCCCTAGCTGTATCAGACCAGACTCAGCTGCGACGAAACCACGAGAGACTCAAGGCTCGCAACTCACGGGCAGAAGCCGAAAACAGTGAGCTGCGAGAGAACAATCGGTGTGTCCGAGCAGATCTTGGCCGTGTGGATTCAGTCTTGGATGATTTGTTGGCATCAGAGGATCTGCCTAGCCACGTATTTGACAAACTTTCCGAGGTTTCCGAGATTCTGCTTTTGATCAAGAGCAGAATACGTTGATTAGAATCAGCTTTGTTTCGAAGGTAAAATTCAAATGCGGCGTTCAGATTGCTACCCACTGACGCTGAGAGGCTTTTCACAAAAGGAATGAGTGCATCCTGGTTGTTCTATCGCCCTCTTATTAGTCGTTCTGCCGTGAGACAGGCTGGTCGTATTGAGGTTTTTTTTTATTTTTTTTTTTTAAATGGCAGCTAGGAATGCCTATGGCTAGTCAACCCTCAGCAGTATGAAATGGATTTTCGAAGAGTTACGTGCGTGGTTCAATTGTTTGACGATATTAGCATTTCATAAGGGGAATTAATGGTTGTAAGTTAAGTTACGGAGTACTCCGTGTTGTCCCCAAAAGTGGCTATCACGAGTGATCGGCGAGAGTCCGTGCGCTCGGACTACTCCGCTCACCGGTTTACATCCGACCGAAGCGGACGGCTGCATCGGCTTGGCCCCGATTTTGAACAACTTCTCACAAATATCTCTCCAACTTTGCCAGTTCATAATCCCTTATCTTGACATTATTAGTTATTCCAGAAGCGCCGATTACGTTCATCCGCCATCCAGTATTATGAACGCAGCTATTGTTTCTCGACTTCCCCGTTGCCGCGTATTTCTCTCGCGGAAAGTATCTGGCTTTGCCGACCTACGAAGCTTGCGCTGGCCGCAGCCTATGGCCCGATCACTGTCCACGGATAATACTATGCGGGTTGCTGTTCTTTACCAAGCACTAGAGCCCCCCATCATTAATGGTGTTCGTAAACCGAAGAAACCAGGCGGTCCGTCCCTCTTTCTGAGTTCTAGCTTGCATTCTAACTTACCTTTCGCTAACCACCCTCATGCAACAGGCTACCAGGACTCCGGTGCTGATATAGGGTTTAATCTAAGCCAATGCGAGGATGTGGAAGTTGTGACTCCTTCTGCGAGCCCCAACGCCGCCAATGATGGTGATTGGTGCTTTCCCGATACCGAGGAAGGAATTTTGGATGCCATTTCCAAGGGTGCTACGTACCTCTGGGCAAACACCATCGTTTTTGCTTCCCATCCTTTACAGACATCCTCTCGCCTAAAAGACTACGAAGAGCGTCTTCGAGTTGTTGGCCAGGGGCCATTGGTTGTGGACAAGTACGACGACAAGGAGTTTGTCAACAGTTACCTCCGCGCGCTCGGCGGCTTCACGATGCCCCGTAGTTTTACTGTCCCTTCCATGTCGAGTATCTCTTCCGAGATTGGTCAGCTCTCATATCCGGTGGTCGTGAAGCCAATTCGAGGCCGGGGCAGCTATGGCGTCAAGGTCTGCCACAATATGGAACAACTCCAAGAACACGCCCAGGGCCTCTCCAGCGAGTCAATGGCATTTATGATTGAAGAGTTTCTTCAAGGAGAGGAGGCAACAGTTACAGTAATGCCTCCTACTCAGGATGGTCAGGGCTATCGAGCTCTTCCGATCGTCTCACGCTTTAATCACCAAAACGGCATTGCACCATACAACGGTGTCGTTGCTATCACCACAAACTCAAAGCTTGCTGAAGACGCTGCTATCAATCCCACATACGCCAAACTCTCCGTGGAATGCGAGCGTGCCGCACGTGTTCTAGGTTTGACTGCGCCTATCCGCATCGACGTCCGCCGCTTCAAGAATACAGCAGACTCACCATTTGCCCTGTTTGACGTCAACATGAAACCGGTAAGTGCTCTGTGCGCATATCGTATTAACCCTATGCTTTAAAAGCTGACTGTTATTTTTTACTCCTTGAAGAACATGACTGGCCCAGGTCGACCAGGTCGTGATGATCAGGCCAGTCTGTCGCTCATGGCCGCCAATGGCCTTGGTTGGGATTACAAGGAGTTCCTGAGACGCATTTTGGAGACTTCTAAGTCCTTGAAGACTTTGAGGAGCTTAAAGCCCGTAAATGGGAAGAGTGAGGCGTGATATCTGAGAAGCATGTCGAAAGAAATTTGATCTACTCCTGCTTCTCCACCGCATTGCCGCGGGATGCAAGTCGGCAACCGACAGACTGTGCTCCGAAGAGGATGGCATTTGCTCGCTGCGTATGTTACATTTCAACTCGGGAATAAGCTAGGAGAAGCTAGCCGGTGTAACTCGGAGCCAATTATTTTCCACTGAAAGGCATCCGCGGGGTACGAATCATTTATGTAGTTAGGGATTACATAAGAAACTTGAAACTTCCGGACGGTCAGATGCGTTAGCCCACCCCTCGACTAGAAATCCTCACCGAACAAGCTTCATCTCACCGTCACGTTTTGGCTTCATATCACACCGCAGCATCCCAAAATATGTCCACAATTCACATATTGCGTCATGGACAAGCACTCCACAAGTAAGCATGCCAACAAACAAAAGTTGAGATCGAATCTAACCGCCTATTCAGCGTCCAGAGGGGCTATCCACACCGAGATCCCCCATTAACAGAGCTTGGGATACAGCAGGCAACGGACGTGCAGCCGCCAACAACACCCGATCTCATCCTCATATCCCCCATGACGCGAACTATCCAGACGGCCCTTCTCGTTTTCCCCCACCTTCTCTCCACTTCTCCTGCCGAGGTCGAGGTTCAGATCTGGCCCGACCTGCGCGAAGGATACGACGCGATCTGCAACAAGGGTGTCGCGCGGGCAGACATTGCCGCCAAGTTTCCCCAATTCGATTTTTCGGCCTGTTCCGAAGAATGGGACTATCCTCCACACAGCCCGGAAGATGCAACAGCACGTGCCGAGAGGGTTCGTCAACGCCTCCAAGTTCTCTCCAAGTCATACAAGAACATTTTCTTGGTCACGCATCGCGGTTTCATTGCGTTCCTTGTCCAAGGTGACAGATTTGATGTTTGCGGTATGGCCGTTCTGACGTCATCACATCCGTTCGGATCCCAGCTAATTCCTCTCATGTAGAATGTCGCTCTTACAAGTTTGCCACTGAGGATGAAGTGGGCGAGAAAAGGTACGGTGTCAATTGTGACACGGGTGCCCAACAGGATTTCGGGCCCAGTCCATTACTCTCACAACCTCTCACACTTGTAAGTGAAGAGGAAAAGTGAAACCGTCCAGCGATCTAGAGCTCGCGCGATACCCTAGATTCATGATTCCGTAGCTTGCCTCAACGCCGGAACCTATCCGCTCTACGCTGTAGATTAGCATGCATTAGTTGCCAAACTAGCGCCTTGTTCACATGAGGCAACGGAAGCAAGCCGGAAGGACTTGGTCTTTGAACTGACGCGCAGAATGCGATACTACCCAACGACGCATCTCCGACCCCGCGGAGCGACCGGAGAAGTGGTAGCGTCGAGTTAATACCGCAGTGCTGGGTCATGAACCAATTGTGTGGAGTATCTATCTGTGTTTCTCAAGTCTCTAGCGGGGGCAAGAGGAACAAACCGACCACATTTACACACATTTTCCCACTCTCCAGGCCATTGTTCCTTTCAGGGAAAGAAAACCGTCCATTGTGTCCCCGCGCATGAGCTGCCGACCCCGACCACCCGTGAAGTGAAGAGGTTGTTCGCTTATCAACCTGCCTCGTCTGGCATGGTGTCGTGGCTAGTTCCTTGGCATGTCAGCCAACAACGGAACTCGGTGAAGCTACGGCATGCAAGATAACCAAAGTTGAAGGATCTCGGGTCTTAGTGGCGTGGTAAAGTTCTCGAGGCCAATCCGACGAGAGTGCAACCCCATCATTGTCACCCACATGGTTTCCGCCTCGTGAGGGGTAAATATTAACCTTAGACAAAATGCTTAAAGCTAGACAACGCCCATCCTTGCATGTTCCGCGGTTGCTCTTCGTTCGTTCGCATCGTGAATCCGAATTACAAGCAGCCGACTTCCTTGACTGATTTATATAATTTGGTCCATCATGTCGCTTTCGCTACTTGCGATTGTTGGAGGCTTGGCTGCCACAGCTGCTGCGGAGACAATCCACGGCGCCGTCGTCTTCAGCCGTCATGGTGATCGTACGTTGTATTCAGACCCCGCTTCCAGCCAATCTCTGTCCTAACTTAGCTTTTAGGTACGACAAAGTGGTATGGGGCGCAGTCTTTGACAAGCCTCGGTGCAGAGCAGAACTACCAAGTCGGTAGCGAGTATCGCAGCCGTTACTTGGAGGCTGACTCGCCCAACCAAATCCTTGGCATCTCCGAGGACAAATATGTCTCTTCGCAACTCTTCGCCAGTGCTCCAGACCAAGGCATCTTGATGAATACCGCCACGGCATTCCTTCAAGGCTTTTACCCGCCGCTGGGTGAGATTGCGCCGGAGATTGCTAGCCAAACCCTCAACAATGGGACAAACAGCACCAGCCCGATCGACGGATACCAGTATGTTGTCCTTCATGGAATCAACGACAACTCTCCCGACACCATTTGGATCAAGGGCGACGACAGCTGCCCTGCCTACAGAAATTCATCCAAGGCCTTCATGAAGAGCGAGATTTTCCAGGAGCGAGTTGATGCCACTAGCGATTTCTACGCCGGCTTCTATGACGTTCTCTCTGACGGCGTCTATAATCTGAAACCCGAGAACATGACATACGCCAATGCGTACAACATCTTTGATCTCGTGAACGTCGCCCGCATCCACAATGCGACCTCTCCCGCCCGCAACGTCTCGGACGAGGACTTGTTTCAGCTCCGCACCCTGTCGGATTCCGCCGAGCTCGGACTTAACTGGAATGTCTCGGAGCCCGCCCGCGCCATCGGCGCTGAAACGCTGTTTGGTGTTGTGCTCACCCAGCTCAACCAGACGGTTGCGACTGAGGGCAAATTAAAGTTCTCCCTCTTCGCTGGGAGTTACGACACGTTCATGGCATTTTTCGGCGTTGCGGAGCTGCTGGATGTGTCACCCGACTTCCACGGTCTTCCCGACTATGCCTCCACCATGGCATTTGAGCTCTTCAGCGACGACACTGATGAGTTCCCGTCTGACCCCGAGGCCGACCTTCGTGTGCGCTGGCTATTCAAGAACGGCACTACCGGAGAGTTGAACACTTATCCTCTCTTCAGCACAAATGAGGATTCACTCCCGTGGTCGCGTTTCGTTACTGAGGTTGAGGAGCGGGCCATCCTCGACATCGGCGATTGGTGTGAGCAATGCTCGGCTACTGAAGATTTCTGCGCTGCGTATCAAGATGATGAGAGTGCAGAGACCGAGGAAGATGATGACAATGATAAGGAAAGCGGCAAGAACGGCGGCATGTCAAACGCCGTTGCAGGTGTCATCGGTGCTTTTGTGACACTGGGAGTTGTTGGCATCGTCGGCGCAGCGGTGTTTTTGATGAAGAGACGTAATAAGGCTGAGACCCATGGTGAGAAGAGCAGCGTAAGAAGTGGAAGCACGGACGCAAATGCCGCCCCTGATAACGTCTAAACGATAGGATAAGCCAAGAAAGAAGGAAGGAGCAAGGAGGAATGGGATATTCCGCTAAATTGTAGGTTGAAGCTTTCAAGGAGTTTGATCTTGATTTCATCAAAATCTCCATTCGACGGATAATTGCCAAGATTAGCCCCTCGATTATTGTAATACATCCAAATAACCAGAATGCCCTTTCCCCTCTCTTCAGTTGGCGTGTTAATGCAACGATGTTAATGCGAGATTTTATCTTCTCATCCTACCCTAGAGACGAACATAATCAGCGTGGTTAAAGGCTGGTGAACTGCTCATCGTCAAATTTATAATTTAAGATAATGATTGATATGATACACAAAAATTTTTTTAATGTACTAGCACAATGATTCGTCATAGATATTCTTGTGTTCTACACCGATTTTGCCAGTTCGAGATAACTCCCTGAGTTCATAGACGGCTGGCATGCTGGAGCCCAGCAACGAACTGAGGACGTGCGGGACGATAAATCCACAACTGTTTTTGCTTAGCAATCTATCCAAACGCAATATTAAGCGAACCAGGCCTTCCGGTTGACCGGAAGCTGTTATTACTACGAGACCTTAAGGAACAGGGGCAGAAGCCTTGCAACCCAGTCCAGGAGCACAACAGGATGAAAATAATTACTCCAGGAGCGCTTCTATTGGACCAGCTCAAGGTCTTCCAAGCAATTATTACGATGCTTTAATCAATTTCGGCGATAGATGCAGATCAAACTCCGAGAAAAGCCCGAAGAGTTTTGTCTGTTCTAGTTGATCATCGTGAAACCTCAGAGCCAAACGAGCAGCCACGATTGATGCCCTGTCTATCCAAGACCCTCAATGCCCAGACAAAAAGTACGAAACGCGTCGCAGAACATTCCGATTGTCGATTCCAATCGAACGATTTTCATGAGTTGGGTGGAGAATCGACCCTGGTCGAAACAAGGACCGAAACGTGCCAAGCCGCCCACGAGGCGCAGGAAATAGGCGGTAATAACCCCTCGGCACCTTTGAAGCGAGGACTAAAACCAGTGGCTGCTTGGCGAGCCCATGAAATATCCGAGATCTTCGGGTGATCAGTCCGGTGGCTTGTTTGGGTAGGATGGTGGACATGTGGCTTTGGAACGGAACAGACTTCTTTCAGCCGCCGGCTTTTAACTCGACCCAACCACATATAGCACCATCTGTAAATGCTGGAAAAACGCCTCAACACCGTGCCTGGAAAGCTCCCGCCATAATTTTCCGTCTATTAATAGCCCAAACGAGCTCCTGGGTTGTGCTCGGTGGATAAATCTTGAGCTGGGCATCCCTTGATCTTGATGCACCCTGGCCTTCGGTAGGCGCCGCCGCCTGCGAGACGTCCCTGAGATTCTCCACCAAGGTCTTGCGTCGCGAAGTTTTGCACGTGTATCAGGGTTAAGATTGGGAACCCATGATAAGCCCTCCCCTACTTGGGCGAGGAAACCCGGAGCCAACATCTCATTCGCTCGCAGGAGTCCCAGCGTCGCAGCGCGGATCTCGAGTCATTCCCAAAGAAGGCAGCCGGCCTTGTGTCTCGAAGAGATCGACGTCTTGCTACTCCAGGTGTCGCGCGGCTCCGATGATGTTTCTGTCGCTAGCCTCAGAAGTCGCTGCCAAGCGCCGACGACGGGCACAAGCGAGGCGAATCCCTTTTCGTAGATTTTCCAAACGCCTTGAGCCTTCCTGATCGCCGTGATGCGACAGAATCGGTAGCAAACGGTGTTGGCAATGCCGTAGTCACGACAATGGACGATACCATATAAGGCGTCGTGCGAGTCGTCTACTCTCTTCCCATCATCCTCATCACAGTCTTCAGCTTCATCTTCCCTTTTTTACTTTCTCATCTATTGGCTGATCCTGGTGATCCGGCATTCTTTCACTTCATTTCTTTAAAATCCCTCTTTTAACTCTCCGTGCAGGCACATTTCTTTCCTTCACAATGGCTTTTATTCAGACCTTCCTTGCCCAATTGGCACTTGTTACATTGGCCAGCGCCCATGGAGTGATCCTCAACGCTCAAGGCCTTGACGGTTCCCCTGCCAGTGTTGGATTCCAAGGTAGGAGAACAAACTCCTTCTAGGAAATCATTTGTACTCACAAGTATTAGTTGACCCTGCTATTGCCCGAAACTGCACAACCATCAACCCCTGCCAACAAGACGCTACCATCATCCGCCAAGCCGAGATCGACGCCAACGTCGTCAACCAGTGTGGCCGTACTGAGCTGGCTGGAAACATCGACGTGGGAGAGAATACCGAGAACGCCCTGGCTGCTGGACAGGTCACACAGGTTGAAGCTGGAAGCGAGATCACTGTGACGATCCACCAAGTCAATGCCGACGGTGCTGGACCCTACGCATGTGATCTTGACGAGACCAGCAACACCGGAGTCATCTCACAGGTAAGAATGGCATGCAAAGTTGTTTGAAAAAGGACTCGCTAACATAGTTCCAAGAACCTGACTGTTACAAACAATGTTCCCGGCACAAACGGATTTTCACAGGCCAAGACACAATCATTCAACATCACAGTCAAGATGCCTGACACCTTCACTTGCACTGGAGGTGAGAAATCCCACAAGTCCCGAGGAGAGAACTACCGCTAAAACATGACAGCATCAACTGGCAACGTGTGCACCGTTCGCTGCCGCAACAACGCTCTGGCTGGTCCCTTCGGCGGCTGCTTCGCAGTCCAGCAGGCCGACACTGATGAGAAGACCAATGAGGCTGCATCCATCCGTACCGAACAGTCCCTGAAGGCCGTTCTTGCACAGGTACAAAAGGACCAGGCCGATTTCGACGTCGCTGTGAAGGCGAACCAGAACGCTGGATCCGATGAGGCCGCCCAGAACCTCGCCGCTGTCAACGCGATTCTCAGCAACTCTATTGTTTCCAAGGAATCTCCTCAGGAGACCCCCGAAGTGGTTAATGGTGGAGGCAACGTTGCCGCCACAACTACAGCTGCTGATGCCGCTGCCACTTCGGCTGTCGGGAACGGAAACGGAAACGGCAACGGCAATGGCAACGGCAACGGCAACGGCAACGGTGCCGGCAATGACATCGTCACAAGTGCCATCACCCCCGCGACTCCCGCCGCGACTGACGCTGCCGGAGACGCCACTGGGGATGATACTACCGGGAACAACGGAGGAAATGGAAACAACAACAACGGCAACAACAACGCCAACAACGGTAACAACAACGGCAACAACGCCAACAACGGCGGAAACGGCAGGGGCAATGGATTCGGCCGCTTCAGGAACGGAAACGTTGGACGGGCCGCGAGCAGCGGAATGAGATGGGCCAAGCGGGTGGTGGCTTTGTGAGACTCGCAAGTCAATATTGAAACACGAGATCTCAGTCCAGGGCAACCAAGACTGCCGGTTCTCATCACGGGATGGGGGTGAAGCAAATATGTAACTAGTGTGATAGTAAATTGGATCTACTGTATGAGGTATATTTTCGTGCGTTTTGGGTGTAGCGTAGGGTTCGCTTACCATGCATCGGCCGAGCCGTTATGCTTAACTCACAAACTGCAAGTGAACCTGCAAGCCAGCCGAAGCTACGATGAGCTGTCCGGCGCAGTGGATCTCGTCCTCTGGCGTTGCATGTCTCGTGAACGATTCGTGTGGATCACGTTGAGTTGGAGTAAGCCACCCCCTGCCAGCCCATCTGTGAGAAGAGTCGTGTGGATCCGGCCTAACCCCCTCAGTTCTTCCCCAACATTACTTTTTGGGGCAGGGCCTGAATGCCCTGCTGCTGTTGTGCCACTCTCGTGTCATGCACCTTGCGGTCGATAGTCTTGAACTCGAACACGCCCTCCAATTCATTGCGGATGGCGAGAAGCTGGTCTTGAACTTTGCGAATCTCATCGGGTTTGTTGTCCTGTAAAACGTTGGCTTTGACCAGAAGAAACCACCGCTTCTGCATATCGATGGGTGTCAGAGATTCCCAGGCCGGTAGGCTGGGCGAAGCACTGGCTTGTTGTCCCCTCATCTCCATTGGGACATAGTGATCAAGGGGCTTCAGGAAGTAGTGTCGCACGAGGCAGAACTCGACTTCTTCACGGAAGAATCGGTAGACTTCTTCGATTGTCTCGGTCTTAAATCTGAGATGTGTTAGTTCCTGGACAGTACGGAGTGAGGTCTGATCATACTGATAGAGATTATCTCGCAAAACGGAGGGAAGCTTTTTTTGTTCCCAAAGCTCTACTTTCTTGCGCTGGGTAAGAATGGGCCGACCATGTGGCGGATCTGGGAAGTCGGTCCACCGCAACATGCCTGGCGTCGCATCGAGGTCGGTTGCAATGGCATTGGGGCCCATGTCGCGGTCTTTCAATACCTCGTAGCGTAGTTGCAGCACGAAGGATTGCCGGCTGAGATTTTGGTGTAGGTCTTTCCACAGAAAGCCAACGTCTTTACGGATGGGCTTGTCGATTGAGCTCTGGTTGGAGATGCCGACTGGCCTCGGCGGCCCTTGGAAGTAGAGCACGCGGTGGACGCTCTCCCATGGCGACATGCCGCATAGGCCTCCGAGGACAGCGCAAGCGGCGCCGAAGTCGGTATCCTCGACGAGCGCCGTGAGGAACAGCTCGTACATGGTGGCGGAGGGATTCCGAAAACGCGGAACACGACGGTGTGGACACTCTGCGCAGGTGGACTGTACGTTGCGAGATGGATTATGACTCCTTTTCCTTGCAGATATTCAAGCGTTCACCGGGAACAGGGCCCAGGATACTTCAAAACCGCAAATGTCATTGTTTGATGGGTGAGCAACTCCGATTGAAGCTCTGGTGGAGCTTCACCAATGCAAGCTTTTGGGCACGTGATCTCGCGTCAAGCTGTCCGCGTTAGGAGCCTTGGCGAGCACGCCTCCGACATCGACACTCCTCTCCTCAGCGACGGCATCCAGGTTCATGCCGCCCTTCTCCCGATCCCTGTGCTCACAATGGCTCCTGCCAGTCCAAAAGGCAAACGCAAGGCTGCTGATGCACCCGTCTCCCCTCCGGCCATCAAAAGGAAGATCCAGAGCGCAACTACCAGTAGGCTACCGCGACCCTCCCCGAGATGCCCAAGGGAGTACCACTGACTGACTTGGATCTAGAGAATGCTGTCGCAAACTTCTTTACACCGGCATCGCAGAAGCCCAAGGACCCAACGATATGGTCTGAACGAAGCCCCAATGACGACACTCCAGCAACCCTCCTCGTCGGCCGCTACGAACCGGAGGTGAAAGAAGACAAGACCATCAAAAGGATGAAGATTGCTGCGTTCGACCTCGACTCAACGCTCATTTCCACGGCATCAGGGAAGAAACACGGCAGTGGCGCATCCGACTGGAAGTGGTGGGACAACCGTGTGCCTGGGCGACTACGAGAGATGTACCAAGACGAAGGGTATCGCATAGTCATCCTCTCCAACCAGGGGGGATTGACACTCCACTTCGACGCTAACTACAAGGGCCCGAAAGCAGCGGCCCAGAAGCGTGTGGGTGAGTTCAAGCAGAAGTGCAGCGCCATCCTGAGCAACCTGAACCTGCCTACGACCGTCTATGCCGCCACCGGTCGAGATATCTACAGAAAGCCGAGGACGGGGATGTGGAAGGAACTCTGCGACGACTATGACATTCCGGAGGACGAAGTAGACCTCGAGAACAGCATCTTCGTCGGCGATGCAGGAGGACGAACTGCGACGTTGGGCAAGGGACCAGAGGGTGTTGCGGCTGTGGCAAAGGACTTCAGCTGCTCGGATAGAAACTTTGCACACAACGCAGGGGTCAACTACCAGACTCCCGAAGAGTTTTTCCTGGGAGAGAAATCACGGAGTTTTATCCGAGAATTCGACCTGGCCGACTACCCCTACGCTAAGGGTGGCGACGGAGCGCCCGCATCGGACGGGCCCCGCGCCGTGTTTGAGAAGACAAATGGCCAGGACATTGTCTTATTTTGTGGGCCGCCCGGGGCCGGGAAGAGTACCTTCTATTGGAAATACCTCAAGCCACTTGGGTATGAAAGGATCAACCAGGACACCCTCAAGAGTCGAGACAAGTGCCTCCACACCGCCCGGGAGCACCTTGGAGAAGGAGACTCGATTGCAATTGGTCAGTCCCCACAGCGTTCCTTTTACCCCATCCGAGCGGCTAATTGACGGCGTGTTCCTTACAGACAACACAAACGCCGATCCCAGCACTAGATCTCTCTGGATTGACCTCGCCAAGAAATTCGGCATTCCTATCCGATGCGTGTGGTTCTCAACGCCGCTGCCTCTGTGCGAACATAACGATGCCGTGCGCTCAATGAACTCGTCGATGAACCCAGAGTCAAGGCAGGTGTTGCCAAAGCTGGCCTTCAACGGGTTCGCGTCGCGGTACAAGGCCCCACACACAAAGGAAGGGTTCCAGGACGTTGTGGAGTTCCACTTCGAGTTCCGGGGCAGCAAGGAAGACTATGAAATATGGGGACGATACTGGGTGTGAGGGGAACTGCAGCAACATCGTGCGATTCCTCCCACGGGCGGACCCCGACCAGGTAGACACCATGTAATGTCGTACTAGATATACGTGGCTGATGCCGGGATGTATCGGGCAGCACGAAGGGCCAAACCTTGTTTCGAGCAAACCGGCAGTGGCCAGCGAATTGCGACTGATCAGTGAGTCGAGCCTGGGTTGTGACTGGTCTGGACTGGCCGGCGGCGAGGGCACTTTGTTGCTCTAGCCTCGTCTCGTGGACCGTTTTCGCGGACCATTTCGTGGAGCGTCGGAGAGACCCCGCTACCCCGGCCCCAACAGGCTCGACAGCTAGGGAATCCCCCGTCGATGTGGTATTTCATGGCCCGGGCTTCCTCCACCGCGTGCGCGTATTCATCACATTCACCACCTAGACCGGCTGCAGATGAACCAGGGGCCCCCCGCTTTGTGGGTTATGTCGGGGAACAGAAAAAGAGCCGGGCCGACTCCGTGCTCGCGAACCTATCCCGTCGCCTGCAAAGTGCTGACACTGGGTCACAGCTCAGCGCCATGTGCCTTGTTTATGGGGACCATTCGGACAGGTCTGCGGGGAATGCGGAGGCTGGTGGTGGATTCGAACGGGGTTGTTAGTGCGATAGAAATAACCGTATTTCGTCCTTGACTCGTGACGCGGCACACGGGCACGACGGTGTGACAATTGCCGATGATTGCGCTGCGGTATCTTACGGCGTACTCCGTAGCTAAATGACATTCTTCCGGTTTTTTATGCCCTTTGTTTCGTCGCCCGGAGCCTTGATAAACGGCAGTGGCAGCGACTATCTCGACGTTGCCCGTCGTTGTCGTTGGAAAACTTGGCAGTCGTCTGTTATCTATTCCCGCCTCCAATTGGATTCTCCGCCAAGCTTGCGGCTCAGGGCGTTGCCTCTTGGCAGCGTGGCGATGGATGATGTTGTGGCTTCCGCCCGCCGTGGTGGAGGGGCCGCTAACATTCTCGCTTGCCAGATCCCACCGCTCGGCGGCCGTTTCCCGTATTGGACGTCCCAGCGGGTGAATAATACGGGGGAAAAGAGAAGATGAAATAAAAAAAACAATGACAGACCTGGGAAGAGCAAGCTAGCCGTCTCAGCATGGAGAGACGCGCCGGAGAATAGTCCCAGCCCGCTGGTTCCTCTTATACAGTTCCTCCGCCCAGCGATCCAGACTTCTAGAAGTGCTTCCCGAGTGTCACGGTGGCGCCGGGCCATCAACGCCAATTCCTCGGAGCTGACCACACCACACTTAATCTGGCATCTCAGCCGACGAGATTGCCGTGCGGAGAACGTTGCATCCGTAAACCAGACATTACTCGCGCGCCCGCACCCCGGCGGATCATCTTTCCCCTCACACGACACAGGACACACACACTTGCGGGTGGACCCCGTCCCCGTCCCCGTGTTGAGAGGGGGGGGGGGGAAGAATCCTGGTCCCAATTTGCATTTGCTGGCGCTATTACGCGGTGCCCCAACTCGTCGAATCCTACCCCACGAAATTCCCCAAGCATTGTTGGATTGTGGAGGGCGAGCCAAGCGGGAATGGGGAAGCTCACGAACAGCCCATGCGCCGTCGCCGCCGCCTCCTCGCTCCTCCACGGGGATTCTCCGTCAAACGAGCAAAAGATCAGCTCCGAGCCAGAACGCGGAAATGTCTCGGCCTCGGTTTTCGTAAGACCGAGCCGTTAGATCCTGTCTGTACGTACTAAACGGACCTACATGGGTAGATCGGGCGTTGGGATAAATACCAGCTCCAACGTCCTCGTCTTTGCTCTCTTACCACCCTCCCCTCTCTCATACCCTCCCCCCCTCCTCCTCCCCGTATCAATTCTACCCTTCAGAGTCTGTTCAAAATGGCCGGAGGAGTTAAGAAGCCCGTCAACATCTTTAGGTTGAAAGACCTTGATGAGCCCGCAGGCGCCTTCAACTGGCGACTGTGGTTTGCCGTCATCTCCTTCTCTCTACTTGGTGCCGCCCGAGGTATCGACGAGGGTCTTATTTCCGGCGCCTTCAACTCGGTCGACTTCAAGAGAACCATCAACTATGACTCCTACACCACCGTCGAGCAGGCCAACATCAAGGCCAATGTCTCCGCCATGGTCCAAATCGGATCCGTTGGTGGCGCTCTGATGTAAGACCGCCAACCACCCTTGCACTGCAAAGTCGCACATGGCTAACACACTCGACAGTGCTTTCGTTATTTGCGACAAAATCGGCCGTATCTGGGCTACCCGCTTCCTTTGCGTGCTCTGGGCCGCTGGTATTGCCATCTTCATGGCTGGTGGTGTTAACGGCAGCCTGGCCGCAATCTACGCTGGACGTTTCATTGCCGGTCTCGGTGTGGGACAAACTCCCGTCGTCGGGTATGTTGCGGAAGCACATCTGAGTACTCGCAAATCTAACTCTTCGCAGTCCTATTTATATCGCTGAGGTGGCTCCCGCCTCTATTCGAGGTCTCTGCACATGTTTCTTCACTGGTGCCGTCTACATCGGCATCGTGCTGGCATACTTCACCAACTATGGCTGCGCCGTCCACATGTCCGAGCACACCCACAACCGATGGCTGGTCCCCACCAGCCTGCACATCATGATGTCCGGAATCATCCTGATCCTCATGTTCTTCCAGTCCGAGTCCCCTCGTTTCCTCGTGAAGCAGGGCAAGCCCGACGAGGCTGCCATGGTCATGGCCCGCATCCGTCAGCAGCCCGTTGACGGCGAGTACATCATCGGAGAGATCGCCACTATCCAGAACGCCCTCGACCACGAGCTCGAGGCCACCAAGGGTGTCGGTGCCCTCGGCAAGATCAAGGAGATGTTCCTCGTCCCCAGCAACCTGTACCGCCTCTACCTCACCAGCATGGTGCAGTTCCTCTCTCAGTGGTCCGGAGCCGGCTCTATTACCCTCTACGCCCCTGATCTTTTCAGCCTTCTTGGTATTACTGGCACCAACGAGACGCTTCTTGTCACTGCCGTCTTTGGTATTGTCAAGCTCTGCGCTGCCCTGATCTGCGCCCTCTTCCTTGTCGATGTCATTGGCCGAAAGCGAGCTCTTCTCACCGGCATCACCCTCCAGACCATTGCCATGCTCTACGTCGCTTCCTTCCTCACCAGTGTTCCTAAGATGGGCGTTGTTGATGACTTTGTCCTCCCCGAGTCCGACAAGGGCCCCAGCCGAGGTGCCATTGCCATGATCTACATCTCTGGATTCGGTTGGGCTCTGGGCTGGAACTCCATGCAGTACCTCCTCACTGCCGAGCTGTTCCCTCTCCGAATTCGTGCCCTGGCCACCTCGTGGGCCATGACTCTGCACTTCGCCAACCAGTACGGTAACTCCCGCGCTGTTCCCAACATGCTTCTCCCCACCGGCCATGGTGGTATCTCTCCCAAGGGTACCTTCTGGTGCTTCGCCGCCGTCACCTTCATTGGTGGTCTTTGGGTCTTGATCTCGGTTCCTGAGACAAGTGGTCGCAGCCTGGAGAGCATGGATCACCTGTTCGACCTGCCCTGGTACAAGATTGGTCTTTACGGCAACCAGGATGCCGAGCAGAAGGACATCGCTAAGGATGAGAAGCAACGCATTGCTGAGGAGGACCACGGCATGGGCGTCGAGATTGAGGATAAGCGAAGACAGGGGGCTTAGGAAGCGAGTACACTCGCTCCAGCATTATGATTATCGACGGTACAAAATGAGATATTTACGTCATTGTGCTCTTTGAGAGAGGCATTAGGTAGCATCCTAGTCGCTAGTTTTGCGATAGGAAAATACAAACAGACTCAAGTGGTCAAACCATTGGTCCATGAGCCCTGAAGCTCATAAACAATTGCATCCAAACCATGCTTGTGAACCATGCATCATTTCCCCCAGGGATTCAGCCACGTCGTACCCGCTCTCATGAGAGTGTCATATTCATCATCGTGCAATTAACAAGATACTCATGATACACGACTCTTCGTTTGGACTCAGCTTAAAATTATGACAAGGCGAGAGGTGCCTCACTATAATATCGCGGACCTAGTTCGATTACAATACTTTATTTCTCTATATGCGAATAGTAATAATGTTATGGGGCTATGGGGACTACCTTACATGGAAGAGCAGAAAAAGGCAAACCACGCCCGTTCCACGGGTTTATTCCCGACGGTAACCTACTCCACAGTCTTGCTATTATACCCACTCGGGTAATCAAACAGCTCCTTCCCAATTCTTGGAGTCCAGAGGATTCCTAGTGCTTGTTAGGCTCGGTTGAGTTGACTCCAAGATTGTCACCAGGAGCCCAGACTGGCGACGTAGGATTCAGAACAAACTCCTTAGGCGAGGTATCATCGCCACGGGATTCTGCATTAGGTGGAGTCTTGTTTGGTCCACTGTCTCGCGTCGGGCTTCGACTCGGATCAAACGACACGGAGTGAGAGAGTTGTGGCATGTAGTTCGCGGTAGGCGTGAGCTCGTGCGAACTGACGGGAAGACCGGGCAAAGTGTTAACTGGACGATGACCGAGCTGAGGACCAGTGAGCATCTGCGAGCCCACGGGAGGACCAGGCAAAGCAGGACCCGGATGGTGACCAAGCGGAGGACTAGTGAGCATACGAGAGCCCTCAGGAAGCCTAGGTACAGTGGGTCCTTGATTATGACCAAGTGTAGGAACAGGGGCCATATGCGGACCCGCGGGAGGACCAAGTAGAGCCGGGCCTGGGTGATGGCCGAGAGGAGGACCGATGGGCACCTGCGAACCCAGGGGAGGACGAGGGAAATCGGGACCTGGATGGTGATGGAACGGAGGACCAGGTGGAGCGGGACCTGGGTGATGACCGAGAGGCGGACCGGCGGGCATATACGAACCCACGGGAGGACCGGGCAAAGGGGGACCTGGATGATGACCGAGGGGAGGACCAGTGAGTATAGGCGAACCCATGGCAAGACCAGGTGGTGCGGGACCTGGGTGATGACCGAACGGGGGACCGGGGGGCATTTGGGAACCCAGGGGAGGACGAGGGAAATCGGGACCTGGATGATCTCCGAGCATAGGACCAGGAACAGGGGGTGGCGATGGCCCGAAAACCTGGATCAACCTATGCGGAGGATTAGGGTCGACAGACAGTGGAGCATACCTACTCGGAATCATGCCCAACGGAAGGTTGTACAGTCTGGCTTGACCTCTGTCATTCTCTTCGAATCCAGGGGGTGTTGGCGGAAATACCTGTCCCATATTATTAACCCATGACCCCTCAGGTAGGGGAGAATCCACCTGAGGGAGAGGGAGTTGGGTGGCTTGGTGAAGGAGCTGGACAGCTGGGTTAGGGAGAGGGACAGTTGGGTGAGGGAGCTGGATAGCTGGGTGATCAAGCTGTGTGTGAAAAGGCTGGATAGCTGGGCGAGGGACCTGAATAGCTGGGTGGGGGATCTGGATAGCTGCACGAAACCTTCTCGGAGTTTCCCTTATCTGGCCTTGACCTTGGGCGGTTCCAACCGGCGGGTATGTTGTTCGGGTACCAGAGAACTCATCGCTTCGGTCTGATGTTGCAGACAGACCCGCAATGCTCCGGTGAGACTTGGTCGAATTGGAAGAAGGAGACTGAGGCGAAGGGTCACGCTCAGTCGAGGTGTCATCAGCATTCCAAGTTTGGCCCAGGCGTGATGGGTTGGCAGGGGTATACGCTTGGAAACTCGGCCTGCGTAGAGGCTCATCCGGCGACAGGGAATCCTTTGCCGTAGCCATGGCGATGATCGATAAGCGGTTGAGACTCGTGATGCTTCGTTGATGTACCGGTGGGTGTGTTGGTGAAAGTCTCCTTTTGGTTGTAGGAGGAGTTGGAAGAAGAGAATGAAGATGGATGGCTGGGGGTAAGGCGAATATTTTATGGTCCAAATGAACACAGGCCGAGCAACTCAATCACGGGAGACATCTCTGATCTCTGATCCGTGTTTTACACCATTCACTGTTCACTTTAAATAAAATAACATGACTAGGTAACCACTTCCATTGCGGAGTTCGTATGCCAAGAGCGACAAACCTCGAGCAATGCAACGAGGAACAAAAGCCACAACCACGGAACAACCCTTTCAAGATACGCCTGTTCCTTGAACAAAGACTACTATCATTGAGGTGGCATAGTGGCTCACTTCGGGATGACGTTCAAAGAACACGCGGCTTGATAGACGGACAGTGCGAATTAACAATGCAGCTTCAAACAATAACCCTAGAGAATGGATACGTGCTCAGGCTGCCGCCACTATGATCTCCCTAGGACTAGGAGCTGAAAAGCGGGTGAATATCATTAACCAAGCAATCTTAGAGTAAGAAGTTCATGAAATACAGCCAGGTTTAGTTTCTATTTACGTCACATAGACTGTCAGAATCGATCTAATTAATAAAAACGAATAATACGAAGCATCGTTGGCCAAGATAGTGCGATGAACCCATTTGACTAGACACCAGCTGGCTAGGCAACCGTGAATGTGGTAGTAACTCTGGTCAATGTTCGAAGGGTAAGGATTTTGTCTGCTACGAATTCAACCAAGTCCGTGTCCTTGTCTTACCTCACTCAGCGTGCCTCAAGGGACATATAATTAACCTTTGTTGTGTTTGTTCATGCTCGAATTGGTGTAGTGGTAACACGGCTATTGACACACATGCCCGCTCTTGGGCGGCATGTGCCCCACTGGGGGCAGCTGTCTCAGGTTCGATTCCTGGATTCGGGGTCTTTTATTTTGTTCAACTGTCGTTTTGTCTCTCTGTCTGTCTCTCTGTTTTTACATTGTAGCTGTCGTATGGAGTAGAAACTCGGAAGATTGGGAGACGTTGCTTAGCGTGAGTGAGAGAACCGACCTAGTCCATATTTGGTATGGCCCCTTGGCCTTGACGTTATCTGGGAATTTGTCTAGGATTTCCCGGCGTATTTTTGGGCTTGCCAAGTTTTAAAAGTGGGCAGTCCTCCTCCCACGTTACAATTTATCGAGTTTGCTACGGTAATTACGCCCAGTAGGACTCCCACACAAGCAAGCTTAACCCAAGTTCAGTTAATACAAGGCTACAAGAAAAAAGAAATACATCAAGATTTTACCCGAGTTGATATTCACCGCCCGCGTCCTGGAACAACAGACCATGTCTCGGAAGTGAAAACCAAATCCTCGTCCTGTCGCATCCTCTCTGGGTTCACATAAATTCGCAAGTCAACATTCGACTTGTTTATATTGAATACCCGCGCAATCAGGTATATGGTTGGGGAACCCAATGGTGAGGCAGACGCGTTGACGTAGTCTTGCATCTGCAGTCGAAAATGCGTCAGTCTCTTGAACCCGTTTTCGGCCGCACAAACTTACCCTCCGGTATTGCGCTTTACTGATGTAAAATGGCGTACTGGCTTTCCCTACGGTGCATTTAACCTCGATGAAATACCGAGGCGTTTTCTTCAGCCAATCTTCACGTTGAAGGTGTCCTTTTTCTACCAGGAGCTCGGTAAGAATCCTGTCCTTGTCGTGATACACGATATCTGAGGTTTCTCTCCCGTTCCAAGGTAGCATGTCTGAGTACTTCGCGTGAACTGTGACGAATTTTCGGATTTGGCTTTGCCAGTTCTCTCTACCAAATCCTGGCAAGGGTGGAGAGAGTCCTGAGAGGAGCTCAAAAACCTGCATGACCTGTTAGATTAACTTGCCTACTAAGAATCAGGGTAACCAAACTAACAAGAAGCTCACCCAGAGCTCCAACTTTAAGATCTCGCTCTTGGTTGGATCTTGACATAAATCTGCGAGACGACTCAACGTCCTCAGGAGCGATAGACAGGCCACTAAACAGGCCTGAAATATCTGCGGTATCCTTGGCAGGAAATCTCACCCTCCTTGAAGCAGATATTACCTCTTCAATTAGCCTCAAGTATTCGGGGTCATTGCCATCAACTGGCTCCCCATTTTTGGCTTCTGGGAAGAGCGAGGAAGCGCTTGACTGAGCGTCGGGAGAAGGACCTAATATGAACAGAGGCTGGTTCGGCGTCTGAGACGTCGATCCGCTTGATGCGTTTGTCGCCAAGCTGGGTGTCGCCTTGGTAGAAATATGAAAGCCTCGATCCCTGACTGGGAGGTCTCTTGCCCGAAGATCTTCGTTATTTCTATCCTTGATGTCGATTTCTGAATCATCCGGAACTTCGCTGTCAACAATTCCCTCAGCCTCTAAGATCTGCTCCACATTGACCATCGGCGCATTCAACACCGATGTAACGACATGAGCTGCTCTAGAGCCTGCATTCTTTGTAATAAGAGTGCTTGGATCTGTCATCATCCACTCCAACAAGCGTCGAGGGAGAGTTGAGAAGTAGCAGAATCCTTGGGCGCTTGGATCGTGGGGAACATACACCTTCAACTCGCCGGCATTTTCTCGCAAATGTAACTCACTCTTCTCCTGGGAATGAACTATATCATGACCATCTTGAGAAAGGTGAAGTTCGGAGGATATTCCACTTGTCTCGAAGACTTCAGTTCGGCGGAGGACCTTGTACAAGTCCAGACCGTTGTCGGAAATACGGGGGCTGTCGAAATGAACTGCGATCCTATCAAAGACATCAGTAGCCGAAAATAAGCGGTCGCCTTCCTTACCTAAACAAGGAGTGAGCCTTCGGACCAATATCTCTATCTGGATACTGTAGGCGATGCATTTGGTCGTCTGCTACTGTCGAAATCTCCCTCACCATGGTGGAAAGATATCTCGACTCGGCCCCAATCCACTCAAAAAATGGCGCAAGCCTGCGAACTTCATCTAGCGTGAAATCCAGTAACTTGACTCGCGTTTCAAATATCTCTTTCAACGCCTTGCGGTTCGCGATGGCGAAATCTTCCACCATTGCTTGCAGCTTCACGAATCCATTGGGATACCTAACAGGAAGAATCTTTCGATGCACCATTTCATGCGAACCGGGGAAACCCCCTTCCGAGTCCAGAAGTGAATTGAATGCCCAGATGGTTTCCTTGACATTGAAGACTGATGGGCCAGGCTCTTGAGAACCCATATACTTGAGCTCCTCAAATGCCATCTGAATAGTTAGCTCTTGGACTCCCAGAAAGTCCAGGAAGAATTCTCCGAGGTCGGGGTAGAGATCATTAAGTGCGACTCTCCCCTTTATCTGAGTAGAACTCGACCACAGGCATTGTGAAATGGTGTACCAGCCACTGATTTGGCCAAAACTGGCATAGATCAATGGTTCAGTTGCGAAACTACCTCTGCAGTACTGGTTAGATATAACCTGAAGCAAGGATATTGATTGGTACCTCAAACTCTCCGCGTCAGTTGCTGACAGCTCGCCACATGCGGTCGCGAGGGAGCTATATAGCTTGTTGACCCAGTCGAAGTCTTCGCTTCCACCTGTCTTCAGGAACCGGATTTCATTCAGATACGTTTTCCAGGTGCAATCTTGAATCTGGAGGGTCACTTCGAAAAACTGCTTCAAAATGTCCAGATCCGCTTGGGAGCGTCCAAATTGGGTTCGGTACAAGTGTTCTAGCGGGTATGCGGTCTGCATATTCTCACCGGCATGCCATAGACACTTATCCAGTGACGCCCAGGCTGCGGATCTTGACTTGGTCCCTGGCGCAAAAACAAGACATCCATTGACAAATGCGTCCCTAGTCGTGTGAATATTTGATAGAACGGCGGTTTCGCGTGGGAATAAACACGAACCTAACTTTTGCCGAGGCATTTTCAAAACTTTCAGACTCTCGGCAGCGAGAATGTATTGTTTCGTAAAGATCCAGGATTCTAGAACTCCGGACAACATCTGCAGCCGTAGTATTGAAACCCCAGATGTCTTGAAGGATGGTGATGTAGAACTCGAGATCATCTTGATGACCTACGCCAAGGTGATCGACCAAAAAGGCCCACTTGGGCCGATAGCCCATGGTGATGGGTTCGCCGAGATCCACAAACATGTACTCATCGCCTTCAGCATAGCGAGCATGCTTGCTCTCAAGCTCTGGCAAGGGCAAATATGTGGCTTGTAGACATTCACCAAACCCATAGTCGTTGTTTCCTTTGCAGGAGACTTCCAAGTCACGAAACAATGAGATTATCTCGCTCGTGATACTCTCTTCTTCGAGGGGCCAGTATTGCTGCAAAGCCCCAAGGAGCTTCTCTGGGTGGTGTGTTTCGATGTACCGGAACTCTGCAGAGATATCGAGTTCACCGTCTTTGTCGACTTGGGTAAGCGGAAGTTTGCGGCGGACAGACATTCGAGACTCCAACCAATCCGCCCAAGACAAATCAAGCCCCTCAGGTGTCTGTGGCTCAGCTTCCAAATATCTCTCATGGAGGAATGCTGTTTTAAAGCCCTCCCCTGACTTGCTGGTTCCTTTCAGGAGCTCAAGTGGACCGTATTTATCTGCTGATGGGAGGTAGATAACCCGATAATATGGCGACATGAATTGCATCCTCTGGTCAAAGAGACCGAACCTTTTGGGCAAATCTCGTTCGAATTCTCCTACCAAAGATTCCGACAGATAGAGATACCTCAGAAAGCCAATTGAAGCGGACAAAGCCTCGTGGTTTCGCGCCATGTGATCGCATCTGTTGACAATTGTAGAACGAACCTCCTGGGTGGATATTGAACGACAACCGAGTTCATTGAGAAGCTTACGCCGATCCGGGTTGTTTGCTGCTGCTTCACTCACCAAGTTGTAACCAAGGCCATCGGGTATCGCAACACCGCCGCTGCAAGTTGAGTAGAAGTTCTGATGGCTACTCCCTGGCGCAACCCAATTGCCGTTAGTCAATGGGATGAGTTTCACAGTTTTCAATACCTCCTTGGAACTTATGGGGAACGCAGCCCGTACAGCTAGCAACACCTGCGCTGCCCGCGAATGCCAATCTTCGTCAGTTGCATCGTTTCTCATGCGAGAGGGGCCACCAATGGATCGTAGATCGAGCAGGACAAGATGCAAAATTTGCTTGCTGTCCAAATTTTCCAACCCATATTGATACAATTGTGCCACATCCGCAGGCTCATACTTTTTGGAGAGGTAGTATTCTTTTTTCGCGTCTCGGAACAGAGGTTCTCCATGCTGGTCGAGGTGTGTTGGTAACAGGCATCGCAACCGCTGGAGAGATTCCAGTGCTTCTTTCTCCCAAGTGCGGAAGATCTTCATCGGCTTGATTCGCCCACGGATTCTTTCAAGCAGACCTCCCCAGTAGTCGTCCCACGGATATGAGTTGGCCTGAGGAAGCCATCTCATCCACTGGAACTGGAGAGTGGGATGTTGGCAAAATTGCTCCACAGCTTTGATAAAGCAGTCGGCAATACCGTCTAGGAGTGCTTGGTTTCGAAGAGAAGTCGTGACAAGTCCTTGGCGACTAGCTTCTGTTACGAAATCTGTATGAATGAGGAACTGGGAGCGGAGGTTTGCGAGTTAGCTAATATTGTCTGGTGTTGAATACGAGTGAGTTGGCGCAACTTACCTTGAACCCCATGGGTCGCATGGGTAGAAATGCGAAGACATCTTGATCCTGGACGATCGGCTCATATGCATCCGTCAACGGGAAAGCAAGAACAATCTCGGGTGCAGCATCGGTTCGCCAAACTTCATCGGAGTACGTCCTGTTCTCGCTTTTTGGCACGTTGTGGGCGATATGCCTTGTGACATGATACCTTTTGAAAGTTTCCCCAGCTAAAGTCGTTTTACGGATAGTTGTGGGGTCGTTTCCATGGAGCGAATACGTTGTTGTGTCTGTGTCGGTGACATCCTCGTTGTGAAACGAAACTTGTACCTTGCGAAGTTTCCTAAGGAATAGCAAAATGGTGTCTTGAAGATCTCGGAACTGGAGTTTTATCGTCTCAAGTTGTCTTGCATTTGTACCCGCGTCACCGCTGTCGTGAAGAAAGAGGGTGATCCGGGTCAAACAGTCCCCCAAAGTTTCCTCGGTCTCTTCCCAAATAGGCGTCACCATTCCGAGACCAGAGTCGCCCTTTCGGTGAGTGAATGAGAAAGAGAATCCATTGGACTGGATATGCACCTTCCAGGCAGCCATGAAAACTGACTTGAAGCCAATTCCTTTCTCGCCGATGTAGCCTTGCGCAGCAATCTTGGAGCTCTTGCCGATATCACAGATCGCTCGAAGGTTCTCAGGCGTGAAGCCATTTTCGTTGCACTCAATGCACAGCTTATCGGATCGGATGTCGAATGAGACGAACGGGTCTTGACCTTTAGCAATAATCGTACTGTAATCGTTGTCATCTGCGTTCTGAAGCAACTCGAAGATAAATCTCGCGTTGCTGGTGTACAGGTTTCTAGCCAATCTAGGGCAGATGGATTAGTTCGACTCAATGCAGTCGTCAAGGGACAGAGTATCCCGAGCCAGCATGTACGTACGTCAAAACACCAGAGCCGATCATCTCATCTTTGCGGAGTAACGCTTCCTCAACTGTTCGCCTAAGCTCGGGGTCGATTTCGCCAATCTTGGACAGTTTGTCTTCTCCAAGATGCCCCCGCTCCCGGGAAATCTCCCTCACCAGCTCACGCTTCGAGAGCTGGGATGATGCCATAGAGGAGAATACCTGTGAGTTCACTGGTACTTAATGGGCGTCCAGCTTCCTCTTAGCCTGTTGTTGTTTTGACAATGCGAAAATGGTGATGCGCCAATACAGAGACGCGAAAAAGAGCGCGACCGACCATAGGTCAGATCATGCGCGAATCTCAGCCTCACCAATGGTCCCGTGATCATAACGCCCCCGAAACACGCTTATTAGCGACTGGATGCAGGGGCGTTGACTCCCATGGATTATGCATTGCTTTACCGCCGATTTGGCCAGCGAGGAATTTAAGCCTGTGTCTGCTGGGGATTTAGGACAAGGTAGTAAAGTAATTGATTAACCTGGTGATATTTGCATTAGAGACGGTGTAATAGACGGCTCCTTCAGCGGCTGTGCCCTATTGATTAGTGCTTATCAACTGAGAATTGGGCTATGGGAATTATGTGGGAGACCGACCGAGAACCAGGGATTCAAAGCCGCTGTCTTATTTTGTTCAAGTTACAGAGTGGGGATATCTCTTGGCAAACACACTGTTCAGCTTTCGGCCAGCTACGACAATCCATGCATTGACCGACATGGCGTGGTTACTGGTGTCACGATGCTGGAGTCCCAGGGCTTCAGAACCAATTCACACAAGGCTGAGAAACACAGTCACGTAAGCTAACATGCAAGTGGTGAAAAGACTGCAAACGCGGTCAATATTTTTGAGATGCGCCGATCGAATGGCTGATGTTGCAGGGCTATGGAATCTGGCCATCATGGCAATTAAGAAATCATCCCTTCCCGTCTCAACCCTGTACGTGTGTCCGAACTCAATTGGCAAAAGCAGAAGACGATGAGATCGCGCCGTAAAAAGCGGTCTAGAGCAGTCCCAGCCAATTAATCCCACTCCCAAAACCAACCCTTGCCTGCCTAACTTCACGCCCAACTGGCACCTCGAGTCCCACGACGCAAACTACATCGAAAGCTTGCCCAGGAATGACTTTGCGCCGGCGAGCTTTCGGGTCGCATCGCGCAGCTTCGAGCTGTCCTTGACCTCGGGGGTACGGCGAGAAGGTTGGGCAGGACGAGGTGGTCGGGCCATCGGGTGAGGCGTGACGTTGCTCGACGAGTTTCCAGTGGCCCAGCGACTGGACTTGATGCCAACGTCAGTCTCAAGGCCGTTGGTGATTTCCGTTCGGGGCAAAACGGGTTCTACTCCATTGGTGTTGGAACCTGCAAGGAAACTGACGTTTTCCATGATTGTGTCGATGATGTCGCTGTCCTGGGGTTCCGAGACTGGTGTGCCGGCCATGTTGTTGATGGTGTTGCGGTCAGCGACTGGTGTGGCAGTTGTGTTTCCCAGAGTGGTCTTTCCGAGTCGTGGGTCAATGACATCCGGAGTCTTCAACTCGATCGACGGTCGCTCCGGTTTGATACCAGAATGGAATGGGCATGTTGGCCTCCCGCCCCAGAGTTCTTTGAGTGTAGCGTAGTGTTTGGGAAACGCCTGGTCGTCATCGAGTGACAGGGCAGGTCGTTGGAGGAGGGGTGATTCGATAATCTCTTTTCCATTGCGTCTGTCACCAACGGCGTCTTCACGAGTGGTGCAGTGCGCACAACGAATCTTGGTCAGAGCGGTAAAGTCAACTGCTGTCGTGCCGACATCTCTCTCAACAGTGCCGCATGTGCCAAAGAAGCACACACAGGGGCCACGAGCGCGGCTACAAACGCTGCGAGAGCCAGCAACCATGTGCAGCTTTCCGCAAGTGAACGAGAGAGCCGGCGGATTCTGCGGCGCGCAGTGAGCGAGGGTAATGACTTCAAGACACATGTTGTCGGCGACTCAAGGTGGTGAGCGGAAGTGTTTTCGTCGTAGTCGTAGAAGAAGTGAGTGAAGGGAGCAAGTAGTGGTAAGAGAGGTTGTGTTTTGCAGAGCAAGGTGAGATCCAAGACTCAAGTTGTGTGCCTGAGAGGTTTTGAAGAGGCTTTGGTCTGAAGGGCGAGGAGACGAAAGTGATGTGTGCTACGGCGCCTCAGGCAACGGTGAGATTGTTGACTGGGCTCACGTCCTGACACCTGGCTGACAGCTGGCCACTTGTAGATAGGGGCACAGTGGTGATAGTGAGAGAGGAGCCGCTGCTGAGATGTTGTTACTGGATCACAGTTTTAGAAATAGTGAACAGAATGATGTCGATGTAATTTGATCTTGTTGACATTCAGCTCGCCGCGATCCCGGAAGTCCGCACACGCCCGGAGAGGTTCAAGTAAGGACGAAAGAGCAGATCATGTTTACAAGAGAGCACCCGGTTCCACAGCTGCTGTATCTGCGTCAGGCACACATTTGGCTTCCTCGGGCTGATCAGTGATTCAGCGCCCCTGTGCTGCGAGCTTAGACCAAGTGAACACTCTTAAAGCTACACCGAACGTTGACAAAGGGGTTGAAGTCGTAGTGAAATGGACTTGACATCAATCTATGTTCATGGTACATACATGCTTTGTCGGGGTTGACAACAATGAACAATGTTCAACGCCTGCTTCGCCAGTGATCCAATTTCATTCCTGATCCACCGCATTCCCAGATTTCGTACACCCAGTAATTTTCTGTGAGGCATCCCTTTTGATTGCTTGCCACCTTCCACAGCGTCCCTCTATCATCTTCAAATTGAAGTGTAGGCCTCCGTACTTGCATCATCGTTTCCAAATCGCGACGTCCAGACCGAGCGGCTTTCTCAAAAAGCCCTCTCGAGTCTCCATAACCCCTTGCCGTAACTCGACGCAGTATCGTCGTGCCCAGGTAGCGACAATGAGCTTCATCTCCATCTCGGCAACATTCCTTCCCACACATGCTCGGGGCCCATGACTGAACGGGATGAATGCGTTCTTCTGTCGTGTAGTTACATTCTCCCATCGGCCGGGGTTGAATTCGTCGGCATCCGGTCCCCAGATCTCCTTAGAGTGGTGCATCGAATATGTCGGGACGCTCAGAACGCTTCCAGGTGGGTAGAAATGGCCGTGAAGGGTGACGCCAGGTGAGTTTTCGGGAACCTGTCGAGGAAGACCAATACCTGAGGTAGAGTGGAACCGCAGCGTCTCATTGAGGACGGAGGTGAGGTAGGGCAAGTCTCGGACCATGTCGAAACTCGGTACAGAAACACCCGCGGGGATCTCGGCATCGAGCTCAGCCTGGAGCTTTTCAAGAACACCAGGGGTTCGAACTGTGTGGTAGAGCAGAGCGCAGGACGAATTAGAAGTCGTGTCACTACCGGCGATGAGTTGCGTGAGCGCCTCGGCTGTTAGCTCCTCCCTTCCAAGGGGTTCCCCGTTTTCGTCTCTGCCTTCCATGAGACGTGCGAGAAGATCCTTGCGCTCCTTTGGCGGCGGGTTGTCCAACCTCGCCTTGACCCGAGCAATGGCGATTCCAGCGAGGTTTTGAACAGCATTGAGGCCGTTGCTGAAAAAGGGATCAGGCAGCCACTTGGCATACGGCTTCAATTGCGGGAAGCAGCCCAGGGTCGCGCTAACCTCACCTCTTCGGTTCAGGATCTCGATTGCGGAGGCGTAGATAGGCGGGCTATCAGGTGTGGCTCTGACTTCCGTCATGTCCACACCAGTGCGAAGCATGTCAAAGGGAGCGCCGAAAGCCAAGTCGCCGATGATGTCAAAGGCCAGGTAGTTGAACCAAGGGAGGCAGTCAAGCTGGGCTTCTTGTCGTCCGCCGTTGGACTTGCCGGTCTCAATAAGGTTGTCGATTTGCTTGACGAAAAGCTCGAGGTTTTCATGCACATATGGCTCAAACTGGGTGATGGACTTTGTGGAGAAAGTGTGCGAGATCAGCTTGCGCTTGCGCGAATGTTCAGCGCGATCTCTGGTGTTGAAGAGCCCACGACGGATTGAAACAAAGGCATCATAGAACTCGCTTCGATTGGTCAGATTTCTCAAGCAGTGAAGATAGTGCCAGTACTTACGACTTCAAAAATCCATTTCCATGGCCATAGATGACGGGAATTGCGTCGTCATCCGCGATGCTCACATGGTTCGGCGCGATCCGGATCACGGGGCCGAGCTGCTGGTGCAACTTGTGCATGACGCTGTAGCGCTCACCGCGCCGACATACGTACATAAGCCATAGGTTTGAAAACTGCGCCGGGAATGGCGCTGGTAGGCTTCGAAGGTGGCCATAGGTGACGAAGTATGAGTAGAGGTACGAGATGATGAGGCCGACGATGCCGAGTGGGACCGTCCACCAAGACAGCAAGATGTCCACCACTGCCATGGCGAAGTCGCACAACTCGAGAGTGTTCAGGCCCTAGATCCGTCCTCTGGTCGACGAGGTGGAGGATCTTTATTCGGTTGAATGATGACGGACGGAATGAGGAGGCGCCCTAAAAGCTGATCCTTTGCGTGGGGCAATCCACGCGGCCTGTCGGGAGTCCGGGCTCGAGAGTCGAAGCAAAGCTCCGAAATCTGGGGTGGGGAAATCGTTATCCCGCACTTGAATTTCGATCAATTGGCCAGTAGGACACTGGCTAAAGTCATTTGATCCCTGCTCATTCACGTTCAGTACAAAGCGGCAGCAGCGTGAGTTTCTCTAGCTCGTTCTACAGCCAAAGCGACAGAGTCAAAAGCTGGTGAGGACCCGCAGATCGGCGGTTCTAGAAATGCCGAGTGAAGCGACAGGAAATGGCAAACTCGGTCTTCTCGGGTCGATTAAATACCCAAGAAAATCACGGGAAGAGGATTTAGTATCGCCTCTCGATGTAGCCCGAGTCTGACTGACCAGATTGGCGAATGGGGTACCGTGGTTGAATACCCCAGAGATCGGTCATGACCCCGACGTGTGGAGGAACTGTGGGGGAAGCGCGTCGGGATTTGAAATCGGCAATTATTCAGACGCTGCTTGAGAGCATTCGAGAGGACGATTACCAGCGATTGAGGGACTTACCATTGGCTTATTCAGGGTCAGCATCCTCGTCTAACCCTCTCCGGGATCAACCTGGCCTACCCCTCTTCGCTCTTGGCCAGCGTGTGAGCGATGCTCATGTGAAGGAGGGGCGGCTCGGGAGGGCATTTTAGGCGTAGCACAGGTCGGTTCGGGGTCTGAGTGGCCTTTCACATCAGATATAAGGCTACGAGCTGGAGATTGGGGAGTACACAATGCCCTTCGTCCAGAGCCAGCATCCGTCCTGTCTACGAGGGGACACTGACATCCGGCTTTCTCCTGACCAGTTTTTGCATTATCCGGATAGAAGCGGGATTTCCAAGAAGAGCGGGGTTGATTCAAGATCCAGCCATGAATTCCTGCAAGACGAAGCCATCCATCATCAACATTGAAGAAAGCCAAGGAACGTCTGGCCTCTTAAATCGCTGACTGGGCAAATGCGCGAGGTCTTGGATGGCGGAACCAGGCCTTTCCGTTCGGTAAGCCGGCCCATCCACCCTTGTCAGGCGGCCATTCTCGGTAAGGTAAGCTGTGCCAGGGTCGCATTGTAAACACGTCTGAAATGCCATCTTCGCAGCCGGCGGGCTGTGTGCGTCTCATTGTGAGCCACAGCAGGCATATTTGTTTGGGGCCTAGCATCTCCAGCAGACGGCGCATGAACCCAGCGTTGGCGCCCAGCAACGACAGGCGACAGGTGATCTAAATTTACCCCATTCGGCCAAGTCGGCTCCGTGTTGTGTATTTTTACATGCTGGCGGTGACCACAATTGGCGCGAGATGAAACTGAAACTGCTGCAGTCCGTGTCATGAACTGCGTCGGAGCACTGGTTTGCGGGCCCCCTGGGTGTGATCTTCGCCCAAGGCGTCTCACCACCCACACATCCGACGTGATCCGGTTTCGCGGCGTCGACAACACAACGCCTGGCCGCGTCAAGAAAGACCTCAGGATGCGCCCCAAAAAAAATTGGAATGCGTGTCTCTCTGTTCTCCGTTTCACTCCTTTGAGATTACGTCCTTCTTTATTTTTCCTCTTTCGCATTCTTTTGGTGTTGAGACCGCGGCATCATTCAAGACCACGACCATTACGATTTACGAACCGAGCGCTCTGTGAGCCGCCACCCGAATTCCTTTCGTTCCACTCATTTTCGGGGGCTATTTTACAACATTGGACCGCGACACGAATATTGACCCGAATTTCTTTACTCCAACTCCGAAAATGTCCGGATTCAAGACCTTGGTGCCGCCAAGCTTTGGCGATCCCGTCAACGACGTGGCACCGCCAGCAGCAACGAGCTTCAATGCATTTCCGACGACCACTGAATCCTCGGATTCATTACCATCTTTGGACAGCCTCTACAATAATATTCTAAATCAACAACTCTCGCGCATCCTATCTGCGCCTCCGGGAACGACATTATTCACCGCCATCACTCCCCGCCAGTCGGCCCAGGCTGAAACCTCCACTGTAACGACCGACGTCCCCAAAAGCACCACAACCGATAGCACTTCAGAGGAGAGCATCTTTTCTGCTCCTACCCTGAGCAGGCTCACTGATATTGGCATCGCGTTTGGAATTTTCGGTAAGACCCCTTTCCAGTTCGAACTTTTGGGTAGAAGTTAACTGGAGAATTAGTTGCTGTCACTGTTATCATTGTTGGCATAGTCCTGTGCATACGACATAAAAAGTCAAGCAAATCCAAGAAGTCTCGAAGTAGAGATGAGCCGAAACCACTAGATTACAGCGATTGGCGCCAGGTGAATCTTTCCGAACCCTCGATGGCACACATTCCGAAGGATATCGGTGTGCCTCCTCCTCCAGTGGCGGCTCGAACTCCTCCCGAACATACCCAGTGGATGCCACCGCCAGCGTATCCTGCACAACAAAATCAAAATTCGAGGTCGTACCCGAGAGGGGGGTACCGTTGATGGTGCGAGATACCCGGGAATGGATTGAATGGCGCTAGGGATTAAACTAGAAGACCAAGGATCATGGATGGCACTGGCAAATCGTGCCTCTTTTATCATGGAGCAATGACTTGAATTTTGGAATACAACGATGAAGAGCTGGATTTTCTCATCTATTTGGGTAGCGTCGGCGTTGGCGGTTCAGGTTTCAGAGGATTAGCGGTGAATTAGAAGAAAGCGAGCACCAACAGTTCGCACAACTCTACTATGAACAAATTTACCCATTTCCAACCTGCTTCGTAATGTCTTTGTTCTCAGCGCTTTGTCATCTGGGTTTGTCGTCCCTCCCAATATGTTCTTGGCCTCGACCGAGCTCAACTCTGCCTACCCTAGACTATGACAGCTGGCACCCAAGAGCAGGATTGGGTCTCTTCTCGTTGAGGTGTGGCATGACAGGTTGTATAATGCCATCCCAAGTATCATTTCCAGTAATATTGGTGTTTGGTATTGCAAATCGTAGTGACAATAACCTTGAGCGTGTTTCAGCATGGCGTCTGGTCACACATCATTTTACATTACTGCTATGACCGAATGTTTTAATTAACTGGATTACCCATGGGTCGTCTTCCAATCCCTCAGTAATTGCACAGTCTTATCACAATTGTGGTCCCTGGCTACATATTCTGCATCCGCTCCCTCGATGTTTCTGATGTTAGGATCAGCCCCCTTCTCCAATAACCACTTCGCCACCGCCTCGCCGTTTGGCTTCGTAGCCGCATAGCATAGAGGAGTGCCCCAATGGAACGCCCGTAGAACTTTTGTGTCCATCGCATTAATATCCAACTTGAGGTCGTCGACTAGGAAGCGGAGCATCTCAGCTCTCTCTTGCTTGCGCCGGGCAAGGGCCGCCTTGGGATCGTCGATCGGGTCCGGTTGAACGGCAGCGCCGTCATCCTTGGAACTGGGATCAGCCCTTGCAGCTGCGGCTTCCTCGGCGGCACGGTGGAGCGTCCTTTTGCTCAGCCGGGCTCCCCTGGCCTGAAGGAATCTGAATGTGGAGACGGATCCGCGGACAGCACATGTCTCTAGGAGCGGGGGTGGTTCAGGATAGACTTCATACTCATCCTCCCCGCCGTCAACTATCGCGCCATGGTCGATTAGCCATCTGACGAGGTCTTCGTTGCCGCAAGCAAGATCAATTAGGCGCTGGCAGCGGGTTCTTGCACCAGGTTCAGCGGATCGGTTGATGTCCCAACCGTGAGCAATGAGTAGCTCAAGAAGAGGAATTGAGAACTTGGTCCAAATAATTGTAGGGGAGAGAAACGTCATGGGCGCAGATTTTTGTTCTAAAAGGTGTGTCGCCAAATCGATCTTGCCATCTTGCACACAAGAAGATAAAGCGGAGGCTAGAAACTTCTCATATGGCGTGTTTCGGATGGGCTTCGACTTGGCGAGCTCTAGTGCTTCTGTAAGCTGTGCGATTGAACCCGCTGCAATCGCTTCGTCAAGTACGTCGCGCGGATGCCGCGGGCGCGCTGATGGCCGTTGAGGAGTGGCCATGTTGGCGTGATGAGGGAAAGAGAAAAGTAGAAAAATTGTAGGATTCTCAAAAGGATGAGCTGACTTTGGAGGTAAAATGCGAGATGGATTTCTTTATGCTCCAGAGAAGGAAGGGCGTAGTGGTTGGGCAGGGTTGTGTGGTTGCATTTGCGTGAATGGAAAGCTGGCGGATGGAGCCTGATGAGTAACGAGTCAATGATCCTCGCTCGGATCTTCGCTCGGAGACATTTGCGACCATCAAAAAGTAAAGATAGGCGCAAAAGGAACATCGGTAATGTGGAGAGGAATCCTCCGTCGCATGATAGCCGCAAGAAGGATTCGCAGGCTAGGGCTGACAGGGTCTCAGGTTGTCGGGCGTTGTCTGGCTGAAACAGCCCCTGTATCAAATTTATACGCTCGCGCCAGCCCTATGCCCCGTGGAAACGAACAGACTAAGCTTGTAATTAAGCGCTCCGGTCCTTGCATTCTAACACGCTGCAGTTTTACACAGCCGAGTATCACGATGTGACGAGGCTAGGTTGATGCCTGTGCAGCCTGTAAGCCGTGGAAGCCCTGGCCAGGCCGTGCATTTTTCTACGGGGAAGGGAAATGAAGCAGGGGGCAAATATGCAACTCTCAATAAGCTCCAAGAGGAGAGGCGGTCAATCAAGAGCCCTCGCAGGCTATAACGCGCCCACTTTAATGCCTCTGCTCACACAGCCTGCAAGCCATGTAACATCTGAGATCGTCTCCCGTATGTTCCGGACGAAGATTGACCCAAGCGTTTCCAGGTTAGCAATCCGCAGTGGTACTTACGCGACTCATCCGTGGCCCGAATTGGCCAGCAGTCAATGGCTGTGTTTGTCCTGTAATCAGCAGGAAACAAGGCAAAGCCTCGAAGGATTCGTTGAAGGATGCTAGAACCATGGAGACGCCGGTTTGAGGGACCGCACAGTGACTTTCATAACATTTTAAAGCATCTGATATCTGAAATGCGCTGTGCTTAAGTTGAACGGCTCCCGCGTCCTCGGGGGTTTTGGCTGTTGGTTCGTAACCGTCTTGGCATTCACGCAGCGCGCCGGAATACCGCCCTCCAAGATGGCCCTCACTCCTTTCATTCTTTTGTCCCTTGCCTCCGCTGCGCAGGCCAATCCTCTCTGGGGCTTGGCCCGGCGTCAACAAGAGCTATGTGGAAACCCAGACATCTCTACTGCTGCTAGTCTGGTAGTGCCTGGCGCACAAGGAGATGTCACCTTCACACCATCTCAGGTGGCAGACACAGCGCTCTGGACGCTGGCGACTCCCACGGCCATCTCCGAGACCGAGACTATCTATCCTTTCGGATATGTTTGGGTGGCCTCCGAGCCGGTGACTCTGGAAGTCCCAGCTCTTCCTACAACTGATGTCCCTTACCCTCTGCCCGAGGGTGCGTCGGCGACTCTGTGCAATGCCGCGCAAATTCTTGCCAACAATTCGGCGATCGCTCCCACCACAGACGCTTTTGTGACGCCTACGAGCCTTACGACCATTGCACCAGTCATATCCAGCACATTTACCGATATTGTGGAAGAACCTAGCACCCCCATTACTCCCGTGACTCCTGAGGAGCCAACATCGGTTCCTCCTGTGATTTCTAGCACATTTACCGATGTTGTTGGAGAGCCCAACACTCCCACGACTCCACAAGACACAACGACGTTGGTTCCTCCCGTGGTCTCATCGACGTATACCGACGTTGTTGAGGGTTCCAGTACACCAACTACTCCTACCGCCGAGGATACCACGACGGCTGGAGTGACTACCACTGCTCAAGAGACAACTGGGGCTGCGATAACTACTGGAGACACTACTCCTGTACAGGAGACTACTCCCGGTGAGACTACCGTCGCGGACACGACGACTGCGCAGGACACAACGACCGCACAGGATACGACAACTGCACAGGATACGACAACTGCTCAGGACACCACGCCTGGCGAAACCACCACCAATGAAACCACCTCTGAGGAGACTACTGCTGAAACCACCGCTGCCGGTGAGACTTCAACTGCTGAGGAGACCACCACTGCTGCTGATGGCGCCACGACAACGGAAGCAGCCGATGGGACCACTGGCTTCCCAGATTATGATCCTCCCACGACCACCGTTAGCGGCCCTGAAGCTACAGACGACGCCATCGATGCTGGTCCTATTCTCTTTGCCCTTTGGTCGAACCGGGATATGATCCAAGATGAGGAGAAGAAGGATGAATACATTCGAAAGTCCGAGGACACCCGCGACGATATTCTGATTTTGTGGGCCAATTTTGATATCAAGCCCGAGATTCCCACGGAATGCGGTGAAACAGCGTTGGCAAAAAGGAGCCTTATCTCGGGTATCCTCGATGTCCTTGATGATGCTGCTAAGCTGGTCGGCTGTGCGACTAAGGTTGTGACAAACCTGGCCGATAATGTCAAGCTTCCGGTACCCCCTATTGATATCATCATCACTCTTACGGACACGCTCAAGGAGATTTCTGAAGAGCTTGAAAAGGAGAAGGAGAAGGAGACCGATCAACCTACGGAAACAGATGAGGTCTCTTCTACAGAGGGGCCGACCACAACTGCCACCAGCTGTGCAGAAACCGGCGTCGAGAGTTGCACTCAGACAGTCTACCTATCTACCTCTTTCTACAAAGATGGAGACGTGGATACTTCGACTGTCGAAACAGTGACTACTGAAGATTGCGTGACAATCACCCAGTGTGATGCCCAGGCTACGACCGAAGTCACAACTGTGACCACGGTGACTTCTACTAGCGTCTCCGAATTCATTTGTGACGTCGACTGCACAAAATGCAACGTCGAGAGGCGATGGGCGGAGCCTACATTGACTCCACAGGATGGAGGCGGTCTCTTTAGACGGCTGGATAACATGAACCAGGCCAAGTACGATACAGATGAAAAGAAAGATGGATATGTCCTTCGGCAGATTAGTGAAGGCGCAAACAAGCTAAACTGGAACACTATCACTACTAACGTCGTTTCTATTGATGGCGAGTGGGGAGAGAATCCATTTGGTCTCTCCGTCGAGGGTCTGGTCGGGTAAGTCAAGGTGGCTTTACGTTTCTGAACTCGATTGCTAACATTAATTCCAGGTGTACCGGAGTTACTATTGCCTCAGACAGGGGTGGCTGGCTTGCTCACTTCGTACGTGAAACCTCTCTGCTCGGGAATTCCCTCGGCGAAACACAAGAATAAACTAACAGACCAAATCCAGATGGAGCCAGGGTTCTTCTACGACTCGAACAAACCGGCCGATGACGCGGCTAACAATGGTCGTAAAGATCTCTGGGACGGGATGATGAACCAACTCCGAGATGCAGAGGGAACTGCAATTTCCGACAAGTTCACACCCCCTAGCAGGCTTGCTGTTGAAGGTGGCATACTGGCCGCTGACTCCAACGTGCAAATCTTCGTCTCCGTGCCCCGGATGCCCGAGACTTCATTTGACAACCCTACCTACCGCTACCCGGATCGTGTGGCCGAGCTCATCGATATCTTGACCGGCGAGAACGGAGCATTCCAAGGCGTCGAAGTCATCACCAAGACATATGTGAAACCGCCGGCTGAAGAAACCGATGACGAGATTGATGCCCGGCTCAAGACTGCCCGTGGAATCATGTTCATCGAGTATGACGACTTCCAGGAGAACTGGGAGACCGGCGAGTACTCTGATCCCCCGGACACCATGTGGCGTGTTTGGCAAGAGCGCAGTTACTACGAGCGGCGAATGACACACACAGTGGAAGCGACTCCCTCTTGCTCGAAACATGCAGATGAAGCGGCTGGCATGGATCCTGGCACTGCAAACGCGCTGGCAAAGAAGTTCTGCGAAGAAAGTGGCATCGCATTTGACGCCGATGCTGAGCTCCAGCTCGGCGGTGGTGACCTGGACCCGGCTCAGACGCTGGATGCCGACATCAAATTCAACTTTGAAAAGAAGGATGGAGAATGCGCAAAGACTTGCACCGAGGCCTATGAGCAGATGATCCATTCTTGTAAGAACCCCCACAGACCTAACACTCGATCCCTTATTGACCGTATCTAGGCCAGTACGACAGCCATCTTTACACCGGACAGGCCGAGCTTGATTTGGGCTGCGGCAAGTATAGCATGGATACCATCAAGCTCGAGGAGCCCGAGCCCGAGCCTACCGCACCTCCCGAGGTCAACAACTGCGCCGATCCCACCGTCTACACCAAGTTCAGCCTCAGCCAGGCGCAAGAAGCCATCGCCGACTTCTGCAGCCACGAAATCGTGCTCCCCGTGGCCGCCCAGCCCATCTTCAAGACGTACAAGATGGACGGCGTAACCCTCCAGCTCATCACCCAGTGGACCACCACCGGCCTGCAAGGCTGCAACGAGCCCGCCGACGGCGCCTACATCCCCCAGGTGGCCCAGTCGGACTGCGAGGCCCGCTTCACGGGCGCCGTCAACAACTGTAACGTCGACACCACGGACGACAAGTACGGACAGCGTCCGTATGTGTGGAACAGCCCTAACGGCTGCATAGACTTTTGGATCTATGGAGATGCCGAGGACTGGGACTGCGAAGGTCTTGGAGTCCAGCCTGTTCCTTGTCAAGATGCGGGCCAGAAGCTGGATTAAAGTGTTGGAATATTAGAGAGCGTATATGTATTATTATTGTATATATTAATTTCAGGGAGATTGGTAAACCTCGACTTGCCCTACGAATCGAGCGATTCATCTGATCATTCATATATCATCTTGCGGCCTGCGCCTTGTCCTCTTTCAGTCCCCTCCCATGCTAGTATTTTCCAGACGAAGCTAAAACCAACCACGAGACTATGCATCTGGAATGGATGGCACAACTGCAACCCTCCACGAAAATCTTGGCTGCCTTAGTGAACCATCTCGCTATTCGGGATATTCGGCGTTTGCTCGAGGATACAGCCTAATTCTAGATCTCCCAGCTAATGTGCACTAGGCAAGCGGATAAACCTGCTTCTGTATTAGCTACAGTTATACCCCTCACGAAATTTCGCAGCTGACTAGCCATGAAGTAGAAGATACATTTTCCACACTTTGGCTTGTTCATGTGAGCGAAGCGCGATTGCGTGCTTTGGCGATAAGGATTCTGACGAGTGTGATGAACCAACCACAAGACGTCATCGGCACTTGTGATCACGAAAACGTCACGACATTCAGAGCCACTAAGAATGAAGCACTGTCTCAAAATATAACACATCCTGCCAATCATATCCTTTGAGTGCTGTGTTAGCACTGCCATTTTGGCCATCGGGGTCCTATTTATGAGCGTGATGGGCTCTGTACGCCATGACTAAGCCGACTTTGCACGTAGTCAGTCAGTTCTGTCCAATGACATCTGGGCCTGGTTTCACCCAGAAAGTTGTAAGAAAGGCGCAGTGGGCGTGTGATAAGAGTCGAAACAAGGGGCAAATGTCGTGCTTGGGGCGGCCTGTGACTACTCCAGGCGTCACCGTGCTGCTGGCCTTCCTCGTCTGCTTGTTTGTAACTTTAGATCGTAATCGAGCATCGTATTGAATACTGTTACAGCACTTGACGCAATTATGGCATTTCTATTCTCTTCGTGGCAAAAGCGTACTTCGCCCAATGAACCTAATGACGAAGGGACAGACCCTTCAGGCAGTGGGTTGTGGACACCGTCCAGCGATGATGAGATTCCTCTTCTCGGCGGTGAGCACAAGACATCTTCAGCGTCAACCGAAGGCGATCCTGGAACACCGCCGCTAGGCCAGCCACTGAATGAGAAACTGTTCTGGTGGCAAAAGGATCAAGGGTTTGACGGAGATGCAATCGCAACTCAGGAGTCGGTCTTCGACGACCCGGTCCTCGCAAAGAGATATGAACCTCGTCCCGACTGGGAGAACATCCATCGCTTTGATCCCTCCGCGCGGTGGACTTGGAATGAGGAATACAAGCTGGTCAGGAAAATCGACATTCGCATCATGATCTTCGCCTGCGTAACTTTCATGGCGCTGCAACTTGACCGCGCCAACCTCACGCAGGCACTCTCAGATAACTTCTTATCCGATCTCGGGCTTGACACTGACGGTAGGAGAGCGCGAGACTTACATATGCGGCCGCTAGCTAATAGCACGGCCCAGACTATAATCTCGGAAACACGCTGTTCAAGCTGGCGTTCCTCTGTGCTGAACTCCCATCGCAAGTGTTGAGTAAATGGGTCGGCCCGGATCGATGGGTTCCTATGCAAATGTGCCTCTGGAGCGTGGTATCGATCAGCCAATTTTGGTTAAAAGACAAGGCCACCTTCTTGATCACGCGTGTCTTATTGGCCATCTGTGAAGGTGGCTTCATTCCCGACGTATGTTTGACAACCTTGCCGCCACGATCCGGTAAAAGCTTATCACGGATAGATCATTCTGTACCTCAGCTATTTCTACAAGTCGCGTGAGCTGTCGTTGCGTCTTGCTCTTTTCTGGGCGGCCATGTCCTTCTCCGACATTGTCGCCGGATTCCTGGCCGCGGGCCTTTTGCAGCTCCGCGGACTGTACGGTCTGGAAGGATGGCGATGGTTGTTCTTGATCGAGGTAAGTGACGAACATGAAAGCACCTTGTCCGTATTTATAGCTGAGCCTGGAGTCTAGGGGGGGTTAACCTTTTCCGTGGGCTTGCTGGCGTTCGGCTTCATGCCACCATCACCAACTCAGACCGCGAACTGGTTTCGCGGAGAGAAGGGGTGGTTTAGCAAAAGGCATTTGAAAACCCTGTTACCTTCCACTAGGCATAAGCACTGACCTTCACCAGGGAAGAAATAATCATGGTCAACCGGATCATCCGAGATGATCCAAGCAAAGGAGACATGCACAATCGACAGCCCATCACCCCGAAGCTACTGATCCAGAGTCTTCTTGACTACGATCTCTGGCCGCTCTACATCCTCGGCCTTTTCTGGGAGCAGCCGGTCGTACCTCCGAAGCAGTATCTCACACTGCTTCTGCGCGACCTTGGGTTCAGCACCGTCGTCACGAACCTGCTGACGGTCCCGACCATGTTCTTGACCATGTGCACCATCTTGGGTATCACGTACCTGTCGGAACTCTTGGACGAGAGAGCTCTCGTTGCCATGATATCTCAAGTATGGGCGCTCCCGTTCCTCGTATTCCTGTACGCCGTGGATCTCACGCAGATCAACCGATGGGTTGCATGGGCGATGCTGACGCTGCTGCTCGCGTACCCCTCTCGTAAGCCTCGTTTCAAGCCTGGATGGACCGTCTCACTGATTGCAACGACAGCCCACGCCATCCAAGTCAGCTGGAACTCTCGGAACTCCAACGCTGTTCGGCTACGGACGGTTTCCGCGGCCATGTACAACATGTGCGTGCAGACCGCCGGCATCATGGCGTCAAACATATACCGGGCCGACGATAAACCCCGCTACCGGCGAGGGAACCGGAATCTGGTGACCATCGCATGCTTCAACATCGGCCTATATATGCTGGTGAAGGCGTACTATATGTGGCGCAACAAGGTCAGGGAGGAGAAATGGAGCGCCATGTCGGACGAGCAGAAGCGGCATTACCTTGATACCACGGGGGACGAGGGGAACAAGAGGCTGGATTTCCGGTTTGCACACTAATGTGAGCTTCCCCGGATGCCAAGCATGCATATCTGGGCTGCTCTTCACGTAGGCAGGGTAGATCCCGGGTAGTAGCCGGTTGGTGGTTTTGAAACGAGCGCTGATAAACCTGGTCGGCCGGGCCGTCTCTGGGAGCAGTCGGGAATGCGACGGCGTGCGGCGGACGTCCCGGACACACACATCTCAACACTTTCACCTCCCTCTTTAGTCGCGCAAGTGGTCGGCACAAGGCTGTCGCCGACGTCCATGGCGCGATGCGGGTGCAGGTGTCAATTATACGCGTCTGGGTGGCTGTTGCAGGCGCCTGGTCTAGACCCGCAGCTGTGTGTGGCAGACGTTCCATGGCATGATCTGGGATCATCACGCAGCACGTCTGCGCGGCGCTGGCCAATCGTCAACCGTGAGCATCCCGATGTGGTGAGGGGTTAAGCCTGGCATCGGACGTCGCCGCGCCCTCATTTGGCCGGGTCTGGCACACCCGGGTAAACGGAACGTCAGAGGGAACGGCCTCTTGTGGCATTCATTTCGTTGAGGTGTTGCGAGGGCTGCGAGGGCCTGAATTATCAATAAGAACCCCGGCCACCACACAGCCAGCGATGCCCATCTTCCAGCAGCGATTGATACATCACATTCACTGGACTCACTGCCATGACCGCCCTCGTTTCCGTCGCCCCCGAGTTCGAAGCGGCGAACCAGCAGTATGCGGAGAGCTTCACGGGGGCCGATTTGCCTTCTCCGCCAAGCCGGTATGTCTTTTCGAATCTCCAATCTCCAGCTTTTATACGTCTCCCGGGATCATGGGCTGAGTTGCATCCAGGAAGGTGCTAGTCGTGACATGCATGGACTCCAGATTAGATCCCGCTAAGGCTCTGGGGCTGGAACTCGGGGATGCCCACGTGATCCGAAACGTAAGAATCACGAATGCGGAGTGCAGCCTTGGAAAAACGACTCTTTGCTAACTGCTCGAGTATAGGCCGGCGGCCGTGCCGTAGAGGCCATGAGGTCAATCTTGATTTCGCAGCAAATGCTCGGAACACGCGAAATCATCGTCCTCCACCACGTAAGCAGTCCAAACCCCTCCTCTCTTTCCCTACCGCGCCCATCACTAACCCGTCTTTCCCTCCTCGCAGACCGGATGTGGAATGCAAAAGTTCTCCGACTCGGAATTCCGAACAAAGGTCCGCAAGGAACTCAACGAGGACGTCGACCACATGTCCTTCCTACCATTTTCCGACTTGAGGCAAAGCGTCCTCGATGATGTTCAGCTATTGAAGAAAAGCCCGCTGGTTTTGAATGTGCCGATCACAGGGTATATATATGATGTAAAGACGGGCAAGATCGAGCAAGTTTAGAACTCAAGATGCGTTGTGGGCGTTTCCCATCGCACTGGCTGGTCTGGTATTCTTTTCTCCTTTTCTTTTTGTTTGGGCGGTACCGACGATCGGATGTATATATTTTGTCACTATCAACACAAATATTCTGTTTATACTTAAGTCAAAGCACATTTACTCTTCATTTGATCCTGCCACCTCTCGTCTTCAATAGGCTTTTCCGATGACTTCTCAACGCCGATCGGGTGCAAACCATACCCGTGACCAGGAAGAGGCTATCGCCAACAGCAAGGTATAGAGAGGCAATTCACGTACAGCTGCACGAAATGACATAATTGGCTTGCATTATTCATAGACCACTTGGCAAAATGCTTCTGGGTGAGGGGTACAAAAATAAAGCAAGAGTGACAAGAGCTACTGCCGCAGCTTGGGCAAGGAGACAAGGTAAGACAGATTTGGTATTCAGAGTAAAGAAGGGGAAACCTATGTCGTGGTAGATTCACTGACGGAGCTTCCACTTTAAGCGTGGTTTTTTTTATTTAAAAAAAAAAGAAAGGTTTGGTCTTGACCGGAAAGAAAGACATGACTATGCGCATCGCTTATCGACAAATTATGTTAGATGTGCAAGACAATATTCATTCTCACCCATTTGTCACTTTAGTAGTCTCAAAGGCGAGTTATCTTTACCCGGACGGTCTTGACGACGTGGAAGCTTTGTTGCTGTTCTGACGCAACAACCCAGTTCAATTCAGAGACCGGGCTCAATACATATTGCTAGGCAAAATCGTCTACTTATAGGCTCCTGTCTCTCTCAATGGATCGGTATCAATTATCAAGGGAAGGCTAGGGAATGTCCCTATATAAATACAGTATGTGTATTCCCCGCTGCCCTCCTTGCTCTAGTTGTAGAGCTGAGCAACCGGTCAACCCATCAGGACTCTACCTCGGCGAGCTTAAAGCTCTATCACTAGTCGTTTCCGGTTACGACACTCCAGGGCTACTCTCAATTATGTTGCTCGTGGGACTACTGCTCCCATGTCCGTAGTGCATGCAGTTCACGCCCACCCGCCAGCTCAGCAGGTGGGTCTCCAGAGCCACTCTGCAACCTGCCGCTCGTGGGACTGCTGCTCTGATGTCCGTAGTGTAGTCCACGCTCGCTTGTCAGCTCAGCAGGGGGCCCTGCCGGCAATACCCACTGCTGGTCTCTGTGCTCCGGCTCTTGACTCGCTGCATCATGATGGGATGTCTTCGACATCCCGTCTACCGGCGGCGATGCGACCACGCGGTTGTGGTCGAGGGACTTCCGTCTGCGGAGGATGAAGAAGTAACATCCTATCAGCGCGAGGATGAGAGCCACGCTACAGCCGACCGCAATGCCCGCTATGGCCCCCGCGCTCAGAGACCCGGAGTTTGACGGAGTGGTAGTAGTGGTAGCGATAGAGACCTTGCGTGTCGGGGTTCTTGTCGCCGGCCTCGCCGTGCGCGTCATAAGGCCCGTCAGGTCTGGGTCGTCGAACCCGCTGGTCGGCGCGGTCCTGGTTGCGCCACCGTATTGGCGCCCCCCCACAGCCGTCAGGATGTCGGTGGGCACGGCGTACGTGGTCAAGTTGGACTGGTACTCCCACCAGATGTCGTTGTCCGAGTTTTGTTCGCCGAGGTTCATATTGAAGTTGGCGTCCAACAACCCGCTGCAGTAGTTGCCCGAATTGGTGCCGCCAATGATAACCATCTGCGCATAGTCGACCACGTTGCAGCTCGTCATCATCTTTGGGTAGTCCCCGGTGATGTAATTGGGGGGTGGGTATGGGCCTCGGATCCACTGGAAGCTAGGGATAGTAAGGATATAGATGTCATCATAGTCTGCCGTATTTGAAGGGAAGCCTGCGCCGCCGTAGATGTAGCTGGGATGGAGTCAGCCCTGTCCTCTCGATAGTCTGTAGTACTCTTGGGCATAGGGACCTACATGTTATAGCTTGAGCCGTCCTGTGCCCAGGTTGCGCCGCCGCAGAAACGCCGTCTGATCTTGGGGGTGTGGCCGGAGGTCATTTGGGTGTACCATGTTGCGCTCGCGACGTCGAATAGGAAGATCTGATCCAAGGGCTGCGGCGTCAGGGTCCCATTCCCATACAAGTCTTTGGTGCCACCGAAATAAACCAACATCCCAGCATCTCCCATGGGAAGGAAGACCATTGCGCCTTCTGAGGTTACTCCAGGAATTCGAGTCCATCATGTACTTGATCAATCTATTCGTGGCCCTCGGCAGACCTTTCCAGTCTGGAACAGATTTATTGCTTAGCCATCCGCCGTAGTAATCTGCCTCTCCCCTTGATGGAATCGATATTCCAGCCCCATAACTACTGACTGCATCGATTATTCCCGCTCCCTTGGGAGGGCCATGTTGCACCCATTCATCATAGAGAATATCGTAACTATAGAGAATAAAGTCATCGGATGGTGGAGTCTCGTAGTACTCACCGCCGGAAAGGTAGAGCCGTTTGTTCACTGAATCTTCCCACAAGATGCCGCCATTCACGCTCGGAATGGTGTGGTTCTTGGAGAGATTGGTGTATATTCCATGACCTTGTTCCGAATAGAGGTAGATGTCGAGGTCGAGGTCGAGGATTGCGAGGAGAGGGTCTGTATTCTTGTTGGCACTTTCTCAATCCGAGGCAGGGGACAGAGATCTACTGCTGAAATTCTTAGAGGACTCTTCATATTCTTTGGTGTAGTTGTTGACCAAGCCCCCGTCGATGTATAGCTTCCGATGGACCACGGCCGACCGGTGCCCCCATAACAGGCAAGGGATAAAGGCTGGTTCATCTTGCGCAACAGATGTCCATATAATGCACCATGCAAAGAGGAGGAAGACTTGACGTGCCCACGCCGGCCATGATGATGGATCCATGGCACCGTGACTGGAAATCGTGAACGACCTTCGCTCGCTGGACTGCTGCGTTAGACCAAGTATAAAGTAGACGCATGCTCCCGATGTTATATGGCGGCAAAGCCTTGGGAACTGAACGTGAAATACCTGAGATTAAACTCGCCACTAAAGAAAAGGCGGATGACCATGACGACTGCGAAGCAAATTCCAGGCCACCTCCCCACCTCCCATCCTGAGTCCACACTACGTGTGTGTGATGTAAAATGCTACGTCAAAAGCCTAGAAAAGCACCACCTCCATTTTCAACGCCGATGTTCCCTCCTCAATTGCATAACAATAAGTTGTTAGATTATATACCTAGACAATCAAAGCTATAAGCATAAGCGGGGTACCTTAAACTTTTGCCCAAAATGGCGCAGCTGGTTAATCCAACAGAAGTCATACAAAGTCAGGACCTATATCAATTTGAAGCCCCGATTGCTGTATACTAGCCCCGAGCCCGCTTAAGCTGGCGGTTCCGCTTGATATACGAATTGATCTGAATAATCTGTAATCCCGAGAGCTGCTTTGGACGCCATTTTCTTGATCTTGGGGCGTTATTTTGTCGTAATTCCCAGCGCCTCTTCGTCTTATATACCGTATTTGGTGTTGTGCCGTAATCTTGGGCAACTTCGGTAAGGGTTTTACCGGCCTGTTCCTCCGCAACCATTGCGGCGCTTTTCTCAGGAGCAAATTCTCGGTTGACTTGTCAATTTCTGCTGATTCGAGTGCCAAAAGATGGACTTTCTGAAGTCATTTTGGTATCAAGTCTAAAGCTCAAAGATGTTGCAGTGGTTCAGCCACGTTCCCCAGAAGCGGGGCTGGTGGTGACACTGTTCCAAACTTAGGTCATGCAATTGTATGAAGCCACCCAGGACTCGACGGAACCTTCCGCTCTATACCACACCTACGCCTCTGTGCATCCCACATACTACATCCTATTGAATGTTATGTTTATACTTCAGTGCGTGGCTAGCTGACCTTCTGGCAAGTACGAACGGTTCAGGTATTGGGTAGTCGCTAATAACTAGCAATAGTCCATCCAGTGCTTCTACGGTCAATGACCTCCTCCAGACACGGACGTGGATGGTTAAGGATGCTCAGCTTTCGGGCAGTGGTAGCGGAACATACCGAATGGGTTGTGCATCTGCCACTCATCGTTGGCCTTGATTGGAGCATTTCGGTTGCCTGTCTTCAGCCCATCTGAGGTTGAACCAACCACCTATCAGGTTACTGCCACAAGCTTTCGGAAAGGATGCCCAAACAAAAATAGTCAGCTACAGCATACCTGCTTCATTTATGCTGCTTTACCCATCCCCTTCCAGTGAGCAGGCACGAACCCCGACTATATGCTCGACTGAAGGCAACGTGGCGTTCAAACCGTTATTGTGCAGCTTGGCGCTATCTTCTTTCACTCTGTTCTGCTCTTCTGACGCTGAAGACGCTTTTCCTGGCCCTCAGGATGTCACAGGCAGATTTCCAACATCAGGAGAATGATAAGAGCTCAAGTTAAAATCCAATGGTGCAGCTCCACAACGTCCAGTGTCGTTTTTCGCCAGAGTTGCAATCCATTCCGTGAATTCATGCCAGACAATTAGCTCCAAAGGGATCATTGATGACACCAGTCAATTGGTGAGAATTATCTTGGGGCAAGAACTCCCCAATGTCAAGATGCACTGGGCTGTGCAGCTCTTTATACGCAAATGAAAGCATAGCCTGTTGGGCAGTACCAGCGGCCTGGCCGGATTTTTCTATCCTGTCTATTAGTCCAGGCCCATACATAACCTTGAACAGATCAGAGACTAACTTTATCAGCATTTTCGATCCTACTATCTGTTGCTTCGCGCGACTGGCGAGCCTCCAGCTATGGTGCAGCGAGCCTCCAGCCAGGCCAGCATCCCTTCACTCTCTCCACGTTCAGCTTGTTACACTTTAGTCTTACTTCTATAGTTATTTCCTTCAGTACTGTCACAGGCTAGTCCATATCTAGCTTAGTAAAAGAAACCTTCTGTTATGATGGTGGTGTGATCACGACGCAGTTTAGCAATCTTCGCTAGAGCCCAAAAGGTACCCCGCGGACTTTCCTTCCCAAATCTTCGACGGTGCTGTAATTAGAGAAGCGCCTTTTCTCCCAAAAAAGAAAAAAAACCACACATGCTCACAAAGTCTGAGTCGGGGCTGTAGAAAATGTACGTCTGACAGTGGTGTTCGATGCGGATTCAAGTTGATCTAATATTACGAGGTTAGCATCACTTTCAATAACCGGAGGCATATGGTCATGAGGTAGATAGCCAGGGTCTTCAGGGTTATGGGGAAAATAACCAACTTAGATACCGCTAGAGCTGGGCCGATGGCCCCTAAAGACTCGAGATAAGAAAGGTGCGTACAGACTGCAACTCTGATGCCTCCCTCCTAAGACTCTTCCTGACCTGCCCAGAGCATTAACCCTTAGCGTATCCAGCGAGCGGGTGGCCGTACCTTTGCTGCTCACATCTCACCACCCAGCAACTAGTTTCTTGATAGCGATTGGGATCATGTCGCGCAATACCATGAGAGTAGCCAAGACCATTTGCTCGATCAATATAGAATACAACCATCATCGCGTGTAGTTCTGAACGCTTTAGGCAAGTCTAGCCTGGTCTCGGCACAGCGTCAGGAGAATAATCTCTGGCGGCCCCCAACGTGGTTACACCTCCACACGCGATAATGGCTTTCAGCCCGCGTGACAAGTCTACGCAGATGAGTCTATTTCGCTGCAGTTGTCACCCTTTCCACTCAGCCCCTGCCTCCATCTTATGACACGGTCTTTGCGAGCGTGCTCCGTGCCACTGAAAGCTCCAGCTTGACCCTTGTCTCAGCCTTTTGAAGCGCTTATTATCACATCGCTTAACGCCCCTTGTTTTAAACCAGTGCAGAGCTTGAAATCTCATTCAATCAGCGCGCGAGAAAAGCAAAGCCGGGTGGATTGAGTAAGCCGTAGAGCTGGGGGCTTCGGCTGGCGGCACTGAGCAGTCATAGCGTGTGGTATTTCTGTCAGCCCCCTTCACCATCGCATAAAATGCGCGAATCACGACGGTGAGAAACAATTTCGCTTCCATGTTAAATGGGGTTCGCTCAGCTGGATCCACACTTTGCTTACCCTCCCTGCGCGGCAGATTCATCTCCGTCCGCGGTGGGTTGATTTTGAACAAAAGATCTAAAAGCTGACAGTCCCGGAATTGGTGCCTCTGTTCTTGAAAATTGAAGTCAAATCTCGAAATTTTGTAGCAGCCAACATACGACGGCTTGATCAAGCCAATTCAACGCGCCCTCATAGGCGGCCAACACTAGTTTAAATCCGCCCGCAACTAACGGAAGAGCCTTAGTTTCAGCGAAGAAGATCATCATAATTTTTTTTACGAATATCAGACATCCCAATGAGTTCACACCACCTGAACGAACAAGCTGGCCTCGAGGTCGTGCAGGAACCCGAAGCCCCCCAAGTTGTCGAACAGCCCTGGCACTGGCAGAAACAGTTGGATCCCAGGTATGGGGCAATTCCCGGATCCAAGCTCGATGGACGAACTCGGATTACACTCGACAGCAAGCTCACAGTTTAACCAGCAAGCAACCATATTCGCCATATGACCATGGCTTCAACGGCGATCCTCCGGCCAAGACAGGCCGCAGCCGCATCTGCGGCTTGCCGAAGAGGTGGTTTTTTATCTTACTTGGTATCCTCTGTGCGCTGGTGGTTATTGGGCTGGCAGTAGGTTTGGGAGTTGGTCTAGGAATGAGGAAAAATGATTCAACAGACAGGTAGGTACAGCTTGGCGCATCATTCTTGGCTTACTGGAACCCGTCATATGCTAACTTCCCCACAGCGGCACCTCAACAGCTGATGCAATCACAACCTCAACCACATCAACCGAAACGAGAAGCACGGCGACAAGAGCAACAGAAACAACGGGAACGACGGAATCGACAGAAACGACAGCCACAACGGCCACAACAGAAGCAACGAGCACTGCTTCGTCGACATTCAGCTGCCCCAGCTCTGTCTACACAGCCCCCGATGACACCAAGTTCAATGTTACTTGCGCCATAGACTATAACTCTGTAGTGAAGGGCACGGTGGATCTTAAGAATTTTGACACCGATACGATGGTGGTTTGCATTGATACCTGCGCGAATAATACCATGTGCAAGGGAGTTGGCTATGGAGATAATGGCGGTGGAAAGAACACCTGTTGGATGAAGTCTGCGCTAGGAACACCCCAAGAAGCAGAGCCCAAATGGTTGTTTGCCGCGAAAGACGAGTAATCACACATGGACTAAGTTATTGTTACCATTAGATCTGAGGTAATTAATTAAGTTAATTCTATTATTACCCGAGTCTGTCAGATGGAAGTTCGATCGGACCCATGGTTAAGGCTGATGAAGTTGCCAAGACCGTACTAAATGCGGCGCTAGACTTTCTCAATTCATCGAGTCTTTACGGTATTATATAAACCCTCAATTGAATATTCGGTTTTTTTTAGCTCTACTCAATATTATCAGATAGATCAAAGCCATGCAATATTCTCAAACAGTAGAGACAAATAATAAGTGCCAAACCCAGCACCAGAAGAAACAGTAGCTGAACAATAAGGTTGTTGCACACTGGTCTCTGCCTGAAGCTTCAATTCAACCCCTCTGACTTCAACCCTGCTGCCTGTAGACAACAGGGTCAGTCAACGACCCTACTGTCTGCAGTCAACGACCTTGGGCCTTGGCAAATGTGACGTGCACAACCAAAATGCAGTAAATTCAAACATTGGGTTCCCTCATCGAGGGCCTCAATTGAAGATATACATTAAAATATTAGCCCAAAAATATAGAAGGTGCACACTCGGTTTATATCAAGAGGTTAGGGTGCCCTAGTACACACATACCCAGAGGGGGACTAGAAGCTCAACAGTAAAAAAAAACATACCAACAACAGTATCAATAATACAGACTATATACCCAGTCCATTCAAAGATCAACGGCACACTCAAACAGATTAAGGTTTCTAGTCAAACTGGTTATCTTTCCTAATACCTCAATGAGCTGTAGTAACAGCTGCGTCTTGAAAAAGCTAGATCTTGAAAAAGCTAGATCCTGGAAAAGCTAGATCTGCTGGAAAAGTTAGATATTGGAGAAAGCAAAGTCTTGATGGGTATAAAAGCTCTGCAGGCCGCACCTCTTTCATTCCAGTCATCCTTCCATCCTTACACACACCTCAACCAACCAACCACTCAACCAAATACTACATCAATCGAAGATGTCTGCTTTCCATCGAACAATACAGACCGATCAGGTCCCTCCCAACCGGCGCTATATTAATAGCTTTCGATTTGATTTGTATGATATAATCAGGAATGACCCAACTCTTATTGGGAAGCTGCAAATTGCAGCTCGAAAGTCCGGATTGTGAGATGTCACAGAAATCCGAACCAACAGACCCGACGACATATATGGTTACTGATCTTTGGCTGCCACACTATCCAAGAGCTAGCTGGCACGGATCTGGCTCTACAACACTGGGTTGATAAAGAGCTACGCCACCTTAAGATCCTTCTTGAGAACTACCGAATAAATAGAATCCCTCCAACAGGAAATGAATTCCTCGAGAGATTGCGTGGTTGTGACTACACAGCATGGACTATACAGCTGATGGACGAGGTGGTGTTGGTCAACTCGCAGCCAAAGAATTGACACAAGAACCCAAGGGAACTGAATAAGGGATGTTGCGGAGGAGGTTATATGCTTGGGGGTTAGAAGAGGCAAAAGACTGTAATTAGGTTCACGATCAATAAAACAATAAACCAAGTCCCTCATCACACTCGTGCAAGCAAGTGATACAGAATTTGAAACAGTAGTCAGAACAGTGATTTCAACAATGTCGGTTTATATAACAACATGGTTCTGTATATCAGGTATCTTAAGCTAGAGAGAAAAAAGAAAGAGAGAGCCACTCCTCTTGGCGCCGTCGCTGTGAAATCTCCGCGTCCCTGTTGCGTGGCTGGATATTAGTTCCCGGTCCCTCGCCCCAGGCTCTGACAAATATGCAGTGAGGATACCTATTCGCGGGGGATGCATTGCAGCCCAATGGCGGGAGATACATTGCTGCCCCATCGCGTCCTTCCGCCCAACACATTTCGCCTGGACTGTGCTTTCCCTTGACTCTATCTTGCCACTGCCCTCCCAGCTAAACTCATCATCAATTCTACCTCGCCCTAGACCCTAAGTAGGCGCTAGACAAACTGACCGACCAATCCTTCATTACAATGGCTACAGCCTACCTAAATCTCGGCGCCGTCCATCGTTTTCGAGAGCAAGTAGAAAATGGAAATGTCGAGGAGGTCCGACAAATTCTCAATAACACAGATGGCCACATCGATATTAATACTCCCTTGGTGATTGCAGAAGGGATGCAACAAACAGCGCTTCAAATCGCCGTCAACAAGAAATGGGAAGAGCTAGTTCATCTTCTTGTCGAGAAAGGTGCAGATGTGAACGCCAATCCCGGCACTGAATCAGCGCTGCAAATTGCAGTTCGAAGAGAATATCATCCGCTGGCCGAGATGCTTCTCCAACATGGTGCCAATCCCAACGCGCCAGCTTGTGGGCCTGACGGACAAACAGCACTTCACACTGCACTTCACAACAACGATGCGCGCACGGTCGAGTTACTTCTTGAGAAAGGAGCGGACACTAGAGCGGAAGATAGTGCCGGGGAATCGGTAGTGTCAATCGCTCGTGAGCTTGGACATGACGTCCTATCGGCTCACATGGTCAAAGAGCATGATGCCCGGTTGGAGGATCCGAGACCACGACGTCTAATTGTATGCTGTGACGGAACATGGATGAAGAACGACACGGATCAGCCTCTGTCAAATGTTGCTAGGATAGCACTCTGCTTTGCCGATTGCGATCGCCGAGATGAGAAGCATTTCACTCAAATCGTTCATTATCAGTCCGGCGTTGGCACTAGCTCCTTTGGCCCCCTCAACTGGTACGAAGGCGCTTTCGCGGCAGGTACTGTATTCCCACCTTCAGTTTCGACCACCAACAAGTACTTATCATTACTTGCAGCTATTTCCCAGGATATACGCGACGCTTACGGCTTCATTTGCGACAACTTCTCGACTCCTGACGATGAAATCATCCTCATCGGCTTCTCTCGAGGGGCATTTACTGTCCGCGCACTTGCGTCTCTGATTAGTGATGTTGGCGTGCTTAAAGGTGCTGGAAGGTTCTGCTTGAGCCAAGTCTACGATCTCTGGGAAAAACAGGTTCAGACAACACCTTCAGGTGATAAGCACCTGGTACCCCCTGGATCATCTACCGAAACCTCTGAGGAGATCTCGCCATTGAACTTTTACGTTTTCGGTCTGGAAAAACATCATATCACTCAGCGAAAAGTCAAGATCAAGGCATGTGCCGTTTGGGACACCGTCGCTGCCATTGGGGCGAAGCTCCCTAAATGGTTTCAGCAGATGCAGTCCCAGAAACTGAAATTCGTCGACTCAGCGCTTTCCGTAAACATTGAGAATGTATTTCATGCATTGGCACTGGACGAAAAACGCTCTCACTTTGAGCCACAGTTGTGGGGGGAGCATGACGTGCAAAACCTAACAGTGCTGGTTTCGAGGTTCTCATAGCGATGTAGGCGGTGGAGGCACAAACAGTGGACTCGCAAACCTCACGCTTGCTTGGATGATGTCCAAGTTGGAGCCGTTTGTGGTGTTCAATGATTACAGGGTCTCTCAACTTGCTGGCCACTGGAGACTGGTGTCACGTCTCCTTCGAGAATCAAAGGACAAGTTCAAAGATGAGGCGCCAGCTCAACACTTTCGCGTGCACAATTCGTACACCAAGCGTTATTGGCTGGCCGGGTCCAAACTTCGAGAACCAAGAGCCGTAAACGATCATCCGAAGTCGAAAGAATCCGTTCACTTCTCGGTTTTTCTGCTTGACGATGATGATCCGAACATTATTCTCCAGAGTGGTCAGCTACCAGCTATGGACTGCGAGCGGCTGGATGAAGGCATTGAGCGCAAGATTCTGAATGCATGGCGGAGAGTAGAGGGCAATGCCGATTTATGCACAGGTCTTGACAAGATGTTAGGGACTGATCAGACGCAGACGCAGACGCAGACGCCGGCCGATGCTGCTGGTGCGCTGTGACCACAGGAGAAAGGAGGATAGATCTCTTACAGAAACGTTATGGAGGCCGGCCGGGAAGGGAAGGGGCCAGATGAGTCGGCATTTATTGCAAGACTGACGCTCAAGGAACCCTCCAAATGTTTGGCAAGGGAATCCTCTCTTTTAATATGCCTAGTTTTGGGGGCCATTGGCACTGCTTTACGCATCTCAATGGAAATTGATTAGGGTCAATCGGTGGGTAATGCAAGGAGCTGCTTCTTAATGATCAATAGCGGGCTCGGCGGCCGTGGACGATGGCAGTCCGGCGTCTAGCCTTAAGCTGGCGACAGCTTCCAGAATGCTGATCACGATATGGGCTAGTATTGCCGTCCTGATGGTGTCGTCCGGCCCGTCCGTGCACTAGGATTCACTGAGACCAACTCTGAGACCCTTATTAAAGGAGCTATATCCGGATGTGTAGGCGGTAAGATGGTTACTTATGCAGTCTACGTGTGAGCCCCCCGTAAGAAATCCTTTCACACATTTCCTAACGATGTTGATGTGGCTCTTAGGCATGCTTGAGACAAGTGAAGAGACAGAATCGGCTATGCATGGCAGCACTGTAGTTCAAAGGCGTCACTCTATTCTCTCGAATATCTAGTCAGCTACCTTCGCCCACCAAGAAGGCTTCATCCGCTCTCGTCCGTCCCAGACTTCTCCTGTTTGACCCTAGCAGCTCGTTCGGCACGTCCCTCGCTGCTCGGGTCGAAGAATGCTAAGACAAAGTTAGCACGGTGGCGTCTATTCGAAAATTCCATTCAACTGACGCTTCTCTCCGAATACTGTAGTGCGGATACCGCGGCGGGGCCCTTCGTACGTCCCAGGAATCACTCGATGAAGAACGCATCTGGAGACTAGTTAGAACACGCCTTAACAAATAAAAGAGAGTGACCCGCCGATTGTCCCACATAGCAACAGCACCAACGGTCCATTTCCATCTCACGTAGTGATCATCCGCTGAATGGATGTGATAGGCGAAGAAATCCAACAACTTGTCTGCAGGACAAATGAGTACCCTGAACTATTTGCCGAGAGGTATCCAACTTACCTGATTCGACCTTTTTTAGTTCCGCAAACCCTGTTACAAACCCTGGATTGACATTTATCGCCTTCAAACCTGTTACCGGATGCGTTCTGATAGCCGGATGGTGAGTGTCAATAGGGGGCCGGTTTGGGCCTTTACCCCAGAGATCAATGATCGTGTCGTATTGCAACTAAGCACTAAGGTCAGTATTCCGTTATGACCCGATTGATTTTCCGGCAGAATTACGAACCCTTGATGTGTGAACTGCATGGAGGCCATCAACAAATCTCTTCATGGCATCGCTCAACGTATCGTACAGTCCGTAGCCCGAGACCCATGCCGTGTCTCCGCCAACCTCTGGGTGCTCCTCCATTCGCAGAAGGGAATAAGAGGGAGGATTTATCTCAAACGACGTGTCGGCATGAAAGTCTCCCTGAGGCCATGGTGTATAGTTTGCAATTTCTCGGTGATCTGCGGTGCTTCCGCCAATCACGAAATGTCGCAAATCCTTCTGTGCTGGATGTTTGTCGAGTATTCCATAATGCTCGAAAAGTTGAACTTGCGTTTCCGTGGTGAGGTCTTGATCCCTGAAAAATACGACACCACGTTCATTGACTAGCAGAGCAAGTTCATCCAACTGGGCTGGGGTAAGCTTGGAGAGCTGCACGCCTTCCAAGACACTGCCAATCGACTCGGTGAGATCAATCTTTTTCGCTGCGGACAGAAGAGCCTTCTTATCTGGGTCTGCAAAAAGAGCCCGGTCTTTTGGTGGTTCAATTTGTTCGCGAATAGAGTCAGGAGGGTTCCAGAACTTGATTTTTGGATTAAAATTTGGATGGATGGTGATCGGTCTCCCTGAGTCGGGGGAAACATGGTTATGAGCTTCAAGACTTGCCATTTCGACAATTATTACCGATCTTTCGATTTTAGGTCCAAGAAATTTAGCTTGAAATTTCAGTCAATGAAACTTAGGTGAGTTGTGTAACTCCGCAGACTTCACTGACATCGAGGGCTATTTAGTGCACGTCCTGGAACCCATAGAGGACGAAATTGATATGGTGCATTTATGCGGAGACATTGCGAATCAGAATAAGCTTATCATTTGATCACTGAGGCAGTCCAAACCTTGATCATTGGTTCCAGTTACACCTTTAACTGGTTGTTGCTGCAGGCAAGTAGTGGCGTGCGACGCAGGATAATGACGCCACCTCAACTTACCACCCCAGATCGCTTGACCTTCAGATATTCAAGTATTTAGAACAAACCCATGTTTCAGGGCCCTTGAATGAATAGTCAATCATGTTATTGCTTCACAATCGTGGTCTGTTGCTGTGGCAAGGTTCAAATACTCGGCGTCGGAGAACGCACAACATACACGAGCCGTATCAGTAGATGGCGCAGAGTAGCAGACGCATCAGAGATTGCTATGAATAGTGCCAAATTAGTGTAGGAAGAGGTTTTGGGAACATTAAGAATAAGACCCAGGAGAGAAGGTGAATCGTTTCCACCCAGACCTTATCCAAGCTATCAAGGAAGCTAAGGAAGATTAAAGAGAAGGTTGCATGAAGCCGTATTATGAAGAAAGATTAGTTCCTTGGCTTTACCTGGGGCGGCCATCTCTCAATCTCTACTCAAATATGAGTATTCATCAACGCGGTACACACGAGGATCCAATACCAATCACGAACCCACATAGATAGAGCTTCGTCCCTATTCTCTCAACCACCACCACCCAGACTGGTGTAATGGCAACACATGCGTGTGGCAGCTACTGAATCTTAAATGAGAAAGTAGTCCCTTCGGGGGGTCGCATATCCTGGTTCGATTCCGGGGTCTGGTTTTATTCTTTTTACGCCTTCTCAACATGCCATCAGGGTATGAGCACCCCCAGTTTAAGATGAAACTCTATACTCTGCGGATAAAGTCACAAAGGTGGCCCATACTTAATACCTTAATGGACCTACGGCGAATCGGGTACATAACCAAGCTCATCTTACAGTATGATACAACAAACAACCTTCCGCTTTTGCTCCAGCTTCTGTGCGAGTAATACACACTGAACCCATCCTTGATCTAGGACTCCTAACGTACAAATAGCGGCCTCTGTGCTCTCCGTCCTCTTTTCAACCGCTTCGTTGAGCGGCGGCTCTCTTCCAACTCGTACACGTTATTGCGCAACATATCCACATTCGATTGCAAGATGCTCCCCATTTGACCCCCAATAATCATGGGTGCATCTTGTATAGTGTTCTGAAATGTCCGGATATCGTCGCGAAGATCTCGAATACGAGATATAATTCCTGAAATCGTCATGCGTGCTCCTTCTGTGTCGCGGTAGAAAGTCGTTGCCGTTGTCATCACACTCCGAGGCGCCCCGATTTTCCCCATTTTTACAAATACCCATACCCAGGTCTTTGTCTCCTTTATGATGTGGTCATCAAGAGTCCCTTTGTCGCCAATGACGTGCAAGGCGACGTTGTAAAGCACGCCTAGCATCCTGCTCAGATTATCCTCGGTTGCCGTCAATGACACGAGCGTCTCGCTAAGTCTTTGATCAATTGCATCAGCCATGTGGAGCAATAACTGACGCAGGGCCACCTCCCTGGCCAACTTGTTTGCGGAAGGGACAATAGCCGCAATGAAGATGTCTTTGAGTCGAGAAAATACAGATGGCTGATAGAATGACTCCATCCCTTCCGCGGCCCTGGTAATGATGCGCATCGTTTCGTCGACAGATCTATCGATCACTATGAATGCTTCGACGAGTCCATCAATCGCCTCGGCGGAATATTCCCAGTATTCTTCAGCAAGGGTTGAGAGTTTTACCCTGCTCTGTCAGCATTAATACCACCATCTGGAAGTTTTGTGTGGAAAGCACATACTCTAATGGCCAATCGTCCATGCCCAAAGGTATCAGCATGTTGCCCACCCTCAATTCACTGATTTGAAGAAGGTAGGGTATCTCCGAGCGATTGGCCGCGATCGCTTGTATTTCTCCAAGTTTTGAGCCGATCTGAAGCCCCTTCACAAGCCCATCAAAAGAGATTGGTGTATCTGGACGAGGTGGTGCGCAGAAGGTGAGGTGAAAAATTCCTGACACTAGAAAGCAAACGACCGGAGTTGCTGGCGCCAATGGATTTGATAGAGAGCCGATCAAACACCCGAAGATCAATACCAGAACAACGAACAGCTCGAATATGGGTCCCAAAGTCCGGCCCTCTGATCTAGAGAAGAGACAGGCGGTTTTCGAACTCAAGCATTGGATGGAAATTCCCATCGGCTCGAGGAGATCTTCGAGGGGGCCGGGCTGTTCAGTATCTTGTACTGGTGTTTGTTGCTTGCAAGCACCCAATTTCTCATCCAGAGCACTCTCCCCTAATTCTTTGTGTTGTTGCTCTTGAGAATAGCTTTCTTCTTTTGCTCTCTCCTCTTCCTCCCAAGCCTTTCGGGAGGCTTCTTCTTGTTGCTGTAGTTGGGCTTGTCGCTGCTCCTCTTCTTGAGTCTTTCGAGCAGTTTCTTCCTCTTGCTGTTGCTGGGCACGTCGCTGTTCCTCCTCCAGTGCCTTTTGGACGGCTTGTTGTTGTTGTTGTTCCTGCAGTTGAGCACGTCGTTGTTCATCTTCCCGAGCCTTTTGAGCAGCTTCTTCTTGTTTCTGCTGTTGAACACGGCGTTGTCCCTCTTCCCAAGCTTTTCGAGCGGCTTCTACCTGTTGCCGCTGCTGAGCACGCCGCTGTTCTTCTTCTCGGGCCTTCTGGCGGGCTGCCTCCCTAGCCCTTCGAGCGGCTAATTCTTCAGCTTCCCTAGCCTGTTGTTCCCTGCCATGTCGTGCCGCCGTTTGTCTGTCATGCCTTGGTTTTACTCTAGTCGCATCGTAGACCCGCCGTTTGGAACGGTGAGACAAAATAGAGTAAGCATGCTGGATCTGGGGGGTTATTAGACTCTAATGCTTCCTGGAACGGCGGTTAGAGAATACTTACCTGCTGAAACCGAGCGGTTGCTGTGTCGTCATTCTTGTTCTTATCAGGGTGGTGCTTTCTGGCAAGGCGATAGTAGTTTGACTTAATGGTAGCAGCATCTGCCGAGTCATCAATCTCCAAAACTTGGTAGTAGTCTTGCGATGGATCGTTAGTCATCCTCGTTTAAGGGCTGCTCGATAACTGAGGTTAGACTTGCCACGGGGGCACAAGCTGGAAAATCAACGGTCATGCAACATGAGGCATTTTTAACTGCCCCTTTTGCAATTTTCATGCCTGCAGGATATGCCTGAAATAGATATGCGAGCAGGGAGGTGGCCTGTAGGTAAGAAATGCTTTGTCGAAACGTGGCGCAATTTTTCAAGGCGCAGCCAGACCTATTGGTCTGTTGGGGCGCTTAATATCTGCTCACCCCGTACAATTTTCGTGCGGCCAAAATGTAACGCCCGCCAAGTGGATAGTCGCATTGCAAAACTTTAATTAAGAATGATACTCCCTTCAAGAGGATCAGGGGTGGAAAACGCCTGCGTCAGGCACAATAAAAGTCCAGTATGTGGGCTTGGGCCGCTCTCCGTCTTTGCTCCCCGAGTGGCAAGTTGCAAGTTAGTGGCATTGTGAGTTGCAGGCTGTTATAGCCATGCATGCATCTTTTCGCCTGTGAACCAAGTGTAGCTGTATGATCAGGGTACAGTACTTGAGAACTTTGGATCTGTAATGGACAGTTACTAAGACCACATAATTATCACACAGCAAGGTAAATTAGGTTCTATGCATGCTCATGCCCTGAATACTCCAAAAAATAATCCAACGTCCCCATCCTCCTCACATCACAAACACCTTAGCCTCGGGTAATAATGAGGTCCATCTCTCCCCCGACCTCCTTCTCCAAATCTGCCGGAGTAATTCGACCCCTTTCAAGACATTTCCGAACCCATTGCGATAAAATTGTCGCATCAGGACATCTTCGAAGAACACCTTGTGCTCGTCCAGCAGGCAATCTGACGCTGCCACAAACGTGGCCCAAATCAAGACACTCTCTGCGGGAGACCCAGGGGGGAAGGCTTGCAGGCACTCTTTGAATCGCTGCACCCGTCGGATAGAGTTGATACCTGCCGCCGTATTCAAAGAAGACGAGCACTGAGGATCAAGGAAGACTTGCTGCAGATATATATCGCGGGCTTGCTCCACCATGTTCGACACGTTCGATAAAACCAAGGCTTGTTCTGGGTACTGCTGGGTAGAATAGTTCAAGCAGTCAAGAAGTTGAGCAGTCTGTCGTTCGGAAGAAATTATCTCCACACCAGTTTGTTCGCAAAGAAGCGGCGCCGCATAGACTCGCATTCTGCGTAGCGTGAGCAACAATTCCAAATATTTGAGTGACTTAGAACTCACTTGTGAACCTGTCTCATTATGAACTCGGTCAACTCCCCCTCACCAAGCCCGTATTTTCCGCCCATTGCGTTGACTGCAGACTCAAGCATCCGGAACAAAACAGGAAAGTCGGAACAGCCTGTTACCATGACCGCTGTCAAGAGAACCAGAATGGTGACTAAAATCGAGTACTTGCTTAACTGGTCGCCATGTACAAATTCCTGCCGTTCTTGGAGGCCTCGAATGGCGCGGGCGTACATTTGGCTGGATTTTGGGTGCCAAAGCGTGTACCTGTTGGTGTGTAGTCTGTCATGAGATAATTGGCCAACGCATTGGTGAGCAGCAGCCGTGGCGAGGACGGCATTCCTAACAAGATCATCGCGATAAGCCAACGGGAGGATCAAGTGACGCCAGCCATTGTGAAGACCGTCAAATGCAATCATCTCAATGGCGATGTGTTGAGAAACTAGTGACATGTAAGCTATTGCAAGACGGATAATACCCGGAGGCACTTTACAATATAAAAGCAGGTTCCGCTGTTCCCGAGAGATCTTTTCTGGAACTGGCTGAAATAGGACGGTGCCGCTCAAAGAGAAGATTTCCTCGTCATTGTTTCTCAACATCGAATCGGGGGCTTCGAAGGATTCGAACCCAAATGCCGATGCAGTTGATTCTATCAATTCCCAACCTGACCCTGCGAATACCGCGTGGTCATCGGGGAATGTTTGTAGTGACTCCGTTACCAAGATATCAGACGCGCATTGCGATCTCTTTAGTGGATCTGCAGCAACACCTTTGAGCTTTGCTTCTTTCCTGGGAGGATTGATGAGCATATGTGTTCAACCAACAAAAAGAGAGATCTTGACTTACTCTTGATAAACCCGCTCCATGGTCTTTCCGACCCACTTGCCTCTTGCTGCAACTCCATCGTTGAAGCGATGCCTAATCCCCAGGCCACTGCATTTCAGCCCTTTCTGCGTGCATTTCTTGCACTCAGGCTCGGCGCGGTCACAGTGTATCCGTCTCTGTGAGCATTCATGGCAGCCTACGAAGTCAGAACCTCTATCATAGGCCACATATTGACAGTGCACGAACCTTTTGTCTTTGGAACATAGGGACGTCGCTTGGGCGGCATGGCATGCGCCACGATCCTCTCTTTTCCAATGGTCTTGGTTCAGGGGTTCGAATTGCTATTCTAACAAGGCCGCTTCGACCTTGTCAATATCAGAAGTGATTTTCCGGTCCATGAGTTGCAGATGCTTGAATCTGGACGCAACGGACAGCTTGATAACGGTTGGGAACGTCACATGGCCGCGCCCGGATTGGAGCGGGGTTCTCTAATCTATTCACTGGCTGACTGACTCAATAGCTTGCGGGCTAGAGGGGCATTGTGGACTGTACTAAGCCTAGAAAGGAAGTTTAAGTGAGAGCAGCCTCCGATTACGCCTTCTAATCACTAACCGAGAATAATGACAAAGAATCGAAATCTTATCTAGGTTTCTAACCTTGGATTGGAGAGGCTGAGTCAAGTCAACGGCATTTCTTACCTATATTTCCGTGGAACTATTTGGGGTTTTTTTTTTTAGCGTTACTCATATCATCAGATAGACCAAAGCGATACAGTATTCTCAAACAGTAGAGATAAACAGTAAGTGCTACACCCAGTACAAGAAACAGTTGCTTGGAAATAAAGTTATTACACGCTAATCTTACCTAAGGCTTCAATTCAACTCTTCTGTCTTCAAAGGTTAGAATGGGACGAAAAAGTTAGACTGTATTTCGGCATATGTAAAACAATGAGCTTAAAACCCAAACATGAGCCTTGACAACTGCGACGTGTCCAACGAAAATGCAGTAAATTATCTAGACGGGAAGTATATGTGTGTTCGTGGGAGATGGTTCAGGCACGGTAGGATCATCTCGTTGACGAAATAACCTTGTGTGAATCCCCGAGCGTAAAGAATACGACGAAAACGTGAGAACCAGGACCAATAATGTCAGAGGCACCGAGACCACCCAGAAGATCCAGTATTCATTTGCGACATCCAGCCCATCAGGCCCGAAGAACCAACTGCTAAACAACGTCTGTCACCAGTTGGTCCCAGTTCGTATGGGGGCGGATAAAACATTCGAGAGTCACAGACGAAAAGATGGAAGGAATAAAAATTAGAATAGCCATCGCAGCGGCTTTAAAGAATGTCTGAGATATAAAGGAAATCTTGAGTGAGTTCATTGAAATCCATTGACTCGTCGAGACTTGTTCGGCCTGGGCTCTGCGTGCAACCTGCTCGTTTGTTAACTCTGAACTGGGTGCATGGTACTGGGAGAGCGAGGAAGACCATACGCGGTTCATTTCAAGCTCAATGGGCTTCTCAATGATCGCAGCCCTATCGATTTGCCGTTGTAGTCTGTTTCGAAAGTGCCTCAACGTCCATAACAACTCTTTTGTGCGTTCTGCATATCGTCTTGGGTATCTGTCCGAAGGTTTTCTCTCCATAGCAGAGATGACGATGATGTTCGCGTTCATGAATTTGAGGATATCACTTCGACGGCTTTGCAATCTAGCCAGGCATTCCCAGAGTTCATCCCATCCCTGCGATTGTTCTCGAACATCTTCGTGCCCCTCAGAAGGGCTTAATGCCTAGTGTGGTGGGGAGAGTTAGCATTCGCCTTACCCCATCCAGTATCCCAGTAGTGTCAATAAGACTTACTTCTCGCAATTTTTCCACACTAATCTAACTTCTGTCTGCTCCCTCAAGGTGAGCAAGTTGCCGGAACAAGGTCAAAAAAACACAGTTTTATCCACAATTCAAACATTTGTTACCCAATGCTACCACAATGACCAAATATCAAGGTTCCCGCAGGTCTCTGAGGAGATCATTCCGGGGAGGACTCATGGCGAGTTGGTGATATGTTGGCGTTGGGTTGACAGCACGTCTGTGGGTACGGGCGGCATGCTGGATGCTGAGAGACTACCCTTCCCGCATTTCTGTCGCGATGCAAGAGACACCGTGTTGCCCAACGTTGGAAAGGCAGGTACGTGTTGGTTCCAGGACGCGAGCGGCATTTTGGATCAGGCTGAACAACGCCATATATATCACGTGGATGATTGCTCATGAAAGTAGGCACCATCTCCAGTTTCCAAATCGACCGCTCGGCAAACCGCTCCTTTACTCAATGCTGCAACGTCGCTTTACCCCACAGCACGACTCTACTCCATTACCTGACGCATTAGACCGATAGACTCCAGCTCCACCTCAGACCGCTTAAGAGCAACCTCGCAAGACCCATCTACCGCCACCGACCCAAGTCAGATATCCATCGACAGCCCTTCCTTAAAATGCCTCCAAGACCTCGTTGCGGACCTCAATTCGGCCACAGATGTCATCCTCCACTCCGGAAAGCGGCGTTACAACAAGGTGACAGCGCCGGTGGCCTGCTGGCCAGACGAGCTCAGCGATCGCCAGCACATCCGCCAGTCAACAAAAGAGTTGTGCCGTGTGCTAAAGTCCCAATACCAATTCGAAGTTGAACAAAAGCCTTATGAGATGAAAAAAAAAAAGATGACGCATGCCAATCAACCTGGAACTGCTTAACCACCTCAGCGAAGCCACGGAAGACGTCAAACCAGCCGAGCGACCAGAAGATCCAACACAACTATTCATATTATACTACGGGGGCCATGCGGTGGAAAGAGATGGAAATATGGTTTGGCGCCCCAGCGAGAACGCCGAAGAACAGACCGAGGTTGTTTGGACGAGCATCCTCGACAACTTCAAAGACTTCGACGGAGATCTTCTCTTCCTCTTCGACTGCTGTTATGCAGGCAACATGGTCAACTACGGCCGCATCTTCAACCGGCGGTGCGAAGTGTTTTGCGCCTCCAACAAGAGGAAGAAGGCGAGCGGTGAACCGGAACATTCGTTCACCCGAGCACTCCTGGGGGAGCTAGCTATCGAAGCCGAGATGGGTCGCGGATGCGAGATCAAGCGATTGCACAGCGTGCTCAGCCTGGAGGCGAAGCGGGACATCTACCAGTTGAAGGTTGAGCCGTACTGGGACCGGTTCACGCGGTTGGATGGCACGCCAATCTGCCTCGCGCCGCTGGAAAACGGTGGCGGAGACAACCGTCCGAGGGATTCGCCGGGGATTGTGCAGGAGCTGGAGGCCTTGTCTGATGCTCGCGTATTATTCAAGGCGACGTTCGAGGATCCGGACGCGCGACCCATCCTGGATGAGTGGAAGGACTTCGTCCACTGGCGCCCCCGGAACCTGAAAGATATCGAGTGGTACGCCCTGCGCGAAACGCACTTCCAGAGCCTGTTCAAGACCAACTCCAGCTCTGCAATCATTTCCACCCCCATGATACTGTGGGACTCGATGCCTAGGCGGGTCGCGTACGAGTTCATCTACATAGTTCGCTCGACCGACATGTTGGGCAACCTACCTCGACCGATCCAGGCGACTGGCTCGGTTGATGAACAAAACATCGGTCATTCCTCATGCGGAGGTGTCACAATCCATGGTCTCCTTTAGTTCCATAATCAAACTCCGACATTCAATAATGCAATCCAAGCAACTTTATACAATAAGTAGTAGTATGTCTCCAACCAGGGAGCTCACAGTGACGTCTTCAATGAAGCGCGAAGCATAGGCGCAATTTCCTCGCCAAGTTCCCATCTGCGGTTCCCCTGCGGTAGAGTAGACGCGAATTGAGCCATCCACCCATCCACAACGCATCTACAGAAAGCGATGCCGTGTATTCCGGCTGTGCCGCCCGAATGAATCCAGTTCTCCAGGCGCGTTGTGCTTTGTAAGTCCGGTGGATCAACCCCGATGTTGATGTGATCCAGACTCGGGATGCAGCTGCATGCATCCTCGGCATACATGATCCACGCCCACACCACCAGAGCGCTCAATGCACTTGCGAGTTGCGTCACTGGGTCGATGCTTTGATTCGGCGGCTCCTTTCCGTCGGAGCCGGCCTCGCGCATCCTAAGGACCCCGACGGCATGAAGCAGTGCTCTTCTGCTCTCTGCGGTAACCGCCCATTCGTGAAGCTGAGCTTGATAGTTTTGGATCCTAGGCGGTACCGTGGACTCGCTTGGTGTTGGGGTATCCAGATACATCGCAACAGCGTTGATTGTTCGCACGTCGGCATAGAGTTGCATCCCTTGGATGTGATACACCATCAATGAATCAGATAGCAGTGATTTGATGTGCACCGTTGCTGCCAGCCTTTCACGCGCCGGGTCCTCATCAAACCTTCCCAGATACGCCACAAATGGGAGCCCTGCCGTCTCCTCCGTGAGAAAGCTTTGGCTGCATTGAAGGGAGATCCTCTCCATCTCGGCTTTCCAGGTTTCGAGGTGCCACGCCAAAGACCTCAGTGAATCCAGTCCAACTTTTCCGGTCCGGCGAGTTATTTGTAAATGGTTCCATATTCCCGGGAGCAAACCGCATAGGGCGAGGTGAACGTCTTCGACTAGTAATAGGGGTCTTCCTCGTGAATTTGGGTTGTTTGTGATTTCAGAGAGTTTGTAAGTCGTGCGGTCGGCAGGCTCTTGGGTTAGCCTCTTGAAGAAGACGTCGAGGCCCCAGGCATTCCAGAGCGCAAATGTACATGGGAGGGCAACATCCAGTTCCTCTCGGTGCATTGTAGGGGGTTGCCATCTGGCAATTGACAAGTACGCATCAATCTTGTATAAGCATACGATCGTTCTTTTACCGTTAGCCGTCAAGAATATTCCAAAAGTAATGAGAGAGAATGCTTACCTCTTCCAACGTTCGCGCAGAGTTTGTACCCAGGGCAAGAATGTGCCCGGAAAATGAGCTCGTTGTTGATATCCAGAGCTTGAACAAACAAAAAATTCAATCTCTCGTAGCACTGCAACCAGAATTCCTTTAATCAGGACAGCTCTTGCTACTATTTTCTCGCCCTAGACGCAAAGGTTAAACAACGATATTCTGCAATCAGCTGTGTGGTACATACCCCGTGATAAAATGCGAAGATGATATTTAGAACGATGGCTTGATATAATTCGGTCCGCCAAGGCTTCTCATCCAAATTACGAGGGGCAGGTTGTGACTAGAAGTGGTGAGCTGATGTCAAAACGAAGTACGGGAACGACTAACCAGCTCCTCAAGGAATTTCTCCATCAGAATTCTGTGGAGTTCGAGTGCAGCGTCCTCCGTGTCTGTCGGGTTCTTAAGCCACGATCCTATCATTGCCACAGTCGCAACGATGCAAAGAGGAGGTGTCGCTGAATCAAAGGTGGGGCCATGAATAATGGGCCAGCTTTCATGAAAATGGCCCAAATACTCGTTTGTGCTGGTTTCGAACCATCGTCGATCATCTTCAGGAAGCCGGAAATTGTCATCCAATGTAGTGGTTCGTAATGCAAGGACATTGGCAAACCGAGCTAACCCGATGACTGCAGGATTATTTCCCAGGGCCTGTTGTGTTTCAAGGCTCAACCCACCAACAGGGGCAGGTACTGGAGAATCTTCTCTAATATCTCTCTCTGTTGTGGATGGTGTAGAAAGCACCGCGGGATCTGTGGAGGATTGTCCGTCACTCTTTGCGCCTGGTGGACTTCCACTTGCCCTTCCGTTGGCAGAGACAAGTCTATATGTGCAGCTGATTCCTCGCTTGGAGCACAGAGAGCACTGAGTGCCTCCATCGCATTTCGTCTTGTTTGCGTGACAAGCATCGCAAGCTCTCCCCCTGCGTGAATCCGGTGCGGAAGTCAAATCATGCCGTGTCAAGTGGCGTCGGAGCAGGTCACTAATGGTACAGTAATCAGCATAAAGCAGTGCATATCTTCAGGGCGGTAGAGACTAACTTGCGAGTGAACGACCGTTGGCAGATTGTGCAAACAAAAGTGCGTTCACCATGGGTTGCTTGGTGTCGCCTGAGATGTTCTTTCCGAATGAAGGCTTTCCCACAATGGCATACATGCCGGCTAGTGGATTGATCTCCTGCAGCCGTGCTGAGACATTGATTAGACGAGGCTCCAGATTGGTATGTCGGGAATCCCACTTTCACGTTGACAGGCGGTGGCAGTAGGTTCCGGGGGACATTTGGGGCTACACTAACCTGTGGGCGAATGGATCCCCTCCTGCTCCTATAGCCGGGTGGGATAGATCGTGGGATGGATCGTGGGATAGATCCAATCCAGAAGGCATCGCGATTACTGTTCTGAGAAGCTGGGTATCCCAGAGTCCACTCCCGTTGCAGCAGGGGCTTAATCAGGTAATCAAGGAAAATGTTAGACGGTAATCGGACAGATCATGTGGAATCACAACCAGCAATGGGGCAATCGAGTGGCCTTTCGCATAACAAGCCTCGCAATGTCTGTGACCAAAGTTCGTAATCCAGGTGTTGTTGAGCCTGGACCGGCGGAGGTGTGGGATAAATGGGATACGCAGCCAGAGTGGGATACGCCGAGTGGGATAACCAGGGTGGCCGCAGAGTCGGGTCTAGACTGACTAATCCCCTAACATGGTTAGCTTTCCGGAGTTCTGCTAAAGTCATCCCGCTCACGGCATCCCGCTCGGCATCCCACTCGGTATCCCACATCCTCAGACTTCCCTAGCCTGAACCCAGGGGAAATTTGTAACTTCACCTCAGGTGAGGCTGGGCGCTGAGTAACTAGGTTCGTATAGCATCACAAACATCATTATGAGCGAAACCAAAGTTGTCCATGTGTATATATTTCTGTGTCTATGGCTTTAGATTAATTCATCCATCAACTCACAATCATCATTCAACTCCTTAACACATCTGTCAATCATCATTCACCATTTTAATTTAAACCAACACAATCCACAATGGCTGCCCTCAAGAACATCGTCATTGCCGGTGCCTCTGGCTCTCTCGGCTCCATCGTCTTCAAGAAGTTTGTCGAGTCCGGAAAGTTTAACATTCGCGTCCTCAAGCGCGCTGGTTCTGCTTCGGAATTCCCCGCTGGCACCGATGTTGTCGAGGTCGACTATTCTTCGCTCGAGTCTCTCAAGTCCGCCCTCCAGGGCCAGGATGCCGTCATTTCTACTCTCACAACTCTCGCCATCGACGCTCAATTGACATTTATCGACGCCGCCATCGCTGCTGGCGTTCAGCGCTTCCTCCCCTCTGAGTACGGCTCCAACTTGGACGTCCCTAGCGTTCGCCAACTTCCCGTCTTCGCCCAGAAGGTCAAGATCCAGGATGTCCTCATTGAGAAGTCTAAGTCGACGCCTCTGAGCTACACCTTTGTTTATAACGCCGCCTTCCTCGACTGGGGACTGCAGCACAACTTCATCCTCGACCACTCTCAATCAAAGCCTATCATTATCGACGGCGGCGATGTTGAGTTCAGCACCACTACTCTTACCAGTGTAGCTGATGCTCTTATTGGCGTTGTCAGCCACCCGGATGAGACTAAGAACCGCGTCGTCTATATCCATGATCTCATTACTACCCAGAACAAGCTTCTCGCCCTTGCCAAGCAGGTTGCTCCCGAGAGGTCTTGGGCACCCATCCCTGTTGCCCTGGACGATCTCACTGCCAAGGCAGATGAGAGACTGGCCAAGGGACTTTACGATATGGAGACATTTGCTCCTTACCTCTTCCGTGCTATTTTCGACCCCAAGAGCGGTGGAAAGTTCGAGAAGACCGACAACGAGCTCCTCGGTGTCAAGGGCAAGACGGACCAGGATATCATTGAGCTTCTGAAGCCCCTGTTGAAGTAATTGGTCCGAAAAATTAGAAATAGCTCATGAAGCTTGATAGATTAGTGACAAAAGGCGTTGAATATGCCCTAAAATGAATTCAAATGTTCCAAAACAAACTTATGTGCCAGTCGTTTCGGATAGTGAATCTTGAACCAATAGGCTGAGGTGCCAATAGGTTCCACTGTGATTCCCCGTATATTCCTAATCTCATTACTGGCTAGTTTTACTCCTAGCTGCGGTGTCTAATTAGAAATGCTTGAGCAACTCGCAAATGTTATACGCAGTACAATGTCATATTAACCGATGCCACATAGCGCAGCCAGTCTCTCTCCGAAAGAAAACGAGTTCATCTTATGCTAAATATGTATGTGCAGAAAAAATTGGGTGTGCCGATACGAGCAATAGGGAAGAAACTGTCCAAGGCACCCACGTCGAATGGAGGGGGGTTGCATAAGCGAACGAACCACACCCGTCTTTTTCTTCTATTAAGCATCGGCGGCCTCTTGCTTTCTTGTTTTATTTGTCATTTTAGAAGAAATACGAAATATTAATAGTGTCGGGTCAAAATAAGAACCCGTCACGCCAATGTTTCTAATCGAATATGAAATGGGATTCCTCAAACTTTTGCCTCTGTACAGGATGCATTCATTTGCTCCTAAATCCACCTGTCTTTTATATTGTTCTGTCTAGGAAAGGGCCCGAGACCGTTGTCCTCATAAGCATATCCAAAGTTTTCATCTGTCAAGGAGTGACGTCTTGATAGAAACCAAGCAAGAGTGTGTCATTCGAGACTGTATTTTCAACAGTTACCGGCAGTATATCTGCTGCAATCTCTCTCCTCTATTCAGTGCTTGTCAATAATTTTCGCTTCTATTACCCTACTTCCAGAGCCTGAGGATGGCCCGGTCACTGCTTTACACTCGGCATTGCTTGGCTTGGAAAAGCAGAGGCCGGGGCGACAACGGTAGTAAAGACGACACCGGGTGACATTGGCTGAGCTGGAAGTCGTGGCGTTGTCGATTGCGAACCGAAATGATAAAATGATAGTGAGGAAGCCGTCCCTGTTCTGGACCGCAATGCCTCCTTTGGCTTCAATTCAGCAACCACGTTTTCGGAACAAATATATCGAATGAGTGCGAGCAAACAGAGAATGAATATCTGTCTGCAATCTGGTGAACCTTCAAGTACTCCGAAGCACAGCCAACACAGAAGTTCCACCACTGCGGCGTTTTTTCGAAGGCCCCTGAAAGCCCTGAGCTAGCCATCCCTGCCTCACTATTTTATGGAAGCCCCGTGGCGACGTGAAGGTGCCGATAAACTTGACAAGCTTCTCCACACCCTCGAGAAAGATTAAGTTGTAAATACTCGCTCGAATTCTTCCCACAGCACGGTGGCCTGAGACTCGGCCCAGTCAGCCCCAGGGTAGCAGCCTCCTCCAAGAAAGTCTCCTCTGCAGGATCGCCCCCTTCGATCCTGAAGCAGATATTCATACGTGACTGCACCGTCTTATCAGGGATGATATTATAGATATCAGGATAGGCCTCGAGAGCTCTGTAGATCAGTCAAGCCTTCTCTTCGGCTACAGCTTGCTGTCCTTACATTTTGGGATGATGTAGCAGCAGCCTCTTTAGGACCTGGCCCGCAATATACACAGTGAAGAAAACTTGATTAGTTTAGATCTTACCTTGAAAGTGGTGTGTGTACTCAAAAATGCGAGTGTATTATAGAGTCTATTGTTCTTTGCAATAGTCCCATGCTCGAAGATGCGAGGCGTAATAGGCAGACCCAGTTGTCTCAATAGAGTCGCAGGAGGCTAAGATGCCATAGGCGGTAGGAAGCTTTTGTTGGTAACTACAAAGGTGATGCTAGTCGTTCTAAGGTTCTTCTGGTTGCTGAAGAAGATAGTTGAGAACTCCTTGATCGTGATCGTCCTTGAAAGGATGTTGGAGCTGATGTCGGCTATAACAATCGGTTTATCGAGCCCCGGGTCAAGGGACTAGGGAAACCCAGCGAATTCCACACCCAACCGTCTCGTTATCACAATAATAGACCATTGCGGCACCCTAAGAGAGGTTCCAGGTACTATTATCCGGCATCGTTCCAAACCTTCCGCTATTCATCTTGCGGCTATCCGCCACAATGTTGGCATGCTCCGAGCCAAAGCGGAAACCTCCCCCTACCTACCACTATGTATAAAGATTGTCTCGTAATCGTCTGAGATATCGAGGTAGGACGCCAGATCAGCTTTGGCCTCGTTGATGGTATTCGTAGCTATGGCCGACCGATGCGAATGCTCGGCGGTCTACACTGGCGCTCGATAGTTGATAAGAGCTTGAGCAGCATCCTCAATCGTTTCAGTAAGAAGATCTGCCAAGCCTGCGCCGAAACCGGTTATATCTGATCTGAAGGGCATAACGTGTATGTAGTTGCATTGACCTGGTAATTGACAGACTTACATAGACTTCCCATATTCGTCCAATCTGATGTTGTGAGATCAAGTCCCCCATTTATCCGTCATCCACTTACGCATTCTCTAAGAAATTGGAAGTTGTCCCTCCGGTCCGGGGATGGCGTCATCCGTATAGGGGGGTTGCACCATCGATATCTAACAACGCAGACCCATACGCACCCGAGGTAAGCCGCAAAAAGCTTTGAATGGTTCACTTGATTGGCGAAACCCCGCGAATCCATTCGGAGTTATCAAGATATCCTTATCGCAAGATCTGGCCCTCGATCCTTCATGGGTCTTGTCCCGACCATACAATGAAGCATGTACCATGGGGGCTCTTTCTAAGTTTCAAGTTATTCGATATTATCCCTCATTAACTCTTGAATTCATTAAATAGGCGTAGAGCTAATCTTTTGACTCTTTTCATCCAAGGATGCCAGGCAAAACTTTTCATTAGCGAGACGAGAACGGGGGATTTGCCACACGTACAAAATCAACCCAATAAGAAATCTATGCGTTGAAACTATTTATAAAACTAAGCAAAAGCGGTGCACTAAGATGGGGTAGATACTGGACAATCGCAAGTTGGGTCATCGATAGGCCAAATAACACCATCGTCTGTGTGGGGTCCCAGGATCACATCCCGACACCGGCAAGCAACACCAACAGAAGCGACAATTCCCCGAGTCACGTCATCCTAAATGCGGGCGTGGTATATCTACCTTGAGTCTGATTCGACAGCAGTGAACATGACGCAATCCACTACAGGCCCGCTAACTCCTCGCGTGTACAGGCCTGGGATCAAACAAAACGAGCCCGGTTCCGTTGTGGCCGACATTGATGAACTTGGAGACTCATTCATCGCTTCTTTCAGCTGCACTGTCTTGTAGATCATTAGAAGGTTTGGCACGCTCTTCCGGGTTCCCAAACCAGCCTCGTCGTATCAAACGCCAAGCCGACTGGTCAAACCATCTACCGACGAAATCTGAATCGAAAAGGCATCGTTGCCAAAATGAGCTTCGGTAGTTCTTTTGTTTCGCTCACTGCGGAGCCCTCAAACGATTTCCGGATAGCAGACACCGACGCCGTCTCCGAGTTCCAAACGACAGCAACTCAGTTCGCTGCTGTGCCTCGTTCTGTCGAACTCCCCTCAATCCACTCCCTCGAAGCCAGCCAGGCCGCGTCAATTCAATCGATCGATTCCAACCCCGCAGTCCAACTACCAGATACCCAAACTGTCCTCCTACTACATGGAGTGAAGCAGCAGTACGAGGTGACGAGTGGACACGCGTTGCCGGCTACAAAACACGACCATGAGCTGTTGGTACGGACAAGCACTATCGGGTTGAACCCAATCGACTGGAAATCACCGTGAGTTCAGCCTTGAGGGTATTTGTCACCCATTATTAATCAAATATTATTCAGTGATTACGGTTTTGGCATCCCAGAGCTTCCTTATATCTCCGGTCGTGAGGCTGCAGGCACAGTCGTGCGAGCCGCCAACCGGCCTTCAAGGGTCAAGACAAATGACAAGGTCAATCACGAACATGAAAATTCCCTCATATTCCTGAAGCTAATATCCAACAGGTCATTGTTATTTCAACCGACTACCGAGACCTCCGAAAAGCCACATACCAGCAATACGTCGTGGCCTCTGACTTCAATGTCGTTAGAATCCCCAAGGAAATCACCGTCAGTGAGGGAGCTACTCTCGGCGTCGCCTTCGTAGCGGCATCCTTGGCGCTGGGAGTCTGCCTCGGCGTCGACTTTACCAGGGCCCATGACGGCCCTAACATCCTCGATCTTGTTCGAAGCATCCCGGAGGAATCGGTGCCCCAAGACATCAGGGGAGAGTGCTTGCAGGGTATCCTACCCAGCGAGGGCGCCAAGTCAGGGGATTGGATCGCAATCTGGGGCGGATCATCTACATCAGCAAGCATTGCGGTGCAACTGGCTCGTCTCGTTGGACTCAAGGTCGCTTTGGTGGTTGATAACGCCAAGCATGGACTGAGAATTTCAGAAAACCCCATCCTCCGACCAGACCTGCTCGTCGACAGCCACGACCCTGAACGCGCAGTCGCCATCCTCCGTGCCAACACAAACGGAAAGCTACGATTCGGAATCGATACTCGAGGCCGTGACACCGCCGAGCTCCTCCTCCGCGCTTTAGGTCCCGAGGCCAAGCGAGCTGCTCCAGTCAACTCACCTCCCAGCACACCTCCCAGTGAGCCCATCATCCCAGCACACCTAGTAGGCTTGAGCGGTCTGCCCAAGGGCGAACAACCCGCGGGCATCATCTTCCACACCATCCCCGTTAAGCTGTACCATGAAGTGCCCGAAATTGGCGAGGCGTTGTCGAGCTGGCTGGAGCGACTGTTGGCTACTCGCGCGATGGTGCCGCCGAGAATTATCGATATTGAGGACGGTTTACACAATGTTAACAAGGGGCTGGATCGAATGCGCAAGGGTGAAATCAGCGGAGGTAAGCTCCTCGTTGAGCTGGAGGCATAATTAAGTCAAGTCTCAAGCAGAGATGAAAATAAAATAGATTGTTCATGTATTCCTCAGCTAATTATACTTGGAGCAATTGATTCTACTAAAGTTCAAACTCCATTTCCAGTTCCCTAATAAGTCTCCTCTCACTGCTCATTCATCGTCCAATAGTCTCAACCATGACCCTGCAACTCCTGAACACTTCATACACCACAGGTTCTTGACCTTTAGCATATCCACAATCTTCCCAACCCTATCTCTCACGAAAAGAGGGAGTTCAAATACAATATCGCATTGGTCACAATACAAAGAGAACTCTTCATTCGGGACTGCACTGCATTCGACACACCATTCAAGACCCAAATGCAACGTGGGCTTTTTGCATCGCTGGCACTCTTCAAGGAAAGAATCGTGGACTTCTTCCTTCGCTTTGTCTTGAGTATACTTTTCCCTGAGGCATTTGATGCAGAGCTCGTTGAGGCCGGTATACATCCTCCTGCAGCGGGTGCATTCTTTGCTGGGAGGCGTAAAGGCTGGGGCTAAGTGACCGCGGAGGTAAGACTGCCGGATGAACTCATCGGTTTCATGCAGAGAGAAGGAGGCAGAGCGGTTTCCAATCCGTGCGTCAGTGGCAGGCACTTCAGTACAAGAGGAGGCCATTTTACTTCAGCTACCAAATAAATTTCTGATTTACCGCGGTTGTCCTTTTCTTCCCGTATTGAAACGTGATGATAGAGCAATTAGTAAAGTGAATACGAAATGCCCTCCTATTTATCCCTCAGCTGAGGGGAATTTTAGTCGTAGAATTAGAACAAGATTCCTAAGCTGGGTGGGTTCTTGCTCGGGGAACAAAGAAATAATATGCAATATGTGGAAAAGATGTTGAAATCCGGCACTGTTCATTGATGAACAATACCCGGCATGACGGACAGTATCTGGAACAGGGTACGAACTTTACACATGAAAATGGAATGAAACATGGGTTTTTACACCTCGACAGCGACACTGGAGAAATTCATGTGTTCGTGCTATCCAAGAAAGAGAAGCTGTATTGTAGACCACGTCCGGGGGCTATGAAAGACAAAGCCGCAGAAAGAACAACAGACTAGTTCTGATTTCTTCTCCAAATGTCAAAGCCAATTTTGTTATCGCATTTGTTCATCGCTGAATCACTGCGCCCACATTGCGATATCAACACCCGCTCGCTCAACATAAAATTGAATACATAAAAATCATTCCATGCAGTCACACCAGTCGTCTCAGCATAGGCAACGCCCTCAGAGGGCAGGCCCTTCCCATTGTTCCCGGCGCATGCGCACATACCAGGATTGCTTGTGAGGGAAGGATATCTGCTTCTCTCGACAGAAACCTGAATACTCAAGACGTTGCAGAAATCTGGAGCTTGTCAGTATATGGCGTGATAATTCCAGTTAATTGCTTGCTCACCTAGCGTTGTCCACCCTTGGCTCTAGGCAAATGTTCATGGTGCGGTAGTCCGATGTCAGACACCAATGCACCAGACCCGACAACCAGACGGGCACCCGGCCTCTGGCCCATTCTTCACCAATCAAAACATGAAGTCCTCTATCCCACTCCCCAGCTTCATTGCCAAGGTGGCGGCCCAAAATATCCTCCTTGACCCAATAGATTTCGAAGTACCCAAAGGGCACGCCATCCCATTGTCCAATGACGGGGAATGAATGTGGCTGGTTCAAAGAGTTCGTGAGGAAATCCGGGCCGTAGTCACCCCAGAAAGCATTTACACGGGGCTTTCCCATCCACATTTTCATGAGGTCATTATCGCTGAGTGTAGTCGTGTGAACATTAACCGGGGGGTCGAGCCCAACCGGGCCATAGTATGGCACTGGCTTTGGAGAGGACGACGCGACTCGGAACGACAGGTACTGGCCAACACTCGGAACAAACCGGGTGTAAAAGACTTCTCCCATCCTCGGGGGCTTTGGCCGAAGGGGGTGGCGAATGTTGTTCGTGAAGATGTACTGGAGCGGCGGAGGCGGGTAGTACGTGGGGAGGTGAGAGCTCGAGAAGAATGGACCGATTGGGAAGCTTGGGACCGTCACCATGGTGGTTGGAATCGGTCCACCAGGAAGGTCGGTGTCCAGGCGTCCAAACGACGAGTGTGGGGAGTGATAGTGCGGGCTATGAGCCCCCTCGCCCCGAGTAGGTGAACCGGGGCGGCTGCTGGTGGGTGACCCGGGGAACGAGCTCATAGACCTGTTGGGCTGCAGCGAGAAGAGAAAAAGCCGTCCCGGGAGCTGCCAGAACATCCGGCGAGTCGCAAACATCCGCGTCCAGCCTTCGTCGTTGTCGTCGACGCTCGTGCCGACGGCAGTGTCAGCCGAGGCGATGAGCCCCATGCGCTCCAGCTTGGGGATCAAGTTGCGGCCCCGCAGCACGCCGTCGCGCTTGATGTTGATCTTCCACTCCCCGCGCGGCTTGGCCCCGAGGGGAGTGGCCTTTGCGGCGCCGGCGGGGACCTGCGAGTCCGGCTCGGGCTGGTGGAAGTACCAGTAGAGCGTGATCCACAGCATCATGGCGATCTGCCGGGTGGGGCTGGCGGCCGGCTTGAACTCGGAGCTCGAGGGGTTCGCAATCGACGAGATGAAGAGGTTGTCGCCCTGCAGCGTCGGCTTCGCAAACGAGTGGATGTGCCTCTTCACACGGGCGGCGGCGCCCTTGTCTCCGTCGAGAAAGACGCCGTGGCCATTCTCGGCGCCGTGACGGTCCGTATCGGTATCCTTATCATCGTCATCGTCTTCGTCGCCGTCGTCGTCCGAATCGGCCTCGGTGTTTAGGACGACAGTCCAGCCGATGGGGAAGGCGTGGCGGTGGGTGTTCAGCTCGTGGCTCTTGAAGCCAAGGCCTGCGAACACAGGCGTGACGGTAAAGGTCTGGCCGTCGGGCAGATGTATGACTTGGGGCGCCATCTCGTCGCTTGCGGTTACGGCCGGTGAGGGGGTGGGGGATTGGTCTCGGACCTCCAGCTTTTAAACAGCTAGTGCGGGATGATATGAGGCTCGAGAGGGGAACAGGCTTCTAGAACAGGCCCAGAATAGTTCCAGAAGACTGCCGCTTCGAGGTATCTGCTGACCTCCGGCGAGGCGATCGTGACAAACGCCTGGGCCATGGTTGGACGTCGGACTGTTGGTGGAGTGCGAGACGGCGTCGTTTGTAGTGGTGGTTGTTGGTTGAGAGGGTGGGGTGAGGTGGGATGAACAAGCTCAGGTGTGAGGGGATGGACGGGATGGCCACTAAGTAGGGCTGTATCCGCACTGTATGCTGCCGCTGGAAATGGCACTCTAGGGCCGTGCGAATACCAGCCAATCTGCATTGTTATACGTCATCCAAGACATCACCCCATTCTGCTAGTGACTTTACGCTAACAATCATGAGACGTTGACTCAATGATGATGCCGAATCAGTTAGATCTTGCATATTTCTTCATTTCAGCTTTGGCCCGGGCTATGCGCCATTCAGGCACATGTTTTTTATTTCCTTTTTCGAAGCGCAAACTGCCGTCATCACCCGGTATTGTCTCCTGGCTTGTCGACCCACGACGGACTCGCCGATGTGCCGAACGTCCAACACATCAACTACACAGTCGGCTTCTCCGTCAAGCCACTCACTTGTTATCTCGTGACAGTGATTCTTCCTCGTCCTCGTCATCATCGTCCTTTAGTTTCTCCTTGTCACCGCCATTCTTCCGCTTCTCTGCTTCTAGAACCTCCTTCACGTCCTCGCTCAAGTCCTTCGTCTCGTCCCACTCTGCATCGTACTCGGCCGCCGCCATCTTGATTTCTCTCCGCAGCCCATTTGCCTCGTGGACCAGGTGCTCCCACTTGCTCGGGTCGAGGCCGCGCTCCTGGTATAGCGCGTTCTGACGCTTCGACACCGTCAGCTTCATGGCCGCCTTGTAGCTGAGGTCTCGACTAATAAAGAGGAACCACAGGTATCCTCCCATGATGGTAGTCAATCCCGCGAGATAGGTCACGGGCTCCACCAAGTCCCATCCCATCTCCGTGTGAAACGTAATATAGTATACGACCCCCCACCATGTAGCAAGAGCAGCGAAGCCACCTTGAGCGAGTCGGTGGGCTCCTTGATGGGCGAGCTGATCACACTCGCTCTTGACTTTGGCCATGGCATCAATCTCGCGCGACATTCTCCTCAGTTGCATCCGCATGTAGTAGGTACGGTCCTTGAAGCTCGGCACGGCCACGCGCAACTCCTTTCCGTGGCCTTCGATGTCGATGGCAAACTCGGTCCCACGCGCCGCGTCTCGTATGAAGTCGCCTACTTCGGTGCTACCACTCCAGCGCACCCAGGCAGTGTGCTTCTTGTCTGGGCCCTCATGGCCAAGGCCAGAGTATGAGGCGACATTGGTATCCCGCCGGTCCTTATGGTGGTGGGATTCTTCCTGGTCGGCTTCGGCCCGAAATACAATATCTGGAAGCTTGTCTCGGTCGTTGTATCGTAGTGGTGGGATCTCCGCTTGTATTAATCGCTCGAGGTAGGACAGCGGCTGTTGGGGGTGAACTAGGAGTGCCAATGGCTCGACCGTCTCGCCTTTTGGATTCTCAACGGGCACGTTGATGTGTTCTTGCTTGGGGTGGAAGGGCATGGGCAGGATAAGTTTGAGTAGTCGGGTCGGGGTTGTCAAGAGCCTGCCTGTAATCGTGTCAGTATCAGTAAGGGCACGAATCCACACCGACAGTGCAATGTACCTTTCGTTAAGTCTCCGTGTGTAGGGTCCGGTGATGTTGACTTTGGCTGTGCATGACTACCCTCTCTGTGCCATGGTCGGTCGTTCTCCAATGACTGCGCACTCTTTCCGGATGTAACTTTTCGTTGTTCTCTTTGGCGGGCCTTCTCTCTCTGCTCTTCTTCTTTTCTGTCGGATTCCTCTTCTTTCAACGAACACGACCTCGAAAATGAGCGCCCGAGAACCGACGTCAGCGGCACGCGACTCCGCAGGAAGGGCTGGTGGTGGGAGCTGAAGGGCGAGGATGGTCTTAGGCGCAGTGCGGGAGAGAACCGCACTGTCGCGCGACAAAGTACATGGCTCATTGTGACCGCTCGTCTATGTGAGTAAATATCAATCCGAATGGAAAGGAAACTCGTCGATAGCAAATTCAGTCTGGTTGGAGATGATCCCAAGTTCGTGGAAGATCCTTGGAGCTGTTCCTGGATCTGGCCGGACAGGAAAGGGTCCATGACGTCACAAACCCAAGCTTGGCCCAGGGGGCTTCATCGAGCCACCATTGGACAAGCACTAGTTTTGAGCACCATGATTCCGGGCACTTGGGCCTCTTGTTATGTCTCAAAACTTCCCTTCATGCGGTATGGACAAAAAGAATGGCATGGCATGTCTTTGCCGTTTGGTGATAGGCCCACAATGCGACGCTGGCGCCGATCTCGCTTCCCACCGCGGGTCAACCCAGCAAGTCGATGGTGAACACCCTACTTGAAACCAGGTGCGTTCGAATGGTAAACCTTTATGGACGTGGAAGCATCAATAGAGTCCTATGTGACATGTCCATGTCCAGCTATTGCCTAGAGAAGTCATCGTTGTTGAGAGGAGCTACCGGGTAGCTAGCCATGCAATTTCGCCTCAATGCAAAGCTTTGGGAGTCCATCTGCACCGAATTAATGGGTGCTACTCTTCCAGGTACCTTTCCCTATTTAACATCCATGGAAATGTAATGGCCGCGCAAAAAACTACATGCCAAAGCCATGAGGGTAATTGTAAGGCCACTTGTTCTTGACTATTGGTACACTTTCGAGTCTCTACCTTGCTGTCTAAATTTGGAGGAAGGACGCAGGACCTCCTCTTCACCAGTGGTTCAATTGGTTATTGGAGAACCATCCAGGTCTTCTGGGCGTTTCTTGCCCAGAAAAACTTCGCATCCTCACGCCTTGGACGATTTTACTGAACACCCTTTTGACCAGACGTGCAAACTCAAATCGAGTCTACGAACATAAATATCACAGGAGATTCTCTAGACTTGAAGATTTTCCCTTTTATTTCCAACTCTCTACTATCTTCTCTGACTGTCTTGCTGTTCTGCTGGTCGTCTTTTCCTGCACGAGCTCACATCATCTCATTTGCACAGACAAACCAGACAACAACACACTCTATACACTCTCAACTAATCTACTCGACTATTAAAGATGGACCGTTCTAGTCAGGCCTCAGCCGACCCACCATTAGAGATGGGCCACTCTACTCAGACCTCAGCCAACCCGCCATTAAATATGGATCCCTCTACTCAGACCAGTTATGCTGCTGGCAACCTCCAATCTAGCCCGGCTGTTAATTCCGCGCCATCACAAAGCTCGGAGGATTCTATGAGCGCTTCACATCCTAGAGCTCTACCTATCGTCGCATGCGCACCAGTGCACTACCCGCCCGTGGGATTGCTCGACAGCCAGGCGTCTCCGCAGCCGGTCCAACCCCTCTCTAGCGAACAAAAGAATGGGATAATTTCCTTTCTTATTGTTTTTGTTTTAATTTTAATTTTCTACGAGGTCCTGAGATAGATCAAGGCTATGAAGCATTTACGAGCAATAGGGACATGCATTTAATACTACACCCAGTATCAGAGGAGACAGTAGCTTAGCAATAAAGATGTTGCAGACTGGCCTTTGCCTTGAGCTTCAATTCATTGGGAGTTTGCGTTGAGGTTATTTCTAGAGGTTCCCGTCAGAGTCTGATGACGGCGTTTTGTACGGCGAGACAGACGCATATTAGCAACAAAACTTGGAGCTGTAATTCAAAACACTCATATACATTTTAATTTCAGACATTTTACACGCTTGTCTATCCCACCCGATCCCGCACAATCCCGTGAGCTGCCCCCACGACATTCAGGGGACATCCCAGCCCAATGTCGGGATGTTTTCTTGTTGGTGTTGAGGGGCTTTCAGGGGTTCAACTGAGGGGCTGGACCCCGCACTAATCTCCATCGGGCCGCCACCGCAGCACCGGTCCTTCAAGCCATCGGGATGCCATCTCCAAGTCTTTCCGACAAGTCGGTGTAGTCGCAGAGCTTGTCGCTAGCCAATATCTGCATCTCCCTGACCTTTTGAGAGTTCTCTGTCCCGCGAGAGCTTCTTTCCTGCCTTGATCTTGCTCCTCTCCATCCCAACATCCTCAACCCCTCTTCCTCACAATGGCGGACACCAAGGTCTACCGGGCTAGCACCACTGCTCCCGTCAACATTGCCGTGGTCAAGTACGCGTTCTTGATATATGTTCCGGCTCAATTCCATGGCTAATTGCGCGACGACAGGTACTGGGGCAAGCGTGACCCCAAGCTCAACCTCCCCACCAACAGCTCCCTCTCCGTCACCCTCTCCCAGGCCGACCTGCGAACCCTGACGACCGCCTCCTGCTCCAGCGCGTACAACGACGGCGACAGCCTGACCCTCAATGGCGAGGCTTCCGATGTCTCTGGTGCGCGAACCCAGGCTTGCTTCCGCGAGCTGCGCTCTCGCCGTGCCGCCCTCGAGGCTGCCGACGCGTCGCTGCCCAAGCTGTCGGCCATGCCCGTGAAGCTCGTCTCCGAAAACAACTTCCCCACCGCAGCTGGCCTGGCCTCGTCTGCCGCTGGCTTCGCCGCCCTCGTCAAGGCCATCGCGCTCCTCTACGAGCTCCCCGACTCGCCCGCTGAGCTCTCGCTCGTTGCCCGACAGGGATCTGGATCTGCCTGCCGTAGTCTGTTTGGCGGCTACGTCGCGTGGAGGATGGGAGAGAAGGACGACGGAAGCGACTCCAAGGCCGAGCTGATTGCTCCCGCTTCGCACTGGCCCGAGATGCGCGCGCTGATCCTGGTTGCCAGCGCTGCTAAGAAGGGTGTCTCTTCCACCTCCGGCATGCAGCAGACCGTTGCCACCTCTGGTCTCTTCCAGCAGAGGATATCGACCGTTGTCCCCGCCAACATGGCTTCGATGGAGGCTGCAGTCCACGCCAAGGACTTTGCCAAGTTCGCCGAGGTGACGATGCGGGAGTCCAACTCGTTCCACGCCACTTGCGCCGACACCTACCCTCCCATCTTCTACATGAACGACGTCTCGCGCGCTGCCATCCGCGCGGTCGAGCAGATCAACGCCAAGGCCGGCAAGACCATTGCCGCCTACACCTTCGATGCCGGCCCCAACTGCGTTGTCTACTACCTGGAGGAGGATGCCAGCACTATCCTGGGCAGCTTCTACCAACCCCTTGCAGAGGTCACGGGCTGGAAGGAGGGTACCGCCAGCATCAAGTCGACCGTGGAGCTTGAGAGCAGCCTCGCGGCATCGCTGAAGGAGGGCGTTAGCAGGGTAATTATGACTGGCGTTGGCGAGGGCCCCATCAAGACTGAGGAGTACCTTATTGATGAGAATGGTCAAGCTGTTAAGCGATAGACCAGGAGCGAATAGTTTACGGCCTTTGAAGCACATCCAATATAAATGATGATCAGAGGACCTATATAACAAAAACTTTAAACTCCATGTCGCATACTTCTAAAGCTGTTATTGACCGGGTTGCCCATTGATCGTGGTTGGGGTTGGATCGGCTAGGAAGTATTAGCACTCGCAGCTAATATCGTCCAGGAGCCAAGCATAGGCCTTCCACTTGGGCAAGTTCGAGAGTCCGGTCGTAATCAGGGCCATTCCACTTTTAGCTTCAGTCGTTGAGAAATTAGAATTCTTTTATAAACACCGGCAATCAAGTTACATTACCCAAGTTATAGTATACATCGATCAATAATTCCTTTCTTCCAATCCTGCCGTAATTTCTCCGCCCATGATTCCAGAGGTAAATGCTCCATCAACCAGAGGCATCTAGTCGCCGGTAGCACGCAAGATCAAAGGAATTGAAATCCCCTTAGCACGACGATCACGTCTTTGAGCTGGATATTGAGAGGGTCAAGACAAATTTTTCTTCTCCTTGTAATAAAAAAGACCGACATGTACTGCTCTTTGATCGGCATCTGAGAAGCCATGAATGGGTTGAAATTTCACGATTTTGTTGCCATTCATAACTATACACTCGTCATAAGGATACGGCCGCGACGAATGTACTCTCAAACTCCGTCCGGCTTCATTGCTCATATGCTTTCTATCTGCAATATTCAATCTCCAGAGGAAGACTAAATCCATAAGGTCAACCCTCTGGTTTAGAATATAGGGCCAACGTTGTACTATTGACAGGCTCTCATGAGCGACGGTCGCTGTGCCTCTAAAGTGATCGACCAAGTCGGCAGCCCGTCGGCAATCAACAAGGAATGAAACGCGGTTAAATTTGCCACACCATCAGTGTCACCTGCTGCACTGTAAAAGTGTCGGATAGTCACTTCACTCTTGAATGATACCTAGGGGTTTGGCGTTCTTTCCTTCGTCTTCGCATGTCGGCCTCAGCCGGCCAACCTGACCCTGGCTGTCTCTTGGTGGAAGAAGAGTATTCCCCCAACAGTCGCCCAAACGTGGCCAATTGTGTAGGCCTCAGGGTGGCTCAGTGCCGGCGGTAATATTCTCCTGATTCCATAACGGTCGTGTGGCGGTTCACCGAGCTGGCAATGGCGCTGTAGTTGGCCACACGCGGGATCGAAGTAGAGGCGGGAACTTGACCCCTCACCTCGTCTCGCTTCCTAAGTAATCCGCTGTTGCAACGGAAGCTAGAAGCAGTGCAAGGGAATTACTCCAACTTTGTACACCGAGTTGGCATGAGAAGAGGCGCAAAGCGGGTGACGCACAAGAGTTCAACGCTAGGGAGCCTCCAGCACTCAAGACTTCCCATTCATTCACGCATACAGACAAGGCGGCGGAGATATTACCAAGCGCCCTTTCGGAAGACTCGTATCTAATGCGTGCAAATAGCAACATCTGCGAATAAAATCATATTTACCGCCATTTTACGCCAGCGTTGTGGCGCTGATCTCAGCACGGGTGGCAGCTGGCGGCCGGCAGTGAATCACAGCTGGCAAGCTGTGACACTCACCTTCAGGCTTCGCGGCTCCTGCTCGCACACACGTGGAACCTACAACAAACAATCGCCCGCCCGCCCACTCCGGGTTTCCATCTTCCACACCTACACATATGCATTGGAGCCCTTGAGCATTGTGTGAATCTGCCTGACTGAACAGACGTCATCAAATCTGTTGTCATCGTCAGAGCAACGACCCCTTCATCACGATGAGCGACGACGAAGGGTCAGGGCTTCGCGCTCAAGCTGACCCCATTCACCACCACGATGCCTCTCCAGAGACTAAACACAATGGAATCACCACTCTTCTTGGTCAAGGCCAGGAGGTCGAAATCCAGGAGCTAGACAAGTCGGGCAACATCACGCAGCGATGGCTACACACTCCCGACAACCACATCGTCCCAGTACCTACCGTCCCCGACTATCTAATGGCGCCGTTTGCTAACATCCCAAACAGGTCTTGGCCAAGAACAAGTCCAACAACTTCATTTTCCGATCGATGCGTGAATGGCGCAAGGTCCTTTTTGACGCCTTTCTCCCGGTCGGATTCCCGCACTCCGTCTCGGATGACTACTTCGCCTACCAGACATACGACTCTCTTCAAGCCTTCTTTTCCACCATCACCTCTCTTCTCGCCAACCGCGCCCTCCTCCAAGGTCTCGGAGTCGGCGATGCCAACTCTTCCGCCACATTCGCCCTGCTTCTGACCATCCTAAAGGATGCCATGTCCCGGGTTGCCACCATTGTCTTTGCCCAGCAGTTTGGCCTCCGTATCGAGCCAGATGCAAAGAAGTATCGGTTTCTAGCGGATCTGTTCAACGACACTGCCTTCTTTCTCGAGTTGTATAGCCCTTACTTTGGACCGTGGGGCAAGATTGTTGCTCTTACTTCTGGTGAAGCACTCCGCGCTCTCTGTGGCGTCTCAGCCGGTGCAAGCAAAGCAGCCTTGAGCGTCCACTTTGCGAAGCATGACAACTTGGCTGAGCTGAACGCAAAGGAAGCAAGCCAAGAGACTGCAGTAGGACTGATTGGTCTTTTGGTTGGAACATTTCTGGTCAAGCATGTTGAAAACCATCAGAGCGTCGTTTACTTGATGATTGGTCTGGTTTTCGCTCACCTCTGGATGAACTATCTTGGGGTTCGAAGTGTCTGCATGACCAATCTCAATCGCCAGCGTGCCACAATTCTCTTTCACGAGTATCTCAAAACCGGCAAAGTCCTGACGCCGACCGAAGTTGCCCGACGGGAGAGCATCATCTTTTGGAGTCCTGTGGCCAGCAACCGGGACGGGCAATCCGTTTCTCATATTGAGATGGCAGAGAGCTATTCGCACGCTATGGGAGGAGGCGACCCTCGCATTAACATTGCGATAGTTGACGGTGGTATGCAAACCCAGTTTATCTGGTGTCACTCTAATACTGGCTCAACTCCTATCAAGATCCTCCTCTGGCAGGGCGCCGAGCCGGCCCATGCGATTAGTGCCTGGTTCATGGCCTTGGAGATAACTTGGCTCATGGAGAAAGGGGTGGGCTACACCGTGGAGATAGACCGGATCTTCTGTGGAGAAAGGTCGCGGTTTAACACCTGGCAGAACGACATTGTGGTCAAAGATGGTCGAGATGTGAACGGGTACGAAAAACAGTTCTGCAATCCAGAGCTGTGGGAGAAAATGGCATCCAATGGGTGGAATCTAGACTCGCAGGCATTTGAGACCGCAGCACCAGTGCGATTGACGGCCCAATTTCGGACGAAGAAGGACGAGTGAGAACGACGATGGGCGAGCAGAACAAGACATGACGGCCGTAGAGCTTGTTTCATGAGCCATGTAGTTTCTCGTGTTGAAAGTCGGCGAGTGGCGTAGATTCTTTCAATGAGTCGGATTCTTATCCCCCAGAGATAATTAAGAAGATCGAACAAGAACTATACTAGTCTTGATGATGTACATTGGAGATTTTCCTTGACTGGGTCTTCTAAACCCCCTCCGTACCTGTCTATCCATTGTTATACATTGCTCCTAACGCCCCATCAAATGGTATCATTCCTCATCTCTAAATTTTACATATTCTCGACATTCCACGACCCGGAGGAAAAGGTCCTAGGCGAGCCACGCCCACTTCATCGCCCGCATCTTGACGCCCTCCCAGGTGTTCAGCTTTGGCCGCACGTCCAGATAGAAGCTTGGTCCACCCTTGCCGTCTGGTCGCCCGGCGTAGAAGTCGATAACATAGTCAACGCGGGTGCCGCAGCGGTCGATGACCCAGTCGTGACGGTCGAAAGGCGCGGTGAAGCCGAGGATGGTGTTGATGCGGGCGGTCGGGGTCATGCGGTCCATCTTGTTGGCGAAGGACTCGAGCTTGGGGCCGTCGCATCTGCAGGTCGTTAGCGTTCCGCTGCGTGAACAGACTGGCTTGCGGAGGACTTACTTCGAGCCGGTGAGGTACGGGGCCTCCCACTCCTTGATCTCCTTCCAAGCTCGCTCGTTGACGGCGTTGTGGATCGGCACCACCGTCTTCATATCCGCAACCTTGGCATCGTACCCCTTACGCTTCATCGCCTCGAAAAACATCTTCTCAGACGGGTACACCCAGTTGCCAGACGGATCCATCCCGGTCTCCATTTCGTGGTTCGCGGGCTTGGGAGGGGCATCGTCGCCATGGTCGACGGGGCATGCGGCCGAGGTTCCGGTTGTTCGAGGGATGGTCGACACGGCTCGGTCGGTGTCGAGGCCGCCGCGGGGAGGCTGTGTGGGAGTAGGGACGGCAGTGGGAGTCGAGGAGCCCCAGGGTATGTAGGATGAGAACGTCTGCGACCAAGACTTGGGTTCGGAGCGGGCAGTGTGGTCGACGGGGCACACGGAAGGCGGAGCAGCCTTTGCCTGGGCTGGGGCTTGGGCTTGGGCCTGAGCCTTCTTCGCCTCGGCCTCACGAGCCTGCTCGATCCAGGCGTCGCGGGTCTTGTGGTCGACAGGGCAAGCGGACTGGGCGTTGGCGTCGGCCATTGTGACTTCGAGCTGCGGGAGAAATGCTTGAAGGGTTGGTGTGATTGCCAGAGGAGATGCGGTCGTGACGGGAGGAGTTGCGAAGCTACAGGACCATGGTGTTTTGCATCAGCAATGGCGTAATCCCACGGCTACCTCGGAGGCATGGTAATGCGATCAGGAGGATTGGCTTGCGGCCGGCCGGGTCGCGATGAGAAGAAAAAAAAGTGGCCCGGTATTTTTCCGGGCGGCGCCGGACCGGATCTAATCGGATCGGGATGACGGCATTTACGTGGATGCTACCGCGTTACCAACACCTAGATGTCAACTCGATGCTGGGGTTAATGAGTTTTGAGGTCCCTAAGAAATTTTTGTTAGGAAGCGGCACTATCAACCCTTAAAAATATAGATCCCGTACCCTTCGATGCCTCTCTCCCCTTGTGTGAGATTCCTGATCTGGAGGCCCAAGGAGAAATTTCGGGCCACGAGTGGTCACATTGGTATACTCGAATTCGAACCGATATGGTATCGGTGGAAAGACCAGCAAGATGACAGCTACGAGACCATATGAAAATATAAGACTCAGACCATGAATTTGATGTATCGACTGTGAAGAGGCCTGGGAGGCCAAGTGAAGTCACCCAGATATCGCGAGTCGGTCCTGGCGAAGATAAAAGCGGATTTAGTTCTTGGTAAATGCAATTGATCATAAGAATTTTATTCACAAGTTAGTATCAGCAACCACTCTCTTCTTCAGTATCTGCATCGAAATGGCAGACTGTAATGAGATGGCGAAGCAGGCCAAGGTCGACCTAACATCTATCAGTCTAAAACTAGCAACGCCTGACGGCAGGGACTTTCTGACTCTGGCATAAACTTGCAATCTGGATGCAAAATGGAGGGCTTGAAGGACACAAGCTTGTAAACAAATATTTGGGCTTCCAGCGACTGTCACGCCTCGTGCTCGGTTCCTATCATCCTAGAGTTGAAACCTGTAATTGAGTCCCGGAGCTTCCTCCCACAGGCCCACTCGAGAATTAGCGGGTGCACAATGCGCATCCCCACTATGCCCACTGTAAGCCGCTGTACACGAGTCCCCAGCACCCCCAACACGCATGATCAACGTCATGGGGCGCAGAGCCCAGACCTTCGGAACCTCTTATCTCGGGGGGCTCGTGACACCTTGTCTCGCCCGCAACCGTCTTATCAACGTCGCGCCGTCGCATGCCCTCGCGATCCACGCACCATACGCTGTGCACAATGTTTGCTTGGCCCTGATATCCTACGCAAGAGCTGCCATGTCTGGTCGTTCGCCTCCCTCTTCCGGGCTGCTGCCCATGCCCGGGTCGCCGTCGTCGTCGTGGGCCGTCTACAGGGCGAGGATGGCCTCCATCTTCGGACACTCGGACACGAAGGTTGTTGCCGCCTTTTGGCTCTTTGGTCAGTCGCAGTCGAATTGAACGTCTCCGCGTCTCCGCGTCCTCGCTAATGGATCCCCAGGCCTCATCAACAATGTCCTCTACGTCATCATCCTCTCCGCCGCGCAGGACCTCGTCGGGTCGCTCCCCAAGGGCGTGGTGCTCCTCGCCGACGTCATGCCCTCGTTCGTCACGAAGCTCGTCGCGCCGTACTTTATCCACCGCGTCCCGTACGCCGTGCGAATCCTCATATTCATCGGGCTGTCCTCGACGGGCATGCTCATGGTCGCCCTGACGCCGGCCGATAAGTCCGTGGCCGTTAAGCTCCTCGGCGTCGTGCTCGCGAGCCTCAGCAGCGGCGGCGGCGAGTTGAGCTTCCTCGGCCTGACCCATTACTACGGGCACATCAGCCTCGCGGGCTGGGGCTCGGGCACCGGCGCCGCGGGCCTGGTGGGCGCGGGGCTCTACGTGGTGCTGACGGACTGGTGGGGCTTCAGCGTCCGAGACAGCCTGCTGTTCTCGGCGTGTCTGCCCGCCATCATGTTCATAAGCTTCTTTGTGGTCTTGCCACGGGGGCCCCTGGATGAAGGGTCGAAGCTTAAGGAATACGGTGCTGTGCCGGAGCGAGATCTTGACGACGACGATGTGGATGGCATGCCACAGGGTACAGCCTCGACGGCTCTACTTGCCCCCGGGCCATCAGTGGCCTCATCCGCGTATACGGCGCATGCTCAAGGTGGGGGGTCGTCGTTGCAAGAAAACTTGAGGAGAGCTAAAGCCCTATTCTTCCCATATATGCTCCCGCTACTGCTCGTATACGTTGCGGAGTACACCATCAACCAGGGTGTCGCCCCCACACTGCTATTCCCGCTGGACCAGTCTCCATTCGATGAGTTTCGCGGGTTCTATCCGTTCTATGGTTTCTTATATCAGCTGGGCGTCTTCATCTCTCGATCCTCGACTCCCTGGTTTCGCATCCACCACCTATACCTCCCCTCGATGTTCCAAGTGGGCAACCTAGTTATCCTCACTCTTCACGCAATCCTGTTCTTCATCCCATCAGTATACGTGGTTTTCGCAATCATCTTCTGGGAGGGCTTGTTAGGTGGTGCAGTCTATGTCAACTGCTTCGCTGAGATCATGGAAAACGTGCCCGTCGAGGAGCGGGAGTTTAGCTTAGGGGCAACTAGTGTGAGCGACAGCGGGGGTATTTGTATTGCGGGCTTCATTGGCATCATGATGGAGACACGACTTTGTGACTACCAAGTGGCTCATGGGCGGGATTGGTGCAAACGGATTCATGCCCAGCGTGGGTGAGGCCGGGGATGGTTCGTGATCGGGCATTGCAGGAGTTTCTTCTCAGTATTGTCACATGTTACATTTTGAAGAGCTAGACTTTTAGATCCCATCGACAATCTCAACTGGCATCGGGTCCTCTGGTTGGCTATGCTTGGGCGGAGGAGCGTTCCATCCGTCTCTCAGCTGAGGGCCAGCCAAGTCTTGCGTTCTCAGACATGACCAGTCAACATGGCGTATGCCGGCAGGGTTAGGAATCCAACTTTAACGATGGATCAGGGGTTTGCATTTATTGGGATGAACTGAGCAGCGGTAATTTACCTGATCGTCTGAGCATGGCGCTAGAGCCGAAAGACTCTAGCAATCGCTGGTCGCCTATCTACAGGAGGCTAGGGTCAAAGCCAAACGCCTTAGGGGACGTTGGGGATGATTTAACAGGCTGGTGGGTGTAAGACCTAGTGTCCAATACTCACTTTGCACATGCAGACTACGATGGGATATTGGGTTCTGGACCCTCAGATATGGAGCAAAGCTGAATGGAAGATTTACAGTCCTGAATTATGGTAAACGGCTCTCGGTGCTATATTTACGTACAGTGCAGGACGTACGGCCCAGATACGACGGGTGGTGGCGGCGGTGCATAGGGCGTCGATGATGGTGATCTGACTTGCAGGCGGGTGACAGGTGGCACAGTGCCCGCAATCCATCGCGGATTCACTTCTATTCGCAGCAGGCTGCAGCTACGTGATTGGTCAGTTTCCGGATGGAGGCGCTGCAGAAAGCGTGTGTGTGTTGGGACTTTGTGTGGTAGGCTGACGACCAAGTGCCGGCTTTGCGCGTATGTGGCTACAGTGAGATCGTCAGCGTCAGCGGCCACTCGCCCGCCACATGTCAACCGGGGCAGGATTGTAATACGAGGAAGGCCTGCGTTATGCGAAGGCCTGGAACGTGGATCCCCGGCCGGTCGTCTACGTTGACAAGCTGGGGGCTCGTCCTGTATTGGTAGATAATTGCATGGTCTGGTTACCTGTTGCAGAAGAATGAGCAAGGGGTGACGCCGACAGGGAGGAAAAGCAGCATGAAAGAAAAAATACGCCAAAAGGGTTTGGAGCGGAACCCGTGCCTTTTCCGCGCATAGAATACCAGTGCCGTCCGTGCAGATTACAGACTATTGTCTGCGCTAGGTGGCCGGCCGAGAACTGTTCCCCTGATTGAAGAGGTTAGCGGATATGGGCGAGTATCCAATTTGCGACGGCCGTGGCGTCTTTCGAGCTCGACAACGCCAGCGAGGATGCCAAGTCCTGAAACGAACGTGATCCCATGGCCAAGACGGGAAGGCGGCTGGACCAAAAAGTCGGGGTGGATCCTCGGCATGCATGTCCTCACTCTCTATCAAGGTTCCTTGTTTTCCCATCCTTCGACGGGTCAGTGGCGCGACCTCGAACATATCTGTCTTGCCTCGAGGCGGGGACAAGGGAGAGTCGACAGGCGGGCATCCATCAGAGGGGAGCGCCGTGTCTCACGGTCGCGTGTCTAGCGACAAACTTATTAAGCCTCCTAAATTTTTCCAATCCGGCCCAGACTAGAGTCCACTTGAACGATTCCAATTTCAACGTCCTGTGCCATACGCGGGGGATCCATTCCATGCGGCCATGCGCGACAGTCGCCGGCCCCGCCCGAAATCTCTCCCCCGACAATTCATCTCCGTTCCGTCCGACACAGGGAGACGGAAAGGCAACGAACTCGTCCGCCGCCATTGGTGAACAGCTGAACGGCGCTGGGACGCCCCCCCTGGACCTCCACTCTCGTCAAGGGCAATTCCAAAGACCCTCCCCCCCAGGACTGCAAGTGCGTGCTCCTCAGATGCATCCCCCCGACAGACCCCCGTAGGCCCGCCCGCTCAGAGGGTTTGGAGAGCGGCCGCGGGGCTGGCTAGAGCGTGTTTGCATGGACCACAATCTTGATTTGAAGCGCTGCTGCATCGCAGTGACCGCCAGCCCTGCAGCGGACTCGCTCGCCCATGGCCGGACCATCTGCAGCTGGTTCCCGCTTGGTGCTTAGGCGCGGCGGGGCTCTAATAGATAGGTAGGTAGTCAGGGCTGGTAATCTCATCAGTCGCCAAACCTAAGGTAAGCACGGCCCAAGAATGTCGCTAGTGGTTCTGTAGGCTGGAGGTTTGGCCACCGCTTATCCCGCCCAACAGCTTCCGTGGCTCCCATTTGTCCCCTATTTCCCGCCCTCTGTCCCTGCCCTGCGACTGTGCACCGAATCCCGATTGCCACCCAGTGTCCGCTATCCCCCCGACGTACGTACGCAGTGGTGGTACCGACCGCGCCTCTGGAAGACGAGCCGCCAAGCGACTTGGCGAGACACCTCCCGGCTCCCTGTTTGCCGGCGTCACCCACCCCAGCGCGCTGCCTTCCTTCTTTCCTCCCTGCCTCCTTCATGCCCGTCGCCTCCTTCGTTCCTTCCCCTCCCTCCACAGTCCTCACTGAGACATCCACCCTTCCCAAAGCCCACGGCCCACCTGCCCCACCCTTTTTCCCAGTGCCACAGTGCCACAGTCATAGTGCCACGGCCCCTGAGTCCCTGTCATATCAAAGCCTCCCCGTCGTCTCCTCGTCACTACCCTACCCCCTGCGAGTCCCATCTTTTTCCGTCATCTCCTCAATCTCGTCCCTTTTTCTTCAACGACCTTTCTCGACTCCATCCGCACTTCTTCCCTTCTTTTTTCTTCTTCTTTTCCCTCAGGCGACATCGCGCGCTTCGGGTTTTGGTCGCATCTTCACACCGCGTTCACTCGCTCGCGCATCTCGGTTCCCTCGTCCCCTTCCAGTTCCCCTCGTTTCGTCCCCCAGCGGAGCATGCAATAATGTTCGGACAAATACGATCCAACAAGGCGACCGGCCTCATCCTCGGCGTCGTTATCTTCATCACCGCCTTCGTTGGCCTGGCCTACAACCACCTCGAGCCCTGGCAGCAACCCGCCGATACGTGAGCACTCCCGCGTCGCAACCCGATTGCCGAGAGGCGCAGCTCCTCGTGTCGCTACATCATTTGCTAACATTGCCTGTCAGTACCGACACCGACGATGCCTCGATCCCCGAGACGCCCAAGTATCACAGCGACTCAGACCTGATTGCGCTCTACATTGAGCGCATGATGAAGCCAAAGGTCAAGCCCGATGACAAACAGTACTACCCCTATGGCGCCAGCGCCAGCGAGCTCAGCGAGGACCCTTACTGGAAGAAGCCTTTGGGCAAGAACCTGTGCATCATCGATTTGGACAGCCGTACCTTCGATCTCCCCGGCCAGGCCTTCTCTCCCGACGGCATGACCTGGGACCGCCCCGAGGAGATTCATGGCCTGTCCGCTGGTATCATTAACCACTGGGCCTATGGTACGTTCTACCGCTTCACTCTGCATTCCCCGTACTGACCCTCTCGTAGCCAAGATCCACGGTTACAAGTACTACTATGTCGATATCGACTCCTATGAGGATCGCCGTGATTCCTGGAAGAAACCCAACATCATGGCCAAGATCCTCAAGAAGCACGATGCCTGCATCTACCTCGACTCAGACGCCATCTTCCACCACCTCGATCTCCCCTTCGAGTGGCTCATGAACTACTGGAACCTCAACCCCACCACCAACTCCCTCGCACTTGCCGCTGATCCCAACGCTAAGAACAACCAAGACAAGTTCGGCAACGTCTATCTCAACACTGGTTTCATCGTCGCCCAGAACAACGACAAGACCTACGAAATCTTCAAGGAGTGGGACGCCTGCCCTGAGGAGGGCGGCAAGCACCCCGAATGCACTGAATTCAAGCTGAATCGCCCTGGTAAGCCCACCGATCAGGGAGGCTTCGGTACCTACATCCGCTACGATTACCCCAAGGACATCAAGGAGTTGCTCTGCACCGAGGCCAACGGTTTCCCCGAGAGCCACTCTGGCTGTGAGGGCAAGTTCATCAAGCATCTCTGGACCGGCAAGAAGGACTGGATCAAGGTTGCTGTTGGTGGCCAGCTTCCTGGCGATCTTCTCCTGGAGTTCCAGAAGGATTTCGTCGCCTCCAAGAAGGACTTCTACATTACTGAGAAGGACCTCATGTCTAGCTAGACGTTTTAACGAAAGACCCATACAAACAAGACGGATAATGGGAGACGGTTTTGAACTTTAATACTGTATAATACCATCCGGATGAGGAATGTTTTGGCCTCTTGCCGGATTTCTGAGGTGTTTCGGGGAGTGCAACGGTTGCTTAGGGTTCAGATGAGCGGGAAACTTGGATTTCCAACAGTGCGCCGGCCTCTTGTGCGTTTCAACAGGCGAGATGGAATCTATGCTATGACTCGGTATATATGACACGAAGCAATGGAAAAATCATGGGAGTGAATAGAACTGTTCGCACTTGGCATTAATATCATTCCTAAATCATTACACGCCTGCATCCACCCCGCACCTTGTTATGAGAAATACGTGGCCATGTTTCAGTTCCATGCGGTCAGACCAACGTCACTTTGCCAGAGCAAAGGCACCACCAATTGGTACTGTCTCCATATTTGCCGTCACCTTTGCGGACACTGCAATCCTGGTGAAGATCTCATTGTTTATCAAAGGAGCTGCAATACATCCGTGTCAGGCGCAGAATTAGTGGGATCTGATGTACACTCGCCGCATATCTTCCCTAATCAGTGACATCCTTGTTCCATGCTGTCCGACCAACACCTCCACCTCCACCTTGTGGCTGAGCGGCCCAGCCCGTTGGACTCGAGATCGATTGACTAGCGCAATGCAGAGGCTTGATAACGCTTGGCGATCGGTAAAAGAGGCGCCGCCAGAGTGATAAAGCGGCGGAAATCCCTGGATAAAAAAGCGCCAATCAAAGTCGATACGTATATGTTACACAATAGGTCGGTTGTTGAGGGTTTCTCATTAAGCCACTGTGCCACATTACCCGGGATTGGTATGAGAATCAGGTTGCGGGGACTTGCCCCCGAACGACTGGTTACGATATAGACTGGGTGTCAATATCAGTTTCTGTCGTTTTTTCCATACCCAACCGCCGATCCAGGTAGTAATTATTCAGCATGACCTAGTAGTATTGGATCAACCATTTTGAAGGGGCCTGAGATGCCACTGATACGAGAATATGCCACAAAAAGCCCAATAAATGCATAGATCATTTCCCACCGACGACTTCCCTTCGGTATGGCGGCAAACCCAGCAGAACGTGACAGCTTTCGCTTTCCCTGAGACTGCAATGATCATTCGGTCATGCTAGCTATGGGGTTACCTCGATATTGTGGAAGACCAGTACTGAACTGTTCGTGTCGATCTTGTGCCTAGCCCCGGCCCCGTGGGTCGTAGCGTTTGTCAGGCAGCCTGATAGGAAAATTCAGCTCTGCAAGGGACCGGATCTGTACCGTGGTTTCCTTTGAACCTAAATAGAGACTTTCATCTGTGCCGTGGATCCCTTCGAATCTAGATGCCCTCAACAACCTAGATCTTCGGATATCAACGGCATCATCGGATCAACGGCATCCGGGTCAGTCAGATCCCTAGGTATAAATAGCTAGCTTTCTTCCTTCCTAGACCAAAAGACAAGATCATTCTCGTCCCCAAAGCTGTCTCAATCAATCCACTTGTCTGATAGCGTTCACAAATGCACCCCTCACAATGCAGCGGGAGATCTCCGAGACAGAACGAAAATGAACTGAATAAGGGGCATGTTTGCATGTGCTTGTGCAATGAAACATGTGTAATATCCGTCTCACATTATATGGAAACGAGCAGTTTGTCGTCCAGTTGCAACCGACGATGGCGTCGATCTTCACTTATCGTAGAATTGCGTCGCCGTAATTGATCCGTGCTGTAGCTCCGAGCTCCAAAACACAGCGTCTTAAGAATTTAACTTGCGTCCTTGTATAAGACGCATCAACCCCCGCCCCGATATTCTAGGCCAACGGTTCCCGCTGTCGAACTCGGCGGTAGTCGACAGCGTGCTCGGCCCCACGCCGCCCAACATCCGGGGTGCTCCGCAGCCGGCCGGTGCCACGACGACCGACTCGTAGATTCCTCAATGAGCTTCCGGAGAAGAATCAAATAAACTCAACCAGGGGAAACTTACTGTCATATTTCAATCAAATGTTTACTGGCCAGTAGTCTCACCAGTTTGGGCGCTCACCGTGGCTGGTGGAACGCCGTGATGGCTGCACTTCTTGGTTGTGAGGCAGATTCATTCGACATCGCGGATGGGATGTGCAATACTCCATTGACCCACTGCATTACCATTTATCTAATATCTCTGCTCGTGTTTCTTTAGGCGCTTTTATGGTCGAGTTTACCGCTATCGGAGCGTCCATGTCTGCTGGGGATGGTGCAGCAACCCCATATTACCCTAGACGGAGCCTGGATCCACCCATCGCGATGAATCTGCGGGGAGGCGGGGAAGATCTCAGTTGATAGTTGTGAGAATAACAGCACCGACAGTAAGAATAGTGGCATCCTCGTATGAGAACTGTGACCTCGCCTGCAACTCGGTAGTTGAACAGAAGAGCACCTTTCATCTTGCCAGCGCCCGGGGCTGAGATGCTTGGAAGTCCACTGCTTACGCAGACCCTGAAGCTGACAAGGATAAAAGAGCTCCTCTTCGCGATGTTGAGAATAACCGAGCCTTCGATAGCTAGGCCAACCAGGAAATACCTACGGAAATTATTATCCAACAAGTAGGTCACGTGGAGAAGTTAGACGGGCTCATTATGTCAAAAAGAATTCAGCTGGGCCCTGGCGAGACACTAGCTCAGTAGTTAGACGCTGGCTTATGCCACCACCCGTATGGAATCATACAAAAAGAATCAGCTCGCCGCGAGAACAATGCATGCAACATACTTCGGGTCTTTGGCATCGTAAACGCGAAGACCGAGCGATTGGAAATCTCATTAACTGAGGTTACACCCCGCAATCTGACGCCGAACCTCGGCATTCTGGTGCAGTGTGGTAACATTCTCAACGACTGACGTGTATGGCGTATATTGCGTGATTGGATTGGCGGCAGCAGAGGTGATATTCTGTATTGATAATCCTTGCGGGACGCTGCATTTAGTAGTGATGTTTGGGTGGCTTTCTTTGGCCACGGTGCGAGTGATCACTATTCAGTGAGTGATCAGTAATCACTTGCGCAACGCTTTGCGGAGCTATTATATACTCGTCCCGACCACGACTAATTCCGCTATTCCCTGCCGCATACCCTGGATTACGGAGCCAAATCGCCGACGGCGTTTTGGCGACTCGAGATGAAAAGGATCGTTGTGCATATAAGGCCAGCCGTGTTTCTGAATGTCGAAAACCTCTGTCAAGTTGGATTGCGGAGATCAACAAAGACATCGATAACCAGCAACTGGCAGCAATGGCAGAGATCCGAAGCGACAGCTCGACAGAAATGGCGAAAGACGAAATTCAGGGATCTCGGATCCTCGACGACTCCGCAACTGAGAGGGGTGTCGAGTTGGGTGAACAGAAGGAGGAGTCTGAAAGGCCTGGAACTACAGACGGGCTTGATTGGGATAATGCCCCAGAAAACCCCCTCAACTGGCCAGCATACCAGAAATTGTTGCAGGTCATCATGCTCTCTGCAACAGCTTTGTTGGCGTAAGTTCATCTGGTTCCGCTTCTTTCCTCGGAAACTGACAACGACCCAATAGATCCATCGGCACGTCAATCCTGAGCTCTGCTCGTTCCCAAATCATGGAGGAATTCAACGTGAGCAGCACCGTCGCTCTCCTTCCTCTCACCATGTATGTTTTGGCCCTGGGCTTGGGTCCTGTCATCGGCGGGCCTCTATCAGAAACCATCGGCCGATATCCCGTCTACGTCTCGTGTGTCCCCTTGGGTGCCATCTTCACTGTCGGGGCTGGCTTCGTCCACAACATCGGTGGACTGTGTTTCCTCCGGTTCATGGCTGGTCTTTGCTGGGGCCCTGTCCTGGCTGTCGCGTCAGGGTCCCTCGCCGAGACATTCAGGCCGAAGAGTCGAGGACCAGTCTCCGCAGTCTTCATTATGATGCCTTTCCTCGGGCCTGGACTTGGGTAAGCATCTCTCATTCTTCTCCTGTTCGTGCATGGTTCCGTACTGACTTTGATTAGTCCTGTCATAGGATCGTTCGTCGTGAACCGAAAGGGCTGGCGCTGGACCCAGTGGACCCTCGTCTTCTTCGCCATCTTCGCCATGATCACCACGCTGTTCACCCACGAGACGTTTCACCCTGTGATCAAGCGGCGTTTGGCCAAGCAGAGAGGCCTCAAAGTAGAACCGTCGCCTCCCATGGCCGATCGCCTCAAGACCTTCGCCGTCATCGCTGTCCTGCGACCCGTTCGCATGTTGTTCCTCGAACCCATCGTCGGTTTTTTCTGCCTCTATGTTGCAGTCGAGTTTGGCACACTGTTCAGTTTCTTCGCTGCAGTTCCATATACGTTTGGAACAGTCTATCACTTTGGAATAGAGAAGTCAGGCTTGATGTTCTTGTCCATCGTCATCGGCTGTCTGCTCGGTCTTGTTACCATCGTACTTTGCGATGTGCTCTTGTACCGCAAGCAGGCTGCTACCTACGGACTCAACAAAATCCCTCCAGAGTACCGACTCTATCCCGCTATGATTGGAAGCGTCGGGCCACCAATTGCCCTGTTCTGGTTCGGTTGGACAGCTCGATCAGAAATCTCGTGGGCTAGCCCAGCCGCTGCAATCATCGTCTTCGCCTGGGGAAATCTCTGCATCTTTGTTGGCGCTATCCAGTACACGACGGACACATACCACGGAAGCGTGGTGGCGAGTGCATCAAGCGCAAACGGTCTTGCCCGGTACGGCTTTGCTGGAGTGTTCCCGTTGTTTACCATTCAGAGTAAGTGATACCCTTCTTAACACGACGAGACGAGAGTGAAATTGCTAACTAGACTTAGTGTACGAGAACTTGGGCATTCACTGGGCAAGCAGCTTGCTCGGATTTATTGCGCTGGCTCTCTTGCCTGTGCCTTGGGTGCTGTTCAAATTCGGCCCACAAATCAGAGCCAGAAGCCAGTACGAGACCGTCAAGTACGAATAAGGGACTACTTTTGTATAAAAGTTATAGAGGTGGATGTATTAATGGCTCACCTGGTCGTCATTCTTTCCTTGTGTTATAGACATCGCATAGACTAATTTTATAGACGGGGCGCATCATCATAGCGGTTGGATTAATCAAGAGGCTCGGAAGAGCTCATATAAAATCATGGCACCATGCATCACAAATTCTTCGGTTTCATTGTATTTATCGTATTATTGTGATAGGCTAGTCTATGATACTTTGACAGCCCCTTCTGGCAGGATCGGGTGCTGTCATGAGAATGCTATTAATTTCCATAGGCATGGCTGAAGTGATATGGCATGTTCAATCCAAGATCCAACTGGTCACATTACCCTCTACTTGAGCTCAATCAACTTGTAGTCCTCATCGAGGTAGTACCAACTGTCGTATTTGGCAGGACGCGCGGCGGCGGGGAGAATATTGGACTTCTTGGGGATCTTGAACTTCTTGGTGGCATCCTTGCTCTCCACGTAGCTCTTCTTCCAGCTCTTGCGGCTGGTCTGGTTGAAGTTGATTTCGTTGGAGTCGACTCGGTCGCGGACGAGGTCCTCCCAGAACCCGTGGCTCTGCTTGATGGTCTTGGCCATGTACTTGGCGGTCTGGTACTTGCTGCCAACGATCTCGATGACGTCGTCACCTCGGGCAACCTTGTAGTACTAGAAGTAAGTTAGTAAGAGGAAATCCCATAATACACGGTTTTAACCTACTGTAAACCAGTTGTAGAAGGTCTCGGCTAGGTCAGGTCGATACTTCTCCAGGTCCTTGACGTCTGAATTCGTTAGCAATAAAAATTACCAACACGCGAATCAGAAACTTACCATCGACGAGAGCGGCCAATGGATCTTTCACGTCAATGCCAATGACCTTCCAGTCAGTCTCACCACCCTTTCAAACTCATGTTAATAAGAATTTTCCATGTCGTTGATGCAAAGGAGCTTACATCGTTCAAGGCAAGACCGCCCAGAATCTTGACGGCCTTAACCTCACCGGTGTAGGCAGAGCTATGGAAGTCAGCACCGCATGTCATCTTATGCTGTTGCCCGTTGTTGGCTTACGTCTCACTGATATCAAAGAGATCGACGGGGTCGTTGTCACCAGGAAAGTTGGTGTAATCGTGATCAAAGTTGGGGCTCTCCCAAGTCTGGGGGATGGAGCCGTAGTGGAAGGGGTACGACTTGTGAGGCCAAACACTCTCCACAAATCGAGGTGCATTCTTCTTATCGTCGTGGAACATGGGGTCTATGATATTGTGTTAACTTTTATGGGTGGGTAGGGCTGTGTTAGAGAAACTTGGATTACACATACTGAGGGGCTCATCACGTCTGGTCTCAATCTTGCCGTCGGTCCAGCGGGGGATCTCCACAACGAAGTTGATGATGCGGTTATTCTTCTTACTGGGGTACAGAGGAACGTCGTGCCAGAAGGAGATGGGCTTGCCGTCCTTCTCCAGCCAAATACGCCAATCCTGCGGTTGGTAAGTAGTGGGAAACTAAGAAGGACATTTCACTGGCTACTGACCAAGGTGTTGCGGGCTCCGACCTCTCTCAAGCTTAGAGAGTCATAGTCAAAGTCGCTATTCTTTGCTCTGGTAGTGACAGAGGAGCTGAGAGCTAGAGCAGGCAGAAACGCCAATTGGAGAAGGGTAGATCCGGCGACCATTGTGACGAGGAGGGGACTTTGGAGCTAAATTGAGAGTATTCCCCAGAACTGAAGACGTGCCGCAGACAATCCAAGAGAGGGTGGTTTAGACGTGGGAATAATGAGTGCTTTTAACCTCCAGGCTACCGAATTATGCTTGTTTCTCTCCGACACAGCAAACACCAACCAGCGGCCCTTCCGTCATGACGTTGGCAACCATCCCATCTTCCTTGCAGGTAGCGCTGCCAAGATGCCCTGACCTTGCCCAACCGGGACCTCGGCCACGGGGCTCGGTGACGGAAACGGAGCTCAGGTCGGACGGGGATGGTTCGGAGCCTCTCATTCGGCGCCGGCCTGCAGGCGGACTGCCCCGGCCCTGTTAACGGCTTGGCAGGGATCTCCAACAGTTGAACCAAGGGCCAGCACGTGCGTGGGGAGCGGCGATCTTATTGCACACGGACGTTGGAGGTGCTCAGGGAAGATGGCACGTGGGGAATTACTCAACTGCGAGGTCGATGGTGGATTAGGGAAGTCGATCAGTAGAGTGTAACGCAAGGCGAGCCGGATCTGCGCTGATGGCACCCTCTCATGATGGAAGGATCGCGAACAAGTCAGCGTCGGTCGCCGATCTGGGCAATTGCGATTAAGACACCCTGTAACTAATACATCATGCATCTTGGGAATTATCGATATTAGCTTAAACCTCGCAGGTGCGTGTCTAGAGAGTTCGTGCTGCTCGACAAGAGGTAATTCGTATTTGCCTCAATATGCAGCACAGTGAGGAGTAATTGCTCGTCAAGCGTCAATGGCCTTGATCACTGACGACAGATTTGTCGCTAGTACTTTAATTAGATACGTGATCTCATCCTCCAACGCCGCAAGCCAAGGCCTCTAATTCAGGTGCAGTGAAGTGATTTGCAATCCCCTTGTCTACTGCGTAAACTGGTCAATGGGAGGAATCGTAATCTTATAATCACAAGGTTGATAAGCACTTGGATCCTCAGATCTCAAGTGGGTCAGTAATCACTCCACTGGCACCAAGGAAAGGGGACGCAGCACTGGAGCGGGATGTCTCAATTGGTATCGATACGGATCCTACAGCGGATACAAATCCTCGTAGAGTTTTCTTCAAGGTGGTGAAGAGTAAAGAAATATCAAGGACGCCATAGGGTAAAGTGAGTGAGTACACTCAGTTCGTCGTGAGATCCGCGACAATTGCTCTCATAGCTAAGACACCGGAAGAGATGACTGGCACAGAACGAAGATCACGCAACACATGCTGAAGGCCAGAAACATCAATCAGGAAGAGAACAAACGGCAAAAAATAAACATGCCCAATAGACAAAAAAAATATCCGCGACAGAGACAAGATTCGAACTTGCGCGGCCGAAGCCAATGCATCACAACGTTTCGAGTGCATCCCTTTAACCACTCAGGCACTCTGCCAGTTGATAATGCTTTGCTGCATTTGCTGTGTAAGCAGTCGGCAATATTTGGTACTATATTCCTACACGGGAAAGCGCAGTTCTAAGGTGGATCGAGATGTCCTTCTCCACTATTGCCCAAGCTGTGAAGTGAGCTCTCAAGCTTCCCGTCATTCGATAATGCGGGCGTATTACAATATTGGGGCGAAATCTTGCATTCGGACCTTGACCTTGCTGCATAGGAGCCGAAGCCCAAGGCCGACATACACACGCCAGCAATTTCCAAGCATAAAGGAGATTGTGCATTCGGTAGGACCGTTCGCCAAGCACATCGCATTGGGCCACTGCGCGTATCGTGGACTAACCGATGCTCCCGTCATATTGAGGCCATACAGAGTCCACCCGGGAGCTGTCTACGTGTCTCCCAAGCCCAAGCTACCTAATCCAGGATTCTTCTGCAGACCAGCAGAATCCAAGTCAGCTAACTAATCTTGTCGTCGTATAATGATGCCCAAAAACCCCTGTTGGTCCAGATTTGTGCTCTCTTGTCCCATCAATTGCCCCCACCTTAGACCAAGCCGTGGTGTTTTTACTGGCCCCTTGAACGCTCCCAGGCAAGCCTTGAATTATGACTTGTTCTCCCTTATTTAGTGCTGGTTCATATAAACACCACAAACCCCGGACTGCGGCGAAGTCGTGAGAGCGCCGAGGAGTTAGGCACTCGTCGGGTTTGCAGAACCTTGCCACTATTCCTTCACGATGGATCCTCTGCTTGCCGGCAGGATATGGCTCTTTACACAGCGGGCCACGTCTACCGTCGTTTGCATTAGCGTATACATTGGCGTGTTGTTGTACCGGTGGGTCTTGGGCAGTCGATGCCATACCTCACCAACACGGCCCATTGCTCTGTATGACCTCTATAAAGAGTCGTTTTTCTACCGTCTGAAACTCATTTACTCTACAGACCAGAAATATTACATTTACTGATTAATTCGCCCACAATGAAGCTTGACACAGCCACCTCCAAGGCCCTCCAGGCTTCTCTCATCGCGTAAGTCGTCTTATGAACCACTCTCTAATTTCTGGCGTTAACAATGTGCAGGGCCGAGAGCGGCGTGTATTCCGACCTCCTCATCAAGTGCGGCACCGACGAGTACTATGTTCACAAGATCCTGCTCTGCACGCGGTCCCCATTCTTCGCAAAGGCATGCGATGGGCCATTCAAGGTCACACCCTTCTCACTTTCGCGGCCTGGTATGTTCATGTACTAATTGTTATCTAGGAAGGTCAAAATGGCGAGATAGATCTCCCAGATGACGACCCCGAGGCCGTTTCCGCCATGATTTGCTATCTGTACAGGGGATGCTATCCCCGGGTGGAAGCAGATGCCGAACGACCACAGATGAAGAGACTTGGAGAAGGATGGAACATCGAGACCTACGGTAGACAGCCCCGTAATCCAAGTACACGAACAACACCATAGCTAATTAATTGGAACTAGGTGAGGAGACAATTGCCTTGCAAGACGAGTACCTCTGCCTCCACGCCAAGGTCTACGCCATCGCCGAAAAGTACCAGATCTCCGGACTCAAAGAGATGGCACACCGCAGCTTCTCCTTTCTCGTGCCGCGCACCATCTCACCACACAACTTCGCCGAGGCCAGCGAAATCGCCTACACCATGACGGTCGACTCAGACCGGGGGCTGAGGGACCTGGTGGTGGACGTGCTCTTCAGCAAGTCGCAATTCCTAGAAGACGAAGCTCTCAAGAAGCTGCTCAAGCGGCTCCCCGACCTGACGTATGACTACGTCATGTACCAGCACCGCAAGAAGGAAGAGAAACCCGAGTAAGTGTTCCAAGGGTCGAGGGAAGATGGGGAGAAGAAGGGGGCGGAGTTTTCCATTAGCGGAGCGATCTATCTATCAGTAAATGATTGGCTGACAGTTGTGGTCAGATCCAATCTAGGGGATGAAGTTGCAGTAATTCAGAACGAAATCAATTCATTGACGATTGAATGATCATCAGCTCTATGAGTCATTTCATTGGTAATTAGGATCCTGCCTTTGGCCGGCGAGTTCGCGCGTCAAGCAAAGAACTCTGGAACTATGTGTGATAGTTGAGAATATGTACAAGTGAATACCAACCCCCTTAACCTATTTCCTTTCCGTACAACCCATGCCTGAGTCTATTACGTTTAGTTGCTCTCAACACACTGGGAGTAATACTCGTTCATCTCCACGCAGATGTAGGGCTCCTCGCACACAGTGGCGCCCTCCCAGTTTCGGCCACCGCACTGGTAGTAGTGAGCAACCAGCTCGACATCCTCGCAGTCGTCGTCGCCCTCGTAGTCGTCCGTCTCCGTAGCGGTGGGCAACGGCGCAGTGCCGGAGGGGACGCTATTGACGATGGTGGTCATGGTTCCGTTGCTCCACGGGGCGACGGTGTACGCGGTGGTGGAGTGGCGGATAACGGGGACGTGGGTGGAAGCAGCGGCCTCGATAACGGTCGTAATGACGGTCTGGTTTGTGGGCAGGCTCAAAGTCGGGAGCGGGACTGACGGCTCAGAGCTTGAGGGCTCGGAGACTGAGAGCTCGGAGGCAGAGGCAGCGGCCGAGACTGAGAACTCAGAGACGGAGGCAACGGACGAGACTGAGAACTCGGAGACAGAGGTAACGGACGAGACAGAGACGGGAGCGACGGCGGTAGTTCTGGTTTGGAACGTGGTGTGCGGGCTAGAGAAGTTGAAATACCCAGTCTGGCTGGTGCTTGACCTGACGGAGTATGAAGTCCAAAGAGTCGAAACGTTGACACGAGGAGTGTAGATGGGGGTAAAAGCCGGGCCAGGGGTGAAGACAGGAGCCTTGGAAGACTCAAGCACAGTCGACGATGAGACCATCTCCTCGAAAGTAGGGCTGGCGGTCGTGGTAGGGAGAGGCTCGGCAGTGGTAACCGGGACGGTCGTCTCAGCGGCGGCCGCGGATGAAACGACTTCCCCAGAGGTGGCAACGGTGCTCGTAGCAGTGGTAGCCGCGGCGGTAGTAGCCACGATGGTAGTCTCAGCAACGACAGAGGCACTGGTGGAGGTCTCCTGAGCGCTGGAGCCCGTGGCGGCAGCAGCAAGCAGGCTCGAGATACTCGTCCACGCGGGCTTCTTGTTGAGGTCCTCATCGTAGATGCAAGCCTCGCCGGCGCCGGAAAAGGTCGCGGGCACCCAGTTGTAGCGGTCGGTGAAGCCCCAGACCGTGATGCCCACGCAGCCCTCGACGTCCAGGCACGAGCCGACGACGTTGGCGTAGTCGTTGGCCTGGGTCATCAGCGCCGAGTCCGAGGCCGGGATGGAGGCGTGGCGGATGTCGAGCTCCGTGTAGGCAACCTCGACGCCGAGCGCGGTGAAGCGCTTGAGGGCGGTGGCGAGCGAAGAGCGCGATGGGGTTGAGCCGACGATGAGGTGGCCCTGGAAACCGACACCGTCGATGGGGGCACCGGCGTCTTGGATGATCTGGACGATCTCGATAGCACGGTCGGTCTTGGCGCCGTTGTACTCGAGGTTGTAGTCGTTGTAGTACCTTGCGGCGTGTTAGTGACAAGTATATATATATATATATCACGTTGTGTATCTCAAGGGCATGTCTTACAACTTGGCATTGGGGTCGGCCTCATGGGCGGCGTTGAAGGACACGGCGAGGAAGTCGGTGCCCATGGTGTCGTAGAAGACACTGCTTCGCCAGGTGCCGTCGTCAGCAGCGGCCTCGTTGACCACGTCCCATGCGTAGCAGTCGCCCTTGAAGTGGCCGACGACGTTGGAGATGTGAGCCTCGATGACGCTCTGGAGCTGGGCCGCCGTGAATCCACCACTCGAGACTAGATACTGTTAGTCCATCATGTCACATATGTCATATTAAATGCTTACCCCAGCTGGGCAACTGGCTGTACCAGGTCAGAGCGTGACATCGCAAGATCTGGCCGTTAGTCGCAGCCAGGTCGGGAACGACATCGGCCTTGGTGTAAGAGAAGGTGTTCTGGGTGGGCTCGGTGGCATCCCACTTCTGGCCGTTCTCAGGAACCAGCTGGCCAAACTCTTCGACATCGTTGACGATGGCCATGTAGGGCTCGTCGCTGATATATCCGTTGTCGACCGTGGTGCCGAAGTACAGGAGCCCGGCGTCCAGCGCCAGGCTGTGCAGCTGGGCCGAGACGGAGCTCGACGCCAGCAGGCCGAGGAGAGCTGATTTGTACATGTTTGTAAAAGGAGTGGACTGGGCGAAACCAAAAAAAAATTTAAAGAAAGACGGACGAAAAAGATGCGCACTGAAAAGAACGGATACACATAAACTACCAACGAAAGGGCATAGTGTTGAGAGCCAAAAGCCGCAACTCTGGGAGCGCCGGCGTTGATATAACTCTCGTCGACGACAACCCGCGGTGGAGTCTTGATAGCAGTGAGCTCACTCCCTCAAAGACGGGACGAAAACTCGGCTCGGATCCCCCGGCCGGGGAAATACCGTCCGTCAGTCGCAGCGCAGATCCCGGGATTCCAAGGCTCTCTCTTAGTCCTGCGAAATTTCGCGGCCGTCTCAGGTCTCTGCGCAACAGGGGTGCGATGCGGTGATGGCCTCCACAGCCGGCGCCAGAGAGCTGCGAGCCGGGCGCTTGTCAAGATTTGCAGGGCGCTGGCGCGAGTGGAAAGGAGTCACCGGAAGCATACGATTCTGTCGAAAGACTGTCTGGCGTTGTGAGGCTGGTTTTACCTGGCCAGCCTGTTCCAACGGACAAACACCCCTGTGTGTTACCATGTTGATCCGGATCGTCCACTTCGACTAACCTCAGATCTGCCATCATGACAGCTTGGCCCGCTCACATGAAACTAAGCGACCATGGTGAATGGCGTAACCGTGCCCATGCTTGTTTTTCAAGTCATGACCTCAAGATATCATGTTTCTCAACTGCAATATCAACTCCCGTCCTGAACTTTCATGGTTTGCGTGATACATCAAGTCCTACCTACTAACCAAGACATTCCACTATTCACTACTCTCCAGTCTCCAGCCTGTAATTTTCTCATAATACCTGCTCAATTCAAGGATTCTAGAAGCAAAGTCAAAACAGCCTGCCGTCTTTGCCGAGCCATTCCCTGATAGGAAATTGCGCAATGTCGATATCCGATGGGCTCTCCACTCCCGAGTACACGTCACGTTTCTCCTAACTTGACATCTCAGATCATATCGCTTACACGTGGCTAGGAGGGCAAGACATTAAAAAATAATATATTTGTAGCATCTAAATACTTTGCATCCATTCTCTTCGTCTTGAAGAGTTCCGCCTAAATACGGTTCAACGCCTAAGAGGTATATCAAATATCAGACCCCCGAGGCGCTCTGCCGGTTGACCCATCCCTTTCCCACTTCTCCCAACGCCAAGCTACCCAAGTCTAAAGCAAAATTTGTACAAATAAGAATTCCACACGAGCGGTTCTATATCGTCGACCCAGGCTCGCTAAGCTTTGTTGAGGACCATCACGTCTCCCATCTCGGTGCGTTCAAGATGAGTCCCATGAGACAGCCAGACAACAGAGCCGTCACTGGGACCGTGATGATCCATCCCATATATATCCAAGCCACAAGCTTGGGGTTGATACACCTCCAGTCCCCATTCGCTAGACCCACGCCAACCGTGGCGCCCGTGATGCACTGGGTCGTGGAGATGGGAAGTTGAAGCCTCGTCGCCGCAACCACGGTAAGGGCACTCGCAAGTTCCATGCAGAATCCTCTGCTAGGTGAAATCAGGGTGAGCCGGTTTCCCAGCGTGCGCATGACGTGGTAGCCATAGGTAAGAAGTCCGAGCACGATAGATGCGCCACCCACGCACAAGATCCAGATGGGTACTTCGACCGACTCGGAGATCTTGCCCGAGGACCACACTTCGTAGGCGGTTGTAAATGGAGAGATCGCGTTTCCGACATCATTGGCGCCGTGGGTGAATGAAGCCGTGGCGGCAGTGAGAATCTGGAGCGCCGAATACATGTACTCGGCACGGTTGTCGTAGTGAGCCGCTCGCGCATGCATGTCCTCGAGGTCCCATTTGAGCACCGCATTGCGCTTCTGCATGCTGATGACGTCTTTCTCGATGCCCCGGAGCATGACGCGGTTGACCTTCCAGGCGAGCACCTGCGGGCGGTTCCATGGGCCGTCAGGGCGAGGGGGGATGAACTCGGAGGAGGATCGCGCCTCTGAGCGAGGACGGGGAGTCGCCGGAGGAGATTGAGCCGGGGGAGGAAGGATCCATACGTCGTCCTTGTCGAGATTCGGCGGCTCGCCGTTATCCGTCTGGACCGAAGCGAGTAGATTTTCGGATGCGCGTACGTAGTCGAGCTCCTCGCGTGTAAGGTGCCCTCGATAGTAGTCCTTGATGCGGTGTTTCGAGAAGCCGACGGGCGTAGGGGGCGGGATTGAACGCCATAACAGCAGCGGCCCTTGGAAAATGTGGTACCACTTCAAGGTCCAGTCCTCCTTTATGATCCTAGTCCACAGAAAGGGCATTAGAAATAAGCCCTGGAGAATAACGACGCCAGAGGCTGTAGTGAATATGGCGATGAGGACTTCATGAGTGGGGAGGTCGACTCCTTGAATACCCTTCCAACAAATGAGCACTGGGTCCAGTTAGTATTGTAGCCACCATAATAGGAACAAGAAGACGTACTAGTCAAAGCGGAAACGGTAAGAAAGGTGTAGAAAGGGATGGAGTAAAAGGAGCGCATCACAGCACGCTGCCGAGTAAGGACGAAGCGTTTGGTGATGAAGAATAGAAAGCCGCCAAGGCATCCTGCGATTCCAGGAGCGATAATCCAGGCGGCAAACACCTGCGAAACACCGTTCCATCCCCAGTTGACCTTGTCGATACCGATAGATGCCGTGGCTGTCCCGACGATACCGCCGATGATAGAATGGGTAGTTGACACCGGCATGCCGTTTCTCGTCGCAAAGGTCAGGAAGAGCGACGATCCGATAATGGCGCACATCATGGCGAGGAGTAGGACGCCGGGCGAGTCCTCATAGTGATGGGGTTCGACAATCTTGTTCCGAATGGTATCTGCCACTCGGGCTCCGACTGTAGCGCTCCCAGAGAACTCGCAGACGGCGGCGACAAGCATGGCTTGCTTCATGGTCAGCGATCTCGACGAAACCGAGGTGGCGAAGGAGTTGGCGACATCGTTGGCGCCTGTCACGGGTCAGTTGCGGTCCAGCTTCAGACGAAGCATCCCGGCGTCGAAGACGTACCGATGTTCCAGGCATCGAGGATGGCGAAGATGGCCGTGAGGACAAAGATGTAGTCATATTGATGGAGTACCGCCATTGTAAAGGCTCAGTAGCCCGCAAATGGGGTGGATAAACGATGTAGGTAGGTAGAGCTCTGTTTGAGAGGTGGTTGAGATGTCTTAGTTTGGTATCTGGCCTGGACAGCCGTGAGAGGGCCACTCCGTGACCCAGACGCTCAATCCATGGTCGACGATGGTCTGTGATGCACTGATGGAGGGCCAGGATGACGCTGTCAAGGCGGGTGTGGGCGGGAGTGGGCGGGATCTTATAATATGCAGTGGCCTAAGCTCAGCCGGAAGCACGTTGCAACATGCGCAGGGTCAGGGCGAGTGGCAGGCGACGGAGCTCGTGGACGACTATTTGACTAATAGCTGGGCTTCGATCAAAGACCCAGTGGAGCGGTTAAGGTCCTAGATGGGTTCCGTCGCTTCCATGAGCGTCACTGCGCCAGGCCAGGGGGCCACGCAACGGGTGGTCGAGGCGGTTCCTGGATGGACGGTGCAGCGAGTGAGCAACGCGAATGTGCACCGTGGCGATGCTCTGATTCGACGGGCCAGGGGAGAAGTTGAAGTCAAGGATCCCAGTCTTTAGCGTAGGTTTGCAACTAGAGGCGTCGAGGCTCACGACTCTTGACCGAGAGGAGGCGCAGGGGGATATCGATCAGCCAGGATGGAGACAAATGCGAAGCGCCATGACACAGAGCAACTGCGGCAGAACCACCCGAGAAGGTTCACAGCCGAGTCCCGTTGCTTGCTGCGGGTACGAAACGCCATTTCTGTTGTGCCGCGCTGGTCCCATTCTATCAAGATGACCCTCAGCCTCTTGGCTGGGATGCGCCGTGGGCCAATGACACGCACCAGATCGGCCACGAGGCGACGACGTACGAAACGGCCGCTCAGCTTAGCCTAGGAAATATTTGGACAACCAGCCTTGGAGCTGCATATTCTTTTTCTAGCTCTCTGGTATTATTTCTCATTCACGCCCGTTGATGGTATTTACCATATCGTCGACCATGGTTGGGCGGATTGCCACACAATCAAGGCGAATATATTCCGAGTTTCCTAGGTGCAGCATTGCACCACATCTGTACGCCCACGGACCAGGAACAAGCAACGTTGCCGATTTCTGTGCAGATGGCTCGCCGGCGGGTGAAACACGCAGCGAAAGTCAATCGCAGGCCCAGCGTTGCAGAATCCGGTGCACATGGCGCGGATGTGGCGATTCGTCATGGCTGCTTCGACACCGAGTTTCCCAAGCAGGCAATCTCGACGACCAAGCTGTCCGCGACAACGCAGTCTGTAAAAACGCCACAGGCCGTGGGTCGGCAGCACTCATTCGCATCTTGGAGACCTCGCACCACGTTGTCCGACGGCCAAGGCCCTGAGACGAGACTCTGCGGCCCAGCTCCAACACCATCGCCGTTACATCCCCACGTGCGGCGCCGCTCGACGAATCTAGCGACCGAGACAAGGGTTCCCCCCGGTATGAGCGTGTCCAGGCAACTGTGCATCTTCCCTGCGAGGAACATGCTTGTAGCGGGCGTCAACGACTGGTCGCGGAAGCCATCGCCAGAGCAATTGTCGTCTGTTTAGTGCTGGGTTGGCGCTTTCAGGGCGTAGCCTTGGCATTGGTGGTGATTTAAAGTTGCGGCGATCAACTGCTAGACAGCCACCCATTGACCAGCTTCATCAAGAAGGATGGCACTCCGTAAGATGGCCGCTCGCTGATCCCCCGGTACGTACCAGACATGAACCCCCACCCCGGAAGCCGGAGCGCGGAGGAGCTCGGAGGCGAGACGGGCCGAGGTTGCTAGTGGCATCTGCGTCACACCTCCAACCCATCCGAAATCATCACCACCCGCCGGTTCCGCCGCAGCCCTCACTTCCCACCACGCCAACACCAGCAACCATGTCGCGCCTCCTCGCCCCCAACCTCCGCGCGCTCCTCCGCCCCAGCGCACCCTCCGCCATCCGCCTCGCCTCCGGCTTCGGCTCGCGCCCCGCGCCGCCGAAGCTCCCCGCCAGCGAGCAGGCCGAGTTCGAGCGCCTGCAGCGCGCCGCCGCCGTGTCCTCCGCCTTCCAGCCCGAAGCCGACGCCGCATCGCCGGATGCCACCGCTGCCGCGTCCGCCCCTGAGGTCACCGACGTCAACCCCGGCCTGTTCCGCGGCGCGCCCCCGGAGTTCGAGGGCGACGTCAACCCCAAGACCGGCGAGGTCGGCGGGCCCAAGAATGAGCCGCTGCGGTGGGGCGACAAGGGCGATTGGAGCTACAATGGACGAGTGACGGATTTCTGAGTCAAGGGCTCGCTCATCGGGGGAACCGAAGTCGAAAAACGGGGTGCGACTCACATCCCTAAGACATGCAGAAAAGGCTACGAATATGTACGATAAGAAACGGTGCAATAGATGAGACATGGCCTCTTTCAGGATTAGGTTCAAGTGTTGGGCCACACGGCTCCGATTAATAATGTCCTATCATGAGATCAAATGGGTATTCTCTAATCTTACAAGAACCCTCGTCAACCCCGACCGCCGCAATGCATTCTCGGAGTAAACGCCTCGAGTCCAACCAACCCGTTTTTGCAATGAGCCAGATCACTGGTCTCCCTTCCCGGTCTCCTCGGGCGTGTCCGTGTCCGCCATTTGAACGTCCTTGTCCTGTACCTCGTTGATCTCCTTCGTGAGTGGTGACTTTGGGTCCGCATCCGCTGACCGGTTTTCCTTGTCCCCTTCGCTCGAGGGACCCTGTTCGCCGCTGCTGTTCTTTTGTTCGCTTCCTTCGCGGTCTTTCGTCCACCAGCTGCCGGATATCTCGCCTCTCAGACGTCCGATTCGCTCCTTCTCCTTTTCGCGCTCCTGGCCGCTGATATTCTCCAGACTTCCCTTGACTTCCCACATAGCCTTGCGCATGCGTTCTCTTCGGGCTTTACCGCGGAGCCTAGCCTGCGGTTGCGCTCCATTCTCAACCCATCGCACACTGTTGATCATGTAGCTGATTCCGTCGTGGACCGTGTGGCGAGTACCGTACTCTCCGCCGAATTCTCGACTCGAAATTCCGTACCGCGTTGACGCCGAGTACCTAAGAAGTCGCGGGAGGATCAAAATGTTGATGTGCAAGTCGCGCTGAGGGGGGATCGACATAGGGCCACCAGCCGGTGCTGATGTGATAAGGCCCTCGGATTCCAGGTCAACAGTGGCGGCCAGGTTCTTATTCTTGCGTCGTTTGCCTTCCGTCGTTCCCTGGTCGAGGTCCAATAGTGAACTGTCCACGTCCTCAGTCCACTCGCCCTTGATCCATCCACTGTGTATACAAGCAGCCACCACATCAGAGTCATCCGTGTACACGTCGGTTCCCCAGAGGAAGCCGCGAGAAGTGATTTCCTCGCGGGATACGGGAGACAGGTGGATGCGCGCGACCTTGATTGTTAAAGTGCAGTTTTCCTTGTCCTTGATCATGTCCCATGGCAGAGGCTTGGGGTTGGAAGCAAATGATCGATGAGTGGAGGTGCTAGGGATTAGCCTGCCGGCCTTGAGCCCCGGCTCGTAAATGAAATCTCCCAAATGGTGACGAGGACGGGTAGCCACAGAATCGAGCACTGCCTTGGAGGTTACAATCGTCCTGGGCTTCGGGGGGATGACTGGCGCGGCGTTTTGCGCAGGCTTTGCAGCGGCGGCATGTGGATGCCCTGGCCGGGGCCCATGATGATGGTGAGGAACACCGACATTCTTGTCGGTAGGTGAAGGTCCCCCAGGCGCCCCTCCCTTCTGGTTATTGAATGGCGTAGCTCCTCCAGCTGGGGCAGACCCCTCGGGGTGGTGATGATGGTGGGGGACACGACTAAGACCAGTCAGTAAAGTATAATCTAAGTAACGAGAATTTTCCACATACTAGTGATGATGGTGATGGGAGTGCGTCTTGGGCCTCTTTGTCCGACCCGTGGGTGTGAGCCTCCCACTACTGTCATCATCCGCCTTGTCTTCTTCCTTCAGCTTCCTCCTCCTACCTTTGGCGGGTTTTCCAACAATCTCTGTGCCTGAATCGGGCGTCGTGGTATCCGCATCCTCCCGCTTCGCAAGCGACGCGTTCGTAAACGGCATGGTGGCGCCAGCTGAGATCGGGCCCGACACACCCATGAGTCCATTTCCAATACCAGCAAACATTCGACCGAACTCGCTCTTAATTCCAGGTTCACCGGCCGGTCCAGGTTGCTGCAATTGTGCGCCTTGCACCGCTTGAGGAAGTGGAGAGATCCGGCCCTTGCGGTTCATCTCCTGAATGGCCAGCAGGTTCCGTTGGTGGCCGTTGGGTGCCGAGGGGTCTTCATTTCGATGTCGAGGGGGTTCGAACTGGGCCGGGCCTTGAGCCCCATTATACGCGATTGACGGTGGTGGTGGTGCTTCCTCACTCGGGCGCTGTCGGTGTTGGGGGGGTTGAGGTTGTTGATGCTGTTGTTGTTGATGTTGTTGCTGCTGCTGTTGCTGTTGCTGTTGCTGCTGCTGTTGTTGCAGCGGATGGATCAGGCTTACTCGAAGTCGATCGGGGGAGTCATAGGGATGCGGAGGAGCGGCAGGCGGATTCTGCAAAGGTTGAGAATGGGATACTGGGGGGTATCGATCGGGGGGCGCAGTTTGGTAAGCAGGTCCGTGAGGTGGATACGGCCCGGTGGCAGGAGGGTATTCTGGGTGTGGTCGCTGATGATCCATGGGTGCTCTGTAAGTTGGATCAGGTCCCTGGCGTCCCCAAGCATCTCGCGGATCTCGCGGGTCTCGAGGATCTCGGGGGTCTCTAGGATCTCTAGGATCTCGAGGGTCTCGCTGGTCTCGAGGGTCTCGCTGGTCTCGAGGATCCCGCAGGTCTCGAGGATCTCGTGGGTCTCTGGGATCTCGTGGGTCGCGAATGTCGCGGGGGTCGCGCGCGTCAGGTGGACGGCCATACTGGGGCGGGTTCCTTGGAGGTTCGCGATGACCATATTCGTGGTGCATAGGGTGCCGGCCTGAATCGCTACCTGAGTAAGCTCGATCCCTCCTTTCTCGTTCCCGTTGCTCTGCCTCTCCTCGTTCGCGCTCTGCCCTGTACCGGTCGTCGTAGGGGAAGGGTCGTAGACCTGTTCTCTCAGGGTTGTAATCCACTGGGGGGCCGGGCGCGGGACGGCCCATCTCATCCCGCCGTCCATAACCTTCGTCAGGACCGGGACCTCGAACCATCTCCATGGACCTAGGAGGCATTCCTGGGTACGCCTTGGGTTGACTGCTCGGCCTGGGGGGCGGGCCGGAAGGCAACCTGCCAGGGTCGGCCGAGCTTGAGTGATGGCGCGAATGATATGCCGACGGTGTACCATAACGCTGGACTTCGGGGGTCGAGTAGTGGCCTTGTGGCGAGGCTCGAGGATCGTATGGTCTCTGGTGATCGGGCGTTTGCGGTCGTCGGAAGGGAGGATAGTCTGCGGCGGCCGAGTGCATTCTAGGCGAGGCGTGCATAGCAGGCGCAAAGGCTGGCCCCGAACCAGGCGCCGCTGAGTGAGGAGGGTAGTGCGACGGGGGAGGTTGCGAGTCTCGAAGCGCCGGCGGTGGACCGCCCAGCATCGCTGATATCGACATGGTGCTGCCACCGCTGTTGGTTCGCGCAATTGAGTTCAAGGCCGGGAGCTCTCGACCGGAGGGAAACGACATGGGAGGACCGACGGCCACGGGAGGCGCTCTAGGCGGAGGAGGCCCGTAGCCCATCATGCCGTGCGACTGCTGGCCAGGCGGTAGTGGCGCCCCCGGTTGAGGAGGCGAGTTTGGCGGCGGCATCGCGCGATTTAGGTCTCGAAGCGACGGAAGCGAGGACGAGCTCTGGATGCGCGCGTGGCCAGAGTCTTGCTGGAACGGGCGTGCAGCCGAGGAATGGAAGGGGGTATCGGAGGGTCGACGCTGGAGCGGGTTATGGGCGGCATACGCAGGGCTCCGGCTGGGGCTCAGGCACTGGGTGTGGGACTGGGACGCGTGCGCGGGGAGAGACGGCGTCGAGAGGGCCGACGGCGAGGGCGAAGCGTAGGCAGCCGAGTTCGGGGCGACGACGCCGTTGTGAGCGTTGTGAGCGACGTTTGCGGTGGACGCGGCGGCGATGGATGGTGTTGATGATGATGTCGGAGGAGGATGCGGGAAAGGAGAGCGTGCGTAGGGCGACGGCTGGAAGGGAAGCTTGGGCGGCTGCCGTGGATCCATGGCGCCGAGTTTTTAGCTCGAAAATTCCGTTCGGTGGATGCACTGCTGCACGCACTGGATGACGAGGGCCCCCCGGAAATCCAAGCAACCACCAGCGCCAGAACGCGCTAACAACTTTTGGGTGGAGCAGCCGCTAAGATAGCCTGAGTCGTGAGGTTGGGTTGGGGACTCGGCGGCGTAAAGCTGCCCTGGTTAAGGTAAGGTACGGGGGTACCTGGGGGAGGCTGGAGCAAAGCCGGAACGACGCAGAAGCGGGCCGGAAGCTATTACAGCGAGCAACAGGCGGCAGCTGGCGGCAGCTGGCGGCAGGCGGCAAAGTGGAAAAGCAAGCACCAGCTAATACCTTGGCCAACAGTACCTAGGGGTACTCCGTACTCGACAGCGCGGTATGGTATGAATGCAGCGCAAAGTTCCCTCCTCACGCAACAGAAGGCGTCGACCGCCCTCTCAACAAGCCCACCATGCGACGCCGACGGACACGGGGACGCAAGGCACAACAGCGTGGGTCAACGATGGATGGCCGGACGGCTGGCGGACGGCAGATGCGCAGGGCGGCCGCGGCAAAGCGGCAGACGGTGTGTGGCTGGCTGTTGGCGGACAACGGCGGGACGAGCGAGCGCGCGACGGACGAGCAGTCATGGATCGGCGCCAGCGATGGCGATGGCGATGTCAAGACTGATGAACCGAACCCACGAAATCTCGCAATGTTTTTGGGAAGATGCAAAAAAGAAACACACACAACGCGACAGAGATAGACCGCAGCCTGGACACCCGGGTCTTGCGTCCGGGGAGCTGCGTCCAACGCAACGGAGCGTGACCAGGACACAGCACCAGGCCCAATAGGTCTGGTTCCTGTTACGCCTGTCCCGGGACTGCTGCACGCACTGCACCCTGTTGCCGGCCTAGCCCGTGATGGCATGGCCGTGGAAATTCCCAGAACTCGCGCGCGCCCAGCAGCCAGCTCAAATGGATGGGAGGCAGGGATCGCTGGCCGGAGCCACGACATGGCGAGGGGCGGTGGGCGCTAGTGGCCGTGAGACATGGATGGGACAGACAGGCTCCCAGCAGCAGTGACACACGACAAGCAGAGACCCTGCCCGCCCTAGCTCGGGGGCATGCCACAAATAAATCTGTCCACCGATTGTCTGGTTGGGGATACAGGATTGCTGGATGGCTGGTTGTGCGAGCCTGATGTTTGGACGGCGGGTGTTGTCCCGTGGCCAGTGTCGGACAACCATAGGGGATCTCTGCCTTGTCGCGACAAGCAACGCCAGCTGAAAAGCCTGAGCTGCCCTTACATGGGTGAAGCCATGAGCGAAGCCATGATAAGTTCCCGCGTCCAGTCTCCAATGCAGCAGCAACCACAGCGGCTTCACCCCTCCGCCCATGTCTTCAAGCAATCCCAGTGACTGAGACAAACCCAGCACACGGGGGACACACTCGTGAGCGGGTGTGAGAGCTTCCCGGCCGCGCTGCAGCGCGCTCTGAGGATACAAACGAAGGTCAGGGCCTGCCCATGCACGGAAGCGCTAGGTACTTTCTTTGTTCGAGAAGCTTGCCTCGAAGCCTTGGCTCGCCGAGACCACCCTCACGAAGGCCTCGGGCGTCATGGTGACGAATAGAACCTGTCATGTGCGCGTCCCATCCTTTCGAGTCATGTCCTGCCTGGAGACGAATATTTCGTGTGCCATCCACGGCACCTTGGCCAGCTGTCGCAACAAAAAAGTGTTCGTCCGTTTCCGCATCCGAACCCAAGTACAACGTCCCGCTGCGACCATCCATCCTAGTGCACAGACGATCCGGGATGGGGCGCATGGGTCAGAACCCTCCTCGCCAGGGCCAGCACAGCTTCCCCGTCGCTCCGTCCAGGCCTGTCTTGTTCGTCATCGAGTCGCGTTGCGACCATTACCCCATACTGTCTCTTTTTGGGGATTTCACGTGTGCGAGCACGAACGGTACGCCAATCCGGTCGGTCCAGGTCTCCGTGCCCTACTCTCGTGCGGCGAGACGAGCGGAGCAAGGTGCCATCCGCTCAGTGCTTTTCACCGCCATCGGGGCTTACTTCTTCTGCCGGCAGCATGATTCCTGGTCATCGTTCTTCCGATTGCCCGTGCCATCGTCGTCGCTCCGCTTTGCCCTGGCGGTGAGGCCACCGCGATCCAGCGTGCATACAGCCCCACTGCCAACCATCCCTGTCGACGTCAGGTACCTCGCAAAGTCGCGACCCAGCAAAGAACTGGTCTGAAATGTCGGTACATCGGTATCAAGGTCGCCTTTCCGTGCGCAGCTCTATTTCGGGAGCAATCTGACGGTTACGCGATGCCGACGGCCTACCTGTAGCACGAGGGCTTGTGACTGTACCCGTACCTACGTAGAAATACACCGTGCTGCGAAATATGTGACCCTGTTTCTTTTGCTTCTTCTCCCTTCCGCGAGCTGAGCGTGACATATGGTGGCTGACGGTTGCGTTCATCTCCCGTTGTCCTGTGGCACAAGCCCAAACAAACCGGCAGCTGGACAAATGGGAGCTTGGCTGGTTTTGTTTGTGCTTAGCTGGACCCCTGTTCCATCTTCCTTACTAAAAACTAAAAAAGGAACCGCTTTGTGCCTGGATTTTTTGGCATCTTCCTTGCACAGGCCGACCCACCAACCACATGCTGTAATTACTCCGCTGGGAACACCTAAATTGCTGCAACTGTGACCCCAAAATCCCCACATTCGTCGACCTCTAATCACGGCTCTCCGGAACTCTAGACCAATATGATATGCAAGAGGATCCAAGACGATTCAATCCGGTCTCTATCATCCCGACTTCGAAGGACCCAATCGGGATCTCAGTGTTCAACTCGATCAACTTCTACGCCACCAGGCTTCTAATGCTTCCGTCTGCCGCCAACTACCCTGGACTACCCCCGGTTTGACCTCAACCTCATTTAACGTAGCATTTGAACTCTGATCACTTGTTCTCACGGAACGAACGCGAACACTCATTGATGTTGTTCTGTAGACATTGCATTTTGGCTTCCTCTTTGTGACATCGTCCACTGTTCCCGTCGTACAATGAATCACTGCAACTGTCCGCTATCACATCTTTCTCAGTTCAAGGAGCAGGAATCACGGGCGGCGACTACTTCACCCTCCATGTTTCGGCCCCGAAAAGACAAATTTCCTTCCTTCCACACTAAACACCTACGCCTCTACATCCCACCGAATCTATCATCAAGATGTCTCTTCGATTGGGTGATTATGTGGAGAGCATTTACTTCCGCGGACAAGACCCATCAAAGGCAACGCATCGGCCTTTCAACAACGGAAATGCTCGATCCCCACCACTACTCCGCTCTCGCGGAGTGAATCGCATACTCGTCTTCCCGGGTTCCTTCAACCCACCTCACCAGGGACACCTCGATCTCCTCTGCCATGTCTTCGGAAATGCGGGCGAAGACCTCCATGTCGTCGGCGCAATCATCATCATGACGGATGATGAGAGACTTGAAGCAAAACTCAGCAAAGAACAAGACCCCTTCCTTCTTTCCAGAGAGCAGCGCGTCAATCTCTGGCGTGGCGAGGGAGTTCCAGTTGACTGGGCTTGGATCTACGACAGATCGGAGGCTAGCTGGCCCGAGTTCCAAGCCGAGCTGACCGGCAACTTGAGAAAGCGCGGAATCGAGCTGAAGTTTGCACTTCTTGGAGGACCCGACAACGTTGGGGTTCAGGGTACCCCGGCTCCTAAGTATTGGAATTGCGAAAGCATCCTCACCAGCAATGTTTCTCGCCCTGTCGACTTCCTCTGCCCCAACTCCCTTCGACAACTGCCTGGCTATGAGACGTGGACGAAGCCTGACATCGATCGCGGCCGGATTATGCGTCAAATCGAAGCCAAGTTGCGTGGAAAGTCACGTCAAGGTAAGAATTGATTCCTCCCCGATATGTAACGTTAATAAGTGCTAATGATTTATTGAGCAGTTATTGAAGAAGCTGTTTCCCTGGCGGTTGATAACCTGGCTGCTATTTGGGTCTGTCGCAGACTTCGGAAACCCAGAACTATGATCCGCTTCATCCCAAAACCTGCAGAGATTGCCTCCGCTTACATCCCCAGCTCGACCAACATCCGAAGCATTGTATCGAATCCGTCATCGGACAGACTGGGCGACCTGAAAAAGAGTAAGGCCCTCAATGCCGATATCCTGGCAGAGTACGTCCGTCAGCGACTGACCTCGCCGAGAAAGGCACTCAAACAGGAAGAGGAGCCCGAAACAGAGAAGAAAGACGAGCGAACCCCTGATGACTTTTGGTAATGATGCGGTTGACAGGTGGAAGGAAAATGTGAAGATGGCATTGAAACCATGATGTGTAAGACGCACCCTGGGAGCATCTAGTAGACTGGCACGGATTGGTCTTAACGTTAACAATTTGGTAACTGTACTGAAGCAAATAGAGAGCTGAATAAATGAAAAAGTAAAAACTCAGATCCTTGTGAAGACTTATTAATCTCCAATAGACCAGATTCCACAACTCAGAAGCGACTGTAAATATAACCAGCAAAAAACAAGCGTTGAATCCAAACGAAAATGGCAGGGAAATAAGGGCAAAAGTCCCGACGGTGGACATCAGCGCAACACCCGATCGATCTCTAAGTGGCGAAACAAGTAAGGCTACTCTGTTGGGAGACCTAATTTCTCTCGACACTCAGGAAATTTCCTCAGATGCCTTGTCTTGTGGTCCTTTCTGGCAAAGGATTTATGACAAGCGTCGCATTTGCACCTCTCATCGGGGATTGAATTCTCCTCCGCCCAGACTTTGTGGTGGGACCAATAATGTCTGTTGAGATCTTTCATCGAAGCGGCGCCATAGTCGCACCCTGCACCGGCCTTGCAGGGGCGAGGCCGTGTATGACGCACCATGTGCTTGCTGGTTCTTGTTACTGGAATAGTTCATATTGCCTTCTTTTATCCAATACTCACTTCAAATTCCGACCTATTTTCAACAACCTCCCGCAGCATCTCTTATATCCTTGATCACTATGTTCTACGAACTGTCAGCTAGCTTCATGTATGTCGTATATGGTAGAGTGCTTTACCCTCCATATTCAATTCCGCTGGAGATCCAGTCCGCCCAAGGGCTTTATGATTAAGACCAAACCCACCAGGCTCTACCCCGAACTAAGTCCGTCGGCTGGAATTGGCAAGGGAGGAGGCGGATGAGGCGGGAGTGTATAAATCGGTAGGAGAAGAGCTGTCACTGCCAAACAGAGGAACAAGGTTATTTCCCAAAGTGCCGAATTGAGTATACCCGAGATCGAATAACGAAATGGACGCCTGGTCTTGGGCCTGATATTGGACGTCAGAGTCGGTGCCCTCGGGGCATCTCAGAAGATCAGCCGCAGCGGCATCCCACTCCGGCATACCCAAGGTCTCCCTGGCTCCTAACAAGAGTTAGTAAACACTTGAGAAAATGGGACGGCCTACCTTTCTCAAGCCACTCCTCATCCCAGTCAATTGAATGAAGTTGCATGTCTTGACTGGGCTCTGATGTTAGTACTTCATTCTAAATAGACTATATGAAGTGGGATCATTCACAAACCTTTGGTTTCGTTTCTATAGGGAACGAAAAGGCGAATTGGCGTACTGCACCGCAGCCTTGGTTGTGAGGTCAAGGTAAATCGTGTGATGGGGAAGATTTTGTCTTGACTAGGTCGCAAGATCACCAAAGAATTGCAAGAAATAGGAAAGAAGACAGATAAATTGAAATGATGATTCTGATGAAGAGAAGATGGGAACATGGATTCTCATGAGCGTCGGATTGAACATGCTTTATAGACATTGGCGCCCAACACCACCCACTCTGCGCACCCCGACATTCCACACGAACAATCCGATCAGGCTGCACGAAAAGCCGCAATCGCGGTGGCCGCACAATCGCAAAGTGTAATAAGTCCGCTTTGTTGGTCGAGACCCAACGCCTGGCCTGGTCGCCTTGTTGCGGTCTCGCCCAGACGCGGGCTGCTCAAATGGGCCAACACTGATACGTGCGATGCCACCCTGCAGGTGTGATTGGCGTTCCGTCGGATGATGGAGGGAGGGACCCCCCAATTAATGAGCTCAGCTGTCTAGTTTATCTCACGTGCATGGTCGGCCTCCGTTCGATTCTATTCGAACATGTTCGTTGTCAGTAGGTGTGGGAGCCTTGTTGGTGAAGTGGGACGGAAGGGAGTGAGATCAAATGGTACCTCACGTTGGGCATAAATATGGACGCAGATTCCCAAAAAAACGTCCAGAAGACAACAAAGATTCATTATCTCACTGCAATCAGCCCTTTCTCAGTAAATTATCATCAATCTGGAATTTTCCCCCGAGTTACGCGAACACTCTCGTCGCAAGCATGTCTGGTAAGAGCCCACACAATGCCGAATAATTCAATTACTGACATGTTGTATCTAGAAATCACTCCCATGAAATCTCGAGAAATTCACAAGTTTTTCGAGCCATTGGTGCTTCTCAAGGCCCTTGGTTCCGCAACAAGAAAGACGGCCGTTTCACCCAGCTTGGAGGCATCAATTGACATTGAGGATGACGAAGAAATCTTCAAGGCCTTTGTGTACAAGCTAGGCCACGTCTGCGACAACGTCAAAGGAGATTGTGGGGCAACAATCACTTCCTTCTGCGTCTTGCAGGATCAGGCTGAAGAGGACCTGGTGCACTACTGGTTTGCTTCGAATCAGCGCACGCACGGGGAGCTAGAGACGACCAAGATCTATGTCAAAGGGCTCCTTGAAAAGGCAAACGAAGCTTCTGAGGATATTGGAAAAGAAAAAGAGGTCTTCGCAACTCTCCTCTCTAATGTCTTGAGCTTCAACCGGCCGAGAGTGACCTACTACATCAAACAGATCATAGCCCAAGCAAGCAAGTGTATCAGCATATGCCTTAGCAGCGTCGATGAGAAGAGTGAGTTAGAAACACTCCGCCTAACAAGCGAGTTTATGAGATTTAATACTGACGTTAAAAGACCAGGCGATTGCCGTGATTCTCAGGGCGTTGGCCAATTTGGTTGACCTTGAACCTTTGGTTAGCTCGTCGGACCAGTCTTGTAAGGAATCCCAAGATCTTTAACAATGTATACATGCGTTTTGAACTCACATTTTTTGTTTATCAGTTGTCGAAAAATGCCACCAAATCATTCTCATGCTTGAGCGGATTCAGCTGTCATCCTCTGGGCGTGTGATGACTGAACGTGCCCTCGAAGGTCGCATGCTCGGCGTCCCAAGCGAGGATTGTTGGTCGGACCTCCAGCATATGATCAATCGTACACTGGCATATTCTCAGTCTGTCCGATTCATGCTACGAGCAAAGCGAAAGTGGCCTGTACTCTTTAAACGATTCGACGTGTCCTTCTACGAATCCAGTGAGCGCATGCCGCGGCCATCCCGAAACAAGAGCCAAAGTGCAGAAGGAATTGTCGGCCGAATGACTCGCAAGCCCGACATAATGGAAACCTTTCGAAATTTCGTTCGCGATCTCCAAATGTTCGACCTTGACAAATTGATCCAGGAGGAGTATAAACGGGACACCTTCCACCCCATTGTCCATTCAGAGGTCCTGCTTTTGGACCAGCTGGATAAACAAGGTCTTTTGCAAAACCATTTCTTCTTCAATGGATGGATGTATATCGGTAGCAGCAAGCCAACCTGCAAGCTCTGCGATTACTACTTTGAAGCTCATCCGTCGCACATCAGACGCCGTCCCACTCATGGGAATCTGTACATCAGTTGGCGCTTTCCCGACGTACTTAGCACTCAAGGCGAGGAAGGGGTACAGAGAAGACAGGACATTCTTGACAGAATGCTTCGGAAGGTGCGCAAAGAGGCTTTTGATATCGTTAGGATGAAGACACCTTCGAGCTACAGAGGAGAGGACTCTTTTACATACTCGGCTGTGCTTCCAGTGGACAGGTCCACGGATCGCGGATCGGATGGTGATGTGGACGATTTAGCGTCACTGATGGGCCAGGTCGATTTGGACCGAGACCTCTAATTACAGTTCTCGCCCCTACGGCGAAGGCAATGGGGAGTATGTTATGTAGAGTCATCTCGCACCCTTATAGTTAAGGACAGTCGGGCACTTTTTGAACTGAGAAATCTTTTTCATTTTTGATGAAAGGACATTTGTTTTGACCTTCGTGATGCACGTATGACACTGTTACATGTGGATGCAACCACCTGATTTTGGAGTCCGGTCGAAGTATTTTGATACGATTGATCTTTCTGAGTTGTATACATTCTTTGCCGTTTTTATTCCAAGGTTCCAAAGACTGCTGGGCGAACGTCACGCACGCTCCTGGGAGTTAGGTGCAGGTGGTCAAGGAATACTTCGTCCATACAAACTTGTGCTTGTGTGAAAATACGGTCCTGTAATAAAATCCTCGACAATTTGAGCATCCTTTCTCTTTTATCCCAGAGTCTCGCCAACTGTCCCAGGCTTGTTAGTTAAGAGCAATGGCCCACAGTCCCCGGCCGGAGCAGCCACCCCACCGCCGTAAACAGGCCGGACCATCCGGGCCCCACGCCACGTGATGGCAGCCAGTCATTGGGTTGGTTGTTGCATCCTCACTCACAGGCGATGCATCGCGAGAGTTCATCCTGCTCTGCTCATCGACGCATTTCCACTAGAACATCTCCGATGCCTTTTCAGTTGCCGCTGCAATATGCAACAGGAGATGCACGACTACGGGCGACCGGCTGCCGATCGCGACCGGGGTACAATGAGTGACTCTGGTGAGCCGTTGCCCAAGGATTTCCGCGCGTGGTCGTACACGGCCCTTAAATTGACGGTGCCGCTCGTCGTTGTCGGGGCTCTCTTCTTTCTTGGACCTCACATTGGTGTGGGTTTTAACACTGGTCCGCCAGATATGAAGTTCTCAAGCACTCTTAAGACCTGCGCCCCTTTGGCGGCAGCCCTCAACATTACCTTTTACAAGAACGAGTCGTTAGCTCCGTCTCCGCTGCCAGCGTCGCATGCCGGCTCGGATGGAGAACAAATCATTGAACTATTCCAGACCCTTGGTCGTTCCACTGTGTGGAAAAGTATCGCAAACATCAGCTTCGAGGGAGATACCTTCGAGCCAGAAGGCATGGTGCGTCTCAGCAACGATCGCTACGTGGTCAGTTGCGGAGAGTACACCGAGCACACCGAAAAGTATGGCGAGACCATCAATGGAACAGATCGCACAGCAGGCCAAGGTTTCGCTCATTTGATGGTCTACAACGGCAAGGGAGAGCGCATCGCCGATGCGAGTATCACGAAGAAAGGCGAGAGCGAATACCACAACGGAGGTCTTGACTACGACGGCGCATACATTTGGGGAACTGTCGGCCAATATCGTCCAAATAGCACGGCCTACGTCTACCGAGCCGACTCAACTACTTTGGACCCAGAGCAGGTGCTTCAGTATGCCGACCATCTGGGAGGCATTGTGCACGATACTCGCCAGAACACCATCACCGCTCTAAATTGGGGTGGGCGCAATGCCACGACTTGGGACCTCGAGCGCGCCAAAACAGGCTGTGATGCGACGCCCAAACCGAACCACGTCGTTCGTAACCCAAGCTATTTTGTTGACTACCAAGACTGCAAATGGCTAGGCCACAGCAAGTTTTACGATGGAAAGAGCGTCATGCTGTGTTCCGGAGTGGTCACCATTGGCGGCTACAACCTGGGCGGCATCGCGCTCGTCGATGTTGCCACCATGGTGCCGTTAGCTGAGGTCCCAATTGCGCTGGAAAGCGCCCTTGGCGTGAGGTTGACGCAGAATCCCGTCGATGTCAGCGTTGAAGACGGCAAGTTGCGGTTATACTGGATGCCAGATCAACACAACAGCACCTTGTACATTTATGAAGCGCAGCCCGACAGCCCATTCCAGTACGGGGGAGGTCGCTAAGGCATTTTCCAAGGCATGACATCCCTATCTTTAAACGGAGGGGAAATAATTACAAGCTCCAGCTCGGATAAACATCCGCACCGCTTCTCCCTAGTCGGCCGTTTGTGGTGTCAGCAAATAGTGGCAGCCTGTTGTCATGTTAACTCACGTCCAGCCGCAACGCCTCGACCCACTTAGCAAGAAGCCATCACAGGCAGCCCTTTGGGAATTTCGGTGCCTTGGAGCTGAGAAACGGTCTTAATCACAGCATCTGCGCAAAGTTCCATTACCGGGGAAGCTCTCATCAAGGGTCGTTTTCGTACCAAGCACAACATCATCAGTTATCAACCAGACGGCAGTAGCACCTTTGCTATGATGGATCTAAAGCTAAGCAGCTCATCGGGGACGGGGTCGCTCGGGCTGAAAGACCTTCCTCTCGAAATCCGCGAACTCATCTGGGAGTTTGCTCTACCAGACCGTCGCGTCTTTCACGTCAAAGGCATGTCCCGGCAGCGACCTTTTATGAATCCAGACCCGCGATGCCTATTCTTCAACTTCCACATCGGCCATCCCCCTCCAGTCTGCACGCGCGTGTGCTCGGAATCTCGCGCTGTTGCCCTCCGTAAGGGCTTCTTTTTCGAGTCTCGTGACGATCACCCTGGCTACTGGTTCAACCCGGACAAGGACATCCTCTACTTGGACCGCAATCAGCGCACCTTGCTTCATTCGAAACCAAATCAACCGCGCATGAAAGTCTCCGGGTGGGACCGCGTGCTCAATGTCGGTCTTGAATGGCGTGCCTTCTTTCGAGATATCCCCCGCCCATCCCAGGATGAAACGATTAGCAGCTACTGGAGAGCGGCTATAGACCCGTTGTACGCTTACATGCCGCGTATGAAGACGGTCAATTACATCCTCCCAGAGGCTCGGTACAAGGGAGGGATCACTTGGGGACGCGAACCGTATGGAGCGCAAAAATTCGAAGCCGAGCTGTTCCCACTCCCGGAGGACACCCCGATCCCATGGGAGACGAACCGGAATCTAGGCACGCCACCATCACGGACCCAGATACTGGCGGAAATCCAAGGGAGGCCAATACACGCAGCTTCCGTTCTGCCGTGGGCGGAAGTAAGGGGAGACATTGTGAGAGGGTTTGAGGAAGGAGATGACGTGAGTGGTGCAGAAGCAGAGCCAGCGCAAGAGGGAAATCCATCTGATACCCGGGTCAACTATCCGCCTCGGATTGTGGGTTGGTCGCTGGTGCGAGTGGGAGCAACGTTTAGCCAGGAGAACCCAGCGTACTTAACAACCTCAGTTTAGACTATAGACCGCCTTTACATTCTACTTCCGCGCTCATTTATTGCGGCACCTCTCGCACATGTGCAGTCTGTTAGAATATCCATGTGTAAATGGGGAATCAATCAACGTCAATTTGTCACAGCTACATGTATACCAACACCCCACGCTCCGCGCACCAGCAACACAATTCTGGCAGAATTTCAACACCGTACACCCTTTGCCCGTACATTCATCTGTTTTGTATCAAGCCCTAAACACTGAACCATTCTCGGTTTCCAAGACATCCTGATTGAGACCCTAAAGAAAACGACCACCTAAGCTTCACGAGTCACGTGGACAACTTCGATGTTGTTGCCTAGAGGGTCGAGAACAAATGCTCCGTAGTAACCCTCCATGTACTCCTTGCGGAGCCCGGGCTTTCCATTGTCGGTGGCGCCAGCCTTGCTACTCGGGAGTCAGCACCGTTTTTGAAACATCATCTCGGACAGGGACTCGACTTACATGGCAGCTTCATACCACTCAGCAACGTGCTCCTGGTTCTTACCAGGGAAGGCAACGTGCACGGGAGCCACACGCCCCTTCAAGTCGCCGTTGTACTTCTGTAGGCCGTCGGTGCAGCCGCCGCCGAGCCAGAAGTCGATGTTGGATCCCTTGGTGCCGAAGCCGCAGTACGAGTGTGGTTCATGGGCCTCGACCACGAGCTCGTAGCCGAGGGGCTTGAGGATGGCCTTGTAGAAGTCTCGCATCTCGGCGAAGTGGTCACCGACCGGGAGTGAAATGTGAGAGAAAGGCATGATGGAGAGAGGTTTGAGGTGTGAAAACGGGTGAGGATGGGTGTAAGATGGATGAGAGAGATCGAATTGTCTTGAAATGTCAAAGTAAGTTGAGGGAGGTTATGATTCCATTACGGGATCGATTGTCCCTTAAGTATTAAGTTACCCCTCTCTCGTAGAAGCCCATCAAGGCTGATACTTCGATTTCAACTCAAACATAGCCTATCCCGTTCGACTATCGCCGCCACCGCAGAGACCTTCCCCTCATGGACCTGCAAGGCTTACAGGCCGACGGCCCGAACATTGGAAATGTCCAATTGTTCAATCCAACTGCACGTGGGTTCGTGCCAGACTCGCGCTTTAATGGCTCAGGGCCGGGAATTGTGACGCGCGCATGAGTCACGCCGCAAATGCAGCGCTGAGAAACGCGTGGATTCATGCTGGAATGTATTGTTGGCGGCCAGGTTGGGAATCCTTAGCTGTTCCACTGCTACCGTCTGGTGCTGTAATGGCGTCACGCCCACAAATAAGCACTGCGTCATGGCGGGTTTAGCCGGCATTAGCCTGACCGTAGGCTCGCCATTCGTTGATTCACGCTGTAGCAGGCGAAATATGTGCGTCGCCATTCACTCCTTCATGCCGTGACAAGTTCATACACCGACCGACTTCCTGCATCTGACATCGAAAATGATGCCGATGATCCGCTTCGGAAGGGAAATACGAAAAAAAAAAAAGCCACCCGAAACTGTCCGTGTCGCATAAATGAAATCTCCGTGCCGATACTGACGGGCTTGATCCATTCTCCAACTCTTCCCTTCAGTTTTGCCTCCTTCATCTACACATCTTTCGCCTACGGTTTCGGCTCATGGCATGTCTGCTCATGGTGGCACATCGCCCAAAGTGCAACAATTGAGGCCATCGCCGACACCTTACTGATACATAAATGCAGGATTCTCCCATGTCGTTGGTGTCGTTCTTCCTCACGTTACGCAAACTCCGATGCTGCTGATATCTCGTTAAACATTTTCAGCCTCAGACGTCAGCATTTTGGGCTGCAGAATCAAGGCGATATAAGTTATCTGACGCCCGTCTTGCTTACGTCTCATGAACGCTGGACATGGAAGAAATTTTCAACTGGTTGGACATGGCAATGCCATCGATTTCTTGCCCCCGACACCACTTGGCAACGGATATTCTAAGCACTTGTAGGACCTTACTTTCGCTAGAGATGGGGGCCTCAACGGACATGCATTTTAAATGCCAAGGTTCATTGATGACATTTTTATGACGACAAGCATGTATGTGTCTCGGGCGACCAGGGAGTGTTCAGCTCGTATGCAGGTTTGGCAGGCATCCAATCTCGTTCATTCTCCAACACTAAATGCATCCCCCAATGTCATATGCATATTCGGCTTACTTCCCTCGCCGAAGATCATCATTTTGTGTCGCTTCCCATTCAAATTGACTGGTCTGTAGTCTTTGAAATCCTCCTTGCGCCTTTCGGCCTTGCAAGGTGTCGGAACTGATGCTCTTGTCCCTCCCTCCATTCGCGGCCCGAACGGCAATCCGGACCTGCACATGGGGTGGCACGAGAGGGCTTCAGTTGGATTCACCTAGGATACTACGCCAGAAATAGTTGCATCCTTCCATCGCGTGGCAGAATGACGTCCAATCCTGCGTCAAGACATGGCGGTGCTTTTGATGGGATCCATTCCTACACCACCTACACAACACATCAACGAAATTCCTCCTCTAGCTTCCCGGCTTGCTGACTGATTTAGTTATCTCACACTTCTTTTTGCAGGTTAGTTCTGTTCACGGGGCAATGTCGGGCACATTATCACCGCTGACACAATGTTCCATGCATGTCTAACGCACCTACTGGATCAGCTCGCCCTGCCATTGGAGATCTAGAGCTTTCATCCTAATTTCCCCATGTCTCTTTTAATGTTAGAACTATTTCCAAGCTAGTACTATCGAACCCAGTGTCTTGGAAAACCCCCATGACCAATCTTATGCTGTCTAATTAGTGACAACGCACAAACGCCTTCTGGGGGCCAAGTCAGATCTAAGTAGTCCAAAAACACGCATGCAACACATTATCCGGTGAGGCGCCTGACATACATATATGCTGGCTCACCTCAGCCATCATGTAACCCCCAAAGCTACCCAATCGGTTTCTCGCAAAGATCGTTGCTGAGGCTGGGTGATCACCAACGACATCAGCGCGAAGTCCTAGCGCTGACGATTTCACGAGGTAAGACAGGGCTCTATCCAATTGGCAAATTTCCACTGCCCCATCAGGAAACTCCATACGCAGTAGATGCCACTGCATTCTATGGCAGCGATTACCTAGCTTCACTTCGGATGGCGCTGGCTGACGCCTTGTAGATGATGCATGTGTCCTGCAAGGTAGGGATGCGTGGCAATCGCTGAGCGAGCTTCGCATGCAGCTAACAGAAAAAGTGTATATCAATGGGGAACAGATGTGCCACGAACAAGGCAGATCGCGATGTGCAGGATATATCATCTAGCCTAACGCCTCAATTTTTACGAGTTCGCCATGCCGGTGAGGAAAGCCAAGGAAGCCCTCAAATGGTGCCGTAACACGTTCAACTTACTTGTCTATTATATCCTTCACTAGTTGTTTATCTTGGCATCTCATTCAAGATGGTCTACTCGTTCCAGTGCCTCTTGTTTTCCCTCCTTCTTCTCGGACCGGTGGCTGAAGCTTCTCGTCCAGGAAAAGGCGGGCATTCGGGGAAGAAATATTACCCTGGGCAGACTAAGGAGTACGACTTGAGCATTACTTGGGAGGAACATGCCCCGGATGGCTTCTCGAGGCAGATGCTGTTGGTCAATGGCAATTCGCCAGGGCCGGTCTTAGAGGTCGATCAAGATGACTGGGTTGTTGTTAATGTTTACAACCATTCTCCCTATAACACGACAATTCACTTCCATGGTACGCCATTGAGGCCCCCCTCCTACGCCCTCCATCCCTAACCGCAACAGGTATTGAGATGATGGGAACCCCGTGGTCGGATGGAGTTCCTGGTGTCACTCAACAGCCCATCGAGCCCGAGTGCAGCTTCACGTACAAGTTTAAGGCGACCCAGTACGGCAGCTACTGGTACCACGCGCATTACAGAGGCCAGATCGAAGACGGTTTATACGGCCCCATTGTCATCCACCCACGCCGAGGCGACCCAAAGCCGTTCAACCTCATTTCGGACGATATCGACACAGTACACGCCATGATGGAGGCCGAGCGCAACGTCGTACCCCTCGTCATTGCCGACTTCGTCCACCTCACTTCTGATGCTAAGTGGGACATGACCCTTGCCGCAATGGTTGAGGATTCATGCTACGACTCCATCCTCTTCAACGGCAAGGGAAGCGTGCAGTGTCTCCCAGCAGATGAGATTGCTGCGCTTGTCAATGATGCTCAAAAGACTCTCTTAGGATTAGTACCTGGCTCTACCATGACTGATAAAGCGTATGTTACCCCTACTAGGAGGCTCCATAACTAACCTTGTCAGGTGTCTTCCTGCTTCGGTACTGATGGCACTTACGGGAGGCCAGGGCAACGAGGGCGCCTTACTCCCGGGCACCTTTTCCGGCTGTGAGGAAACTGACGGTCAGGTTGAGGTGATCAGGCCATCATGCGAGGACGACGAGTGGATCGCCATCGACATCGTCGGGGGTATCAACTTCGCCACTGGGGTTGTCTCGATCGACGAGCACGACATGTGGGTATACGCCATGGACGGATCCTACATTGAGCCTCAGAAGGTCCAGGCAATTGTCCTCACCAATGGCGACAGATACTCTGTCATGGTGAAGCTGGACAAGCCAGGAGACTTCAAGATCCGGTTCAACGCCGTCAGTGCGCCTCAAATGATCTCTGGCCACGCAATTCTCTCGGTTGGGGGCGCGAGCGGATATGGAGAATCCGACCCGTACGTCAATTTCGTGGGGGTGCCGCTGACAAAGGACGTTGTGTTCTTTGACCAGAATATTGCGCATCCATACCCGCCTGATCCCATCCCCGCGAGTGCGGATGCCTTGTTCCATCTGACCATGAAGGTTGACGGGGCATCGTACCTCTGGGCATTGAACAGCTCGCGACTGATGCCAATCGACCTCGACGCCGGCGAGCCGACACTCTTCCACCCTGATCCTCATGAGCACAACAACGTTACTTTGTCAACAAAGTTCAACTCCTGGGTCGACCTCGTATTCTTCGCTTCCGTTTTCCCGCAGCCTCCACATCCAATTCACAAGCACGGCACAAAGATGTACCAGATTGGTTCTGGGGTAGGTCCATTCAAGTGGAACTCAGTCGACGAGGCCATCAAGGAGATCCCCGACCAGTTCAACCTGGTGAACCCTCCCCGGAGAGACGCCTTTACTTCGCTCCCTGCCAACGACAATGTGACTTGGGTAGTGGTTAGGTATCATGCCAGTAATCCCGGTGCTTGGCTTCTGCACTGTCATATTAACAATCATATGCTGGGAGGTATGATGATGGTGATTCAGGACGGGATAGATAATTGGCCCGTGATTCCTGAGGAATACAAAAATGGGAGACATGGACAAGGGCATCATCGGTAAATAAACTTGAGAGCTGAACAACCAGATTGTGCGAATTTGCGACTCAATGGTCATGTTCTTATAGGTCATATATATCATGTGTAATACATCTCTTTGTTCCAAGATGTTTGATTCGGTGGCGCTGAGGTCGTCAGATTGAGTGATAGTAGGGTTAATGCGTGCCAAATAATAACTTAGCTGAGAGCAACGTTATTGTCGGAAAATACCGCGGTGAATCCTGTGCAGGTGGAAAATATAAAGGTTAGCTGCTTCTAGGACCCGAATAAAGGTGACTCTACAGTGCCTGGGTCAGCAACAAGATGCTCTCGGAGCGAGGTATTTACACAAGAAGACGCCGTAGTGTCAAACATAGTGTCAAAGAAGCCCGTGCAGTCGCCGAGGATGACTGAGTCGTCCGAGTTCGCAAGGTCATGAGCGCACTTGTCCTAGCAGCCATCGCGTCTACCAGAGGCATCGGCCAATAGAATGACACTGTTTTTCCCAGAGGGAAATTCGCGACTCGTACCAACTCAATCGTGAGAACATCTATCAGGAGATTTCATATAAACGGGTAATGATTTGAACCTGCAGTGGCTATTATTTGTCTCATCTAATAAACTAACATCTGCCTTTCAGAATAGCCAGGTCACTACATTCTTGACCTTGGCTTTCCAGCCTGTTTCTTCGATCACCTTCTCATCTGCCGTATATGTATCGGTTTCCAAATCCATCTCCGAAAGCGCAACAGTTTTCGTCTTCTTCAAGAGCTTCCACACAACGTACATGATCAGCATAATCGGAAGCTCGATGTAGTAGCTAACAAAGCTAACGCCGTCGAACTTGGGACTGAAACAGCTCCAACCTTGGACAAGCACGATGAAACTGTTTAGTATGACGCAGAACCAAGGGCCGTACGGGTACGTCCAATTGCGGAATGGGAGGAGGTGCGTTTTGCCTTGGAGGGCGAGAGCGGAGCGGAAGCGGATCGAGGTGATGCCAATGGCAATCCAGCTCAGCTGGTTTGATACACCGACGATACTGAGCGATGTTAGCTAGATGTACAAGGAGGCATTCAGAATGTGAGTAGATGCGTACTTTTGAAGCCAGGTCCACAACTGACCAGCTCCGATAAAACTGGACCCAAAGCAGAGGCCGGCGATGAGACTCGTCGCGAGGACGGCCACCCATGGCACTTGGTTCCTGTTCAATTTTCCGAAGACCCTGGGTGCGTGTCCCTCCATGGCAAGAGTGTACATTAGTCTAGCACCTGCGAACAAAGCATGATTTCCCGCGGACAGAACGCTCGTCATGATTACGGCGTTGATGACACTTCCGGCGGCGTGGGCTCCAGTCATCTCGAAAACAAGGGTAAAGGGGGAGGTGCGAGTTTCCTTGGAGTCAAGGTCTGGGTAGTTGTACGGGACGTTGAGGCCGATCAAAAGGACAGAGAGGAGGCTATTGGGAGTTAGTGAGTTGGTACTAGTTCTGCTGTATCGATGTGACGTACTAGAACAGAATGATCCGCCAAAACACATTCTTGACGACCTTTGGGAGGTTCTTTGTGGGGTTCATCGTCTCTCCTGCGGTAATTGCAATGCTTTCCGTACCGCCGTCTATACATGGTTCGCATCAATGAGTACTAGAGGTAGTGGACCAGAAGACTTACAAGCGAATGAGGCGGTCACAAAGACGGATGCAAAACCACCGATGCCTCCTACAAACGGAGCACCGGGAATGTGCCAGTTTTCGCCTCCGATGTAGTGGCCTGTACTGTTTCCACCGCAGTTGACGACGATGCCCATGACGATGAAGACCTGCGTGGGAATGTGAGTGGGGTTTCGGGGGGGAGGGGGCGAGATACAGCACTTACAACGATGGTGATGACTTTGAGCAGGCTTAGCCAGTACTCAAGCTATTGAAGAAGTTAGTATAAATACAATATCATTGTAACAGTGCGCGCTTACCTCGCCGTATGCTCTCACCGTGATGATGTTTGCAGCAATCAAGACAAACCAGAAAATCAAGCTCAGAGCCCAGCCTGGAAAGTTGTCGGTCCAGTACTGCAAAAGGAGCTGCAGAGCGACGAGATCAGAAGCCGTAGAGACTGCGTCGTTGAACCAGTAATTCCAGGTCAACGCGAAGCCAAACGCATCATCGACAAAGCGCCTAAGCAGAACCAATTAGCCCTAGTCCACGGCACCGAAACAACCAACTCACCCAGCAAACGTGCAGAAGCTGCCGGCCACGGGGATAAAGGCGGCCATCTCGCCCAGACTCAACATGGTGGTGAAGACAATGGCGCCCACGATGGCGTAGGCAATCAGGATCGAGGCCGGCCCTCCAGTGGCCAGCGACTTGCCGGTTCCCAAGAAGAGACCTGTGCCAATGGTGCCGCCAATGGCAATCATTTGCACCTGGCGAGCGGATAGGGCGCGCTTCAGCAGGTCGGACTGCGTCGGCCCGCGCGCGTGGTGTTGGCCGGGATTGAAGCCTTCGACGTCATGGTATGGAGGTTGGCCGGCCTCTTTAGAGTCGAGGGTTGTTGAGTTATTGTATTCCATGGTTCGTGAATACCTCCCGAGGAGGTATATGCTTGGCTACGGCCGCAATATAGTTGGTCGAAGAATCAGAGGCTTCTTACCGCGCTTGAGAAGAACAGAGTCGGATGCATCACGAATCGGTTTCACACTCGGCCGTTGACGATATTTTAGCTTGCCACAACCGCCATGTACGACCTAAACCGCTCAGGCACGGGATATTGCGTGCTCGACGGCCATGGACCGAAACCCCAGATTCTGGATACGCGGCCAGGGTTGTTAGGTAACATTTTGCATCGTGTGGGAGCGGCCACAACCCGCTCCACTGCTCGGGGGCTCCGTCCGCTAGCGACAAGGTGGAAGGTGAAAGCAGAGAGAGAAAAGGCAGCAGGGATCGGCGGCTGGCTTCCATTTGCTGCGAGCTCCCAGGATCGCCCGTCTTTGATCCTCCGCGACGTCGTGAAGAGGCGTCATGGGACGCCGGGGTAACGTCGCAATGGGCGGCCCACCTGCAGGAGAACGACTGCATGTTTCGGCGTAATGGCGCCGCAATCCCTGCTTGTGCGGGCTCTATGACATGATAGTTTGGAGACTTGCGTCGGCCGCCCAATACATACATATTCTTTTACGGTAGAGGTTTGCATTGTTGGTCTGAATGGAAATTCTCCGAATGAGCCCCATGCCCAAAAAAGGAATGTGTCAAGCGAAAGCTGCTGCTGCGTCTATGCTTATTCATGGGGCCGTATTCCGTCGTTCCCCTTGCAATTGACGCCATCGCTAGTCGACGTGTAATACGACTAATAACCTTGACGATTTTTCCTCAGCAATCCTCCTCCATCAACGTCGTCGTGATGGACCATAATGAAGCTATTCTCGGGGACCCGCAGTGAGCCCTGGGCCTGCACGCCAAGCGCCCCCAGGTGATCGCCTCCCTTCTTGGCAAGCCTCTGCCCTACGACCCTGCAGATAATGCACTAGCCCTGTTCAATTCCACTTGTTTGGACAGTTGTGAAGAGGAAGGCTGGTTGCTCAGAGGTAAATCGCATGTTGCGATATGAAGCTTGGTTTGGGGACATGATTCGTTCCAATACTAACCGCTGTTGTGGCAGTGCCCTTGTCTATCAATTGAATGCATTGCCATGCCTTTCCTGGTTATTGCTGTCTGTACGAATATCACCATCACCCACGGCCCCCACGCAGAGACATCTCAGTGCTGCCTTACCGCAAGGCATCTCAACAATGACTACGGACCGAACTCTACAAGTCCTAATTAGCACTGACTCACCAGGCTGGAAATGAAACAGCCATACGGCTTATTATTAGCTATGGAAAAACATCGCCGTTGGACTCCCAATTGCCAGCGCCTGCTCAGTGGCCAGCCGCACTCCAACTCCTTGTCTAACCGCCGCTCCGATGCCTTCCCAGCCATCAGAACACAATAGCGCAAGATGCATCGCGGGGAATCCAATAGCCAATCTGCCCCAGGTGAATTCGCATCAGCCCTCCCATGACGATGGATGCAACACAGCAGAAATGTGGCTGGGGCGGAGCGGTCGATAAGCCACTCCCCCCAAAAAGGCCTCCTGTCAGCCTTGGGTGGCATAGGCGCTCAAGCTAGCTCTATAGAAGCCAGGCAACAGCAAAAACATTGGCTTCATCTCCAAATAAAACCTGGCCTCACTGCTTCAAGGCATTTGACTCATCAACAAGTTTCTTATTTCAATCAAGGCTTGGAAACGTGGCATATTGCATCTTAAGGAATCTCTGCACATAAAGACAGCACTCTCGGCCCGCCAAAGTCTCACTCAGAAACAAACCCATTGCAAGTCAACGCCACCACCATCATCACCATGTTTTCCAACCTCGCCTCCAAACTCGGCTTCTCCTCTCCCCAAAAATCCTCCTTCGCCGTCAAAGTCTCCTCCAAAACCCAGAGCAAGGCCCCCGTCCAAGTCACATACACCCACAACGACGTCCCCATCCCGGACTCCTTCCTGACCACGCCCCCCGCAACGCCCATCGCCTGCACCCACATCGACTGGGCCTCGTCCCCTCTCCCGGAAAACCAAGGCCGCACCGCCCTCCTCCTCAGAAACGTCCTCTCGCCGGAAGAGTGCAAGCAGCTGATCGCCCTGGCGGAGGACTCGGTGCCGAGGGAGGCCGGCGACTCGGCGTGGAGGCCGGCCCTTGTCAGCTTGGGGCCGGGATGGGAGGCTCCCGCCCCGGGCTACCGCGAGAGTGACCGCATCATCTGGAACCAGCAAACCGTCGTCGACCGTATCTGGGAGCGTTGTGCTCAGGCAGACGGCCTCCGCGAGCTGCTGGCCGTCGTACCGCCTCAATCACCCATGGGCGGCGGCAAGTGGGAGTTCAGCCGCGTCAACGAGCGGATGCGGTTCCTTAAGTACTCTCCTGGCCAGTACTTCAAGCGTAAGTCACTAAACCGCCCATAACCTATCCGATATCTAACCGCTTCATTCAGCCCACTGCGATGGTCCTTACTGGTACAAGGACGGCGAGAGGGAGTTCCAGACTCACTACACGATCCAGCTCTATCTCAACGACTCTGTCGAGAGCGACCCGCAGTCAGAACTCGAGGGCGGCGCCACCTCATTTCTCGGCAGAAAAAACGGCGGCAGAGTCGACATCCCCCCCGAGGCGGGAAACGTCTTGATCTTCCAACACAGGGGCCTACTTCACGAGGGCGCCACGGTAACAAAGGGGACAAAGTACACAATAAGGACGGATATTTTGTATGAATGGATTTCGCACGTTGAACCGGCTGCAGAAACTGCAGAGGAGACTGCTGCTTGATTGGGACCAGATACCAGGGATATATTGTTTACATAGTTTCAGCTAATACCATCGCCTCGGGGCATGAAGAGCGAATAGTTTGTCATCTTCGCTTAGGCATCTTCTTCTCTTCCATCTCTTCAACATCCTTCTTCTTGTGAAAATGGGGCGCCAACTCCGCCAGCCACACCGGCTCGATGGGCATCACGCTGCGCATGTACTCTTTGGTCGTCTGCACCAGCTCAAAGTACACCACCATCTTCTCCGGAGGATCGATCGACATCAGCACACTGCTGGGGTGGATCCAAACCGTCGTGTTGTTCTTGACAGTTCGGTAGCTGTCACCGCTCCTCATCAGGCGCGCCGCGTTCGGGAAGAAACCAGCCGTGATGGCTCGCTTGATAGGGCGAAGGTTTGATGCTCCGCACGTCGAAGGTGCCACCTCGACTCGCTCACAGAGCTTGGCCAACTGGTCTCGTACATCGCGCGCTCTAGTCAAGGACCGCTGCTGCAAGAAGTTCTCGCGGGCCCAGACGGGGGAGAAGTCGCTGTCCACCCATTGGTTCCAGACATTGAGCAGGGTGAGATGATCACCTCCATCTTTGACGGTAAACCGGTTGCGAGCACTGTCTGCGTGGATCTTCTTGTCCTTGGGACGGAAGAAGAGCGCCGAACTTTCGCTCAGCATTGAAACGATAGAGAGCACCTCTTCCACGCACTTTTCCTTGTCTGCTGCAAGAACGGCCTTGGCAAGCATAGGATCGGTTGGAAACTCAGCCATCTGGCGGCCCAGCTTGGTCATTTCTCCCTTGTGATTTAATGCCTGGAGGGCAAAGAGCTGGTTCAACGCGCCAATGAGCGATTCCGTCGGTGGCGGATCCATAAACTCGAAATCGAGAAGTTCGTTGATTCCGAGCGACTTCAGCTGCAGGACAACTCCGTTCAGGTTGGTCCGCTGGATTTCTGGCGTTGTCGACTCGTCCATCTCGTTCATGTAGGCAAACTTGGTGTACAGCCGGAAACACTTTCCTGGGCCAACACGACCAGCTCGACCACTGCGCTGGTTGGCGGATGCTCGAGAGCAAGGCACTACGACCAGGTTCGACATGCCAGTCGCTGGGTTGTAAACGTTCTCCTTGACATAACCCGGATCAATGACGTAGACGATGCCATCGATGGTCAAACTCGTCTCGGCGATGTTGGTGGCTAGGACCACCTTGCGGGCCCCATTTGGCGTGGGCTCGAAGATCTTGGACTGCAGCTCGGATGGCAAGTTTGCATAAATCGGACAGATGACGAGTTCCTTGATGCGACTGCCAAGTTTCTTCGCAGTCTCAGCAATCTCCAGTTCAGCCGCTTCAATCTCATCTTGTCCGGTCAAGAAGATGAGGATATCGCCCTTGCCTTGGGTTGTGTGAATCTGGAACGTCGTGGTGATGGCCGCAGCCAGGTAGTTTGCCTCCGGAGCCGGTGTGTAGTAAATATCCACAGGGTATCGTCGGCCAGGAATGTTGAAAATGGGTGCATCGTCAAAGTACTGTGCAAACTTCTCGGCGTTCATCGTCGCCGACGAAATCAGCAACTTCAGATCTTTACGCTCGCGGGACAGATCCTTGACCAGAGCAAGCAAGATGTCGGTGTGAACTGTCCGTTCGTGAGCCTCGTCGATCATGAGCGCCGAGTATCCTGCCAGGTCTGGTTCAGTCATGAACTCTCGCAGCAACATGCCGTCAGTCATGTACTTCAAGACAGTCTTATCGGATGTGCAGTCCTCAAAACGAATCGTGTATCCAACTTCGTTTCCGACCTTGACACCCACTTCATCCGCAACACGCGCCGCCACACTCATGGCGGCGACTCGTCGAGGTTGCGTGCATCCCACCTTAAGGCCGTTCTTCGTATAGCCTGCTTCGTGGAGGTATTGCGGCAGCTGTGTTGTCTTTCCACTACCAGTCTCACCGACAATGACCAATACCTGATGAGTCTCTAGCGCAGCAAGAAATTCGTCACGATACGCGTAAATCGGCAAGCTCTTTCTCGTTTCCTGAATGGACAACGCCTTCTTCTCTGCAGCATCGATCTGGGCCGCCAAGAACTTCTGTTCCTTGGTCATGGTCTGATCTTCGCCTGCCATCCGGGAATCCAGGTTCCATTGGATATACTGGGCATCGTCGAGGACGTAGTCGTAGTCTTCGTTCTCTCGCTCGGCGCGTTGAATCTGGGCCTTTGCTTTCGAGGTCTGTTCTCGTTCCCATTCCTCATGTTCTGTGACAAACTTCTCTTGACCGAATTCGTCCTTTTCGACGTAGCGCTTGTAGAGCGCTTCCTCCTTCTTCCTACTATCCAGCTTCCCCTTTTCGGTGATATAATCCTCGGGCATCATGTAGCCATCGCGGTAGTCGTCAATCTTCAGACGCTCTTCGGCCAAGCGCAGAATCTCTCGGTTTTTTGCAAACTCGGCCTTCTCCATCTCGGACAATCTCACGCCGCTCCTCAACTCGGAAGTCTCTTCGGCTACCTGTTTCCTCAGCAGAGCCAGGCGCTCTGCCTCTCGCTTTTTTAGATATTCCTGTCGCGACCTCTCACGGATGTCAGGTAGCGCCTTGTTTCTGGCCTCGGCGTCCTCTGCCAACTTTCGCCTCGATGATGATTCGGTGTCTTTGTCGTTCTTCTTTGATCGGCCGCCATCCTTCTCCCTGAGTCGCTTCGCAAACGCTTCTCGCTCCTCAATGTCTTTGCGACGCTCCAGCTCCTCCTTGGCCCCGTCGGACAAGTCCTCCTCCTTCACGTCATCGTGGCTTAGCTTAACCCTCTTGCTTGCCGACTCTTCAAACTCAGGCTCGTTCTCCTCCTCCGGGTCGTCGGAAGGCGGCTCCTCGTCTCCCCATCTGTCGTCAGGGTCGGCATCTCCATCGCGACGGCGGTACTGCTTCGGGCGGCTGGTGTGGGATGACCCTCGGCCGGGGGACTTTTCGCGGCTACGGCTGCGGTCGCGACGCGATCTGGAATGTCGGGAAGAGGACTTGTCGTCTCGGTCGCGATGGCGGTGCTTGTGCTTCTTCTCCTTGGTGACTTTCTGAGGCCCCACCTCGTCCTCACCCATGGGCAGGAAGGCGTACTTTTTGGAGCTCATGATGGGTGTGTCAAGGTCCGAGACCAATTCGAAGGAGAAGACGCTCCCCAATTTTCTTTCCCGGCGCGAAGGAAATGTCTAGGGACTGGTCGCAAATTGGAAGCTTGAGGCCTGCTCTCAAGCTCAATCATGATGCGGCAGCCTGGGACGTTCCCAGAATTTAGAAAGATAATCCGAAAGTTAGTCCGGCAGCCAATGGAAAGTTCCCGATAACAGACCCACCTGCAAGGGCCCCGCGATAAGCAATGCGCTGTTCCAGAAAGAGGCGCGGAATAGACAAAGGTTGATAACACGCTGGTAAACTTGAGGCCAGACAGCTCCGTCATTTATTCCCAAACCCATTCTCTCTTTCCTCCACCGCTTCTGAACTTCCACCTGGCTTGACAGTCCTGGTCGCCGGATCCTGAATTTTCTCCTTTTAGTATATAAGTCCCTTTTTTTGGGCACACCGTGGCGCAATGTTGCTCCACGGAGCTCTCATCTTCGTCCTCCTGGCGTTTGTCCAGCTGGCTCTTTGCGCCGAGGACTACTACAAGGTCGGTCTCCCTCCCCATTTCCCACGACTCTCCGTGGCATGAAACTGACAATAGACAGATTCTTGGTGTCGATAAGAAGGCCTCAGACAAGGAATTAAAATCCGCATACCGCCAGCTCTCCAAGAAGTTCCACCCAGACAAGAACCCGTATGCCCCTCCAAGACATTTCTCCAGCACCAACCTTGCCTTGCTAACTTTTCTTCCCCAGCGGCGATGACACTGCGCACGACAAGTTCGTCGAGGTCTCTGAAGCCTATGAGATCCTGAGCGACTCCGAAACCCGCCAGATCTACGACCGCCACGGCCACGAGGCCGTCAAGAAGCACAAGAACGGTGGCGGCGGCGGCGGCGGCGGCCATGATCCCTTTGACCTCTTCAGCCGCTTCTTCGGCGGCCACGGACACTTCGGCCGCGGCGGCGGCGAGCCCCGCGGCCACAACGTCGAGGTCCGGGTCGAGATCTCCCTCCGCGACTTCTACAACGGCGCCACGACCGAGTTCCAGTGGAACAAACAGCACATCTGCGAGCACTGCGAGGGCACCGGCAGCGCCGACGGCCAGGTCGAGACGTGCAACACCTGCGGCGGCCGCGGCGTGCGCATCGTCAAGCAGCAGCTCGCGCCCGGCATGTTCCAGCAGATGCAGATGCGGTGCGACGCCTGCGGCGGCCGCGGCAAGTCCATCAAGCACAAGTGCCCGCACTGCCAGGGCCAGCGCGTCGAGAAGAAGCCCACCACCGTCTCGCTCAAGATCGAGCGCGGCGCGCCCCGCGACTCGCGCGTGGTGTACGAGAACGAGGCCGACGAGAGCCCCGACTGGGTCGCCGGCGACCTCATTGTGTCGCTGTCCGAGAAGGCCCCCAAACTGGACGTGGACAACCCGGACAAGGTCGACGGCGTCTTCTTCCGCCGCAAGGGCGATGATCTATACTGGACCGAGGTGCTCTCTCTACGGGAGGCCTGGATGGGCGACTGGACTCGCAACCTCACCCATCTCGACAACCACATCGTGCGCCTGGGCCGCGAGCGCGGCCACGTAATCCAGCCCGGCCACGTCGAGACGGTCGCGGGCGAGGGCATGCCCAGGTGGCACGAGGACGGCGATAGCGTGTACCACACGCACGAGTTCGGCAACCTGTACGTCGAGTACCTGGTGGTCCTGCCGGACCAGATGGACAAGAAGATGGAGGGCGAGTTCTGGGGCGTGTGGCAGAACTGGCGAGGCAAGCACGGCGTCGATCTACAAAAGGACAGCGGACGAGCAGAGGAGCATGATGAGTTATGATGAGGTGCGTTTGTTGGGGGCACGAGGCGTAGGGCGGGAGGTTGTACGAAATATCAGCGAACAAATTAGACGTGCTATATGACTGTAGACCATTTCAACGTTAACAAGACTGACCAAGTCTTCTGTCCCTAGCATAGATTTATGAGAAGAGTTCTTATCATTCGTCTTGATCATCTCAGTCTACAGCCACAACTCCTATTAACAAGCCAACTCAGGCTCATGGATTGAGACATGTTCACTTCTAATAAAGAGCGCCTCTATGATCAAAGCACAGTTCCAAATTTCGTAAGAGATACATTTCATCATTTCTTCTATATCGGCCGTTATTTATAGGCAAAGTCGTAAGTTCGTATAGTAACTCGATCCCCGTCCAAAGAAACCAGATACCCATCCAACTGAACAAGCCCTCGTTAAATCACACAATAAAACCACAGTCATTAAATCGTCACCTCCGTCGTCTCACTTCTTTCCTTCGCCTTCGCTTGTCATCATCAGAATCGTCATCATCAGAGTCCCTGTTCCTGTCCTCGTTCCTGCCGTTGTCCCTAATCGCAGCTTGACTCCTCGGTCCCTCCAGGCTTCCGATTACATCTCCCAATACGCCTAGCCAGCTTTTCCTGCCCTCCAAAGCGCCTGATACACCACGCATCAACCGCTCCACCATCTCGCCATCAGTCCCGGCGACCTGCCATGCTCCACGGACATTCAAGCCTCCGCGATGTTGAGGGCGATACTCAAAGTCGCCCCTCCGACTAGTCCATCTGTGGTGGGTAGCAGATCGGCCGTCGAGTCGTTCGCCCTCCTGGTCGAACCGATCAGGCAGCATCTCAACTGCTCCATCCGAGCTTGAGTCATCGTCTCCATGCCGCCGTCTACGGCCACTGATAGAATCATCGGAGGACGAAGAAGAAGATGATGGCGAGGAGGACTGTCGACGACGCCGCCGTTGACGGAATGGCACTAGCCCGTGTTCTTTGTCCGAAGCCTCCTGTTCTACTCGTCGGCGTTCTTCTTCGACCGCCGCTGCCTCAGCTTGTTCACGGTGGTGCCTCTCCATTGTCATTTCACTCGTAGGCGACATGGGTATGAAGATCACGGACTTGGCGCTAGATGATCGTGCCTCGTCGGGGACTACGGCAGCTAATTGGTTGTCAGTGTCTGGTTCTGTATCCCCAGAAGAAGCGACCAAAGTACGACGGAACGCACCCTCGTCTATCCCTCGCGAGCCAAAGAGGCTTTGGGGAGAGTGACTCACTTGATCAGGCAGGATTCGACCGCCCGAGGGAGGATGTCCTGGGGGAGGAGGCGGGCCAGGCGGCGGAGGCGGCGGAGGTGGAAAGGTGCCCCCTGCCGGGGGTGGAGGATAGCCAGTGTAGTCTTGCGGAACATAAGGCTGGAAGTCACTCGGCGTGTTTGGATATGAAGGGAACCCAGCTCCTCCCTGTGCGGGAGCTGCGTCTGTGGGATAAGGCGGGTAGTAGGCGCCCCCAGAGGCCATCGGTGGCGATTGCGTACGACGGTCATCAAAGGGTCGGTCATCTCGAGACTCGGTGCCTAAGTCGGAGGGTTAGCCAGAGTCAAGGGGTTCCTCCAAGGTTCTCTTACGTCTCCCGTTCTCCCGGGACTTGGACCTGTGGCTCCGGCTCCGGTCCCGGTCTCCATCACGGTCCCGGTCTCCATCACGATCCCGACCACGATCTCGCTCTCGCTCTCGCTCAATCTCCCGCTCTTGACGACGCTCTCGTGACCTCTGCTCCCTCTTCTCTCTATCCTTCTTATCCTTGTATTCCTTGATTCCGATGGCCGCAGCTCCAGCGGCCGCCATATCTCGCAACCGGCTCTTGCTACGCTTCCTTTCATGATTATCCGACCCTGAAGAGGATCGTGAGTCGTCACGGTCACGTCTTCTACGTCGCCTGCGTCTTCGCTCTCCCGCTTCAGATTCGTAACCTCGCGACGCAGGGCGCGACGGCTCGAGCGGGTCGTTGCCGTATTCAACTAAGCCTAGCTCAGGATCAGTGGCGCGCTCTGTACGGTTGGATCGGGCCATCGACCTGCTGCGGCTCCGGCTGCGCGAACCCCGCTGTCGGTAGTACTCATCGTCGCTGCTGCTGCTATAATCCTTCTCGTTTTCCTTCTTGTTCTTGTGGTTCTTCCACACCTTCCTAGCCACGCCGGCGGCTGCGGCGGCCCCAGCAAGCTCCGCGCCGCGACGGAGACGGGACTTGCTGCGGGAGCGAGAGCGGCTGCGAGATTCAGATCGCGACTTGGACTTGTTGCGCAAATGCTTCACGAGGCCTGCAGTGGCAGCGGTACCCAGAGCTGCCTTGGCAGCAGTCGACAAACTACGGCGACGGCTGCTCTTGCTCTTGGTTGACCTGACGGATCGTACAGATCGTACAGATCGCGAACGAGATCGAGAGTAGTCGTCGTCAGAGTAACCGCGACCCCGGCTGCGACCACGGTGCGCCTCCTCCTTTTCAACCTTGTTTGCCTGGTAGTACTTGGCAGCGCCAGCAGCGGCGAGAGCCACAGCAGCGATTCCGAGGCCTTGCTTAAGTCGGGAGTGTCGATCGGGAGACTCGTCATCGTCATGCCATCGGTCCTCGTAGGCGCTGTGCGCCCTCCGGAGGGCCTCAGTACCGAGAGCACCGAGGGCAGCGCCCGCAATCACCTTTCGGCCTCGGTTCTCCGGAAGATCGCCGTATCCATCTCGGCGGCTATTGATCAAGGCCGTGATACCAGCGCCAGCAAGAGCGCCTTCTGCCAGGTGGCGCTTGTGATGGGGGCTCTCACTTCGCTCGCGACGGCGCACAACAGTGCGACGGACGTAGTAATCTTCATCGTCGCTATAGTGGTCATGATCGCGACGGCGGCGATCATATCGCTCAACGGCATAGTCGCGACCACCACGGCCAACATCTCGTCTCTCGTGGCGATAGTAGTGTTCCTCCTCGTGTGGCTCTCTTCTGATGAGTTCGCGAGGCTGCTCCCTCTCTCGGATAACGACGACCCCAGGATCTCGGCGGGGAATAATGACGGGAGCGGGAGGGGCTGCCTCTTGGACGATGATCTGCTGTGGCTCCGGAGCGCGCTGGCGGATGATGACGGGGGCAGGCGCAGGCGGAGGGTCAACGGGGGTGTAGTACTCGGTCTCTTTGCGATAGCGCTCGACTTCGCAGCCTTCGCGGTCGTCGACGTGCTCCTCTACTCGCTTCTCGACGCGGTAGTCCCCGTTGTCGCGGCGTTCAATGCGCTTCTCGACCTTGACCTCGTCTTCAAATGGCGGACCGTCAAAGCGAGAGCGCCGGTCCCAATCTTGCTCAACCCGCTCGACCTCCTTCGTCTCGTAGGTGGTGACTCTGGGACGGTCCGACGCGGGTGGTGGTGGCGGCGGCGGCGGCGGATAGAATTCGCGGGGTGACCTAACATCTCGCGGAGGGCCGGGGGGAGGCGGCGGCATCTCTCGACCGCGCTCAGGCTCATAGAAGCGAGAGCGATCTCCGGTATACGCGTTGGAGCGACGGTCAGTCTCGAACAGGTCGCCGGAAGTGCGACCGTAGGTGGAGGTGCGAGAACGGCGGTCGTCGTCAACCTCGGTGACGATTCTCTCGGTGGTGGTGCGCCCGTACTGGCCGGGTCTGCTGGGGGTCACCTTGTAGCGATGAACAGTTGCGGAACGGTAGTCCTCCTCGTCTGAAGAGCTGTCGCCGCGATCCCGGTCGTGCTCGCGATAAGTGCGGGTCTCTCTGTAGACGTCACCCATGGCGGGGGAATGACGACAGAGGGGTTAACCGGGTTGGTGGAGTGTGCTCTTACAAAGTACAAGAACAAAGGGAGCGCTGTTTGGTGTTATTTCGCGAGAAAAAAATGATCAAGACGGGATCAAGTTTCAAGCGCACTGCGATGAGTGAGGGTGAGAGAGAATGTTGTAGGAGGGGGAAAGGGGAAAAGGGAAAAGGATCAGAAACAAGGCGATGACGGAAGAGAAATGTCGTAGTGTTGGTCTGAATGCTCAGTCCAAGGTCCAGGATGGCTCGCCCAGGTCACCAGCCTGGGTCTTATGGCCGCTGGTGTGGGCGGGTGGGACTCACTGGACTCACTAGAGTCACTAGAGCACTACCGGTAGAAGAGAGGCACGCTAACTGGCGCTGACAGACGGCGCGCACCCAGCGGCCAGTGGGAGAGGTGGGAGCGACACGGGTGCAGCGGGCGGCGGCGGGGTACAGGCCGTACAGTACCTCACTAGCAACGGCAGGGCTTCACATACTACGTACCTTAGTAAAGCCCACATCCAAAGCCATCCATCATCCCTACGTAAATTAGCAACGTTGGGGAATGGGGCGAAGAATGGGTGATGAGAAAGCCCACTGTGGCTATGGCCTACCGCTTCCGTGAATGAAATTCATCAACACAGGGTGATGCTGCCGCGCCGAGAGCTATTGGACAGTCTCCCCGCCGCAGCCTAACAGAGCCCCCTGCAAGATGCAGCACGCAAACCTACACACGGCATCTCTTGGGCTCTACTACGTACCTAGGTAGTAGACAACCTCAAGCAGGGAACCAGGCCACCAAACCAAACCCCAAGTACAGATACCGTACCCCGGCCCAGCCCTGTCCAGCCCCGCGGCGAGAAAAGGCAGCGGCGTTCTTCCAACTTCTGGAAACGCCCGGTCCACGTAATGCAAGGGAACACCCTGTCCCTCCAGCAGATGTTCCTCATCGGGAGCTCGGGAGATGGCCTTGCGGGTCAAGGAACATCCCCCGAGCTCGAAGCTTGGACTTGTCTACGGATGGCAGATGGGGATCTACACGCGTATCAATGCTGCTGCTCGGCCAGACCAGAGAAACCCGTGGGAATGTTGTTGTTGTTGATTTTCAAAACAAACGCCAGTTTCTCATTTGTTCCAGATGAGGCCGGCGCAAATGCTCTCGATGAGGCCTTTGGGCTGCCAGTAGGCCCGGCTGTTGGCCGCAGTCCCAGCGCAAATCCGAGCCCACTGTGGCTGATTCTCTGCTTTGTCTGCAAGTCAACGCACCCACGTTAGCCTGGATTTCTTTTTCAATCCAACTCTGGTCGACAGCGCGAGGGGGGCCCGGTGGGTGCCGGCGAACCAGCGCGAGCTGCATGCAGGCCATGACGTTGTCGTGGACAGCAAATGTGAGTCAATGACCTCTGGAGTGGCATCCATCATGTGGCGCTGGGGCGAAGCCGTCGGTCGCTCGGTCGCCTTCGCTCCTTGGCCTAGGTGCTGTGGAACTCGCACCCGCAAGGGGTGTGCTTGGCTGCATGTAGCGAATGGCAGACGGCGAGGCAGAGAGAGACATGCAGCACACAGCCTGATGACGCCCCCCAGGCAGTCAAGCATGGGCAGTCAAGTATGGCAGTCGAGTTTCACGAAGATGATGTTGGGGGGGGTCAGATCTGCCCACCTCGCACCTGACGATCCGATGTGCATTTTGGTAATAATATCACCAACTTCATCTCCTGTTTATTGAAGCGCCAGGAACTGAACCTTGCCCTCGTTAATTAGTTTCCGTCCCGTCACCATTGTCACTGATGCGTTGTCTTTGGTCTGATGTATGGTCTTTGGTTCTTAGTCCTTATTCCCTGTCCAAGGCCCAAGACAACATGACCCACCCCGCAGCCAAAATGTCGTCATCGGTCTCCCAAAATCTTCACCCCTCCAAGACTTGTACCCTGGACTATCTTGAATCTTGCCTTGGTTCTTGTGCTTTGAATAAAATTTACCACGTTAGACAGCATAGCGTAGACCCGTAAATATAATGAAAGGGGCCTTTTATTTTATTATCAAATCCTCACGTTGCACAAGTGTTGGAGTATTCATCGTCGGTATCCTTTTTCAATTTACGATTCGCCATTCGCGAGAGCGAGGTCGCGTCACAAGACGCTTTTCGCCGACGCCCACATGACGCCGGACCGCCCGAGCGTCTCGTCCCTTACCCAACAAATCGGGTCTCGGATCCAAAAGGAACTTGGGGATGGCGCCGACTGATGAGGCTCAATGTGCAACCTATCCACCACAGCATCCAATCATTGCTTGTATTTTCTTTGCCCTGTAAGCCATCGCCTCTAAACAAATGGTGGCTTCTACAGCCTCATGCATGGTACATATCTCAGGTCAGCCAACAAGTTCAACATAAATGTTCTCAGTCGTAGGCAGACCATGACATGTAGTCGGCCTATCAATCCTGCCTTGTCAAAACATTTTGTTCTTTGGCCATGGTACTGCACAGCCGCCTCGGAATTCCGCCATGAGGCGCTATCGTGTGTGAGGAGATCCCCTCGCTTGCCACCCCATCTCCGTTGATGGACAAACTACCAGTGCCGAGACCAACTTGGGGACTGCTCTCAGGCGATTGTGGCACCAGGATTGCAATCGACATCTTAGGATGGATTCTCTGTATCGACCAGTCCGGGATTGTCGAGATATCGCATCAGGTCAATCTGATGGAGGAGATTTACTCCCACTGCTCACATAGAATCCTTTGGCTTGGAGAATATTCCGACTTTACAGATATGCCACGACGTATCCAGAATACCTTGCCGAATCAGCAACTCCCAGTCCATGAGGTGTCAGTTACTCATCAGGCAGGTCCTCATGCCACCGAAGCTACCGTCGCCGAGGAGGAAGCAACCAAGGTATTTAAGCTCGTAGAAATATTTGCGACTGGTGGTCATTCAACCTCAAATAAGAATCTGTAGACCACAGTAAACAAGAGGAACTTCGAGCGCTTGGGAGCCTTGCGGACCTCAGATGATGGCAATACATTTGGACTGCGCAGGAATTAATCCTACCTACACAGGCTACATTTGTCTCTAGCACCTTAGACTGCCGTTGTCTAAGATGATACAGCTTTTCCGAAGCCATCCGACAGTCTTTCGTCGACAAAGCTGTGACAATGATCAGACTGTTGGCGCTTTATGAGTCAGATTGGTGCTATCCCCGCCACGTCAGACATGGTCATGCAGAACCCGATGGCATCAAACCCTTGGCAAACACGAGAGCTTTACTATTCTCAATTTGTCCCGCTCTTGACAAGAGCTAGAGGCACAAAAGCTTCGCTCTGCTAGCTCTGGGTGATACAGTGTGTGCGGATTATTCTCTTTTGGAGACAGGTACCCTGGTAATTCGCAATTCAATCACTGTTAGAGGGAGCCTACACATTATGCTAAGGGACACCGAGGTCCAAAGGTTTCTTGGTTTACCATCTTGGGTTTTAGACTGGTGTGCCGACCAGGATGAGGTAATTTTGGGGCCTGATAGGGCATGGCTCACGTTGTATCGATACACAATGCAAGTGCTTGAGAGCCAGGCATGATAAGGGAATCCCCTATGGAGTCAGTGTTGTATTTGCAGAGACTGTTGGCTGACCAAATTTCCGATGCTGGAGCCGGCTTGACCCTTTGGGTGATGAAATTCTCAACGTACTAGATTAATGGAGGGTTATTGTTAACAGGGTTTGCGAAGCTAACTACACTTATCCCCCTAGAGTGACATATGAAGATCGCTTCTGGCGATTGATGATGGCAGACATTCAATATGAACTTCAGAGTAAGGGAGAATACACCAGCCGGCTGCTCCAAGGATGAGGCAGAAGGCAAAAAGTCATGGAAGAGAGAGTGCTTGCTTGTGCCGAATTGGCCACTGTCTTCCTAGCCAAGCGGTTCTTTGTTATCGAAAGGGTTGATAGGACTGGGGGCCAGAACATGAGGGTCAGAGATGCCGTTCACATTGCGCTCAACTGTAGCAGACCAAGGCGCCCGTTGCCATCAGGAATATGTTGTACATGCATATGTTTACGGGATCATGGGCGGAGAGGTGGCCAAGGAGGGTCATGAGCCTGAGTGGATAAGTCTCAAGCAGCTATGATCTGGAGACGAGCTGATAGTGATCAACTGGGCGGGCCCCGTTGAGTCAACTGCAGCGGCTAGGTGTAAACCCGACAGGTTAGATTGCGATGCTCCTCTCGTCGTGGTATCCGACTGGCACTGCCCCCTTCCCCAGTTCAATACGAAATGACACGCCGGTTTGCAACGGTTTGCTCAGCCACAAGTAATCACCGCACCTCCTAGTAGGCACCTCGTATCCTCCTGAGACATGAATCACCATGGCTCTTTTGAGGATCTTCAAGCGGTATTGAGCGCAGTGGGTGTTTGTCTAAATACAGGGGGGTGGACGACAAAAACAACCCACTCTGGTACGTCACCTATAATTTGAAACGGATTGTCTGATACCAATTGATCAACTCTGTATCTTTATTGTAACGCAAACGTGAATGCCCAGTGTTTTAACCCAAACTCCAATGAGGTGGCAAATGTATACAATCCCGAGCCCCAACTCCCTCCATCTGGCTCACCCCGCGCCTTTCCGCTGCCCCATGCATCATGCATATGTATATTGTACTCAAACACAGCCACCGACTAGACGACTACTACTCGCCAAAGTTCTTGCCAGTACCGATGACACCCACTCCACCACTGCTCTGTCGTCTCCGCTTGCCCGTGACATCGGTGATCCAGTCGGTCAGCGTGAAGCCCCAGTGTCCGGCAACGAGGACACCGCTGATGATGTTGATGATCTTGATCATGAAGGACAAGAAGCCGTCGCGGCTCTCGTTCACGGCCAGCAGGATGGGCTCGATGTCGTACTTGACGAAGATGCCGGGGATATAGTGGTCGTTGACCTCCTTGCTCTGCTCCGTCACGGCGTACTGGTTGGTGAAGATGGACTTGGAGCCGACGCTGTAGACGGTGGGCACGACGGAGAGGTAGTACTGGAACTTGTGGAAGTTGGTGGCTGCCAGGTTGACGGTGCGGTCGAGGGGGTTGACGAGCGAGGGGTAGAAGGGGCCATACGAGAGCTCGGAGATGATATGGGAGAAGTTAAAGTCTAAGGCGACGTTAGTCAAGGTCGGATAGTCGCATGATCAGGACAGACTCACTGGTGTGGTCTAGATGCTCGCCGACTTCCATGTATCCGTGGCCTCTGGCCGTGATGTGGAAGTCGCCTTGCACCTTGTTCAGATCCAGGTTTCCGTAGACGCGGCAGCTATCAGCTCGCCCCTTGAAGCGAGGAGTCTTGGCCCACTTGGCCTTCTTCTTGCCGGCGCGGACAATGTCGTGGACGTGCTCCTCGCCGAAACCCTCCTCATCGTAGCCCAGGTTCTTCCAGCCGGCATTGGTGATGACGCGACCCTGGCTATCCCGTCCCAGCTTGTGCATCCCCTTGGCGTCAACCCACTGGGTCCAGGTGGTCGGGTCGCGTTGCAGGCGCTTGGCAGCCACGATTCGGTCGCCCGAGGCGTCCTGGACGTTGACGTGGACGTCGGAGCAGTGCATCTTGACGACGATGTCGAGGTTGATCTGTAGTTCGTGGGACACACCCTTCTCGACGGCGAAGTTGTGGCTCTCGGTGCCGCGCCACCATCGCGACACCTCGCCCCAGATGAGGAGGAGCGAAATGATGGACATAGCGACGGTCCATTTGCCGCCGCCAGAGGTCCGCATCACATACTGCGGCTTCGATTTGGCTTGACGAGAGTCAGCGCACACCGGGGCATCGGGAGCAGGATAGGGAGCTTACGAAACGCATCGAAGGCGCTGACGACGGATGACCCCGATTTGGGTGCAAATTTGTCCTCGCCGGCGGCGGGCTTCTCATCTCCGTTCATCATGTCTGCGGTGTGCGAATCCGCAGTCGCAAGATGTGTCGAGAGCAAGTATATATATCGGCGATTCGCAGGGGTCGTCGTGTCGCGAACGCGCGGCCGTCAGAGTTGAGAGCTTCGGTATACACCAGGAGCGCGAATTGGTGCTGGCTATAACATGCCTCGAGGGCAGGCGTGGTAGGGTTGGTTTGGGCGTCAAGGGGCCTTGAATTGCCTTGTGCAGCAACAGGTCCACGGTCGCCGGATCAGATTGTCGTCTCGCGATGATGCTCCCGGTACTGCCAAAAGGACAACTTAACCAGAAGCGTCGCTGATAGCTCATCCTTGCTCAGGGTCCCGGCGCTGATTGGTCGGATTTCGGAAGTGGGATAAAGTCGTGCCGAGCTCAGGTCTGTCCCACGTGTCAAGACTGTGACCAAGTCACGGAAATGGCCAATAGTCATCAGCGGCGATTCAGAGTTTCTGCAACCGGAATTCACCGTAGAGGAGAGTTTGAAGGATGCACATGTGTAGCAATGTCATACTTATAGCGAAAAGGCGCTTTCATTCGGTTCATGTAACACGGCGTAGCTGGTGTTTCTTCCTAAACCAGCGGATGAATATGGCACTGACGAATCCTACATGAGTCCATACACTCGAACCTTCCCCTCGCTTCTTTGTGGACATTGTGAGACAGGGTGATTTTGGAATTAGAGTCGAAGCTGAAGTTTGAAGGCGGAACTGCGCTTTCAGCGAAGTAAAATTGCGAGAGATGTGGCTGTGTAATACACTTAGTTAACCATCTGCTACTAAACTTGCTCGTGTGTCTACTAGCTACCGATTTACAATTGCCATTGCATGGGAACTTGAGTGCGTCAATCTGAGACGTGCCGGTCGGCTGCAGATCTGATGCATAGTGTGTAGTGTCAAAGTGTGAGGTCTAAAAATATCGATCAGGGGTAAATTCTGGGTCCAGGCCCGCTCGGGTCATCGCACCTACAGCTTTTACTACGTAGATAACCGGTGCTGATTTTGTCGGCCGACTAAAGAATCGGAAATACTGACAAGCAGATTCAAGGATTAAATTCTTGAATGCGCCATGGGGAGGCCTCACCGATGGTTTGTGTGAACGCTTTGCCAGCCCCAAACAAGATTGTGGGATTGTGACATTCTCGAGTGTGGTGTGCTATTTACGCCATTGACACTTGCTTCCAAGGTGCGACAAGGGTCATCTTCCATGACAAAGGATCTGCGAATGCGAGGGTGTGCTTAGGGATCGCTCTCGGGCCAGCCTGGGGTTGCACTCGTGTTTGCGGCATTGGAAGACAGTGATGAACGCCTGGAAACCGAGAAGAGAAACTATACGACAGTGAATTCGTATCAAGCACGAACTGGACCTAGTGGCAATTACGACGCCACTCCCTGAAGGTTGGGGCTGTGGCTCGCGGTGTTCCCTGTGGGATTGCCCAGATAGTGGATGTGCGGGCCACGGTGAAAGGAAGCGAAATAGGGGACAAGACAAGCGAACACCATCGTTCACGGGCCCGGCTGGGCTGCCCGCTGGTGAGCTTGGCGGCACCGCCTTGGCAAGCGGATCGGATGTCATTGCCGATCCAATTCTTGGCAAGGCTGCTGGCGTCATTTGTTTCTTGGCCTCGAGAACTTCACTCGTGCTCGTCACGATGAAGCAACATCCAGGGACGGGACGAGATGGGGAAGTTTTAAGCTCGCGGGCGGGATTAGTGAGAAGCAAGGGCCGAGTTTAAATCCAGGCTGGCTACCTAGGTGTGATGGATGGATCATGGACCACTTATGGGGGGTGGGAAGGATAGCAGCATTACGGTGGGTGGGTTATTGGATCATTGAACCATTGGATCATTGGGTGGGCGCCAACATCCGTGACAGCCGTGTGGGTAACGGGGACGGAGCATCGAGCCGAGAATGTAAATCTGCAGTGAGCAAGATGGAACGGCATTCCAGGGCAATTTGGTAATTTACGCAGTAGACGCAGGAGAGGGAGGCAGTGTAAGCCTGTAAAGGGAATCCCTCAGCGGCACAAGGGCATCAGACTGTGACAGGTGCTCCTCCAGCCGGGGACCACCCCTGATGACCACGCCCAAAACCTGCTTTAGTGCGCTGTTTAGTGTGCCGGGCATTGCTACCGTGCTCCGTTGACGCCGAACAGCGAGTGGGTGGGAAGCTCGTATACCTGAAAAAGCCTGTGGGTGGTGAGGCCCTGAGACCATCCGCCACTAGCGACGTCGCGCCGTCCAATCCGCAGCGCGCCTCGTAACAGTAAGGGCTCCCTTCCAACGCTGTCAGGAACCCAGGTTTCGCCAGCTTAGGGAGGTACTCATCCTTACGTCCCACCTGCAAACCCCCCCGTCACTCCCCGTCACACTCCCCATTTCTCCTTGGCAACTTGGCACGCTGTCGTTCTCCGGCTTCCGTCGTCCTTCTCTTCCTCCTTCACATCGCCATCGCCAACTCCAACACTCGACCCCATCGTCATTGCTCTTGGCGCCCATTTCACTTCTCTCCAGCGCCGCTCGTTTTCGTCTCATCAGCTCGTGTCATCGCGCACCCGTCGCTCATTTCCGCTCGTCGATTCCGACATCAACACAAACACACCGTCGTCGACGTCACGACTCTGGCCTCCTCGTCGCGCTCACCCCAATTCGCCCACTTCTTCGCTCGCTCTAAATTCACATCCAACCCTCACAATGAGGTCTTTCTTGGCGAACGGCATTGCCGCATCGCTTATCGCCTCGGCCGGCTTGGTCCGCGCCCAGTACAGCATCGATACTGATGGTGCGAATCCTGCCCTCCCACCACGCGCAACCTACTAACGTCTCATCACAGCTGATATCAAGAAGACGGCTGCTAATGTCGCCTGGGATATGCTCCAGTACTACCATGGAAATGAGAGTGGCGCAACCGTAGGAATCCTGCCCGGTCCTCCTCCCGCTGGAGACTATTACTGGTGGGAGGCTGGTGCCATGTGGGGGACATTGATGGATTACTGGCGCTGCACTGGAGACGACTCATACAACGACCTCATCATGGCCGCCATGCAGCACCAGGCTGGACCTGACGCCGACTACCAGCCTAGCAACGTCACTCTGTCCCTGGGAAACGATGATCAAGGCTTCTGGGGCATGTCTGCCATGCTTGCCGCTGAGCTCGCCTTCCCCGATCCTCCGTCCGACCAGCCCGGCTGGCTGGCTCTGGCCCAGGCTGTCTTCAACACCCAGGCCAACCCGGATCGACACGACAAGACTTGCAACGGTGGTCTGCGATGGCAGATTCCTTTCTCTAACAACGGTTATGACTACAAGAACAGTCAGCGTCCCTGTTCCCATGAACCGTACACGGTTTGCTAACATGTTTCCAGGTATTGCCAACGGTTGCTTCTTCAATCTGGGCGCTAGACTTGCCCGCTATACCGACAACTCGACTTATGCCGATTGGGCTGAGAAGACCTGGGATTGGATGTACGGCGTCGGGTATATCGACAACGAGAACTACCACATTTACGACGGCGCTCACGTCCAGACGAACTGCACCGATATCAACAAGGCCCAGTTCTCTTACAACACCGGCGTCCTTCTCCAGGGTGCCGCCCACATGTACAACTACGTAAGTCAAACCCGTAATCTCGTAACTATACTCCTCAGATACTAACACCCGGCCAAGACCAATGGATCCAAGGTCTGGGAGACAAGACTTACCAGGCTCGTCGACGCCACCCTCAACGTTTTCTTCCCTACCGATGTCGCCTTCGAGATCTCTTGCGAGTCCTACAACACTTGCACCACCGACATGTTGTCCTTCAAGGGCTACACCCATCGATGGATGTCCGTCGCCACCAAGATTGCCCCTTTCACCTCTGAGAAGATCCTGCCCGTGCTGGCCACCTCGGCAGCTGCCGCCATCAAGCAGTGCACTGGCGGTGCTAACGGCCGCCTCTGCGGTTTCAAGTGGAAGAGCGGAGTTTATGATGGCAAGACCGGTGTTGGCCAGCAGATGAACGTCCTGGCCGCTGTGTCGTCTCTTCTCATTGAGAACACGCCTCCCCCTGTCACTGCTAAGCAGGGTGGTACCTCCAAGGGCAACTCAGATGCTGGTACCAAGGGAGATAGCAACTACAAGAACAACAACAAGCCCGCCACCTCTGCTGACAAGGCTGGCGCTGGTATCCTTACCTTCCTTGTCCTGGCGACTGCCTGCGGCATGTTTGGATGGATGAGCTTCGGAGAGTAAACGTTGTCAGTTGAAACTCTGACCATATACCAGTGCTTCTCTGCGCAAATTTGGAGGGATGGGAGAAACGATATCAAATCGTGGCGTTGGATTGGATGATTGGATGTAAATAGCCTGGCACGGCTGGTTCTTTTTTACATTTGGGTTGTTAAGTTGGTCCCCGAATTCGTCAGATGACGAAGGGGGACGGTTTACTATTATCGCCAGAATCCTGGAGCTTTAAGCCCCATCAGTGGATCCAGTTTGGATCTCGAAGGAGGAGACGGCTAGATTCTGCCATATCTGCAATACGTTGTGGGTAATTGTGTAATTGAAACTACATTTTATGAACTGTTTCCTTGGCTTGACGCCTTGGCCTCTTGGTATCTTGCATCCTGGTCTCTCTCCACGTGGTCTTCGCTTGGCAAAACTCTATGACCTGTCCCGTCTCTTGGCAGTTGAAAAGGGACGAATGGGAAATTATAGTAGAGTACTACTACTCGAAGACATCCATCTTGCTCTCCGCACACATGTATAAGTTTCTTGACCTAGGCCGCAGCCAAACCAATGTACCTGCCATGTGCAGCCGAAGGGTACAATATTAGGCTAAAGGCCCACCTGGATTATTACATCTAACCTAATACGTCAGAAGAAAATAATCCTTCAGGATAAAGGATAAGATCAACCCTTGGGGAAATGTCATTGCGAACTAACCTCTAGCAAATGAGCTGAGAAACATATAGAGAGAGGGTCCATCACCAGGTCGACTGTTGCCTCGGTATTCTGCCGGTGCTACGCAATGGTCCAATGTCACTGTGGCATAGATATTATGCCTGTGCATGGGAGATGAGATAAAAGAAATATTTAAAGAGCCGCTGGTTAATTTTGGTAATAAAAGCTTGATTATAATCACACGTTCTTGCCATAGGGTACGCGACTTGACTAGCCATGGTAAGGGAATTGGATACTACCTTTCTAGTTACCAAGATTACTTTGCGGTTCTTCCATACCAGACTGCCCGCCAGGATAGTTCGCCGACGGCCGGCATAGTCACTCACCGTGCCGCAATGCCAGCTCCCACAAAGACACCAGCTGCGAGGAGGTATATCACGAGACCGATTTCCGCAGTGCTGGGGTTGAACATGTCATTGAAGGAGTGACTAGAGACAGCTGGCTGAATAAGTAAGTCATAAGTTCAACAAAGACGGATCAGAGCCATCAAATGGTTCAATGGTCCATGGGGGAAGGCGGTGAATGGCTTACCTTCACCAGGATATTGAGGTCGTAACCATACAGGAAACTCCCCAGACCAGCAAACACTCCACTAAGGATTAGTAGGCCGTAGACGGCGTTGCTATTGTTCTAGGTATGTTTGGAAGCTGCAATATGTGGTTTGGTACGAGATTCTGAGTCGAGTTCGTTTTCGGTTGGGGTGCAGCAATCGATGTGTGGATGTGAGCATATGTAAACCAGCCAGACGTCGCAGATCAGCTCAGTCGACGCCGACGCTCGGTATGAATTGTCCCCAGAACTCGGCTTCAGCTGGTTATTTGGTGGCGTGAGAAAGGCAGCATCGATCGATCGCGGCATGGGCTCCAATGAGGATGGCGCTTTTCCGCTCCTTGTCCGGTCTATTGAACTGGGATGCCTCCCCGCAAAGCCACGAGCTGCCGAGATCCGCGCCAATGGTAGATGAGCTGAAAACTTAATCCGTGTGGTTTTGCAATCATAACCGCTCAGAAGGTCGACTTCCGCCCTATTGCTGGTATTTCTGCCACAGCGTCGTATACCTGCCATATGGACCGATACTTGTTATGTAGCTTGTCTTCTCTATATGCATTTAACCCCATTGATAAAACGATCTAGCTGGTAATATCGACTTCTAACTGTTAATTCTACAACTTACCGAGATCAAAGTTATATAGGAGGCTCATATGGAGCCCTGATCTCAGAACATCATCCCCCGGTACAAGGAAAGACCTGAGGGATATTCTTAATTTACGGACCCCTGTGGCCTGCAGATTACCCCGCCGGCTTGTCGGGAATTTGGCTTCATCCCCGCGGGGAGCTGCTGATGTCTGGGGTAAAGCCGTTGCGGCCCAGGTGATTGGCGATTCCCACCCCTCAGTTTAGCTTCAGATTGGCATGGACTCTTGGTTAACCCTGTTGGCCATGGTTGCTTTCTTAGGCTGTAGTCGAGGATGGAATATTGTACCGAGATTTCTATACTTCGTCATGATCATCAACCAATGATCATCTGGTGACCATTGCTCGGTCAAAGTGTAGCCGAACTGTCGTCAAGTCGGCGCATCGGAGCTCAACGATGACAGTATCCTCATTGTAGTACTATCGATTGATCTTTTATATAATAGATATCATTTCCTCGGTTCATTGGACTGGCCATCTTGGAATAACCATCTCTTTCACGTTCAGGTTACTCTACACCTAACCACCACCAGCCTCTCAAGCGCAGCCTGGGCCATTGTCCTTCGAGATGCGTCTGCTGTATCTTTCCCCGGCTCTTCTGGGGTCAGTCAGTGCATTGAGCCTCTCTCTGGCACCCTCCGGTGGCAATCAATCAAGCCAGCTCCTCTATGGCCTGCTCTATGAAGTGAGTCCATTCGACGGCTACCAAGACGCGGCAAAAGATACTAATACAACTTACTAGGACATCTACCATTCAGGTGATGGTGGCCTGTATGGCGAAATGATACGCAATCGAGCTTTCCAGGGCTCCGCCGTTGCCCGGCGTGTTAGCCTTGACCCAACCACTGACTTCTGGCACCCCGTTGGAAATGTCGAATTGTCCATTGCCGACACCACACCTCTCTCGTCCAGCCTCCCTCATCACCTTCAAATCAAGGTGCCTGCGGGTGCCAAAGGCCCTGTTGGCTTCTACAACGACGGCTTCTGGGGCTTCAATGTGGACGCCGCCAAACGGTATATTGCCAGCCTGTACATCCGGGCCGACTACACTGGGAAGATCGACACCTCCTTCCGCAACACCATCTCTGGCCAGACTCTGTCCTCATCTGCCATCAAGGTGAACCAGAAGAGTTCCGATGGCTGGGTTCAAGTGTGGACGCCCACCTTTATGCCGGACAAGTCTCCTGGCAACCCAAACAACACCTTTTACTTCACGTTTGACGGAGAGAAGCTAGCCGGAAAGACGATTGATGTGAACCTCATAAGCCTCTTTAAGCAGACGTTCCTAGATCGGTCAAACGGTCTGCGCCAAGATCTGGCTGAATCCGTCGAGGAACTGGGCCATAGCTGGATTCGATTGCCCGGAGGCAATAACATGCAAGGTCTTCGACGCCCTCTGCACTGGACGTGGAACCAGACTATCGGAGCCCTGAAGGACCGTTCCGGTCAAATTGGAGTATGGGGTGACATCAACACCAACGGGTTTGGCCTCTTGGAGCAGATGCAGATGGCTCGGGACCTCAACCTGACGGTAGTGCTGGGCGTCCATGCTGGGCTTTATCTGAACGGCGATGTTGTTGCTCCGTCCGACATGCAGCCGTACGTTGACATGGCGCTTAATGAGCTCGAGTTTTTGAATGCAAGTCATAGCCCTACTCCAGTTGCAGAAATTTTGGACTGACTAATATTCAGGGCGATTCTTCTACCAAGTACGGTGCTTTGCGCTCGTCGTTGGGCTATCCCAAGCCGTTCAACGTGCAATGGGTCGAGATTGGCAACGAAGACTATCTCAACGGCGGAACCAAATCCTACTACGACTACCGTTTCAACACGCTCTACAAAGCCCTCAAGCAAAAGTACCCTGACATGCACTTTGTGGCTACCATTAACCCGTCGCCATCTCCCGACAAGGGCAAAGGTGGAATGATCGATTTGCACATCTACGACAGCCAAGACCATTTTGCCAGCCTCTACAACACGTTCGACCAAGCGAGCAGGGACTTCCCCGTCTTTGTTGCAGAGTACGCCGCGATCCGGGCTTTGGGCAACGGCGGCCCAGAGATCGGCGCGCAGACCTTTGGCATGTCGTGCGCCGAAGCGATTTTCCTTCTGGGCATCGAGAGGAACTCGGACATCATTCTTGGGTCGGCCTACGGTGCTTTGATAAAGCAGTACGACGAGGAGCCCAACACCGTGGCCGTCATCAAGCACACGGCCAACGACATCCTGAGGTCGATGACCTACCACGTCCAGAAGCTGTTCGCCCACAACATGGGAACCGAGACACTCCCAGTCAAAGCTTCTGACGGGGGTATTGGACCGGTGTACTGGTCTGCCACAAAGAGAAGCGATGCCACGATTCTGAAGTTGGTGAATTATAATGGACAGACTGGCAGCCAAAATGCCGTGCAGGTTGTCATTGAGGACTCGGATGCCACGCAGGCAACACTGACCGTCTTGTCTGCCGAGAGCGATCAGAGTGTCAACAATCTCCGCGCACTGGGAGGGGAGGCAAGCAAGCTCGCGACAACGACAGTCAAAGGGAACAAGGGCAAGTTTTCTGTGGTTTTCGACAAACCCTATGAGATTGCTATCTTGGAAGTTAGCAATAGAGCTTGAGACTAAGACACATGAGGACGAGGACTCCCTCGCGTTTTCCTGTCAATTATTCTCAAATTAACTAGTCAATACTTAAACCATTTTGACGGATGTTTACTCTAGAACTTGACGCGCTATCCAAGTCTGTAACGGTTCTATATCATGTGGCCTCCCCCGAAATGATTGAGTAGATGACTGAGAGGATATTGATCAGATCGGAGACAAGGTCCACCGCCTATTGTAGTATGCTGGTAATAACGCGTAACTACTCTAGACGATCAAGAATTTCTACGTTCTCCGTCTCGATTTATGCTCTGATTGCATATGCCCCTCAATTCATTATTTATCGCCCTGAAAACATGTTTCTACACTGTGTCGCATTCCAGATGTCTCTCGTTGTCAGAGGGAAGCGACTCTCCGGGGGCAGCTGCAAGCGCTTTATTTGGCATAGCGGCAAGGATGATACTGGCCCTGATGACAAAATCGATTGGAATAACGCTAGAATCCAATAAGTATACTCGGGCTGCGACTGGCAATAGTAATATAAGATAATTTCTGGCCTAACTAATATATCTATGGTGTAAAATTTGGATAGAATATATACTGTAAAAATAGGCTTCCTTAGGCTGTTACTGTCCATGAGCTGTCTTCGTCCATCCAGACTAGTTGGAAACATCAAGATGCATGGTCTGTCGATTCCCATCAAGCCATTACCTAACAGTTTCCCGCGCCCCTGACTCGGCCGTGCTCTCCGCCCGGCTGGGCTGGGGATGTCCATGCCAGCAGCCGTGCTAAGATCTGGAGATCCGGGGAAAGGGAGCTCTGGTAGAGAGATTTGGCAGAGGCCAGGGTCTGATGGATGTTTAGAGATGTTGTACATGTGGTTTTGTCTCCAATGGTTGTGGTGAAGAATTCAATGATCTGGACAGCTGGGTGCGAGACATGGCATTGAAAAAGGCGAGGCAGTCGTCGCGTACCTTAGAAGAGTGTAAACTATACAGAGGAATGCGAAGAGTCTCGAAAGAGGCGGGGACGCTCTCAGGACGGTAGATGCCGTAAAAATGGGCTTTTTGAGGCTGTCGTCCGTCCTTTCAGACTCAGTTGGAAGTCCAGATTTGGGTGAGGCGGGAGCTCCCGCCCCTGATCTAGCAGCCACAAAGACTAGACGACAAAGACTAAAACCAGAAAGTAGCGAGCCAGGTGAGCGGACCGTCCGAGTCAGAAACGCCCATTATGACGAATTATCCTTTTGCTTTGAGTTTGGGCGGCGATGATCTATTCTTGCTCCCTTCATCTAAATTCGCCATTCATCAAGCCATTACTCCATCACTCCATCGCCTTCGCCGTAGCCCGACGGTCAGCATCGGACCCTCCCGCCACGCTCTGGTCCAGATGAGCCGGTGGCTGAACAGCGTATGTACAGAAGACAGGAACACAGGAACACAAGACAGCGAAGGCTCTGGAGTCCCGCCAACTCCGAACCAGGCATGCAGGGGAACGCACGAGATGCCTCGACTTTTCAAGCTTGGACCAGTGAAAGAGTCATTTGCCCACACGTTTGAGCCGTGGCCGTGCTTGGCTCCTCCATGACGACGACAGCTCGCCATCACAAGGTCACAGGCAATGAATGACCCAGAAGCCCAGTCTTTCCAGTTCCCACTTGCCCCAGAGCCCGGCAGAACCAAGCAGAAGCGAAAGAAGAGAAAAATTCTCCTGCAAATGGCGGCAACCGGTGGATCCCCCAGAACTCGCAACCCTGGCCCAGGGGAGATGCTATGAAAAGCAGCCCAATCATCCCGGCGGCGTGCTGGAGCAGCTGGAGTATTACCTCAGGATCCTAGGCCATTCCGCAACGCCAAATGGCCTAAGCGCGGGGCTAGCACTCGCTTCTGGATTTCTATGGGGTAACGATTACATACAACAAACTCGGGATCCAGGAACCTCGAGCCCGCGTGACAGCGCCAGCCAGCTCCAGCCAGCGCCATTTCAAACCGCAAATTCATCACAAGGGCGGCGAGGTTGCCGTTAACTGCAAAGCGTCCAGGCTGGGGGCATCAGATGGGCCGTTTAGGGCCGTCAGCCGCACCGTCCACGCACTGTGCCAGCGGGGTTCTCGGTTTTTGCATTTGCTCGTTTTATGCCGGTCTTTTCGCCACGGGAGTCCACCCAAATCCCCTAAAGTCCACAGTGCGCGCTGGGAAAATTACCGCCTCCCCACCTGACCGCACCGTCTCACGTTCCCATCGCGAGCCAGGCCCAGCCAAGGAATGGCGACATGACGAACAATCCAACAACGTGCCGCACCAGCGCGCACCAAAACGCGGGGGAAGAGACCGGCAAGGCCCACGATGTCATGGCGACGGGCCATTTGTGGAGAGGGAAAAAGCTTTCCTGTCAGTCGCCTGACCGTCTCTGACGCCGCAACCGTGGCCCCAGCTATAACTACCAAGGACATCACGACAATTCGAGACAACCTCTCTCCATTCCAAACTCAATCACAACTTCAACTACAAAGCTCATCCTCACACCTCTTCCTTGTGACTCTTCTCTCAGCCACCGACTACACACCCTCAACACATTGGAAGCCAATTGCTAGCTCCCTCACCCACCCACCCACTTCTTAAGACACACAACTCTGTCTTACACCAAGACATCCCCCTCTATCAAGATGCCCAACTACATCGTCACCGAGTCCTCCCCCTCCACCACCGCCTTCATGCGCTCCGGCCGCGGTGGCGCCGGCAACGTTGTCCGCGTCTCAAACACAAACAAGGCTTCGTCTCACTCCGTGCCCACCATCACTCCCTCGCGCCGCTTCTTCAGCGGCATTGGCGGAGCTGGCAACGCCCACCAGGCTAGCGAGCGCCCTGCCCTCTCTCTCGAGGAGGAGTACGACCGCGTCGCCGCCCGCGACCAGGCCTCCATGGGCCACGTCGGTATTGGCGGTGCCGGCAATGTCTACCGCCGCAAGGCCAGCGACGCCGCCTCCGATGTGAGCTCCAGCAGCACCGAGAGCGTCAAGGGCAAGCTGTGGGCTCGCGTCAGCGGCACCTTCAACCGCGACTAAGTCAGTCAACCTGGCTTGAACAACCAACAACACAATAAACACAACTCGACACAAAAATTATGGTGATGGCTGGAGGAACTTTGGGTTCATTTCCTTTTTTCTTAAACAACAAAGCGAACGGCGTTATTGGCATCATGGCGGGGACCTCAGAGCAAATGGGAAACCTGGATATCCGGTTTTTGCATTGAACACTGATGGCGGACGACGATATGAACATGTCGTCCGGTCATTACAGGGCGTTTGTTTCTGGTGAAGCTATATACCCCCGAGTAACAATTACTCAACACGAAAAAAAGTTTTATCTGCTTGTATCTTAGTTAATATCTGTCTTCCTGTATACCAATCAAACAGAGAGCGACCTTTGTGGTCCTCGAACCGCAAACACTACTATTGGCCTCCATCATCGTGACAAATGTGTGATCCCTTGACCCGGCCGATGGACGGCCCCGGTGGCACCTTCATGTCGTGTGACCAAGCCGAACAGGGCCGTGTAAGTCCCAATGCAATTCAATCCCATGCAAGCGAGAAGAGGGGTGGGCAACATGCATGTGACCCATCACCCTTCCATCATCCGATCCAAGCGCTCTCCGCATTCTGGGCTTCCTAGTCAGGGACTCGGGGCACGCAAAGCCCATGCTCACCAGGAACCAAAAAAGAAAAATGGCCGGGGGCACAAAGAGAAACTCGACACGCGGGGAAGACGGCACTTTGCAACACATCAGGGTATCTATCATTAGGCTTTCTCTATCTGACAGGGGGGGTGTTCTACACTGCTTTGGTCGCTCCACGCTTGGCATAGGTCAAAGTTTCAAGTCTACAGCCCATCTTCATCCGAGGCCGTCCGTCGTCGAAAATAAATAAAACCCATTGTTTGTTCAGAAAAGAAGAGAAGGGAGAAGGAGGTTTTGTGGGTGGAAGGTGAGGTGAGTGAGGGAAGCATGCTTTCGCGTGCGGGGGTGGAATCACAACGCGGGTCATCTATCATCAATTGCGGGGAGGGAGAAGAGGCGGGCTGGCGGAGAACAAGGGCCGATGGGGTGGACCTGCTTCGTGAAGAGCCCGGGACCGTGTTGGTAGAGGTCCCATGTTTTTGGTTTGTTTGTTCCGCATCGTGAGCGAAGGGACGCTTTGGGCTGGTGTTGCATGATCATGTGAACTTGGTGTGGATGATTTCCGGGTTCTCATGCCAGTCATCAATGCTCACCCACATCTAATTCAAGTCAGCCTTCTGGAAAACGCGAGGGGGTAGCGGAATGACAGACCTTTCGGAAAGTACTCAAGCCAGCAAGAATACTACCACCAATCCATGTCGAATACTTCCGCTCTGGGGGCGCAAAGATCTTTATCCTCATGTCCTTCACGGCGAGCCTCTGCAGCTCCGTCAGGAGACGGTCACCGAAGCCCTTGGTCAGGGTACTGCCTCCGGAGAGGACAATGTTGCTGTAGAGGGACTTTCGCAGGTCCAGGTCGGTCCGGTTAATGGCATCGACAACGATTTGGTGCACGCCGGGGTACTCGAGGCCAATGATCTCGGGGTCGAAGAGAATCTCGGGGGCTCTGAAGCGCTCCGCGCCAATCTTTATAACTTGGTTAGCTGCCGATTCGTAGGTCGTCAACGAAAGAAGTCTCACCTTGAGCTTGTGGCCGTCGGGGAGGACGTATTCGGCAAACTTGCTCTCATTGGGCTTCACTCCCATCCAATCCCTCTCCTCTTTCCGTGGGTCATGCGCTACGTATGACACACTCTCCTTGATCAACCTCACAACTTCCTTCTCCGCGCTCGTGTGGAAGATGTAACCGCTCTTGCGTAGTAGCGTCTGCAAATACTCGGTGACGTCTCGGCCAGCAACATCGATCCGGCGGATGCTGCTGGGCATGGCGAAACCCTCGTACACGGGTACTGCGTGCGAGACACCATCACCTGAGTCAAGGACGATACCAGTCGTTCGGCCACTGGCGTATAGCGATAGCACGGCTTGGATGGATGTATGTAGGGCGGGGACGTTGAAGGTCTCAAAGAGGATCTGGGCGGCGGTGTCGCGGTTGCTTCGAGGGTTCAGGGGAGGCTCAGTCAGGAGAACTGGGTGCTTTTCCAACGTTAGCATCTCTGGGCGAGGTCAATTGATTCAGCGACAGCATACCTCTTCGCTAAGAGTCTTCAACCCTTCACCGTACACGTACTCCCAAATCTTCTCCATATCGTCCCAATCGGTGACGATTCCATGTTCCAAGGGGTACCGAATCTTCAGCAATCCCCTCAACTCGTTGGCGGCCTTCTCGCCTATGAATACCTCGCCCTCCAGCGCACCCGCAAGCACCCTCAGATGCTTCGGTCGACCGACCCACGAGGGGAAGAAGCACTTGGGCAAATCGTCGCCGGCGAAACCAGCTCGGATAGTCCCAGACCCGTTGTCAAGGACTATGGGCGCATTGTGTAGAGAATCAGCCATGATTGTGGCTGAGGTTGTGTCCGGTACTTAGGTCGTTGTCTCCCTTGCTTGGATATTCGCATCGACTGTCTCAATCGCGTTGCCTTCACCAGCCAAGGGCCCGTCCCTTGAGCTTCCCTAGCGTCGTTTGCAGCTCACAGCATCCACCAAGTTCGGCTTTTCCAGAATATGTCAGCAGCGCGGCAGTTTCCAAGAGGCCTGTGAGCTAGTTGCATCCATGAATTTCCTCCAGGGGCGTCGGGAAGTGGTCGTTATCAATTTCGGGTGTTGAGGTACGGCCCCTGTCTTCAATACGCGCTGGCCACCCAAGCTCAGGAGGCGTGGCAGCTTAGTCACGTGATTTCCGGTCCCGATTCGCGCCTCAGGCATTCAGAATTAAAGTGCTTCGCGTGCAGGCGCGTCTCCTCCATCACGGACCGCGTCACCGACGTGCCGTCATTTCCCAGTGCAACATCCGACCTAGCAACGAGCTTTCGAAGCATCCAAACCGCCGCCGCAACCGCCTTGTCGACTTCCTGTATTCGTTCAATGTCCTTTTAGGGTGTTTCTTCCGTCCAGCGATACTTGATTGACCCCCTCTCAACCGAATTCCTGTGCATGGTTTCCAGCGTCAGTCTATCCTAGCCGCCGAGATGGTCAAGGCCGCACCACCTGTCAATGCCGGGCCGGGCATCTACAGTGCCACGTACAGTGGGGTGAGTTGTGATATTTCTTCTATTTGGATCCCTCTCCAGGTTATTTAACGTCGGTGATGAACTTCTGTCCCGTTGAGCGCTGGGAGGGCATATCAGAGACTTCTGTGTTTTTAGCAAGGTTCCATTGCAGACCGGCGCAACCCCACACCAAGCAGGTCTCATGTCATGTTCATTGACTAACAGCATCCCACTAGATTCCCGTGTATGAGTTTCAATTCGGAGGAGACTTGAAAGAGCATGTGATGCGAAGGAGACATGACGATTGGATCAATGCAACACACATCCTGAAAGCCGCTGGCTTCGACAAACCCGCTCGAACGAGAATCCTTGAGCGCGATGTACAGAAGGAAGTCCACGAGAAGATTCAGGGCGGTTATGGAAAATACCAGGGTTCGTTTCGTCCTATCAGACCTTTCCCCTACCGCTAACAATACTGGATAGGCACTTGGATTCCTCTCCCGAGCGGAGAGTCATTGGCACGACGACACAGCATTTACGATCGACTACAACCAATATTCGAGTATGTTCCTGGGAATGAAAGTCCTCCTCCGGCGCCTCGGCATGCAAGCAAGCCCAAGGCTCCCAAGCGACCTCCCCCTCCCAAATGGAACAGTACGTCAAACCACGATCCAGATTAGACCATGTGCTTACACGTTACAGACCCTCCTCCACCTCCTCCCCCACCTCCTGTCCAGGAGGAGTATGAAAAAGCCGACACGTTGATGGCTGAGGATGACACGCCTGACAACCTCACAGTAGCATCATACATGGCCGAGGACGACCGCTTTGACATGTCACAAACAACCACTGCTCAAAGGAAGCGAAAGAGAGAAGAAATAATGCAGGATCTCACAGAGCAGCAACATGCTTTATATGGAGACGAACTGCTCGACTACTTCCTACTCTCTAAGACGGAACAGCCAGCAGTCAAACCCGATCCGCCACCCAACTTTCAACCCAATTGGCCTATCGACGCCGAAGACCATACCGCCCTCCACTGGGCCTCGGCGATGGGAGACATGGACGTTGTCAAACAATTGAAGAGGTTCAACTCAGCTTCAGGCGTGAAAAACATCCGCGGCGAAACTCCCTTCATGCACTCCGTCAACTTCACCAATTGTTATGAGAAGCAGACCTTCCCTGTCGTGATGAAGGAGCTGTTTGAGACTTTTGATGCCCGGGATAATATGGGCTGCACTGTGATTCATCACGCAGCCGTAATGAAGAATGGCCGGGTCTTCAACTCATCTTGTTCGCGGTATTACTTGGACAACATCCTGAACAAGCTACAAGAGACGTTAGACCCAAGCGCATTCCAGCAATTACTAGATGTTCAGGACAATGAGGGAAACACTGCCCTACATCTCGCCGCTCAGCGAAACGCTAGGAAGTGTATTCGAGCGTTGCTGGGACGCAATGCTTCGTCAGACATTGCAAACCATGAGGGCGTTCGAGCTGAGGATTTGATCATGGATCTGAACGCAACTAAGAAGGAGCGCGGTCCTCAGAGGTCATCTTCACCCTTTGCCCCTGATTCTCAAAGGCACGCCTCGTTCCGAGATGCTCTCTCTGATAAGACGACTCGGAAGCCTCCTGCTAGCTTCCTGTCTGCTGCTGCCAACACGGTGCAATCACGAATCTCGCCACTCATTATGGAGAAATTTCAGGACTTGGCCAAGAGCTACGAAGAGGAATGGCATGAGAAGGATGTAGCGGAGACAGAGGCCCGCCGAATTCTGTCCAACACTCAGACTGAGCTCCACTCGGTACGACAACAAATAGCTGAGGTTGAGGCGCAGCTAGAGCCCGATGACACTGCAGGGAAGATTATGAACGAAGCGAACCTAGCCAAACACCAAGTGCTATCACTCATCACCCACCAAAACCGGCTTCACGTTCAGCAGGCGGTGGATAACGAGCTGAATCGTATCAATGGCGACGGGGTGCAAGGGGAGTCGTATGAGGAGAGGCTGAGTCTAGCGCGACAGCTGAGCCAGATGCTGACGGACCAGCGACAAGCGGAAACAGAGTACGTGGACGCGCTCAGCATGGTAGGCACGGGGGACAAAATCGAGAAGTATAGGAGACTACTCAAGCGGTGCTTGGATCCCAAGGACGGCGAAACCCTGGATACCAACCTGGACAGCCTGATTGAGATGATGGAAGAAGAAAGCGACGTTCATGGCATGGATGGGTCGATGGACAGGGAGCCAATGGAACTCAGTGTTGGCATGTGAGCAATATTATTGGGCCGCTGGGGTTGATATCTCGGTTACATATCCCGGAGCGCAGAAGAGCATGGTTTTGGGGGGCTTGTTTGGGAAGTAAACTATTCGATTGTCCAAGGTGTATTGGTTACAGCGCTGGGACGACTTGAGCGCCAGGCAACTGTTTACGAAATTCTATGTTTTCTTTTATCTCGATGATTACGTTTGGGAACACCGGGGGACTGGGTGAGCCAATGCAGCCACTCAGTTTGCAGTGTTGTCTAGTTTCTGTGATACCCGTGATAGGCAACCTGCATTAAGCGGGCGCACTCGCGCAGACATCAACAAGGTGATGGCCTTTCAGATTGGATGAGCCAGGCCGTGCAGCTTATTAGACTAAGCGGTGAGGCACTTGAGGCTCCGTCCGGGTCAGGCGGGATGACGATGGGCGTCCCCGTGATGGATGGTCTGCTGAGTGTCCGGGCTACGTACTCTTGTGGCATGGGGACGGAGGAGACTTCTCCGGCACACAGGCGGTTGAGTGGGACATGATTCAGCCAGCCGCCGGCGCCTCTCGCTTGTACCTGTACCCAACTGTGAGGCAAACGGGGCATCTCTCGTCCAAAGAGGGATGGTTGGCCAAGCCTTGCGCCAGCCATGTTGGCCAACGAGACGCTGGCCATGTCCCAAGAGGGCAACTAGACTGGTGAGTCCGGGGTGATGCTTGACTTGGTTGGAGGCAATGACACCCGTCGGCGGTTGACTAGCAGATTGATAGTCCATGTAGTTGGGTCACTTATGGGACGGCATCCTGTTATTCCTTGGTTTGGCGCTTGCGGATGAATCATAAGCGGTCTGAGTCAGCCCGCCATCCCGATGAATTGAAGCCAATATTGACAGTGGAGGAGCTGAATGGGATGGCGTTTTCCGAGGAGGGTAGAGGGGGACGAATAGGCACACATCCACAAAACCACGTGTGGATACGACAGCGTTGAGGCTCTGGGGGGCGATGCACGATCCCATCTCCGATCATATGTGGCCATATCTTGTCGGGCGGATTGCGGACGAGGCAGCAGCAGTTGATGACTGGTTGACGTAGGAGGGGCAGCGAAAGATCAACCTCGACGCAACAGAAGCCGGGCATTAGCCCATTACCTTTCTTGGCATGGGGCTTGAGGCTGAGGCTGGCTGGGATCTCCGTGGCACCGGCGCTGGTAACATGGATTGGCGTTGGCGTTGGCGCTGGCGTTGGGCTGGCGCTTGTTGCGGCAGCGGAGGTGCGAGACGAAAGACATCGTCAGACACTAATTGGCCGTGGTGACACATTGATGCCAGCGGGTTGGGACCCTTGGGGGCTTTTTGGGTCTTTTGACCAGGGGGATGACTTTTTAGACGTATTGGATTGTGGAGGACGAAAGCCTTTCTTCAGACGCCGACGGATCGAAGAGGGGCGCGAGTAAGGGATTTGGCGAATCTCGGCCGCCGGTTGGATGGGGGCCGTGTTGACCGCGATTGTGGCGACTCTCGGCGTCGTATCTTGGTGTCGTACACACTTGCGCAAGGCACCGAGATCAATCGTCACCGAAGCGGAAGCCGAAGGCGAAGTGAGCAGCGCCTGACGACCGCGAGCGCGGAGGAATGCCGCTGAGCCCATACATCGTCACTGGAAGAAATCCCCAAGCGACGGAATTAGTGCAGCCCGTGAGACCGACTCCGTTTCGTCTTGTTTTTGAGTGGCTCGCAATGCTTGCCGGGCACCTCTTGTGTCCCCGATCGTCCTACGGAGGCTCGATTTAAAATGCGCCGGGCAACAAGACGAGCCGGGGATACTATGAGGGGGCTTGGATGTGGGCGTGCTGACAACCCCATCAGCATCAAATCACACGAGGTTAGGGCGGGCGGCCCATGACGGTCATCAGTCTGCAGGGATTTTGCAGGCCAACAACGCGGTGACGGGCGCGAAAGATGAGCGATGTTGTGGAATCAATGCGCCGGGGGGGGGGGGGAGGATACGGATGGCAACTTCGGACGGGCAGTTGGTCGTCTTAGGAGGTTGGATCTGAGAAGAGGAGGCCGGTAGAGATAAACATGGGGTGCTGACGAAAAAGATGAGGAGTCGCATGTGACAAGGGGTGCGACCAGGGTGGTGAGGGGCTCGCTCGTAAGGCTGAAGAGGATGCGCTCCATTGCTCTGTTTCCAGTTATCCCGAAAGGAGGGGGAGGGGTTGAGGGGCGTGTAGGACTTTGGAGAGCCCGGGGATTGCCAGGAAAGCGGAATAGACTGCGAATTCGGGGGACAAGGATACCATGTATGTGGTGATGGGGTTGATGAATGGACTCATGGGACTCATTGGGCTGAAGGAAAGGGGGGGGGGTTGAGGGGGGTTGAGGGGGGGGTTGAGGTCGGAGACAACAACCAACTGCATACTCCGTACGGAGCACTCGGGTTGTAAACTCCAGCTACCAACAGCCCGGCTAAAGAGCAGACAAAGAGTCCAACGCGGTCCAGAGAGGTCCAGAGAGGTCCAAAGTACTCAAGAGGTGTGAATAGGCCCCCGTCGGAATATGCATGTTCCAGTGGCACTGAGACCAACAGGTGCATTTGCAGCTGGGAGTTGCAGAAACTTGCAGAAATGGGTTGGGCTGCTGCTGCTGCTGCTGCTGCTTCATGCCAGGGACAGACAGCAAGGGCACAGGCATCGGGCACCCTTGAGCCCGCGACTTACAGGCCTGGCCTGGCGCTAACCTTGCCCTGGTGAGCCCTGGTGAGCCCTGGTGAGCCCTTTGTTGAGGCTCGTAACAAGCGAGGATAGGGATGCATTCTGCATGAGTAGCGTCTGCGTCTTGCATAACGTTGCGACCCTTCTTCTACCGACTTTGACTTAGTACACTTTGTGTCCGCCGTGACACCCCCCGCCTTCCATCCTTCGACCCCCTGGTCTCAAACGGGCGCCTATGTGGTTGGAGGCGATCACCACCCGGGAACAAAAGGTGCCACACCCAACCGCCATATAATGACCGGAGATATACCCTTACAAGCCAACCCAGTTCAATGTGTCTCTCTGCAAGAGGTTGAGCGACATTTTGGGGATGCGCCCGCGTGCACCACATCATGCAGAGACGGAGCTTGGTTGCTGCCATGCAACTGCAAGCACATGCGGGAGGCAAGAATGGCGTCACGGCACTGCTGCATCCCATCTGAGCTGAAAAATGAAAAAAGGGACCCAGTTCCGGATCCTACATGAACGTACATCTGTAAGGCGGGTAGGGTATGTACCTTGCCTTGTTCCGCGTTGCAGAGAGAGAGTTTTGCCCGCCAAGCAAGCCCGCTGTAAGAGATTGCGTTGCAACGGGGGCGCAGTGTGTGGCAACACCATCATCATCATTCATCATCGCGGGCCTTCTGGCGAGTGGGGACCTCGGACGGGCTGGACGGGCTGGTCGGACTCGTTTCTGATGCGCAACCCTGTTTCGTGTTTCTAGAAGGACAGACGGTGCAGGGCAGGTTGCGTTCCCTGCCCTGCAGGTGCCGAGACCGCGTATCACTTCTCTCCCTATTACTGTCATGTGTCACTTCCAACATAGTGCCCAGGGGCCTAGAACTTCTTGGATGATCCCTCACTTCGCACAGAACCTCTGCTAGCCACCGACCGAGGAGAGGGGAAAATACGATGTCCAGCTGGGCATGGCTACCGGAGTCGCGGATCGTCGCCGTGTGATTCGCTACCGAGACGCTGGGGAAGCTCCAACGCCGCCAACAAAGCAAAGCAAGACATGGGGCCAGGACCTGATTAGTATACATGTAAACCCTGCGGCGCGTGCGTGTGTGCGTTGCCTGCGTCAGTGGCTGTTGGTTGATGAAGCTGCGTTCTTTTGTTGCTGATTGTTGACGCCCAGCAACCAACAAACTTGCAAGTTGTCCCAGGGCGGGCCGACGTGCAGGACGGCTGGAGAAGACCCAGGCGGGATAGTTCAACTGTGGGTTATAGTGTCGAACCGGAGACGGCACGGGATCGAGACCTCGGCCGCTGCCCACTGGGACACGGCATAGTCGTCGGCTGTCTCTTTCTGGAGAGGCGTTGCGGAAGAGTCGGAGACTTGCTTGATCAACTTGGCGAAAGCTCTTTCTTGCTCGCCCTCAGGTCGGCATCTGTTTTGCCCGAGTACCATGTATCTGGACCAACCAAGTGCAGTAGAGGACTTCTTCTTAGCTCCCTGCTCCCGGGATACTGTATTCGTATCGTGTGTACCATCCCACATCTTGAATACCACATCCCACATCCCTCTCTCCTCCCCCCATCCTATCCCCCTCCGGTACTGGAAGCGCTGTAACTGCAAGCATTGCATGCACAGTACGTCACACACACGCACACGCACACATCTACCACTCCGCTTCCTCGACGTTTCTTCTTCACCACAGGGATCCTCAAAAGGATCCGTCCCATCTTATCCTGCATCATGAGCCATAGCATGTCAGTTCGGTGCGCCACCACTTCCCTGGCACGGCCAAATCCCGATGCGGCATAGGCCACCCTCTTTTTCGCCGGCTTCGATCCAATCACGGGCCGCAGTAAGTCCGGCTCAGCTGAGCCCTTCCCGAGCTCTCCCACCTCTCAGACCGTAGACGCAACACGCACACCCGACACGACACGCCACCGCGGTCCACGTCGACGCCCACGCGCGAGTCACTGACTGCCGCGAGTTTTACCAGTCAAACCACTTTGAGCACGCGCGACGCCACAGCCAAGGACCAAGCTAGCGGCCTGTCGTCGTTCGTCGTCTCTCTCGCCTGGCCGTAACTAACTCCGGTAGTTCCCTAGCAGGCAAGCAAGCCCAGGCAAGCAAGCCCAGGGCAGGGCAGGGCTCTCTGCCAGGCGCTCCGCCGGGCGCTGTCTTCTCTGCCCTGAATGCCCAGCAATCTCATACGGGTGGCGTTGTAAGACTGCCTCCCATCGAATCCTACGCTGGCCCATCGGCATCTGGGAGCAGGAATGGCAATGGCAAATGGCAATGGCAAAAGTCCAGCTCGCATGTGCTGCGTGGCGCATACAATGGTCGACGCACCAAGATGGTGGTTCGTTGACAGCTGATGATGATCCATCGAAACAGATTCCATCTACCGGAATCCGCTGCTGCACCGCGACCTGACGCCCCGTTGTCCTTCTCGTGCATCATCTTGATTTCGGACCGCCCGGGTTTGCATACTCACAGACCGACCAAGACGGGTCGCGGCAACCAAGAAATCCAGACCCGGGGACTCCAGACTGTGCTGGGCCCAAGAGCAAGTCTAGAAACTCTTAGCCCGACGCATCCTCCGGGTACTCCAGAAGCCTGTGCCATCCACAACCGCCCAAAGCTTCCTGATCTGGGTTCCAGACGCCCAACTCAAGACGGCAGCTCAGCTGGCCTCCGCAAGGAAACTGGAATTAGTGATGCCAGCCACTACTCAATCTCAACAGTAACACCCGCGCCCCGCTTCTGCAACTCTCCCCAGGTCGGGTCGTCAAGTCCCAAACGCCCCAAGCGTCCCATGCCTGGCTGGCTGAACAAGAGCAGAAGAGAGCTTCCACCCGGTAACCGTTCGCCAGTACGACGTCCTTCCCATCCCTAGCGTAGACAGGGGATGGACGGGTCTTCCACGACGCACACTTACTTTCGTTTCTCTGGACCGCTATCGGTATTCGTCTTCGGTACCCAGGTACACCGCCCGCTCTCTGACCTCGCCTCGTCTCATTTCCCACTACGCTCACCTCGCCCAACGTCATCTCAGTCGATGGCGGCAGGTCACTGTCCAAAGTCACCAGGCCCTGACTAACACCCCCAGCCTTGGAAGCATCGATGTCTCCGGCCTAGCCTTTGTAGGTGAGCTTCGAGCAACACCAGAGAGGCTCAGAGGCTTTTGGCTTCGAATGGGTCCCATGCTCCCATCCTGTCCTAAGGCGCGGCCCCATCTCCAAGGGGCTTCTAACCAATGGCAGCCATGAGACTGGCCCTGTCGAGAACAAGCTCTCGACCGGGGTCTTTCGCCCATGGCGTCGCGAGTAGGGCTCACCTCAGCTGAAAATGCTCGCTGCTAGCTGTTCCTCTGGCGTCACTCCCCTCACTAGATCAGGCTGGGCCGGGAACCCCCTCTGCAAAAGATGGGTCGCCTGCCGGGGCTCGAAGCAGATTGCAGTGCGATCGTGGGGCGCTAGGTCCGCTTGGCCAGGGACACTGGCCTTCTACGGCACCCTTTCCAGTGCCTCTGACGCTTCCTGTCGACGTCCCGGGCTGAAAACAGGGGTCCCGATCTTGCCAGTTTCCGCAACGTCGTACACCAGAGAGCAGCAGAGCCAGCCAGATACGCTGGAGCACACCCCCCCTTCGGAATGCCTGGGCCCGGAGCAAGCACTTTGTGAGCCATTCTATCTTCCCACCCCAACCCACAAATCCGTTCGATTCTACGGGCTCTATGGCATCCGTCCCGCCCGCGATTGGGTTGGCAGCTTCATCCACCGTGTAATTATGCCCTCCACCACGTACAGGCCGACGCACCAAGTTGCTCGGGTCCTTGTCTTCGGCCAGCTGCACTGCCCTCGCAGCCCACACACACTCCTCAAACTCAACGCGCTTCCTTGTCCGTCCCATTTGCTGTACGAAGTGCGAAGTGCAAAGTGCGTACTAACATTTCGGCCTGCGTGTCGCCAAGTTTCGTGCCCCTGCTGACAGTTCTAGGGCTTCCGGCATCATACGGCACTGGAGACCATCCTATCCATGGCCATCTGCGTACACAGTATGTGACGCGAATCACCATAGTCTGACTGCATGGGCCATGGGATCCTGTCCTTGTCCTCCTGGAAATACGGCCATGGAGCATAGAGCATGGGCCACTGACATCCCATGTCATTCACCACAGTCGGCCAATGTCCAACCCTGGCATTCTGTGCCCCAATCCATCCTCCCTGGCTCCACCCTGAGGAAGCCACTCCTAAAAACCAAACGTCCTTGAGTGAAGCGCGCCGCCAATGCCCACACCCGGAGCCGAAGCCACAGCTGTTCTCGATTGGCGGACCCCGAAAGGAGGCTTGTCTGAACCCGCCCTTTCTCCTGCTTCGCGAACAGTCCAACCTGACCAAAAGGGCTTGCGACGAGGTGTGGATGGGGGGTCTTGTTAGCCTCCAATTCGCCCCAGATGTCCATCTAGCCATGTCCTGCACTTGACTCGATACATGTCGTGCTCCTGGTCTCGACATCCGACGCTGCTCAACCTACACTCACTCGGTTTGCTATAACCATATAAGCTCGTGCCCCCAGCCCAGTTCCCGTCTCTTATCAGAATGTGCCTTGGCCCTTGAAGCTTTCGTCACCAATTACGTGTGCCAGAATCTCAATCAATCACACAAAAGTCTTCACTCTTCGTCAGTGATGCTCAAGGGAGAATCATCACCAGATCAATTCCTCCGTCACGCAAACTCACTTTGGCTTCGGCGCCTCTGTTCCCCATAACCGAATCTGACGGCCCTCTTTTGATGTAAGTCGGACTCTGCCGGTCAAGGACGCCGCCCTTTTACATCAATCACCACCCTCGGGGATCTCTCACGGACGTTTTCGTCTTCAAAGTCATTCACCGCACTTCGCCTCTCACCCATCAGAAAGAATAAAGAGTCATTGGATTGTATAATTGGGAAAACGGTCGCTCACCACTCGCCCCTCAGCTTCTTACGTTGGTTCTGACATCAACGTCGACAACGTCCACCATCGGCATCCTTCAGAATCGTGGGACGACACATCTCAGGTCCCCGACAACCCTGTTCAGCCCAGCCCAGCCTTCTTGACCTTCTTGGCTCCGCCCTACCATACGAGGATCTTGTCGCAGAGCGCAGGCATCACCCCAGAAGTACCGTCTGACCGCAGAAGTAGAGTGACCTCAGGTGGCCCCGCTGACGGCGCCAATTTGACTTTCCTACACCAGTTACCACCATGCCTGTAACTAATCGAGGCGGCGTGGTGCAACTTACACCCGTCACCACCTCGACGACAGCAACTCGCGACTACTTCAAGTCTCTTCCACCCGCGCTGGCGTCGGTCCAGACAGGCCTGGCCATCTTTGCGCTTTTCATCATCGCCCGATTCTGCGTAGCTCGCCTGCACCTATGGTTGCGACAGTTTCGCGGCGCTGACAGGCCGATTCCCACCAGGACCAGCATCCTGCCCCAACATCATTATCAACCACAGATCCCGCAACCTGTCTGGGCCATGGACGAGAAGGATCGCATGCCCCCCATGACCACGGAGGGTGACGCCAACCTTGAGGGCTTTAGGGACGAGAAGGCGGCGGCCAAGAAGCTTGTCATCGACCCGAATTGGACCAACTCAGCCTTCGGTGGTGGCGATTCAATGCCCAGGCCACTCATGGCGCGTCCTCCTCCTGCACCGCCTCTGACGCCGCCCGAGCTGAGCACCGCCGTCTTCACTTTTGAGGATCGGCCGCGACCTGGTGACGACAGCTTCATGCGCCAACCCAACCCTGACTACATGTCGTCGACTACTAGTTCTGTTTTGCCCTCGAGCGCCTCATCCCCCGCCATCCCCCGCCGCCGCTCTTACAACAAGACGTTGCCCATCGGTGTCCCCGTCCCTCAGACCTCGCCCGGCGCATCGGATCCTGCCGATCTTACTTTTTCACCTAGCTCCTACCCACCCACAAGCCCGTTGCTGCCTCCAGCCCCACCGACGGCGGGGCCCAAGGAGATCGACGTCAAAGGAGAAATCATTGGGGTTCTCAACGGCGGAGGTGCTGGGTGGACGAGACACACTCGCGTCTACGGTGGCGGCGTGTGTCTGGCGTGTGAGGCCTCTGGCGGCAACCATGGTGGCGGTTTCTACGGCGCAACGGTACGGCCCGAGGAGATGCGATGAAGGGGGATCTATCTACCTCCCACCTCATGGCTGGCTGTTTGATACAGATCGGAGAAAAAGTGATACAGGGCTCGGCAGTCAAGGGTTTGCATCGGGGTCCGGGCAGCAGGACCGTGTACGACTTTCTGATGTAACGAGAGGGGGGAGCATTTACACGGGGAGCACACGGGGGCTTGTCTTCGTTTCTTCTTGGGTTGCGGTCATTGTTTCGAACTGGTTTTTTTTCCTTTACGTCTTCCTTTTTCTTTTTCTTTTAATGCCTTCAGGTACATAATACCCCTGGATATGGTTAGCTGCGAGGCTACGCGCAAGCATGGGGATCGAAGCACAGGGAGTGCAGGTGTATGTCATGTTCATATCTACAGCACATATCTGTCGAGGTTTCGGCTCGACTCATGATGATACGATGATTCTTACCTAATCTTGGTTCACACTTGCCGGGACTTTCGTCTAGTGCCGAGCAGTTGGTGGTCTATTCCTAGTGATATGAGTGAGACGTTTGAGATTGAAGCCAAATTCTTAGAAGCGCAAGATGGCTTGCGAGATGGCTTGGGGCGAGTTGCCTGTGGTGTTTCGGAGTGATGACCGGGGCGGCTAACTAGGATTCGTCGATATGCGGCTTGATGGGTATGCGGTTTGCTGCCGGCCAGTACTTCGGTTCTCGTCCATCTATTCCCCGAGGCTCCGGAGACTATTCCCACTTTTCCTCGGTCCTTGTTCATCCTTTCAAGGCTCGCGTCAGCCCTACTGGGGAACACACCAGACAGCCGCGCCCAGCCCCCTCCCTTGCAAGTGCTTATCACAAGGTCATCTCGCGGCCCTGTGACGAAGGGATGATAGCCGAAACCAAAGGGGAAACAGCCTTGGTCTCGATATATGCACGACAGTTGGGAACTGGGATGGCGAAACACAACCTGCTTTTTACGACGATCTGCTTCTTCCCCATGCTGGCACCGCCTTACGTTGAGGCAAATGTGGGAGTTGGTTATATGCAGTCGAACCCGGAAAATGTCACGCCGACTCTGACACCTCGGACACCTTGCTCGATACATGATTCGCGTGGCGGCAGCCCGACCCCTCAGGAGCTGCTTTCAAGGTCTGTGGAGCTCTTTAAATAGAGTAGGACTTGAGAGCCCTGGGGAAACATCGGTGAGGACATGGAACAAGCTGATTGCTGGCCGGGGGCGGCCTGGGCACTCAACAACGGCGCCTAGGGCTGCGAGGACGCAGGATTTAGAGTTATGACGTGAGACGGCGGGAGGAGGGCGGGGGCAGAGACGCACGAGGCGCTCTGGGCGGCCGATTGGGAGGGGAATGTCGGGAAAAGGAGGGTGTCACGGGTGGTGGTGGTTGGGTGCGTTGGCAGAACGGCTGATGGGGGAAGGGGAACGGTCGTCATGGGGCAGTTCGTGGGGAGGGGGAGAACTGGAGAGCTATGGGCTGAGAGGGCTGAGAGGGCTGGAAGAAGCTGGCGAGAGAGAGAGAGCTGGGCTAGGCTTGAGTTGGTGATGAATCGCGCTGGACAACATTCGGCATGCAGCTATAACGGGCCGAGGCTTGGGTGCTGGCTCGCATGATACCCTGCTCCTGCTCCCAACTTGAGCACGACGTCCTAGACCCGAGCAGGATATCCCACATGGTGGTCTGACCGCGGCAGACTGCCAGTTGGCACTCCCAACAAGTGAGGTGGTGGCACTGAGCAGCGGGCCGCCGCCATGTCGACCGTCATGCGAAGAAGCTGAGGGGTCTGCGAGAGAAGAAGAAAGAGGGGGAGGGAGGGGGGAAGGGCACTTTTGGGATAGACGGGAAATCTAAGCCGGCAGGGAAGATGGGGACTTTTGTCGACGTGCTCATGCGCGAGTCTGCAGTTCGTCGTGCAGCAGCTTTGCTCCGTCAGGACTGGCACTGGCGGGCGTTGTAGGAGTTGGCGATGGCGAGTTCGGCCGGGGTTCCTTCATCAAAGGACGCTTTGATGAAGGGATACATACATGGAGTAGATGCTGAGGGTGCGGGAGTGAGAGAGACCATGTGGAGATGAGCATGGCCTGTTATACTAAGACCTAAGGCCCGATGCTTCCTTATACCAGATGGATATGCCGTCACAACGCGGGCTTTCGGCCAGATCCTGCCGTGCCTGACCCTGCTGCTGACGCAGGGTGAGAGCACTCTGTGACGACTTGAACGACGCTGCTTCACGTTGGGGACGGTGGCGCCCTGTCTAGCCAGGTTGGTGGCGTATCCCTTGTCTGACAGACTAACTGGACTTGTCCTACGGAGTGAGCGGCTTGGGGGATAGACTAAGGAGCCTATCGTGCAGGTTGCGTCTGGGCCGAGTGACTTGCAGGATGGGTCGTATATCGTGTCCAATGGTTTATAACCTTCTCCGATGCTAGTTGATCACTTATGCAACAGAGTGACAGGCTTACGACACGGGTGTGTTGGCCGTACATTTGGGAACGGCTTCTAGTTGTTGTTTATGGCTGGATAGCGCAGAAGACAGGACTCTGGTGTAAATATCTCATGAACAAATGGCTAGTTTAGTCGAGCGGTCGAGCGCGAAATCAGTGGTTGCGGAGTTGACAAAGGGTCGTGCGTGGTGATTTAAGAGACATTATAGGAACAGATCTGCTTGAGTTGGGACGTTGGGTAGCATTGGGTTATGCAACTACTTTAATACTGTGCTGTATGACACCAAGCAGTTGGGTTGATAATTGCTTGCCAAAAGTATATAAAACCACCAAACTCCCTATTCCATTATCGCAAAAACCCTCTAGTAAGACAGAAAATTAATTTAGTAATTTAGCTGACTATCAGATGTGAACGTACGGAGGGCCCTTTCAAAAGTCTTATCCATAAGAAGTAAGTCCTAATTATTAGATTAGATAATAAGTACACTAAGTACTTCCTGATTTCTATAGGCCCTAAAGAATAGCAGGCTACAGCACACAGCAACCGCTATATCCTGATCAGCAGCGTACTACTCCTGAAGTTACAGCGGCTGTTTAACGAGACTGTGACAGCTTCATGTATCTCAGGTAACCGACAGGGATAAATGGGCATGATTTACTAGCGCTTGGACAAGACTTTTGAAAGAGCCTTCCGTAGTCAACACAAGATCTTGATGTCTTGTCAGGGGTGATGGTGCCTAACTCTAGGGTAGGTCCTGGAGTTTCGAGTCTTGGGCATCCTTAGCACAAACGTAAGAAATACAGCACACCATTGTCACGGAGTGTTTGCGTGAGATGCATTCACTCTGGAAAACTTTGGCGTTTCTTCCAGGTGTGATCGAAGCCGCGGTGCCCCGTGCTGCAGAATGAATGTTGAAGACGGAGACACTCAGTAATTAGCCAGTAGCCAGACGCACCGACTGGGTCAGCTATTCTGTTCCGCGTAGTGCTGTAGTTATGATGAGAGAATTTATGAAATCGAAAAAGCTCTTTTAGAGTTACGGGAAGCGCAGAGATTTACTGGCAGTTCGTAGTGTTGTGAAAGACATCGCGGCTGGTGAGTTGCTGTTCGGGATACACCCGTCCTACATGGCCAGTCTGGGCTCTGCAGGTTTTTCAGAGTACCATCATACCAACGATAATCATACTGACTAACAGTGGGGTGGGGCGATGGTCAAATGTACATCAACACCATTGACTGGTATTGCTGAATGTTGTGGTGCTGGGTATGGTACTTTGTTGCGTCCCTCCGCTGCGTGGGACATACTACGCTGCTTGGATTTGACCTCTGACTGAATACACCAAGGAGTTACAATGCATAAACACTGGTGATAACTCAGTCCCCCAAGAGTATATCTGACTCACAAACGATACCAGTTCGAATCGTGAAACTTGGTCGTGGCTCAGTGACTCCATGTACCAAATGTGGACACTTGACAGACTTCGTGGCTAATGGATAAAGAGTTTACCTAGAAACACCTCTAGAACAAGGCCCAATTGTGTCCATCTATTCGGGCGTGTTTTAGTTGGAGGGGTGTAGACGCCTCGAAACTGTATCCTGGGCGAACCTTGGTGCCACGCCAGGAATGCACGTCACATTTACGGTTTCCACCTTGAGTTCTAAATTTACCTAGTTCTTCTAGTTTTCCCTATGTAGTTATGTTGTTCGGTATTCCAATCTCCATTTCTGGGAATCGGGGGACAACAGGGCAGTGAGATATATCCCACATGAACAAACACCATGGCAGACGCCATCATGTACCTGAGAACTTGATGTCGCGAGGATGGACCATCCCAGCAAGAATTTCATCGAGGCTCAGAGCAAGGCAATGTACATTGTGACTCGAAACATTCCAGCGCAGACCCGAGAATCTGGTCCAGATCGGATCCAGAACCGGTTCATGGCCGCAGCCAGGCCCATTGATTACAGTTCGTAAGCATATCGCATGGACGATCCCCCGCAACAAGAACTTGCAGTCCGCGGAAAGGGTTGCATTGCTCCACCCGGGGAAGTAGACAATGGGAAACCTCATACGGCAACCTCAAACACCGATCACCAGGACACTGCCTTGCCATTCTGGCGTGGAGCATGACAGAGTTTCACGTGGTGCGACGAAGGCCGTCTCAGTGCGGGCAATGCGACATGATGCCGCGGCTTCGGTTGACACGTGAGCGTCCCGGGGCTGAGGCAATGGCAATTGGCAAAACGTGGCTTTTGGGACCAATTTAAGATGAGTTTGAGTCCATGTGAGAATAGTGTCACTACATCGATGGACATCAGTGTGGCATGAAGTGAGCCCTAACGATATAGGGTAAGACATCATCCCTGTTGCTTCACGATCACGACAAAGCATGAAGATGTTGAGACACTTGAGACGAAGCACAGACACGCAAGCTAGGTCGGGGTTTGCCGAGCAGGACGGGATTCCCTGGGTGTGGACGAACGTCAATCCCTGCCTGTCCGTCCGGGAATTGGGCTTGAATCTGTCGACGAGTATGGACCCTATTAACGGGGTACGTACGTAGGCGTTGACGAAGTCGGGAAACGCTCATTAATTACAACCCGCAACAGCGGAGGACGGGGGAAGATGCTGAGACGACGACACATCCAGGCTTAGACTCGGCGCTTGTCTCTGATAGCATCACGGCGCAGCACATGGCGTAGCCCTCGACGCCCCGTCTCGCTTCAGCGTCGAAGCCATGTCGAGAAAGGAAATGGGCCCAAGAAGCAACAATGTCCCGGTTCTTTGCCCCTTTGTCGACGCTGCATGCATGGAGCCGCGTCGCCACCCGACTTGGGAGATCCCCGCGGCATGGCGATTGGGCCACTGCCAGTGGAGGCGTTGCGGTGCATAGTAAGCGCCCGTGAAGGTTGGGACGAGCGTCAGTTTCCAATCCACAAGTCGGCTTTTCTGCGTATTTCGCGCCCGTTTTTGGCGGCATGAGGAGTGCGTCCGCTTAGGCGCTCACGCGCTGCAATGCAGAGTACTGATAGGGCAGCAGAGCGTCCGGGAGCATGCCCTGCACGAAGGACTGGTCCGTCGTATGGCATTGTTGCTTGCGCCGTGAGGACGCGCGGGAAAGGGCGGCTGGGCGTTGGATCAAGGCCGAGACTGTTTTTAGACGCGTTGGTGCGAAACAATCTGCTGTGCTGTAACTATGCAGGGAGACGTGCAACGGTGAGTGGTGAGTTTGGGGTTGTGGATGGGTAGTGTAACATTGAAGCGACTACCGAGTACGGATGCGGATGCGGTCATGACGAGCAGGTCGCGGTACCGATGCTGTGGAGGCACCTGTACTTCGATAGTGCCAGGGAAATGAAGGAGAGGCGAGTTGCGTACGAAGCATGTACGTCTCTCGATGGAGTTGATTGATTATACGGGTCGCCTCAACTTCAACGCGGCTACGCAAGTCCCATGGCAAGGAAAACTTGGCGGCACAAAGTCAAAGTCCAAACAAGGTCCTGCAGAGGAATTAACCATCAATCAAACAGCAATGCAGGTCACCGATAGACAGCTCGCCAGGTTCGTCCGGCCTGTTACATTTCCCATTTTCCATGCCCGATGGCGTCCCCAGGGGACACGAGACATGGGCAGCGTTTCGAGACCACCCCCGTGAATGAAGAGAGTGGATAACTCAGGGGGTGTCCGCTTGGGAATCCTGGCGTGGCTGAGTGTCCTGTGCCCGCCCGGGGTTCTTCTGCCTTTGAGCAAGGTGACGAACAAAGACGATTACGATCCACGCCGAGGCGGCATTTCTCACCGTGTCCTATTTTGCAAATTGTGTGCGGTAAGGGTAAAGGGAACTACTACGTAGTAGGCCCCTTGTACGCCGTCCATATGATTAAGTTGGTCTGTGAGGTGTCATGTTCGCCCGGGCACTCATGCGTGCCCGTGTTTCGTTTCATCTTGTTCTGTGTGGACGACTAGGACGGGGACCCCGATCCATCCATCCCATCCCGAGCCAACCCGTGGCACACCATCGGGAACTCCCTGAGATGAAGCATCAGCATCCAGAGACAGACTTAGAGGACGCTGAGATGAGGCGAGGGGACAGGCCTAAGCGGCGACGGCGGGTGGACGAGGTCCCTCCTGCGGCACGTGTCGAGAGTAACTAGCAAGGGGCAGCTGAGTCAAAGGACAAGGTACAAGGAGTACGCCGTCATGAAACATCTAGGACGTGGGGAAAATACGAAGGGGCCTTTTCCGGGGGGGCCATGAGGTTTCGCTTGGCTGGATAATTAGTCCTGGATAGCGAAGCCTGGATTCGTCGTCTTGGCTGTTGTGTCGCCCGGTCTTCCTAAGTTTTACCTGCGAGTCTCGCCTGGTCTTGACCTGGCCCATGATCTGGCTCTGGTCTCTTGGTCTCTGGTCGCCCATCATCGTGTGTTCGATGCAGCCGAACGTGCCGGCCGGCCCAGCAGGCTAGGTCAGGGTCGCCGCGGGAATGTGGAATACGGGAACGGGAGCCACCCAAGAAGAGGTGAACCGGGCAGAGCTGGAACGGGATGGTCCGTTCCCCGAGATCAACCTGTCTTTCATCTCTCGTGCTAAAGGTTGGGAATTGATGTGGCGGTGGTGGTGTGGTGGTGCGTTGCGGTGTGGCCACCTTCAGTGATGACCGAGATTATACCTATAGTGTAAATTTAGCTATTGATGAGTCGTGCCTAACCTCTCTCTGGCGAGAAGCTACCGCCCTGATGCAAGGACATCGAAATGCCATCGTGAGCGGGAGAGGCGAGGTTATTCTTAGCTAGAGGCGAAGGATAAGGATAAGGACGATGCCGATCCATGGCGCTGAAGACCAACAATGTCGATTGAAACAGCGACCCCTTCTTGAATGTTATTCGCCCTGGGAGCGCTCGAGGTGCAGGTCGCTAGGACATTGTCGCAAAAGCAAACATTGCAGCACCACAACAAGCGCCACCACCACGCGCCACGCCCACGCACCCACAACACAACTAAGCCTGGCCAAGATAGGGAAGATATGGGGGGCCTTGAATGCCCGTGGCCTCGGCATTGGGGACTCGTCGAGGGTTTCCGTTGTTGGTGCGTGCCTCTGCATCTCACGGTTTCTTGCTCGGCCCGTGCCTCGATGTCGTCTATCATGAACAGGCATTGTCCTCCTAGATTTCCATTTCCGGCCTGCTGGAACACTTTGAGCTGCATCGCCCGGCCTAAACCACGCCCAGGTAGTTGCGCTGTATCCATCATCGTCACGACTCTGCTCGGGGTTCCTGTCAGAGCCAGGGACTGTCCCGAGACGGAATGCGTAGGCCGATCGCGCCGTTACAGAGGGCTGCATGGATGCAAATAGCCCATCGACATGGATGCTCACCAATCCCCTGAGAGGCTGCCGCTGATTGGCTGCAGCCGCCACTAGAGCTGGGGGAGCTATGAGGAGGGGGGACGCCCCTGAGCCCTGCCTCGATAGTCCGTTCTAGCAGGCATCGGAGCCCTGTGACCCATGGCCGTGTGAAGCCTCAACGCCCGCTGCTATGTTTCTGCGCTGATTGGGACCTGGAACTGGACAGGGGAGGCATGACTCCGATGACTCCTCGTTAGAGAGAGTCCCCAGGAGAATTTCCTACTGCGTCGGAGAGAGACATGGGCAGTGTTGTAACGCATCAGGGAGCGGCCAGATCCATGTCATGATCCTCAATGACAAGTGGCATTGGGCCCAATCCATCGCCCTCTCCACTGGGTTATGGCGTCCACGGAGGGGATGGGAGGGGATGCCATGGAGACCGCTTGCGACGTGCCTGAGACGCTGAGTGGTCGTCACACGCTACTTGGCCACTGGCGTAGGGGACTACTGCGCGGTCAGGTAGCGTCTACCTGCTCGATGGGAGGATGTGATTGGTCTCCAGGGGGGAGTCGAACGCGGTCGGGTCAGTCGTGCTTGGTGTCCATACCATCCATGTACGAAGTGCTGCAGCGTCTGCGCTGTTCGTTGTGGATGTTGTGCGTGCGGGCAGAACCACACATACTTTTACTGATTGGATTAGATCACGGACTAGATCACCACGATTTACCGCGGTTGTAACTGTAAGTTTGGGTTGTGCGTTGTCGTTCTCTTCTGTGTGTGTGTGAGCGAAAATAGTGGCCAACGTCGTAGTGATGAGCGCCTGTGATGAGCGTGAGCGGATGGATTGGACGGATTGGATGGGAAGTGACGGATGTCGCAAGCGTGCGCGCGTGTGTGCGAGTCCACTCGAGCCCCGTAGAAGCCGCACTGGGGAGCGCGCACTGTGCTTAAGCGTCCCACCGTACCTGCCTATCCAGGCACACTGGGATTTTGCCAGTTTAGTGGAGTGGCTTGCCCCCCGAGCGGCCGAGCCGCCCCCAAACCGCCCGGGTATTCGGGTTTATCAGAGGGCAGGTTTGGCCACCACAGCCGGCGAGTGCCCCCAAGACTTAGCCGCGACCGTCGGCTTCATTCCAAGCACGGGATTACTTCCAAGGAGATTCCGGCCCTAAGGGGTGGGAGCGGCTTGAGAGGCGGACGGTCTGGTTACGGACCTAAAATTAAAATTTTGGCTTTCACTCTTCACATACCGGGCATCGCGAGCATTGTATCAGCGTCCAAGCGGCATGTTCGGAATTCGCGACGTAGCCCGCTGTAAAATCAGGTACCGCCAAGTGCTGATGGCGACCGCGACCTCGACCTCGACCGCGACCCCCTGTTCTTGCCGGGGGCCGCGGGGACAGTGAATGGTGCACTGTGGCAATGCGCGACTGAGTTGCGCGTGAATGTGGTGCCCCGCCAGTGGTGTGCTGCGCTGGCTACCGTACTGTACCAACTATCGACTGTACTGTAGCCACCTGGCTGGCTTCCCTGCCTTGCTACCTGGCCACCTGGCAGGGCCACTCGCCCCCAGGTGCAACTGGTGAGGAAGGAGTCGCCAGTGCCCCCTCCCCTTCCACCTCGCTTCCCACCCCCCCGACTCCAAACCAATCCACCCGTTCGTTCGCTCTTTCGCTCTGTGGCTCGTTCGTGCGTGCTTTCCCCAGCCCAGCATACCCGCCAAACCCTCTTTTTCCTTTCCTTCCGCCCACTCCCTCCCACTTTCCCACGCCCACTCACACCTCTTACTCTCTCTCGTCCGTCCTCTTCTTCCTCCTCCTCCGCTCTCTCTTCTCTCGACTTTCTTCCGCTCCTCTCCACCACTTCCTTTCCCCCCCTCCCCTTCTACCTCTGCTGCTCATCCGCCCTTCCTTCTTTTTTTCCTCTCTCTATCTCTCTCTTTCCGTCCGTCGCCTCGTTTGCCACGTTCGACCCCCGCGTTCGCGTTTGCGAGTCTTCGTCATTGGCCTCTCCGTGCACAATCCAACTCCCGCCCGCTCGCCCGCCTCTGCCCGTCCGCTCGCACCGTATCGCATCTCCCTCGGGATTCAGGAACAAAGATTGCAGGATACCGAACAAAAAGATCAAGATATCCAGCCCGAGGTTCTGGAAAGGCGCATCTGCTGGTGATACCCGCCATTTTAATCTCTGTACTTTATTCTTCGTCGATTCTTTTGCTTTTTTGGCGCGCGCCCGCCACCCGCCGTACACCACTTCCTAATTTCCGTCCGACCATCAAAATCCCGACCACGATTCTCGGACAAAAACCCACCTCGGAGAAAACAAAAAACATCAACAAAAAAGGAAGAACAAACACTCGGAGGAACAAAGAAGGCTTCCGAATTCACACCTGGAACGACATTGTTTCGACATTTTTCTTGTCTTGGACAGACAAACCCAGCTGGTGCTCGCGTGTTTAGTCGTGTGTCTATCACCCGACTTGTCCGCTTGGAGCGTGAATCTCTCTCGGTCGCTTCAACCGATCATCACCCACCAACCTCTTTCGCCATCGCCCGCGTCGCGTACAGTCATCACCCGACTTCGGCCTGACACACACCTCAACGACTTCCCAAGAAGATTTTAGTAGCTGCATCCTCCGGGATCCTACTTCCTCTTCTCAACGTCCATCGTCTCCTGCCATCGACAAGGTCTCCCGTGGCCCTTTCATTCATCGCCTCGCCTTCTTGTCTTTCTTGCATCCACTACACTTCATTTTAATTTTCACCGCGAGCGGAAATTCTCGTGAACCCACTCCTTGCGTCTACCGTTCTCCGAAATAGTACGCTTTCTTGGATCTGCGTTTTTTGCCATCTCCGCCACGCGACAACTCCGCCCTCGACTCGTGCTTCTGCATTACCATTTTCAGACGCCAACCTTCGTCGATTCGACCGAGATACCCACAGCGCATAATTTTCCCTGCCCAATTCAACGGACACTACCGACCTTTCTAATTTCCACCCGAATAGTCTCTTCCCACAAGAGATCTTCGACCCACGTTCATTCCTACTCTCAACAACGTCTCGCGATAACTACTTTTGAGCCATGGACGCAGGCGGTCTCGCTCAAATGTCTTCAAACAGTTTCGCCCCCAGCGGGCTGACCTTGCCTTCCGGAGGCTTGGCCGCCCGCCGTGGCAGCCAGAATGTCAAGCCCCTCTCTTTTGATGCCATCAACCAGAGCAAGGACAAGGACCCTGGACTCCCCACCCCTCGCACCAGCCGCTCTCACCTGCTCGCTGGTCTGAGGACCGCGCCAAAGTCCGCGACTGTTGCCTCCTTCGGCCCCCAGTCTCCTACTACTACCGCTCCCGCTCAGCAGTACGCCCGCAACTCCATGGCTGGAAACGCCTATGGCATGGGTCAGGACAATGCCTACAACGGCCCTAAGACGGCGTTCCCTCAATACGGCACCCAGAACAACTACAACAACTCTATGATGAACCAGCAGTACACCGTCGATCAAGTGTTGGCCCCCCCTGAGCTCCCCATTGATGAGCAGGCTCAGGAGCACATGGACCCTAACCTGTACGCCCAACTTGTCGCTACCAACATGTATCTGGCCCAGCAGCAGCAGCGCCTCCAGCAGCAACTTAGGAGCGTGCAGGCCGCTGCCCAGCAATTCCAGCAGCTCAACCTCAGCAACCCGCAGCTCACTCAGCAGCAGTTGGCTCTCTATGAGCAGCAGCAGCAGCTCCGAAACATGCAGCAGCAGCTCGGCGTCCAAGCCGCCCTGAGCCAGCAGCAAGCCCATCAGGCTCAGCAGACCCAGCAGGTTTACTACAACCCCATGACTGGCCAGTACTACTTTGACAACTCTGCTGCTGTTCAGATGAACGGGTCCTATGCCGACCAACCCGCCACTCCTGGCTTCAACGGATTCCAGCAGCAGCAGCAACAGCAGGCCACCCCCTCTGTCCAGGTTTCCCCCCCGGCTGAAACTCAGCCCTTCTCTTTCCGAAGCAATTCCCCTCCCAAGCGATACGAGTCTCCCAGCGAGGTGACGCCTCTCCCCCCGCCATCTGCGAATGCCTTCCGCCGGGGTCATAAGAAGGCTTGTTCCCTAGCCCCCGTCAACAGCTCCCTCGCCGCCGCCGCTCCCAACGATGCTCCTAAGTCTGCCGGTCCCAAGACCGGTTCGTTCCCGATGACTCCCCTCACCGGAGGATACGGACCTGGCCAGGCCCGTGCTGGCGAGCACCCTGTTCGTCAGCCCCGTGGCCCTCCTTCCCTGGATGAGCTCAAGTCGAAGCCTACCGCCAAGCACGAGGGCAGCAAGAACTTTGCCACCCGCACCAGACGATCTGCAGTTCACAACCTTGTTCGTGCTGGCCTGGAGCGCCGCAAGGGCTCCGGCAGCTCGTGCGGGAGCATGAGCCCTGTTTCCGAGACCGGCGAGGAGTCGACCACTCCTATCACCGACAACGAGTCTGACTCTGGACGCAGTGGTTCCGGCAGCCTGGCTGGTGAGATGGAGTGCTACAGCGCGCGAACTTCCACAAGCGGTGCCTGGGGAGCTATCGGCTCGGACCGACCTAGCTCGCGCCAGAAGGGCCGCAAGAGCTCCGACAGTGTAGGCAGTGCAACCTCAGGTTGCGAGAGCGAGAACAGCTCTTTTGCGAATGTGTTCAAGAATGGCGCTCTGCGAGCGGCCAAGGCGCAAGAGTCGGCTGACAGCCAGCGCAAGGCACCGAGATTGGTGCTCACCAAGGGCACCCAGGGTGTTTAAGGTGACGCTGCGGCTATAGATGTTCATTACACTCCTTCTCACGACTTATGTGCCCGGACTATTTCTTTTTCACATGACTGCTCGGACTGGCGGGAATGCATTTGATGGTTTTCGTTGGGTCCTTTTTTTTTGTGTCTCGCTGGGGAGTCTTTACTACCGTTCTGCATGGGGTGGTTAATCCACACTTTTGTCTTTGCCTGCTTTATTACCTATCGAAGTTTATAATTCGCTTCACAGTCTCTCCTTCAGACGTCTTGTTACACTTGGCCACGACATGAGGGGGAATTGCCCGGGGATTATCTTGTCTCAGTCTAGACGGACTATTCGGGTGTTTGTTTGGGGGACTGACGAGGAATCTTTATACCAATGAGGATGAGAAAATCACGGAAGGGAGAGATGTCTGGTCTGAGGTCTCCGCGAGGCGATCAGACGGCCCCTGGTGTGAGTTACGGCCGGCGGTCCCGGCTGGGACACATGTCTGGCAAATTTGACATTTGCTTCTTGCATTCCTTGCGCATCTCCTGGCGCTCTCCTGTCTTCTTTTATCCTGCTCTGCTGGAGAAGACAGGGAGGAAGGGAGGAAGCGACAGGTAGATATGGAGATGTAGAATTAGTTTAGGAATTGGCACAATTTAAATTGACGGCCACTTCAACATTTGTGTCTATGGTTCCGTTAACTGTGAAGCCATGCGAGACAGCCGGACAATGTTTGGTTGGTTAGCTTCTGGCCTTAGAAGTTCATTCGTAAACACAAGAGAGTCGAGCAGTCAAATAGTTGATGTCCAACGTCTGGTTGCAATTGCTTGCCGGCCTATATCCTTCGATTCATCCATCATCTATCATCCTTCAAGTCAAGTCAAAGCCACTTCACCCTACAGTAATGCCCGTTCCCAACCACCTCGTGCCATGCAGCCATGCGAACCCATGCTATTCATCCTCGTCTCGTCTCATCTCATCTCATCCATCCCCCGCGTCATCTGCGCACGTCTTGCGTTTGTTCCGTTTGACTCATACATGCCCAACCCACTGCAGACGCTACCCCAGGCATCCCCCCGCGACACACCGTCGCCCCCAAGAAAGGGAAAAGAAGGGTAAAAAAGTAAAAAAAGAACTGGTAGAAATGGAAAGGGTGTGGGGGGAGGCATCCGGGTTCTTCTACCTCGCCTCGTCTGTGGATGACGCCGGGGATCAGGGGGTAGGGGTCGAGGTATAGTAGGACCTGATATTACGTTGTCTTCTTTCACCTCTCCCTTGGTATAGTCTCGTTGCTGTTTTCGTCCTTGTTCTGCCCCGCTGCTGTAATGTACCCCCTGTCATGTCGTCTATTCCTAGATGCTCATGTCATATACGTCATGGGAACTAGCATCATGACCACTTGACATCGCTCGGCGCCCGACTTCGCCTCTTGCTGGTGACGTGGACGCCGACGCCGGCCGCCGTCATACCGGACAGACCCAGGCTTGGGGGCGCGCCGCTGCCGTCTCTGCTGCTTAGCCCGTCTCTGCTGCTCAGCCCGTCTCTGCTACTCAGCCCATCGCGGCTCCTGAGACCGTCGCGGCTGGCTGATGCGCGGACGACGTTCTCCTTATTACTCAGGCTGCTGTCGCTGCGGACAACCATGGGCGAGTCAGACCGGGCGATGCCACCGCCTCTGTCCATCCTGGCACTGCCTGGACCAGCCATCGACGTCCGGGGGAGGCGGCTTTTGCCTCCAGCGTTGCCCAGCGACATGGACTCTCCGCTGACGCGTCGCGGGATGCCGGTCGGTCCATCTCGGCTTCGGGGCCGGTAGAGGATGCCTTCCCGCTCTCGCTCCAGAGCGGCTGACCGGCGTGGGCTGGCCGCAACCTCGATGTATGCGTTTCCTGCGAGGCTGGCTCGGCTCCGATGCGTCGGCGTCTGCGGGACGGACGCGGACGTGTGTAGGCCCGGTGGCGTATAACTGGTATTGCGTCGTGAGCCCGAACGCCGCGAAGAGGTCGAGCTCGGTACACTGGGGACGACCTCGTGCGGTCTTGCGCTTCCTTCGACGCTGGACCTGACCAGCTCCGAAGCCAGGTTCCGTACCAGAACGGCCGAATCATTCTCCGATAGCGTCTGGATGGCGTCCATGAGAGAACGAACCTGGGAGCTGTTGAGCGACCTGGTTCCATCGCCGCTTCCGAGCCCTGGCTCGCACGCATCCATGATGGTCCTCACCAGCCTGAGCAAGTTCAGGCGCACCACGGCCTTCTTGTGTCCCAGTCTTTGGGAAATGCCCCCAAACATCTCGGGCTTCGCCAGCGATGCCGCGACCGACGGGCTCAGGCGCAGCAGCTTGAGCAGGGGCTCTAGAAGGTTCGAGTCGAACGAGTTGAGCTTATTGGTATTGAAGCAGCTGACGATGGCGCGGGTGAAGTGGCCGTCCACGAGGTGGCTCTCCACGTTGGCCGTCTCTTCCTGCAACCAGATCAGGATTGCATCCAACGCCGTCACCTGCCAGTACTGGTCCGTCAAGAGCGAGACGTAGAAGTCAAGGCCCTTGTTCTGCCACAGATATCTGCGACCCTTAGATCCGGAATGCGCCATATCGCACAGGATCGGTAGCGCAAACTCCTTCGGTGGCCGGTCTGTCCGCATGATGCGGAGCAACAGCGGGATGATACCGCCCACGGCAGCATCCTCTTGGCGCTCCTTGCTGAGACGGCAGAGGTTGAAGAGGGTGTTGAGGACTTGGTTGGAGATTTCCCGGAAATGCGTTTGACCCTTCTTCATGCTGTAACTGAGGAGGTCGATGAGGAATTCGATGGCGTCGGCGGAGTGGAGGGATTCGATAGTTGTAGAAAGCATCGAGAGGTTCTTGATGAACTTGAGCATCGTGATTTGGTGAACGGCAGTCATCCGCCGTAGGTCCTTCAGAACACTCTTCAGCACCTGTCGGTCCGCCACCACCTCCTTGACGTAGTTCTCTGCCTGGCTGAAGAGGTAGAATATGTTGACGATTCGCCCTTCGATGAGTTCGTCCAGCTCATCTTCGCCTTCTTCATCGAGAACTCTGTGCAGCACCAACGCCAACGGGTATAAGATCTTGCTGCGTGAGAAGATTCTGCAAAAGTCGTTCTTGGGCGTCGGGCCCTGAAGTTCGAAGACGTTCCAAATACCGTTGACGCCAATGAGAACCAAGTCTCTGGCGTTGTCGTAGTCTTCGTCAAGAAATTCGACGAGCACGTTGAGACCACCGGCGGAGACGAACATCTGCAGTGTCAGAGTCGACGTCTGATACATCTGGCGCACAAAAGCCGCTGCTTCTAGACGAATCTCGTCCGAGTACTGCCGGGCTGCAAATTTGGTAATGATGGGGATACCACCAACGAAGCACAGGTTCTCTTGGATTTCGACATCGTCAAGGATAATCTTACACATGTTAGCGAGGCCTGATAGCTTATGACTGACTGGACCTACCGCGTTGACTACTTTGAGCAGCTGCAATATCGTGTATTGCCGGCTTTTCACCGTGCAGGGCTCCAAGATCTCCAGGATGGGTAGTAATCCATGAGCGCTGATGATGAGGTTCTTCACCTCGTTGTTCTCCCATAGCAGGGCAAGCTGGATGCGGTTAGACATGTCCTGATTCCGACGCATGGGATACCACTTACTAGGTCTTCAGAGAACTCTGCCAGTGCGTCCTCACCTTCCGTCGTCTTCAAAGATCTTACCAAGCCCTCTACCTTCTCTGCTAACCTGGCGTGCCTGTCTCTGGCAATGTTGGCTTCTAGATCCATCTCGTCCCATCCAGGGTCCATTGATGCAAACGGGTCGTCTTCGTCTTCGTCATCCCCCAGCCATGAGTTACTGGACACTCTAGATAAGAGCATCAGCCCGCCATCCTCGGATCCTCGCTCGCTCTCCTCCACTTCTGCAATCGGGGCTTCGGGTCCAAAGATGTCACTGAAATCCTCGTCATCATCCTCGGCAAACTTCTGGATCTCTATCGAGGAGCGAGTGCGTCTCATGGGACGATCCGGAAGCACGGTTGGCCTTGACGCGAGTGTCTTTTTTATGCTTCCCGCTATGGGATCTTGCATCGATCTAGGCAGAGTGGTGAGGTCTGAGGGGTGGAAGAGTTGTGGAGCATCGCTCTGTCGTGAGCCCTGCGGGCAAAATGTTAGCTATGCACAATGATCGGCTAAGGAGAACTGGTATAGTATACCTTCTTGACTGCCTGGTTCACTCCGTGATTAAACACACTGTCGTTGTCCACAAAGAGGTCTGAAAAGTCCTCTATACTCTGTTCTCGGAATACCACATCGGGCCTCGGCGGCAGCTCGAATCGGTTGCCAAAATGTGACTTCGTTGGTGATTTGGTCCGTCCCGAACCTGAAAGGCCTGCAGCCCTGCTCACGCTCGATCTGTTCCGGTGATGTGACCTGGACGGCTCCATGGGTTTCTCGGGCTTCTTGGGCAACGGCCTAATCGTCTGTTCCTGCGGGTCGTTATCATGCCAATGGTGGGGGCCCTTGATTGTCATAAGCTCCCCCTCAAAGTCCTCATCGTAGTTGGAGCTGTCGTTCCTCCCATCGTTGACCGACGCGAATGCCTTGAGGCGGTCACTAGACAGCAAACCACCAAAATTGTCCTGTGGTTTGAGATGCGGCAGTTGGAGTGCGCGGGGCGAAATGGCCGTCGTGAAGTCATCGTCCCAGTTGTCGTCATCTATAAGCTAAAGTCAGTGCCTGTTGGGAGCTTAAACACGATTGGTGTTGATAGGCTTCTGCAAGTGTGCGGCCGGTTCAAGATTAAAAGCAATGGAAAGACAAACGCTATAGTTTGTGACATACCAGCAAGTTCGGGTTTCCTGAAAGCTTCAGCACCAGGCCGAGGCTTGGCAAGAGTCAAAGGCGCCTTGCCAGGCGTCCCTCCAAATCGAGTTGAGGGACCAGCCTCGGAACCGGTCGACGCGCGGAGGGATGATTCTGAAGATTTGAGGGCCTTGTTCCATTGTTTAACTTCTTCCACGGCTTTGTCAAAGTTAGAGGGTGCTTTTGAGACAGGCGCTTCCGCTCGACGGCACCCCGTGATCCAAGGATGGCGGAGTAGCTTTCGGGCGGTAACTCGGAGATTGGGATCTTTTTGGAAGCATTGCATTAGGAAATCTCGGGCGGCCTGAATTGAGTTAGAAAGCGGAGACTGCCAAGGGGGGCATCGAAGACTAACAGCAGAGATACCCTCTGGTAGAGGAGGGTGGTCATCGTTCACAATGGCGAACAAGGCGGGCATGGCGGCCAAGTTGTGATACGGCGGTTTGCCCTGCAGCAACTCAATCACGGTACATCCAACACTCCAGATATCCGAGGAAGAGCTAGCTCCAGAGAGCTGGATGATCTCAGGGGCCATCCAGTAGGGAGTCCCCACGACCTGGGCTTCCTTGTCTTGCCCACTGGCGAGGGTACTCGTAGAAACACCGAAATCCGCCAGCTTGACGGTGCCGTCTTTGGTGGTCAGGATGTTGGCGCCCTTGATATCGCGATGGATGACACCCTGGTCGTGGAGGTAGTGCAGACCATGAAGAACTTGGGTCATGTAGACACCGACCAGGTTTTCAGGAAACTTGCCGTAGGATTTGCAAATGGAATGCAGGGATCCATTTTCGCAATATCTGGTGGCCAGTTAATTTTCAGTTCTCAGCCATTCATTCCTCATTGGAGGGCCCTACTCCAAGATGATGTTGAGACAGTCCACCGACTTCACGAAGCCGATGTACTTGACAATGTTGTCATGCTGTTCACGGTTAGTCCATTGCTGCCCTTGAGTTCCTTGGAAATTGTGAGGTTTCTCTTACATGAAGATTCTTGAGCAAGTCGATTTCGCTCTATGTGCGCTCGAGCCCGTCAGCATCTCAGTCTCCTGCCCAGCTTCCCCTCAAAATTCGGCTCAGCTCGTCCACACCACAACAAACCCACCTCGATCATGCGCAGCTCGCTTTTCGGTAGATCCGTGAGCTTTATCTGCTTTACGGCAACGGCCTCGCCGTTTCCCCAGTTGAAGGCTTTGTAGACGGAGCCAAAGGCGCCTTTTCCGAGACATTCACCTAAGCGCTATTCCACCACCCAAAAAAAACCGTATGTCAGCACTTCTGCAATATCTCACCCACAGCAAATCCCCCACGGTCGGGACGATGTAGGCCAGCTCCTTGGTGGAAAGGGAACCGGATCGGTAGGTAGGGGGTGTACACACGTAGTCCTTCAAGCCCGGATCCTGCAGGGCAGAGCTCTCGCGGTGCTTGTCTTTGCGCGAAGGTGTGCCGGGCATGGCTGAGCGTTCGCGGCCGGCCACGGCACCGGCGCGGCCATTGGCGTGGTACTGCCGCTCGGGCAGCATCTCTCAGGTTCACTCTCTGCTGGCGATGCTCAACGGTGGCTGTCCCCGGGCGGGATGTGCCTCGACAAGCAGACGCAGCGGCAGCGAGCGACCGGGTGGCAGGGGAGGACGACGAGATGGGCGTCAAGGCGGGGATCGCATTCCCGGCTAGGATCGAGCTGCGGCAGCGGGAAGGAGTTGTATCCGCATCCGCATACGAGGCGAGGATCGAATTGCGAGGATTTCTCGTCGTGCGGTCGGTCGTCTCGTTCGCTACCGGGCTGTCGGGGTCGTCGTGATCGAGGATCGTGGGCGCGGGAGTTGAGATGGAGGGAGGGGCGGCGGATCAGCAGCAAGGGACGGCGTCGGGTCGTGGGAGGCGACGGAGAGCGGGCCCGGGGCTAGTTCAAAGGAAAGACGGTTCGACACTGGGGCCGGAGGAAAAGAGAGGGAGGGAAGCCCGTTGTGTGGCGAGGGAGAGAGAGGAGCGGAGTGAGAGGGAGTGGGCGAGGGTGGGAGAGGAAATTCAGCCCAGGTACAGAGGGATGCACAATGCCGTTGCCAATCAATCAATGGCCGTTGTGTTGTATCTCAACCCAACCCAAAGACCGAGACCAAGCAAAAGACCAAGTCCCAGCGACCAACACACCACACACACCACTACGGCCAGCCAGCGTAGCCCTGTAAGCCCCCGCCTGTAGGCAGCCTCCCAGCAGCCTATGGGGAGCCCGTAGGGAGCTGGCACGGCCTGCGAGCCATCCACTGTAAGAGGGACGTGTGGCAGACATGGGGGCTACCCGGGGGGCATCCATGCAAGGGCCCTTCGGGGTACGGAGGTGCACGGCGCCGTGCGTGGGCCACCCAGCGCTGATGCAGCTGATGCTGTGGATGCAGTGGATGCATCGATGTAGTGATGCAGTGATGCCGGGCGGCGGCGCCTATTCCAGGGATCGGCACGGGCGCTGCAGGGCGCTGGACTGCGCTGGAACAAACCTGCGGCTGTGCTTCCCCCCGCCCCTAATCAGGCCCTAGGCGGGTAAGTACGAGTTGTGCTCGGGCGTACATACATACATGCGAGTGCAGATACCTTACCTGGTGGGTTTTACAGGGCGCCCGCCGCTGAGGTTTACCGTACATTGCAGGTGTTGTTGCAGGTATTACCACTGCATGCCGTACCTGCTGGCGACTGGCTGCCCGTTCTTCTCCACCAGCTCTCTCCCAATCTTCCGGTTTCCCCACTGGCTCCTGGGCGGCGGCCATCCCATCTGCTCCGAATTCCCCACAGTTGAGGTGGCTAGCTCCCCATTTTCACGCGCCTGTTTTCACGCCCAACGGGCACCCGAAATCAACACGAACAACAAGACAAGCCAAGTCAAACCAATACAAGGGCGATGGCGAGGGCGATGGCGAGGGCGGTTCAGATCTCAATGCTTGGCCCTGCAAAATTAACCATGTCTTTGTTTTGTTTCTCCATCTGCAGGGTCGGTCGCTCAAGCCCTAGAAATGGCGTCGATACAGACCACGGCAACATCCATCCTTCAGATCACGCCCATGTCATGCCATGTAATGAAAACGGATTCACGGTGTCTGGGCAGGTCTCACCTTTTGTCTCCGTTGGGCGCCCTTCCCCCAGGCGCCACAATCCCTCGGGTTAAATGGGAAGAATGCTCGCCAAGTCCAAGTCGAGGCCAAGACAAAGGGAGTGGATGAAAGGCTTCAGCCCCCGGATTACTAGGTGGATTAAGGGAGGTGCCTATGTGCGCCATCTCCTCTCTCGGACTCGGTTTCCCTTGTTCAGACTCGAGTAATCACTGGTAATTACCCTATCTAATCCGTATATCCACGCTCGCTCCCTCGGGCGGTCCATGTCTCAGCCCGCCATCACCGTGTGGCTTTGAAGCATTCAGATCTGGTTAGTCCAGGGACAATCAATTAACACACAGTCGCAAATGATGACGACTCCTTCCCGTTGTCGATAAACAACTCATCACCTCCATCCCAAGAACGAGGGCCGACTTTTTGCTCTTTCAGCCTGCCTCAGCGACGCCCCAACTGGCGCCTCTCACCTTTCTGAGCTTCCATCCCACCCACGACGGATGATGAAATCAACCAACCAACCAACTATCTCTCTAACTATTGCCTTAGCCTCGCGCCGCTAATGCGACTCATCCTGGCTTGTCTACACCCATCGGGCATGGGGAGCGCACTTGGCCTCCCCAGTTTAATCTCTTACTCCCTGCAATCCTCCGATCTGGTGTGCCTCGCCACGTCGGCTTCCCTTGAAGAGCTGAGCATGGCTACCGAGATATGTGCACGCAACCTGGGCCTGTCCATGGCGGCTCCGGCGCCGATCGCCTTTGCAAATCACGCGGGAGGGGAACTGGCCAGGGTGCGGTCTAGAGTGGCCTCCCAGGCTCCTGTTGCATCCATGCGTTCCGCCCAGCGACAGTGTGACGTGACGCTGGCATGACGATGTCTCGTGGCGTTCGTCAGGGATGCCGTCAATGCCTTGAGCCTTGAGCCTTGACTGCCTCCTCTGAAAGTACCTGCTCTCCACTCATTCTAAACCGCCAAACCGCTAGGCCACGCGAGAAAGGTTAACTCGCGAATCAATGCCTCCGAGCATTAGCGAAACCCAGAGCGGTGAGAAGCCAGCGGCGCAGATAGATGAAATACAGCAGCAAGTGCCCACCCACCATGTCTCGTAACCCTTGTTCTCAATCCCGATTTGTAGATCCGGAGGAGCAAGCATCCGTCCCGAGAACCAGGCAAGGCTATTTACTACGCAGCACTTCACCCCAACGACTTAGGCTAGGTTTCTTCAAAACGTTCTCATTTCTGGCAATTGGAGTCGTGACTAAGTGAAACCGTTGAGCAGTGCCTGGAGTAAGCTGTATGTGTAAAACACGCCCACGCAAGCCATACTTGACCAACCGCGCGTCACAAATATTTAACGCCTACATGTCGAGATTTCCGAGGGACCACGTGAAACTGACATTCAAACATAGCCATGCCAGAGAGACAAGGCCACCTTTGGTGGTCTTTTTGCATTCATTTATGCTGTTCGCTTAACCCATTAAAACCATGGCTACGTCAGCCAAGAATCCTATCGCAAGCCAAAATCAAGTCCCAAAATACTCCGATATGATACAGCACATCCTCACCTGCCTTTCTTTCATCTCTCAGCCGTTTTGGATCCTCCGTGGTTTCGTCCAGTTCTCCCGTTTCCACCTCCTCCAACTGTCGCTGTCAAGGAAAATCGTAACATGGCCTACCCGGCCTTCTAATCTGTTCCATCCTGCGGGAGTGTTCTGCTGAGGCCAGCCTCAGCCCACCACTCGTCCGGTATATCCTCCCGTCGAGCCAGGCTGCGGACGATGCGCTGCATACCTGCCCACTCCTCCTCCCCCGGGGTCGCATTGTTCGCCGATGTTGCGGAGCTCTCCCGGTTCGGACTCCGGTGCTCCGTTCCCTGCTCGTCGTCCGAGGTGCCTACGGACAGATGTCCAATCCATCCATATCGGGGTTCGTAGAAGTGCGCCTGAGACATGTTTTCGTGGGAGAAAGGGTCTCCCATTACCTGTCGGCGACGCTGGCGGTCCACTGGGCCATTTCGGGCCCGTGCCGAACGCTCGGAGGCGGTTGCCCCGCGCCGAGTGAAAGGTCCGTCTGCCGGACCTTCTAACGGCCCGTCCAGCGGCCCATCCAGGTCGTAGTCGGGGACTCGCATCCGAACACGCCTCGACTCGTTATAGCGACGGTGGATTTGTCCCGAGTCAGGTTGGTCGTGATCGGCTCCCTCCGTGTCCGAGTTCTCACATCCCGACTCACAGGGCTGGTCTGGTGCTCCAGGTTCGCCGAGCTCGGGTCCGGTCAAAGATGTGCTTGATGATACACCGGCGCTCTGGGAAGCCACGGTGGAGTGGAAGGAGGAGCCCGCGCTGGGTGGCTGAGGGTCAGGTGTCAATGTGGTCAAGAGGGTGTCCCAACCCTCAGGACTCAGGCTCCTGTCACGATCCCCGAGCCCGTCCACACCTCGCATGCGCTGAATGATTAAATTGCGTTGGTGTTCGCTACCTTCAAACCCCGACAAGGATGCACGGATACGAGACTCTGTCCTTTGGCGTCGGCTTAAACTACCCGTCACCAACGGGGGGCGAGACGCTCTTGGCTGTGGCACCAATGGCAAGATTCTCTGATTCGGGCGCGGGCGGTCCTCACCATCCTGCTGAGATCGAGTTAGCAATCAAGGTCCGAAAGGTGCTATGATGGCGCCGATTGTAGGAGTAATGTATTGGAACCATCGAATATTCATTGGGGCAGCTTACAATCCGAGTGCGGGGGACGTGTGCCAAAGGATCACCTGCCCACCATCCGATAGTCGCAGCAACATCCCGGAAGTTGTTATTTTCCGCCGGTCTGACTTGTTGGGTGTCGCCGCTGAACAGGCTGTGGAGCTGTTCCTCGAATCGTTCCCTGCTCTGATCGTCGCTTCTGACCATCTCCCTCAATACTTCGCGGAATGGCCTTGAATGCGGGTCCTCCATCTGGATCTCGCCGAAATTTATGTTCTCGCCGGGGAGCCGAGCGGGCACATTGGGGCGGCCACTCCCAGATAAAGAACTTGATTGCCGTAAGGAGCCGGTGGCCAGTCGATCGCGAATCGACATGTGGCGTCGAATGGCTGCGCGACGTTCGCGAGAATCTGGGCGCGCATGACGCCGGATGCCGGAGCGTGATGGTGATGTCGCGCTGTTCTTGTCCGTAGCCTTGGATGGTAAGTCTGACTCGACGGGGGCGACGAATAATCTGTAGAGGGTCGGGTTCAATCAGTGCACAGGTTTCATGAAATTGCTGCGGGCGTGACGGCGACGGAATCAAGGGAACGCATCGCTACGCGTGATTGAATGACCGCGGGGTGCAGTCACGGTCGCAACGCGATGTAAGATGCGTTGACGTGATGTGGCGATGGCGGCAAGATCCATCCCTGATGCGGACCAGGGAGTGCGGCTGCGCTGCGATGCGCTGGCGCGACGGCGTCAAGGCGGGCTGGGGAAAAAAGGGTTGGCTTACGGAAGGCCCATTTTCGCAGGAATGGGATATCAAAAGCGAGAAACGAAAGGCGCGAGAGTGGGATTATTGGAGACGAGCCCCGAGGACTGTCGCTGAAGCTGGGCGGCGTGGGTGGTGATGGCGCTGCCTGGAGCGTGAAGTCGGACGGTGGAGGAGGATGGATCGAGTCGGGAGACGGGGCGACAAGCGACGGGAGAGGCTCGCGCTGGGGTTAATTGTCAATTTTTCGCGGGGGCGGAGGCGAGAGACCAGTGAAGAGTTGAAAAGGGAGGCGCGAATCAGGGCGGGTGGGCACTTCCCGCTCTTGGTTTAATGGCCCGTCCCTGAATGCATGCAGCCGCGTTTGTTTTGATGATGGTGACTGTTAGCGGCTGCGAGGCGTTACAGGTAAGTTTTGCGATAATAAAGCTGGGTGCTAACAGGTGCTATTAAATTGTGGCTGGGAACGGTCTTGGATTCACACGCTTGGACACAGCCACAAACCATGTCTCATGGTGGGGCAAGTATGTGTGGCTGGGGCGTGGCACAGAATCTCAAGTGGGGCTTGTGCCGGACTCCCACGACGCAGCGAAAATTATTGGACCATGATGATCAGTTCACGCCACCATTCCGCTCCAAGGCCTCACTGGCACCGCATCTCATCCTGTCAATCGGCCGGGAGATTGACCCATCTCTCACATACGTAGCCCCTTCGGCACCTCATCACCGCGGCGGGCCCGGTGAGATGCCGTCTCACCATGCCTTCCTCCCAGGATATACAGCTCGCCATTAACCGCATCTACCGCGCTCTATCCGGCAAGAGAAAGCCCGGATTTCGAGATATCCGTCTCGGACTCGACCGCATTAACCGAGTCGTACCGGCCACCCAGGAGTGGAAGGGGGTTCATGTCGCCGGCACCAATGGCAAAGGCTCCATCTGCACCTTTCTCGCCGGCCTCTTCAAGCTCGGTGGTATTGGATATGGAAGCTACACGTCACCAGCCTTCCCGGAAAGCTATAATGGCATCACCATCAATGGACTCTATGTGAATCCGCGCATGTATGAGATGGAGAAGAACCACGTTCAGGCCAAGTGGGATCGCATAGCCTCCGGGTGGAAGTTCCAACACGGCGAAGACCCCGAGACTTTGTCGCCTTTTGAACTCGAGACGGCCACAGCCTTTCGCGTATTCGAAAAGATGCATGTCCCATACGGCATCGTCGAGGTCGGCATGGGTGGAGCCACTGATGCCACCAATGCCATGAAACAAAAGGCCGTCACTGTCATTTCCAAGATCGGCCTCGATCACCAAGAGTTTCTCGGAAACAGCATTGAGAATATCGCCAAGGTCAAGGCTGGCATCATGCAAAAGAATGTCCCTTGCATCGTCGACCACACCAACCCTCCATCCGTCATACGAGTGCTGAGAGAACACGCTCGGGAGGTGGGAACCGATCTCATCCTCACCTGGAAGGCCGAACCCTTCCTACTGACCCTTAACAACGAGAAGTGGAAGCTAGAAAGCTACCAGATCCAGAATCTACTGTGCGCAGCCCTGGCTTTTAGACACATATTCCCTCATAAGGAGATCAACCTCGACAAACTACTGGCCACCGAGCCCTACCTCCCCGGTCGGATGGAGGAGGTTCAGATCTCGCCAGAGATTTCTGGAACAGAAGATCGGAATATCCTGGTCGACGGAGCTCACAACATGTTAGGAATCGAAGGACTTGTCAGCCATGTCGACAAGTGGCTTCGGAAGGATACGCAGCCAGTGACCTGGGTCATGGGAATGTCGTCAAGCAAACACAAGCCGTTTGATCAAATTATCGAAAAGGTTGTCCGACCCCAAGACAATCTTGCCTTTGTGGAATTTACTCAAGGGCCCAATGACCCTGCACCAGCTCCTGCCAACTATGGCGCAGACCACGCCAAGGCCATTGTCAAGAGTCCCGATCAAATTTACGCAGGCCAGCCCGAAGTTGGAACTGCGTTGCAATGGGCGTGCGACAAGGCCGGCAAAGACGGCCCGGTTGTGGTAACCGGCAGCCTCTACCTCATAAGGGATCTGTTCAAGCTCGAGGGCATCCGTCGAAAGCGAGAGCTTGGAACTCGCAGGCCTGGGCGATCACAACTATATCGATACACCAAGCTCGCACAAGAGCGGAAGTTGACGGAGGAGGAGGAAAGGGAGTTCAAGCAGGCACGGCGACACTGGCATCTATCACCTATACGCAACAAGACCTTTGCCAACGTGCGTGATGGTGGCAAGGTCAACTCTCCAGAGGTGTCGGCGGAGACTTCCGAGTGGCAACGGAAGGCCGCCTACCACAAGACACAAGCGAATGGATACCGGAAATCGATTTCTGCCATTCAGAATGATATCAAACGAAACTCCGCCAAAGACGGGCAATCCTCCAACGAGGTCGTCGACAGTCTCGCCGATAAGCTGGAAGGTCTCAAGAATCAGGCCATAGAACACCGAGAGGAGTATCAAAAGGCCATGCTCCAGGTCAGGGGGCGGCGGGCCTTGCCCCACAAGAAGTTTATGGGGCACACGATGATCCTCGGACGGCCGCGGAAGGCTAGGGAGACCACAAAGTCGCCTTTCATCATGCCCGAACGAACAGAGACCGCCGAGTCTGCAGCACAGCGCAGCTCTAACGTCGCGTGGGAATCGAATGTGGGGGAGGTGGCGGCAGCAGCAGCAGCTAATGAGGCGAATGAATTGAGGAATATTCGCGCCGCGCAGAAGAAGGACGGCAAGGGGACTTCAGTTGATCCGTTTGCGGATACCTTGGCATCGGGTCGACGAGACTCGTAGAGATCGCAGATGTGCCAGGACTTACTTAAATATCTATGACCATGTACTACTAGGACGGGTTGGGATGGGATGCATAGAATCGGAACGCAAGCACCACGGGCTGACGGAACCTAACTGTATATTACAATGCCGTTGGAGAATACTTGGTCTTGAATCTTATTGTTAATGCGCTTGTTCAACCTATTCCGTCACGAAATGGATCCTGCTAGACAACTTATGGTCACTCCCACGTACCCGCTACGCCTTGCCAGCCATGCCAACTCCTTTTGTTCGAGATGCCTCACCCACAGAGTCGCGACCAGCCCGACATCACATGATCAGACCCTCATCTCTCAAGCCCAGCGACCCAACCGAAATCAATCTATGAAGCTTTTCCTCAACCAACATCCAAGAATGGCCTCTTCCCGTACGCACCTCATCGTCGTTTGCGGGCACGGCATCTGGCTCGGCGGCCCATCTCACGGCAGCGACGAGGCGGAGTGGCTCATTGCTGACTTCCAACGCGGGGAGACAGATACGTTTATCGAGCACATCAAGGCCGGGGTGACATGTCTCGCCGACGATCGAGCGGGCTCCGTGTTGATGTTCTCGGGGTGAGTCTTGTCCGAGAATCCGAATTCGGGGTTGTTTGACTTACACAAGCGGTGATAGGGGCCCGACAAGGAAAGAGTCGCAACTGTCCGAGGCGCAGAGCTACGCAAATATCGCAGCGAAGAACGGATACTGGGGTCTACTACCAGGCGGTATCTCAGACGACGAGATTATAGTCGAAGATCGCGCATTAGACTCGTACTACAATGTGCTCTTCACCCTCACACTCTTCTACGCCCGCTTCCACGCGTGGCCCACGCACATGACCATCGTGAGCCACGACTTCAAGAAAGAGCGCCTCGTCGACGGCCACTGTGCGGCCATTGGTTTCCCCCTGAAGCGTGTCTCGTTCATCGGCATCGATCCGCCGGGGATGGCGGCTCTTGCGGCAGGAGGGGCGGGCGGTGGCGACAAGGAAGATGCGATGAAGGGCGTGGGGATGGCCATGGGGGAGTGGAGGAGTGATCCCCACGGGAGAGGGGCGAGTCTCGCAGGGAAGCGGGCCAAGAGAAATCCGTGGGGAGTTGCACAGAGCGTGTTTCCGGATAATGGGAGAGATCGGGGTGGGTTGATGTTGAAGGAGGAGGGTGGGTGTGAGGTGTTGGATGAGGATGCTACGCGGCCGTGGCGATGAAGCCTACGTGATGTTTACGGGATATAGAAAGGATAGACGTAGAATAAATCTAGACTCTAGAAATGGCCATAGTCTATTCGATCTCTACAGCTTCTCCTCTCTCCTCCCCCTCGGTCCCGCCTCCACAGCATCAACCAAGAACCTCACGGCATCCTCCACCATGGCCGCACTGAACCGATGTCCCACGCCCTCATACACACGATCCTCCAGAACCACCTTGCCCTCTCTATACCATCCCTCTCCGCCGACCGCCTCCTTCAGCACCTCGATCAGCGGCTGGCCGTTGACATACGGCACCAGCTTATCTTCGGCGCCCGAGCATAGCAGCAGTCGCTTCCCTCGCACGCGCGCGTCGAGCAGTGGTCGTAGCCGGGCCTGCTCCGTGGTAGGGAGCGGCAAGGTTGGCACGGCGGAGGTGCCGAAGAGGATGGCCTTCGGATCTTGGGTGCGGCAGGCGGCGATGACATCTGGGGGGAAGTACTTGCTGCCGAGGATTGAGGCGCCGCAGTCGAGCTCAGATGATGCAGCGCGGTCCTTCATGAGGCCTGTGAATGTCAGTTACGGCCTTGGTGAGTAGTGGAGGGGTGAGTCTCACCCATAAAGTCGGGACATCCCACAACCGCCACGGCGGCATCTATCCTCTCCTCGCCAACCCAGGCCTGCCAAGCACTATGGCCGCCCAGACTCCACCCCAGACACACATGGGCATCGACATCCCGGCCGAGATAGCCCGCGACCAGGTCCATCAGGCCGCGCATGTCGGCGCAGCCACCCTTGACCATGGCGAGCATGTCGAGCGCGTGGCTGGCGTTGCCGTCGTCCCACGCCAGGTTGGCCTGCTCGCTGACGAGGCGCGAGCCGTGGTTGGGCATGTCGAAACAGAGCGCGATGAGGCCGCGGGTCTGCGAGCCCGCGCGCGCGTGCCATGCGGCCAGGGTCCGGCTGGCGATGTCATGCATCCGGCCGCGGGTGCGGAGGCGGGGGTGGAGGAGCCACAGGCAGGTCACCGGGCCCGGGGCCGGAGCACCGGCGGTGGAGCCGGAGGGCAGTTCGGCGAGGCCGTAGACATCGACGAGGAGCCCGGCCATGGGCAGCGTCGTCTTTGAGACGGCGGGTGGGGGCGGAAGGCCTTTTGTTGCGTATGTGTCGACCATGTTGGCGTGAGTTGAGAGTGAGTGGGCGAGGTAGTGAATGAGAGAATTGTAGGACGCTTTTGATGTCCGACGTCTCGTCCTTTGATCCACTGTGAGCCGTCAGGACGTAGGAGTGTGGGGTCAAGGGAATCAACCGTCGCACAGCTGTCGGACATGACGCAATGATGTAACGACTGAAATGTTGAGTGTAGGGAATGCAGACAGGTAAGACAATTGCAAAATATGAGACTTTGATCTTCGTGGTATTGTCTTAGGCGGGTGTTCTGTTGATTCATCCTCGGTATCTAGAGCCTTGCCGGGTCTAGCCCAGCACCCGCCTCAAAAGCGATCGATAGATACTATGTATCAATAAACCATGCAAAACCAAACACCAGATGAACCGAGAGTTGCTAGAACAAGATCTTCTCATGGCCCAACACAGGTTCCCAATACCCAACAAGGTTAGCCAGAGAGGCATATCCAAGTAGAACCACTATGCACCCCCTGCTATATCAAAATCACAACCAGGCTGGCGCTCCCAGAAATCAGAGTCAAAGAAAAGAGAGAATACATCATATCAAATATCGCCATGCTGCTCAAGAACAAAGACTGCCTGCCCTAACGCCGTTTGCAGCCCTGCGCCTATTCCCTAATACTGTCCGTCCCAGTCCAGGTCCCAAGCCCACTTATGCTGCCTTGAATATATATCGGTGTGAATTTAGACGCCCTCTCTTCCTCACTCTCCAATTGTCCATGCCTTTATCATTCCCTTGGGGAAGTCCCCGTTCATGTTGACATGGTAAGCACCCTTTGGTGCGAATCGAATACCTTCCGCAACTTCATCCCACCACCCCACCTCGCTGCCCATCTCCCTTCCTATCTCGGTTCCCATTTAGTCCACTTTCCAGTGATCATGCTCGTCAGAGCTTAGGGAGAGCTCTACTCCGTACAGGACCATAGTCAACCCCACATTGGTCCACTGCCACGTGCCCCCACCTACATCACCGTCTCTCAACGTCCAACCATCTGGGCCGTCACTCGTCGAGAAATGTTGTAAGAGCAGGCTGGTGTAGACGGCGATCAAGATCGATGGCGAAAACCAGTTGAGGAAACTCAGAAGCTTGTTCGCAGTCTCTGACTCATCCCAGTCTGGCTCCTGCATTACGCCTTGAGCGCCCGAGTTTCGTATCGAAGGAATAATTCGTGTGGCGCAATAAAACACGAGTAGACGGTAGGTGAGTGAGATTATGACCGAAGGGGTGATGGTCTGGAAGGCCGCATAAAGGAGGCCCAGGGCGGAGTGAAGGGCCGAGGGGAGGGAGCCTAGCATGTGAAGGAAGGTGGAGTAAGATGCCATGATGATGGGTGGCAAAGGAGGAATTTCGGGTTGCGAGCTCGCCTGGTCGGCCTGATCGGAGTTTTCGGAGGGGAGGTAGTCGGTAAATATTTGGTAGACGCAAAGAACGATGTAAGCGAAGAGGAGGGACGACTCGACCGGATTTCCTCGGCCGCTACCGATGCCGAAGGCGCAAATGAAGACGGCGGTAGTCATCGTAATACCGATCAAAGTCGCATCGAGGTTGCTGATTTGGGGGAACTGGGCGACGCGCCAGAGGAAGTAAACGGCGCTGGCCATGATGGAACTTGAGAAGACGAGGAGAACGATCTGGCCAACAGTTAGCATATTATGGACCTTGTGTGAATAAAATGATGACTTACAACCCAAGTATCGCTTCTCCCGCGGTTAACGAGCCACCGAGTGAGCTGTCCCACAGCCTGGATGACCAGCAAGGTGCAGAAGCCCTCCAAGAGCTGGAATACGGGCCCGGAGTATCTCAGCACATTATCCCAACCTCCCAGTGTAACCGTCTCTACCAGGCCGTCCTTGCCAAAGGTCCATTCCGACCAACTCGTGCTTTTGGATTGGAACAGCCCCCCGATAGTCCGATCCACCCAGCTAGCGCTCCCTGCATCGACGGCAAACTGCCCCAGGGCCCAGATAAGAAGTGAGGGGATGACGATCCACTGTGCGGAGCGGAGGAAGGCGGAGACGAGGAAGCGAGAGGGCGATTTCTCAGGCGTTAGGAACTCGAGGGCGGAGTAAAAGATGTAGAAGAAGAAGAGGGCTAGGCTGTAGGCCAGCCCGCTATCGCGGCCGCCGACATCGAAGGCGACGGGAATGGAGAGGACGATGCTGAGCAGGAAGACGGAGCTGAAGAAGACGCGGAATATCAACCACATCGGGGCGGGAGGATGGCTGGCGTAGGCCGCGCCGAGGGAGCGGAAGCGATGGGACGAGAGGACGGCTTAGAGGGGGATAGGTATCGGGCGTGCATCCAAAGCGTGCGACAACGGGGCACGTTGAGAAAAGAGATGTAGCTATCGTCCAGTCGACGTTGAAAAGTGTTTGCACATCGGACTCGGTCTTGGTCGTAGCTCGGTGGGATGGAGTCGTCGAGCGGTAAGCGAAGGAGCTAGCTATCGTATCGTCGTAGGTCTTGAGGTTGCGAGAGAGAGAGCGAGGGAGAGAGCGAGCGAAGGCGGAGGTGATGCGAGACGGTGTCGGAGACGGCGATGGAGATGGAGGAGAACGGGTGGATATTAGGCTTGGGCGGCTACTTTTAGTCTGCCTAGTAGGAAGAAAAGGAGCTTGATGGTGGTGCTCAGAAGTGGGTGTGTGTTTGGTGGTGACTTCTACGCCAAGCAAGGAAAGGTGGCTACAACAGGTAGCAGCCGAGCCACGGCCGTTTTTTTTACTTATCGCTATCTTCACGTGTCAGCACGCAGCTCAACCGGGGGGTGGGTGGGCTCTTGCACCTGGACCTTGCTGGCGGCGGGGTTGGCTTTTTTTCCTTTGCTGGCACGTTTCGATGAAGATCTGTGCGGAGGCAGGAAACGAACTGACAGCTGCAGTAGTGAAGCTCTTGCAGCACAGCAAAGCGATATCTGCAGCGACGAGGAGGGCGTGCTTCACAGAGGCCGCGGAAGAGGGGCCTGGGTCGCGTCACACCGACACGATAAGGCCAATAACATCACCTGCGAACTAGCCAGTTGTCTCGTCCCGCACAGAGTGGCAGAGTGGCCGACATGCGTAGTATCGTCCTCACGCGACGCAACCCTCACGTTATCTTCCGTGCGAGTGCATCACCGACCCGACACACCAACCCGCGCTTCACCAACCGAACCACACCAACCGACGGCCACGTAGCTGGATTATACCATACAAAAAAAGGATATCCTGGTCTGTTTGTCAATGCACAGAACGGACCTGCATTACTTGGCTTTGTTGCATGACTTCCCGCACTTTCCACCCCGTCCCAAGGCGTCATGATACCTTCTGTCGTTTCGGGTTGGCATCTCGACAACGTGCGGCACAGGTTCATGAGACCTTCTCCAAAACCCATGTTAATCCTTTTCAGGCTTAGAGCTGGTCTTAGCCCTTGTCAAGATAAGATGGGCGTGAACCGTGCTCCGCACCTGCCGTATGAGGGGTATTTGGGTATGTAGTATTGCGGTAGTATCGTCGTGTTGCGAGGTTATGCATCTATCCATGCGCACATCCTTGTGAAGCCCTGATTCGAACTTGGCAAACCTTGGCAATTAGATCTGACTCCACGTTGCCCTAGAGCCGCATCCAACTTCGTTTCTACACCATCACCAACCAACGCTACCGCCCGACCGTCGACCCGAATCGCCTCCCTCCATACGAGCCATTTCCAAATCGCTACGAAGCCCCATCCATACCGTTGCAAGTGCCTACCTGACACGCCGACCACCCTCCACATTTTTTTTTTGCCATGTTGCTTGCCATCGTAAACTGCTTGGCCTTCCCCATTGTGACTGTCCAGACTTTGCCCCAGAAGACTCGGATGGTCAAGACGAGTTCCCGACCGACCGACCGAAGCGCACACGACCGGAACTACGCAGCTGTGAGTGCTGTTGCTAGTGCCCTGCGATTTCGAATCCCAATGCGTCGCGACCGTTGAGCTGCCGCAAACTTTGCCCAGTGTAGCCAGTGCTGCCTCCATGTGGACATAGATGAAAGGAATGGTACATGACAAGTGCTGGTATTTGAACGTCAGTGTGACAAGCGTTGCTCTTAGTTCTTTTATCCAACTGTGCCCACGTCGTCGTTTTGACGGCGGTCGTTAGGTGTTGTGGTGTTGATGGCCATGATGGTGGTGGGTGGTGGTGGTTGCGTGAATTTCTTGCTCTAAGGTGGAAAGAACATCCGTGGATGCTTCAAAACACTGAGAAATATCACAAGGGCATTGATTACGGGACGTGGAAAGCTTCACGCGCTGTGGGGGGAAATCGGCTGCCTATGGCTGGTTGCCAGCTGCCAGCAGGGTGGCCGGTGTTTGCCAACCACGGCGCTCCCTCGACGCGTCAACAGCCTCAACCCTCACCACGATGCCCACCACCCAGCTGAGCACACGCTGACCAGGACCAATCGCTTACTGGGGGGAGACATGAGCTGCTAGAGCCTTATGAGACCAAATAGTTCACCCTCTTTCATCGGGGAACAGAAGGCGCCGTGGTAAGCGGTCTGGTCAAACTGTTCCGCCGGGTGGAAAATGGTCAACAAATCCGACGACAACATCGCCGGGTTCGAATCCCACTTTCGCCCCAAAAAACAACAACCTCGACGACAACCCCCGACGACAACCCCGACGACAAGGGACGTAGGAGCATTCGGCTCCGAACCCTTTTGCCAGTCGCTCTTACTTTTTGGCCTTTGATTTGTCCCTAAAGGAAATTGCTTTTTTGCGCCCTCGAGATCCTGGAGTTGGATCTTGTGCCTTGGCCTTGCTCTGAGAATCGATGCCATCTAAAATGGAGGGAGCTGATGTGGTGGATGTGGCGTTGACGTGTGGCTTTATATGTGGCGTGTGCCCGGGAGAAAGTACAGGAATTGCGCGCTGTGACAGCCGCTCTCTGAAATTGGTCTGCTCTCCGTGTATACCTACCTTAGTTATGGACTACAGGTCGAACTTAAGGCAGCATTCGATCTGCCCTCTTGCAGTCCCCACTTCAACCTTACAATTTGTGAATGTCAGTTTCCAACAACGCATTGTACGACTGTGTGTACCCCCACGGCTCTCGTTCGAGATAAGGCAGTCTAAAACACTTGGGAAATTTCAAGCAATGGTCTGGAGTAAGCTACATGCTTCAGGTTTGACCACTTCAGTTGCGTAGTGGACTTGCATAGTACGACAGAACCACACTTCAGAGACTAATCTCGAGATGAACACACTACAGTAACTAGTCTCACGCAACGTTGACTCTCAATTCGAACCAAGACAGCCCATACAACTACAAGCTACAACTGCCAACCCAAGCGCTAATGCCATGCAAGCGGTGGCACCCCCGGATCACCGCCGTTTCCTGACCCTGGCCCCTGCAAGACGCCTCTTCAACGCTGCGGCGACCCCGAGCTGATCTATCCCCGCCGTGCATCGCCCGACCAGCCGAATGGTAATTGCCTCCAGGCAGCCGGTATTGCAGCGACATTACTGGTCGTGTTACGCTTTGCGTCAGTACCTGGCTGAAGCAGATCATTGCATCCCCCACAGGTGAACCTCCATCTCGGGGGAATCACGATCCCCAGCCGCACACCAGAAGAATTCTTCTTCCGTAGGTTCTGCAGACATTCAGCTGAGTCCGACGGAATGCTACACGGGATCCATCTGCCCGAGTCCGCGCGTGTTTGTCCGACGAAGCGAGGTGCCGCATCAATGCATTAACGCACTTCGCCCAGGTTGCTGGCTTGGTGCCCGAGCCATCTCAACACATCTCCAATCCCCACCGTGAAGGAGGAGAATAAGCTTAATTCAAGCACTGGCCATTTGGCCTCGGGCTAGCGAGCCTGCGTTCCCCGAACTCCCCGTGATGCCCTCATCGCGAACTGCGTACGCAGCAATATTGAAGACATCTCGTCCAACACCAAAAGAGTAGAAGAGGCAATACCACGTTGTGTGTCATGAAATGATGTACCCATCGACTTCCGAATCTGCAGGACAGACAGGGGTCCTGGGTTCCCCGACGAGCCGCGTCCTGTTTGCTCCATTGAAAATGACGTCTTTTAAAGCTACGCTGATGCAAGTGACAGCCCTGGTCGCTCTAAACACCCCACGTCATTCTGTTTTGTCGACCATGAGCTTTCTATTGAATGCAACTCGCCCACCAGCCATCCTCTTACTTCTCGTCTTACCTAAAGTGACACTTACATTCCACAGGCATTACGACGCTTGACTTTGAACAGAAAGTCCATGCGACAACTTATGGAGTTAGCCCGATGGCGTGCTGGTCGCCTTCGCAGGTTTTCGTAATGGATTATATTTTACCTAGGGCGAAAAAGTAACCCCGAGATACGATGAAGAATATGGCCGACAATGCCAACGCAAATCCCTCAATCCCGGAATGTTAGCTACGAGGCAGTCTCCCTTCGCATTGGCTGGCCGATGTTGCAAAGTCGTTGACTGGTCAGACACAGAACGGGAAGATGCAGCATCCTGCCAGTCTCACCACCCCGGTGTTGGTAGCATCCCAGGAGCAGTCTCTTTCCCAAATGATAACCAGGCGTGGACTCAATATTTCGCCCCGGATGCTCAACGTAGGAATCCACAGCTCGTCGGGGAAGGCGAACCAATCAACCCGCTTGAAGTCATTCTTTCCGCCCCTCATCGTTCGCCCTCGTACCCAGGACGGTACAAGTATGATCGACAGGCGGGGGCCTGGGTTAGTGGCGCTGGGATTTATACGGCGATGTGATTTCCGCTGCTTACCACCGTCTCTGCCTCTGGGTCGTCGGTGGTCTGCCAGCGCCGGAAGTTCGGCACTTGGCGCGGAGGGCTTTGCGGGACGGATGTGGACGGGTGGAGTGGGGGGCGGATCCTTCGCCGGCCTGCAGCATGGAGTAGTTGCTCCTGTTACAAGGCAGTCCATGCCCCGATTTGTTCGCTGAGGGCTTCCTCTGTGCGCTCCGTGCAATTAGGCATCGGACTAGGATTCAGACAAGTGCACCTAACGCTTTGTCGCATGGTTTGCACCCCACCTGTGGAGTCGTGGTTCCTCTTTGGTGGGTGTAGCAACGTAAGGTCGGCTCTTACAAAAGGCCACGGGTGTGTGGGGAGCCTTGTTCGTAGGGTGGTGTTTCGTTTTCGATGGTCCAATTCGACCGCCGGTGACGCAGTGACTGATGTGGAAGGCGTGCGAGGGGGGCGTCTGCGACCCAAGACTCAGACGACGGATGGGTTCAAGGATGCTGGACCTTTGCAGGAAAGTAGCTTTCTTTCTCGAGCTTGGTCTAGGTAGAGTTGCCATGTCTTCTTAAACTCTGCCTTTCCCGTTCCAGTCTTTTCTGTGTTTCAGTGTCCGCTCTGATATTTGCCTTGGTTTGAGCGTCTCGTGTCATCCTTCTCGCCTTATTCTTTGGCCTCTTCAATTACGATAGCCTGGACAGGGTTTGGCTTTGAAGTCTGGCGATACCAATTGGCATAGTTACCTTCGAACACCTCCCCCACTCATTGCTGGGAGAACGACGCCATCATGTCCGAAAAGTCAGTCTTCAAGTCTGCGCCTGCGAGCCCTGACCCGGAGCACGCTGAGCCTGCGGTTCCCTACTCCCGCTGGGCCGCCATCTTCGGCGGGAGCGGTGTCAGCATTGGTCCCCGCATCGCAGGCCTGCCCGACTTCGTCAAGAACGACGTCTCCGACAGCGAGGATACGAGCTCGGCTATTGTCAACAAACAAATAGCGGCCGAGGATGGCTCAGAGATCCAATACCGAACCTGCTCGTGGCAGAAGACCGCCGGCTTGCTCTTCAGCGAGTACATTTGCCTAGCCATCATGAGCTTCCCCTGGTCGTACAGTGTGCTCGGACTGGTTCCCGGCCTGATTCTGACAGTCGTCGTTGCCGCTACCGTCCTATACACCAGCCTCGTGCTGTGGAAGTTCTGCCTTCGGCACCCCGAGGTGCGCGACGTGTGCGATCTTGGCCAGATGCTCTTCTGGGGTAAAGAATGGGCCTGGTGGGGAACAGCTGTGATGTTCATTTTGAACAACACTTTCATTCAGGCGAGTAAGATGATCTTCGGGTTTCGAATTAGCGTCTAACATCCAAGTAGGCTCTTCATGTGCTTGTTGGTGCCAAGTACCTCAACACCATGACGGAGGCCGACGACGTTGGTCATTGCCGCACAGTGATGTTCTCTGTCGTTGTTACCATCATTTGCTGCATAGGCTCGCTGCCCCGAACCTTTGACATGATGTCCAAGCTCGGCACGGCCTCAGCCATATTCACCTTCATCTCCGTCCTTCTCGCCGCCGTCTTCGCGGGCGTTCAGGGCAAGCCGTCCCTGTATGACCCCAGCACATTGGGCGAGCCTATCGTCACAGCCTTCCCAGTCAAAGGGACGACCTTTGTCAATGGCATGTCTGCATTTCTCAACATCAGTTACACTTTCATCGGCCAGATTACACTGCCTAGCTTCATTGCCGAGATGCGAGACCCTCGGTAAATCACCCCATCGCATTCCTAGACAAGAAGGATATTAACACAGTCACAGGGACTTCCCTAAGTCACTCTGGGCCTGCACTATTGCCGAGATTTTCGTCTTCAGTATCGTCGGCGCTGTTGTGTACGCCTACTCCGGCAATCAGTACGTGACTGCGCCAGCATTTGGCTCGCTCGACCTGGTTTATAAGAAGGCGGCGTTCTCGTTCATGATTCCGACCATCATTTTCTTGGGTTGTTTGTATGCATCGGTGACTGCGCGCTTCGTTTTCTTCCGCGTATTCCGAAACACGAAGCATGTCAACAGCCACACCGTGGTGGGTTGGGGTTCTTGGGCTGGGATCTTGGTGACGACTTGGGTTTTCGCCTTTATCATCGCTCAAGTAATCCCATTCTTCAATTCTTGTAAGTTTTTTCAGCTTCACATTCCTCACCATTGATAGATAGCCGCTGACACTCACTTCTTAGTACTATCCGTCATGTCGTCGCTATTTGACTCCTGGTTCGGCTTCATCTTCTGGGGTGTCGCCTTCTTCCGAATGCGCACTGCGGACAAGCAGGTGGGACGAAAGCACAGCACCGTGACGGACTGGGCTGGTATCGTGGTCAATGTGTTTTTAATCCTGGTAGGCATCATGTTTCTGACGGTGGGAACATACGCCAGTGTCCAGGGAATCATCGACCAATTCGAAGCCGGGACGGTGGGAGGTGTGTTCTCGTGCGCTAGCAATGGTATTTAAATGTCGAGGATAGATGGTTCGTTGCATGGACACATAATGTGACGTCAAGGAGACTGGAATAATTAGTTTCCATCAGGACCGCAAGAATATGGACATGTTCAAGATACCCCTAGATTGTCAGGTTTTCAATTCGTTTTGGATGGCAAAATAGTCCCCCGACCCTGATTTAGAAGTCAACGTGAGGGGCTTCAGTGGTTGCGGTTATGCCAAATGTTGCTCATGACTGGGGTTTGAAGGGCGCGGCATCATACCCTCTAAGGCGTTCTCCCTCAAGGGTAAACTAAAAGACGAGAAGGGCATAGTCGCTACAAAATTCGATATGGAGTTGGATGTAGACAACGGGTGGCAAGGAATGAAGTTGGGTTAGGCGAGGTGAGTTTGTTCAGCCTCAAGCCGATAGCGCCACTTGCACCTGCCAAGAGCGCCGAGAAGGGTCGGGTGCACGTTCCCACTCTTAAATCCGGCAACCATCGTGAGTCTGGGCCTGCCGAATACGCCACAGTCATACCCTGCCATTTTTATTGATTGAAGTTGTCAAGTATCGTTGCCCAAATCTACCAATTTGACAGAGACGTATCGCAGGACTGCTGCGTAGGCTGAAGTCACTAGTCTTCCTTCCAATCGTGATATTAAACGAGTATTGCTATTCGCACATGAGAACGTCGCTATTCGCACACAGGTACAAGCCTCGTAACCTCAGAGTCAATGTACTAAGTATGTACATTGGAATTATTACACCTTAGTTATCAATGATGTCAACTTGATAAAAATAAAATGGTTTGAAGAAGAAGAACCATTAGGGAACAGATACTAAGACTTGGTCTTCTAAAAGCCAGCATGAAGATGGATAATTATCAGCGGGATTGAGGCATGTAGTTAGGTGTGCAAGACGCAACAGGTGTGTGTGCGCGAAGGGCAATACTCTATCAAATTAGGCATCATCCTTAGAAGTTGGAGGGCAAGATAGAGGCTCAGGTTTGCCTTCTCAATAATCGTTCCATCCAATTCATGATCCGATTATGAATGAATTGATTGATAGCGTCTCCGCTTGTACGAATCAATGGACCAAAAGACTACCGACTTTACCAACAACCCCATCGCAGGTGGAGTACGACAGGGCCCCTGACCGGGAGTCACCCCTGGAACCTTTTCAGGAATTAATCAGTCGGCGATCTGTACTAAAAAGACAGATCAACACCATGACTTTCAGCAGTAATCCGCTTCCAGGTGCACCAATGGCTGGGGCGCGGGTAATATGCAGTCAATTGAGCATATGGTCCGGGACTAGAGCGAACCAACGCCCAGACACATCGAAGCAGAACATGGATCCCTAGTTGTCATGTGAAATTCTTGGCAGGCCGCTGAGGGCCTCACACATTCAGTTCCAATCGGTCTCGTATCCGTATTCTCTATATATCCGCCATATGTCCTCGCAAACCAGTGTACGCGGCTGCAGAAGTCAGCGAAACAACATGACAAACTCCCAATCTTCATCTACAATTCAACAAAAAAGGGTGAGAGATGTCCACAAAAAAGCCGCCCAAACATAGACAGGGAAAAGACGAAAAGAAGCTTCCAACAAATACCGAAAGATCGTATGGAAATCCATGCTGATCCCCGGAACTCGACGGCTCCGGATGGCACCACTCTCACCATTTGCACCTCCGCGCCTCCCGCCCTCCTCCGAAAGCTTGGGCAAGATGTGACCACCCGCCGCAGCTGCAGCGTCTACAGTGCTACAGTGGCCTCTCAGCAGGCTGCAGAGCGCTGCCACGCCGCGTAGCCGCCCGCCGCCATTGGCCCACACGCCACTTTGCCCCGCACTTCCCCAAAGGGTTGGGTCGAGGCTGCCCCAAAGAGCCCCTCAAGCCGTCCCGATCCCCTGAAAGCTGCCCCTAAATTTTCACCGCCTTCCAGGTAACCTCCAATGCCCCTTGTCACTAGTCCCTTGTCCCGCCACACTTCAGCGACAGCACCGCTTCGTTTTCTGTATTTCAACACCACGCTCGCTCTCGCGCAAACTTGGCTGCCGCGTGTCATCTTCCCCCCTCTCTTCTCATCGTTTCTTCTGGAAACGCCCTCGTCCAAAGAGACAAGAGAAAAAGAGACTGACAATGACCTCCCGCGCCTCCACCGTCACGTCCAAGGCCAACGGCGACAAGCCGGCGGCTGGCAACGATGGCTCCAAGGCCCATGACTTCTTCTGGACCTACACCGAGGAGCCCCATCGCACTCGTCGTCTTGCCATCATCAAGGCCCACCCTGAGGTTTGTTTCCACGCGCCGCACTCCCCAATTGACACCCTCAAATAGAGCCCCCGCTGACGCTTCTCCCCTCGGCGCAATAGGTCACCAAGCTCTGTGGCCCTGAGCCATTGACCAAATGGGTCGTCCTCGGCGTCGTATCCCTCCAAGTCGTCCTCGCTTGCCTCCTCCATGCGACACCTTTCTGGTCTTGGAAGTTCTGGGCCGTTGCCTACGTCTTTGGTGCGACCGCCAACCAGAACCTCTTCCTCGCCATCCACGAGATCTCGCACAACCTGGCCTTTAAGAGCCCCCGCCTCAACCGCCTCATCGCCATCTTTGCCAACCTTCCCATTGGCATTCCCTATAGCGCCTCGTTCCGAGTACGTCTTTCCATCGTTTGCTTGTATCCTCCGCCGAGTTTGTCTCAAAATACGGCGTTGTCGAGTCATGACATCCTGTTGAATCATTGCTAACTTCTTGACCCTGCAGCCCTACCACCTGACCCACCACAAGTCCCTCGGCGTCGACGGCCTTGATACCGATCTCCCGACTGCCTTCGAGGCCGTCTTCTTAGACTCCATCCTCGGAAAGGCCTTCTTCTGCACCTTCCAGATCTTCTTCTACGCCCTCCGCCCCATGGCCGTCTACCGCATCCCCATGACCAAAATCCACCTCCTCAACGTCATCGTCCAGGTCTCCTTTGACTACGCCCTCATCCGCTTCGCTTCTCCCAACGCCTTCCTCTACCTCCTCGTCTCCTCCTTCCTCGCTGGAAGTCTCCACCCCCTTGCCGGCCACTTCATCGCCGAGCACTACGTCTACGAGACTGTCAGCCCCTCTCAGATGGACCCCGATAACCGCATCCCCATCCCCGAGACCTTCTCCTACTATGGTCCCCTGAACTGGTTCACCTACAACGTCGGTCTCCACAACGAGCACCACGACTTCCCCGCCGTTCCCTGGACCCGCCTCCACGCCCTCCGCGACATGGCCCCTGAGTTCTACAATACCCTGCCCCGCCATGAGAGCTGGGTCTACGCCATCTGGCGCTTCATCCTGGACCCCAACGTCGGCATGTCCTGCCGCGTAAAGCGCAAGGAGGGTGGCCGTATCGTCGGCGGCGCCGTCAACTGGAAGGATTCAGAGATTCAAGCCTAAATCTGTTGAGCAAGCGTGAGCCCAAAATGGGAGCTCATATGTCACTGGCGCGGTCCCCGAGACGGAGGATCGCAATGAAAGAAGTCGGCGTACATTCTGTGTTTTTAAGTCTTGTATTCAAAGAAAAGCGGGTGGTCTGTCCGTTGTGGCGGTGTTTTAATATTACCCCGGGTGGTTAGTGAGCATGAAGCTGGCAAGAAGGTATTGTAAGGCAAAGTACCATTGGACAGAATGTTCGCGCATGGCGTTTTTTTAGGTTGGAAGATAGATGACCGCCGTCGGGCAACCTCTCCCTGAATATAGCATGAAGATGATGCCCGGCTTGTTTCCCGCTCTTGACCATCACAATCTGCCCATTGGTGAAGTTCGACACTCAGACCTGTCATGTGTAAAGCAGCCGATAATGCAAAGATTCACGATAATAGAAGACGCCAATGTTACCACCTAACACGAGAGCATAACAAAAAGAAGAAAACAAAGCGAAGAAGAAAAGGCAGCTAGAGTACACACAGGGTCGTGTCGGACAACTTTCCTCCCCGGATATTCGCCCCATCACCATCAAGGATGTACAACCATCCTAATTACCCACGATGGCCTTTGCCAAACGTTCTTTATTTATCCCATCATTCGCCATTCCTCCCCATCTCCCGTCCCGCCATCTGCGTGCCTACTTGCCTGCCCAGGTCCCTCACATATGAGAATCGCCGATGCGCCGATGCCGCTTCGAATAAAGCATGTTCATTCAGTCCATGACCTCGTACACGGATGACAGGCCCCTTAAGGGGCGTTGGTCTTACAGCTTGTTGGAGCTTGGTATGGCTTCAATCGTATTCATCACCTCCTCGGACCCGGCCACCTATGAGCGTCCTGCCCAAGCTTGGTCGCTTCTCTACAAGGAGCGTTGATTGTGCAGCCACTGTCTCTTTCTAGAAGAAGAAGTAGGCGAGCAGGAAGCTAATCAGGCACAAGAGTGCCGCGATCTGTACTGGCACGCCCTCAACGGTCTGTTTCACAGCCTGGTTCACCTTCGCGACAGCCCTCTTCTCATCATCCACAGAGGCGGACTTGACATTGCGCTGTCGAAGACCAGTCTCCTTCAGGGCAGCAATCTGAGCCTCAGCCTGAGCAAGCTCGGCCTTGAGGGCGTCGACTGTCGCTTCAGCGGCGGAGGTGACGGCCGTAGTAGCTTGAGAGATTGTGCTCTTGGCCTCGGGCTTCTCCTCAGGCTCCTCATCCTGCACAGGGGTATCTTCGGTAGGGTAGGGTGGAGGAGCGGTGGAGGGGGAAGTCTCGTCGGTGGCGCCGGGAGATGAAAACGCGCGAGGTACTTCAGGGGTCTCATGGGCCTGATTGGATACGTAGTCAGCAGTCAAATCCATGCGCCGGGAAGCCGCAGACTTACTCCGTTCGATAGCGAGTTCTTGCTGGGTGTCACCGCCATAGGACGGCTTGCGCTCTGGTCGTGCTCGGGGTTCGCCGACAACCAGTTGACTCGGATCTTCCTCTCTTGGAGAAGTGCCTTGTCGGTAGTGTCCAACTTTTGCGATTGTTAGCTTTCACGTGCGACGTATTGGGACAGCAGGGCGCGTCTTACAACGTTGGCGATACTAGCAAACTCCTTATCGGAGGTGATGGGCGCCGACTGAACTAGGAACTTGTCTCGGCATCTCGCGTCCGCCGGAGGCTCCGTCTTCATGGCCTGCAGCAACACTGCATAGCACTTAGTTGCCTAATCTCGATATCAAAGATACGCAAAAACCTACCAGTGACATCGAAGGCCTTGCCGGGCTCGATGCGGCCCGCATTTGGTCGGACACAATATCTGGAGAGATGGTCAGGTATCGGGTCTGGGCGGGCGAGAGAGGGGGGGCATACTGTTTCGGCGCAGTAGTTTTAACCTGGGATTGACGTGAGCAGAGCCGTCTATCGCGCGACGATCAGGACGAGCGCTTACCTTGAAGGCAACCGGGACGGTGTTGGGGTTCTTGATGGTGAGCGTCTGCGCTACCTCGGCAACAAATGGTCCTACGTTCCGAGTTAGCCTCGCTGTCTCGCGTGCCCAGCGACTGGTGACGTACGTTGGAAGCTCAGCTCGAACGGCTCGATCTCGACCGACATGGCTGCGGTTTTTGGAGGGGAAGATTCGGGTTCGGTGGTTTGTTGGTGTGCCGCGAGATGCGCCGAGGCGGTGCGGGCGATATGGACGAGCCGCGGTGGTGGTGGCAGGCGAGAGGAAACGTGGCCGTGGCAGGTGGCAGGAGGATGACGGCGGGAGAGGAACGACTCGGGGACGGCGGGCGATGCGCGAAGAGGTCGTGGGCAGATGGATTGCGCGGAGGCACGAGACGGGACAAATGTCGAGTAGTGAGATTATTAATTTGCGGTGGTGAAGTAGAAAAGATGGCGTTGCTGTGGTCTGGCTCCGTCACGACGTAATTGCTGGTGCTGGGGGAGCCAAGTTGGTTGCCTTCTCCCGTTCGTTGCTGGAGAGAGCACGGACCACCTCCATCAAACCACCTCCTCCACCCTCATCCACCCCCGGTGGCGCCCACCACAAACCAAAACCTGCCAAGTTGGCGGCGAGCAGCCCGCCAGACATCACGACATGCGTGCAGCACCGAAACACGCAGAATCACACACTCGCTCACGCACACGACTCAATTTTGCCCTGCATATCTCCAACCGCCTTCTACTCTCAAGTGTGCTGTCCGTTTTCTTGCTTTTCCGCCCCTGTCGTCACCGGCAACCACCCGAACAGGTTTCGTGTCTCTGCGGCTCCAGCCCGCCGGTCATCACCTCCCGTCGCCTTGACCAGGGGTTGCCAAGGCTGACCTATTATTAATATCCCGGCGTCCAGGGACTGACGAAAACACCATTACACCAGCAAAGGAGCTGCGTCCAGGGTTTGTCAAACGAGCCCCTTGATATCCAGGGCACCAGCCTGCAACAACGGTGTAGCGCTCTGTTATACAGTAGCTGGGAGATTGGACGAAGGCTTGTGATTCCGAATTCCGAGGCTAGTGACTCGAGTTAAAGGACCATATTGATCGACGGAATCGGTGTCGTAAGCGGTACCAATGTGCAGTTCAGAAAACCACCACCAGTGACGTAGTATACAAGAATAAAACACTCCGGACATGGCAATGATGGGACGTCAATTGAGAGTATTTCTCGTTCGCCAATGCGCACACGACCACTTCCATCGAGACCGTAAGATTTAGCTTTAGCTATGGATCCAGCATGGGGGCGACTCGAGAAGGCAAGCCGCAGATCCATTGAAGAAATGGATGACAGCATGAAGTTTCACGAACAGTACACATTTGTAGAAAGGCACTAATTATCACACAGACTAATGAGCTGACAGTGCCTTGATCTTGCATTTTGTGCGCAAAGCCGTAATCAATCTCACAACCTGCTTAGACGATGCATAGGTATCGTAAGGCAGCTGGTGGTTAGCCGTGGTAATTCCGGCACCACTCTCACGTCACTGAGGCAGCTGCTAAATGACGTCTCGTGCTAGGCACATTTGCGAGGCACAAATCATCCTAAGCTCTGCCTTGTACGTACACGCATATTCACGGGCTTGACCAAATTCAAGACTCCAAGATTCGTCACTTCTCTCGCTGAGGTTCGTATTTTTTCGGAATTGAAGAGAAGGTCGCCGAAACCGCCTTGGGATACCCGCATCAACCAGCTACCACCGTGTAGCCTCACTGCCCCTCACTCACCTCAACCCCACCATCAACATCAACCAACAGCCACCAACATCCTCACCGCCAAGATGCCTTCCGATCTCGACACCCTGCTCGACATGGGCTTTGACAAGGAGCGTGTCGAGCTCGCCGTTAAGAACACCGGAGGCTGTAAGTTTCTTTCCCAACGCTCCCGGCAGCCACGACAGCTGACCCGCCTCAGTGCAGGGCGCGCTCCAGTGGCTCGAGGACAACCAGGACAAATCTATCGACGACATCAAGGCCGCCGCTGCTACAGCGGCTGCGGACAAGGATGAAGATGAAGACGAAGATGAAACCAAGGCAAAGATTGCGGAGCTCGAGTCGGGCACGGCTCACTCGCTCGTCTGCAATGACTGTGGCAAGCGTTTCCGCAACCAAGATCTTGCCAGCTACCACGCCTCCAAAACGTCAGTCTTCCACCTAGTATTCCCCAGTGGCCCTAGAATTGTACTTATCTGAAATTTTAGCGACCACACTGACTTCTCTGAGTCGACCGAGGAGATTGCTCCTTTGACCGCAGATGAAAAGAAGGCCAAGCTCGATGAGCTCCGTGACCGCCTACAGGCCAAGAGGGCTCGCCAGTCCGAACAGGATAAGGAGGAACAAAAACGAAACGAGGTACGAACGACATGTCAGTCCTATGAAACTGCACCAACTAACAATCGTGTCTAGAGAATCCGCCAAAAGTCCACCAAGGAGACCCATGAGGCCAAGGAGGAACTTGCTCGCAAGGAACAGATCAAAGAGGCCGCTCGCAAGCGCCAGGAGAAGCTCGACGACGTCGAAGCCAAGAAGCGCATCAAGGCCAAGATCGAAGCCGACAAAGCCGAGCGCCGCCGCAAGGCCGAGGAGGCCAAGGCTGCCCGCGAAGGTAGAGCCCCCGAAGCTGCAAGTGCTGCTGCTCCCGCGGCTGCGGCTCCCCGGCCCAAGGCCAACCACAACGAGGCCAGACTCCGCCTTCAGACCGATTCTGGTAACATCATGAAGACGCTCCCCGCTGAGACGACTCTGTTTGAGCTCGCACAGCTGCTGCAGGCCGAGACGGGCAATGCAGTTGCTAGCTTCACGACTACGTTCCCTCGACAGACCTTTGAGGGAAGCGTGGATTTCTCCAAGACCTTGAAGGAAGCTGGACTGGTCCCGTCATCGGTCTTGATTGTGAAGTAGACATTGAAAGCAAGCGAGTGTGCGAAATATGCATGGCATGGCGTTTGCAAATGTATAGTACGGTTGCGTTGGGGGTGAAGTAGCAAGTAGTAGCAACGGGTGATGTGTGGCATTGGGGCATCGGCTTTTACGAGATCAAAAGGGCAATGGTCGGGAGTAACCATCGCACAAATCGGACATGACAACAAATACAATACCGAGCATTCACGCACCACTGTCACTTGCTGAGCGGACCCAATGTTGAACTGCAAACCACCCATGGCGGGACTTTTTTTTATCAGAGCCGTTTAACTGAAATTCTCCCTCCGCGAACTCCAATGAGAGCATTCATCATATTATCGTATGAACGAAGCTACTCTGTCCAGGGCGCACGATATCGTGCCCTCTCCATCCTGTATGCTCGATCGATTGGAAACCCCGAAGCCATGCAGTTGAAGTACAAAGAAGCAAGGAAACAGTCGTCGTGGCGTGGCTGTTTAGTCGAAGAGACCGAAGCCCATATCCTCGTCGGACTCCTCCTTCTCTATAGTGGGTGTTAGCATACACTCTGCGTCGAGCGATGGGGGGATTGGGGGAATTCAACGTACCCTCCTCCTTCTCCTCCTCGACAGCCTCAACAGCGGCGTCGCCACCAGCGGCACCACCAGCGGCACCACCGGCAGCGGCGGCACCACCACCGGAACCGACGTTCACGAGGAGGTCCTTGACGTCCTTGCCCTCGAGAGCCTGCACACACAAAAATGCCCAGTCAGAAAATCCCAAGTTCTTAATCGTCGCATAGACATCGGATTGAGCGATCGGGTCGTACCTTGGCGAAGATGGAAGTCCAGATGGGCTCGACATCAGCGACCTTAGCGGCGGAGATGAGGGTCTGGAGCTTGTCGGCCTGCAGGTTGCCATCACGAATTAGCATCACCACAATTTCGATTTGACGGCGCGGGGCAGCAGGGTCGTGGGCGGCGGGAAAGGACGTACGGTGATCTCAACGCCATCATCGGCGAGGATCAGGGCCGCGTAGGACGAAGCGAGCTCGGCGTGAGACATTGTGAATGAATTCTGGCGATGCAGGTGGTTGATGGAGAGTCTGCACTGTCGTTGTGGTTTGAGATCGAATATCACCAAAGAGGCTTGCCACAAAATTACCCTGGTCGAAATTATCGGGTTGGAGGGCTTCAAGACCTAAAGTGGAGGGCGAAATAGATTCTCCGTGCTCCGTGTGCCAGAGGATAAGTGGGCCTGGCCTGTGATTGGTTGTGCTGCAGCCAGCCAATTAGGGGCCATATCACGGCCTCAGCGACGCCCCAGAGGGTCTCGACGCATGTACCCCACCCTGCTGGCTCCTTCTTGTCTACCCCCCCACCATCGTCCTTTATCCATTATCGCTTGGAGATGTACTAGCAAGAACCCAGTGACAACATCCCTGGTCCGGAACGTAACGCCGCAATCGCTTGACGCTGGACGCTTGGCAATTCGCACGCCGACTTACGCCTACAAATCGGCCTGCAACCCTCCCCCGCGATAGCCACACCTTCAAGCAGTGCCTACTACGTCTTCCTTCATCGGCTCGTCTATGGCGATTCTTCCGTGGCCCTGACGTCCAGGCAATTCCCAACTCCTCCCCCCACTACTCTCAGCTCCCGTCGACAACCCCGCCGCCACCTGTCGCCGTCGGTGCCCATCGCTCGTTGCTGCCCGGAAGCTCAGGAACGCACCTCCGCGCAGACTCTTACCCCTCGGCTGCCCACGGCTCACCAGGCCAATCTCATTGACTTCGCTTTCCAGTGAACAGCTTCCGCTTGCATTGCACTCGCCTTGGAGCCCGAAGCGTCAATTCAGAGACCATGGACACGCCAGCGATCCCCCTCCCGCGGGACCCCCGGGAACGCGCCATCCTCGACCGACTGTCCATGATCCGAGACCAGCTGCTGCTCCTCAAGCAGGACCGCACCAACTATATCCGAACACAAGATGTTATGCCGCTGTTTGATCAAACAATGGAGCAAGTCAAGGAGCTCAGCATCGTCCGAGCCGAGATCGGGGACAAGGGAGAGAACAGATGTGAGATATCTCCCAAGAATTGCAAATGCGCCTAAGCTAATAGGACTCCCTGCAGTGGACAAGGTCTTGGAGGGCTGCTTCCAATTGCTCTCTCTGTTCTACCTTACGATCGGCCGCAACAATGAGGCACCCGCGACGTATGCCCTGACCTCGACCATCAAGCGATTGCTCGACCACTTAGTTGAAGCCGATCTATACTCATCCAAGGACCTCGGGAGCATCAGGTCGACACTCGAGGGTCTCACCCACAGCATTCAGCAGGCCTCAGGGGAGCAGGTCCCTGAGAAGAAGCCCCCACCCTACATGCTCGATCTGCTGTCGTACCGAGTCGAACTGTGCCAGACCACATTAGCAAAGCTTCAGAAGAGACTCGAGCGAGTTCCTGAATCACTACTGTCAACGCACCAAAAACTAGTCTCTATCTTGCGGGCGGTGGCGCTAGCAAACACAAAGTCCAAGGTAAGGAAGGCTGTGCAACATCCACGAGTTACGCTAACCAGCTGCCCAGTTCTCAACAACCGAGGTTAAGAAGCTCAGGCATCAGATCGTGGAAATTGGAGATCGCCATAATGGCGGCAAGTTCACAGCGGAAGATGGCACCGTGGTGTCCGGGGGCGAAGAGGTTCGTGAGTTGTACCAACGATGCCTCAAATGGTCAGATCTTGTCCTTGAACGGTAAGATTATTCCCCGCCCCGATGACGATGCACTCTGACCCCTCCCAGAAAGGGTGTAGTTGCCGACCAATGGCGCCCGATGTATGATGTGCTGGTCGGGATCCGAAACGATCTCGAAAAGCTTTCCCTGACTCAAGCATGGTCTCTCCGTGAGACAGACCTCTACGACTTCCAGCGACAGCTCGACAGGATTGACGAGAGCCGGCAAAACGGAAACTGGCTGGATGACCGAGCTCGGCCGGCCGACTTGTGGACACAGCGAACTCTGCTGTATCTGATCCGACGGTCGTATGCGTACATTTACTCCTTCATGCTGGCCTCTGAGCCGGTGTCGGAGGCCCTGCTTCCAATTTACAACCAGCTTCAGACATTGAAGCGATGTCTTGTCGAGGTGAAGAATAGCGGAGGCGTCTCGTCGGTTCGAGAACTTTACCCATATAGCATGAAGGTTAGTCGGTCTTCCATTCCTGCAGTTGCACAACTAACTCTGGTGCAGCTCAACTCGCTTGATAACATGAAAGTGGACGGCAAGTTTGTTGTCAATGGCGACATTCCTGAGGGCCAAGGCAGCGTAACCGAGTTGCTAGCTGAGTGCTTCGATCTAAACTATGAACTACGTGTGGCAGCGGAGGAGGGCGACGAGGCCGGTTCTCCCGAAGCCGACGATGAGGCTGATGGCGAGACCAAGACTGAGATCAAGGCTGAGTGAAGCTGATATGGGTGCTTTCTTGTGTCGGTGTATGATGGCGTCGATTATTGTTTTGTCCTTTTTTGGTTAATTTTACTGTGCTGGAGGTGAATGGATGGATGATGGGTCGTCCTCTCGAGGTGTTTGGTGGTAACTGGCCTCATGGGTCATGGGGAGGGTATCTTGCTGATCATCACATGGGCAGTGGGAAATGGGGGAGATCTTGGAATGGATTGAAGACGTGGGCTTTCCAGCAATGGGCATTTGTTTTGACGGGGGGGTGGGAACCAAGGGGTGGAAACCAAGGGGTGGACACCAAAAGGGATCGGCAGTATGCATTCAAGGTCTTTGACGCCGTTATCGATCATCAATTATTATTCGTTTTCTGGATTTCTTGCTGTGAAGCATTGTGGGTGGCACTACTCCTCAAGGGTTCCTGAAGGCGCATTTGAAGGGATAGATTTGGACCTAATTGGATTTAGCATCTTCGGGCCAGCAGAGTCGGCGGGGATGAGGGACTATGCTCACCTTTTCCATATCCCAGACACCCGAGGTGGCGTAGATGTCCTTGCTCAACTGCTCGCGGACCTGTTCGACCGACTCAGCAACAACCACGATGGTGCTGCCCATGAAGTCCAGGCTAGCGGGGTTATCGTCCTTGGGGACGCTGTTGAGAAGGGCGCCTATTGAATTCATCATAAGTCAGCGCCGCAATTCTCGTGTATTTGGTGGGGTTGGGTGTCCATACCACCGGTCTTCCAGGTTCCATCCTCCCGGAAGGGGACCATGCCCTCGAAGTGCAGGCTGCATTTCACCAGTTAGCCAGCGTCACACAGGCATCGGGGGCGGGGACCATACTGTCGAACTTCGAGACGCTTCTCACGGGCGTTGGGCTTGTCGGGCGCGATGACGAGGAACTCGAACTTGCCTGGAGGCGGGGCGGTGGCCATGGTGCGGGTGTGGGTGCGGGTATGGACGCGGGTGAAGCGGGCGAGCGGGGTAGCGATGGGCTTACAGGGCGATAGAGCTCTGGTAGTAGAGAGTGCAAGTCGTTGGAAGGCGAGACGGCTTGCCATGGGATGGTGAGTCCGGGACAAGCGTCGGGACTCGAGATTCGGGGTTGTAGCGGGGTTTTATAGGACGGAGAAGTGTATTCTAGTTGACATGATGGAAGCTGCGTTGCGGGGTGCAGAGTGAGCGAGCCAATGTGGGGTAAAGTTGTGAATGTCATGACGAGGCGCGCCTTTCTGGCGGGGAACATGGTCACTATATATCTCCCCACATTGGAACGGGTGCTCAGCATAGCAAATGTACAGGTGCACGATGGATAAGCCTTGTTCAATATCAGCAGCCGAGGTAACTAGGAGGGCGTATTGTGTGTTGTGTTGACTCGGGTTTCACGTTTGTGCATATTGAATTGGGTATTGCGATTTGCACCAGCAAGGACAAGCCTCGTCCTAACGATACTATCAACAATGAACTAATGAAGCATTTTAGGGGAACAGATTTGATAAGACCAATTCTTAGTATTTATGCCCCTTGATAACATTGTATTTATTTTATCGCGTTAGATTCAGCAGCAAAGGCTAGTTTGAAGCCTAAGAACGTGTTGCGTACGAATAGCAATCACATCTGCATACACTGCCTGAGATGACACAATTCTAATTAACAGATTTATTTGTCCTAGAATATGTTTGTTTGGTGTCCATTTGACTCGGCGAGGACCCAATAACGGGCGGTGATATAGAAGAGCTCTCGGTAATGCCTCTGTCGGCACAACACTTTGGACCGAGGGTACTCTCATTGACTGTCAACCACACTCCGACGTATCCGAACAATCGAGGGTCAATCGCCCAGCATTCTGCAATTTTAAAATGCAAGTAAAGAAAAGAATCTCCAGCTATGACGATATTAGCTGACAAACCCGATTTCGCAAGGTGAGAGCAGATACGGAAACAATCATGACGAAGCCATCACCGACGTCGGCGCTGCGACAACGGCATTCAACCTAAAATCTCATCTCGTGGCCACGTCCCCGTGGATGGACCCTGAGTCACGTCCCGGAGATACAAAGCCAAATACCTAGATGTACATTGCAAAATTGCCATGTTAGACAGGGGAAGCGCATACCGAACGGGAAGTTGGTCCTGGGTCAAGTGATGGGTGCTGGTCCAGGGTAGCCCGCATCGGATTTCGACCACCGAGCTTCATGGCGTAGGTAATAACCAAGGCCAACTCAGGCCGAGTCCACTTCCCGTTGAGGAATTAATAAACACGACGTAACTATGCACTCAACCCCTGGAAATAAATCCGGCCCTCGTCAACCGGAGATCCCGGCTGCTGGTTTGCAGCAGCGGCCTGCCACTCTCCCGCCGTTGAAGCTGCGCAAACAGGGACGAGAGCGAGGCAACGGAACGGTCCAAGATACCGAAAACTGGCCGCGTCCCCGGGAATAACGTCACCGGTCGCCCAAAGGCCGCCCGACGGCCCAAGCGCAAGCTCCCCCGCTACTGGGTCCCCCGTGAGCTGCTAGATATTTCTCGGCCAACTTTCCTCCATCGTATGTCATCGTGGCCAGAGGAGAGGGCCAAACTGCCATGACGGGTTTCCACCGCCGCGCCCCCCCTCCGGCTCAATCTGCTGTATCTGGAGATGCGTGTCCTGGAAGTGAACATCCAGATCTCCAGCTATTCGAGAACTTGAAGTCCGGATGTGAAAAACCGCACTCCAAGAATTGGACTGCTGGAAATTCGCTACCTTGCCCCCCGGCGCAGCGCCGGAGGCCCCGGGAGGTGGACGCCTCGCGCACACCGGCAGGGACCCGCTCTCAGCTCCGGGGGGGTCTCAGCTGGTAAGACCAGGAACTTCCTAGCTGCGCTGGGCTTGCGCCAGAACTTGGGGCTTCTTCCCTCACGGGATCATGGTCCCGCGACGACTCGGCCGGCCCGGGAGGTCCTGGGTGAATGCGGATGGATCCATTTGCAGAGAGGCATTATCCGGGATAAGGGACCCCAACGGCCTCGTGCTTCCCGTCACACCACTTCTGACAGCTCGAATTGTCCCGCAATCGAGGAAGGGGATCTGATTCTCCAGTTTACGGGGGCCATGGCCTTGGAGATGGAGAGGCCGCTCGGTTATGGCAGGTTTTATGCGTCACCTGAGCTTCTGCGGCGACATGGCCCGAGTGCTTGGGAGGACAGGATATAATGTCTTGCGTCTCACTTCTTGTTTCTGTTGTTTCCTCCATTCTATCATCATCATTCTTAGCATCCTTTGGAGCTACAGTAGCAACCACTCAAGCCAATCCATTCGCCCCCAACAAAACACCAAATAACTGAAGCCACCCACTATCCCCCAAACACCCTCAACCATCCACACAACCATCCACAACCACACAAAACAAAACATGGCGCCCTCAGTCTACATCCTCTTCCACCGCGACAGCGACGTCAGCGGCACCTCGACCATCGTCTCCGTCTTCTCCGAGCTCCAAGACGCCAACGCCGCCTGCCTGCAACAAGCCGCCGAGGCCAAGGTCGAGCCCAAGATCCAGGTGCCCCGCGAGCCGCTCCGCTGGGAGGCCCCCGACGGCACCGCCTGCTGGGTCGAGAAGCACGCCGTCGTGCCCCGCAAGACGCTCAACCCCGTGCGGCCCGAGAGCCCCAAGCGCAAGGACAGCAGCCTGTACGATAACGACGAGGATGATGTCATTGAGGTGCAGGACCAGGATGGTCACTACGACTAAGGCTCGGGCATGAGCGTGAAGAGAGGGATTGTTGAAAAGGCATTGGGCATCTGGATTAATGCGGGGGAATCGGGGCGTTTTATGAAATGAGAGATGAGATGAGATGAGACTAGATGGGATCTGATCTGGGCATCAGCCCTATGCATAGGCTACGAGGATAGATCAGTCATGGCAGTGTAATGAGGGGTCTCCAGAAGAGTCCCGTATGTTTTAGTTACGGTAGCGACCAATGAATCTCATATTCGTTCAAATCCAAAAAGCTCTTTACTCCCATCCAACCCAGCCTTCCAGGTCCTCCATTTTCCAGTCTAGTCATCCCATCCATCTATCCTCCAATATGTAGCGAGTGTCTATGTCGTCTTCTGCTCAACCACTCACAGCTTCGCCTTGGGAGTCTCCTGCTTCATCATCGTCTCCGCGACAATGCGTCGCTGGATCTTACCGGTCGCCGTCTTGGGCATGATGTCGGTAAAGTACACCTTCTTGGGCACCTTGAACTTGGCGGATCGCTCCTCCATCCAGTCCTTGAGCTCGCTGGCCGTCAGCTGCTCGTCCTTCTTGAGCACCACCGCCACGCCAATGTCCTGGCCGTACACCTCGTCGGGGATCGCGAAGCTGACGGCCTCGCTGATCTTGGGGTGGCGCGTCAGGACGTTGTCGAGCTCAATGGGGCTGATCTTCTCGCCGCCCTTGTTGATGAGCTCCTTGATGCGGCCCGTGATGATAATGTAGCCATCCTCGTCCTTCTTACCCTGGTCGCCAGTTCGGAAGAAGCCGTTCTTGTGGTAGGACGAGGCGTTGGCCTCCGGGTTGTTGAGGTAACCCTTGGTGACATTCTCACCGACGATGCAGATTTCACCCTCGCTTCCCTGGGGCACCTCCTCTCCCTGTTCGGTGAGAATCTTGACCTCAACGCCCTGACCAAGGCCGACGCTGCCAGGCTTTCGCTGGGCAGGAGGCAGAGGGTTTGATGTCATCTGATGCGACGCCTCGGTCATGGCGTACGCCTCGAGCACGGGGGCGCCATACGTCTCCTCCAGCTTCTGGAAGACGGTGGGAGAGAGAGGGCTGGAGCAGGAGCGGATGAACCGAATGACCGGCTTGGGGCTCGGGGTCGGGTTCTTGAGGAGGATCTGATGGATGGTGGGAACGGCCGTATACCAATTGGCCTTGTGGGCGATGAAGTCACCCCAGAACTCAGTTGCGGAGAACTTCGGAGGCACCACCATGGAGCCGCCAGTGTAGAGGGGGGCCAGCAGACCACAGAGGAGGCCATGGACGTGGAAGAGCGGCATGACTAGCATGGTGCGGTCGCTGGGTGTGAGCTGGTAAGTCTGCTCAATGTTGTCTAGGCACGGTGTTAGTCGTGTAAGTCATGTACCAAAGCGAAGCTGGAGTCAGTAGGCGGCACGAGAGTGGTTGTGACATACGCATGGTTCTGGCTAAATTCCGATGAGACAGGGGAACCTATTCGTCCATCAGCGGAGTTGTCTCGGGAGACTGTCGGCATCCATCAAAACTTACCACTTTGGGTCGAGACGTCGTTCCGCTGGACATGTGTTAGTTGATTTAAAGGTGTATAGTTACATGTGAAACTGACCTCGTGTGCAGGATGAGAGCAGTGTCATCCGGTTCAGCCCGCAAGAGCTTCTCCTTCTTACCCTTCAGACCTCCGAGGTCCTTAACGTCGAGCGCGATCTCGCCCTTGGCGGCGTCCCAGTAGCACTCGGCGACGGCGGCATTGAACCTCTTGGCGGCCTTGACGCTGGCGGCGTTGGCAGCGTAGGCGCCCTTGGGGACGAGGACGATGGCGCTCTTGACGTCGTCGATGTAGAACTCAAACTCATCCTGCTTGTAGGCCGGGTTGAGGGGCGCCGCAATGCCGCGCTGCCAGGAGGCGGCCAGGAACGAGACGATGAACTCGAACGAATTGACGAGGGCGATGGACACGGGCGCGCCGGTGGTGATGCCGAGGTCGGCGAGCTTGGCCTGGAAGGCAGAGACGTGCGAGTTGAGGGCGGCGTAGGTGATGGTGAGAGGCGTGAGTTTGGAGGGGATGATGACGGCGACGGAGGAGGGCGAGCCCTTGATGGCGGTTTGGAGGGTCAATGCCATGATTGCGGTTGGTGGCGAAGAGGGTGAAGAGGGTGAAGAGGGCGAAGTGGGCTCAACCGTGAGATGAGTGAGGGTACTGGTGATGCGAATTTGCGGGTCAGACGATGTTGGCGATAACGGCCACGAATGCGCAGTCAGAAGCGGCGAGACGGAACCCGAGATCCCGGCAGAGCAGAGATTGGAGTGAAATAAAAGCGAACAAGTTTATGAAGCGAGTCGATGTGAATGCAAGTCTGAAGAAGAGAGCAGAAGAAAGAGGGAGAAGTCGTCCCGTGCTGGGTCTGCTCAGCTCTAGCGAGTCGACTCCCCGGCTGCTGCGATAGGGGAGAGGTGACGTGCTTTTTCGCCCTGGCGTCTGGCGTCTCGGCATCCCTCCGACCGCCCGGAAATCTGCAGATATTCATGTGCGAACCCGCTGAGAGCTGCCCGGCCGACAGCTCGAGACTCCACCTGAGCCCCCACGACAGCCCATGACAGGGAGATTCTCAGGGGGGCGTTCCGGGGACGCTCCCGGGGGGTGCTGCTGGCTAACGGGCTAGCGGGTGTTTAGGGGGAATGGGATTCGGGAAGTCTGCTGGAGGGCGGGCCAGAAGTCGCAGGACTAGGCTTGGGTTCTGTTATGGGGATCGAACTCTGGCTTGTTGGCTATGTTGAGGCTGTTTTGAAGACGTGGGGCGCCGCATGGAAGCATGAGAGACTGTCTGGATGGTGTATCATGCAGCGGATGTCGGTCGTGGGCTGCTTTGCCGGCAGTCCGGTTCCTGTCAGTGCGGGTTTATTAGGTACTACGTATACCTAAGGAATGACGTCCGGATACTTGACGCCCCAACAAAGGCGCTGCCTCCCCGTCATCATGCATAATTCCTGGATGAATTGCTGGGACGACCAACGCTGGCCCAGATATGCCATCTTACACCCGACTTTAATACTTAGACCAATTCAACCCGCAGCGTCGCAGTCGAGGGAGGCACTTACAAATACTACCGGAAATCGACAGTCCAGGGCAATTCATTGGCGGGGTACTGCTTACACTGCGTACCTATTCAGGCCACTACCTACCTTACCTTAATGAACTAAGGCGCCCACCAGGTAACTAACGCCTCAACTCACCACCTACCCTATTCGGACCGTCCGTCCCACTGCGCCTCGTCTCCCCGCTGCTGCTCTCGCCACGACTCGCATCTCCATCGTCCAGAACATTGCTCCTTGCGCTTCACACGCCTCCCCGTTGCGCGCCCCCGTTCCGCTCCTCTGCCCGCGGCCTTGCGAATCGCATCCCGCCCTCCCGTGTCTCTGTCTCCGTACATGTCTCCGCCTCGGCCGCCTGCCGCTCCCTCTCGCTCCCGAGTAGACGACGTCCGCCGCCGTCGCCATGGCTGAGGCCGACGCCGTGCCCACCTTTGGCGCAGAGCTCAAGGTTGGTGGCCTCTTCTCCCAATCGCTCGTCTCGCCCCTGTTCGCCCGCCAACTCCGCGGCATCTCGAGCGAAAGAACCCGTCCGATCCCGCCGGCTGACTCTTCGTCTCTCTAGGATGGCTTTAAACCCGCCAACGCCTGGGTAGGCCACGGCATTGCCTGGTTCGAGGATATCCAGCAGTTCTACCGCGAGCGCGCCGCCATCGAGAAGGAATATAGTCAAAAGCTCACTATGCTCGCCAAGAAATATTTCGAAAAGAAAAATAAGAAGACGTCCCAGCTGAGCGTCGGAGACACTCCTGCCATGACCCCCGGCTCCCTCGAGAGGTGCCCAACTCCCAACCCAACCCTTCTGGCGCATCCTGTACTGACCATGGAATTTACCACTCTCCAGTGCCTCCTTAACTACATGGACTACCCAGCTCACCACTCTCGAGTCCCGCGCCAGCGAGCACGACCGATACGCAAACAACCTCCTCTCCCAGGTCGCAGAGCCACTCAAGTTCTTTGGCGGCCGCTGCGAGGAGCTGCGCAAGCGCCATGCCGAATACGCCGAGAAGCTCGAACGCGAGCGAGAGACTTCATATGCCGACTTGCGCAAGAACAAGGGCAAGTACGACGCCGTCTGCCTGGAAGTCGAAGCGAAGCGCAAGAAGTCTGAGTCTCATTACGACAAGGCCAAGGCCCAGAGCGCCTACCAGCAGCAGGTCTTTGAGATGAACAACGCGAAGAATAGTTACATTATTGCCATCAACGTTACCAACAAGCAGAAGGAGAGGTACTATCACGAGTATATCCCAGAGGTCATGGATAGTCTACAAGACCTCAACGAGTTCCGGACAATTAAGCTTAACAACCTCTGGGGGGTTGCGACTCAACTCGAGTCAGATATGTTACAGCAGAGCAATGGTATGGTCGAGCACCAAGGCACCGAGATCAAGAGGAACTTACCGCATCTCGACTCGATGATGTATATCCAGCATAACTTGGGAACCTTCAACGAACCCCCTGACAAGATGTTCGAGCCTAGCCCAGTGTGGCACGATGACGGCGCCATGGTCGTGGATGATACGGCTAAAGTGTATCTTCGAAATGTGCTGAGCAAGTCGAAATCACAACTGGGCGAGCTGAGGAGAGAGGTGGATAAGAAGCGCAGAGAAGTCGAGGGACTAAAACGCACGAAACAGCGCATCAGGGAAGGCACTGAGAAGAAGGACGAAGCCGAGGTTGTGCGCATCCTCTTTTCAATGCAGGAGGAGCTTCACGCCATCGACCGCCAGCGGCTTACGGCCGAGGTCGAGACATCGACTATCACCTCCGTCGTCGGAGACGTCACGCTCGGCGCCAAAAACCACAACTTCAAGGGCCAGACATTCAAGATCCCGACCAACTGCGACCTCTGTGGTGAGAGGATCTGGGGCCTGAGCGCCAAGGGCTTTGACTGCAGAGACTGCGGCTACACGTGCCACAGCAAGTGCGAGATGAAGGTCCCCCCCGACTGTCCTGGCGAGCAGACCAAGGATGAGCGCAAGAAGCTCAAGGCCGAGCGCCAGGACTCGGCCAACAAGCTCCTCAAGCCCAGTGCTACCATGACGTCGCAAACATCGTCCGACGGGCCAGAACTGACCCGCTCCAACACCATGAACTCGCTCAGCTCGCATTCTGCACGCCCGTCCCTATCAGGCTCAGTCTCTGGACCGCGCAGCCCCGCCGAGGAGACGCCGCCAGAGGTAGTTCCGCGGCCCAGCGTCTCATCGGCCAAGTCACCCAGCGCGCGCAAGAATCGAGTTATGGCCCCACCCCCTACTGCCTACATCAACGACGGACCGGGAGCACCCGCGCCAAATGGCGGAGAGAAGGAGGAGAAGAAGGGCAAGATGCTGTACGGGTTTGATTCAGGGTCCCCGGGCGAGCTGACGGTCCCAGAGGGCCGCGACGTTGTGTTGCTCGAACCAGATGGTAGGTCCTGCACTTTCCCCTACGAAACGTGGCGCATTGTATATCTAACCGCATCCTAATAGATGGCTCCGGCTGGCTCAAGGTCCGCGCCGGCTACAAGGAAGGCCTAGTCCCGGCCTCCTACGTCGAGATGATCGAGTCGCCCGGCCCCTCTGCGGCCGCGCCCTCCGCCTCCGCCCGTCCCTCGTCTACGTACTCTACCTCTACCACCTCCTCCGCCACAGGCAAGAAGAAGGGCCCCACCGTCGCCCCGCGGCGCGGCGCCAAGAAGCTCCGATACGTCGAGGCCGTTTACGAGTACGCGGCGCAGTCCGAGGCTGAGCACTCCATGGTCGAGGGCGAGCGCTTCGTCCTCGTCACCGAGGACCCCGGCGATGGCTGGGTCGAGGTCGAGAAGGCCGGCGTCACGGCGAGTGTGCCCGCGAGCTATGTCCAAGCCGTCGTCTAGAAAACCGGGGAGAGGAAGTCTACAGCAAAGATGTTTTGGGGCAGAGGCACGGCGAGTGTTGGGGCGTGTATAGATGAGAGTCAGCAGCGAGCGAGCGAGCAAAGTTGCTTCCGCCGCCGTCATGAGAACCGGCCAATGTAAATAAAAAGACGGAACGAGGCATGTATATTTCCGGAGAAAGCATCCGTTTGGATAGGGTACATACATACACGTCAACCACACCTTCCAGTACTAGGAGCATGGTGTGCACTGCCTACTCGCCTGCCTCATCAAGACTCGCGTCCCTCGAGGGGCTGACGAACGTCCACACGTATCACTCTCGCCACACCCCCGACGTGGCCGGAGGTCCCGGAGACAACTCACCAGATTCATGGCGAGACACACCGAGACAGTTCACACATGCGATGGACCAAGAGCAGGAGGCGTCAGATTGAGTGAAGTAGAGCCATGGGGTCTGACAGCCCGCCAAATTCGATTCAGCCATCAAGCAGCAGAAGAGGGATAAGTGCCGTCTATATTACACGATTGTACAAGGGAAAAGACCAAAAAGGAAGAAAATAAGCCCGTCGCACACTCCAGTATCCTCGTCACCGATTCCGATCTTGGTATAACCCCCTATTCCGACCCCTCACCAAATGTGCCCATGCCATTCCGAACCAGCCCCACCAAAACATCTTCCTTGTGATGGTGATGTAAGAAAATGGGAAAGGGGATATCATCTCTTCCAGTGTAACGCCATGCAAGAAAAGTCAAAACGAAAATAAAAACACATTTCTCATCCTTGAGGCAACCCTGTGCCATGCACGCAATGACTGCGGACCAAACGCCGAGCGAGGTGTGAAAGTGAAAAAGGAGAGTTTCGTGAGGGAAACCCCGAAAAAAGAAATTGACAAGGAGAGTGGAATCATATCATCTATCCGCTGTGTATACTTCGCATGAAGGGACTTTGTCGTAAAACCGTAGTAGAACTCGAGGTTGAAAACTCACGAGTTCCGCCAGGAGCCATTAGAATAGGAGGTTGGCCGGGTGTGGTCCCTAAATCATCTGCGCCGTTGGGGCTCCCAGTCCGTGCTGGCCCAGTCCGTGTCGAAGGGCATCTTGCAGTTCGGCGATCTGCGCCATCATGGCGAGCGAGTGTTGAGACTGTTGGTCCATTTCGGTCTTGAGTTTCTCATTCTCCTCGCGTACACGCTTGATCTCCTCCCGAAGTTCTGTAAGCTCCTCGGTGCTTTGGCCGCTGGATCGTCGCTTGCGCTTCATCCCCGCCTTTTCGCTTTCGTTGTCTTCGGGAGATGGGATAGGTTCGGCAGGAGGTGTCATCCCTTCCATGTTGGTGTGGACCCGTCGCAGATGCTCATTCAGATTTTCCTGGCGCGAAAAGCCTTTCCCAGTGTGCCGCTTGCAGTTCGGGTGAGGACAGTTGACAGTGTTCTTGGGCCCTCCATGCTTGCCATGGACCTCGCGTTCGTGTCGGAGTAGACCACCGGAATACGTAAACCCAGGCAAATTCTCGCAACCGTCAGCAGGGCATCGGTATGGCCGTTCATGCTTATCCATGTGTTTACTAGAAAATGTAGATTAGTGCCAGTCCAACAAATACGGCTGTTCTAGGCGGGGGTTTACTTACTTCCACTCGCACTTGCGCGAAAACGCTCGTAGCTCCTCCTTGCAATCATCTAGAGGGCAGTGGAATTTCCCATCCGCTTGCTTTGCAACCTCTCGGTCGGGCTTGGGAATCGGCTTGATGCGCAACGAGGGAGGGGATCCAACGCCTGGAGAAAGGTCCTTCTCGTCTTGGAGAGGGTCGAGTGACGGCGGCACCTGCATTGCGGCTTCAAGAGGGGATGGGAAAGCTGCATGCCCTAGATCGAGGCGCGTCGCTTCCTGGATAGCAGTAGCATCCTCAGGTATCATCCCTCGATCATCTCCCAGGACGACTCTATCGTCGGGTAGCATGGCTGCCTCGGCAGTGTAGTGGCTGAGTTGTTCGGCAACATCATTGTCGGTGAAGCGTTGGTCGGCGGCGTGGTCGTGTTCGTCTCCGATGGGCGGATATGCCCCTTCGTGGATGAAGTTCCTTGGCTCGTATGCGACACTCATGGTGGCGGCAGGTCGATGTTGTAGGGACAGGAAGGTGTTCGAAGACGCGGCTGCCGCGGAGACGGAGTCAACGGTCGCGTCCGACGGCAGAAGTCGGAGGTGGACGAGGTCTATGCCAGTTGTGTCGAAGGGAGAGACGGGCGAAAAGTTGAATGTCGCGCGCAGGGGTTTGGCCGATATGTCGTCGAGCTTGTGGTTGAATAAGGCAAGTAGCTACTGCGATGAGCTCGGATTGATAGAGGCCTGAAAATTATGGTATGAAGAGTCGGAACGCAACGGAGGCTGATGGACTGAAATGATTAGTCAGTGATAACACGTGACGAGGCGGAAATGTGTGGTCTGTGCGTTTGGCTTGAGCCTGAGCATGTGCGTACAATGTGGCGCCGAATGTTCCGAATGGTCCTCGTCTCTGGGTCAGCCCTCAAACCAGTGGATAGAAGGCCATCGCGAGTGTGCTGTATTAGTACTTTGCATCGGTCTAGGCACCCGCCTGTGACTCGAAGAGGAGTTGGCGAGTCCTTGGCGTTGGATCCAACGAAACGCTTCTATCCGGAGCATGAGCCCGGGCGTGACTCACGGCGTCCTAAATGGTGCCTTGCCGCCATGGGCGTGGGGAAGGCTGCGTGTGAATAGGTGCACCAACACATACCACCCTAGCCCTTGCACTCCTCTGCCTTGCGCTGGCTCAGGCGTACCACTCGCTAGAGCGTGTTGCTGTCGAATGTGTGGCCTCCGCTAGACGCCTGGCGCACACTTGCGCGCGAGGCTGTGCCAGCTGGCTAACAGACATGTAAATGAGGCCCATCCAGGGACCAACCTGTGATTTTGTTCACGATCTTGCTTCCAAGCTCCGTGTAATTCGCGTGTTCCCCGGTCATCCGGCGTCAACTTCGCCCACGTCCCACTCGATGACGTGCGCCTGGAAGGGGACAGGATGAAGGAAGGGGGGGGGGTTGCCTGGTCCGTCCCGGAGGACTCATGATGGACGGGTAATAGAGCGAGTTGGCTGTAACCGGCTGACTTGGTCTAACACGAGGCCTTACATCCACGGAGACCTCCCCATTGGGCACTGCACTGGATCGTGCGCCCCAAGAAGGATTTGGATGTATGACCACCTCCCGGTCCATCATGCCCAGGAGTTGCCTACCTCGGTCGTGGAAACGTAGCAACTTCTCCGGGTCATTTCTGCCTCAGTCACCAAGGCCAGATCTGTGGTAGTTTCTCGGCCGAGAGATAGTCAGTGGTGACAGAGAAGCCGAATAACTTTATTCTAGCAATGAGTTCTGTATGTTGCATGTTGCGCTCTCACCACGACCTCTATTCCAAGTGGCGATTCGGGCCTCGGCAGAACTAGAACCAGTGGCGATTAGACGCAAGCCAGCATGCGTTGGCGTGGCGGTATTGTACGCGTACTTCCTGCGCATCTCAAAGCCCCCGGGTAAGAGAGTATTCAAGGGGATGACGACAAACAGATGCCGGCTGAATGGAGTGGCGTCTTCCGACTGGGGCTGATGCGAAAACAAACCGATGATAAGAGGAGCATCCGGCGATCCTGGCAATGATACTATGATGATGAATTGACGCCTTGATCGCTGGCATACCGATTTCGGAGTTGTTCACCATGCGACCCGACATTGAGTGTGTGAGGGGGAAAACGGCGAAAAGAGGGTGGGATTTTGGAGCTTCGTTTGGGGTGTGCTGGCTCCCGTCCGTGGTCAGGCATTTGTGCATTTACACCAGAAATATGAGGTTGAGACTCGTGTTGATAGTCTAGCGACGGCATGCTACCCAAAAGCAGCTAAGACATGGGTGCTGCTTCCTCAGGCCACAAATCAGAACCTTGTCATTGATAATGCCTCTTATGATCGATTTAGATCCTGGTGAGCTAGAATTGAGAAATGTTCCTGATTATTACCAAAATGTAGCAACTCTTGCCTTTGGGATTCCATTAACTCAATAGGCTATGCCGGGAAGCCTTCTTGTGGCGGAATCACGTGATCTATATGCCCTGACGGCCTCCAGGTTCCCAGCCAGCATTGCGAACTTGTGAGGTGGCACAGCAACAAGAGACACAGCGCCTAAGTAAGGTATGTAATTACACGTTCAAACTAGCCCCTAATCTCCAGGCAGCCCTGTTATGCTTCTTGGTGATCAACCCACAGCCTCAGCCAATGACTTCAGATCTACTGTTTCAGTGCCTTCATCTCTCGCAATCCTGGTTCGCCCTTCACAAGTGTGGCGCGACGCCTCAAATCGCCATTCACGATGCTTCACCCTATTTCTGCAGCTGCAGCGTTCAAATACCACCTCGACCGCCAAGACTAAAAAATGTCAGAAAACGTCACAAAGGACGTTAGTTGGACCGAACCATTGGTATGGAGTGCTGTAATTAGACTAGTTGTGCAGTGCGATCAGCCGTGGCGCTCTTGCAGCTGATGAGGCGTTCTACCGCTCCCTTCTCTTATAGTTCCCCGTGCCGCATCCCAACGCATTATCCCCTTTTTCTTCACCTCCATTGATCCTTTCTTTCTGCCTTACGATTAATTAACCAATCAAACCAACCATCCGACATGTCTATCAGTAAGATCACCACCTGCCTCTGGTTCGACAACCAGGCCGAGGAGGCAGCCAACCACTATGTTTCTACCTTCGGGGGTGACTCCAAAATCACCACTACTCAGCGCTACTCCTCTGCAGGGGAGGACACACACGGCCGTCAGCCTGGCTCCGTCATGGTGGTCGAGTTCGAGCTCCGGGGCAATCGATTCGTGGGCCTTAATGGCGGGCCGGCCAAGTGGAGCTTCAACGAGGCAATCTCCTTCCAGGTCGAGTGCGAGGATCAGGCCGAGGTCGACCACTTCTGGGAGAAGCTTGGGGAGGGTGGTGATGAGTCAAGGCGGCAGTGCGGGTGGATTGCTGACAAGTATGGCGTCGCGTGGCAAGTGGTGCCGAAGGCGTTGAAGAGGATGCTCAGCTCAGATGATAAGGCGGCGGCGGGCAGGGCTACTGTGGAGATGATGAAGATGAAGAAGCTGGACATTGGCCTTCTTGAGAAGGCGTTCAAGGGTTAATCTGTAATCATTGGGTGTGACGTTTGTCACGAAGCACACAGCCCTCAGATTCAATGTCAAGTCGAGGCGGTTCACCTTGAGTTGCTCCCGGGTCTCGTCAGCCTCACCAAGGCATCCCTGTGCTCTCAACACCCTTGTGGTTCAGCTCTTAGGCAGAAAGTTGTTGAACAATGAACCGGATCAAACTTGGCCATGTGACACTCAGGCGTAGGACACGCGCAAACTGACCGCCTTCCGGCCCGTCCTTTCAACTACCAGGTATCCACCAACTTCTTCATAGCCCGGTTGCCTACCTTGATTCCCACCTACTCTTGAGCCCCTCATATACGGCCCAGGACTTGAAAATAATCAGCCAAGCATCATCCTCCTCCGCAGCGGGTACATCATTGGACAATGAGTATTGCTATTTCCATGCATAATCATACGCTCAGTCCTACTGACAATTGCCTGATATCCTAGTTAAGCGGCTTAGGAAGTCTAAGTACTACTTTTTCTTATTTATTCTTCATAGTAATATTTATGTATTCATTTATCAGGTCCAATTTAATAAAGGCAGATGTTTAATACATCCCTCGCTTTATGTATGGTAGATACCTACCTAGGTACCTTAGCCCAGCTCGCGCTTTAGTAAAGGATCTTGTATCTGTGTGCAAACAGCAATATTCTCGTGTGCGAATAGCAGTACCCTGGATTTTGTTTCTCCTCACGTCACTCCGATGTCATGTCGTTGATCTAGAGTGTCCTTCACTATCTTTCATACCTACCTCCTTCATCTTGCGATGGAAGGGGTGTCATGACCTTCTAGGGAGTAACCAAAGGTTATGGGATGAACTTAATCTTGGATAAACACAACAATACTGATTACGTTAACGTATGTGACGTGCCCTATCCCTCGCTGCCTGGCAAAGCATGTCGACGCCATCGTATCACAGAAATTGGTACCTACACCCCATTTCTCAACTTAGCGCTAGTCCTCGAATTCTTTCTCCTGGGCGGTAGCTCAGTGAGACGTTTGCCTGTCAATTTCGAGTGCAATCCAGCGCTGCGTAAGGAGCCCTATTCGATCCGCTAGTTCTAATTATGACCAACGACTGTTCCATCCATGGCCTGAAGTCAGAAGTTGAACATCCTGGGAGGAGGTGGTTGTGCAAGTCCGGGTGGGACAGTTGGTATCGACTTGCGGGGGTGCTGCCTGGAGGAGGGGCTTTTCGGCGTCGATGATGATCAAGGGCCTAATCGGCGAATTAACGTCGATAGAGTCCCTAAAAGACTAGTGAAGGAGGCAGATCACTGTCATTCCGTGGGGATCCCATGGTTGGATGTTGTGGAGCTGGGGAAGAGGATGACACTGATGGGAGATCACATATTATGTCCGTGCCGTCATCTTCAGTGCCGACGTGGATCTCAAGGATCACGGTGCCTGGACTGACTCATTTTTATCCCCTGAAGCTGACAGGAACCGGTCCTGGAACATAGATCCGAAGGGTCTGGTTGTTGTAATGTTGAGCCCTTGATTGACAAAATACGATTCGGCAGGTGACGCCGAAACACAACTGACAGCGTGATCCGCGTAACTGTGCCACTCACTGTAGTACTCGAGGCCTCAGGCGGGCGTAGCACGGTAGTAATTACCGTGAATTAATTGCCCCATAATAATCACGGAGTAGCTAGAGTTTGGATAGCCGTGCTCCAGTACGTTGGGTCATCCCACACTCCACGTTGCTGATATCAGAGGTACGTAATTAACACGCAGCCGAGCTGGCTCTAAGACCTTTCGCCTGCGTTCACAGATGGTGCACGGGGTTATTGGAGACGAGATCTGTCGGGGTTGGAAAATCCTGCCGTGCATCCAGCCCTGGAGAAAATGGTGACGCCCTCTCTGCAGCTCGATGCTCTCCTGACCAAAGCCACCCGGCTAGGATAGGGATTTCACTCGGTAGTTTGCCGAGGTCGACAAAGCCGACAGCTTCAGTGCAGTTGGACACTAAGAAGCCGCTAACAAATGCACAGCAGGAACCGGGAATACCACGCGTGCAATTGCTGAGAAGTCAACAAGTCTGTATCCACTTGCTGCGATCCCGGATTGCCAGGGTCACACAGACGCAACACAGGCGCGGACCCAGAAAACCACTCGAGTTGGATGCTAATCGAACAGAGCAGAACAGGCCACTATCAAGTATATCCCTCATCATATTATGAAGTCGCACAGTCTCATATTAGCAGCTAAACCGGTGGACTTCTGGCCGACTAAATAATATATCAAAGCAGGATTTTACTGCATACGCGTGCGTCCTCTGTCGTCGGATCAGAGCTTGCCCGCCATGTGCACTTTGTCTCTGGGGAAATTTCGGTCCCAACGCACTTGTCTCGGTGCGTCCCTCCGAGCACACCGCTAGCCTAGTTTGAATAGCTTCTCCAACTCTTGGTGCACTAGCAGGGAAGTGCTTGGTGCAGCGACGCGCCTAAATCGGCTCATCAAGAGCTTTCCAGGTTTAGCTTCTTGTGCCCCTCCATCCAACTTTCGTTGATAAAGACCCCTCCATCTCCTCCACCAGCTCTCCCTTCCCTCTCCAGCAAATACCCGCGTGAAATATTTTCTTCTCTCTCCATCTCCCCCACACCATCTCCCGCATCGTCAACCCTCTCCGTTGACACTCCTCTCTTCCTCCAAATCATCATCTACAAAGCATTATCAAAGGCACTGGCAACAAGGCACGCGACAGACTTATAGCACGCTTTTCCATTGCTCTCAAGTCCAAGCATGGCCGAGCCCACCTTTAGCCCGCCAATTGGCGACGCGAAGCTCCAGGACGAGGTTGATGAGATCCATCATCCTTCATCCAATGGACTCGCCAACCAGGAAGAGGGGAATGTCCGGGAGGGTGATTATGACGCTGAAACGGTCGAGCGTGTGTACCGGAAGATTGATCGCCGCATCATTCCAGGTTTGTCCCCCATACACATATTGACAAATGTATCCGCTCACACTGGCAGCTTTTTGGGTCCTCTACTTCCTCTGCTCGGCCATCAGGTCCAACATCGGCATTGCCCAGACCATGAACAAGGACGTCGGCCACGACCTGATGACCGTCCTCGGGATGACGGCCAAGGATACGTCTACCGCCCTCGCCCTCTTCTACGTCGCATATGTCATCTTCGACTGCCCTTCCAACCTTGTCATGAGCAAGCTCAGTCCCCGCCTCTGGATGGCTCGAATCGTCTTCGCTACGGGTCTTGTCGGCACCTGCTTCGCCGCTGTCCAGGATGCGTGGAGTGTCAAGTTTCTTCGATTCCTTCTCGGCGTTGTGATTGCTGGCATGTGGCCCGGCATGGCCTTCTACCTCACTCTCTTCTACCCGCCTACCCGTACCGCTAAGCGTATCGGCATGTATTTTACTGCCGCTCAAGTCTCCGCGGCTGTGGTTGGGCTTGTGTCTGCTGGCTTCCAGAAAATGGATGGCTTGGGTGGTCTCGTTGGTTTCCGTTGGATGTTCCTTATCTACGGCCTTGTTGCTATTGTCCTGAGCGTCACCCTTCTCTGGTGGCTCCCTGACAGACCTCTGGCTCCTGGTCAGGTCAGAGACAACACCGGCATCTTCAAGTTTCTTCCGGCTACCCCCGAGGTCCTGACTGGTCAAGATGCTGTCATCCATTACCATGACCTTAGACGTGTCTACCACGCCCGACCTTGGACTATGAGGGATCTGGGTCTCGTCTTGGTTGACTGGCGCCTGTGGCCCTTGACTATGATGTACTTTGGCGTTGTCGGTGTGGGTATTGGCACTCAGCTGTACGGATCGGTTATCATCGCGTCCATCCAGCCCGAGGCTAGTGGCATTGAAGTCAGCTTGCTCTTCGCTCCCATCTGGATCATGGATCTCATCGCCATTTTGATCGTCACCCCCATCTCGGATCGCTTCCACAAGTCGCGCCCTTATTTCTTCTCGGGAGCTGTCTGCATCCAGATTTGCGGTCTTCTGACCACCACACTGGCGACCAACAACGGCTGGGCTCGATACGGTGGCCTTCTCATGGTGGGATTCGGCCTCGGTCCTACTGTCCCCATTTGCATGGCCTGGAGCACTGAGATCTTCCAGAAGCGTCACGGAGAGGTCGGTGTTGCGGCTTCCACTGCCCTCGTCTCTGGCCTGGGCAACCTTGGTAGCGTCATGACCACGTACGCCTTGTATACCGGTTGGCCTGAGGACGCTGCTGCGGGCCCTCACCAGTACCGCAAGAGCAACTACACCATGATCGGAATCCTCTGCATGAGCATCTTGAGTTCCTTCCTAATGAAGGCTCTCCTGAAGATCTTTGGCAATCCTCCCAGCAGCAAGTTCCAGGACGACTCAGCCAGCGACTTTGAGGATGGCGCGGCTAGACGAGAGGGTCAGCAACGTGGTTTCGGCTCGAGCCTTCCTTGGAAGCGAGGCAACCGGAACTAACTCTTGTCCCTTAATTCCTTAGTGAGAGTCGCCTAGCCAAGACCTGATCTTCAACAATCGCCCTGACCGACGACTTCAACGCTTGTTCTTCAGCTACCGGTAGCTCAACCTACATTTTTACAACCTCATAATTCTCTTCGACTGAAAAGTCACCGAAGGGAGTGTTCAAGTCGCTGTTTACCAGTCTCTTAGATACCGGCAGGGTCTTAGAGATGGCTTAACTAACGACAGTGTTTCCTTAGATGACACATCCGGACTCACGACGGATGAGAAGACAATGCTCCCACGCTATCGTCTCATCCATCTCGCGTGTCCAGAACCATCCCAGAGAACACGAACCAGCCCAAGGATTTTGTGTCTTACCTTTTATTGCTTCGGCCTTGCTTTTACTGCGCAGTTTTGCTCTTGATGATACCCCATCAGCGTTTATACCCGCTGTCTTACGAGTTTCTCTTTCCCTCGACAGCGACAGTGCTTCTACGCCATCGCTGGGACGGCGTGTTGGACCGAGGCCCAAGACCAGCGAAAATGCTTCCGCGCTATCGTTTGGTGGGCTCTCGTGGGCGTCTAGCCTTGGATTAATGGTGGACGAGAAAAAATGGCCGAGGGCCACGTGGTGTATGTTAGGAGTGTGCATATCCTTTTGGGGCTGCACGGTTTTGTTCAGGACTAGAATTTAGCTTGTATAAGACTTTTTTTCTCCTACTCTATTTCTATTTGCTCTGACCTGTATGATGCGAATGTGTCTAGCTACGAAGTGCCATTCCTAAGCAATGGGATTCTGAGAAGGAAGTCAACGTAACCCGCAAAGGAAAGAAATTGACATAATACCCGCAGGTCTATGGATCCGGACAAGAAGCGATCGCTTACTGCAGACATGCAGTAGGCCTTACATGGCATGCTTACCTTGGCTGCTGCATCAAGTTGGCGGTCACAAGTAGAGCAGGCTGCTTGAAGGGGGGAAGGAACGGAATGGAACCTTACTCCAGAGTGAATTGATGCCTACCCTGTGAAGCTCTTCGAATGATCATCACACTACGCTGCGGCGTTGCTTGAATACTAATTGTCTATTTGACCCAGATTACTTCTCATCTTGCCTTGTAGGGCGAAGTTGCTGGTATAAGGGAACATTTTCCCGGGGGCAGCTTATCAAAGACATGAAATCGAACTACTTACGCATCGTGATGACTGTCATCGATTGTGAGCTGCCGTTGCTGTCGTCCAAACATGGCAACCAAAGGCGTGGTTGCCTGATACTAGCCTGCCTTTGTTGCAGTGAATCACTGTAGTGTCCGCAGCCTTCCTCCAACTCCCACTTTTAATCCCTTTACTCATTTCCTCATTGGCTCTTTGCTTTCTTCATCTTTTCTCATTCCTCCCTTCTTCCTTCATCCCCACTGTCATCAAATTCGAGCCCCAATCATGGAGCCAGCTAGCAAAAAGCTGCGAACCACCCTCCAGTTGCCGACACCAATGGAGACACTACCTCAAGCGAAGCCAACACGAGCCCCAAGTAAACACGCTCCCATCAGTGAGAGAGACTGCCAGAATTTGTTCAACTCTAATCGCGCCCTGTGGATTGCCTTCCCCGAAAGCTGCCGTCTCAGAAGCAACCGCCAACTTGCCACTCTCGAGAAATTTGTCGCCGAATCAAGCGAGTGTTCAGATGTGTCCAGCGTCACTCGGAGTGCTGGCATTTTTCTAGCCGTGCTTTACAAAACCACTGCTCATCGCGACACGGCAGTTGAGTCATTAAGGCTCGCAAGGGTTGGTTGGAAAGGCGGCTTGCATGCCCCAATCGTGGCTCCATTCGCCGCAAACTCTGACCCGCAAACTTGGAGTGTGTCACTTGGTCCTTTCGCAACCCCGAAGCTTCTTTCTGCAGCACTCGAGGCCTTCTTGCTTGCTCACAATAAGGACCATAAGATCGGTGCTCTGGGATACAACATCCGAAGACTTTTCACAATGGGACTCCCGACTTCAACATTTATGGTACGTGCCCCTCATGATAGTCTTGGACAGTATGCTAAAACCTGTCTCAGGTGATCTAGGAGAAACCAAAACAGTTTGAGGGCAAGGACTTGTTGGCTGAATTTCAAGGCAAAGACTTCTTTGTTCAAGGACAAACAACGTTGATCACAGCTGAACGCCTACTCGAATGTCTCCTCTGCGGCGGTCAACATGCCGCTGCAGTGTGCAAGAATACGACCACCACCAACACTCTTGGCCCGGTCAAGTTTTCAACGAAGCGCAAAACGTGTACGGAAAACTACAAAAGGGTTGGCACCCTGGAAATGAAGGCATACCAAACTTCGAGGCCGACTGTGGAGACAGAGAGCGGTACAGAGAAGAAGGGACGAGGAAGAAAAAGGAAGGGGGCTCAATCCAGCGATTAAGTTCGCTGCGAATTTGGCAATGACGACAAGCTCGTGGCGTTCGGCGACGCTACTCACCATTCCATGGGGAACATATCAGTTCACCACCTGGGTGCGCCCCCAAGAGCGAATTGGTAGGTTGTTTCTCTTCACTAGACAATCGCTCTTTCCTAACTGGCTGCGAAGGTCCGAAAGAAGGAAGGTGTTTTAAAAAAGAATACAGGATTTCGGGTGCCCACTACGGAGAGGATGCGAGTTGGATGGGAGGCTGGCAATTTCGATGGTACTTGAGGTTGTGGATTTTGCTAAATCGTAGCTCAAGGGATAGCCAAGTTTCCCAAAAATAATACGAACTGAAGATTGCTGCGCGAGGACAGGCTTTAGGATGCTACTCAGAATAAAAGTATTGAGTGACCAACAATGCGACAGCCGTAAAAAATGTTGTCGCGGCCTATACGTTATAGCTTGGATATGTATCTTTGAGAAATGAATTTCGGTTGGCTCTGAGGCATCATTTGCACGGGTGAGGTTGTGAAGGTGTCTCAGTAACACCGCCCGTTCTGCCATCTTCACCGAGCCAACGATGACTGAATCCTTTCCGATCCCAGCATCTGCCCAAAACGTAACATCACTAGTCCCCATAGCATAGGTTATCGTCCTATGTACCAAAGAAGTAATTTCATGATGCGAAAGTAGTGGAACAATCACAAAATTACCCTGTACTAGAATCTACAACGCGATTGTTTAGCGTTAGGAGCTTGGGACAACATATTGGAGGCGTGCAGATCAAGTGCGTGCTAATTATAGCGCCCCGTAAGTAGTATTTCGCAATCATTTACGCTATTGGCTTAGACACGTTGCTGTCTGTAATTCCTTTCGACTGTCCATTTATTTGACAACACGATGACGTGTGTTGATATTCCCCAGAGGCAGATGGATGGGGGTTTTAAAAATGGTGTCACCAGTGTACAAGTACGAGATGAGTAGAAAAAAGAAACTTCATTCAATCCCGAGATTTGAATGGTAGATTAATCCAAATTACTGTCTGCTTTGTCCAAAGTGTGGGTTGTGCCACATAGCCAACAAGCAATATGGGACTGGCGAGAATGGACGTGCGGGGAGCTCGTGTGGCAACGCCACTATCAGGATGGGAGGCCGTCGTTGGCTCTCATCCATCAAGACCACAATTTTCTGATGGGCTTCTATTGATATCAAAGTCAGATCAGGGTGACGGTTAGTAAGATTTGGCCACCGCCCTTCGTATTTGTATAACTTCAAACAATTTATATTGAAGCGGTGAGGCGGGCGGGCGGGTGAGATAATATACATGACCGCGATAGCTTGCGGCCAACTCTATTTACTTGAGGGCTCTTGTATATTAAAGAGGACCGACGTATCCGTACTGTTTCTCGCCAGGGCCCTCAGGAACAAGCCCCATGTGGTGGCGGAGTGGTTCTGGCGTCGATTACGTTTCTACCCTTGACGGGTCCTTCGGGGTAAGCAAGACGGTTTCGAGGGTAATTTGAGGGGATCGACTGGTGATTCATCCCACTCTATGTGAGAGACCCGTGCATCAGCCACGTCCTGCGAGTGCCGGCGCTTGAGCGGGCTGGATTTGCCTTGGTGGGTGGTAGCCAAAAATGGAATGGTCGGAGGCTGAATTGGATATCCCCGCACAAGGACAAGGCGCATACGGAAGACGAAAGTGCGCTTTCCAAACGCTGACGACATGGAGGGGGTGGTGTATGATTATCGAGGTAGATCAGGGGTGTCAAGTTTATTAATGGCGAACGAATGTGAAGGCGATGAGCCGCAGGAACGGGCTGGCGATCAGGTACGGCTTGGTCTAGCTTGGTCCAGCTTGTCATGGTTTGGTTCTGCTTGTTAGTTGGTGACAAGTTCCACCTCCAGGTCAAGCACCAAGGCCGCAGGTGTGGCTACTCCACCGTTGATACTCGGTACAGACGACGACGAACTATTATCGGAGTTCCATCAATAGGAAATCTGTCGGTTTCCTGCTGCATTGCCATTTCTCGGTTGCCCGGGTGGCGCAGCACAGTTGCAGGAATAACGGGACGACGACCCCCCGACAGGGCGAAATAGGAGGGAGGCCGAATGAACGGGACGACATCACGAGATGATCAGCTCAAGGTCAGCCGTGGCGGCGGGTTGGCCACTGACAGCAGCGAAGACCATAGTAGAGGCCAGAGGTTGCGTTGCCTTGTGGAGGCGTTTGCTTCACATTCGGGCCTGCGACGGGCCTGTGAAACGGCAAAGCGACCCTGAGTCGTCATGTTTTAGGCGGACTGGCCACGATGAAACGGGACCCTGGCTCCTCCTGTTCTGTTTTTGGCCTCTGTTAGGGGAGATCCTTGGCGCTGGCCCGTGTCTTTACTGGTCTCTGGTGTTGATGAGACGAAGCTCGGGCGTTCAGCTGTAGCATGCGTAGTGCTGAGGCGTTAGTCATCGCGAGTTTCCCGTGATGGTTGGTTTGTTGACCGTGTGGTCGCTGACGCACCCCGGCTCCTCCGTCGTGCGACTTGGGGAACACTTGCCCCTGGGAATATTATGCATATTCTCAGATCCCTGCGCACACGGCGACAACTTTGCTCCTCGCAACCTCTGGCTCGCAACCTCGCTGCAACCGCCCACCCGATTCTCCGACCCAGAGCCCCACGCGCGCCCCGAGGCTCAGAAACAAACCACGGCAATCAATCGAGCCAGCAATCTTAGCCAGGAGCATCGACTTAAGCCAAACGGACGCCAGTGCGCTCCTTGATTGGCTGCCCGTCTGGAAGCCCCGTCTGTGTGCGACTGTCAACGGCGATGCTCAAACACCACGCCGGAGCTTTCTCCTCGCCTCCCCTTCTAGCGGTTGATCTACGCCCATGGCATGTGCAAATCCGGGATCCGATCGTCTCTCGACTGATGGCCGTGATTGCTCCCACCAGAATGGCTCTATCGGTTTACCCGGGACGACATGGGATGAGTGCCTCCGGGCCACCGTCCGAAGCGAATTGCCGTGGCCAGATGACCGTCCAACTCTGAAGCCAGAGTCCAACCCATCAACACCTGCTCTCATCGTACATCTGGCGACTTAACCTACCGTGGCCAATACTGCACCGTTCCCACCGCCTACCCGTGAGGATCCTCCCCGGACAACCACCCCCATGTGGCCCGATCTCACAACCTTGCCCCGTCCCGACGCCCACTTTTCCGAGAGCTCGTCTCGTCTATACTACGTACTATGTAGTAGTCGACTAACTATAGCTCGAGCGATATGGCCTCTCGCTCTACTACGCAGCAATTACCCTCTCTGCCTTGTTCCTCCTGTTCCTCCTCCTGCTCCTCCTTGTTCCTCCTCCACCCCTAGTGGGCCAGTGGGGTGTGTCCATCTTGGCGACGACGACCACTTCCATGCCGTCTCATGTTCAGGACGCCTCAATAAACTCCGATCCATGACAGGGGAGTCTACCACGGCGCCTTACGTCGTCGCGGCCAGTGCTTGCGATGTGCCATTCCGTACCATGCCGTGCTGCGGCTCGTTAATGTTTCCCTGTCGGATCCTACCAGATTCTGCCAGTGCCAGAGTCCTTTAAGACGCTGCGTCGTTCCCCGGCTTCGTCTTGTTCTTTCCTTTCACTTCACTCCTCTTCGTCTCTCCCTTTACCCTCCCATCCCATTCGTTTCTGTTCGCCCTCTTGGGTTTGTTCTTGTCACTCTCTAAGGTGCTCGGTCGCCTTCTTTCAACCGGCTTTTTTTCATTCGTTGCTCTTTGATAGAGCCTTTTCACTCCTTCTTTTCACCACCAAACACTTCCATCACCAACTTATCACCAACTTCCGAACCCTTCGCAACAATGTGGTCCCGATACACCCTTGCAGCTCTTGCGCTGCAATCCTTCGCCCAGAAGGCTTCCGCCGGCGTCGTCGCCCCTCGAGATGTTACACTTACACGAACTGTCACTCGTGATAGCTTCAATGGCTCGACGGCGGTAGTCGACACGGAGACCATTGTGCCCACCGTCCTGACCTCCATTATCGATGGTACCACCCTCTTTGTCGAGAGCACCATCACCATCGACTGCACCAAGTGTGATGCTGCCGCCAGCAGCAAGACCGCCACTCTCTCACAGGCTGATCAAGCTACCACCACCGAGGAGTCCTCCGGTTCTGCCACCACCGCCGCCGATGATGACGACGAGGAGTGCCCTACCGACACCGACGACGATTTTGATCTCACCACCGCCACCCCTGAGGGATCCGCTGCTTCTTCTGCTCTCGCTGAGGGAACCTCTTCTGCCGCTTCTTTCTCTGGTAATGTCACCGAGGTAGGAGCCACTGCTTCTTCTGCTCTTGCCGAGGGAACCTCTTCCGCCGCTTCTGCTTCCGCTTCTGCTTCTTTCTCTGGTAATGTCACCGAGGTCGGAGCTACTGCTTCTTCTGCTCTCGGCGAGGAGACCACCTCCACCGTCCTCGGCGATGCCACTGGTGCCGGTTCTTCCGCTGCTGCTGCTTCTTCCTCTGCCGCTGCTTCTTCCGCTGCCGCTGAGTTCACTTCCAAGTCTATCATCCTCTCCACCGGCTACACCAGCGTCGCCTCTACCCAGGCGGGCATCTTCACCAACTCCTCCACCGGCTATGCCCTCCCCACTGGCACTTCCGGCGGCGAGTCAGGAGATGGCGGCATAGTTATCACTCAAACTGTCACCCGCGATGGCACCGTGGAAACGGAAGTTTCCACAGTCACCGAGACCATCTCTCAGCCCGTGATCATCATCATTCGCCAGGTCACCGTCTTTACTTTCACATATGCCATTGGTGCCAACTGCCCCATTGTCAAGCCTGATAGCTCCAAC